TTATTACTTAGCTACTACCTTTAGTACTCTACTTTATAGTTTACCTTTAAGATAACCTAACCTATAAGTAGGGGAGCTTACTTCGTAGTAACACTTAGTAACTAACCTATTTAGTACGTACCTCTAGTATATTCTATAAGATACTTAATAGGACCTAAACCTAACGTAAGGCTAAGCATAGTAATAGTACGGTTACGAGATACTCTTGGAATCCGTAGTTAGAACTAGGTAAGTACAACCCGAACGCTCTAATCCCTAGTGACTAGTCGGTGTCGCATAATATATATCCTAGCGATACACAGAAAAGTCAAAAAATACATCTAGCAATACGACTTATATTAACAGAATAAGCCGTCTCGATACGTACTATACAGGGAGCTATAAGTAGCAGAAATACCGACCCGACTATAGGAGTAGATTACTATAGATTTTATTATAAAATTACCTATTTTAGAAGGAAACGATATAGTTATAGTAGTCGTGGATCGACTAACTAAATATATATATATAATCCCGATAACCGAAACTATTAACATACAGATAATAGCTAACCTACTACTTAGATATATATTCGCTAACTATAGAACACCGAGTAAGATTACCTCGGATAGAGATAAACTCTTTATATCTAATATATAGTAATTACTTACGGATTAGATCGGTATTAAGTATCGACTCTCTACTATATACTATCCTTAAACTAATAGATAAATAGAATAAGTTAACTAGACCCTAGAATAATACTTACGTTATTATATAAATTACTAATAAAATAATTAGATAGGATTATTACTAATAGCGTAATTTACGTATAATAATACTATACACTCGACGACTAAAGAAATACTATTCTTCGTAAATTATAGGCTTAATCCTATAATTATCGGAGAACCTATCGGTAAATAACTAATTATAGAATTATTATAACTACTAGCGATAGGAATAAAGTAATTATATCTTTAACTATCTAGAGATATTAAGTTTCTTAATATACGTATAAAGTTCTACTACGACTAGTTACGCTAGGAGGCGTTAGACTTCTAAGGGGGGGAGAAAGTTTACCTCCTACGACGTAATATTCGTACTAGATAACCTAGTACGAAACTCGATTATCTTAAACTAGGACTATTTAAAATTATAGAAAAAATAGGACTACTTAATTATCGACTAAAGCTACTAGAGAGTATACGATATATCTATATAATATTTTATATCTTATTATTAGAAAAAGTACCTAGAAACGCCGAAGTCGCTACTAATATAGAGATCGAGGAAGAAATAGAGAATAAATATAAGGTTAAGGAAATCCTAGTAACGAATAAAGTTAATAGGAAACCTTACTATCTCGTAAAATAGTAAGGATATAATACCTTAGAAAATATATAGGAACCTATTAAGAACCTAATAGGCTACTACTAGCTAGTTTAATAGTTCTATTAATAAAAAGAGAGCTACTTAGCCTAGAAACGTCTAAACTATCCTAGAAAGATAAGGATAACTAAATAATCTCCTAAAATATCTAATTAAAGTTCGGATTCTTAGTAGTAGACGCTAACTACTAAACTTTAAGGATAGAAGGAGTAGCCTACTCTAGGGATAACGTCTTTTTATTAAGAATTCTTAATAATTTAGTATTATATTCTAATATTTTAAAACCTTTTTACTTAAGGAAGGCTATTTATTTTCGTAAACGACGCTATTAAGATATAGCTTCCTAATACTATTTTTATTTATTTAATAATTATTAATATAGCTTTACGAGACGAGACTATAAATCGCTTAACTCGGGTTCTAATAAGTCGAGTTTATTTTTATTCTTTTCGATATCGAAGGAAAGTTTATCCTTAGCGCGACGTAATAAATCCTATTCCCGGCCGGTATAAAACTCTCGCTTATATATCTAACTAATACGAGTATAAGAAATATACTTAGAATACTAATAACTCTAATCTATTATATACTCTTTACTAGATTCCCGATAATAATCGTAAGGAATAGACGTAATAAAGCTATTTATAACGATATATTTAGTTTAATAAATACAACTAGCGACCTAATTACGTAGAATAGGAAGTTTAGGAATATCTTTAAGAATAGAGTTAGCCTTATATTTAGGTATAATAAATAGATATAACGGGGTAAGAAGAAAAATAGAAAAATACTATATCTACCTAAGAGGGTACTAACGTTTAAAAGAAATCCTTTAAGGATAAAGGACTAGAAGGGAGGGGATAATATTACGGACCTTAAAAAGGCGTAGGGACCGTAGTTATTTAAGGAGTAACCGTAAACTAATTATCTACGGACGCTAAAGAGTAGTATTATTACGTACGTTTCGGTATACTTAGGTATACCCCAGAAGGCCCTAAGACGTTCCGGAAAGAGAACTAGAAACGGCCTATAGCTAACTACTACGGATAATACCTACTTATATAATAAAGTAGTTAGTATAATATAGGAAATAGCTACTATTTTACCCGTACTTAGATTACGTCCTAAGTACTAGGTACTAGTAAAACTATACGTAACTCCTAGTAGTAAAAAGGTAGATTAGTATATAGGTAGATCGTACTAAGACTTATCTACTACTCTACTATCTACTACCTATACTATCACGAAAGACTAGATATATAAAGACACTCGTTAGCATTATATATTTAGTTCTTCGCGATTAATTATATATTATTACTTAGTTACTACCTTTATTACTCTACTTCACAGTTCACCTTTAAGATAACCCAACCTATAAGTAGGGGAGCTTACTTCGTAGTAACACTCAGTGACTAACCTACTTAGCGCGTACCTCTAGTACGTTCTACAAGATACTCAATAGGACCCGAACCCGACGTAAAGCTAAGCATAGCAACGGTACGGTTACGAGACACTCTTAGAATCAGCGGTTAGGACTAGGCAAGAACAACCCGAACGCTCTAACCCACAGTGACCAGTCGGCACCGCGTAACACTTAGTTACGGCGAGATTCCTTCTACTTATAGATTAAATTTAGGCTAAAGGCCAGAGCCTAGCAGCGGTTAATAAAGTACTAATAGCTTACGTTAGGGTTAACGAGTATATATAACGTCTACGTCTAAAGGGAAGTCGGTAGTTTACCGTAGAGGTCCCGAAGTCGATCTTACTTAGGTCGTTTCGCTTCCTAGGCGAGATAGGAAAAATCAGCTAGGAAGTCGTTAAAATTATCCTTTAGCTTTATAGTCAGATTAGTATATTTATAAAGTACTTTAACTACTTAGTTTAGGTTCGAGAATACTCCCTTAAGGTATTAGATTATATCTTCTGTATCGTTATACGGGTTAGTTACTCCCGCTTCTATATAAGAACTAATATATAGCTAGGCTTTTCCTTTAGTTCGGGTAGATATATAATAGACTCGGTTAGACGGAGTCGGGTAATAATTAGTATTACTACGTAACTTATATCGTATCTAATTCGCCTAGTAAGTAAAGCGAATAGTCTTTCTATCGCTTAGGAGAGGAGGGTTAGGGAGCTTCGTAGTATAATAGGCTCTAGTTATAGAGGACTTAATCGGAGTCGACTAGTAATTCGGCGGCTATCCTCGTAGTATACAGTCTTATATATCTATAACTTTTAAGGCCAGTTTACCTACCTTAAGAGTAGTAGTTATAAGCTCTCGCTCTAATTCCTTATACTTAATACCTATAGTATCTTATTAGGTAATAAGAGCTTAGTTATTATAGTATACTCGAAGTAAGAGGTTATATAGTTACTTAGGCGTATAATTCTTAATAAAATCGACATCGATATTCCCTATACTAGGGAACGAGAAAGGGTTATATAGTCTAGTCTATTTAGGTAAGTCTTTACTAGATTTAGGGTTAGCGGTCCTAGCTTTATCGGGGTTATCCGTATTAGTACCTCAAGTCAGGTTCTCTAGAGTCTACTCGTACGGCTTATTAGATTTAGTACTCTAACGGTTTCGGGTTCGGGGGGCTATAGCGTCGGTTTATCTTAGTAGGGGAAGGAAGGTTCGGTTCGGTCGGTCGGAATCGCTTAGGATTCGTCAGTTCGGTTCGGGGTAGGGCGTCCTATAAAGCGAGACGGCGACAGCGAGCTGTTCGTGTCTGTACGGCTTTAACAGAGACAGAAAGGTAAGAAGAAGACTTTCGTTGTATATCACGAAGGAGCTAGCTGTAGAGGAAACAGGTACATTCAACGAAATAACGAAAGTGAAGAAGGAAGAAACTATAGGGGAGGCTGTCAACTAGCTGTAGTGAGCGCTCGCGCTAGATCACATAACTATCACATGACCCTCAGAGCCTCAGCTCCACCAGTCCTCCGCTCCACCAAGCCCTTATATAAGCCATGCGTCACAGATACATTGATCGTTCTGGGCTGTTTTCCGAACGAATGGACAGTCCAATCAATCCCTTTCTTACTCAGATGCCAGGTGAATGTACCCAAGTTGAGGTCAGGTGAAGAAACAAGGGAAGTAGAAAAGGTAGAGCGGAACTAGTAATAGAAATCATAATAGATGATCTATGTGGAGACGAGAATTATGCCCCTCATTTTTAAAAACGGTTGAGAAGCTGGGTGGCTCGTAGTTTCAGCCGCCCAGGTAGTTTAGGTCACTAGAGGCGGTGTATATTCTTTTCACACCCCACTCTTCTGCCTTTTCACTTACAACAACCCCTTCTGAAAGGCCAAGTAAACCAATAAGCGCTGTTGCAATTCAAAGAATGAATAATTATACTATAATTACTCAAAAAGGTCACGAGGTATATTGAGCCTATTTTATATCTACTAGATATCCTTAAATATCTAGAGGATTTTAGGTAACATACCATATCTATCCCTAATCTACATAGAGGATAGAGAGGTATCCATAGATATTGACGATATTGCCGTAGTCTATTTAACAGGAAGGACCAAGCCCTATATAGTACGGTCCGGTCCCTAGTCTAGTTCGGTCCCTTGCGGTCCTTACCGAGGTCTAATCAGTACATCTTCAAGTAAATACTTGCTTATTTGACCTTTGTTCCTTCAAGCACCCAATTTGCCCCAAATTTCACGTCGTGAAACAACAAATCCCATTCAACTGGACTCTTCATCATATGTTCCCCTTCCAGAAATCGTTGCATTTCGGATTTGATGGTTTTCGAGTCAGTAGGGACTAATGCGGCACCGCTGGATGCACAATCCTCCATCTCTTCATACCTCTCTCCTAACTCAGCAAGAATGATTCTATAAGCCTGTTCCCACCATGTTGGTGGGTGGCCCCAAATATCTGCCAAGCCAGTGTCAGGTGTTCGCGCCGCCAACAAGACTTTGACCACATCAATATAAGAACCCCAGCGGTCAGAGTATGCACTGGCACTGCCTTTCATAGTACAGGGAAAATTTAGCGGTCCGATAGCCCAAGATAGGGCTGTTCGTCCATCGGCATCTTGTGCATCAACATCTACCTTATCACAACGTAGAAGAATCTTGACCATGTAGTCTTGCCGAGAGATGACTGCCATAATCAGTGGAGTTCGCCCATACAAGTCTCTGCTGTTGACATCTACCGTGTCGAAGTTGAGCAGAACTTCGGCTCCCTCTGAATTATATCTCCCAACTGCTCTAGCCAAGGGAGACTGGAGTCGTTTGTCTTTGGCATTGAAGTCGACTCTGTGGGTGTTGAACAATGCTTCTACCACTGACTTAGTTCGTTCGAGCGGGTGCTCTCCATCGCCTGCTACTACCCATGTGAGCGGGGTTCTTCCTGACCGGTCACGCCTGTCAACTTCGATTTCCTCCATCTCAAGCAAAGCCTTCACAATATCGACGTGACCGCACTCAGCAGCATAAGACAGCGGGTCCCGTCCGGTGGAGTCGCAATGTTCGTAGTCGAATCCATATCCGATTAGACGTTTCAGCGAAAATTTATCATCTGCCAAGGCTGCCCAATGGACAGCATTCTTGCCCTCGTCATCTTGACACATCAGATCTAGTGACTCTTGCCGCAGCAAGATATCCAAAATGCGTCTGTCGGCCACTCTCCACGCCACTCTCCACTCATAACACATCATGCGGGAGGAACGTTTGAGCTCAGTATTTGGTCTAAAAGCCGCCCTGAGGAGGGGCCCTTTGGTGCTGTCAGCTTTTTGGAGTTCAGCTTGTATGTTGACCTTTGCTTCGGATACCAGGAATTCTACCAAATCTGGCTCGGAATTATAGATTGACCAACTCAATGGAGTCTTTCTGGCATTGTTGAGAGTATCATTGAAATCAATGACATTCGCGAAAAGCAAAAGTCTCAATATGCTCACGCACCGACCCTCGAGTGCGAAAGCTAGCAGACGCTGACTCTTTCTGACTTTTGATCTAGACTGCCTTGTCTGTCCATCAAATTCAGCGAAAAATTGCTTCATGCGAGAAACCATCTCCGGCTCAATGCAGACATTCAAACTGTGAGGATCATCATCAGGCTGCATCCCCAAAAGAGCTCGAACATAGGCCATGTTCCCATTGCGAAATGCGGCACCCATTGGACATAAATATTGACCACACAAATCCCAAGCACGCGATTCACCAAGAAGTTCCACCGGTATGAGATGACGCAGGTCGTTCTTGACCATGATATAAAGGAGTGACCAGTCATCCTTGTATTGACGTTTTGTGTACTTTTCAACAGCATTGTAGACGCGTTTGAAGTCAGAGAACCGATTGGAATATGCGCGTAGAAACTCTTTCTGAGAGATGCCTTCTGCCTGTGCCAAGTTGCTGTGCTTGAGGACCCTCCGGATAGCGTAGTCAAGGAAAGGAAAAGCTTTCTGTATGGATTCGTCATCTCTTAGGCGTTGTGGCGGGTCTCGCAACCCCACAATTTCCTGGCCTAAAGGAGCCTGGCACATTCTAGAAATGTAATTGAAACAAACTTGTTTCAGACGGTCATGAGAGTCTCCAATAAAGCTCGCCGAGTCATTTCTTTTAGGCCGTATTCTAGTAAAGCCATTTCTCCGAAGTAAAAAGTCTCGAACGGACTCGTGGATGAAACGAACACGGTGAGGCTTTGCTCTACCGCTTTGTTTAGCACTTTCGGCAAGTCCTTTGGTAACATCGAGTACGAGTCTGTCCATGACTGTGGTTGAATGCAACGTCCAATCGACATCTTCTTCAATCAATTTTGTCTTCTCAAACAAAACAGCGAAATAGAGTTCTTCTCTTGTAAGACACCGACAGCTTAAAAGAATGAGCTGAAGGCTGAATGTGAGCACGTCCATGTCTTTTTGATCTCGTGTCAGAATGTCGGTGAAAAGATCATCAAGGCCGTCCGGTATTTCGTTCAGTCGTTTTTGCAAGGCGCTTATATTGCCTCTGTCAAAGGCCTCGTTTAACGAACGAACAACAAGCATAACCCACAGGAAGACGCCATCTGCTCTTTTACAAATATCATTCCTGATATCTTGGACAAGACTGGACCGGCCGCCTTTCAGTTTTGTTTCAACGTATCTTCTCAAATCATCTTCATGCTCATGCTGATCTTCAACGATGAACTCGATTCCTTTATCAAGGGTGATGTGTGGATAGTGTCGGCTTGCCAAGCAGATTCTCAGATATACCGTATGTTCGACTGCGGACTTCCCAAGCTCCTGAAAAAAGGTTGTCATATCTTCCACTTCCGCTTGATCGCATTCGTCTACTGCATCAATCAGAAACAGTATATGGTGCCCCTGCAAAGACTTGATAGTCAAAGACAACAAGTTCTTTACATCTCTTTTCGTCCAGACGAGATTGCCATCTTGAAGCTCAAGGGATTTGGCCACATTTAGAAAGGCCTTTTCAGCGTCAGGCGGTACTCCTTTGGAATGCAAAACTGGTGTGGTAATGATCGATACATTCCCATGACGGATCTTTCCAAGAGAGTGCCTTGAGCGTGAAAGAAAAAGGACAAGACGACAGTATTATGAAGCGCTTTCTTCGCGTTCAGGAGCAGGTACTTCATCAGAGTCGACTTCCCCGCACCAGGCTTTCCTTTGATCCAGAAAAAGCCCCCATGACTTGGCAAAGCCTCCTCACTAGTCCATGTCAGATACTCAGGACGTCCAAGTATCCACTCGCAAGTCTTCTCATGAGCCGAGCTTATTTCCTCTAGACGAAATTGAGCTTGTGGGAATGTTAAAGACTCAATATAAAACTCGTCTTCCTTGTAGCCGGATTCGCTCATCTCTGCAGCTGGCCTTTTCTTGCAAGATACCACTGGCATTACACGACTATGATCTATTCTCGATCAGGTAAGTAAGGCGTATGCTCGATTCAAAATAGTTCCAGTCAGTCTACATACTGTTGGAGGATTCAGCCGAAGGTTTGGGCAAAGAGACTGGAATCTCATCTAGAATTGCCCGCGTACATGCTGCTGCACTAGCGGCTGCGAAATGCTGCCATTCCTTAGTTTTGTGACTGTCGGCATAGTCGCTGACGCCCTTTATCACAATGCATGGAAGATTGTCCCAGACACCTGCCCCTTCCATTTCAAATCCAATGATATTTTCAATTTCTGAGATTTGGTCGCGCTCATGGGCGGACATCATGACCGCGTCTCCGGATGCGATAAGGCCAAAATGCACCAGTGTTGCCTGATCATGCCGGGTGAGATCCCGACGACGAGCGACGATGCTATTGTCATGGTAGGTGTATTTGGTGCATTTGCAGTCCATTGCTTGGTGTGCGTACTCAGGTCCAAATAGCCTATCCTTGTCGGTGCCTGGATAACCGCTTGGGAACTTCGTCTGAACATTCACTAGATAATTGGCTAATCGATTGGTTAAACGCTCATAACCCACCTCTAACTTGTTCAGAAATGAAAGGATTTCCGGACTGGGCCTTGGAAGGTTGGCGAGCACGCTGTTCTTGCGAACGAATCCTGTAGGATGGCGGCGCCCTAGATCATACTGCACCACACCCTTGCTAACAATCACATCTCCTAGAAAAATATCCTGTCGGGGTGACATTGAGCTCTTCACGTATGGAACACCCCCGCATACACCCACGACAAGAGCCAGCTCTAGACATGGATAACTCCTCTTGACATTGGTTGCCACGCTGGAGGCGTAGCCTTTGCCAGACCCGGGCATGTACGCAAGTACCGCATGGTATCTTCCAATGCTTCCCAACGTGTATGCATTCTGATCACCGGGCGCCTTTCGGTATTCGTCGAGGTTTTCATCGTAGAGCACGTCGAAAAGTGGCAGGACAGCCTTGGCCTCTAGCGTCAGTGCACAAATGATAGTGATCTTGAAATCTTCACGCGACGTGGGGGCTGGGATAGGCATCTTGAGGTCCTAAAGAAGCCCGCCGATGTGCTAGTCGACTACCAACTGGTGTCACGATGATCGCAGTGAATTGAGAAGCTGGGTGACTCGTTAGGTAGCTTCAGCCCCCAGGTACTTTAGGTCACTAGAGGCGGTGTATATTTGTTTTTTTTACACCGCCACGCTTCTGCCTTGTCACTGTCCGCAGCAAAACCGCACAGCACTCCCTTCTGAAAGGCCAAACAAACCAATAAGCGCTGTTGTAATTCAAAGAATGAGTAATATTGACCGGGTAAGTATATATAGACGAAGCAGCAAAGTAGGACAAGCCTTTGTACCATGGTCTCGCCATGCGGAGAAGGTAAACAGCCTAGGCATCAATAAGACAAGCGAAGCAAGCACCCCGAGGCTTTTTTCCGAGCCTAGGACCAGCTTGCCTCCACTTATTCCACATCTTACTCCATCACATCCTCGCCTCCCAAATCACAGAAGATGGAGGGTGTATCCACCACACCTTGGCGCCGCCCTCCTCATACCTACAGGTAGGCTATCGAGCGGCGCTACTAGGATAATATTAGCTATATCTATAGTAGAGGCTATACGATAGACCTTGCATATCAGTATCGAATATCCAGGATACTCGCGAATTATCTTCGCTTTGTACGCTGAGAGTTATAGTGGCGGTTACTATTACAACATGGTTACCTATTCCCGCGGTGCTGTAGGGTGCTGAACGGTATAGAGTAACGCATGGCGATCGTGCGAATAGAATCGCTAGAGCCATTTTGAATATCTTTGATGGCTAGTCAGATCCTACTCTCGTGTTCAACATATTCGACGCGATTTCAGTGCTTCCGGGCTACGGTGGATGGTTATACAAGGAGAGCAAGTAGGTGCGCGTTTTTGATGTGGTGACCCATTTCGGGAAGTACGTTCGTTGCTGTCGCATTCTTGCTTATAAATGCACGCATTATTCCCCGAAAGTGCGGCTGTGCGCAAGCCACAGAGTGATTTCAAATCACATTGAGCTTTTTACCACTATATAACATGCTAGGAAATACATGTACTGTAGCTGTCTCATTCCAACACAGTCAGGATCAATTATTGTTCCGGCGTCGATGTCGCGAAATCAAGCCTTTCGCATCAATTCCATCTCCAGATGTCCATGTCCACAATTCCCAACCTCGTATTCGGTGGAGCTAGCATCTCTGCCGATGAGGGAAGTTTTACCAATGCCGCAGAGGTATCGGGCTTGCTTGAGGTTCTTAAAGCGGAAGGTATAAACCAAGTCGACACCGCGCAATCGTACGGTGGCGGTACCAGCGAGGAGCTCATTGGGCAAGCCGAGGGATTGTCCGACTTCTTTATCGACACCAAGCACATCGGAGGATGGGCCCCAGGAAGCTCATCCCGAGAGGAAATCTTCGCGAGAGCAGTAGCCAGTCTGACAAGACTGGGACTTGAGAAAGTGAGTGGTTTCCAGTACCAGAAGTGCGAACAAGACCGTCGGAATTCTCATTAGCCCAGGTCAATAACTTTTACATTCACGCGCCGGATCCGGCGATCCCTCTCGAGGACACCCTTGCCGGCATCGACGATCTCTACCGCGCGGGCAAGTTCAATCACTTCGGGCTGTCCAACTTTCACGCCCATGAGGTTCGCGAAGTGGTCCGCGTTGCCGCGGAGAAGAACTATGTCCTCCCCACGGTGTACCAGGGGAACTACAGCGCGATTGCTCGCCAGCTCGAAAAGGACGTGCTCCCGACTCTGCGGGAATGTGGGATTGCATTCTACGCCTACAGCCCTATTGCTGGGGGATTCCTCACCAAAACCACCGAACAGCTGACGTCCGGTCCCAAGGGCGAGGGCCGCTGGAATCCGCAGACAAAAATGGGCTCGTTCTACCACCTGCTGTACGGCAAGCCAGTCTTCTTTGAGGCACTGGATAAATGGAACGATATATCTCAGGCAACTGGGATCGCGAAGGCTGCGCTGGCATATCGATGGGTGGCATTTCATTCTGGCCTGGATGCGCGACTTGGTGACTCGCTTGTAATTGGAGCGAGCAGTCTGGATCAGGTGAAAAGAACTGTTGCTGCACTCAAGGAAGGGCCTCTGCCTGAGACGGTGGCAAAACAGATTTCGGACCTCTGGGAGATCGTGAAAAACGATGCGGTTGCTAATAACTTTGACGTGGTTAGATCAACCTAAAAGGCAACATGTCGGTGGCCTTGCATCAAATGCCTTGTATACATATGAAGACACTGATATCACGTAGATTGTAGAAGCCAATCAAACCCCTTTGCCCTGCATTTGATGTTCAATGAAAGAAAGCATAGACCAAAAAGTATGATCTCACGCTCCATGGGCGTGAAATGCTTCTGAACTTGTAGTTTGGTGTCATACCAAACGTCTATGCTTTCCAGGAGATCAGATCCCATGATTCATTATCGCGCAGCCTTTCCCCCTTCCCTCCCTTCCTCGCCATCACGGCTCTTTCTTGAGCACTCTCGCCGCGACGAGAGGGCTTTCTGCCACGATCCTGGAGAAGTCGTGGGCGTCCAGACAGGCCTGTCGGGAGTTGAGAAAACTGGGCTCTACGCGGGCAAAGATACACTTCTCGTAATCAGCAAGTGAAGCGGATAAGGTGTCCAAGCTGAAAGACCTGTCGACAATATTAGCAGGCTAACATAATCTTGCTTTTCTGACGACACTCTTACTCAGGACTTTTCATCTCCACGTGCTTGATCAGATCCTGGACATCGACAATGGCATTGTTGGCTCCTTCTCCTCGAACTATGATACAGTTGATCAGTGTCAATAAACCTCGCGAGAGTGACAAGGACGCATGGGTAAACATACACATAGTCATGGTATGCGCGGAATCTCCCATAAGGACGGCACGAGGGTGCTCATGCTTTTGGCCGGGGCTGAATATCCAGTCTTCGAGACGGATAGAGCGCGCCTCCGCGTCTGCTGGGAGTTTCTGGACCAAGGAGCGGAATGGCTCAGCCCAGTTGTCGGTCAGCTTTTTCATGAGAGTGACCCGATCAGTGTTACCCCTCGGCACAGCAATCCCCTTCTCATCAGCCCACGAGACGATAAGCTGGATGTGATACCGGTCCTTGCTGCTCTCATCAAAGTTATTCGGTGTATCCAAGTCTGTGGCTGGATTAATGATAACCCCCTATATTCTGCCCAGGTGGACCACATACAGCTGAAGAAAAGAAACACGTCGGTGTCGGGATGGGATCCTTGAAAAATATACGGATCAATGAACTGCGCCCCGCCCAGATCCTCCGCGCTGTACAGGGCCGATGCGCCGAGAAGCTGCACCGGCAGCGAGTTCATCTGGCACCCGCCCGGATACAAGATCTGGCGGACGCGCGACCTCGCCCCGTCGCAGGCGACCAGTAGACTGCCTGTGTACGACGTGCCATCCTCGAAATGGGCCGTGATACTGTCGGGAGAGGACTCCATGCTCCGGAAGACCTTGTTCCACTGTGGCTATATTAGTCTTCCCACAGTGCCGGGAACACGTGAAACGAGCATACCCGAACATCAATCCCAGACGTGAGAAGCTCTCGCAGCCGGCCTCGATTCACACGAATGCGCTCCTCCGCGGGCACACTATACAGCGCCTCGCCGGACTTGAGGTTGAAAAACTGGAAGCTCCCCACATCGCCGCGCGCAGACGCCTCCTTGTTGACAAAGGTATCCGGGAAGCGTTCCACCAGGTGCGGCGGGAGCAGCGCGCGCAGGGCCGGCAGGGCCCAGTGCAGCGTGAGCCCCCACCCACCGGTGCGTGCGTCCAGGGCCGAGTCGCTTTCGAAGATCTCGAAGCGCACGCCTTGGCTCTGGAGGTACTGGGCCAGGACGAGGCCGCTGATGCCGGCGCCGACGATCAGGACGGGGCTAGCAGACATGGCGGGCAGACGAAAAGCTTGGACGAGGATCGGCCGTCGTCACTGGACTTCGACTTGCAGTACGGCACAGCTTTAAGCCCATCGGCAGGGTTCCAGAATAATCCGATCACGAGGCGATCCTTTCTCGTTGGTCACCGGCCGGGATCGATCGCGCTGGAGTCTGTGGAGGGGGTTCCATTGAAACCATCGGAGAAAAGCAGGGGCGGTGGGGCATGGAAGTACTCCGTACAGCGCAAGCACACATCCAGCGCAGCTTGTGCTTTGGCTGAGGGAGAGTAAAAGTACCAAATTTGGTTCGAAGGATTCGGATGTAACCTCTGCCGCCGAATCCACCGCATTCAGTTAGCCTGGTCAAGGATCGGAAATTTCCTCATGCTGAAAGGGGTTATTTTTCTGAAGAGGACCCCAGCCTGCAACCCAAATGGGCATCCCGAGGAAGTCGTCAACACAGAGCTACTACGAATACTCGATTGACCAATCTGCACACTTCCTTCTCCCTCATCTCACGCCAAGCATATCCAGGGATCCAAAATTAAGTTCTGAGGCGACCCACGAGTCTCGCCCTCCAGCCACCACAGCGCCCATTGGCCTCGCCCATCGGACTCCGCGCTGATGACCCGGCCCGAAGCAACGAAGATCGGCGCGACTATGCGCACGGTGTCAATCCGGTCCGGGCCCAGTCGCGGCGCATCGGCCGGACGTTCGCCTGATCTTCGGCACTGCTAGTGGATCCCGCGGGCCCACCCGACGCGCTCACCGCAGCTAGATACCCGAACGAGAGTTTGGTGGGGCGCTAGCTACCAGGTGCAGGAGTTTTGCAAAGGGGAGAATGTCAATGCCTTTCGCCGTGGACTAGCTGGCTGCTGGGACACGATCGAGATGTGCGGTTGTGTTGCTACACTTCGGTCTCGGCCTTGCTCTGCGCCTAGGCCTACACGCCGACCAAGAGAGATATATAGAAGACCGCAACCAACCTGCCGGGACACTTTTAGATACTATATACTAGATACTCTATTCTGTATACTATATACTATATACTATGCGAGGAGACGAGGTCTCCGGGGGCAGTCCCGAGGCACCACACTACTCCTCACGGTCAACTATGCACGTGCACTGCCATCACCGGGCTCTCGTCGACCCATTCTCCAATGACACCGAATACTCCACCGTCATCTCAATCCCACCATGCGAGTGTTCCCGACTCGCCAGAATCAGCTCCTCACTCGGCGACCGCTTCGGCACGGCCGCTGATGCATTCGACTGCAGATGCGAATGCTGCCCCTTTGGCCACGTCTCCATTCCGTAGCTGCGCCCCCGACTGTCGTACTTCCGGCCGCTGGTCGAGCGGAAGTCACGCGCGAAGCCTCTCAGAAGCGGGGCGAGGTAAGGAACACAGGTGACAATGTTCTAGGGGGAAACGGAGAAGTTAGTTTGGTGGGCGTGTTGCGCGGTTGAGGCTATACGTACTCCGATATTGAATTCAATAGTGCCCCACAGCACCAGCATGGTGGAGTTTCCATCGCCAAAAGCCACGCGGTGGATCTGGGTGAGGCGCAAAATTGAGCAGATGGTGGTGAAGAGGCCGAGCAGGAAGAGGCACACGACGCCGGCTTTTTGGGCCGGTTTGATTTTGAGGCGGAGGAGGAGCGGGATCGGGAGGAAGATGATCACCACGTCGGCGACGATGGTGAAGATGGCGAGGCCGTAGAAGGTAGGGCCGACGGGGAGGCAGCTTCCGGAGACTGTGGGGTCCCATCCGCGATGGACCTGTTTGGGGTTGCCCGTTAGTCAACATGGTCAACTGAAAGCAGAGTTGACGGAGTGTTATCTCCGTACCGGCGAGCAGTTCAAGATCAAGACCAAAGCGCCTGCGATGTGGCCCGCGGTGCACAGTCCAATGACCACCCATATGAAGATCCGGTAGAAGGTCATCGAGGTGCCAGAGAGGAGGCGGAGGTAGCTGAGACAGAGGGAGGCTTTGAATCCAGCGATGCCGAGCTGGTAGAACGGGCGTCCGGCATAGTTGAGCTGTACTCGTCAGGCCATGGCACGGCAAGCCCATTGGGGCGATCTTACTTTGGTATAAGTTGCGAGATCCGGCTTGGGCCGGAGTTTCAGCGGCAACCCGAGTCCATATCGACTTTCTAAGACGAGAAGTTCAGTTTGAGACTGGCTCACGAGACGGGCGATATGATACTCACGAGAAATGCACAGAGCACTATAGATGATGCTGAAGATCTGCCACGGAGTCCAAGTCAGCAAGGCCCCGTCTCCAACTATAGCCCGTCTCGCAAATGGCCTACCATGCTGACCACCATCACATAGTCCGCTGGGCCCAATCGACTGGCTCGTGCTCGCACACTCAACCGCAGACAGACCGTCACCACCATCAACAGAGTCAGAGTCAGACACACCCCCAGAATGACCTGGTGCTGTGACGCCGCCTGGGCCTCGGGCGAGGCATTGTGCACCCAACCCATCGTGGCGAGTTTCAAGAGTGACGAGAGCCAGGGCAGCAGGGGCTCAAGGCATTGAGGGCGTAAGATTCCACGTGAAAAATGAGTCCAGATGCACGGAGATTCATGCGTGGGATGAGGTTAAGTACGTTTAACCTAGCAGGGTCCCCAGTCCGACAGGATCTATGTACGAAGTAGAAAGGAACACCATTTGCCCGGGTTTCTACGTCCCACGCTGAAGCATGCAAATGCCCGGTCTTGGGACTATCGCGTCCTTCCGACTGGCTCGATAGTCCCAATGGCCTCGCCGAGATCTCTTCTTCCTCTTAGTGGCAAGGTTCGTCCATCCACTTCGACAGGATTTGGTCGCGCCAGCCAGTGATGCTTCAGGACCCTCGCGGCAGTCTCCGATTCTGGAATATGCACAGTGGATTCCTCATATTGCCCTAGTGGCTGCGGCCAGGGCCCCGGTCTCCTGCCGAACTGGACCAATTCATCGCAATGGCGCCGCTAAACCCTAATCCCTGCTGCCCCCACCCGGGCTAGAAGTGCACCGGCAGCTAACACTTGCCTCGCCGAGGAAATTCAATTTGGCCCCCCTTCTCATCGGTTTATCGGCGAAATGTTTTAGCTCATTAGTGCGCCTATGGGTGAATTCATTGGTTGGGGCCTGTTTCACAGTCGCTGCAGGCCCGTTACTGCTCATTAAATGCCGCGAGCCACGCTATTTCCACTGCGCCCCCAATTCTGCGGTTACATCGGCCACATGATTTGGATTGAGACTTTTGTTTTCTTCTTTTCTTTTTCTGCCAACTTGGGGTCTCGCTGTTTCTCTTTTCTATTTCCATTTCCTATTCGCTTCTGCCCCGGGCTACAGCCAATTCTGAATCCGCTGTCGTAATGGAGAAACAGCCCGCGTCCCAGCTGGTGGGCGCTGATCGACGCGACGAGGCCGTGGTGTACCTCGAGGGCCACGGGGATGTGCATGCTGACGTCAATCTGGCGACTCTGCGCCGCAAGATTGATCGGCGGTTGATGCCCTTTATGTTCTGCTGCTACGTGCTGCAGTTCCTGGACAAGGTCATGTTGAATGTGAGTGTTGCTCGGCTGTCCCCAGGGACACAGTCCCGCCGCTGTGGTGGTTCTTTGTTGACATGACACCCCTGTCAATGCAAATAGTATGCCGCTGTAATGGGACTGAGGACAGACCTCAAACTGGTCGGCAACGAGTTCTCCAACACGGCGACATGGTTCTTCATCGCATACCTGATCGCAGAGGTCCCCAATGGTTAGTGCCACCCCTTCCCCCTTGCCAGGGATGCCTCAGCACCGTCGATTGGGCACAGCACTGACGTCGCGCATAGTGTACTGTCTGCAGAAAGTCCCTGCGGCCAAGTGGCTCGGAGGGAATGTCTTTCTCTGGGGCATCGCGGCCGCGGCCTCTGCGGGCGCCAGCGACTACCGCAGTCTGCTGGTCGCGCGAGTGTTCCTCGGTATCTTCGAAGCGACGGTTGGCCCGTCGCTGATGCTGCTGAGTAGTCAGTATTATACGCGCAGTGAACAAGCCCCCCGGTTTACCTTCTGGTACATGGGTCTGGGTGTCGCCCAGATCCTGGGCGGGATTATCTCGTTCGCCTTCCAGCACGTTCACCATGCGTCCCTGGAAGGATGGCGCATTATGTTCCTGGTTCTGGGGCTGGTCACTGCCATCGTTGGCACCTTGACCTTCTTCTTCATCCCAGATACGCCGATGAAAGCTAAATGGCTCTCGGAGGCGGAGAAGATCGCTCTCCTGCAGCATGTGGGCGAAAACCAGACTGGTGTATGGAGCACCACCCCGAACTGGAAGCAGATTCGTGAGGCCATTTGCGACATCCAGCTCTGGCTCCTGACTCTGACGACGATCCTGGTTTGCGCCCACTTTTCCCTATTTCATGCATCAGCCCTCAAACTAAGACATCTCTAGATCTCCGTGTCAAGCGGTGTGGTAACCACATATTCGGCAACTTTGATCGCCGGCTTTGGCTTCTCCCCCCAGATCTCAGCCCTCCTCAATACCCCCGGCGGCATCGTCAGCATCTTCTTCACCCTCCTTGTCGGGTTCGGCATCCGCAGAACCTCCCACCGCTGGGCCTGGAACGTGCTTTGCACCATTCCCGGCATCATCGGCGGCGGTCTGCTCTCCTTCCTTCCAAAGAGCAACAAAGCCGGCGTGCTCATCGGCATCTACCTGGTCAACGCTATCGTCGCCACCTTACCAATCCTCTACCAGTGGACCATGGCCAACTGTGCCGGCCACACCAAGCGCGCCTTCGCCAGCGCCCTCGTCGCCGGTTCCTTTTCTATCGGCAACATTATCGGCCCCCAGACCTTCCAGGCGCGTGATGCTCCTGGGTATAGGCCGGCCAAGATTGCCGTTCTGGCGACGCAGGCTGCGGCAGCGGTGGTGTCGGTGGTGCTCTTTTTGTATTACCTGCGGCAGAATCGTCGCAGAGATCAGACCAAGGGCCCGGTAGATGAGGCTAAGGTGGATGAGATGAAATGGGCTGGGCTCACGGATCGGGAAAATCCTAACTTCCGCTATGCGTATTGAACGGATCTTACAAGTGGAATGCACCACTGGCTCATAAAGGTGCTGCATGAGGTGAGGGGGCTTATAATTATTCTGTTGACAGCCTAGCTTGAAGCCGTCAAGAAAACATATCTGTGCTGTCGCATTACCGCCCGCTGTACTCCTGCAGCAGGCGATTCATAAGATTACCAGAAGTTATTTTAATATACTAGGCTTGGACCGCCTTTTTCTTCCTACCTATTTATGGAGCACGGTGTAGCGGTAGCCATGCTGGCTGCGTACTTCATACAGGACGCTAGGCTTGACAGGATCTTCTCGGAGTGTGTTACCCAAGAATTAAGATTTGGGCTGAAGGTGCTTGTAGATCTTATTCACATTATTGGAGCCTCTAGCTACTTGAAAGCTATTATATTTAGCCACGAGACAGCATGCCACCTGCTAACAGTCCGTGAAGCCATTGCCACCGACCTGGACATGTGAGTGCTCTGGCATACAAGAGGTATGTATGGGATCCGGAAAGGGCTTCTTCCATCTGGTGAGGTGGCACCAAATGTCCCACATCGGGGAGTTATTTATTCATCCTCGATGATAAGGTGCAGTCGTAAAGCTTGGAATTGAATGGAACATGGATTTTCAAACTCGGACTCAAAATCCGTCAATTATTCACTACGCCACTAAACTTAGCTCATAGATCACATCGAGAGCGAGCCATGCGGCACTATCTAATACACTAGAATATTTACTTCAACCGCCAGAACGGCTTCATGACAGACCTAACATAAACAAGCAGATACACCATCAAATAATTGGTGATCGTGAACGCCAGGAAAATGCCAAAATACGGCCAGATCTTGGAGTCGTCTAGGCCGAGCCCGGACAAGTAGTCATCGCCCCAGCTGTACTGGCAATATCCGCAAGTTCCCGTGCTGTTCTCATTGGACAGATACCCCACGCCTCGCGCAGAAAGCCAAGATCCGGCGTAATCGCCGCAGGTCATGTTCGGCGGGCTCTCGAATAGGGTTAATTCGCTCTCTTTGCATACCACGGGCGTGCCGCCGAGGACGACTGCCAGAACACCGCCAATCCAGTAGGTGAAAGGTGTCACGTAGTACATGGTGTACCTCCAGAAGGCAGGCATTTGGTCGTGGGGTCGAAGGATGCCATTGAATAACTCGCACATAATGATGAAGAATGGCATCAGAGTGGCGGCGACCATTGAGTCGGAGCTGTAAAGGTTGTCAGTTCAGAGTTTCTCGGGCAACGGAGCGAGTAAGAGAAGAGTAATTCTCACCTCAGAGCAGCGATCCACTGTCCCCAGGAAGTGGCGAACAGGAAGAACAGGAAAAACATGAGGAAACTATATCCAGCCGCGAATCCCAACGGCAATCCGACCATGAAATAATATAACACATAGAAGATAACTGCGCCGACAATCGCATACGGGATTTCGGAAATGATCTGCGCAGTGCTGAAGACAATCCAGTTGTATAGTCCACTGGGCCCCTCTCTCGCCAGCCAAATATCGCGGTTCATAATAAACCTCATAGAGATCGCATTGATGAACTCGGGCACCAACATCAGAACCAGGAAACAAGAGAAAGCCTTCGACTGCAGGTCAGTCAAGCTGTTTCCGATCTGGAGGTAGGTCAAGCCGTTGATGAGCGCGTGCAGGAACGAGGCATAGAGCCGCGAGTACGGGTATTCGGCCGTTCGCCAGAATTGACGGCACGTTCGCTGCGTGAGAAGGATGATCTGCCAGTACAGCGGGGGTGGAGAGAGAAGTGGCGCAGCTGTCTGGCTTGGGTGAGAACGGATATTGGCGATTTCCTTCTTGACATTCTCGGCTTCCTGGGAATTGCGCCAGATTGAGGCCAAGTTGACTTTGTTCCCGGAGGCTTTCATGCCACCGACAACCACTTCAATAAGGAAATCAGCCGCATTGGTGACGTTTTGAGGGCTGTGGCCGTGCTTCTTGAAGTATTCGAAAATGGCCTGGCCGGATTCGCCGACTGGTCCGAAGTAATATGTGCTTCCGCCGGGGCTCAGGGCCAGGACACGATCGAACTCTTCGAACTGCTGCTGATTCGCTTGGTGAATTGTGCACAGAATAGCTAAGCCCTGATCTGCCAGGCGTCGAAGTAGTGCCACGATACTCGTGGCACCCTGGCTGTCGAGTCCACTGGTCGGTTCGTCCAAGAATAACAGCAGTCTCGGTCGAGCGCAGAGTTCCACGCCAATCGTGACGCGTTTCTTCTTCTCGATGTCCAGGGACCCAATTACCGCGTTCTGCAGTTCAACGAGATCCAACTTATGCAGAACGGTCTGCACATAGGCGAGCTTTTCTTCCTTGGGGGTGTCATGGCTCTGTCTTAGTAGGGCCGAGAACTCGAATGCTTCGCGGATGGTGCTGCTCTCGTCATGGATGTCCATCTGCTGGCAGTATCCAATTTGCCGGTTGAACGATCTGTCAATAGGCTGGCTATCAACGTACAAGGACCCTGATATGGTCCCTGCACTTTGCCTTTGAGTAAGAGCAGTCAACACTAGATAACACGTGCCGTCAGATGCCGTCTCTTAAAATACTATCTATCAGTCTCTGAACTTACGAGTTGATTTTCCGGCTCCAGAGGCGCCGACGAGAGCTGTAAGAGAGCCAGGCTTGCAATAGCCACATACGCCATCGAGCAGCCTCCGAGTATCTTTTCCAATCTGCACATTAAGCTCCAAGTCCGCCCATGTGAACGTGGATTCTGTAGCCGCCAGAGTTTGTCGGGGGCTTTCTTCGGCAAAGCCATTCGGGGCTGCTCGAGGGTCCGCTGGGACAGGCAGGTTTTCCGCATCGTTGCTGGTAGCCTTGTTTCGCTTGAACCAGTGGCGCGTAGGTTTATACTGGATCGGGCCTCCACAATCCAGCTCCCACTCCATTGCTTCGCTCAACCAGCAAGTAAGGCCAATGAAGACAATAGTGAAAAGACATAGGATACCTACGTTTCAGGTTAGTCAAATTTCAGATACGCAATTTTTAGTATCCAAGGCTGAAGTGGATCGTACCAAAGTTGCGCCAGACATGGCTATAGTAAAAGCCGAACTGTGTCGCTAGGTAGTCGTCACCGTTAACGACAATGCTACCTATCTTGCTTCCCGCGTATGCGCAGGTCTGGTATGCGACGTCAGTGTAGTTGGATCCTGATGGGATGATGGTGGACGCAGCACACGTGAAGTTCACGTTATGAAACTCGGCAGCCATCAACGCTTCGTAAGTGTATAATGCAGGGGTTGTATACTAGTAAAGACTCAGCCAGTGTTTTAGTGTATACTATTCCATCCGAGCTTACCGCCAGCCATCCAACCCATGGAACATCCTGGATCATCTTGTCGACTGACAGGACATAGCCACCAAACACAATGCAGAAGAGCACCGATACGCCGCAGTACCGCAGTGCGACCTCGAAATTGCGGGACATGGCAGCGAAAACACGGAATTGCGATGTTAGGCAAATTGTGCACGTATAGATGAACAGGAAGTCGATGAAGAAGGGACCAGCCTGTAAGCGATAGTTAGCAAAGTTGCATTAGAGTTGCATTTAAAACACCCGGGGCCGACACCATACCTCGGAGCGCAGTCCAGAGAGGAAATACAGCACGATTAGATAGAGAACTGCCAGGAGGGCAGTCACCAGCATATCCTGCATGACTCGGGCTAGACAAACTGCACTCGGCCGAACAAAGGCAAACTTCTTCTGGCGACTGAGAATGTCACGCCCCTGCATTGCATCTTCCAACTCGGACATCTGCAGCCAGGCGAGTAGAATAGATGAGTAGAATAGTACACCGCCGCGTGAGTACATCCCCTCGGTAGTCTGGGGCTGGTTGTAAAACATCGAACCGACCAACAGACCGTATACAACTGCAGAGATTAATTTGATGTACAGTGGCCCCATATGTCCCTTCAACTGGCACATTTGACGGTGGGCACAAAGGGCAATTTGGCGGAACAATGAGATAGTGTAAGGAGACTTCGAGGACACATAACGAGACTTATCGCTCTGCATCGTCCGCTTGAACTCCTCGACACTTCCACACTCTGAATCGATGGGGTACGTCGAGCTAGCTTTGCGCCCGAATCGCTTATCCTCGTACTGCTCGATCGAACCCTCGACATCCTTGAAAGCCTTGCTTTGTCGGAACGCCGCCTCCAGCTCAATCGGCCCCTTGGGAGCCCGGTCCTCCCAGCCAGGACGGAACCTCCGCCGCTCGGGAACCGTGATACTAGTGAGGAAATCGGAGGTGGTCTGCATCGCGGCACATTCATATCCGAGGTCTTCGAAATACTGCTTAGCCTCGCTGGCTGGGCCTTGAAACAGCATACGGCCCTCGTCAATCAGGAGCACTTTGTCCATCAGCTGGTAGATTGCATCGGAAGCTTGATAGAGAGTGAGGAGGGTTGCCTTTCCGCAGGTGTCGGTCATGATGCGTAAGCTGCGGGCATAGTCGAGGGCAGACGAAGCGTCGAGACCGCGGGTCGAGTTATCCCAGCATGTCACGGATGAATCAGTCGCCAGAGACTCGATGATGGAGATTCTTTTGCGTTCGCCACCCGAGACGCCTCTGATATACTCATTGCCCACGAGTGTGTTCATAGTGTGTGTCATACCAAAGACTCGTCCGTAGATCTCTAAGTATTTCGGGATACGATCCTGATAGCGTTTTGGCGTTTTGCTCTGCAAAGCAAACTCGAGCGTCTGGCGCACGCTGAGCGTTGGGAAATGCACATCATCTTCTGGGACATATGCTACCGCGCTGCGATAGTGCTTTCGAACTTCGTCGGGGCAAACGCCGGAATAGTCAATGGAGCCTGTCACTCCCAGGAAAGAGGAGTGGTGGCCCGCGATAGTGCGGAGAAATGTCGAGCAACCAGCTCCTGGCCGGCCCAGAACCCTAGCATCCGATTAGCTTTACTAAATTCTCAATGCGACGAAACCTTGGCTTACAGCATCATTTCTCCGCTCTGAACCACGCCGGAAAAGTCTCGAATAAGTGGGCGGCCATTCTGCGGCTGCTTGCTGGATAGCCATGGCTGAACAGTCCATTCGTAGATATCCTGGAGAGTCAGTGTGCGCCACAAGGCGGTTCCCAGCGTCTTCACATTGGCATGGTCGTCGCCTTCGCCCCAAGTCGAGAGCGACTGGAAGCACACGCCTAGGTTGGAGCGCTTCTTGCCTCCTTGAACTTGTTCTTCAAGAAACTTATCAAAGGAGGAGTGAGGCTCTGGATATTCCGGGGCCGTCAGGGTCCGATGGATATCTGCGATAGCATCCTCATCCCCATGACAAACATGTACCCGCGGGCCATGATCTCCCGAGGATGGCGCTTCCTGGCCCGAAGCAAAAGAGGAACTATGAGGGTGGGAGTGGAGAGGAGCGGGCATATTTCACCGCTGGAATGGTCGGTGCTAGGAGGTATCGATGGGTACAATATACTGCATCGTTCTGCTCTACGGAGAAGGAATGTAGTGATCGCCGGGCAAGTCAAGTTTCTTATACAAAACTGGTGGCCCAGATCCATCCAGACCTCAGAAGGGAAGCCAAGCGGTACGAATGACTTCAACAAACTCGGCCAATCCAGTAGCCCGGCAGGCTGCAAGAAAGGAGACAAAGTAGGCCCACTGCGATGAACGGTGAATTATCCGATCCATTGTCGTGACCAATAAGACGCACGGCTTAGTGACGGCCACGAGGGTCTGGGCGTGGCAGACCCATGCGGCTGCGATTCTTTCCCCAAGTTTGGAAACCGACTCCATTCGGTATAGCAAGTCCGAAATGCAGAACGGCAAGGAACCGAGAAAGCGGGCGCTCCCCGCGGACACCGCGGCGTGAGATTTGCAGAATCAGGCAGCCAAGAGGAGAGATCCACCGCGCCAGCCACTGGCGAGCCAAACTTCGGCGCAACTAAGCGGGCAGAGCGGATCCGAGCCACTGGAACGGAGCTCGATGACAGGCCCGAGGGAGGTTGGCCATATGGCTGTGGCAGTCTGGGACTAGCTATGGCCAATGCGGCGGCTAGCTCGTCAAACTGACAATCTCCATGATGCCATAGGGCGCGTGCAACAGTGAGTAGTCAAGCAGTGCTCAGATCGCTGTGTGATAACATAGCTTGCTGTGATTGACGGGGCGGAACATTAAAACCTGTTCCTACTGCAGTGCCGATCGAAGATGATATCAAGATATTTTCAAACCTGCCACAGTCGGGGCTTTTCCCCCAGGCGATCAGAGTCAAAAAGAAAGGACGGGTGGTGGGTGTGGGGCCATAGCCGATCTAGAATGGCTGAGGCAGGCGCACATGAAGCCTTAACATGAAAACTAGTGAAGGTGTGATCCTCGCTTACTCTTCCCGACCGTAATGGGCGGCTCAACGGTGACAGAGATAAGGTGGGTATTAATCTAATAATGGGATGCAGATCCAAGTCAAAAACTAATGCTTTATGGTTGCTGCTTTCATTACGGGTGCAGAGCCATGTAATCATAATGCTTCTCTTGGTAGATCTGTGGCTCATCTTATCTGACTGGTGAGGTCAGGTGGTAGTGGCGATCTGGCTCATGGCCCGTTGTTGAGTTGTATTAAAGAAACTGAGAGCTAGGAAGAGACTAAGTACAGGGAGCGCTTGATAGCGACATTCCCCTTCACCAAGACAGCGGAATCTGATACTCCTTCCAATGTTCCGGTGTATCAGCTTCCGCGAACTTCCGAATACCACCAACAACTCCGTCTGCATTCACCTCCCAATCACCCATTTCGACTCTCTCCGCCCAGTTCAGTAGTACTTTGTGAAGTTGAACTTCATGAAATTCCAAAAAGCCACTCTCTCGCCCCGGCTGGTAAAGCTCAAACGAGGTATCTTCCTGAGGCATATACCAGGCGCGGGCTTCCTGTAGCTTCTGACCATTGCTAAAGCGCGCATACTCGCGAGCTCCAATATTAAACGGTAGAAGTAATCTACAGGAGTTCCTGAAATTAGCTGGCCCTTCGGCAGCTGGCATTAAATATAAGCCCGTAGAAACGCCCTGGTGGCTATACTCTGGATTGGGAAATAATAACCGCTTGTAGCTTAGCGAGGATGATTCATCCCCTCGGAATAATAGGAATGGCCCTATATAGCTTAGATCTTTCCACGGCCGGGCTATAAACTCCGTAGCTGACTGGATACTGATACCCGGGGCGATATAACGGAAGGATAAGGTCCGAGGGGGTACCTCAGAGAGGAAAGACCGAATGAACGTATTGATAGGGATTGCAGCTTCGGCGAGAGTAGCGGGTGAGTATGGAAGCTGTAATTCTGGGTCTCTCGCAGGTTGAGGGAGTCGTTGGTCGATTGCGTCGAGAAGCCGAGTGAACGCGTTGATCGCCTTTGCGATATCTCGGTCCGTATACTCATGATACTGCCATGGAAAGAATCGAGGTTTTTCTTGCTCTTCCTCCTCCTCCTCGACCCTGTTCGAGGACGCTTGCACTTTGCCTTCCTCAATCATCTCGAGATATGCTCGAAGGATATCCTGCAGAGGCTTCCAACCCCATGTTTCCCCAAACATGCAAGGTATATCATACCAGTGGGCAACATAGGCTGCTAGTTCTGTTTTTTGATCGAACCTAGCAGTCGAGTTAGTATACTTAGGGTGCTCGTGCTCGGTAATACGAAAAGAGCGGAAGGGGGATTTTCATGAGAAAAAAAAGAACTCACACTATACCAACTTCGTCCTCGTCGAAAATAGCGCTTGTCGAAGGATAAAGATAGATAAATCTATCAGGGTCACTCTCATACGAGAGCGAATACATTTGAGCACTGACTTGCAATGACCTCAAAAAGTAGAAAAAGTGAAATTGTGGATCCGGGGTCGTTATTTTAGCGAGACGGAGGAAATGAACGAGGTTTGCATTCAGTCGTATAGCAGTGTCAGCTGGGAGTGGGGAGGATCCTTCCCACCATGTTGTGGACGGCAGTAAAGCTAGATCGCGTCCCGCACCGGTCCATGCATGATGCAAGATCGTGTTGTGGAGCTCAGCAGATAGCTGGGGATCAAACGCTGAATCCGGCATGACGGGTCGTGGGAGATTTTTGCGAATAGCGCGAAATCGAAAGGGTCACCCAGGACGGAGGGGCGGGCGGTTGGGTGGTACCTATATATTCCTATCGGTGTCATTTTTCATGGTGGGGAAGGCGCCATCGGGGTACAGGAGCGGTTAGCTTGAGGGTGGGATACCCTACCCCCTACATGACTCGTGAAGTGTAGTTTTGCAGTTAGCGCAACCTTAGTGGTTAGTGGAGACGTAAATACCCTCCATCTCCAATAAGTGCTAGATCTCAAAATATTTGGACAGTCTTTGGTTTCCCACGCCCTTTGTCTAATGCACCACTTGGTCACTTACCAGATCTTAGGATCTGATGGTTCACCCCGTATAAGCATGTTCCATTCGCTACCATCAGGATCTATTAAACCAGTGCAGAGGTACGGTTATCTAACCCAATCGGTGTTTTGACGAGATCATCTTGTGTCTGATGAATAGGAATAGGTCAAGCCAGGGATGTTCATTGTTGATGGCGGTAGTCCTGTAGGTGAGACTTGTAGGCATAGCATGATCAAGTGATAGTTCTGGGTTTGGTTGAATGGTCTGGATGTTTCATTATCAAGATCTTGAGACAGACCTATGGCGTTGCTATTGCTTATCAAAGCTCAAAGTCTTTTGAAACGGTCAAGTGTGGTCCGGTGGTCTGCACATGAATTACCACTCTTGTAGCCTGTAAGCTATGTTGTCGAAGATATTCCTACCTTTGAGAGTGTTGAACAGGACGTAAGGAAGGGGAGATTGCCTTCTCGACGGGCATCGGGCGAGGTAGAATCTTGACTTTTTCCAGCAGTGGCTCTACTCAAGCGAGAGAGGCCACAGCATGTTCTTCTCTCTACTGCCTCAATTGCTTCGGACGTTTCCCTTATTGAAGTGTTATTGAGAGGTCTGTTTTAGAATTACTCCAAATTTATATGATTGGTAAGAGCAGAGGAACAATGGAGCTGGCTAAACCGGAGCAATACACACTAAGATCCAGGGGACGACTCACTTTGTGATCACTGATTCAAGCGACTTTGTAACCTTTTCCGTTCGAAACGATCAGTGCTCTCCAAATAACCATCGCATTTTGGGCAGAGCGGTTCTTGCTGGGCCATATGTCTTGATGGAGTCATCTTCTATGGATATGACACGATGAACAATTAGCGGACTCAAATCCTGTCCTGACACAAGCCACTCCAGCGGATGGGATATGGCCAGGGAAGAGTTGAGCGTAGACGAAGACTTGGAAATAAGAACTGGTGGCTACGACTACCGTCGACATTCCGAGAATTCAAGGCGCCCAGAAAGATATATTCGGAAGATTGCAAGATGTGTGGCTGCTCTCAGGGCAAAAGGTTCTTTTACTCCAGTCATGGTAATGTTGTACAAAGGCTTAGAACCCACACACCAACCACACCAAGTTGGAATGGCCACTCATTGGCTCTCCCATAGAATTTAGCATTAACGCACCCGGATGACATGAATCTTTATGCTTCTGTGTAGGATAATAAGTTATAAAAAATCCGGCCGTGATCACGAAATGAGCTTGAATTACTCCGGGGATAAGTTTAAAGTTACATAAGCCAGTATGGCCGAGTGGTTAAGGCGGTGTAAGGTCACCTGACTCCTGAATTCAGCAAACAGCAACTAATAATCAAGCAGGGATTTAAGTCGCAGAAATGCGGGAAACCCCCACTATCGAGAGATTCCTGCGTTCGAACCGCAGTGCTGGCAACATCTTTTTTTTTGGCTTCGCCAAAGGTGTTCGAATGAGCCAAAATTTCGCGTTGGCATATAATTATTTTTAAATTAGCGATGTAAGGTACATTTGCAATAAATTGGACAGGCAGGCAGTGAGTGTCTGTCGCTCGAGAAGAGGCTCGCATAAGCAGCAGCAACGAACGCCCTTAATAAGATGTGTGTAATTTAACTAGCCGACCGCGAGTCGGGTCAAGGGTGAAGCGGGTTCCTTGTGTGTGTCGTTTCCTTTTCTTGGTGTTTATCCTTTCGCGGTGATCAAAATACTAGAAAGGGGCAGTACTTTATGAGGAATGCTCGGATATATATTGTTGGGAGCGTATCATATCTATGTATCCGTCCAGCCATGCAAACCGGAAGGTAAATAAATGCACGGAATTTGACTATCTAAAAGAATCTTAAGGATACACAAATTATGATTAAAAGATTGCAAAATATATACTCTCGAAGTCCTATAAGATTTTTCCACGGCTATTTAAGCAGGCTTGTTCCGCACCACAGACCACCATATAGCATAGAACTATGCGCGATGTAGGATGTTCAGCCAAGGTAAGAAAACAGAATATGTCCAATCTATCACGGCAGCTGATCACTCTCGCAAATAACCATATGATTCCTATAAAAAAGGACGTTTCTACCTAGTGCCTTTGGGCCTATATAAACCTTGGCCGGAGAATATCTGTCATCGTAGGTCAGGGCATGATGAGATTGAAATTGGTGAGTTCTAGTCACCAAAGGCCGTTATGAATATGATTCTGAAACTACCTCTTCACCGCAGGATCCCTCGCACAAGCGTATGCAAACACCCTCTATCCCTGTCCCTATCCAGATCCCTATCCAGATCCCGTGGCCAACACCTCACACCAGCAATCACCTCAGCCGAACTCTATACTCCGCAGTCACGGCGTACACATAATTCCGCAAACCTAGCAATTATGACCACGCTAAAAAGCTTGGTCGATACGATGGAGCACAAAGTTTTATGGCTTCGCCTACGGAGTACAATTGCCCCCGAACTCGAGGGGGGGCCGTTGTTCTGGTTGTTCTGCCTCTCCATCTCAGCCCCATTTTACCTGTGCACAGTACGGAGTAGCTACGATCATAAGTCGGCTGCGACCCATCTGCATGCAGCCGTCCCCACTCCGATCTTCAGGGGTAAGTAATTGTCGTCATACAGAGGCAAGGCGCTCTATTATAGCAGCGATTGACCGTCTTGCAGGGATACACTGTCGAATAATCGTCGGTACTTTCTCCATACTGTAGAAGTGAGGGAGATGGATGATCGGAATTACGCAATCCTCGTCTTCGATCAACCAAGTTGAAGATCCCTTTCAGGAAAGCATAATTTATATTTCAGAGGAGCCTGGTGTGCCGTCTCATTACTGCAAGCTGCCCCGGCCACCGCCTCGGGCGGGAGCGTCTCCCCGTGTCTCCACTGCGTCAATGGCGAAGTTCTTTCTGCCTTTTCTTTCCCTTTTATTTCATTTTTAATATATGTTTATTAATATTTATTAAGTCCGTTAACTTGCCACCGAGCGTGCCGCGGGCGGAGGGCTCGAATTCAGGACTTCAGGGTGGAGGCCCGAGTTGGCGGAACTTGTCTGCCTGTTGTGTTGTTCTCCCGCGTATATTGTACGCCGCTCAAATGCGGATAGAGTAGCGAGTAGTGAATAGGGGCAGCCACTTCCTACCACATATGGAGAAACTTGTGCTAGTGAGGATGAATGGGACAGGGTGTCATTGAGGTGAGACTGTCTGGGGCACGGACGTGGAGGTGGACGGGCGCGGCTCGCATTCTCGCATTCTCGCATTCTCGCATTCTCGGCGTGGACAACACATGTTTACCCGGTTCGGAGGAATAGTCTTCAAACAACATGGCTGTGAATGCTATGGCATTCCAGGCTCAAGGGCATTATGTTGCGTGGTGGGGGAGCCTGACAATAAGTATGGAGTATGACGATGAATCAAGTCTCCTTGGCTCTCTTGACCGACGTATGCCTAGATTGCCGAGAATTCCAATCGACATCATCAAGACACGGATCGCCCTTGGCGCGTAAGACAAGCTTTTCTGTTTGATGTCGACTAGGCGTTTCAATGGGAATGGAAAGTGCATAAATTTAGTTATTGGAAGTTATTGGATGGATTGGGGTGGGCTGTGGACTCATCGAGGCAGGCTGGCAGGCAGATGCGCAGATTATGCGACACAGAAACCATGGTCTTCGGCAGTACTCCGTGCTCTGTACGGATAATTGGTTAGTTGTCAATTATCCAATAGTTTCTTTTTTGGGCGCGAACTATCACTGGCTGGACCGGCATCATATTCCTCTGCTCTGTGGGAACCGAGGACATGGGCCAGCCACTCAGGGTCTCGGAAGGGCGGGGCCCAGCGAGTCGCGCAGACCCTGGTGTCAGGGGACATGTTTGAAAGGACCTGTGAGCGACTTTTCCGTGGACGGTGTGGCTCGAGGCCGAGCTAGCGACTTTAGCGAATAGGACGGGTGGAGGGAGATTGTCTCAGGGGCTCCGTCCAGCCAGGGGTAAGCGGCCGAGCCATTGGCGGGACAAAGCCCCACTACCCCGAAACAAGCAAAGCCCCAGGGCCAGCAGGGCCACAAGGCCCCGCAGGTCTCATGGGCCCCACCAGGGCCCTTCAGGGCCCAATGACCCTGAACCGCCCCAAGATATCGGGGCCTTACCACGCCTTTTGTGCCCGCTGTGTGTACCAATAATGGTCTGCATCTGACAGTGAGCTCCAGTGATATGCGCACCCACCAGCACAGCCCGCCTGATGATGCGTCGCCAGGCTCACAATTAAGCAGATTCCTGGTACTTGGCCGGTGGTGAGTGTTTGTATGGGAAGAGAAGTCCCAGGAGGACCCGGCTTTCTAAGTTATTGTGCCATCTTTGGCCAGCCCCAGGCATAAGCCCCCCTCCCCCCAATCACCTGCTCGCTCCCCCTGGTCCTCCTTTCCTCCCTCCCTTCTTTTTCAACCTCCGTCCGTCTTCTTCCCCCCTCTCTTTTTCTCCCCAATCCACTCGTTTTTGGTTTCGATTCTTGCTACAACACATCAGTCACTCCCTCCCTCCCCCCCACGTCAATTCGTGACACTCGCTTCCAGAGCTATACCGCTCACCATGAAGTACTCCGTCCTCGCCGGCCTGTCCCTCGTGGGCGCGGCCATGGCCACTGTCCCTCCCATTGAGATCAAGGGCAAGAAGTTCTTCTATTCCAACAATGGCACCGAGTTCTACATCCGTGGTGTCGCCTACCAGGCCGACTACTCCAGCCCAACCAGCGGCTCCGGCGGCTCCGGCAACAACTACATCGACCCTCTCGCTGATGTCGAGAGCTGCAAGCGTGATATTCCCTACCTGATGCAGCTCCGCACCAACGTCGTCCGGACCTACGCTGTCAACCCCAACTCCTCCCACGACGAGTGCATGAACGCCCTGGCCGATGCCGGTATCTACGTTATCTCCGATCTGTCCTCCCCCAGCGAGTCCATCCAGTCCGATGACCCCACCTGGGATGCCGACCTGTTCACCCGCTACTCCGAGGTCATTGATGCCTTCGCCAAGTACCCCAACGTCATCGGTTTCTTCGCCGGTAACGAGGTAGCCAACAAGATCAACAACACCAACTCCATGGCTTACGTCAAGGCCGCTGTGCGTGACATGAAGTCGTACATCAAGCAAATGAACTACCGTAGCTCCCTGGCAATTGGCTACGCCACCGACGACGATGCCACCGTCCGTGAGCAGGTCTCGAACTACCTGGTCTGCGACACGGCCGCAGACTCGATCGACTTCTTCGGCTACAACATCTACGAGTGGTGCGGCGTTTCCTCCTACTCCACCTCCGGCTACGAGGATCGCACCAAGGAGTACGCTGACTACCCCGTGCCCGCCTTCTTCTCCGAGTACGGTTGCAACCAGCCCCGTCCCCGTCCCTTCGGTGACGTGCCCGTCCTCTTCGGCCCCGAGATGGAGAATGTGTGGAGCGGTGGTATCGTCTATATGTACTTCGAGACCGAGAACAAGTTCGGCCTGGTTTCCACCAGCGGCAACAGCGTCAAGACCCTGCAGGACTTTGATAACCTGTCCTCGCAGATGCTGAAGGCCACACCCACCGGCGTCAACAGCGCCAGCTACACCGCCACGACCACTGTCGGCCGCAGCTGCCCCTCCGTCGACGCCACCTACTGGTTGGCCGCCAGCGCGCTGCCCCCCTCGCCCAACGCCGACCTGTGTGAGTGCATGTACAATGAGCTTGAGTGTGTGCCCGTTGACAGCATCTCCACCGATAAGATGACCGACACCTTCAACTACTTGGGTGGCGAGAAGGGCGCCATGTCCGGTGTCGCGACCAACTCCACCTCTGGCACGTACGGTGCCTACTCCATGTGCAATGCTAAGCAGCGTCTCGCCTGGGCCATGAACCGCTACTACCAGCTGAACAGCAAGAGCGCCGACGCCTGCGGCTTCTCCGGCGCTGCCACCACCAAGAAGGCCGTCACCGCCAGCTCCTGCTCTGCCCAGACTTCCGCCATGAGCGCCATTGGCTCTGCTGGCGTCAACTCTGTCGACGCTGGCGTTGCCGCCTCCGGCAGCGCCGGTAGCTCGGGCTCCACCTCCACCTCCAAGGGTGTCGGTGCCATGACTTTCGGTCCCCAGGCCGTCCATGTTGGCGCCTGGCAGGCCGGTGCCTACGTGGTTGCTGCGATCGCTTCTGGAGTCTTCATGATCATGCTGTAAACAACATATCCCCCCACCCAAGCACCAAAAACGGGCTCTCTGTCCGTATTTTCTTCCTGTCATAAACTTGTGTGTTACATTTGACGGACCATGTTTTATTTCGTGTGCTATAGTTTCGGCAGTCTTGCACCTTGGCGTTCGCGCTTCTTTGTATTCGAGAACTTCTTTTTGTTCCGAAACACTGTTCATATATAATTTTTTCTTGATGGTCCAATAGCAAGCTGGTGTTCATTTATTAGTTCCTTTCTACTCTGTACAGTGCGTGTAGTCCAGTGGTCATAGATCTTGCTGTCAGTTGGCTTGAAACCCTCGATAGCACTCCCTACCTTTTCTAGACAATCAGGATTCCCAGGAAGTAACTAGTGCAAAGTAATAATGATAGGGCTCCAATAGCTTCGCTGAATACAATTCGATACGTTCCAGAAGAACTTATCCTCCCTTCGAGAACGATCCTATGTGGAGTATACGTGCGCGGCCCGCGTAGATCTCCACTTCACGCGACCCGATCACAATCCTAACGAATATCCCGGGGTAGCTTGTTCTGACATATTCTACTCTGAAAGCTATAATTATAGAGCGTATTAGAACGGCAATTGTCCTTGTTAATTAAATACTATTGGTTTGCTTGACGCGTAGTGTGAATAGTATTGAGCTTTTACGAAGCACAAACACTGACTTGCACTTGTTTGGGCTGTAGTAGTAGTAGTGGGGGCTGGTAGTAGGACTAGTAGTCCCGGGTCTATGTAGCTTGGCTCGAACTTGTAAGTCTAGTTAAGATAAGAGATGTCTGTAGGGAGGGCTGTGACGTAAACCTGGACTCTGAATACCGGATGCACTTTAATAGGCTATAAATACTGCCTTGAAAAGACCAACTGATCTCCACAGCTTCCAATTGACTTTATATCCTCGCGTTGCCCCCGCGGCCTCTCGCCAAGTGAGATCGTGATCCAGTGCCCTTGTTGTGCTCAACAATACTGGTGTAATTGTCCGCGTGTGGAAGCGGCTCAAACAAGGCCAAGTTCCGCGACGAAGGACTCCATTTGGCTGGTGTACCGCATGTCATTGCCAGTCTGTGGCAGGTGGACGATGCGATATGTGTCGAGGTAGGCGTGCAGTTTTATAAAGCTCTTGGAATGCTAGGGACCGGGTTTGATGCGAGCCAGTCAGCGAAGGCACTTCGACGGGCTGTGCTATTGTTGAGAGATGAAGTGTTAGTCCGGGGTTCTGGGAGGCGTACATCCATACAGGACCATGAGGCCCGTGGAGGATTTTGTGATTCTGGTAAATCCTTTTTAAGCTTAAACTTTGGACTTATACTTTACCCGTAGCGCACTCCCACGGAGCCTGGTACGTCGATTAGTTGCGATCCGAGTTCCTGTTGATGCAGTGTTAGGAGACATCATGTATGCCATCAAGTCCTTCCATTCGAAAAGCAACCTACCCCAACTATAGGCCTATATTTCCACCGGAACCCAAAAAAAGCCACAGTGAGACGCCCTTGTAAACAAAGGACTCGTGAGGCCATTTGGCTTAAATCTTCACGTCCCCCTAACCTTGCACGATTTTTCATCTTCCCCATCACAACAGCATCGGATTTCCTGGTCCTTTTGATTCCATCTACCCAAGTCCTTCGAAACCTGTTCCTTCATGTCTATTCCACCATGACGAGTCAGCCCACGCGACCCTCAATACCCCCGACGGCGGCCATCGGCGGAGATGCGCCATCGAGCATCATCGGCCTGGACAAACAAAATAACCCGATCACCTCCTCCTTCGTGACCGACCTCGAAAGACTAATCCTGAAAGCTCCTCCACTACAAGATGTCGATTGGCGCGGCATTCCGAAATTATGCCATAAGAACACTCATCTCCGTGCCGCGTACGTTCAGCGCGCTGGAACACTCGCTCCCCAGGGCGAAGCATGCAGATCTTGTGAGAATAACTGTGGTCCGTTCGCGACGTGTCGGACCCTGGTTGTCGATGGTATAGCTATTTTTGGAGGGGCCTGCGCAAACTGCACCTTCCACGCGGGTGGACATAAGTGCTCGTACCGTGAGGCACTTCCCAACCACGTTCTTTCGCCTCTGAAACTGCAGAATCCCGACCACCCACTCTTGAAGGGTAGGGTTCCTCCCTCGCCCGTTCGAAAGCGCGTGAATAGCTCTTCCCCTGGCAAGGCTGCTACGAAGAGGTCTCACAATTACCAGCCAAGTATTCTCATCGAGGATTCCGACTCTGATATCAAAGAAGTCCCCGCAGCCACTGCCTCTCCCAAGAAGACTCGTGGGAATACTTCCACTCCCAAGAAGATCCCTATGCAGGTTACTGTCCCCAAGAAGGAGATAACTACATCTGTTTGGCCCAAGGAGACCGTGAGGAACATTAGTTTAGCTCCATTCAAGGGCCGATGGCTCATCTCGCCCCTGGACGACCCGCCTGTCAGTGCACTTGATGGAGATTTCACCTTTGCTCGCAGGGCGTCTCGTGAAATTCCGGCCATGATTGCCCGTCTCCAGAGCGACGCTATGATCCTGAAGGATTTCCTCGCCGAACATAACCAGACAGATACACCTGTGGAGTCTGAGGAGGAGGAAGCACCCCGGAATCGGTTTTATAACCGCTGTAAGTAGGCGATTGTCTCGGGCGGAGTTTGGTGGAGTTTGGTAGTTCTGGACCCGATACCAATTTGTTTTCATCTCTCATCTGATCTGGTTAGCGGCCTTTATGGCCTTCCTGTTGACTCTTAAGGTCTTTTGCTTATCTGAAGCCCTAGCACAATGCCCATTCTTGAATGGCTTTTCTAGATTGTCAGTTGATCATAACATATCTTGAATATTTCCTTTTCCAGGTAACTATAGCTCCTGTCCGTAGACTTCTAAGGTTCTATCTTTTGAATTTCCCGCCCTCTAATTCACCAGTTTCTCACCTTCCTCACTCGAAGCAAGACTGGCGAATTGAATCCCACGGATAGCATGGCCCTTCCACATCATCAGCATAACGAAGAAAAAGGAGAACATTGCCAAAAATGCCATCATGCCATACACCCAGCCCACATCGACTGCCTCCACCCACGGATTAATGTAGAAGCTGATCGTTAGCCCGTAGGCGATTCGGTATGCACCAATCACAATGCCCGCCTCCGCAGGATACTTCGTGAAACACTCAACGACATAATTCACTGTGACCGGCACACTCGCCAGCGAACCAATAGTGACGATGAAAACTGCAAACGCGAGGACCATGTAGTGCAGATGATATTGGAGTGCGGCACCGAAGATTCCCAGTCCAATCGGGTTGAGGATTAGACTGGGGAGCCAGAGGACATGGAGCCGGTATTCAGGTTTCCAGACCCCATTGTTCCAGCGTCGCGTGAGAGCGAGTGGAATGCGATCGTTCAATAAATGTCCGTAGAACTGAACAAAGATGATACCGATCCAGTGACAGAAAGTGAATGCCGCGTTTTGCTTGAGGGAAAATCCGTAGCCCCCAGCGGCGACGGGCTTCTGCAGCCAGACAGGAGTGAGCGCGTTGACGCCAACATAGAAGCCGAAGGAGATGAGGGTAAAGATCCCCATGATAACGGTGACGGGGCAAATGCCAATGAGAATTGGGGTGATTGCAATCCTGGCCTGTAAGTTGTGATTGTTAGTTATAGAATTTAGATATAAGAGGGCGTTTTTGACAAACCGTTTGCCTCCAGGTAGTCGGCTGCACGACTCGCTGTCCAAAGAAGAAGGTCGCGACCCGGTTGGCAATAAATCCTTGCGGAACCTTAGGATTCTTCTCCAAATCTGCACGATTGAATCCTGTCTCCTCGAGGCACAAAAAGCAGCAAATAAGAGTAAATCCAAGTAGACCAACAGTCCACCAGAACTCCACCGGGAAAAAAGCGCCTGCAGAGATGAAGCCCGAGCATGTCGGACCGGCGATAGTACCAAACAAGAACGACATATGCAACGCAGTGAAAGCGCGGCCACGCTGATGCAAGAAGAATAAGTCGGTGACGACGCGCGGACCCAGTACGGTCGGTACGGCACCAAAGAATCCAGCGAACAGCCGCGACATGATATACGGAATGTAGTCATTGGGGTGGGTCATCACAGCACCCCATACCTGACACACGAGCGTGCAGAGCACACACCAGAAGATAACTGAGCTCCGGCCCAGAACGTGTGCGATGGGGGCGAAGAAGAAGGGCCCTGCGGCCATGCCGGCCAAGGCGGCGGAGTTCTACACCTCAATTAGTTGTTCAAAGGACCACAATGGCAGAATAATAGAAAATAGAACTCAAGATAAACATACCGCATAAGACTCCTGCAGCTTCGTCTTATGATACAACTTCTCTTGGTCCCCAAGATTCAGCTGCCCTGACAGCGGTGCAATCGAGCCCGAGAACGAAGCCAAGCACAGCACCGACAGAACCACATACTTCCGCCGCAGCGACCAGTTCTGCCAAGACACCCTGTTAGTACGAGCATACCAGCGCCTTCCCGCGCAAGCCAAGCCTCAAGGAAACCATCACATACCAGAGGATCGCGAACGTGCGTACTGGGCTGGGGAATCAACACGAGATGCGCCTCGTGCGCTGCAGTCTGGGACGATTCCACGTCCTGTGCCTCTTTGACGTCGTCCATGGTGAGCCTCGTTATATTCGCTCACAGCCAACGTTATAGCAGTTCTCTTCGCCGAGTCAGGGGATGAGTCGAGGGACCTAAATTATCCCTTCTGTTTTGATCTTCCAACGGGCACAAAACTGGGGTTTCTTGGCGACCGCGCTCTAATTTATTTGCCGAGCGCTCGTTCGGCGCGGTCGCCTCCATTGAGACGCGTCAGCCAAAGCTAGACCGCAGTCAGCCCGCTGATCCTCCGTATATGCAAGTCCCCGCCGTGCAGCTGCTCTGCTGGTGTGCTGCTCGGGAGTCAAGGCTGGGCTGAGCGCCAACCATTGTATTTCCCAGCCCCAGACTCCGCTAGGAAGCTTGTTTGAGGATTATTTCTCCTCTAGGGGCGATTGGCCGCGCAGGGTCTCTGGTGCCGGTCGGGGTATCGTGTAATTTGGTTGAGAATCTGGGCCCTTGTTTGTCCACGGCCTAAAAGCTGGGGTAAACCAACCCCTAAGTTGTAAGAGAGTGTACTTGCAGCCTTGTTCTTGGAGATTATGGCTATTGACTGGGGAAAATTCGTATGCCGCTGAGAGGTGTTCTCGGCTCTTGAGGCCGATCGCACTGTCATTCAGCTCCACCGTGGAAATGAAGGACCCACGCGGGCTCCGGGAATCATGTCGACAGGGGTAGGGAGTGTATAGCTCGTATCGAGAATTGAATCGGTCGGCGACAAAAACATCGGAAAAAGATAAGGACGGATATTGTGACCAATCAATTTTTCGCGAGATTTTAGGCCTTTCTAAAAACGAGAAATGTCACGTTATCGTGGGAAAGGCTTCTTCTCCCCTCGCCTATAATTTCACATTCCTCTTCTCCTAGCTCCTCTGTAGATATGAACAGCGGCCCAACATTCACGACCATTTCATCCCAAAGCCTAGAACATATGCGTATTCTCATTATGGGTGGTCTTCGTGGCCTCGCTGCTGCTGTTCCCTTGTTACGGACGGCCACATGCTCAATTGAGTACTCTCTAATTCAGCCGTTCCTCTCCTCCAAGCTCTCTGTGTCGATGGTCTTCAATAAACGAGCCAGTCCTTCACTCAAAGGCGGTGGACTCGTGATTCGCCCCAATGCCTTCCGCAGTCTACAGTCCCGGGGACTGGGAGACGCTATCGAGCAATTTGCGGACAGACGCCTTCCATTCGAGATACACGACCTAAAGAAAGAAAATCAGAAGACGCGAAAGCGGCCCCAGGCCCTCCGTAAAAAGATGCAAGACATCTATTAGACTGAATTGAGCCATGTGCTTGGTTTGAAGAGGGACAGTTCGTCGTTTGGCGCAAACCTGGAAATCTCGCGTCTAGAAGTGGCTCATTGGGTGTCGGGCCGGAGTATGAAGGTCAGGTAAGGATGTAAGATGAGGTGGATATTCCATACTTGAGAGCTAAATACACAGGACGGCGATATTGAACTCGAAAAATGGTGCTTTGCATTCAGATGCGTCTTATGAAATTCTCGTATTCAGGAAAGAGGGAAGTGCTGGCATGTAACTAGAGCCATCAAAATCTCGCGAGACTGAACTCTGCAAGATGCAAGCTTTGATGGCCAGGGCAGTCTAAAGAAGGGTAGATGTAGAAAGAAAGTTTCACGAAGGGTCGAGCCGGTGAGGCGATCACCTTCGAGCACCAAGGGAGAAACAAATCCAGAGGCTAAAAGCACTAACTTCTGAGTAGCGGCATATTGCATGTCTGGCTATCTATGCAACCTGACAAGTTTGATATCACCGACAATAACGGCAAGCTTGCGATAGCCCGAAGTGGGGTAGGCTCCGCCGGCTTCGGCGACAGGCTCAAGTGGCCGAGGGGCTCCGAATACAAAACTGCCTAATCTTCATGAAAATTGTGATCATCCCGGAGAACAAAAAGCTTAGAGTTCTGATTTCCCAATTTGCATCAGCTATGAGATAATATATGTCTTATTAATTCCTGCCTTTTCTCCCCACTCATCTTCCCATCCGCTCAAAATGGCTACCAGTCCAGATCCCGAGTCTCAAAAACCCGAGCCACAGCTCAATTCCCCGCACAACGCAGACACGGATGAAGAAACAAGCTCCAAGCCACAACCGCCAACCGGATATGACCTTCCACTATGGCGCAAGTGCCTCATTCTATTTGTCGTCAGTTGGATGACTCTGGCAGTCACATTCTCCAGCACTTCACTGCTACCCGCAACTCCTGAGATCGCTGGCGATTTCTCCACGACCACGGAGATTCTGAATGTCATCAACGCGGGTGTTTTGATCGCAATGGGATTTTCCTCATTTCTTTGGGGCCCCTTGACTGACTTATTTGGGCGCCGAAATGCATATAATGCCGCTATTACGGTACTGTGCGCCTGCTCGGCTGGAACCGCGGCGGCAATTAATCTGCATATGTTCATTGCAATGCGTTTACTCTCTGGATTTACCGGAACTTTCTTTATGGTCGCTGGCCAGACGATCATTGCAGACATCTTTAAGCCTGTGGGTTATTTCCTCATCTCATGCTCATTTCATGCCGATATGGGGAGTTGCTGACCACGTTTTTGGTATAGGTCGTGAGAGGGACAGCAACGGGCTTTATGATGGTGGGATCTGTCAGTGGGCCAGCAATTGGTGCGTATATACCATTCAACCATATCTCACCAGCTCACTTGGAGGAACTAACAAAGGATAGGTCCCTGTATTGGTGGTATCATCGTCACTTTCGCCCATTGGCGTATCATCTACTGGCTCCAACTTGGCATGGTTTCGCTTGGACTTGCACTGTCCCTTCTGTTTGTTCCAAGTATACAGAGAACAGGCCAGGCCGTGGCACCAAGGCAGCCCATCAACCTGTCTTTAGTTCTGCATATGTTCAATCCGTTGCGTATCTTCCGTCCATTCATCTACCCGAATGTGTTCCTCAGCGTAAGTACAGGTAAAGTGCTGCTGGTCGAGTTCAAGCTAACTCTAACAGCATCTTACATGCGGTCTGCTTGCCACTTTCCAATATGCAATTCTCACCTCTGCTCGCTCAATATTTAATCCTCGTTTCCATCTCACAACCCCCCTTGTGAGCGGTCTGTTCTATCTTTCTCCCGGAATAGGTTTCCTTATTGGCAGTGTTATGGGTGGCAAGCTGTCAGATCGGGCAGTGAAGCGATGGATCCAGAAGCGAAACGGTGTACGCCTTCCTCAGGATCGGCTGAATAGCGGTCTGGTGACTCTTTTTGTGGTACTTCCGGCTTCAACATTAATCTACTCCTGGACTTTGCAAGAAGGGGTTGGAGGCATGGCGGTACCCATCATCAGTGCTTTTACTGCCGGCATCGGATTGCTGGGCACGTTCAATGGATTGAACACGTATTCAGCTGGTGAGCTATTTCTTTCATTCCCAACACAGCAAGACAGGATTCTGACAATTTCATCAGAGGTCATGCCGCACATTCGCTCGGAGGTGATCAGTGGCAAATATGTGGTCCAATATATCTTTGCTGCTTCGGCAACAGCTGCAGTCGAGCCTTTGATCAATTCTATTGGAGTTGGCTGGACATTTACAATCTGTGAGTTTAAGCTTCAGCTACGATCACGCTGCACTTCTCTAATTCCGGACCCTAGGTGTAGCATTCGCCATCATTGGCGGGTTCTTTGTGCTGGCTATAACTAAATGGGGGATTGACATGCAGCGAGGGGTTGAAGAGAAATTCGGCATCGATGCGAAGCCGTCGTAATCACCTGCATTTGCATTTTGATTTTTCGTTATGGAGTGATAGACATTGCATATAGATATTGATCGATAGATACATAGACAGTGATGCATGATAAAGAGGCTAATGATAATGGAATTTGAACAGATTCGGATCTTTCTGCAGATAATGCTCAACTCACTTGTGACCGCCACTACTTCATCTGCCTTGCTAGCAAAAGTACGGAGTACTGCTGGACTCACCCGCCGACCGCGGGACCTTTGCTGTAGTTCTAGAAGGCTTTTCTGACGTGGCCGGTCCACTATGCAATCGTGCGGAATATGATTGGCTGATAGTGCATGCAACTTCGGTCTAATCGCCGAAGTCTCGGCGTCTACCTCAAGATCGCCGACTTCCCATAGTGAGCAAAGCAACCTACATCCTACAATTTATCATACTGGCCAATCCGAGGGAAACGGACAAGACGGAGAATGGCACGAGCCATGGGGCTGAAACGACGCTCCCTTCTTGCCGATGACGAAGAAAACAGCCCACGACAACAGAGGAGGAAGTTTGTCGCGTGCGCAGTCCAACCTATCTCACCTTGTGCGACAACGCTGACTGACAAACCCTGCAGATGCCAGCGATGCCACTCCCATAAAATCAAATGCTCTGGAGACCAGCCCTGCAGCAAATGCCGTGCTGTGGGCTGCGCTGATGAATGTGCCTACGCCGCTCGGGATCGCCTGATCAAAGTCAGCGAGAAGTAGGGCAGCCCGCCCCTTGCCGAGCCAGCCAACCGGCCGCTAGGGAATGATCCTAAATGATTTGGAAAAAGGCTAACGGAAACTCTCCGCTCTAGCTACCTTGATCAGCTTCTGGCGGAGAATCGGCGCTTGAAGGAGCAATCGGTCACCTCGGGCGATGCGACCGAGGAGAGTGGCCCGCAACATACGGAACGGTATCTCGCTTATACCTCCAAAGAAACCATGAAATATTCTGCTAATGCGGTGGACAGTGCTCCTTCTCGGCTTGTAGAAACTGATGCCCCTGATGCCCCTGATGCGACCAGCATCCAGAATCCGATTATTGGTGACCGAGCATGGTTCCATCGCTACGATCCATCTTCTCCACCCATATATATCGGCGAAGCAGCGTGCTCGGCATTTGCGACCCGCTTTCGTCGTTTCTTGACAGGGAACAATGCACTACCGCACATCACTCGCACCCAATGGGAGCGAGAAGAGGCTATCGCAGCGGCAGCTAATGAGGTGGACCCCCAGTGGCCCAGTTTGCATCATGCTCGGCTGCTGGTGCGAATCGCGATCCACCAAATTGGCTACTTGTACCACCTCATGATGCGCAAGTCCACCCTGGAGAAGCTGGAGGAAATTTACCAAACAGAGAATTTCGAATGTGTATCGAACAAGTGCAAATTCTTTGCCTTATTTGCCTTTGGTGAGGCCTACTCCATTCGCTCTGAGCCTACATCCGGATCGCGCGTCCCCGGGACAGGGTATTTTGCGCGAGCTATGAGCTTGGTCCAAGTCCTACCGGAGAGGACGAGTATCACTCATCTTGAAACCTTATTATTGCTTGTCAGTTGATGAGACCCTTCGATTTGTGGGCCGAAGCTTACATTCACTTCACAGTCATTGTTTTCATATTACCTTAACCGACGACACTCGGCATACGTACTGATTGGAAACGCCATGCGCATGGGCCTCACGATAGGTCTCAATCACAACATCCCCGAATCTCAGCTCATCGATCCCGTGGAACGTCAACACCGCATCCAGATTTGGTGGACGATATACATCTTCGACCGCATGTGGGGATCCAAGATGGGACTTCCCCTGCAGATTCTCGATGAAGATATCCACGTCGACATGCCTACAACGATATCTCCCAGCTGGAGACATGAAGAAGAGCTCTCTGACACAGACCACATGACTGCAAACATTAAGCTGGCCAGAATCGTGGGCGAGACGATAACAAAATTGTATAGCAGGCGCAAGTACCAGGAGACATTTCTGCAACGTGTTCAGAAACTCTTAAAGGCGCTTAAGCACTGGGTTGATACGCTACCGGAAAACCTGCGGCTCAACATGGAGGATCTCGAATCGAGCAAGAAACCTGTCGTCTCATTGCACCTGGCCTTTAACCAGTGTGTGATCCTCACAACGAGGCCCACACTCTTACATCTTCTCATCACGCTCCGTAAAAATAACGGCTCGCGGCCACTGGGGGAGAATATCCGGGAGTCGGTCTCCCAGCCAGTTCTAACACTCAGCGAGGCCTGTATCCATGCTGCACGCCATTCACACTCGATGATCCTGACACGCTGGATCAACGGGACCATGCCGACCTTCGGGTACTTCCACGCCCACTACCTATTCTCCTCCGCACTCATCCTAGCCATGTACAGCTTCGTGCCGATTGGAAATCCCACGGACATGGGCAGTTTCGACTCCGCGCTGGATCTCCTGCGGTCCATGTCCGAGAACGGGAACCTCGCTGCCGCAGAGTTCTACCATAATCTCGAGCAGGTTAGGATATGCCTAGACGCATACCGCGGAACCAATCGGAATCGAAATAGCGATTCAGGACCCGAAATCGGCGTCGGCATGACGAACTCAATCGCTGCACCTACACCAGGTCCAACATCAGGACTAGCGTCGACACTGGCGCCGTCCTCGGCGCCTTTGCCGGGTATTTTACCCAATGCGTCTATCACGCCTGTTCTGCCTACAGATGGTGACTTACTAGCTGGGCCTGATACTTATGCCTTACCAGTGCGGGACACCATCAGCGGGTACACAACAGAGATGGCGTTCTTGGAGCCTACGATGCAGGACTTTTTGGCGCAGTCGGACATTGACCTGGGACTATTGCATCCAGTTGACACGTTCCTCAACGAAGTGGAGAATCTCTATACATGTCATGAGCTGTAGTAGTGGGTTATGGACTTGATTACTGTCGTCGCATGGGAGCTGGGATGGAGTATCTACTGGGATACATCGCCCCAAATTCTACTGTTGATACTTTCATTCAATATCATAATAAATTGGGGTGATAGCTGGAGGCTTGTGCGATACTATTGCACGTGTCTGCCCAGTATTTTGAATGAATACCGGAGAGACTGTTGATGTCAGTCATGAAACCTTGTATGATTGGTTGTTCCGTGGCAGAGCCCAAGTAGCCAACTAGCGAGTGCGCCAGTAGGTTCGGGAATGTTAGCATACTTTCAGCATAAGCAAACAATGTTGTTGATACACGATTGACGCCCACAGCAAAGCAGGACTGAGGCGAGGTATATGCCTCCACATGCTTCATCCACTGATATGGGTGGCATATGCGATATAGGACCCCGTAAAAAGACAGCTCAGGAAAACATGGGGAACCATAATCAACAGAAGCCTTGGGGTAAAATGGGCGCATACACAGCAGCGGGGGAGGCCAGACTTGCTGGCAAAGCCCCGTGAGAAATCTCTAGGCCAACCAAACCTAGACAGCAATCCTGGGACCGGCATGATAGAATGAACAGGTATTCGCGGAGAGCACGGCCAGATCCTAGAGTATGTCGTCGATTTCAAAGCCGAACTTCTCACCGTGCCGTGAGAGGATATCCATGCAGACAAGCCAAGCTCGATGGGAGGACTGGTCCTTGGTGGACATCTCGCGGAGCCATCGGGCAGCCTTCTGGACCTTCGCAACGAGGCGTGCCGCCTCGGGAGTTCCGGGTTGTGTGCGAGCGAAAAGCTCGATGAGGAGGATGGTCATAGATTGCATGATGTAGTGCAGGATGCACCACCAAGGGGAAATCCCGAAGAGCCAGGGCGCGTCTGGCTCACTTGGTAGCATATTCAGCATTGCAGATGCCACTTGCACGCACATGGCTGCCATCGTGCCACATAGAGCCCCAGAAGGACCGCTACCGGGAACTTGATATGCGAGGTGGCGGAGGCAGGGCTGGGAGATAATGAGCTTGGTGGTATAGAAGCGGAAGCCGAGGCTAATACGCTGGCGAACGAAAGGGTCGGTAGAGGGAGCATCTAACTTCGTAAAGTGGAACTCAGCTGGTAGGCGGGAGAGCCAATGGTCAGCTTGCGCGTTCAAGTTGGATATCGCAACCTCCATCTCAATCCATGATCGCCTGGTTGTCCCAGGGGCGTACAGAGTCTGAATAGCATCTCTCATGAGAAACGCCAGGTCCACCCCGTACAAAAAGTGTAGGGAGATGTTCGGTGTAATTGTATCGGTGAGGGAATTGGCTGTTTGCTCAGCTTCCTTCCCTTTCTTCGAGCTGGTGGTCGCCCCGTGCGTGTAATCGGTTGAGGCATCGCTGGATTTCGGGGTGCCGCCGCCACCCGAAATCAACAGGGCAGTCAAAAGGTTATTTCGGATAGACAGGTCACCGATCAGTTGCACAACGCCTTCGGTTTCAAAGTCCTCTTCGATGTAAGGAATCGGAAGGGGTGTTGTGCAGAAAAACGTCTCGGTGCTAGGCGGACGGCCGGTCATCGCACACAGCACTATATCCAACATAAACAAGGCCCACCACACACGGTATCGGGTCTCCTTTGAGACTTGTGCAATGCTCTCTGTTTCGCTACGAAGATTGAGGCCCATGGCTACCGCAGATCGAATCGCAATTCCAATAATTCGCCAGGCCCTAGTAAAGGGGGAAGAATCTATGTTAGACGCAATGACCCAGAGATTCAGGAGATCGAGAACAGGGACACTGGAATGACACACCGATTGATTTGACCAGTGGAAAGGAGATAGAAAGCAGAAAGGCCTTCCACTTGGACTTGCTGTAAGTTCGGGTGTTCCAGAAGCGCGACATTGCCTCTGCCCAGCTGCCACGCTCTTGCAAAATACATCAAATGGTCATTATCGTCTCCCTCTGCTCCATTACCAACGAGCTTGGAGTACCTTGTCGCGATAGCAAACACCAAATTCAGTACAGCTATCCATCGCTTCCCAGGTCGCACGTTCGGATTCGTGTAGAAGGATCGATACTGACCTAAGAAGATCCCCTTCCCTATAATAGGGAATGCAGGATGAACCGATTGGAAGTAGACGTTCACGAGTGTATCGGCAATGTGTTGGGGAGGTCGTTTCGAAATATCGACACTGTCAAGGTTCAAGATCTCGGTGTCGTCTTCGAAGTAGTTCAAGGATGAGATGGAAACAGACTCTCGATCGGGGGCCTCACTAGCGGGTATAGTGCTGTTATAGTCGAGGTCGCGCTTGAGTTTGTACAACCATGCCATCTCCGAGTGCTCGCCCACAAACCCCATCGCCTGGACTTTTTCATCGCGGTTGAAGTCCTCGGTGGTGTGATCTATTGCTGCCAATGGATAGCTCGAAGTTCCGACTTCAGAAAAAGACACCGAAGGGCTCTGCAGCCAACCATGATTAGATATTCTGCTGATGGTATTTTGATGGGATCGGGGGGAGTGTAGGAAAAAGGGAGATAGGGTATGGGAAGGCCGTGGAATCTCACTTTCACTAGTTGCCCACGTTGGCCGCGGAGAGTCTGTTCAACATGCTGAGCCAACGATGGGTCGAGTCTCGGGTACAGATCTCGCAGCAAGGTTTCGTAGGTATTAACCTGCGTGGTAAACTCTTCTAGCTGCCTAAAGTTCTTGGTTAGAAGAGCCCACTACAAATTCTTCAATACGCAACCCACGCACTTAACCATCTTCTCGCGTTTCCGGTCGCTGTAGGAACATGAAACTCCAGCATCTTGACAGCGCTGGCAGGAAGGGCGATGCCCGCTACATTTGGCTTTTTGATCGCGGCAATTCTCACACGCACGACCAACGCGGCTGCTGCTGGTCCAGGTAACGGGACGCGTAGTTCGGGGTATGGGAACTTTAGGATTCGAGGATCGTTCGCTTGGAATTGGATGGGGTGACGAAGGGTCTCCACGCCCAGAAACCAGTTCAACATGGGGCGAGAATCCAAACGAAGCCAGCTGGGCGTGTGTCGGGATCGCACACTCATGCTTGATGGCTGACTCATTCTCCGGGGATTCCGAGAGATATTCAGGATACAGCGGCTGAAGGGGGATTTTACCACTCATCGTGCGCGTGTCTTGTTGCTCGCTGACGGGTTGCGTGAGAAAGTAGAAAGCGCCGAAGCGCCCATGGAGACTAGCGGGTCAGAAAGCTAGCCCTGGAGAGGGGGCTCTGTCCGATGTATCAGCCTCGGCAGATTTTTTTTCCCACACTGGGAACGGAGTGAATTTGTACGCAGCAAAATGACACGCAAAGGTATGGCCCGGCGAGATCCATTCCTAAAATGGTGGGGAGGGGCCGTCATCAGTGGAGCGTTGTGGTATGCTGGAAGCCAGTGCCGTGCGTTTTGCCACTGACTCTCGGGCCGCTAGAGCTCAACAATAATCTTCAACGGCCTCACTTGGCGCTTCCTTGCGCTGGCAAGCGCGAGCAGTCAGGAAAATTGTCGCAAAGTCCAGGGCATACTTGTATCAAGTGGTTTCTCTTGTGTGGCACATCTGCAATTCCGACACGCACGAAGATCATAGAATCCGGATGGTTTTAATCGCCTATACGGCATCACCGCGGGGAACCACGTATTAGTGTCTGGGTAGTATCCATCATATCCAGACAAGGGCTTCGGCCCCAGTGGCTCGTGGACTCAAGCTCTCTCGGTGGTCCCTTCTCTGTGACAAAAGGAACGAAGAAGAAGAAAAGGTGACGGTGAGACGAGACAATACAAAGCTTGATCCATTCCATAGGAGTGCCAGAAGCTTGTTATTTGGGCCAGATGATGACTTGCTTGTTCGGCTTTTGCGGACTAGCATCTTCTGATGTGAGCTATGGCTCGGCATCCGAAAAGGGTGTCGCTTGCACGGTGATTACCCGTCCGGCACGCGCATTGCGACGATGGTGAGAAGGCCCGTCTGATTCACGACCTCGTCGCGAACGAGAAAGAGTCGAGCCGTCCGGGACTAGAGTAGCTGGAGAACTCTCTTGAGGATCTATCGGACGATGTGTCTCACTTCAATAGGCAGACGGAGATCTGGAGAAATATTTTCTGAAATGCAGGCGTTGTGATCCTCTGGGTTCAAAGAACAACACGATGTCAGTGTGGATGATGAAACAGTTGACAAAGCCCATTAACCCATCTGACGATAAGTCGCACAATACTCCACCTTGAAGGATGTTTCCACTCGAGAGTTCCTTCCAACGTGAATGACGGCTTGTTGCGCGCGGTGCGGCTGACCCAAGGGCGACTTCGAGCGAGTCGGACGGTCGAATGCTTCAGTGAGTCAATTGGCATTTCTATCAATCACAAGCAAGGCTAACTCACCGACACCTTGGATCATAGGGATGATTCACTTGAGCCAACACCCCGAAATAAAGCACGTTTCGGATCAAGACGTTCGACCTGTCTGGCGACAAGCAACAGCACGGCCCTGATCACCCAAAATGCGGCATCGACCTACATCCAGCACAGTCCGAAGGCACATGTGCAAATCATCCACGATCTTGGGAATACAAATAAACCTTTGAGGATGAATTGGGAGAAAGATGGTTGCTGTGGCGATGCTGTCCATGGCGATAGCGCAGCACTGGCAGCGGGGCCAGTTCTGGTTTCATTGGCCTCCCAAGAATATCTCGGAGGTTGAGCTTCACTCATCAGCCTAGAGTTATTTCCTCGCTTGGCGAAGACTGTTCGAGCGTGCCAACATCATCACACCTTGGTGGTCATGAGACGCAACGAGTTCTATTCCTGCATATTAGATCGGAGCATTGTAGGTTCGATCTCGATATGTAGACATGGAAAAGGCCACCTCATGGTAGTAATGGTGGCCCTCTGATGCTGGGAGCCCAAGGAAACTTTGAAATAAGGACGTGGCACTGGTGATAAACCAAGAATTTCGGCGACTGTCCTCGGGAAGCGCGGCACTGGCGACCACCCTTCCACGTCGATTCAATGAAACTTCAAAGTCGCCCTCAGATACACACGCACCTCACGCCTCACGCCTCACTCTTGGTCCACAGTTGTGCATTGGCAAACACTATTCCTGGGCGGGTGTCGTGACGATCATATTGCGGAGCTTTAGAGTAACGCTGAGTCCTTTCCTTGGAAACCAGAACCCAGCATTGGGAATTTGATGCTGCTATGGGAGTTTTTGATACAATTTGATAAGCAGACTCATGGGTAGTTCAGTCTCTTAAATCTGAAATGACATCGAATCAAAGTTGAGATCGATGCGGCGTGACCTGGTGACATCATTCTTGGATGGTACATCCCGGGATGGCAATAAATCGTCTACGCCAGCTTTGAGCGGGACAGTGGACATACAACTTGAAAACTTTTGACAGAATCCCTGGAGGTGGTTTGTTCCGGCCAGGCTCTTTGCCCACAGCATGGCTTCGGTCGCGTGGTTGCTATGACGTTTTTCTGTTTCCCTAAAGCCCCGCAGCTTGGTCTAAGTTGGAAGGGGATGGTCGTTGATGCGTAAGAAAAAGTTGGGGTCCTTGTAGGAGCCGCTATATGGGCCATATTTGAGTTCCAGGGCTTTTTGTATTAGCTTAGGTTCTATGTTGAGATAGATAAATTAAAAGGTAACTTACTTGTACCAACATCCTCGTGTAGAAGCAAATATTCCACCTGCGTGATATCCTGGTTGAAGAGCCAGTCGCGAATCTGGTGTGAGAACCAACCTAGCTATAAATATGGACCCGAGTCGGCATCACTTTACCTCGTAACACTCGGCTCTTAGAAAGATAGCTCTTTCTGAGTGATATCACATCCCAGCCGCGCATTTACAATGTGCTTTAGCTTTCGAATTTGACGGCCCCAAAAGCTGCGTATATCAACAGCTATGCCAATAAGCTACTTCCAGCTCTCGATTCACTCTACGCTAGGGTAAGCGATATTCTCGTTAGCGGCTGAAGGGGCCCTGAATCTATTAGAGTGCTTCTGGCCCAACGCGACTCATGTAGCTGCGACATTGCTTGCGGCCTGCTGTTCGCATGTTAACATGACCGATAAAAACTACTACTACTATTATTATTATAAGAAAAAAGTTCTTGACGCTCATTGACTTGATTCTACAAGACGAAAGAGGTTTTCTATGGCCTGCGAGATAAATCTCTTGCATTCGGCCCTCAAACAAGTTTGGAATATGCTGTCGGCTCTTGCTCGTCACCCAAGTACTAGTGGCATCATAGGGGCCTGCCTCGTCAACACCAGCTTGGTTCGACCAAGCATAGCACCGATTAAAGCAAATTCGCGATTTTTGGTAGTATTTAGTATTCAGCAGGCGAATAAGATAGCCACGCTGCGCCATCCCTCGTAAAATGGCCGAGGATACTAACAACATACGTGTTCACCAAGTATTCTTCCCACACCGGTAGCCAAAAGGCCCCTGTTGAAGGCCCTATGGAGCTCTTGTAAGGCAGATTGGTTTTGGACACCTGGACGTCTGGGTTAGGCCAGTTGTACACTCCGTTTTGAATTTATTTGTGCAGTGGTATGCCGGAGACGGAGAAATGGGCGGACGGAGATTACCACAAGATAATGTCTTCTTATTTCTTTCAGGTGTATTTCTCCTGACATGGATCAATATCTCATTCTTCGGTCCTTTTCGTTAGCCTGATCGGGAGACTAGAGGAGGTTTGGTTGAGACGCCTGGCATCGAGTCTAATGAATAAATGTACTGTGTCTTCCAAATAATGTTGTGTCGCTAATGCGCTACACAATTGACCAGCTTTGAGAACTAGAGGAATGCACGAGGCACAGAACTTTCGTAACATTGTTGATCAACTGCGCTACACTACTGGCTGGCTCTAGTAAGAAAGGCTTCAATGACTTGCCCCATTGCCATGTAAAACGCCTGAGGCACCAAATGAAAACGTGACTGCACGTGACACGTCCTATCTTATCGGTGCTGATCCGCATGATGCGGTCCATGCCTACCGAAACAATCCCCGGCGAAGCTGCCAATTTCCCCTCTGGCGATGCAGTGAAGCTGAAAGATGTCTTTGCGCGGGCCCATGAGGCGGTCCCATCTGCGGCAGGTGAGCGCCGCAAGTTTGGAGACCCTTTCCACGGCCCACTCAATTGAAGCATCGCATCGCGACCACGGCCCCACGCCGGACGAACGCATTGTCCGAGTGTTCCCCAGCTTGACCCGGAGACAATGCACCTTGTGGGTTCACGATGAGATGTTCTCACGGGAGGAAATTTTACTCAACCCCTCGGCATTCGGTGAAAGTGGAGTCCAAGTCGGCGATGTGGTTGAGATTCTGCCTGTTCGAGCGTCTGGGGACCCCGTCCATTCCGCCTTGAAGCCAGATGCAGCTGTGAAGACAGCCCGTGACGGCCATAGTGATCTGAATCCACCATCCCAGACTGACCGCACTTCCAAATTCAAAACCCCGCTGCAAAGCCGATGTTTATTCGTGGTCAAGCCTCTCCCGCAAGACATCAAGTCTCGGCATCCAAAAATGGAAATCTCAGTGACCAACAGCGTGGCCAATATCTTTGGGTTCAAGAACCGGACCCAGGTACTCTTGGCAATAGTGAATCGGGAGCAATGCGCCGCGTCTCACGTGGATATCGCGTTTCGCGATCAGTACATGGTTCGCTCTGATATGTGGCGATTGGTCATGTCGGAGCTTGTAGACAAGATCATCTACAAGGGACAAAAGATCATGTTCATGGGCAGTATCAAAGCCACTATCAAGAACATCTTCATTCGAGAGAAGAAGGTCCTTTCCGGCTACTTCTCGCCTAATACCATTCCGGTCTTCCGCAGCGAATCAGCCAAATATGTCTTGTTTATTCAGATGTCGCGAGAGATGTGGGACTTTGATTCCGAAGGATCTGGGGATATTTTGTTCAGCCGAGTTATCAACGGCTTCTTACCGGAGCTTTTCAAGCGATGGGTCAACTCTGACGCGAAGCATTTGGTCACCATCGTCCTGTTTACCCGCGTGGAATACGATGCATCTACCCACCCAAACCTGTCCAGACTCAATACTGGAAACTTGAAGAATACCTCTGGTCCGAATCGTGTTCCGACTCGTGATTTCTACCGTGTTGTTGTGAACGATATGGCAAGTGGCCACTGGACCACTATTCTCGATGAGCTGAAAAAGAACTTCCGAACATTCCTGAGAGATGTCTCTATCCTGAAAACAGAAGATCTGGATGCTGCAGCAGGGAGCGGTATCAAGATCCCTGCCAAGCCTCATACCGCGACTATTGCCGGGCGTCCTAGTACAGCTCTACGAGGCAACATTCTAGAAGCCATTCATCTTGCCTCCGCTCACTTAGCGTATGACCATATTGACCGAGATATGGTGCACACAGGCACTTCAATCATTGTCATCACACCTGGTAGCGGTGTGTTCGAGGTGTCTTACGAGTCTCTTGCCTCTACTACAGAAGCCCTTGCGAATCGTGGCATAGCTATTGATCTCGTCTGTTTGAGCCCCATGCCTCTTCACTCAGTGCCTTTGTTCAAATATCGAGAGCCGGCTGAACAGCATTATAGCTCATTCTCCAAGACAAGTGAAAACCCCAAAACCAATATGTCACCCGAGATACCTCATTCCATATCGAGCCTGGTCAGCAGATCATCCTATCTGTCCCCTGGGTCATATCTTTCTGCCACTCGCATGCGAGAGCGAGGCAACCTTAAGCCAAAGGATTGGAGCTACGGAATCCCCCATTGGCTTGATATTTCCTATTGGAATCCCGAAACGTACCGAGAAGCTCGTCGAATTCTGAAAAACGACCCCAATGCGCCCATTCCGTTCACTGTCACCCGGCCATCCAAAGCTTTCACCCCGCGGGTGCGTATGTACGAGATCCAAATGATGGGAGTCATGGAAAGTGAGCAATCAAACATCTCTATTCCGTACCTGCTTGAGGGACATGATCTGGGAAGGTCTCGTGGCACCTGGCTTGGAAATGTTGCCCCTATTCGCTCCGCTCCAAGGACACGTTTTGCGAATTCCTCGTCTCTTAAAGTGCAATACAGTGACAGTCTAAGGCCCGAGCCATCATCGTTCCTTGAAAATGTTGCCGACCAAAGTGAAAAACAGGCTAAGGTCTTGCAGAAATCACGCAAGTCCGTGATGGGTTGGATGGATCAGTACGATGAAAATGTCTTCTCAGCGGCTCCTAAACGGCGCCAAGCCCCAAAGCCCAAAAGCAAGCGCCTAAGCGAACCCGAGGTCCAGGTTTCGGGCGTGCATGAACGAATATCTGCGCGATCTATATCTCATCTTCGCGAACATGAGACGAACGCAAGCGAGAACAATCAGATTTCGTGGGCTAGTGGTCCCCGGAGACTTGATGCATCCTCTATTACCACTCCAAAAGGCTCTATCTCTTCAAAGAGCCCATCACCAAATAAGCCAGTATTGAAGGCTGTGGCAGCTCCACGGGCCTCGAGGATCTCTCGAACAATCAGCTTTGCGCTCCGTGGTCTGAGTGCCACTGCCCCGAGAGCCCAAGCAAGTACAGGCATCCATGTAGAGCATGCCAGTGCGGGACCCATGTCCAACCAAAGAGGCCCTCGCAGCACGTTCTCGTCAGACACCAGAAGTATTGCGTCCTTGAGTCCTTCGGAAACTACGTCGATCCGAACCATTGCTGACGTGTCATCACGACCATCTACACCTCCAAAGCTTCGTCCGGAGCCCCGGCCAGCTCCTTCCAAGCCGATATCCATAAAACCGCCAGTAAAAAAGCCTTCAGAAGCTGCGGAGCAGCCAGAACGTGGAGCGCCGCAGAGTTCATTATCGACATCGGCGGCCGACACCCAATTCAATGAAGAGGGCCGTGACGAAGGCCCAAGGCGACTCCAAGACCATAAAGTTGGGATCACTGTCAATCACAGTTCTCGAGATGGGTCGGTTCGGTGCTCGCCAAGCAAAGCCCTCTCCCCTTGGGTTCGATCTGTGAATCCTTGCAATACACCCAAGGACGTTCTGCGCAACACTAGCTGGTTTGGCCGCTGGCAGCATGCATACCCTCGTCCTCCACATGTGGCTGTGGTCAAGTGGAAAAGTTTGAAGTCACCGGCAGTGCTGCCGTTGACCACCGAAGAGTTCCCCACAGCCACTGAACTTGCTTCTGAATATTTACAAACACCGTATCGTGTCTTTCCAAACGATGACTCGGATGGATTCGAATGTCCCAAGTCCCGCGGCATACTCCTGCGAGAGATGATCTCGCTTCGACTGTCCCACGGCTTCCAGATCGTTGTCGGCAAGAATGTGGCTGACGTGTCGGCACAACCTGCTCTCGAGTCTTTAAATGTCTTCGACACGCGGGGTCTCGAACGAGACGGTGTCATTGTTTTCCTCTCCAAGGGGAATGCTATTCATCGTCTCATCTGCGTACACGGTGGTGAAATAGAAGTGACGCGCTTTACACACCAAACAGCTGCGGTGCTTGCGTCTTCCAAACAAGCGAGCTTCACCCTGTATCAGCCAGCCATGAGAACCATTCTGAATCCAGAATATGAATTAAAGGACATTAAGCTGGACACAACCGCCGAGGAGTATAACTGGAACTATGCCGACAATTACTTGGCAGGTCATCGGGACTACCTCCATAATCCGGCACAGCAACTCCATTTCTGGCGGGTTCGCTATGTGTTGATCCCCATGCAATTGCACACTAATTCGCGGCGTCATTTGCAATCCTTCAACGAGGATAACGAAGAGGAAATCCACCTGCTCGGAATTAGCCAGCTCACCCATATCTGGCAGCGACACAAATATGTATCCCCTGAGGAGAAGCGATTTGAAACATCGACCAAGAAGAGGGACGCTAATCCACTCAATATCATGTACCAGACGCGGAACCCATCAGAAGTTGTCGCTGCAGAGCTTGATCGGCTCTTGCTCATTGACCCGGGACTCGACAATCCGCCAGCTCAGCTTCTCCCCGAGTCAGAACTGCTTGAGAGATCCAGCATCAACTTGTCCACTTTTGCCCAGGTGATCCAGGCTGAAAAGGGTGTGCGAATGATGGATCGACGATGGCATTGGCGGCTGCATTACAACTGTTTCATTGGCTTCGAGTTCACGACTTGGTTGCTACAAAATTTTCGTGATATTGACACCCGCGAAGAGGCGGTTGGGTTTGGCAACGAATTAATGAAGCACGGCCTGTTTCAGCACGTGGAGAAGAGACACAATTTCCGTGATGGCAACTATTTCTACCAGATTTCAGCTGAATATCGTGTCACCCGCCCGGAATCTCGAGGTGGCTGGTTCCCTCAGCTTCGACCTGACAAATCGATGCCGTCCACACCTGCTATCGGAAATGTGAAAGACTCTCCATCTAGTGTTCATACCCGCTCCGACAGCACAGACGAGTGTGTGCCGCCAACACCGAACACCCCATCCAAGAGCAAGAATAAGGTCGCTATCATGCTGTCGAAATCACTCAAATATGACGTGGATAATCGCAAACGATCGAATCGTCCTGAAGTTGTCGATCTCCATTATGACCGGCTGCATAACCCCGAGAACTGTTTCCATATCGAGCTCAGCTGGATGAACACAACACCCAAGCTGATTGAAGACACGGTTCATTCGTGGGCCTCGACTGCAGAAAAGTTTGGTCTGAAGTTGGTTCAAGTGCCCATTGCCGAAGCCTGCGCGATTGACCGGACCCAGCCATTCCGCAAACCTTACAAGGTTAAGCTGAAAGTCCCGCCTCCCAAGGGGCCCGTTCACACTGTCTTCAACAATGCATCGTTCGCGCAACCAGGCCCACCGGACAAACTCTACTACCAAAAAGCACTCCTGCGAAAGTTCGACTTCGTACTGGACTGGGAAGCGTGCACGGCGTTCCCGGCGGATGTAGAGGTCTCCTTCTCCTGGGGCAAGCCGGACTACAAGTACCCGCAGTTCATCCACCGGGCAGGTAGCCTTCTCGTCCAGATCACCGAGGAGGGTGACTTCTTGTTCCTTGCGAATCGACTGGTCAGCACGCGCAGTTTGTCGAGCCGAGATGCAGGCCGGTACGAGCATTACAGTCGCCCAGAATACCGGGGCCGCACTGGCACGCATGATCCACTGGACCGCATGTCGCCGCGCCTGTCGCCGCTCACCCGGCCTATTCATGATACTGGCAGCCCACTCCCCCCGGCTGGATCCAAGGACATCGACTCTGCGAATCTGTACCGAGCACCCGAAGTCATCCTCCACGGCTTCGTTGATTTCTGCAATGACACCGCGCAGCTCGAACAATTCTACAGCGAGTCGCATGTCCGCCCGGTATCAACCAAGGTCGAGCCCACCACTGCGCACCTCATGGACACGTCCATCCCGTCCCTGGAGCTCCCGGCCAGCGTGGTTAGCCACCACATCTCCCCTCCACCCGGCTTGCCGTCCCGTGTGACGATGGAGTCCCGCGACTCTCGCGACGGGCTGAAGTCGCCGGAGGTTGCACGGACCCGAGCTCGGGGAGAAAGTGTTAGCTACAAGGGTAGCCCACGCAGTGGGAGTCTGCGTCCCCTGATGTGAACGGCTTTGGGTGGCGTTTCGGGAAACCCCCCTCTCGAAAGCTTGAGAATACCCTGGGACATATGCTGTCCCAGTGTAGCTCTGTAGCTCTGTAGCTCTCATGTATTGTGATAAATAATGTTAATGGAGATGTTACGCTATTACCACAGCTCCGCAACTTTCTCGTACGCATAATTATAGGGCATGGATAACACACTTTACTCTTGCCTGTCCTCCCCGCTTAAACAACCCCCAAACCTTCCCCTCCGACCATCGGGGCCCACACCAAGCGCAAGCCACACGCGATTTAGCCAAATCCCTGTCAATTCAGCCGGAACTGCTCCTCCCACGCTGGTTGGTGGACTGACCCCAGCGCAGCTGTTCCCAAGCTGCAACTGTCCGAGAAATTGTGGATTGCCCCGCCTCGACCATCCGGACAGCGCAGCGGAGTCGTCGAGCTACACGCCATCTGGCTGTCGGACGGGACCCCGTGTCGAATGGAGGTATTTGAGATGGCGGAGCCTGGTTGAAAACCGGGCTGCGGCCTTCTCTTTTCCTTCTGCTATTCTGCTTTCATCTTTCTTGTTCAGCTACTTGACCCCTTTGAGGTGAGTGATTACTTTGGAGTTGCTTGTGCGGGGATCCTTCCGGTCAACAGTCAGAGTCCTTCCTGCGCCATCGCAACGGCCGCTGGGACAAGATGAAGTTCACGGAGGGAATGTGGTGCCTCCGAGTATGTGCAATTATCTGATTCGCGATTGTTGAGGACATGGCAAACCGCTAATTACTGTGGAGTTGTAGGAAGGTGTCCGCATCGAGTGGATGAGCAATGTCGAGCGATTGCGCACCGAGCAAGAGACAGTTCACCTCCTGCTGAATAAGTTCCAAAAGCACCGTGGAGACACACTGAACTCGCGTATGTGACTTCTCTGCCAGGACGAAGATCCAACATGGAGCTAACCAGCTTGTAGCCACCGTCTCAGCGCAGGTCACTTCGCCGCAGGAAGGAATTATCGGCGTGAAGCTCGTCCATTGGTAAGACTAGGTCAGACATCATAACGTAGAAGCCAAACTGACGACAGACAGGGCTGGAAAAGCTGACAATGGTCCACACTACCACCTAAACACCACCTCCGGCCATGCAAGCATCAACCACGACAAGGACACCAACAAGCTCAATTACACGAGCGGCCCGCTCGCCCTGGATGTCAACACGGCGGCTAATGAACTAGACTTCGTCTTCCGCGCCCCAAGCGGCAAGAAGCTCACCGGCCACTCTTGGCGCTCAATCGGCTACGTCGCAGACCAGCGTACCGAAAAGCACCGCTACGAAGATGGGATCTACGCCGAGAAGCAGGGTTACATGCTCGCAGAGCTCGATCTAGGCGTAGGGGAGAAAGTCTACGGCCTGGGTGAGCGCTTCGGACCTTTCGTCAAGAACGGCCAGACCGTCGATATGTGGAACGAGGATGGCGGCACCAGCTCTGAACTGGCATATAAGAACATCCCGTTCTACATGTCCTCGAAGGGATATGGCGTGTTTGTCAATCATCCCGGAAAGATCAGTCTAGAGGTGCAATCCGAGAGGACGACGAGAGTGAATATCTCGGTGCCCGGCGAGGAGATCGAGTATTTCATTGTGTACGGCGACTCGCCCAAGGATGTTCTGCGGAGATATACGACTCTCACGGGACGGCCGGCTCTGGTCCCATCTTGGAGCTACAATCTCTGGCTAACGACTAGCTTCACGACCAACTATGACGAGCAGACAGTGACCGGGTTCCTGGATGGATTCCGGGACCGCGATATCCCGCTGGGCGTCTTCCATTTCGACTGCTTCTGGATGAAATCCTACCAGTGGTGCGATTTCCAATTTGATGAGGAGATGTTCCCCGATGCAGACGGGTATCTCAAGCGGCTGAAGGATCGCGGGCTAAAAATTAGTGTCTGGATCAACCCGTACGTCGGACAAGCATCGCCACTGTTTGAAGAGGGCAAGAAGAGCGGGTATTTCATCAAGGTCAGCAATAAGACCCCACCATCTAGTCTAATTGATATCTGAATTTTGTCTCATAGCGCACCGACGGCTCCGTCTGGCAATGGGACTTTTGGCAAGCGGGCATGGCCGTCGTCGACTTCACCAACCCGGCCGCCTGCTCCTGGTACAGCAGTCACCTAGAGCGGCTGATGGAGATGGGCGTGGACAGCTTCAAGACCGATTTCGCCGAGCGCATCCCAGTCAAAGGCATCAAGTACCACGATGGCGCAGACCCAGAGCGCATGCACAACTACTACGCCCTCCTATACAACCGCATTGTCTACCAGACGCTCAGCAACCGCGTCGGCCCCAACCAAGGCCTGCTCTTCGCGCGCAGCACCGCACCAGGCGGGCAAGCGTACCCAGTGCACTGGGGCGGCGACTGCGAAAGCACGTTCGAAGCGATGGCCGAGTCTCTCCGCGGCGGGCTGAGCCTCATGCTCTGCGGGTACATCTTCTGGGCGTCGGACATCGGCGGGTTCGAAGGGACGCCGCCGCCGGCACTGTACAAGCGGTGGGTGCAGTTTGGCCTGCTATCGTCTCACTCACGGCTGCATGGGTCCTCGTCGTTTCGCGTGCCCTGGATCTACGGTGAAGACTGCTCGGCTGTGTTGCGCGACTGCGTGAAGCGCAAGATCCTGCTCACGCCATATATCCTGCAAGAGGCGCTGCGTGGGCACCGCAACGGCACGCCGCTGATGAGAGCACTTTTCCTCGAGTTCCCTGAGGACTTGAATACGTATGCGATTGATACGCAGTATATGTTCGGGTCAAATCTGCTAGTTGCGCCTGTGTTCTCTGAAGACGGCGAGGTAACGTTCTATGTGCCGGGGACTAAGGGTGATGGAAAGTGGGTGTCGTGGTTTGATCATTCGAAGTCGTATGAGGGTGGGCAGTGGTATACAGAAACTCATGGGTTTGACACAATGCCCATCCTGATTCGTCCTGACTCGGTAACAGTGACGAATCCTACACTCAAGGCACCGGAGGATGATGCGCTGGCTGGGATTCAGTTCTTGGTCAATGGCACTTTACCCGCCGAGACTATTGTGGAAATCGTGAACCCGGGCCGGACGGACGAGGTTTTGAAGACGCTTCGGTTGGCTCCAGCTTCGGGTGGGAGGACTGTCGAGGTTGAAGGCCATGAGGTGGAGGTGATTCATATCGACCAGTAATTAGTGCTACGCGTCTGAACTGCAAGTTGTGCATAGATGTTCCCATTTTACGAAAGCAGATTGCGATAAAAAAAATTCTAATAAAAAGGTAACTGTCTGAAAGTGAGCTGTAGCCTGAGGTTCGACAGAAAAATTGGGTATCATAGTCAAGCAAGCAAGAAATCTGCAAAGGGAGAGAAAAGTGACGTTAGAAGGTGCAGAAAAAACCAGAAGAAAGTGCTAACGGCGGACCAGTGCTCAAATGGAAAGAGCGTAGAGTCATGCAACAACATCGGAGGGTTCAGCCTCAGATCACCATGCCTCTTCCACGTCGAGGAGCCATTTCCGAATGCCTTCGCGAAGGGTGTTATCAGCACCGGCTAAGGCCCGTCGCCGCTCTCGGTCAGCGATGCCGAGCTCACTGTCCACGTCTTCGCGGCAGTGCTCGGCAGTGACCGTGCGAACCACCTCTTCAAGAGCCCCAAGTACCATTTTGCGGCATTCGGCACGCGGGACTTCAATTGGGGGGGCGTCTTCTCCACGAGGGGTCGTTTGGCCGTTGTCTTCGCCTCGGCGAGCCCGCGACGGGGACGGGGCCCGCGAGTGTGCGAGGGAGGAATAACCGCTTTGACCGAGAACTCGCTCAACGGCATCAACCAGAATGCCGTCAAGGTCCATGACTGGCTCTTCCGTGAATCGCTCTTCAACGTAGTTCGGATCCTGGGGTTCGACAAAAGGTTCCTCTGTGGACTTGGTTTGGCCCGTAAAGAAGGTGGTGAGTGGAGAAGCGGAGCTGGCGCCTCCGCCAGAATTACCAGAATTGCCGGTGTGAAGAGCACTGGCTGGTGAAGGAGGCGAGTGACTCTGTGGATAGCTTTCCCCGATGATTATCTTGCGTCTCAACCGAAGACGCTTGACAGATGAGTTTCTGGTGTCGGCGATCAAGGTGGTCGCCACATCCACCCATCTCTCTGAGCCCTCGACATCAGGAGTCGAGGGAATGTATGGAGTGGGCTCCGCGCGCATGGCACGTTTGATATCTGCCTCGAGGGTAGCGTATGGGCGCACTGCTTGCAGAGAAAAATCTTCATGGAAAAGCTTAAGCCAACCAGCAACATGGGTGCTGGGGCCGTCAGCGTCCTTCATAGCGCCGTGGAATCCAGAGCCACTGCTATGCGTAGACGCCATAGCATCCACGCTTGTTACTGATGTTCGAGTTTTCCTGGGAGATGCAATAGTCGAATCCCCAGACGAGGAAAGGGATAAGAAACCAGGAAGTGGAAGATCAACATCGACCACACCTTCTTCCGCACGAACAGATAATTTCAGGGGAGATTCACGGACTTGGCTCGTAAGCGAGGATGGCTCAGGGGATTCATCCTCGGAGCTATGAGCTGCAGCCGGAATGGAAATATTACCGCTCGGAGCAGTCTCAGGGCGATATCCCGCTTCGGACTCTGTGACCTCTTTCACCATCTGGCTCAAGGTAGGTGGAGCACGAGGGGGTGGCCCCGAAATTGTAGCCACAGACAACTTGCGAGCTTCGGACGGGGAATAATAATCAGTTCCATCAGTGGACGACTCTCGCGAGCTCCACAGTCCAGAGAACAGGCCACCCCACCGTCCCCCAACAGAGGGAAGGCTGCCATTTGTGCCTAGCGTTGAGCTGTCACTCCTTTGCAGACTTTTCAGCAAGTTCTCTGATGCCAGGCTCTCATTGGTATCCGCTGCACTGGGCTCGGATCCTCCCTGGCTGGAACGGGCTTGCTTTGACGTAAAATGCGGCACGGGAACTGTGCTGCTTTGGGTAGTCATCGAGGTAGTTGCCCCACTGGTATTCTGAGCCCGAATGTCCTTGGGCTGGATGGTTGCACTCAGTGTTTTGATCGAACGGGCATCTGAGCCTCTGCGTGCTGACGCCGTAGACTGCGCTGGGGCAATCTGCTCTACCACATCAGATGGACGCTGGGCTGTGTCCTGGGACGAAACGCTCACGGAGCGTCTGTGGTGATCCGTATCACCCGACATCAATCTTTGAGCACGGGCACGTCGCTCGATCGCTCTGCGAAGTGACTCTTGACGAAGCACCGGCACAGCTGGTGGACTCTGGGAAATAGCACGCATTGATGCCGATGTACCAGGTCGCATTGGTGAGGGCAGCGGTTCCAGGCGCTGCTTGGATGGGACGAATGCAGAAAGCAAGAAAATGAGACGACGAGCAGTCATCTTGTCAGGACAGACAATAACAGTCCGATGAGTCAAAATAGGGTCGGTATCCTGTTGTGCCTTTTGCTGCTGATTATGCCGGCGACGGTACCACTCTGGCCCAAGGGCATTGAGCCATTCTGTGTGGTTACCCAGGAACGCAGTCAGTAGTACGAGGAAGAAGAAGTTTGACTCCTTATCACCAAGACCGCGGACGATGGAGCGCCCTTCCTCTCGCCACACACCCCATCGACTTTGACCGGTCAGTACATAGGGGGTCTGGAGGGCCAAGCTGATTCGGCGGGTGCTGCGAAAGGCCTCCTCTTTGAGCTTGGAGTTCACGGACAGTATATTTGCCGGCAGGTGAACTATAGTTTGGTTGGTCCGTTGCATATTTGGCGGCTTGGCAGGCTTCGGGTGTGGCCCAGATAGAGAATCCACTTTCTTCAGTAGAAAAAGGATCTCGTTCCTAGCAAGCCTTTCCATGTGCGATAGGGTGCGGGTGATGACATCCCAGTGGTCAACCAATAGGTCTAGGCGCTCATCCAGGCTCGCCGGGGGAGATGCTGCTGACAAGCTATCATCAAGAAAGCTACTAGGCCAGCGATAATCCGAATCCAATGAGCTAGACAAGCCGGGGCGAGGAGAATCAGAGCCAAGAGTGCTGAATCGAGAAACGGGTCGTCCAGAGTTTCGCGCCAACAAAGGAATTTGAATCGTAATAGCAACCGCATACATGGGCGTTTTCTTCTCTTTAATCTTCTTTCGCTTCGAGACGTCCGGAAAGGGGAATCCCATCTCCGGCAGAGACTCTTGGTAGATGGAATTGGCATAGTCATTCCGTTCAGCAGATGCCTCAGCTCCTTCCGGGAGGTTGACACTGAACATGCGAGTCACCAGAACGGTCACCTTGGCAGGTGCCTTGCCGTCCGGTCCTCGTGCAGCACCTATCATCCCCGAAGAGCTGCCTGTGGTATATGCACGTGCCAATGGACTCCGGGCAGCTGGGGACAAACTTGCAACCATGCCTGGATCCTCATCCGCGGATATGATGTGCATTTTTGTTGAAGATCCACGATAGCTGAATGCGCTGCTGCCGAAAATGCAGTTGAGCAGACCGGTGTCATTGGAATCGGCCCCATGCCGAGAGTGGCCAGGCTCATTCCATGATCCTGCCGGTGCCAGTGTAGAGCTGCGGCCTCGAGCCCGGGAGAAAGCGCCGGGGCTTGCGGGAGATGACCGTCGCACATCGGCGGTTGCGGAGAGCGGGCTCGATTCGACGACAGAGGATTGGGCAAGGAAATTTCGACGGGGACCGCGAGTGAGACTAGATACAGCTCGTGAATGTCTGGCACCAGACTGGTCCAGACCCTGAGCATCGATACCAAGGCCAGTGGGGGTCTGGTCAGCGGAAGCACGTGTGTCCAGCAGAACGCACGCATCACGGTCTCCCAGAGCATTCTGAGCCACAATTACCCGAAAGTCCTTGATGGCATCCAGTTCCATTCCTCCACGATCGTCGTATGCCCCGGCTGTGGAAGCATTCGGAGAATGAAAGGTTGTCTGTAATGGGTACGTATGGGTATTGGAACGGCGGAGGAGGCTGGCATCGGGAAAGAGAAGGCCAGAGGTGTGTTCCTCCTCGGTCACCGATTCGAGTGGACTTCCATTGTTTCGTGAAGAATATGCCGCCGGGTTCAGGCTCGAAGCAGCCGTGCTAAGCAGTCGGCCCAACATTATGAGACCACGGGGGCAAGGCCGCTGTTAGAGATGTACTCGGAAGTGCAAGGAAGACGAAAACGATCCGGGCGGGGAATGCAGTGTAACTATGGGTGTCAGACAGCTAGATCGATCTAGACTGCCTCAACCCATTGCTTAATTCCACCGGACAGGGACCATCATCAATGGGTAGAAAGGGGAATCTCAAGCGTGATCGGGTTCGATAGAGGGGAGAGTCGAAGACGAAAGTGGGATGGGCTGCAGCAGTGGGGCGTCTGGGGAGGCAGCAATGGGGAATTTGGCAGGCTAGGACCCCACAAACAAACACAATCGATATCAGACAAAAGAAAACACCTCTCAGACACACGTCTTGAGCAGTTCTTGAAGAGGGAGTGGGGAGTGGTGGGATCGACGGAATAGAAAGGGTGGAGAGTTGAAAGGGCGGTGAAGAGCGGACAACGGGTATGCCACATGATCTCAGCTTCAAGGTGACACCGCGTCGCTGGTTTGTCACGCCGGTTGACTCGGTGAAGCCTTCTGGTCCTTCTGCCCTTTCTGATCGGGGGTTGATCTGCTATCAGGATAAACCTCCTGTGAGAGGTGGTGTCGGTGTCAGTCTCATTTTAGATAGGTGACATATGATACGAGAATTGATGTGGATTTCTCATGCCGCTAGAACTAAACTAAACTAAACAACAGGAGCTTTTCATGCTTTGGACTGTCGTTTGACTTTATCTGCCAGTCGCTTCAGATCCTCAACTCCGGACCCCGTAGAAGCATTCTTCTGCTTCTTCGAACGATCCCGGCTCTCTGTAGGTGCCTCGGGCTCACCGTCATCTCGGGTGCGCCGGCGCTTTCGACCCTCGTCCAGCAAGGCCTTCATGCCGGATGTCGCCTTGAACCGGGGATTGGTCGGGTCAATGGCAAACTCGTGGCTCTCGTACAGGCGGGAGAACCGGGGATCGCGGACATCGACATTGAACTCGTCCGGAACGGCAGCCTCCTTGTTCTTGTCCTTACCCTTACCCTTACCCTTCTTCCGTCGGGCTTGCTTCTCTGCCTTCTCAATCTCATTCATATCAAAGTGTTGGATCTCCGCCTTCTCATCATCCACCATCAACAGCTCAAGCTCAGCCCGTTGAGCAGCCGAGGCAGCTTCCTCCGCAGCGCGTTCTTCACGCTTCTTGCGCTTCTCCTCCTTGCGGCGGGCCGCGGAGGTGGCCTTACCGGTCGGGTCATCAAAGAATGGGTCATTGAAGCCCAAGTCTTCTTCCACCTCCTCGACCGGAGCAGGTTCGTTGTCCTCATCGGACGCATGTTCTCCCTCCTTGGTTGCAAGTGGTTCCTCGCCCCGTTTCTCAGCTTGACGTTTTTCCTTTCGTCGCTTCTTGCGCTCACGCTCTTTTCGCACATACCGCTCGACGGCGGTCTCTTCAATTTGCGGCTCGTTCTCAAAGATGCTATCTTTGCCATGGCCGCCAGCGAGACCAGATGTGAAAGTAACCTCCATCTCACCGACAGGGCGGTCCGGTTTGGAAGAGGAAGCGGGCTCAGAACTCAGTCCCAGCAAAGCACGCATGCGTTGTCTCTCGGCTTCTTTCTTGGAAAGCTTGGTGCTTGTGCCTTCGTTTGCAGTGTTATCGACGATTTCGACACCCCCATCTTCGTCATCCTCACTATCGGAGTTATCGCTGCCTAGGTAGGCTTTTAGGTCGTTTTCGTCAATTTCTTTTCGCGAACCGCGGAAGGCTCGAGCTTGAGCCTCTTTGCGTGACTTGTCGTCCGCATCCCAGGTCAACTTGACCTTGCTGTGCTGCAGGGCGTCTGTCACAAATTCGTTTGGCTTGTAACCATCAGGAATCCGGGAGCACTCATCGCGAGGCTTATCATCGGAGAAATCGGTATCATCAGGAACGAAACGAAGGTCGAAAAAGTTGGCGCTGGAGAGGTATTCTGCTCCATCAACGAGGTCGTAGACGTGCTTAGCAGAGTCCTTGGACGAAAATGTAAGGATAGCGTAGAAGTAGCGCAGCCGCTCCAGCTGGTACTGCCGCAATTTTGTAGAGTTGAACTCCTCGCCATCGTCGGCCTTGAGCAAAGACTTTTTGATCTCCTCCTCTTCTTCGTCAGAGTCGAGCTCCTCACCTTCGCTCTCAGCATCATCCTTAGTGGAAGCGAAGATCTCTCTCGGGGGACCCTCGATCTCCTCTTTTTCCATGCGCTCCTTGCCAAATTCACTAGGATAAACTGCGACATTCTGGACACGACTTCCCGCAGGCAGGAAACTGGAGAATACAGCCATCAAGTCCGTGGCGCGAATGTTATCCCAGTCCAAGTTGACGACTGCTATGCGGTTTGTGACCTCTCCGAGTGGCACATTGGACTGCTGCTTATCGGGGAATTCGATCTCATCATCCTCATTCCCGGCTTCATCCTCGTCTTCTTCGTCGCTGGAACTCTCCTCTTCGGATGATGAGTCGGTGAAACCGCCATCTCGTGCAGGATCGTATGCGCGGGCTTCCACACGCTTGAGCTCCTTTTGTACTTCTTCGTCGTCATCGGCGCTCAGGACTTCCACTTCTTTGTCGTGCTCGTCCTCGTCCTCGTCCTCATCCTCATCCAGACGGTAGAACTTCTTCAGCTGCTTCTTGGTATCATCTTTTGCCAACTTGCGTCCATATCGGTCGACGGCAGCATTGCGGGAGAAGTCCTTGTCATCAAGCATGCGCGTGAAGCGCTGGTCGAGTTTGACATGGGTCTGGCGCTTGCTCGGGAGGCGATAACGGGGATCACTCTGAATATTAGCGAAACGAGGATCGGCTACATTTTCCATACAGTCAGTAATTGCTCTCCTTCTGCGAATACCCCGTTTCATCGGATTGGCACATACTGATCACAGAGCCAGCTTCGCGTTTAGCTGAGCCAGCCTTCTTCGACTTCTTCTTCTCCTGGCCTGCCATTGTAAAATCGGCTTATAGGCGGTGATACAGAAAGGAATCACGTAACCCAAAAAGATTTGGAGATTGAATCTTGAGAAAACAATCGTCCAACCGAAGAAACGAACCTGACCATTGCGGATCTGGGTCAATTTTCTTTTTTCTGCCCGCCTTTCACTGGGCGGTGTGTAGACACGTGAGGATTGTCCCAAAAAGGAAAAAACCAGCTACCGGGACTTTGGGATCCTGTTTGACTGGCCAGACACTTGCAGTATTCGTGGTATTCCGTTCATTCTATCCTTTATCTTCTAACTTTGGTGGGGGATTTGGTAATCCTAACTGGCTGATTGCTGGACTGGAACGCGAGGATCAGGATCTGCTGGGGTCTTCTTTTTGCTGGCGTGACTGACCCACTGCGGTCAGCCTCGTTTCATGCATGACCTTGCCTCGACAAAAAGAAATTCTTGAAAATATCACATCTCATGATTTATGTATTTCGTTGACTATAGCTACCTCGTGTATGCATGTATGTACTTGGAAAAATGAATATGAGACAACAGGCGGCCATACAGGCAGCCATACAGGCAGCCATACAGGCGCTAACATCCAAAGTAGCGTTTCTCCATCCACCGTGGCTCCCCGTCTGCCTCGATCCGACCGACAACAACGTTGATCTTGGGGTAGACGGCAACCAGGCGCTTAATTCCAAGCTCGCCAGCGGCACATGTCACGAAAACGATCTTCTCTTCTTGCACACCGTGGTCAATCAAAACACGCACGGCCATCAGAGCAGCTCCTCCACTTGACATCTGTGGATCCAAGAGCATGACCATGGAATGCTCCTCGAGCTGGGGAGGAAGCTTCAAATAGTGTAGTTCTGGCTCGGAGCTGCTTTCGTCGGTCTGGATCAGGACACGGCCGGTAATGCAATCGGGAATGGTTCGCTTCAAAGCCGTCTCCAGGCAAGACCCTCCACGCAAAATGGCAACTGCTGAGACATCGCCCTTAGGGTTCAGCCCCATGTACTTGTTTCCTTGTGGCGTCTCCACTGTGGTCTGGACATATGCCGTCATGTCAAGGGCCCTGGGAGTTCGAAGAGATCAGTAAAGCAGGAAATGTGTTATGGGGGGGGGGGGTATGTAGGCGAACTTTTCGATAAGGATCGAGGCAAGTCGGTCAAAGTAAAAGACAAAGTCAACATGCTCCATCTCTGGATCTTGCAGAATGGTGTTCATCCCTACAAACTGCGGTGTTGGGGGCATGACATGCACATTGGCCGGTAGCTCAACCTTGGCAGCAATAAGCCCAAGATTCCGGAGCGCTTCAGTATGCAGCTCCGATTTGTCCTGGAGCTTGCGCTGAATATGCTTAACGACCATATCTGAAGCACGTTAGCACCATGGAATCAAGAGGCTGCCGAGAGAGTAGCCTACCAATAGCGGTCGTATTCTCAATACCACGAGGAATGATGATATCTGAGGTACAAATTAGGTCAGGTGTAACAGGAAAGTATCATAGATTAGGACCTACCAGAGATGGGCCGTTGAGGTTCCACAAATCTGGTGTAAGATGGTTTCACAAAGGCAAACCATTGCTTGATAATGCCTTCGATATCTCGGCCTCGTTCACGGACGTCTCGAAGGACTATCATGCAACTAGTGGTCAGTGACAATCGATTGGTCTAAGTGAGGGGGATAAACACCAACCTCTGCGCCCGAGACAGACGTCCATGTCGGCTTCTACGAAGATCTAAGCGGGATATCAGTTGGCAGGCCAAGCCTCTGGGCCGTCTAACTACTATACCTTGACATCAAGTAAATTCACAATTCTAGGATCGTGGAGGGCCAGAATTCCCTCTAGAATCAACACTCGGGGTGAATACAAGGTGGTCGTTTGGGGTTGCCGCTGGTGCTCGGCAAACGAGTAGATCGGAATTTGGGCTTTCTTCCTTCAAACGCATCCCCCGTTAGGCACAGTCAAACACGAGTAAAATCAGCGGTGGATGGGCTACCCTTTTTTCAGGTCCTGGAGAGTCTCGACCAGCAGATCGAAGTCAATTGATTCCGGGCAGTCGAAGTCATACTCGTTGGCATGGGCCTTGCGGTGCTCCTCTGGAGTCAAGGTCTTGTAGAACGAGTCCTGTTCGGCGGGATGTTAGAAGCTCGCCGGTCAGCGGACCCGATAGCAGCTTTGCGTACCATGACGAGAATCACCACCCAAGGAAGGTTCAGCGACCTGACAATCTCCATGGCTACCGAGGTCTTCCCGGAGCCGGAGCTCCCAGCAATACCGATGATGCTCAGGTCCTGCCATGGCGGGGAGTACTTGACCTCCGGGGTAAGCGAGTAAAACGGCGATATTGACTCCATGATAATCAGCGAGTCTCACACCATCGCACCCAGACGGAAAAAGGTACTTGGATACTTGGACTTGGACGGTACCACCGTCTTATCTCGCGACTTTGCTGGTCTCGTCTCAGTTGCGATTGATTGGGCTTAGCGCGTGACCCGTTCGCTTGTGGCTGACATAATCGCCTAAGTCATTTTCTTTTCCTTAACTTCGGCTCTTCCTCTTTTTCTTCCACTCCTCTCCAGGGCTTTTCTCCCACCAGCGTTCTGCCTTCTTCCATGGCTGTCGTCTCTCGGGACGCCCTTCAGCTTGCCACATAGCTGATTATTTGCAAACCTGCCACATAGTGGCGGTGTCCACCACACAATGTCTTCCGCTAATCTTGTATGATGCTCGGCGTGTTGACACCCGTGGTTGCCGCTTTTTTTTTAACACTCCACAGATGTCTCGCACTCCCTCGACTGCTACGCCGACATGGCATCAGTTCGAGCGGAAGATTGACGAGGTCAAGCCATCCAAGACGTGAGTTGCACTCCGCTCCCCTCCCCTTCCCGCCCAATCTCCTCGGCTTGCCGTGACACAATGATGTATTTGAAACTTCAAGTTGGGAATCTCTCTGAAAAATCTTGAGGAGAAACAAATTGACTTGTCTATCTGACCTTTTGTCACACTTCTTTGCCTACTGCTCTTATGACTTGGTTATCTGTCACAGCTGCTAATGCCAAGCCTCAGTGACATCAACTACTTGGTCATGGACTACCTCATCACAAATGGCTACCCTGCTGCTGCGAGCAAATTTGCGGTCGAGGCCAACATCCAACTTCGGACGGACTTGGAATCGATTCAGGAACGGGTTGAGATTCGGACCTCTATTCACTCGGGGAATATCCAGACGGCCATTGAGAAGATCAATGAGCTGAATCCTCAGGTAAGAGACTATCAAGACGTTCCCTTGACTACATCCCCACCTTTTTCCCCTGTTGTTATGATTATACGAAGTTTCATGCACCACTCCTATAACACCCTTCGGGGAGTTGCGGATAATCAAACATCTTCAGTCCTCAGTATGAACAGCAACCAAAGCTTTCAATATGCCTCGCACATCACACTTTTGTCTAGTGCATCGGCTAACCATATTGAACAGATTCTCGATGAAAACCCTGCACTGCATTTCGCACTCCTGCGTTTGCAGCTGGTAGAACTAATCCGCACCTGCACCTCGACTCCAGACGGTGATATTAGTCCCGCTCTGGAGTTCGCGACGACGCAGCTAGCTCCCCGGGCACCGACCAACCCACAGTTTCTCGAGGACCTGGAGCGAACCCTAGCTCTACTGATCTTCCCCAGCGACAATTTATCCCCATCCCTCGCTACCCTCCTAGACCCTAGCCTCCGTAAAGACATTGCGCAGCGAGTCAATGAGGCCATCTTGCAGAGCCAGGGCGCTCGTAAAGAAGCGCGCCTGCGCAATCTCGTCAAGCTCCGCGCTTTCGCCGAAAACAAGGCCCGCGATGCTAAGAAGGATATTCCGGATAAACTGGACATTGGCCTTGTCGGTGACGGCCACGACAGCAACCCGCCCAGTAACATGAGTAACGAGACGGCCAATAACGGGACCAGCCACAACGGCAGCGGCGACACCATGATGGTCAATAATGGCGATGTCGATACCATGGTTGCGTGATTTCTGCATGCTACTGTTGGATTCCTGCCACCCTCTTTTCCGGCGACGCAGCTTCCTACTGTCTCCAATTTTTTTGTCATTGTATGGTTATTCAGCGAGGCGCTTGGGGGCGTGTTGATGTTTTTCATGGGTACTGGTGACGATCTCAGGTCAGGTAATACAATAATACATGCTCGCAGACAAGTGTCTGTGTTATGGATATGCCTTCTGGTTCGAAGAATAGGTTTAATACGTAGTTCTTCAAGTAAACAGCACCTATTTACTAAGCTATATTGGAACAGATAGGGAAGTTCTGAAGTCTTTGAAAATAATCGTCCTGTCGGGTGTGAATATATATAATGAGTACGCATCGAAGTCACAATGTTCTCGATCCTAGGTGTGTACACAAGTTTGGAAATAATCGTATGCAACTATACGCTGGACTCGGTAGAAAAAACGAGAGAACCAAACAGGAAGACATAAGAGAAATTTACATGTCCATTTCGGTCCATACAATATCAAAGACAGCCAATGAGATCCAGTATGTATTCCCACACGAAAAAATTGAGATAGAAAGCTAGCTCATGCGCTAGGCTGGCTAAATGAAACAAACAAAAATCTATGGATCTCTTATGCCGAACCAGCGAAGCATCAGGAGAGACGGCCTTGCGCCCTCACCTGAAGGATCAAGAAAGATTGGGCCAAAAAAATAATCAAAGAACCACTGCAAAGTCTTTAAAAGCTCATAAGATCTAGAAAACAAGGTTAATACGAAGACTGCTGTTGCAATTAAAGGAAAAGAGAAACATACCTCTTCCAAAGAGAGCACGCTTGGCCCAATCCATCGCCAGCATACAACGCGTGCGGAAGCTGACACTCTGCGCGAAGTAAATGCTGCGCCAAAGATACATGGCAATAACGCCGCCGCTGAAGCTCAAGCCACCGAAGTCGAAGATAGCAGCGTTGCTAATGTACGCCAGGCTGCCAAGGTGCTTGTACCTGAACGCCTTGTACACAGCCTCGTCCAGGTCACCGTAGTCGATCTCATTAGCCTTGAGACCAGGCAGGGCGGCAGCAATCTTGGTCAGCTTGTGGCCTAGATACATGCCTTGCTGATTAGCGCGCTGAGCAGTGGCAGGCAAGGAGGTGAGCTTGGTGTCGATTTGGTGGAGGAGTTCGGAGAGTTCGCCGTAGTCGAGGGTGCCGGAGTGGTCGAAGTCGTACTGCTCGAAGAGACGGTCCAGCCGGCGGAGATGGTTCGAGGCTTGCGGGAAACGCTTCTTCACGCGGTTGGCGACGTCACGCCACTCGGTGAAGGTCAGCTGCACTTTCTCGGGGTCACGGCCCTTCTCCCAGGCGATGGTGCGCAGGAACCTGATGATGTTATCGGCGAGGTTGTTCTGAACGGTGGAGCAGTCACCGATGGCGTAGACGTCACCCAGAGGAGCACCAATCAGGCGAAGATGGGAGTCGGTTTCCAGGGCGTGCTTGTTGCTTTGTCCTTCTAGTTTGTTGGAGAGTGTCTCGCAGATCTCGGCACGAGCTGGGAGAAAAGTTAGATGAGACGCTGTGACGAATGTCAGGATAGGCAAACCTACAGACGCCAGTCGACCATAGACAGAATCCGGTAGGGATTTCCTTGACAACCGTTTTACCATCTTCGACCTGACTGAAAAGTACGCGGTCTTTCTGGACCTCCTTTACTCGGGCATTGGTCAATACTTCAACGCCGTCGCGAGAAAAGCGGCCCTATTCTATATTAGAACTCAAACTTGGGCGTAATAAGTAAATGGATAACACACCTCGGCATACTTGGAAAGTGCTTCATCATAAGTGTTGAGGATATGACTTCGGCTCTGGATGATGTGAACCGAGATCTCGTTGCGGACGATACGAGGGAAGGAATGGAGCAGGTCCTCATTGAGCAGATCGAATAATTCAGCAGCAAATTCGACACCAGTCGGGCCACCGCCGCAGACAACGAAAGACAACAGACGCCGGCGCTCCTCGTCAGTGGTAGTAGGCAGACAGGCCTGTTCCATGTTGTCTAGCACCTTGTTCTTGATCCGGCGAGCGTCGTCAATTGTCTTCAGGAAGTTGCAGTTCTCGAGGCCCTTGACACCGTGTGGGTTTGTGACGCAACCTAAACAGATGCCGTGTTAGTTCACTGGCCTCTTCGCCATAAGAACCGGCGCAAGGCCTTTCAGGACGTCACACATACCAACTCCAATAACAAGCTTATCATACGGAAGGTAGAAATTTTGCTGGTTTCCATCCTGGTCAATTTGCGAAACCTCAACCAATTTGTAGGAGAAGTCGACATCCGTCGCAGAAGCCTTCAAGAAATGACCGTGGACACGGTCGATGATGCGCCGCACTGGTTCAACCAGTGATCGAAGACCAAGAGTGCCTACTGTGGCGGAGGGCAACATGGGAGTGAACAGAAAGTAGTTAGTGGGGGAAACAACAGTAACGTGATAGTCACCCGGGTTCAGGTTCTTTAGCAGCGCAATGCTACCCCAGCCAGTACCCAGGATCACCAAACGAGGCTTGTCCTTTTGCTCGATCATATATTCCGAATCGTAGTCACCCACGAGAATATCCGCAATGGGAAGGTTCTTGGGACCACCGCGACGCGGATTGAGCGCTAATTCGGAGACAGGGATGTCCATCGCGCTGGGGGTCTCGCGGTATGTGCTAGCATCGTAGACGAAGAAGGCGATGACAACGGCGCTGGTACCAATAACAAAGAAACCACAGTAGGTGAACGTCTTGTAAAGAGCTACTAGGATCCTCGACCGCGGCTTGAGAGCAGCTCTGGCAGCTGTGTTGTCGGATAGGAACCGGATTTGGGTTGAGACATTGGGGGCGGGACCGTAAGCACGCCGGGGCAGGGGATGGCAAAAGGAGGTGTTCAGGGAGCGTGAGATAGGAAACCTAGCAGCCAAACGAGCCTTTGACGCCTGAGATCTAGTGACCAAAGAACCAATTGATCTCAGGGCGTGGCCATCCGTACGACTCTGGAGCACCGCCGGGCGCATCGTGAGGAGAGCAGCTTCAGGAGAGCTCAAGGGAGTGAAGATAAGCTGTTACCAGACATAAACCAGGCAGGTCAAAGCCTGTCAGTAATAGGCGGAAAGAACGACCTCAACTGACTTGATCGTAACGAGAGGAGGTGTCTAAAGGGACTAAAACGAGGAAATGCGCTTGAAACATCAAGCTTGCTCAGCTCGTGCAAACGTCATAGCGGTCACGTGGGAGTGGACCGGCACGCCTTGCGGGTGGGGTCAGGTTGTATACTGGGACTTGGCAGTAAATAACTATAATAGATACAGATACGGAGTACAATGCATCGTTATCAGAACTTTTGTGTGGTTAGAAGTGAATTTTTATTATATACTCATGAACAATGGCAATACCGAGCCCTGGGAAGAACGGCCCTGCAGCTCTGAAGCAGCAAATGAATCCTCCGCTCGCGCCGACGCATGCATAAAAAAGCAAAATAAGCTATGTATCACCCGCCGCCGATCTTGCTATAGGTAAGAAAAGCCGTTTCCCATAAATACCCACGAGTGCTGAAAAGAAAATAATGGTTAAACGCCCATCTCGCCTGGTATGCAAATAAAAAGACAACCTCCGAAAGGAGGTAAGAGGTTCGGATCGCATGTAATTCGGCGATTCACTCAGTCATAACCGTCGTCAGGCTCAGTACTGGACGGTTTTTTGCCAGCGGAGCCTTTGCGGCCCTTCGGTCGCTTGTTGAGACCGGTGCTGGAGACAGAGCTCTTGCGCTTCATCGGTCGAGACCCACCCAGGCCACCCATGTCATCAATATCTCCAACCGCATCTAGGCTGTCGCCCTCCACATCATTCTCTCGGTCCACCTTGAACTCTTCATCGATAGCAAGCAAAGTCGAGAACTCGCGACACTTGCTCAGCATGGCTTCATCACTGTTCAGGGACGCCATGTTTCTGACGATTGATTCCCAGAATTTATCACCGGTCACACCGTGAATCTTGGTAGCTGTCTTGTTGAGCTCTTTGGCACCCTGTTTGCCATTGCCATCCTTGTCTTTGGTGTGCGAGTTGAGCCCATAGAGTCGGCGCAGATGAGTTCGGGCTTCCCAGAGCATGGACAGCGATGCGGCCGCGGTGGCTAACAGCCGCAGAGTAGCAGGGTTGACTGGCTGCGGAACACTTGCAGGCACCGGCACATCGGGAGTAAGGCTCATCATCCCCGTGGGTGTCTCGACGACAGGTGGCCCGATTGGGCTCGGGAAGAGATCGGTTTCGATGGCGTGCGCAACAACAGTGCCGGTCGACGAGACAATACGATCAAGACACCCAATCGTGGGAAGCAGCTCAGCTAATTGGCCGTAGTCAAAATACGCCAGATTCTGTGATATGAAGCGGGCCATCAAGAGATGCTCTGGGGGGTCACCAGTGGCATCAAGCTTTTTCAATTCGAAGTTTGCCTTGGAGCAGAGGTTCGATAGGAACTTTTTCTGGTAGCGACTGTTGCTTATCTTGACGATTTCGAATAAAGGAGAGAGCTTCGCAACGTAAGGCCGATAGGTTGCGCCATTGGAATCGCCGACCACATCGCGCTGGTAGTAGAATGCCTCCTGGATAGCTCGCATGTACTCCCGCTCGAACATGGACTCGAATTGCTGGTGGATCATCCTATGCGTATCGAAAGCTACCTTGGCAATCGCTGGGACTGTTGACGTCTCCAGCGAAACAAGAACTCCAGCGCATTCTTTGGGATGCACCAATCCTTGTCGATTGATGCTTGCGATGAGTTCAATGGCAGTAAGAGCGTAAGCATCTTGTCGCGACTGTGCGACCTTCAGCATGTTTTTGAGGAAGTGTTGGGCTATCAATGCAGCAGCACCGTCATTATCGCTTGCTCTTAGTGAGCCTCCGAGCCGGGTGGAATCCTCCTGAGCAGCAGCCTCAGCAGTGGGCACCACTCCCTTCTCAGTTTTGCCCTCGTGGATGAAGAAGAAATCAGCGAAAGAGCGAAGCACAATATGTTGCAAGCCGGGAGCATCTTCCTTGAACACCTGGGAAAAGGTCCTGCGCGTAGGCTCGCGACCAAATTGGGCCGGCCAGGATTGGCAGATAGAACCCACACCCTCAAGGGCCATTACTCGTAGCTCATTGGGCTGGTTGAAATGGGTAAATGGAAGTATACAGTCTACCATCAAGCCAGCCACGGAGCCCCCGGACCCACCGCTCCAGGTCGGAAACGAGTTCTTGAAATGCGAGATGTACTTCTCTAGATCGCAGTGACGTCCAACGCAGCCAGCTATTCTGATGTAGCTTTTCGCGCGGGCCAAGATCGTGGCACTCTCAGGGGAGGACATGTCAACGCTTTTGTATTGCTGCAGTGGTTTAAGTACAGACAAGGTCAGCTTGACCAGTCTGTCGGTGTTCTGCAGGACGCCGTTGATAGTCCACAGACAAGCCATAACCTCGTTCAACTCGGAGCGAGACAGCCTGGCGATGCTCTTGAAGAGGTCATTCTGAACATCCTTGAGGAGCTTGTTGTGGGACGAGGATAGGTATGGCAAGACGCATCGGTAAATCACAACCACGGATCGGAACAAGAAAAGGTCGTCCGCGGTAGCAAGATTGCCAATATAGGGATGCAGAGCTTCTAGCTGATCTGGGCTGAACAGCTTTGCATTTGCTTTGGCAAACACGGTGATAGTTTGTAGGAGGGCTTGTTTGAATTCTTTGGGGGAAGCATCGGCATCCTCCACCAGTCTCTGAAACATGATGGATACTATCGACGTGCAGACTTTAAAGTTCAGACTGGCGGACTTGGACTTATCTGAGAGCACCGCTCTCAAGCATGTGCCGAGGGAGTCCAGAGCGTTGTCGCTACGCTCAACCAGGCTGACTATCAACCCAACCTGCTCCCCGAGTGCTATTTTGAGCTTCGGTCCGTCAGAGATGGAATCAATGGACTCGTGGAAAGGCACCAGCCAGATTTCTTCGAAGGTCTGACGAGCTAAAGTTGCCACTCCTTCCTCATGATCACCAGTCCGCTGAAGAAAGCTATCAAGGATAGCCAATTTCAACTCCTGGCGAGCTGTTTTGTGGTAGAGTTCCTTCAGCAATCCAATGCAGCGCTTGCGAACACCGGCTGTTGGGTCACCAGCACAGGCGAGAATACTGCGGCATCCTTCCTCTTCTAGCTTTGGCCGAAGGCCAATGCATTTGGCGATCAAAGACAAGGCGGAGTCACGAACCATAGGGGAAGCATCCGTAGTGCAACGAAGAATCAGATGCATAACGGAAGCATCTCTATCGAGGAGGTTGGGATCTTTTTCAAGCATTTCGATGACACTCTTCAGACTTCGGCTACGGACCTTCGCTTGGTCACTGGCGATCGAATTCAGAAGGACCTTAAGGATGGTGTCAAAGGCCTTGCCAAAGCCTGAATTCAAGACCGTCAGAATGTAGGCAAACTTGCCGTGAACATTAGAAACGGAGTTGAATTGCTTGTGGGTCTCCAACCAGCGTGGATCAGAGAACGATCTCGACAGGAGAATCACTAGCTCATCAGTCATGTCATCTTCCGGTACTGCCTCCTTATCCTCAGAGTTGTAGTAAAGATTGCAGACAGTTTTCGCCCAAGAAGCTAGGTAGAAGCCTCGTGTGCTAGTCAGTTGAGAGTTGTTCGAGATGTCTTGTGAAAGATACTCCAAGGCCATTCGATAAGGACCGTTCGGTGCGACCAGGTCCTGCGGATGGAGCGCGCGGGAGCAAAACTCCTCAAACTGCTGCTTGAGGTAATCGGTGAGCTCGCTGTCGGCATCCTCCAAGGCTGGAAGCATGTGTTGAGCGGTTGCGATCAGATCTGAGATTGCAGAACCCATCCATCCCAGGAGCTCGAGAGCCATGCTCTTCGCTTGAGCCGAGCTCTTGTCAAGATCTGCGATGCCAACCATGTGGGATGCCATGATGCGGAGAAGCAGTTCAGAAGCGGGCCAGTCTGAGGACCCAAGTACATTGATCAAATCTTCTGTAAAGAGGTCGAGAATGTTCCGGAATGGCTGATCGCCACTTTTGGTTGCGTTCATTGCGCGGTGGACAATAAACTTCACGATGTATTGCGCACTGCGTACGGCGTTATCATAAAGTCTGTTGACCTTGGCCGCCAGGCGCTCCAAAGACTCGTCTAGCTCCTTATCGTCATCATCAGAATTTATGTTCTTCATGTCGTCGCCGTCACCCATTAATTCATCATCGTCATCCTCTGCTGAGGCCTGCAGGCGACGTTTGGCCTTGGAGCGTGAAGGTGTTTCCAAGGCGGTGGTCTGCACAAGCTGAAGGACTAGTGCTGTAAGAAGTTGAATGTTTTTCCCGTCAGCCAGTTTGAACTGTCTGGCACTTTGACGGGTAGAAGGGAGCTTTTCCAGAGAACCCAGAATTTGATCCAAAATATAGGAACGCTGGGCAGGGTATTTTGAAAAAATCTTTGCAAGCACGTCCATTGCTCCGCGTCTTGCTGGCTCGAATTTTGAGGACCCAACAGCGGAGTCTCTATCGTTGTGTGCATTCTCAACGAAAATCAATTTAGCGGCAAAGAACAAAGCGGAGTTGATGGAGCCCTCAGGCACTTCAATCCGGGACAAAAAGTCCGCGAAAAGAGTTAAAACCTTTTTGCTTTGGTGTATCAAGCTTCCGATGATGCGACGCTGGGCTGAGAAGAAATTGAAGTGCTCGGCATCCTTGCCGCCAGGGCGTGACTCAACCGCAGGAATGATGCAGTGGTCGAAGATCTGTTCCACAACCGGCGGGATGGCCTCGATGAGATCCTCAGGGCACAGATCGCGCTCCGTCTGACGTCCAGACATTGTCTGCAGGAGCGTTCCAATAGCAAGCAAAGAGTTTAAAACATCCTCCACCTTACCCAGCCATTCCTGGGCTTCAGTTTCATTGGATGTGTCATGCAAAGTGAGTTGTGCAGACTGGGCAGCAAGTATTGGCTTTTCACAAAGTTTCTGAACCCTCTTCAGATAGTCTGAGGGGATATCTCGAAGACGGTCAAACCCGCATACTTTCCGAATAGCTTTCTGGAGACGGAGGTGAGCATCAGAGGACAGCACCATGCCATGCACCTCCGTCGATCTTGTATGCACGAAAAGTGAATTGTCCGCGTTTGAAGCAATCAGGGCGTCCGGCTCGATCTGGTCTTCCGCCTCGAAGACTTCGTGGAGAAGGTCTTGCAGTTTCAAAAGAGCATCGTCCGCTTCTGCCTTCTGATCTTTTACTCGCCTCGCGGTCATTGAATCCTCATGATCGAAATTTGACTTGGGCTTGGTTTGTTTCGTAGGAGTGGGTTTCAATGGAATAACCACAGATATTTGGCTCGAAGGTTGTTGGGGCTTTTCGAAGGATGCTGATTTCGTAGAATTTGCAATATAAGCCTGCTTATTCCATGCTGCAGCGGCTTTCGATACGGTGTCCTTCTTTTCGGCTTTGACCTTCGGCGAAGATGTCTCGGGATCTGACATGCAGCCATTAGCACAGAGTTCAAATAATGACCATGTCTTCTTCGTGATCTCACATCGGAATGCTATATCCGTGGACTCCAGAATCATCTTCGCAAAGGAGCCGAGTTGGCTGCGGCTAGAGGAAGATCCGTCGGAAGTATTCGAGTGCAAGTGTTTATTGCGGCTGAGAGTAGGAGGGGCCTTGAACTTGCTAGCGAAAGAGACAAATTAGTAAACGTGGGACCCAAAAAATGAAGATTTCTCCTACAATTCAGTGAGTTGATCCCCATCCAGCAATTGCTGGAGGTATTCACGGGACGTCTCCAGACGATTTGACTCGTCTAGCCCGGATTGTATCTCAGCATCCAGCTCACTCAAGGTATTGCGACCAGCTTGAAGGACATGATTGATAGAGGTGGTATTGGACGGACGGCCGACGTCAGGGCGTATCACGCAGTCTATAAGTCCGAAACCAGTTAGATACCTCTCAGCTGCGATGTTGGGGCGATTTGATGGACGGACCTAGACCAAAAACAGGAGCGCTGGACATGGATGAGTATTGAAGCGCCTCATCCACAGACAGTGGCCTGGACTGGCTCTGAAACGACATGGCCTGGCCATAGGTCTGCGGCGCCTGCGGATGGCCGTTGATAACGACTTGCACCGCTGGGCGTCCATTGAGATCCATGTTGGCGGTTGCCGAGTCGAAAGGCGAAGGCGCTAGTCAAAGGAAGGGGGGCTGCTCGTGGCAGAGTCATGACAGAGGTGGTGAGCATCTATGGCATGCTTCACGGAACCCTCCTCATGAGCGACTGGGTTGGATAGACGGAAAACGAAGCAGGGAGAGCTCATGATGACCTTATTCGTTCATCACTTCATCGGCGTCTTACTGCCGCGTCCCACCGCCTGAGATGGCATCGCGGTGGCCCGTGCGGTCAAAAAAAGTTCCCATGCCGCATCAGCTTTCCATTGCTCTCTTCCACTGTTAATTTACCCTTGAGTACATTAGCCAATAAGGGTTTTGCCTTGATTACGCTGCCAATATGTCGGTCATTGGGTCCTTGATTTTCTGCACGGACTGCGGCAATCTGTTGCGCGAGTCTACCGGCAACGAGAATGCGATTCTACACTGCTCTGTCTGCGGAGCTCGGAATAAGGGTATGTGACTTGAACACAGCCTTACATGTGGGCTCTATCGAATATGCATGGCTTAACTTTCTTCTCAGACACCATCCCCCAAACCGTCGTCTCCGAGTCCAAGCCCTCTGCCTTTCCCTCCGCTTTGAGAGCCAAGCGTTCTGCGGTCCAGACTCTGTCCGCCGAAGATCGCAAAACCGAGGCTGTCACACAACACACCTGCAACCGCTGCGGGAGAAAGGAGATGTTCTACACCACCGTCCAGCTGCGCAGCGCTGATGAAGGTAGTACTGTGTTCTACCGTTGTGTTTGCGGTTACAAGTATGCCCCCCGCCTTGTAGAGATTGCCATGCTCCAGCCAAATGCTAATATATCTTTTCAGGGAAACGTCCAACAACTGAGCAATGGAAAGATGACTGTACAAAATTGGAAAGGGTTCTATGTTTTGGCTATATAACAGAGCGGGATAAGAGTATCAAAATAACGACGTCACGACATTTTTGTTTTATTTTCCTTCCGGAGACCCCATCATGCCGCAGGGACTGCGATGGCTGCCCCGTCTGGAATCAGCGCATACTCAGTCTCACCATTCTTCTCAAACTCCGCCATGTCAAGTGCCACAATGACACTGTCTCGCACTACCTGCTCGGGGTCGTCAAGGAACTTCTTCAGTGTGTCCTCAACGCCCTCCTCGTCACCAAGACTGCCAAGGGCCTCGGCCGCCTCGTGGCGCACCATACCGGCCTCCTTCAGGTCGCCGAGACACTCTGTGAGGCAGGGAATCGAGGCGGGGTGGCAGAGTTGACCGAACACGAAGGCAACCTCGTGACGGAACAGAGCAGAGGGGTCCTTGAGACCCTTGGCAAGCGCATTAACGGCGCCGACCGCGGTGGGGAGATCTGGGGGCGAGGCAAGATCACGCAGACCGAACATGGCGCGGTATCGTTGGAAGAGAGGGAGCTTAGTGTCGAGCAGTGTCTTCTCCAGGTCGGGGATGGAGGGCTCGTTGGCCTCCAGAGGCATAGGCGGAGCAGGGTCGATAGATGTAAAATCACTTTATCATGCAAAATATTAGCAATTATTGACCCGAATTACTGGCCCTTGAACGGTAGGCCGACGTGAATGGATCGTACCTTGGCTTCAATTTTTCAGCCTTCTTCTCCTCGGAGTTCTCCCATACAATGCGGTCGACCGCGATGTCGCAAGTCTCCCGAACGATCTCCAACTCATTCTCATCATCGCGCAACTTTTTCAAGATGTCCAAGCTCTCTGCGTATCCCAGCGCGCCAAGTGCCTCGGCGGCCTCATGGCGGCACATGGCGTCCTCCTCGGTATCCTTCACAACATGCTGCAGGTACGAGACAGAGTCACGATTCCTAGTCTGACCCAGGCAGTATGCAAGCTCGTGCTTGAGGAGAGCCGAGCGTGACGTGAAGGCAGCAGCGATCGCCTGGATGGCAGGGAGGGTCTGCTCGGTTGTGGGCTGCAGGCAGGCGAGATGCTTCAGGGAGAAGAGAGCGCGGAAGCGGCGAGCAAGAGGCTCGGACTCGTTGGTGAGGACCTTGCGGAGGGCGAGGACAGTCTCGTCGGCTCCGCTGGTGTCGGTAGCAGAGGGCGCCATGGTGAATGAGAGGCGGGGAGGGTATCGGGGTATCGGGGATCGGGTGAAAACGACGAAGTGGTGTGGAAAGAGGGCGAGCGACAATTCTTTTTTGGGTAGATCTTATCATGATTTTCGGGTGGGGTGGCGGGGCTGGCCTGCGCCCATCCGGGTGTGGTTGGCCCGTGTAGAATTCTCGTATACTCCAGTCGTCTCTTTTCTTGTCTTCACTTTGATTTATTAATTATAAATTCTGACCGTGTTTTCAATTCGAGATGTACTTAGCGTTACCGAATATGGTTTATCTCACTCTTGAAACATATTAAACATCAGGCTGATGAGCTGACTTCACCTTTGAAATGAAGCAGTAGTGCGGATTTTGGATACCCTCAGCGCCATCCCGGATGTATATTTTTAAAGTTCTTCCTACATGCAAATCCTGAGTATCACATTATGATCAGTCCGCGGTGCGTGACAGGCCGCAATGATGACGGGGTTGCGAACCTATACAGGGTGGAGGGAATAGCGCAAGATGGGATATCAAATCACAGTGTGCTTTATACGAATCCCAGTTAGCGTGGTCTGTAACTCTACAGAGATTAAAAGAGGACAAAAATATCAGAAACCCCGTTTATTTGTCAACTAAAGTTGTGTCCGCCTCTCTCAGAAAATGCGTAAGCAACAAGAACATCTACAGTTACCAGCTGTGGGAAGATTATACTCGGCGATAACGGAGGTACTGCCTAAGCAAAAATAAACCAGTATCTTTGCATTCTTGATCAACAATTACTTGGTGGAAAACAGGATAGCTGGGTCCAAAGCGGTAGCTATTTTTTGATAGCTGCCTCCGTGGCCTTCTTCAGTCTCGCCCCGAGGTCCTGATTAACACCACCGAACAGTGCTACAAGCTAGTCAGCCAAAATGATCATAAGCAAAGGGTGGAATGGGTAAACACACCATATACCTCATTACGCAGCTTCGCAGAATCCACACATTTGATAGTAGAAGCTAAATTCCCAATAAGTCTATCCTGGTGTCCGGGTTCACGACCAATGACATCCCACAAGGCAGCAGGCTGGACGAAATCCTCGTCCGTGATATGGCTAGTGTAGGTCGTCACTTCTCCAACCCACTTTTCATGTTCAGTATGTAGGCTGAGCGACTGGGGGCTGACGCCCTTGACATCTTGGTAAAATTTGGTTGGCTTCAGTGACGAGTTGACATAATTGGGATCGCCACCGTAGTTGTCGTCGAACCTCATCTTGCCGTCCCGTTCGAAGGGGCAGTATACCGGGACCTTGGCTTTGTTTGTGGGGAGCTGCTGGTAGTTCACGCCGAGGCGGTACCGTGCCGCATCTGGATAGGCAAACAGTCGCGCTTGAAGAACTAGAGATAGAAACATGAATCACAGGTGTCGTGAGAAGAGGCAATTTGAAATTACCTGGATCACCAGAAGCTGCAAAGCCTGGCACCATATTTGACGGCGAGAATGCCGCCTGCTCGATGTCGGTGAAGTAGTTCCGGGGCTGTTCATAGTAAGGCTTCAATCTGAGGGGAAGATAAGAGGTTCTGAATCACATACATTGCGATCCAAAGTCAATTTACCAATCTGTCGCAAAGGGAAATCCTTATGCGGCCAAACTTTGGTCATGTCAAAAATGTTCCACCGGTAGTTCTCGGCCTCAGATAGGTCCATGACCTGCACGTAGACGTTCCACACAGGATAGTCCTTTCGCTCAATGGCGTCAAACATATCACGAATCATAAAGTCGGGATCCTCGCCAGCTATCTTGGTTGCTTCTTCGCGAGTGAAGTTCTTGACACCCTGTTGGGTTTTCATGTGGATTTTGATGTATTTGAAAGATCCATCCTGGGTTCATACGTGTGACCATCTAGCGATAACGTATTTGGAGGGTTCCATTCCGTCTCACCTCTTTGGTAAACTTGTAGGTATGTCCACTGTAGGAATTCAAGTTGCGAATGGATTTGGGGGTTCCGCGGTCGCTGAAGAGATGCAGCAGCTCATGGATACCTTCGGGATTGCCAACATGAAAGCTAGAAACCGTTAGTCAATAATTGGTGCCAATTGCGAAGTTATGCGTACTCCCAAAACTGAAACATAATTAGCGTGATTCCGCTCGTTCATTCCATTTTTGCTGCATACCATATTCGCATCAGGGAGGTGGGTCTATGGATGTCTCTTATGAGAGCGATTCATGGAAGGAAACTTGATGGGATCTCTGATGAAGAAGACCGGCTTCATTCGTGTTAGTGACCGTCTGTTGCTAGCTTGTGTTGCGTTGCTACTTTGCTCTCATGTGTATGCTTACCGTGTTATTAAAGACCCAGTCTAGGTTGCCCTCGTCGGTGTACAGCTTCATTCCCCATCCGTGGACATCGCGCGATGTATCAGCAGAGCCTGCCTCGGGCCCAACGGTAGACACACGAAGGAGTACGGGGGTCTTCTTTCCAGCTGTGTTGAGGAAACTGGCAGAAGTGATATCGGAACAGTCGTCTGTTGCTTCAAACTCGCCGTAAGCGCTACGAATCACTCTTGGTCAACTCATTTGTGGTTCATATACTTCTAGGGAACTTACCCAATAGCTTTGGCATGCACCACACTGACAGAACGCCAGGTCAGCTCCGAGCTTGAATCTAGTTCTCGACGCATTTTCAAGCTTACCGCTCGGGAATTCTTTCTCGAGAAAAATGCGCCAGAGTCTCAATAAGCTGAGTGTCCTGAAGCAATCCAAGGCTGTCTCCTTGTCTATTCCGCATCAGGATAGCCGTGCTGCTACTCGCAAAGGGGCACCCTTTTCATAATCAGAAATTGCGAAGAATTGGCCCGCCCCTGGACGCTACTGACCTTCGGCGAGGGTATAGTATCTGTCTGCCATGCTACGATCTCGAATAGTCTCTCCGTCAAACGCATGGAAATTTCCATTTTATCGGATACAATTGAGACGTACCCAATTGACTTATATAAGCACCTGTGTGGCAATCCTTTCTCTTGATGACTCGTCGTTCTCACCTAACGGGCTCTTTAGAATTCGGCCTCAGCCCAATGCATTACATCATATCCAGCCCACGTACCAAATCCACCGTCCGGGCTCGGATAAGCTCGAGTTGGAGGTGCTGCCATTGGCTGCTTACTATAACCCCTTGTAGTGCTCATACCTTACACGGCGTAAGGCCTACAGCACAGAAGATACGCATTTTGCGTGCGTTGTTGCTCTCTTGACCGCAGTCACATTCCTGTCACGTGCTTGGAATCCAAGCCCTCGTTAGAGGAGACCACCGGTGAATTCTTTCCTGTTCCTCATAGCCTTGAGGCTCATCCTTTCCTGGTAGTCTTCTAGTTTGTCTGTAATTTCCTCTCTTCAAAGATCTTGGCTTTCCTGGTCCACTGTGGCCTTTGCAAGGCGTGCACTGGAACTGGTTGGCTGAGAGTGGCGATGGGATTGTTCATCTGCCTAAACCAGATCAACAGGTTGGACTGGGGAAATTCAAGAGGCTGTTGTATATCAAGCCTGAGAGATCATGTGAGAGTGGGAGAGGGACTAATATGCTGAGCATCTATATCAGAAGGTAATTTTATGCAGCTAGAGTGAAGAAATTGCCTTGTATTGTACGCCCTTCACTTTTCGCGAAGCAGATCCAGTAAAAGTTACTTCAACAACCATGACAAAATGATATGCTAAATTAACCAAGTTCTATCAACATAGACAATAATGTATGCGCTCGAGAACAAGGGACGCTATAGCTAGAAGAGCTCCTAAATAACTCTCTTCGCGGCTTTGAGCCGCATCCCCGATTGTCTGATGACTAAGGCGAGGTTGAAAAAGCATGCGTCTTCTCTTGGTCCCGAGGGCTTTGCTTTGATATCATTGGCTGAATGAGTCCCCTCACAGACACTACTCCGTATTCATGCAGGAGATAGGTCAGTTCGCGGGATATGTCCTCGAGGCTAGGCCATGATTGGCCGTGGGGTTGCCTCAGCTGAGACACCCCAACACCCCCGCCTCTGAAGTCGTCCATGACCTCTTCTGTCTCACGAAAAAAGTGAACGTTGACCCCTGAGTGACCAGGGCTACTGGGTCAACTTATGTAGCTTTGCATTGGTGGTCAACTATATCTTACGACCTCGCTTGTCTTTTTTGAGATGATTGGTCCTTTTGGCCATTGCGCAGATCAAACATCATGAACGAGCTCAACCCAAGCATTTACACGGTCGTGTGGATAGCGCCGCTCGAAATCGAGGCACAAGCTGCCCTCCATATGTTGGACAATCATCACCGAGGGCGATTCTCGTTGGATAAGGGTGACGACTATGTGTTCCGCGCCGGTGATATTGGTGGGCATAACATCATCATCGCTACTCTACCGGCGGGCCAAGAGTATGGCACCGGGTCTGCAGCTGCGCTTGCCAGCCAAGTCAAGAAATTCTTTCCAAATCTCTGGTTCGGATTACTGGTTGGTGTTGCTGCTGGTCTCCCAAGCCTTTCACGACATCCGCCGCGTGATATCCGACTTGGTGATGTTCTCGTAGGTCTTCCAGAGGGTAACAGCGCTGGCCTCATAGCCTACGACTTGGGCAAAGAAACGGGAGCTAGTGGTTTCCAACTTTTACGTGATGGACACGTCCTGGCAAATACCGAAACTGTTGTCCGATCGGCGATCCAGAATATTAAACTGATGGCGCCTAGGGATGTTGACACATTTCAGTCATATTACGAAGCCATCCGGCATAAGCAGCATTCCAATGGTGATTTTAATGATCCAGGACAGGATCATGACCACCTATACCAAATAGACGATAAAGGACTTAGTCATATCGTCCAACGAGAACGGCGACCTGGTTCAGAGCGAACCCGAGTGTGGTATGGACCGATCGGATCTGGGGAGAAGCTTATGAAGAATGCCCAGAGGCGCAATGAATTGAGAGACAAGTATGGCATCATCGGACTCGAAATGGAAGCCGCTGGAACAATGAATCGTATACCTGTTGGTGTGATTCGAGGGGTTTGCGATTATGGGGATGAACACAAGAACAAAGAGTGGCAACCATATGCAGCGGCAATGGCAGCCGCCTATGCCAAAGCAATTTTATATGAGATTAGACCCAAAACCTCCGCCCCAGCATATGTAAACCGTGGTTAGTACGCAATGTATTGTTCTTATATTCCCAATATACTTCAATCCATGAAATATTACCTATTATTTCAACAAAGTCCAGGAATGCCTGCTGACCGATTCAAATACCTTCCTAGAAACCGATGCCCAAGGAATCCAGTCAAGATTACCCGTTCGCACAGCCTTCCTTGGGAGAGAAGAAGAATTGTCTCAGATGCAACGGTGCTTTGACTCCGGCTTGTGCAGAAGTTCTTTGGTACTCTGGGGTCTTAGCGGGTCTGGGAAAACACAGCTCGCCGTCCACTATGTCACTACCAACAAACAGTCTTACCAGTCTGTGTTGTGGATTGACGGATCCTCTTCCGCGTTAATTCATCAATCTTTCGAGAATCTTTCACATCATATTTCAGGTTACAACCAAGAGAGACCAGCCATCGAGCAAGTCATCGAGTGGCTGGAGAGAGGAACGAACCGTTCTTGGATGATGGTTTTCGACGGTGTCCCAGGAGCTTACGATGTCAATGATTCTGAGAACTTTGATATCCGAAAATACCTACCTGCCTGTGATCATGGTCACATTTTGCTGGTGACAACAGCGTCGGATCTCCACCTGCGTTTAGCCCTCCCCGAGATCCATTTGGAAGGCGTCAATGACACTACGGGCTCGAATATCTTGCTAAGATGCGCGGGAATCCAAGAACCCGAAGATTCTGGTATGCAGACAAGCCAAAATTCTCACCTTGTTTATGTTTGACGATTTTCAGGGAAAGCGACAGCGCAGTCAATTTCCCGCAAGTTAGGAGGCCTACCACTTGCCCTTGAACAAGCTGGCACTTTGTTGTCCTACGGCATTATCCGGATGGATGACTTCAACAAGCAGTTTCAACAGCGCTTTTCTAATAAGGCCCTCAAAACTCCCATGAAAAAGTATGTAGGGTCTTATGAGAAAGGCCGCACTCTGTGGACGGTTTTTGAAATGTCATATGATGGTCTCATCCAGAGAAGTCCTGATGCACTCAAGCTTCTTCACCTCGCGATATTTCTCAGTCCAGGGTCCATTCCATCTATTTTTGGGAACAGGCCCGAACCGGGGGTATCTTCTGACTCCGCTTTCGACATACCTGTCTTTGGAACAAGTCTAGCTGAGACACAGTCATTCGGCCTTCTTTGCTGGTTGAAAAACTTACGCTGGAAGGTCGAAAGATTTGGAGCTGCCGTTAATGAGCTCGAATCGTCTGGATTTGTCAAACTTTGTCGCAATCAAAGCGATGCTTCCATCGAGAGTCTTGCGGTGCATGCCCTGATTCGTGCTTTTGTTTGCTCAAAGGCATCAGAAGAGGACATCCACGAGAGCTTAGTGACTGCTTTTCTGCTTGGTGGGAGAACACTTCATTATGGAACCAAAGGTTTCCAATTGACAGGGCTATGGAAACATACCGGTGAACTCAGCCGACTCCTCGTGGTGTTTCTTTCCTTAGTTCCGACATCATTCTTTCAAGACCCAGATGGTAAATACTTTGTATTATGTGGAGCTGTGGCGCCTGTATACGCCTATACTTGCCGTTTTCTCGGCGATTTGGAGGGATCCAAACGTTTTTGGGATATTGCTATCAAGTACAGACTCATTGCCGACACGAACTGGCCGGATACCGAGTTGCACATGAATGAGATCTTCGAAGCGGCAAGCATTGATGTGAAAGTTGGAAGGTTCGATATAGGGATAGAGCGATATGAGTTGTTACTTGCTCATTGTGATCGTATCTTCCCAGACAATGATGAAAGAGCCGTCCAATCCGCTGCTGCGCTCCGCGAAGCTCGAGAGATTACTCAAAAGCATGAGCAGAACTTTGGCCGAGCCATCGTGGCACAGAGAGTCGCGAAACAAAGACCTGGTAATCCGACATCGGGTGAGGCGACGTCACCTCTTCATAAAGCCACAGAAAGTGGAGATATAGAGGAAGTGAAGTTGCTGCTCGAAAATGGAGCTGACATTGTCGCCCCAGATGATCAAGGATGGACGCCATTGCATATAGCCTCACGGTTTGGCCACACTAATATTGTGTGTCTTCTTCTACAAAGAAAGGCAGAGATAAATCCTACAGATAATCGTGACCGCACACCATTACATCTAGCCTCTGAGAACGGATGCTCAGAAGAGGCAAGATTATTACTGGAACATGGCGCCGAAATCGGGCATCAAGACATTAGAGGCGAAACGGCTTTGATATGCGCAGCCCAAAGAGGTCATGAGCTGAATGTACGATACTTGCTGCAACATGAACCCAGCCTGGATATACAAGACATCGCCGGCGGCACAGCCTTATTTTGGGCATCATCCCGTGGTTATGAGAAGGTTGTAGAAGCTTTGCTGAAGCATGCTCCTAAACTGGATCTACAAAACTACAATGGATGGACGGCTCTGACTCGGGCAGTCGCGGCGAAAGCTGAGAAAATATCTTGCTTGTTAATAAAGCATGGTGCTGATCCAAACATACAAGACAGAGAGGGGTTTTTGCACTGTTCTGGGCAGCTCATTATGGCCTGAATGACATCATCCTCATGTTACTCGAAAATGGTGCCAATCCAAATCTTCAAAATGGCATAGGCCGAACGCCTTTGATAAGTGCGGCTACGGCGGGCCATGATGCAACGGTCGCTTTGCTGCTGAAATACAACGCTCGGCTTGATACAGAAGATCATGAAGGGCTCACAGCCGCGGCTTGGGCAGCTCGCAGGGGTCATCGAAATACATTGCGCCTTTTGTCGGAAGAAGACGCTGCTCTCTTGGACCTTCAGGAACGCATCGAAAACCTTGCTGTGAGTGCGGCAATTCGCAGGCGGAAATCTCTTGAGTCTCATCAACTGCAAGAGTATAGCGAGCATAAAAGAGAGCCCAAAGAGACGAGCAGCGTGTTGAAAGGTCTAAGAGAGCAGCGGAGACAGACTACAAGGACGATGAGCGAAGCTTGGAAGCGTTTGATGAAGCGGTCAAGGAAAGGGAAGGGTAGAATGGAGAGCGATAATGAATATGATACTTCTCAGACTGATGACGATGGTGACAGTATTCTTGAGTCATTTGCGCGAACTAGCTAGATGGTATAATGGGATAACATACTACAATATACATACTCATGCCAGTGACTCGGAATCCTACATGGTCAAGACTCCAGAAAAAGAAGCAGCCAATCTCACGAAGAATTCCCAAATATTCACTCAATGGTCACATTTAACCATACAAAAATCGCCCCCAGCAGCTTTCCTGGGGGACCAATCCTGTCTATTGTACGCTTCCAATGGAATACATCACGATTTGCAAAAGTATATGTCCGTGCGAAAAAGCTCTGGAGTTGCCCCAGAGACAGCTTGCTTCTGAAGCTCAACGCGTCAGAGGCTGCCTGGACAGTCCTTGGACGTAGTACGCAGCGACTGTGGACGATGAAACTCCAGGTCCACGGCCGCTCAGGTGACGGGGGGCAGCTTCTCAAGCGCCGACTCGGAGCCAAGTGTTACACACGGCACCCGTAATATTTCTCGTGACTTCACACTAATCCAATTCTTGAACATTCGAAAATCACCCGATAGTACATCTGGGCCTTGGATATTTTTGGAAGCACTACCGTTTGCAACGAGCATGGTGATTGGACAGTACTCTTACCCAACTCAGACATCAGCTAACGACTTGCGGATGTGAGCGGGAGTGGGTCGATCTCCAAAGCCGTCCACGCTTCAGCCCCACCCTCCAACGACCACGCGATACCGTTCTTTGCATCGTTCAAGGATGCATTAAGTGATACCCGTAAATCAACAAGTCTGCCCAGCGGAGTAGCGGTGTGCGGCGCTAGCTACCCACTTTAATTTCAGCCGCTTGGCTCTGATACTAGCACGGACAACTCTCGTGCTTCCTTCGGCATTCTGTTTTCGCCATTAGCACACCATCGCCAGTCGCGCAGCTTGGCCAGTTGGAGTCATGTCGTCGGGAAACAGCTCCAGTGGGTCTCGAGCACCACGGACGGCTACTACGGATGCTGAGCATCCAAGGTTCGCCTTCGTCTCGGAGAATAATCAATCAAACGCGCGAAGCCATGCGATGCGGGAGCATTGGAGACAGCGTCACAATCGTAACAACAGTACCAAAAGCAGGCGGCTTCAGCCGAAGCTGCTTCCGAACATCTCATCGGCTGCGGACCGAATCATCAAGCCCCATGACCAATCCAATCACCAGCGTTCATCTCGGAGCTATAGGAGCCAGAGCTCGGGGCTACAACGCTCGGATAGTTCCTCCAATGGAACAGGACAGGATCGTGACGACGATATTGAGATACTAGGGGTACCTTTGCAGTTATTGAGCGGGGTCGGACACGCCCTATCATCCTCAAGACTCGACCCCTTCCAGACATTTCCGCTGCAGTTAACCAGTCAACATCATAAGCTATTGCATCACTATACGTCCCGCTCCGGGAGTGCATGACAAGAACCGAAGTGTAGCTGCTCATATGGGTTTAGGGATTGGTACCTATGCGACCATGATGTTCGAGGAACTGGATATACCAAGCTTCAACCCAATGAAAGATGTGTGGTTCCCGTTGGACCTTTCCAACGCTTCCTCATTCAACGCAGTTATGGCCCACTCCGCTGCACATCTATCTCATCTCTACGCAGGGACCAGCCCGCAAAGGGGAACAAACTCCTTCGATGCCTTGAAGTACAAGGCAGAAGCAGTACGGATTCTCCACGAATGGCTGTCCGACCCGCAGAAAGCACTCAGCTATGATGCATTTGCGGCTGTTATCCGACTCCTTACATTTGAGGTAAATACACGTCACGCTAGTATAGCGTCCGATACTTCTGCTGTGGAAAGTTTCCTGATCCATGCACAGAGATATTGGGGAACTGCAGAGGAGTAGAATATCCACCGCATGGGCCTCCAGAAAATGATTGAAGCCAAAGGCGGGATTGGAGAGCTCCACGATAACTGGCGTCTGGAGCATGTTGTTTATCTGTGGGTCTCCGGTATCCTATACTTTCTGGTTGATCACTAACACATGCAGCGTATCTCTAATGACCAAACCGTCATGGTTTGAGTCAACAAATAATATCTCCGAGGTATCGGAGCCCTCAGCCGACACGTTTGCCACGGACCCCTCGATAGACATTCAAAAGGTACGCTGTCTGTGGCTGATATCTTTCATCCAAGATCTGCGAACGTTCATGGGTTTCTCGTCGCGATTCTACGTCCGGGGACTCTCCACCTATCCCGCACTCTACCAGGCAGTTCTTCATCTTCGGGACGAATTCCAGCATACCCATGCAATGGCTTCGCCTAGTTCTGGAATGTCGCCATTTGACTACGAGAGGTTAATCTGCTTGTTTTTCATTTGTCTGATGATGCAGGACTCCGTATCTTCCACGCCCACCGACCCCATGCACAGCTCTTTCCGTCCCAGTGGATTAGATACCCTGGATGGAGCTTTGATGGAGTCACGCGGCATGCGGGACTTTTCCGTACAAAATTTGCGCCCATTTTTGAATCATCATCTGGTTGAACTTCACCCGGACGGAATGCAGAAAATAGAATACGTGCGGAGGATGACGGAGGTCCTGGGCCTGTTAAGGCCTGAGGCGCGGATCGGGGTCGAAAAATGCCTTCTCAACATGCTGTGCCGCTCGAATGAGGGTCACACGGCGTTCTTGGTCGATGATGGGTGGACGCCTGATTCGCTCTTGTCCTCGATGCATGGACAATGATTGCCATCGCTGCCCAAGGATCATTCCAGCGTCGCTCTATTATTAACCTGGATAGAATGTGCCATGGGCGTGACTAACCACGTAGCAATTCAATAGCTACTGGCTCTATTACTAGTCATGCCTATATACTATAATGATAAACTATAATGCTGCTATCGAAGGTCCAGCAGAAGCAACAGTAATGGATACCTAGCATAAAGCTACCTGTAATAGCGCGCGAGTAGGTACATAAGAGATGTAGTAAAGCAACAGCATTGTAAAGCCTATGAACGCAATCCTCGTAATTAGCCACCATTTCCATTTTCTGACAAGGCAAAGCTCCCCAGTCTCATATCCCCAAAACGATGCAGACATTAGTCGAATACAGAGAGGGCAGTCACGGCGACCCGGCCGAATGCACCCGGCGTCTCTCTCTTCTATCTCCTTTGGTGTGAATTCAAATCCTCGGGCTTCACAACAACATCCACATTGGTAAGAACAATGGCCAAGTCCTAGTTTTCGTGTGGGATTTGGATGTGCACTGCGGTTCTCACAGCATTGACATTGACGGCCACAGCAACCCCCATTTTCTGCACAACGTCGGCGCAGTATATCACTGAAATACCACCTTGGGTTTGATCGACACTCATTGAACCCTCGTAGAGTAGGCCCTTGCAATCTATCCCTGAGTATTACCCAGTTACTTCGGCAAGTCCAATAGTTTCTTCTCACAAATTCCAAGTTCCGTCGCAGATCTTGTAGTAACTCTTGTAGCTTTTGCTTGTTCCGCGTTTTGCTCTCTTTTTCAAGAACCTCTCGGAGGGTCTGAAGGACACGTTCCTCGCGTTGGGTTAAGCGGCGAAGACGAATCTCCACCTCAAGGATACTTGACATCAATTCTGTTGCGGGATATCCATCGAAATCGGGGCTCATGAACAGCATCCACGATCTAAAGTCTTGCAAAGACTCAGTGGCACCAGACCACCAGATCAGCTTCTCTATTATTAGGTAAATGATTTCCATCTTGTCACACTGTGCCAGAGAAGTACACGTGGCCTGCTGATATTTGGATGATCTGAATTCCGAATGTTTGAGAAACTGCATGTGCCGACTAAGTCGAAAAATCTGAAAGGGGATCGTAGATAATTATACGTATCGATGTCGCCATTTATACTCCATGACTTCCAATTGTGGGATCCCCCCGGGGCTCTACCCATGGATTGATAACTTACGAAATAACAATATTGGCAGGTCGTGCATGTATAGCCGCGCGCTCTTTAGGAGGCTTACTCATCTGGGATTCTCGCCCAGGTAGCGGGATCTAGGAAATTTACAGAGAATCGCACCTTCCACCAAAAAGCACTTGAGAAATCAAAGCAACAGTACTTGCCCAGATGTAGAGGAAAATACCCAGTAGTTTCTTGGGATGGTAGAATTCCAGATCACAACCAACAAGGACCGCATCTGGCCCCTCCAAGTTCCATAACAATGCGCTTCTCCAGTTTTGATCTGGGTTGGCTCCTGGGCGTCTTTACGGGCCCGCTTTTGCCCTGGGCCTTCATAATTTCCCTATTCCTCGACGGCCCGCTCATTGAACGGATCGAACGGCTGGAATTGCTTTGTTTGGGGTTGATTTTTTTTTGGCTGTCTTCGCGTAAGACCGCTCCGATTGGAATGAGGACCGTAATTAACGATATGAATGCGCAGAATTGGTGTGGTAGAACCACCCAGAAGGGATGCGGCCACACAAACCCCAATTATCGAGACCGGGGGAGAACCCACGAGCAGGGATGCAGCAACCCAAACCATCCCCATAGAGACCGGGGTAGATACCTCCACCCAAACCGATCAAACACCGCTTGGTGTAGTCCTAAGGAACGTCATAGATGACACCCTTTTGCCCGGGTTCGCAAGGCTTTTGGATGCACAATTGGCGCCGCTACGACCAAGAGATGGAGAAGAAGGGGAGGAGGATGACGTTGGATCTGAGGTGCGGGCGGCCCAACTGGTACCGCTACCAGACAGCGATGGAGAAGGATGGGAGGAGGATGACGATGGATCTGTGCCCCAATTGGCGCCGCTACGACCAGGAGATGGAGAAGAAGTGGGGGGGAAGATGATGGATTTGCGGTGCAGGCGGCAGGCGATTGGTCGGCAAGCCTGGAACCCAACAATCCTAACCTCACAAATGGCGTTGACGACCACTAGAGTAGCCAAGTGTGGCATTGGAAGACAGTTTAGTGTAATATTAATACTTACACCATTATGGTGTTTTGTCCGGCACAAATATAATTACGGTGCCGATGCCCGGGGAATGGACTCGGATGTGGCAAGACTACTAAACCAACCTGTACTAACCCTAATTGCAATCCCCACTTTGAGCTATACTTCGAACATCTATATAAGAAGCCAAACATTCAAAAATTTCCATTCTACCAAGAAAAAAGAGATCCCATCGACTAAAATCAAGATCAGCCATATCCGCCAAGGTCAGCAAAGTGGTATGGGAGCTTGCCTTTCCAAATCTAGGCTCGACAAACAAAGCAGCAGCTTCGGCGACTAAGACAGACTCTTTCTCCTCTGTGCTCAGCGCATCACTCATAGGCATCTGTCGAGCCCTCATCTCATCAACAGTAAAAGCATTGATACAGCGCATTTGCCCCCTAACCCATGCTTTTCGTCCTTCAGTTTTAGTAATCTCCGCCCGATACACATAGACTCGATTGGGAATTGCGGGTTTTAGAAAGTCAATGTTCATCTTTGCTGTCATTGCCACTCCGCTTTCGAAGAGCATCCCGGCACAGCAGGCAAATACATCATCAAATAACAGGAAGGGGAGGCCACCATGTACGTAGCCGGCGTGACCACAAAGGTATGGCCCCACATAGCATGTTGCAATCACCCGGCGATCTTGCAGACTTTTCTGCTGAGTGCCCTGCAACGATGGAATGAAGAAATATGGGTCGGAAGGAAGCTTTTCTGCGGTAAATAAGGATCCTGCCACGAGGTGACTGGGTCGTGCAGCGGGATGCAGAGTTCGATATGGGCGGACTTCCTTGTAGATCGGCGATTCCTCAGATGTTTGGGAGACTTTTCCATCCAGGCGAAGATGTCGAATCAACGGCAGTGCAGATATCATGTCATCAGCTTGGGATTGGGGCTGGCCCTTTCGTGAGGATCCGATTTTGTCCTCAACTGGCGGGGCTGTCTGAGCAACGGGGGAGGGATGACTCGTGACTGAAGATTGAGATACAGTAGATGCTACTTTGCTGTATCCGCTTCGCCGGCTAGGCTGCCAGCTTGTCGAGAACTTCTTATCGGAGACTTCCGTAACCAATGAGAATGGGTGGAGTGCTCTCATCTGTCCGAATTGCTGGCATAGCACGACACCTTTCAGGGCGCTTGAACCTGAATATTTTAACTTCAAAGCGAGGTGCGATCCTAAGATGCACGGAATATCGAGTCTAAGCGGCATGGTAGAAGATGGACGTCGATGACCCTTGGGTACAGGAGGCCTGGCGATTCCAAATGCAATGAGATTAGCGCGGAGGTTCTTGAACTGTATAGAACAACCAAACTTTTTGAAAAGTGCTTTGATGCATTCAACTGCCGGGATTCCGTCGCACCGAGGGCCGAAGGGCGGGGTATGATCAAGATGTTCGGGTTCAGATAAATGTGGAGCAGAGATCTGCAATACCCAAGGTTCCTTTTACGGTTTGAGGTTCCCACCAAAATTTTCATGGTCTCCTTCACCGTTGAAAAGGGTTGACAGAGATCCATAGAAGCTCTCTAGTCGGTGGGTGGTGACCAACCCTGGCTGACCAAGATGGATACGGCCCGAGGGGCCGATTGTGTGGGGTTTGAAGAGCTGTGGGAACGCCTGCATGTGCAGGGCCAATGCTGCGGGACGTGGCCCGCGTGAGGTAAGATACATTTCAGGCACACAAAGGAGGGATATTGCGATTAGCCCAAGCTAGTCCTAGACTAGGATTTTCTGATGACACAATGCCTCATCATATAGAATTCTCATGAAATCATTGAAAGCCTAAACAAAACAATCGAATCGCTTCTTGAAGTAGCAATTTAGGCTCCGGTGTAAAGAAAGGCTCGAAATAGGCTCCTCAGTATTAATGCACCATCAGCCTGTGAATCAACAGCCTCATCACCCAGTTCTCGCAGCCATTTCGTTTTTCAAGGCTGTCTAGACCGTTGTAAATATCTGACACTAGGCTCTTCAGAGTCTACATAGTGTAACCCATACTACCCGCGCGGTCCAAACAATCCAAGATTGTCTACTTCTGGGGGACGGACAACAACCCGGATGCCCTCCTGTCCTATAGTATGCCGCGCAGTATAAGGTCAGGTGGATGGGAGTTCCAGGCATGAATGATTGGGAAAGAAAATTTCCCCTCATCCAGATCCTCACAGAATCCTTTATCGCTCGTGTACTGATTTCATGTCAAAACACATGTGCGGGCTGACGGGACAGGCCCAACACCCTTTTGCGCGCGCACCACCATGATACTGGCCTGACAGGGTCAATGCCGGTATCGAGGTGTAGCGCAGGGAGTTAGATGAATTTTGCCGGGGCCACCTCCCATCTTCCTACGCGGAGAACTTGTCATCTTATCCTCTGCCGCCGTCGGCCACCTCCCATCTTCCTACGCAGAGAACTTGTCATCTTATCCTCTGCCGCCGTCGGCCACCTCCCATCTTCCTACGCAGAGAACTTATCATCTTATCCTCTGCCGCCGTCGGCTACCTCCTATCTTCCTACGCGGAGAACTTCTCTTCCGAAGACGGGAGCCGCCGCACTTCCGCTAGTAAAATATATACTAAGGGAGAAAGCAGAACGACCTACGCTCGAACAACCTAGGGGCATCCGCTAGACCCCTAAAATTCCTAGGGGCAGACGGCGCCTAAGATTATACACTTCATTCCGCTAAATTAATATCCGATATATCAACTAGTAAATTCACATACGTCAGACGTATAGTTCCGCAGCGGCCCTACTAGCCGCCTTACTAACTAGCCTTTAGCCCTACTACTACGGGATTTATAGCCTTACGGGCACTTAGCTAAGCGAGACCGACGCCTAGGAGTCAGGGGCTATATACGTAAAAGTGATATCCTAGTATAAGGATATATATCTAGAGAAGCAAGCTAGTATAAACGGATTTTTTATCAGCTTAGCTTCTATCTAATATCGACTTTTCCTTTTATCCTATTACTATCACGTCTACGGTAAATTACACTCCCCCCCCTACGTACTATCACCCCGCTTAGCTAAACCCTTAGTAGGGCCCCCGGAGGCAGTAGGTACCCGGATACTCCCGACCGTACCCCTAGATACACTCCCTCCCGAGATCCTCCCTTACTAATACCTAGCTAGAGGTTCGAAATCACTAAGTACCTACCTAAGTAAGTCTCCGTAATAATCTCTTAGCCGTAATAGCCGGCCCTCCCGGCTATTCTTAACTACCCTATTATTGAAAGTCTCTACCTTCTTCGCGAACACTGTCGGAAAACGTCTAAATACGCCGAGGACTACGTCTCGCGACGGGCTAGCGCCGCCTAGGTAAAAGAATTATACGCTATAGTAGATAAGGTTATAGCCCGAGTACTATAGGAATCCTTAGTATCCTATAAGTAGCACGACGTATCTACCTTAGACTAGATCGTCGAAGCTTATAGGTAGTTACCGCAGCTTCGGGGTCCTACTAGTATACCCCAAACCTAGGCGACGCACCCGACGCAGGCGGAACCCTCGCGACCTACGTAATCTATACCCTTAACGTTAAGTATATCCCCGCCGACAGACATACCGGACTAGAAGAATCTTACGCTGTTAATCCGATAGGACGGTGTCACCGTACTATACAGAGATCTTAGCCCCGTATACACCGTACGTAATATCTAAAGGGTGATCGATCGGGTCTACGGGGAAGGCACGGCTATTATTAATACTATACGTAAGCTTAGGAGCGGAGATCTTTAGATCTTCACTCGTAAGGTAAGAGACACCGAGTTCTTAGTTAAAATATACGACGCCTAGCTTCTAAGCCTGCCCTTTAGGACATACGTACGGGTCGTCCCTAGTATATACTCGATCCTAGTATACGGCGTTCTACGGACGATGTTCCCTCGGCGGATTATCGAGTCTGGCGAAGTACGGGAGATTATTCTCTAAGATAATAGCTCTAAGATCCTAGGGTCGAAGATTCTACATATCTACTAGACTAGCGGGCGTAGCGTACTACGTAGCTAGAGGCCTAAAGGCTCTCTAGTTATTAGTTTCTACCGTACGAAGGACGTAAATAAAATACTACAGGAACCGCTCATCCTATAAATATCGCCGTACTGTACGGAACTCTACGACCTATAGGGTATACCTACCTAGTACTACCGCTGTTAAATTTATAGATATATCTAGTGTAGATACCGCTCCCTAATCCGCTGCTCCCTCTATATAGATAACTATATCTAAGCTAACTGTCCGTCTAAAGAAGATCTAGAGAGAAGATACTATACTAACTATAAGGGTCCCTACGCCTCTACAGATAAATCCTACCCGGTATAGACCGAAGCGTCTAGGAAGGCTACAGAGGCAGTCAGGAATAAACCAGCGTTTTTCCCGGAACTACTAGCGTAGCTAGGACCCTAGGAACCCTAGGAACCAGCTAACCTAGCGCCTACACTAGCGATATCTATCCCGATATAGTCCGACGAAGCGTAATAGACAGAGAACACCTCCGTACCGTCGAGCTCGGACGCCCCTTATAAAAGAGGACGCCTAGGCCGGCCTAAGAAGGACGCAGTAACAGTCACTATCTACCCGCCTACGACTCCTACGCCTCTTATACCCGGCATCCGTAAGGTAGCTACCCGAAGCAGCTCCCGTACGAGAACACAAGTAGGTATCCGAGTCCTATAAACCCCTCTAGAGATTATATTAATATCGCCGGAAACGTCGTCGACCGCTAGCTCAGAACCTAGCTCAGAATCAGACGGGATATTAGGTCCCGAAAGATTAGGTACCGATACAGAGATAGAACTATCGGACAGTCTATATAGCCTATTAGAAGGCATATAGTCGGCCGCATCAGACTCAGACGTCCCTCCCTAACCCTTACCGTTTAGTACTCCTCGTAAACACCGCCGCTTAGTATAGTTTAGCGACTAAAGTAGCAATATATAAGGGACCGACTAAGAGAACGCCACCCTAAGCGAGCAACCTTCTAGTAGGATACCGGCGATACTACTAAGGAAGAAACGTAAGTCATCCGGCTACCGCATACCACTACTCTACCTACTAACTTCCCGCCCTAAGAACCGGTACAAATAGTCTAAGCAACGCTTAACTAGGCACGCCTATCTCATAGCTAAAAAGGGACTCTACGCTAACCGGGTACCGTTCAGCAAGCTAGAAGACTAGGCTAAAAAGGAGCGGATAATAACCGAATTCGAGAATACTACGTAAAGGGAAAGGCCAGAGGACCCCGCTATCACAGAGAACCCACCAGCCACAGCCCAGCTAACCACCGCCTAGCTAGCCAGAAAGGACGTCTATCCCGACTACAGATAGTCCAAATCCCATATCGCTAAGAATCCTATAATATAACGTAGAAAACTCCCTAGACCACTACATAGCCCCGCTCCTTCAAGATAAGAAGATCCTAGAATACACTATTCTAGCAATACAAGAGCCGTAGGTATACCAGTACACTAACACCGAAAACACTACACACTTCCCCGGGGAAACCAGAGACCACTTCGACCTCTTTTAGCCATCGGTTCCCCTACCGAACAAACCCAAGGTCTACACTTACGTCCGTAAAGGCCTAAACACACAGCTCGTCTACTATAGCTAGCACTTACTCTTAACCTACGTCACCTCCTAAAGGTATAATTTCTTTATTCACAATATATATAACCCCCCGGAATCTGCCGAAAATCACAGCGTACAGGACCTCCGAGCGGCACTACGGAAGGCAGATAACATTCCGGGGGACAACCACCACATCATCGTAGGCGATTTCAATATCTAGGACCCGCTATAGAGCTCTCCGGGCCTAGTCCAGGCGTTAAACAGGGCAAGGGCGGAGGACTTTAAAATACTAATCGAAAACACCCCCCTTAAGGTCCTTACACTATACAGTCTAGTCACGAGGCCGGCGCTACATTCCTAACCAACCTCCCTCGGTACGACACTCGATCTCTACCTCTTATCCTAGTACCTATAATCTCAGCTACGGTATATACGGGTAGCTTATATCTCAGGGCTCTCCGACTACCTCCCTATTAAATCGGAATTCAATATACGCCTTATACTAAAAAGTCGCCCCTAGCTACGAAACTAGACAAAAATAGACTCGGACAAGCTTAATACGACCCTCGCCCCCCTCCTCGCCGCTACCGATTAACTTCCCCTTATCTATCCGTCCGACATCGATAGAGCCGTTACCGGAATAGTAGACGCCCTTTATACCTCTATCGAGGCAAGCACGCCGTAGCTCCGGCCTACGGACCTCTTAAGGCCCGGCTTTACCTAGGAGTACCGAGAACTACAGAAGAAGGTAAAACGGGCGTATAGGGATATAACCCGGCATCAGGAGCTATACTAGGAGGAGGCACTAGTAATATTAAAAGCGAAATACGTCCGAGCAAAACGAATCAGCCGCAAAAAGATTAAGAGGTTCCGGAACTAAGCCCATCAATAAAAGATCACCGAAGCGGCGGAATCGGGAAGTATAAAATAAATCTAGAACCTCTCGAAATAGGCGAAGGATCGGACGCCCTTCCAAGCGTACACCCCCCTCTTAAGGGGCCGGACGAGCAGCTTCGGTTTAGGCCAAAAGAGAAAGCAGAACTCCTAGTAATAGCATTCTTCCCTACCCCGCTACCGGCAGACCTTAGCAACATTAACAGAAGGTACCTACCGCCCGTAGATATACTACCGATCAACCCCTTAGAAATCGCGAACGCTATACGGAGACTAAAGGCAGACCGGGCACCTAGCCCTAACATAATTCCGAATCGAGTCCTATAAGTAGCGGCGGACGTCCTTACGCCCGCCCTTACCAAAGTATTTAACTAATACCTCTAACTAGGATACTGCCCTATACACTTCCGAGAGGCCTACACCATCGCTCTCCGGAAGCTAGGGAAGGACGACTACTCGGAACCTAAGTCGTACCGGCCTATAGCGCTCCTTAATACACTTAGGAAAGCCCTCGAGGGCGTAATCGCCTTACGACTTAGCTACCTCGCGGAGAAACACTAGCTACTCCCGAGGAATTACTTCGGCGGACGGAAGGGATAGGGTTACGATACCGCCCTTTACGCGGTTACAGAGGCGATACGAAACGCCTAGAAGTCGAAGAAGGTAGCATCGATCCTTTTCCTCGATATATTAGGCGTATTCGATAACGTCTCCTACCAGCGCCTACTATATAACCTAAAGAAGCGTCGGATACCGCCCTTAATCATCGCCTAGGTCGAGTTATTCCTATCGGAAAGATATATAACACTTAAGCTACCGGAATACTCCCGTACCCGTACTAGAGTACACACTAGCATCCCCTAAGGGTCCCTAATTTCCCTAATCCTCTATCTATTCTATAATACAGATATAATAGGCGAAAAACGGCACTCTAGTAACTTCGGATATATCGACGATACGTATATACTTATCACGGGAAAATTAGAGAGCCAAAACTGCAGAACTATTACCCTAGCTTTCAAGGAATACGACAAGTAGGCGTCGACACACGCCTCGGTTTTCTCCCCCTTAAAATTCGCCCTAGTACACTTCTATTACCCGTACCCCTACCCGAACGTCGGACGACGACGACGGTAGGCAACAGAGGCGGAGACCGCCCTAAACACCCGCCCAGTCGACCTCGGTAACGGACGAATCGTTAAACCTCGCAAATCGGCAAAGCTCCTAGGGGTTAAACTTAATTCCTACCTCTTCTTCGAGGATCATCTTAAAGAAATCGATAAAAAGTACTCTAAAGGACTATAAACGGTAGCAGCCCTCGGCAAATCGAAATAGGGCCTTAACATCAAATAGAAACGGATGATTTATAACGCATACATCGCCCCTAGGGCTATATATCCATCCTCGGTCTAGCACCTTCCGCGGATATAAGGCTAGAAAGCCCGCTATAATAAGTAGGTCCGCCTACTTAACGCCATCTAAAGACGAGCAGGCCTAGGTATCTCGGGGGCCTTCCGAACGGTCAGCGGGGACGCCCTTAACGCGTAGCTCTACCTCCAACCGATAGCGCTTAGGCTTAAAGAAAACCGCTACAAAACACTCTCCCGCCTCGGCACTTCTCCCGCCTACGCCGCTATCCGAAACAGACGAACGTACTACAGGAAGCCGCTATACTAGTTACCGATAGAGCACGCCGAGGAAGAACTCTCACTTCGAGCGGATTACGAGATAGACGACTTAGAATACCGCCTCCCCTTCGTAGTACCCCCGTAGTAGCAGCCCCCCCGGTAGATATTACGGAAACTAAAGCCGAGGCGTTATTTATACACGATATTAACTATACAGTCTTCCTAGACGTCCCTCGCCTATATACAGACGGATCGGCACACCACGACGAGGTAGGCGCCTCAGCGTACTATAAGTCACCGTTCGCGGAGGAGATAGCCTTTCTAGGGCCTAAGTCTACGAGGAATATATATACGGCAGAAATAACCGGGATCCTCCTAGCGCTCTACATCGCTACGTCTAACGAGGGATTCTATCGAGATATCGTAATTTACTTAGATAACTAGTCCGCCCTTTAGGTTATAAAAAACCCCTAGTAGGGGTCGGGACAATATATCATCACAGAAGCTATACGCCTACTTAACGAGCGTACGATAAAAGGCTAGCGTACGTCCTTCTACTAGATACTAGCACACTCGGAGGTACCTAGTAACGAACATACGGACTAACTAGCTAAGTAAGTAACCGGATAGCGCACAGAGAAAAAGGACTACCTCGGGCCTCGCGCCCCGCCCCCTCCGGGAATCACGCTAAAGACTCTCTAATCATCCGTTAATACCTAGATTCACAGTACAATCAAGCAACAATAGGAGGACGACTAGAGTAACCCTCCTACGGGCGTTTCGGGCTAAGCCTTAAAGAAAATCATACCCTAACTCTTAAAATCATGTCTTAAGCTCTTTTACGGGCTATCGGCGGCAGAGCGGGCCGCGATCGTCTAGGCGTATACCGGCTACATCGGGCTAAATACCTCGCTCTACCACATCGGCAGAGCAGACACAGCTACCTACCCCGGATACGAGGATAACGAAACAGCCTACTATATTATCCTCTTCTACCTAGCGTACGGTAATCTTCGACGGACTACCTAGCCTCACGGACCCCCCTTATTAATAGAACAGGCCCTAAACGACGTAAAATACGTTAAGGAAACTGCTAGTTTCCTACTAGCGACAGGCCGACTTACCTACCTAATTCTACCGCCGGACATCGGAAGCTTAGACCAGGACTCGGACTCGGACGACTAACCACCGCAGGACACTAAGGTACTTCTCTCTAGATCGACGGCAGATAAGCCTACATAAGGACGCCGGATTAACTATATAGGAAGGCTTTATATAGGGATTACGAGTGTAACACGCGACTATCTCCGATTTACCGCACTCCTATCTCTCAATCCACTAGAATTCAATATCCTATAGGGAACCTTACCTTACAAGACACAACCGTCAGTACGCACTACGGGAGCACTACCGAACTAAGGGACAGAGATACCAGGGGACATACAAACGAGGACAATAACGGGAGATAGATACACAAGGGGCGCTAGACACACAAGAACAAACGTTAGACCCAAGAAAAGATATTGAACACTTACAGAAGCACACCTCGAAAGGCACGTAAAAAGCCCCACCTCAGAACCGCACGCTACGCCGCACCACAAGCCGCACAAACAAGCCGCACAAGCAAGCCGCACGCGAGAAGACAGAAGAGGAAAGGGCGCGAGAGTCACAGCGAAGAGGAAAGAAGTGCAGGGACCAAACGAAGAAGTAGGGAGGGAAATAACGAACTGGCCAAACAGAGGGAAATTTGTACATATAGGCATCTCCCCCATGGTTCACCGGCCTCGTAGCCGCTGGCAACTCGGAAAGAGCCCCAGAAGGGAGCTGTAATCGAGTATAAGGCAATAATCAATCAATCAATCAATCAATCAATGTCAAAACACATCGGAGTCTCGGCAAAACTAGCACTCGTACCTACCTTAGTATCCATCAAATTCATGTAGTCATCGCGAATTTGGAAGTATCTTCCGATCAAAGACATAAAATCTGCAGAGATTGCTCTAAGCAGTATTTTCAGTCTCATGGCTAAGAATTCCAGGGAAATATGTAGAACAAATACCTATCGTGGAGCGAAGACGCACTCTGTAACATTAATCGTGCAATCAATCTGAACAGACCCCCCCCCTCTCTAGACGCAGAATGTTAGCATCCAATCCTGTGGGATCCTTGTACAAAATTTGGATGGAACATACTTTGGGTAACCATCCCTAGGTATTCCTCTTCCGAGGGACATTCGCCTTGCCGCGTCCAGTGTAAGCCAAAGCTTTGGCCAATGAACAAGTTTCGAAGTTCATCAACAAGTATAGTCATGCACTGAGGGTCATCGAGGTTGCGGGCCTCGTCTATGACGTCTATGAGCATGTAGTTCGCAAAATTGATAGTCAACGCAGGACCAAAAACTGTGTGAGTAGCAGGGTTGTCCCGCCGAAGGGGAATCTTCGATATCATCCAGCCTATGACCATCAACAACTGTGTAATATTTCGAGATCAACTCCATCTTACATAAGAGACGAGCTGTGTAGCTTCTGCGCTATCGATTTTACTGTCTTGACTGTACGACTGGGAAGACCCAGCCAGACATTCAATCCGTCAATAAGAGCTTCACGAACACCCTTTGAGGGAAGAGAATTGATATATTCGAAGGGAGCAAGTAGAAGCTGGAAGAATCCGCAACGTCAGCGCAAGGTGGGAATTTGATTATTTGAGAGAACAGGAGAATAGACCTCAGTACCCAAATGTACTGTGTTTTGGGGGTTTGAAGTCATTAGTGAAATCTTCCAATGATGTCACTGAAGATCTGCTTGACGGGCTGGATTTGGGGGTCCCCGTAGACGACAAACTGCTCTCGGAATCTGTATGTTCTTGAGCAGAATGCTCCGAGATTGCGACTGAGCCCCTTCGGTCCTGTTCATTTGACGTATCCTTCTTATCATCGGTGCCGCTTTGCAATAGGGCTTCTCCCTCAGCACAGAGCTCGGGATGGTATCGAGGGCACCGGAGGCTCCAAGCAATATTCCCTGGGAATTGAAAGGCCAACGTTCTCAAGTACTCACATAACTTCCGAGGGCATTGTTCTTTGTCCGCGATAAAACTATCCATTCGTTGCTGGAATTCTACTTCATAGCCACGCACTACCTGTCGAACTTTCTCCTTCGCCTCGGCAATGGAAATGTTTTCCCACTTCATGTATAGCCACACAGCATTTGTCATAGTGCCGGCTTCGTATGTCTTATCTGGTTGTTGGAACTCTTTCCACTCGATGTCGAAGGAATAGTACTCATTAGCCAGCCCAAGAGCCGCAAAGCATGGTTTAACGATCGGGGCAACACGTTCTTCTTCTTCCTTGGCCAAGAGGATGCCCATGCCGAAACGCATCACGGCATCGACAAAACTAGAAATAGGTCAAAATCCTGAAATAATTTTTTGGCCTCTAGGCGCTCGTATGGACGGTTAAAAACTCACGGAGCACCCGTGTCAATGATTCGATAATCGACATAATCTTCAATATTGTCGAAGATGCAGGATTTGTCGCGAGAGGCGGTCGTCGCAACCATTTCCTTCCAGGCTGCGATCACCACTTCAGCACAAGGCTTGTCAATTGCCAGAAGCTCCAGCAGCATCTTAGACTGTATTTGTTTCGTTCCAGTCGTTGATCGTACAGTGCGGTACTCGGTTTCATTCAAGACAATATTATCGTTTCCTTTATCCAACTTCATCGGCATTAGCATCTGTTACTGACCTTGCCGAGATTAAGTGCACTGATGCTTACCGACACCTTTGATACAGATTCAAGTACATTGTCGTACAAAAAAGCATCTGAGAAAATGGACATGCATGTCAGCTTTCGTGTTCTCAAGTTCGCACATACCAAAGCTTGGCGCAAATCACTTACATTCAAAAATATCCGAGACGAGTGCTAGCCTCTCAGGCTTGCACCGTGGTAGAACTACCGATGCAAAATTCCCGTCGAGGGGATTGCAACAACCCCACCGCTCAATTGGGCCAATGTATTTCCTCCAGTCATCGCGACAGCAAAAGGATCCTTCGTTCGCGTTCTCCTCATGCTTATGGCGGCGGAGTGTGTAGTTAGGGCAGAGCCCATCTATGTTGGACTCCTGTCGTCTCACTCGGTAAGATGTGTCGTCTGGTTCTGATTGAGTGTTGTGGTAATCCATTGCTTCGAAACTCAGTGGCTAGCCATATGGAAAATGGTGGACTTCCTCGGAGGATGCTCAGAGGCTGTCCTATGTCTACAACCCGCGCGCATGATATATGTTGTTGACACATTCGTGCAACCATGGGTCCGAGATGACTTCATTTGGCGGTAAGCGATGTTTATCATTCCCTTCGGGTTCGTGCGCGGTGGGTCGGATGGGGCACACGGTGGCACATCATAATGCCGTGCCATAGCTACAGGCCTTTTCCACAAGATGGTAGAGGACGAGCCGATGCATGTGACATCAGATCTATGTCACACGGGGCGAATTTTTGGTCGTAAGATGAGAACTCGAATAGTTATGGAGCTGCCGTCGAGCTCAGACGGGAGTAGGAGAGTGGATCTTGTTCAATTCGGCATGGGGGGAGCACGAACCGGTTCGTTCCAGGTTCCAGGTTCCCCAATGGTAGCATAATTGGCTAGGAGCTATCTCAATCGAAACTTAAAGTCCCTAGAGATTCGTAGAACAACAACGAGCTTCGTTGCCATTCATTGCCATCCGTCCGCATATCTGACACCACCCGATCTGTATAGATGCGTCATGTCGCATATTTTGATATTCACGCAAATTCCTGTTCAGCCAGATCTGTACTTCAAAATAACCTGATCTCGAAAAAGAGACTCTCTTATCTCTTCCCCGGGGTCATAAAAGCTGGAAGACCCGGGCTCGCCCCCGGGATTCCATTCTTATATAATCCTGCACAATCACCAGTAGTCAGCGGACATGGCGGCTCCTCCCGAATGCGATGAGTCGCTTACGACGGTTATGCAATTATGCGCTGAACGAGATCTTTTGACGCGGCCCGAGGGCCTCGAAAGTGGCGATCTATCCAACGGGGTATCAGACCCGCCCACTCTCTTGCATGTTGCTGTTATGCTGACCTTTTGTTTCTTGCTTTGGTCTGTTTGGAGCTCACATCCACAGACGGTTTTTAACCGCCCGTCGATTCGATCCCGATGCTGCCCTTAAGCAATTCCAAGAAGCATCACAGTTTCGCCGAGAGAAGCATATCGTCAAGCTTTATGACATGGTTGAGATTACTGATTTTGAGCAAGCTCGCCAATTTGTGAATTTTCGCTTTCCATATTCGATTTCAAGTCAGAATACTATACTAATTTGGCGATACAGCACCCACATTGAACGGGTCGTACAGACAAAAGAGGCTTACCGATATGCATGTTTAATCTTTCTTGTCTTGATAAAAGAAACCTAGCGTGCTGGGAAAAGACATGCCATACCGCCACTTGGTCAAATTCACAGACCAAGGCAAACCGACCGCCAGAGCCCGATATGTTGCAGCTTGCCTCGGTCTTCCACGACAGTTTGAATCGTCTGGTGTTACCCCTCTGCTCTATGATGACCGACAGGCCGAACCCTTTGGTACCAATCACCAGCTCCATATATCTCGTGGACGCATCCGGCTTGGGATTGAAGCAGGGATGGAGCTTAAGATACTTTGCCCAAGAAATCAGTTGGTTGCTATCAACATGTTATCCGGAGACCATCCAGCGCGTCTTTGTAGGTGGCCACCTGACATTGCATGTACGTGTTGTACGAATATTAACATCAACCATACTAGGTGTGTAATGCTCCCTCGTATTTTTCCACGATCTGGAAATATTTGAAATCGTGGGTCGACCCAAATACGGCAGAGAAGATTGTGGTGCTCAGTAGCCCGGAGGTCTTACCCACCCTTGAGGAGTACATCGATAATAGCAACATTCCGACTGCATTTGGCGGTGGTTTTTCCTTCAGGCACGGAATGCTACCAGAGCTAGATGATAATATCTGGCGGCATTTCAGCTGGAGACTCCCAAGTCGCCCTCTGCCTCCTGGGCCCATCAAGTGGATCGAGATAGCGGATGGTCGGATAACGGCACTCGCTGTTGGTGGCGAAGCAGGGTCTAAGAGAACTGAAACGATTGCGACCTTAGATCCTGTTAAAAACTGATTCGGCAGATCGAGCGCCGAACCGATGGTTTTCAGTGTGTTTGACACTGATACGGCACATAATGCTCTCCTCGAGGACCTATCAGCGATTATTAGGGGATATATTTCGCTAAGCGTCTAAAATAATCACAATAAACCGCAAAGAGCACTCTAGAGCATCTGAATGACGTTAGATTGGATAGAGTCTTAGCATACAGAGTAGGGCGGGGACTCCCACTCCGGTTTCCTAAGAGGTGCTGCTTAGGTGTGATGGGCACATTCGAAATTGGCCGTTCAGTCACTCTTGCTTGCACACAGTGTCGGAGAAAAGAAGACTAAGGTTAAACCCCAGAAAACCTACTCCTAGGTTTAACGATAGGGCCGACATGATATCCCCGACAAAGTATTCTGGAACGATGCCGTGCATAAGATGTGTAACCGAAATATACTATTGTTCATATGACTAAACCGGTGATCGCCGATGCAAAGAGATATAGAGCCCGGTTATCGAACTTCTATACAACTTTTGAGAATCCTTGTTTTTGTAGTTGATTAACCCCTACTTAGCTAACCAGTTGGTTATAACTATCGTATTTTTGCCACGTGCGCATATCTGAGCACGTCATAGCCCTCTTTCTCTTTCGATGTTGCAGATCTGTTAATTCTTTCCTGACCGGCTCTCTGCGGTATTTGTTAGGCGAGAACGCTAAGCTTACGGCCTTCATATATAGGCAGATATTAATAGAAAGTAATCCATGATACCAACGACCAACGTTTAAAGCGTGGCGATGCTAACTTGTTCTGGTCGCTTCCACGGGCGTCGTTCTATAAATTAGCCTAAGACTCTGTTACGCCCTTACAGGGGAGGATGTCCTTAACGTCTTTCTTGGCAATCTAGCCCTCCCGCTTATCCGTACAGACGGCTTAGACGGCTTAGACGACTCTTTGAACAATCTCGCATCCGATCTCGCGCTCTTCCTATCTCTTTTTCGTGAACAGATAACGAAATAGTACCTTAACGAGAGCATTGCTCATCATGATAACTTGATTTTCGCAATGCCGCCAATAGATATACTGATAGCGGTTGTCTCTGCAATTCGAGTATTTGGAAGCCCGTCGCTCCGCGCCTTCATCGGCAAAGCTTAGGAAGGAAGAGGAAATTCAGAGACCGGATTATGCTCCTCTACAAGCCGGGACATATCCATGCTCTATAACAATGGCGGCATTGCGTGCGTCTTTGGTCGTCCGAATATTCTGGGGTTTATTCACAAACTATCAATAATACTTCGTAGATGGGATAGCGGGGATATACACGACTCAATAATATATTTAAGAGGCAAGGAATTTTGGCATAAGACAGAGAAAAAGGCTTGAGCTCAGCCAATTATGACCCGTCTGCCGCTGCGTCTGGGATATAACAGAAAGCCGTACTCAATTTTTTTTGCAACTTTTTAATGACCAAGTTCCTAATCCAGAGCCAATTTTCCCTTACTTCTGACCGCAGCAATAATGATACAATATGTAATAGCAAATTTTTTAAGCACTCCATAAACTGTTTTACTCCTTAAACTCAACTTCCTTTCCACTTTTCATTCCTATAGCAGCGTAACTAACAGGATCTGTCGTAATAGTAAATAATTGCTCAGTTGTGTCTATCCTGGAGAGCTTACCCAGCTGCTGTAAGATGACTTGTTCCCCAGGCATAAAATGAACATCTTGCGTGCACTTGAGCTCAACACTGGAATTTGGAGTTTGATAAATAATGACCCGGTCAACTTCTCCGGTAACATATTCCATTCCATCGGGCTCAATCATTTTGCCACCAATCTGAGCACCGACGTGGCTTCCCTCTTGTAGGGTTATAGGATCGCGGTCGAAATATGCTTTAGGCATACTGGAGATTCGCGGTACATTCACAAATGAGGATCTTCAATACGATAAAGATATTAGTGAAATTGGATTGAAAGTACTCTTGAGTTTCTAGCACAAATATATAATAGGCTCGCTAGAAGGCCGATATCTTATAGCGACGAATTGGGGCCAAGCCGCTTTCATCATTGTGACATCATCCATCCTGTATATGATGAGGTGGAGTTAGGTAGAGACGTAATGTAAAATCATCACCTAAATTCATCTATTTCGGCAGATTATTAAAGAAGATTAACTAAACTCCATGGAATGCCGCTTTGACTGCCCTTCGGCAGTAGTTGCAGTGTGAAGTGGGGGACGCGATTAGCAGCATCTCGAGTCTGCTGGGAGGCTCAACTGAAGGGACACAGTCTCGCGAGCCAGGGCGGTCAAGGCCATTCTGGACGCCGAGGTGTCACAACAGTTTCGCGCTTCAACAATTCTCGGCTTTAGCTTTCCTCGTTGCCCCGACCTCTTGACTAGCTTCGGCTTCCGCTAGAATACGAGACTTCATTACTTTAACCTTCTTCATATCTTCCTCTTCCTTCAGAGCTTAAGGTTTTTTCTCTGTCTTAGCCTTTTACCTGGCTTTGGCTCCCTCTAGAGATTAGGCCTTTGCTTCCACCTTGGTTTAAGCATGTGGTTCGGCTTCAGTTATATGTGGAACCGCTTAGTGGAGGAGGTGAAAGCAATTTAACTTTGTTACCATAATATTGCCAAAGCTCCATATACATACCGACTTCCATCATCGTGGCATCTTCAATGATTTAAGGCAGCCCCGATGTTTTCGCCTGTCGGCGGGCCCCTATTGCTGTGGCCAATGTCTCCATATAGTGTCTTTCAGCCCACCCTTGGGCCTGGGAACGAGATACCCCACCCCAAAGGGCTTGACTGTTATGGACCCAGTTATCAGACTGGAATTGCTTAAAATCTCTGCTGCCTCCTTGATAGACAAGGATTGCGGAAAACCCCGGCTAAGTGGTTGTCAAGACGATATTTAGTTCAAGAACCATAGCCAGGTATCTTTAATATCTATCAGCGGCCTTAAGAAATTAGGGAATTACTAATTCTAGCTCTATATATATAGTACTAGGATAGGAAGGGCTTCATGACAGTGGCGTTCACTAGGTCGTACTTTTCCTTTCCCCCAAAATCAGCATCCATGTCATGTAGCTGCTTGAGGCTTTGGGCTTAGACAAAATCGTATCGACTTTTATATCTCGACAGAAACCGCCCAAGGTGCATCGAGCCTCGTTCGACTTATACGTAGGCCGGCATTTTTTGGAGCTGATGTGGGCTTTCTCTCGGCAATGGAGATGCATCTTTTGGCTAGTTGGGATGGGTGGGACAGGAAAATCGACTATTTCTCGCACAGTGGCAATATCCGTCAGCAATAACAACTCACTAGGGGCCAACTTCTTGAAGAGAGGTGGGGGTTTTCAATTAGTATTCCCCAGCTACTCTCTTCCATCTAGCAGGCAGTCCATGACGACTCAGGCATTGCAGAGAAGACCATGAAGAAGCAGTTTAATAAACTACTCCTTTAGCCACTCCCTAGTTAAAATCAGCTGATTTTAATACAATAATCTCCTGGGATACCTTGGGCAGGCCCTCATCTGAATATTGTCTATATCAGATTTTATTTTACATCCGCCCACCGGGCCAATAGTCCAAAGAGGTTCCAAAATGTTTCCAAAGAGCTTTTCTGCTTAATCCTAGACAGCGCCTTATATTCTTGCCTTGTCGCAAATTCTAGGCCTAGTTGAGGAATGCATATAGGATACACATAATACGTTATTTAACTCTTCTAGTGGATTTTTGCGGGAGGCTAACAGAGAATCTAAACAATACCTAAGTCTTCAAACTTCAAAGAAGGATCCCCTAGGAGTATTACTACGTACTATTAATATCGAGCCTCGACTCGGTGAATCTATTTCCGTGATTAGCTCGGAAGGATTAGTTTAGGTCGCCTAAAAAGTAAAGATAGGGCTAGGACGCAAGCGGGAAGGACGGTAAGAGAGAGGGAAAGTTTAGCCGATAGGCCTCGTCAGCGCTTTAGGGATATTCAAGGCGTCGGGTGAAGAATAGAGGGGCTTCAGGCCATTTAGGTGAAGGGGCTGAAGAGTAGAGCGATAAGGGTAGTCGTCCTAATGAATTAGGAAAATGGTGAATAAAAAACATACAACAGCCAGGATTCGCATGTGGTCACCCACCATACTACTAACTGGCCGGCGTGTGGCTTAAGTACGGCTGAGCGGACGGGAAGCCCTGTTCTCCACACCCTATGGTCGTATGTACTAAAGACCAAACTAAGAAGTTACATAATGCTCACAAAAAGCTATAGTTTTCATTATAAGTGGAAGGATTCTTGGATAGCGCGAATATATATACCACGATGATAAAGACTAGAGAGATATAGTCTAAAGCATCGACTATAACAGGAATAAATAATAATATTTAGAGTGGCGTGAGTGAATAAGACTTGAAGATTAAAAGTAAAAGCAAAAAATCAAAATAAATCAAAATATAGAATAGCCAGGATTCGTATATAGTCACCCACTATACTAATAACTAACCGCTATAAAGCTTAAATGCGGCCAGTAGGGGTGAGAGGGGTAAGTGCGTAATAGATAGGGTAAGAATTGGGGTGAGAATGGGTAGGAGTTATGCGCCGTCACGCGCCCGATGCACTGACCCGCTTAACTGAACTGAGAAGTGCACGCAATTGGCCTGTATCCTTTCACCTGAAACGCTCGCCCTCTTGGCATCTGCATAGAGCCATCGTATATGGGCGGTTAGCACGGAGTTAGTAAGGTTGGTTTGGTCAATGATGCCCCCTTAGCCCTGATGCCCTATACTGAAGTGAGACTACTGGTTTGTTGACTACCACGTAAGACAACGGCTAACAGAGCTGGAAGCCATACACCTACACCGCAATCCTACTTCTATCAAACACCGTCCCTAAGACCATTTATCTTACAAAGCTCCTAGCTAAGATGTGTTAATAATTCTTGCAAGAATATTAGCCTGTTACAAGAAAGTCATGTTTCACTCCCGTTTCATATTCAGAAGCCACCCAAGATCTCAGTTGGGAAATCCCAATGAGCAACGTGATTGGCATAGACCCCTGTTCGTAGAGTCCACATCGCGCTTGACTAGAGCTGCAGCTAGGTCTCCGACAATCACACTGGGGCGGTGCTCAACTTTTCCTTTAAAAAGGGGCTCTAACACCAATACACCATTACATCCAAACTTGCACTCGAGTTCCAACTCGCCTACTGGCAGTAAGATCAATAACAGGCCCCATATGGATCCTCGCCCTTCCGACCTTGTGCTCGACAGCCGTATACAAGTTGAATTTAGCACCAACTTCACGTATCGGTTCACTGTACAGTCGAAGGTATCTTCTACTCGCCATGTCAGACGAAGGCAGCACAAGGAGACATGGCAGGTGGTAAAATTACTGGGAAGTGGATCATTTGGTACTGTTTCTTTACAGGAATACTTGCCGAGCGAGTGCCAAGCGGAACTGCAGGCCGTGAAGATGATCAAAAAGGCCGTCGTCTCTGACGGAATCGATTATTATAAGGAACTTGAAGCGATTGCGAAGTTCTCGCAGAAAAAAGTACGGTACTTAAATCTCGGCAACTAGCTGTATTAACATCCGGTCCAGCAGATAGGGCTGACGGTGTATTCTAGTATGAGGGCCTTTTTGTCGAGTTCATTGGCTGGTATGAGAGTGATGATTCTGTGTTCATTGCTATGGAGTATATGGAACATGGTGATCTGGATGTCCATCTAAATGCGCCATTGCCCGAACCTGAGGCTCAGGAAATCACATTGCAGATAGCGGAAGGTCTCAAGCTCCTCCACGAAAATGGATTTGCTCACCGAGATCTTAAACCTGCGGTAACACAGTCCTCAGCTGAGGGAAAGATGAATATTGCTGACAAGAGCAGAATATCTTTGTGTTCCGCAAGGGCCCTGATTGGTGGGTCAAAATCGGCGACTTTGGATTCAGCAAACGCGTCACTGAGAAGGACGGACTTCAAACATGGGTTGGAACACCAGTTTTCCTTGCCCCGGAGGTTCAGATGCTGTATTCCTCCGGCATGAACGACGATGATACTCTATATCATTATACAGAGAAAGTCGACATATGGGCGCTGGGCGTGATCACCTTCTATATGATCTTCCATGAATATCCATTCACCCCCAGGAAGCCCATTGGTCTGCTACAATATGTTCAGGGAGCAGATCTTCCCTTCCCAAAATCCTCGCGGTCAGGAATTAGTCATGGGTGTATTAGCTTTATTAAGGCCGCCATGGCTCCGAATGCCTCGAACAGATTGTCTGCAAAGGAAGCCATTGAATCTGAGTGGCTAAGGCGGGCGGACATCCCAGTCGCGGAAATAGCAAGCTTGCAAATAAGTGAGCGTAAACTTCCGGACAGCGCTTCGGTTCAGAATTTGGAGGACGCAAGATTGGGACCTACACAAGGTCCGAGCATGGGAGCAGTCAACAAGGGCAATAGTATATCTCCTACTTGCGCCGACATGCCCGCGCACGAAATGCAAGTCAGCCCGGGGTCATCCGCCAGAGAGGGTTGCACTACATCAGAGTCAGAACCATCACCTACGCAAGAAACTCGAACTGGATCTGCATCACACAAGGACGCGGTACAATTGCAACTGGACAGATTGCAGTCAATTCATACTCAGGGTGTGCAACTTTTTCGCAGGAAATTCTTCCGCGAAGCTGAAGACAAGCTTCGACATGCCGCCAAGGCACGCAAAAAACTCCTTACTTTGAAGCACTCGGACACTCGAAACTCCTATCATTGCCTGGGCGTGCTTTATTACCATATGTCCAAGTATTCACAAGCCGAACAACTGTTTCAATGGGTACTGGAAGTCCAGGAGAAGCTGTACGGTCCCAGAAATCAATCCACACTCAAATCACGGTATTGGATCGGAGTCGTGATGATCCGAGACGGGAGACTTCAAGAAGGAATGGCTGTGCTGCAGTCAGTGGTGAAACTCCAACAGGATGTCCTTGGGCCGAATCACCCAGAGACCCTTCTCACATTATCTGAGATTGAGCAGCAGAAACCTACTCCGACCTTGGGACTTCAAGGTAGCACTTCTTCGCAGCAAAATTCCGCCTCGCTGCAGCTGCTAGAGATTGAGAAAGCCACAGAGTCCATGCAGAAATCTATTCGGGAACTTAAATCTAGATTGGGGCCAATCTCCCCGCGATGTCAGGAACTTCGAAAAATTGCGAGAGTGAGATTACCATTCCATCTTCCCCGTTTCCCACCAATCTTGAAGGACGATTCACACCCATACAAAGTGAAAATCCATTACCGCACTATGGCAGAACTCGGTCAGAGGCTGCACGGGCATGGAGATTACCATGTTGCCCAAGATAAGCTCGAATTGGCAGTGAAAGGTCTGAAAGAGGTTTTTGGGCCAACGCATACCGAGCCCCTGAAAGCCCTCTACTGGCTTGGCCGTAATCAATACGAGCTGGGTCAATACAAAATCGCGGAAGATCTATTCAGAGAAGTGATGGATGGATTCACTAAGAGTTTGGGGAAAAGCGATAGGGAGACACTGAATGCTTTGCATGCTACTGCACTAGCGCTTTCTAAGCAAGGAAAGTATAAAGAGGCTGAATCCATCTTTCTCTCTGCGTTCAATGGATTCAAACAGAAATATGGCTCATCTGACCAGGATGCAATGCGCTCCCTCTTCCAGCGTGGATTTGTCTTATGCAAACAGAAGGAGTTCAAACAGGCTGTATCAATCCTCGAAAAGGCTCACCGAGGCCTCAGACACTTCACAGGACCGAGAAGTGACGAGACAACTGAGTGTGCTTATTGGCTTGAACGTGCATCTAGGCGTTGCGGAGGTACCATAAAGTCAAAGAAGTTTCGCGTCCGACTTCCACCCCCAGGAAGCAACACAGCACGCACAGATCAACAAGCTATTGGCTAGGGCTAGCTACATATCGTCGATGAGAGTACGATCAAGCAATTATGTTCCTAAATCAAGCACTGAGGAACATAACACCATTGCTGGTGAAAGTTGGCTCGTCGAACAAACCGACGCCTATACGATCCTACTAGTAGATCTTGTTTCCGAATGTTTCGTCTATCCTACGAGTTCTGTGCGGAACTCCTCAGTGCTCCTTAGCAATTCGTGATATCTAGATGGAGGGCAATATTCATATCGGGGTGAGAGAATCAAGGTTCCTATTTTGGCAACACGTAGTCTAAACTCCCGAGGATGGCTTCCTCCACTACTAGCTCACTGTTAAGATCAGTGATTATATTAGGTGTATCCTTAATGGCGTTGATCTCTTGGAACAGAGCACTGATGCTCTGTAGTGTTACCATAGTAAATACCCAGGACCCAGCAACTGTACTTGCGGATCCATGCTTCTAAAAATGCCGCAAGAGAATTGTAGGTATAGAAGAATAAGGGCTTAGGGGCAACACTTGTTCCGGTATTTTATAGACAGGGTCCTCTTACTGTTTGTCTATAATTGCAACCCCAGGTCTAACGCGTACTATACCTCGAACTGGGTAGCTAGACATTTATTCTGGAGGCCTAGGGCGAGACAACTTGGTTGCCGCCGGTGGCGCCCTATATGCAAGACCACTTCCCGCCCTATGTAATGTCCTACCCATTCGACAGGGATCCTCTGCTTCGAACCGCAGAGGTTACTGGCATCTCATAGGTCGTACTAGTAGTGCCTCCCGCATGTGCGATGCCTCGCCGCGTGGTGGTTGTCGTGATGGGCCAACTGAACAATCAACCACACGGCGGGCCGGACCGGGAGAACGTCTCGCCCCTCAACAACCAGGGGTTGCAAACTTGATCGCTTATAATTGATGGATACCAATCCTGGTGGGATCAAATGATGCAGTCAGCCATGCCCCCCTCTGGCGGTCCGGCCCCTCCCAGGCCCTTTCACCTTGTTGGGAGGCTGCTCACCCTATAAGCTGAGTATCGGGAAATAGACATATTTCCCTTAATGTTCACACTCGCAAGATAATCCCGCAAATGGAACATCAACCCTTTTATACTCCCAGCCCCCAGCCCCTATTTCTCGCACACAAAAGTCCACCCTCCATTCTATCCGACCTTATGGATCTTTGATCAGCTCCGATCAAGTGCCGGGACGGGGGAGTAAACTTACGCAGTAGTTGCTTCTGGCTTGAGGTGATTTGATGTCAATGATATACCCTCAGTATCCATTTTATCCAATGTTCACACTTGACCCCTCTTTATTCCAGCCGATCGTCAGGGCTGTGTTGTGTTTCAACCTAATCATGGACGAAGCCCCGGTTTCTCTTGGTGGCTATCTCCAGTGTAGGATGAGTGGCGGTTGCAGGGTTCATGAGATATGGTATGAATATAGCTAATACCCATCCGGGGCCGTTGCGAGGCGGCTGCGGCTACATTTCAGCTGCTGGTCTCTCGAGCTCCAACCATAGTACTACCAAACTGTTCGAAACGTTAGCAAGGACGGGAAACCCTATCTCTTGCAATGAAGCTGTTGCCAAGGGCTACGTGGCGCCGTCCATAGCCCCTTTTCAGCCGCCGAGGCTGAAGTGCGCGAGTCGTCCATGACCTGAGTACATGGAGGGAGCCTGTGGCCGGTTCATTTAAAGTCAGCTACCTAATACACTTCTCTCTAATTCCGTCACCGACAACCGGCTTCTTACATTTCAGTCGACTCTTAGGTATCCCCATATTTCTTTGGAGAATTATGACCGACATGCAAATTGAGGCTACCTCAGGAGGTCTCGTCCAGAGTGAAGCTTTATCTCGTGAAGCCATCATCAAGCACATGACCCATCGTCTTCTCCGCTATGCCCTGCGAACGTAAGCAGGATCCAAATACCTTCTGTTCTTGATCTACGGTTGACCTTGGCTAGGACCGGCACAAAGTTGTTTCTTATTCTCGGCCACTTACGGTCTGGGAAGTCAAGTCTTTTTGAATCCCTGACGGGCGAAACAGGACATTCAAAGAAAGGGATCGACTCCGGTAATGGGATTCTTCAATATTCCCATGCACAGACCTTGTTACCTGATGCTCTTTATTGCAGTCACGAAAGAATACCAGGTCGGCTCCGCGCACATAAATGGAAAATTATACCTACTTTGTTGACACTCCAGGGCTCAACGACCCGGATGTTACCAACGCCTCGATTCTCGAAGAGATTGCAAAACTACTTGAGATGACGAAAAACTCCGTAACTTACGCAGGAGTTTTGTATGTTCATCCGGCTACCCTTCAGTACTCCAGGGAGACCAAAGAAAGTCTGCAGTTCTTGAACGTGTTCTGCGGGCCTAGCTATTTCCCCTCAGTTACCTTTGTGACAACGTTCTGGGATCGCGTTGCGTCAGCTCGGCTCGAGGAACAAGATAAACTTGTCAGCCAACTGGCTAACTCCAAATGGGCCAGCTTCCTGGATCGAGGCGCGAATATTTACCACCACGGTAGAGTGTATGACGGAGAGAAACCAACTCTTTGTACACTCAGTCTTGATAACCACCCGCAGTTGCGACAGACGCAAGCTAGGGACATGATTGCACACCTTTATCCGCTCGACAAGATCTACGATGCGCCGTTAATTATTAAAGAGCTACAGATGCGAGTCACGCTCGAGGATACACGAGTGGGACAATTTCTTGGAATGACTAGCGAAGTCTTCTACGGCAGGGATTAGAGGGCAGGTGGCCACGGCCATCCGCTAATGTTGCTACAAAGCCCATCAAGCGGATTCAACTAGTTCAGTGCAATCGTTGAAGCAATAAAATTCCCCTTCGATAAAGTGACTACTTTCCTGACTGCTCTCTGGGAGCTTGCCAACCGCCTAAAAGCTACGATTATGAAGATGGTGCCAGGGTCAATAATCAGAGTATCTCTTCCCTATTTGAATGGCCATAGGGTTGAGGTCTTGTTCACACTTCCCGGAGGGTTCGGATTTGTTGTTGGATACGGAGCTTCTGGCCCTTACATGGGGCCCTACCAGTCGCAAGGCCCGAGATTCAACTCCAATAGGGCTTGGGATAATGGTGCCTCGGATGACTCTGAAGTGGACTCCCCTCAACAGGAAGAGCCTGAGGGTGTGTGGTCAGGACGAGTATTTGAAATGGAGGAAGCCAATCCAAGTCCTGAATACCGGGCTATCCGACACATATTCGAGGGCATCGCCTCGACCCAAAATGAGGCGTCGCCACTGAATCCAGCAGATCAGCCTTGGCAAGATATCACTCGCGAGGAAACTTCGCGGGAGGATACCCCAGACGATGATCTATGGTGGTGGCAGCGATGCGTCATGATGTGATTCATATTCCTCTTTGGTTTTGTTTCCTATATGCGAAATTGTAAAGTGTCCTGCCGCGTACATTGAAAGGTTGTTGTGTTTTACTGTGTACTTTGTTATTTGTTAGTCCATGGCGTCTCGGCCAATGAAAGCAGAGAAGCAAGTCGGCGAGAATGTAAAATGTCTTTTGAATTCCAGGTTTTCCTGCCAGGAATGTGATGGTTGAGGCGCAAGCCGTTATGGATGTGGTAATGCCCGTACTAGGGGCGAGGACAGAGCGACGACGTGTTGGTCACAGACCTAGGTACTGCCAGACCCCCGTGGCGATTGTTGCAGTACCTACCGATACTTGTCGGTCATTTTCTAATGAGCCTTGTAGGGTGTTTCATGCTAACAAAGTTGTAGTGGATCAAGTGATGATTATTGTTCATCAGCGAACTGCTACGCGTCCTATGGTACCTGCTTGTGAGCGATGCAGACCGGTTGAGAGGCCGATTCAATGCCTTTCTTTTAATGAAAGGGCTTGAATCTAGCTATAGGAGAGGCAAAAATCATTATTCACGCTTGCTCCGGATGGAAAAGAAGAATAAAACGCTCTAAGTAGATCAATGGCAAAATCCCGAAGCTGTGTGTAGCAAACGGCATGGGAGCTTCTGGCTGCAATTATCTCATTGTATGTGTTAATGACAAAACCCATTAGCACCGATATCTTTACGGATCTGAATAAGGGGCCTGCTAAGCGTGACCCAAGAACATTCCTGATTCTGGGATAATCTCGCGTGCAGGGTTTCCATCCACAGCCACCTTCTAACGTTCATAGTTAAGACCCACGACCCGATCTTCGAGGGTTATGGTCGAACCTTCGGACCCTGACTGGTGATGAGCTTGAGGAGCCGGTGAAAGGCTGGCCGCTCCTCTTTCGAAAAAATTGGGTTCCACGACCAGCAGCCCTGATGATGATCAAGAATACGAATTACGTCAACGAAGACCGTTAGTCCAACAATTAGGCTTCTGCCTCCCAGGAAACCCGCGATATTAGTTTCACCTACATCAAAGCCGTATTAAATAGACTCTAGCTAATTCTATATTAGAAGTAACCACGATCGTGCGCCAAGCGAAGGTGCTGATTTCCCCATTTATCCTCGAGAGGAATTAGAGAGAGTTTATGAGTTCCTACCTTGTGAACCGACCCATCTAATCTCTATAGCACCTATTGATGAGGCCTATCCTATTAATCAGACGCGATGAATCAAGTTCGCTATCCTTTTACGATATTGAGGCAGGATACTGTCTTCCGTTTATAGCTATTCTGACCGTGGCTAATTTTAATCCTGCCACTCTAAACACCTGCTTAGTGGGAGATTTCCTTTCTTGGTATTATCTTGAGAGTGCCTGTTTTGCGGGCATATATCTGACTAATACTGGAAGTGTTCTTTATGAGGAGGATACGTAGTACTTCAGGATAGTGGATAAGGAAGGTTTAAGGACCGGCTGATTAGCTCTAGTCGAGTTTGTATTCAACGGAGATGTTAGGCACTTGGCTTGTATACGCCCTTTCAAAATGTTTTCCTTTCCCTACTCATCTTTGTACATGGCAATTTAGCGTGCTATAAGCACGGGAGCGTGCGGGCGATCGGGCCCATCAGAACACGCAGTGAGTTACATTCCCATTCCCTTGTGATTCAGTATATCCTGACCTATAACGCTAATGTAAACAGACTGGATATGGATCTACCTATTCTCGATATTCTGGCATCAGTGGCCGCAGCGGCTACTCCACCTAGGCATAGATTACCTTGAGCTATGGGGAGAGGATATCAAATTACATGCACCCGGTTATCTGGCGTTCGATGCTGCTGGACAGGGGGGATAATATGACCTCAATCGTCTTACCGCTCCGATTGAGATTCCAGATGGGCCAAAGGCAGTGTATCAAAAGCTTTGGGAGCTGGGTTCCATTGACTAACCAGGTGTGACACATGATAGACGATGGACTTGGAGATCACCTGAGGGACACATGACTGATGGAGGCAACTGACCTGATTAACCTGATTGGGTCCGTTTGCATGGAGGCTCTTTACATGATAGCGGGCTCTCCCCCATATTTTCTTCCTTCTTCACTTCAGTTGCTTCGTTCAATGCACCTGGTTTCTTTGGCCAACAGCCTCCTCGTCTCCTCGTAACACACGGGATACCTTGGGCTCTGGAGCGCACATGAGAGATCAATATCGAAGGTAAGAACTACTTTATTCCTTCCAGGTCTCTCTCTCTTGAATTTGACCATTATCGCTTCGCAATATTGTCTATTCCTTTTGCTAACACACCCAGCTTGCGGGAAACTCCTTTTGCGGCAGAAAATGTCCGCACCAAAAACCGCTAGGGAGCGAGCGGCCTCGATCAAGAAGCACCAGGAAGATGCTTTCGCTGCACTTCCTCCCAATACACTGTTCATAGTTCTCTGGATCCGATATGATCCACCCCTTCCGAATGACTTTCACTGGGGGTACTACTTCCATACGAGCTCCTCCTAAGGTGGTGTCAAATACTACGTAAGAAATATCGGAGATGGCTGGATGCCTGATCATGGTCCAACTAGGGGTGTCTTCAAGGAGAACTTCTTATATGTCCTGATTTAAGTCGGGGCTATCTCGGAGGCAGCGTATAACACACTCGATCAAACTATACGATCTTACGATGGCGATGTTAACGCGATACCCAGACTAACCTGCCGAGTATAGGTCCTAAAGATCTTTTAGAGGCTTATGCAGAACGTAGTCATTCGGTGCCGCAATATTGATGCACTAGAACGAGAATGCATGACGCTTAGAAACCAGTATAGTCTGGGTGCTGCTAAGAATCACCAGCCGCGGCCTGTTGTGAGATCCAGACTCTGTCTTTAAAAACAACCATATCACCTGCTAGCCCGCAGATCTCAACTTCAGAAGTTTGGCCAATTTCGTCCCTTTCTCGTATTATCTACCTTCGGGTATTACATCTAACTCTTTCTGCGTAGGAAATAAATTAATACAGCAAAGTTGAAATCACGGTATCGGATTTAACATAGAAACTATTTACCAAGCGATGTTCGAATCGACGGTCAAAGAATTTATCGTAATATCACACTTCAATCTCGTATATACTAATCACCTCCTATCCACAAGGCTGCTTGAAACCACTAACTATTTCTTCTAAATCTCATCGCGGTAGTAAAATCCCAGTACTCGGGATGCCATCCGGCCAATTCCTAGTCGAGAAAACCGGTCAGATACCCGTCGTCCCTAACGAGAATGTTATGAGATTTGAGATCGCTATAGGTAAAAGTAATTCGGTGAGGGTAGTTACGAATTTCGTTGGCTTGTTCTAAAGCTTTAATATATTCTGCGGTCGTCTTAAAGCCGTATCCCGAAGCTACGCTTAAGAGAAAATCGGTAAACGCATTTTCGTCGACAAATAGACCTATTATGTGATTAGGTACGTACTAGCTTCGTATTAAAGTACCAATAACTAAGTATATCCTCTCGGGATGAGGTAGAATCCATTTACGCATAGTAATAACACATTCTTTCAGCTCGAAGAGCTATGGCTCCTCAGATTCGACGATTAAATTATCAGAGGAGTTTTGGAGTAGAAAGCCGGGTAGCCGTATCATCAATATTGAGATAAAGTAGGGTGAATTCGGGTGTTCTCCACAACACAGCACCTTTGGAACCGGCATCCCGGCAGCAGGTGTCATTTGTATTGCAGCAGCCTCCTCCAAACTTGTTCGGTCTGTCCACTTCAAGACAAGTCCAAAGGGCAATTGTATGATGCTGGCATCAAATCTGATACCGAAACAGACACAATACCATCTGGATACGTACCATAAAGCCTGGTGTACTAAGCCCCATGCTCTTCGTTGCAGTTTTCCAGGTAAAGAAGGCACCTTGGCAGTCGTCTTGCAAAGAGATAGCCCCATCGGTCGAGGCCAAGTGAAATCCGGCCGCAAGAAAGATGGAATCAACCACATTTCGGCCGGCCAGAAGACCGTGATCGTATGTGAGAGGATCAGATAAGTTCTGCTTCTTGGTTGCACTTGCGAAGAAGATTGTTTAGGTGATTTCTCACCGCTTCGCGTTGGGTGTACTGCGTGGAGGGTGTGCTTTTTGGAGGGTGTGAGGTTATGTTTACCTGACGCGCTGTTGTCATGTGATTAATAGAGCTCTTGCCAGCAACCGGGGAAGGAAGACTGAATACACGAAGAGGGGGCATATGAAACCTACAAAAATCTGCTATGAATGCTTTATCACCGGTAATTAGTTAGTCCTGAAGTAGGGGGTGCAAGTACCACGCTAACATTATCATTGAGGTCGACCTGCGTACTTTGCCTGACATAAGCGTGTCTATTTCTTTGGATGCGAGGCGAATACCATCTTTGGACAAGAAATTCTGGAACCAGTCGTGGCGTTCGATATAGGCTGGATCGGGTTTCCCTTTCTTAAATAGATGTATAAGTCTCAGATTGAAAGCGCAGTAGAGCGCGCTGACTTGGCCGGGCGTTTGCAGAACGCTATCCAAGACCTTGCAAATTTCCTGGCATTGTAAACCCTTGGCTTATACCGCAATACACAAGTGCACTCAAGCGGCAAGCTGGATTATGCGCCATACTGAAGACCACCGGCACTGGCGTTAGGCTGCACTTCTAGCGGCAGAAAGCGTAGATGGGAGAAGTGCGGAAATGCTGGAAATTATTTTACAAACCCCCGCTGCAGGATGGAAAGCAGACCAGACTCTTGTCACAGAATATTGTGATAAAAACTGTCAACGGAGTGTGCGAGAAAGTGAAGCAATCCGGCGCTTTCCAGAAAACCTTCGCAAGTATAGAGGAAATTGCTGTTCGAAAGACCCAAACTCTGGATGAATTAGTTGTGAACTTCAGGTTGTGGATATGAAGATCATGGCGCCGCTCGTTCAAAGTTTGTTTCTGACAGGTAATAATCACTGAGCCCACTCTGGATGGGAGCGAGTCAGCAGAGAATTAACTCATTGGGGGCTTTCCGACAGTCCCAATATCCAGTGTACGAGAGCATAAGTTATGCTGAAATGAACCCGGAAGGAGAATAGTTGTGTTATTTATACACAGTCGTTTACTTACCATAGACCCAATTTCTTATCGGATGTACCAATTGGGAAAGAAGATCTTCTGGCTCAGCACATTTGACTCAGATTACCCAGACACACTCAATCCATCCTGTCTTCGTTTTGCAGATAATTCTTCATGGATCGTCTTCCAAAAGCCTCACAACTTCCGTCTGATTCAACTTCTGTGCCCACTCCAGAACGGTGCGGCCATTCGCGTCCTTGACGCTAGTTTCTGCCCCGAGATTGATCAAATGACGAATTGTATCCGTTTTCCCCAGCTCTTCTGCTATATGCAAAGGTGTCCCCAAGCTCATAGGCCAGAATCGCATCAGAGTAGGGCCATCCTGATGCATTGTGGCGTTTAGAGAGGCACCATTAACAAGTATCGATATAACGTCATTGAGTTCAGTGGCCCGAGAAATTGCATAATGAAGAAGGCTGTCCCTTTCGCACATCACCTCCACGGCTCAGCATCAATTTGATGACGCTGATAGGTGCAAGCTGAACAGCGTAAGACAAAGCGGTACAGTCTATCTCGCATCGTCTACTTGGGTTTGCTCCATGATCAATTAGCCACATAGTCATCTCTTCATCTTCGACTGCGTAGCTATAATACTTGATCTTCGTCATTGAAATTTCTGTCCAAATAGCTGAATTGACCTACCCAAGCACAGGGGGTTTAATTTCACCAACTGGCTCATTAATATCCCATCCTGCTTCGATATAACATCCGAGGGCGCCCTTTGCCTTGCGGAGTGTTGCCTCTAAAGCGTAGCAAGGCTGTATCGGGAACCTTAGAAGAGAAGCTTAGAAACAAATCTGAAGTTGTCCTGTTTAACTGCTTCCATCATTACCTCGCCAAGCTCCTCTATGACAAAACCTTCAGATTTAGAATTCGCGAGCAGCAAGTCTATCGTCTCCTGGAATCTTTGCAGATTATCATCAATGCATAACGAACGTAGATTTTCAATTGTTTCTGTTGGTGTCTGTTGTGGGAAGAAAAATCCATCGTAGCTGATGAGTTTCTCTCGTGAAGGTAGCCGAATATCCATGGAGATTGAAGAAAGTCTTGTATTTGTTTGTCGATGGGGTTGAAAAAAAATTTTGTTTGACTCTGGCGAAAGGGGTGTTTAAATACTAACCTGTCTGGGGCGGAAGTGACAAAATACGCGCCACGTTTTGCGTGGCTCCAGCCAACGAGGGCGGGGTTGGTGCGATTTAGCAGCAAGTCCCACCTTGTGAAATGCATATCAACTCTCAACTCTTCCTTCTCAATGCATAGCTCACATGCGTTCGGAGATAGACATACGAAGATAGTGTTTAGTGCCAGAGCTCTTGACACCATACACATGCAAGAGCAGGATGGCCGCAAAAATTCGAATTTAACTCCTGGTGGAGGCTATACTAGTCCTATTCGTAATCACGACACGCGAAAGCAGATAAGAGTTTCTGAGATGAAACTTATGTAATTATCATTGATGTAGAACATCTGTCACAGCTGACGAGCAGTGCCTGGAACTGGTGATTGAGCTTATGCAAAACTGACGCGTCCGTCATTAAATACATCTGAATGCCTCCGAGTTCCATCTCCCGAGCACCTGATTCTAGTCGTTGTAGGTCCCACTATCATGAGCATGTTGAGCCGCATTCATTTGAAAATGTGCCCTGAGTAGCCATCCGTCTGTATCCGAAGTGCTCTCGGCTTAGTAGATCAGGTAGAGAGCAAATTGTTGCGACTGAATGGTATCGGTGCTGGGCGGCTCGCCGCTGCGGGTTCGGGCGGCAGTTCACGTATCTGAATAGTCTTCACCCAGAGAGGGGTGAAGCCCTACCCCGAAATGTGCCTTTGTACATTTTGATAAGGGAAAGATTTCGCGATGCGGGAGCAGACACCATGTCCTTGCCTTCCAGGCAGTTGCCGCTAGTTGCCCCTACCCTTTTCTACCTCCCTTCCACTTCACTCCTATCCCTCTGCCGTTTTCCTTTGTTTTAAGTCCAAGGCAACTATGACGAAAAAAGACCCACTGCTGGCTTACACCTGTAACGTAGTAAACCTAAGCGACATCGATAACTCCGAAATCAGACAGGTAGTCCTGCCGCGTATAGAGAGCGACTATGAGCGTAGCCTAGAGATCTTTGACAAGTTAGTGTGTAGCTCGTAGAGTAGTTCAAGAAAGGGGATACGAGATCTGTTTTGTATATACTCTTAATCAGATACGTATAACTCTCAGTCACCAAAATTCGGTGTCACAGCAAGCTGATACAGTATGCCATTTTATGCAAGAATGGGGCTAATCTACCAAGGGGGACCAATCCAAAAGATGGGATGAACTGAATTGAAGAGAGGATGAAAAGAGCGGAAGATGCGAGATGTTAGGGTTCCTTGCTTACATGAGTAGGGAAAGGGCGGTTGAAAGTCCCGATTCTCGGAGTGTCGAGAAACCCCTCGGTACAAAGAAAGAAATCACGGCACAAATCAAATTAAACCATTTCGGGTGTATTTTACTACCCCCCTTTACTCGACATCTACCTATTCCAGAGCCGAATATTCCTAGCTACTGTCTGTTCAGGGATTCTTCCGGACATGTGTCTTTAATCAATGAGATTCTGCTCTGATCTTCTTCTAGTAGCACCCGTATTCCATTTCTAATGATCCTCAGCCGCAGCTAGAATGCAAAAGTCTTCCCCTTGCGTCTTATGACCATCAAGGATGACTCCCAGCTCAAGAATTTGAGCAATTTCTTTTGAACTATGAGGCCTTAGCGTTGATAGAAATGAAGCCATGTTGGTCCGCCACAGTCCTGTTATGTAGCTCGGAAGTTGCAAGCCATGTACATTCAATTCTTCGGAAAATTGTGTCAATAGCCTCTCGAGATCCAATATTAATGGTTCCTCTTCATCTTGGATCGCTTCTATTTCTTCTGGCACGATCTTTCTGTACTCATGCAAGCAAGTATGAGTGATATCCAAGCTTTTGAACGTGATGAAGCGAAGTATGCCAACACTCAAATGGCTCTTGAAGCGTGGATCAAGCTCGGGCTCGGATTTTGAGTGAAAGAGAACAACTCTCAATAATTCAGCAAAGAGATGAATCAGCTTGGCTACAGTTCCATGGTCAGTCCGTGTGGGCAAAAGTCCGCTCAAAAGGGTCGTCAGTGGAGAGCATCCGTTCAGAGAACAGGCACATTCGCAATCGTCTCGAGTAATGTCGGAAAGAACTGTTCTCAATAAGGCCGTTGATGGCTCACTTAACGAATGAATCTTCGAAGAAGAGTCTTCCTCTTCTTTCATCCAGTATAAAATTGATCCCACGCTGTTTCCTATATCATGCAAGGCCGATCCAGATGACTTTTGGTGATAGATATCAGCACCTTTGCTGATCAACCAGTGAGTCTTTTGCAGGAAGACTTCCAAATCACAGGGTGGTGTGTCTGTCCAAGCTTTTGTCAGACACGTCTTGTCGTCATCATCGATTTCATCCACGCCTCGGAAGCCAGCACTCCATAACCGATCCGCCAAATCAAGATTGACACCGAAACAGTCAAAGACTGACCATCTATGACGTTCCAGGAGACCTTCCAAATCCACAGAAGTCGCTGCAAGCAGTTTATATGCTTCATAAGCATGGACATTCAGTAGGCTTTGGGATTCGATGCGTAATTGATCTTGGACACTTCTCGGTAAGTGTGCCTCTGCAAGAGCCTGTAACCGCTTTCTGCGATCAATGAATTCGCTAACAATTAGATCAACAATAGCCTGGTTAGGATGGAAACTGGCGATTGCAAGCTCTTCATTTCCAATGAAGTACTTGTGATCATTCACCAATATCTTGACGCTCTCCTCGCAGTTCGCTTCGCATGCCGCTTTAAGGGCGCCTTCGGTTGGTGCATGACCAGATTGAAGAATCAGGGCTAAACCATCCCCCCAACGAGTGTAAGTTTTGATCCATCGATGGAGATCAATCCCTCTTCTCAGTTGTGCGGTCATGAGTTTCCTCGATTTGTAGATGAGAGGCTGTAGCTCTTCTGGGAGATCGATGTCTTGATTTAATTTAGCGTCACGTGCCTTCAGATTTCTCTTTGAGGTGTAAATACCTTGGAGCCCTTTCTCATCGGTAATTCTCCAAATAAGGCGGAAGCTAAAGTCTTCGAACAAGTCATCTGTCCTACGTCCATCTCCTCTCCACACATAGTAATAAGGGTTGAAAACATTCTCTTGATGCCTCCAATCAAGGGCTTCTCGGGTCATATATCCCCCAGCTTTCAGTAGGTCTGAACAGATATCAATCGTTATCTGCTGCTTTTCCAGATCGCTGCTTTCATGACCGAAGCCACTGATCATTCTGTCGGCAGGAGTCTGACCGCGGTAATTCGCACGGTCCGGAGAGAGGCCCGCTTGTAAGAGGTCTTTGATAAACGAACGCCAGGTAAGCCGTGAACGAGTATCCCAGCGAGAACTGTATTTTTGCCAGCCGGTGATTACCTGTAGCTGTAATTAATAAGAGAAATTAAACTAAAAGGCTCAGACGTTCCAGCACCAGAGTATTTTCTAATGGTGGAAGCTTAAGGCATCCATGGCAAATTGATACTCACATGTAGAATAGTATCGCCGCTTTCAAGAGCATCCGACTTTGATGCTTTGCCTTCACGAAAGGCTTCGAATAGAGCCTCCCGGGTACTCTGAATTACAGAAGAGACATCCTGCGACCTGAAACTCTCCTCTGCACCATAAAGTGCGCTGAATATCTCGGAATTTATTGGCACAATCGCACGAAATTCAAGTTTAGGGCTGATCGAGAAGCCTCCCGCTCCGATTGTGCTTGAAAATGATGTCTCAAGGGAGATTCGCAGAGCCCATCTGCAGAATATTCGGCGATGGAGCAAAGTCATGATGGTTTTGCTTTCTGTGTGAAGGTCACATCCGCTAGTACAAGCTGAACCGGGGTTGCGCGCTCTCCCGGAGTATGTCGTGCCACATGAGCATTTTGTTCGGCGCCGATTCCGCTGAGAAATAATGATAGTCCCCTGATTATGCAAATCTTCATCCAGAACTCGTTGATACTCCAACGCCGATTGGAGTAGGCCTGGTGTGAGAGCTGGCCGAGCTTTCTTGTGGGAGTTTTCACTTTGCTGGTTTAAGTAAAATCGTAAGTAGCAGATCAAGGATGGAATTCTTCGAGGTCCGGATCAGGGGAGATAGCTATACCATCCGTTTAAGATGATCTTCAAGCATTTCTAGTCTGTGCTCAATACTAACGCCGCGCTGATCGGACCTTTGAGCCACGAGTAACATCTGACTGGTATCGAGGGCGCTCGATGCTGAATACGTGAGGAGCATGTCTGTTTGCCTCTGACAGATAGCCAACATAGCCCTTGAAGTTTCTAATTAGCGATGAAATTCTTTCTTTCTTTTCTAGTTTAGTCTCACATATTCAGTATTTGCAGTGAGGTATTGAGATGAGCTTGCAGCCAGCTCACCGTTTCCAAGAGGGCCATCAGTGTATCGCGTTTGAAAGGATACAGTATCCTATTGATCTGAATTTTGGACCCCAAAAAGCTCGTGCTTGTGCTTTTGCACTTATCCAGCATCTTGCTTAATCTTTCTAGTCCTTCTTGGCAATTAAAGATGGAGTCGAGTGCGACTGTTGCTGATTGAGCCGTCAGAGGAAAAGAGAAAAATTGCGCATTAGCGAGAACATCTTGTAACGCCTTCAATGTGCTGTCGAAACTTGTTATACGGTTTGAGACGTCGTGAATCTGTTCGTCATACGCTTTGAATGGCCCATAGTAAGCCAGTAGGCCCTGACAGACTGTGAGGCCAAGCGAGATAACGCCTACCGCGCTCCCAGCCACAGAAAATGGATCGCCCATGTAGAATAATAATTAGTGGCTTCGAACGGATTTCATCAGATAGATGAAGGTCAAGGGTTTGGGGGCTACAATAGGGGCTATGCTGACATTTATGGAGTAAAGAGCAGGCGGCTCTAGGTGGAAGCCTAACCGCCGATTGCCAGCCGCATTCTATTTCAGCCCAAGGGGTCAGTGCAAAGCTCGCGCTACAGTGGTGGCGCTTCCAAACACAGCCCGACCAAAGTCGCGCTTATCCCATTTCTCACCTCATGGCAGATGCTAATTTTTAACGTGCAAGTCGATGGTCCAGTTCAAAAAGTATTATTAGCAAATGTAAGGGCTTTTGTGGTCTTTACAGATCGTGAGCAGTACCAGAACCGACTTTGTTTGGATCTATAAGAAAGAGGGAAGTAGCGCAGGACCAGGATGGCGGCAAGGTATCTTTTCATATCCAGCGTCAGCGAATCAGGTTCTTATGCAACCCCTCCTGCTTTTCCAAAACATCTACCGCTAACATATTCTCATGGGCACTAGTGGTAGCGCAGGGAATGGTTAGACACAATCAGTTTCAGGTCTATCGCCGTGGATTCAATGAATACCAAAACAGGTGAAAGACAAAATCAAACACCAGATGGGATTCACGGGCAAACAACTGTCCAAGCTATGTCTCATTGGCAGCGATGATGAAATGTCTGAACATGAGTGTTTCGGGAGGCTCAAAAAGACAGTAGGTGATTGAGAGCAATATTCTCTGCACAAGCTACAGCAGCAATGTGCAGTTTATCAGCCATTGTGCGAGGACCATGAATCAGAGTGACCGGCAGGAATGTCCGCTATATTCTTACGAGAATTGGGCCACAGGACATATCCGGGCAGAGGACTTTTAGTGGGAAGAGATAGATAAAAAGCAAAAAGAAAACACCCAAAACATACAACAGCCAGGATTCGCATGTGGTCACCCACCATACTACTAACTGGCCGGCGTGTGGCTTAAGTACGGCTGAGCGGACGGGAAGCCCTGTTCTCCACACCCTATGGTCGTATGTACTTGGCTAACCAAGAAAGAAATCTATGATCTCTCGATAGCTTGAATATGACGTGGGTACCGCTACTTCAGCGCCGCGCCACCAGGGTGAGATAGGGTAAGTGCGTAATAGGCAGTTTGAGAACTATGGCGAGAATCATCGAAGTCGCGATTGGGGGTTCCTGATGAATATTTGGTCTGAGGCACTAGTATACCATGCTAGTGTACGGAGTAGGTTGACGTGGATTAGTTCTAGCCTCGAGTGGATGCCGCCAATCGGAAGCCACGAATTAACTTACCTGAAGCAAACCATATAACTCACCACGGTTACGCCGTCTTCATTAACATTTCATCTTTTTCTGATTATTTCTTCCAAAATGGCCAGCGACTGTATTGTCGTGCTTGGGTGAGTCTAATTCTGCCAGTCTGCTCTGAGAGTAATTCCTTTCTTTCTTACGGATAACCCCCCTAGAGCCTGTATCATTGGACTCAATGTGGCCCTTTTACTAGCCGGAAAAGGCTTCGCTAAATATGTCACCATTGTCGCTGAACAATTTCCCGGCGATACTTCTGTTGACTACTGTTCACCATGGTGAGGCATTTTTCAATGAGTTTCTTTCTTTTACATGATGGATCTAACTTAAATTTTAGGGCTGGTGCCAATTTCTCGGCTATATCCTCAAGCCATGAGAATGCGTTACGTTGGGACAGAATTGGCTAGAATTACCTACTTAAACTGGCTGCACATGATGATAGCCGGGCCTTTGTCAAGGAGCCTTCTTTGACCGAGTACTGGGATGCAAGCCATCTGAGGAGAAGCTGAAGTCCATGTCATCTTATTTGAAAAACGTAAGAATGCTGCATCTGACGATATCCATGAAGTCTAATTCAGTTATTAAATAGTACAAAGTCATTGCCAAAGATGATCTGCCCGCAGTATGTGCGTTCGGGATCACGTTCACAGCTGTGACTTTGAATGCTCCAATGCACATTCGTTACTTACTTCAGAAGCTCTCCCAGGGTTACGACATTCGAGTTGTCCGTCAGAAAGTATCGAGTTTGCAATCTGCTTTCATAAGCCGAGAAACCAGCCTGGTATTCAACTGCACCGGAAACGCTGCTCGGTGTTTGCCTGGTGTGGAAGATCCAAAATGCTTCCCTACCAGAGGCCAAGTTATATTGGCTAAAGCCGGCCAAATTTCTTGCAGCGTTATGAGACATGGCAGAGACTATGAAACTTATGTCATACCTCGACCTGGATCCAACGGGAACGTCATTTTGGGCGGCTTCATGCAGAAAGGTGTCAGGTCAGTAAATCAATCATATATCCAGCAATTAGAAACACAAGCGAGGTTGCACTAGAATTGTCAAAGCTGACACGCAAAAGTACTGGAGATACGTTCAGTGAGGAAACAGAGTCTATCCTCGAGCGCACCAAATCAATGCTTGCCGATCTCGATTCACCCGATACAGAAGTCCTAGCTGTTTTCTCGGGGATCCGGCCATCAAGAGAAGGAGGCGCTCGTGTTTCATTGGAAGAAATTGACATCAGTAAAACACAGCAAAAGGGACTTGTCGTTCAAAATTACGGTGCCGGAGGGACTGGCTTCCAAGCTGGCCATGGGATGGCAACTGATGCAGTTATGTTAGCTGAGGGGGTATTACAGAACATTTTGTCAGGGCATGAAAAGTTTCGTCCACTACTGTGAGGGTTACAAAGCCATGACTTCCACCGTTTTTAGCCCGCGAATCAAGCACATGTGGCTAGGACTACGATCCCTTTCAAACACAAAGCGCTTTTTTCATTTCGTCTTCACTATATTGCGCACTTTATGTCATTTCGAGGAAGACAGAGAAAGATATCTCACTTGCGCAGTGCCTGGTAGGGACAAATATGATTATCGATTATAGTACTTGTTCAGTGATCACTTTTAACGATGAATTGACACCTAAACAGCATCAGGGAAATGCAAAATATCCTCGCCCTAATCTTAAGCGATCGCGTTTGGATGTAGATTGGAAAATCCAAGGAGAAAACCTGGAGTTCCATCATCACCGGCATTCCGATCGGCGGCATCCGCGTTTGATTTTAGATAGGCTTATTATATTGCCACGCCATAATAGACTTTGCCACAACCGGCGTTTGAGTTGTATGAGAGAGGAACAGAATGGAACCCTACGATAGATATTTCGTTGATCGGAAAGCGTACTTTGATTATCCGCGGGGTCCACATTCATTGGCGGCATCGGCTTAGCCGCGAATATTGCCGATGTTCGCATCGCGTACCCCCTATCTACGAATGCCCCATGGCCCCAGTGCACTTTTCCCAAACCACGATAAGCCTATAAGGAAAGGGGCTTCCCCGCTTTAGGCCACGCGGAAGCTGTGACTGCAAGGAAGCATTCTGTCGAGTTATTATATCTCCCAGTTTCGCTACCTGGCAGAGTGAGCTCACCAGTGATTTTTCGATCATGGCGAAGAATAATTCTTTCGAAGACCAGAAAATGGCGCGTGGCCATGCTGGGGATAGCAGTGAGGGTGAAATTCTTGACGTTGGAAGCCCAACCGTGGCTGTTGACCATGGCTTGCAAAGGGCATTGAGTGAGCGCCACCTGCAGATGATTGCATTGGGTGGTGTTGTCGGGTATGTTCGTTTTGGTCAAGAGCACAGGGCTTTCGCGAGGAAACGGTACTGACTTGCAATGCTATAGTGCAAGCATATGGTATGGAACAGGCACTGCATTATCATACTCGGGACCAGTATGGAAGCCTCTGCGAATTTTTTCTCCAGCTGGAGATAGAAATTATGACTACCAAGCATATGAAGCTTACAAGTTACTTAGGTCGGCGCGCTGGTTTCATTTATCGTCATTGGTATCGATGTATTTTTTGTGATGCAAAGTCTGGGAGAGCTATCGACGCTTTACCCATCGTCAGGCGCTTTTGCCGAAATGGCTGGTAGATTCATTGATCCAGCCGTCGCGGTCGCACTCGGATGGAACTACTGGTACATGGTCAGTCACTCCATGAACGTTCGATTTATTTCGCGGAGTGTAGCAACTGATAGAACTCCTTTGTCTAGTGGGTTGCCAATCTAATGGCGGAATATAATATGGTATCTGTGGTACTGGGGTACTGGACTGACAAAGTTCCATCTTACGGCTGGATTCTCATATTCTGGGCAATCTACCAAGGTATTGCTTTCTTCGGTGTGATTGTATACGGAGAACTTGAATTTTGGTTGGCCCTGTGGAAGATCCTTTGCATCTTAGCTGGATACGTTCTGGCGATCCTTGTCAATACGGGCGGAATTGGTGGAGATTACATTGGATTTCGCTATTGGCGTGATCCTGGTCCCTTCACCAATGGAATAAATGGCTTCGGTAAAGCCTTTGTTCTGGCAGCGGTGTACTATTCTGGAACCGAGATGATTGCTATTACCGCTGGAGAGAGCCGCAATCCGAGGAGAGATGTCCCAAAGGTAAATGATTAATAACTTGCATCTATGACTGAAAACCGCAGCTGACTGGGATAAATCGCAATCAGGCTATTCGACAAACTAGCTTCCGCATTGTATTGATCTTCCTGGGAATGGTCTTCTTCTCTGGAATCATTGTACCATCGAATGATCCGGGCTTTTTGACTGCAGGATCGGGGACCGGAAGTTCTCCATTCAGTATTGCCTTACAAAAGGCCGGTTGGCAGGGGGCTCCGAACCTGATCAACGTTTTCATCCTTACAGCCTCATTCTCTGCTATCAACTCGGCTATCTACATTTCATCTCGCGTTCTATACTCTCTCGCTACTCTCGGTCGCGCCCCGGCCTTCCTTAAAAAGACCACTTCGAGAGGAGTTCCGATATATGCCGCAATTTTGTCAAACTTGATGGGACTGGTGGCAATCATGAACGTTGCAAGCGGAGCCGGAACGGCTTTTGGGTATATCTTGGATATCGCAGGTGCGGCCGCGTTAATCGCGTGGGGATGTATTGGAGTTACACATCTGCGCTTTCGTCACGCCTGGAAGCTTCAAGGGCGTAGCGCAGAAGAGCTGCCATTCCGTGCATTTCTCTTCCCCTATGGTGCTTATTTCGTTTCCGGCTTCAACACTTTCCTGGTTTTGATTCAGGGATATGGGACCTTGTTGACTCCATGGCAGCCGGTCGGATTTGTGTTCTCATACATCATCCTTGTCCTCTTTATCTTGGCTTATGCGTTCTGGAAGGTCATCAAGAGAACAAGACTTGTAAGTTTGTCTGAAGTTGACTTGAATTACGGTCAGAGGGATCTGTAACATGCATGAAAACGCTGGAGCGTCCCATAGAATTCCTGTGATACCATACAAATGTGTTTACGAGGAATGAAAGATTTGAAAAATATATCAATTTATGCGAATCATTTTGTCATCTCAGCAGCTTATAGTTATCGTCCATTTGATTTCTCAAATGCTTGGAGCTATTAATGCCGCTTGATCAATCCCCTTGTAGCGCCGAAGTTTTGTTACTGGCATATAGCGCCACTGCTAAAGATGTCAAATTTTTGCGCAAATTAAACCTAGCTTCGGGCGGCTGGCAGTGGTTGAACACAAGCCCCGCCAGGTAGGTAGGGTTCCCCACTCAGCCAGTGCCTATCGGACCGGAGTTCGGTTACTGATAGGGATGCTCGATGCCGCCAATCCCCGGCCAGTCGGACTGTGTTCATTTAAGAAGATATTGTAATCGTTATCCTGGTTATCTTCCACCTTATTGCAGTTTTGTATGAGGGTAATCTCTCAAAATGGCAATTCAAGAGATGTCTGTTCCAACATGTGAATCCAAGAAGCATCGCCTTTCAATTCCCGACCACCTTCTACCTGGACTAGACCGCGAATGGGTCACGCTGTGGGAGAAGTATGGAAGTCAGATGGTGAGAGCAGACGAAGTGTCCATCGAAGAGTACCGAAAAAATGCACGGGCGCATAGCTTTACCTATCCTACATTCTCAGGTTTGCCAATGTCCTTCCCATGTTGATCAAGCTGATAATAATTGAACACTTCATGGATAAGGTCCCCCCGTCTATCACGTTGAAGACTTACGGATTCCCGTTTCCCAACCAGCTGGGATAATTACGATCAGGGTCTATACTCCTGAAGGCCCTGGCCCATTTCCAGTGCATCTGAATTTCCATGGGGGTAAGGGATGAACCTTCAGATTCAATCAATCTGAAGTAGTACTAACACTTACGGTTCTACTCAGGTGGCTGGGTGCTTGGAAACCTCAACACTGAGGCGGCATGGTGCCGTTACATCTGTAATAAGGTACACATAAAGGTGATTGATGTTGATTATCGACTCGCTCCCGAATTCCCTTACCCGATAAGTATCTACGACTCATGGGAAGCTGTGAAATGGGTACGTTACTTTTCACCAAATGAAATATGACATCAGAACAGTATAGCTAACTAGACAGTGTAGACGATCACGAACGCCAGTAGCATGAACATCAATGCCTCCAGTGTTTCCATTGGTGGTTTATCCGCTGGAGGTCATATGTCGGCAGTAATGGCCCATTTCGCACGTAATGAAGGGGTGGACCTTAAGCTTCAGTTACTCGTTGTTCCAGCAACAGATATGCGCTACTGCTTACGGAACTTTCAATTGGACAGTAGAAACTGTGCGTATGCGAGTGTACTGTCATATCACGATGTACCTTGGGGGCCGTTGGGAAGGGAACAATGGTTTATCAAGTACTGGATTGGAGAGGATGAGGGTAAGATGAACTCTGATTCACATTATCAATTTTTCTACTGACCCCATAATCAGACATACAAGAGAAAGTTCTGAATAACGATTGGATTTGCACGCCAGTCTTGGCTCCTTCCTTCAAAAACCTCGCAAGAGCACATATCATTACTGCCGAGTTCGATCTTGAGCGGGATGAAGGGGAATTCTACGGGAGGATTTTACAAAACGCAGGAAATATCGTTACCATGAAGCGTTATGCCGGGATGCCCCATGCATTTGCTCATTATAATCATCCTGAAAGAGGATTGTCTCAGAGCTTTGCATATATTGAGGATACTAGTGAAGTAATCCGAAATGCGCATTTTGGGAAAGATGAGGGAGAAAAATCTTCGAATGATGTCACTATTTTCGAAGTGAATCATGAGATGAAGGAGGTACTGTCATGTTGAATGTTAAGCTAGGAAGGTACCGATCGAATTAGTTTTGTACCTATCTGCTGCGGCATTCAAAACAAAAGAGTTGTTACTATAAACAGCAATTGTATACAGCCAACGTTATAGCTCTAGGACGCACATATCAAGGTAGTGGAAAGATAAACAGAGTAAAATATAAAGAATGGAAGGACTTATCAAAAGACCTGCATACTTTTCTACTCATAATGTCCAAGCTGGTCAGTACGGTACAGATAAAAGTGCGTTTTCCCAATAGAGACGAGATGCGCATCGAAGATATTGGTAAAGTTCATGGTAATAGCCAGTTGGTCGGGAAGAAAGTGGTGAAATACGTCCTGCAATATGTCTTGTATATCTGCTAGCTTGAGCGATGATATTAGACTATTCAACTGGTACTAAGAGAGTGTTTAGTGTCGGAGCCAGGCCGAGCCAACCCCGCAAACCCATCTGCGATGACTAATATCGCCTTTCCAAAACTAACTGAACAGATAGGAACCTAAACCACGAGGTTCTACCTCTGAGCAGTATTGATGATGATGAATTCGTTTGCCCGATGTAGCTTGCTTTAATATACGCTGCTATGCGGGAGTGCTGTCAGGCGTGCCGAAAGCTTCAAGGTGGTCGCCAGCCCACTGAACAACCACTTCCTAGGGTTCGCTGGAAACTCAAATGAGCGTCGCCCCCTAATAACCCAGACAAACTTCACTACACACCCAACTCCTTCCCCGCACTCTTCTTGCAACAGAGCCCTCCTGGCTGTCGGCTGCCGCTCTTGTGTTCGCTTGTATCAAGGGAGTACAGTGGACCTGGCACTACAGTCCTCACGGGCGCCAAGTTGAAACCACACGCGGCACGGATCATTGTTAAGCCGAACCCGGCTCGGACAATCGTCCTCCTGCCCCGGCTGAGTCAGCATCTCTCTCCCCCCTTTACCCTACTCTCTGCAGCTGTCCTAGATAGTTAGACAAGCGACATATATATACTCATTCACTTTGACCTACACAACTCCCTATGTGCCATAGCTTGTAGCTTCAATACGCCATCCTTCTCCTTCCGTCACACCGTCCTGTGGGGTCATTCTTTTCCGTCGCCTTCTTCGATCTGAGGAGTATTTATACATATCGCGAGTGAGAAGAAGCTATCATGTCAAGCAAGGCCCGAAAATTCATGAGTAAGCGGAATAGAGCTTGCGACTCATGTCGGGCCAAGAAATCAGCTTGCCGTATCGACTCAGCACCACCTTGCTATCTTTGCACACTCCATCGAAAGGAGTGCACATTTTTGCAGCCAACAAACCGGCCGCAAAAATTGCTCCAAAAGCCAAGTGAATCCAGAGAAACCTTTGAATTCTCGTCAAGTTCAGCAGGTGGAAGAGCTGGCGTACCACTTGACAATGACTCGATGTCGTTCGACTCCCTCATGCCGGTTGATAACAGCATGATTTTGCCTCAGTTGCCCGGGACTTCCTCAAATTTGGAGTATTTCTTCGGGGATTGTGGTCCTGCCTTAGGAATTTTTGGCGATGACCCAAGACCCACAGGCTTTACTCCGAATAGCTTGGTTTATTCGTCACCTGGGGTGGTATCGCCACTACTGGAAGCAGAGAAAGCCCAAGAGAGCAGATCAGGCAAGGGAAGTGATGTTCATCTTGAGACGGCTAGCATGGTGCCGCTTTATCTCGGCAACAGCGGTGACATGGACCCATTTCTGCTACAACACTACAGATATGATTCGGCTGGGAAGTTTCATTTCAAAAGCCTAGACATCCAGTCTGTGGACGCTGGTGACAAGCCTACACACTTTCTGCTCTCCCCGCCCTCTATGTTTGAGAATAGTAGAGAAGAAAAAGGTTGTGATATTTCGCCTCCTCAAGCTAAAAGGGGAGGCCTTGAAGCCATAGTCCCGGAGGAGATAGGGCAACGTCTTATCGCTCTCTTCCAGAGAATTATCGTCCCAGACTACCCAATTTTCAGTCTTTCAAATCCGCTAGACACTAGCAAAAGTCCGCCACATCTTCTCGCAATTGTCTATCTCTTGGCTCAACCATTCACCAACTTTGATGAAAAGCTGTGCATCGAACTCGCCTATGAGAAGCCATCTGTGAAAACTCTCTTGAAATTGATTAACGACGTAATTTCATACGAAATATATATGCCAACTATATCAACCATCCAAACACTCTTTCTTCTTCTCATTCGACCCTCTGCAAATCCGATTGTGCAGGACAGCAGCTTCAAATGGACTCAACTCAGCACGCTCATCGCATGTTCCCATTCGCTAGGTTTGCACCTAGACCCAACAACGTGGAGAATCTCTCCCTGGGAAATCACCCAGCGTCGACGGTTATCATATTGTATTTATATGGTCGACAAATGGATGGCTCTCACCCTCGGCCGCCCTCCACTTCTGAACTCTGAAACATGGTCACTGAATGCACTTGATGGGGATGACCGATTTGACAGCGGCCTTGGCTGTGAAGAGTGGACGCCTTTCATGAAGCGAGTTGAACTCGAATCATCACTCGACTCGGTACTGCAATTATAGTAAGTGTGCCCAGTACTAAATGAGTATCAAGGCAATGGAGACTAAAGTACACTAGCTCGCACAAGGCTACACATACGACATCCTCTGATTATGAGGGAACGCTAGATGCAAACAAAAAATTGATTGACAGGATTACTACGTGGCGAGATACCGTATTAATCAGCTTCACTGGCCAACTCCCATCAATGGGCCAAGCTACCCGTACTGCTATAGGTCGTGTAGCAGAAATGCATTACCATTACATACATCTCAGCATTATACGGGCGACATTGAGACCATTCTTTCGTGCGTCTGCAGACGAAATGCGGTCCCCAGAATATCTTGCATCGCGCTCACAAGTCCACTCACAGGCCAAAACTTGTATATCAACCGTGGCTGGCTTCATTCGGACTCTGGGTTCCAATGATCGCGAAAATTTCTGGCCCATGTGGAGTGCGACCGTGTTTTCTTCGGTCAACTATCAAATTTTGTTAATGGCCATCGGATCTATCGATCAAGCAGAAGCTGCGTGCTACTGGAGCTATTTACAGCGAATACGTCGAGACATGCGCCTTCAGTCTGATGCTCTCCCACATCTTCGACTTGGCCTACTACGCATTGACTCTATATTCTGGAAAGGGATAGATACCGTGTTCAGTTTAGATGAACATGTCTATCAAGCGTACCTGGAAACCACAGAAGGAGTTGTGTCCAATGCTAGTTAATGGCGACTTGGTCTTAGTAGATTGAGCGACTTTTAAATTTAAGAAATGTACTATTGCGGATACCTTCCATTAGACTGTAGGCCAGCTTTGTTGTCATATCATCTTAATTCTCACGGAATGTCCTAGATGATCCATTCCTAGCGAGGTCACTGACAAAGATACGACGCCACGGTGAGACCCTTTCTTGCTACAACCTTGGAGTTACAGAGAGCCACATCCATTTTTATCTAACTGACAGCATAATTAAATTTCTCTTCTCTTGGGTATTCTAATGACGAGATGGAAAAAATCTAAAGACATACCAAAACCAAAAACCTATAACAGCCAGGATTCGTATGTAGTCACCTACTATACTACTAATTCTACTAACTAGCCGGCGTGTGGCTTAAGTACGGCTAAGCGGACGGGAAACCCTGTTCTCCACACCCTAGGGTCGTATGTACTGGGAGGAGAAGAGAAGAGGTTCATATAGGATGTTGTTTATTGGATTGATAGATTGCGAGTGCGCCATGTCTGTTGTTCAAAGTCTTTTTAAAATTAAAGCCTTCCTTCAAAGTAAACGTCACCTGTGTTGAATTAAAGGGATTAGCCAATAGCGAAGAAACCCCCCTGATTAGATTTTTGATTCTTCTCAAGCCACCCACATGGACATCTTAAGCACCCTACCAAATCTAGCGCCCCCCGCACCTGCGGAATGTCCGGATGTGGCAAGACTACTAAACCAGCTCCAGATCAAAAACCTAGAAGTTGATCGACCCACCTGAAGGTGCCGCCTAATAGACTTCCGCACATGTTCTGCGCCCAAGGTGTGGGAAATTTGGTCGATGATGCGCTCATTATTTTAGCAACCTATGGTAAGAGAGTCGCCCTAGTAAGTCCAATTGTATTCTACTTGATGACGGAGCGGTTCATTGTTTCCTTGGGTGTCCGAGTACATATATGAGGCATCCCACATACGATTCGTTCAATGCTCTACCACTTTTCAACCATTACAATTTCATAATATTCAGTTTACTCAGTTCCTGGTGTGATACTGACTCGGTAATTATGTCTGACAGTGAGCACATCGTGTTTTCGAGCATGTATTCTTTTACTTGGGAGACTTATGTTGTCCAGAATCCACGTCCCAAGAGCCCGCTCATGAGCACGAGGGCTTCTTCGAGAGAATACTTCATCGCCATCATGATATCCAGGAAGCCAAGGACAAGAACGAAAGTCGTCAGGCGACGGATGGCAAGGATACCCAGGACCATGATGAGCAGCACAAGAAGGAGAGTGAGCGGCACAAGATGAAAGACTACTTGCATGAGGACGAGGAGCTTGAGGATGAGGGAAGGACTTATGGAGGATTGATGTAAATAAACATTCTTGATGTTTGTTCGTATCTTTACCAGATGAATCTACTATTCTCGAATGGTGTGTATACATCCGGAAGGGTGTAGTGAGTTCCCGGCACCAGTGATCAATCTGGAAATGACATGATGTTCAGAATATACGGATTGTCATACTCCATGGTCAGCTGGGTACTCCTTGCTACGTCTCTCCTGATCTGCTACGCACTCTGTCAGAATATTGTATATTTTCCATGAACTGCTGGCCTAGGTTCCTTCTCTGTATAAATATTTGGATGTGTCGTTTGAAAAATCCATATTCATACGTTATGATACTCTCTTAGAAGTACAATATGTTGATCTGCCAATTCCAATAGATCTTATGTGTAACTTTATGGCTCGCGATCTCATTGTAATTGACTACCATAGCCGGATAGTCTACTTGGCGTACGCATCGGTTTGTCTGGGGTTTCGTAGCAAACACATACTAACAAAATGTATCTTGATCAAGCCATGAAATCGTAGAGAAACATCGAATCGTTTCATCTAGCTTATAGATTTCCTCGTAGTGCTCCAACCACTCCTCTCAGGCCACACCGAGGAGTGGCTGACCCGCCTGCACAGGCCAATAAGTAACCGCCCCAACTTTTGAGGATTTGACATGATATAGTAGCATCTTTGATTTTGATTCGAAGATAAGAAAGAAAGGGAAACCTGCAGATATTTACATAATACACTTGAAAGCACAATCATTTGGTCTTGATGTGCTTGATCTTCTTCGTCTCGTGAAGGAAGTTGTTGGCGTAAGCCTTGGGCACAAAGCGGCGCTCATTCGGCTCCTGCACAAAGTATTCGTAGCCCTGCTTCTGGGCAAAGGCAATGGCATCCTCCTTCGACTTGAACTTGAGGTTGGTTCCTTGCATACTATCCGCAGAAGATTGCCAACCCATCAGCGGGTTTTCCCAACGGTGACCCTTCTGCAGAATGTCCCAGTCCATCCGCCAGTGGTGCCCGTGCCAGGTGCCAGACTGGGTAGCAGGCTTTGTTGGGCGGTAGATTCTATGAGGATTGAGAAATTAGCGTCTTGAATCCCCAGGTATGACCTTTTTCGGGGCGGGCGAAAGTACCTGACAGTGCGGGCCTGGAGATCGGTAGGGGCGCCGGAGAGAACTGCAGCAGGCAGAGTAGGACCAGGCTCGCTTCCATCCATCACGCGCTTGGGAACTGGGGAGAATTGGCTGCAAGACAAAGGAAAAACATGTTAGTGAACCCGATATGCGGCGGAAAGCAATGTATGGTAGCGTACGAGGTGCCGTGGTCAATGGTAGCCTCATAGTCAGGCTGATGACGGGTCATTGCCTCCGAAGGGCTCTGCTTGTTGATCATGGAGCTGCCTTTGTTGGGCGTGGTGGGAGCCTCAGTCGGGGTGGTCTTCACCTCCTTGGAGACGTTGGAGACGAAGCGGGCATTGACAGGGGCTGCGAGCCGGGCCGCGCGGAGGCCAGCACCGCCTCCAATTCGGAAGAGCGACATGGTTGACGGTGGGGAGTGGGGAGTGTGGTTATAGCCAAAGACGGAGCGGGTGCAGGAGGAGGTCAATCGCAGAGTGCAGGTCACGGCATATCCGAATTAGGTTTAGCGCATTTAACTCATCCGACCACCCGCTTCCCGACCGAAGAGTCTCTTTCTCCTCCATCATCAGTCGTTCCCGGTTCACTTGCGCTGCGAAAGACCGTACGTCCTTCCTGTTGGCTTCTATGGATTCGTCGAGGCCGAAACTATTCACTGCGACAAATTTCTGACCCCTACCAGTCCAGACAAGATGAGCTACATCGTTCGCCGTGGTCTCTCGACCCTGATCCCTCCCAAGGTACGATGACCTCGAATTGGCCTACCAAAGGCTTCGCAAATGGTTGCTGATGATACTGACTGGCACTCTAGATCGCTTCCCCCAACGTGAGTCCCTCGGAACCCTTCGTGCCTGCCATCACACCTGGCACCTCTACCAGCCCCGTACCTTCCCGAAGTCTCTTTTCCTGCGATACGGCAACGCGACACCTCGTTTTCTCTCCCGGGAATCATTGCTAACATACATATGAAGGCCATCGGCGCTGCCCAGGATGCTGCCCGCATGGAGCGCGTCGTGACCTTCTACGCCGGCCTGCCCCGTGGCCCTGCCCCCCAGGCTAAGGCCACTGGTCTCCTCGGCCGCTACCAAGCCCGCTACTTCAACAAGAACTCTGGCGCCCGTAAGTTGCGACTGTATGATATTTGGAAATGCCATGGATACTGATTCGAAACAGCTCTGCTCCACGCCATCGCCGGTATCCTGCTCATGGGCTACAGCATGGAGTACTACTTCCACCTGCGTGAGTTTTACCTTCTATGACATGACACGAAATGATTGCCCTGTGCATGTCTGTTTAGATGGATGACTGTTTACTAATCATTTCGGTAGGCCACCACAAGAACCACCCTCACTAAAGTATTTCATTTGGTTGGAAATGGGAGGAGGATTTTTGATGTACATACTGCATCCTCTGGCCCAGAGCGAAGCAGTGTAGGAATTAGAGACTTCTCATATTGAATCTCACCGTGTTTCATTACTAGACCGTGTGGTAGTCTCCTTTAGTCTGCCTCAAAAGGGCTGCAGCCATGCGCGTGTACTTTGTAGTGACCTAGTGCCCTAGTGGCCTCCGGGGGTTCTCCGCTCCGCTTAATTGCACCACCATCGTGGCCTGATAGTCCCCCAAGTTACCTCATTCCATTCGCTCATAGATATTTCGATGAGCTAGGTCTGACCGTGGAATTCTGCCGTCCGTTTATGCCTGCGCAAAATCATCGCGGCCTCGACGCCTTAGACTAGTCACATTAAAGTGGTGGTGGGTGCTGCAAGAACCTCCTCACAACCTTCCCGGGTCAGCGCTAACCGAAAACAGCCAACTCTCAGCTTCAAACCCGACAACCATCTCAACGAGACTGAGCCGAGTAACCATCCATCACCCTCCTCCCCACGACATCATCCCCTTCTCCCACCCCCTCCCCCCATCCTTGGGAATTCCCCTGGGTCGCGGATATCCTCACGCGCCTTTCTCGACTCCGCAGCTGCTCTCGCCGAGCGCGACACCCGGCTTCTCAGCAGCTCCTGGAGGTTGGCCGCCCCAACATCCTCTACCTGGTTGTGGAATCCCGATCTTCCAGGGTACAACCAGACAAGCGAGCAGTTCAACCGCGGCGATTCCTGGACTCTGACAAGAGGTACGCTATCGTCAGTTTCTTCCGTTACCATGCGAGATTGAACCCGCGGCTGCCCACTCGCGTCCGCATAATTTCATCCCATACCCCAGGCTTTTACAGGGTGCCGGTCTAACAAATATCGCTTTCTTCACCCCCTACAGACTCGAGTATTGTTATGGCAGAGCAGAGCGGCCGCGATGTGGTAGATCAGACCCTGTCGGGCGGCGAGCCTTCGCCTTCCGGCGTTCCTGCGAGCATTAACGACAAGCCACCTGCTAGAGGGGACGTGAGGGAGACCGAACATACCGCATCAAATCTGGCAACACAACTGCCAACCGATCCGCAACCGAACGACGAGACGAGGGTCACGCTTAGGTCTCAAGCCGAGGGGACAGGAGGTGACAAGGATGCCACAGGGTCTGCGATGGTGGGTGCATACGGTTCAAAGAATGTGTGATCATAAAGCTGAACATGGCGCAGGATGTGTCAAAGCAGAGCGCCGGGCTGGTCGCTTCCAGAGCCCTTGAACTGAACGGACTGGCATCGTCTTCCGATGGCGCGGACGACACAGCTTCACAGGGCGGTTCGGAGTCAGATGCCAGTCGGACCGATGGTAGACACCACAACCGGACTGGTTCTGTGAAGAAACCTACGACATTCAAGCCTGTTTCATTTGCTAAATTTTCCGTGCCAAAAGCCCCCGGGGCTGCGGCACCGCCCAAGGCGCCTGAGAAAGGTTACTCCTTTGTTCGCCCCAGTTGCATATTTGGGGGCCCTACCACTGACAGCATATTAGTTCTATCCACATCCACTACTCCCCTTGGTACACCCCAGCCGAGTTCAAGGCCACGCTTGGTCGCGAAGACCACCTCCGGCATGCGTGATTCGTTTTCGAAGGCCGGTGCAGGCGGTGCTAAGCCTGGCGGGTCAGGGCCTGATCCTAATCAAGTTTGGAACAAGAATCGACGTATGTTTTTGGCAGCGCAAGCTTTGGACTTCAAAACTGACTGACTTTTTTTCCTACTATAGCCGTCCAGCCGACTCCGACGAAGCATTTGACCGATGAAGAGTTGAAGCAACAATATGGTATTCACATGACTTCTCGAATCCAAGAAGATGGAGGCGGAACTGAGGCGAAATGGGCCGATATCGACGATGATGAGGACGATTGGGCCCCGGAGACGATTGAATGGAACGACGGAACGAAGGTTACTCTCACGCATAATGATCCTCCGCCGCCGCCAGACCAGAGCCTGCAAGAGGTAGAGGATGTGACACTTCTCCCAGAACAAACAGTGGCTAGGGACACGATCAAGATTGTTGCACCAAAGCCAACCACTTCGGTCGGGCCAAACCCTACCGTCCTTAAACTCGGAGCCAATGCAGAGCGGCAGGCCAAGGCCGCAAGTATCTATTCCAAAGGACCGAACGACAGAGTACAATCCGGATCTACAAGCCCGGCTCCTCCACCAGCCAAATCACCTTGGGCAGCCTTGCCTCCTGTCGAACGAGTGTCTCCCGTTAACCCACCTATTCACGTTTCTCAACAGCCCCGAAGCACTGGTCCTATGAACTACGTGCAACGAGATGATGGTCATCACACTTCATTCCCTCCGACGGAGATTGCTGCGGATGATTTCAATCGCACGTGGAGAGAAACTGCACCAGGTGCACCCCGAGAACTTTATAACTCGCGGTCGGGCCGGTACGAGCCAGTACAAGACACCCGAAGGGGATCATGGCGACATGACCAGGGCCCTCGTCCCCCGGCTGTTCTGCAACGCCTAAATCATGCCGAACAAGGTGGACCAGCAGAGCCATCTGCTGCATTCCAGACCCATCGATCTAGTCACCAGGATGGCATGAGCTACAACCGTCGCCGTACATCATCGAATGTCAGTGGAGGAAGTGGAGGATTTGGTCGCCGAATGTCTTTTGGCCGTACAGATGTACCGCCGAGGTATATGGACACCCGCCGGGGATCTCAAAGCAACGGTATCGTTGACCCAGCATTGATGGGACGTGAACAAGGACCTGTCCATGAGCCCTCTCCAACCCAACAGCACGCCGCTCCAGGATGGGCCGGACAGTCGCCTCCGAGTGTGAGCGATGCTTCTCCTGTTGAACAACAGTCTGCTCCAGTTGCCGCACCGGAAGAACCGCAAGAGGATCCCGTTGTGCTACAGGAACGTATTATGAAGGAGAAGCGCCTTGAAGCTCGACAGAGACGTTTAGAACAGGAGGAAAGGGACCGCCTTGCAAGGGAAGAGAGAATTAAGAAGAAACTTGCAGCTTTGGGCCCACCCCCAGACAAGCAACAGCCACAGCGCAAGGAAAGCACCGAGAGCCGTAAGCCTCAGACGCCCGCAGCGCCAGCCCCCGCGACGCTTCACTCTCCTCCAAAGCCTCCGGTTCCTGAACCAACTGGCGAGCCCAAGCAGTATGGAATGATGAAAGTTCACCATCCTGACACTGTCAAGAAACTTGTGGCGGCGAATGAGAGGGATCGTGCTGCTGAGAAACACCCCGAAAAGCCCTCGTCGCCTTCTCATATGCGTCGTGTTCCTCCGTCTCCTCGTGAACAGAAACGTGAGCTAGCAACAGCTGCGAGCGGTGTCCATCAGCAGCCCGAGTCTCGTCCTGCGGACACAAAGGCTGATGAGCAAGGCGCGCAGTGGCGTGGAAATCTCAATGTTCCTAGTACATATGCTCCCTGGACAACTAACTCCAACTTGGCTTCATCTTCTCCTTCAGTGAAGAACCCTTGGAAGCCCCTGAGCAGTGACAGAACTCTCGGCAACGGTATCTTTGATCAGAGCCTTGGTGGGTTCCCGTCACGCGAACTTCCTCTTCGAAGCCAATTGAGTCTCGACCAACCGGCGGTGCCGCCGCAGGCCTTTTCGGGCCCGCAGGAGTCGGCTTCTATCTCCCCGCTGCCGTCACCTGAGACCAGGCACACAGCCTTTGATCCCTTGAGCCCCATCAGCCGCCCCGGTCCAATTGCGCCGCCTTCTTTACAACAGAGCCAGTGGCAGCAAGATTCTCGTCAAGCCGGTGGATTAACATGGAACAACTTCCACATTGTTGCTCCTCAGCGCGAGCATGCACAGCAAGCGCAGGCGCGCCAGGAGTTCAATGCGAACATGGAGCAACCGAACCCAGTAGTTTCCTCTCTTCAAGAAAGCTGGAAGCCTATTCGAGGGGGCGCGGATGAAGCTGGTCAGAGAACCGCTATTGGAATGCCCCCTGGAGTTGTGAACAAGAAAAACAACGGATCTCCTTCCAACCCACTGACTGGTCTGGATGTACCCGCGGACGGTCTTCCGTTCACTGATAGCCATTCCAGACCCCTCGTCAGCGTTCCCGCGCGCAGCTCGCGGTTCTTCCCGCATGCTGCTGAGCAACCAAAGCGTCCAACAGTGGAGAAGTATGACTATCAGCGAAGCCCATCGCCACCTCCACCAGAGGAGATTTCAAGCCACCCTGTGTATTTTGGCGGGTCTGGCCGGCCGTTGGTCCATCTTCCCAACCCCAAGCCTGTGGTTAAGCTTCCTCCTAAAGCTCTGGCTGTCCCAGCAGCTCCGCCTTCGTTTGCGTCCATGGCGGCCGCTCCTCCACGGGGTCCTCCAGCACCTGCTTCAACTGCAATCTCTTGGCAGGAGAAGATCAATTGCCTCTTCGGCAAAAAGACCCCTGTTGAGAAGAAGTCTGCTTTGGCTATTACGTCTGCAACTAAGGAGCCTCTGGATGTTCCACTACCCGTTGCAGCCGTGTCTGTCTCACTGCCCAACATTGAGAATGACGTGCAGATTGGCGATGGTCACCTTGCGGTCCGGCAGGTAGAAGAACAAGATGAGATTTTTGAGGATCGTGAGCCGGGCTCTCTGCCCAGCGTGCGCGTCCCGAACATGGCTCCCGCAAACGCATGGCAGGCTGCTCCGGCACCTCCGCCATCTCGTCTGCGTGCCAAGATCCTCAAGCCGATGCAAGTCCACAGCATCGAGCCGTATTTGGTCGGGTTCGGGGAGAAGGATCAGTCCGGTAATATTCGCATCTTGATCCGGCTGCCCGGTGCAGTGGCAGCCAGGACCCTCAGTCTTCCGAAGAAGGCTAATGGTCCTAACTCGCGGCACCGCAGCTCCCCCACCTTCAAACCCCGCAAAGGAACCAAGCCCCGCGAGGTTTCTGGGGGTAGCCTGGGACCTAAGAAGCCCTCTTCTTCCTCCCAGCAGCAGAGCGGTACCCCGTCTTCCTCTCCACGCCACCAGTCGCGGAACGCATCCTGGGGCCCACGCACACTCAGTAGCTCGCGCTCTTAGGTGCCACTCTTCCACTCTTGGGGATTATCAGCGGGAAGCCCTACGAGCATTTTTTACTTTTCGGGTTTTTAGGTCTTGCCAGAAAGCTGATTTATTTGCTTCGCGGTTCCTCGCTCAAACCGCACCCCAACCCCAACCAATCCGGTGCCTGCTATACTGCTCTCCATTCGTCACGGAAAACGATGGCCCCAGTCAGAAGACAGCAGCACCAAACCCCGCCTCCCATCCGCTCACCCTCCACATCCTCACCACCCGCTTCCTTCGTGTTATGTACTTTTTGTTCACTCCATTTTTCTCGTGCCCGCCAGGCTGTGTGCGGGGGCGTGCAGCTTGACGAGCGCAAGGTTAAGTCCGAGTATGCCATATCTATTCTCGGACTTCACTTTCTTTTCTCTTAGCTGCGGGCATTCTCTGCCTTAGCCTCACGCTCAATGAAGTGCAAATCCAATGTGCCCTTCCCTGTTTGCGTTGCGTTCAAGCTCAACCCGTCTCCATCATGGACGCGGTTTGCAAGTCTTCAATGTATCATGCAGCCTACTCAATTCATATCATGTAGTCTTGAGTTTTCGGTTCTTGCCCCATGTTACTCGTAGGCTAGACTGGATAATCTACTACCTTTATAGAGGGATGTCGTAACCATACTTCAGTTATCACTACAAATGGCTCCATTTGGACAAATTCGGGGATTTTGAAAGACAATTGATTTGTAGATTTTCGAGGAAAATGTTGTACAGAATAGAGGTATCAAGAAGTAGAATCACACGTTATCCAGATCCAAAAACACCACATCCCCAGAACGCTCCACCGAACACCTTTAATATTACCATACGCCCATGAAGTCATTATTTGAGAAGACCGCCTAGAATATATCCAAACCCCACAGGTAGTCTGCCCTGGCCACAGCTGCTTGAAAAAGATCTAAGCCGCATTCTCTTTACCAGTTCCACGTACGGCTGGAGGCAGTAAAGACGGGAGGCTTCCACTGAAGGCGGACAGGGTCGATTCTCCGCGAGCCCTTGATTTTCTCTTTCTCAAGGCGCTTGTTGTGCTCCTCGATGACTTGGTCGGTGAGGATGATAATCCAATTTCCTTTCTATGAAGGGGTTAGCATGATCTTAATACGAAGATGCAAGGGTATGGAAGGAGCCTACATGGTATCGGAGCATGTTGTTCACGAGCAATGTCTCATGAATGTCCTTTTCAGTCATGGATGTGAGAAGAGCGAGCTCGTTCTCGCTCATGGCCTCGCGATTTGGTTCTGCCAGCAGCTCGACAAGAGTCTCGCGCCAGTAACGGCGGTAACTAAGCAGACCCAAGTCACTGAGAGGCTTCTCGGGAGAACCTAGCTTGCCCTCGCGCTTACTGAGCTCATAGCTCATAGCGATCAGCAGGCGGCCATAGCCTGCACGCTGGAATTGTGGGAATGTAGTGATACAAGCCAGATTGTAGCCCTCAGCGGAGTCTTTCTCTTTCGAAAAGTAGCCAACGAGATGGCAGCCTGTATCGTCCCGAGTGCACATGCAGTAGAACAAGAACGGGTCGACGTCGTAGTAGAGCGTTTTGTGGTCCAGGAAGAGCTTGCTGAGAAGACACAGGTTGCGACACCATGTCCGCTGACGACGGCCGTCAACCTCAAAGAAGGAAATATTCTCATCCCGGTAAATCTCGTTGCCAGGAGGGTGAACCATTGTGCACTTGGAACGGTGCCGCTCGAAGGCACGGTAGTTGTCGAAGTAGCTCAGACAGAACTCGTCGATGTAGACCAGATCGACATCGGAGAATGAATCTGGGTATGGGGAGAAATACCACGGCTCGATGTCGTATTTGCCCATTTGAAGCTTGGTCAAGTTTCGCACGCGGTGGACCTCCGTCGGGTTTTGGGTCATACTGCCACCTGTACGCAACCGCTCAATTTCCTCTTCACGGGTAATCACCTCCCCCGAAGCGGTCTTGACCTCCTCTTTGAAGGGGGCATCTGTCATGTCGAGGTCTTCCGAGTCCGTGACTTTCGGCGTCCCGACGGAGGAAACCGCCTCAGATCCGACCATCGAGACATCACCGCCAGGAGTATCCCGGTTTTCCTTGCCTCCAGCCATCGAGGGCCGTGGGGTCTTTGCAATGTTCGAGTTCTTGCTGCCGAAGGCATCGGGTGTTCCCGATACCTCGCGGCTGTCCGCGCGCTGCTGTTTAGGCGCATTCTTGCTGGGGGCCTTGTTGATGGCAGCACTCTTTTTCTTGTCTGACTTTTCTGGCCGTGGCCACTCAACCTCATGAGAGAGATCGATGCGTGCAGCTGGAATCCATTCTGTGCATGCTGTCAGTGTCATCACCCACTTGAATGTAGCTTATATGCTCTTGAATTGGACTTGCCGTCAAGACGTTTGTTGAAGTCGACATAATGAACACTGTATATATTAGCACAAATGAGTCCATATCTGATCAAAAATCTACACTTACTAGAAGGAAAGGCCACCCTTGCGTTCCCTGATTGACAGGATTTCTGCCTTCCGAAGTTCGCCATCCTAACGTCGCGGTCAATATTATATCACGTGATACACGCCAGACTCTGCAATAGCGCAGGACTCACCTTCTGCACCATGGCCTTCACACCGAGGCTATCACCTTGGTCAGTATACGCGACCGAGAAAAAGCGACATTGAGAGCCCGGGGAAAAAAATTTTGTCTTTCTTCTGGCTCGGGTTGAACTTACGTGATGGTGTTGACGGTGGCGAGCCCCTTCTCGACAGGGTCGGGCGTCCCCGTCGCCTCGCCGGAGTCTCGGACGCCCATGGTCGTTTTCTGTGAGTCTACTCAAGCAGAACCGGGACAAAGAAGAGATGGATGCGATGCGATGCGATGCGCGGCCGATGGGAGGTGAGTGTCAAAGGCGGAAGGGGGAGGCGTCGTCGACGGAGGTTATGTCAGCGGGTCCGCATCGGGAAGTTGACTCTTTCTTAGTCGAAATGGCGAGTATATCTACAGTCAGTGTAACCAAAGTGAATGAGCAGGATGTTTTCCAAGCATCTGAGATAACTGGAAGACTAAAAGATACTGCGGGTTGTTACATAAGGGTGTAGGTTCTAATAGAAGCGATGAAGTGTGACCGAGTCAAACTCCTGGCGATTTAGCATTATCCACGCAAATGTAACCTTCCTAGTGATACAAAAAGAGCCTGCAATGGGTCATGATCCCCCCAAAAATATAGAAAATTGAAGAAAAGAAAAAGCCGACGATTTAGTGCCATCCATTGACCGTAGCCGTGCCAGCAACAAGCTCATCCAACTCGTCCTTTCGGCTCTTATACAACTCCTGTGCCTCCCGCTCCCGGCGCATAACGAAGGACACCTGCTCACGCAGTCGCTCCAGTCGCCGAGAGACAGCAGCTTCCTCGGAGATCTGGAGTGTACGGAAAGAATCAAGATCGTCCTGTGCCTTGGGTAGAGCTGCACTAGCCTCCAGAATCTTCGTTCGTAGCATCTTGGCGCGGTTTTGGTATCCGCCATAATGCAGTGCTAGCTTCTTCTCCAGCTTGTTACCCTTCTCGGCGGTAGCGAGCAGGGACCTTTGAACGTCGTCGAAGGCCCCGATCATGCGCTGCTCCTCTTGGAAGTCATCCTTCTCGTCTTCGTCGTCGTAGTTGTCCAAGCCAGGGAGGGCGTTGGCCCGAGTTGATGACCAAACGTCATCGAACTTTTCTTGCCAGTCTTGTTGTTGCTGTTGTGCTTCGGCCGAGGCAATTTCAGCTACAATAGCAGCACGAGCGGTCTCCAAAAATTTGTCATCCAGGCGGCCCAGTTTAGGTGCTTTCCCTTCGACCTTTGCACCGGGCACAGGATACTTCCGGGAGTCATGTGCAATGATAACTGCGGCTTCTCTGGCAATCAGGCCCTCGACTGGGTCAGTAACGTGAGAGGCACGCTGCATCAACGCATCGAGATCAAGGACTGCAGGTCGAGGTAGACCGCGCTGGTACACCTGTGACTGGCGCTTGAACTCAGCCCGGGCCGCTTTCTCTCGATCCTCTTTCTCTCTGCGATCACGCTCGGCCGCATCTTCCTGAGTGATTTCGACTGCAGTGGAGGGCTCTGCGGTTTCAGATGGAAGTTCTTCCAGTTCCCACTCGGTTTCTTTGGGTTTCGGGAGTGCAGAGAGTTTGCTGCGGATTGACTGGCGCATGAAGTTCTCGTGTATTTTGATATCCCGAGGCGTGCTGCCAACAAGCTGGCTGCCCTCGCCTTCCCGATTCAGGGCAAGGTGATCTCTTGGTGTGCGTAGCGGAGTGGCACCTGGGCCAACCCCACCATGCATCGGGGTGGCCCCCACGCCGTTGGCCTGTCGGAATGGGGTGGCCATTGGGTTGGGCGTAACAATCTGCTGTCGTCGAGGGGCAATCCCATCGAAGCCTGTTGATGAACCGCCCTCGTGAAGAGGAGTGTTCTCTCCTCCGAGCAAAGACGACTGAGTTTCGGTCAGAGCCCGAATATTCTTAATTTCATTGGCAATGTGATCCTCCTCCGGCGCAGCCCGTGGTGTACGGATGGGGGTTCCTCCAACAATTGAGCCGTATTGTCCAATAAGCCCCCGGGCGGTTTCTTCGTCGGCACTCATCCGGCTAGCCTTGTCTCCAGCCATGCCCATCTTAATAATATCTTCCATTTCACCCTCGCTGACCTGCGGTGCAGGCAGGACCAGACCACGACGCTTGCTGCTCTGCTCTGCCTCCCGAATCTTTTGCATTTGGCCTGCACGAGCAGCTGCAGCAAAAGCAGCCGAGTTGCTGTTCTTGTCATTCTTGCGCTTCTTGCGCTCGGCGTCTTCATCTTGATCACCTTTCCGCTTGTTGGCCAGCTGTTGCTTGCGGGGATCGAACATTTCCCGTTGGCGTTCATTCCGGGTTTGCTCGTCTATGGTATCATAGAATCCAGGGGCAGCCGGCTTTTCGAATGGGATATCTGCATTGTAATCCATCTCGCCCGGTTTCCGGGTTACTACCTTAACGTTGATACCAGCATGCTTCAGCTCACGGCGCTTCTGCAGCACTGCCAGTCGACGCGACTCCTCCAATTGGCGTTCTCGGGCCTTGCGCTTGGCCTTTTTACCCTGTGTATTGGCGAGACGGGCACGCGCTTCGCTAAGCATTTCCTTCTCATCTTCATCGAGATCGATCGTGTCGGGACGCGCAGGTTTAGACTCGGGATCGGGATCCAACTCGCCAGGGCTGTAAGTCGTTAATAAAGTGGGCTTTGAAACATGCCTAGGAACCAACGTACCGTAGGCGGCGGACATCGTCCGCACTAGGGGCCGCCGTCTCTCCACCCTCCGGTCCTCCCAAACCGAGTTCATCGTTCTCACGGGCTTCAGCCTCATCTAAAAGCTTCTGGTACCGCTCCAGGCATTGAGTTGCAGTACGTCCGACAATAGGAGCAATCGTGCGCCATTGCGTTGGCATCAACTTTGCCAGATGTAGAAGCTTCTCATCCTCCTCTCGCGACCACTCCACCTTGCGAATTCCCGGATCCAGCCATTCGATCCAACGCGCTTTGCACTGCTTCGGTGTCTTCCGGGCGAGAAGAGACGATACTCGGGCCCATTGGTTGAGACCATATTTGGACACCTATCTTCAAGTCAGTACTTGCGCATTCCTTCCAATCTGTTCTCAAGTTATGTGAGTGAGACTTACGGCCGCCCGAAGGACCTCGTCCTCAATGTTGGTCCTAATGGTTTGTTAGCTGTGATCGGTCGCGGATGGACTCATGGGAATATCTTACCAAACACCTCCCTTTACGACAGGCATGGTGCGCGGGTTGAACTGAGTCCTGTCGATATCTCAGAGAGCAGAGACAAGATCGCAAATCAACTTCCGGGGAGATGAAATGTGAGATCCCCGGATAACAGTCGACGCGCGGTGGCTTGACGGAGCTGGGAGAAAAGCGAGCTTGCCAAGGCCGAGCCTTGACCGCCCGCTTGGCCGCCCCCGCGTTAGGTAAGCGGATCCAGAATTTTTGGTTTTTTTAGTTTGGTTTCTGGGCCTTCGCGAAAAAAAAAGTGATAAGAGCATCAACCATGTCGACCTCGGTGGATGCCCCTCAGCAATACAAGCAGCCTTCCCGCAAGGGCAAGAAGGCCTGGCGCAAAAATGTCGACGTCACTGAAGTGCAGGAGGGTCTGCGTCAGCTGAAAGATGCTGAAATCAAAGGGTCTGTCCTTTGCTTCCTACGATCGACAATGGTCAACAGGACTCTTGCTAACTTCTTAACAGTGGTCTAGTCTCAGAGAAGCCTTCTGAAGAGCTGTTCACTCTCGATACTACCGGAGCTCAAGATCTGCGGCAATCGATCGCAAAGAAGCACAAGCCGCTCAAGGCCGACGAGATCATCGCACAGCGGTCTGCCATCCCCGCATTGGATGGACGCAAGCGTGGGAATTCAAATGTCACCGATGGAGTTATCGAGCCAAAGACGAAGAAGTACAAGAATGACTGGGTCAGCCGCAAGGACTACATGCGCTTGAGGAAGGTGGCGCAGGATGCGAACCCGATCAACGAGAAGGGTAACAACGAGATTTATGATCCCTGGGCGGAGGATGTCGATGAGTCTCCTGTCTATGAGGACCCTCGATTTGATTTCTTGGTGAAGCCTAAGACGAAGGTCGCCCCAGAGACTTTGAAGCACGCACCCATATCACTCGCCGCCAACGGAAAGGCCATCCCCTCAGTGCGCATGCCTCATGCAGGAACCAGCTACAACCCCGTATTTGAAGACTGGGACAATCTCCTGCAGGAGCATGGTGAGAAAGCAGTCGAGGTCGAGAAGAAGCGCCTCGAAGAGGAATTGAAGGAAAAGGAAAAGCAACGGTTAATTGCCGAAGCCGGGGATGACGACGGTGAAGTGAAGTCCGACGATGAGAGCGCGTGGGAGGGCTTTGAGAGCGAATACGAGAAGCCAGAGTGGCTTAACAAGAAGCGGCCCGAGAGAAAGAGCAAAACCCAGCGCAACAAGATCAAGCGCCGCAAGGAGGCTGAGAGGCAGGCGAAATGGGATGAGCAGAAGGCCAAGAAAGACGCACAAGCTGAGCGTATTGTGGAGCTCGCTGAGCTCGCCAAGCTGAAGGAACTAGAGCGTGAAAACCAGTCTGATGCTGATGACTCGGAGGAGGGAGATGAGACCGTCCTGCGACGGAAGCCTTTCGGCGGCAAGCTTGCGTATGTCTTCAGCCCGTTCAATTTATATTTACCACTGCTAAACCACCTCATAGAGCCCCAGAGCAGCCATTGGAGCTGGTTCTCCCCGACGAGCTGCAGGAGTCTCTGCGTCTGCTGAAGCCCGAGGGCAACCTGTTGGACGATCGCTTCCGCACGCTCATCGTCCAAGGTAAGCTCGAGTCCCGAAAGCCGGTGACACAGGCTCGCAAGGCGAAGAGAAAGATTACAGAGAAGTGGATGTCTAAGGACTTCAAGGTTCCTGGGTTCGAGTAATTGTTTTATCTTTGTTTCACTAAAAACGGCGTGCATTGGCGATTGGATGAACATACATTGTGGTCAATACATCGAGGCTTTTCACTTAGTTATATCTTCTGGGCTCTGAAATAGCGGCAATATAACTTATTCAATTCAAGCTAAATATCATGTTTTCCACTAGTTGAAGTTGTCATGCTTTTTAAAAAAGAAAAAACACCCCATCCACAACGCGAGTCTAGGCTGAGATAACAAAATTGCCATTTGTGGTTTAGCGTATTACGCTTTAGGAAAGCGGTTTTGCCCTCTGTCCTGCCGTGGTTGTCTTTTGTGCCGTCAGAAAAAAAGTCCGCGGGTAAACCTCTCCTCAATACACCATTTCCCCAGCATGCAATAACTGTTGCAGACTTTGACAAGCCTGGAAATGGATTCAACGAGCCTTTCCAGCAACTGGAAGAAGTTACAGGCCACTCTCAAGAAAGGAAGCGCTTCTACAGGCGCCTCGACGGTCAAACGCAAGGCCGCAGACTGCGACTCTGGGAATGATACTGTGAGAAAGCGCAAGTTTACAGAGAAAGATCACTCCAAGACCCGGGAATCAAAAACACCCTTCAAGCGAAAGAAGATGTCAGACGGGACCACAGACGCGGCTGGCGCAGACTCGGTTTCGACAATCTCTCGGAGAAGGTCTAGCACGGTAGCATCTGTGCAGACAAAAACGGAATCACGGAATGCAAGGGTCAATGAGGGCCGTTCTCCAACGTGAGTATCATATACTCCACTCATAAATGGGACATACTGACACTATTTGTTCCAGTGCTGAGATCGGGAAATATATCGCCATGGATTGCGAAATGGTTGGCGTTGGTCCGAACCCCGACAACGACTCTGTTCTCGCCCGCGTCAGTATCGTCAACTTCAATGGTGACCAGGTTTATGATTCATATGTGCGACCGAAGGAGATGGTGACGGATTGGCGGACCCATGTCAGTGGCATTGCTCCCAGGCACATGGTCGAAGCACGAACTCTCGAACTGGTTCAGAAAGAGGTTGGAGAGATTATGGATGGCCGCGTTCTCGTCGGTCACGCTGTAAGCAATGATCTCGACGCATTGCTCCTCGGTCATCCTAAACGCGACATTCGCGACACAAGCAAGCACCCCGAATATCGCAAGATCGCCGGCGGCGGGTCACCGCGACTCAAGGTGCTTGCTGAGCACTTTTAGGGCTAAAAATCCAAGAAGGAGCTCATTCATCTGTGGAGGATGCTCGAGCGACAATGGCCCTCTATCGACGTGAGAAGGATTCATTCGAGCGAGAGCATCTGAAGAAGTGGCCGGTGCGCGTTGCCCCAGTGAGCCAGGAGAATGGGGATCAGAAGAAAAAGAAGAAGAAGAAGAAGACGACTCGCAAGCGGTGATCCTATTGAAGGCTTGCTTTGAGATAAAACGACTGGACATTTTGTAGACATACTTTGTATACCCCAATTTGCATTCATTTCAAGAGTCGAAATTCATATTGCCTTTGTCCATCTCACCTAAAATTGCCTAATTTAGCGAAATAAGTCTGTCGTTGTACTGACAGGTACATCAATGGCGTCTACTTTAAAATCCACGCCGGTCGGCAAATCTGTACATGTCAATGGATCTTTTGGGAGGGTGTGCCGTGAGGTACATTTCTGCGGCCGCCCACTTCCACTTAACACGGAAACGCGACGCGCCTCGGCCACCTCAACCCTGCACGAATCCACCACTGACATCTGCACCGCGAGCTTGACCCAACCAACATACTTCTGCCCAGTGCCTCATAATCTTGCACAAGAGTCCTTCAATCTACCTAGAAATCCGCTCTTGCACGACATTACCTGACTCCTTACCTACCCGCGGGTTCGCGCTACCCACGCAAAGTATTATTCCACCCTACGACGTCGAGGCACAATGCCCGATATGTACACGTTTCAAGCAGGCTCAAAGCCAATTTCACAATTGGAGAGCACTGAATCGACACCGAAATTCACACCAAATATCCTTCCGTGCCGGATTCACCATGACGGCCCGATCGTGTCTACCGAGCGATTCTGGATCCCAAAGACAGACGAGAAGGGTACGGATCGCAGCGCTACTTAGGACAATATACCATGGTCTGTTTGGACACACCTTTCTAACGCAGTGTCTCTTAGACAACAAGCAAACCGCGCACTTCCGTGGGCGCAGACTGCGGGGCCAGCGCGTCGCGATCCCGGAGGGCTATCAAGGTATGGGAACACTAGTTCACAAGGGCTTAGGCATACACCAAGTGCAATTTACTAATGTCATCACTCACTGTTTTCAGGTATAGTCGCGACGCCAACAGACCGTGTACTGCCGGCATCCCAAAGACCAGACAACGGTACAACCGAGGACGGCGAGACTGAGTCTGAGGACCCGGTCAAGGTTCTCGAAGTGCAAGGCACATTTGATGATATTATGGTCTGGGGGCACGAGATTCTTCCTGCGGCAGATGATACCTTCGTCAAAGGAGTGGAGGAATGGGTGCGGTTTGCTGAGACGGTGGGTACAGTCTCTAAGTGTCTTTATGGAACTGAACTGACTAGGCGTGTAGATGCACATGACGGCTGCGCCAGCTGTGAATGGTAATTGAGAGTAGGCAATGCCTAGTCTGATGTATGCTCAATACTAAGTGAAGAGATACCCACGGAGGCTTGTTTAGGTTATGATGAGTTTTTGATACAAGAATACAACTGGACGAATACATAATGTCTGGCTCGGAGTTAGATAGAAAGCCCAATCACGTTGATCCTTTAACTTTACAACATTAGGCCTAAAGATCGAGATAGTCTGAATGGAGGTATATTTTGGGGCGTGGAAGGTAGTTCTTAAAACCAATGGCGCTAGTGTAGGCAAAGTAGGTACTTATATATACCTACCTTGATGCCCTGGTATCCGGATAACCAAGAATACCATGAATGGCTTGCTTCACAAGCCTATATACTCACTCCATTGATAGCCTCGTTCCAGTAAACCGGATGCTGCAATTGCTGCCTCAGACGCTCTGCATGGCCTCTGCTTTGTGTTCGTCAAGTGCATAAGCGAATCATGAACCGTTATGTTCCAATATCTCAAATCTCTGCTGTAGAAGGTCTCTATTAAATTGGGTAGGCTATATCCACTCCTCTACCGGATCTAGTGTATGATCTTGAAGTTCACGGAAATAATAAAAGCTGGTCCACATGTTCTACGGCCGTGATTGTACCCCGTAGTACCCTGCGATAAGCCTGACCGCCCACTGATTCCGCAGCTGATAACAAGTAGTTCCCCACGCAACTTCTTTTCCACGCAAGATTTGCAAGACTGCTAGCTGCCTTGATAGCTGCTCAAAATGAGTGGAGAACCAAGTGCCGCCAAGGCAGCTCCAGAGGCGTTGGTTGCCAAATTCCAAATCTGCAAATTGCTGAAGCAAGGTACAGCTGTGAAACAACCCCTCGGTCAAGAAACGGAAAATAACAGATGCTAGATCAAAATGGCCGGCGCATTGCTCTGCTTGGAACCATTGACGATCAGCAGGGCATCTTGACCGCTGAACGCGCTGCCTTCGCCACCGAGTCTCTCGAGGTTATCCAAGCATTCCACGCCGCCATCACCCGCGTCAAGAACCTAGGTGACAACGATATCTACCGGTGGTACCTCGCGTCGTCCAGCGGCAGCACACAAGCGACGGCCAGCCAGCAAGACCTCAAGCTGAACCTTATCTGGCCGTGTACAACAAAGCACATTAAGAAGTATTCAGACCAGCAGCTTCGCATGGTCACGGAGACACCCGAGATCTACCAACAGCACGTACGTCCTTTCATGCGGGCCAAGCGCGAAGAGGGGCATCTCAATTGGGTGTTTAATATATTGGAGGGACGTACTGAGCAGGAAGATGTGATTCTGCGGGATGCAGGTCACGGCCCTGAGGATGCCTTCCTGATGCTGCCGGATCTCAACTGGGACCGGAAGACTATGAACTCGCTGCACTTACTGGCGCTGGTGCATCGACGCGATATCTGGAGTCTTCGAGATCTTCAGAAGAAGCACATTCCTTGGTTGAAGTATCTGCGACAGCGTGTGCTGGAGGCTACGGTGAAGATGTATCCGGATCTGGAAGAGGATCAACTCAAGCTCTACGTCCACTGTAAGCCTATCCATACGTTAGCCTTGGTATCTTGGGAATGGAAAGCTGACTATCTTGTGTTTCAGATCAACCCACTTACTATCATTTTCACATTCATGTTGTCAATGTCATGTTAGAGGCTGGTGCTACGCAGGCCACCGGCAAGGCATTTGGGTTGGAAAACCTGATCTCTCAATTGGAGACTATGTCTGGCAGTGAAGATACTAGCATTGCAGACGTTAGCTTGACTTACTACCTAGGCGAGGAGAGTGAGTTATGGGCGGATATCTATGCACCGTTGAAGAAGGGGCTTCGGCCGAAAGCTCAGTGAAGTCGGAGATCCTCGGCCATAAAGATAGATTTTAAAAAGAGAACATCCCTAACGAATGATATGATTCGTGGAAACTAATTTCGAGATCGTTCCTTGACAATAAAATTGTTATATGTAGGCCAGGCGAGGCTGCAATGGGTTGAGTAGTCTGACTGTCTCGTTATGTTCTACTACGCAGGGAAGCACTCAAAGGGTGAGCTGATTTAAATATGGATTAATCAAAAGCTGCCTTGTCCCAGCTATAGTCAGGTAAACAATACCTTTGAGCCAAGAAAGTTCATCATGCCATTTTCTACTAGTCGGGGGCTGATAGCTTAAAACGTGAAATAGTTGTTGACTCCATCGCGACTGTTGTGGTTAGAAGTCCCGTGTGGAGAACGCAGCACCGATGAAAGCTTACCCCGCAACATCACCTCTGTCACCTTAACTTCAACCTCACCCAAGCTCTACCGCTAATTCAATCGCCCGTCTTAATCCTCTTCGGATCTCCACATTCCTACATAAACCCTCATATCCGCCATGGCCGACAATGCTGATGTCCCCAGCACTCAGAAGGCCTTCGTGCCACTCGGTATGCACCCCCTCATCCCACTAAATCAAGGCAAAAATATAACACAAGCCACTAACACGAGCCTCCAACAGAAAACAACCCAGAGGTTATGTCCCACCTGGTCCACCAATTAGGCCTCCCATCCAGCCTCGGCTTCACAGATGTCTTCTCAATCGACGAGCCCGACCTCCTCGCCTTCGTCCCGCGCCCGTCGCACGCCCTCCTCCTCGTCTTCCCGGTCTCCAAAACATACGAGCAATCCCGAACAGCAGAAGACAGCGCCCTAACCGAATACACCGGATCAGGCCCCAGCGAGCCCGTAATCTGGTTCAAGCAGACCATCCGCAACGCATGCGGCCTCATCGGCCTGCTCCACGCCGTCGCTAACGGCGAGCCCCGCCAGCACATCACCCCAGGCTCGGACCTGGACAACCTTCTCCGCGAAGCAGAGGCCCTTGCTCCGGCTGCGCGGGCAGATGTCCTATACGAGAGCAAGGCACTTGAGAGCGCGCACGCGGATGCGGCGAAACTGGGCGATACGGCTGCGCCGGCGGCGGAGGACAGTGTTGACCTGCACTTCGTGGCGTTTGTCAAGGGGGTTGATGGGACGCTTTGGGAGCTGGATGGGCGGCGGAAAGGTCCTTTGGCGCGGGGAAAGCTTGGGGATGATGAAGATGCGCTTAGCGAAGCTGCGCTTGAGCTTGGGGTACGACGATTCTTGAAGATGGAGGCTCAAGGGGGAAATCCTGATTTGCGATTCAGTCTTGTTAGTCTGGGGCCTGTGTTTGACTGAGTTGACCAGACCGACATATCATGCCGAGCGAAGGCGAGCGTGTACAAGAGTTTCATCTTATGGCGTTGCTGGGGGTTGGCATAGATGATGTATGTTCCTTTTTCGAGATGCGTTTTGACAAACGAAGAGATATTAAGCTCAAGATATGGGCCCCATATATTGGATATTCTTGTAGAGACGCGAGATGGACGGGGAGCACAGCTGAGTACATGGAGGTGGTCTTTCATATTATATCAAGGTTTTCAATATGTCATGAGAGATACATAACGTGAGGTTCAGATTGTTGTTGGTGACGCCGTGGACGATGGAACTTAATCGAGTCCAAAAATAGGATTCGCTCCCAGTCGACCCGGCCATATAGCGGAGTCCCTCGAAGTCCGCCACAGGGTTCGCTTTCCCGGGAATGCTTCTTCTCTGCTTTTGTGGATTTTCATGGCTCTATGGGACCCGTGGCCAGGAATTGATCCGGGGACCGCAGGTCGTTGGGAAAGTGGAGGTGACAGAGGAGGGGGTTACCAGCGAAGAAATGACCGGCGGGGAAACTAGCCCGGGTGAGAATTATAAAGATCGTTCAGAGGAAAACTAGAGCATGACGCTCTCATAATGGGTGCAGCACACCTGGATTTTCAAGTGGTGTTTGTCCTAGATGGATGCCGAGTATAGTGGAGATCAGAGAAGAGTAAATTGATTATCCGCTATAATATGTAGTTTATTTCTATGATCTATAGTCCAAACTCACTGTCAAAGCTAGAAAACTGAAACATGCCGCTTTGTCCATGAACTCAAAATGCAGGCGTTTGGTTCTTTCATTCGTAGCCATCATATACAAGAGGTATTATCGCTTTCTGTGCTCTATAACTAGCGTCGCGGTGCGCGTTTCTCTGCCCGTGGAATCACCAACCATATCATTTTCCTCGTCATCCTCTCCATTCTCAGACTCGCATGGGGTCTGTCCAGTTTTTGGACCTGGATCGCTGCCTTGCGTACCCAGCGTCAAGAAGGGCACCATGAGGACTGACAGGCCGGCTCCAGCAGCAGCAAACCAGTAGACTGCAAGGTAAGGCCGGATGGCAGGGGTGGTAGGGGTCATCTTGTGGGCGACAGCGGTGTTGATGAAGGTCGCGATGCCAAGACCAAGATTGCTGCAGAGCTTCGTCACGGTGTTGAAGATACCACCGGCAATAGATTGCTGGTTCGGAGGGAGGGAGGACATCACGTACATCTAGATAAACATCAGCAAACGACTCAAACAAATGTGGTCATGCAATAGACTTACATTCGTGACGTTAAACTGGATATCAGCACCAACTACGACGAGAACTAACGCCGGGAACATGAAAGCCCAGTAGGTAGCGTCTTCCTTCATGAAGCTTAAGATTAGGAAGGATGCGGTATATGCTAGTGCACTAACACCGGTTAACAGCTTGTTGCTGACGCGGTGCAGAACCAGACCGCAAATCACGTTGACCAGCACGCCGCCAACGACCATGGGGAGCAACCGCACGGTGATGTCCAGGGCGGTATAGTGCTTTACTTCTTGGAGGTAGAGAGAAAGGTAGAATGTGGCAGCCGAGAAGCCCATAAAGCCGAGACAGAAGATCGCCATGAGCTAGGGGCTGTTAGGTATGTGCTGAGAATATGAACGGCACCGTGGACGTACCAGAGAGAAATTGAGATCTTTCCAGACCCACAGAGGCATCAAGGGGTTTTCTGCGACGGATTGCCAATACAGGAACCCGGCAAGCAGTAAAAAGCCCACGATGAAGAGAGCGAGTACATAGCCTGTTTTCCAGCCGTCAGGCGCATCGCCAGCCAATCTACACAACAGTCAGAAACCAAGATACAAACCAAACGCCCAAAGGCAGAGCAACTTACGAAAGCGAGCTCGAGAAAAACGCAAATCCAACAATAACTAGCGCTGTGCCTAGAAGATCAAACTGCCGAATCGCCTCCATACTAACAGGAGTCCGCGCAAACGCATCCGGGGGCACAGTCCACACCGCCAGCGCCGTAAAGACCGCATACACCAACGACAGCGCCCAGAATGAAGCGCGCCAGCTATATTCGTAGGACGCGACGCCTGAGATGATCATGCCGCCCACGAACCCGAGCGGATTCCCTGCGCTGAAACAGGCAAATGCGCGGTTCTTCCGCTTCGACGGCTTTTCATACACGGCGCCCAGCGCCCCGACGGCCGGCGGTACGACTGCGGCGGCGAAGAGACCCAGGATTCCCGAGAAAACGTCCATGTAGATAGCATCAGTGGCGAAACCGGCGACCAAGAGGGTAAGGGTGAAGCCCGCCATGCCGATGATGAAGAGAGACTTGCGGCCGAACATATCGGCTATTTTGCCGAATGTTAGGAGGAAAGCGCCGCTGCTGAGACTGTGGAAAGCAAGGCATGGTTAGCGATTTACTCTCCCCGCCAAATCGGAAGACATGATGACAGAAGAAAGATAGTATTAAGGCACGTACGAGGCACCGGCGTTGATCCAGGTGATTTCTGCCGAGTTCATGTTTAGGTCTGCTCCAATTGAGGCCGTCACGCCCACGATACAGCCTGTGAAGAAAGATTGCTGGCCGATGGCCATTGTGGCCGTCAGAACGAACAGGCATTCCTGCACGGTCGAGCTGAAGCATTTCGGCCGCTGCGCATAGCTCGGCTGGTCGTCGGACGCGAGGGTCACGGCCAGGCCTTCCTCCTCATCGAGTGGTTGCGAATCCATGGCTGCGGTGGTTGTTTACGGCAAGCCGCTCTCGTCGCAAACCAGCAGCAAGCAGCGAGAGAAAAGCGGCAAGGGTCGATCTTTATTGACGTCGGAAAAGCCCCCCAGAAAAAAGATAGAATGCCCGTCGGCAATTGAAGATCGGATTATGCTAGCGCGACTAAAAATGACAACAAGTAGCCTCCAATGGCGTTTCAGGGGGTGGTAACGCGCTGGATTATATAGCTTCATGCTTCGATTCCTCGTCTCACGACTAAGTGGGGTTAGATTTTTTTTTTTTTTTTTTTTCTCCTATCGCGCGCCACGGGCCCAAATGCAAGGCACGACGGCTAGACCAGTCGAGTTTCCCGTTACATTGCGCATTGCGTCCACCGCGATTAAGTGCACGCTCCCGCGAGTCGCGAGGATTGCAAATTCGGTGCTGAAAAATCCCTTTTGGTCAGCTGCGGCTCGGTTCCGCGAGGCCCTCAAGCCGCCGGAGGTGGCGGTGATTGGCTTGCGCGGCGGTTTGGGGCCGCCGAGATTATCCGCATGGGATCGGGTGGGGAATGACGAGTCAGATTGCCCTCAGGCGTAGTGAAGTGCAGCAGCGAGACTGGGGCGATCTTAGGTTGCTATTGAGTGACCGATATGTCCAAGGCAGGCCTACCACTCAGTCGGTCCATGCTGGGCCGTATGAGGATGACGAAAGAAACATGTTCCGTGGTGGTCATGTCTGCTGGGTTGCCGCGCACGAAGGCAGGAACTAGCTAGTGGAGTCGTCGACCCAGCACTCGCGCTCGTTGAACTTGAGAGCTTCATTGCCGCACGCCCACCAGCCAGCAGTCAAGTTTCGCGCAAACACCTCCAGCGCCGAGTACTCGCCTCCCGTGAAAAACACTCGCTCAAAGAGCTCCTTTAGACTAGGCTTGCGCGAATGAAGATCCGGCACCGCAGCGATAACTCGTCTTTGGATACTAGCCGGGCTGATATCCAGCAGATCAGTCTCCTGCGAATTGGTGCCATTGCCATCAACCGCGGCCCTTGCCCCTGAGTCCTCGGCGGACTGAGCTCTGCGTCCGATGACCAGAATCTCGTACGGTTTCCGCCAGAGCCCATCTAGAGGGCAGAGCGGACGTCCGTCAGCAGTGATCTTAACCCAAATCCATTCCTCAGCAATGCGGAAGCCGGTACTGCTGAGAGCTTCGTAGGCGGCACGGCGTGCCTTCTCGGAGTTGGTTATCCAGATAGCAGCCAACGACTCGCAGCATTGAGTCTGGATACCATATTGATCTGGGGCCGTAGCTGGGTTCATTGCAAGCGAAGGCCCGGCATGGGACGTATGCACTCGAAGGATATCTCGTAGCCGCTGGGTCAGGGTGTCCATTTCGAAGTAGGGATGGATTTGATAATGACCGCTCCGCCGGACAGACCGGTTTGGCCAGGGAGGGTCAAACACAATTAGATCAAACTTTTGGTTCGGAAGCATGCCCGGGATGGGATGGTCAACCGCATGGATCCCAGACGAAGGCCTGGTCCCTGATTGCGACAGGGGCAGTGTGCAGAGTATGAAGTTCGCTTGTGGAGGGACAGTATACTCGGCAGTTATCTCAGTATCATGAGACGAACGGATAGTGAGAGTCGCAGTCCCTGAACTGCTGTTCTTCACGATTCCCTTCAGGTCTGACATCGATTCGAATGCATTGGCAGACGTAGACGATAGTATCACCGGCGGTTCTGGTTCCGGAAAAGAAGAAGACGCATTGCTATTGGACTCCCGTGCGAGATTTTCATCCCCGACGAGGTTCTCAGCTCGTCGCTTCCTCAACGTAGGGTGACTAGCGCTGATTCGTGTTGACTTCAATTTGTGCTCGGTTTCATCGTCGCGCACATGACGGGGAAGACACCACCGAGCTCCCCGTGGCTCATATGCGGACCGAATAGCTTGCAAAGCTGTTTCCGTAAGCGGCCGTACGAATTCCCCATGGAAGCGCTGTTCACTCAGTGGAATTCTCTCAAGCACTTTAGCACGCGCAACCTGCGTCTTTGGCTCCGTGGATGGGAACGGAGATTCCCGCGGCAGGGCAGACAGAAGACATCTTCTTTTGCTGCTATGTGGGTCTCTGGCACCTGGGGCAGAAACCCGTGATTGAGAACGATTTTGGTCTCGTTCTGGCGTTGATGCAGGACAGCTTAGTTTCTGCGCAAGGGCTATTGAATGTGGCGTGTCGATCAGAAAGATTGTGTTTTCTGGGTTGTGGAAGAGAATGGCAGAGCCCTCTCTTTGGCACTTGGTCATGCTAGCTGCAATTTGATCATGATTGCTCTAGCTTGGTGGGTTTGCAGTGAGGAAGGTGGACGGCGGACTTGAAGCTTCGGAATATGCCCGGCGGTCGGCGGCCGAACTGCGAAGGGGTCCGACAACCACCCGCAAGTCGAGTTTACTTATTTTCTAGTTGATTGACCAAGCTAGCTACGGGTTATACAATTACAGACCTGCAATCCCCTGCCAGAAACATGAATACGCGGAATTCGCATTGCACCAGCTGGAAAATCTGTTCATTGAGAACCCCTACCGCGAAAGCCACTCGAGATAGCACAATCTCAGCCCTTATAGTCAATCAAGCTCAGTCAAGAAAACATCGCACCAGGAAAGCTGAGGAAAGAAAGAAAAGGAAAAAAAGAGATCATAGATCGCAAGATACATGGCCATTCGAAACGCTGTCTTCATGAGAATACATGAACGGTACCCGGCGGTGCCAGGCACCCCGACTTTTTTAAGATCCCACCCATCCACCCCCAAACAAACAAGTCCTCCACCGCACGCCGCCCCATTCGACCCACGCCAGACCGGCGATCCAGCGTCCGGTGGCAGGCGCGGAGAATGAGGGAGCAACATGCCATTTGATTTGAGTCGAATTTCGATTCGCAACAACATAGCTAGATAACCCGCTGAATCTCCATGATAAAATGACCAAAAAATTGAACGAGGAATGGAATTTATACAGTAGATGGAAGTAGGAAAGATTCGATTAAAATGATATGCCGAGGATCAGCGCTGCAGAAGGAGGGGGTTAGCAGATGCTGGCTATTATTTCAAGGGTAAGGAGAGGGGGAGAGAACTCACCCGCCCACGTCGGCCCCCGCTAGACTGGCCCTGCACCGGCTGTGCCTGGGCGTAGAACTGCGGAGGGTATTGGTACATCTGGGCCGGGTTGACCACCGGGCTGAATTGCTGCAGGGGGTAGCTGGACTGAGCCAGCATGTGGTTGGGGCTCATGGGGCCTGGTGCAGCGGACAGCGGGGACGGCTGCTGGGTCTGCAAAGAGCGCAGGTTCTCAACGGATGGCGACGCGGCTGGGTAGCCAAAGTTGGCGCCCGGCATGCCCTGGTACATACCGCCCGGAGATACACCTCGGGCCTGGGCAGCAAGGTAGGTCTGGTAATGGAGCTGTTGCGCACTCAGAGGGACATTGGGGTCCTGGAACCCGTTGACTCCGCCAAGTCCGTTCAGAGGATTGCCAAAGCTGTTGATGCCATTGGTCCCGTAGGCATCGAGAGGAGCATTGTTCTGGTCGGCGGAGATTGGCCGCGAGTCAGGGGCCTGGCCAAGCATATTGGAGCCAAACTGGCCGCTGTACTGTCGCTCCAGAGGCGGCTGCGAGGGGAAGTTGGTACTTCCGTGACGGGAGGATTGGCGGTGCTGCGCCTTCTCGGGTGTGGAGGAGTGACTGGCGCCGTGCTCACGTCCATGATGGTGCTCCCGACCATTGCCACGAGAAGACAAGCCAACCTCATCCATCAGGCGCTTATATCCCTGGCTCGGGGAGGCCTTCAGCTTGGTGAGAACCTTGGAGACGTTCTTCACCACCTCCGACCGCATGGACTCGTCAAAGAACGGAGTAGTAAGAACTTTGAAGATCAAAGTGGCTCCCGAGGTTTGGTCACTCAGAATCTTTTCCAGCACTTCATCACCAGGGCTGAAGAAGAGCGCCTTAAGAACGATGTCCCGAGCCTCGGCCTCATTGCGCTGGTTAATAACCTTGAGAACAGTAAGGTAGGCGACCTTGTGGGTGCAGAGCTGTACCAAATGCGGCACAAGTCTGGGAGCAAGGACAGTTCGGCGATGGGGGAATGTACAAGTGTCGAGGAACCAGGTGAGCAGCAAGGCCCCATTGGCATTGGTGGCCAGCTGCACACTGTGAAGGGCAATAGCAGCCGCAAGCGCTCGCTGCTGGTCCTTTGAGGCATGGTGGCTCTCCAAACAAGCCCGCATAGCCCGGGCACCAAATCGGCCCTGAGCGACTTCCCACATCCGGCTCAGCATGGTTTCAAAAATGAAGTCGTTGAAGGGAGTGCCAAACCGCAGGCAGCACTGCAACACATAGTTTCCGTACTGGTCGAGGAAGAGCGGCACGGTGTAGGGGCGGAGTGCTTCGACAATCAAGTTCATCTGAGCGGGTGTCTTGGCAACGTCGATGATCTTCTGTGCAGCCCAGGTTCCGTTCTTGTGCACGCCGATCTCAGCCAAATGAGGTGAAATGTGCGAGAGCATCTGTTCTTTAGTAGACTCAGAGCAGAACTCGAACAGCTTCTGGACGACAGTATTGCCCAGATAATCAGATGACAGCTCCGCAATCTCAGGGAGCATGGCGCTAGCAGTCTCCTCGATCTCCTGGATTGAACAAGCGCCATTGTCAATACGTTTGCGAATATCACGCAGACGAGGGGCATCAAACATGCGGGCCTGGCTAGGCTCCGGGACCGAAGGAATTTCGTCCTCAAAGGCCTGGAAGGCAATGGCACTCCGGATACTAGCGGTGATGTTGCGCGAATCATCTTCACTGGCTTCGAACTCCTGCACGATATCCACCATCTCGGGTAACACATCGATCAAAGCGGGGATCTGAGGGATGGCGCCGAGGTTATCCGCCCGGTCAAAACCCTCAGAAGCAATGTTGGATTTAAAGTTGGGATCAGGAGTAGGGGATGACTGGATGCCATTGGTACCAGGGGTACCGGCTGCAGAGGTACCGGGAACCTTCGCGTAGCCAATTCGAACAGGTCCTGCACCCGGGAAGATCTCCTTGCCGTTCAACAGCGACTTGGCTTGCACCGCACTCTCAATGCGCTCAAAATTGACGAAACCGCAGTTCTTGTGCGTCAGCACACGAGTAGACTCGATCTTGCCGTACATGCCGAAGATCGCCTCAAGGGAAGTCACGGTTGTGGAGACGGGGATGCTGCCAATCCACAGAGCCCGGGTCGGTCCATCCTGGCTGTTCTCGTCCGCCATCTCCCCTGTTGATCGAATACCAATTGCCGGGCCACCGGCTCCTCCCAGGTGCATCATTTGAACCGCCTCAGACAGTTCATCATATTCGCCGTTCTCTGAAATATGGAGATCAGAGGCACTGAAGCTGTTGTCGAGGCGGGAGGGCGTGGCGAGGTAGTTACGGATAGATGAGCGTTGGGAGGGGGCTTCCAGAATACCAGCAGTCCTTGCTCGGGGACGGCTGACAGAAGCATGGCTGGCGAACGCCTGAACAGCCAGGTTATGCTGATGGATCTGGGCCTGCGTGGCAGCGAGTTGAGCAGCTGTCGCGGCAGCCGAAGGGGTAAGCGTGCCCGAGGGGACTCCCGAGTATCGGCTCTCGTACTCCATATCTTCATCATCAGCATACTTCTCCTTCGCATTAACCGAGTAAGACCGGAATCGATTATTGTTTTTCATCATCGCCAGCTCAGCCAGGAGTGGCGGCAACGCAGAGGCTTGCGCTTGCTGCTGCTGCTGCTGGTGGTGAATCAGCTGCTCCATAGAAGGTCGTGAAAGAACAGCTCTCGCTTGCTGCGGAGTCTCCGCAAGGCCAAGATAGTCCAGTGTTCGCACATCAGCGGTATCTTGCGAAAAGGATGATTGGCTTGGCGAGGTCGGGCCTTCTGACGACCGGATGCTCGTCAACGTGGTAGCTCTTTCGCGACCAGTGGACCAACCACCAGAGAACACTGAAGAGCCGAAGGGGCCCCCTGTCCCGAGAAGGCTGTTCCGCTGTGGCATCGAGCCAGCTCGAAGACGGGAGAGCATAGTCGGGTTGGACATCGCAGCCGAGCTCGCAACTTTGGCACTCGTATCAATACCAGATACGCCAGGAGGTCGAAAAGGGCTTGTGGAGGGAGTCGGGCGGGAGGTCTGTGACATGAATGGCTGTTGGATGTCTATCTCGTTAAGGGTGCCCATCGGAGGGAATCGAGAGGGCACCGTGCCCGCTCGAGCCCGGCGGCCAGAGCCAGTCATTGAGCCATTGGTGGTGGGAATGAGGTCGGGAAAACTGTCCTGGCTTGGCGACTCGGGAATGTTCTCGCGAAGCGGGGTCGAATGACCACTGGTCGGGGGACCCCAGATGCTGGTGGGGAGACCTTCCTGAGCCTGAATCTCGCGAGCTCTGTTATATAAGTAAGGCAGAGTCCGTCAGCAAAAGGTTGAGATGGAATTCGTGCGACTTCCATCGCATGATGGGAGCTACTTACCGTTTCGGGTATAGGCGTGTCCCCAACTCATGAGAAGGGGAACCAGCCCCCAGTCGCGAAGCGCTAATCGATCCCGACGGACCGAAAGGTGCCTTCGTGGTTCCCGAGCCAGCCAGGTCACTGGGGGAGCTCCGTCCTGTTGAGGTTCCCGACATGGGCTGCGTGGTGGGGATGTAGTTGAAACTCATCTGACCGTCGGGTCGTGAGACTGGTAACATTATGGATTATCTCCTTCTACCTTCAGCGGAAGGCAGTCTATTTTCCCTTTCACTCTTTAGCCCCAGCACAGATACCGGAAGGGACTGACAGCGTCGATCGAATCGAGAAAAAAGAAACGGGTTGATTGGGTCTACTACTCAAAAGCGGTAGTGTGGCGCAAGCACCATGGGGTGAATTCGAATCGATCGTGACCGTATCGTTTCTCGGGGGATCGAGGACCGGCGAAGAGAGAAGACCAGATGTACTCTATCAAAAGAAACGATTCGAGGTCAGGGGGAGTTGATCAAGAGAAAGCTCGGTGGTTGTCCGGCGAGTGGCTGCCCAGGAGGGGTTGACAAAAGCGCTTCGGCTTCCACCAGAACGAGGTGGGGGGAAAGAAGGATTGAGCGGAGTATTTTGTCTCAAAACTGACCGAAGAGAAGAAAAAAGGTATGCGAGCGACTCTCCCGGCTTCACGTCCTGGATGTTTGGCGATCTCCGGTCCGTATTCCTTAAAACGATCGAATCAACCCGGATGGAGTCACCAGGTCGTCTTATTTTCGCTGCTGTCGTCAAGAGGAGGGCGCGGCTAAAAGCGATGCATGGAAGAATGGAAAAAGAGTCCACACAAATGAGCGCCGAGTGAGGACTGGAAGCACAGCGATGGACAGGATGATGAACGGGGTTCCGAAGGGATCGAGGTGGCTGGAGGGCGAGTTAGTTTGCGCGGCTCCGGCACAAAGGCGAAGGGGCCCAACAACCAAACAACGCGGCTCGTGGAAGAGAGATCAAACTGACCGAAGAGAATCGCACAGGGAGAATGCAGGAAAGGGGAAAAGAAAGAGAAGCAAAAGAGAAGTGAGGAAGACAGCCAAGGGGAGGTGAGGGTGGGAAAGAAGGAGAAGTTGGGGAGTCCGGATGTTCGAGGAGTTTGGGCGTTGTGGTTGGTGGAGGCGGCGCTCTTTTCAGCTTCAATTCCCACAATCCAATTGTTTCCAGTTTGCCCCGGCAAGAAGGGCAATTATCCACGGTTTCCGGAATCTATAGGTTCCTTCCACTGTGGTGTTATGTTTCTACAATTAAGCTACTTAATTCTATCGGTTTACAGGTTCGTCTAACGGCTTTTGTTTGGCGTCCACAACCGTGCTCGATCCGGGAGTCGGCAGAGCGAGGTGGATTGGCACAGCCCCATCGATGTCATTGCTCTGGAGATCCAATATTCGAGTCTGCCTGGTACTCCAGGCCCGCTGGAATAGACAAACACCCGGAGTTGCCCTATGATGCCCCAACAGTCCCATCTTGTCTCAACTGCCCTCCCCGGCATTCCCGCCGGAACACTGTGGAAGCCTCTGTGATGGAGCAGGCGTATCTTTTGGTTAGCATGCTCGGTAAAGCACAGGCGTGGAACAGACAGAAAGCCCCGCATTCTCGGAGCGTCCTGCTTCAAATGATCCAGAGAAAGAACGAGTGACAGGCAGACTTGCCCATCGCGCGCAGCCGGGCATCGACAACCAACTGTCCCCTCTTATGATCGCGAAATCCCCTCTGGCCTGCCGAGTGATGCGATTGTCCATGCAAGGGGAATGAGCCCGTCATGGTGTTCCAAAATACGCCCAAAGACAGTTTCGAGTGGATGCGAGCAAGGGATGGATCAGGTACGTGTCCTTGATCTTGGGACTGGATCATAAGGTCAGCGACCGCGTGTGGAGCGTCGGCTGGTCTGGTCTGTGATATATGCTGGCCATTATTCTGCTCTGCTCATGAGGTATAAAATGACTGAATCAGTACTATCGGCATGGCCTCGTGGACCTGAAGCAGCCTGCCGCTTCGTCGGCTTTGCGGGTACGGAACACCCGGAGAGGGTCTGCGGCCGGGTCAGGTTGTGTAGGCTGCATGCTATCATAGTGTGATGGAGCCAGTGACGTTCAGTAGCCAACCAAGCAGAGGCTAACGGTAATGGGTGTCGTAATAGTAGCGAAAAAGGGAAAGGTGAGGTAGTCCACTCGGCTTGGTATAGTTAACATACGCCGTCGTGTTAGGTTGATTGAACAGTCACTTGTTCAAGCCTGAGGCATCAATATTAACGCCACGCAGAAGTAAAGCCACACTGCGATCTCCAGCTAGCGCGCTTCCCTCCGTTCGAATAATTTGACACCCAACTTCAAAAGCTCCTGCAGTTGATGTCGCGTGCTTTTCACTCAGTAATCTTGCGACAACCTACTCATCTTCGATTCGACACTTTCCTTAGCCGTGATTTGCCTTGTGTGAGTCCGGCTCGCGTCTGATGTCTGGCCGATTACCCGCAACGCGATCGCTCGACAAGCTCCCGCAATAACTCAGCCGTGCGATATGGCGGACATCATGGACGACCAACCCTCCTCGGGTCTCCAGTCCTCGGAAGATGAAGGGGGCAAGATGCCCGTGGAGTCTCTGGTCCAAGGGCGCGCGAAGCGCAGCACGGCGGGACGACACATGTCCGCCCTTATCGACGCGGCCGCAGACGACGATCTCACGCTATTGTTTGAGGAGGTGGAAGATGATAATGAGTTTGCGATGGATGCAGAGGCTGCCGAAGAGGATGAAATGGCGCTCGATTCGTCCTCAGATGACGACGATGACGACCATGGTCCGAACGCACAGAACGACTACGAGGGGGAGAAGGAACTGCAGAAAGAAGAACGCAAAAAACGTCGAGCACAGAACGACCTTCGCTTCCAGACGCTACGCAAACGAGTCAAGATCGATCCAACCGCCCTATCCTCTGTGCCTGCTCCTCCCGTCCGCCCGAAGAAGAAGTCTGAGCGCATCTCATGGCTCCCTACAGTGGAAGACGGACCGACACGATCGTCCTCACGCCGGCAAACGATGGTCAATAAGGAACTGACGCATGCGCGTCTCAAGGATAGCCAGGAGAAGCGTATTCGGATTATTGCGACGATGAAGGAGGCCGAAAAGCGGAAGGCACATCTGAAGCCCAAGGAGATGACTCAAGAGGATCATCTCGCGGAAGCCGCCAGGGTAGAGCGACTGAACAGCAAAAGTCTGAATCGCTGGGAGCTATCGGAGAAGCGGAAGGCAGAGGAACGCAAAGCCAAGATCGAGGCGCTCCAGAATCGCCGACTCGAGGGCCCTGTCCTTTCTTACTGGAGTGGGGTGGCTACATGGGTAAATGGACGGCTCACACGGGTCGGCAAGATCGATATCAAGGCGAAGCCGGAGAAGGAGGAAACCCGCAAGAAGAAGAAGGACAAGGATGAGATGACTGCTACGGAATCACAGGGCGGACAAAGTGCCACGCCCGCTCCTGTGCCGCCATTGAACAACGCAGCTCCTCCCGGGGATGCTTCTGCTCTGGCTCCAGCTCTAGCACCAGCTTCAGTGTCTGGTTATCTTGGTCCTATTCCGCCATCTGACCAAAGGCCATCCGAAAATACTACACTCCAAGCAGCCTCAACGCCTACACCAGAACAACCTAGCAAGCCAGTTGAGAACCCTTCCGAGCAAAAGGCCGTTGATGAATCACCCGTCAACAAAATGGTACCCGGGGATGCTGAACAGCAGCCCGCCTCAGACTTTACAGAGAAGGAGGAGGTCAAGGCTGCTGAGCCAGAAGCCCCGGCGCCTACATCCAAGCCCTCTAAAAATCACCCAATACCAGTCGTGGAGATAATCGGTCCTCGTCGCCCATCTGATTCGTCTGCCAAGGAAGCCTCAGAAGACAAGCCTGCAGAGGTACCCTCGACAGACAAGCGTGAAGAGAAGCCAGATACTATGGACCTTGATCCCGACCTCGATTCCAAAACGGCGGCCGATGCCACCAAGGACGACGGACCACAGCCCCCAATCAAGCAAACATCTCCACAAGCTGGCACCACCACCAGCACGGGTATTCACGCAGCTGCAGGAGAGAACTCTCAGACCAGCTTGGCATCAAGCACAGCAGCGTCCGTGACAGAGCACGTGGCACCCACAGACCCAAAGTCCCCTCACGCCCCTCAAGCTCAAGCCCCTCCCGCCGATGCTGCTCCCCTGCACGCCACGCCACCCAATATAACCGGGGTCCCAAACCACGGCGTCTACCTATCCGAACAACTAGGGGGCGGTCCCCTTCTTCAGCAATCCACCCAATCACAAGATGCGATACCAGCGCCAGCATCTACACAGCCGGAGATCCCGCCGCCCCCGCCGGTCATCGAGCAGACGGGCCGCAACCTGACGATCCTCGAGAACTTCGACGACCGGACCGCGCATAGCAAGAAGTTCAGCATGTACTTCAACGCAAAGAAGCCGCCACGGTTGACCAGTACGTGCCCAGCCCACCACACCCATTCCCTACCCATGTATCTATCAAAGATAAGGCCAGCACAAACAGCTAACCAACCAACCCACCAACCAAACAGAAATCTCCTCCTCCCTCTGCGTAATTACCTCCCTCCCCTCCCGCTACCGCGACCCGGAGACCTCCCTTCCCTACGCGAACTCCTACGCCTACGGCCAGATCCGCCGGATGCTGTCGCAGGGGTACATCTGGAGTTCGATGCTAGGCTGCTTTGTTGGGCCCGGCGGTGTCGCGGCACGCGGCGTGCCAGACCGATTCCTGGGCAAAGAGACAAAGCCCAGCGCCGAGGATGCTGAGAAAAAGGCGGACCCGGCGACGCAGGCAGCGGCTGGGGCTGGGACTGCAGGCGGCGGCGCGAGTGCCACTGACGAGGCGAAAAGTGCGCCCGAGCCCATGGATGTTGATGCGACATGAAACTTCTGCAGTCGATCTCGACCACGACGGTGGACGGGACATGGAGATGCAGATAGATTTCTTTCTGTGTACGATATTGTCATAACTAGCCCTGCCTTAGCTCTCCTGTATAGATACCCATCCGACTCATTGGAAACCAGCACCACCCACCACCAGCCCGAGGGGCCACTTTCATCTTTCATCTGTCTGGATACGCTCGGCCTGCCGGTCTGTCTCCACCCTGTAGTCATAGACTGAACGCCGCAACAATAGACCTGAGAATCTGAACCGCAGCAACCCCTGGACTGGAACAAACAACCAGTTTTTATTCTTTCTGGACTGGTCTAACTTTCCCCTCTACCTTTCACTCCACATTGACGTTGTTGATCTTGACCTTGACGTCGACTTTCGGTTCCAGTTCTTATGATGTCCTTCTCTTTCCGGGCAGTACCTCTCAGAATAGACTCGCCGGATCCGCCACCGACCCATGGAAACAGCACGGAGGGCGACGGGAGTCAGCAATCGTTATTCGATCACTACGCACACTGTTTGCCGAGTCACGCCGCTAGTACATATTTGAGATTTCCGGAATTGTTTCTTATGGATGAAGTTTGTATTGTGTTTACAGAGAATTACCGGATTGTCAGGCAGTCACTAGAGTAGAGACCGTCTATATGACGATACGGGAAGATTAATATACCGGTGGTATTCTAATTATAGTCTAGTGGGTCTGGCAATTAGGGCTAGAAATCCTTGAAGAGTGCGAGTGGTGACATCAATTCAAGACGTAGAGTAAACATTTCCATAGTTGATGAGATTACGTGATTTGTCGACCTTCAAGAGGAGAGTTTGTAGGGGTTCGTGGTTGGTCATCATAGCATGCTACGCAATCAAGCAAGTTGTCTACTGACGTGCGTCACCTGGAATGAAGTCTTTTTTTTTCCCTTTTTTTTTTTTTTTTTTTTTTTTTTTTTTTTTTCCAATACACTTTTGCGGCTAGGCTTGGTTTACATTGCGTCGGGTTCCTGTGTGCACACGTATGTAGTACCTCCCGTGGTAATTTCGTGAGTGAGTAGTTGTGTAGGGAGTCTAGGCATACTGGAATGTCCCAGGTAGGTAGAGGATCTTGAGAAAACACTTCGTCTTAGCGGTACTCTGTAGTAGGTAGTTAGTCGAGGCGTCTACAACGGTACAATCTTCCGGCCTCGAGCCCCCCAGCCTAACGAAACCCTCCAGCGCGCCCACGCCGCTCCAAACGCCGAGAAATTTCTCCGTCGCGAAACACGGCAGATCGACGAGTAGCACGCATCAAAGCACACGCGGCACCGTCCAGAGCGCCCCGGAGCGCCGGGAAGGGGCCATGGCTCGTTTCGCATTCTGCCTGCAGTGGAGGCCACAATATTCTAGACTTCTACAGTATGTAGATCGTCCACGCTGAAGGTGAGTAGTACGGTAGTCCTCGACTCGACGTGTCAGGGATGTGTCACCGGGGTGGGGGATCGGTCCACCCCTCCACCGGTCTGGACGCTGATCGGGGGGCACGGTGCTGGATGATGTATGGGCGGTGCGGTGCCAGGGCGGGTGTTCTCTCCCACGGGGGTACTCGGATCAGGCTGTGACAGCCTGGCCGAGCCTTTTTCTGTGGTGGGTGGTAGTTTCTTTGTGGTCTGCTTCTAGCGGTGTGGATGTGGATGTGGTTGTGGATGTGGATGGGGGCACGCCATCGGGGAGGGGGGAGGGTGGCGTCATCTGGTTCGGCGATATTGGCCATGATACAGGGATGAACTATTAAATTAATGAACGACTGAATGTTGGGTTCGTCGTCGATATGGTGATCATGGAGTATGGTTCTGAGCATGATTTGAGGGATATATTGTGATGGGGTTTCGGACGCATCCCACAGCAGTAGTTGCATATGTACTGTAACAACTCTCCGTATGCAGTGGGGGACGAGTGAGCAATGATCGAGTAGAAAGTGCCGATCGCGCCACCTTCCTCGATCACGCCAGATCCGACCCCCTCCGGAAATAAACTCCCAGGCCCTACTGCAGGTGGTCCGCCTAGCGCCTTCCCCTGCACCTTGGAGGAAGAAGGGCGGGGCAAACCCGGAAAAAGTCGTTGGGCTGCAGAACCGTGTCGCGTCGTGTTGTCTGCGCACGGGGGAGCGTGCGGTTCTAGACTGGGAGATCAACTTGATTCCTCCGACACCCGGCCACGGCGGTGTACGGAGTACCCTGGACACTGTCGGGTCGGAGTGGCGGATGTGGGCTGGGCGTTTTCGTCAACCTAGAACAGGAACAAAGACAGGCGATAATTATAGGAGAGACACTGTTACCTCGGGAGGGTTCTACAGCGATTCGTGGATGGGAAAAGATCAGAGTGAGTCAGCGGTCTCGACTCGGGGGTTGATTGGGGGAGAGACGCGTGGACGAACGGAGGGAAGCTGGTGGAGGGAGAGTGTGGGAGCCTGAGGGGTCCGGCCGCCGACGATCACCCGAGGTCTAGAACGAGGGCAGTCGACCAGGCCCGTCCACCTCTGCCAGCACGCTTTTTATTTATACAGGCCCTCCTCCCCCAAACCAGGAACCTTGAACCATTGACCATTGACCATTGACCATTGACCATTGTGACTACACTACGGAGTACACTACTACACTACACCACGACACCACCCCGCACCCCCCATCCCGATTCCCCTTGATCACCCGAACTCCCCGTCAAAGGCCGGATAAAGTTTAGCACGATCTCCGGTATGCACCCTATCTTCTCCCCTCCCTCGGCGCTTCTTATCTCCCCCCACTCAGACACCGACGATCGTCCATCGTGCGGCCCGACGGGCCCGATTTCGTGTCACAACTAACTCACACCTTATCAGGCCCGGTTCCCCCCCCTCGGCCACTTCAGGATTACGGGTGTTTCCCAATTATAACATACGGGCACGCGAGCCCTTCTAAAAGGATCATCACATTCTTCGGGAGATTCTTGACCTGCATCGTCCCGTCAACAGAACATCCTCACCTCCCACAAATACCTCATACCTCATCTCGCAACAAAATCCCTCACTCCTGGCATCTCGTGCTCCACCGCGGGCCTTGCGCAAGGTCCAGCCCCAGATAAGATAGCGAGGCATTTTTTTCGGCTTCACCGCCAGTCGTCGTGAATATGACTCAGTCGACAGCCTCCCACCGTCGCTCCCCTTCCTCTCCTCATACGTCCAAGCCCAAGCTCACCCGCCCTGGTCTTCATCGTCGCGGCACATCCGGTCTGAGCAGTGTGAATTTGTCCATCTCCAAGCTGGGCTCGGGTCAGTCGACGCGATCGCACTCGAGGGGAGTGACCCACTACGACGATCCTGATATGGCGGCAAGTTTCCTGAACTTCTGGTATGTGGCAATCCTTGTTCTTTGGAGCTTCCATCCTTCTGTCGCCTGGTTCTGCCTTATCGCGGCCCTGCCCCTGTCTGTGCATGCCGGCTGCCGTCACGCGGCTGTGCGTGGTCCGGGCGGATGTTTTGGTTGTCTTTAAATAGATGGACGCGCTAACATTTATATCTTCGAAACAGTGCCATGTGCGAGAGACAGATCACTGTCCCCAACAACTCCCTCCTCTACTGCAGTGAAAGGTATGCTCTCTCCATCCTCCTCCCACACATTCCTCCCTTTCTGTGCGACCTTGTCCCTATCCCCCAACCCCCCAATTCATCCCGTGGATCCCATACCCGTCTACCGTCCGTATCTGTCGATATCATCATATATACTAATACCAACCCCCCAGCTGCCGCCGCAAAGACTCCTGCAAACCCCTCTCCGCCTCTCTCCCTTCCATGTCGACTATGTCCTCCCAGCCCATCCCCTTCCACGCCCGCAGCAACTCCACATACAACATCTCCACCACTCCCCCAAACTCCCCGCCACTCTCCCCCCGCACCATCGTCGCCCCGATGACACCCACCCGCATCCCGTCATCTACTCCCTCCACCATGCCTTCCATCAGGATACCCGCCTCAGTCCCCAACGTCAAGACGGATCTTGATCCCACCGAGTGGAAGCCCGTATTAGGCGCCCGCACCACGAGCTCCAGTGCGCTCGCAACCTCCGACGCCTGGAGCTACCTCTCCCAGTTCCACGGCGGCGCCAGCACCCTGATGACCCGCCGCTCGCACCGGAGCACAGCCAGCCTGCCCACCCTCGACGGCATCGTCACGCCCTCGCTCACGCACGCGCCCTCCATCGCCTCCTCCGTCTCCAGCACGGCTTCGGACGAGATGTCCCTGGCGCTGGCGCATGGGTCGCGCCCGCTGCCCCCGCGCCACAACCCGTTCTTCTCGCTCTCGCACGGTGGTGCGGCTAAGGGCGTCGCCCTGGTTATGCCCCACGTCGCAACTGTCCGCGAGGATGCGGACGCCGTCGATATCGAGAGTGATAGTGGGTCCATCTTCCCTGCTAGCTCTGCGGTGTGGGAGGATGAGGTCTGTGCGAAAGCGAGTGCGCCGATTATGGTGCACGGCCCGGCGCAGAAGGCGTGATCGAGCTCTGCATCAGACTCGGCTGAGCATTATTGGCATTGCGCTGCAATGGGATACGGAAAAAAAAAGATTTGGTGTTTCCTTGTCTTTCTCGATCTGGCATTTCATTCTATTTTCATTTGGCGCTTTTCTTTTGACTTATTCTATACTGCTTTTCTTTGACCGACCCACGAGCGACGGGGTATGAAATGATTGTCTATCTCAGTGATGGAGCGAATTGCTGGAAGAACAAATAGATTTCTTTAATTCAATACATTTGTGCTCAGCACAAGCCTTTTCCAATCTAGGATCTGGATCCCGATTCCATTGTTACTTCTAGTCCATCTCACCCTTAAGATACGCGGTTCCGGGGTGATTAAGTTGCTGTAGCAACTTAGAATCTGGGAACCCTTGGAGCCTTCCGAATCGGGAAGAATAGGTACATAGGAAAGCGACTCTAGCTTCCATCTCGAAATTTAAAAACCACAGCTTTCTTGACCGTTCTATGGCGTCTACACGAGATACAGCAGTACCCTTGACTCGCTGCCAAGAAGCTTCAACTCTTGGCCATCGAAAGCATCTTCCATGTCACCCGGGCCAGTGATACAGACTGGGCGCAGTTTCGGTCCCCGTTGGAGATTCTAGACGACTGCAGTAGGTGGTTTACCTCCATATTTAGCAATATCACTACAGGATAGATCGAAATCAGTTCCACCGTTTTGCTCTCATATAATCCTTCTCTAACCCTAATGCGAAACATGTCAATCCATTTCTGGCTTGGCTCGGCTTCGAGTGTTGAATCGTTTGAAAGCTGTTATCACGGGATAGAAGGGACTACAAATTACTTGTAACGCAACATACTTAGCCCCTCAAAGCATAAGCTGTAGAACTCAGGAAGAAGGGTAACGCATAGTAACGTGTAGACCAATATATCAAGAGAGTGTGTATTGTAGAAAATAGGGAATGCGGGGGGACAATGGAGACTCTGCGCCAAGAAGCTAACTAACACACCTGGAGAAAATAGGTGGATCCACGTCCACATCTCGAGCTGAATTAATACCCCACTTTGACAGATCATCTTTCCTTTCGCAAGAAATTCGCGTGAATTCAAGGGGAAATTCCTCTATGATCTTTCTTCTGATCTTTGTTTAGTACGGAGCTTCTTACCGTACACAGCATTATTCTAGAGCAAGAAAAGAGTATTCCATTCAACCTTTTTACGGTCATGTCTGCAGACTGGGCTCTTGGTAGCCTGCTGGTGGCAATTATTCTTCCCATCATGAATAGGAGTATGGCATTGCTCATGAGAATAGTCATCGCAGCCTGCCTACAGTGGTGTCGCTTTAAACCAGCGTTCTGTACCTCTGCTGTCTGGAATGATCTGCCAGATGATTTATGCTTTCATTCCCATCACAATTGTTCGCCAAATGCACCCGGACGTGAACATTTCAGCAAGCTCCCAGACGCTCATGGCTTAGAGGACTTCTTGCAGTATTTCTCGGCTCTTCGAACACATCAAAACACAAGGGTCGTCAAAAAGCCAGTGGCTTTAGATCTCAAGCGAACATACTTCAATACGGATGTTAAAACAATATTGATGTGTTTCATATCTACCATTGATGACAAGGCTACGAAGTATCGCTTCTGGAAATATCATTACGACTCGTTCTCAAACTCTTATAGCTTCGAGTTTGGAAAGTCCTTTTTGAAGTTGAAGAAACAAGAAAACTACTTTGAGGCGCAAATCCATGCACCATCTGAAGATTGCACAACTGTTACTCGCCGCACGAAGATGGAATTCGACCTTATCACATCAGGATACCCGCCATGGTATCAGTAGAACATGAAAAATTACCATTCTGTGGCTTTTACTTTCCCACAGCTGAGTAGCCGAAGCACTGCTCGTGCTGGCTGGATTGTTGCCGTTGGTCTCGGTGATGCTGAAGCGTTACCATATTTCGCTGCATCCTTCGGTGACTTTCCGCTATTGTTTACATGGAATAAACATAGAGGGCCCGGTCGAGGTTATTACTGGGGCTCATGCGAATACTTACTAGAGTTCATCAGCGGCCAATTGAGGACAGCATTCCCCGATGACGAGTTGTTCAGTTCGCAGAGAGTGCGATAGAAGGAATGCTGGAGGAACACACAGGTAGTGTGACATCTACATATCTGAACCATACTCCGCTTGAAGGTGCAATGTGCGAAGGCAAGTACACAAAGGGTCTAGATGCATCAGACATAGATTTCGCGATCTCTATATTTGACCGCCTGATACTAGAAAGGCCAGACATCGATCGCTTGCAAGCCATTATTTTACCTGTACTTGCGGGAGCAATCCGAGGTCTTCATAAGGTTCTACAGTATCTGAACCACCGCAACTTTCAGTTAAGAGGGGACTTCAATGACCTAATAGCCCAGAATCTTCCTGTTTTCCTCCATGAGTGAATTAGAATTGAACTCAGATGCTTGAGGCTCTAGATTACTCGTCATCTTTTGATATAATATCCCATACAGTACCTCATATAGTACTTCTCAAACTTAGTAGTCATCACCTGCACTATTTGACTAGTCTATGTACGCAAAAGCTAGATTGACTACTCTATTGTAGAAGTTTCGTGCAACATATAGCATTATATTGCATGTAGCTGTTCTCTGTTCAATCTCTTTAATGTCTCGAGTCGATGCACCATTCGAGGCTTGGAAGGCACTTTGCCATTGCTTTGCAAGGCTTCTGAAGACCCAGGGACAGCTCTACCAACTGAGTTAATCTCTTTCAACCCAAGGGAGATTTGAACTCCAGCACTAACAGTGAAAATGTTATTTCTTAATCAGACTTGACCATTGGGTCTTTATAATCAAGGTATGAATATATACAAACAATATTTAATTATATATTTTTTATATCAGCCTAATGCAAGTATCGCACTCACTTCTACCTACCGATTACAGAACGGTTGCATGCCGATTCTGTTACTGCTGCAAGAACATATTTTTCAACGGACTCTTGCAACTTGGGTGGATACAGGTATATATCGCCATATTTCTGCTACAGGGAGGGCAAGAGAAGGATGCAGTGATTAACTATTGACTCGCCTCGGCTTATATCGTGCATAATTCAAATACGAAGGTGCCTACCTAAGTTGGACATACCTAGATATACATGTACGACGAGACTTGATCGAAAAAGAGCAGAATTATTGTGATCAGAATTCGAAATATCACTCACCTAGACTTATAGAAACATAGAATCAACTATCAGACAGAAAACGCATACAATCAACCTCAAGCAAGAACCCCAGAAATATAAAAGCCCGCCACCAACCTAGGCAAAACACCTTCCCACCACGAGAAGACCCCGTGACGATCCGAATGATACCAGAATCCAATTGGAAAAGCCCCCAGGACAACATGCTACATTTTCAAATGGTACCCTCTAGAAATCACCAGCAGTGACGCAGCACATCCAGCAATCATTCGCCTCCTTGTACAGAGGCCAAGCCTACCGGAAACACCAAGCAATTAGCTCAGTCCTCAAACAGTAAGAGTCAACAGGAAAGGAACACTTACATAAGGCTTAGAACAGTGCGCGTCCCCCTTACTAGGGTAGCACTGCCCCATACAGAACGAATTGCCCTCATCCTTGCCATGTGGCTTCTGCATTAGCACCGGGGCGACATCGCTACCTGGCATCAGGGGATCAACAGGCGCGAGCCCGCCATGCAGCGCGGCAGGCTCCACAGGACCCTGGGCAGCTGGCATGCGCAGACCTTGGTGCTGTTTCTGGTTCTGGGTGCCGAACTGGGACGAGGGCGAGGGTGTTGCCGCGGAAGCTATATACTGCGAGTGCGAGGAGGAAGGGCTGGCGACAGGGCGCATGGAGGAATGTGACTGCGCGTCAGCTTTCACCATCGGCCGGAACGAGTGGTGCGCCATGTAGTGCGAGGCCGAGGACTGCGCGACCTTCGAGCTGGAGGCCGCGGGCGTGGCCATGTCTGAGGCGACGGTGGGCGAGGGCGAGGGCGAGGGCGAGGGCGTCCTCCAGACTGAGAGGCTGGGGACCGCGGGGTGGATGCCTTGAGCTGGGACTTGAGCAGCTAACAGGGCGGTTGAGACCGCGAGGATGGAGGTGAGCTGCATTTTGGTTGGTGGCTAGGGCTGCGTTATATGTTCTTGATATCGAGGTTGAGGGTGCGGTGTTGCTTGTCGATTCGCTCGCAGGTGGTCGTTGTCGCTGGCGATGGTGACGAGGAGATGATAGAGGGAGATGCCCATGCGGGCTGCATGGCTTTTTTGTCACTCAGCATTGGGCGTTGCAAGGGTTGTTTTGGGGCTGACGTCGATGCATTTTTGGGTTGCGCGTTCGAGGAATGCGAGATGTATACTCTACGACGCGTTTTAGCCTATAGAAGATGAGAACTTCAACGGCCAGCCGGATGTGAACCAGCGTTCTTTGCTGGTAGCTTCCTTTTTATTGGACAGGGGGGTTTGATTGATTTGGTATTTTCGTGAAACATCCTGGGAGGGAAATATTTTGATTGTGCTCCGGAGACATCTGTAAGTCGCAGGTGGGATTTTCCCTGCATATCCAGGGCGGCGAATGGAGTTTAGAGCTTGCAGATTTGTTCTTCCGAGACAAACGGTCCTACCTCGACAAGCATACTGCGTAAATGTGTTGAAGACAGAATGTACATATCTGCGGTTTAGTTGAATGATTCAAAGGGATTGTTTCGTTCGCAGAGTAGTAGATGGAACGGGGGGGCCTATTGGGAGTGTGACGTAAATCTACCTGCCAAGGAGAAATCCTCAGGTGATTCTGAAATTTCTACGGAGTAAATCTCAAACAAATGGTATATTGAGATGACCACGGCTCTCGTTCGGCGATTCGGACCCGGCCATGCAGCAACCAGAGATCGCGGAACCCCCCCGAAAGAGGACTAGCGTGCAACTACCAAGCGTCAAGCCCTCAATTATCGGATTAGATGTTCGAGTAGACTCGCAGGAACTTGGCCGAACCGCCTGACCGAAATGTCATGCAATTGGTGCGTCACAAACTCGCGTCTTAGCTCAGCGGGTGTGTGGCGAGTCCATGTAGGGCGGTTCCAGCAGGTCGCGGCCCTCCTAGAAGAAAATCTTATCAGTAATGGGCAATGACCTGCTAGCGCTCGATACAAAGCTTCAAGGCTATTAGAAATAGAAATCGCATTCGGCTTGGAAAACGGGCCATTTCTGAAGGGCTCCGTCGGTCCGCGACTAGCTGGGGAAAATCACGGCGAGCAGCGACAGCTTGGGGAAAGCTTGGAAAAACTTGGAACCAACCAAGGACGCTGTGAACGGTGGTTGTCAACCTGTCAACCTGTGACTGGTTCTCTGCGTCAGATGCCCTTCTTTTGTTCCCCCCGGAGGTTGAAGGCCCGTTTCGTCACCTGCCGTCTCAACCAAGGTAATCTGGCTTGGTTAGCTGGTCAGTTCCTGGATATCATTTATGAGTTCCCCTATCAGAGGCTGGCTAGTTCGCTTAGATCTCCGAGCTCGTTAGTCCGCAACCTGCTCGTACATTGTCCGGTTAAAGGGCAGATAAAAGGCAATTTTCTCGCACAAAAAACCGGTCCTCTCTGCCCGGCTCCTATCGCCGGCACCACTCACTCGTGCGTTTGCATGATGTAGGCCAGCAGAGACGCCCAAGAAGCGTGGGGTGGGATCGGCACCAAGGATTCTGCAGCGCGATCGCGTCGAACCGGCGCTGAAAGTACACCAGCGTCTCGCCGTGATGATCGCCCTCTGCCCCTATACACACATTTCCCCGTCGACGTGTCCGATCAAGACAGCTCACCCACGCAGGAGGTGGTCGTGACAAGACATCGGATCAGTCTTGCCTCGGCAACGATAACATCTTCTGTCAAGTCGGGCAACGGAAAAGATGTGCATCAGGGCCCCGGGGGAGAATGCGCCGCCTCTGTTCTCAACTACCCGCACACTCGCGCCGTGAAGCAACTGATAGCATCATGCTATGTCGGTTCGACGAATCTTCTGCATAGCAGGACCGCCTCTGGGAGATGCAGACTCAACGCACAAGACGTAAATGTGACGCCCGGTTAGGATAAGGCCACCGACCAGGTGGAGCCCAGCCCCAATGGCTTCGCCAGGAACACTTTTCCCATGTCAGCGTCTCCAATGGGGGGCCACAGGCGGCAGAGAACAGGATTTTTCGTCTATCCCTCGCCCTTTGGTGGGTCAACAGCCGTCGGGACTCCTGGGTGATCTGCCGTTCTCCTTTGTGAGCGACCATGCCAGACGAGGATTTCGTCTTCTGTGACGGATGCAGGGCCGGCTTGAAAAAGCTGGACAATCTCTCCTGAGTGTTTCACGGCTTTGTTCTCCCTAGTGTCTCGTGCGTCTGTGATGCTCAGGCACGGGCCAGGTCGTCCGCGTCGCTGAAGACGGATCAAAGCCAGGCACTGATTTTCCAGGGTCTGAAAACAAAACCCTGCTGGCCATGATGAAGAATGGCGCTAGGTTCTGAAGGACTGCACGTGGTCTCGACCGGGTGTGTCACGCATGTCACTGGCATGGAGTGATCTCAAGAGGCAGCGAATCCTCTCGCCGACCGTGCCCTGGCACCTCGCCACTACTAACGCACAACCATCTGCTCCGAGTCACTAATCACAGCAGGCGAAATCAAGGATGTCACGAATACCCTTTTCTCACGTAGACATTGGCGATGCCAGTCCGTTGCTGACGAGGTCCAGGGTGGCTGACCGCTGACAGCGCATAGCCCATCACAACACCACCGGCCTATCCCTAACCCTCAGCGCGAAATACCACGACGACTACTGTCTATTCCACCAGGAAGCCAAGATGGACAAAGAACAAAGATGGAACCCTTCCGCATCAGGATGCAAAAGGACCTACCAGATCACTTCTCCTGGGCGCGCGTACACCACCAAAGGGTCATTGCCTTCAGCGGCGAACATCGCACCCCCAACCACCATCAGTGGACCCCATCAGCGGACCTGGTGCACGGGCGGATGCTCTTATACTGCCGGAGGATAAGAACAGAGCAACACTCAGGCTGCAGATGGTCATGGTGAAGCCCATCCGGGACATCAGGGATAGGACGGTCACCGCACCCAGGTTCTTGCCGAGTCACCCAAGGGCAGTGACTGGCGTTGAGAGTGAAACTGTCGAAACCTGATCACCACAATCAAAAGGGGTCCTCGAGATACCTTCCAGACGGTATTGCTCATCATGACTGGCCGACCGGCAGTGATCATCGCCTTGAGCCAGCAGAGATACCGGGATACCAGTCTGCAGACATCGGCGTTGTCAACGTACACTCTCCAGCTACAAATATTCACCAACACCATGACCGCAACAAGACAGCAATCTCCAACAGTCGAGAAGTTGTCGTTTCATCGGACAAAGATGGGAGCTGGATGATGGCAGGGTCCCACGGACGTGTGTACCCAACATGCACACTCCATGTTGCACCTTCAACAAGCCACAACACCTGGCCGGAACCATACCTCCTCTCAAAAGATCTTTCTCCGACGCGCAAACATCTTGAACACCATGTTAACATCGTCATCATTATCCGCCATGTCGGTGAACGCGACTGTATCCTGATGTCGGATGACTGTAGGTCATTCTCATGACCAAAGTACGCCTTCCAAGAGTGAATACCAGCCCCGCTCTGACCTTGCAGGTAACAACGGGTGACACATTCCGCTCGAATCAATCTTGGGGATTTGACACTCTTGGAAACGCCACCCTCACTAACTCCACGCCCAAGTGTGTGGAACGAAGAGCCCAAGAAACGCGAATGTGAACAGACCTGAACTCGACGCTATAGGGTAGGATGGCTAGGGTATGGGAACGACGGCGCTTCGCGAAGCGTGGATCTCCTATCTGTCCACGGCATGCATCCTATACCCAGCCGACTTTTACTCAGAAAGTGTTCAGCGGGACGTGGCTTGGGTCGGGCGTCGAGCGAAAGAAAGGTGTTGGGAGGGGAGGTGGTGAACCATGGAGTACATCATCTTTGGTGGCTTGGAGATGATCCCCAGGCCGGCCGAACAGGGCAAGGGGACGAATGGTGGACTTGGAAGTTCGTTCGATGGAAAGGAAGGAGAGAAGGAGCCAACGGGGGCCAGAGGGCGCGCCTGTGGTCTTCGACGAGCAGTGGAATTTGCCAACGTCTGGTTTACGCTGGAGGAAAAAGCTCGTTAGTCACCTGCCAAGCGAGCCTCTCTCCATTTCAAGATGCAATCAGCAGTCGACCTGAGCTTTGAGGGTCTGTACCATGATGCTGGATGTTGAGATCGGGAGCAGTCTGCCTTCAGGGCCCACGGAGCGGGCCCACGGCACAGGATTCTTCCAAACTGACCTGATTCACAACCGCCTGCCAGCAGACTGTGGGTGACAAGAGCTAAGAGCCAAGAGCCATTAGAGTCATGACTTATCGCGGCTCGCATGGCTACCTGCACCCCGTGGACATTCGCCTGTGTCCGTGGAGCCTGTGGCAGCTGCACACGGGGCGTAAGCGCGCAACTTTCTCGCCTCGATGCTGTCATCGGGGTTTGAAACCTCACGATCAAGGGTTTCCGCATGTCTGTCAGTGCCGCCGATGTGGCCAAGTACCGATGATCAATCTGCTTTGCTGCGAGTGTGGAAGGCATGGGTGGTCAGTTCCTGGAAACAAGATCAATACTAAAACAAAGGACGCAGTTGCCCGATCATCAAGCCCATACCCCCTCCCGATCAGCAGCAGCAGCAGCTACTACAAATATTAGCGGAACCTAACCCAAAGTTCCTGGTATGTGTTCTTGCAGAAGCCCGAGGGGAAGCTAAGCAATGCTGTTCATCGGAGTTCAGCCCGACCCTTCGGAGGCTCGAGACGCCCCCAAATGGAAACTCGGGAGAATCTTCAACCAGCACCGCCGATCAGCGTCAGCATCGCCTCTTGTCCCATGATCTAGCAGGCAGGAATCGGTGATATTTCCCAGGATCGATATGATATGGTCAAGGGAGGCGAAAAGTCCAGAAACAAACCTCAGGATATGATGCTTCGCAGTTGCGAGGCGATGGAAAACTCCACCCAATTGGTTGGCAGTATTTTCCGGCTCCGACGAGAGGCTGTGATTCGTGAGAACTCAACACGGCAATGAAGCCATCAAACCTAGCGCTTTTCAAAACCGACCCATGAACAAAGTCCCGGGATGACCGAACCGTGTTGACGATAGGGGTCCACATGCCTCCGTTGGGCAGGCCAAGGCTTGCGCAAGGCTGTCATCGTCGGTTTGCTGGCTGAGTGACTAGCTCAGATTGGCGGCAATGCAGTGGGCTCAGCATCCTTTTTCCACGCCTCTTAAAGTAGAGCGTCCCGCCTCTTCTCTTACTTCGTCCCTAACGACGGCTGTCTCGCGCCCGCAAGCCCCATTTCCATCGGAATCTTCTCTTCGCTACGCAGAAGGTGCCTCGCTGGAGTTCAAGGCGCCCGATATCTTGGTGTTTTTAGAAGTACATCCCCCACAAACTCATTGTCCCCGTATGGCCGACCGCTCTCCTCCCTGTTCAATTTCGTTGTTCTTGTTCTTGTCCTTGTCTTTAACCCCTCAGCCATGTCGCTTCTATGCCCTATAGCTTTGCTGGCTATTATGCACATCTATTTTCTGTTTCTCTCTCAAACCCTCTTGCTTGGGTCTTCCTGCTTGCCATCCCCTTCGATATGCTGTCAGTCTGCCGGACGCTGACCGTCCCTCTCGAAGAGGACGTAATCCAGCAAGGATCCGCAGCCTAGAACCGTGTCCCGTCGATTCCAGTGCTCTTGTCCGGCTTTCGTGAGCCGAGACGTTCCGGTAAGTCTGCAGTCCCACGGTCTTGTCCAAATGTCCGCATACCCACCTATATCCGCGTGCTCGTAGTATCGTCCCGCGACACCGCCAACCACAAGACAGCATGTCATCCCGAAGACCAGACAACAACCCCTCCTCAGGCCATCATGGTGCCCCGGCAGGGCCGGCAGGGGGCGGTCACGGAGCCCAGGGCTCGTCTGCACGACAAAGGTAAGCAGCACGCTTCTGGCTACGTCCGATGTCTGCGTTCTCTTGACGCTCATGCCCTTGCCATGCGGCAAGGGACAGACACGACAACGGCACCATGCCAGCCTTGGCTGTGCGTTCACCGGTTGAGCCTAACTCCTTCGCAACTTCAACAGCAGCAGCGACCAAGCATCCCAGGAGAGACTAGCCTACTATCGGTCCTACACGGATAAACTGCTTGGCTTTATCTCGCACAGCGACCCGGAGACGCTGACTCGCCTCATCTCCGTCATCCGCTCGGGCGCTTCGGACGCTCAGATCCTCGACACCATCGACCGGCTCTCCCCCCAGTCTGGTAGCCAGCGAAATGGAGTGCCCAGGCGTTCCCAGTGATTACACCCTCCGATGGCCATTGACGTTCTCTTGGTGGCGTGGTGCTCATCCCCGGGGAGTGGGAGTGGACGGGGGACGGGCGGGCGTTGTCGAGGACCACCAAGGCCAGCTAGGCTAGCGGGAACAAGAACGACATTACCAAGGGTTCGTTACATCATCACGAGAGCTTGCAGTGATGCTATGCTGCGGGTTGGGATCGGGCTGCAGGGGTGATTGGTGATTGATGGGAGACTTGAGACTGGCTGCAGGAAATCCGACCTGAGTTGAGTGGCCGCAGATGACAGACGAGATAGCTCATATCGGATTCTCTCCAGCCATGCCCCACAGTCTTGCTCGAATAGTGCTATATTTCCAGGGACCCTTCCGCGGATATGAGTACGTACGGTTAGGGATCAGTATGTTCAGGCCGGCTCGCCACCGTGTGTTTCCGCACGGCGGAAGCAAAATCCGCGTCAATGCAGAAACAGCGATAGTACCAGCTGAACTATTCTACGCTCTGTCCAACGGAGACCCAAGCCCATAGATCGAGCCAGGGAGAACGCTAGCTGCGGCTAGAAGTGCCGAGAAAATTTGCCCTCTGATATCATCGATCACGATCGGGATCCTTCGTCCATGGTTTGTGGCCGGCTGTTTCCGCCGACGTTGTGCTGGTACAGCAGGCTGCTACAAACACGCCACGATAAGGCGCGGACATTCACAGTGTTCGTGGGCTCCCTTTTGCCCCCGATTCACGCCGATCCGTGCCCTGTCAGGCTGGGGCCTGTCAGTCAGTATAGGCCGAAGCATCTACTCCACCGCGGCGCATCAGATAAAACCGAGTGGAGCCGAAAAGAAGCAAGCAAGCCCAGCAGGCCCAGCGAACCCCGATCGATTCGTGCGCCATCACAGCAGAAGGGCGTAGCAGCCGGCATGGCCCTGGCCCTGTATCAGCTACGTGGCCTTGTCCCCGCGGCGACGAAGAGAAAAAAACGCCCATCTCCGGCAGCCAGCGACTGCAGCAAGCCTCTGCAGCAAGCCTGTCATGCCCTCAAGCCATAGCCATAACCATAACCCCACATCTTGTGAGGGTTTGCAGGTGCCGCCGCCTCAAAACGGCCAAGCGGAATGGGTTCGGGCGGCCGCGGATATGATATCCGGCCGTCTTGAGCAATGGCGTCGCAGTGGAGCACAAGCTTGTGTTCACCCACTCCCCTGCGTGCCCCGGGCTGCAGAACGATCCGCGCAAAAGTCCAGGTCCGTCCTGTTCCCTGGACTTCAACGTCGTTCCATTGGACTGCGAACCCGAGTGAGGGATGCTAGCGGGAGAAGCAGCACGGTGAAAAACGCTGTTGCCCCCTAGACGAGCACCTAGCCCGCGCCCGCCCCCCCCAAATCCCAGCGACGGCGCTGGCGCTGTCGCTGTCTACTACTGCCTGCACGGTGGTTGCCGCGGCCCTCGCGTCGGATTAGTACTTGCTGCTGTTCTGACTGGTTAGGACTGTGTTTCAATGGGGATGGCGGAGAGCTTACCCGGTTGGGGGTCGCGACGAGGTCTTCGCTCAAAGGGATTCACACAACCAGGCATAGGACGAGTCCGATTGACGTGATGAGGCCAGACGAGATGGAAAGAGAGACGCGAAGACTGCTTCGTCGTGGTGAAGGAGATCACCCACTGGCCATGCCATGCCCCGCCAGGATCTAGGCCGTATCATTCCGCCTAGCTCCATTCGATATGCAGCACTCCCGACACGGCTGCCGACCACGCTCTGCAGTGTACTGACTGCACACTTGCACCCGCCGATACACCTGTAGCAGGACATACACAACGGCTGGACCAGGCTTCAATTCCAGGCACCTGGTTCCTGGACACGGCCCGGACTAAGGGACTCAGTGCCCGGTTGTGACGGGCCAAGGCCATGCCGACCGGGCAGATGTGGCTCTGCTGGCTTGCTTTGGCGCCTGCACGCACCGTCGCACAAGCTGCCGTCGCACAAGGCGGGGTGTGTTGATGTGGAGGAGGGTCAAGGGGTTAGGGATGGGGATTGACCGTGTAAAGCAACGACGGGGGTAGTTTGGTAGGCTGCCGTTGCGAAGTGGTAGAAGGGAAGAAGACGAGATGCGTGGAAGATCTACCCCGGGGGGGACTGATGGTGGTATCCGACAAGGGGGACTTAGAGCGGACACCATGCAGCTAGGAAACAACCGTAAGACTGTAGATGTAGATATAAGGGAACCGAAAGGGTACTAAAACTGAAAATGAAAAATGAAAAATGAAAACTCATGGCCCGTCCATGCCACAGCGTGACCTGCAGGATTTGAGCAAGCCTAATCTAAACCCAAAGAGCCCATTCATTCCACAATCGTTCCACCCCATGCATTGCATTTCATTGGGCTGTCCAGGCACACATACTCGTACTCCTGCTCCTGCTCATGCTCATGCTCATGCTCATGATAACTCTGCGAGGATATCTACTATCTATACCAAAACGCATTAACGCACCCGAAACAAGCCAAGCCGCACCAAACCCTCGAGTTCGTTCGACTGCCTCTCGTGCCGCCGGAGGTTTACTCAAGGCGTGCAGCGGCCCGTGAAACGCGGGTAGAGCGAGCAGTCGCGCACGGTGTACCGGGCGCACAGCCAGGCCAGGAAGCGCTCCAGGCCGAGACCGTAGCCGCCGTGCGGAGAGGTACCGTACCTGGGAGGGAAGGGTTTAGTATAAGAGCAACGCTCCCGACGGGCACGGAGCCTCACGGGGTTGGGGCGGGGGATAGAACTCACTTGCGCTGATCAGTGTACCAGTAGTACGGCTTCGGATCCATGCCCTCGTGCTTATACGCACTCATCAGCTCATCCCAATCATCCATACGCATGCTGCCGCCGACAATCTCGCCCACGCCCGGCATGAGCACATCAACGCTCTCCGTGACCCGGCGATCCGACTCATCCTTCTTCATGTAGAACGCCTTGATCTCGGCGGGGAAGTGCGTCAGGAAGATGGGCTGGTTGATGATATCCGTCATCTTGCGCTCGGCCGCCTCGGCGATGTCGTCGCCGAAGGAATGCGGCTGGCCCTCCTCGTTGGGAATGTCGTGCTCACGCAGCCAGTCGATGGCATCGGAGTACTTCATGCGCTTGAACGGGCGCGCCGGCGGCTTGAAGTCCGGGTTCAGCGTGGCGATATAGCGCGACGCCTCCGGGTCCTCCAGCAGCAGGTCGATGACGCGGCAGATGGTGGCTTCCAGGTGGTCCAGCAGGTCGGTGAAGGTGATGAAGTCCAGCTCGGCCTCGATGTGCGTGTACTCGGACAGATGGCGGCGGGTCAGCGACTTCTCGGCGCGGAACGACGGGCACACGCAGTACACGTCGCCCAGGGAGGGGAGACAGGTCTCCAGGTACAGCTGGGAGGACTGGGTGAGGTAGGCGTTCTCGCCGTAGTAGTCGAAGCCGAACAGGGTGCTGCCGCCCTCGACCTGAGTCTGCACCATGGCGGGGGGCGTCACCTCCAGCATGCGGGTTTCCTCAAAGGTCTTGCGGAAGGCGCGCAGCGTGGCGGCGCGCACCTTCATCACGGACGAGGAGGTCTCGCCGCGCAGCACCAGGTGCCGGTTGTCGTAGAGGGTCTGCGGGTCGGCGTCCGGCGCCACGCGCGTGGTGATGGCCTCCTTGTCGCCGGCCGCGCGGCCGATGATCGTGAAGAAGTCGGCGTGCAGCTCGCGGTTGTGGGGGGCATGCTGCTTCGGCGGGACGGCGCGCATCTCGCCGTGGATGGCGATGGAGGTCTCCAGCGTCAGCGTCATGATATCGTACGTCTTGACCAGGTCGCCGGTCAGGATGCACTGGAGGTAGCCGTAGCCGTCGGAGAGGGTCAGGAAGACGTAGTCTTTCTGCGCGCGCATGCGGTGCACGCGGCCCAGCACGCGGACGCGGGTGCCCGGGACGTCGGACTCGGTCGTGCGCAGCTGGACGACGGCTGGGTCGGTGACGTCCAGGCGGATGCGGACGGGCTTGGGCAGCGAGGCGTCCTCGGTGATGACCACCTTCTTCGCCTCCTCCAGCACCTTGTGCCGCTTGTCCGCCTCGGCCTTCTCGCGGATGGCCAGCTCCTGCTCCTTGGCGGCCTTCTTCTTGCGCTGCTCCCACAGGTTGGTCGCCTTCTTCATCGCCGACTTGGTCGCCGGCTTCCACTCCAGCTTGGCGGCAGGGTCGACATCCTCGCCGGCTGCGTCTGTCTGCGACTTGCGCGTGAGGTACTGAATGCCCGCAGTGGTAGGGGCGTGCTGCACGAAGGCATGGATAAGGGTCTTGTAGGGAGCGGCCTCGGTGCCGGCGGCGGAGGCGTCGTCATGCCCGACGTCCTCGTCGATGTAGATAGATGGCGCCATAGTTGGGACTTGTGTGGGAAAAGGAGGGCTGCAAGAACAACGGTCCAATTACGCCCGTGTTCGTCTTTGGGGAGGGTGGGGTGGCTTGGGAAGTGGGAGGGTTGGTGTCTGCGGGTACACATGAAATTGTTAGCAGGGCTGTCTCACCCACTTGTGAGTCATCTAAGATTGCAGGGAGGGGGGGGGGGGCTTTCGGGCATGGTAGATAGCAGTTCTGCAGAGGTGCCGCGGTGTCTCCCAGGGGTATACATACTCAACCGGGATTGTCAGGGCTCTTCTCAGTCCTCAATTGGCAATTGCACAGCGCCCGAGGGGAAGAATCGCACAGTCCGAAGGTGGAGGGGTAAATTTCCGTTGATAGCGGGCTTTCCCCACGGGTGCCTGAGGCCTCCCAGGCACCCGCCACGGGACCGAGTGTCGAGTTTTCCTCCAGCGTGGCGAGCACCTCGGGAGGTATGATTTGATCGCATCGGACAGGGAGGCAAAGCAGCATCAGTCGTCGAAGATCATTGCCGTCTGATCCTCGACCGGTTACGGGGGACGGCGACCACCCAACTTCCATTCCCCAGATGGCCAGTACGGGAGGAGACACAAACACCTTCCATCCTTCATTTTCCGGGGGAGAAGGGAACAAACAGGATCCGCGAACCGCAACGGTCAGACGGTCACGGGACGGGGGGATATACGTAGAAGGCGAGAGGAGAGAGTACGCACTCCTCCAGGATGGCCAGTATGAACGTTATGAACCGAACGTCGAGCCGGAGAGGGTCTTCATGAAGGTTCGAGGATGTACCCAGCCTTGTTCACGTACCTTAATTCAGAGCCCCAAGTCGTCTTAGTGCCCGGCCTGCAGGCATGCCAGGGGCAACTCCGGGGTTTTGGTGATTGGCGGGGCGTGATCCAGTTGGTCCTCCAGTTGGTCCTCCAGTTGGTCCTCCAGTTTGATCCAGTTTGATCCAGTTTGATTCACTGCGAGTCTGTTTACATTTTTGGCTTAACTCGTTCCGGGCCTGTCAAAAAGGTTCCTGAGGAGGTAGGATGTTGTAGGTTGTTGATAGTTCCTGATGTCTCCGCGTAGCGCATAGTGCCGGTTCCTGCTGATCCTCGTGGTCTTCTCCCCCTTTCCATCCTGTCGCGGTTTGCTGGAAGAATCAGTCGTTCCCGTTCGCCCTCTTCGTCTTGCCTCTGCTCTCCCCCTTTTATCAACCTCCCACCGCTTCCCTTCATACCTTGCCTGGATTCACGTCCTTGCCTTTCATTCTTTCTTTGACTTCCATCCACTCGTTTGACCTCTTTTTTTTTCTCTTCTCTTCTCTTCGAATCCTCGTCACTCACTTACCCTCTCTGACTGTAATCCTCCCTCTTCGTTTTCCCCTCCTCTCTCCCCCCCCTTTTCTCCATCAGCCTTGTACCTTTTGGGATACCTACCCACTTATCCCTTTCCAGCTAATAACTGGTCTTCGCGATAGTCTTTTTTTCTTCCGGCTCCGCACTGGTCTTTCTTTCCCCTGGTTCGTCTTCGTGCATGGCGCCTCCCCGTATATTCGTGATCAGGGACATTTGAAGCCAAACAAAAAGTTGAGCAGGTGAGTCTCCTGATCTTCTTCCTCCTCCCAACGTCTCTCCCTATTCTTCTTCTGCTTTCCGCCCCAACTCTCCCCCGTCCCTCCTCCCATATGGATGAACATTTGAATTGACAGTTGGCGCTTCGCTTCCAGACACGTCTCCAGTTAGACCTTGCTTCCGCTTTCCTTTCCGGTCGCCGGCCTTACCTTCTTCTTTTTTTTCGTCCCCTTCTTGGGTGCGTTTTTTTGAGGCAATTATCAACGGGTTCACGGAGACTTGGTCCCCTGAATGGTGTGCTGAGTATCTGTCTTCCTTCAACTCGCCTCGCCTGTCGGTGTATCTTTGGAAAACGTTCTCTGGGTTGCAAACCAGGGGCAACTTGCACGTCGAGACTTTCACCTCGCCATGCAAACCTCGGATGCATCGAGCATTTCGAACAGCGCGCGTTTGATCCACCCTTCTAAATACAACATCCACGGCGATACCGGTTTCTCCCACGGCGCCTACCACTCCAACCACCCCAACCAGGGCTTTTCGAATCGCAACAATCGTCGCGCCAATATCCCCGCTATAAATACCGCCGCGGCCGGTCAGTCCGCCGACATGGCCTCCGGAGCCGGATTCGATATGAACTTCACCCCCTCCTCCCCTCGCAGCTGCTGGTGGGCAGCCCCTTCCAGCCAGGTACCCCGTCGGCCTTTGCCTCGCCGCAGTTTGCCAACTTTGGCGGCTTCCCGCAAGCCAATGCCAACGGACACGTGCAGAACCACCAAAACCATCATCTCGGGAGTCCGACCCAAGGAATGCAGAACCATGGTCTGTATCTGTCGACCGACGGCTTGGGCGCCCAGTTGATGGGCGGCCCCCAGTCCCCCATCAACGGTTTCAACCACACCACCCTCGGCAATGCCGCCCTGGGCAGCCCGGCAGCCTCGATCGCGCCGGGCATCCTGTCCAGCACGAGTCGCACAGTGTACTTGGGAAACATCCCCGCTGAAACAAGCGCGGAGGAAATCCTGAACCACGTACGCAGCGGCCAGATCGAGTCGGTCCGTCTGCTCCCCGATAAGAACTGCGCCTTCATCTCGTTCCTGGACAGCAGCTCCGCCACTCACTTCCACTCGGATGCCATCTTGAAGAAGCTGGCCATCAAGGGCAATGACATCAAGGTCGGCTGGGGCAAGCCGTCTCAGGTCCCGACCTCGGTGGCGCTCGCGGTGCAGCAGTCGGGCGCATCGCGCAACGTGTACCTGGGCAACTTGCCGGAAGAGACCACGGAGGACAACCTGCGGGAGGAGCTGGGAAAGTTTGGCCCCATCGACACCGTGAAGATTGTCAAGGAGAAGGCGATTGGATTTGTGCACTTCCTCTCCATCAGTAACGCGATGAAGGCAGTCACCCAGCTTCCCCAGGAGCCGCAATGGCAGGCGCCCAAGCGCGTTTTCTACGGCAAGGACCGCTGCGCGTACGTCTCCAAAACCCAGCAGCAGAATGCGGCGCAGTTCTTGGGCATCGCTCCCGGTTACGCCCACGTGCTGAACTCGGCGGACCGCGACTTGATCTCGAATGCGCTGGCACAGCAGTCGGTGGCCGCGGCCGCCGTGGCCACGACCGCTGGCGGGGTCAACAACCTGGGCAACCGGACCATCTATCTGGGAAACATTCACCCGGAAACTACCATTGAGGAGATTTGCAATGTGGTGCGCGGTGGTCTGTTGCACCACATCCGTTATATCCCCGACAAGCACATCTGCTTCGTCACTTTCATCGATCCCACCTCCGCAGCTTCTTTCTATGCTTTGAGCAACCTGCAGGGCCTAATGATCCACAACCGCCGCTTGAAGATCGGCTGGGGCAAGCACTCAGGCCCTCTCCCACCGGCCATCGCACTGGCCGTGAGTGGCGGTGCCTCCCGTAATGTCTACGTAGGTAATTTGGATGAAGCTTGGGCCGAGGAGCGCTTGCGACAGGACTTTTCGGAATACGGCGAGATTGAGCTGGTGAACACGTTGCGCGAGAAGAGCTGCGCCTTTGTGAACTTCACCAACATCGCCAATGCCATCAAGGCTATCGAGGGCATGCGCAACCGCGAGGAATACCGCCGGTTCAAGATCAACTTTGGCAAGGACCGGTGCGGTAACCCCCCGCGCCAGGCCGGAAACCAGGGCAACTCCCAGCAGAATCGCAACGGCGGGGGTATCGACGGCCCCCAGTCGTCCTCCCCTGCGCTGAACGGATTCCAGCAGAACCTGAGCCAGTCAGGCTCTCAGTCCAGCCCGACGCGCCCAGCCCTCTCGCCCGCCCCCGGCTCTACGGGCTCCCAGAACGGCCAGCAGCAGCGTCACCCCCTGCAGAATGTGTCCTCTCCTTCCGGTATCCTCAATGTGGGTTCGAATAACCCACTGACCATGTACCTGAACCAGATCTCCGCCCAGCAAGCCCAGGACCAGGAGAACCGTCTGACCGACCCCATGGCCCTGGCCGGCCTCCACGCCCAGCAGTCTCAGGCCCCGCCCCAGCAGTCCCTCTACAATGGCACCAGCAATGGCGACCTGTCCAACGGCTCTCGGGACGCCCCGCTGCACCAGCACCAGCACCAACACCAACACCAGCACGCGCACCACTCCTCGGGCACCGGCTATCTCAGCGTCGCCGGCTCGGGTCCCGGTCACCACGCCACCGCCAGCACCAGCAGCCTGAGCGTGCCCCGCGCGCAGCACTCCCGCGCCGTCAGCTTGCCCTCCTTCTCACAGGAGCCCTTCGGCCCCGTCTCCGGCCAGTCGGGCCACATCCGATCCGGCGCCGCACACCAGCCCCAGGCGAGCTTCTCGAGCTTCTCGGGCCTCGGCGGTTTGAATCATTCTGGCTTTGGGCTGGCCATTCAAAATGAAAACTCCCTACCCGGCTGGGCGGAGGAGGAGATTGGGGCGAAATAAATCCATTTCCCTGCCCAGCTGACTTCATCCCATGTCCCCTCATCCATCTCATCCATTTAACTCTCGCATTGGAGATGCATAATTCAACTCATTGCCTCTTGGTGCATTTAATGGCATTTGCTCCTTACTCCTCCTTCATTCCCCTCCCTTCTTTTTTTTTCCTCTTTCTTTCTTGTTTACACATAGTTCTTTTTTGTGATTGTGATGCCATTTTTACTACTTTTTTTTTTTTACTACCTACTTTTGAATTTGTTTCTTTCCTGTATTGGTCTTAATATTTTTTTCTTCTCTTTTATCTCTTTATTTTTTTACTCTGGATCTTTGCCATTCAATTTCGCCCCGTTTCTCTTTTCTCTTTTACTTTGTCTGATTGTTGGCTTTGCTGGGATTGGTCTGGCTTGGTTTGGTATGGTTCTCTCCGCTGCTACACTATCAGCCAGCCATCTCCCGCCCATGATCTCGCTACTGCCGTTTAATTGCCCTTGTCTTATCACTTTTGTATTGCTAGCTGGCTATGAGCTTTTTGTTCCCTTTCTTTCTGTCTTTGTTTCCTCAATTGGGTCTGCTTCAGCCGAGGCAATCAACGCTGGACTGGACCGCGTATTCAGCACCTTCCTTTCTCCATTTTTCTTCTTCTTTTTTTTTTCTTTCTATTGATGTGTTCCTGATTCCGATCTTGCTTTCCTTTTTTTATTTGTTTTATGCCGTGTGGCTATATGCATCGGGCGGTACGATCCTGTGAAAATACCCCAGTCTCAGTCTTGCTCGCGCGGCCGCGCGAGGTTGTTGGGTTTCTACTTTTGTGGTAGCTTGGTTGTTGGGCCGGCGCGGCTTGCTGCTGCTGCTGTTGCCGATGTGTAATTAGTGGGATGGGGATCCCGGGAGAATGATATGAGTCGATGATTTGGTTTCTGCATAGAGTGTTGTAGAGCATAGTCGTGATGGGCCTGTAGAGAAAAACTCCTAGCGCTGGCTTGACTTAGGTAGAAATAGGTCAGGCGGATAGCCTTGGTCAATAGCTAGGTAATGGAGCGGGTGTTCGTCTAGGTACAGACCCTACGGCGTTATGCTTGAGTATATATTGAGTGGCAGGAAGGCTACAGAATGCTGCCATGACCCCGGCCGTCATACAAATAACCTTCCATTGTCCAACATCCAAAACATGCATATATGTGCAGCATTGTTATGTTTCCAACAGTATAGGAAACAGCGATTTGCAGGCTCTGATTAGTTGTCTCATCGCTCAGCGGATCATCACTAATCTCGTACAGTGGATGGTTCTGCCCCAGATACCACGTGACGTACTAAACCCAATCACGCCTAGCACCACAAGGCTTCCCATCAGTCCCTCCACGGCCGGATATTCATCCCTCCATCTCAGTCCCATCCAGCCCAGTCTCAATCGCCAGGCGCATTGAAAATGACCCTCCCGCCAGAGCAAATTAACATCAAGCGCCGCCGTGAGGAAGAGCCCGTGGAAACACTTTGTACGTGCCCCTTGTGCTTTTAAAACCTTGCTCTTTTCCTTTTTCTACCCCCACGATCTAGACCCCGCCAACACATTCCTACCAGAAAGTATCTGGTGTTCCATGTGTCGGGTTAGCCCGTATATTCCCTGATTACGCACTTTTCTTCTATAATTCATACATGACATCCATTGATCTTCCTTTTTCTGCATTTCATCACCCATTAGGGTCACCTGACTTGCTCAGTCTCTCATGTTCTCCCGCTGACCCGTCCCAGATATCCAATCCGCGCTGCACCAGACCAAGCGTCGTTTCACGGACTATGTCTTTCAGCGCGTCACGATCAGTAGCAAGGACGGTGATGACTCCCAGTCCCCTCCAGGAAATCCGGCTGCCCAGCGCCTCCTGCGCAGCCCGCGGTCCGTGAGCAGCTTGCATGTTCCCAACCGCCGCGCGGCACAGGCGATCTCAGCCAGCGGCGTGCCACTGGTTCGTGCTACGTCTCCAGGTGCAGAGATCCGCGAAGCGCAGCGCATGGCCGCTGAGCGAAAAGACGCCGAGGAGCAGCGCCAGCGAGCGCTCCAGCCACAGCGCGGTATGGGGCAGCCCGCTCCTGTCACGGGTCTCACTTTAGGAGAGCAAAACCCTCCGTCTGTGATATCCTTGTCGACTCCCGTGCAGTCCGTGCGCCGCTTCCAGATTTCAAGATCTAACAGTTCGAGCCTGGGCTCCCCCCGCAGCGCCGGCGGCATCCAGAAGCGTCGCGCGGATGGCGCAGTCCCGGGTGTGGCCGTTCTCGTCGAACAGCTGCGGCGCCAGCCACACTCGCGGCAGGCCTCGATGGTGGCGGATCTGGTGGGGGTACGACCCGAGGAATTGCCCACGACCCCCGTCAAACCCAGGAAACGGCCTGTCGTGAACCAGGCCGAGAAGCGGTGGCGCGAGGAGCGAAAGAGCGCTATCTCCGCTGCGAAGCAGCATCTTGCCGAGACACTGGAGAAGTCTGCACAGGCGAAGGAGAGTACGTGGGATGAGGAAACGGATCGTCTCGCGAAGGAATTCGAGCAGGTTGCGCTCGAGCTGGAGCAGGAGCAGAATATGGATGTGGATGACCATGACCATGGCACGGACTTCACCCAGACCGCGCAGCAGCAGCAGTACAAGCACATACCCGTGGCCCCGCCTAAGCCGATGAAATACCAGCCCCGTCCGCCGAAACAGCCCCGTGCTGTGCCGCAGCAACCAGCGCCAGAGACGGAGGTGGAGGATGTCGCCCATGTCGGCACTACTGCAGCACCGGCCGAGGAAGATGACGATGACTACGTCTATGACGTGTATATTCGTCGCCCCCTGGCGGAGAGCGACATGCTCAGGAACCCGCTGGCTGAGCTGGAGTCCGAGCAACAGATGAAGCAGCTGGAGGCAGCGAGCCGCGGCATTGGTGTAATCGTCATTACTGCCGAGGACGAGGAGTATTGGGAGCATTTCGTGGAGGATGATGAGCAGGCGTGGGATAGCGAGGATGCGGACTCGAATGGTGAGTACAAGAAGGACAGATCCAGCAAACTGCAAAATGCAAAATGGACCGCTTTACTAACTTCCCCACAGCTGAAGACAACCCTGCCAACGACTACCCGGACGAGGAAGCCTCTTCATCGGACGAGGACGATGACCCGAGCAACCGTCGGCAGCGCGGTGCATACGATGATTGGGACTCTGATATGGACGGCTACGGCAGTGAGTACGGCGACCGGTACAGGTCCGGCTATGGATATTCCCACCGGTACGGTGGGAATAGGGACTCAGACGAGGATAGCGGCTGATTCGGCATGCAATCTTGGCGTTATATCTTGGTGAATTGCAGGAGGGACGACAATACGTGCGAGCAGCGATTGAACCGACCTTAAGGTGTCTCCTGGGTGGCTGGCTGGCTTTATGATAGATCTTTTCCATTTCCATATCTCGGGAAACATTGTCGTATGGGTTTAATATTGCATTAGAGGAGCTTTGCCACAGACTTATTAAATGCTTCTGTGGACCGATCGTTTACATGGCTATCATACTATTTTGAATTTACTAAAGATTACTACTCTCATGTTCACGTAACCACATCCACTACCCTGTCACATCACCCGGCAAGATCAGGAGATCGAGACCCACCTCATTAGCTTGTGATTAAGACAACCGGCCACGAGGCGTTATATCCAGCAAAGCCTTGCACCGTGATGCTAATATATCTGAAATCCGCTTTTACCTCCTGGGTACGTGCCCTTGGTAGGGTAGGGAATCAATTATCGCACTATCGGAAAGGTCCATTTTTGCTGCCTAAAAAAGCAGAGCAGCGGCTGCCGAGTCGGTTAACGCTAAAGTACTATATAACCCGAAGGGCATCAGCACTAAATCTTTTACGCTTCGAGGGTTCCTCAATACAACTTCGGCGATTTCCCCACTATAGAAGAGGTAGGCGTTAGACAGACTCTCGAGAGATGTGGACATCAGTCGAAGGGAAGAAGCACGGCATTGGTTGGGACAAAGAGGTCTGCTGCACGTCGAATGTTCTACCCATGGTTATTATGACCCGATCGTTCCCCAGAAGTTCACTTGCCGTATATGACCGAGGGGTGAGGAGGTGAGCCCTTAGTCTCTAGTGGGAAGGTATCATTAAAGAAAGCCATCCTCCTGTGAAAAGTCGAAGAGAGGAACTAGAGCCACACGTTAGGCTCAAACATCATTCTCCCCTGCCGCGGGCAGATAGACATACCGTTCATAATCGAGTCAAGATATGAGACAGGGGATATATCCACAGAATTGAACATGTCCAGGTAGCCCTCCGGTCTGCCACAAAGATTTAGCATATCCCTATAAAATGTAGAACATGCGACTTACCCAGTTCCCGGCAGCGATGCAGCATTTGCACCCATTGCCGCCAGATTCTCATTCTCGACTGGTCTTCTCTCTCCTTCTCGATCTAATGCACTCCTCAGAGTAACCAAAGCTCGGATGTGCCGAGCCGATAGCCATTGGCTGTCACTATCAGACAAGGAGGTCCCATCGTCGCTGGTCTTCGAATCGGAAGAAGTAAAGACATCAATCACGCGCTGCTGTAGACTGCGGCATTCAGCATCATTGCGCGTCTCTTCCCAGATACAAAGGAGCAATGTGGAGCTGAGAACAGTGTGCACCATTGACCAGCTTCGCAACGGGACGACGCTGAGGGCTTGAAAATCCAGAAATGCCTTCGATGCGTCGATCAAGCCTCCTTTTGCACGTGCTCGAAGGATTTCACCTTGTGGATGAAGAATTTGTGGAGATGATTGCTTCATGGCTGGACGGCAGATGACGGAGACACAAAATGAGTTATGCATCCTCAGTGCTAAATGCTCCAGGTTCTGCTGCAGGGTGGTGCAGTTTGCGCGGGATTGAAGATAGAGCAGGCCACGCTGGGAAATGCTGTCTAGTCTTTGCAGATAGTCGAGTGCCTGCTCGACCTCCCCGATTCCCACGCTTTCTGCTCGCATAATGTCGAGGCCAAGTCGACATATCAGGTGCATGGTGTTCGCGTATGATAAGTCCTGTTGCTCAAAAATTGGCTTCTCAAGGGGCCAACCTGACACTGTTACGATGGGTGGGCGGTCGTAGCATAAGCAGAGGAGACTATCCTGCCAAGCGATTGTCGACCTGGGCCGTGTGTTAGGCACACAAGAAAATCCAACGCGGAGAATACAACTCGTCGGAACTAACCTACCAGAGGGCCCGTGCCTTGGTTTGCAAATTCTCAGGCCAGTGTGCCATGCTTCGTTGGGTATGTAACCCCATCGTTTGGGCGAGCCGAACTGTCGTGCCCAGCAATGCCCAGGCAGCATCTGATTGACCCATATTCTGCAGAGTATTCCCCAGGATAAGAAGTGACTGAATTATATCCAGCGAGGGCCGGAAAAGGAAGTTGCACAGACGGAGAGCGTGAAAGGACCGGCGCGCTATAGCGGCATTAGCAACAAGCTCCTTAAAACATATATTCAACCATACCAAAGTCCGTGGTAAGCTCCAGCCGGCGAGGATATTCCACATCAGAGTAGTGTGCCCCTGCTGCCAAGGTGGCTAACAAAAGACCGATGTGACCAATAGACTTATCCGTTGCCCAGCGCTCGGTGATTTTGTCGGGGGTCTTCAGCTCCCCTGCAGCATGGGCATTCAAATACGTGCATAGATCGGATTCAAATCGATCCATATCAGCTAAGATCGGGTTGAAAGGGTACGCTGTGACCTGGTAATAATGGAAGAACCTAATAGAGTTAGCCGCGTGTGAAATCCGCCCGGCCGGTCGTGACATACTTCAAGATCTCAGCCCTCTGCGGCAACACACTAAGCAATGATTTCCATCGCTCCCGCGGCGTCTTCGAGTCCATGAACGGATAGCTATTGAACGTATTCTGCAGCCCCAGAACCGAACCAACTTCCCGAGCCAGCGAATCATTAGCATCCGATGCTCGCAGCCGCAAGATCGACACGACCGAGTTGTCCCCAGAATACACATAATTTTTGGAACCATCTTCGGGCCGTAAAAGCGATTCGGCACGGACTCCTACCACAGCGCGCGGCGAAGCCGAAGCCGGCCGAGCGGGTGGTATTCCTGCGCGAAGCCGATCTGCGCGCTGCGTGTGCCGACGGATCATAAGTGCAGATCTGCGGATGTTTTCGTTTTTGACAAGTTCGGCATGGCTGAGACCCGTCGCATTTGACTTTGCGCTTCTTGCAGGGGTAACAGGCGCGCGATTCGCGCTCGCGGCTTTTCAGACGCAGGACCCTGTCTGCTTCGTCTTGGCTCACGGCGCTGGCGCTCATGCTGCCGAGGGCTCCGAAATGGAAATGGCGGAGGTGTTCGGACTCAAGCTTGTTTGCCAACAATTAGTGGCTTTTGATGTCAAACGGCGAGGAATATATCGATAAATGCATCCTAGTTGGCTATTCAAGCATTTATGGAGCAGAGTGTCGATAAGTGAGGGAAGTCGAACGATCGTGCTGTACCAAAACCGATCTGATAGGGATGGTGAGGCGCGTGGCGGTAAGACGCACGGACCAACCGTTGCGCAATCAGAGCCACCGGTATGGGCGCAGTATTTAGTGAAGTATTATTCAAAATAGCTGGGGGTCGTGGTACAGATCGGTTTGAAATCTGGGGAGATAGTCTCTATGCAGGTGGTTGGGTGTTTGTCGGGGTAAATAGTACATCTCCAGACCAACATTGCAGGTCCGACTAGGTACGCATTTGGTAGCATGTATTTACTCATAACTCTATACTGCGAAACTAGGCGCGAATGGCTCATCAAATCCGTTGTCATTCATTTGATAGTACCCTAGCACATGAGTTCCTGTGGTACATCTACAGCTGATACATGCTAAAATCCATGGCCCTTCGGGGCTCCTTGGTGAATCATAATGCATGCGATGAGAACTCCCTGCATTCAAAGAATACTGCCTACCTGACTAGGTTATACCTATAATAAGGGAATGGACCTAGTGATCAACAAAAAGAGAGATTTCGATGCCTTGTTCTATCTATGCTTATATATTGTCGCATCAAAATCTTACTATACAGAATCTACTCCGCCCGGAATCCCATCTTTGTCCAATTCTCCAAAACCTTCCTCTTAACCTCCTCCGGATATGAGTTTTCAAAATCAGCTGCCTGCCAATCCCTTCCAGTTGTATACTCCGTCGGCATCAGCGCATCCGACACAACCTTGCCACCCTTCGTCGGCGACCCATTGCCATGCGACATATACGGGATCAGCGGGAACCCGCGCACGTCCTGGAAGAAAGTCTCGTCGAGGTTGGGCCGGCACCGCGTCGAGAAGGCCCACATCACGTCCTTGCCGTTATACACGTCAATATCATCGCCTGCCAGGACCAGGCGGTGGATGGTGTACCCGGCCTTGTGGTTGAAGACGACGTCGCCGACGCGCTTGCGGAATTCAGCGGGGGTGGTTTTCATTTCGCGCAGGCGGGCAGTGTCGATGCGGAGCGCGACCCAGGTTACTTGGGACTCGAAGGGGGCAAAGGCGTCGGTGACGGGAAGGCCGTTTTCCTGGCAGACTTTGCGGATTTGGGCTGCGGCAAGGGAGCCGATCATGGTGTGCTGGGGATGTGATATTAGACGGGGGAAACGGATTGTGATATTGATATCGCTGAGAGGGAAGAGCCTTACTGTTTCATCGGTCAAGCGGCCGCAAGAGGACATGGGCATGATGGGGTCGTTGCGGTAGGTGATTCGGTTGACCTTATACTTTGGCCACAGGTGGGTGTCGGCAGGAAAGACGTAGCCGTGCATCTCGCCAAACGGACCTTCCGGGCCCGTCTCGCTGATCGATAGGGTACCCTCCATGACGATCTCGGAGTTGGCGGGCACATAGAGATTGTTGGTGTCGCACTTGACCAGCTCGAGGGCACAGCCAGTCATGGCACCCACATAATCAGCCTCGGTGACACCGTCCGGAATAGGCATGCTGGATGCCATGATGGCAGCAGGGGGAACGCCGAAGGCCAGCGCCCAGGGGACGTCTTTTCCTTCCTTCTTCCACATTTGGTGGATCTGCCAGAGGTGCTGCGGCTCAATGACCAGGCCGGTTAAGTGCTTCTCATCAGAGACCATGGCGCGGGCAATGGACCAGTTGGTCCACGACCCATCAGGAGACTGTACGATGTGCATCCCGTAGGTCTGGATGTACTTGCCACCATCCGCCTGGTGAATCAGGGGGGCAGGAAGCTTGGTTAGATCAATCTGGCTTTCCTCCAGGACATTCTCCTTACACGGGCCAGTGGTCACAATCTGGGGCGGAATCGGGGGCATCTCGCTAGCGGACAGCATCTTGTCCAGGATGTCCTTCATCGAGGCGGTTGGTGGCAGGGCCAGATGGCGAGCAAGGCGGCCATAGCGATCCTTGGGGGACTTCCTTAGAGATGCTGGCGCACCGAGGATACGGAAAAGGCCATTCTGTGTGCCGATGACATTGTTGAAGAGAGGCGCCTTGTCATCGGTCTCACAGACCAGCCGGGTAATGGCAGCAGCCTCGAGGTTGGGGTCAACCGGGGTGTCGATCTCGATGAGATCATTGTCGGCCTTGAGGGCGTCCACAAAGGCCCGGAAACAAAGGTGAGGCTCGTTGTTGGTCATTGAGGATGAGTTTGTAGGTTGCAGTTTTGTTATTAAGTATAACAGATGTTGTGTTGTAGTATAACTTCAATGTCGGCCAGGCGAATGGATCACTAGGTGACAGCAACGACGCACGGTTTTAAATACTCCTACAACCAGTCTGCACGGCAAAATCAGATCGGTCGCAAGCCCGATATTGGGACCAGAACCAGGCCGATTGACCATTGGCGAGATTCGGGATGCCGCAAAACTGGGACTGTGGCTTCTCCGAGGTCCCGAGACCCGAGACTCCGAAGTGCGCCGGACTCCTTTGACAGAGGTTTCATGCCTCAGGAAATACAAGGCACCAACGCAAGACCTCGGCATCGGATCTCGGAGGCTGCACAGTGACAACGAGGCAGGACGGAACAATTGCCGACCGTTGGGGTGGGTGATGTACGATGAACCATTCGATGCCACTCGGAAGCAGTGTCGGTACATCGCTCAGCTGTGGGGTAGTTAAGTAAGGGAAATAAATAGAGAGGCGGATCCCCTCAAATGATACATAGATTTTCATCCACCATGCCCTAGCGGCCAGGCACCCTAGATGTTCGGAAGACCAAGCCGATCGCGCGGTGTAGCTACTATCAATACACCGTGGTCGAGAACGCGTTTGATATGGTGATCCCGGGCACGTCGGAGGATGTGCTGTATGGCCGGATGGCGGAATACTCCAGAACAGTGATCGAATGGCGTGGAGAATGTCAACTTCAAGCCTGCAGGGTTCATTTGCCACGATGAGACTAGAATATTCGTGGGAAGAGGGGCGTTCCTTGGGCGATGTTCTCCGAAGCCAGCCTAAGGACCCTGATTGACATCTGACACCATGGAAACGGGGTTGGCGAGTAGCGTAAACTGTGTATAGTTTGGACTTCGTATACATCGTGCGACACATAGACCGCATATTTCCGCCGCCATTCCTCCGCCACTCAAGTTCTGATTCCCTATCAGCGACGGGGCCGCAAATAGGATTTAGCATTGGAAACCTTAGCAACCCTGCATGCTGGGACTTCCATGAGGCCCCCATTCGTCGGCCAGTCTGGCTTTGCTGCGAGGCTGGGCCAGTCGCAGCGCTGCCCGCTTCGTTTATCAAGAAACTTCTCACCCGCAGATTGCACATCAGCAAAGCCAAGACGTGATGTTGCAGTGTAACCGACCAGCCAAGCGGATAGGCCACGCCAAGGGGGCCGCCAAGGGCAGGGATATCAAACCATATCAACTCTCGGACCGCCAAGCCCTGTGACCGCCATTGGACAAGGCCGGGCTTGGCAGCACCTTAGCTTCTACGGAGATTCGACCAGAACAATGAGCGGCCTGTGAGGGAGAAGGGCGAGCCTATCAGGCCGCCTGAGGTTCCAAGATGGCGCTATCTCGCATGCTTCTGCTGGCTGGCCGAGCGCCCCAGCAGGGGAATGGCAACTTAGACATCCAAGACATACACGGAGGCAGGATAGCTCAAGGCTAGCCATGGCACAGATCTCGTCGCGCCGTCGATGCCAACTTCTGGCCCGGCTATCGACGGTCCTTCTGCGGTTCTGAATCGGGCATTCCCGTTTCTAGTCAATGCGCCGGCGCGATCCTGAGATATCAGAGGCACGAGGAAAAGCAAGACGCAGTCTGCCGGCGTGGCGGAAAGCGACCTTCCTGAACAGGAAGCCCCTAAGTGCATGGCCCTCGCGAGGGAAGTCGCGGCAATGAACCCATAAAACCACCCGCCCGCCTTCTCTCTCCGTCGATCATTTCTGTTCCGTCGCCCAGCTTCTGCCCACTATGAATGCGTCCGACCCCGTCGACGTTGCCGAGGTAGCTAAGGCCAAGGCGCTCCAGCACGATGTCTCCGTGAGCGAAAAGCGCCAGGATCCCAGTCAGGACTTGACGATTGAGCCTGTTCCGCCCGGAGAGATCAACCCGACGGCCCATGGTGCTGATGGCGAGGACGAGGCACTCCAGAAGGTGTATCCAAACGAGGACGACTTGCGCAACCTGCGCCGCATCGCCGGCCATGTTCCCTGGACCACCTACACCGTCGCATTTGTAGAGCTGTGCGAGCGGTTCTCGTACTATGGAACCACAGCAGTCTGTAAGTAGGAGAGAACAATTACATGTAACACCAATGCTGACCACTCCTCCCAGTCGTCAATTTCATCCAGCGTCCTCTTCCGGCGAACTCGCGCAGCGGTGCTCTCGCGGCTGGCGCCGATTTCAATAACGACGTGCCAGGAGCCCTGGGTATGGGGCAGCGCGCGTCGACTGGTCTGACATTGTGTGAGTGAGCGGTAGTTGACAGGGGTCAAGGATCTAGATGCTAACGAGGAGGCCCAGTCAATCAATTCTGGTCATACATAATGCCTCTGGCGGGTGCGTATGTGGCCGACCAGTACTGGGGTCGATTCCGTACGATCTTTGCCTCGATTGCGTGTGCTCTTGTGGGCCATGTGATTCTGATTGTGTCGGCGATCCCGAACGTGATTGCGAAGCCCGGAGGCTCGATCGCTTGCTTCACCATTGGTCTGGTCATTATGGGTGTGGGCACAGGTGGCTTCAAGTAAGTCTAAGTCTCAATCGACATGCCCCAAGTCTAAGGTGTGTTACAGATCCAATATCTCGCCCCTAATTGCGGAGCAATACCGCGACGAGTTGCCGTACATCAAAGTCATGCCGGATGGAGAGCGAGTGATTGTTGACCCTGCCGCAACAGTGGCTCGTATCTACCTGTACTTTTACCTGATGATCAATGTCGGCGCTTTGGTGGGACAGCTTGTCATGGTCTACGCCGAGCGATACGTCGGATTCTGGCTGTCGTTCCTTCTCCCCACGATCATGTTCTGCTGCTGCCCTACAGTGCTGTATCTTTGCCGGCACAAGTATCACATGGTCCAGCCCACAGGATCGGTTTACTCTCAGGCTTTCCGTCTGTGGTCATTAGCCATGAAGGGGCGCTGGTCTCTCAACCCTGTTCGATTGTAAGTCCAGTCAAGGGTCACCAAATCATGACAGAATACGCTAACCCCCCCATAGGTTCCAGAACACGGCCGCAGAGCATGAGTTCTGGGATCACGTCAAGCCCAGCACTCTGGGAGCCAACAAGCCCCAGTGGATGACCTTTGACGACGAGTGGGTGGAAGAGGTTCGCCGTGGACTCAAGGCCTGCAAGGTTTTCCTGTGGTACCCTCTCTATTGTAAGTCGAACTGGTTTTACCTGCGATATTCCCGCACATCGATTAATTGCCTCCAGGGCTGGCGTACAACCAGATGTTAAACAACCTCACATCCCAAGCTGCCACCATGCGTCTGGGAGGCGTGCCCAACGACGTCATCAACAACCTCAACCCCTTCGCCCTGATCATCTTCATCCCCATCTTCGACCGCCTCTTCTACCCCGGCCTCCGGCGAATGGGCTTCAACTTCACCCCTCTGAAGCGCATCACGGCCGGTTTCGCCGTCGCTGGCTCCGGCATGATCGTCGCGACCGTCACCCAGTACTACATCTACAAAATGGGGCCCTGCGGGAAGGAAGCGAACTACTGCCTCGAGGAGCTGGGTAAGCACACCGACATCTCCGTCTGGGTGCAAGCCCTCACCTACATCCTGGGTGGTATCTCCGAGATTCTGGCCTCGGTGACCTCCCTCGAGTACGCATATACCAAAGCGCCGCGCAACATGCGCTCGCTCGTGCAGGCCGTCGCGCTGTTCACGAACGCCATCTCCGCGGCGCTCGGGCAGGCTCTGGTCGGTCTCTCTGCGGATCCGCTGCTCGTGTGGAACTATGCTATCGTGGCGATCTTGGCGTTTGCGGGCTGCTTCGGCTTCTGGTTGACCAACTATAAGTTGGACCAGGAGGAGGATAAGCTCAATATGCTGCCCCATAGTAAGTTTGAGGGCCATGGGGCGAGGACGGACGAGGAGGGGAAATGAGTGAAGTGTTTATGAAGGGTGGTGTACCCCAGAGTTGTTCGTGGCGATGCGCGTAGCCTGCGTTAGAGGAGTCTTGGTTGTATCCAGCAGAAAGATGGCTTTCGTGTGTGTTGCCTATCGAGATCTTAATGTACACCAAATTCTTATTACTCTTGCTTTTCCTCCACTTCTGCGTCGTCTGCATCGTCTTCTGCGCCTTCTTCTGCGCCTTATTCTGCGCCTTCTTCTGCGCCTTCTTCTGCGTCTTCTTCTGCATCCTCTTCTGCATGTTCATCTTCGTCATACTCTTCATCTTCCCCGTCTTCCTCGCCTTCCTCAACTTGGGCCCCCTTCGGCTTTCCCGTTCGCCCATCCTCCTTCTGCTTCTTATTGGACCCTCCCGACTGCTTTGCAGTGCGTTTCGTCCCGGCACTCTTCTTCTCGTCTCCCTCACCAGCATCCGACTCCTCCTCATCTTCCTTCTTGTCCGAACTCCGAGTCTTTGGCCCGTCCCTTCGACCTCCCCCCTCCGCCGCAACATCCTTCTGAGCCTTCCGCCTCGCATCCTTTGCCTTCGCGGTATTCCCAACAAACTGCTTGCCCCCCTTCGATCCCTCTACCTTCTTCGCCTCGGTCTCCTCCTTCTGATCGGCGTCCATCTGCGCCCACGCCTGCTTCAGCAGATACCGCTTCCGCGTCCCGTCATCCCTCCGCGCCGTTCCCGATCCCTCTTTCGTCTGCCACTCCTCCTCCGTCCACTGCTGCAGATGCTTCTGCGATTCGTCCTTATTGTCCTTGTCCGTAGTGTAGTCGCCGCCGCGCTTCTTGTATTCCGAGGCCATCATTTGTGCCTGGAGTCGGTCAGTCCAGTCCGTTCTCGCGTACGAAGTATAAAGGCGCAAGTTCGAAAGAACCTGACGTACCTTGCGCGCCGACCATTGGCCCGGTTTACCGCCCTTGTCACCCTGGTGGATTTCCTCTTTGACCTGGTCGCGTAGTTCAGGGTCTGTGTATTTGTCCTTGGGCGCCATGATGAAGATTGCAGGCGTGGACGGGATTGATTTCGCGATAATTGGGTGGCCAGTGCTACCTGCTAAAGGAGAATATGTGTTCAAAATGGAATGCGGTACTGTCTAGTCCAGAGTGCTTGAACACGGAATATTTCTAGTAATTGCCATCTCCTTCACCTCGTTCAGGGCGCAATGGCGATGACATCTTCATTCTGTTCCCGAGTGACATCATCTCGCGGACTGCATCAAGCATGTCGGGGAAATCCCGTTTCGCCAATCGAATGCGGTCGTGCGGTCTGAGACAAGGCTGGATACAGGTTGTGAATTCTACATTTCTTGGTCGGAGGGATTGGAGGCTGGTCTGATCGGTGCGGTACGTGATTCTACTTAGCTATGGGTGTGGGTCTGCATCTAGATCGGGTTTGCTCCCGCGCAAGCAACTGACGGGACGAGCATTACATGACGCAGACTACTCTACGAATCACGATCTAGCTGTAGTGCAAACCTGATATCGATATTTTTTAACGTCAAGAAAATCGAGGAAACTGCTCACCCTCCGCGGCTATATTATACTTCTTGGAGAAATAGACCAGTTTCCGATGGGGGCTAGAGCGATCTATCGAGAACAACTTCGTTTACACAGGTTCGCCGACTGTATTACGATGAAAGTTTTGTTACCTATAATTGCAAAGTACGAAAGAGGAGTGAGTGAGTGGGCTCTGTCTGGGTGCTACTGAGTAAAATATAACCTATTTTAATGGCGTGGACTTCTGAATATCACTAAGGATTTTGTATTTGCAAAAGTCGTTATATATCGAAAACATGGGCCAAGTCGATATGTAAGGGTAAGCAGAGCCCGACATACAATGTACATAATCAAACCGGAGGCAAGGCAATCGTCACAGGTGTACCAGGTATCATCAAGGGAAACCAAACCAAACCAAATAAAATCAAATCAAATCAAATCAACCCAAACAAAAGACCCAGAAGCAGCGCTCACGCCACACCCTCACGACTGCTTCGGGCGCAGTCGCAGACTGGGCCCCTGCACAAACTCCATGCCCTCGTTCACGTCGCCCTTGAGTGCAAACTTGATATCCTTGTGGTAGTGGTCGCGCGGCTGCCATGGGCCCTTGTTACCGGCGCGGGGCAGGACGCGCTGCGCGACGGTGACATAGGTCGAATTGAGGTTCAGCAGGGGCCGCTCCTCGAGGCCCTCCTGTTCGGCGGGCTTGAGCCGCGGCGTCGCGGCAATCAGCTTGCGCTCCTCAAGGGTCTTCAATAGGCGCGTGACGAATTGGGCGGTGGCGTCGGAGCCGAGCGTCCACGAGGCGTTCGTGTAGCCGATGATAAACGAGGCGTTTGGCAGGTCCTGCAGCATGACCCCGTTCCACATGTACTTGGCGCCGGGTTCGTATTTCTGCCCACCCACTGAGAGTGTCGCGCCGCCGGCCAGCTGCAGCTGCAGACCGGTCGCGGTGATGATGATGTCTGCATCGAGTGTCTCGCCGCTGTTCAGGGTGATGCCCTTTTTGGTGACGGTTTTGATCGTGTCTGTCTTGACGTCGGCCTTGCCGGCGCGCAGGCTCTTGAAGAAGTCGCCATCCGGGCACACGCACAGCCGCTGGTCCCAGGGGTTGTAGCGTGGCGCAAAGTGCGGGTCATACTGGATGTGCTTTGGGAGCTGCCGACTGACGTTCTTCTTGAGGATCCAGCGCGAGAAGGTCGGGAAGCGCTGGCAGAAGAGGAAGAAGATGCGCGTGGTGATGATCCACACGGCGCGCTGCAGCCGCTGGTACGCGGCCGAGGGCAGGATATACGAGAGCCAGCGGTTGGCGGAGCGGTTAGGGAGCGAGAGGATGTAGGTCGGGCTGCGCTGAAGCATCGTCACACGGGCGGCCTTTTCGGCGAGGTTGGGCAGGAGCGTGATGGCGGTGGCGCCGCTGCCGATGATGACGATCTTCTTGCCCGTGTAGTCTAGATCCTCGGGCCAGAACTGCGGGTGGATGACCTGGCCGGTGAAATTGTCCAGCCCGGGGATAGTGGCCTGGAGCGGCTCCGTGTAGTTGTAGTAGCCAGTGCCGAAGATCACAAATCGAGCGGTGTACCTCTTGTCCTCCCCGTCCGCGTCGACCGACAAGTTCCAGACATGCTCCTCGTTCGACCAGTCGGCCGAAGTCAGCTTGTGCTTGTAGAGGATGTGCTTGTCGATGCCGTACTTGCGCGCCGTCTCGCCAATGTACGACTTGATGGCGGAGCCTTCTGCGATGGGGTTGCTGTGGTGCCAGGGGTTGAACGCGAACCCGAAGGTGAACAGGTCCGAGTCCGAGCGGATGCCGGGGTACTTGAACAGGTCCCAGGTGCCACCGTGGTCTGGACGGGCCTCGAGAATGGCATAGCTGAAGCCCGGTAGCTGGTCCTGGACGCGGTAGGCGGCATTGATGCCAGAGATGCCGGCGCCCACAATGATCACGTCGAAGCGGCGCTCCGATTGCCCGTTGGCGTGGCCGGGCATGGTGGTGGGGAATGGGAGTCTGGAGGAGGGACGGTCTAGAGATAGCTCACCGACATGATAAATAAGAGAGAGCAGATCAGTTGGAAGGCGACCACTTTTAACGGCTTCACATGCCTCGGTTTCACGGCGATCCGCGGTGGATCGATCGCCAGGCGATGCTCTCCCCCCTAGTGTGGCTTCTGGACCACATCACGGTAGCCACGTCCGTGCACTAGCGCAGTCCCCAGGGAGCTCGGGGCGGTCGATTGCCTACGATGACAAAAGGCAGATCTATAGAAATTGTATACGAACGGTTCGCAGCGCTTTGCCTCTGACCCCAAGCACTCCCCCTTGAACATAGTGAACATTTACACAGGCAGATCTGCCACGATCGCCTGGCCCGATTGTCAATAGAGAATAGATTCAGTGTCCTTGCAGGGTCTTCTCGTCCCTGTAATCAATCACAATCCCAATTCCTGTCGCATGCTCCATCATCCTCTGGCCCATGATTCTGCCTCTCGTCTACCATGGCCCATATGCAGCCGAGGACCCTCCATTCTCCACATCCACACCCACACCCAAACTCCCGACAAAGCAGAGCCACCTCGGTCCCAACAAAATCTGCCGTCCAAGCCAAAGAACATGCAGCTCGCAACTCGGGAGCGATCCTTTCCTCACTGGGATAGCATTGCGAGATCGACAGTCCGCAGCGGCTCCGAGGCTCCCCACGCGAGCGGATGGTTAGTTCCTGAACCGGCATAGTGCGCCCACGAAGTACTGTCAGTGAGGGTTAGTGGAATTAGTGGAACAGGGCCATTTATCAGGCGCGCGGGTCGCGCAACTGAGTCCAGGGCAGATAGGACTCCATTGACCGTGTAGTGCCGCGCAGTGCTATTCCCCCCCCTTTCGTCATGGCTCTCACCAAGGCGAAGCTCTCGCTCGCCGAGAAGCTGGACTTCCTCCCTGCGCTCGCGACCATCGTCGTCGCCGCCTGCTACTCTCTCCTAACAGGCCTTTGGCGCACCGAGCGCCAGGCCAAGACCCTGCTGCTGCACTTCGGCTATGCCATCTTCCGCCAGGCCACGAGGCGCCTGTCACCAGCGCAGATGCAGTACGTGCTGCCCCCGTCAAATAAAATTTACGAGCAGTACGTGCGGAAGGCCGGCCTGCGGCCCGAGTCCGTGGAGTTGGGGTATGGCGCGCTGGGCCACTGGATTGGCGACCGCGATGCGACAAATGTGCTGATCTGGTTTCACGGTAAGTACCAGACAAATCACCCTGTTCCCGAATGCCATTGACGCGCGGTGACCGAGACTGACTGACCTCTTTCGCGGCCTAGGGGGCGGTTTCGGCCTCCCCGCCAACATGGGCTACTTCAAGTTCTACGCCCAGCTCATCCACGACCTCGAACGCGCCGGCAAGCGCGTCGCCGTCTTTAGCCTCACCTATACCCTCGCACCGCAAGCAACCTACCCCACGCAATTGCGCCAGGCCGTCGCCGCCGTGCGCTACATCCTCGCCCAGCCGAACCGCGACCCGAGCTCCGTCTTCCTGGGCGGCGACTCCGCGGGCGGGAACTTGGTCGGCGGTGTGCTCTCGCACGCGGCGCACCCGCACCCGCAAATCGAGCCGCTGGCGCTCGGCGGCGTGCAATTCGGCGGTGCCGCGATGATCGCGCCGTGGACGCTGCTGGACACCGAGTTCCCCGGGCAGGACATCGACCACGGCGGCGATATTATTACCACTGCGGTGGCGGCGCCGTGGTCAACCGCGTATCTGGGGACTGCGAAGCGCGATTATTACACGGACTTGTCGACGGCGCCGGCCGAGTGGTTTCAAGCTTTCCCGGTTCGCGCGGTGCTGATTACTGGCGGAGAGAATGAGATCCTGTTGCCGATTATTAGAGACTTTGCCGAGAAGATCCAGGCCGGGTTCACGGATGTGGAGTTGTTCGTGGGGCATCGCGAGTGCCATGTGGCGCCGATTTATAATTTGTATCTGGGTGATAAGTCGGAGACCGAGCAGGGGAAGAAGGTGAAGTCCTGGTTGACGGAGCTGGCGGTGTAGATGGGGTGGGGGAAATTTTGGCTGTAGATATCTTTCTGAGGAGTGTGTATCTTCCTACGGGGCGAGCTGTATATAACGACCTTTTGAAATGAACGGTGTCCTACTTCAGCATGAATGACTGCGTGTGATTGGAGGAATGCTGCTTTGTGAGATGGACAGGGTTCTCAGCGTCGCACCATGGCGAAGTTCCCCCGCAGGAAAAGGTGGCTGCGCCCCTCGCTCGGTTTGATTTCCTCCGAGCGCCATCTACTGCGAAGATGCGACGTTTCCTACATGGCTGATAACTCGCTTATTGAAACAGCGAAACTAATTCATTCCCGCAGCATTGTCACACGAAGTACAGCTATTCTTTGGGATCCATTCCACCTTGCCTATCGTCATATGCAGCGCAAATAACATGTCAATTGGACCTCCGAAGCTTGTCCATGGTATATCCTCTTCCCCTACTACAATCACACCCACCCCCGGTCCAACCCATCCAACCACCAAGTTACAGTCCCTCCTTCTGCTGCACATCTCGTAGCCGCCGCAGCGACCCGGACGCAAAGGACCGCACGCCCTCCTGCATCCACGTCGGCATAGCCCGCACCAGACTAGCCACCGACTGGCTCGCCGGCAGAATCACCTGGCCACTATTCTGCGACAGAATCTGCTTACTGATCGCATTGGCCACAAACTCCACCGTCATAATCGGCTGGCGGAAATGCGCCTCGTGGTCGGTCAACAGCTTGATCATCGGCGTACGCACCCACAACGGGTGCACCACCGACGTCCGCACGCCGGGCGCATTGTACCACGACCTCAGCTCCTGGCGCAGCGACTCGTGGAATGCCAGTGCCGACGCCTTCGAGCAGCAGTAATCGGCCATCTCGCCCAGCGCCACGAACGACGCCATCGACGCGATCGTCACCACGTGCCCGTGGTTGGCCCGCACCATCGCCGGCAGGAACTCCTTCACCATCAGGAAGTGCGAGATCGTGTTCACCTCGAACGTCTGCCGGATCTTGGCCTCGGGCTCTTCGAGGATGGTCCCGTCATGGCCGACGCCGGCGTTGTTAACGAGCACCGTCGGGTCGCCGTGGTCTTTGCGGATAGCCTGCGCCACCTGCGCGATGTTTGCGGACGACGTGATGTCCGCCTTGTAGAAGGCGACGTTTGCGGGGAGCTCGGAGGTTGGCTCATTGATGTCCAGGATGATCACCCGAACACCTGTCTTGGACAGGTTCTCCATGACTTCTTTGCCGATGCCGCTGCAGCCACCTGTGATCAGGACCAGCTCGTGCGCCGGGTTCCAGCGGGGGCTGCCGGTCCAGTTGTTCAGGGTCCATTGCGAGAGGGACTTGTTGATGGTCCGCAGGACGCTCAGTGCTAGGACAACGGCGAGCGCCTTCGGCGTGAGCGGGTTGCGCAGGTACTGCTGTGCAGGTGCGGGGACCTGCGCGAGCGCGGTTTGCGAGTACTGCCGGACGAGGTCGAGGTAGGCGGCCATGGTGGCGAGGAGGGCGTTAGATTGCAGGATTGCGGGATCGAGCAATTGAGCAATTGAGCAATTGAGCAATTGAGCAATTGAGCAATTGAGCAATGGAGGAATGGAGGAATGGAGGGATTGGGGAGCGGAGAAGTGGAGGTGGAGGAGGAGGGTGAAGTGAGGGCTCAACAGGGAAGCCGATCGGGTCTTTTTATCAGCGCACGTCGCTCAGTGTACCACCGGAGGGTAAGTGCAGCTTCCAAGCATCGTTGAGGACCTTCAAAATATGAGGACTCCGACGATCGGTTCACCCTTTCAGGGCTGTCCCAGCCGAGGCTGTTCCGCACCAGGGGATCTTCCCACATCATTTCCCCCCGGCATAGCTAGGACCAACACAGCTTAAGCCATCCGCTCATGCACTAAATGTACTAGACTCAACTAAAACCCTCCGCTCGACTCTAATTGGCCAACCAACCGGGGAAAGCAACGCGAGCGGCTCCACAGTGGGTCCACCTTCACATGCGCGTGCTCGCGTGTCTTTGCGTTCCTGCTTCTTTCCCCGCAGAAGACCGTCGTCGAACTGCCGTCCTTCTCGATGCCCGTCGGAATGATGCTACTGCGTCTGGTTAGACCTGGTCAGATCTGGGGATGACCCTAGGCTCCACCGTGTCGGATCGTGAGGATGATGATATCACCCCCTCCGATCCCTTCACAAGCCAAGCTGCACAAGCTGGTCGCCATCTGTCCACCGTTGCCCAACGGTTTGCCATGATGATCCCCCACATCCGTGCCTCCATGGGCGAGCATATCTGGTCATGAGTCTACCACGTTCACCGTCGGTGACGGGCAACTGCGACATATGACAATAACCGAGGTCGATCCCTCACCGGCTCGCCGCCGATCACTTGGTGGAGTCCGCCACATCGTCCGGTATTAATTGGTCTGCGCCGGGGCCCAAATGGGTTGGGGCCAATATTGTAGTGGATTCTCCGTTCCCAGACCTTGTTCTTTCTTGGGAACGTCCTTGTTGCATATCGTCGGTGGTTTTGTACCCGTTCAAGAGTCTTTGGTGTCCGATATCCCTCCGACATGGCAGCCGGCGATAGCCTCCCGGCCCTGCTGGCCTTCACCCTCGTCGAGGCCTATTTCCTCCAGCGCACCGTTTTCGCCGACGAGGGCTTCCACACGGTCGTGCTAGGGGCGGTGACCGTCAATGTGCTCCTCAAGGGCCTGTATAGCCTGGTGGTCTGGCCCTTCTTCCTCAACCCACTCCGTCACCTGCCCAAGGTTTCGGTACGTATACACTGGAACAACTGAACAGTTGACGAGTAGCCAGTCCCAACTCCGCAGGCAGAAGTCCGGAATTCAGAAACCTTCCATCTAACTGTCCCAGGGTCTCATGAGCCATGCCAGAGTCATCTTCGACTCGCCCCGTGGCCGCATGCCACTGCACTGGATGAAAACCATCCCCAACGAAGGCCTCATCCACCTGCACGACACCATCGGCCAGAGCTACCTGCTGCCGACCAACCACCAGGCCCTGCTCGACATCATGAGCACCAACACCTACGACTTCGAGAAACCCTGGCGTGCGCGCAACTTCCTCGCCCGCATCCTAGGCTTCGGCCTGATCCTGTCTGAGGGCGCTGCCCACAAGAAGCAGCGGAAGGCGCTGACGCCCGCCTTCAATATCAAGAATATCCGCGCCATGTACTCACTTATGTGGGATAAGACCCACCAGTTGCTCGTGGAGATGGAGAAGGAGTTGAAGGTGAATCCCATGGAGGGGACCAGTCCGGATGAGGGGGTTGGGAAGCTGGAGATGGGGGTTTGGGGAAGGTAGGAATATCCGCCTTTGATCTTGGTTATCCTCCATGCCATGTTCATCCAGGGATACTAATGTTGCGGTGTAGTCGGCTCACTCTCGATATCATCGGCCCCGTCACCATGGGCCGTGACTTCCGCTCGCTGCAGAACAGCGACAACCCCGTGGCCGAGAGTTTCCTGCGCATCCTCGAGCCGACCACCGAGAAGATGGCCTTCTTGGCCATGAACTTCACCTTGCCGCAGTGGATTGCCCAGCGTGTGCCCTGGCGTCTGAATCAGGTCATCGCCAACGAGACGGGCTTCTTACGCAACCTCTGCAACGATATTGTCCGCGAGAAGCGCGAGTCGCTGGCGGCATCCAAGGCATCGGCCCAGGACCTCGAGGCGGACATTCTCGGCACCATGATGCTGGGCGGCGACTTCTCCGACACTGAGCTGGTGGATCAGATGTTGACGTTCCTGGCTGCGGGAGTACGCACTGTCCTCCTTGACTGTTTGAATATCCCCACACCCTGCTAACGAACCGCTCCCAGCACGAAACTACCGCCAGCGCCTTGACCTGGGCTTGCTACCTGCTCACGCTCCATCCCGAGGTACAAGAGCGCCTACGCACCGAAATCCGGAACAAAATCCCCTCGGCAGACTCCACAATTACTCACGCAGACCTCGAGTCGCTTCCCCTCCTCAACGGCGTCTGCCAAGAAGTCCTGCGCCTGTACCCAACCGTGCCCGCCACGATCCGCGAATCAATCCGCGACACTACCGTCGCTGGCAAGCACGTGCCCCGGGGCACTCGGATCATCCTCTGCCCCTACGCTATCAACCGTGCACCGATCTTCTGGGGCGAGGACGGCGAGTCCTTCGTGCCCGAGCGCTGGATCGACACTGACAAGGCGGGCAACGCGGTGCCGAATAATAATGGCGGCGCGTCCACTAATTTTGCGCAGATTACCTTCTTGCATGGGCCGCGGTCGTGCATTGGGAAGGACTTTGCGAGGGCGGAGCTGAGGTGCGCGGTGGCGGGTGTTGTGGGCCGTTTTGCCTTTGAGATGCAGGATCCTAAGCAGGAGATCCATATTGCCGGCGCTGTTACCACGAAGCCGGTTGAAGGGATGAACCTGCGCATGCGCCGGGTGGACGGATGGTAGATGGTGATGCTAGATGTCTATGTTATGGGTGGTATAGGTCTCGATGACTTTTTATGTTTTGATGAACTGTGCTTCCTTGTGTATATTTTCACCGTATGGATAATGATTACTTCAACCGGCGCCCGCCACCCCCACCCCAAAGTCAATTTGCTGTCCAGGGGCTCTGATCTGCTCACGGAGCCCACCAGGAAAACTTTGACATTGGCAACATAAGAACCGTATTATAGATGAGGCGTGTTCAATGCCATCAGACAAACCAAGCCAGAAATCAGTCCCGCACAGGGCAGAGTCAGGACCCAACCACCAAAAATGAAAGCCAGTTGCCTCCAATTGACCGCACCAAGATCATAGTTCATGAGAGCCACACCCATCGAGGCTCCAGTAAGACACTGCGTGGTAGAGACGGGGAGAGCCAGCCGGGACGCCAACAGCACGGTGATGGCCGCCCCCATCTCAACACTGAACCCACGCGTCGGCGACATCTGCGTGATCTTGTTTCCGAGCGCCCGCACGATATGATACCCATAGAACCAGAACCCGAGCCCAAGCAGCAACCCCCGCAACCACAAGGAACCAGACGGGGGTGGGTGCTTTCGTCTCGACCACACCGGCATTGTACGTGCTGTATACGGCGGCCCAGGGTCCAACGGCGTTGGCAACATCGTTGGAACCGTGCGCGATGGACATCATCATGGCCGAGACAACCTGGCAGTATGTCCACAGGTGCTCGACGCGGTCGTCATACCGCTGGGCACGGGCGTGGATGGCACGTAGCGCAGGCGAGTCATGGGTGATGACATCCCGCGTCACACCCTGCAGTAGCAGCCACTTGGTATATCCCCAGTATTTCTGGGGGTTCGTCCAGGACAAGTCACGAACGGGGTCAATGAACCGCTCCTTTGGTTCCAAGTGCTTCTTGCGCGGCTTGATCTGCGGAGTGGACTGCTGGGAGTCGAGTTTCTTCTCTTCATCCTCGTCCGGTCGCGAGGGCGGCGCGTGGGCCGGGATCTCAGGTGATGGCGTGATGGAGTCTGCATTTGCGTTTGCGGCTGTCTTCTGCTTGTGTGAGGTTTTCTGGCCGGCCAGAACTTCACCGTATGCATCTTCGTAATAGTTGATCACGACGGAGTCGCCTTTGCTCGGATAATATAGAGGCGGATTGTCCCGCAGGAGAAGCGGGCCCAGAGGGAGGTGGTAGAACTTGACGCGGGTGTCTTGCTTGATGAGTCGCCGATGGAAATAGGGCACGAAGAAGACGTAGGCAATGAGTAGGCAACCGAAGAATACCCCCAGAATAATCCCGACGGCCTTGCCGGCACCAAACTCCTCCAGCGAAGGTGCCGTGGGGGCCTCGACGACAATGAACAGAGCCAGGATGGCACCGGTCATGGCGAGATAGAGAGGAATCAGGCGCATGGCCCATTTGAAGGGATCGCGTCGCTCCAGCACGGCGTACTTGAGCGTGCCGAAGATGAGGGCAGAAAAGCCCGCTGCGATCAGAGGCGCAATGCCCCACGACGCCGCGACCTGCGAGACACTCCCCTTCTTCCAAGCCCAGGTGATGGACGCCTCACTTGCGAAGCCGACACCGATCAGGGCGCCGACAATGGTCTGGGTCGTCGAGACGGGGAATCCCACACTGGTGGCAAACATCAGCCACGTTGCGCTGCCGACCTCTGCGCAGCCCATGGCCAGCATCAGAGCACCTGGTTTGCCTTCGAATCGGTCAATGCTTATAATGCCGTTCTTGATCGTGTCTGTGACGCGGGAGCCCAGCGCGACGGCGCCAATGAACTCGGTGATGGCGGCCAGGACACCGGCCGTGGCCATATTCAGAGTCCGGGCCGCGATCGACGTCGCGTAGGAGTTGGCGACATCGTTGGCTCCGTTTCCGAAGGCGCTGAAGACAAACGCGATGGTGGTGAGGGCGAGGATCCAGTCGTACTTGGCGGTAGCTGCTGGCGGCATGGTGGGCGATTGTCTTGCGCTCCGTGGGAAGAGAAATAATGATGAAGAGCTAGCTGAGCTGGGGAGTTCAAAGCTGGACGACCTGCCTGCATATTTAATATAGCCTTTGCATTTCACGAGCCAAACAGATTCCAGATGAATGACTCGGCGGGACTTGGCGCGGTTCCCTCAACCCCCCCCGAACGTCAGACAGGCTCAGCCTATGAGAAAGCTGTCTTCATCGCCCTGCTCTGAGCTTCCACGATTAGTGGACGAAATGAATTCCATGGCATCACTGTTTCTGCTGAGAGTAGAGTTAAGTCGTCGCCAAGTCCGGCGAAAGTAGATGCCAAGGGCGGACTGAGCTCAGCGCCGGTGAATTAACTTCCTCGGGAAGTAGCTAGCTTAGACCAAACAGCGCAGATGAACAGGCACGTTTCTGCCACTTGAGCTGTCATTGGATGCGACGCTGGGCATATTGTTGGTTGAGGTGCTCCAACGCCAAGGCTTGGAAGTCTGGATCCGCTCGGCGGAAAGCACTGCCAACCTTGGCAGGATATCACAGGCTAGGCTAGCGAGTTCTGGAAACCCACGGTTATGCCTCGTTCTCACGCGTCTGATCCTAAAATCTGGAAGCACCCAAAGTGACTAAGCGCCGAGGGAAAATAATGAAAAAGGAAGTAGGAGTCTCACCTCTTTCCGAACATTGTGGAAGGTCCTATTATCTTGATCCTCTCTAGTCCGGGATATAGAGCAATCTGAACGTAGACCAGCATCCCGACTAATATTGTCTATCTCAATAGAGCCGACCGAAGCATACCCGACTAAAGCACCAGGGGTTGTTTTTCCCCGTTCAGTGGCTACTGATGTGACAGGGTAGGGCCCGATATAGATCACGCGGTACGTGATCTATATTGCTAGTCTCAGTATTATCACCCCCGCTCAATACTATGCCTGATGGACTTTCTCAGACCTGAATGTCCATAAGAAAAGTAGGTTCCAAAATAGTACCCAAGAGGCTTCAAGGAGAGACATATATATATGACCGATGAAGATAACATTTCTCTTATACCTATGTCCGTTGGTTTAAACCTCGTATTGACAATCTCGCATAGCGCACCTATCTCGAATGTTCCATGCTGAACCTACTTTGAATTCCAGCTAAATCTCGAGCAAGCAGTCAATATGTACCTTCTGGATGGCAGTGACTATCACTAAAAGCTTTCATCGCCGTCCATAGAACTTTGAATTAAAAATCCATCCATCTGTTGATGGCTATATTAGCTAGTTTTCTCTCCTATCGAGATCGTCATGTACAATCTGAACTTGATCAAATAGCAACTAAATCACAGTCCCACGTTCACACAAGAATCCAGCTTAATGCCAGCGGGCTCCGCGCCACTGTAGAGCAATAGTCGGGATGACGCTGACAGCCACCATGAGCGCGACGGCGATGCCCGCGCCGCCAACCCAGCCGACTTCCTCGAACATCTGGGGGAACCTGTTCCGACTGTGAGTATGGTTGCCAAGCAAAGTGAAGGTATAGAAAAGGGAGAAGGGAGAATAATTTCTTACCAGAAAGGTCCAATGAATCCCCACGTCTGCCGCACGAAAGTAATAAAGACACCCACACTCGCCGCATCCGCGCGGTAGCAGTCCACCGAATAGGTGATATTAATCGTCGTAACAATCTGATTGCCAGCCGCTGCAATCGCCGCGCCGACAATAGGCGTCACAGTCCACTTACTTCCAGAATTTCCCAGCTCCACCGCGAATACCACGACACCGCAAATGGTCAATGCGTGCCCGATATAACTCAGCCATAGCCGGTACTCGGCCGCGGGCGGAGTGCCGGTCTTCTTCTGCCGCAACGCCATCCACCGGTCACTGATCAGCCCGCCGATTTGCTCGCCGATCACAGACCCGATGATGATGCCCAGGAACTGCAGCCCAATCTGCTGGGAGTTGAAGCCATATTTCTCTGGGTATACTTGCGGGATCAAGATCGTGAGCACGATGCTGCCCCAGAGGAAAATCATTGCATAGGCGCAGGCGGGGATGAACACGCATGGCTTGAGGACGTAGCTGAGCGGTTGGATAAAGTCCCAGGCGCGGAGGGGGGCGGGGTCGATGCGGCGGAATTTAAAGGTGCTGTCTTTGATGCTGGTGACTTGCGCCGGAGCGCCTTCTTTGCGCAGGTACAGTGACTCTGAACCAAAGAAGAGATAGAGCACGAATTGTACGCCGTTAGTCTAGGTGGGACCTGTTAGTCTATCATATCCGCGGAGTGGGAGATCGGTATACGCACGATGGCCAAGACCCAGTAGATCCAGCGGTAACCGGTACGCATCACCATAAAGCCGAAAAGGAACGGCGCGATCGGCACGCCAATGGTGACCATCAGCGTCCAGTACCCCATGCACCGCGCGCGGTCCTTCTTGAAGAAGGTCTCCGCGACAACGGCGCTGCCCAGCGCCGCAGCGGGACTGATGAAGAAGGCTGTTATCGCACGGCACAGCCCCATCGTCCCGTACGAATGGCTCACGCCACAACCCACGTTCCCGATCAGTGCGCCGATCAGCGAGATCAGGAAGATGGGTCGGCGGCCGAAGCGGTTGCTCAGTGGGCGCCAGAATAGCGGCGCGCCACCGAGGATGGCGATGAAGAGCGAGACCAGGTAGCTGGTGCGCTGGATGCTCACGTGCAGATCCTCGGCGATGTCAACAAAGGCGGACTGGATCGAGGCAGCGGTGAAGAGCCCGATCATGGCGTGGAAGACGACGAGCGTCAGGTTGACGGTTTTCTGTTGCAGAATCAATGATTAGCTTTCAGAGTCTTGTATGGGTGAATGCTTCGCTCATGCGAAGGGCAGGAGTGGTGCGGTTTACCCTCCACTTCGGCCAATTATACGGATCCGCATCGTTCAGATCGGGGATTGGATCTAGGTTCAGCGTGCCATGGCGGGCGAGGAGATACTGGCGGTGTTCCTCCGAGAGATGGGCGACTCGGTCCTCCATGAAGAAGGACTCCTGTTTACCGGCCTCCACGGCGCCGGGGCTGATGCTGTGATCCTCGTGTGTCGCCTCCACATGGTGGGGGTCGCTAGCCATCTTCTCCATGGTGACCACGGACAGAGACAAGCAAGGAGAGGATTGATGAGATATCCGGAAGGAACAGCAAATATAATACAAGCAGGTCCACGGCCAGCGCACAGTCAAAAGAGGAAGGGGGGTTTTCGGTCTCGGTCTCTGCCTTTATATACCCTAGGGACCCCAGACGTGAGTTTGCGCTAGGATGCCGTGTTGAGTACTTTGCTCCTTCGAGAGCCCCGCCATACATCCAGGGTTTTCGGGCGATCGCACTGCTTCAGTGAGGGATTGCTTAGGATTTGTCCGGGGGTGGGGGGCAAAAGGGATAGGAGACACGTCTTCCGCCCCTCGACTAGAACGCGGTGCACCAAACGAAAGGGGCGCCAAGGGAGATCTCAGTCCAGAATGGCTGGGGCGGCGCTCTCATTGGCTGGTTCGCGATTGCCCGGGTATGAATTCTGCCAGGCTGTGTGTGGGGATCGTGGGGATAGCGGGTGTTGGGAGGAAAAAGACCAATCACCATGGAGAGAAGAGATGGCGATCTGATCCATGATGGCTATACCCCAGACCCCGCGATCTGACGGCAATTTCCAGCGCTCAAGCGAGTTGTTGAGTATACTTCCTCCCTTCTTCCCTCGCCACGGCGCATAATGCTTGTTCCCGCTTGGCGGCTGGGCGCGGTTGGTGGCGTCTCTAGCTCTGCACCAGCCAAGGATTGCAGCTGCACACTTGATTTCCCCCCTCGAGGGGAACTCCGTCCTTCATATTCGGTGGCGGATAGTGTCCTCACCGGAAGACTTCACGGCACGGGTGCTTATATGGGACGCATGTGTCTTTCGCCGGAACTAGCTGAGGTGATCAAAAATCCGTTGGGCCGGCTGTATAGAGAGGACGCTGGCTAGCGCCGCGTCGCTGCATCCGGTAAGTGGATCTTGATTACCTCGCTTTATCGCGCTCACCTAATTTATCTCTGGCCATCCAGGGGCTCTCGCTTCGTTTTACCCTGCCATGTCGCGAGCCTTCGTGCTGTGGGGATGCTCACATGGTTTCGTTTCCACTGCGGAGTATGGAGGACGAAGTATAGATTGCGCTGCCCTATCCACGATATGTAATGACAAAGACAAACATTGTTTCTAGTTAGCGACAGGATCTCAATGACCCCTGCTCCCCCTTTTTTCCCTCTGGACATCCCTGCTGTGAGAATTTGTATCTTCTAATGCACCTCCTATCCCAGTATAATGCAGCCCCCTGCCACGCGGTCCCCCCTATTCGAACTTACGTCGAACTCGTGCAGTTCACCCCAATATCCCCCTGAATCCCATCGCAGATGATCACTGGCGGACTGCCTGCGGGACTGGTTATATTAATCCGCGACAAATGGATGCCCGAGCACACCGCGTTGGGCGAGCATGTCAGATCCACGACTTCCTTGCCATTCTTGCCGGATGAGGTGCCATAGATGTTGTCGAACACAATGTTGGTGACGTTGACCGCGGACGGGTACGCCGCGCACTCGGTCGCATTCACGTTAAAGTAGCACTGGTCGAGCACGACGGGCTTGTCCGTGTTCTCGATGTGGATGTTGCGGTATGTAATGTTGTTGATGCGCCCGTAGCCAACGTCTTGACCGGCCCAGGCCTTGAGTCGTGCGCCGTTCTAGATATGTGCGGGTTAGCGGGGACCTTGCGAGAAAGGCATGGAGATTCAATTTTAAGGGCGGGTTTGGTGCTTACCTGACCGTTCAGCAGGGTCACGTTCTCGATGTATGCGTGCTCGATGATGTCCTGCACGCCGGAGTATTGGCCGATGCTGCCCATGCTCACACCATGTGTGTTGTTGCACCACAGGTTCTGCACGAAGATGTTGCTGGTGTTGGGCTTGGGCGAGAAGCAATCGTCGCCAATGTCAACGCGAGTGTTGGTGACTCGGAGACCATTCACGTTGAGCGAGTCGAATCCGTCGGTATTCTTGGGCAGGGCCTGTGGGGGAACTTGGTCAGATGCGATCGATCTATGTCTTCCATAAGGAGGTCATACCGAGGCATTGGTCGAGTAGGCATTGATGAACACATTGTCAAAAGAGACGTCGTTGGTGCGCACGAAGAAATTCGTCCAGCATGGCGAGTTCAGCTGCGTGATGCCTTCGACACTCACTCGGGTCGCGTTGTCGGTCAAAAACAGAATGGGCCGATAGTAGGTGTTGTCCGGGTCCTACATGACTATTAGCCGCATCCCGAGGAAGCAGAATTGTTCTTATGTCGTGTTCGTACCAGAATCTCTTGCCCCGCAAACCCATTGTACCATGCCTGGCCATTACCGTTCAAGGTACCGTGGCCGAAGATTTTGATATCCTTGCCACCCCAGACCCAGAAGGTGATGGAGTCTTGGAATGCGTAGTAGAAGTTGTTCGCTTGCCAGTACTCGATATCGTCGGTAAACTATTGGAGTCAGCCACTGGATATCGTCGGCAGAGCACAGGGGCAGAACACAGGTGTTACCTACCTTGAGCTCTCCCTCCAGCTGAACTTCAATATTGTCCAAAAAGCTCAGGTTTAGCTTCTTGCCAATCACATAGGTCTTACCCTTTTGCAACAGCAAACGTCCGCCATGGTTGGCCTGCTGGATGCCCCAGAGGAAGTCCGCGGCAACATCGTCCTTGTCGTTCTTTGATGCCCGAATCGTCACCGTCCGGCGGTCGGGGTACTTTTGACGGTGGGCTCCAATGCGACTCAGGGAAGCCTGGTCGTCTACTGGGATAATATGGGCACCTTGGGGAATGCGACCTGTCGAGATGGCGCTGACTACGCTGACGACCAATACGCCAAGGGCGAGAAATCTCATCGTGAGTGATTCAAAGAAATGATACCAATGCAATTGGAACAAACAGAAGTCACGCCGTGTAAAGACCTGTCGAATACCGGCAGACAACAATCTCAGTCACTGAAGTTTCTGAGCCACTCTGCCCATAACTGCTGTTGCCGACGCACCCCCTTTGTACTGCCTTTCTCTAACTGATGACGATCTGGGGCTATATTGGCACACGGGGGAAAAACAAATTTCTCCGCCTGTAACAATGCACACTGACCCAGATGGAACGAGCGTCGTTGGGAAACGATCAACAGGGGACATGTCGCAGCATTGCGCCCATCGTATCGCGCAGCGCTGGTCGGGGTGGGCGGATTTCTCCGCATTCTGCCAAGCACGAGATCGCGGGGATGCGGAAAGGGTCAACATTCAAAACACTTAAAACTCGGCTTAGGATTTCGGCAGCGCGGCCGTTTTGTGGCCGGGCGAGATTCCCCCGTCTTGGGAGTGGTGATTTGTGCAGAGGTTGTTCCACCAATCATGGGGTTTCGGCAGAGATGAGAAGGCGAGACTGTAAGGTTTGATCATCAACGGTTGACCACCTTGATTAACCTTGACACTTAATGTATTTCGTCATCCCATCTATTGAATCGGTTCGTACTCATTGGAAAATTTGGAAGGGAGATCCCGTGATCGTGCCTTCCATTTCTGGATGTGGGCAGGCCTCACGCCGGTAGTGCGTTCTGGTCTGTTTCTTCTCCTCCTGTACCCCTTCCTTTTCCTCGGTGGGAATATGCGTCAAAGTCTCGTTCACCTACATAGTTGACCGTCAGATTCCTTCCGTAGACTTATTCAGATGGGCGATATGGAGATAAATAGCCAGGGAGAAATTGGGAAATTAAGCCATTTGTTCCCCTCTGTCTTTGATTACTCTGCCCCGCGGCAACTTCCCATCAGTGAGTGGTATATGCACAAATTTATACAGAATAATGTCCGCTGGTGGGCTTTCCTATCTGGGCTGCCGCCCCTCTTGTGAGGGCGATTAGGCTTAGACTTACTGAGTAAACATTAGTACAGGCTTATGCTTAGGGTTCTAGTTTAGTAGTATAGGATTCCTTGGTGACTGATTATAGATGCTTAATGATCGTTTAGTAGTTCGATCGGTGATTATCGATAGGTCCTTAGTATTATGGTATCTACTGGTAGGGTACTGTAGCTATCCATGGGATATATCGACCTGCCTCACTCATTTTTCGATCAATCAGCCTTGTCATGCGAAGATTGGTTCCTCTTGATTTCGCCTTGTTGCCTATTCGTCCGAAAGGGTTCATAGCCCATACTGTCTCAGCTCGGCTAGCCCAGGCGGATTACCTAGGCCTGCATATTGCACTGCAATTTTAGTCTCCACTGGGGGTTGTAAGTTTACTTATTGAAGGGATCTAGGCACTAGACTCGGGTGAACTCTAGGCATTTGCACTGCAATTTAAGTGTCCACTTGGGGGTGTAAGGTTACTTATTGAAGGAGACCTAGGCACTAGACACCCCGGTGAGCAGAGCCTTACTGCATTTTGAGCGGCGTTGGGCCGTTTCTGCATCCAATCAAGTATCGACGACAGGCAGGTTGCGGTGACACTGCAATTTTAGTGCCTAAGAGGGTTCGACTTTTTCTTCCACGCCCGATGGGCTGGGCTGTTTCTGCGCCCAATCAACTACCGCCGTCAATCTGTCACCGCACCGACCGCACCCTCATCAGTGGAGCCAGCACTGCAATTCTAGTGCCTAAGAGGTTACGAATTGCTCTTCTACAGTAAGCCATCTTACTGCTCAGCCAATGGGAAAGAGACGGGGCATCCTTAAAGCGTGGCTGTGGCTCGCTCGAGCCTCCCAGGCCTAAAGCGGTCTCCATCTGAGAACATCGCAGCGCCCGCAGTCCAGAGCGATCGATTGAACACCGATGTCGCTCAAACGCCACTTGACTCCCATCCATGATGGAGGAAGCTCCAACGGAAATTTGGGGTATGATGGTGAACCTCGTGCGCGACGAAGGCTCGCCATGCCAGATGCCGGGTAAATCCGTGCAGACATATTTGGTTGCCTTCGCCGGATGCTAATGGAAGTCAGGTCTGCGGATATTCTGTCTGATGTGGAGTTAGAATTGGATATGTTCTCGCACGACTTGTTTTTCGAACCCGAATTCGATGTACAGCACATAGGCATCGATCTTCAACCTGAGCGGCTGAGGCCAGATGACATACAGTTGTGGCCATCGGTGGTGACTTCGTCATCAGAGGAACCAGGCAACGCATGTCCCACTCAAGAAGGCTCGATGACCGGCCTTGAGACTGGTGTCGTTGAGGAACAGATCTGCTTTGGAATGGTCGGTTGTGCATTGTGGCAAACTTCTTTCCGCAGATGAGAGTTACAAAAACAGGCGCTGACCTGGGAATAGCTGGTGCACGAAAAGGTTAAATTGGTCGGCAAGGGAGAGCACTTACTTCGGAAGATCGTGGCGCTTCAAGAAAGTAAACTTTCACGTCAAGTCTTCCAGATTAGGCCATCGAGTGATGGAGAACTCTTCCTCACGTTCCCAGACGCGACAGAACTTGGCTATCTGTCGGAGAGAATGAAAAAAACGCTTAAGCCACTCATAGGATTGCCGCACTTCGAACTTGAAGCGTGGACCACTCTCAATCCCATCTTGGACGCGCTAGGTAAGGCCAAAACGTCTGCCGAGGCAGCGATCCGCGTGGACGTTCATGTCTATGGGCTGGAGACCCTACGAAATCAGTGCGGCAGGCAGCTTTCGAAAGGAAACCTTTTTCTACAGCATCCAGACATGTGTCGACCGGGAATCCGGTATGACAATCCGCACGTCCTTCGATTTGATGAGATCGAGGACTCGGATGTCGAGGAAGAGACAGATGCAGCTGAGGATGAAGGGGAGGCCGACGTATCCTTCGAGTGCGACGAAGACTTTGAGGAGACAATTGCGGCTGTTTTTCAATCTCTGCAGCGGCCCGACAAGCTGAATCGGCTCAAAGAAACTGGGAATCTGACTGGGTCCTTGTATCCGTGAGTTGCGCTAGATTTATGCGCCCTTGGAGACAATACATCTAAGATATTCCGATCAAACAGACATCAGGAGGAGGCATTAGACTTTATGACACAGCGAGAGACGGGAGAAATTACTTCCGAATATTGCCTGTGGCAGCCAAAAACGATCGACGCAGAGCAGGTGTAGGGACTGACCAGTTCTCTTTAAGGATATAAGCTGACCTAAAACAGGTTCTCTCATCTTATCACTCATGACCAGCAGCGAGAAAAGCCAGATGAAAGTGGCGGAGGAATCCTGGCTGATGAGATGGGAATGGGCAAGTCATTAACAACTCTGGTTTTGGTCGAAAAGACAACAAAAGATGCTCGTCAATGGGCGGCACATAGTAGTACGCTTCCAATGACTTCTCTAGACGGTAAACCCTGTCGGGCGACCCTGTTGATTGTTCCGCAGCAATGTACAGTCACTTCTCTGCATAACATTGGCATAGGCTAACTGGCCATAGTGTTGATTAACATCTGGGTGAGGGAGATTGATAAGTCAGGAGCCTCTCGAATTCTAGCAAGATCCACCGGTCAGGCTGACAGCTGACTAGTCACTTAAAAGGTAGCCTCAAAGTGATGGTATACCATGGTCGAACACGGAAGAATTTACTCGCTGATATCGATCACTATGACATTGTAATCACCACCTATAACACACTAGCAAAGGAGCATGACAACAAATTACTTGGCAAAGGGCAAAGCCCTCTACACGACTTTGTATGGTACAGAGTGGTTCTAGACGAAGGTAAGTAGGCTCCTACCGCTATCAATTGCAAGAATAAGAGGCCAATACGATACAGCACATATCATTCGTCGCCGTGAAACTACATTCCACAAAGCCGTGTTCAACCTCTTAGCTAAAACACGCTGGTGTCTGTCAGGAACACCCATCCAGAATAGTTTAGCTGACCTGGCATCCCTGCTGGCCTTTCTGAAAATTCGACCCTTTCATGAGCCAAGAACCTTTCGTCACTGGATAGGAAGACCATTCGAGGAGAAGGGGACCAAGCACAGAGCAATTCAACGGCTTACCACTCTTCTAAACGCAATTTGCCTTCGAAGGACCATAGATCGGGTCGAAATTCCCGGCAAGAAGCAGGAAACCCGGATTGTGCAATTTTCACCTGAGGAGCGTGTTCAGTATGATCGCACATATTCGACCATACAACGGTTCATCCTGCAGCAAGCCGGAGAATACAGCCAGCAGAGTGCGTTTGGAATGTTCCAAGTCTTCCTACAATTGAGAAGCTTCTGCAACCATGGAACGTACCAGCGCGAGCTCTCATGGCTCCCAAGGGATCTACTGGACGACGAAGTAGATCCTGTCCGTTCGATTACTCGAGATAGCCATGAGCGTTGCCTGGTTTGCAGGCAGAAGTTGCCGATTGTGCCACGCCACAGATGGCGTAAATATGCCGAAAACTGCAAACATATCCTCTGTGATGAATGTGTCCAAGGACGTAATCAATCGACTAATCCGACCGGAGAATTACATTGTCCTCTATGTGAATCCCTTCGAGGGCCCCAGCTCAATGGGTGTGTTTTGCCTGGATCAAGGCAAATGGAGGTGGACAGCTCCTCCAGATTGACTGGACAGTCTTCGAAGATGCGAGCGCTTGTGAGCGATGTACAAAGGAACCTCGAGCAGACTAAAAGGTATTGCCGGCGGGTGGCAAGCGATCCTCGCCAACAGCAGCTAACGATAGCATAGTATTGTATTCTCATGCTGGACGCGAACGCTTGACCTGATAGCAAGACACTTGACCGAAGCCAGAATACGATTTGAACGTATTGATGGCAGAACGAAACCAGCACAGCGCCAAGAAATTCTTGACTCTTTCAACAATAGCTTGCAGGTGCCTGTCTTGATTATGACAACTGGCACGGGCGCTTTTGGGTAAGAGCAACAGAAGTCGAAATCCCTTTTCAACGCAAACTGACTTCCAGAAGCCTGAGCCTTCAATCGGTGAATCGCGTCTTCATTGTTGAGCCCCAATGGAACCCGAGCGTGGAGGATCAGGCCATTTCGCGGGCTATTCGTCTCGGTCAGGAGCAACAGGTCCTGGTTATTCGCTACCGTGTCAAGAATAGCATTGAAGAGGTAGGTTTTTAGTTTCATGTGGCTTGCTCGTCTCTCTCCGTAGGGCTTATTCTTCTTCTTTAGGACATGTGCGCGCAGCAATCGCATAAGCTCAAGATCAGCAAAATGGACTTCAGGAAAGAACTCCTATCAGTTCCAGAGGAATCCTCCTCCGCAACTGACGCTTGATTCATATACGATCGGGCCTTAAATACACCAGGCTATGGGTTGAAATATATGTATAACAAGCAATGGGAGATTTTTCATGTTCATCACTCCTTAGTTGTCTCCGACATATCTGTCATCTTTTTGTGACTCAAAATACTTTGCCGTGTCGAGAGAAAGAGCTTCTTCAATCCACAAGATGTAGTGGATCAAAAATCTTCAAGGAGACAAACCAGGTTAGCTATAGCAAGAGAAAATTAGAGAGTCATGATTTGCTGCACTGTAACCAGAGGATTCGGTACACAAATGGCATTACGTATTGCACGGGATATGGACCATGATTTCTTGAAAGAAAGTGATCATCTAAGGAACATTCTACGCGACCGACATCTATAGCCCCGCTTGGTCCTGCCATCCTTCAGAATGGAAGAAATTTTCCCGGTTGTCATGGTTCGTTAACATAGATGGAGCCGATGATGGTTTCAACGCTGTGAATGTCACTTTACAAATGACTATACGGGACATGCGTGTAGATATTACTTTGTGATTTAGGTCTTTGAGATGGGAGGCTACTGTATGGCATAGACTAAGGAACCGACTCTGAAAGAACCACCACGGTCACCGACAAGGGGGAAAATGAACGTCATTTTTCACCTTGTGTGAATAGTAGCTAGATTGAAATAGAGCCTACGCTAGAGCAAGAGGGTGGAGTGGACTCCTTTTTGCTGGGAGAGTCATCGTGATTGCCTGTTGGTGCACGTGGGTCCTCAAGGATCCTGTGGGAGCCGCAAGGTGCACTGCAATTATAGCTCTCCAGAGGGGTGAAAAGGATAGAGAGAAAAGGTTGGGCTGATCCTAAGTAACAGCTGGCAGTCCGTTCCGGGTTTGGGGGGGGGGGGAGATGCTAAGGTAAATCTACGCAGCCCCCCCACGCCTCACTTTTTTCACTGCAATTTTAGCTCTAGAAGAGGGTTTAACGTTGGCGCCTCCACTGCAATTTCAGCTCTCTAGAGGGATAGAGAAAGCAGGTCTGGGCCGATCTTGAGTGATTTAGTGGCGGTCTTGCATACAGCCTCAAGTTGCCCCTCAGTCAGCCGAGCCTCAATTTTCACTGCACTCTTCTGCGGGGTTAGAGAGAACAGTTTTTTTCAGACTTCTTTGGGAGCGATTGCCCACAACTACACTGCAATCTTAGTTCTCTAGAGTGGTTGCTCCGTTGAGAGAACAATTTTGGTCTGTTTCTTAGCGGCTAGCGGGAATCTCACATGCAGATTCACTGCCCACTGCCCTGCTGCGTCTACTTACACAGCAATTTTACTTCTCCAGGAAGGGTAGAGAGAACGGTCTTGGTGTGTTCCTTAGCTAGTGGCGATCTTACATGCAGATTTACTGCCCAATGAACTGCTTCGTATACCTTTATTTACACTGCAATTTTACTTCTCTAGGCAGGGTAGAGAAAAGAGTTTTGGTCTGTTCCTTAGCTAGTGGCGATCTTACATGCAGATTTACTGCCCCCTGGCTCCTGCTTGCGTGAACTTGCACTGCAATCTTAGTTCTCTAGAGTGGTTACTCCGTTGCGAGAACAGTTTCGGTCTGTTAGCGGCTAGTGGCAATCTTGCATGCGGATTCACTTCCGCCTGCGCTGCTGCGCGTCTATTTACACTGCAATTTTACTTGCCTAGGGAGGGCAGAGGGAAATAGTTTCGGACTGTTCTTAAGGGAGCAGCGGCGATCGCACATAAGGTCTCCATTTGCCACTGCTGCGCCTCAATTTACACTGCACTTTACTTCTCTAGGGGGATTGGAGAGAATAATTCTAGACTGATACCTGTCGACAGGCCGTGAATTCAACGAATCAGAGTAGTCCACTTAGTTGACTGACAACCTTCCATCAATTCTATTGGCAGATACCACTCATTCAATGTGATAACTTGATTAGTCCTGTAAAATATATCATTTCTACTCAAAACGGCTTGACAAGTTGACGCGACCGGTGACACCTCATTCTTGAATGATCTTAGGGCCAGAATGAAGAACAAATAATCATAATGTATTCATTTTCTATTTTAGTTCTCTCGCTGGGTTTAAAGCCGATGATTAGCTCACCTCAAGGAATAGCCAGTTGTAGCTATTATCATCGCGATGAGGGATAAATGCCGGCCCTAAAGCTATGACATTTCCGGTACCTTCTGGAAAAATAGGATTCTGTATAGACTACATGACGTTCAACATGAGATTCATATGGAAATAGGCCAACCTTGGAATAATTCCAGCTTCATACCTATGTAGAGGATAGAAAGGACCATGCTAACCAAATTCTACTTGATCACAAATCAAGCTCCATTCATTTCCACCTACACCACGCTCGCCTAGCCCTGCAAACCCCACGCAAACAAGGTTATTGAGGGTTTGCCTAACTCTTATAGTCTTATGCGGGGCATAAAGCCGAGATCACTAATTGACTAGAGTCAGATACACTTTTCGAACAACACTGATTCGATGGAATGAAGCATACATTGACACTCAAAGGAGCTTAATACACTCAAGGCAACATGTCTGCCCATACTAGGCAATAAGTATTGATGCATAAAGAAAGAAAACCCAAGATATGATACCCACTGCAAAAATCCTAGTCCTATCGCCTCCTCTTCTCATGAATCTTCTCATGTCTCTTCATGTCATTCTTTCGCGCAAATCCTCGACCACATTCAGAACAACAAAATGGCTTCTCCCCTCTATGCGTCCGCATATGATCTTCTAGGATACTTTTTCTCGTAAAGAAATTATCGCAAGGTCCACAGTGCCACCTTGTATCCTCCACTTGTCTTCGGTTCAAAGGCGCAAATGACTCGTCAAGATCGCACTCCTCAGGATGGTATCTCACCATATGAGAGCAAAGCGCGCTCTTAGACCGAAAGCCCGACACATGAGGTGAACAGTTGTCCACTGGACACTGGAATGGGAGGTCATGATAATTGACATGATTGTCACGGACATCCGCACTTTTGAACCCTTCATGAAAGTAGAAGCACAGGACTTTCGGACAGCGAAATGGGTACTCATCGTAGAGCATAGTAAGGTCAACTTCAGGATCGGAACTGAGCTCTTCGAGCAGGACCCTATTCAGTATGAGGGCTTTTTCCAGAGACCCGAGGCTCACCTTGTTCCGTGCCGTTATATCGCCCCGCTGGGCGGAACAGATGTGGTCCCAGATTCGTACCAGGAGACCATAGAATGGGAATGGCTGAAAGAAGGCGCAATCTGCCTGGGAGGGTTGCAGAATCCCATTTGCCGGGAGGCTTTCTCCGTAGAAACGCACGAAATTATCAAGTTCACGAAAGATTAAGGCTACTTGGGCTTGGGTATTTGTCTCCAGCGTCATTGTGTCCCCCTCAAGAAATGCCTGCTTCGCCTCGACGAACGTTCGCATGTGCATATACCATTGCGACACAGCGTAGTCCTGGAAAGCAAGATCTCCTCGAAGAATATATTCACGAAGCTCTGAATCCGGTATATCGCGCCGGAAGAGGTCAAGGGTAAGATAGCGAAGGCAGCGAAGCGTAAGGTCGCATTCAGCGGCCGCAAGATTGATTTCGCTCCGCTGGGCAATGAATCTGGGCTGCTGTTAGATTGAAGGGGCATTGATCTTCGTAAAGGTCTTACAATCTGGCGGTACTGTGAACCAGTTCGACTCTGTTCCCCTTGAGAACCTGCACGAGGGACCCACACAACTCTTGAACGTCATCGCGAAGCTTAAGATCCATATCGAGCTCATGCGACACAGTTGCGGAGTGAAGATCGATAGACAATGCCACCTGTATCTCTGTCCACTTCAACGGTCGCTTAGAGCATACCAGCCACCCAAGTAGTAACCCGGTGTATGCTAGCTGCTCTTCGCTGAGGTCTTGTTTTAGCCGCTCCATAATGCGCGTGTAACTATATTCTTTTAGTATGGCCCGACTAGGGCATCGAAGCATCACAAAGGTTGTTACACAGAAGGCAACGTACGCTTCATTGAGTTCGCTTGGTAGCCTGGCAGCATCGATCTCGTTTTGAAAGCGACGTCTGTTGGGCTGTTTTGCCAAGTTGTTCATGACTAACTTTGCGAACAAAAAGATACCTAGAAAGTTAATTCTCTTTCCAAGTGGATATATATACCAGACTTACCATCTGCCCGGATACAGATCCTCTCAATCACACCATTGAGAATATTATCCCCGAAGTCAAATTTGGCCAGCTCACGCGTTCGGTATTGACAATATTTCTGAATGTCAACTTTGGTATTCTCGGGCTCTAGGGCAAAGACTTGCGCCTCCGGGAGCGAATTCTTAATTTCGGGAGCAGGCCGACTGAGAAAGACAACCCGAAGTTTCCCTGGTGAGAGTACTTCAGCTTTTTTGACCAAATTCTTGAAAGTTTCAAGCACATCCTTCTTCCCGTCACCACATTCATCGAGCCCATCTATCACGACATACAACCGTGAGATTCGCTCACAAAATGTCTCCAAGAGGGTGTTTATTGTAGACAAATCCAATAAGATGGAGCTTAACGAAGATTTCATCTTAGCGTAGCAGTATGGAATTAGTTCGTTGTGTCTGCAAACCAATTGTAAGAGGATGCCGCGGAGTATCGCTATTGCAGACCCCCTGGACTCCGCCTTCTCGCTGCAGTAGAAGTAGCAGGTAGTACAGTCTGTCATTTGCAGACACGCCTCAATCAAAACAGACGCTAGGTATGTTTTACCTAGCAGATATATCAGTGACACTTATTTCATACGGTTGCAAAAAGAGGCACCACCAGCTTACCAGCCCCTGGGCGCCCATTGATCCAAAGGATGGACCCGGAGGCCTCATCAGGCTCCGCATGTATCCATTCCTTGATTTTAATTCTGTCTAGAATCCAGCCTCCGCTGTTTTGATACCTGCTTCGGTCACGGCATATGCTGTTATGCTCAGTTTCCGTCTCTGCCGCCGCGATCCAATCTCGGACCGCGTGGAAGCTTCTTTCCCGTCGCTCGATTTCGCCTTGTTCGAATTCGAGCATGTCCTTTTCCACCTGCTGCAGGAGACGGCGAATCTCCATAGTATCCATGGACGCTTGCTCAGGATCAATGTATGTCGCTCGCATTCTATCTTCGATTAGTGTTTTATAGGAGCGCATATGACGCAAAGTGTTCTTGAACGTTGGTTCATAATTCTGCCAAAGAGACTTGAAAACAGCCTTGAGTGCTACATTGAGAGGAAGTTAGCAGGGCTCAAACAATAGATTGCGCTGTATCGCACCTCGCCCGGAGTATATTTTCATCGCATCCGCGTGAAATGTCATAACATTGGCAAAGATCCGGGCCAATAGTCTTTGAAATCCAATATGATGTTGGAATATTCCAATACTTTCCCCAAGCAAGGGCAATTCATCCCCGATTTCTTCATATGCCGATAAAAGTCTGTCCAGGAGATCGTTGTGGCCTCTTGATATCTAGCAAAAGGTCAGCTAATAATAATCGTGAGGATTTACAGTCTAACATACTCGAAATAGTGCTTTGGCCGCACCCCAGATGAGACACATGATTTCATCGGAACCCAATAGGTCGTGAACAACCATTCCCAATGCTTCAACACGCTTCATGAAAGGCTCGATGCGTCTCATGTTTCGCAATGCTCTCATTTGTTGCTGTTCATCCTGCATACGCTTCAACTCTTTTTTCAAGGTACGAAGATCAGTTGCCTGGAACACTTGCAATTGATCTGGAGTCACTTTTTCCTTGAAGTCTTTCACGATCTTATCAAAAATGTCTCTTGGGGCTGAATCATTGGTAGCCTGACGCTCTTGAGACTCCGCGTGAGCACGCCGGGTAAGCATTTCTTGTGGCGAATACTGGAATCGTGCTGCAGTTGAATCAGCATGATACTTCTCAACCCATAGTGCACGAAAGCGAGAGCCCTGACTCCAGTCCATATGATTGTTGAGAACTTACGATTGGACGATTCCGGCCTGTCATGGGGAACATATTGCCCTAAGACTTCTTTCGCCGCCGCCGCCGCAACCGCGGCCGCATAACCCTGCCACTTCTTGTTCTTATGGCTGTCTGCATAGTCGCAGACCCCTTTGATGATCAGACAGTTGAACTTATCCCACACTCCCGCCCCTTCCATCTCAAAGGCTATGATCCTTTCTGATGCAGCAAGCTGATTCCGATGCCACGCCGACTTCATGACCGTATCCGCGGTGCCGATCGAGCCAAAGTGGATCCGTTGAGTGGGACTGCCCTGAGCATCGCATCCGGATCGCTGAGCACGATGAACAAGCATGCGCAGATCGCACTCGAGCTCCTCGCAGGAGGCATTCAAGGCCGTGGCGCAGACCGATTCTGCCGAGCTACACTCGACACACCCAGTGTGATGCCTATGAATATAGTCCGCGGCAAACAGCTGATCAGACGATGTTGGATACCCCGTTCCGATATGGGGGTGTTGCATCAGGTTGATCAAATGCTGCATCATTTTTGCTTGCAGCTGCTGCGCCATGACCTGCGACTTCCAGTGCTGGAGAAGGCCCAGGATCTCTTCATTTGGCTTTCCCGGCCCATCCAGGATTGTGTCTTTGCGCTTGTGCCCTGTCGGGTACTGGCGACCGAAATCGAGTCGGACAAGCACCTCGCTCACGATCACGTCGCCTAGGATGATCTCTTGGCCATCTGGCCTGTAAGGTACTGCCCCGCAGATACCCACCAGTAACACCAGTTGAATGGAGAGGAAACTCATGTCGAGCGAGGCCGCCGCACCGGCCGAGTGAACGTTTCCCATTCCAGGGAGGGTGACTACGACGACAGCATGTCTTCCACTTCTGCCGAAGACATAATGATTTCGATCATTCTGGGCCCGGCCGTAGATAGGGGGAGCGTCATACCAAATTTCATCTAGAGAACAGAGAACAGCGTTGGTCTCCAGGGGTAACGCGCAGATGATGGCAATTTCGAATTGATCGCGGTTGCGGGGACGTTTCTGACCGTCCATGGCCGGTGTGAGAGGACGAGGAAAATAGAGGGTAGGGTGGGGGCTGATAATCTTGATGAATCAGACTACTCGTGGGGTGGCGTCAGCCTCAGTCTCAGCCTCAGGATTCATACGAGGGTGCAGCTCCTTCAAGCCCATCCCAAACAACCACAGCCACTGAACATGCTGGTGCGGTATCTACTTGCAGGGTAAAGGGCCTGTCAATCAGATAAGGGAAAAACCAGTATGGTCGATTTGCAACAAAAACTGATTCTTAAGGAATCAGGAAGAGATAGGCAGATATAGGACCTTTATGCTGCGAAATGAGTGTCTTCCCCCAGATGAGGCTCTTCCCAACCCGGGGAGGTCATATGGCTTGGTGTTTGATATGTCGATTCCCTAGCGATACTTCATTGACACCGCCTCCCCTCCTCGCCTTTCCTTACCTGGGCATTCTTCCAGAAAGGATACCCCGCTCTAGACAGGTACAGTCCTTACCCAAAAGTCTTGACGCACCCACCCCCACCGCCCATTTTATAACCGTTACACTTGGCAAGTCATCAAAAGGAAGAATCCATTCAACGATATCGAATCAGAGGAAGTAAAGGAAGAGGAAGAGAAAGAGACATGAGCTCTCTTTTTACTATTACACGCCGGAACCCTTCATTTCGGAGCCTTTCCTATCAGGTGACCGTTACACGGATGGCATGTTAAATAAATACTGAACTCCGTTTGCTCCTTGGCAAACAGGTTATCTCATGTGGGTTAGCGATTGACCGAGGAAGATGAGACCCTATTTCCGCTCATCAGGTTTTGCTGTTAGGAATGTAAAGCAGTACTGTGAGTGGCAATGCACTCAGTCGCAGCGATCTCGTGTAACCTCGACGGTCTGGCTGTATTCTTCGGTGATAACCAGGTAAGCTAGCCAAAGTATTGGAGAAGTGAGGCGTGGGTTGATGGGTAAGGGTAAACGCTATGGATATAAATGCGAGCAATTCGTCCATACTGATGTGGCATTCGTCTGCAGGCAAGCTAATCCTATGCAATGAGACGCCCAGGTTGAACCATCTGATTTGCCCTTGAATTCAATTGTTACACGGCTAGGCCTTCCTGACGCAAGATGGACATGCCGAATCGAAGTCAAACCACTTCCCGAGCGGAGACCTGCTCATCCTGGTGCGACAATCCCTTTGTTGGGCTCCCGGCTAACGAATGGGCGTATTGGTATTGCCCACTGGATCGTGAAATCGTGGTGATCATGTCTGACTGTGCTTGCGGAGGATCGCTTAGTCCCGACCCACCGGTGTGACTAGCGATGCAAGAAAAGCGATTGTTGACAGTGACATGATGGGATTGCCGGTTCACAACGCTATTATTGGGTATGGGCTCATTATCCGAGAGGAGCTGGATCTCCACGGGGTGATCGCGAATAATAGGAACCTGGAGCCACTTGTAGATAGCATTCAACACTGGGATGGAGAGACCGTGGATGACGATTGAGAAGAAGACGAGCCAGTAGACGACTGGAGGGCATTGAGTGAGCGCGGCCGCATGCAGCATAGAGTTAGATCTTACCGGGAATCATAACTGCCGTCAAGTGATTGATCTCAGGATCACTTTCCCCGGGATCGGGGAGCAATCGACGAGCATATTCGACATAGGAGACTGCCCCTATACCTGGAAAATATCAGCCATGTCTTGAACATGTCGTCCGAACCCAGCCGATAGATACCTATTGGAGCAAAATAACCCATGAACAGAGCTTCCTTCCAATTATCGCAGACCTTGGGCATAAAGCGATAACCCAGCATTATGGCGGGAATTCGCCGGAACAGCACTATTAAGATCCCCAGTGCGACCAATCGTGCAATTGTAATCCCAGTGATATGGGGCAGGTGGAGTTGGTCCCATGGCATGACGGCCCCGAGAAAGATGAAGGTCCCAAAATTTAATACCGTTTCCATAGATGAGTTGAATGAATCATGTCGCGCTTCGACTTCCGAATGGTACCAGCCATCCCAGTTCAAGGTGCATCCAGCAATAAAACAAGCCAGGGTCTCGTCCGTGCCAAAGCAGCCACAAGTACCGACTAGAAATAACTGATCGGATGTCAGCAATACTCATAAATCGTCGAGGAAATAACAGGAATTTACCCACCCCGAGAGCAACTGGAAACAGGAAGAAGTTCTCCTTGTCGATCCACCGCCTACGTCGAATGTCAGCAAAACCGTCTAGTCATTATGAGCAGGCAACTCACTTCCTTGAAGCCAAATTCAGGCCCTTGCGACCGACAAATCCGACAAACAAGCCATATCCTGATCCCATCATGATCATGTACAAAACCCCTTCCACAGCCCAATGTGCCAATGCACGACCAATGTTTCCGCCAAAGCGACCCGTATCGGTCTCTCCAATCCAATCACGTCTCCTTGACCCTGCACCGCTCGTCGGACCATCGTCATACCGTAGCAATGCAATTGAGAGCAAAAGGAATGGGAAGCCAAATCCGTCATTTCCGCCTGCTTCGGCTGAGATGAACTCTCGAAGGTGGCGCCGAACATATTTATCGGCGAATGGTCCTTTTGCAATCGCTTGCGACAAGACGGGATCTATACAGATGACGCAAGATCCGATGATACATGCTGTCAACTATAAAGTAGGTTCTTAGCAACTGTGTGTACTCTCGCTTGGGACTTTAGCAAGTGAGACATACGAAAGACATGTGAGGTATTATCAACTTGATGCATGTAGATGTTGCCAGCCACTGCACCGCCATTAAAGGCAGAAGGCAGATTGTTAGCTCAACCAATCGTCGGCGTAAATATCGCTTCGGCAGCTCATAGCCGACTTTGATCATTTGAATACCAAGCACCATGCGCGACAACGCCTATTCCTGTTAGCCCTCTGGTTCATAATTTGGATCGAGGTGATACTCACGTAGGCGATTTCTCCGATATCTTCTCCATCCCCTCCATTGCTCCATCGGCCCAGATTTATCATATTTGTGGTAAACGGCCCCAGTAGAGCGCCGAAGATGAAGGAAGGCACTGCTGCTAGTTAGTCATACGCCGATTAGCTGAGAGAGAAACATACATGCTTCACCAAGATACCATCTCTGTTTAATTTTCAATGATATGAACCCGAAAACAAGCAGGTATATTCCTAATCAACGTCGGGATGTCAGGCCCCGTTCTATCGCAAGGCGGTGGGACTTTACCTGAGAATGTAAGAGCCACATTGAAACTGCTAATATCAAGTATCGGATGCAGCATCCTGTCCCGCAAAAGGAGAAGGGTCAGTAAAACAAGGCGATAATCATTCCAAAATTACAATAGGATTCGTTCGTCAACAGAATCAGCTTCACTCGACCCTTGAATATTGCGTTCAGGATGAAAATTGGCACGAACTGGATCGCAGTTGATGTTGATCCTGACATGTGCATCGGATCTTGGGCGCGTAGGGTCGGGAGATGACTCAATGGTGCAAATGCCAGAATGAGGTGATTCTTGCTGGAAGGAATGCGCCAGCCCTTGGGAACCCGTCAGGATATCTTTGTCAGGATAAGGATCCACTGTACCTTAGCTGCAGTATCCCTTCCTTCAGGGGGTCTGGTTCTGACGTGTCAGAGATAACACACTACGCAAAGATCACACAAGTCAAACGCCTCCAAGGATCAAGTATGCTCAGGCTCATTGTTGGTTACGCCTTTATCCAAAAACATCAAAATGTTGGCTGCAAATCCGCCACGCACACTTTGATCGGTTTACAGAGACAGGATAATGCCACCTTACTGATTGGAGTGGTGACTAAAATCGATACAAGAATCGAAGATGATCTTCCACGGACAGGCGCAAGGGCAAGTGCAAAGTGTTAAAAAAGCAAGAACCAAGCAGTGCAGCAATAGCTTTATTTCAACCGGCCACATATCAATCTATCTGTATCTGTATTTCTAAGTTTAGCCCTGCCAAAGAACCTTGGTGCACCACCGCTCCTTGCGGCCAGGGACAGACCTATCACATCGCACACCCGCAATGGTTCATGCCTACGGTCCGGCCGCCGTATGCACGGATCGACATTGCCGCTGTTCTTATCGGTCCTATCATTCCATATCCGGAATGTCCTGCCTAAATCAAGGGATGATGGCGTGGCATTAATACCAATGTTTCGAATGTGCTAACGTACCTCCCAGTAACGTGGGCCACCCCAAAACGCCGTAGTCCACGCGATAGATTACATCTTGATTTCTCAACAACCATGTCCTAGGTATAAACATTACCAAACTATGTTGCCATGAACTACACTATTATCATATTCTGATGTGAATATTATGAGAAATACCTCAGAAATATATATTTCCGACTCCCTAGTGTGAATCATGATAGATCTTGAAGTGGCCCACTTAATCGGGTGGCCCACCTTACTGTGAAGTACGTTATACCAGGTGCTTCAATATTAAGGTTGGGGGCGGCTCAAGCAGCGTCAGTACCGGTGCCAATGCTTTCTAGAAAGCTTGGCTTTGAAATGGGGAATGTCTAAACTGTAATCTACTGTGGAGAAATAATGGCGTCAAAATAACTCAAAAGCATGTATCATGTGCCCAACCAGAATATACTGCTGACATCAAAAGTGGGACCTGGCTGCTCTTTATTGTGTTAGCTATCCGCGCTCGCCTCATTCTTAATCTGGGTCCAACAAAAATCCCTCATACCCACCACGTCGTTTAACCTTGTAGGAGCGATCTATTGATGTAAAAATTACGATCTGGACGGGAGATATGAAAGAACCTCATTTGCTTTATTATTCCATGAATTATGCAATTATGTTCCAGAGAATGCGTTTTGTCCTACAGAATTCCAACCACAGTAGCAACAACCGCGCCACAAGGATGTTAAATCTCCAAGGATGTGAAATATACTTACGGAGAGAAGGCTGTAGAGACTGGAGAAGACGGGGCTATGTATCAAACGGACTTTGTATCTGTTGAGCACGGAAGACAGGAGAGGGAACAATCTCATCCTCGGCATATAAATTTCACTTCCGTTGGCTAATAAAAGATTAAAGAGACAACAGCCAGTGACATCAAATTGAATCATTCGGTAGATAAGCCCCAGTCCTGCTTGATCTTTTGAATCCAATCCTCCACCGGCATGACTTCCTGCCCGACCATCACATTCCCTTTTCCGATCTTTTTCACTTTTTCCTCATCATACTCGGGAACGTGGAGCATTTCGTGGCTCTTGCTGCACACCTGACGCACCAAAGTTCCCTCTCGTAACTTTCTGAGGCAGCCCTCATCGAATTGCACGTCCGCACATTCTCGGCAAATATACATATCGTTTGCGTAGGTCCAAATTGTTCTACATCTTCCATCGCAATGGTTTGCAATAGGACCTCCCAGCTCTGTGGTAGCATCCGTATCCTCATCTTCTTGATTGGGTATGAGGAGTGACCATGCCGCCAGAGAGTTATCATCCTGACCGGCAAACATGAAGTGCGTTGCTAGGCCTTGAAATCCCTGCCAATCATTGCTGGGATCGTCATCCGACAGAAGATCTATACTGAATTTGACGAAGGGCCTGATCATGTTTTTTGCTTTGTCCATATTCCCACAACGCGCATAGTACCGAGCCAGTAACTGCCGCGGATATTTCTCCCTCGTTTGGTCCGTCAGAGTTGCGTCCGATTTCAAAGTGGCAAGATGCTCTAGATCGTCGATGTATTTGGCTGCCAGTTCGGTACCCTGCCCTGCCTGGAGTGCTTTTTCGAAATATAGGCCGGAGAGATCCCAGGTGGCATACAACTTTGCACGTCCTAGGTACCAGCTCATTTCGTTTTCGTCCAACTGGATGATCCGCACCCGCATGGACAACGCCATCTCCTTTTCCTCGGCGCATGTGTAATTATTGTAGAAGAACCTGGCACAGTGGTGCATCAGCATGGCCATGGTTTCTTTCGCGCACATTTCTTCCTCTCGGTTCAGCTGGTCTTTGGCAAGTTGAACCTTTTCTTCTGCCGCATCGACAGCAGTGCGATAGCTATCTTTCAGAGTCGTGATGCCGCTGCCGTTCAGAAGTTTTCCGGCAGCGGCGATGGTGCCATGATAATCGTCATTCCAGTAATACTCATGGAAGATTTGAGTGCGCCGATCGAGACCGGTAACCTCGTCTTTGGACCTTTTCAAGCGTTCGAGGAACTCAATCAGCTGTGTATAGCCCCCTTTGTCATGTAGGACTAGGGTCATAGCCAAGGCTGACTGATAGTCATCCGGATATTCCTGCAAAATGGATTCATAAATGTCCAAGGCTTTCTCGGCATTCCCGGCTTCTTTGTGATACAAGGCCAAATCTCGGTTGATTTTATGCAAATAGTTCCCAGCGTTACCGAGTTTAGACTTCCCGCTTTCCACGGACGCTTGGACTGCTTCTTGAGTCTCTACTGCCAGCGCATATTTTCCTTGGAGTTTGTAAGTCTCCGCGAGACCCCATCTGGCGAACCAGTTATCTTCTTCAAGTGACGATGCCCGCTTGAATGTTTCGACTGCATCATCCAATTTCTCAAAACTTCTCAAAGTTCTGGCGACATTTCGTGTTTCCTCATAACCAAGACTGTCCAGCCCAAGGCATTGTCGACCCCACTCGGCTACCTCATGGATCCGAGACGCCGGAATCTTCTTTGGTTCCTGATCTTCGGTCTCGCGCTTCACGTTGGAATCTTTGCGACTTGCAATCTATCCAAAGAGTTTAATACCCAAGGAAAACAAATACACGAATGACAATCAGCTGGACTTACCTTGTTCGAATATGCATTTACCCAATAAAACAACTCCTTAACATCCCAATCACTCGTCTGCAGCCATTTATGCGCCACGAACTTGGCGATATGCTCCAGGAGATCTGCATCAGGCTTCGACTTCGAACTCAGACTCTTGACCCATGCCCTGTCATTTTCCGGAAGCTTCTTAGTGACAGCGGAGTCCTGTAGCCACTTCAACACCACATCAACGCAGTCATCCTCGTATAGCCAGGAACGCCGCATCCACAGGCGGTCCTCAGTCCACCACGAAATGAAGATTTCCTCGTCTGTAAACATTTTCACCAATTGTGGACCGACGACGGCCTTGCTTTGTGGCTGTATCAATGACAGATCAATGAGACGAAGATGCTCTTCAAAGTAAAACGTCGCGTAGTCCACCAGCGGAGAAGATCCATCTGTTTTCTCTGAGATGGCTTTGAGACAGGCCATTAAAATTTGCATGTGAGCTGTGTCTGTATCGACGCCGAGCCGGGCAGTCTTTTTGGTCAATTTTCGCTCGAAGAAGGCATCAAACTCGAACTTCTTGAACAGATTAGGGTCGCAGACCAAATCGAGGAATCGCCGGACAATTTTGACCTCCGACGCGAGGACATCCCCAGTGGTGTTCCATTCATGCTGGCCGTGGTCGGCCTCAGCCTCCTCGCTAGGAGATTTTGGTCGGAAGTACTCCTCTATCGAGTTTGACACTAGAGATATGATCGCTGTCGGGGGCATGCTCTTTGTTTTCAGGTCGATCTCTCCCTCTATGCAGAATAGAGCAGAGAAGCGGCCGCTGATCTCGTTTTCCAACGAGCGAAGTGATAGCTCGCCATTTTTCACGTAGAGAACGGCTTCCAATTCGTATAGCATAAGCGAGCTGCGTGCGTTCATCACCCAGAGTAGGAGCTCATTGAGATCTGAAATATCATCATCACTCAGGGTCTCGTTCAATCTCTTAATCTCGCGGGCAATCGTGCTCGAACGTTTCTCGCCTGACCGGGACAATACGTCTCGGATCTCTCCGGGACGTTGCTTATCGCCTATTTGATTGAGCAGAAGACCTACGTTGACGAAATCGCCATGCCCTTCTTTCAGGAGGCCTTCGAGGATTTCCCTCTTGAGTGCTTCAACCTGGGTGGAGCCGCTGCTGAGGATATCCATGCTCCTGAGGCGGTCGTTGATGAACATTTCGATATCGTCTTTGTTTTTCGAAGCGACATCAATGGTAGAGGCCCCTTTATTGAGGTGGTTTGTGATCTGCTCGACGGTTTCGCTTCGCGCAGAGAAGAGGATGCGAATGCGGAATCGGTACCTAGTGTCTGATATCTTCTGGAGGTCCGCTAGAACATTCAGGAGCTGTTTGAGGTTCTCCCGGACAATCCGCTCGGCGCCATCCAACAGGATGAAAAAGGTCGAGTCCGATTTGTAAGACTTGGCGAAGAGAACATCCCATAGTTCGGTTATTTGGTTGGATTCCATCGACTTCGCGGACGAGGCAAGTTCCTTCCGATAGACCGGATCATGGCTAGCCAGTTGATATGCCACGGTCCAATGCCTTGGCTAGAGACGGTGGGTCGTTCGCCGCGGACTGAGCAGTTCCTCGAGTGGGACTTCCCTGCTCGAAAAAGTAATAGCCGATCGACGTGCGACTCAAGTTGTCCGTCACTTCTGAATCCCTCTCCTGCAGGTCTCGAATGATCGTAGTGAATAGATAGGATTTACCGTATCCTTCACCTCCGGATATGCAGAGCACATCTAACGGAGACTCAACTTCGCAACTCGCCCATCCTGTATACATCGGATCGTTGCGGAGCCATTGTCCGCTTCCATCAACTATTTTGCCGCGCAGGTCCCTATACTTCCCTCGCATCTTGGCGAAGGTCTCGCTGGGACTGTCAAGACAGGTGTCGACATCATGAAGCTGTTTATTCTCCTTATTCTCCTCCTCGGTTTTCCGCTGATTCTCTAGTAATTTGTCGACGCCTGCATTGATCTTCTTCGTCCCGTCTCTTGTCTCGACGATGTTCTTTTCACTGTTCTTCTGCGATTCAAATCCCAGAGTCCCTCGCATTTGCGACTCCCGCTCGACGAGCTCAGCCAGCCGAGCCAACTGCTCACTGACCCCCTCGTCAGTGTTGAAGGCGAAAACCTTGAGTGCAATCAAAATTTTGTGTCCTTTTAAAACTTTCATCGAAAGCGCACAGACTGCGACAAAACACAACAGCTCATCATTGATTATCCGTCGCAAGGAAATATCCACAGCCTCAGGCAGCATGCGGAGATAGATCTTGCATCGTTCCAGAACGTCTGAGATGCGTTTAAACAGCTCGGCAATACTGCTGAAAATTCCCTTGAATTTTGCCCCCGTTTGGATAAGATATAACACAGCATTGAAACATAGCTCGCTTGGGCCAAACACCTACTATTATCAGACAGACCTATTTCGGCGAATGAGTGAGTTACGCACCATACTTGCTCCCTGGGCGACAATCCCACCAAGAACCTCGATGCAGCTCAAAGTCTTGCTGATGACATCCTTTGCGACTTTGTATTTAACATTTCGCTGCTCGTCGTCATCTTGCCTTTGCCGGATTTGATCGAGGACCTGATCGATGGTGTACCTCGGGGTTATAGTGAGATCCACCGTGGTTGTTTTGGCGAACGACTGACACACCGTGTCCCACGCCCCCTGAAGATTGTAGTCGTCACTTCCTGTTAAATCCGCCATTGAGTTCTAAAAATCGTCGTGTTCACTGCATGCGTAGCTAAGTTCATCTTCTAGTTTTCGTGTGGAGATCATCGTTCATTTATGAGGATAAATAACTAGCGCGTACGGTCGAAAACAAAAATCCTGACAGGCTGACAAGCTTTGATCCATGCAGGAGTAGAGGACCGTGCGAGTTTCATCGATATTATTGGCAGCCCCGATAGCTTGATCGGCACTCACGTATCAGCTGGTGGTGGCTGTGTGTACATGTCAGGACTCCTGGGGTAATATAATCCAATAATTCTGTACAATGCATTTTTAGGTTTCAACCCTGCCGTTTGATACCGTCCTCTTGAAACAACGCCATTAAACGTCAAGTCACATCTGCAGTAGTCCCTCCAGTAATACTCTACTGTACTCTGTACGGAGTACTCCGTGCTAGTTTAGAGCCGGCAAGTACACTAGGAGGCTGGAGCGGGCTAAGGAACGCTTAGCCCATGCAACAAGGTTGACATTATGCGTCTCTTATTAGCAGAGTAGTCTACACAAGCCTGGTTTGTGAATGTGACCGATAAGCGGAGTCTAAGTGTCTTAGGCTACATGTATATCCTACTTATAGGTATATCTACTTCCAGTGGTGTATGATATAAGCCTGACGTGCAGTGTCAGAAAGCTTGATTACATCTCTAGATATAGCTCAGTTCACCTAAAATAAGTTGGGAACCTCGTGTCGACCAAGGGAGTCTTCGGCCCTACAGGGTTTATTAGCAGGCTAGGTTCGATAATAACGCATAAAGAGAAACCAGTGCCTGACTCCCTGAACCCCTGAATTCCATGAGACCCCTGCCTGACCTCAGCGTGATAAACAATTACCCCGTGCCTCTTTCCCGGTGACCCTAAAACTGATAAGCTGTTGATTGGCCCCAAGAAGGGAGATGCTCAAGATAAGGTAAAATTACCCGACCAGGTACGGCCCTAATTCCCCTCGGCGGTTATGGCCACGTAGATCCCTGTGGAAAGATGCGCTTTTAGCTCAAGGGTGCCGTTTCTGGCACCAAAAGCTGTCATATTTAGCATCGACTTCACAGTTCCTCAGGTTCTTTTTGATTTGTGAACTCATTCTTTACCTAGCCTAAATTAAAGTCAGATCATGATTTCGAGAAAGAATTTTGCTATGACCAAGCTTGTAACCAGGTCGTCGAACAGAAAATGAGAAGGTGACCGTGACAACCAAGTGTATAGATGCATAGATATGCAGTTTCGCCTAGATTTCAGAGAGTAGGTAGAGAACTTTGGATATCCCTTGCAGTCATGATAGACTGTTGGAAGTTTTGAAGAGCATAGGCATTTTGGGTATCAATATAGTGGAGATTATGTATGTACATGTTTTTTGCCGTTTGAGCAGTGCGCTCCCTTAAGACCAGTTTCATGTTCCCATCAAAATTGTGGCAGGTTGCCAAAGAAATTGTTGTCCCATAGCTCCGTTCCACCCGGGTCTAGGCTATCAAACCAGCCTCCCAAATCGAGTGGCTATAATAGTCAGTATAATTATTCAAACTGAGGGGAACGAAACTTACGGTAAAATCCCCAAAATCCGTTGACAGTAAAGGAAAATCATAACCATTTGAAGACCCAGACAGGGGCGTTGTCCCTATCTGTCCCGCTAGAGAAAGAGCAAGCTGATCCCTCATTATAAGCAAGGCTTCTTCATAGGAAGAAGAGGACAGGGAGCTCACCTGTTCAGGCTGGCGGTCTGCGTTGGCCAGTGCCTCGTGATATGAAAGACCGCCAACTATTCCCCGTCCAATTCGAACAGCTCGTTTGGACGCTGCCTCGACCATTGACAGTGGATCCTCTCCCTTGATGCGAGACTTGACGGATGCCAAGATGATGCTCAAGAAGAAGTATGGCTTTGTTCCCTTGCCAATTTTCCCAGCTCGTCGTCCAAAGTCGTCCAAGGTACGCTCAACTGCTTGCAGCATCACATTCTGCTGCGATTGTACCATGCTCATCAGAACACTAGTGTTCATTCCTTCCATGGCTTGACCTACTGATTGGCTCATTTCTTGGGCTTGTAGCGATAGCTCCACACAAACTGTGACCGCAGCATGGAAGGTTTCATCACAGAACATTCCACTTCCGAGTTGTGTAATATGCGGATAAAGTATCGCATCAGCGGGCACTGGAAGTTCCATCTGCGATAATATCTCCAAGGACTTTTCTAAACAGATCTTTCGAGAGTAGGAGCATTTCGGTAGGCGCACGACGCTCAGAGAGAAAGGTCGGTGGAGCGCAAGTAGGAACTTGCGCATTATGAACAAGTGCAATGACTGGGCGAATCGGTGTCGAGGCGCGTCGGAGGGATTGATTGCAGATGCATTATCATCAAACAAGTCTGATGCGTTTTTCATCGATCGAATCAATTCCTCGCTCATCTGCAAGGTCTCATCGTATGATAAGTCAAATCTTAGCGTGTTGATTTTCTTTGCGATGCGGTAACGGAGCCCCAGCGTCTTCGTGAGAAGACACTGATAAAAGTTCCGAGTGTATCTTGCAGTGCTAAAGGGTGCCGGGTTATTTTCCATTTTTTCGAATAATTCAGAGTCGTCCCAGTTGGAAGGTGTATCGCAATCACACTCGTCCAAGTCAACTGACGGGGTGACACCGCGATCGAGCGAGATCTTGAGATCTAGCTCCACGATAGTTGTCCACAGTCGACGGCGCAGTTCCGACCAGAATGGGGTGGTCGCCTTGCGAAAGCGGGTTGGGTCGCGGTGTAGTCCCATAGTCATAGCAGATCGAATGAGGGAGCCCGATGAGGCCCAGGCAACATCGCCGTCGCTAGCAATTGAAATTCGAGCAACCAAGAGTAGACATTGCGTCTGGATCATCTTAAGGTCAATATCCGGGCTCACAAAGGTGCAAGAAATGTATGACTGCACTGCCATCATCCACTTTATCGCAGGTTTTTGGTAAGCGTCCCGTTCATCACGTTCGGGAGAAGGCAAATAAAATTGGCTTCCTGCTGCCATGACTGCCAGCAACTGCGCAATGAATCCCACATCTGGTTTTTGAGGGTTGGCCCAGTATTCGGCATATTGCTTCAGAAAGCTCGGAATATGGAGAATCCGGTAGGTCGTCTCAAACGTGTCAAGATATAATTGAAGAAGCTGGTCCGTGATGGTTCGAGATGGCACCATCTCTTCTAGCTTGAAGGCCTGCTCTCGAAAGGATCGCTGGTGCTCCTGGCTTTCGCGCGACCACATCTCACACTTGAACTTTTTCATGTCACTATACTCCTTGTCCTTGATGTTCTTGTGGCTACGGCGCATAAAGGTGCCAATATCCTGGAACTGTATTGGAGTCAGTAATACGCTTAAAGTAGGTTCATCTTCGTGTCCTTGGCGACAAACTTACAAATGATACGGTCGTCGTATAGTGGCTTCGACCGAAGTATCTGGTTTTGCCCTTCTTACCTCGGAAACTGGAGTCAGGCAGGAATCGAACCCGATCATCTACACCAGCTCCTTCTAGACTATGTGGAGAAGTGGCCACTTCAGAGAGGCTGTCATAGATGGAATTTTCGGGGGTTTGAAGGGCACCACCGGGCTTTGCTAGTGCATGCTCCAACATGCGCAGTCGGTGGCGGAGCTCATGGAGTTCATCGGGATGGCTGCGCTTGGATATGCGATTCACACTGGCCTTGGGACCCATCTTCGAGTCGAACACAAACATGCCACCTGTCCCCCCCCGGTTGCTCTGGCGAGCCACGAGGCAGTCGCATACGTGAAACTGGGGGGGACATGCGCTGGGACGAGGCTGACGCCTCTCCCGTCTGGGATCCCACAAAGACACACGAGTCCGCAGTTTTTGAGCGAACACATTGTCCGCATGGAAGTGACCGATCGCACTTCAATTTGCGTCGTCGACATTCTGTACAGGAGAGTGGGGGCCGACGTCTCCTCTGAATGACTCTCCCGAGCTCTGCAACCGCTTCTTGAGGGGAGCGGTCTTGATAATCGCTCATTGCAGTTTATTGTGGCAAAGAGATGTCTGGTCTCCAAAGAAGTGAAAGCGCATTCCTTTGGTGGGTGAGTATAAAATGCTCTCCGACTTGCGCAGAGCCTTGATGACGCAATCGCGCAGAAAGTCCGATTTTGGGACCTCAAAAACGACGCTGCGTGTCTTGATCTTCTCATGGACCGTACCAGTTCAATGGCAGCATTCAGACGCAGAGATTATCTGAATTTGCGACGCGGAGGACGAAAGCTCAACTCTTCTATGCTACGCGTGGTGGAGTTAACGCTGGTCGAGAATTGCCCGAGCTCGGACTTACCTTTTTCGGACATCAATACTAAGCGCCGAGGTGTGGGTGCCTGATTGATAAGCTTTTTCCGTCCTAAAAAGTAACCTGAGTCACAACAATATTCTCGTGAAAGTGGAGCGATGACGCTGGTCATAGGCGTGGCTTTTTATCTGATTGTATTGGCTTTTTCTTCGCCTACAAGGAGTAAATGCTAAAATAATGTGGCCGGACCGTGACCTTTGTCCGCGGTCACTCCGCGGACGGGCATTCTATACCGGGATTAGCCTGGGCTCCAAGGCACCAGCCAAAAACCCACCTAGTCAGCTCGTTGCTCCTCGAGGCATGATGAATGCGATGGAACGTGACATCTGAGAAAACAGTCGGCGTTTATTTCCATGGGGTTAAAATCTAGATTGTGCGACCTTGAAATCTTTGAGGCTCGCCAAGAAGTTACAACTCAGAACTTCGTCCTTGCCTCGTGTTGCGTGGCAGAGTCTGGATCGCACTTAGCTGCCATGATCGATTCTTGTTGGGGGAGATGTGCAGCCCTGGCGGTTTTGAAGGAACCATAGTTCTACCAGATTACAATACAAGGAAGGGCATCTTATGCGTTTTGCAAAGTCACGGAGACTGGGGGCCAAGGTTATGCGCCAGGGCAGGCAGATCCCGCCAAGCACGTGTCGGCACTAAACCGACCCAACCACTGTCTGCCAGCATGCTAGCTTCCCTTGAGGCTGCGATTGTACGACAAGATAGCAGTCTGCGAGTTGCTAACTCCCATCTTGAGCTCCACGCATTTCAATGTCCCTGGGCTTGCCTTTCAGCAAGGAGACCTTCAGCTCCAGCGATGATCTGGAACCCGCAACGCGTCTCTTGCCCGCGTCCTCTCGGACACCTCAGCATAGTCTCGCCCGCCCCACAGAGGATATACAGGGCTTTCTGAAAAAGGATCTGTGCGTCGACAGGCTCAATTACATTCACCAATACCTATGGCTGGCTGGCCGACCCATGCCTCCCAAGCCCCTGAATTATCAGCTCGCTACGTCCCGACAGATTGTCGTGGACCAGAGAATTGATATGCACCTTGTGTGGGAGCATTCTCAGCGCCTTCACATAAAGCCTCTCCCAAGATATCTCCTCGATGCGGACTTTTGGGCCTCACATCTGATGACCTGTGAAGGGTCATGCTGCGCAGATGCGCAACGCGACCGCGCCGTGTCGGACTCGACCACAAAATGCACCAAGGATGTCTATAAGTGTGCTCTTGGATTCCTATGCTCCTATATCGCATTGATTCAGTTTGAATGCGATCTGGCGATCGCTCTCGATTGTAATTTACTGCCAAAGGACATGACCTGGGAACAATGGCTTCAATTTGTTCACCAACTCCTGGACAACGGTGTCTCCAATCCTAGTAACATCAACCCGCGTTATTTATATGGCGAGTTGAGGCTATCGCAGCTCAACAAAATTTATGCTTTCCGATACGGAAGGGTTTTACGAGGGTATCAGTTTACATATCAGACATACGGCGAGCTTGCCCGCGATTACCTCACACCGGTGACGGCGGCGACCATTTATGTCGCCCTGGTGTTGACGGCGATGCAAGTCGGATTGGCCACAAGTCATCTGAGCAGCAACATATCTTTTCAGAACGCGTCACGGGGCTTCACTATATTTTCAATCCTCGGGCCACTGATTGGAATCGCGCTAGTGGGCATTATTGGGATCTTCCAGTTCTCTATCAATTTGTTCGAAACTAGGAGGTTCACACAAAAGCAGTTCCACCTATTTAAGCAACGAAGAACCGAAAACGAAGCACCTTGAAAATGCTTTGAATGATGTTTCGATTTTCGATTTCCACGGAGAGATTCAATGTGTGTGTGGGCCATGATGAGAAGTGAAGACTGACTAGGTCGGGTTCGATATACTGTCGATCTTTGCATTATCACTGTCGACATTCTCGAATTTGGCTGATAAATAATACTTGGTCAAACCATCTACAGAAAGAGACAGCTGATACAAACAGTGTAAGGAACGGATTTCATGAATATTATGATTTTCTTCATCGCTCGTTCAATCAATGCGAATTTAACTCGGCAAAATGTTGTCACCAGCACGGGCTCTGAAGCGTAGCTTGGAATGTATTGTTTAAGAATATGGTCAGCCACATACTTTGTGATAACTATTCAAGGAAGATCCACAGGAGGGCTTCACAAGCTCAAGTAAACTTGTGAATATGGTTTCCGGCGTTCCTCAGGTCTCAAGATCCAAATCGAACAACCTAGCTCGGTGAAAGCAGCAAAGATGGGCATATCAAGGGCCCTAGTCAAAGATAATTATCAGCACCTGCCCCACTTGACAAAACCCCATGCAGCAATTTGACATTGCCGCACATTTACCTGGTTTTTGACGTTTGTGATGAGGACCCCGAGACCATGAAATTTGACCGCATTAGCTATCTGGTTCATCCCTACTATGCGAAGCCGTCGGTCATGAGTCGATAACGGGCCAACTACTTGTATGACCAGGGCGTTAGGTGGAATTGTCCCCGGTGTGGGAACGAGTAATATTATCCTGTCGCAATTGTGGGCGCACTGCTACAATAGGGGGCCCGGGAGATCCTTCGGTCCAGCGTGGGATATAGAGCCTCGACAGGACGGTGGCTCCCTGAGAGCTCCTGGGCTATGGCCAGTAGGAGCGTGATGGGTGTGCTATTGATGCCATATCCCTCGACTGCATATTTACGGCTATTGTAGATTGTTAGCAAATATCCGACCATAGGCTCTGCTCCAAGCAACGCTACGTGAGAGGTATTCATAGAAACTATATTGGAAACTCGGAATTTATCAATGAAATTAGATTTTATATTTTGGACCAGAATAAATAGTAGTGTTGGTTGTCTGGGGGGGGGTTACAGCCCCTTGGGTGACTCGAAGCTCAGGGGATGGGGAATAAATACGAACGTATCCCAGTAATTCAGCCTTGACAAAGCTTAATTGCGCCGTTTCATCCAGGGGTCCCACTGAAAACACTTGACTATCTGTTTCGGCTGGAGCTTTGAAGTGGATTGCCCGAAAGCTCCGCATCGCCGATAATTTTATCCGACAGCACTCTGTACTCCCCATGTTCCCCTCCCTTCCCATGAAGTTACCAGGCCCTTTGTTGCACCAAACAGAGAAGGCCCAGCCCTATGGTGCCGGTCCTCATAAACTGAGGGATAGACTGTTGGAAATATGTGTCGCGCGATGGTAGGTAAACAAGGCGCCTAAATGGAGTCCCGGCCGCAGGCAGCAACAATATAAAAAAGCAAACCCGTGACCAGGGTTGACAATATGCTGGAGGCTCCTGGCCAGGAATGAAAGATAAAACCCCTGGAGCCTCGTCCTTTTCGCCTCCGCTCTTGTCTTCTCTCTTAAGGCTTTGCGCCTGTGTACCCAGCCCTCATCCCAGCCTTGGTCGCAATGATCATTAGGAAACCCGGAGCTTGATGAGCCTCCTGGCTGGACCCTGTCAGACGAAAACAAGCGCTTACTCAAGACTAACGCAGCCGCTGCAATTTGTGGCCGGCAGGCTCCGGACGGGGCGACTTTCAAGCTCAGCTCTATTCGCAGCAGAAGAGATGGGCCTCACCGACATTGAGTCCTGAGTTCTCAGGCCAGGCGCAGCTGGCCTGTCGGTGCGCTTCCCAGCGATCACCCCCTAACCCTGCTCCCCCTTTCACAGCCACCGACGTACGGCGACTAGCTTGACAATCTGCCTATCCAATAGGGGCCTGGCGATGGCCTGTTTCATCTCAATCTGATCCGCGACGCATTGACAGCGATGATGATGCCTTGGCGTCAGACCAGCAGCACTCTCGCAACATACCCGACCGCGGCATACACATGATGGTCTGCAGACGCGGCTTCGTCGTTTCTGCTTGGTGTCAGCAATAACGAGACTGGCTAGGGGGTTCGTGTTGTCCAGAGTCTACGAACCGAGGGTCGTGATTCGACAATACGAGCAATGGCGCTGCCAAGAGCGGGGGTCATCGTCTGCAGTGTGGCCAGTGTGACCCATTCCCAATCGCTCCAATCACCCCAATTCCTCCCATTCCATTATGGACCCATGCGTGGCCGGTTCCAATGTGCCACACTGGCAAGATTTGTCTGTGCTGCTGCTGGAGCATCCTGGGTGTCCATCATCGGTGTGGCCCAGTACCCGGGCTTGACATGTTGATAGAGCAGAAAGACACGGCATGACGGTGGAGGTGCTTGCTGCCAAGAAAACTCAAGCTTGTGCAGCCAAAGCTTCCCCGGTCGAAGCATTTCTTTACCCTGCGTTGTTCCGCCTGATTTCCTTGGCTTGCTGTGGCGACGCGCGCGTTTCGGCTGGGGGCCCCGGGCGTCCTTGAAATGAGCACCGAAAGTGCCAACGCACCACTACCACACTACAAACCTGCCTCAACGAAAGGCCAGCCCAGTATTTCCCGTCATGGTCCTCAATCCTGAATACTAACTGATCAGGATTCGTAGATTGTTCCCCGGTCGCACTACGAGGTACTATACGCCAAACACCCCTCGGGAAGCGCTCCTCAACGCCAAGCTCGTACGGCGGGAACTTGCGATCGGCCGTGGGCCCACGAAAGTGGCTGTGTCGGCAGCAAATGCTGAATATTGGTCAAAACTTGGTCCTGAACCTTGCCATCAACCTGACATCTTCCATTGCCCTGTCTTTCCTTCCCCTGGATTACCAGTCTCTCCTTTATTTTGTTTTTCGCTATTTTACTTTTTACTTTTTATTATTGTTTTTCCTCCCACACTCATTTTGCTCTGCGCCGCGCAGCTCGCTTTGTTGATTATTCGCATTACGCGAAATTGTCCCTCCCTTGCTTGACAACTCCACAGCGCCAATTTTGGATTTCTGGAAAAAGAACAAGAATTGAAACCCAAACAAGGCCACCGGATTATCATATTCATTGTCCCACCCTCCTTCCGAGCTCTTAATATCTCCCTCCTCCCCCCTGTGGCTGCCTACCGACTGCGCCACGTCGCATCCCCCGTATTCGAATCTTGGACTCAGTCTCTCTCCACCACCCGCCACCATCTGGCATCTGTATGGTCGAATAAGTTTGAAACTCTCTTCTCACGTACGTGGCTTTCTTCCTTGGACCCGCGTGCGTAGGCCTGCTGGCGGTGGCTCGCGTATGTGCTGAGGCGCAAGGCAGGCTGTTATCAAAGCCTCATATGAAAGCGGTGCCCTGCTCTCTGCCGACCACTACTGCTTAAACGTGCACTGGGCCTGATGGCTATTTTTAATCTTGTCAAAGACTGACCCATGCTTAGATAAAGTGAAGGCTCATTATCACGTCAAGTTCAGGACTCATCTTTTTTACAACAACGAATAACCATCCACCATAATGCGTGAGTGCTAAGCTGCCTTGATTATCTACTTCTCTTCCAGCACAATTTCAATCTGTCCAACTTCATTCTTGTTGTCACCTATAACCATCACCACCCTCACCTCATCACCCTCACCTTTCGCCGTTGCCACAATGACCTAGCTGAACCATGTCAATAGATATCTACCGCCGCCAGGCACGTAAACTCGCTTGGTACGACCAAGATGGGGAGCCATCCTCAGCCAACCCCTTCAAGAAATTCCGCCCACGCCCTCGCCGCACTGCCTCTATCCAGTTGGAGGAGCAGCTCCCACACTCCCAGAGCCTGGGTGACCTGAGTCTCTCCAACGATCAGCGTCGCCGTGCAGACTTCAATGGCGACCTCCAAGGCCCCGCCTATGCAGACACATTCCCGCCCGAATCGGGCAGCTACGGGCCCGCGCCGTCGCACCGCAGCGAAGATCCCATCAACGATATCAATAATGACACCGCGAATATGTCAACAGCACGAGGTCTAGACCTTGAATCCGAGATCGAAGGAAACGTCAACGGGAGCGGGAGCCAGCCACGGCAGCGCAAGGGATTCTTCGGCAAGTTCGGCCGCAAGAAGACGGAAGAAGAGGCACCGGCCTCGCAACCCGATAAGGAGAAGCTGGTGGACGGCCCCAAGTTCACGGTCGCGAGCCAGATCCGCGCGACGCTGCTCAACTCCTGGATCAATGTCCTCTTCGTGGCAGCGCCGGTGGGTATTGCGCTCCACGTGGTGAAGGCAAACGCGATCGCCATCTTCGTGGTCAACTTCATCGCGATCATCCCGCTGGCCGCGATGCTGAGCTACGCGACGGAGGAAATTGCGATGCGCACAGGCGAAACGATTGGTGGGCTGTTGAACGCGTCGTTCGGTAACGCGGTCGAGCTTATTGTTGCCATCATCGCGCTGGTTAAGAAGGAGGTGCTTATCGTGCAGACGTCGCTGATTGGCAGTATGTTGTCGAACTTGCTGCTGGTCATGGGCATGTGTTTCTTCTTTGGCGGTGTGAATCGCGTCGAACAGCATTTCAATGTTGTGGTTGCGCAGACGGCGGCTAGTTTGTTGGCGCTTGCTGTGGCCAGTTTGATTATTCCGACTGCGTTCCATACGTGGTCCGATGGGAATAAGGAGAATATTGCACCTGTGTCAAGAGGTATGTCTAAATCTTCTAAATGGCTTTGTATAAGGAATGGAGTAATACTGACCAGTTTCTCACAGGCACATCCGTCCTTCTCCTCATCACCTACGGCTGCTACCTCTTCTTCCAGTTGAAATCCCACACAGATATGTACAACGAGCCCTCGAAGAAAGTCGAAAAGCGTTCCAAGAAGGGCGGCGACGCTACGCGCGGCATCGCGCAGATCGGCAAGATGACTGCGCGCACGATGGGCGGCTCCAACGCCCAGGAACTCAATCTGCAAGATCCCGACGACGAGCCCGAGCAGCCGCAGCTGTCGCTTCTGGTTGCCATGCTGACACTGGGCCTTTCGACTGCGCTGGTGGCCGTGTGTGCGGAGTTCATGGTTGACTCCATCGATGCGCTGACGGCGACGGGCGATATTAGTGAGACCTTTGTTGGATTGATTCTGTTGCCTATCGTGGGCAATGCGGCGGAGCATGCTACGGCTGTTACAGTCGCGTGCAAGGACAAGATGGATCTGGCGATTGGCGTGGCGGTTGGCTCGAGTATGCAGATTGCGTTGCTGGTCCTGCCGTTCATTGTGGTTTTGGGTTGGATTATGGGGATTGATGACATGGTAGGCCGCGCGTTCTGGAAGAAATACCCGCCATTCTTTGTGTGCTTGATGCTGACTTTGTGGTTGCAGAATTTGAACTTCGACAGTTTCGAGATCATCCTGCTCTTTGTGTCTGTTCTTTTGGTATGGCTGCCCGTTCCCTGGCGCATTTTGGTGCCCATTCTAACCGTTTTGCTTGTAGGTTAATTACCTCATCGGGGACGGCAAATCTCACTGGCTTGAGGGCGTCCTGCTCATGATGATGTATCTGATTATCGCCCTCGCTGCTTGGTATGTCCTTCGCGGTCCCTAGCTCTTTCCTGCTCCAGTTTCATAGCTAATCTGAACCACAGGTTCTTCTAGTTGGCTCTGCGAGCCCTTACCACCAGAGCTTCCGTCGCTCTACTCCACTTTGTTCCCTTTATTATCTGGGAAACATACTCAATTCATAATCTATTTAACCTTCTACGTTGACTCTATGCTTTGCGCGAAATACGTCCAGTCAAAATGCTCTCAAGGGAGGTGCCATGTGTGATGGCTTATCTTGAACTCATCTCCATTCTAGGCTACGATTGTATCGTAAACGGAGATGATTACTACCGTGTACACATGACAAAAGTAAGGTCGATCATGAAATGCATTTTCACGTTTCAATCGTAATCCTGACTATAGAGATTCGGTCCAGACATAAATGCGCGCACTCCCTCTTAGGGGCAGTTGCGCCGAAACTCGTCAGCGTAAATGCAACGCTCACAGCAGTGTGCACAAATTCCCCGCCCAGATGTATCTTTTTCCTGTTGATCGAGGAACACGAATCGCGCTTCGATTCGTGAGAATGTTACGAGGCCTGGATAGAAGGGGTATGCGCAAATGTGGTAGGCCTGCCAGCACCGTAATTATGTATACAGGCACAGTACGCAACGCCCAACTCATGACGCAGAGAGGAAACCCGCAGAACTCCCCGAATAATACCCGAACCATCCGGCAGCGTCATACAAATTCCTCCAACCTCAGCCTCCGACCCCAGAGATTGGGAAACGGATGTGTCCGCGGCACAAGCTGATTCTGAACCGGCGCAATACATGGATTGTAATTATAGTTGTAATACCCTGACGTCAACCCGGTTCCAATAATTCGAAAAAGCCAAAGCATAAAAAGGTATCACTGGTTAGTCGAAATAGAATATTTCGAGTTTCTCTAATTCTCCATATGGCTCAAACTAAGAACGCACACGATTCTGAATATGCCGCAGACTGTCCAGATCATCCGCGATGTGATCACCATCGATGCCAAATTCCCCTTCATCGCAGGTCTCGAACCCGGTGACACGCTCCGCATCATCGCTCGGGAGATTAGGCTCATGGAGACATACGACCTTAAAGGAAAGAATCTCGAGTTCTACGCGTCGACGTTCATCGCTTCGAATAGTGCGGTCATCCTCAATCGAGGGACCATCGGGGCACAGGGCACCGCAGGAGAGGATGGTGCTTCAGGGATGCCATCTCCGGCGAACAGGTCGTGTCTGAATCCACTCGATTTAAAGTCCTCCAAGCGGCGTCCTCCAAAGTCGATATCCTCCTCAACTTTGCTTTCCGTGCACAACGGTCTATCGAGATTTACCTTCTCCTGGACCAAACCCAGTATGTCTACTACGATGTTGGTTGTGTCCACCCCGATATCAAGGCCGAGTATATCCGCAACCCCGACAGTGTGGTTTCTCTTACCACATCGTACCAGTCTTCATTTGAGAGACTCCTCGACCCCACAAGCATGTGGAACACATATAGTGCATACTTTGATCACCCACCATATACGGATATATTCACCGAGCTTCATTCACTGATCCGGAAACCCTCGACATGTTCCGCTCCACTTTCACCCTGACGTTCAGTTTTGACGCGGCCACTCTCTCTCAGCAGCGCTACAACACCAAAATCCAGGCTGTCGGAGTCGCTTTTATTGGCGCTACGGGCAAGGGAGATCTGATCTCTTGTAAAGTCGAACATGGTGGGGTATACTGTCAACGGATGAGCGATGGGATGCTGCGAGAGTCCATCCTGAAAGCTCGATACAATATCATCTTAGCCACAATTACCCCCCTTCAACTGAGCGGCTTTGACCTTGACTCGTCTCCCTCACTTGAGGACCCCCAGAACTCTCCGCTATGGGCAATGGGTATCGGCGGGCTCTACACCATTACGATCCCGGAGAGCGAGTTCAAAGAGCATCACCCCACATTCGAAGGGCTAAAGGAGATTGAAGTGTGGCTTGGATATCAATTCATGGAGTGATACGGAGTTTTGTGATCAGTTGAACCATGACTTGACATTGGTTTCTTTCCTTACGACGTTTTTGAGAAAATCAAATATATGCGTTATCGAGTCCGAAGGATTGGTGCTTCGCTCGATCTGGCAGACGCGCACCAGCTCCTTGTGCTGTTCTTAACTAACTTGTTGAGGAATCAGTCTTGTTCTACTGCCGAGGACTCCTGTCACGTACCACCGTGAGCATGTACATTCAGGCATTGGGGTGGAGGACGATCCACGCTGTTTTTTGTATTAAAATCCCACGTTCTAATGGAAGATATGACGCACTATGTCATGACTACCTACATCGGCTCAGCTTCTTCGACATTGTAGAAGATGACCAGTGTGCGTAGAAAGAATGCTAGCTTCATGATCGTCGTAACGCAGGAGATAACAGTGCGTAAAGGAATGACTTCTGCATATACCGGCGGCTTTGAAGGAGAGTTTGATTAAAAATGATTATAGGTTCATATAAATTAGCAATACATGGTCCCTCCTTTAGCAATTTGCCGTACCCATAAGAATGAATGAATTTTGAAACGGAACATTACGGTGGAACAACAAAGGTCAACGATTAATTTCCTCACGGAAGCAATTCCTCCAAGGATTTTGGGCGGTCAGTGAGGCTGATTCGACCGCTTAGGCAATTAGGGGCAGTTCGGCACATGGACCTCTGCAGTAGTTGTGAGCTCAAATCCTTTCATACAACACCTGAGTAGAATGGAAGAGGGAAACACTCACCACAGCGCCAGGGCTTAAAGTCCTCCTTAACCCACCAACCCTTCGGGTTCTTGTACCAGTTTCTATAGTCACTTAGCACATCGTAGGATCGAGATAGATACACTGGCAAAGAGGTCTTACTGGTATTTGCAGACAGGTGCAAAAGTATCGCCCACTCTAGATTGACCAACCGTCTCGCTGGAATCGCAAGGATACTTGTGGTACCAGTAAGGCTTCTGCACTTTGCACTTATCCTCGGGGCGGTCGTGTTTATCCCAGCGATCCTTATCCCCGCGGTCCTTATCCCCGCGGTTTCCATCTCTCTCCTCCAGGAATTCGTCAGAGGGGACTGGGTTAGCCATTGCCACCTGGGAGGCAAGAGGAAGAAGGGCAGTGAGAATGTAGATAAAGGACTTCATTGTGGAAAAGTGAATAGTGGTTTGAAAAGTGTTAAATTATAAGCGTGGAGGAATTGCTTGTTGATAGTACTTGATGAGAATGAATATTAGATCGAAACCGTTGAATAACCTCGCTATTTATACTACTCGACGGCAAATTCTTAGGCTTCGACTACGACTGATTGAACTCATGAAAGTGTCATTGATTTGGGCCTAGATTCGCGATATCCATTGTCTACAGCAGAAGTGCATTTACCTCTTCCGTCCCTGATTATCGACAGCAAAGTATGGAGGTGCCAGTGAAGGCGATCAAACCCCAGAAATCTGAGAGACAACAGAGCCACCAAAGTCTTGGCGGTTGACCAAGTGTCTAAACTTAGTTGTAAATTCTGCCAGAATCAACGATCTGGCCAATCGATGGGAGTAGACCAGAATGTGCCAAGAGATACAATTGTCTCATTTGACGGGAAGATGATCCATGAAGTTCACGAGACCAGAAACAGAAATCCTCCGCTCCAAATCGGTCGGTGTCATTTCCTTGGCGATCGATCTTGAACCATGTCTTTTGATAGTTGAGGGAGCTTCCATAGGGGAAAGTTAATTCAACGAGGCTGAGACATGACCAATGTTCTTGTCAACTACTTTGTAGGTATCCCGGTGCTTGAACTGAATCATGGCGGCGGTTTTTAGAATGGCTTGGCGCGGCTTGGCGGAGCTTGGCGTACGTCAACATCCCCGTCATCAAATCTATTAAAATAAAACAACTGTGCTTATGGCCCACAGAATCTGTGAATTAAGCTCTATTTCTAATATGCTTAACTTGATAGCTTCGAACGCCGGGAATATCTGAAGACGTGAGGAGATTATGCCCAATTCAAAAAAAAAAAAACCTAGCAAGCTACGCAGTTCTCCCGCATTCAGAGCACCGTCTGCTAGATTTTCACCAAGACTGAATTGAATCGGGGTTTTGGGGGTTTCCCGATAAACTTCAAAGAATTCAAGCTGTAGGTAGATTTCTGACACGCCAAGATTTCCCGCCGTCAATGTCGGACGACAAACAACCATTGAGCAAACAGAGATAGCGAGGGATAGCGAGGGATAGCGAGGAAGAAATAAGATTCGGATACGAGTCAAACCCAAATGGACTCGAGCCAAGGTACCATCCAGCCATGTTACCCACTGGTTCGCGATCTATTAATTTCAAGATTTTGCACAGCCGCTTGGACCCATGTTTTAACGATGTGTCTTGAATAATACACTCTCGTATGAATGCATCGTAGTATTCTAATTTTTCTATAGATGCAAAACTAAAAATAGAAACAGAGCAGAGCAGCAATTTGAGATTTCTTTTTCCATGCAGACATACTAAAACACAACCAAGAATTCGCCATACGTTGTCGCTCTCTGACATAGCGTCTCGCATCTATGGAAGGCTAGAAAGACCCCCATGTCATAGGCCCGCTTCTACTGCTACCACATCCCTTTTGAGTATGTTCATCCTCTTAGCATGTTTTCTGCGAAATTGGTTCCTAAAGCTTTCCGGCGGCCCATGATTTTTGTGTGAAGGGGCGAATGGAGGGTATAGTTAAAGGATGGAAAATTATAATGCAGCCCCACAGTCGCAACGGCCACGTGCCTTATATATGGTATTTGCCGGCAGGTCGGCCACAGACTAGCCGGCAGGCAGCTCTACGACAGGCAGCTCTACGAATCGGGTATTCACGCAAGGGCAGTCCAGTAACAGAGACTAGCCGGTAGGCATATCGATTGAAATCATCACACGGATCAGCTCAACTCAGCTCGGCTCAAAAAGTAGCTTGAAAGTATAACCGCAATGGCGATCGTAATCGCACGCTGTCGCAACCACAAATAAACCAAATCAAAGCACAGACTCGACGTAACGCCGTGGCTCGTAATCACATCCAAAGGCCAAGAGGAAGCGCAGGCAGGCGACGATACCCATCCAATCCGTCCGGACCAACCCAGTTCAGTTCAAGTCCAAGTTCAGTAGCTCGCTTGATAAAAACACACAAGGGGTGGGAAAATAGGGATAATACCCTGAAAAGACGAAGGGCAGAACGCGCGATTATATCCAGTCCTATCCAGTCCGGTCCCAGCTCATGGAGGACAAAGACATATAAATAGATAGACAGACGCAGACAAAGCTGGCCAGACAGACAGAGAACCTCTAGCGCCTAGACGCCATTACATCACAGACGTGCAGAGCTTGTCAAGGAAAGAAAGCAGGAGGGAGCATATGCCGGACACATCAAGCTAAAATCAAGCCGTCCGTCCGGTGTCCCTTTGTGGAAGAAATTCGTTCGCGATCGTGAGGAGAAGAAGAGGGGGTTAGAGATAGAGATGTTCGTAGGTAGGTAGGTAGGTAGGTAGAATGGTAGACGAACATGAGGGGAAGAGAGAGATATGACCAAGGGGTCGGAAACAGGTGAAGGAAAGTCGTGAACATAATAGTACAGAGAAGCGTTTATTTTCCGCTCCGCTACCTGGCGAAGTCCGCCCACACTGCGCTCAGCCAGCCAGCCGGGATGCCAATCTCAGAAGGCGCATTGACCGACAACTGAGCCCACTCGCATCCATCCAGGAAGGCGAGCACGTCGTCGCCACCCAGACTAGTCGACAGCAGACTTGTGTCGGGGCCTTCGGTCGACGTCAACGGGGGCGAGGGGGCGAGCTGCGAAACCGAGCCAGGAGGTGGGAGGACTGGCAGGCCGTGGTGGGCAGGTGCGTTGATAGGGGGGAGGGACTGAGAATAGGGGGTTGGTGGCGCGGACGGGCGCGATGGGAGCCACGAGTTGATCGGCTGCAGGCGGTTGCTTGTTGCAGTGAGATACTGCGACGGAGACTGAGTGGTTGCCGACAGGCTGGGCAGGCTGGGTGGTGAAGAGGTATACATGGGCCCGTCTGGGTGATGCTGCTGCAGGGAGGGCAGCGAGTACGGGGACTGCGAGGGCATAGGCCGGCTGTTTGGGAGCGGAAGGCTAGGGCGGCGGTCGCCTTCGTGGCCGGGTAGGGGAAGGCCCGGGCTGTTGACGGGGACCCAGGACTCTCGGCGGCCACCGGCGCCGTCGAGTGTCTCGCTGCCGTCACCGACGTCGCTCTTGACGGCGTTGCTGCCGGCGTCGCTGAGGTTTGTCGTGCGCTCGTGCATCGGCTCGCCGGTCACGGCTATCGCGGTGCCGTCGTCGTCTAGCGACTCGGGGAGTTGGTCCTCGAGCGTGCCAAAGTCGAGGAAGAGCTTTTCAAGGAGCTTGAACTCTTTCAGGCCGCCACCGGCACCACCCTCGCGGACAGGTCGTACGCCGTTGGTGGCCGCGTGCTCCGACGCATCGGACATGCTGTCTAGCCGGCTGCGGGAGTGCCGGCGGAAATCGCGCTGAACTCTGGACAAGTAGCTGTGCAAACGGTTCAGTGTGCGGAACCATTCCACGGCCATCTTCAGACGAGGGCGCATCTCGCGCAGGAGATCGAGTGCCTTGCGGGCCTGCACGGCACCTAGCTGATTGCTGTCGTGACTCGCCGGGGGCGGCTTGATGCCGAGCAGTCCATCGGGATCCATGTGTGGGAAATGCGTGCCATAAACGCCGATAAAGGCGGCGTTATAGATTGCAAAGGCAACAAGGGGGTTCTCAACAAGTGCACCCCGCCCTTGGCAGGTAGCTACGAGATCGATCATCTGCCGGGCAGCCTTGAACAGCTCTCGCGCACTGTCGCGCCAGAAGGCCTCTGGCTGACCGCTGACTCTATCAGATGGGAACAATGGGTCGTCCAATGGACCGACAGGCTCGTTGCAACGGAGAGGAAGGAAGGGGATATAAGCGCGGTGCAAGACAATAACAGACAGGAAGTAGACGACATGCATCACGGTGTAGGACGCCAGGGTGGTCTTGTACATGATGTGGTGATCGGTATTCCGCAGGGAATACTGCAAGTTGCGAGACAGACTGTCCTGGAACCCATTCAGTTGCATGCGCAGAGACGCAAAGCGGGACTCCGGGTTCCAGGGCGGGTATTGTTCGGTTCGTCGACCCCCAGCACACGACCACTTGGCAATGCGTCCCCAGATGCGGATGATGCGAATCTCTCGACTCAGTACTGATTCCTCCGCACCGACTTCCCACCGATCAACATCGTCTTCGCTTGAATCCTTGCGGCGCGAGATGGGTGACCAGGCTTTCCCGTCGGAGGGGCCATTAGCGGCGGGAAGCTTTTCGTCGAATCCGCCGATGCTCTGGCGGATGCTAGGAATTTGCACACCCTGTGAACCGAAGCTCTGCGGACGGCGCCCTGTCGGCTCATTCAAACGTGCTGTCCGTACCCGCTCGCCGAAGGCAAAAGCGTTGTCACTCGGAAGCTGGATGCCGAGCTCCTTCACCCGGATCATCCGAGGCCGATACTTTCCGCTGCTCAGGCACCGGTCGAGCAGGAAGCAGGCCCAGAAGGTCCGGCGCTTGGTCTCCTGGGCAATGATCATGTCGGAAGTCAGTTCCTTTGGCTCCACGCGGCGTGGCAGACCGAAGTGATCCGTCTCGGCCTTGAACCCGGGCGACGAGCGCGACACATCGCGCGCTGGAAATTCGTTCTCCAGTTCGAATGGAAGACCCATGGCTTGTGCTAGACGAATGGCCATGCCCACGTATACCCAGGCGCTTTTGCCTCGGCACATCCCCCACTCATGCAGCGCCAGCATCAGCAGCGCTTGCACACGAGCTAGGTCTGGCACCGCAAGGCTGGCGCCATCCAGGCCGGCCAGTCGGCTGCGCAAAGCTGTCGCATAGTATTCGGATGCGGCGAGAGGGTTGGAAGCGTGGCCGGGCGGGGCTGGCGAGTGGAAAGCCACCAGGGAAGGATGGAAACGAGCGGTTAGGGCGAGTACGCCCAGTGGGATCAACGCGGAGAAAGGATCTGTCTTGTGACTTGGATCGCGCGCCAGATCCTGGCCGTCGAATGGAGCCGCCGGGGGTGGTGCAGAAGGGGTCGAGAGTTGGCGGATCTGGCCGAGAAAGGTCGCCGGGTGTAAGAAGGGCAGAAGTGTTGCAAAATGCGACTGGAAGAGATCTAAGACGGCCTCCCAAACTTTCATCGTGAGAATGGATGAGTCCAGCGCATCCAGCCCAGCCTTGGAGCCGGCTGACGCGCCCGACATACCGATTGACTTGCGAGGGCGCGAACGCTTCGGGCCATCCCAGTCGCCATTCCGGTCCTCCCCTTCTGCTAGGGCTGCCAGGTCGCGCTTGCCGGTAACGCCAATGGCCGGGGTGGGATAGACGCAGTCGCGGCCAGAAGACTCGCAGGCGCGGCAGGTGGTGTCGATGCCAGCGTTGACACACTTGATCTTACTGCGCCGGCATCGAGCGCAGGCGATGCTGGACCGCATGCTGGGAAAATCGCAGACCCACGGGTCTGGGATAGGGCGAAATCTCGGGGTAATTCACTGCGGCACCGTGCGATGTCCCATCGACCTGCGTTGAACGCCGGAGTATCCGGTATGGAAGGACGGGGGGAGGTGTACCAGTGGTGTGCCTGTTTCGGCGGGTTCGGACCAGGCGGCAATCGATCGCGGCTGTTTTCTGGGCGACCCGCGTCAGTATTGCATATGCCGAGTGTGAAGTTCAGCCGTTCATGGAGCATTTGGACTTACGGAAGATGGGCGACACCGGTGCGCAGCACTGGATTGAAGGTAGAAGCTGGGTCCGGGTGGGAGGGCAGGTGACGAGGAGAGAGGGAAGGGAAGGGGAAGCTCAAAAAGTGCGGGAATGGGCGAAGTGTGGGGGAAAAGTGGCAGTCGGGGCAGCGGCCCGGGAAGGCGAATGGGGGAGTCGGGAGGGAACGGAGTCGAGAACGCCGAAGACTGGGGGGAAAAAGGGAAGGCAAAGGTCAAGGGAAAAAAAAAGAAAAATAAGAGAATTAAATTAAAATACAAAGGGTAAAAGGGAAAGTGGGAAAAAAGATGGAGCCGAGAGCCGCTGGGGAACGGGGCATTTGAAATTGCGGAGGCCCAAGTATGCAAGGACGCGCCGCTGGGTTGATTCGTGGAGAGTGGAGCCCCAGACTTTCCTTCCGGGGGCCGAGCTAGAAGTAGTAAACGGAGCCGCCAGGGCAGAAGAAAGGGATCCCAGGAAGCAGATCTGTTGGTACTTGACACGACCGTATCATCGAGGAAGTTCATTGTAAGATGGATAAGAAATCTGAGTGCTGAAGGCGGTGATCCTTCTGCCAGTCCGGGGTATGCAAAAGGCCCGTGGCTGCGGACTTGCCGAGGAATTGTCCACCGGAGAAGGCAATGGAAGACGAGCACCCCAGCAGTCAATCAGGACCACGGCCGCACTACGAGTCTACCGTACAGCGCTACCATTACGATCCGAGAGGCCCGAGCTACCGGTCTGAGGGGTTCTGGTGCCCCCGTTCATGATCTCATGATCGTCTTGGACCCCGACTCGCCCCCGACCTGTCTGTTACCGACTCGACCGACCGAAGCACGGTCCAGTAACCACCCGTGTCGAACAGCGCGGCCGTCGCACTCTATCCAGCCCAATTGCTGATGCCGTCCTGTTTGTACGGGATCACCACTGGCCGAGATCCCAATGTGCAGTGCTTGCGTGCCGACAGAGTTCCGTGTTGATGAGGTTATTGGTGGCCTGGACGTGCTCCCTCGACGACAGAGCCAACGGCTGATCCGGCTACTTTCCGACCTCGGATGATGGCCCCGTCTCACTTCTCCGGGCAATCCTCTGGGCCAGACAAGAGTTCCACTCCCAGGAATCTACGTAACTCGACGGCCAAGTTCCTAGGTTTCCTCCACCTTCCTTCTTGACCAGGGGGGCCAGTATAGCCTGACGAATAACGTCACTCTTGCCAGGTATAATATTGCATAGTATGAGGAGCCATCCAGGATGCCCCTTCCCCGGTTTAGACGGGCTGGATCCCTCCCATCCGATGCCACATACCAGGCCTGTTGCTGCTCGGCTGACGTTCGGTCGGCCCTAGCCCCGCTGAACAGGACAGATCTGCTTGTGTGCTGTCCTGATTTTCTGGGCGCGCCGGGAAGTCCGAAACAGGCAAGCGGCAGGAACGAGGGCGTGACCTCGGACAGCTCTGCGATGGCCGTGGAGTCTGGTTGGGGTTGGGGCCTTCCACCGGAGACTCCACCGGCTCGGGGTCGTAGGGCTTGCAAGCTTGCTGTCTTTTCTGCTTCCCCTGGGTCGAAAGAGGGGTCCTGGGTGGACGGGGGGAAAGTCCCGTCAAGAGCACTCGGACTGGGGTCTGTGATTCCTCGGGTATTCCCTGCGTTTTCGTCACTAATGACGCCCCCCGGACTTTCAGCTTCTTGGCCCAGACCCCCATCCACCCTCCGACCGTTCCTCATCCGCCTCCTCCTACCGCGCATCGGGCAGTCGGGGCAATTGCGGCAAGGCCACCGGGGCTAGCCTCGTGGGCGGCACCCAATCGACGCGGGGTCCCTGAGCTCCCTCGGGCTCCCCGCGGGGAGAGCGACGAGATCCGCGATTGATCCTCGTCCCTACACCCCGGTAGTTACATCAGGCAAGGATGTTCTTAGTCGCAGGCCCTGTGCGGAATCACTGTGGCGTGCTAGGATCGGCCCTGCGCACGTCGATGACTGACGGCTGTCTGGCGGCGGCCTCCGTACCGTATCACGGCTTCCCCCAGAGTCCGTGCTGGCCGTGTTCTGGCTGGTGCCCGTCCCAACCCTGCTCTGCCCTCCTGATTCGCTTTGCCACTGCTCGCGTTGGGGGCTGTCTGTTGCTTGGCAGTGCTCGTGGAATACGACCGGATGCAGCACGGAACACCCACGCTGTGCCTGTACCACTGAATCGTGGGCAGCTGCACGCACTCTGGGCAAACGAGTCACTCCGAGGCCGACCGCCTCGGGCGATCGGGATTGTTTGTCCTGCCCTGGCCGTGCGGACTACGGACATGGGGTGAGACGCCCGTACATATCCCTCCCGCATGCCTCATCCTCATCCCTCATCCCCCCTTGCCTTCTGCGTGCCAAACACAGTCGCACACGGGAAAGCCCTACGCCGAGATTCCCCCCGGCAGACCCGTCGCGATTCGGCCCCGTCCGCCGGGCGCACTGATTGGCCCCCAGCCTCCGAGGCGCAAGCGAACCGACCCCGGGCAACCCCGCATTTGCTGAATTCGCATTAGGTAAGTCGGTCGGGCCACTACGAGCCGACCAGACATTCTCGGGCTGAACGTGAGAGAGAGTTGCGGCAGGTGGACACGGGATAGAGCTTGTGCCACAAAAGTAACTCACTCATTCCTACTATGCCGCTGCAAAGGACGAACAGAGCGATTGCCGAAGGAATCAGTCGGCAATATACTCCACCCCCCTCTTCCCCGGCTGGAACTACGATCATGTGCCCCGGTACGGGAATTCCTTTTGCCTGCCCGAATGCCCGGTGGAGCCCCCCTCGTTTGACTTTTCCCCGGTGGATAACCTCGGAGCAAAGCCCAGGCACGAGCTCATCTTGCGGAGAAACCAAAGCTTAAAGGGAAATATGAGCAGCCACGGCGGATCGGTCTCCGTTACGTCTCTTCAGCGACTGTACCGTCCGTTTCGACGGCCTCTTTACTACATGGACGTAACGACGGAGCAGTGCAACCGAGCTTTGACTGACGCCAATGCAACTCTATGATGTCCATCCCCCGCACCGCGGCGGATCACTCGTCGGCTCGATCGTTCGACTCGCCTGCTTCGTTCTCGGTCCCGAGGATCTGAGTGCGCTCGGCTCGCCTTTGCTTTGCGCCCTTTTCCATGTGGCCTTGGCTGCTCTTGTGGGGGGGGGGAGAGAACGGCTAGGCCAAGCCGCCGACCGGGGACCAACCAAGACGGCCAGAACTGGACCAGAACTCGGGAAACACGCCTTCACCTACCAACTTGCCAACTCCTCCCCACAAAGGTAACCTGAGCCCGGCCCTCAGCTGACAAGCATGAATAACAGCAATTCCTCCATCCACAGTCCTCCTTGCTGGACACGTCCTCCCCTGCTGACCATCCCCCTCCCCGTTCCTCCCTCCATCGACTTTTACTGAATCCAAGTGCCTCCGATCGCCCTAGGGTTTACGGTCCTCTCCATATTCCGGACTGCGTACAACTACGGAGTACGGGGCACCCATTCACCCAAATCTACCCCAAGCCTAAACTCTGTTACTAAACCCGTTGTCAGGATGTCCTGCCCCTTTTCCCGATCGCCCTTTTAGCCGATCAACAGGGCTCTCCGTCCCGCCGGATTACCGACTCGGTCTGCCATAGGCCCAGCCGTTGACCGTGGGCAATACCCGGCGGATATACATCGTAGTACGGTGCACGCCATCCCTTCCGGAACTCCGTGAAAACTCGTCTCTCGCGACAAGCATATAGAGTACTGTAGGATGTCTCATCTCGTAATGTTCTTTTCTCCCTGTGGCTTAATCACCCAAACCGGAAAATTAGCGATCGGGATCTCATGTACCCCACGCACCGTGTTCCGTCCACGGGGCCGTGCCCGACCGGGCGTTTATCCATCACCGAGCAACAAACAGAAAGAGAAAAAAAGATTAAGCCCCTCATGTCCCAGCCTGTTCGTGGGAAAATAACCTATCATCACACCACCACCAACCCCGTACCATACCCCTATTCCCCATCTCCATCTCCATCCCTAGAACCCAAACCAAACCACAATAAAAATCGGCCCGACCGATGTTCATTGCACTCCCCGACAACCAACCGTTGGCTCCCTGGAGCCACACCAGCCCGTCTAAATCCCCACATCGGGTTCGGCTAATAAGAATCCCAGGCAAGTCCTGCCCGTGATCCCGATTTCCAGGGCCCTGTGGAAGTGAATGATTTCATTATGATTCGAGTTCATTTGTGCGTGATCGTTTAGCCCCAGCATGGCGCGTGGGGGTTGGTTTCGGGGTTGCTAGCTGTTATTCTGTAGCTTCTGCGCACGCTGGAACGGCCGGGCCCTGCGGCGCACACCTGGCACAGCATAGCACAGAACAGGACACAGTGTACCATGTCCAGATGATGTGTACTACTGTAGCCGACCACGCCGAGCCTAAAGTCACACGCCATAAATGAACTAAAGACATAATCTGGATAAACTTCAGTGCCGCGAAACGTGGGCCGGCCCCCGACGGCTTTCGCCCGAATATCAGCTGGCCGATTCGTTTATCCCTTTACTCCGTACTTCGCTACTTACTCCCCGGTCCCAGACCGGTTTAGCCCCAGCACGGACGCTTCTCGTCTAGAATGTCTAGTGCTACGCGGCGCCCTAGTGTTAGCAACGCAACTGCGCAGGTCTAGGTTGCGGGGGCACTGCGCCACGGGGCAAATGTGAATGGGGTTACTCCGTACTTTGGGCGCATCGGGGGGTGTAAGGCTCAGCCAGTCCAGGGGGTGATGGAAAAGTACTATGCCCTACGTAGAACGGAGGTTCGGTAGTTCATCGGGGATTTAGCCTATTTCGTCGCGTGGCGGACGCAGTTTTGTTTAGGCTGGTCTGTGATGTGAGTATGGCGTGGTGTGGGGTGGCCATTTAGGGATTGAAAGGGTTGCAAGGGTTGGTGCTGGTAAGTGGTTTGGTCGAGTGGTGTCTACCATCATAGAACCTTTCGATTTGGCTGCGATTTACTTGTGCGAGTATTCCGTAGATGTATATATGCTGTTGAGATCGCGGTTCAAAGGGCCAGATACTCTGTGGATGGTGGTAATGCGTGCTGTTTCAAGGCAGGATCCTAATAATTATCCTCGCCGCAGGCATCAAGTAGTAGGAGGTGCCGAGTTCAAATGGAATCAGGCCCTGTAAGTTCCTTTGGTAGATTATGCTCAGCACGCATTCGGTATGATCTGAAGCTGCTGTATGAGTCGTACACTGTATGAACACTCTGGGGCCTTTTGGAAAGAAATCAGCCCAGTCGCACTGTAGATAGAAGAAATAAGGAGAGCCAAGGAGATAGCCATCAAAAAATGACCTTCCGTATCATCGATTGAAACGTATCTAGATACATACCTATAGGTATATCAGCCGCATTAGACGGCTCATATTCACTTCTTGTTTCGCCAGAATCCCCGAAGAGTCGACTCGTCCCCATCAATCATGCATGGCGGCCGGTGATAACTGCTATACCAGGCACCACCATGAACGTACTCCAACTTATGATACAGCTCCACATACTCGTCGACGGACATGTACATCCATCCCACCTCCTCTTCATCATATTCCGTCGTTCCGTCCTCCCAACTAGGATATTGTTCAGAATTCCTCTCATCGGAGGCAGATAACCCCACTGCTTAGACATGATCTTAACCATGGGCATATCTTCTAAAGATTTTAGGCACATATAATCTACGAAGAGTGCAAAGTGATAGCGTGCCCCGAATCCAATTTCTACGGTGGAAGGTTCACCACAATCACGACTAGTCATTTATCACGCGGGATATGCTAGATAAAATTACCCTAACTTTAATAGGGACCCAATCCAAAAAAGCCCTACTAGTATCTAGACTAGTATTTCTGCTGGTATCTAGTAATTGGCTCCCGTAGTTAACGAATCCCTAGCCTACTAGGATGTATACATCCCACTTACCTCAATGGGATAGATATCTATTAGGGCGTAGTCTAAAGAGACTGAGATTATATGTATTTACTAGGACTAACTCCCGTAGGAGATACTAATATATTTAGGAGACCTATTTCAAACATGCTGTTCTAATATCTCCTCTAAAGGAAATGTGGTTGTTGAGAAATGATATTGTAAACTTTTGCATTTACTACGCATTTTGGCGTGGGCGACATAAGCGCATGAGCGGCGTAAGCGGGTAACACGTTATGTTAGGAAGAGTCTCAGATTATTGATCTTCTTGTATCTTTCAAGAATACGATGTCATACATTCAATATTCAGATTAGAATACAATAATTCGATCAAAAATAAACCTCATTATAGATTCTGCCCTTTGCTTGTTTTCCGCCGCCTTGCTCATTGCCTCGATCAGGTTGGTGTCTGCCCCTCTTCGATTGAGAACGAGCTGCATCATGGCCCGTCCTCTTCCTGGCCACGCCGCGGCAATGGCGATGATGACTTCAATGATCTTCATTGTCTCCTCTCCTTTGAGGCCGAGTAGAAGCCCTCGTTGATCAAGGAGAAGCTTCGTCATAGCTTCTCCTCCTTCCTAATTTGCCGCCGCTGTAGCGATCACAGCCTTGGTGACCTCAACGTCCACTTTCCCACGGTCCAGCAGGAGTTTCATCATAGCTTCTCCTTCTCCCCAATCTCCCGCCGCTGTAGCGATCACAGCCTTGCTGATCTCAACGTCTACTTCCCTTTGGTCTAGCAGAAGTTTAATCACAGCTTCTCCTCCTCTTCTCCAGTTTCTGACCACTGTGGTTAACACAAACTCAGTGATCTTAATATCCGCTCCTTTTCGCTCAAGGAGAATCCTCATCACAGCCTCTCCTTTGTTCCAATTCGTTGCTGTGGCGGCGACCACTTCCTGAGTAATGTTGATATCCTCTCCCCTTCGGTCTAGGAGGAGATTCATCACAACGTCACCTCTTTGAGTATTTTCCGCGGCCGCCTTGACTACGGCATTAGTGATTTTGATTTCTGTCCCTCCTCGGTCCAGGAGAAGTTTCATCACAGCGTCTCCACTTTGCGTATTTCCTGCGGCAGTCTTGATCACGGCCTCGGTGATTTCAACTTCCGCCGTTGTTTGTTCAAGCAGATGTTGTATGACCGGAATTAGGCCCCACCTTGTAGCCCAAATTAGGGATGTTGACCGTCGATGTATTCCCGGCTCCCAAAACGTATCATATGCATTACATCCAACCCAGAACAGGGAAAACCTATCGCCCGCTGCGCATAGTTCCGCTGCCTTTCTGATCCAATTCTCTTCTGTTATGTTGGCCTCCTGCGTGTGGTAAATCCAATTTTGGGCGGAATATCTTAAAAATGCCTTCGCTGGGCAATATTCTTCAAGAACCTGACGATTTTCCATCTGAAACCCCGCCAGAATGAGATAGGCAATGCAGACCTTTGAAAGGGTTAAATGAGCATCTTGCAAATTGATCGAGTGTCTCCATCTTCCTAATACGGCTCGTTCATTCGTATGTCGTAGTAGAAATTCCCTTGCCGTCTGGTGGATGAGGTACACATGTGAGTCGATTATGCTAACAAATAATCCACACGCATCACGTATCCATTGTTTTCGCTTAGAAGGACCCTCGAGGTCTAAATTTCCGAGCGATCTCGAGTTTGGTCCTACTTCCAAGGCAACATCAATCTCAGACAAGCTCAAAGGCCACTGTGAGGCAACGATGATGTTTAATAAACGCGTCGTGTCTTGCCAGTTTCTTCTGTTGCATCTCTCTAGGATCGCTTCATATGCTTGCTCGACACTTTCAGGAAGTTCATCAATCCGCCGGAGTAACTTTTTTTGCGTAAGACCAAGACTGTGCTTCAGCGCATCTAATGTCAGATGTAGCCAGAGGTAGGTCCTATTAGAGATCTCAGTAAAGCGGCGTTTCAAAGCTCTCCGAATCTCATTGCTAAGGCGTCTCTTTTCCGCAATTTCGTCAACTTTTGCCTCCATAACAACAATTATCTCCTCGCTGATTGTCTTCCATTCATCATCTGCAGCCAGTCGAATAGTCGGATACCGACTCGTTAGCCTACCAAATCCCCATTCGATATCGCCGTATGGACGACTCGTAACGAAAATCTTTATCTTGGATTTGGTCCTTTGTCTCGCTCCAAAAGTCGTATAGAGCCGTTCAAGCTCTTGAATAAGTTGATCGCGGTCTGACTGTCGGCATTCGTCTAACCCGTCGAAAAGGCAGATCAAATCCCCACAGTAAGGATCTCGAGTTGCAGATAATAATAGCTGCCAAAGACGTAAAAAATCCATCTGCAGTGTCTTTCCATATTTCTGTACTGCCACTGTGGCGTATTTCTGGAAGAGGAATTCATTGGAGTAAAAAAGCTGATGCAGGACGGCACAAATCGCTGTGGCCGCTTTGTTTTGCTCCTCATTGTCTTTAAAGAAGAAATAGCATACCGTGGCTGATCCATGATCAAGGAGCTCTTCATCGACTAGAGTTCTCGAGAGCACTGACTTGCCACAGCCAGGGTCTGCAGAGAGCCATAACAGATTGTTATGCTCGCTATCTCTCCACTCTCGAAAAGTCGGATGATCTAGAAACCATCTGCATGTGTTTCTGATTCGTACAGGATTTATGTTCTTATGCACTTGGTAGGAGGAGGTATTGAAGAAGCATGGATCTATATCTACAGCGCAATATGTGTTAGCTTTCACCCATGTCTGAACGAGTTGTCGCCGAGGGTGTTGTACCTGACGGGAAACGGAATTCTGCCGTGATGGGAGCATGATTTGTTCCCACCTGTAGCCCACCATTCCTATCGCCGAACGATAGTGATGCCATAACGAATGCCGTACACAAGTGCTCATGAAGTTTTCGCGCATGTCATGAGGTGGGGGTGGGTACCCCTCATCAGATGACTTGGGGGCGGTAAAGCGTCATGCAATATCAGAGGGCCCGTTTACCCAAACCCCGTATTGACTGTCTTATCGAACCTCTAGTCTTTGATTGCTTTCTCTTCCTCATTATAATCTTAAAATGAGAACCGTCGCGGCAAATGCCTTCTAATTTGTGGTGTCCTTGATATTCTTTAACCAGCATCTAGAAAATGGCGTCCAGGATTAATGCCTTGAGATTCCTGGAGAACTCATGGCATACTACCAGCCTGTAGGTGGGCTATCTCGACCTGGCCACTCATAATGATTGTTACTGTAGACCCTTTGTGTAACGGGAGATCAGCTTTTAGGGTGAGGTTAAAGGTGTCTGATGTGATCAAATATAAGCAAATACACCCCCACCATAGCGGTGGGAGCAACCTAGCATAATCAAGAACAGAGAAGCGAGAAAGGAAGAAAGAGTGGTGGGGATTGTAACAACAATGAAATAGCCAAGAAAAAAGGAAACAGTAAATAACTGCGGACGGACATTGGATGTCACTGCGGCTTCCCCCGCTAGTAGCACTTCGTCTTTAGCCGCCCTGCTGCACGTCGTGTTTAGCGCGGGGCTGAGCCTTCCTACTGACGATGTTTTCTTATTTTCTTATCTGTCACCATGCTGTAACTCTCTTCTCGCTTCTTTACTATGGAAAACTTTTGAACCAGTGCTGCCGTCTTCCCGCTTCGGCCCAATATTCCTTCCCAGCTATCAACTTGGTACACTCGACCACATCCTCTATATGCCTGCCCCTCCCCGTCAAACATTCCAAATTGGTTGGATATGTGCCCTCCCGATTGAGGCTGCCGCAGCCAAAGAAATGCTGGATGAAAATTTTGGTATCCTCGAGTTTCAAGACGCAGCAGACACGAACACCTACACCTCAGGCAGAATCGGTAAACACCATGTCGTGATCGCCTGTCTGCCCGGAGGACAGTACGGGATGACCTCAGCCACCACGGTCGCAAACAACATGCTCCGCACATTCTCTAGCTCGCTTCGAATTGGGTTGATGGTCGGGATCGGGGGAGGAATCCCGTCGGCTGCTCATGATATACGACTGGGCGATATCGTGATTAGCTACCCGCAGGGCACTTCCGGTGGGGTGCTGCAATATGATATGGGAAAGGTTGGGGTCGGTGGAGAATTCCACCGAACTGGATCTTTGAATAGCCCTCCTCGGTCGCTGCTCACAGCGCTTAGCTCGATGAGGGCTAACGAGCTAACGGACGACCCTCTCTATCCGGAATATATCCGTCGCGCGACCAAAAGAACTACACGAACCCGGAGAAGTTTCGCCCGACCAGATATATATCATGATCGGCTCTTTAAGCCACATTACGAGCATCCTGCTGCTGCAAATAGCTGTGATGCATGTCTGCTAGAATGGGAAGAGACCAGAGAGAAACGCGAGAGTAGTGACCCGCAGCCACACTATGGTATTATTGCGTCTGGGAGCTCAGTGATCAAGAATGGGAATACCAGAGAGCAGCTTAGGCTACAAACCGGGGCATTATGCTTTGAAATGGAGGCAGCTGGTTTGATGATGGACTTTCCCTGCATTGTCATCCGCGGTGTTTGTGATTACGCCGATTCGCATAAGAACAAGCAGTGGCAAGGATATGCTGCTTTGGCAGCAGCATCATATACCAAAGAGCTACTAGGGTATATCCCTAAGGGTCATGTTTCGCAGGAAGAATTAGTGGTGGATGTGTGTAGTAAGTATCATCCACGTTAATCAAGAGTGGAGTACTCATATAGCACTTCACAGATGAGTTGAAGGAAGAAATCCAAGGCACCAATCAGCGCTTAGATCGAGCATACGATCAACAGGAACAACACTTTTATGAGCAGAAAGCAAGAGTTTTAACAGATCGGCAGCAAAAATGTCACCAAGCCTTTAAGATCGCCAATTACATGGAGCAGAAGAATATCAATCCAACCCGAGCAGAAGGGACCTGCCAATGGGCCCTACAGAGCCCTGAATACCTCCGTTGGTGGAAGAGCAGATGCAATGACCTCCTCTGGGTGTCGGCTGATCCTGGCTGCGGGAAGTCTGTACTGGCTAAATCGATTATCGATGATCACTTGCAGGACTCTAATTCGGGAATCACAACGTGTTACTTTTTCTTTAAGGACAATGCCGAACAGGATCATCTTGCTATAGCATTGTGCTCAATACTTCATCAGCTCTTTATCCAGCAGCCATCTCTACTACAACATGCGCTACCATCCTGGGAAAAGAATGGCGAGAAAATTCGGCAAGATATTGAGGAACTCTGGCAAATATTTTTAACAGCATCATTAGCTGGCGGGTCATGCAAAATCATCTGTATACTCGATGCGCTCGACGAATGCCGCGAGGTTGATCAGCACCGATTGATAGAGAAGCTCAGTCACTTTCACTCCCAGCGGCAATCATCCGCAGGGAATACGTGGTTGAAATTCTTCGTTACTAGTCGTCCCTACAACGACATCCAACTAGGTTTTCGAGCGATCACAGATGCTTTCCCGCAGCTTCATCTCAAGGGCGAAGAAGAAAACGATCAGATTCATGAGGAGATAGATCTTGTTGTGAAGATGCGAGTCAAAGACCTAGCCCAAGCAGCTCGCTTGTCACCTGAGACGCAGCAGAGACTCGAGCACCAGCTCCTTCAGATGGAACACAGGACGTATCTGTGGCTATATTTGGCTATCGACGACATTCGAACCACCTTCACGAAAAGTCTCTGGCCGTCAAAGCAGATAATCGAACGAATTCCTTCCTCTGTAAATGCGGCCTATGAGAAAATTCTCAGTCGGGTGCCAACAGGGGAGGTAACCAAAGTGAGAAGGATATTACAGATTATTGTCGCGGCTCGGCGTCCTTTAACCATACAAGAAATGGCAATGGCATTAGGTATAGCGTTACAGCCAAAGTGCCGATTTGCAGCGCAGGCTAGCGCAGAGCTAGAATATTTCGATGAAAAGCTACGCCAGTTATGTGGCCTATTCGTGTTCATCAAGAACTCGAAGATCTACCTCATTCATCAGACGGCCAGAGAGTTTCTCATCGGAGAAAGCACAGAGACTCCTCATTTCGCGTACTCGTGCAAACCGAGTGAGAACGAGCAGCTGATGGCTCGTATCTGTTTGCAATACCTGCTGATGGAGGATTTGGAGGACGACGGTCAAAAGCTTTTGGAATATTCCGCAGTACATTGGCCCGATCACGTGCGAAAAATGACTATGGAAGAAGACCAAGAAGTTGACGACTTATTGCATGATATATATAATACGACTGGAAAGGTATTCTCACTTTGGTTCCCATTGTTTTGGAAGGCAATGATGCCGGACGACAGCCCAGAGCATAAAGTGAGCCCGATTCATCTCGCAGCCATCAACGGGCATGAAAAAATTGTCCGCCGTCTCCTCGCCGAAGATGACAGTGAGGTCAATAAAGCGGATAGCATGAATTCATACCCGTTGATGTGGGCCTCATTGAGTGGATACAAGAATGTTGTGAAGAGACTGCTCAACCACGGAGCCGATGTCAATGCTCACGGTGGAAAGAGAGGCAATGCCCTTCAGGCTGCTTGTGTTAGAGGGCACAATAAGGTCGTGCAGGTCCTCTTGGAACACGGAGCCGATGTCAACCAGCAGGGTGGATTTTATGGCAATTCCCTTCAGGCTGCTTGTCATGGAGGACACGATAAGATCGTGCAGGTCCTCTTGGAACACGGAGCCGATGTCAACCAGCAGGGTGGATTTTATGGCAATGCCCTCCACGCTGCTTATGGTGGAGGGCACAATAAGGTCGTGCAGGTCCTCTTGGAACACGGAGCCGATATCAACCAGCAAGGTGGATTTTTTGGCAATACCTTCCAGGCTGCTTGTTGTGGAGGACACGATAAGATCGTGCAGGTCCTCTTAGATCACGGAGCCGATGTCAACGCCCAGGGTGGAGTGTATGGCAATGCCCTCCAGGCTGCTTGTGGTGGAGGGCACAATAAGGTCGTGCAGGTCCTCTTAGATCACGGAGCCGATGTCAACACCCAGGGTGGAGTGTATGGCAATGCCCTCCAGGCTGCTTGTGAGAGAGGATACGATAAGATCATGCAGGTCCTCTTAGATCACGGAGCCGATGTCAATGCCCAGGGTGGAATGTTTCCCAATGCCCTCCACGCTGCTTGTGATAGAGGACACGATAAGATCGTGCGGGTCCTCTTAGATCACGGAGCCGAAGTCAACGGCCAGGGTGGATTGTTTGGCAATGCCCTCCAAGCTGCTTGTGATAGCGGACACGATAAGATCGTACAGATGTTGTTGGAGAATGAAGCCGATGCCAATTCTCAGGGGTCACAGTATCGCAAGGCACTACACACTAGCTTCGACCACTGGGGTAAGAGAGTGTCAAGGAAAAACAAAGCTATGGCTAACAAGCCAAGTACTGTGACTAGCAGCTCATGAGTAGGCTGCAGGTATCGACACTTTTAGATACATTCAATCTATCATCATGCATTGAGCCTGTCCGACAGATCTGCAATACATCAACACCTTCCATATGGTGGGAACTCTAGAATAGAAAAGAAAAAGGCCCAGGTTAATCACTTAGATATCCACTCGATCCTCATGCATTTTTCTCTTTCGCTAAGGCTCCATTAGCTACCTTAGACCCATGGACCCCCGAGCCTTTCTTCACCTTATACTACCAAGCAAGCAGCATCGACCGGATAATGAACAATGACCGACCAAAGAACAACAGACAAAGAGAAGAGATCAAGTTGGGAACAAAATGAGAGCAGAGAACAAAGAAACGAATATATAGGAATGGGTCGGATATTCCTCACAGCATGGATATATAAGATACCTCCTCACCTTGCCTAAATCAATTCTCCACCGGTACAGTTTCCCACCTTGTATCTTCGTGCTGCACCCCTCACAAACCCATTTTGATTTTTTACTACCCCTGTTGGAAAGCCGAACTCAGGATGGCAGGCCGACAACCCGAGATTCGCTCCCCCTTGCAGGAGGTATCTCAGTTCGTGTTGGTAATCTTCATTTCGGTTCTCGTACGAGTACTTACTAACCTCCTTCAAGGCTTCCTGACTCGCGAACGCCCCGTGGTGGGTCCTCCCATAAACCGTGATGAGCAGTGGCTAGTCATACACGTCGATGACCTTCGCCTAGCAATCCAGCAAGCTGGTTACCACCGTGCAGATCGCTGTCGTACTGTGATTGGCCCTCGTGGTCCTGCTCATGCCCGCGACCGCCGCCGCCGAAATATCCGCAACCACCTTGCTGGCCCGGGCCCTGTTTCTTCTACCGAGCAAGTGCGACAGGCTCGAATAGCAGCCGTGACCGCGGGAATGCCTCGGCGCGCGCTTGACCAGGCACTGCGGGAGACTTCCAATTGTGATCGTTGTGGGATCTGTCACGATGAGCCTGACGATGGGACAGAGATTATCACATTTGAACCGTACTGCAATCACTGGTTCTGCTCTGACTGTCTCGGTGAGTGGTTCTTGCATCGCGCTTGTGACCGGTGGTGCCCTTTCTGCAGGGGAAGGTATGTGTGGACCTTGGAAAAAAATATAAACCATTGATCTTTTGTAAATTTTTGTCCATACTTTTCGTCAGGTCCGTGACTGACCATTAAACGAGACACTAATCGACTTTTGCCTTCTTTGTATGCTTACGTAGGATAGATAGATTGCCACTTATTGACAAGGAGTTGCATTGTGAGATTGATACTCACCTCAACCGAATAAATTGATCACTGACACTTCAAATAAAGTAGAACTTACCTTTGATAAAAATAGCAATCTCCTTCCGTCGAGTGACCTGCTCACAGAAGTCAACCGGGCCGCTTGTCCCAGTCTTCAAATGGCCTTGCGAGCTAATTCAGGGTTGGATCATGACCGGAGTAATGGAATCCATTGGAATTTGTGGCCCTCACTGTACATGATGGATCCATCACGCGTTCACCGGTGAGATCTGGATCTGTGCATGGGCTGTGGACCAAGTGCGGTGGTAGTAGGCTGGAACTAATCAGTAGTAAGGGAAACAAGCGCAGTGCCGTATCCACAGCCAAGTAAGCCTTGGACTGTACCATAACAGTAGCCCAAAAAAGCTGTCGGGAGGAGAATGGCTCAACGACTACCACAGGCCGTCCAGAGGGTCCCGGTAATTTACCGGTGGTGGGTTAGGACCGGGGGCACTTGTCAAGGCGGGCTTTACCAACAGGTCCACTTTAACCCTAGTGCAACTCCATTCAGCGGTCAATATGAAAGGAGTGTGTCAAAATATGCTAATCAGAAAATAAAGCCAGGTCTTTCCCACAACGGGTCTTGAGTATTCCTGTAATTCATTGCAATACAGTAGGATGCAACGAGCTTCGAAGTTTCGGCAGAAGAAGCTTTCCTACCATCATAGATAGCACTATAAATAGTCAATCTGGTGGCACTATCCATGTCTTCGGGGGGTTGCATTGCTTGTTTGTCAACAGGTGGTCCATGAGACAGTTTGCTTTTGCCGTGAAGCGATTTCCTTTAACTGTTGGCTAGGCTCCCTACACCACTTCCCGTACTATGCGAGCCAACGCTAAGTGAGAGCTGATGACGGAGCTACCTGGATTGCTGTTTTGGGGGATATGCAGATGCTTGATAGTTTCTGGGTTTGGCCCCGTGGAAATATGTTCCTCTTTCCCTTTTTTTCCTTTCCCGTTCTGGGTTAGAGAAATTAGTATGTTTCCGCACTGCAAGGCTCCGTTGGAGTAAGAAGCTGGGACATCTTTCGTTTACATACTTTGATAGTAAATAGTGCGTGATCTATTTACTGGGAACATTCCATGCTCGCTAGTTCCCGGGTATGGCCGACATGTCTAAGAAATACGGGTGGGATCAGGTGCCGAGCGGCGAAAGGCCAGCCCAGAACGAAAGGGCCGTAGACTTTCTACATGGACATTCTCGAGGTAATTACAACTACCTCACTACTCATTCTTTTGACTACTCCCTTCGACCGCATATAGTACTCAGTCAACCTCCCGAGTAAGACGGTTATGAGTGACCTGAAACGAGTTGTTGGTCAACGGGAGACCGAAACGTAACACTAACATCTGGGACAACACAATTGAGGCATATATTCGAGAATGGATATAAATGTGAACGATGCGACAAAATCGCAATTATCCCAAAGACAAGACCGTACCAGGACAGACCAGACCAAGATTTGCTGCACGCCCTTTCCAATCATGTCATCCATACATCGTCTTCTAGAACATGAACCGACAACAACAGCATAGCAGAATACCAAAGCCACAACTTGAATGATTGCAGTACAGATTGTATTGTATGGGCATCAAAATATACGCATAACTCATGACGGCGTCGAAGAGGAATGGAAAAAGAAAAACATACATAAACCATAAACATCAACATGAACATCAATATCAACATTAACATGAAAATGGAAAATGAACCACAAGAAACATGAAAACATGAACCCCCCAAGATGACACCAATAAAATAAAGGTAAACGTCCAAACAACCAGAGTGAAAGGTCAAAAAAAGAAAGAGACCAACAGGAAAATAGAAAGACCATCTCTGCCCATAGAAAAAAAGACCTGCTTCGTCACATTTTTGAGATTCGGAGTCCGGCACCGAAATTATAGTCAAGTCACACAGTGCGTGTGGCAGTGCATTGCGTCGCGGCAGGTTCTGTCTTCCCTGTCATATCAGCATCGGGCCATTGACCGAAACTGTATTGAGCTGCTCATCCGCACGCGCCGCGAAGATGGCAGATTCATAACAAAACGCAGAAGTAAAAGAGAACGACCATGTATATCAAGTCAAGCATAAGTCATAAGATCCGTAAAGTCACGTGCCAAGGCTGTGGCAAGCAATCACTTAAAGTCCAGCTGGAAAGCCTTCCACTTACCACCCACCGTCCGGCACCGCGGACACCCCCTCGCACTTGGGTAACTGGTGGGGCCTGGGGGTGGTATGTTGTTCAATGAGCCATTGCCCGGGCTGCGGAACGAGGTGGGCGGGCTGGAGATGAACATGCCGACGCACTCGCGGCAGACGCCGCAGATACACTCCGTACAGGCGTAGCACTCGTCCAAGGCCCATGGCCGTTTGCAGTGCGCGCAGTAGATCTGGATCTCTTTATTGCGGAAAGAAGCGGGGGTGGGGTTTGAGAAGCGGTGGTGCTGACGTTGGGAGATTGGCGGGATGAGGTTGAGGACGGGGCTGGAGTCGGAGTTGATGGAGCGCGCGAAGCCGGATGTCGTAGAGGGAAAGTTCTTTCCTGATGCGGGAGGACATGGAATCTAGAGACGATTCGATTGATGGGAATGGCTCGAGGTCGCTGTCGCGACTGCGAAGGGTTTCGAATGGTGGAGGGGTGAGTGACTTGTGCAATGGTGATGCAGTGTATGAATGGGGTGGGAATGGCCGATGCGAGGACAATGGCGGGAGTCCCGATCCCGATTGGAAGGCTGGAGGTAGCGAAGAACGATTCTTGGATCCAGAGGGCGCAGATGTCACATTTGCGAGCAGTGGGGCGATTGTTGGGGACCGGCCGGCCTAGAAAATCCCCCCATGTCAGTCACAAATTGCAGACTCCTCCAGACATAGAACTCACCTCTGAATAGGGTTCGTCATCAGCTTCCGTAGCCGACGTGGCTGCTTCAATTAGATCCTCCCACCGCTTACCTTGCGCCCACGCGGCTGTCTGCGGCTCTGCCGAAAGAGCCTTGCGGTCGCTGAGACTCGGGCGCCGACCAAATTCCTTCGATTTTGGCCGCTCATGCTTGGCCTTTCGAGCCGACTGGGTGATGGATGACTTGCGCGGGCGGGTCAGTTTATCTCGTCGCTGGATCGGGGGAGGGTAGATGAGCGACCGGGCGGGGAATGGTTGAGAATGGACGGAAGAAGTTCCCGCGGGCGGGGCGAAGAGAATGGCGGCAGGGGCTCTTGCTTGAAGTGGTCGCGCAGCGATGGCAGCTCAATGGACGAGCGCATCCGGCCCTGATGTATATCGGTGTCGGAGTGGGTGTCCTGTGGGGTAGCGGGGGAGAGTCAACCACTGTCCTGCTATCTGGGAAATCGCGGGCAGTTCGGAAAAGGCGAAAAAAGGCACAATGTCCATACCATGTCTGTATCCCAATCGGAGGCTAGGCGGTGGTGGTGCAGTTGTGCAAGCGCAACGGCCGCGGTCGCTGCGGCCGGGTGAGGTTCGTCGAGAGCTCGAGGGGTGGCCGGGGAACTGGCGTCAGCGACGTAGATGTCCCTATCCGCCATATCTGCGGGTAGCCGTTAACAATTAGTGTCTCGGGGAAGAAAGAAGCCAGGCAAGACGCCGCACTTACCGTGACCATGAGGGCGCCGAGGCCGAGTGGGTTCTGGAGGGGACAAATGCGCACGTTGTTCGGGCGGGGTGTTGACCATCAGCAGGAAGCTCTCTTCCGTCGCCGGGAGCTTGGGGATGTAGTGGTTCGGGTGCGCACGTCGGATGTGCTCCTGCATGGAGCGATAGCGCTTTTCCTGTCGACCACCATGGTTAGCTGCCTGAAGATATTCAATCCGAGGGAGTAGATCTGATTGATCGGAGAGTCTTCAGTGCTGTCGCATTCCCACCCGTTCCACCCGATGGCGATAAGGTGGGGCTCTGGCGAAGGCGCCCGGGAGGGGGAAGGGAATCTTGAGAGCGGCGAGGCGACAGAGGCAAACTTACTCCCAAACATCGCTTGCGACAATTGGAACCGTCATTATTCTTCAAGGGACAGACCACTTCATTGTTGGCGTCGGTGACCGAGAAGGAGCTCGTCAGCGAGCTGCGAGGAGGCATTGTGCATACGGCCCGCTATCTCTCTCGCTCTCTCGCTCGTTCTCTTTCTGCGTCGGCCGGGGTTCGACGGAGGTGTAGGAGGAGGGAGGAAACGGGAGGGAGGAGTATACGACCAGGAAGAGGGGAACGAGCACAAGCGTTTAGAATAATACTGCAGCGGCGCAGGATTGGCAAGCTCTAGTGGGGAGGAGAGGAGGAAAGGAAGAAAGGAAGGACGGCTCATACTGGAAGTGGCACAGGAGGAGCGTAAGGACGGTAAATGGCGTACCCAAAGATACCGCGACAGTCTTTGCCGCCCCAGTCCCTGCTGGAACTCTCGGGTCTCTCTCCACGGAGGACGGTTGCTTCAGCTGTTGTCCCGCCTGGTGCCCGGTAGACGAGGGCAGTAATTACCGTATGGGACGGTAATGGCGCTGCCCCCGCGAGTCCTGGTATTGGGGGCCCTGCTGATTTTTTTGCTTCTTCTGCAGGCACAGCTGAAAATTTATTGATCCCGTATGGTAGAATTTTGGTCGGATGTTGGCCTGTACCCCTCAGCAGCTCGGTCGATTCCCGCCCTAGCTAAGGCGGACTTTTGCTTGTCCGCATGCATGATGTACGTACCGACGTACGGAGTACTTCCCACGACCAGGCTTATCACCCTAATCGGAGCTGGGCGATCCATCGTGCGTACGGTCATTTTACGCCTCGGAAGACCTGGTAGAACACCGGAGAGAGCTGGAGGATCAGCAGTCCTGGAGACCGTGTGTTGGAAATTCAGCTAGCTACCCTTTTTCTTATATACATGTTGTATGGATTGTGGCTATCTATGCTGGATACCTCCCTTCAGAGGCGTTGAGGGGGGAGGTCGCGATAGGCGCTATCAGCGGCCCCTCCGAAGCTCTCCCCAGCTCGAAGCTCGAGATTCCAGAAGCTCTTGGGCGAAGGAGGGGAGCTCCGGGGGCGAAACCCTTAGCGCCACGTTACGTCCGTATTACCCGGTTCTCCGGCCATACAGCACGGTACCGAATGACTAAGCTGATGAGACACAGGGTAACTTAAGTTGCTCCCGCTGAATCTATCTACAGAAGAGTATACAGGATTTGAGAGGCGAACGGGTGAAATCAAGATCGAGATCTAGTCTGCAAGAAAACAAAGAGCCGCCCACAAAGCACGCCAAAACAAGACACACTAATCTCAGCTCGGGCCCTGTGCCGTGCGATACCGAGGCTGGCTCATGAAGTAATGACGCCCTAAGGTTGTCCGCTGTTCCGAACTTCCCCGGGGCCTCGATTTATGTACAAAATCCATGAGTATACACACTTCTGTGCAGGCACTAATCCCTCGACACTTCGTTCCAGCCTCCATCCAACCCCGGCCTCCCAGTGCCTCTTCCCACTTCCTCGTCGAGCTCTCTTGAATCCCGCACCGTACCATACATACCAGCGGCCCCCGTAATACCAGACCGGTACGTCGCCAGTTAGCCGACTCCACCAGAACGGGGCACATGCCGCTGAAAAGCATCCCAAAGCAGCCTCATTGGTCTGTCACGAGTCCAGTGGAGGCCAGAGTTCCCAATTACCTGCATTCTCATTGGCCTGCAGGCTCGGCGGCAAGGGCAACCATTCCGGATGGAGACGGCCGTGCAGGAGAGGAGGGGACTGCTACGAAAAAATCTCTGAGTGCTTGTCCCGCGTGAGGATTGTAAAGACACCATACGGAACTATAGTTGCTGAGCTAGGATTGCGCCGCCATTTGTAGTGTGTGACTGGGATTGTACGTGATCCGCCCCCCTTCCCCCCGCGGCTTATCGGCCATAGTGGAGTGCGAGTGGGCGTGGTCCCGAAACGGCGAAGCGGAGATTTTTCGCCGTGGGATGCGAACGCTAGGACTGGTTATACTGTACGGCGTACAGTATACGGATAAGGTGCTCGTTTCGGGAAAGCTCCTATCAGCCAGGTAGCTAGCGCACTGACTACGTTAGTTAGCTAGCTAGGTATTTTCTTTTTTGGGAGGTGCACGCCCGACGCCCATCAATCTGATTGCCGAAAGTGCGATTAACCACAACATGAATCTCATCGTTTGGATACTCGAAGCTGTACCTGCCTACACGCCGTATTCGTACTCCCAGGTATACAATCGTGTCCTTGGTCGCAAGTATGTCTGGGAAAATGCACCCGGAGTATGCTGCAGTGGCAGTCACTGCATTGTAGATCGTAGACGACTCGCTAACTTCCCTCACTCACACCCCCTGCTGAGCTTCGTATACAGCGCCGGACATCCTCAACGGTGATGGAAGCGAAAAATCTCAAGGTGCTCTTGGGCTGCAGGTACAAAAGTGACGGAAAGTCCCGCGATGGAATGGTTTAATGGATTCGGATTTGGTTCATGTGCAGCGATTTGATGAGCCTTTGCATTGAACAAGATAGAAGTACGCGGTTTCCACGCCTACCAGAGACGTATTCTGTTATGACGGACAGGTCGTCATCATTGCACAGACAGCACTTTGTCCTTGCGATCTGCCTTGCATGAGTAAAACCCCAGATTACGATGAGCTATGTAGCTTAGTTTTCCACATCCTTGAACGATGCATATGCGCGGTGGGACAGCATACGTATGTAAGAGAGTAGACCACTGGATCGGAGCTAACCCACAGAAGCGATCAAACCTCGGACAAGCCTGCATCTGGTACGCGAACAATTATTCATCGCAATGCGTGATTTCGTCGTATATGTACCGACCACTAGCTCTGATTTTGAAAGCATCTCGAGAGCCCGTTCGAACTCCACGAATGTGGTGGGACTGTAAAAATTTGAGTAAGTCTCGGCTCCGCAATCAATGAGACTGGATTTGATACCTATCGCTGACAATTTGCAAAAACAGCGGCAACTACCCAAAGCACGGTCCAAACCTCCTACCTAATGGCCACGCACCATCCATCAAAACCTCTCCACCATCACACCTCTCTACCTGTACCGTAGATACAATATATACAATACGCGACCTCCTTACACTCCCTGCAGAATCGACATACCAGCCGCGTCGCAGAAACGCAGGGTCCAGCCACTAACCCAGGCAACCCCGTTCTCGCCACTGTCGAGGGGCACAGAATCGCAATCGCATGCAATTGCTACTGAACCCATGACAACACGGTCAGCAGCACTGGCTGAAACGCCTACGGCGGATTGACCAATTTCCACCGCGGGGCCGTGTCGCATGCCGCCGCAGTCGGGATCCCCTCCGAGCAGGTAAGCCGAACATGAAACAAGCCTTGCTAGAGGTTTCACATGACCATCCACGCCAATAAAAGCCTGTATTCCTTTCACCCGGCAAGCTCCTCCAGCGGAGGCGTGATCATCCCATTAGCCACAGGCTCGCCATCCACCTTACCAGGCTGGTCTTCACCCGCGAAGAAAAGCAGTACCGTCTCCGCAGCAGCCTTGGAGTCGTCATTGTCTTGCTGGCCCGGAACTAGCGCACGATTGATCTGCTCCATGTACGCGGCGACCAGGGCCGCGGGCCAGTTCATGCGCCGCCCGAATGCCTGGCACAGCTCGCTGTTCACAAACGCGTCGAACTCGAAGTGGCCCTGGTACGTCAGGATTCGGCCGGGGTTGTAGAGCCCCTGAATTGGGCAGTCTGTGCTGCTGCCCATGTTGATCCATGGCGAAGGCAGGGAGACGACAGTCGGCCCAGCTGCTGATGCGACTGCGGCTGTGGAGCCCGGGGCGGGCAGGACTTGGTCACCGTGGATCAACTGGATGCGGAAGGGGTTCTGAGACGACGCACAGGCTAGAGGCTGGAAGTGTGCTGTGAAAGACGGGTTCAAGGTGATGGGCTGGATGCCCATCTCGAAACCGGTTGCGGCTCGCACAACATGAAACGTGTTGCTGGCGGATGACCCGTTTGCAGGGGTGGAGAGTAAAGCCTGCGCGATGATCTGATGGCCGAAGCAAGAACCAAACATCTTCACTAGGGGATAGTTCGCATGCACCGTTTGAATGAACGACTGGAGTTCCGCGATCCATGGGTACGGGTCATATGCCGAGCATGCCGACCCAGTGATCAAGATCGCGTCGATCGCGCCAAAAGGACCGCCGGCATGATGCTCTGTCGGCATGCGAGGGCTCGCACGAAGGGACTCAAGCGCTGGCAATGAGCCGCCCACAGCATCGAAGGCCGTAACGTGCACCGCTAACGGGCCGTTTTGCAGAGTGAGATTTGGATTGTCATTGATGCGCTTCGCGGCGGACTGGAGCAGCACGCGGAACTGGGAACTGTAGAGACCGCGCTTAGCGTATACAGAAAGGCAGGGCACGTCGGTGTCCAGCACGGCGACATGGATGCGGTGGGGGGCCATGTGCCGGGATCCGTGCAAGCAGGGCCGCTGTATATACGCCGGTTTTCAACTGATAGATGCGGATACAGTAGGAAGAGAAGAAAGAGGGTAAGATACTAAAAGATGGTATTGTAGATATTACTCCGCATGTGTTTGTGAAGTTATCAAAGAAAGACTGAAGAGATTGCTGAACGGTCGCCCGCACGTAGTCCGCTGTATGCCACTGATAGGGCGTGGGGTCGGATCCAAATGCCCGATAAGGGCACCCAGGTGGTTCTTGTGAGTAATACGGTGGAGCCACCCCAAAAGAGGAAGCTGAATCCTTATCTACGCCAGCGCTGGCTTGGGACTTGGAGACGGTGCGGTTGGTTTCGATTCTGCTCGTAAAAGTGGTCATACTGATGGGGTGCTTCCATGGTCAATAGCAAATATTAAGTGACTAGGGTTGATCCCACCGTCTGCTGGTGTTGTGTATGGGCCACTCCGAAGGGTGACTGCGGTATTATTCTGGCAGAGGAAATGTACACAGATCTTTTCTTTGAAGAAATATGCAAATATTTCCTTAGAATTGTCGTTTTCTCTTCATAAGATGCACTGTAGATTGTAGAAATTTGTCAGACAGGGAGTTTCCACAGTCAACCATACCGATGGACATGCGCCAAAGTCGCACTGCAGAATTGCACCGGCGAATGATGATAATGATAAAACGGGCAACGGAGGCAATATTATTATCTGATTCATTAGATGATCAGAAACCAACTCTCTCGCCCGAGAAATGCTTCATCAATTGAAAAACGTTGCGCTTAAAGAGAAGCCGGCCAACCACGTGTCCTGGCGGATGCACTCTGATCGTCAACCCTGCGCAGGCGTTCTCGCCAGGGAGGATTCTTCAAATATGGGGAACTGCAGCTGTCGGCCGAGTGGTCTTAAAGGAACTAGCTCACATAATAAACTATGTAGGGGTGGGTGTCTGACTAGATGTTGGGATGTGCCTGGACTATCGGGCTGTCGCTCTCGGCGCCGACCAGCCGAGCGGCCATCTCTAATCCAACATCTTTCAAAAGGTCTTTGACCCAGACCTGGGTGTATACACACCCCAAGTTGCGAGCAAACACCCATTGCCTCTGCGCTCCGGGTTAATTGTACAATGACGCCGGCCCTTTGATCAATGCACAGTCTCATTCTCCCGGCAATGCACTGATACACTAATACTGCCAATGCCGCCATCGAGCCCAAGCGCGGCCGCGGCCATCACAACATCGACCCCCGCCAATGGCGCCATCCCCCACCAAACTCTCACAATCAGCACCGCCAGTTAATCGCAGTCGCAACGTTGCACGACTCCATTCTGCCCTTTTCCATTGCCTGGTTCTCGCTTGTGAGAATCGCGAGTCCCGTGAATCCCGCGGAATCTAGCTCACAATGGCCTCGTCCTATGGAAGAGTGGAGCGCGGTGCTCGCACGCCATACCGGCCCCTGGATTCCTCACCTTTACTCACCTGCACTGGCAAGCGTAACGGCCTTCGATCTCACCATGTACGCAAATCTCGGCCGGGAGTGGGAATTTATAAATAGGCGCTGGCGCTCCCATCTAGCATCAAATTTCGATGTCGACTCAGTTCAAACTTCGTTCTGTTACCTTCGTCTGCTAACAGCCATCTCGCATCTTGCATCTTGCATCTATCATGGCTCCCGCTCTTACCGATGCGCTTCCTACAGCGCCTCATAATCTGGCCGGTGCTGCTCCGCTAGATGTCTATCCCGATGGCCTGAAGACGACGGGCCAGCACCCCCCACTGTATGACCACATTGTGCCCTTCGATCGCTTCCCGCGCGAAGTCACCGGTCCGACTGTCTGGAAGGCCGAGGATTACCGTGAGAACCCGGAGAAGTGGACGCATACTTTCACTCCCGAGCAGGTAGAGGAGCTGAGCGGCGCGGCAAATGCCTTCCTTGCATCCAAGACCCCGCTCACTGGTATCTCGAAGGTGCGTTCGGATTGGCAAGCCACCGTATATTTTCCCGCAAGCTGACTCGTGTGACTAGTCCAACTTTGTTCTTCCCAAGCTTGCAGACTACCTGGAGGCCCTCCGGAGGGACATCATCGATGGCAAGGGCTTCATTCTGTTCAAGGGCTTCCCTGTCGAGCAATGGGGCAACCATAAATCTGCTGTCGCATACATGGGTTTGGGCACCTACCTGGGCTACTTCGTCAGCCAGAACAGCCGAGGCCATGTCCTGGGCCATGTGAAGGATCTCGGCGAGGATTCAACCCAGATCGACAAAGTGCGCATCTACCGCACCAACGCTCGGTATGTCCCTCCAACAAACCACCACCACCCCCCATCCATAAGGTTTCCTTTTTCTAACGCACTTTCCCCCGCTTCCACAGCCAATTCTTCCACGCCGACGACTCCGACATCGTCGGCCTTCTCTGCATCGCCAAGGCCCTAGAAGGCGGCGAATCAGACATCGTCTCCTCCCACCATGTCTACAACACCCTAGCCGTCGAGCGTCCCGACGTCCTAAAGACCCTCACCGAGCCCATTTGGTACTTCGACCGCAAGGGCGAGACCAGCAAAGGCCAAGACGAGTACATCCGCACGAGCGTAGTCTACCTCGAGCGCGGCGCGCACGGCCGCGTCTACACCAAATGGGACCCCTACTACGTCCGCTCGCTCACGCGCTTCTCCGACGCAGGAATCATCCCCCCCTCTCCGCCGCCCAGCAGGAGGCCCTCCGCGTGCTGGAGGAGACCTGTAACCGCCTCTCGCTGCACATGATCCTGGACGTCGGCGACATCCAGTTCCTGGCTAACTCGCATATCTTGCATGCGCGCACGGCGTATACGGACCATGCGCCGCCTACCCCTAGACGCCATCTTATGCGGCTGTGGTTGGCGACGCCGGAGAGTGAGGGCGGCTGGAAGTTGCCGTTTTGGGATAGCAATGAGAAGAAGCGTGGTGGTATCCAGGTTGATGATCAGCCGCCTGTTGCGCCGCTGGATGCGGAATAGATTTGGTGGGGCCATGTTATGATATGAATTATGTGTAGATATTTGCGTGAAACGATACCTCCTTTTTTTTCCCACTTCGTCTGCAATTGCACCTGCCCTTGTATGTGCCCCTGGTGGAAAAGAATTGTTAAAAAATTGACTGGGAGTTGGTCTTGCGGACATCTGCAAGTGCCTTTTTCTAGATGGCTTGATAACCTTGAGCCCAGCCGTATATTCAGGCCGGTTCACGGCAGATAGTTTCGTCGTGTGTAAGTACGATGCAGATTCGATACGGCGACAGAGGACCACCTAGTTCACTCCACTCAAAAGTCAAACCATGAATAAAATTGTCATTGATACAGGGTATAAGAGCCAATTCTACACTCCAACGCCAGTCAAATGCTAAGCTTCGCACGAACCCCAGGGCCGTGTTGCCGGCTACCAACTAATGCACAAGCTTGTAGTTCCCGCCACTAACAATTTCCAACTTCTTCCGCGAAACCATCCCTGCCAGAAACTCTCTCAGCTCCTCATTACTGAACGGAAAACCGCCCGGCACCACGATCTTCAGCATCATAACGATGCGCTGCAGCGGCATAGCGCCTTGGTTCGTCAGCATGCCAACGATGAATTGCCAGTAGAGGTTCATCTTCTCCATTGCCGCGGCCTCGGCTGTCTCCTTGGCTGCTGCCATGGCGGCCGCTTCTGCGGCGGCGGCAGCAGCGTTAGATACAGCTCCAGATTGTAGGTCCGCGGCGCCGGAATTGTGCCCGGATGCGTCGGCTTCCATTTCGTCATCTGTGGGCAGGCATTCGAGGACGCGGAAGGTGTCGCGCGATGATTCGACCAGGATCCGCTTGCTCACCCAGAACAAGCACGCAGAGCGGACGAGGGTAGCTGCCATGTGCAGCTGCTCAGCGAGATAGGATACGGTCCTCGTGACGTTGTCGTCGTCGGTCGATTGGAAAGCGTAGATGACGGTTGCTTGCCAGGTTGTAACTTCCTCGGAGAAAGAGCGGTCACTCAGCTCCAGTTCGACAGTTGCCTGACCCAATCCATTACGCCAGGTAAGTTTGCGAGAGGCTTTGAGAGCTTCGAAGCCGGCGGAGTAGCGATCCTGTAAAGAGGCGATCTCGTCGGGAACCTTGAACTCCTGGTCCTGGATCTCGGGCCAGAAGAAGCGCGATAGGATCTTGGCATGAAGTTCTGGCAAGGGTTGATTTAACGGGCGCTTCGCGTGGATGCGGGCGGGTGGTTTGGATAAACCTTGGTCGTTGCGGACAACGGCATCGACACGGCGAGAATCCGAAATATCGCGCAGCATGACTTCGCATGCTTGCAGCGCTGAGTCACCGAAGCGCACCTTGAGCAGCTCCAGGACTGAAATCTCCTGGTCGTAGTCCTCTCGCTTTTGGAGGAGGCGATCGCTGAGGAGGGTTTGGAGTTCCTTCACGAATGTCTCCTTTGAATCGAATAAGCTGACTAGACTGTCGATGACATCCGAGCTTTTTGATTTGCGATAGTCGGTCGCTGCGTCGATAGGGTCCGGCACCCAGTTCATATCATCCCAGTCCAGTTCACTAGTATTGTTTTGTAGGGAAAGCTGGTGGGCCTTGGAGAGCTCGGTCGACAGCTCGACCAGGGTGTCATTGGTGGAAGGCAAGGCCGCTGCGTCGGCCGTCGCTGGCTCGGCTAGGAGACCGCCGACAATGACCTTCACAGTATCATCACGGCCTCGCAGGTACCGCCGGATTGGCCGAGCAATGCGATCTAAAAGAACGCCCTTCGGGTCCAAAAGATGAAAGGCCCGGATGATAGATATATACAACTGCAGAATCTCAACAGTAGAGGCGCCGGGGTGCAACAGTCGCTGATTCAGGATTGCAATGAACGACTGTGTTACATGAGCTCGGGCCGCAGGGTGAGTGGTGAAATGTCGCAGGTCTTCGACAGCCCCGCTGCTCGCAGGCCATTCAACAATGATATCAAAAAGCTCGCTGGTGCGAAGAGCTCCCAGACGAGCAATGCCAATCTCCTGCCACCTTTCCACGTCGCCAAAGCTTACATCCAACGAGCCAGGAGACTGGCTTCCCGGGGCTGGTGTATGTATGATCGCCAGAACCTGCACTGCCAGGCGAGCGAAAACATTTTCAATCCAGTGTTGCAAGTGCTGTGGTACTGCTGTCGGTGTTTCCCACTGTCTCGTATAGGCGGCGCGGACGAACTCGGTCATCATGAGATTCATCACGCTAGCGAAGACCTTCTGGGCTTTATCGCCGCCAAGCCCAACAAGCTGCAGACCATTCAGGAACGCGAGAAGTCGGTCCCGGGCCATCGTGACCCGTCCATTTTCACCCTCAGTCATCATTTGGGCCTGCACTTCGGATGTCTCGTTCTTCCAGTCCTCATACGAGACCGAATACTGCCGGTCGACCTCCATGCCATCCTGGCTGCTTTCATCCTCACGTGACTGCTCGATCAACGTATCGATACCCAAGATAATCAATGAGTCCTTGGCTAGTTCTCCGCCAAGTAAGGGTGATATTGTGGACCATGGCAGTGAGTGAGAGGCCACTGTATGAAATGCGCGTTGCAGTTGAGTCAGAACTCTTCCTTGTTCTCGCGTCGGCAGTAGCGGGAGCAGATAATGCACAACGGGGGCCAGGTAGATGCGACGGGCTAGTTGCAAGCAGTCCACGATCGTTCGCAGCAGGCCTTCCTTCTCGGGGTTCTTTAGGAGCTATTGGCTCATTAGTACGGTGACTGCGAAAGGGACATATCATCCTCCATACCTTGTATAGTCCACTCCGAAGATTCGTCAAAAAATGCCTCCGAATCTCATCACCATACCAATCAAACAAGTTCTTTGGTGTCGTCGCTCCCAGTGAAGTACTGCCCTGCTGGGCTGCAGCCGTCAGGTACGACAGTGCCTCGGCAGTCTCCTTGGACGGAGGACTAAGTCGGCTCCATTCCTTCAGTGCTTCACTACCATCGGTCTCTCTTGCTTCGTAAATTGGGGCAAATCCTTGATTGGGAACGGCTAGAAAGGCGGTTGACGCGGACCATGCCTGGTCCCATTTTTCCCGGTCTAGCGGTGCAGCGGCGGATTGTTCATGTTGAAGTGATGTGAATGAGCCGGTTTTCACAGTTGAAAAGGAAGAATTGGGTTGAAACGAGGCGAGTGGCGTTTGGTCGGAGCCTAAGCTAGATGCCAACGGTGGCCGAGCTTCGAGTGACGCGGGGGAGAAGACGGAGCCGAAGACGCGTTGGCGGCCCGCATTGAGGGGATACGTGGATATCATTGTGGTTAATGTAGCTTCAGCATTGTGAAATGCTTGAGTGTGACATTTGACAAGTCCAGCTTGTGGGAGGGTGGAGCTGTGAGGTCAACAACGCAGGTGTGTCGGGGTCGCAGCTTCAACAGCGGCGCGTGATCACGTGGCCCGCGACACCGTCGCCCGGCCACCTAAAAGACGATTACAGAGTGCTCTGGGTCCGTAAATCACCATTTTGGAGATATAGATATTCATATATGAGAGAGCTATCTACTGTAATAGCTGAAAATGCTACTCAGAGTGTGCTGAAGTGGACTCAGTAAGGAAGGCGGGGCGACCTCCCAAGCGGAAAGAGAAAAACAACGAGACGCCGAGAATAAAGCTGAGCGATGCGTGCGACGGAAGCCAAGTCCGACGCAGAATAAAATGCGAGGGTAGTTAGTCGTGTCAAGTCATGTCGTGTCACCTCGGACGTCACTCCGTAGAGCGATCAGAAAACCAAATAACAGCCCCTGGCGTCCACAAATTGCTTGGCTGGGAGCTGTGAATCCCACACCCAAAAGTCTTCGCGTCGTTACGCCTTATTATCCTCCACCTTCTCCCACTCGCTGTCAGTGCTCCCATAACCAGAACTATCGCCGCCCGTGCGGGAACGCTTCTTGGTATCGCGCTCGGTCGGTTGCAGTCTGGCCGAGGCAGGGTTGCTGCCCGTCGCGACGGCTGATGATTTGGAACCCTTCGTTGGCCCTGCGAAGGACTCTGTCTCGGTCTCGCTGTCGGCAGTGTCCACCGTGCCGGAATCCTTCTTCCCGTCGATGGGCTCGGCGTCTGTCTCGGCCTCCTTCTTCCTCTCCGCCTCCTGGGCTGCCTGCGCAGCGCGCACCTCTTGCGAAAACCAGTTGATCGAGTACCACAGCCCCGCGCAGAGGAACGATAGCACGACGAAGTGAATGCTATGTGTGGCCAGGCCGAGGACGAAGAGAAGGAGCTGAAGGGCAGCAAAGGAGACGTTGGTTGCGATCAATAGTGTCGGGGTGGGGCCCGGCGTGAAGATGCTGGACCACAGCTCTTCCATGAAGGAGGCCATGGCTTGGTGTTGCGGCGGGAGTCTGTGGACTCCTCTGTGCAGGGTAGTTTCGGCGAGCGGTGGCTGGACTGCTCGTCTGTGGGGTGACAGCAGGAGTGACGTCGCCGGGGGGGGGGGAGGGAAACGGAAACTGGTATCCGTTGGGCGAGAGGGGGAAGACAAAGGCTGAAGATGCGAGTTATCGGGGACCGTGTTCCGATGAGAAGCTGCTCCACCCGGCACGGAAGAGGGGCGGTTTGTTTACCAGCAAACAGCACGTCCAGGGACTCTAAGTCACTGGGGAATTCCGGGTGGACACTTAAATCGGGACTACCCCGTGGGGGACGGAATGCTAGTTAAGTAATGTGTTCGTGAATGACTATATTCGTAGTCGGTTTCCTGCCCGCGATGCGATCAGATGCGAACATCATCTGTTCAGTCGCGGGATGGCATCATCCTGTCAGGCCGACGAAACCCGGCCCGAGTATGCGCCCGAATATTCGAATCCCCTAGTAACTTTTGGGATGTGCTATGTGCTCATCTGCAGGCGATCTGCCTCTTGGGGCGGCGCTTATCCCCAACGCGGACTGGTCTGACAAGCCATGGGCTTCTCGGGGTGAGGCCGAGGGCTGCAATCTAAGAGATCCTGTTCACAAATTCAAGGCCGCTACACGGCGTTTGAACACTTCTATAGACCATAATGAGCAAGTCTGAGCGACGTGGGGATCCACAGAGACTCACGGTCTATGGCAGCGCCGTATCCGCACCATCTGCCAACAAGTCTCGTGCCTTCGTGGGGGGACATCAACAGGGATGTCCCCAGGTTCGCCCGCCTTCAACCGTTCTCCGATCTGCGAGCAGGCTTTTCCGGGCCAGTAAGCCCACTCGAGAGCGATGGTCTTTCCAATAGCCGCCCCCGAACGCCAATTGGTTGCACACGATTACCACTCGGTTTCCCCGTATTTTCCCCACGCGCAGCCCTTAGCTGCGGATCTCCCCGTGGATTCCCCTTTGCGGCGTCCCATCAGCCAGTAAAGAGCGCATTGCCGTCATCTCTTGCTCTACCCCGGCTTGGGCAGTCCAGTCGGTAGCCTCACAACGCCGGAGTCGGTCTTTGGTCTCAGCGTCCAATCATGGAGCATTTGTTGGTGCAAGTCGGCCGCGAATGGGCAGGAGGGGAAGGTTGCCCAGGCAGGGTCATAGTGCTGGACAAGGTGAGCCAATGCTGTATAAATATGGCCCGGGAGACGCCATATCTGCTGGTAGGACGGAAACGGACATTGTCTCCTCAAGTGATCCACCCCGCCGAATACTTCCAATTCTCTCACCTTTCTTGTTCTTGCTTTGGCTCTCAGCTGGAATGGCAGACGCGGCAGATAAGGCTGTTCTCGGTAAGGCAATATCACCTGATGGAGATGGTCCGTTGGAGGGCTTCACACATCATGCCGAGGACATCACTGCGGACCGGGAGCCGTATGGCCCGCCAGGGCTGCGCGGCCTGGTCAGTAACCCGTTCGTGCTGATGTGCGCGGCCTGCTCGGCGCTCGGTGGCTTGGTCTTTGGTTATGATCAGGGAGTCGTCTCCGTCATCCTCGTTATGGACCAGTTCTTGGAGGAGTTCCCGCGGGTCGGGGGCTCTGGCGCTGGGTTCTGGAAGGGACTGCTAACGGCGATGATCGAGTTGGGCGCCCTGCTGGGCGCGCTGAATCAGGGCTGGATCGCCGACAAGATCTCCCGGCGGTACTCGATTCTGGTGGCTGTGGTGATCTTCACCATTGGCTCCATCCTCCAGACCGCCGCGGTCGAGTATTCCATGTTGACGGTAGCGCGGTTGATTGGAGGTGTAGGCATTGGCATGTTGTCCATGGTGGCACCGCTGTACATTTCCGAGATCAGTATGTCTGTCTTGCCTTGAGAAAACTGATATGGAGACTGATCACTTGGTTTTCCCGCTCCTTGTAGGTCCCCCGGAATGTCGTGGAACCTTGCTTGTTCTCGAGGAGTGGTGTATCGTGCTTGGCATCGTGATTGCCTACTGGATCACGTTCGGCACGCGGTACATGGCCGGCGAATGGTCCTGGCGTCTGCCCTTCCTCCTGCAGATGATCCCCGGGTTTATCCTCGCTGCTGGTGTCATTGTTCTTCCATTTTCGCCCAGATGGCTCGCCTCCAAGGGTCGCAATGAGGAAGCACTCCAGAGTCTCTCCAAACTGCGCAATCTGCCAGCCTCCGACAGGCGAGTACGCCAAGAGTACATGGATATTCTAGTCGAGGTTCGTTTCCACCAAGAGACAAACGCCGAGAAGCATCCGACGTTGCAAAGCGGGGGCACCAAAAACTCGATCCTGCTAGAGCTGGCGTCATGGGCCGATGTCTTCAAGAAGGGGTGCTGGCGCCGAACTCATATTGGTATTGGCATCATGTTCTTCCAGCAGTTCGTGGGAATCAACGCCCTCATCTATTACTCACCAAGCTTATTCCAGACTATGGGCTTCGATACCAACATGCAGCTTGTCATGTCTGGTGTTCTCAATGTGCTGCAGCTGGTTGGTGTTACGACCAGTATCTGGATGATGGATACCCTGGGTCGCCGGAAGCTTCTACTGGGTGGTTCTGTCCTCATGGCTGTTTCCCACATCATTATCGCCATCCTGGTGGGAAAGTTTGGCCCCAACTGGGAAGGACACCAGACACAGGGGTGGGTCAGCGCAGCCTTCTTGCTGTTCTACATGGTTGCCTTCGGTGCCTCGTGGGGTCCAGTTCCTTGGGCAGTACCATCGGGTAGGTTAAACAGACAATTGCGATCCCTGAGGTGAAAAATACATGCTAACGGACACAGAAATCTTCCCCTCCTCCCTCCGCGCTAAGGGGGTCGCCATCTCCACCTGTTCCAACTGGCTCAACAATTTCATTATTGGTCTTATCACCCCGCCTTTGGTCGAGAACACGGGATATGGTGCCTACATATTCTTCGCGGTCTTCTGTGTGCTCTCAGGTGTGTGGACCTTCTTCTTCATGCCTGAGACTATGGGTCGCTCGCTCGAGCAGATGGATCACGTCTTTAAGGACAACTCCAATGCGCATGATCGGGAGCGCAGACGTACTATCGAGGCGGATGTATTGGCGGAGCGCGAACATGCATGAATATGTAAAGATATTGGTTTAAATTTGGTATTAGGACTATATGGGCATAGCGCTAGTTTATGCTTCTGTCTGTTGGATAGCATGGAGCATTATGAATCATGTTACGATGTCTGTATCTGCCTCTCGCGTAATCTAATGTAGTCCAATGTAATCTATGATCTTTGCACCAGATTGGGGGATATTAGGGCTTACTTACATTTCAAGAATTTAATATTGTCAGATATATGTTTGGGTCCTGGGTTTAAACTTCCAAGAACGAGGCGCCACCCGAGCCAAGTCCCGCCCCGAGCGAGAGCCTCACCCCGACTATGCGGGATGCAAGAACCTAAACCTACGTATTGCACCAATTTTGATAAAACACAATTGGGTGCGCAGGCCGTGGTAAAGTAGGTAAGTGTTTACAAACAGGCCAATGGTTTGGTGGAGTTAGCAGTCTAGCGTGGCCATTAGTGATTTACATGAACCACATCATCCTCATCGTTGATATTTTATTGATCTCTGGTAGAAATCGCCCGTGTTTAGGAAACCCTCGTCCATGTCTCGAGTCATCTTTGTTCTTCACTATAGCTATACTGGGAACGTCGGGCTAAATATATTTGTTTAATATACCGAGTCCCGAGGCCGCACGGCCAATCTGGTAAAAAATTTTAAGTTTTCAGGGGCTGCTACTATTTCGACTGTTGACAGCCAATCCGAGAACACGACTCGGGCACCGCGACACTCGGTCCGGCAAAAGTATATCACCGGCTTACTCCCTGTCAGCGTAGCGCATTATTCTCCATGAATTTCATCTGACCTTGTTTACCTTTGCTTCCATGCCTTTCAACTCACCCTCACGTCCTCAGCTACTAAATTCGCGAACAATGGTGGATGACCGTCACAAGACGCCAGTCACTCGCATTGACGCCGGTGACGAGCTTCAAATAATCCCCTTGAAGCCCGTAGACCAATGGCGTCCACTGGATAACATACGATCCCTGCTTTTCCTCGCCATGCGCAAACCTCTCAATGAAGATGCGTTGCGCGACGCTCTCAATCAGCTCATTAGACGTCACCTGCCTATTCTCGGAGCTCGCATTGAGCTCAAAAAGAGCGACCTGGAGTATCATCTACCTAAGTCCTTTTCTTCGACCTATCAGTTATTCGACTGGACAAACAGGACGATAAGTTCCACTCTGGGAGAGAGCGACTTGTTCCCGCAAGCACATGAGTCTGCCTCGGGGGCGTTTTTTGCGCCGGTCAATATCCCAGAAATGGAGAAAGCCTGGACTCCATCCAGTTGGCCCGTTGAACGCAAGTTTGAGAAACCTGGCGCACCTCTCCTGTTTGTTCACATCACCAAGTACACCAACGCCACAATTGTGGCACTAAACCTGCCGCATGCAGTGTCCGATCAAATGGGGTTCGGAAGCATGATCAAGGCTTGGATTAGAGTGGTCGCTGGTGAAACACCTATGGAGTTTCTCGATCTCTCCCCTAGCGCGCTCGACGGTCCCAAACTTTCGCAAAAGGAGTTGCGGAAGAAAGGCGAATATCGCATTCTGAGCAGTAGAGAGCAAGCCACCAAAATAATTCCGTTCATCTCTGATCTCATCTTTCACTCCAAAGAAACTCGGAAGACACTGTTTCTGCCAGTGGAGGTTGTGGATGATCTGCGCAAGCGGTGCACTGACGTTCTGAAAAAGAAGTACGGCAAGGAAACATTGCCATTGACGAATGCTGATATTCTCACTGGTATCCTGGCCAAATTCGCACATTTGGATCACAGACGACCAAAGATGTTGACCTTGAACTCCACCATCAATATGCGGGGACGACACCCTGCACTTCCCGCAAACAAGTCTTATCTTCATAACGCCCTCTCCTTTGCCGTTTCGCGGTTACCGATTGCGAGCAACACGCCACTAGCAGAAGTGGCGTACAAGAACCGTCTTGCAGTAACCGAGCAACTTCAGTTGAAAAGCATTGAGCGCAGCCTGGCTGTCACCAAGGAGTTGTACAAACGGAAATATCACATCCACGTCGTCGAGCCCTCAGATATTAGCTACGCAGTCACGAACTGGTGTGGGGCATGGCGAGATATTGACTTTGGTCCGGCGATAATCAGAGGAGAAGGCGCAGCAGCCACTGACGAGAACAGTACAGCTGTGCCTCTTATCTTTGGTCACTCGCTTCAGCGCAACTATCCGACAAGGTATAATGCCCAGATTATGTGCAAGGCGGACGGCGGGTATTGGTGTGATTTCACCGCTCACATAAAAGCAATGGAATGTGTTGAACGCCTTCTCAAGTCGGATCCTAAGCTGCAAAGCCTCTAAGCAACGGGACATCTGAACTGGGGAGTTGAAAAGGCCCAAGGTGGAATCTTACATTAAACAGTAAGCATCCTAGCTTGAAGGCGTCAATTATATAATTACTATACTACTTGAATTACTCAAGTGATTTCTATCAGAAACAATCTACAGTCTCACCCGCATACAGGATGCCGTCGCTGATGTCTATTTATCGTCGCATCCGCAGCCAGGCTTGCCGTGAATGCCACCGTCTTGTGGGGCAGCGAGTTGCGGGGAGAAGTAGTCATAGCAGAGAACATCCCCCTGCGTGTTAAGCAGCTGCTCCAGTGTGGCATTTCCGGCGAGTTTTCCAATGTTGATCTCGAAGTCCAGGGTGACGTTCTGCCCGCTGTAGTCAAGTGGCACGATCGGACCGCCAACCTGATGAAGACGAAGCGGGAGATCCTTCTGCTGCCAGTTCCACAGAACGCGATCAAGATTGCAGTGGTGCATATAGAAGAGGGGATCTATTCATGTCAGTTTATCTTTCATTGATCATCACCTCAAGGGAGCGAGAAGTAACTTACCACCGGGGCTGTGAGCGGAGTTTCCGAGTGTGCCTAGAACACCTCCAACGCCAAAGTGGCCACTGCCATGAATGTTGGGCTGAGTGAAGCTAGGAATGTTCTCAAGGGCCCGGGCAAACGAGGTGTAGTCCGGCTGGCTCTCGACATGATCAATGATGCTCTGGCGCGCAAAGTAGTTCATGATCCAGGGGATCCAGTCACGGCGCAAACAATCCGACTCCCCTTTCGGTTGTCCCACATTGAGGAAGAATTTACCCTCGCGGAAAGGCCCGTCTTGGACACATCCACCACCGGTACGGCCAGTGAGATTGAAGGGGTTTTCGGCAGCAGTGGCAGGGAGGAATGGCTTTCCATTACCTCCGAACCCATAGTCGCTATCAAAAATTTCCGTCTCAAAGATGGCCATGGACGAGTTGTCCGTAGCGGATGCATCGAGCGCCCAGTTCCAGTAACTAGCAGTAGATGGTCAGTAACTTGGTAACTGATGGATGGGGTCAACTGTGTTATCAATACTTACGGCTGGGCACCCTTGTACCCACAGGCCTCTCTCAAGTACCGTTCATAGGTGGCGGTAAAGTACCGATGCCAAAGAGCGAAATGGCCCTGATCGACAATGATTAGCATGATCGACCAATTGCTGAAAAGGCCCAGATTTGTTGAGGGGTGGTGTGGGACATACCACCCAGTGAATAGAAGGGGTTTGCTCCGAATGAGTTGCCTCGAAACTCTGGTAGAGGTTGGTTGCATTCTGCAGGCCCCCAGTGACGTCGGGCTTGTGGGCCAAGCAAGTCACAGCATTGAGATAATCCGCACGTTCAGACTTGGACAGTTGTCTCCTGAGAGATAGTCAGTGCTTCTCTACGAAAAAGCCGGTGTTACATGGGGGAGGGGGCTTCCTACCATTCCTTGCGCTGAGGAGGGTTCTTGCATTGAGAGGCAAGGCTTTCCCCGGTCAAGAGCAAAACCGCAAGAGACAACAACTTTGTTACGTGCATCTTAGGCTTTGCTTCTTCGGAAATGCAGATAAACCCACAAATTCGGTGTTGGGAACGGAGGGAGAGTACGGTGGTTTTATGAGTGATTACTTGTTTGAAAGGGGGGCTCTGGACTATGACTTGTTCGGCAATCTGGAGCGGAACCCTAAGCTCAGCTTGTTCGGGGAAAGGCCTGCTAGCTCAATGGCTAGATGCGTGGCGAGATGAAGGGCAATTCATCCTAAATCACCCCTGCCTGCGAGTGGAGCTGTACGAATTAATATATGGATTCGCCAATCATAATGAAAGCCCTATATGCATGTCCACGTTGTCTATGCTGGAAGGAGGTTCTCCTCCCGAGAGATTCTTGGGGGCGGAAAATCACATCCTGGGGGTTATTGCATGATCCCTGGCAAGTGATTGAAAACACAAAACCACATGGCATTGATCATATCAATCATGTCAATGTATAGTTCTACAGTTCTACTTGAGCGCTGAATCCTTCTGGACTCATGTCGGAGAAACTGTGGAGTGTTCAGTATAGCGAGAGACTTCACAATCAAACCCTCTCGCAATGTTACATCCGAATCAAATTCAATCAATCTCGCAAATTAAGCCAGAGCCCGCCCCCGCCAAGACCCTTCGATCCAAACGATCTTCCAAAGACCAATTAGAGGCCGGTGGATTCTTGACCTCTTACTATCTTCGGGTATCGCCCGCCCCGTTCGCTGGCTAATCTGAACCCACGCGGCACTATCTGCGCCACTAAAGGCTAGCCCAAATAATCCCAACCCTATAACTTCGAACAACGGGTTCTCACTGGTGGAGTTGCGCAGGCCGCAATCGAAGACCTCATGCGGATCTTCTCTGCTTTAAGACACTGCGAACCAGATTGAAACCCCCGACCGAATGGTTCGGTGTCCTTAGCTGTGTACCTACGCGCAATTTCTAGAAAAAGGCTTAATGAATGTCTCACCAGACTTTGGCCCCCGGTAAACTGAAACCTAAACCTCAGGAATCGCATGCGTTCCTTCGCCCGGGACGCTTGAGTAGGGGCTGAATGTGGCACTGGGTAAATATTTTAGGTTTTCTTCCTCACCTTGTTCAGCATTAGCCAAAGGGCCTACTCGATCCGATAGTATAAACCGAGACGATACCCTAGGAGCCCCTTATAGATGTCTCCGTTGTCAAGGCTTTGTGCATGAGCTCTCGCTGCTGCTCGACTTTGTTGGGTCAATCATGTCCTACATCTCAGCGAGCGATGGCTCGCGGCAGCCAATGTTTCTGGCCGTCATGGGCTTCTTGCTATTGCTCTCATCTATCAGTGTCCTTCTCAGACTATATTGTCGCATTTTCCTGATGCATAAGGTTGGTCCAGATGACTATCTTATTCTGAGCGGGTTGGTCGTCACGCTTGGAATGGGTATCATAAATTGCTTTCATATCAGCTACGGGACAGGGTGGGTTACTTTTTGTGTCTCTGTTCGCTTTGAACCCCCAATTGCACTTACTCATACATCTCCAGACGACACATGACAGATTTGCCTCTTGGGGAAATTCTCATCCCGACCCTCAAGCACTGGTATGTTTACCAGCTGGTTTATCCGCTCTCCATTGGCTTGGTCAAGTTCAGTATCTTGGCGCAATACTATCGCATTTTCGTCACCAATCGCTTTCGAATAGCCGTGATTGGAGTGGCAGCCTTTGTCTTTGCGTACACCATCATTGTGATTTTCGTCTATGTAAGTTGTGAATTGTTAATTGTTCATAAGCCGATGCTCATCACTCATCAACCTAGGCCTTTGAATGCCACAGTAAACCCTGGAGAGCATGGGATCCGACGTCATTTCCAAAAGGATGCAACAATCTCCCTGCTGCATATTTTTCAACGGCCGGAATCAATATCTTGACAGATCTAGTCATTCTGGTGATGCCATTACCTCTTCTTATGAAGTTGAACCTGCACCGTCGAAGAAAGTGTAAGGCCTCCATTTTAAGCACATCCTCAAGTCGGGCTACATTTAACTCGGATAGACGCCCTCATCGCCATTTTTCTCAGTGGCGCATTCGCATCTGCCGCCTCGATTGCCCGTCTGAACGCCCTATATAAATACACCGTTACAAAGGACGTATCTTATGACGCGATCCAGGTACTTAAAAGACCAGTTTGACCCCTCTCGATGCTCATCGCCCTATTGTGTTTTATCGATACTGACTATACTCTCTGCCAGATCCTTCTCTGGTCTCAAATCGAAGTCAACGTCGCGATAACCTCTGCCTCAGCCCCATCCCTGCGCCCGATGTTCAACAGCATCTTCAAAAGCTCCTCCTACTTTGAATCCTACGGGAACTACAATCACCCGTCCAATAACATGTACGGAGCATACAGCGCACCCAATCATCGACGGACATTGAGACCAGGAACTCAGGGAGCAATTGAGCTGAGCTCCCGAGATGATGAGAATTATACTGTGACGACGGTGGGTATTTCTGGGACGCATGCTCCCAACGGGGGTCAAGGTAGTGAGGAGCGCATTTTGGCCCCTAAATCAAACATCACAAAAACGATTGAGGTTGAAATGAAGAGCGAGCAGCGGAAGTGATTGGCGTTGAAATACACGGAAGAAAGTTATGTGAGGATACACGAAATCAGCTCTTAAAAGATGCGGCCTCTGCGCTGAAAAAAATCTATGGGACGAATTCTTAATGCTAGTTAATAAACCATACACAAATGTCACTGTGCCAAACCTCTAAGCGTTTTCGCAGGAAGCGAAAATTCACGGTCGGCGATTTTGATCTGGCTACGGTACCAATGCATACGGAGTGACAATTATGGGAATGAAAAAAATGTTCTTTTAATAAATAATCATGATCCTAAGCGATGTGCATGTGGTATCTTAACAGGAATAATCAGAGCCCAAGCGGCCCCTAACTCCACAAAGTGTCTGACGCCTGCAAATGAAAAGGGGAAAACTAAGCAGAAGGCAAGCGGAGGAAAGCTGTGGAAAGCAAGACAAAAGCAAAGCCCCAAACGCCGATTAAATCACCCCATGGCGGGCCTTGAAAATAGATATTTTATCGTCATAAAAGAGAATCTCCTGAAGCCGGAATCGCACCCGCGAAGCGCCATCGTCTTCAGGCTCAGTGTCGTAGCCATCAGATAGATCGCTGGAGAGGAGGTCCGTGTCGTCTGGAACGCCCGGCTCATCATTGTCGCCTAGAGGATCCATTGGGTCGTCTTCGAAGGACATGGCGTCGTCCCCTGTAGCATTCGAGGTTTGATCGAGGCCTTGGGTCTCGTCGAAGTCGGGTTCGCTCCCATCACGACTTCCCTCGAGAATCTGGTAGCATTTGGCCTGCAAACCAATGTACGTTATTTTGAGGTCTGGGCGGATGCTCACAATGTCGAGGACTTGGAGGGCAAGCTCTTTCAGGTCGCGGTGGACGGTGTGGCCGATGTGGGGGAGGTAGAGAGCGAAGAGCTGCGGCATGTTAGGAAGTCGTTGGAGAAAGTAATGCCAGTCCCGGTAGTGCATTGCCATTCCAAGCTCCCGCAGCTGCGGCATGCGGCCGCCCGTGACGAACGAGATCATTTCGTGATTAAACATCCACTTGTGCCAGCGATTTGTCAAGCCCTCGGTCGCGCTGCCGAACCGCTCAGAAGCATCAATCAAGACCTTTCGCAGACTTAGTCGGTGTTTTCGGAGTATGTGTCGATATATGGCATCAACGGGGACGGATGATTCGTGACCTGGCGCTTCGTGAAGGTACACGCTCTCCAGGGTATTAGGAGCTAGGGCCTCCTTGATGAAGAGCATCAGATAAGGTGAGACGGTATCCGTTCGCAGATGCTTGAGATTGAGTGAGTACTCTGGGGCCTCAACACTCAGGCGACGGTCACCGTTTCGCTTATTTGCTGCCACAGGTGGTGGAGGTGCATATTTTCGGCGCAGAGTTCTCCAAAGATTTTCATGATCTGTGCATGCCATCAGAGTAAGAGTAGTAAGGCGGGTCCATTCGATCGCCGGTAGAAGCGTCGGTACAGACAAGGGAACTCGTTCCAACTCAAAGACCTGGAGGTTCAATTTATCTTGATTGGCCTGTGTACCACAGAAAGGCACACGAGCTTTGATGGTGGACGCACAAGAGCCTGTAGAGGGTGGAGATTCGCTGTCCTGGGTAGTTCCTAGAGATTTCTGCTCAGTCCCTGGCGGAAAGCGCGTTTCTTGCCAATCGTCGGACTCGACGGCCTTGGGGTTCTTCGTGGAGGATGGACAAGAGGACGCTTCTGATGGCACCGACCGTTCAGAGGCTGAGGAGTTCGTAGTGGTGTATTCCTCTTGGGCTGGCACGTCGCGTTTCGAAAGAATGCTGAGCACACCACCAACCTTTGGCCACCTTGATGGTGATTCCAAAGAAACATCGGTATCCTTTGCACAGCGAAGCCAAGACAACATGTGGGCCTTTGAAGAAATTCCGATCCGCAATTCAACGAGGCGATGGCGGGACCGTTCAATTAGGGTTGCCAGTTCCTCCACGTACGCCGATTCATCTATGTCAAGAACTGTGACGCTTTTCAGCGGCGGCAACACTGATAACGATGGGTATTCCACATGGCTGTTCTTAAGAGAATTCAGCAACGCCGTCATCAACGAGGCGTTGTTGCGCAACGGATTGTCCCTGTTATCATGCCAGCGCACCCAGACACGCTCGAGACGACAGTCCTGGCCTGGTCGGTTAGCCAGTGAAGCAAGTGCAAGCCATATCTCTCGGACCACCCCTGTTGGCATGTCCCAGATGAACGCCTCAAGATTGACCATCCGCGCCACGGCCAAGGCCACTAGCGTCCCCAGCATCTTGCCCACCTCTCTGTTCACCGAGTATTCCTGGACCCAGCTCAACGGACCATTTCCGATAGAGAATGTGCGCGTGTATTGTGCATAGTAGTTTCCTCGTCTCGACCGAAAGACGGGGCTAATATCATGTGTCTCGGTTCCAGAAGAATGATGGCCACGACCGTCGCAGCCACAATGCGCACAGACATGTGGAGATCGGTCAGCTCTGGGCAGCGGCAATTGGTGGAACACATCTTCTCCCATCACCAGCGTGGATAATCCGTAGGACAAGGCGTCAACTCCCGAATAGTCATCTGTCGTGGGGTTCAACGACTCAGGCCAGACAATATCGAAGCGGGAGTACATGTGTGGAATGGTCAAGTTATGGAGAGCGGAGCATGTTAACGCGAGTGAAGTGAGGTCGTTCGTGTGTGTCACCTATCATGTACCGAATTTGTTAGCCCTTGTGTTCCGGGGACAGTGTGATAATCGAACAACACGGACGGAATCCATGGAGACAGCCTGCGAACGAACCTCTTTGACGATTTCCTTCAACATATCCAAAGGCAAATCAAGTAGCTCCATTCTTTTCTTGTCGGAATTCGACTTTGAGGTATCGAGAACCGAGGGGCCCGTGCCGGGCGTAGAGGCCCGAGTCGTGCTCTGGCCGGAGCTTTCACTTGAGTCTTGCGCGGTGTCGAGGTGGAGCTTATCGAGCGCAGCAGGTAGACGATGTTTAGCGCGGGCATCAGGCTCCAAAGAAATAGTGCTTTGGCTTGACACAAAATCCTCCTCATCTGACGACAATGCCTGGTCGGAGGCTGGGCGATTAGCCCAATCCGGGCCGGCGTCCGCCATTGAGGAGAGGAGACGCGGAGGATTTCCTAGCACGAAGTCGCGGTGAAAGGGCACCAGTCAGCGCCAAAATACATATGAAGCTGGTAGTGCGAGCTTTGGGAGCCGTATGCCGTGTCACAGAGCTATTGTCTTGAGGAAGTGAAAGGAGGTAGTAGTCCGGGGAAGCGATAACCTAGTGGAGTGAGGCAGCGGATCAGCCCGACGCGGATCCCGCATCAAAGCGGGGGTTATGTCAGCACCGCTCGACCTTCCCAATTCCAGCACTGATCTTAGCGGGCATAGGTACAGACATCTGATCCTACTGCTTCCGGGAAGAGACAAAAAAGACATCATAGGTGGAAGGGCAAAAGCAAAAGGGTAATAGGTAAATTTTCATTATTTGAGTCGGTATTATTGGAAATAGGTAAACGGACCGAGGAAGCTCATCACGGACCGCAGGTATATATCTGCAAAATTAGGGAGGTCCATGATGAGACCGACCAGTCCGCGAGGAGGCTGGCCCTGGCCCGACCTTCGTTGTATGTTACGATGATAGAAAAGAGCCAACTGGAAGATAACCAGGTGCATTCAACGAAACAACGAAGGTGAAGAAGAAAGAAACTACAGAGGCCCCGTTAACTATTTTGCAGAGGGCTTCCACGCAAACAGGCCTCATCAGGTTAGTCTGGTCAGGTGCTCCCATCACCCACGTCCATCAGGTGATCTCTGTCCATCGTTCTGTCATGCGTCACATAGCGCAGGCATTGCAACCTACACATGAGGTGAAAGGAGAAAAGAGAGAGGGACTGGCAAGATAAAAAATAAAAAATAAAAAATAAAAAATAGAAAGAGACATAATGTAGGAAAACATTCAACGAATTCTTCTATTGAAGCTGTAGATGAAATTTGCATAGAACAATTTTTAGACTTAGCATCACTCGCAGCGGGCTACATTCTGCTTTCCATTAGTCCTCACGACCCAATTTTTCCAGATTGAGTGCCGCACTAATGCAAGCCAGATGACTAAACGCCTGAGGCGTATTGCCCATCTGCTCGCCCGAAATGGCCACTTCTTCAGAGAACATCCCCAGGTGGTTTGAGTAGGACAAGATGTTGTCAAAGTGTGAGAGTGCGAGCTTCCAGATGTTTGGAATAGGAACATCAAACTTGGCGGCCTATATAAGAGGAAGACACAGCGAGGTGGGTCAAAATTAGCGAAGGGGGTTGTGCGCAGGATGTGTGCACTTCAAGGCGCGAGCACTTACACGAGCCATTGCTTCAACAAGCCAGAAGGTAACCATGATGAAGGCACCCTCGCCTCCGCCAAGACCTGTGCAACACGGGCATCAGTAACGGGCGGGGTCGCACTGAAGCAAATGCAGAGATCCGGAGGGTAGGTCACATACCATCATTGGCTTTGACATGGTCGTATCGAAACACCATTTTCGCACTGGACAGTCCCTCTCTCTCCGGGCTTTGCAGAATGCGCTTGAGGGTGCTAATGAATCGTGGATCATTGGGTGCCACGAAGAAGACCAACGGCGCGATCAAAATTGATGCATCCAGCACGTCGCGGCTCTCGTAGCTCTGGCAAAAATGGCCGCGCTCGATGTTGTATCCTTTGTCCATGATCTCGTCGTAGAGTTCGTCACGTACTTGCATCCATTGGAAACGGTCCGGGCAGGGCAGACTTGTTCGCTTCTCTGCCAGTCGAAGGCCACGGTCCAGTGCCACCCACATCATGACCTTCGAGTAGATAAAGTTCTGGATCTGCCCGCGAGACTCCCAAATGGACATGTCCTTCTGGTGTCTTACGCCAATGACATAGTTCACCATGCGGCGGATCGCACCCCATTGGTCATAGGTGATCGGGTTGCCGTGCTTGTTGTAGAGGTAGATGCTGTCCAGGAGTTCGCCATAGATGTCTAGCTGCGTGTGGAAAACAGCAGCATTGCCGATGCGGACAGGCTTGCTACCCTTATACCCATCAAGGTGTTCCAGCTCCAGTTCGGGAATGTCGTACTCGCCACGGATGGTGAACATCAGCGGCAGGAAGGGCCGCTTACTCCCGGGCTCGATACCCTGCGCAGCATGCGGAAAGATCCGGTCAAAGATGAAGGTGACGTAGGCTTCCGCCTCACTGCTGTACCCCATTTTCAGGAAGACATACAGCGTGAAGGCCGTGTCGCGCACCCAGGAATATCGGTAATCCCAGTTACGAGCGCCGCCCACATTTTCCGGGAGTGAAAAAGTGGGCGCTGCAATTATCGCTCCCGTGGGTTTGTAGGTGAGCAGCTTCAGGATCAAGAGACTGCGCTCGACGGTCTCTCGGTAGTGCCCACGGAAAGCGCACTTGCGGGTCCAGTCAGTCCAGTAGTCGGATGTTTCTTCCTCCATTTTCCACAGGTATGCAGCCATTGTAGTCGAGCTGGGCACAGCCTTTTCGGGACTGTGCAGGACGAAGTGCACAGTCTGCCCCTCAGACAGGCGAATCCAGGCCACTAGCCCGCGGCCATTTGCTCCCGGTCGCTCCTCCATGGCCAGCTTAGCCTTGGGATACCCCGTCTTGTCGGGCTCCCGCGAATCAGCAAAGATCTCGAGCTGCAGCCGCTCTGTCTCACTCTCGAAATGGATACTCTGCAACTGGTGCTTGCACAAGTCATTTTCCAGCTTGGCACGAGCCGTATACATGTCCCTCGCATAGTTAAAAGCCGGGAACAATTCCACCTGCAATTCCATTGAGCCACGGCTGCACTCGAGCTTTCTGATCAGGCCAGAGTGCTGCAGTCCTGACTTGAAGCGGTTAGTTCCGGGCTCATTGCACGGGCAGTAGCCTGAGAGCAGTCGGGCCGACTGGGCCGCCTTCTTAGGCGTCACAGGGAAGTAGTCCAGCATCGTGACGACGCCATCTTCATTGGTCCAGCGTGTTTCGAGCAGATTCGAGTACGGCAGATACCGCTGCTTGCTGTGCGGGTCGACCACTGAAGTGGAGGGCTTGACCGACCAGTAACCGCCCTTTTTGTCATCCAAGAGACGGCAAAACACCGAAGGGGAGTCGAAGACTGGCCAGCACATATAATCCAGACTACCGGCCTTGCTCACGAGGGCACATGTGTGCATGTCCCCGATCAGGCCATAGTCCTCAATGGCGTTATACGCGGGTTCTGCTGGTGGCATGATGAGAATCGAAACGGTGACGGTGAAGCCGGATTTGAATCAATAGATATGAAGTCCGGCGAGGATGTGTTTCCCGGAAGTGAACAGGAAAGATTTTGTTGATTGCAATCGTTGGCGGCACCGATTTCAACTAACAGGTGGATGCTCTAGCACAGCAGGGTGAGATTGAAAGGTGCAGCCCCAATCCATTATCACTTCTCCATACCATGGGGACATATATGGCCCAGGTGCTGGCCGGGGGACCTGGGACCAACGACATAATGATGATAATGGGTTTCCCACTGAGGTCATCGCGATGTCCAGGCGGTTCTTCCCATCGCAACAGGCCATTGGACGCACTGTGCTGGACCTGCGGACGCACATCATCATTATGGCAGGACCTGCCGGCGAGTCTGCATCGCAATTTGCCATGATATGCAGCTTCGGCGGAACTTCGCGCCTCAGGTACAGTCCAGTCTGCCAAGCCCAGCGGGTCTGCAGCAATTGAGAAGTGGTGAGACCTCGGGCAGCCATCGGTTTCAACATGGGCAACCGCTTCGCCCTAGCCCAACCTCAACGTGATCTCCCCCAGCTGCTCACCAGCAGCGCCCTGCAGGAAATCTTCGGAAGTCGCAGTCCGCCAATCGCAGCTGGAGGCCCAGGCCATCCCGGACACAGAACATCCTGTGGGAGCGTCTGCCTCTTTGGACCCCAGATCGACCGGACGGTGGAGCGGAAAGCAGGTGGAGCTTCGGTGGCGGCCAGTCAGCAACAACAGGACGGAGAAGAGATGGTACTGCCTAAGGCTAAGGCCCATCAGCGCCGGTTTTGTGCTTCTTCAACTCTCTGACGCTCTTAACTTTCCTTTCCCGCGCGTGACCGCTTATCCGTTCCTTTCTTCTTTCATTATTTGGTGCCGTTCGCTTTTTCTTCCGAGCCATTCTCGAGGCTCTTTCCTCTCAGTACACCACACCACCCCTTTCCTCCCTTATCTACCGCAGGGTGCGCGGTCGCGTGTACACACTACCCCCGATCGCACCTTCATGGGGCTGACACATCTCACGTCGCCTCCCCCTCCCCTCCGATCCGCGTCTAAACCCCAGTCGACAAGTCGATAATGGGGTTGTCAGCCGCCGGGAACCACCACCGACGGCGGAGCTCTATGCTCACGGGGGCTCGCTCATCGCAACTAGGCTCCTCGGAGCGGAGGGATGACAGTCTGCGACCGCATGGAGATGGTCCAAACAAATGGGACGAGCAGGAGCTCTTGGCGGCCGAGGACACAGACACGTCAGAGCTGTCGTCCTCGGCATTGGACCATCGGGAGTTGGACGTGATGAGTTCGGACGATGATCAATATGACGAGGAGACTGGTCTCACAGCACGCCAGAAACGCCAGCGGCGGCGACGGCGACGGCAACGTCGAAAGCTGGATGCTCGAATCGCCGACGTCAAGTCGTCCCGATTTGGCTTGCCTCAGCTGGGCCTGGCTGATCGTAATGTTGCCCGCAAGCTATTCGCCAACGCTGGCCTGATCCTGCTGTGGTACTTCTTCTCCTTGTCCATTTCCATCGTGAGTTGTACCCCTTCCATCAGAATTGTGCCCTCGGAAGAACAGAACGAAGAAGGAAAAGCCAGCTCACAATGCCCTTCCCTTGCAGTACAACAAATGGATGTTCTCCGAAAGTGATACCGTCTTCCCCTTTCCTCTCTTCACTACCAGCCTGCACATGGCCGTCCAATTCACCCTTTCCGCTCTTTTGCTCTGGATATTCCCATCCCTACGCCCTCGGCACCCGCCTGCATCCGCCTCGAACTCGCCGGTGGAAGGCCTGCAGGAGTCGGAGCCGGTGCTCACCAAGCTTTTCTACATCACACGCCTCGTGCCTTGCGGTGCCGCGACATCACTCGACATTGGCCTGGGCAACATGTCCCTCAAATTCATCTCGCTTACTTTTCTGACCATGTGCAAATCATCCGCACTCGCCTTCGTTCTTCTCTTTGCGTTCCTTTTCCGTCTCGAAACGCCCTCCGTTAAACTGATCATTGTGATCGCTACAATGACCATTGGTGTGGTGATGATGGTTGCGGGCGAGACCGCATTCAATGCGCTTGGCTTTGGCCTCGTCATTGCTTCTGCTTTCTTTTCTGGTTTCCGATGGGGTTTAACACAGATTCTTCTACTCCGCCATCCAGCTACCTCCAACCCGTTCTCGACTCTATTTCTCCTTACGCCTGTCATGTTCTTTTCTCTTATCGCCATTGCGCTCGCTGTTGAAGGGCCCAACCAAATCCACCAAGGCTTCCTTAACCTCGCCGAAAAGCAAGGCAACTTGTTCGGCTCTTGCCTGTTGGTATTCCCTGGTGTTCTCGCATTCTGTATGATTTCTTCCGAATTCGCACTGCTGAAGCGCTCGTCCGTCGTCACCCTGAGCATTTGCGGAATCTTCAAAGAAGTAGTGACGATCAGTGCTGCGGGCGTTGTCTTCCACGACAAGCTTACAGCCGTCAATATAACCGGTCTGGTTGTTACCATCGGCAGCATTGGAGCTTATAACTATATGAAGATTTCCAAGATGCGCAGCGAAGCAGAAGATGACGACTGGAGCCGTGAAGGGTCTCCAGAATCCGATACAGAAGATGCCAGCGGTGGTGAACTTCCAGAGTATCACCGGGCTGCCAATCCTGAGACGAGCCTGATTCAAGCGTCCCCCTCCGGGCACTATAATGATGATCTGCAAGCATCGCCGGCAGGCGACCAACGACGCTCGTTCCGTGTCCGAGCAAGCGGTGTGATGCACAACCTCTCGATTTCCACCACTATTCCAGAAGACGATGCCATTGAAACGCCCATCAAGTCAGCACCTCCAACTATCACCACTATGGCGGACGCGGGATTCCCAACACATCTCCAGCCGTCTGACTGGGAAGATTCCCCAGGCGTCCACTCTAGCTCGTCCATTTCCCCGATTCGAAGCCAAACTCCCTCCCAACACTAGTCTTCAACCCTCATTCATAACACCGACTTCTCCTCTCCTGTCTATCTATATGCCATCTTACAATGGTGTTTTGTACCGGCGACTTCACCCTCCTGGCTTCGGCCCGTTCTTCAATATCGACGTGAGGTCTAAGACCTACCCAGAAGAAAGCGGCGGCCATGGTGCTGGCAGATCTGCATGTCTACCGGATTTTTGATGTGCACGCCGACTTGGTTTTCATAGAGAAATGAGTTCTGGGGGTGTCTTTCGATTATTGCATGGAGGCTGCTGAATTCATTGCAGAGCGGTGGCTTGACCGATACCACCAAGTCATTTTTTTTTCTTGAGGCCTAACAGCCGGCCTTTTCATCTAATATCAAATCAATCAATGTCACGATTCTCCAATTCTATACTTTTCTAGGAGATTGTAGCTCTAATAATTTGGGTATTGATTGCTTGCTTTCCAACTTTGTCGTGCCAAACAAGGTATTCTAAACCTCACCTTACGAGACATGTTTTTCATCGCCATCAGCCCACTAACACTTAGCCGCATCACTGTTTATTTCCCCTTCCCTTTTTTCAAGACATCCATAAGACTTTTTTGCCCCTTCTCCTTCGCCTTGGCCTCTTTTTTCTTCTCAGTCTCAAGCTTCCTTTCATACTGCTCCTGCTGCTTCTCGCGCATAGCACGGCCCTCCTCCGAAAGCTTCGCCTCCAACGCCCGGAACTCCTCGCCCTCGGCATCCATCCCAATAAGCGACTCCAGCAACTTGATTTCGCGAGCCCAAACACCTGGGTCGGCGACTGCAGCCGGAGAAGCACCAGCAGGCCGCTTAGGGCCCTTTTTCGCCGTCTTCTTCTTCTTCTCAGACTCACTCTCGCAGCAACTGTCAGCATCATCATCGGCCGCCGCAGCGCCCGTTTGGCCGGGGACACGGTCAATGGGCGTTTCCAGGACCATAGGCAGGTCCTCGAAGCGTGGCTCGTTCATGACGTTGTGGAACGCGCGTAGACCCAGGAAGCCTGTTCCAATGTTGGCGTGTAAATCGCGCTTACTGCCCCGCGGTGCCTTGGAGTCGTTCAAGTGCAGGGCGCGCAGGAACTGAATGCCGATTAGCTCGTCGAATTCGGCGAGGAAGGCTTTGAAGCCCTCTGGGGTGACGAGATCGTAGCCGGCTGCGAAGCTGTGGCATGTGTCGATGCAGATGCCGATGCGGGAGTGGTGCTCTTTTGGGATGAGGGCTAGCAGGTCCCGGAATTCGGAGAGCGAGCCGCCGATTGTGTTGCCGTGGCCGCACATCGTCTCTAGAACTGGGATTACTGTGGTTGTTTCGGTAATTGCTCTGGTCAGAGTGTCGGCTAGACGGGCCAGCGCGTCCGGGAGGGGGTTTTGGTTTGTGCTTCCGGGGCTGGCATGAGGTAAGTATGAAGATTTCAAGAAGGATAGCGGGTTGGACGAATGGGACGGACTGGAAGTTATAGAGTTTGATACCGAGATCTTCACACCGACGGAGGTCTTCGAGGAAGGAGTCATAGGCTTGCTTAGCCTTCGCCTTGTCATTCTGCGCCAGGTTGACGAGATAGGACCCGTGGGGCAGAACATGTCTAGAGAAGATTAGCTGCCGAGTCTAGAACGGGCAGAAGCTAGATTCTTACTTGGCAGCATCGTAATTGTGCTCAGCGCACATCTTACGGAATTGATCGCGGACATCATCCTGGAGAGGCGGGTTGTCCCATTTTCTCTGTGACTTAAGAAAGAGTGCGAAGGCGTTTCCCCTGAAAAAGTACGTTAGTTTGCTCTCAGCTGAAAGCCCTCGATTCAGATTCAATCACTTGCCCAATATGTGTACTATTTGTGACGGAGTTGAAGACGCCTGTTCCATGTAGACCCGATTAGCCCTCCGATCGTTCAACCAAGAGACTGTCCAAGTAACTGACCCTTTGCAGCACTGACATGGGCACCAACAAACATCCGCAGGCCCTGTGTCCGTGGTGCCAGCGGCATCGCTTCGGCGTCCTTCTCCTTTTTGCTCTTCTTGCCCTTCTTGGCGGGCTTGGTCTGAATGGTCGAAGCTGCCTCTGTTTCAGTCTTTACGCTGACGTCTCCGCCTTCAGGCTTCACCACAGATTCTCTTTTCCCAATTTGAATGCTGGAAACAAGCTCTGTATCGTCGACAGCTTCTTTCTTGACGGAAGATGCAACTTGGGTCTTCTTGGATTTAGTGGCGTTGGGCGCAGATTTAGCGTTGGACCCCTTCTTCGGCGTGGGCACAGCCTCGCCTTCTCCTCCTGAGTCTTCGCTGGAAGAAACTTCCTTCAGGCTAGCAGTAGACCTTTGTCGCTTGGATCGTCTCAACGGAGAGATATCCGGAGTCCCATTGCTGAGATTCCTTTTGTGGCCACCCGTGGCTTCCGAAGCCTGCATCGGGGATTGGGCCATAGAATACCTGCTGCGTGGATGTTCTGCCCCTGAGACAAGATAGAAGATGCTATCCTGTATCGATTTGATGGGATTTGATGAAGACTGATAACAATATGTACCGTCAGCAGTCCCGAAATCGATGGGTCCCGAATTGATTGGGTGCGGATGTGGAGAACTAGCGAGAAATGGTGTCAGGCGGGCCGCAATCAAGGGATTCAGAGCAAATTGAGAAACAAGTCCAGCCCAAACAGTCTTATAGCTTCGTTCAACGTAGGCTTTTGTCTTCACAAAGCAATATCTTAGTATCTTCTCTTGCTCAATACTGGATCGGCGGTTTCTACACGTTGACAAGCGGATGTCACGTGTCGATCACCGGGGTAACGGTCATGTGATGTTTATCGATAACCCAATCCGACGTTGGGGAGCAACACACCAGTCTTGGTCTTGTCTTGTGCTGAGCAAGCCCCTCGCCGACTTTCACTGATCGCCTGTCGACATACCGCGAAGGCGAGATCCGGCATATGATCGACAAGATGGTGGCCTCCGACGACCTGATTGATTTTGACATCATCGAGGCCCAGAAAGAAAACGTCCAGTCCCTCCCAGGCGGCAGATCGGCCAGAGAGCTCGCTCGAATTTTTTCTGGAGGGAGTAACAGTGACAAATTCGTAACGCCCTCACCGAACGACACAAGGACTATCAATGGCGCCATTCGCCAGGAATACGAAAACGAATTGGAGTCGATAGGAGAATCGGATGATCCCCTCGATGTTTACGACCGCTATGTGAAATGGACCCTCAACGCGTACCCCTCTGCCCAAGCTACAGCCGAGTCGGGCCTCCTCCCGCTGCTGGAACGCGCCACCAAGTCGTTCCTGTCATCCTCACACTATAGAAACGACCCGCGCTACCTTCGGCTATGGATGCACTACATCAGGCTATTCTCCGATGCCCCGCGGGAGACGTTTGCGTTTCTTGCGCGGCACCGTATCGGTGAGAGTTTGGCGTTGTTTTATGAGGAGTTTGCTGCTTGGTTAGAGGGTGCTGGGCGCTGGACACAGGCAGACGAAGTATATAGACTTGGCATGGACCGCGAAGCCCGGCCAGTTGAGCGGCTTCTGCGCAAATACAGCGAGTTTCAACAACGATACGAGCAGCAATCGCGGGATGCCGGGCCATCTTCACCTGCTCTACCAACCGTTAGACCCGCTCTGGCGGCCAAGATGGATCCGTTTGCTTCAACAGATGCCTCTGCAGACCCACAAGCCTCAGCGCCATCACCACAATCAGCCGGGCCTGCAAAAACAAAGTCCGGAAAAGCGAAAATGGCGATTTTCTCCGATGCTGATGCAGCCCAGTCAAGTCAACCGGCGACTAGCGGGCAGACAAAGGGGTGGGAAAGCATCGGCTCTGTGCGAGAGCGCAAGAAGGAAAACGAGGTGGAGGCAAAACCATGGGTGGGAGAGACATTGAAGGCAGGAAAGAAGTCTGGGCCAACACAAAAGATGGCCATCTTCCGGGACGAGGTGAGTTCGCAATGCTTAGTTGCTCTTCCTTTCTTTCCACGGACCTTCCATATATTTACGATCACAGGACTAATTGCTGGCTTGAACCTATGTGTTTCGATTGTGTGTATACAGTCCAATCCAAATCCACCTCCTGAAGAACCAAGTGCACCCAAGCACGTCCCAGAGCATCATGTAAGGGAAGCGGTAAACCCACGGACCGGTCGACGGGAGCGCGTCTTTGTCGATCTTGAATCAGTATACCCCGACTACCAAAATCCAGCACATGAAGTTAGTTTCGAAGAATTGAGAGCAATTAAGCGCGGGTGGATGAACAAGATTTGGCGACACCAGAAGGAACCACTACAGCAGATCTCCGGAAATGTGGCTGGGGATGCCCAACCCGCGAAGCTCAAGATGTCAAGTGCAGAAGAGCAGCTTCCGGAGCCGTTGGAGCAGAATCTGGTTATTGATAGTCAACACTCTCGACCGCAGGACCAGGACGGACCCTATGAAGGCAAAGCCGGAAAGGCAAGGAAGTTCAAGGTGCACGGAGAAACCCAGACTAGTCAGTGTCTACTTTTCTATCGGCTTCGGTATTGTGCGTTAAATACTAACATCTTCAATAGTCAAAATGAAGTTCGACTCCCCGACCAGCTCCAAGGTTCGACGGAAGAGCACTCGGGAGCCAACAATGACAATGCATACTCGCGCTGCAACGGATGAAATCTATGGCATCTTCAACCAGCCCTTGAAGGCCGAGATGGATGATGCAGCTGATAGTCTCTATGGCAGCGACTATGAGGATGACGATTGCGCCAGTGCTGCTGATAGCACAGGTACCGGTCACCACTCTGCAGCTTCGAGTGAATTTGGCGATGACGAAACGCACACCTTCCACAAGTCTTACGATGACACAGAGTACGGCGATGGCGACACGACTCGAGCTGATAGTGTTGCGGGAGGCGATTGGACAGACTTCAGCGTCAGCAGAGACGTTCCTGGCGTCGAATCCGCCGATGCGACGTCTCACTCGGTTGTCAGTGAGGGAGCTGCTGGGTCTCAGCATAGCACACCTGACAAGGAGCGGTTCGTTCCTCGAATGCCTGATGACTACAATCCCCCATATGGCACATATCGTGACCCGGCAATCATGGCACAGAACCGGCTGCCTTTCATGACGCCAATTGTGGAACGAACCGAGTCTTCCATCTCAATGACAGCTGCTAGGAGTCTGCACAATGCCAAGACTCCGTCTAAGCCTCGATCACCGTTGGGTGTGCCCCAAATGGGTGATCTTCTGCTCTCTAGTCCCATCGGAGCAGCAACGCCATACCACGGGGATCACACAATTGGCTCAGTGGCAGACGTCCCTTTTAGTCCGACTGCTTTCAAGATCCTTGCTCCCAAATTTCGTCGACGAGAAGCTTTAATCAAGGAGTTGCAATGCAATCCGACTGACAAGGGCATTCGCAACACCATCTTAAATTCACTAGAGCCACCTCTTGCATCCTACCCAGGATATCACGGCCACCTCCAAGACAGCAACTACGCCACGATGATCCAGAAATTCGTCAAGGCACACAATCGCAAATCGAAATCCGGCGACGATGAAGGTTTCGATACCCCGATTCTCGAATTCCCCGGCGCCGAGCGCAGCTACATCATCCGCCGCGAGCTCGGCGCCGGCGCCTACGCCCCCGTCTACCTCGCAGAAAGCGTCGACAGCCTCGAGTCCTACGCCTCCGACTCAGACGAGGAAATATCCGGCCAGGCAATCAAGTCCAACCCCTACGACAGTGCCCGCTACCCCTTCGAAGCAGTCAAGGTGGAAAATGGGCCCTCCAGCGCCTGGGAATTTTACATGATCCGCACCGCGCACGAGCGACTCCGCGAAGCGCCTGCGCACAGCCGCGCGACAGACAGCATCGTTCGCGCACACGAGCTGCACGTCCACACGCGCGAGAGCTTCCTCGTCGAGGACTACCGCGGCCAAGGCACGCTCCTCGACCTGGTCAACGTCCTGCGCAACGAGCCCATCGCCGCCTCGCACAACAGCGACGGCGGCCTCGACGAGTCCCTCGCCATGTTCTTCTCCATCGAGCTATTCCGCACCGTCGAGTCCCTCCACGCTTCCGGCATCCTGCACGGCGATATTAAAGCCGATAACTGCCTCATCCGCCTCGACGAATCCTCTCCCACCGACCCGCCCACTAACGCCCTCTCCCTCCTCGACCTCGACCCATCAACCGCAGATGCTCGTGACGCGCCTAGCTACGCGCCTTCCGGCGCACTCGGCTGGCGCTCTAAGGGCTTAGCGCTGATCGACTTCGGGCGCGGTATCGACATGGCCGCGTTCGTGCCGGGCGTACAGTTCCTCGCGGACTGGGAGACGGGCACGCACGAGTGCAACGAGATCCGCGAGGGGCGGCCGTGGACGCACCAGATTGATCTGTATGGTATCGCAGGTACTATCCACGTCCTGTTATTCGGGAAGTACATTGAGAGCGCGGCTGTGCGAACTAGCGAAGGCGGTGCTAGTGCTGGTGCTGGTGCTGGTGCCGGTGTGCAGTGCACGTATCGCATCCGCGAGTCGCTGAAGCGCTACTGGGAGCGCGAGATTTGGGCGGATGTGTTTGATTTGCTGCTTAATCCGGCGTCGGAAAGGTGGGTTGCCATGGAGGGTGGGCATTACGGGCCTGTTCTGCCTGTGCTGAAGTCTATGGCGTATGTGAGGGGGAGGATGGAGGATTGGCTTGTTGCGAACGCGGACAAGAAGGGGCTTGCGCTGCAGTTGCGGAAGATTGAGGTGCTGTTGGCGGAGCGGAAGAAGAAGCTTGAGCGCTCTTAGTGCGTGTCTGTGTCTGCTTGTGTGTGCGTCGTGATGTGATGGTGGCTGATGGATTCTTTCTCTCCTTTCTTTTGTCTTGTTTCATATTCCCAGCTGCCCTTATGAGGCTTTATACCCCGGTTGTTTTTGGACTTTTTTGCAAGCTATCTCCGCATACATACATGAAGAAGGGCGTTGATGTTTGATCTGTAGCCCTGAGCAGATATCAAGGCATTTCTATTCCTATACTTTGCATTCTATCGTGCCGCTTAAATCCTTCGACCCATCGAGGCCCGCTTCGATTATTTGTGGTTCGACTGAAGTATAGTGTACTAAGCATTATTACGCACCAATATTACGCACCAACGTTCTACATCTCCATCAAAAGGTGAACACCCAAGCAGAGAAGAGTCATAAAAATAAGAATAGTAAATTCGACCAGTCCAACCCATCATCAAAGGTAACAAAGCTCCCAGTTCATGCTAGGACGTAGTAAACAGACTAACTAGACACAAGACAAGCTTCAGGACAAGTACGATAAGATAAATGATGATGGAAATCGGACGGTTGTGAAATAGCACAAGCAAGGCTGGAAAAACACATGACTGTCATGGTCGGCTCAAGTGTACTGGAACACGAGCAGGGAATGCGAGGCAATGTCATCGGTTATGCAAAGTCCCACAGGAGGGACTGGGACATCCCTGCTTGGGTTAGGTTCCAGGCGGGCGTCAGATCGGCGGGGACAGAGTAGAGTGCAACAGAGCAGATTAGATCGGACGGAATTTTGCGGAGTGCATCCGCCGTTTCTATCCCGCCTCTGTCCGAGCAAGATCAAGATCAAGATCAGTCGCATCGAGAAATTAAGCCCGCCCTCCCATAGGCCGGAAAGGGAACCAATTCAGAAGAGAAATAAAGATAGAGATCTCATCAGGAGAATGAAAGATAAATGATGATAAGAAAAGAAAAGATAAGATAGGACGAGCTCGCTAGCATAAGGTCGAAAGGCACAGACAAAGCACAAGCACAAGTACAGGCACAATCGCAGGCGCAAAGACAAGGCAGAGAAGAATGAGAACCAAACACCACGCTTGCATCTCGGTCAGGAAAGGTCGTTCGTGGGGTTGGGTGCAACAGCAGCAGGCAAATCATGTGCGGTCGTTTCGTGTCGGTTCGTCTATGTAAATGAAGTAAAATCGCGTATGTATGGTCGTCGTGCACATTCTTCTTTTTTGAGGGGCGTGGCATGCATCACCTCCGCGTGGAGGTGGTCAAAGTGAAGTTGGTGTTGAAGTTTTTTTAGGCTCCAGTCCAGTACAGCTGGGGTCAGCTGAGCTGGTAAAGGGGGTGCCGAAGAGAAAAAATGAGGAAAATGGTCTCGTCATCGGGTCGTCTTCTGTGGCTTTGGTGCCCGGTTTGCTTGGTTGATGACACACAAACACCAAAGAGGCGACGACTGGAGACGGTGACCGAAAGTAATAAAGAAACAAAGAGAGAGAGAGAGAGAAAGAGAGTGGATCGCAACTAGGCGAGAGAAGAGTTGACAGCAGGGTGTATTTTTTTCGATTTTCGGTTCGTGTTTTCGGTGTGTTTTTGTTCTTTGTTGGTTTTCATATCGGTTCTGTGGTCACAGCTGTGAGCCACCTAAGACCGAGCGGGAAAGTGAAGAGGAAACAATTCAATCGATCGACTTGGAAAGAGAGTGAATGCGCATCAAGGAGTGCCAGGTGTGATCTTGGATCTGTACAGCCAGAAAACCGATCTTCTTCGAATCCACGGCAAACACACTGACATCCAAGATGCTGGGTGAGATGAATAGGGTTGACAAGTAAGGAAATTGAATCCTAACGGGAGTTGGCTGATCCTCTCCTCTGTGAACTCGTTCAAAAGAAGAGAGACTGACGCGGCGCTCAGGATTGCAGTGTCCACGAAAAAGATCGAAGATTTGCAATCGCAATGCGATATCCATTCAACGAACTGAAAAGAACATAGCATCGTCGACGCAGGGTACAGTTGTCCGCCCAACACACCAAAATCAGGATGAAAAAGCCCATCACAATTTTCTCTTCGGTGGGTGAGACTGAGAGTCTTGATAGAAGTAAAAAGCGTTTGTTTTTGGGGGAGGGGAGGGATATCGCCCAAGCAAGCCAGGTATGAAAGGACATCCTGGGGAGTTGAAAAAGAAATCTCGGGCAATCTCAAAGCATATCATTACATTCGTCACAGGCCGTTGCTGTCATAAAAAGGGGCTGCGATGCAAAGAGTCGAAGCGATGCGCGTCGCGCTTCTCTCTAGTATCTCGTTCAAGTCATTATGCAAAGGGTTGAAATAAAAATCTCGCAAACGAATCGGCACCACAATGCGGACGGAAATCGGAAGTAGTTGGCGACCGGGAGACACAGCAGAACATCAAATGGCAGGCACCATCTACTGGCGCGTGAGAGGTATGTTCAGGATCTGCCGGCGAATCCGCTCGGCATCTGACAGGCCCTCCTCGAAGGGATCGTGCAGCATCGGGGCTGCGGGCTTCTCCTGCTCCTGCAAGGGAGACGGGTTGAAGGATGGTGCGGCGTAGGGTGGGATACCGCCGCTGGAGAACGGGTCCGATAGCGAGGGGGCGTGTCGGATAAATCGTCCTGGGCCATCCCGGCGCTTGAAGGCAGATTCCACCTTGAAGGGGGAGCCCAGTCGCTTGATGTTGTCGCCGCCCAGGTTCAATAGGTGGTTGACAGGAGGGTTGGTGATAGGGGGAGTGGTCTCCTCCGCTTGGGATGAGATAAGAGACGAAGGAGGCGAGAAGAGCTGGTTGACATCTCTGGGTCCAACAGCGCCAGTGGTCGTAGCACCGCGGTTACGAACGCGGACCCGACCTTTGCCAATGCTTTGGAACTTGTTTTCGCGCAAGTAATTTTCCAAGCGGTTATGGACTTGCTCGTCCTCGCCTTCCTTCTCGCCGTACGCGTCGCTCGAGAAGACATCGTCGGCGTCCCTCGGGGTCCTCTCCAGGTTCGTGGTCCGACGCAAACGACGGCCGGGGACATGAACTGTTTCGCGCCGGGCCGTCTTGGGAATCTCCTGGGCGGGGCGGTTGGAACTTCCCGGTCCCCAGGTGCTATACACGAAAGGTGAACCCAAGCGAGGGGGAATGTGGTGCGATTCCACTTGGAGGAAATGCTGGCTCGGGGGTTCAGGCACCACGGGAATGGTGGAGTCCCTCTGCACAATCGGGGTGTTGAACCATTCGTTCGTCGGCTCTTCGGGGCCCGGCAACTCAGCAAGCTGGGCCAGCGGGGTCGGGTCATAGGTCGAAGCAAGAGAGACGCCAAGGTCGCGGGTGGCATATGCGGTGGAGTTGTCGGCAAAGTCACGAACATGCGGCTCAGAGGGGACGCCGAGCATGTCCGCCATGGGCTCCGGACTGCGGGACATCATCATGCGCTGATAATGCGGCGAAACGGAGAATTTGCGGCGGCACAGCAACTTCAGTCGGCCGCGGGTCTTCGCGTCCGACTTGGGCCACGATGGCTGCGCCGGGGAGTCGAACGCCTTGGGGGTGGAGCTGCCACTGCGGTCATTCGACTGGGTCGGCAGGGTCTGAGTGAAGCGGAGGCGCTTCTTCTCCCAGGTCCGCTTGGCACGGCGCGCGACTCGGGAAGTTACTCCCAATGGCGGGATGCTCCCCGGGGTCATCTTGAAGGGGGTGATGGTCGGGTCTTGCAGGTACAGCTGATATGTGTTCCACAGGTGGTTGTCCATCTCGCGGGTCCAGGACTTATCCTTGACGTGGGACCGCTGCACCTTCTGTCTCGTGGGCAGAGTGGGAGACTCCATTTCGGACTCCTTGGAGAACTCCAGAGGGAAGTGGTGGTCGAAGATGTCGCTCTCAGCACTTGTACAGCTCCCTCCTACGGATGGGCGCGACGCAAACGTCTCAATCGACTCAATCGAGGAGTCGGAGTGGCTCGAACAAGCAGAATCCGGGCGCGTAATGCCGCTTGCCAGGCCCGGAGTCTGATCCCACGAGGGCCACGGGTATCCTGGGTCGCAGGAATCGGATTGCGCACCGTGGATCTGGGCCGGGGGGGTCTTGAACGCCATGCGCTGCCGAGGAGGCGCTAGGAAGCGATCATCATTGACGGGCTCAGCGGACCAGGTCGCGTCAAAGGTCGCGTTCCACTGGGGGAATTCGATGGAGGGCACGGGGAAATCCTGAGATGTCTGCGAGCCCTGGAACCGAAAGAGATCCAGGTTGATTCGCTCACATACATCGGTGCCCGAGCGGACACGCACGCGAGGCAAACGGCAGCTGGAGAAGGAATGGCGAGGAGGAGGTGGAATTTCGATATGGGTTGACTCGCGTTCGGGGGTTCTGGGCTCATCGGTACTGAGCGACGGGAAGGTGAAGTTCTTGGGCAGCGTCCGCGACAGCTGGCGCTGAGCCATGATGTTGACAGTGGCGGGCTCCGCTCGCTGGTATGTGGGGAATGCCTAATTCGACGCGGCGGAGAAGGTTCGGGGGAAGGGGGTGAGGCGGCTGTGAATCTGGTTGTGGCCGGTGATCGCGGTCGCGGTGGAGAACAGGTCGTGAATCGTGATATGGGAAACGGGACAAGAAAAGAAAAAATCGAATGAGAGCGAAAGGGACGAGGGTGGCAAGACAATGTCGTGTGTCGGTCGTGATGCTGGTCCAGGACACGGTCTGTCGGTCTGGGGCGCGGAATGCGCCAACTGGGATATCTGGAATATCGGGGGGATCACCAGATCACATCTGCGGCTCCATCCCGGCGGGTTGCGAAGGGATAGAGAAAGCCGGCATTACCGAACGCCGGAAAAGACACAAAAGAAAGAGCGAGATACACTCGCAGGGGAAGAGGGGAGAGTGTGGGAAAAGGGAGAGAGGGGAGGAGAGGAGTGAGAGGAGGAAGAGAGAGTGTGGGTGGTTGGGCGCCAGCAGTGAGGCGGCCGGGGGGAGTCCTGGGGGAGGCCTTCCAGCGACGACCCTCTGAAAAAAAGGTACGGAACTAGCAGAGGAGGGGAAGTACCAGGTACCCGCCCATTGGGCACACCGGCCCGCCAACCGGCGGTATCAGTACCGCGGACCGCCCATAGCCCTGCTGCGGTCCACACCGATGCCTACGCTTACGCTACTGTCGGTTTTCCGATCCTTTTCTCGCGTCTCATTGCCTAACGATTCCTTCGCCTTGTTTTCACTCGCTGCTTCTCGCGCTGTTGGGTTTGTTTAGATTTTCCTCGAGTCCTTCCTGAGTCGAGAACCTGCAGCCTGGACCTTACTTGATGCACGCTGCATGATCGAGGGCGAAGACCATTGCATTACGGCGTACTACACTAGGCCAACTAACTACACACCGGCCACGTCCGCCCTCTCCAGTCCCGATAATTCCTGGTATGCCCGGTACTATCAGAGAGACCGAAGAGCTATATCTGTACGTCCGTAGTGCTCTGTCCACGAAGAGTCGGTCCTTCAGGTGCCCTACGTGCTCCTACGGTATCATTGAGGGGGCTGGGGACCCAGGAGCAGTCCTAGTTCGCGCACGATGGAGCCCGCTGGAGCTTCGCGACGCCGCGAGCTCCAGTTGGCCCGTCTGTGCGGTCGATCGTGGGCGGGAACCGAGATCATGGAACAACGGAGAGCTCCGTACGGAGTATATCCAGAGGGGCGGTCCATCATTCCCGGATTTTCGAGTGGGCTCCCCTGCAAGGGCTCGAGAGGGAGCAGAAGGATCCTCCGGAGAACGGTCACGCCTGCATCGTGGTGCCCATTTGCATCGAGGAAAAGCATCCCTATGCGCCGATCAGCCCGGAGGACGGAGTACAGGAAAAAAGAGTGGCGGGGATGTACGGCCCGAAGGGCACAAGCTGCTGCTCAGAGCTTCTCCTCGGCCTCGAAAACCCAGCACCATTCCGGCGCATAGGCCCACGGTCCCGTGTCCGTCTGCCATGCGGTGCCCTGCGCGGAGGAGTAATCCGTACTATGTTCTCGATTTTGTAAGCTGACCCCAAAACCTGGAACCCATCGGGTCCAGAGTCGAGATTTTCGCATTGTGCGGTGAACGTCCAACTGGGGCCAGAGCCGCGAAGCCACCAACTAGAAGGCCCCTCAATCCACAGTGGCCCCTCGTGCGGCAAGCATGCCCCAATATAACCGTTTTGGGACGGGCGTCTTCCGCGCGTCTCCACCGACGCGTCGCGCGTCGCGCGTCGCGCCGTTTGGGACAGGTATTTGGCCCAGCCTGATTGTGGTATTGTGGTATTTTTGGTATTACTCGTATGCGAAGGCCCCCGACTGTGCGGTGCTCCGCTCGTCCCGTCCTCGTTCGTGCCGGCTGGTTCACCAATAGTGCGATATCTGTGCCTGGGCCGCTCGGGGGGGGGATGCAAAGGTGCCTCGAGGCTCTGCTTGTATTCTCAATGTGGGTTATACTACGGAGTACGGAATACGGAGTACAGAGTAGGTGTTGGTTGCCTGTCAACAGTAGACTGTAGACTTTGGACTATGGACTGTATATGGTTGCGCAATGAGGATCATCTCGTGTGGAACTGAGACTGGGTGCGGCCGTGGTGGGTCCCTCTCCCAGGACATTGCGGAGTATAGCGTCCGATATCTACTTGCGACGGCGGTGGTGTATACGATGTTCCGTTGAGCGAGGCACTCCTAAGAACGGTATGGCTGAGCCTCAGTCTCCCACAATTCCCCTTAAACGTCCAATCATACGTAGAGCAACACACCAAATCTTACCCTCATTCGCCGCGAAGAAGCGGCTCCGGCAAGCGTGGATGCCGTGGCCGAAGCCGAAGTTCTCACTCGTCACCAACTGGTGCCGGTGCTGGTGGCCGGGCTCCTACCGCTTCTTGTAGAAACGAAAGCCATCGTATGTGGTGGCGTGAGGATGGTCTCGTCGTCGATGTATGCGGAGACAGGGATTGGGGCGCCGCGGGGGCTGGGCGCGCTTTCCGAGAGGAGGATTTCGCGCGTTGCGACACGGTTCATGGATGCTGGGGCGTGTGGATGCAGTGTACATAAGCAGGGGCCAGTAACTATGCCGTATCCGTGTTTAGGTATAGGTGGATGGGAACGGGAATTCAGCGCACTGATGCTCGCGGGGTTCACCTGCTGCGACTGAGCCATCACGCTATCCAGCAACTTCAGCTTCAATAGACTCGTCTTCTTCAGCACCCCGTCCTCAACAACCGGAACTATTGGCAGCTTGGCATGAACCAGGGGACTAGTGGGCACAGCACAAATGCTTCTCCAATACAAATGATCCGGCCCACCTTCTTCGACGCAGTCTCAAATTCTAGATACGGATGACCCTTGATCTCATCCACGTACTTGGGATGCAAGACGATGAGAGGGCTGGATGTGGCCATAACTTGGAAGACGGCGGTCCCTTGTTTGCCCCGTGAGTGACTAATGGGCTCATGGATGCTTATTGTCCCGCATCCGAACATCCATCTTCTCACCGCGAATCCATCTCCAAGCAGAGCGCACGCAGCCTCCGAGAACCGTGCCTTGGCCTTTCTATTGAAGAGATCCAACCGTTTCGTGCCGACTAATGGCCACCGGCCATAAAGGATCTCATCGGACGGGTCCTCCCAAAGACTGGAAACGAGAAGCACAATCAAGCCCACACAGAGGCCCAGGACCAAGTAGGGCGATTGAAGCAGCCTAACGAGAAGAGCTATAGTTAGCCAGCTCTTAACTAGGCTTGCGAGAGAGGGCGCATCCATTCAAGAGATAGCGAACGACAAGCAGACGTTCAAAACCGCAAAAGGCCCATTGATACCCCCCAGTATCCCAGCCAGCCCAATGAAAGCCATTTATCAGGACAGGGCCAGCCCGGCACCCCAGCCAGTCAGGCCAGTCATGTCGAAGTGTTGCAGCTTATAGGGGACCAGGCCAGCCGAAATGTTGAAGCGGCAGCAAGCGCCACAGCCGGAAGCTGGGACAGCCGAGCGCAGCCTCATCGTGGGCAGCCCCAGTAGATGCAGCAAGGGGCTCGGCATCGGGATTCTCCGAGGATTGGCCTGTCGCGCACCAATTTCTAAGAACTCGCAGGAGTCAGGAAGATGAGCTCAGTGTGGGGCGGCTATTGGGTGACAAATGCGAAAACGAGAGTCTGCAGAGCCGATCACTGCCTGAATTGGCACATCGAGGACGGACGTTCCCATTGTATCGATACAAAATACGCTCCATGAGAGGAGGGACGTTGTGAGTGGCAGCGCTGTATCTCGAGCAGTCCACTCAATGATCGAGGTCTGATGACATGACTAGGGCAGAGGATATCACGGCGGGCCTCAGAGTAAGACGGTCTAGCCGAGCGGAGAGATGTATTTGTCAGATGGCATGGTATGGATATTCGTAGTCCATAGATACATGAAAAGTCGTAGAGAAGCAAGGATGAAGATGCTGACAGTCTACCCCAAGTATACTGCGTATAGAGTGGCGGTTACCGCCAATCAGCGGCACGCCCCGCGCCAAGCCCCCGCATATCCGCATTCAGCCACCGTCTCCCCGCAGCGACGCTGCTTGCCTGTCTCTTCTTCAAAATCTCTGAATCTCTGTGATACCTCACTCTTAGGTTCAATATATTAATACCTTCTGTCACCATGGGAGACTACGGCCCCTCGGCCCCGCCCCTCCACTCCACCCCCGTGGGCAATCCCTCGCACCCCGCGCCCAGTGCCAACGAGATCTCTGTGCTGGTAACGGGATTTGGCGTAAGTTGCTACCCGCCCACTGATGATCTGCACCGGATCGTCCCTGCTCCCAATCCCAAGCACACGGCCACATTCAGATCTCAGATAACAGGCTCTTCCTCACACCAACTCCCCGCTGACTTTGATACAGCCCTTTAAAACCAACCTCGTCAACGCCTCCTACCTGATCGCCTCCTCTCTCCCGCCCTCCTTCACCTTCCCGTCCCCAAAGTTCAAGGAAGCAGGCGAAGGTGAAGTCGAACAGGAAGATGAGGTAGAGCGCCGCATCTCCCTCCATGTGCATCCATTTCCCATCCCCGTCGCCTACGCGACCGTCCGGGAGATGCTCCCTGTCATCCTGGAGCAGTACGCGGCGGCGCACGACGGACGGCGGCCTGACCTGATAATCCACATCGGCATCGCCTCGCCAAGACCCTACTACTCCGTCGAGACGCTCGCACACCGCGACGACTACAACATCACTGATATCGAAGGCCGCAGCGGGTACGAGGACGGTGAGAAGCGGTGGAGGGAGATGGGACTGCCCCCTGTCCTCTCCCCCGGCCTCGCGATGGAAGAAAATGAGGATAACAACTCAACGGGCACTGATGTCACCAGCACTGGCATTAGCATTAGCGCCAGCGCCAAAACCCGGCTCGCAATCCCATACCCACCTGACGACCACTTCCTACAGATGTGGAAATCGCTGGCCCCGGAAAACCTGGATCTGCGCATCTCGCAGGATCCCGGGCACTACCTGTGCGACTTTATTTTCTACACGAGCCTGTCCCTGGCCAAGCAGCAGGGTGCGGATCGCAACACGCTCTTCCTTCACGTCCCCGGGGCATCGGAGGATGCAGATATCGAGCGTGGTCGGGAAATTGCGCTCGCGCTGATCAAGACGATGGTCACCTGCTGGATTGATGAGAAGCGTGAGGTTCCTCCATGATCGTTTTCGATTTGGATTGGAGTATATATGACCCGCGGTTTTGCGACATGGTTGTTCCTTTCTTTTCTCTCTCTTCCTTTCTTGCTTTTCGCATGTGATGCGCGCATGGTGTTTAGTCTGAAGTTATTCCACATCTCCCATTGTGGTGTAGTTTTGACGTCTCTTTAAATCTAGCTTCATTTACCCTTCTCAAGTGAATAATTCCCAAGAGCCATCATTGCCATTGCCTGCCCGCAGCATTTCTGCATCGTTTCTTAGATCAAAGGGCATATTACGCAGAACTATGATGTCACAGCGGACTCCCCCAATGTAACGAGCTGCGAGCAGCACCCAAGCCTCCACTTCGAGAGTAATCTACCATATATGTAGCTTGTAGTAAACCTGTATATCTATTCTGAATCTAATCATGACAATGACCCGAAGTTTATATCGTAAACCCGTGCTCCAGGCGAGCCCGGTTGTAGGAAAACTCCACGCCAAGGCGGTCAGCACCGGCCAAAACGGATGCTTATCAATCCCTGCCAAACGCGCTCGGGCCCCGATTCCTGGCGAGCCCTAAGAGGCCGATGACTCGAGTATATCTCCTTTGTTATTTCCTCCCAACTACCCCAACGTCCCAGGTTACATCTGATGCACGCAGCCATGCTGGAGGCATACACAAACGCACCCGTCGCACTCCTAGTCTTAGCACCCATCCTCCTGCTACCAATTCTACTCATCCCACATTTAAAGGGATTGTCCAATCAGTCGTCCTTACTCCCGCGCCTCAGCCAACTATGGCGCTGGCGCCGCCCATCGAGCGAGATCGTCTCGCTGCGCATGTACCCCATCAAGTCCTGCCGCGGCTTCGAGGTCCAATCCACCATCCTCAAAGAGCACGGCCTCGATCTTGATCGACGCTGGATGCTCGTCGATGCGTCGACGCGCAAGTTCTTGACCATTCGTCAGATCCCCGATATGACGCGCATCGGCACAAGCCTGAGCGTTGATGGGCACGAATTGGTCATTACGATCCCGTCCAACAGTGCTGCCACTACCGCCGACAAGCCTGCCATCAACACTGTCCGCATCCCATCTCATCCATCGCCGGAGTGGCTGGAGGCTAATACTTCCGTGGCGCCGGTTATGATCTGGGATAACGATACAGATGGATACATCTACAGCGACGCTATCAATGCCCCGTTCTCCGAGTTCCTGGGCCGCCCCGTCTCGCTGGTTTACAAGGGCCCTACGCCGCGCGTGTTAAAAGGCAATGGCGCGCCCAAGCTGCTGGGCCGCGTCCAGACTACCGGTTTTCCCGACGTATTCCCCATCCTCATCGCGTCGGAGGCATCTCTCACCGAGCTGAACATCCGACTCCGTCGTGCGGGTGTCGACCCAATCACGGTCGAGCGCTTCCGTCCCAATATCATCGTCCGCGGCGAGACGCCCTGGGTCGAAGATTCCTGGAAGACAGTGCGCCTTCATAGCGCGCCTCAGAAGGCCGAAGCTGGTAGCTTTAGCTCTTCGAAGCAGACGATCACGCAGGCCCCGCTGGATCTGGACATCGTCGCCCGCTGTGCGCGCTGCCAGGTTCCGAATGTAGACCCGGACACGGCTGTGAAGCATAAAAAGCAACCGTGGGATACGCTTATGTCGTATCGCCGTGTGGATGAGGGAATCAAGTATAAGCCTTGCTTTGGGATGCTGGCTGCGCCGAGGAGTGAGGGGGCTGTTGAGGTGGGCATGAAACTAGAGGTGTTGGAGGAAACAAATAAGCATCGGTATATTACTGGTTTCTGAGGCTTAGATAGCTCAAAAGTTGGAGTTCACGACGTTAAGCGCAAGCGGCGATTATTTCCCATTCCACGATATCTTAACTGTTGTAACGATTTCGGAAACCCGTAATGCATCCTTTCGAATGCATCGGAGTTTAGGCCTTTGTAGTAGAAATGGTACATTTTATCCGCCCCTTGCTACAATGGAGCCACTTCGTTTCCACAAGAAGATTTGCTTGAAACTAGGTGCCAGTCTCCGACTAGTCACATTGGTCAGTTGTTCCCAGTCATGAAATGCAGTATTCATTTTCGCTATCACCACACTATACTAACACCGTAGTTAGTGTTCGGCCGCTTGATTTATATCCTTGGCTTTCATGTGTATCTCATCTATCGAATGGCCTGGGATCCACCGCGAGGTATTAACCTCACCCCGCAGCCGCATGGAAATGTAGTCATACTTCCCTCGCCGCTCTCCTCAATTCTTCCTTCTGTCCCATCTGCTTTTCCCGTAATTAAGATAAAAACCGATAATGAAGATCAATGGTTTCATCGCGTGTCTGGTGACGACGCTCTTGGTTCTGTTATCTACTGTTACCTTTAGGCTTTTATAGTTCAGTGATGATAGATAATGTGGATGTCCGCCTAGAAATAATGTTAGATCGGATATTTGCAGACTAAATCGGACTGAGACCTTGGGACAGTTTTCAGCCCCAACCAGGATCAGCACCACAGCTGTCACCGCGCATACAGGCGGAAGGGGAGAAGGGGGGGGAACGGGGGCCAGGACTCGAGCAAAAAGGGCAACTGGTAGGTATATATCGAGTTTACTACATTGTTTTTGAAGATGGCTTAATGAAATGCATAAAAGTCTCTGTTTTTGACAGGGAATAATGAAGTACTGCCAAGATAGGCACCTATATACACACCAACCCTCGTAGTCTGCCTAATTCTTCAACTGCTTGCTCGCCGACACACACCAGTTGTTCCAGTCCGTGAAAAACGACGGCTGAATATGACACTTGGTGCTAATCAGCTGAGCCTTCCGCGTCTCAGCGTACACATCCACCACGCCCGCAATCTCAGCCTTGTCATGTCCAACCAAGACCTTGACCACAAGGAGCGAAGCCTGGCTGCAGGCAGTCGCGTGTGCGGTGGGTCCGCTGTGGCTTGCCTCCTTGTGAATAGCGCGCAGAAGCTCGAAGAGAGACTCCGGTCCAGACTCGCCGTCGATCTTGGGGAGCGCGTTGCCCTTGCACAGCTTGGTATACTCGCGCAGCACGGTGTTGGCCTTGTTCGCAATCTGCTTCACGGCGGAGCGGCGGGTGAGTCGGAGAAGAGGGAGGAGCAGGTCCAGGGCGAGAAGACGGGAGTGGCACTTCTTCACGAAGATCTCTAGTAGGTCTAGGACGCGGTTCTTGAAGTTGATCATGTTCTCGCGTGCGTCCTTCTTGTCTTTGTGCTGGGAGACGGCTTGGCGACGGGCGCGGAAAACGTTGGCGAGCTTCTCGTCGACTTCGTCCATCTCATCGTCGTTCATATCGGCGTCTGAGTCGGATTCCTCTGCGCGATGGGTGCCCAGCGCAGCAGCGAGCTTTGCCTCGAACTCGGCAACTTCGGCGGCATCCTCCTCGTTCTCCTCTTCCTCTTCGTCTGAAGATCCGGAGTCGTCGGAGGCACCCCCGCCTAGCACAACTTCGACATCGCTGTCCTCCTCATCGACATCGATCATCTCAACATCGTCGCCATCCTCGTCTGACTCACCATCTTCCTCCTCCTCAACATCGTCGTCATCGTCCTGCTCTTCAAACATCTCCTGCTGACCGGCCAGGCTCTCCTTGGCTTCCAGAATCTAAAAAGAGTAGGATTAGATCACAGATACAACGGACAATGGGCTCTCCGCAAGTACATACCGAAATCAACGACTCCAAGCCATTTTCAGTGACCTGGTCAGCAAAAGCGCCAAAGACTTGCTCGCTCATTCGGCGGAACAGCTGCGACTGCTTAGAGGCAAAGCTCAGGAGAATTTCAACCAGCGCATCCGAGGCGTCGGAAGTATCTTTGTCCTTCGAGTCATCGCCTACGAAATTGGAATAGCAGAACTCCAGCTCGTCGAGCATAGACACGGCGTCGGCATCACCGCTATACACCTGCAAAACGGTCAGGGAGTAGAGCAACTTGAAGGCGGCAATGCTGGTAGTTTCTCCCTTCTTCTCCTATACGCAAATTAGCAGATGAACGAGAGATATAGGGAGAGGACTAAAAAAGAGAACCTACCTTGCTAGAAAGCTTCTTCAATGACTTGAAGGCGGCCTTCACTGAGTCCTGCAACTTATCATCCATGTTGATGATGAACTTGCCGAATTCCTCGGACTTGGCGCCATCACGAATTTGGCGCACCACGGCGTACGGAATAGTTGCGGCGTATTGCTGGGACGCAAGAAGACTGTTCAGAGAAGAAATGATTCGGTTGCGCAGCAGCTCCTGGGTCGCATGGGACAGTGCGGGCTCCGGCGCGCTATCCATGAAGTACGCAAATCGCACGAAGACGGACAGAATCTGCTCGAGAACCATCTGATAGTCCTCCTCGGAGTCGCTATTTCCAGTCGAGGCTTTCGCGCGCACAATCGACAGAAGAAGACCTGCAACGAACTGGCGGTTCGACGCCGCGGCTTTCTCATCGCTAGTACCGGGGCTGCGGATGAGCTTCTCGAACAGAGGGACAATCTCCTGCAGAGCATCGCTGTTGGCGTCGGCCACGATCTTCTCGACTGTTTTGGTCTTAGTCGCTTGGTCGAAGTTGACAGTACCACTGGTGGCCATCAGACCGCGGACTGCAGCGGCGGCGAAACCGGGTTCCTTAGACACACGGGTTTGGATTGCCTTGGTGGCCTTGGCGGCCATCCGGTGCAAGTAGCGATCCTCAACTGCGAGCTGATTCATGAGGCATCGCACGAGGTTCTTTGTGAAGATGTGGGGTACTTGCTGGGGAGAACCCTCATTCAAGACCTTGTTGAAGAGCAGGAAGCCCCAGTACTTGCGCTCATCCGAGGATGAAGAGGCAAACAACCCGTCTAGAGAATATCAATTAGTTATGAGATATAGAGGTTCAGTTAATAAAAACTTACTGTCCACAACCTCAGTCCAGAAGTCAACGAAGGTCAACCGGGTAGACTTGGACTTGGATTTGCTCTTGGTCTTGGAGCTGCCATCCTCAGAAACGCTGGTGCGCGAAATGACTGCATCCCAGGCGAAATGAAGCTTAGAAGACCACACGCCAGAGGACTTGTTCCCCTTGTTCTCGCCTTCCATCTGCTCAGCAGACGACTCCTTCAGGATTTTTGACAAGCTAGTGCGCTCCTTTGGGTCCAATGGGTCATCGTGCTTCCAGACCTTGCTGGGGAAGTCGGCCTTGGGAAACATGTCCTTCGCAGCCAGCCAGATGGTAACACCTTCTGGGGAGCGGGCCAGGTCATGCGAGCACAAGCGCTCCACCGCAGCCTCGACAAACTTGGCGTCCATCTTGCGCGCAGAGATATCATAGACGCAGCGGTAAATGATCCAGCCGCATTCCTCTCGTAGCCACGGCTTCTTGTGGGCAAGTTCGAAGACGAGATCGAGGACCTTGGTCCATTCGGAGAACGGTACGGAGGGTTGGAAGAGGATAGCGGACTTGATAATTGCCTCTGCGCCGAAAAGGCGACCAAAGTGGTGATCGCGTTGTTCCTATATACCCCGTGGAGTTTCAATTAGCGCATTTGTCCTGGTATTCATTTTCTTGGGCTTTGCAAACGGCCAGATACGCACCTGTCCTGTCTCGCTACCGGAGGAGCTAGACTGCGACTCCCAAATCTTCAGCACATCTGAGATCCCAAACTCAGCAGACTCCCTGGAACCCGAGAAAATCTGCGTCAAGATCTCCGTCAGCGCAATGGAGAATCCAATGCGAGCGGCCTTTCGGCTACTGCAGAGACCGCGGAAAAGCCGTTGAAGAGTCTTCTTGATTTGGTCGTCGGCCGGTTCCTTATCGGGGGTAAACTGCGAGACAAGGCCCTGCGCAGCGCGCAGCCGAATCTCGTCCTTCTCGCTGGCGAGATCCTCATAGATCTCGACGAGCTTCACGTCGACATTGTACGGTTCGCGACGGCGCTTTCTCGGGGGAGCTCTGTCGAAGCCCATTTTCGTGGTATGTAGGGTGAAGCCAATTAGCCTGCGCTATGGCTACTGGAATTGCAGCTTCGAGATTGGAGCCACTCAGAGGTTGCTCCTTGTCGGGAAAGCAGTGTAGCATTGCTCGCCGGAGCGCAGAAAATTCGGGAGGCGGTTGCCTCTTTGGGCTTAGCGTTATCCGATAAGCTGATAAGAGCTAACCTTCATCGATTTAAAGTCTTCGATCGCATGACAAGACTACAGGCTTACAAGCCAAAGAGAACTTTATCTGCATGTAGTGAAATGGTATTCGTTTGCAAGGAACGTGGTTTTTGTTTCTGGAGAGTGAAGCCTTCAATGTCGCTGCTTCGGGTATAGGTACGCGTTGGCTGCGGGACAGGCCCATATTCATACCGATCATATTTCAATTCAAGCATCGGTCTCAGCTACCTATAAATGGGAATTGATCTGGATTTTTGGACGATATCCGTCGGTATTTCATTGCTTATTTGTGAGTATTTGGATATTGGAAGAGACTCGCGATGTATTAAATGGATACTTCTGAACGTCGGTGGAGGTATCTAGACGAATCGCAATATATATTCACATCATCCATATGTGCATGTGGTACACGATGTTCGGGCACGGCTTCCAAGGTTATAGATCGAAACTCCCTAGAATGCCTTATATCGATAGGTACAAAGGCACCTCGAAGTAGGAAACCAGTGACGTGAGAAAGTCTAGGTAGGATTGATGGTCCAACTTTTGTCTCTTTCTAGGAAATACCTATTTTTTTGGATGCCTTGCTGTCCATTCTGCTATCTTCGACATGAACTTTTGGCGCAGTTCTGGAAGCGTTATTCAAAACGTCTAATTGAAAGACCTTTTGGGGTTCCAATTTTTGAGCTGTCATGGTACGTCTCCAATTCACATGAACTGCATCCAAAAGCCCATCAAGCCACATAATGCTAGACCAGCCACGGAAGAAAGAAAAAAAATTCTCTAGATCAATCCTGCCGGCTGCTGGGCAGCCTCCAGCTCCCACTTCTCGAGCCGTCGCCCCAGAGACCTCGCGATAAACAAAGAACGTAAGATAAAACCCATGAGGTTTCGATACTCCATTACTCGTTCTTTCATTTCGCAATGTTTCCAAACCAATGATCCAATTCCGCACGTCGTCGATGTAATCTGACAAGTTCTTTGTGAGAGGTGTTCAGGGGCAAACTCTCGAGTACCACCAGAGGCCTCGACCTGAAGTCAAGTTCGCAGAATGACGGCACAGATTGAATTCAGACTGGATAGTGCGTACCAAACGAACATATATTGCGTGTTGGCTTGGTCTAGGAATGCACCAGCCCGTATCCGCAGACTCAATTCCATCGTTGGCAGGGTAGCGACGGGAGCTATTTGTACAAGGCGCGGTCGCAGGATTTAATGCGCTGGCACCCAAGAAAAAGAAAAGGTATTTCGAGACCGTTGATTGGGTGGTCTCGGAATCTGATGTGTGTCAACTATTTATTCAGGTACAGATGCGTCGGAGAACATGTTCCATGGACGAGTGTACTGGTACCATGCACAAGGCAGCATGGCAAAAGATATATATGACCACGGCTCCGCCATGCTCCGCAACCACAGCAACGGTTGTCTGCGATAGTCCACACGTCACCTTCAGGCTGCCCGGCCACTGCAAATCACCGCAGGAACAACTTACCCCTGCAGCAATGGGGCTTACCTCAGCTAGTGACACAGCGTGGGAGTGGCTACGTGGTGGGCCATGCAGGCGTCTCCTGCGCCGTGCGGTTGACAGCTAACCGCGGATCAGCATGAAACTATTTAAAGGGGCCCCGAATCGGTGCAAAATGAGGCAACAAGCCGGAGGTGAGCTATGGTTACTTTTTTGTCCCCGCTCTGATACAGCGATAAGTCCATGGGAAGTTCACTATTGATTTGACACCTCGACTGTGGACTTGGATTTACAGCGTGGGCGAGAGCGCCATATTCTAGATCTGCGCGCGACTAATCAATTATGTAGTGATGGGAATGGCCAACGAATCACCTCGTCACCGGGCTAAGTTAATTGCCTCAATTACCTGACGATGCTCGTCGAGGCGACGAACCACCTGTGATCTATCAGTGGCGGCGGGAAATGGAACCGCGGAGCCGACGCAGCAGCGGTCGTTCCGTGCCCCGATTGGGGGTTGTGCGCCAGCAGTGGAGAGGAACCAGTGCTCAATAGGGTGGAGAGTGTAGAGGGCTCGCTAGGGCAGCGATAGCACCGCGATCAGGGGCTCTAGTCTGGACAGCTGACAGGCACGAAGCCGAGGGACATGAGTGGGCGGGTTGGCGTTATGGGTGATAGCAGCTGGCGCATCCAATAGCGCCGCAGATCGGTGGCGCCGGGCTTAAGAAATTGATTCACAAACCGCCGGCTGAAGATGGGGCCTGTTTACCCGGTGCGATGGAATGGGAGTGTAGTGGAGGACCTACAGGAGTTGTTCGGTGACAACGGACGGGGGATGGGATTGAGCATTGGAGACGTGGGACTTGGGACTTGGAGACTTGGGGAGGTGGTAAGGCTGGTATGGGTAATTCAAGTATTAGGGGTGTACAGCAGTAAGATCGGACCGAAGTGGTGGTATCGTCAGCAAAACAATCCAATCTCGAGTCGAGACGAGCAGAATCAAGATCTGGCGAGCCTCGCGTGTTGATGTTATCATCTGATGTCACTTGGGCGGCTGGTGGTGGTTGTTGCTGCCTTTCTGCCTTCTGGTTGGTGCAAGTCACGGGATTGCGCATGCGGTTCGCGTGGCGGGAAAGTTTGCTTTGTTTACTTCGGACGCGCCCACATCCAATTGCGCTGCACCTCCCGTCGCAAACATTGAAGCCATCAACACACATCAACATGCTGACATCACCTGCGATAGGGCGACAAATGGGGAGGGGGAGACGGTCCAGACGCTTGGGTTGCAGAGGACTGCATGACACGAGCCCGGGATGTGTGATGGACCCCGCAGTTGCGACAAGGCCGGCTGGAGACTCGACATAACTGGGCCATTGCACATGGCGCGGTGACGCAGCTGACGGGTCACATCATCGCGATGCCCCCCGACCCCACCTGGACCTGGAGCTTTGCAGCGGTGGCGCAGCCAGATGCGGCAAGCACAAGAAAAGGAGGTGCGCGAGATCGGGATGCCCGACCAGACACCCCGGTCGACGATGCGAGAATGCGGGTTATCGGAGAGGGGTCCGCGCCCAGATGCATCCGCTTCACCAGTGTGATTGGCGCAGTCACCCTGTGTGGTAGCAATAGGCGAGGCTCTCTGAGCGCTTCGCAGCAAGACCGAGTCATCCAAACAAACCGACGGCTGCGGCGCAACTAGTGCTGTCAACAAAGGCTCAGTGTTCTCACGTCAGGAAGCCATCATCGCACCAGGTTGGCGCGGAGAAATTTGCAATTGATGCTAGTCCCTCACAAGAACACGATGCAAGTCGTAGAGTGACGTAGACTCACGGACCAACATGAGGTCAAATAACACGCACATTGTGGGCGCATTCCCATCCGCCCCTATACCACGGCGAGATCCCGGTCTCTGCTTCAGACAATGCAGTTCTGATACCGATCATCCGGCATGCTGCTGCAGATGGATGGGCCTCGACCTAATGGATGCTCCAAGAGCTGCGGGGGCAGCGGTCCAATCCAACCGGCGTTTCACGAAAGAGGGGGTTCAGTTGGAGACTAGAATAGCAAGCCGTGGGGTGCAGGATTTAGGACGATCCGATGTGCGACTGCCACTGGCCGAATTGTCGCCGACTCCATCGACTAGTAGTTTCAGGTCCATTGACAGAGCCGCTTTGATATCATGGTGGCAAAAAGTGCCGTGCAGCAGCCTGGTTGCGGCGCTGCTGCCATTGTCTCTTTGTCATGCTCGGCGCGTTGGTGATGCTATATCGGGAGATATCAACACAAAGCATCCTCGGCGGGACGAGCCTGCTCGCCTACTCCGGTAATTAACCGAATGCCCTGTGGACCGGGGGGCATGATCGTTTATCAACGATCGGACCTTTTCAGCGGATATACCCCGTGCAATCGTCTCCGCTGCTGTCCGGAGTATACCATGCCCCTCTGGCGGTGCTCCCTATAGTTAGCGGGGGGACGATCAGCTCCACTGATGACGCGCGACCAAGACGCCTAGACTGCCCTCAGTCGAGTTCTTTGTGTCATCAGCATCAAGACCGCCAGACGTTGGCATTGTCAATCGATAGCACGGCAAAAATGAGCCTGCTACCCCCCCAAAACCACAGTTGTCGTAAGCCTTTGACGGTCAGCCATGATCACGCCGTCACAAGGACGGTACGAAGGTTTCGATAGACAAACCCTATGATTGCGATTACCAGGGCTTAATGGCTAAAACATCCTACAAGGGGGCATGGAAGGGATGCGCGACATTGAACGTTCCCCTCGCGGACCCTGAATCAACCGGAATGTGGACAAAGCCAAGGCCAAGTAAGGGCAGCAGCACGGGTATGAGATCACCCTCTCCCACCATCGACCCTGGGGAGGATGAGAGGGTTCACTAGCGAGGGAACGGTCCGCGACAAGAATGAGAGATCATCTACCATTCCTTGCTCGATGCTACACTAACCATGAACCCGCGCAAAGGCTCCCATTCCTTCTCCGCACCGTCACGATGGTGGGGTACCGCATCCCAGCTCCGATGTGTTCTGGTGTGCGCCCAAATGGGCAAGGATCATGCAGGGACGAACCTCGCTTGCCAATCACGGCCTCGGTACCCCCGGAGATTCGCCTTGAAATTCTACCGAATCACAGCTGACTAAATGTTAACTGAATCTATATTGCTGTCGAGCTCATCGGCCCTGCCTGCCCCCAGCAGCCTCATCTCCCTACGGGAATGATCGTCCCCCGGAAGTTACAGTGCTCCCATTCACAAGTTTCCATGGACAACGTAGTAATGATGTCCTTTCCCTCGGCCAGTGCCCGTTCAGGTAATACCGACCTTTCCGACCGGGGTCTGTCGCCTGGTTCGGTCACCATACGGCATTCGGGCCCCGTCTGGAGGTATGAGAACAGGGTCGAACGGCTATGCCCTGACGTGGAAGGGGAAAATTGAGACCTGAATTGCATTGACTCCATCACTTTGCGCCAGATCTATGCGTCCTTGCATGAGGGCGATCCTAGCATCACTTGCAGTGTCAACCTCGTTTGCGTTCCTGGGCCCTATTTTCCGAAGGAGTGGAACACAGTGGAGTCTCGTCCTCTTAGCTTCGATCTCGCTCCGTTTTTTCAGCTGCGCTGGTGCGTTCCTCTGTGCGACGGCACACACGGGATGGCCTGGTGAGACGAAAAAAAACCTTTTTGTTGCTGCGGTGGAGACAGAAGACCCATGGAAGACGCGCCGAAACGCTCTCCATTGGGAAAGAGAGCGTATGTTCCGGAGGCTCCGTGGAGTTCGTGGGAAATTGTGTATGTACGAAACGGTGGAAATTTAGTCACTCAAATCCGCACGACGGTTGAAATCTGGAACCGAGGGCTTTCTCCTCACTTTCTGACATTTCCCCATCGTGTCTGGGTCGGCTAGGGGGGAGGAAGGAGGAAAGCGCGGATGGGTCCAGCTATTGCTTGCCTCCTCCTATAGCCCGAGACACATGGCGCCAAGGGTTTGTCGGGCTAGTTGCTGACTTTTGGGGCCATTCGCCCTAAGTAACCTAGTTAACGGGGGTGCACAGAGCATCTCAGCCAGCCTGGACAAGAATGAGGGCGGGGAGGGTGGAAGGGCGGTCGGGAACGCTGATAGGCGCTGGGTTGCTGCGCAGCCAGTAGTCGGACACTGGGCGGCAAGGGAGCCCGGGCAACGACTGGGGCGAAAGTGCATGACGAGCATTACTCCGTACAGCCCCTGGAGAGAGACGGGGAGGGAGTGCACATCCATACTGTGTCTGGACGGCCGTCGAGACCGGGCTTTGGTGGGAGGAGGGCTGCATGCTGCATACCAGAGAGCAGCAGCGTACCTGAACGCACTCCGCAGTGCGAGCATGTGTCGCTGGGCTCCACTCTGCAGAAGCGTAGAGCAGTAAGTTAGTTTGTCAAAGAGAGTTGCAGCTCGCCGCATCATTACGTATGGTGTACGGGCAGGTACCGGCGGTATGGGTAACCCGCAGATTACATCCAATTACGCCTAGCCGGCCGGCGCCAGCTTGTCCAGCGTATCTCAAACGTACCGTACCCTAACCTGGAGATCCTCCCCACTTGCGTTGCCATTGCAACAGACCCATCCCTTCAGCTTCACGAGTTTCGTTCTTCAAACCGTCCTGTTCCACTTCTTTTTTTCTTCCTCGTTCCTTTTCTCACGACATTCCGCTTCGAAAAGTTCGGTCTTTCCGCCAGGCCTCAACTCTCCCCCCATCTCGACCTCCACTGCGTGAGGATCACCGAATACTTCCCTCTGTACCTCCTCCCCTCGTCAGTCCGCTGCCCACGAGCTGCCGGCCCCTCCAATTGCTGCATCCCGACCTCCGATCTTCCCCGCCGGTCATGCCGCTGTAAACGGCCGCTGCTCCACGCCTGAAAGAAAGAACTCTCGCCGGTTGTGAGGGTGGGTATCTGGAACACTGGAATACTGGGATCCTCGGATACTGGGGTCGAATTGGCTTTGCGGTCGTCTTGGTTAGCTCGGGGATTTCCGATTACGGTCTTGGCGTGGACATACACTTGCCGGGTGGTGGATGTGCGTTTGCATTGCATCCAGCTCAATTCAAGGACATTCCCGGTTCTTGAGAAAGCGACATTGCGAAGCGGTGGTTGATATTGATCGGTCTCGGTGTGATTGTCCGAACCCAACCGGTATCACGTTGGACACCTGGTCCAGTTGCAATCCGGCAGGCCATTAAATCATGGAACACTCGTCTCCATTGGCGGCCATGCAGCCTCCGTCTATGCTCTTCGGGCACTGCTTCCGCGCAGATGCGCCGACTTCGTATCCGTCGCTGTCGGGGTTTGGTACCAATAGCTTCAACTTCAAAGATCTCTCGATGAAGAAGGCTGGTCCCGATTACTTCAACATCAAGCCGATTCCTTCTCCCACCGCCAGCCTGGCTGCCGATCTTTCGCAGAACTTCCACATTGATCAAAGGTTCGTTGTTGCAGACTGTGGGCGGATGTTCGTGGACGTGAAAACAAAGACACCAACAACCCATGGACACCCGTGCTGACTCTATCTTTAGTCCGCAGTTGGCCACACCCCGGCGGTCTTTGTTCTCTTCAAACATTCTTGCTCAGGCCAATGCTCGTGGTAAGCGATTGTGCAAACAGAGACGCGATGAGACGAGGAGTGCATGCTTAGACTTTTGTGCAGACGACGTGATGACCACTCCTCCGCTCCCTTCATCTTCGCCCGCGCCGGCTATGGACATGATGGAGATGTCTCCGCTGCCTCACAAGCCTGCCTTTGTGATGACCACCGAGATTGAGGTACACTCGCCTTCACCGCTGGGTACTCCTATGGACTCGCCCACTACTTCGGCTGCCGTGAGCCCTCTGCAAGCTTCCCCAATGGAAGGCCCTACGCGGGCACCTCTTGAGTAAGACCCCTTCCTTGCCCATGGATATCGGGGACCGTTGGCTAACCACCGGATTGCGTCTGTAGGAGACGCCGTCCTCCGTTCCTTCGCCCCAGCCTGGCCAAGAGCAAGGCTCAGTCCTTCCAGCTGGGAATGGCTCGACCCACTCAAGAGAGCAAAGCACCCCCTTCCGATTTAGCACTGCCGGAGCTAAGACGTCGCTAAGCACCTCCACGTCTCTGGAGGACATGTTCGGTGATTCTCCCCCTCAGGAGAGATCCATCTCCCGTAATAACTCCTCAAACAACCTGGCCCTGCCGCGTCTGCGGCCGCCGTTCCAACATGCTCGGAGCAGCGGCTCGCCCGCCCCCAACTCTATCCGCAAGCCCTCACACCCCTTGACGCGTCCCCGCAAGCAATGCCGACGATCATTGAGTATGTTCGAGCACCCGGCGGATGTGATTGCCGAAAAAGAGGCCAAGGTATCTACAAATGCACCCCTCCAGTCCATCAGCGACTTGGAAAGTTCGCCCATTCCCCAGCTTCCTCACTTTGTCCCCGAGGACCGGGCGGACACCCTGCCTCGCATCGACAAAAGCACCCTACTCGAACTGCTTCACGGGAAGTTCAATGACCGCTTCGACAATATCATGGTCGTTGACTGCCGCTTCGAGTACGAGTATGACGGCGGCCACATCCACGGCGCCCTCAACTACAACGACAAGGACCGACTTGCGGGTGAGCTGTTTGGCGCTCCCAAGGCCCGGACAGCCCTAATCCTACACTGTGAATATTCCGCGCACCGCGCTCCCATAATGGCCAAGTACATTCGTCACCATGATCGGGCTGTTAATGTCGACTCTTACCCTAATCTAACCTATCCCGATCTGTACATTCTCGACGGTGGCTACAGCTCGTTCTTCGCCGAGCACCGTGCTTTCTGCTACCCCCAAAATTACGTTGAGATGAACGCCAACGGGCATGAATTTGCCTGCGAGCGTGGCCTCGGCAAGGTCAAGCAGCGGTCCAAGCTGAACCGCGCCCAGACCTTCGCCTTTGGCCAGCACTCTTCTCCCCAGATGGAGGATAGCCCAACTGGTCGCTGCCGCCTTGGCAGTGACCGGAACAGCCGCCTCCTGGGTTCTCCCTTCTCCGAGAGCCCGGTGCCCAACAGGACCCCTGGCCGCCGAATGCTTTCATACTGATATCTTTGCACTGCTGATTTTGCACTGGCGCATGGCGGATCCTTCTGTTTTGTGTCTTGTTCTTGGAGCGAGGTGTTTATTTGATCGTGGCATTTTCCTGTTTTATGGGTAGCTTTGCTCCCTGGTTCTTTTCCTTTCCGCTTTCGACCACCACAATCGGTCATCGAACGGCGCAAGGGTGATAGCCCTGTTTGAACAATTGGCTACTGGCCCCCTTTTCCTGAAAGCTGCGCAGAGCGCGGATCCCTCCGACTTCTCTCACTTTTGGACCCTTTCTTCACCACCGACTTGATATCGTGCACCTGATATCACATCATCCTTTCCTTCCCGGGCTCTTTTCTTTTCTTTGCTTTCTCCCGTTCCCCCCTCCAGAGTCCCGCATGATTCAGCGTTTCCGTTTCCTCTCTACGATATCCGGACCTCTCGACGTTCCGTGTCTTGCATGGTTCCCAATACCTGCATCGCCAACTTTCCATGAGCATTACCAATGACCTGGGCTACCCTTTCCTTCTGCATGACCCACTCTCCTCAGGCCGTGGACCTGAGTGATCTTTCCTATGTTCTCGATGACCACCTGATTCCGAATTGAAATCGCCCACGAAGATGTCCTAGCTCACATTTCCCCGCCAGCTGGAATGTTCCGTTCTCCTGATCTGGGTTCGCGGCAATCCATTGACCAGTGACGCTTCCATTTGCAACTCCGCCGCCAACGCATTGGCTGTTTCCTTCTCTTCCCCATTAATTGCTTTCACCCCTACTGCCCTTTAATCCGCCTTCCTGTACAGGATATTTCTGCTTCATCCCCGTGGAATGGCCCGCCATTCCCTGCTGTACCAAAGTTGCATAGCGATGGGCATCTACCTCCTGTCTTCATTGTGAGCGCTTTCCGTCATTGATACACACATGTTGTATTTCATTGCATCGTTTCCCCGGAGTGCGAGTATGGTTGCCCCGGGGGCCCAGTATCCCCTGCGGACGTTACCATGGGTTCTGATCCTCGGAGTTTGTTGAGGGGGAATATCTCCGGATGTCTTTGTATCACGACTGGCTGTGCAGCTGTACATAACGCGACTAATTGCCTGGCAGCGAAACAGGGCACACTACTTTTCTGTGACCCTGTGGGATTTAATGGGTGTGGCTGGAAAGCCATTGACAAGGAGGCTGCAGATACAAATTCTTCCCTTTGTGAGCAGAATGAAAAAAAATTCTATAATGATACGCGTGTCGCTGTAGTTTCCCCAGTATGACACAGTGGCACCTCGCAATTGAGAACGGTCCGCCACGCCTTTCAATCAGGCGCTATGGGTCTTGCTCTTAGAATAGTGCTCCAGGTTAATTCAGAAGCTTCACAAGATGGCAAGAAACATGGATCATCAGACATGCAGAATGATATTTCCGAAGCGGCAGCGCTGCACCTGGACTAGTTGAAATTCCCCGGTGTTCAAACTTTCGAGATGCCACTATGCACATAAACGCCGCCCCGTCTTGCGAGGCTGGCAGATCGCTTTCCAAATTATCCTCCTTTCCCTTCGCAGACCTCAGACAGGAACTGCCACACCGTCAATTCTGCACGGTCAGCGAACGGTGGAGCAAAGGCCCCTCGATTAATGACGATAGGCGGTGTTCCGTCTCCGGCGAGAATGTGACGGCCGTGATAGGCGGAGAAGGCGGGGCGACGGGGGCGCTGTCAACCCTTACGCTCTATCCCCTCCGTGTTTCAGCGGCTACTCGTTCACTTCTCTTCCCTCTTCACGTCTCACGTCAATTGCAGGGCTATCACTCGTTTCTGGCCCTTGCGATCACTTCTTTGACTCGAGCCAGCCGAAATCCGGCTGTGATCCCTCCCCGCGCTCGCCAAGATCCCCAACTTGGCTGCCTGCTCGCTCATTTCAGCTGGATTCCCGCGGGCGTCGTCATCTTCGGACCCTGGTACCCTCCATCGTTGCTTCTATTTCTGTGCGCTTCGCCGCATAACCCATAGCCCATAGCCCACCTTTCGACAGGCTCGGCTGCGCCCCGCCTCGACCCTCCTTTTCGTCTGCGTCAGGGTCCAGCTTCGCCTTATCACATGGTGAGCGCGCTCGGAGCTAGACGTCGCGAATCGAACTGCGGTCTGGCCTGATTCATTACCGGGCTTGCGAATGCCCGCATAGCAAGCTCTGTTCTACCAACCGAATGTTTCGACGGTTCTAGCGCGCTGGAATCAGAATACAGAGACATCATGAGTCCCGCGAATATGGCATTATGGGTGCGCGACACCGCCAGCGACCTCTCGTCGGTTCCATCTACCTTCTCGAGCTGGGATAAATGTATGGCCAAGTCATACTGCAAGTGAGTTTCAAGATTGGAAAGGGTGCCGGCCCAGGTCCTGTGCGCGAGGGGCTTTATACTGATCAATGCCTCTCTGTAGATGGCCCGTTATCGTCGGTATCATCATCGGCTCCGTTATTGTCATTGGTATCCTAGGGTGTATCATCAATTGCCTGTGCTGCGGCTACCAATGCTGCAAATGCTGCTGCGGCTGCTGCTGCCCCTCCGGACGGCGCCAAAACAAGCAACCCAAGCACTACGATGAACCCACTTCTTACCAACCTCCCCCTCCGGGCCCGAATCCCGTATACCAACCTCCCGCACCCCCTGTATACCGCGGAGCCGTGCAAACAGCTACATTCGACGCGCCAAAGCCCCCAGCCGCAAAGGTCGACGAGGATGCGCTCCCCGCAATGCCCACCTGGGCTGCCGCCGTCGATAAGCGGGTCGAGGAGCCCGCTCACCACGATGACGTGGAGATGGAGCCGTTGCACCCGCAAAACCACCCACTCGACAGGAAACAGGGTGCCGGTACGCCATTGCACGTCGCCACAGCATTCTCGGACTACCCGCCGGACCGCACCGGCTCTGCCCCCGGCTACAGAGGCTTCACCCCAACCGACCCGTACGCCCGCCGCTCCCCGGGCCCAGCGGCAGCGCTCGCTGCAACCCAGGACCCCTACGGCCGTCGCTCGCCAGGCATGGCCACCCCCGGGCGCTCTCCCGGGCCCCAAGCCACGATGGACCCCTATGGTCGACGCTCCCCCGGCCCAGCCGCCGCCTACGGCGCCGCACACGACCCCTACGCCCGCCGCTCTCCCGGCTTGACCTCACCCGTCGGCGCACCCGTGTCCGCAGGCTCGCCGTACGACCAGCAGGGCTACCACACGACAGGCTACGACCAGCACCAGCCCTACGACGACGACTACAGCCATGGACACAGCCCCGGCCCCGGCCCCGGCCCCGCCGCCGCCGGCCCGGGCTACCACGCCGTAAACTCGCCCTCCCCCGTCGCCGCCTACCAGCCGCATACAAACTACAGCCCCGTGCCCATGGCCTTCTCACCCTCCTCCGAGCCCGCGCACGTTGCCCCGGGCCCGGCCGGCTTCCAGCGCCAGCCCTCGTTCGGCTCCAGCCAGTACCCGCCAACTTATACCTCGCACCCGGCGTCGCCTCCGCCGCCGTTCCAGTCTGCCGCGCCATCCGAGTATGGCGCGCATGAGTATGGTGCGCATGAGTATGGCGTGGCCGTGGGTGAGCCTGTGCGTGATCGGCCGCCGAGCCTGTTGCAGAGTGGCCGGAAGCCGGCGCCGAACACTTTCCGGCTTGTTTGAGGTGTATGACTTCTATTTCCCCCTTCAAAATTCCCGAGACAGATGTTCTCTTCCTCTTTTCTTTGGATATTGTCTTTTTCTCCGCTGGTTCTTCATGATGCGGTTTCATAAGGAAGGCACGTTTGATACCATGGATGTTTGTTTACTTCTGCTGTTGTGATGTCCCCCTTCGTTGTTCTTTTTTTTGTGATGGCGATCGTGGCTACAGGCTCGGACTTGGTTGGGAGTCGTGTATGCCTTGCCTTGTCTCTATTTTTCCTGATTTGCGCTGCGGGATGCGTGCGCTCATGTATATGATTTCCTCGTGCTGGCGTGCTCGTACGAGGGTTTGTTCTGGACATCTAGGTATCTACTACTATTGCATGGAATGAAAACCAAGACGGATCTTCTGGGTACTGTTCTGCCACCCTCTTCAACATAGGATTTAGGCAGGCGCTCCTGGATAGTGCTTCGTCTTACTATATTGTACATGGTTTCTCGAATTCATAGACGGGTATTTCATCATCCCCCATCCAAAGTCCACTTGAGGGGTACTCTACTCCAACGTGAAATCATACGGCTTGAACGCCTCCTTAAACGCATTCGCATCGGCCTCCTCATCCGCCTGCGACTGCGTCGCGTTCCTCCAGTCCATGCGCTTGTCCAGCTCCAGCAGCTTCGCCATAACGCGACGGCCAAACTGCAGGTCGAACACGAAGTCCGGATTGAGCTCCAAAGTCAAGACCGTCTCTGATCCAGGAGGTCCATCCTTATCAGCCTCGTTGTCGGTATCAGGTTTTTCTTTGCTTTCCATCTCTCCGGCGCTCCAGATCGAAACTCGGAAGAAGTCACCTGCGTCGGCCAGCTCACCGGCCTTGTCGGACGGTGCGGCTGCGCGGCTCGAGAACCGCGGATACGACAGATTCTCCGCTTCCACCTTGAATGCAGCCTCAACGAGGCCCTCCTTGATGAGGCTCACGGGCACAGGCAGGAATTGCCAGTGCGTGTGGATGCCGCCGCCGCGGCTGACTTCCCAGGTGACGGCGCCCAGTTTGCTGGACGAGCGGTCGTTAACCATGCGACGCAAATTGGTGTTGAAACGGACCATCTCCATGTATGTGCTCGAGCGGGTGTCTGGGTCTAAAATTGAGCCTAGAGTCGGAGTGTGCTCGAAGGGGATGATAAGGATGTGACCGGGGAAGCCGAGAGTCGGGAAGTAGTCGTCGGGAGGAAGGGGTCCCTTCGCGATTGTGAGGTAGCTTTGGTCGCCGATGGAGGTGATGAGGTGTGTGGCGATGTTCGGGTTGGAGAGACAGAAGAAGCACCTGTCCGGACCGGGGGTGGCTCGCGCTGCTGGCGCTTCCGGCCATGCTGCCGACCCGAGTCATTGTAGTTGTCAGGAGCAGCGAAGCGGTGGAACGATTCCTTTTGACTAGGGAGATGCTTGCGCTTGGCTTGGGGCGCTGATAGAGGGGAGGCGGTTACACCAGCGGGAATCGTGAGGGGTGCCGAGGCAGAGATATCGATCGAGAAGGCATAAAGTGCTTTCTGCTTAGAGTCAAATGAGGCCATGGAGATGAAGCGGGTCAATGGCCTGGACTCTGGGCTGTCTTCACTTGGCATGTGGAAGAAGGGCTCTCGCTCATAGAAGAACGAGTCCGACGAGGAGAAGTGGTATCGGGGTTTGAGTGTGGCGCAGATGTCTGCTACAATCTGCGTTTCAGAAAGGGAATTGTGGTTTTCTGGAACAGAAACCTGGGAGCCTGTGCGAATGCCCTTGGGCCACTGGTTCGTGATCAGGATGTCCGCGCTGTGCATCCCGTAAAGTGCGCGAGCATCCGACATGCTGTATGTTGTTTGATACTTTCCACCGGCATTGCTTTCAGGCTTAGACTTCGAAGATCCAGATGCCTCTAATTCACCTCCAAGGGCGGCAATGCGGATGCCCTCTGCAGTTTTGAGCATCGATCGACGCCCGAGGAAGTACAGATTTGGACATACTTCATCGTCGGCCTCAATCTTCTCCACAATCCGGGTAGGTAGTGGTCGACTGCCCACAGTAAAGTACGTTGGTAGAGGAACATTGATGTTTCCCTGGAGAAGGGCGGAGATCTCATTTAATTCAGCCTCGGTGGAGCAGTCACCGAAGAGGTTGCCAACGATGAGTGCAAAGGCGAAATTTTGTTTCACCTGTAACTTTGCAAGTTTGGTGAACACCGTCTGCAACTGGCAGTTGGGGCTACCGATGACGACTCTGTTTCCTGATCAGTTTTGTTTGCTTTGCGGCTGGGCTGAAGAAGCTCTCACACTTTGGAAGCCATGATCGGCGATTACAAGGCCCGAGTTTGGTCCAGAGTGATAACCAGCCTGGGTCTGATACCACTGGATTCTCACAGCGACAGCTAGCCCAAATGCAAAAAGGCACAAGCACTCCTTAATTGGGGGTCTGTTGCTGTCGTTTGCCGTCTCTTGCAGAAGCAGAAATGTATGGTGAAGCTCCAAGGACGCCGCATTCTGGGAGCTCGGGCCACCCCGTGACCACATGCGCTAGCTATAAATGGTTAGTGCGTTACTACCAGTCCTCAGGGCGGAATAAAGTGGAGCCGGCAGCGTTCAACTTTTTTTGTATTCGATGCGGGTTGAGAAAAGTTCCCGGAGCACCTTTCTCGTCAGCAGCGCTACCTGTCGCATTCATCAATATGGTAGTGCAAGGCTCGCGAGCCAAGCCGACTAGGCGCTTAAAAAAGGGCACCGAAACTACCAAAACCCACCGATTCGAGGGTTTTTCGCAACGCATCGCGAAGCTCAAAATCGACCCGATCCACCGCGTGCGCCGAGCGAGCTTTGGTGAAGATGAAGGAGAGACGACATCTTATTTCCGGTCGGCCCTCGACCACTGGGTTGATATGAACTTGTCGGACAATTTCACGCAGTTTACCCGCCGTGTCAATACCCTCTCCGAAAGCCTCGCCCAGATCGTATACCATGAAGAGAAGATTATGGGCTTGCTCGTGGAATTTATTGAGAAGAGGGACCAGCACTCCTTGGAGCCGCTGCTGAGCTTGCTCGCGCAGTTTGCCAGAGATCTGGGAGTCCGCTTTGAGAAGCACTTTGCTACCTCCGTGACATTGGTTGCATCCGTCGCCGCTACACATCCCGATGTCGAGGTCGTCGAATGGAGCTTCACCTGCCTCGCATGGATCTTCAAATTTCTTTCTCGTTTGTTGGTACCCGATCTCCGCCAACTGCTGAGTATTATGACTCCTTATCTCGGCAAGGAGCGACAGAAGCCCTTTGTTGCCCGATTTGCAGCCGAGTCCATGTCCTTCCTGATCCGCAAAGCCGGCCTCATCTACTACAAGAATAAGACGCCTCTCGAAAACGCCGTCTCTTTCCTCTTTGATGATATCACGAAAACCGCCGATGATGGAAAGAGCGTCGAGTCTTATAGGGAGGGTCTCATGGTTATGTTTGCGGACGCCATCAAGGGTGTCAACCATGGGCTGCATTCCAACGGAATTGACGTTCTCCGTTGCGTCCTGGACCAAGTTCCTCCAAGCACTGCGAACAGCCGTGTGCCGGCAGATGTCGCTTCTGGAGTGGTGATCAATCTCATTCACCACACTACTCCCGAGACATTTGGCCCCATTATTGATACCGTGAAGGATTATATCGATATGCGCACCAAGGAAACCCATAATCCTAACTTTTCACAATGCTGCCGTTTGATCTTCATTTGTGTGGCAACTCGAAAAGCTTCCAGAATCAGAGATTGGAAGACAGTTCATCAAACACTTATGTCTCTCCTCAAACAAGCGGCGGCAAGCCCAGATGATTACTCTGAGACAATTCCCCAGCTACTTGGAACTGTAGCATATGCTCTTCAGTTGTCACCAATGGATGAAATGCTGCCATTCATGCGCTCCTTCATGGATTTAGTTACTACCGGATCCCTCTCGAAATACTTCTTGCTCTTCTGCACCACATTTTCGGAGTGGGGATCTGAGCGTTTCCAAAGTTTACTGGTTCCATACTTTCAGAAATTCATCAACTCTTCCTGGAAGGAGCAAGAATTTGAAATGTGTCTGGCGCTGCTTCGACTTCACGAGACCGGTTGCATCACACCCGAAGTCTCAAGGCCGGGATATGTGTCTTGCCCAGGTGGCCTGAAGACCCGCATCCATGACTCTTTGGTTTACCCTGCCAAACAACAAAGCATTCTAAATGCGTTGGTGAAGCTTCCAAAGGCGATCTCCCTGATTTCGGACCCCGCCACGCTGTCGAAGATTGTGCAGAGACTGCACGATAACATTGTGTCTGCGCTGAAAGATGCCGCCTCTGAGACAGATAGCGAGAAAATTGACGGGCTCACATTTTATCTTGGACAAGGTTTCAAGACATATGTCGAGCTGGCACAACTGGCTGGAGAGCTTGACTCGAGTCTTTGGGAGCCCATCCTTGCTGCCTCTACCAAGTTCTCCCGCCTGCCTCTGTTTCTGGAAGGTGTTCTTACATTTATATTTTCCCTCCCGAAGCAATCAGAGGCGGACACCTCGTCAGTGAACGAGTTTGCTTCCAACTTGATTATCAATTTGGCCAGCCCGTCTCATCGACTGAGACTCGTTTCTCTTCAAATATTGCAACAACTTGTTATCCAGTTTGCGAATGAAGATCCGTCGCCAATTGCTCTTGCCATTGAGGTGGAAGAGAGCCCCTTGACCTTGCAGAGCGCGAGGACGGTTCAGATGCATGTTCGCAAACTGGCCCTCCTATATCCACAAATTGCCTCTCGCAAATGGATGGCTACTTTAATTCCGTACTTCTGCTTTGGCCTGTTTTCCAAGAAGCTGGCCCCCTTGTGGGATGATTCTGCTGCCGCTTTGAAAACCATCAGCGAACACCCGGAAGGAGAGAAGATTGTCTCAGATTTATCCATCCAGTGGCTGCAGGAGCGGGACTCTGACGCTACTGGAGACGATGAACCGGAAGCTGAGAATGAAAATTCCTATGTTTCCAGTGACTTCGAGTGTTTCAACGTCAACAATATTGAGCGCACTATCGGTAACAACCTGGCAACAACTCTGGCCCCATCGGTAGCCCTCTTCCAACAATTCCAGAAAGAACACAAGTCTACTGATCTTGTTCCTGCTCTTCCTCGAAACCATGCCCTGCAAGTCCTGAATGCCGCCCCCAACGTGGCTGAGAAGCGATCTCGTCAAATTGTACCACTGTTCTTGTCCTGGGCCCTCCGTGATGACCAGGATGACGCTCCTGAGAACGAAGTGAAGACCAACAATGAAAATTCGGAGGCGCCAATCCGATGGGGCTTCAAAGACCGTTTGTCCATGCTTACTTTGTTCGGACAGTTTTTGAACCCCAAGGTCCTTTTCAAGGCCCCAGAGGTCCATGAAGCAGTGCTAGGTCTTTTGTGTCACGGTAATTCGGAGATCCAGAAAGCTGCTCTCAAAGCTCTCTTTACCTGGAAGAATGCGCATGTCCTGCCATATCAAGAAAATCTGCTCAACATTCTAGACGAGTCCAGATTCAAAGATGAGCTCGCAGTCTTTGTACGTGTTGGTGGGGAAGACAGTCTGATCGAGCAAGAGCATCGCCCTGTTCTGATGCCTGTGCTCCTTCGATTGCTATATGGACGAATGATCTCGAAGGCGGGTGCCAGCTCGAGTCAAGCTGGCCAAGCTGGCCGTCGGAAGGCTATCCTGCGTACCCTTTCACATCTTTCCGAAGAGGACTTTGGACTCTTCATTCATATCTCGTTTGGTCCTCTTGCTGATGTGGTTATCGCCAAGGATAAAGAGAGCGATGAAAAGGTGTTCTCGGAGGAATTTACAAGCCCAAGGAGACAGCTCGGTTTGCTCAAAATGATCGACACCGTTTTCGACACTCTCCAGAGCCGTATGGCTCCCTACACCACTCAGACCATGAATGTCATTGTTCACTGTTTGGTGCGGGCCTGCAGATCGTTGTACGATGAGAAGAGTGCGCTCTATGTTGATCGTCAAGATGAGCGCCTTCTCTCTATGTTCCAGAACATTCGCCAATCATGCATTCGCTGTCTGAGCTTGGTCTTTTCAGTCTCAACTGACACTGACTGGACTCCATATGTGCGGATAATTTTTCAAGAGTTGATCGACAACAGGCTAGAGCAATTCCCCATCGAGACCGCACAGGGTATTTCAGGATTGCTCCGGCTATTCCACACTTGGGCTTCTGCCCCGAGATCGACCTTCTACCTGGTGCAGCACAACAAGGATGTTTTGACCAAGGTGATTGACTGCCTTGCCATCGAATCCGCGCGTGATGAGGTCAAGATTTTCGTGTTGGATGAAATTCTTGTGCCATTGGTCAAGCTGGCTAGCGGCAAGAAACTGAAGGACGACGACGATGAAGATGAGACAATGCCAGATTTTCCCCCTGAGCAGATTCGCTCCGAGGTTCTGTCTCCTTATCTCGAGCATGCCCTCTCCCATCTCGGTCGCCTTCTGAAGCGAGGTCCTTCGAAGCCTGTGCTGTATTCAGGTGTCACTGCCCTGTCGCTGACTGCGGCCTGTGTCGAGTCTTCGGGTGAGACCTCTGGCCTCATCAGCATCGCGACATACCTGCTCCGCCAGCCCCCAGACCGTGTCAACCCAAAGACAAAATCTGGTCTTTTGCGGATCCTCGAGCACTTCCTTCCTTTGTACAACCCCAAGGACGATGACGAGCTCTCTCAGCAAGTCTTTGAAGCATTGTCATCTATGTTTGACTATTTCAAAGATGATGCCAACAGAGAGGTCTTGGCAAGAGTTTTCACTGCCCTTGCTACTCATGATAAGCAGCTCGTTGAAGTTGCTGAGTTGTGTGCCGATCTGAACTCTCGTTCTGCGAAGAAACTTGGACCCGACTATGAGCGTCGCCTACAGGCCTTTACAAAGGTTAACGACGATCTGTCTCAAACTCTCAGTGCCAAGCAGTGGCGACCGCTTCTCTTCAACATGCTCTTCCACGTCAAGGACGAAGAGGAACTCGCTATTCGATCTAGTTCTACCTTTGGCCTGAAGCGTTTTATCGATAGAGCGGCGGCAGAGGCAGGCGACGAGGGCTTCGAGGCTCTTGTCAATGACGTTCTACTCTCGTCGTTGAAGTACGGGATTCGGCAGAAGTCTGAACTGATTCGTTCTGAGATTGTTGCCATCCTCGGTTACTTTGTTAAGCTCAACCCCACCAGGCCTTCTGTGCAGGATATGCATGTCCTTCTTGTTGACGATGACGAGGAGGCATCTTTCTTCAACAATATCCTTCATATCCAGCAGCACCGTCGGTTGCGTGCTTTGCGCCGACTAGCTGCGGAGGCTGGTAAAGGGAATTTGGAGTCCACGAACTTGGGCACCATTTTCCTCCCTCTCATTGAGCATTTTGCCTTCGAAGAAGCTGAGGATGAAAGCGGTCACAATCTGATTGCTGAGGCTGTCGCTACCATTGGTTCTCTGGCGGAATGGCTAGATTGGAGTCAGTTCCGTGCCAACTTCCGCAGATATCGCAGTTACATGCAGAGTAAGCCCGAAATGGAGAAGAACATCCTTAGGCTTTTGGGCCGGATGTCCGATGCTCTGTCTTGTGCAATGGATCAAAAGAAGGGGGGTCATGATGAAGCTAGTGGCGAGAACAGCGGCGATGCCGACAAGATGGACCTGTCCGAGTCGACAAGTTGCAGACTCGCCAAAACCCTGCCATCTCTTGCCAAGGTCTCATCGGAGTTGACAACTAACTTCATTCCTTTCTTATCCAACTTCATTCACCACAAGCAGGGGGCTGAGATGAGCTTGCGTCTGCCGGCCTCGGTTACGACAATCAAATTGCTCAAGATTCTTCCCGAGGAGGATTTGGCTATCCGCCTTCCGCCAGTTCTTCTGGATGTCTGCACAGTTCTCAAGAGTAAAGCTCAAGATTCCCGGGACACAGCACGAAAGACGCTGAATGACATTGCGCTCTTGCTCGGCCCAGTCTACTTTGGTTACATCCTGAAGGAGCTGCGAAACACACTTTTGCGCGGTTACCAGCTGCACGTCCTGTCATTTACCGTCCACTCAATGCTTGTCATGACTACGGATCATTTCAATCAGGGTGACCTGGACTATTGTCTGGAAGACCTAGTCGCTGTTATCATGGACGATACCTTCGGCACAGTTGGACAAGAAAAGGAGGCCGAGGACTATGTCAGCAAGATGAAGGAGGTTAAGAGTAGCAAGAGCTACGATTCTATGGAGCTTCTGGCCAAGAATGCTACCATCCGGCACCTGCCGAGTCTTGTTCGCCCGCTTCAGTCACTTTTGCGGGAGAAGCTCAACTCCAACATCGTGAAGAAGCTTGATGAGCTCATGAGAAGAATTGGTATCGGTCTTCTGCGAAATCCCCTCGCTGAAAGCCGCGACCTACTTATGTTTTGCTATGAAATCATCAAGGAATCCTATCAAGACAAGGCTCCAACTAACGCTAAGGCTACTCGCAAGTCCGAGCGGGAGGAGCGCTTCTTGGTCAGGTTGCAAGGAGGCAAGCGGGGTGAGAAGCGTGGCACGACGTCCTCCCACGTCTACAAGCTGACTCGATTCGCCCTTGACATCCTCCGCGCCATTCTCAACAAGTTCGGCTCGCTTTTGACTGCAGCGAATCTCTCTGGGTTCCTGCCCATCATTGGTGATGCGCTGGTGCAAGCCCAGGAAGAAGTCAAGGTCTCTGCTCTTCGGTTGCTTTCCACCATCATCAAGCTTCCTTTGCCGGAGATTGATGACAACTCTCATGTGTATTTCACAGAGGCCGTGAAGTTGATCAAGGAGTCACCCAGCACCAACAGCGAAGCGTCGCAGGCTTCACTCAAGTTGATTTCCTCCATGATTCGCGAGCGAAAGAGCACCAAACTCCGTGATGGACACCTCGCATACCTGCTTCAACGCCTGACAGCTGATATCGAAGAACCGGATCGTCAAGGTGTGACTTTCAACTTTATCCGTGCGGTCATGTCACGCAAGCTCGTCGTGCCCGAGATGTACGAGTTAGTTGACAACATTGCAACCATGATGGTCACCAACCAGACTCGTTCCGCGCGCGATTTGGCACGGGGTACCTACATCCACTTCCTCTTAGAGTATCCGCAAGCCAAAAGCCGCTGGTCCAAACAGCTTGGATTCCTCGCGAAAAATCTGGACTACAAGCATCAGGAAGGACGGCAGTCGGTTTTGGAGGCTGTCCATTTGCTCTTGTCGAAGACCGGTGAAGAGATGGCGCAGGACATCATCAGCACCTTCTTCTTGCCCGTTGTTCTCGCCATGGCCAATGACGACTCATCCGAATGCCGTGAGATGGCCGGTGCATTGCTTGCACAGTTCTACAGCCGAGCAGACAAGGAAAATATGAAGGCCGTCCTCACTCCACTTCACTCTTGGCTGGAGCAAACCGAAAACATGGCCCTGGGTAGTATCGGGTTGCAGGCTATGCGGATCTATTTCGAGGCCGAAGAGACCGAGAAGGACAAGGAAGGACGCTTTGTCATCCGCATTCTTCCAAGTCTGATGCTGTCAGTCCTTGAGGATCAGGAAGATGGAAATTGGGAAACCCTCTACTTTGCATTGCAACTTTTCACAAAACTCTGCAAAACCAATCCATCTCTTGGACTGAGCCCTGATTGTGCCTCCATCTGGGCGGCCATCCAGGAATCCCTGTTCTTCCCTCACGCATGGGTCAAGACCTGCGCTGCCAATCTTGTCGGCATATGGCTGGCTGATGTGGCCAAAACCCATTCTGCTGCTGGATACAGCGAGATCCCCTTGGCTGGCAGCTCTGGCCTTGTTCTGGACAAGGACGCCATGCTCAAGCTACTCCGTGCCAGCCTGCGGTCTCTTCGCACTCCAGGTATTTCCGAGGAGTTGGCAATGCAAAGTGTCCGCAACCTTGTTTTCCTCGGTCGGTGCTGTGCGCAGAACGGCCTTGAGTTCCAGAAAACCGCAATTGAAGATGCCGAGTCTGAAGCTGAAGAGGATGATGAGGATGCCGGAAGCGATCTCGATGGCGAAGACACCAAGACGAATGGTTCGGGTTCGAAGCAGTCTGCTATCCGCTACATCTTTTCGCAGGTCTCCTCTCTCCTGCGCCGAGAGGTCATCTCAACCAGGCCCAATGTTCTCATTCCGAAGACTGCTTCTGTCGCTCTTCTCGCTGCCCTCATCCGCCACCTTGACGTCAAGCAGATTTCCCCATCTCTACCTTTCATTCTGCTTCCACTGCAGCACTTGACCGATCCATCCATTCCGGGGCCCCGGTCCACTGACGAGACCTTCCAGAATACCTACAAGGCTCTTGTTTCCAACTGCCACGAAGTCTTGGACTCGCTGCAGAAGAAGTTTGGCACCACGGAGTACATCGCCGAGATGATCAAGGTTCAAGAACAAATCAAGGAACGTCGTGAAGGCAGACGTGCCAAGCGCCGGATCGAGGCTGTTGCTGATCCTGAGCGATTCGAGCATGATAAGAGGAGGAAGAACGAGAGAAAGAGAGTGAAGCGCCACGAGAAGGGTCTAGAGCACCGTGGCAAGAGACGCGGTTGGTAAAAGAAAGCGGGAATATCAACATGTTGCATATATTTACGATTTGATTTCACCGGCATTCAAAAAGCAGGCGTTTGGGAGGCATGGAATTATGCTTAGTATATCCCTGGAACAATTTATTTGTGTTGTACAGATTCTACACTTGTCTATGTAAACATATCGAACGCTCTTTTATTCAATGCGTGTTGTATTTTCTTCTGTTACTCAATGGGGGGTATGATTGACCACTATCTGTAGGATTGAAGATTTGGGAAAGGCGGAACAGCATCATGACTTCCTCCCAACCACGACATGAAGGTCAAAGCAGAAGTAGCATAAAGTAGTGCGGAGACCTCTTAAAATATCTTCTCCCATATTGCAAATCGTCCAACTTGTGTAGCTTGAGAGCGGCAATAAGACTATGTACTGCTGCATGAGTAACCTAAAGGCACAGCTTGTCTCGAACCTCGGAGATTTTAAGAGTGAATCTCTGCTCTTGATTAGACCATGCACAGTTGCAGGCTTTTGCATGAAAATAGGACCCATTAAGATCGGGTTTTGAGGTGATCATGAATAAGAAAATCGCGAATTTTAGTATCTTGTCTTATAAGACAATTTCTATGGTACAGTTTGAGCTATAGGACATGATCGTGAGATGTCTGACAGGTAGACACCCTCTATACACCATCTATATTTAACCTTGTTTTCTTCCTCATCAACGCCTGGAGCCCGCCATGCCGAGAGTGGGGAGTAGTGGAATCCATTGTACAACTGCCCCTCAGAAACAGTGGCAACCCGAGTCAATCAGGCCAATCCTTTGTACTGGAAGCAACGAAACAAGCATAGTTTCATAAGAGTGTCAGGAAGACTTCTTGTCAGAGGAGTCCAACACCTGCTGTCCATCCAACGTGAAGCTGTTCGTCGTGCCGTCATCCCAGAACTCCAAGTTGCCATCAGTGTGACCGTGAGTCAGGGTTTGGCCCTTCTCCTTCAACAGATCTTCCAATGTTGTCCGTTTATCGAAGAAAATACCAAGGTGATCGCTCATGACATGGCGGTTTTCGCACGAGGGGCATTGGATAATGACTGTGCCACGGTGGTAACCCTGCTTCGACATGCGGTGCGAAGAGCGCTCGCCGCATGGCTTGCAAGTAAAGGCGATCCGGTAAGCTTCCTCGTTTTTGCGACGGTCTTCATTCTTTGCCCGGCGCTCGGCGTCGGTCTCGGTCCTGTCACTGGGGTCCTCAGTCAGAGGACGCGACGATGTGGAGTTTTGTCGGAACGCGGTGGGTAGGAGGATGCGCCGAGGTTGAGAGAAGATTGCCGCTGAAGGGACATGGCGCGGGTGGATGATTTGTGACGAGAAGAGGCGCGATGAATGTGTACGAGTAGAAGTAATAGTGGGAGTGTGCGTGAAGAGGGAACGAAGTGGCCGAAGGCCCTGAGGCGCAAAGGGACGCATGTTGAATTCCTTTCGTAGCGGAGAGCAAAAAAGGGCGCTTGAAGGGGGGAGTGTGTTGAGGTCTTTATGTTAATGCGACCGAGCAAATAACGTTTTGCTTTCAACAATCAGACTCTGAGAGGAGCAAAAGATGCTCGCGCCGTCGACGCCTGAAGCATCCTGAAAGGCGGAGGCGGACCGGCGCAAAAATAATCCGTTTGCTCCTCCGCGGAGAGGGACGCAGCTTGTGGTTTTGAACTCTAGCCAACATTTCGTTCGTGTCTTAATTATTTTCTTTCAAGGTCTATCTGTTGTCTCTTCACATCTCCATGGCGGCCATGAGAGCTCGGCACAAGATTCGAGCTCCTCGAAGGGTACGTAAGGGTCCTCTGCATCTATGGAGCTTTGCACTGACCACCACCTCAGGGTGCCGCATCTGCGCCGAAAGAAGACTTCGACACGATCTGGACAGTTCTCGCGTCATCACTCACAGAAATTAACACAAAAAATGCCTCCTCCCTTTCATTCGAAGAGCTCTATCGCAATGCATACAAGATCGTGTTGATGATGCGGGGTGACGACCTCTATGAGCGAGTCACCCAATTCGAGGAGGACTGGCTGCGGGGTCAGGTCCAAAGACAGATCACCGAGTCCATCTCACCTTTTCTCGTGCGGGCACAGAATGCGCAGAACTCTACGGATGTGCAAGACCAGTCAAATGAGAGGCGAGCTGCGGGGGAGCGCTTTTTGGCCGTCTTGAAGGAGGCGTGGGAAGATCACCAGCTCTGCATGGGCATGATCACCGATGTTTTAATGTATATGGTAAGGATCAATATGTTCGGCGCACCTTGAGAATACGCGAGCTTACTTCCACAGGACCGCATAATCTCCGCAGATCGCACAAAGCCCTCCATCTACGTCGTGTCCATGGCTCTCTTCCGCGACCATGTGCTCCGGGCTCCCGTTCGTCCTGATTCTGATATCACCGTGGCAGATGTGCTGGAGTCTACAGTGCTTTTCATGATCCACCTGGAACGCGCAGGTCATATTATCGAACGGCCATTGATTGGACATTGCATGCAGATGTTGGAGGGTCTCTACGAGACCGTCACCGAGGAGGAAAGCTCCAAGCTATACCTCACCACGTTCGAACCAGCTTTCCTGAAAACCAGCAAGGACTTCTACAGGGATGAGGGGCGCCGTTTATTGGAGGTTGGAGACGCTGCAACTTTCTGCCGAATCGCATCTCAACGCATAGCTGAAGAACACGAACGGTGCCGTTATACACTCTCCACTATGACCGAGCCGAGAATTTTTGAAGTGCTGGATAACGAATTGATCCGGAATCATATCGAAGAAGTGGTTCAGCTGGAAGGAACAGGTGTTCGACACATGCTCGATCACAAGTTGCTGGATGGGCTGCGGGATGTCTACACTCTTAACGCCAGAGTGGACGAGAAGAAGGGGGCACTCACTAGGGCAGTGAGCAAGCGAGTAGTAGAACTGGGCAGCGAAATCAACGCCTCGTCCATTGCTCTGCCACCGACTCAGTCTACTACTGATAAAGATGCCGGCAGTGAGAAGAAGGAGAAAGGCAAAGAGAGAGAGCGACCGGTGAACCAGCAGACAGTATTGGCGATCAAATGGGTCGACGACATCTTGGCTCTGAAGCGGCAATTCGACAATGTCTGGGAGAGTTCTTTCAAGTCTGACCAGAATCTGCATAAGTCAATCGAGGACAGCTTTAGGGAGTTCATCAACATGAATGCCCGCAGCTCCGAATATCTCTCTCTCTTTTTCGACGAGAACCTCAAAAAGGGTATCAAGGGCAAGACAGAGAGCGAGGTGGATGCTCTTCTCGACAATGGCATCACGCTCCTGCGATATGTCAAAGATAAGGACCTGTTCGAGAACTACTACAAGAAGCATCTCTCCCGGCGGCTGTTGATGAAGCGTTCTGCCAGCATGGATGCAGAGCGACAGATGATCTCTAAGATGAAGATGGAAGTCGGCAATCAGTTCACACAGCGCATCGAAGCCATGTTCAAAGACATGACCGTCTCTGAGGACCTCACTGCGAGCTATAAGGATCATATCGCTCGCAGTGCAGACCCAGATCAAAAGCGGGTTGACCTGGACATCAATGTTCTTACCAGTACGATGTGGCCCATGGAGATCATGGTCAATACTAAAGACGGCCGAGTCCAGCTACCCTGCATCTTCCCGCGCGAGATCGAGCATCTCAAGCAGAGCTTCGAGAAGTTCTACCTCGACAAGCACAGCGGCCGGAAGCTGTCTTGGCAAGCTAGCATGGGTACGGCGGATATTCGCGCCACTTTCCAACGGAGTAACGGCAAGACCCAGCGTTACGAGCTCAACGTGTCCACATACGCACTTATCATTCTCGTCCTCTTCAATGATGTACCCGACGGCGAATCGCTGACCTATGCCGAAATCCAAGCGCGCACCCGCATCACTGACCACGACCTCATCCGCAATCTGCAGTCGCTGGCGGTCGCCCCGAAGACGCGAGTCCTGAAGAAGGAGCCCATGAGCAAAGACGTCAAGCCTACGGACCGATTCTTCTTCAATAACGACTTCCAAAGCCAGTTCATGAAGGTGCGCATTGGCGTTGTCAGCGGGGGTGCGAATAAGGTTGAGAACCAGGATCAGCGTAAGGAGACGGAGAAGAAGATGAATGACGAGCGCGGTGGCAGCATCGAGGCCGCCATCGTCCGAATCATGAAGTAAGTTGATAAACTATTACATACTGGTTGGGGTCATACTGACTAACTGCTTCTCTAGACAACGCAAGAAGCTTGGTCATCTTGGCTTGATGAACGAGGTCCTCGCGCAACTGGCATCTCGCTTCGTTCCTGACGTGAACATGGTCAAGCGCCGAATTGAAAGCCTAATCGATCGCGAGTATTTGGAGCGTTTGGATGATGATCCTGCCACCTACGGCTATGTCGCATAAGACCGGCTCTCACGTTCGCCACGACTTTGCTCTTTTCCTTTCTCCTTTGCTGGATGACGTTTCCGCATTTTTGGTTCCCCGGCATGACTGGCTGCGTTTTTTTTCTCTCTGGACTTAGCGACTGGCGTCTCACGGGTGGCAGGATGAATTGCAATGTCCATAAACGATAGCCTTGATCTACCACAAGGACTCTGTTTTGCACCGATGAATAGAACACGATCACAATCACACAAATATCTAGAACTGTGACTTAGCGGAGCCCTCGCTCAACACGAGAAATGATCGTAAACAAGGTGTATCATTTTTTATGCACCCATTGCCAGTCGTGCACCCAGGTCATGCTATAATGAGGTATGAGGTATGAAAGATGTAACAGTGAACGCCAACTCCAGGAATGCCGTTACTTCGACACAGGTATCAACCCCGAACCCGCCACGCCGTCGAAATATCACCGAAGCCCAGACAACCCAAGAACAATTTCCGATCAGATCTCAGATCTCAGATACCAGATCTCAGATCACAACAATTCAACCTCCCCCTTCCCCCACGCCTTCCTCACCCCCTCCCACCTCACAACCCATACATCCCCCATTCGCATCGTAATCCCAATCTCATCGCCCCCATCGCCATCATCCCCACCCACAAAAACAGGCACCTCCGCCCCCAGACACCTCACAAAAACGACCTCTTTAGTCTCCGGCCCTTGCACCATACTTGTCCCGCCCGCATTATCATCCAGTCGTCTCAGCTGCCGCGGAAACGCGCCCATGAACGAGCCCCCATAATGCCCCGCCAGCAACGTCTGGTGCGCATGCACAAAGCTGGTCTCCGGCTCCGACAGCGGCGCGAAGTCCGCCAGCGCAGAGATATCAGGCACCGAGTCTTCAGGCGCGGCGTTGGGCGAATTGCTGGACGGTGTCTGGCTTTGGCTTTGGCTTTGGCTCTGCGCGGTAAGTGGGTTTTTGTTGCGGCTGGCTAGTTGGACGAGGTAGTGCATGCTGTGCTTTGTCAGCTTGGCGAGGCGCTGGCGAAGGAGGGAGCGGATGATGTATTGAGTGCGCGCGAGGTCGGTTTGTAGGATAGAGAGGCGCAGGTTAAGGTTTGGATTGTGGTGGTGGTTGTGCGCCGTGCCGGCCACATCGGTGTCGGCGGAGGACGCGGCGAGGTCTTCGATTGTTTCGATCTGAGCCTCCCATTAGCACCGCGACTTTCTCGGACGGCGTGTCCGTGCCGGCAGGGTCTTACCTGGATCCGCACGCGGTCCATCATTCGCTCCATCAGCGGCGCGGGCCAGGGCAGGACCTCCGAGACGGCGCGCTCGGCGACCCAGAAGCGTGTCAGTTGCTGGTGGTCTAGTGCGGCGGACTCCGGGCTGGCGCCGGCGCCGCGGTCGACGGAGGCGAGGATGTCGTCGATGTCCATGGGCCTGGCCGGGGTACAGTGGAGGAAAACAACAGGTGAAGATCGGAGATGATCGCTGGAGTGGAGCGGGCCGTGGTGCCTGGGGCACCAAGGATTGCGGCTGGAGGTGTGTCGCGTGGGGCGCTGACGGGGCTGGGGAAGGATGAATTGAGTGTCCTTTGGAAAGTCAATTTACCGTTGGTGATGTGAAAGGTACGAAGTTTGGGGAGGTGTTGCTTGTGACTGAGTTGGTTTCGAGTTTGGGGAATTTACTGCGGCCCAGTCTAGTTAGACCTACAAATGTAGCTTGCAGCGGATGTGTGTAGATCGTGGTGGGTATTTTATTAGAAAAGTGGGAAATGTACCAGAGCAAATGAATCACCATCGCTGATCGTTCAGCCGTCCCGAAATGCATATCCTCCACGTTGCAGGCATTAAAGAGATGAGAGCACCCAAGTCCCCTAGCCAGGGGGTATTCTTTGACAAGGCAAGAAAGAAAGGAAAAAACAGGATGGGTTGACAAAAAAACCAGCGCAGTCTCGCACCGACCCATAAAGCAGAACGCCAGAAACCCGAGGCTTTCATTGTACGGAAATCAAAGCAAAGTAGAGCAGAGCAGAGCTAAACCCCGTTCACAGCTCTCACGTCCCGTTTCCCAGGGACTTGAGGAACGGGGCCGCAGGTCGCATTTTCAATTTTCATGCCTTCGCGGGAGGGGGCCCCGTAGGGGGGGCTGTACTCGCGGGCACCTGCGTGAGCGTGCTGCGGCTGCTGAAGCTCGATGCCGTTCTGTTGCTGACCAGGCGCTTGCTGGCCAAAGTAGCCGTAGTTCTGCGGGTTGGCGGAGTACTGGGGTGGTGGTTGCGGCGGGTAGTACTGGTTATTGCCATAGTAGGGTTGCTGGTAGGTCGGCTGGCCGGGCGGGGGATTGCCTGGCGGAGGAGCCATCCATCCGGTGCCCGTGTACGGACGGAGGCCATGGGTGCGGCGACGGCGGGCGTTGAAGCATCTGTGCAGGGGGTGGTGAGTTCCCTGGACGGTCGGAAGCGAGGCTTGGGGATTACTTACGCGAATCCGAGGAAGAGGAGGAAGGCACAGCCGACGATGACGGCGAAGGCTACCCAGCGACCCCAGCGGTCCCAGGATGAGTTGCAGTCGTCACCATAGTAGTCGTTGCTGCGGCGGTTAGTACAGGCCAGTCGCAGGGGTAGAGCTTGAGAGGGAAGGGTAGACCTGCGGGCCAGCTTACCAGTAGTATCGCGGGATGATTGCCATGATGGCTATTGCTCTCGCAGGATGGTGTAGGAGAAGAGAAGAGGAGCCGGAGGGAAGAAATAAGTCGCAAGGTGGCTGAGGGCTGGCCGTCAATCATGGGGCTGGGCGGTGGTGGGTCTTGGCACTAGGCTGCAGGTTTGCGATGATTCATGGAGGCACTGCAGCTTCATTTGAATTATTATTCTGCGTAGTCCTTATCCCTACATACATGACAACCTTAACCCCTGCCACGCAATGAAGGACACCTATAATAATGACCAAGCAGAAAAGAAGGGGAAGAACAGGAGACACAAGCACACTCGCCTCGGCCTACGTTGCCGTCGTACGTCAACGGGAGTTTGCGGCGCAGTCCGGATATACTCTCCCAACGGCCAATCACACGTCGGTGGAGGGGGAGGCGCAGGGCTGACCGCGAAATTGAGAAGCGTTCGTACTCGCCCCAGGCACACCGCAAGAAAATGACTGTGCTTCAATTTTATGCTATGTAAATATCGTAATGATCGACATAATAGCCATTGTATAAAAGGGTGATCCTGCTCCCCCCAATAAAGGTCGGAGTACAGCCTTAGTTTCGGCGCCCTGCTAAACTACGACGCAGGTTCTCCTGGCGCATTTTCCCTTTGTTTCGAGACCCTGACAGACCCGAGAAAAGCTGGGTGGGAGATTAGCCGGCGATAACAAAGTGGCTGTCGCTTCCCTTTTCAAGAGTCCTTAAGCGATTTTGCCTACGTCTTGCATCTTCCATAGAAGACAAAACAAAACTAAATTTGCTCCACAAAGAATCTGATGTCCACATACCACTACCACCCATCTTGTACATAAGCTGGTTGGTTACCTGGACATGCGGTAACAAAACTAGATCATTTTTCATCGATTTCAAGCCTCGCTCGCACCCGAGGGCTGTTATCAAGATCTTGTCTCTTCGACGATGAGGTGCGACTACTGTATCAGTACTCGTTGCGTGAAAGAGGTATCTGGTGGATAGTTCAAGCATTAGACTGGAGCTGGACGGTAACATTCCATGTTTCGTAGAAAGCCAAGTACCTTATTGTCAGATTGTAGAATTATGGCCCTTTGCAGGTAATAATGATTGATGCATGCAATCTATCTCGTCGTAATTCAGATATCCAATTGATAAGTATTGAATCTTCACCAACCACTACCTACATATCCGGGATTCTGTATTCCGCGCCACTGCATCTAGACTGAAACACAACCTCTCTTCCTCACCAAGTCAGCGGAATCTGATATTTCCTCCAAGATTTCAGAGTATCAGCTTCTTCAAATTTTTCGATACCACCAGCGACCCCGTCTGCATCAACTTCCCAATCACCCGCCTCCACTCTCTCCGCCCAGTTCAGCAGGACTTGATGAAGTTGAACTTCATGCCGCTCTAAGAAGCCACTATGTGGGCCCTGTTGGTAACGCTCATGCGCGGTGTCTTTTGGAGACTTATCCCAAGGGGTTTCTTCCTGTATCTGCTTGCCGTTGCTATACCGCGCATAATGCCGAGCGCCAATATTAAAGGGCAGAAGCAGTCTGCAGGAGTTCCCAAAAATAGCAGGTGATCTAGCGCCAGTTAAACAGATATATAAGCCTACTGGCGCTTCCTGGAGACTGTCCTCGGGATCCAGATAAGAGAGCGATTTGTAGCTCAAATAAGTCGATTGATCGCCTCGAAACAAAAGAAATGGTACATTAAGGCCACCATATTCGCGACCGGGTGGCTGTTTCCACGGCTGAGATGTGAACTCCGCGGATGACTGGAGCCTAATTCCTGGGGCGATGTAACGGAATCGTAAAGTTCGAGGAGGTAATTCCCGAGAGGAAATTGCGAATAAACGTGTTAGCCGGGATTGTAGCTTTATCAAGGATAGTAGGTGAGTATGGTAGCTGTATGTCTAGATCGTGTGTGGATCTGGGGATCAAATGCCAACTCTGGCATATTGGTGTCGCGGGACGACATTAAGTTCAAGAGCCTCGGGCCGGACAACTTCAAACAGTGTGGATAGGCGGCAAACCTTCTCATACGCACATCTTGTCAAGGGGTAAATAGATGTTGAGAGGAGGAGAAATGGTGGAAGCAAACTTCCTTAGATTCAGGAGATATTGTCGAAATGTATGGAGTGGTAACCTACCACTAAGAACGGGCTTATTCATCAATTGCCCAATTCCCTTATGTTTTTGTACTTGTAATTCTGCTTTACATGACAACTCAGGCTGTGTACTGTAAATCACAGGTGGCGCTGACCCATCACATCCTGAAGTTGTTTCCTTCTCATAGAAGCCGCTGCATACAGTGTCCAATCCGTGGGGTTTCTAAACTCTGCGGGCGCAAGACCCACGGCGCTCACGAATTTTGACGGCCGAGCACAGTCGAGTTTAAATGGCCTCTCTCTCGGCCACGCTAAAGTTCGAATCACACGTGAAAGGCGCCAGAAGACGAGACCCCCACTACGAAATAATAAGCAACCGAGAACTGTTGCGTTTGAGCCCAGGTTTGCCCCATAGACAATGTGAATTATCGATAGCTGCCGACACGACAAGAAACAGAAACAGAAAAAGAAAAAAAGAAAAAAGAAAAAAAGGACCATTAAATAGCTCCCCTTCGCAACAGCTTGTCCAGCTCCCAAGCTCCAACGCCATGACCTTTAATTGCGTTCCCCCCCCCCCCCCCCCTCTTGGCATGGGCGTTGGCCACTTGCTGATTCGAGGGCCCTTCGTCTGCACGGCCAACGCATCGGTTGGTCCGTGTGCGTTGCACCTATTTATGCCCGGCCGCCAGCCATCGCCGGACCTTCGCTACGCTCCTGCTCCTCTTTGCACCCAGCAGAATTCTCAGGCTGCGATCAATGTTGCCGAGGTCATCTACGCTGGAATTTTTCGGAAACATCAAAGAACAGAGACGGCAAGGTTCATATTATTGGCCACGCTGCAACCACAGATCAAAGGGATAAGATTAGACACTGCAACATGTGAGATGCTGCTCATTAACATGACCATCAGATTGTTTTAATCGAGATTTGCACCTGGCTAGCCTTTGATCCAAAATTGCATGCTCCCAGAATGAAAGGAATGAAAACAAGCTTGAAACGAAATCCAAAGGAGAAGAGAGAACCATGAGTCGTGGACATCGTCACAATCCGAGGCCGCGAGCCAACACGCTAGAGTCTACGGGATATAAGGAAACACCCTTCCCTTCCCCCCCCCAAGTTGAAAGGAAGAAGAAAAGAAAGCCAAAAAGACATCACTCCCAGACGCCGAAGGGAAAACACAGAGGACATAAGTGAGTCAAAAGTCAAGTTCAAAGGATCGCATCGCGCATACTTTCCATATATTCACCGACTGGCGCGCGCAATCAGCCAGTGCAGGACAGCATCGAGATTGGTCTCCTCCTTGGCGCTGATGCCATAGCAGCTCACCTCGCGGTGGGTGATGGACTTCAAGTCCATCGCATCGATCATCTCATCGACCGATAGCTTGCTGGGGAGGTCGGACTTGTTCCCGAGCACGAGAAGCGGGATGCCATCCAAGGTGGGCTTGTTCATCAGCTCGTGCAGTTCCTCGGCGGCGACAGGCAGCGCAGCCTTATCGGCTGCGTCCACGATATATCTGATCCAGAGGCTTAGCATCACGACATTCGATTCTCCGGAGTTCGCACCCCATTCGAGGTGGGTCTTACACGATCGCATTCACGCCTCGGCAATACCGCTCCCACATCGGGCGGAATCGAGGCTGTCCGCCCAAATCCCAACTGCTGCTGTTAGCGAGGTCGTTTCCATGCAAAAACGCCAGACCGCATGGCATACCATTTCAAGGTCACATGGCCTTTTTGGACTCGCTTGGTGTTGAACCCGATCGTCGGGATGGAGCTGCTTGGGAGTTAGTGGGACAGGAACCCCCGCCATGTCCGCTGGGAACGACCTACTCTACCGTGAATTCGCCGCCCTGCGTAACGCGATCAGCAGACCATCGAGGATATACAGCCACAGAGTCCAGAGGGGGGAAAGATAGGCGAGAGGGAGGAGGAGAGGGGCAAGGGAAACACTGGGGAGCTTCGAGCTTGGCGCGTGAAAATGGGACAAACATACCGCTAGCACCCGCAGTAATGAAGATTTGCCGGCATTCTGCAGGCCGATCATGGTGACATCCATCTCCGTCGCCCTGCAGGGAAAGGCATCCGGGATTAGCAGGGCTGCCTCGACGGGAACGGGCCGGGGCTGGTCTGCCGCCAAACGTTGAACAGGCCCACTCACCAGAACATTCTCAGGAGCCAGTCATAGATGGTGCGAAAGAGCCCGGCCATCGTGAGGGGGGTGTGGTCTGTTCTACTTGGTGGGTGGAGGCTGAAGCAAGGGGAGAAAACTGGGTTTGCGGGACGATGGACACGGGACCCGGGCAGCACGATAAACCCTCGTAGAACCTCAGGAGTTAAAAACGGCGAAAAACAAGGGTGGCTGCTGGACAGAGTTGAGATCACAAGCCACCCGGAGACTATTGTGGGCGAAAGGCCAGAGCGAAGGCCGAGTGGGGTGGAACTTTGGAGGCGCGTTCACCAGGAATGGGGTCAGGAAGACCGAGCAGGTCTGGTCGTGCGGATCGCGGATCGCGGAGGTGGCGGCTACCGGGGGTTCGTTCACGGGCGGGCGTTGCAGTTCCAGGTGCCGTTGCAGGTGTAGTTGAAGTAGTTGCAGGTGGGAGGTGGTGGCGATGAAGCGAGAGAACCCAGGAAAAAGGAAAGAAAAGGAAACGAGAAACCGAAAAGCATGGACCCGAGCGCTTGACTCTTTAAACCTCCAGCCGCTTTGGAATCCCTTATGAATACAGTAGCGCCGAGTGGAATCGATGGAACCGTTCTGCCAACCGCACTGAGGATCTACCGACTTGCACACATGACCGCCGTTGCGAGGGGCGCTTAGGGCTCCATTCGCAGCCTGACGTAGCGCAGTTGACTGGCGTAGAATGGAGGCCCCGGCGTATGGTATAGTGGAGGGGCTGGGCTAGTTGCGTCTATAGTGTGTTCAGCTAGGCAGTATTTGGGGCGGAGTCAGAATCGGGCTCAAGGCAGACTATAATACCCTAGCGTAAGCAAGATCGGAGTACCCAAGCATCCAATATCCAACAGAGCCTCCGTAGTAATCTATGATGATGGTATACTTCCGATAGTTCGTTCCCGCCGGGACAGTCCCGTGCAGAACAAATATTATGCCTCAGGCCACACATGCGATCATCACCTTTGCTATCAACACGTGCTGATAACCCGGCTCCACCTCGAAAAATTTCCCCAAGCAGACCGCATCCTCGAACCCATCCAAGCTGCCATTGCAGGCTCAATTCCCTCGCTTCTTTGGATAAACTCCCTAGGAGGCTGAGGCAGAAGGGGCCATCGTTGCTGTTCCCCCGGTTGAATCCCCGAACCACTCGCGGGATCTCTATACCGGCACCACCAGTTTTCTTTTTTCTTCGCTGCGGAACTTCCGCAAGCTATCAGCCATGGCTCCCGTGCCCACCGACACTCAGTGGTCGGTTGAATTCGACACCCTGAGGCGGGAGAATCTCTTCAAGAACCCACCCAAGGATCAGACGGCCTATCCGACCCTGGCGGAGTCGATTAAGCCGCATATCGACTCGTTCAACCAGCTCTTCGGGGGCAGCAAGATTCTGGAGGAGGGCCTGAAGGATATCGGCATCAAGTCATTCCTTGACGGAGAGAATGAGACACCCGAGCAGAAGAAGACCCGGATCGCCGAGGGTCGCCGCGCGCCTAAGCGCAACCGCCTGAACGTGCGCGTCACGGAGGTCTTCCTCGACAAGCCTACCCTTCCGCCGACCAACAAGTTCAGCCACAAGAACCGCAGCATCTATCCTTCTGAGTGCCGTGAGCGACATTCCACCTACCGTGGCAAGCTCCGCGCCCGCCTCGAGTACCAGATCAACAATGGCGACTGGATGGAGTCTGTGCGTGAGCTGGGCCAGGTTCCCATCATGATGCGCACCAACCGCTGCCACCTCGAGAAAGCGACGCCGGAGGATCTCGTCACACACAAGGAGGAATCGGAGGAGCTGGGTGGTTACTTCATTGTCAACGGTAACGAGAAACTGGTCCGCATGTTGATTGTTGGCAAGCGTAACTACCCCATGTCGATCATTCGTGGTTCATTCGTCAAGCGTGGTCACACCTACACCAAGTTCGGTGTGCAAATACGATCCGTTCGGCCGGACCAGACTTCGCAAACCAATGTGCTGCACTACCTCTCTGATGGCAATGTCACCTTCCGTTTCTCGTGGCGCAAGAACGAGTTCCTCGTTCCCGTGATGATGATTCTCAAGGCTCTCGTGGAGACCAATGATCGCGAGATCTTCGAGACTCTCGTTGGTAGTGTTACCTCGAAGGGCATGAAGAACACTTTCGTCACAGACCGTGTGGAGCTTTTGCTCCGAACCTACCAGGCTTACAACAAACACAGTCGCTACGACTGCCGGGCCCATCTCGGCAAGTGCTTCCGCCCCGTGCTTGGTGTGCCTGCCGACATGTCCGATGAGGATGTTGGTACTGAGTTCTTGCGCAAGGTTGTCCTGCCTCACCTGGGCAACCAAAATGTGACCGAGACCCAGGACTACGACAAGTTCAAGATGATCATCTTCATGATCCGCAAACTGTACGCCCTGGTTGCCGGCGACTGCGCCCCTGACAATCCCGATGCCGTCTCCAACCAGGAAATTCTGCTCGGTGGTTTCTTGTACGGCATGATCCTCAAGGAGCGTATCGAGGAGTGGCTGCGATCATTTGGTCCTATCGCTCGCGACTGGTCCATTCGGAATGGCGGCGCCACCTTCTCCGACCCTTCCTTTGAGCGAGATTTCTTGTCTAAGATCGTCAAGCGGTCTAATGAGAACATTGGTAATGCGCTCGAGTACTTCCTCTCAACCGGTAACCTCGTCAGTCCCACTGGTCTTGACTTGCAACAAACTTCCGGTTACACTGTCATTGCCGAGAAGATCAATTTCTACCGTTTCATCAGTCACTTCCGCATGATTCACCGTGGTAGTTTCTTTGCGCAATTAAAGACCACAACTGTGCGTAAGCTGCTGCCTGAGAGTTGGGGTTTCCTGTGCCCGGTCCACACTCCTGATGGTTCGCCCTGTGGTCTGCTGAATCACTTGGCTCACAAGTGTCTGATTGCCACGGATAACCTGGAGGTTTCTCACCTCCCCAAGATCCTTGTTCAGCTAGGTGTTCGTGCCGAGTCCTCCGTGGCTACCGATGACAGCGTTGTCGTTCAACTAGACGGCCGTATCATCGGCTTCTGCTCGCCCAAGCAGGCTCAACAGATTCATGACACCCTCCGGTACTGGAAGGTCTCTGGCACAAACGACATCCCCCGAGGTCTGGAGATCGGTTACGTTCCCAATACCAACGGCGGTCAGTACCCCGGTATCTATATGTTCTCGCAGTCATCAAGAATGTACCGTCCCGTCAAGTACTTGGCCAATGACGGACTGGACTTTGTGGGTCCGTTCGAGCAGCCGTTCATGGAGATTGCCTGTCTCCAGTCCGACCTGATCGCCGGTCTATCCACTCACATCGAATATACGCCGACCAACATCCTCTCCATCGTGGCCAACATGACCCCATTCTCCGACTATAACCAGTCGCCCCGTAACATGTACCAGTGCCAGATGAGCAAGCAGACCATGGGAACACCCGGCACATCCATCGCCTACCGTACAGATAACAAGTTGTACCGCCTGCAGACCGGTCAGACCCCAGTGGTTCGGCCACCGCTGTACAACGCCTACGGCTTAGACAACTTCCCCAACGGCATGAACGCCATCGTGGCCATTATCTCCTACACCGGTTACGACATGGACGACGCCATGATCATCAACAAGTCTTCGCACGAGCGCGGCTTCGGTCACGGTACCATCTACAAGACCAAGGTGCACACCTTGTCCGAGCGCGACTCGCGCCGCAGCAAGTCCAAGCGCGAAGTCACCAAGCTGTTCGGCTTTGCGCCCGGCGACGAGGTTCGCGCCGAAGCGAAGGCCTTCATCGACAGTGACGGCCTGCCGCACGTTGGCGTGCGCGTCAAAGAGGGCGATAAGATCGCCGCTTACCACAACGTGCGCTACGACGCGGCCTCCGACTCGTACGTCAATGTTGACGGCGTTACGCACTTCCTGAAGTACAAGGATGCCGAGGCCGGCTACATCGAGAGCCTTCGCATCATGGGCTCGGAGAACGGCAACGAGCCCGCCCAGTCGATCAGCGTCAAGTACCGCATCCCGCGTAAGCCGATCATCGGTGACAAGTTTTCTTCCCGTCACGGTCAGAAGGGTGTTTGCTCGCAGCTCTGGCCCGCGGTCGACATGCCATTCTCGGAGAGCGGCATGCAGCCCGATCTGATTATCAACCCTCACGCTTTCCCATCCCGTATGTGCAACAAGATTAACACCCCCCTCCTCTCCATTTCTCCTTACTTACGTCGTAACAACCTGGCTAACTCAATCCACCCAGGTATGACAATTGCCCAAATGATCGAATCCATGGCCGGTAAAGCTGGTGCGCTTCACGGCCACCCGCAAGATTGCACGCCGTTCCAGTTCTCCGAAGAAAACACCGCGACCGACTACTTCGGCCACCAGCTGCGCAAGGCCGGCTACAACTACTACGGCAACGAGCCCCTATATAGTGGCATCACGGGCCGCGAGTTCGCCGCCGACATTTACATGGGCGTCGTGTACTACCAACGTCTGCGTCACATGGTGAACGACAAGTTCCAAGTGCGCACGACGGGTCCCGTCAATGCCTTGACCGGCCAGCCCGTCAAGGGTCGTGCTAAGGGTGGTGGTATCCGTGTCGGAGAGATGGAGCGTGACTCGCTGATTGCCCACGGTGCGGCCTTCCTCCTACAGGACCGCCTGATGAACTGCTCCGATGCCCAGCACGCCTGGATCTGCCGCGACTGCGGTTCCTTCTTGTCCACCCAGGTCGCTGTCTCCGGGTCCGGCGCGTCCCGCCGTGCTGCGGTCAACCCTGGTGCGGCTGCTGCTGCCGCCAAGGCTGCGCCGAACCAGAAGCATGGTTCTGGGGCTACGACCGTTGGCGCGCTCGGTGGTAATGCTGGCATTGTTCGCTGCCGTCGGTGCGCCCGCTCGGCGACCTTTAGCGACTCCCGTGCTGAGGCGTGGGAGGACGGCGATGGGCTGCGGTTTGTCGGCGGTGACAACGTTACTGTTGTTGCTGTGCCAGGTGTGCTGCGGTTCCTGGATGTTGAGTTGGCGGCTATGGGTATCCGGATGAAGTTCTGGGTTGACAACTAGTCAGCCCCAGCATATATCTCCTCTTCCTCGTGCTTCGTTGTTGTTGCTGGTGTCCAAAAAATTATTCTGGATTTTTGAATTCATGTCATAGATGGAGCGTCTGTCTGGCTGTTGTTTTGTTTGGTATAATTTCTTTTCTATTTCTTTTCTATTTCTTTTCTGTTCATATTTGTACGCAATAATGCGCACTGATCTCAATCTATCAGGTTTATATATGAGATCTCTTTCTTTTATTACGCCGTAGCAATACAGTTAGCTAATTAGTTATGTATGCAATCAAGCAGGCTCGGGGCTACATCTACGCGAGCCTCATGGTTTGGGGATACGCACCATGTCTACCGCTGCTCCTCCTGTCCATCCATACAGTTCACCTCGTGTCAAAAGGCGGTTAGGGCCAGATGGTACAGTACTACATTCTCGTATCTATCTGTGAGATCGAGCATGTCTCCTGTATAAAAATGCAGAAAATGCCCTCTATATCTCAATAGACATGATCCTCGTCTTCGTTTGAGAAGGCCTAACCCATATGGTAAAACTACCCGTCTGTTTCCCTATACCAGATAGTTATAATGCTGAGAGCTCAGGATTTAAGGTTCCCCATTTCTTCCTCTTACCGCCCTCATAAAGTACAAGATTCTGCAGGATTTCAGGCTCCAAGGCGAGAAATACCGAATAGGCATCGGGTTTGCGGAGGTTATCGTAATTTACTGGTGATCACATCAGCCCCGCGGCAACCACACTAGCAATGTCTCTGCCTTTCAGCAACACACCCCGCACCATCCAGTCAACATGAGCTCTAGGAACCAAGGGGCCAGTCCAACCATGTCGCCGTCAAGCACTGGTGCGAACCCCTCGTTAGGACCTACTTCTACGGCCCCCGTGGTCCACCCGCGCTACGCGTCAAACGATCAGTTCGCCATGGACGACCCCGACCAACCAATCGAGTTGTCCGGCACGGACCATAAGCCTGCGTTTCCACCGAAATTCCAGCGAAATTCGACGTCTTCTAGCTCCCAATTGCCGCCGGCCGAGACTTATCAGAGCCGAGATGTTGGGACTGGCCGGCTATACTATCACAACCAAGGCCCCGAGCAAAATGTCAATATACATGGCCTAGGGGGTCCCCCGCCCATGGGTCATACGCAATATACACCATCCCCACAAGACTATTATCATCACCAAGACCCGCGGCTGCTGGCGCAGCAGCAGCAGCGTCAGTACCAGCAGCGGCCAGATGGATTCTATGCTGTGTCTCAAGCGCCAGCGCCGCAAGTCCCCGCGCAAAGCCAGGATGACTATTACCACCCCCTCCGACAAGCGGCTCCTTCAAGAATGCAGCCAGACGATTTGTACCATGCGCGGCAGGCCTATAGCCAGGCACAGCCGTCGCAGTCGCAGCCGCAGCCGCAGCTGCAACAGTATTATCATGCGCGACAGGTGCCTCAAAGAGGGGAGATGAAGAGCGAAGCTGATCCTGTAGATCAGCCGTTGTCCCGAGTAACGCCCGAGACGATGGGGAAGTGAACTTGGACTTGAATCCCGCATAGTTTGGACGGTGCCGGTGGAAATTTGTATTTACGCGTCTTGTGGGACAGTTCTTGGACAGGCTATATGATTGATTTCAAGTCATGATAACCACTTCGGACTGCAGCGAGTCTCATCAAAGATCCTGTCTGTGCCTCTGTACCAGGCAATGGGACTGTCGGGTCTTGGCTTATTCGCACCGCGGGTGTCTGCGAATCAATCTAAAGTAGACCCGACCCGATAGTGGTACCTTGAAGTGTAAACCAGTGAAATGAAATCGAAAAGAGTCTAGCACTCGGGATAGCACTCGGGTGTTCAGCCTTGTCCCCTCCACCGTATTATACTCCCAGCGTTGATGGAGGCCATAACTAAGTACGAATCCTACGAGCATCGCGTAAGATTGACTTATAAAGAATCCATGTTAATCCCTAGCATCAAGATCAATAATACACGTCTACCACCCCCTACAACTCTGACGTAACATTGGAGAACTCGCCACGGTCCAGCTTTGTCTTCCAGAAAATGGGGTTCATGTCGTCAAAGCCGTGGTGCACCCAGCCCTCCTCCTTGACGTGGTAGCAGTTGATGAAACCACCGGAGTATGCGTCACGGTGCATGGCAGCCAGAATGGCGCGTCGGCCCAGGTCCAGCGCCTCCTGCTCGCTCAAGTCATACCGGTAGTTGGCGTCAAGCACACCGTAGGCAAATGTTTGACCGGAGCCGACACAGAACAGGTTGCCCGGGAGGCGAGTGCCGTCTGAGTCGATGTAATAGAGCGCGGGGCCTTCTTGAGGGGTTACCTGTGGGTGTGGGTGTTAGTTTGGACTTGAACGAGGCCCGGGGATAGTGCGGACGGGGTACGGACTCCTGCAAGCATGGTTCCCATGCTCAGGCCGTAGCCCTTGTACGCGTAGGTCAGGTTGGCGAGGATCTTAGATGCAGCTGCGACTGTGATTCGGCGCTTGTGTCGGATTTCTGCGCAATCATCTCGTTAGCGACTCATTCCCGCCACCACAGTAGATCCAAAGGTTCTGTGCTTTCCACATACCATGCAGAGTGCACTGCTGACTCAAATATCGCAACCAATATTGGCAATCCTATCGATGCAACCCCATCAGCACCACAATCGCATCATCGAAACGACATCCAGCAGCTCCCCTCTTCTACAAGAGCAGACTCACCGCCGCACCACCGGCCATCGTCCCAAGAAGACCCGGTGTAGGGTCATTTGTGGCCTTGTCCTCGCCACGGCTCAACCGCGACACGGGGATAACCTTCTTCACAGTCTGACTAGCAATCCAGTTTCCGGCCGTTGCTCGGGAGTCGGTGCACACGATCTATAGTTTCCCAAAAGAAGTTGGTCAGTTTCGGATGATGTAAAGCGTGCGGTATAATCGAGGGGATCGTACGATGCCGCCCTGGAATCGGAAGGCCAGGGTTGTTGTTCCGTGAGCGAGCTTGATCGGGCAGCTGGGGTTGGCGTGGTCATCGGTCATAGCACGGAGGAAAGCGGAGGACTAGAAAAAGGGAGAATGAGGATTGATTAGCTTTGGTTCTTTGATTGGTGACCAGTTCGCTCTCCTGGGAGCTCTGCTCGCTGCATAGCCGTGATGACGGGCTCCGGGGATGGCAGAGGTCTTAGAGCGCAACCCAGTCGCTTTCCCGGCGGCTCTGAGAAGACAGGTGGTTCTGATGGCATCACAATAACTCACATTGTCGACAGGAGGGAGAGCGAACTTGAGAGATAGCGGAGGAAGGCTCTCTGTGAGGTCCTGTTGCTCTTGCTCCGAGTAGAACTCATTCTGATGGGCCGAGCGCGAGTATTGCGCAACGATCTTGTCCATGATGTGCTAGTGAGAGAGTGACCAGATATTCAAGAGGAAGAGACGAGGTAGGATTGGGTGAAGGGACAAGATGAAGCACGGGTTCGGTGGTGGATGCAGCTCCGCTGGAGCTTGGAGTTCCGCGTCACTTCTGGCGCCTGTGGTCACGTGCAGATGCAATCGCGCAAAATAAGTAGGACCTGTTGGTTCGAATAATCACTCCACAGCTGTGCTGCTACATGTCCTCCATACACAGGTTAATCTCTGCCACTGCTTGGTTTTCCCTCACTGTTTTTTTACTCACCCTTGGCCGCTTTTTGTTCACCGAGTAGAACTGACATGCCCCTGAGCGCCCCAACTCGCTCACTGAGCCTGGCCTGAGTGCATAGATGAGCGCAGTAAGACTACCTCAATGAAATGTAATACACTAGCCCCAGGTCTGCCAATCATTCCTCCCTAGCTAGCACTCACCTTACCATTAATAATGGACCGGTATCATGAGTGTGTCCGTCGATTTGGTCATTTCGACATTGTGAGTACCAAGTGCACGCCGGAGCTTGTATAGTAGACCAATCAAGCCTTATTTTAGGCTATGTGCTCTTGAGAATACCTACTTTGCAAAGCCACGTCCCTTGATCAAAATCCACACGCCTACGGAGGTGAATGTGATTGGATTGGTTGTATCCTCTTGAGAGTCTACACAATTCTTTAGTATCGACTTTTTCGAAGAAATCTATGCTCATGATATGACGACAACATTTTCTTCCTTTATGATCGTATAAGTGAAGAGGCTATTCAAACGTGCCTTCTATGCCGATGCTAAGTGGGTTGCAAAAGCCTAAAAAACTATATTCTGTGACTACAATTATATTGCGCCTGGGAATCCTCCCCCGGCTTTCCTAAGAGCCCACTGAACTAGGCTTATAACAATCTATCCTCCGAACTAATCCTTTAAAACTAGTACGCGTTCTCATACTGACCTGGGCGCTGCATTTGGCTCCGATTTCGCCGCTATTAAACCTCCCAATATAGGCTTAGCTCCTTATACTGGATCTTATCTTGATTCGCACCCCACATCAAGCACGGCTCCCCTTTGGCGCGTTTTATAACCTCTCTTGCGCCACTTGATTTCCTGATCTTAACCCGTGAAGGTAGTAGCCTTTCAATATGGATCTGCCCGAGAAATTCCCTCCAAGCAAGGTTCTGGAGACCAAGTAGCCGACTACCTCCACGATCACCACAGTGACCTTATTTGGCGCTTTCTACCCACCGTGTCGCGTACGAAGAAGCGCTAGCCGCAAGTCTAGACTGCGTGCATGGGATTCTGACCGCATCCTTCCACCAACCACCAATCCAGGCTCTTGAAAACAACCATTTGTTAACAGATACCACCCCTTTCTCATCAAACCGCCCAATTCGTACCACGGGCAAACTAACTCCAGAAGATTGCCCAAGGCCTCTCTCTCCAGGCCGTCGTGCCATACTCAAGAAGAAGCTCCTGGACGAGGAGGACGCCCCTCCGCGAGAGCATCATATTCACTAGCCTAGGCCTTAGCATCACGTATGCGACGCTAAACGATCTCCCTCAGGGCTCCATCGAGATCAACGTAGCTCTCCAGGGCTAAATCTCCCCAAATCCTCTCGTCAACCGTCTCACCTCTAGCCTCAAGAATTGACCGCGGAACTGATCGGTACTGGAGTGTGTGTTGATGCAGCCTTTCAGTCCTAGAATAATGCCCGAACGAGTATTCGGGAGGACCTCTTTGTCCACCACCCACGCGGTAAGGTCCATATTGAATAGTGAGTTGGTAAATTCGAGGGTCAATGAAATCTGAAGTGAGTGCCATCCTGCTTTTGGTATTTGCTGTGGATAGGGTCAGATAAGTGTGTTCGGAACTTTTCATCCACGAGGTCTTTCGTGATGATCGTGCCGTAGCGCCGGTATCCCAGAGCATTTCGATTCCCTTGAGGTGGCATTCCGGCATACCTAGTTCCCAATTCACAGCTGTGATTACGGTGTTGCCGACAAGAGCGGCTAACGTACGCTCTGTGGGTAGAGCATGTAGGTCGAGGATATACAATTGGCCTCGGACGCTGCTGTTTTTGACCTCCTCCTAACCTGTCATCGTTAAATAGAGTTAGAGGGGAGGCTTTTTACTAGACGAGTATGAATTGCTAAAGCAGAAATTTTCTAATTGAACTAGACCACATGTAAACTACCAAAAGCTTAGAAAAAAGGAAGAGATTCGGATGGAATCACGACAGGGAAAGGTGCGGGTACGTGGGTCCAAGTGATCCTGAACGGGCATTCACTAAGCGCCCAATGATAATGAGCAAGTATCGCGCATTAGAAATCTTATACGTGACTAGCCTTGTGGGTTCACCGAGTCCAAGCCCGTGTTGACATCCTACTCAATGAGCCTGAGCATGAGCGCCCTTACAAAAGCGGCGGGAGCCCAGATAGAAAAGCACCACCCGGCAGATATTATCCTGTCTATATAGGTGCATACACCATTCCATACCTATTACCAACAGTACACTTCTTGCCGGTCCTGTCTTGGTAAATGTCTTTCTCGCCATCGACACGACGTGGTCATCTCCATTCCTCCATAATTAATACGTTTCCACAAGAATGGCAACATTGCTACAGTATGTTAATACACTGGATACAGAACCACCTCGGCCTTTCAAATTAAAGCCCCTAAGCCACTGCTTCTTCCACCTGCTTCGAGGACGATGGCACAGCATTGCCAACCGTCACGCCGCTAGTGGCGTGGGTCACGCTCTCCTCGTCATGTTCCTCTTCGGCGACTTGGGCGTGATGATTGACACGGGTCGGGGCTTCCACCGACGAGCTTGGGATGGGCTCGACACTGGGCTCCCAAGCACGCAGATCGGCTTCAGTGTCCTCGAGAACCTGACGTGCGTCCATCTCATGCTCGTATGCCTTGCGCGTATCGCCGGGCACCACCGGGCTGTCGTCAATGAAGTTCAGCAGGCGACGGGCGTGACGAGCAAGGATGATCTGCTTCTCCGCACGCTCAATGACAGCGGCAGTGTGGAGATCGAACGCTTCCTTGAGCTTTGTCCGGGTCTACCGAAATGAGAAGATGGATTAGCGAGACTAACACATACAAGCGAGATGATGGCAACATACAGTATTCGACAGCTGCGCCTCAGCAACCAGGTTCTGCGCCTCAGCACGCACAAGCTCATGCTCCAGCGTCGTCAGACGAGTGCTCGTGGGATCTTTGTACTTGAGCTTGGCAATCTCATCGGTAACCTTCTGGCGCTGGTCGCGCGACGGCTGCACGGACGCCTCCATATTGCGAATATGCTTCAGCACACCGCGATAGTCCTCGAGGTTCTGCGCAAAGATGTCCTCCTGCTCGCCCATCTCCGCCAGCATCACGCCCAGCTTGTCGGAGATGTCGGAGACAGCGTCGTCCTCAGTCGACTCGCCCCATTCCGAGAGCGCGGCGGCAATGGCAGCGCGCTCACGACCGGCGGACTCATGTGCGCTGATAGCGGAGTTCTCGTTCTTGATGAGCCGGCTCAATTTACGGCTTAGCTCGGGCTGCTGCAGGCCTCGGAAGGTGGACATGGTGAAGCGGTGGCGGCCGCCCGAGGGCTCTTTGCGCGAGCGGATGGAAAGGGTGCGATTCCTAGATATGCAGGTTAGTGCTCCGATAATATGAAGTATGGAAGTGGGCCATTATGACCGCTCCGTACATCGTGGCTTATCAGTTACGGTGGTGCAGGACGGTATGATATGTTCTGGGATGAAATGGTGGAATGTGCAAGCTTTTGTAGGGTGTTTCTCCAAAACAGCGATCGAGACCAGCGACACGAGTTATAACGGGGCAGGCGAGCAGCAGGTTGGCACCTGCCCATAGATGACGATGTGCCCAACCCTAATTCTCATCGCTGCTTTGCAGCGGAAATCGCAGTCCCGGGAGTTATGTGACGTCATGACGGAGAGGGGCGGATGTTGAGCTCATGCGCCATTCCGATTGCAGTCGAATGTGTGAGCTGCAGGTGTTCGAGGGCTTTGACTGGCTGGGCGGGGTTCGTGAGTAGGTCGTAAAGCTCGTTGAAAGCTTGTTCATGGCTGGATCGCTGGATCCCTTGCCCGATCGGAGGTTCTCCACAGTTTGACATACCGAGCGTTTATCAGATGAGTGGAATGGTCTGGAGAGCCGAGCAGATCTGGGCTTTTACTTGCGTGGGTAGAACCGGCGAATCATCTCAATTGCATGGGATCTTGTTTCCGATTAGGGGGAAAGCCTGCAGTCAGTTGCCTTCCTAATCAGGAACTAAGCTCTTCCTGGAGTTGACGTCACATGATAATAGACAGGTAGGTTCTAAGCGTCCACTGGCTTATAGCTCGAATAGCTCAAATCACCGGTCCCTTAACTGCTAGTTATGTCAAATGAGGTGTATGGTGGTAATATGGCAATGGGGCCAGACTTAGCGCCATTAATCGATACCCATCAGTCTTACATAGTACTGCCGGGCAACATGCAATAAGAAAACTACGGTACTCGCCAATCTGGTAGTGAATATTCACCCGGGCTGAATGCAATCAGCCCGGGTACATAAAGATTCCTCGTCTGTTTAATTGTACACTAACAAGAAGAATATCCGGATGCAAAAGCAACCGTCCATCAGATCAGAACCAAGACCACCCTACCCACGCACCGACAAACACCTAGAAGCAGACCATAGCCCGCAGTGTGCTAAACCAAGGAAAGAAACGCAGAAGTAAACCGTAGCAAGCAAGCGCCTTCGTACATAACCGATCAAGCCCTGACCTCTCAAGTCTAGGACATCTCGTCCGCGTCCGGGTGGTGCGAGTGCTCGTTATCCGAGGCATGGAAGGCATCGCCGAACGCGGAGTTGTCCAGGTCGGGCAAGTCGAGGCCGTCATTTTGCTCGGTGTATGCGGCTAGCGCGTCGCCGGCGCTGTCGATGTTGGTGAAGTCGTCGAAGTTGGTGCAGTCGAGATTGGCGTCGCCGGCGCCGGCGGCCACATTTGCAGCCTTGTTGTCATTATTGACCATCACCCAGTCACCATGTTCGGCAGCATGACCGCCACCAGCGAGTTGATCGCCCAGATCCATATCCACGTCACCGGAGATCTCGGTGCCGGGGATGGGCTGTGCAGATGCTACTCCATTGGCGTTCACAGCAGGCCGCCCGAACTGGTGCAGGAGGTGAGAGCCGGCCTGGTCGATCACCATGTCATTTGTGAACGACTCGGGCTGATCTTTCTGTTCCGGTTCGATCTTCTCCAGCAAGCCACCTTTCTCCACGCACGAAACCTTGGGCTCGGGCATAATCTGCTTCTTCCAGGCAGCCTCCACATCACGAACCACATCGTCAACCTTGTACTTGGCCTTCTCTTCCAGGTAGTCCAGCTGCGGGGTTTCGCCCTCCTCGTTGGGAATAATGATCCGGCCCTCCAATCGCCACACCTCCGTGCCACTTTCGGTTGGGTCTGCAGCAGCATCACGAAGACGCAGCTCTGCGTCCTTGAAGAGTGAGCTGCGGTTAAAGCGTTCCATCCGGCGGGCATGTTGCTTCTTCAGCTTTTCAATCTCAGCAGTCATATCAGCAACCCTTTTTGCGACACGGTCCGCAAACTCCTCTGCCTTGGCGGGTTCTAGCTTGGTGGCATCCGGAGCGTCGGCCGCCTGGCCTTCGCCGCCCGCCGGTGCATCAAAGAACCCGGATGTCAGCGATTCTAGCTCCCCCTTGCGGCCAAGGCCAAGAGAGACGGGTGTAATCTGTGAGATGGCATACGGGGATGCGAATATTTCTTCCATCCACCCGTGGTGCTGCACATATCGCATCTTGCTGACCTCGCGCGGAGTCAAAAGATCCATCACATCACCGCTCGATACATCTTCATCCTCGAGGGCAAAGTCGGCCGCGGCCGCGGCCATCGCTGTTGATGAGGCCCGGTGTGGGCGTTGCGCTTTACTCTGGGCTGCCGGAGGCGGCACTGCGCCTGCGTGAGCCTGGGGCGGGTAGAAACCAGGCCGTCCCTGTTGCGTACTCTGATAGGCGGCCTGAGGTTGGGAAAAGCCCTGAGGAGCCATCTGGGGTGGAAAATTGATAGTTGGCCAATTATTCCGGTCGTGAAGGAGGAATTCTTTGCGAGCAAGCTGGCCCTGGCTCTGCAGGTAGCGTCGCTGAGCCAACATATTCTGCACTTGGGGCGTAACCGGAATGCGAGTCGCAGCGATGTGATCTTGCTGAGGTGCGCGGGAATAGTGGACAATCCACAAGGACGGGTCGGGCTGGGGAGCATTTGGAATTTTGGAGGAGACAATGCGATAGCGCTTGCGGCAGTGGCTGGCCACGTTTTCGTTCGGAGGGTGGTAACCGCTGCGGTGGAGGAACATCTCCACCATCTGTTTCATTTTGTATTAGGTTTCTGGGTCGTTTCCGCGGGGTTTGGGTACTAGGAGGGGGCCATCGTACATATCCTCGGGATTCAAAGGTGAAAGCCTGCTCCGCATCGGCCCAGATATAACCGTCGCTGGCGAAGTTGTTGCCCAGATGCGCAAGAGGCTGCCAAGTCATCATCACAGTACCATCCTGTGGGCCGTCCAGGAAGGTCCAATGCATGGGTTGCGACTGGCAGATCCGGGGCGCGCTCAGCAGGTATTCCACCGCCGTCTCGGTCGGCATCATGTGCATGTTAGGGTAGCGATTCCGCGAGACAAGGTGCATGTGTGGGATCTATGATGGAGGCGACCAGGTTAGCTTTGAATTCCAAGCCATCTCATCCCATCTAGACACCGTGCAAGGACATGTTGACAGGGTTGGGGGGCTGCCTACCAACTGCCCGGGGATACGGGATGCTGGATCGTCCATCTTGGCCACGCCCGTTTGCGGGTACCAGATCTAGTCAATTGAATCGCGAGAATTTTTCGATACGGCCGTGGGGCTCAATGGGGATGTGACCGATGGGGGAAGGCGGCGACCGCGGATCTGATGAGGGCTGATGGAGCTCCTGGCAACGCGACGCGGAGGATTTTAGATGCAGTGCGGGAGGCGGAAGACACCCACTACGCATGACACCTGAGGCCCTGATTTCCCGCCAGCTACACCCACTGGTTCACATGTACCCAATAATACATTATCCAAGAGACAAAGCTGGACCGTCAAATCCTGGACATTTTTGATGTCACAGGCTTCAAACTTTTAAGGAGCCACTATAGATCGGTAAGATTGTAATATTATAAAGTGTTGTTTCATTCGTTATTCTATGCTACCGCTATATCCCTGTCTTCATCATGTTGTTTATTGCTACTTCGAGGACATTGGGGATATCAGAAGTCTACGGGAATTAATAAGGGATTGATAACTCGCTATGTCTCTTGTGGTCATGAGCAGATCTGCTAATACCCTCTATTGCGCTACAAAAACAAATAGGGGCCGCTATGGTTGTCTCACAACAACTTCCTTATTGGTAATATCCGAAGAAACTAAGGTGGATAAATGATGATATATTATCAGAGATAAACTAGACTGATGAAATAATAGGTATCCTCTCTCCTATCACCAATCAGGTCTCCTCTGCTTAATCCCGAAGTATCTTATCCAATATAATAATAAGGTCAACTTGAACAAAATGATGGTATCTAGTAACTAAACTCTATTAAACTAAATACTATTTATATAGGCTAGTAAGAGAGATATCTAACAGGATAGTTATTATTAGATAGATTAGTAATAATAGTAGAACTCGGGGGGAAGACGTATTGAAGGGTTATCCTATCTAGATAGGTATTTCGTACCTATCTAGCTAATACTAAGCTATTATAGAGCCTAAGTTCATATATAAACCAGATTTAGATATAAAAATATAAGAAAAGTAAGCACTCGATAAATAAGCCTATTCTTATTTTAAGTTACTACTCTATATATTATGATAAACTCTAATAAACCTTATAGTAGTAGACTCTTATATAGAACTTACTCTTCTTTAGTAGTCGCTTAGTGGCTACGCTGTCACCGCATAATGCCCACTCCCTGCTCCCCTAAAACCCGCTGCTCCCTCCGCTCAAGCTGCGACGGTGGTGTTGGATGCAAGCAGAGGCGGATCTCCACCAGGAGTGCCACTATGATTTTTGATAGGCAGGACAAAAGCTGCCACACAAGGAGGACGAAAAGCAGCGCCAGGCCGGCCAAGACCATGTTTCCAATGTTTATGGACTCGATAATTTTAATGAAAGCCTGCTCTAAGGCAGCATGCAGGCCGGTGGGACGGCCGCCTGTTTTGTTAGAATTTTGGACGTAGATAATGGTTGTTCAGGGGTTGGGGGATGAAGCTCGGCGGGGTTGTAGTCCATTTGTTGGACTTTTAGACGTACATGATGGTTATTCAGGGGATGGGGGATGGCTGGTGGAAGTGGTTTTGTAAGTCACGAGCAGCGACTGATAGGGAAAGCATTCTTTGTAATATAATGATAATAATGACGATGATACCCTATTGATCCCATATAGCCTTACTAGTGTTGTATAGCTACGTAGGCGCTTCCTCTGGTGGAAGCAAGAGCATTTTAAACGCTAGCCTCGCGCATGAAATAGTAGATTATAAGAAAACGGGGTCTTGCTATATTAAATCCCCTAAAACCTATGTAATAATAGTAACTAAACGCCTATTGTGTATCCTCTGACTTTGTTCTCTACTGATTGAGGTTTAGTATTAGATTATATCTTAACTTGGCAATATAGTCTTCCGCGATCTCTTGGTGAGTTGTGGTTTTGCCGTTCCTTGTATCTATTGACTTCACCACCTATATCCTTGCTAAGTTGTCCTAGTGGTTTGTTATATTTGCCCTCTAGAGGCTCTAGCTCGATTTCGACATCCTGAAACTATCCTAGAAGGCCTGGACATTTTTCATGTCACTGGTTTCAAACTTCCAAGGAGCCACTGAATATCGGTCAAATTGTAATCTTATAAAGTGTTGTTTCATCCATCAATCAGTCAATAGGGCTTTTAGCCAATTGCGTGTTTCTCTAATTCCCGTCTGAGCAATCTAGCAAATGGGGGTGTGCCCTGTTTATAGATACAAAAGCCGACCTTCAACAACTCCTCGGCACGTAAGTATACCGAAAACATGTATGCCTCGAGCACTCTAACGCTATAACGGCTATTACTCATGTTTGTTATATCAAACTCGGGTTGAAATCGCTTCTTTTCTTTCTCGGTCAATGCGAATCCGCGAGCCTGATTGCAACAACCACAATAAATCGTGCAATGTCCCCAACCCTTCAGCCTGTCATGGGCTGGTGGCTTTTCACTGCAACATTTACAGCTTCGACCACAGCAGCCGCCTCGCCTTGCGCAGTCATTGCGGAGCCAGTCACTGATTAGATGCCAAGCGGGCTGGCTGTGTAGCGACAAATAGCTCTTTATGAGAACATCGAGGAGACATTCCTGTTCAAGAACATACTGCTCTGTGCTGAGATAACCGTACTTCCGATTCAAGTCGGCCAAGTTGTCATTTAATGTCTGTACTTGTTTCTTGTCTTCGGGTTCAAAACTCATCATAAGTCGACGAATTTCCTCTTTGACAGATTGCTCACGTCGAACAGTCTCTGCTAGTTGGATGTTGACTTCGATGATAGATTGCCCCCATTTGTAAATTGTGTCCCACTTCTTGCTTGTTGTATGGTTGAAATACTGGTCGGAGCGTTCTTTCTGGGCTAATTTCCACCCTTCAGAGCCGGGTGGATATTCTGTTTGGTTGTTGCCCGTACTCTCTGGCTTGGATTTTATGAGGCCTTTAAGTCCCTTCATCTTTTTATCCCGTAGATTATCAGAGAGCTAGAAAGGCTCCATTCACCATAGAGATTTGCGAGTTCCTGCAGCTGGATTGGGATGGAAAAGTGGTTGCAGAAGAGGGTGATTCTCATTCTCACGCTGGGTAACTGACACTTTATGACAAGGATTCGAGGGCCTCCAACACAAATTGAGTGTCGGTGTCATCATGCGTTCCCGAATGGGGCTTGGTCCAATTCCTATGCAAGAAAGGGCACACGATATCCTAAAACGTGTCGGGCGACTTGGGCCAGTTCGTGATCCATCGGATTTACGAGCATGTCCGGGCCCTTCGATCGATGCCTCACAACTCGCAAATACCCACGTACGACACAATTCCGGTTGAGATCTGTTGGATCCTATACATGCGGTCGTTCCTAGCAACGAGTCCGCCGACGTTGAAGCTAAGCTGGCGGCGATAGGAGGTATGGAGATTGGAGGAGGGGTAGTGGAGCGGAGTAACTATCCGCTGGTAAATCGGCGACCGCCCTTTTACATTAACAACTGGACCCTCCTCACCTCAATCGCCAAGCGCCGTGTGCGGCGGCATATCAAAGGACGGTGGGCATAATAGTCGGCGTGGGAAACACCTAGCAAGCTAAACGAGCGACTAGTAAAAGCGCTAGACAAGAAGGTGCTACGGTTATTCGAGTCCCTCTCGAAGCTACATATATATTCTATCCTAATCTAGATACGGTATATATATCGTATTGAACTATTTTTCATTCAAAATAGACGTGGTCGAATTAGATAAGTAATCCTATAGTGAATGGTCTTGAAAACTGACGTATATCCTACTATAGTACCTATTGTACGCTAATCTAAGAAAGGTTAATAATAGAAAAGATCTAGGTATAGATAGATCTTGGTAGCTCGGCGGACAGATTACGACGCAATGGTATTAGATTTGGAGGCCACCCACTACGTGGCCGAATTTATACTACGAATAGGATTTGATGGCGTACTGCCGATCAGACCAAAGGAAGTAGTGCAAATGAGATAAACAAAACAAATAGGACAAATGAAATGGCAGAAAAGAAAGCTAGTCAGTCACCGTCCCCGCGATCCAACGTTCCCGCGGCTGCTATTTAGTGTTGGTGAGGAGAGCTCCAACGCTGCGATCAAAAAGCCTCATCATCAGCACCACGCCATATACACCCATGGTCTCAAACAGTCACGTCCCAGCTATGTGACCCTCCAACAGCCAATAACCCCTTTGGCCTACATCACCAAGCCGATCATCGTCCCTGCTTCCTTCTACCGGCATACACCCGAGTCACCGAGTCCTGAATTACCAGATTACCGATTCGTCGCGGTACACCACTGCTCGGTTTGAATACTGGCAGGCCTGAATCACCAGGTTCTCAAATCACCAAGTTAGGCGATCGCAACACTCCGCATGAATCCTCCGCATACTCACGGCCTTTGCCGCTTTTGCTCTTGGTAGAAACCACGGGAGCAGACCGAGATCCTAGCAGTGCCCCTGGTTATGTGTCCTATCCGTCTGGAAGGATCGCTGCCCTAGAATTTGCCGATTGATGTGGCCTTCTCAAGAATCCTCCTGTTCAATAACCCCTGTCGCCGCTAGGTCAACATAACGGAACTGGTCGACAAGTCTCGTCGAGAGTATACACTAAGTAAGGATTGGTCTTGCTGGAAGCTATTAGAGAAGCTCGTCGGTGCCCTGATGCGTTATACCCGCCTCTACTAGGCTTCCTCTTATCTTCTGCCTCACCTCCTACAGTAGTAGGCATTCTAGCAAAATATAGGCGACAGTTTGATTCCCCAAGTTGTAGTCACATCTTGGTTAGTCTCTATTATTGATTTTTGATAGGTAACCGGCCAAACCTATCTTGCTAGTACGTAGTTAGATCAAAACTAACGATGTGGCCTTTTATAGGGTCTCCTAATAGGCTATATACATTTTGTTTGGCTATCCGATCAATCGTTTTATCGACCATGCGCCCCTCTTCTTCTACTACAAGGCCTCCTAATTCTGTTTTGCCCGCTGTCGGATACGTCGCTTGACCGCTAATGCAAGGATAATATACCGGTTCTAGTAGTGATTAGGGTGATCGGGAGTAGTGATCTCGGCTAGGGTAGCTCCCTTCGCTGTCGCATCGGCTTTTTCGTTTCCTAGTATTCCTTTATGAGCCGGGATCTAGCGAAATTGACCTGATGACCTTAGTCGGTTAGGTTCGGAAGATGCTAAATTACCGGGATAAGGTAGACCTAGCCTGAAGGCGTCCGTAGCCGTCGGAGGGCTAGTAGCTTATTTTATCTACCAATCTATGCTTCCCCTATACCCCTGCTTTTGTTATGTTATTTATCGCTTCTTCGAGGACATTGGGGCTACTAGAAGACTGTAGAATATAAGAAGGCTTGCTAACTTGCTATATCTGCTATGGTTATGAGTAGATCTGCCAATACCCTCTATCTTGCTACCTAAAATACTGTACGCCGCTATAGTAGTCCCAAGATGACTTCCTTATTAGCAATATCTGAAGAGACTGTTAGGTAGATGAATGATGGTCCATTATCAGGACAAACTAAAATAATGAATAAGGTGCTGGTCATTATAACCAAGCTGCCTGGGTAATAATAAAACAGGCTTCAGCTCTCACATCAAGTGTCTCTCAGAATATAATAATATCAACACGAACAAAACAATGGTATCTGGTGCTTTCAATTCTAATGGACCTCATGTTAGCAGACACTCACACAGAACACACTTGACCCTCACACAGAACTCACTTCACTCCTCACACAGCACTCGCACCACCATCACCATCATCACCACCACCACCACTACCAACACCACCACCGTTTTCTGCGTCGCGTTTGGACGCCAGCGCGTCCCGCGCGAGTCTCCTATATTATCAAGTAGCAGTCAGTCAAATATTCTTGCTTCAGCTCCACCATGATCACCTATGCCACAGGTAAAACAGTGTGATAGGACAGGACAGAATCACACAGAGACAGCAAAAGGGAACAGACCAAGATAGGATGCAATATAGATATAATAGTATATTCGTATAAGATTACCTGCTGTCTTGTTAACTTACTTTTTACGGACGTAGATGGAAATGTCCTCTACCGGGAGAGTCACCATGGCAGAGAAAAACTGGTTGGAACAGTTGTAGAGAACCAGGAGGAAAATCACAGCCAGGCCAACCACTACTGTATTCCCAAGGCAAATGGACTTGACCAGCTGAGTCAAAGTCTGAGTCAATGCAGTGTCCTGCACTGGAGCCACACTTGGTAGACTGGTGGAGATGGCTGTTTGGGAGGCATTTTGCACGTAAGAAGCTTGGAGCTCAGTCATGCTTTTTCTGAATAAACCATATTGTCAGCATACTGCCTGCTCACTTGAGAATAGTTCAATCCCAACAAAGTTCATTCAACTCACTTTGCAACAGTGTGATGAGTGAAATGGTTTTCTCGATGATTGTGCCCAGGGGAGGGTGGGGAATGGCTGGGTGGCATTGTTTTTGCAAGTCAAGGGCAGCAACTAAGGAAAGCACGCTCTAGATTTGTCCCGGAAGGCGCAAATTTGCCGCATAACATCTGCATACTAAGGAACCCCATCTTGGCACTGACTTTCCCGGGCTTCCTCCCAGACCCGCACGGTCTTGTCGAGTCCACAACTGACTAGCATGCGCGTGCCATGCTTGAGCTTGCCCGTGTGCACACCTACAACGACATCGGTGTGACCCTCGATTCGCTGGAGAATTTTCTTGCTGACTATGTCCCAGCAGAGGATGGCACCGTCCTCGCTGCCGCTCACGGCGAAAGCCAAAGGCGGATTATGTTTGACGTCCGACGGACCGTAGTATCCAAAGCAGCCCGACAAACTGTACTTTTTGTTGACATGGCCCTGGAAGGTTTTGATCACGCGGCTCTCAACGTAGTTCCACATGCGCACGCATCCGTCCAGAGTCCATGCTAGAATGTATTTCCCATTGGGAGAAAATTTGACGCAAGTCGCAGGTGGATTGTCTTCGTGCACGAGGGTCCTTAGGCACTGGCCGCTATGCGTGTCCCAGACACGGACAAGCCCATCCAGTGCACAGGAAACGATCAGGGTGCCATCGTGGACGACATCGATGCCGGCGACCGGGTCGGAGTGAGCGGGGAGGGAGCGCATAACACGTGCTCGGCGTACGTCCCATATGAAGACAGCTTCATCGTAGGAGCCGCTGACGAGAATATTACCCTTGGGTGCGAATGCGATTTGGTAAACGTAGTTGTGGTGGCCTTCAAATGTCTTCGTGTGGGCTCGGCCCTGTAACAGACATATGGTTAGCCTTGGCTAGCTTTGCAGGGGGCTGCAGGGTGGAGGTGGGTGCTCTTACAGTGTTGACGTTCCAGAACCTAATTGTCTTGTCATCGGAGCCGGACGCAATCCACTGCCCATCAGGGCTCCAGGCAAGCGTAGAGATACCGGCAAGGTGGCCCTCAAATGTGTAGATCAACTGGCCGGTCAAGGTGTCCCAGACCTTAATGGCAGCATCGGCACCTGAAGCGAATGCAAGTTAGTCACTGACCTCGCACGAGCAAGGAACAAAAGATTTACCTCCACTTGCAATCATCGAGCAATCCGGCGAGAACTGCACCGCAGACACGCTGCGCAAATGGCCCCGAAGCACAAACTTCTCCTTGTAGTTCAGTCGCTCGGGCTTGTGAGGTGCCTCAACTGAAGGGACAGGTGTGGGAGACCGGTCAGACATGTTGTCATGCATAGGGACGTCGGTCTCGTCGCCGTTATGCATCCTGTCCTCCGAAAGAGCATCAGACTCGCCATGGGATTGTTCATTGCTGCTCGAATCGGCGGGACGGTTGATCGGTGAAGGGCTGCGGCGACTGCGCGAGCTGCGCCAGTACTCATCGGCATCGACAGCTAGTTCATCAGGACTATCTGACTCTCTGTATAGTCTCTCCTGGTGGTTAGGGCGTTGTGGCGTGAAATTCTTCTGTGCCGTCCAGCTGGCTCGTCGGCGCTCGGTATCTTGGTGATTGGAGCCCGCAGCCAATTCGTCCGACGACGACTCCACGGGCGACTGGGCACGGGCATCTCGCGTACGGGTTCTAGGGCGCGCACTATCCATGAGGGAATCGAGGAGAAGAACCGCGAATAATCTCCAGACAAACGCGCCGTGCGGTTTGATCACAGCTGCGCGAAAAGAAAATCAAGCGCGCGTGTCCGCAGGCGGTGAGCACGACTGCCGCCCATTTACATCACCGATCGACAGGTGACAGCTCCCATCAATTGTTGCGAGCCAGTTGAACCTCCCACAGCAGTGCTCGGCCCCCAATGGCCTCCTCACTTCCCCCCAACGAGCCTCCAACTCACATTCGAATCCTGACACTCAATTGCTGGGGTCTGAAGTTCATCGCCAAATATCGCCATGAACGTCTTTTCGAGATAGGGCGGCAGCTCGCGCTGGCGAACCCGCCGCCAGAGATAGTGGGCCTTCAGGAGTGCTGGACGCAGCAGGACTATGAGAGCATTCGGGACCAGACTCGACATATACTTCCCTATGGCAAATTTTATTTCGGAGGGATCTTTGGTGCCGGTCTGGCCATTTTATCAAAATGGCCCATCGAGGAGAGCAGCATGTATGGATACCCGCTAAACGGCCGTCCAACGGCTTTCTTCCGCGGCGACTGGTTCGTGGGGAAAGGCGTCGCCTGTGCCAGAGTCCGATTTGGTCCTGGGGTTGCTGATGTCGCGGAGGTCTTCTGCACACACCTACATGCGCCGTATGAGCGCGAGCCGAACGACTCCTATCTATGCCACCGCACTGCTCAGGCATGGGAGATCTCCAAGCTGATGCGTGGTGCTGCTGAGCGTGGGCATCTAGTTATTGGCCTGGGAGACTTCAACATGCTGCCCTCGTCCTTCGCCCACCGGCTGATCTCCGCCCAGAGCCCTGTCCGCGACGTCTGGCGCGAGCTACACCCGGACTCCTCCGTCGGCGCAGCCATTGACGCTGTCGAAAAAGCCCGCAATCGGCCAATCCCCTCGGCTGAATTCAATCTGATTGAGAATGGCGCTACTTGTGACGGTGCCTTCAATACCTGGCGCTGGTCCAAAGCTCACCAGAAACAACTCGACAAGGGTGACGATGTGGCTGTGGACAAGGATGCCCCAGATGCTCGTGCCAAACGTCTGGATTATATCTTTGTCGGCGACGGTGGCTATGCACCGGATTTCCCTCCACCACGCTGGTCCGTCGAGTCCGCAAAGGTCAGCATGACCGAGCGCCATCCCACTCTCCGCTGCTCCTTGAGCGACCACTTCGCCGTCGAGGCTGTCATTACTCGCTCCTCTACGGCGGAAGTACCTTCGCCTTCAAACCTGGCCCAGCCAGCTCACGCGCCCAGCGAACCGCCGCTTGAAAGTATTTCCTCCACCTCCATCTCACCAAATACCGCTCTGTCTCCGCAGACGTACGACCACATCATCGACATGATTCATACCTACGTGCTTCGCGAGCGGTCACAGCGCCGCTGGCGTCTCGCACACTTCCTTGCGTCTGTGGTGATCTCCATCGGATGCATGATTGGCGTGTGGTGGGTCGGCAGCCGCACGTACATCGGGTTCATATTGATCTTGGTCAGCACACTGAACTTTGGTGCTGGCATTCTAGATGGTCTGATTGGTGGATTATTCGTTTCAAGTGAGCTACGTGCCCTAAAGGAGTTTGAGTGGGAAGTTCAGAATGCGAAAAGCTTGGTTGTTGCTGCAGAGAGGAAGAAGACTGCATGATCCGTTTTCTGATGCTTGCAAGCTCATCATCACGCTCACGACCTTCAAATATTGTATTATATCATCACCTCTAATATATGTTTACTGCCGGCCTGATGCCAACCGGTTTCCTTATTGCACAATTTCTAGCTGGACGCTACTGTAGTTCACACCAGACCTTTTAGCCAATCTACAAAGTCAACAAAGGGAACCCGTAAGCTCCAAATCTTAGCAGCAAATAACGAGTGTGGAGTGCATTGTCATATCAAATAGCAAAGAGCCAGCTTAACCCTCCATTCATATCCCGTTTTTGTCTTGGTCATCATCAAAGACAGGTTCGAGTAACCGATTTTACTCGGCGCACTCGCGCTGACGCTCATCAAAGACGCTCAGCGCCTCCTCGGCAGCCTTAACACCGCTCATGACCATAGCACCGAAGGTCGGGCCCATGCGGTTGAAGCCGTCAATCTCAGACAGCTCCATACCACCAATGATCAGGCCCTTAGCAACCTCACGGGTGTTCTTGACGATGGCGTCTTCGGCGGCGTTCATATCCAGACCGCGCATTCCACCGAGCTTGTCGATAGCGTTCATGGAGACGAGACGCTTCGCACAGAACGCGCCGAAGGGGCCGTCGTGGCCGGTGGTGCTGATGATGACGGGCGCGTTGATGGTGTTGGGGTCCATGCAGGAGTGGTCGTCGTGGTGCAGGGTGACCAGGGTCCAGTTGACGACCACACCGGCGAGGCGCACATTGTCTCCATCTGGGCGGGTGATCAGGTCCTCGACACAGGTGGCGTTGAAGAGCTTGACGTTCGGGAAGGCCAGCACACGCGACAGCAGGGTCGAGGTGAACAACGCGGCGTGCTTGACGACCACGAAGTTGGGGTTGTTGGGCTCCTCCTCGAAGGGCACGCCCAGCTCGTTGAGGAAGGCGTCTGCGGGACGGCGCAGGACCATGGCGGAGAAGAGCTGGCCACCAAGCCAGGCACCACCACCTGGAAGTTCGGTCAGCATGTTTGCCTGGCTGTCTCAAGAGTAGTGCCAAATGGACTAACCTGGAGACACGGAAGCCTCAAGAATGGCGATCTTCAGGTCCGGACGGGCCTTAGCCAGCACGTACGCAGTGCTGAGACCACAGGAGCCAGCGCCGACGATGACAACGTCGCTCTCGGCGTAGTTGTCCAGATCTTGGAAGTAGCGCCGGGTCATGGCGCGCGAGACCTGGCTCTCGCGGATCGGCGCAAACTTGAACTCATCCCACTTGCCGCCGAACTGCTCCAGAAGCTTGCTCTGGCCCTGGCCGGTCAGGGTGGTGGAGACCGTCTCGGGGACGATCACCTTACCCTTGATGCCGGTGGGGGCAACAGTAGGCTCGTAGATAGCAGCGGGGGGAGACATAGTGGGTTAGGGATCAAGTCCGGAGATTGACTTGAGGGTCTTTGTTAGTTTGCTACTCCTATTGGGGGGTAAAGGGGAAGGCATGATCCTTTCGCTGGTATTATCCAGATATCAAGTTTTGACCGTATAATCTCAGAACGAACCCACGCCGATGGCAATCTCGACTTCCAGCTAGCGAGGTAGTTGGCTACCAAGGCTTGAGAAGAGAGTGCCACCGCCATGAGAACGAACACCGGTGCACGCCCAGAAGTTACCTGAGATACCTTGATCCCTAAGAGATAATATACCCAGCCAAAGCGTAACCATGGCTTCCTAATCGGATGGGAGGAGGCGGTATGTACTTGACCGATTGGGATCTAACAAAGGTCAGCGCTGCCACACAAGAGTCTGGGGTCCGTAGTTACTGGTAGCTTGGAAGCTTGATTGGCGAAGATGGGTAGCTGGAAGAAGCTGAGAGTGAGAGAAATAGAGAGAGAGAGAGGAAAAAGTGTATGTGAGGAGGGGCAGGGCAACCTTATATGTCACGACCCCGCCCTCAGCACCTTAGCTTTAAGTTTGTGTCATCGCCTCCGAATCTCGCCGGTCGGTGAGTGGAGAAAGGATTGTTGATGGCATAATGACGTCTCTGATTCGCTTGTCTCAACCTTTAGCTTTTTGAGTTGAAAGCCTTTGTGCTTCGCACGGTTGGCGGGTGAGCTACCCTCCCACGGAGAAAGGGTAGGACTACAAGTAATCCAGATAGAGGAATTTCTGCAAGTCGGTCATTGGAAAATCAAAGAGAGTCGTCAAATTCCCCAGAACCGTCAATATCTACGAAGGCGATGCAAAGGTGTCGCCATGACCAAGACCGATAATAAGCGCCCACTTGCAGGCATCGGAATACTGTGCTCCGTGAGTCCGGGGCAGCGGTTCCGACACCGGCCACCCAGCTGTTTCTCGCCAAGGAGGGTAACTATCTGAAAATTCAAAAGGAAGTTCATTGGCATGTCTAATTACATGTAATGCGTGACGCTGTACGTTCCTTCCTCGCTAGCGAGCTCCCACATCAAATCATCTAGATCCTGACATCATACAAAATCATCTAAGCGGGGAGCTGAGGTGTCTGTGGAGCTCACGAAGAAATGAGAGCGAACGACACAGGGCTATGAAACCTCGCTAGCCTTACACTTATTTTATAGCACGTTCCGGAAGCTGGCACCGTAATTGTCCTCTGCTGCGACCTCGGATTTGGTTGGGTCTGCTTCAACCCTCGGCCCATACTTCTTGTCGAGCTGGCGATTCTCCCACACGAGCAAGAAGCGAAGACACAAGGCCAGCAGCGTGGTGAAGAACATGAATGCCGCACATATCGACATTCCTTTGATGAATCGCGGGGCTTGGTTGTCGGGGAATACATTGGTTCCTAGGAACGGGCCGCACTGACCGATGATATTGAGCAGGATGATGCCTCCGCCCCGGCGGGTATCAGAGCCCTGGTTGTCTGGAACACAGAAACGAGGTCAGCGAACAACTGATCGCGTGATGGGACAGATCATCGCACGGGAAAGTGGAAGGGAAGATGACTCACTCAGAACCCACGGCAGGATATTGGCGATCGACGGGAAGACTCCACAGGCGGCAAGGAATACGCCGAAATATCGCACGCCCACCGACTTGCAGGTGGCACACAGAAGGTACCCCACACCGCCGATCGCTGATAATCCTGCGATCATCAATCCGCGCTGCTGGATGCGATCCGCCACCCAGGTGGTCGCAATCGTGCAGAGGAAAGAGGCGAAGAACGGAGGTGCGGTGAGGCCCTGCGCGTTGATGGCCGTGAAGCCCATCTCTTTGAGGATGGTGGGCAGGAAGACGGGCAGAGACGAGAAGCTCACATTGCAGCTGAAGTACATCAACTGGAAGAAAGAGAACGCGAAAAGAATCAGCACATCGACTATTTGATCGGTATATTGGATGGGAATACGAACCGCAGTGAACCAGGCCTTGGCGTCCAAAAGTGTCTCCAACAGTTCCTTCCATTGGATCTTGCCCGCACGCTCTGCGTCGCCTGATTGCTGCAGCGCGCGCATGCGAGCAACCTCCTTTTCTTCCTCAGTCAAGAACTTCGCCGACGATGGTTTGTCCGGAACATAAAACCATGCCAAGATCGCAGCAGCGCAGACAGGCAGGCCCTCGACAAGGAACAAGAGTCGCCAATTGGCCAAGGCGGAGTGGCCCGAGGTGATACCGTAGGCAAGCGCACCCGCAAAGGTGTTAGCCAGCGGAGCGGCCGACAAGAACAGACCGCAGCGGAGACCCAACTCGTGGCGGCGGTAGAAGAACGACAACAGATAGGGCACTCCGGGTCCAAACCCGGCCTCAAAGATACCCATCAGAAACCGTAGGGCCATCATACCCTGCCAGTTCTTCACCCCCGCTTGGCACGTTGCGACCAAACCCCTATCATGCGAGTCAGTGCAATCCATACAGAATTCCCCCTTCCATGAAGATCGTCTCCACGTGGAGGACGCGCATACCAGGAGAATACAACAAAGGCGGCCCATTGGTGCGGCTTGACGATCTTCCACATCAGCGCCTGGAACTCGAATACCGTGTACGAGATGTAGAAGATTGTCAGCAGCCATGAGTACCGGTTGCCTGTGAGGTTGAGGTCTTCTGCCATGCCGGCAATTTTGGCATTGCTAAGCCCATCGGTCAGTACATCGGTTCATATCGAGTTCCAAGATTGTCCCAGACGAACCCAATGTTGCTTCGGTCGAGAAAAGCAAGTAGGTCTAGTCGCATACTCCTAATCAGCATGCGGTCTTCTCTTCCTTGTCACTTGCCAAAGACCATTGGGTGAAAAAAATGTAATGCATACAGAAAAAGCCCATGAGCGTGGGAACGTGCCAGTCCAGCTTTCTTAACACTCGCCGCTCCAATTCCGGGTCGATCGTCGTAGCATTCATGGCGAGAGGCTGTACAGGCCCGCTCTCTTGATGAGCGGGCACCGTCTTCTCGAGATCCTGGTCGGGTGCTCTTGAGATCTCATCCTCTGGCGCGTCCTTTTTGCCAAAGAAACCCATGGTGGCGTGTATAGGGGGCCAAACGAACCGCCGGAGGGGGGGAAAGAATAGGTAGAAGGGAGACGAACACTCGGACTCCATCCGAGGCCTCGGGGGCAAACCGTGACTTATAGTCTGTGGTCTGTGGGGTAGCCAGCGAAAAAGGACGGGGGCGCGGTCGCAATCGCAAAGCGACTGATCGCCTCTTCGGCTGGGGTGGTGGCTTGCGGGAGTATCGATTGGTCCAGGACCAGCCGACTAGGGGGCCCTACACTTCCCAGTTTAAAGCCGGAGGCGTCGAATCTCCAAGGCGCCCCCACCTTTTCCAGGCGGGGGATCCAATCGAGTGGGTTGGTGCGGAGGGAGTGCGAAAGCTTGGGTGGAGCCCCAAAGCTTGCCCGGATTCATCACCCCCGCCCGCGAGGTGACATCCGACTGCGGTCGTCATGCCGGTAAAAGTGCTCGGCCACCGGTCTTCCCTGCCGATGCGGGGAAGGAGGGCCCGCATGGTAGAAGAGGCTGATCTTTCTTCTCCCTTACTAAGGACAAAGGGGGCCTTGAGCGTATCCGTGCTTCTGGGAGGGGCAGATACAGAATCTGAGAACCATAGTTGGCAGATGATCCTGATTTAAAGTAGGAGAAAGTTAGGGCAGAAAAGTCAGTGGAGCTACAGTCGGCCCCTCAAAGGTTTGAAATAGTGACACGAACAAAGTCCAAGATTTAATGGTTTAACTTTCTTTTTGACCCTCTTGCTGCATATCTCTCCAAAGCACTACCCCACACGTTTGATTGGAAATCTGCGGGGTGGTTTGAGCATTTGAAGTGCAACTGTACATAGATAATACTCGAAGATACGTCAATATACGTGAGGTAGTCCTAGGCCCGCAATATCGCTACCTCTTCTATTACTTAACTCCAGTGGCACCGCGATCAATTTCAGAACTAGCTATCTGAGAGATTGAGCTCAGTCCTCAAGTAAATGAGTAAATGACTGTGAACTGTGTAGATTTCTATAGGCCTTCGTAATCAATACTCATCAGACAAGTAACACTAGGGATGTGCACGACGAGAATCCTGACGAAACTCCCGAGTAGCAGTCAGCCAACGTAGAGTTCCGTTAGAATGGCGAAGTGTTTCGATCATATTCAAAAAAAAAAAGTAAAATTATGTGGCGGCCTATCTCTCCATTAATCTATATACAGTCTATATGTAAATGTGAATTCAAAAACATCCCCTCGCCCGCTCCAGCCAAAACAAGGTTTAAATGAGTGCAATCTATTCCGCCTTCTTGGATGCCTTAGTCCTGAGCTTCATCAGGCCAAATACAAGGGCGTAGCCAGAGAAGGCAAAAATAACAGTAATTGCTGCGTCTCTCCACCCAACATAGTAATGGCGGGTGTTCAAAATTTTCAGATAATCGCTTCCAGTGGTGAATTCACACACCTTGCAGCCTGAGGTAGCATCTGGGTTGAGCAAGTTGGTGCCCTTGCCCGCCCCACTCAAGAAACCAGCCAGATACTGGCCACAGGTGCCATTCACTGGATCAAAGACCGCATACTCTTCCTCCATGCAGGTAACCTTTTGTCCCCAGAGGCCGAACGTTAACATGCCATTGACAACGTAGGTGAACGGGTTGAGGTAGTACAACCAATATTTCCAGAAGGAAGTCAACTGATCGTAGGGCACCATTACGCCAGTGAACAGGAGCAAGAGGTTGATGATCAGCGGGTTGACAAGTGCCGCAAAAGTTGGGTTGGGCGCATAGGCGGCAATGAACTGGCCAATGCCGGTGTAAATGAACTCGTAGATCAACATCATGAAAAAGATAGATCCGGAACGGTCGGAAGCATGGGGCAAGGTCCAGACGGGCCAGTACCAGCAAAAAAAGTAGAGAACTGCACAGATGCAGAGATATGGGATCTCCGAAACGATAAGCCCGGTGACGAATGCAATCCAGGAATACATCTTCGACTTCTTCTCACGGGCATCGTAAATGTCGCGGCGCTGAATGAACAGAGGCTGAAGTTGATTGATGACACCTGGTGCGACGAAGACAAAATTAAAGATAGTGAACATCTTGAGCTGCAAAGCGGTCACGCTGGAGCCAGGTCTGTAGAAAGAGAAGCCGTTCAATAATGCCGAAATGAGGTGGAGCGAAAACTTGTTGTTAATATAGGCCGTATTGCGGAAGAGCGAGACGTTCATCCTCATCGTGACAATTTTGATCTGCTCCCAGAGAGGCGTCGAAAACTCATAGTTATCATTGGAAGTTCCTGGAGGCTTGCTGGCGGCATCTTCGATCATTCTATCCAATTCAGTGATCATCTGATGCTGTTCAGGAGACTCGAGCCAGATTTGGTGCCAATCTTTATCCTTGACTTCTGGGACACCACCCGTCACAACGTCAATCATGAACTCGGCGGGATTAGCATCCTGAGGACAGATCGCACCGTATTTGCCGAAATATTGCTTGATCGTGGCGGCGTTGTCGCCGATATCGCCGAAATAGACCGTCTTTCCACCCTTCGCAAGGAGAAGGAGGGTGTCGAACTGGGCAAATAGCTGGGCGGAAGGCTGATGGATTGTCACGAGGACTGCTTGGCCAACATCTGCGAGTTTCCGGAGGAATCGGACGGTATTGTAGGCCGATTGGCCATCCAAGCCAGAGGTAGGCTCATCCAAAAAGATCAGAATACTGGGCTTTGAGACGAGCTCCACTCCGATAGTCACACGTTTGCGCTGCTCAACCGAGAGGCCATTGCCCACAGAGCCAATAAGAGTGTCGGCTAGGTCATGGAGTTCCAAAAGATCAATGATTGCATCAACGTATTTGAGTTTCTCTTCTTTCGGGGTGTCCCGGGATTGGCGGAGGAGTGCTGAAAATTCCAGGGCTTCTCTCACAGTGGCATACGACTCATGAACATCCAGTTGCTCGCAGTACCCTGCCATTCGCTGGAACGACACCGGTAACTCACGGCCGTCAACTAGAACGGAACCATTGATGGTACCATCGGTCTTGCGTTGCGCGAGCACATCAAGCAAGGTTGTTTTGCCAGCTCCAGAAGAACCCATGAGAGCCCCAAGCATACCGGGCTTGACCCATCCATTGATTTTATCCAGGAGGACTCTGTCTCCAGTGGGTGTTTTGACCGTATACGTGAGGTTCTTCCAGGTGAAAATAGACGTATTGCGAACAAGGTTGCCATTGTCGACCTGAACTGGTTCGCCTGTGTTCGCCTGGGCTTTCTCTGTCTCGTTGCGCTGGGACTCCTCATCGGTACCAGATTGGTGCTTCTTGAGATTCTCGCGTGGTATAAGTAGAGCGGAACCCGAGGCGGCCCCAGACTTCCAGCGGCATGTGCAGATGATTGTCATGACAGCAAAAAAGGCCCACCAGCCCCAGACGACTCCGAAGTTTCGCCACATCTGAGAGTGCTTATAGTGGAGAGATAGGAGGTATTGATCTCCAGTCACGTAATCCGCGCCGGTGAGAGCACCGCCAACTCCAGCGCAGGATTTATGGCCAGATTCAACATTCTCGTAGCCTGGGCCACTGGGAATAAGGTTCCTGCCAACACAGTCGATGTGTTGACCATGAAATTCGTTGGATAATCCGACCTGGAATGCATAGGCGAACGGATTCAGGTAGTACAGCTCAACGAACCAATTCTTGATCCCCGGCTTTGGGATCATGTATCCTGCGTACATAATGAGTGCTTTGACTGCGGTACCACTGATCTTGGACGCGGCTTCAAAAGTACTGAACGCGGCTCCAATACATCTGAAAAGGGCAGTGATGCACTATCGCCAGTTAGTCTTAAATTGACGGATTCAGGGAGACTTAAGGAATTCTTACCAGAGTTGTCGAGAAAAGGATAGCCCAGAAGATGAAAAAAGATTCCGCGGTATGCTTCAACCCAACCATCCAGTAGATCACGACCGAGAAAATCGTAGACTGAAAGAGCAACACAGGGAAATCCGCTGTGATCTGGCCCAGGCAAAATGCAGCCGGGTGGTACATCCCAAAAGATTTGTGCTTCGTCAAAATTGGACGCCCCTTGAAAGATTCAGTGACTTCAGACATCGCGACGATACAGTTGTATAACAATGCAAAGAAAATGGCACCGCCCTTGGTGAAAAGGCCCTCCGAAGTGACTGGAGCGTTGTAGAAGCAAGATCCAGCGATCAATGCCATGCAACACGACAAAACCTGTCTGATCAGGAACGTGCTTTTCTCACCCCAAAGAATTTGGTACTGTCTGATCGTGCAAGACATGAGCTGGGCCCAGAAGCTAATGGTCAAATCACTGTCTTTGGGCAGACGTGTAGACTTCCCCCATGCGACGGATTCTTTGAATGCTTCAGTACGCTCGGAAGCAAGGTCAGTGTCGGGATAGCCGTACAGAGAAATCTCATGCTTGTATGTCGCCGAGTTCTGGTACTCGGTCAAAATGGCGTCGGCTGTTCTAGGGAATCTGTTTTCCCAACCAGGCCTGATTTTTCGCTCAGTCGGAACGGTTACACCCGTTAAAAAGTCACCTAGAGCAGGGTCAGTATCTCCATATAACCGTTACCGCAACGATATAAGTATCATACCAGTGTTTACACCGTCAGTGTATTCGAATCCCAGATTTTCCATGAATGGTCTGGCTTCCGACGCAGGGCCATAATAGATCTGTTTTCCTTCATCGAGAACAAGAACCTTGTCGAAAAGATTATAGATTCCATTTCCGGCTTGATATAGGGTCACGATCGTGGAGAGGCCCTGCACGTCGGTCATAGCACGAAGGGCCTTCGCCCATTCCAAGGCCGTAGAGGCATCGAGACCCCTTGTAGAGTTGTCCCAGCAATACACTGAACCTTTCGTTGCGAGGCACTCAATAATGGATACACGCTTTCGTTCACCACCACTGACGCCTCGAACGAACTCATTGCCGACTTTCGTATCAGCCGTATGGGAAATCCCCATGGACTCCAGAAGGAACTGTTTGGTCTCTGCGGTGTATTCGGCAACACTCTTGGCTCCCGCAGGAAGGTGAAATGGGACCTTGAGTCGAGTGGCAAAATCCATGGTTTGGCCGACCGTCAACCGAGGGTAAAACAGCTCCTCTTCCGTATTCATCACAATTTGCCCGTGATAATTTTGTGCTTCGTCGGGCGTCATGCTTCCAAAACGCACATCTCCAGTGATCTTCCTATATCCTTCGCGGCGATTGGAAAGCATCTTGAGAAGAGTAGTGCATCCGGATCCAGGCCGTCCGAGAACGAGTAGCATTTCACCAGGTTTAACACATCCATGGCTGTCCGATAAGATACTCTTGAGTGGTGGTTTGCGGCGGACATCTTTAATGAGTTGAGGAACGTTGAACTGGGAGATCATGTTCTCTTTGACGGCTGCTTCGGCGGCCAAAACTTCCACTGACAGATTCTGCCAAGTGACTCCCAGCTCGCGCCTTTTAAAGCCAGCTGCTTCATCACGCTCGGCATTCCGAATCACCTGTGGTGTCATCCTCCATTGTAGACTGCTCTTGGGAGGTGACGCAATAGATAGAGGATTGGTCAAGGTGTCGGCGCTGCTGGCTTCTCGGAGGTTTATATCGGGGACAGTGAGGATGTCGAGGTATTTTCCATGTTTCGCTTCGGTGGCCGTTGCGGGTGGTGAATTATTGTCAGATTCTTGGTATGGCTCCATGATAGAAGAGATTGGATGCTTCTGAGAATCCTTCTGTTTGCATTTGGGACAGAGATATTGATATAATATAACACGACTATCTTCCGAATTAGAGATTATTCAACAGGGAACCGCCGCGGTGTAGATCCACAGAATATTGAATAAATGGGATAAAGGGAGCGGATAACGGCATTGTCTATTTTCCTATCTATCTATTGGACACGATTTGCACGAAATCCGTTCAAGATTGCGTCAGCGGTCACAACTATAAGTAACCGTGGGTCTGGATCCAGGTCCAATGTACCACTATGAACAAGTCATGGGCATAACTGGAACGGCGCACCACCCGATTTTGTGCTGAACCAGGCATCTATTTTAATTCGCCAGCAATGCTCGATTTAGAACTCGATAAGACGAGGCGTTTTCTCTAGCCCCATCCAAGCCGAGGTCCATGAACTCCTCGGCCAGGGCGGATATGCGGCACGTTTTACACTTCATTATAAATCGAGTGAGAAGAACCCCTTAATGAATTGGTACAGATTGTTTGAGACAAGTTAGGTCTCAAGATAGCTGCAAAGTGACCAATCCATGGATGACCATTCTAGACACCAATTTGCGATCATGTTGGTGTCCTATACAGGGATTTGTAACATTGTCCGCACGCTAGATCTGCCTAGCTCAAGGCTTCCATGAACGCGAAGAAACAATCTCCCCTAACCGTAACCATGGGTCGGAGAACCCGCTGAGAGCCGAACGACGTGGAATCGCGCGGGTCTGTCTGCCGGATAACAACGATCGGTTCTGCCGGGCTACCCGCCGAAGACGGAACGGGCAATTTACAAACACCCAATTAGGGCCATAATATTCCAATCGAGGGGCGGTTCATGGGGAATGCATCTCTCCTTCTACTAAAGATACTGCCTTGGGCGATTCCGATGTTCCCCACGCATATGCTATTCGCAGGGAGTTTCTTGGATACAAGTTCAATCGTCGGCAGTTGCCTTTCGCCGAGGGTGACTTTTCAAACTGATGAAATGTCTCGGAAAACAACCTTGCAAAGCAGGGTTGCGGTTTGGCAATCTCTACTTGCACATCAAGCGAGGTTTTTGCATGTAAACAAGATCTTGAAAAGGGGTTAGGGTTACTCCTGAAGCTGTACGCCACGCTCCGCTCCCATATTTTGCTTCTGCCCCTTTCTGGATCAGCCATTAGACTTAAACATAGCATTTTCGGCTACATAAGGAGTCCCGTAAGATCATGCTCTATCTTTTATATTTAGAAGTATGCTTGTTTCTAGCAAACCCCGCAGTACTGCCACATACCCTAGTTCGCCAACACTGACAATATGAACTATCTGCATACCTGGTGGGAGATTCTCTTTTGATTCTCTTTTGTAAATTAGTCACATGATATCTCAGTCCTACATTGATTATGAAGTAAAAGATAGTTCTCTCCAGGTGTCGCCCATTCCTAGTGCTTTATTGATATGACGTTCCCATCACAATGCCGCATATCATACCAACTTATCCCGGTTCACCCAATCGATTGTCCCTTCAATACTTTTTTCATCCGGGTTTCAAATTCTGGCCATTTTGTATTTTTCACAAATAAAGACTTTGAAGCTAATTTGATGCGAGGTCAGAAATGAATTGAGAACGCTACAAAGGGATCGACATCAAGTCGGAGTTGAGAACCTTTATCGAAGCTCGGTTCAAAAAACCCCATGTCAATTAGAGCCCTAGACGCATGGCACAGTCAGCAGTCTCTATTGACATCCAGCGTACAAAAGCGCCATCTTAAATCTCGAAGATACCGCGGTAATGCATATTCACAGAAAACTGGTGGTCCCTTAAGATCTAATCCACGGTGTGCCAAGAAAGTTTATCTTTTTCAGCAACATGTTTGTCGCAGAGGCGCACAGAGAATGTAGCCCACACGAGTGTCATAGTCAACCCAAATCTTTCCTCCTTGAGTGCTTGATTTACCTCAATCCCTTTACCCCTTTCCATCCTATACATAGGCAGTAGTGGCTTTTCTGAACACACTCCGAATTTCCCCGAGCCCTTTATCTTCCGCCGACAACAACCCAAGCAAGACCCGCGCCTGTTGCGGATTGAACATTCCACTGGCAATCTGGGTCTTCTCATTGTCACCCGTGATACTAGACGTGGGGACCTCCCCGTTGACGGTTCGGTGGCTCAGAACGATGGGGATGCCGACACGAGACACTATGTCGTTGATGGCTTGAGCGAACTCTGTGGAGATGCCTCCTGCGCCCTCGCCAGCGACCTGGTATCATTAGCACAGTAATGCTGAAGCCGGCTCTGCGACGATGGATCGGAGACAGAGGACATACCACAATTCCCTTGGCGCCATTCTGGACTGCGCTATAAATCGAGTCACTGTGCATGTCTTCATACGCATACAGAATATCCACCCGGGGAATGGCATTCACACCCTCGACGTCAGCGAAGTACTTTGCATTTGCCTGAACAGCCGGATAATAGAAGTACGGCTTGTTCGACACAATCATTCCTAAATTTCCTTGCTCATAGGCCTTAAACGTGTCCATGGTATTCGCTTGTGTTTTTGTCGCGAAGAATGCTGAGACAATACGGTCATTCATGACAACCAACGAGCCGCGGTCTTTGGCGTCCTCGTCTACGGCGACGGTCACTCCCTGAAGAAGATTCATAGGACCATCGGCTGAAATAGCAGTGGATGGGCGCATTGAGCCAACAAAGACGATAGGTTTGCCGCAGTTGACGGTCGCGTCGACAAAGAACGCAGATTCCTCGAGCGTATCGGTGCCGTGGGTGATCACCGCCCCAGACATGGTGGGATCGTTGCAAACTGTCGTCTTCAGTGTACGTGTAAGATTCAAGAGGAGGGACGAGGAAACATCCCCACTATTGACGTTGTCGAACTGCACAGCATTGATGTTGGCGATGTCCAAGTCTTCTGGAATGGTAGAGAGAATCTCGTTGATTCCTAATGCCCCGGACTCATAGCCCGCTGTTGCGGTTTTATCGTCGCTGATGCCGGCAATAGTTCCGCCTGTATTTGTGTCAGAGACCAGACAACACATCCTTTTACACAAATAGTGATGCATACCGGTGGCTATCAAAGTTATATTAGGAAGGGAAGCGTTGAAATAGTCAAATTTCAAGCCGTTGGAGTTTGTATAGGACGTGTTGGTGGCCCGTGAATGGATCAAAGCAGAGGCATAGCTTGTAGCAGCTAGAGCAGAGATAGCTAGTATCTTGAGATGGAAACTCATTATACTTGATATGTGTTACCTTCAGTGGTATTGAGGGATTTTGCGGACTGCAGCTTCGTAATTCCTGAGAGTGAAGCCCCAGCTCTGCAAGGAATTATATAGAACGACAGATTCTGCTGCGTCATCCGGATTTTTCAACTCCGGAACTTAGGAATCTTCGAATACCCTAACTAACTTCCTTGGCAGGTCTTGTTAAACCTAGACTTTCCATAATCAAAACACAAAAATGCTATGGTCTTCTCCGGGACGGTATGGATAGAGGAAGTGGATAAAGGTTGGAGAAGGATAGTTGGAGCAATGGCGGAGATCGTCGTTGATCACGGTCGGGTATAGTTATAATATTATGTGTTGTCGAGGAAACTTGGAGATTTGTAAAAGAAAACTAGGGATCTCATATACTTCGTTCTGAGTTCTCATTGTATTTCTTATTGCTCTCTATATTTTCAAGTATACTGCCCTCTCCCAATTCTAGAGACCACTAATCTTGCCCGGCATTCTGTAGGTATTCCATCTAAGATCAGCATTTTGCGCCAAGTTTCTTGAAGACAAGGCAAAAAAAAGCCGCATTCAATGACTAACATTAATAAAATACATTCTTGGCAAACACCCAAGATCGATGCTGCCTCGACGGTGCCAAGAGGAGCCTAGTGTATAGGTTGGGAAACATCGGCCCATGTTCGGAAGAATCAGAGCGGGAGAGAACCAGAGCTTTCTATTCGTTGTTTCAACCGAGTGACATTAGGCATCATCAAATATTATCATGTCATACTCCGTAATAATGCACCATTGAATTCAAAGAATGGGCTCAATCGCGGAGAGGTTCATTTCCATAACCCATTCTTACGAAGATTGCACCGCCACATGGTTGGGAACGTGGCTTGTTAATTTCAAAGATTGTTGTTGTTTACATATATCTGTGGTGGTGATCATAAAGAATTGGAACTTTCGTACCTCGCTTGTACAAAGCGTAGGAAGCCTTCTTTACCCGATAAAGCACCTACATAGAGTATCGCACAAAGGATTCTTGACGGTTCCTCAAGAAGGCCTTCTACCCTGCAAGTAGACATCTTAACAAGGTTTAACTTGAACAAGGTCCGTGGGAGACAATCTTAAGCGCAACCTCTCTGCTTCGACTTACAACAATTGTGTATCTATTCCGCTTTTATGAACGTATCTTAGTAACGGTTTTGTCGAGGCGTTTGTTGGTTCCTTCGTTAAAGCTCCCTTCCCTGCCGCCGAAAGTGATCAAAGAAACTTGTCATTATCCGCATTATCAAGAATACAAATCTAACTCTCTTTCCTCTCGGCTAGTTAATGTATGTAGGTACGGGATTCTTGAAGAATGGTCTCTGGTCTAGGGCAAACAAGAGATTAGCAGCTCTATCCCTCACCCTTCATACCCAGCCGGAGCAGGATATCGTTTGTAATACAACACCCGGTTTGCCATGAAGCCCCTCTCAACTCGGCCAAGTCTTCTTCAAAGCGAATATCCGGCATGTTTCAGAGTCCACAATGAGACTTCCTCATCATCGGGTCGACGCACGTCTTGGGCATTGGGGATCGTTTCCTCAACCCCTGTGATCTCCTTGATCTTTGACAAGCCTGACTTGTAAAATGCCATCAAAGCATCGATCTGCGCATCCCACATCTCACACTGGCTCCTCCCGTATCCACGAACGCAAAGGTATTCCAGATTCTCAGGTAGGCCATCCGGCAGCATCACCGGTTCCCTTCTCTCGTCATTCTCACCGACCCCCTTAGCAAAATATAGCAACCCCCCGATTCCCAGGCTCAATCGCTTCAAAGCGCAAAAATCTTTCAGCGAGCCGCTATTTCCCCAAAACGACCGGAGGAACTGTAGCTTCTCCTCCTCCTGGTCCATGTAGAGGTCCGTTGCCCTTTCGTCGATTTCCTGGTCGACAAGACCCTCCTCCTGATGATAGGGGTCCAAGTAGTACATATGTGACTCGGCGTCGATATCCAGGACTTCCAGTGTGTCTTTGTGAGGGCATATTGATTTGATGAAGGTCTTGATATTGAACAAGGGGTACGATCGATCCCGAACGCCCCGGCCGCCGATAGTATACTGGAATTCTCGTAACGCCTTGCAGGATTGGATGACGTAGGCAAGGTATGGCGTGTGAAGGGAGCAGTGATTGAGATGGATTTTGCTGATATTGGAGGATCCCGACACCAGGCGCGGGATGTCATTCTCATTTTCTTCGAGGGCATCTGTGCCAATCGATTCAATGGACGGGAGGTGGTCGAAGAGTGTCATGCAGTCAAAAAATTCGATGTGGTTGTAGAAGCGGGGGTCGTCCATTACGCCAAACTCTTCGACCATCATGTACACCTTGCGAAGATTCTGGAGATATGGGGTGTTGGCCGGGTCCGCATTAGCCCGACGCAGAAGGCGATCGAGGGGATAGTCGACATGCCAATCTCGAGGCCATTTCTCGGCATCCAAGTAGAATGGGTAATACGAATCGAAGGGCTGCGTCATCGCCAAAGCCTTCAAATTGGGCGACACCGAGATCAGAATCGCAGCTAGTGCTTGCGCGATGAAGGTTCCTAGAACACTGGGAGGGCCACTTGTCTCTTGAGCGCTCATCCGAGGAAGAAGAGGGAATTTTCAGGTGGTGGATGGCTTCATTACCTACTATTATGATGAGAATAGGTCTTAATGCGATATGCACCCTGCGTGGTGTTTTGCATGAGCATGTTGATCACAGCGCTTTCTTGGGGACCGACAAAGCCCGCCCTCTGCACAGCCGCGCGGAGGAGATCCATTTCGTCCTTCTTGAGGTCGCGCTGCTCTTCCCTCTTTACATAGGATATCTTGCCGGTGGGTCTCCAGTATTGCTCAATTTCGCGCACATAATAGCCCAGCCGGCGATTCTTGAGGATCTCCATGAGCAGGCCAAAGGTCTCGTTAATGCTGGTGTCTTTGGTATAGACACGTATCCTGTGAAACCGCTCGCGCGTTTTCATGTCGCACAAGGAGTGTAGAGCATGGCATGACTGCGACAGGGCGGCCAGATCGCGGATTGAGGGGAGGTAAAAGATGATTCGAGCATGTATCTCGGGAGGGACAGACAGAAATGCCATCTGGTGGAAATTCTTGTCGGTGGGGATTCTTCTGGCTTGGAAGATCGCAGCATTTTACACTGCGGGTTCGCGCCCCGCTAAACGGACTAGTCTAGGCACCCGGCTGGTTGCCTGAGAAGACTTGGTCTTGGAGAGCAGGAAAACTCGGAGTCGAGTTCGTCTGCTTCTGTTTGCGCCTTGCATCCGATATGGTTACTCTCTGGAGGTTAAGTCGTTGACAGGCTAAAGGGATTCTGGCCAGGTAGCCGGACTGACCCGGTAAATCTCCTTCTGTTTGCCTTGTTTATAGGGTCAACCTTCTAAAAGCCTATGAGACCTACACGCTTAATGCAGAAGCTATTATGACCCCGTTGTTTACAATTATATTGGAATACTACTAAGAGAAGGAGTAAGGGGCAGGGTAACTATCATGAGTATAGTGGCCTTCGAAAAAGGGTTTGAGAAAAGGCCCTGTGTAAGTGATGAAACTGATTTCGATTCTCCCTGTATCTTCCAGCATCCCTCTTCGATATTTGTAGTGGTATGTCTAGATGTTTCCTCAAGGTCTTTCTGAGAGGAAGCCGGGTGGTCTAAGAAGCGAATGAAGAAATTCCGAGGGCAATTGTTACACATGGCAAATCATCGAGAAGAAGAGCCCATTCAACATCGAATCTGAGGAAGGAAAGGAAGAGGAGGAGAAAGAAGAATAAGCTCTCTTTTGACTACTACACGCCGGAACCTTCCAGGTTGTGTCCTTCCATATCAGGTGATTGTCACAGCAATTAGTCCCTAGCTCACGTAGAATTGTTCGTTCTTTCATCAAGGTGTATTCATTATCGGTGTCCATTTCATAGATCCTCGGCGTTCTTTTCTAGCTTCGCCACTGAACTCCTATCTTTCTGACACTCATCGACCTTGCACTTATCCTTTCTCCTGGCATCAGCGACTTTCTATCTTTCACTGGTGCCTCTTTCTACCTCACATTTTTGTTCTCTCTTTGCATTAGTGAATTTGTATCTTTCGCTAACATCCATCCACCTCACACTTGTCTTCTCTTCTCGCATCGGTGACCCCCCAAAATGTGAGCCACGGCGCTCCTCACCCGCTCCAACTCACGGCGTCCTAACTTCGAGTCGCCTACGCCTCTCCGGTTGTCTCTCACTATACTCCGGGAAATGGGAGCAGACATGGCAATTTTGCACCGTTATAACAGCAAGAAAAACCTCCCAAGAGCTTTGAACGTCCCCTAACTCGGCTCCATTCTTGCCAGGTCTCGTCGTTCAAAGATCTTGGGAGGTTTTTCTTGCTGTTATAAAGGTGCAAAATTGCCATGTCTGCTCCCATTTCCCTGAGAACAGTGAGAGCTTCCGTGTGAGCGACTGGGACAAAGCGACGGTCACACGGAAGCAGTAACGATGAGAGGAAGATTGGAGATGATGGGTTCTCAATGAAGACCTCCGAGTTGGGGGGCCTACCTCTCCTCATATTCTATATTTGGTATCGGAGGAAACAATTTGCACCTGTGGGTATCCAAACACCCTTTTCCAACCCCAAAGCCTGCCTCCCCAAGTGGTCTCATATTGACGCCTAGTTAACCGTATGCACTAGGGATCCTGGTCCCATTTGAAGGGGGCGAACCGCGGGGTTGACTATTGCATGACGAAATAAGCGCCCAACCGGCCCTCGGCCAATCAGATCAGATAACGCCCAACAAGTGGCTAGGGATGAGAAACTCTCGCCAAGTGAAACGGCTTCGCCTCGGATCCTGTCTTTGGCCTGTCAGTGCTTGCAGATGACTTGCGGGTTATGACGAGGACAACTACTGTTCGTCTAGGAATCGAAATCGGAAGGAAAAAGTTCAATCAAATCAACCATTGGTCACGGGTTTATATGTTGAAAAATATTTACGTAAAGCCCAGATAGAAAATATGTGACAAGAAAGATCTCGAGGACGGCAGAGGAAAATGACAAGCCCCGACGAGAAGACACCCATCACATTGTACCGAAACAGTAACCAGGAGACTCGGGGAAGAACAAATGAGCTCCTATACTTGAGACGCCAGACAACAGACAAATTTCTCCATCTCCTTATGTTCGCCTTTAGTCCACCGAAGTCGAGCAAATGAGTGTCAAAGATGCATCATGCACACACATCACAGCTTAGGAAGTGTAAGCCTGGCCAGCCTGGTTCAGGGCGCCACCGCTGATCAGGTAGCCCTCGGCGCACATGAAGTACGAGTATCTGGTGACCATTGACTGGGCATCAAGCCAGGGAAGGACCTGCTCAAGGAAAGCGGCGGTGGTAGCGGGATCAGTAACACCTCCGGCGTCTTGGCTGAGCGAAAACTCGGTGACCCAGACCTCGGACAGGCCGTAGGTGGAGGCGGTGTTGATAGCCTGCGTAACGAAAGACGTGAACTCGTCGGCAGAGCCGCCGTACCAGTGAACGGCCAGGCCGGTGATGCCGCAGGACGAGCAGTCGCCCATGAACGCCTCCAACCACGAAAGACCCTGTCCGGCGTTGGTCGACGATGTCACGGCGGGCGAGATCAGCTTAGCCTGGCCGGAGTAAGGGGTGATGTAGGTCTTGTAGTAGTTGGCGGCGTCGGCGGCAGCCATATTGGCCTGCGAGGCCATGTCCGGCTCGTTGAAGCCCATGATGTACTCGCTGCCGGAGGACAAGACCGTCTCGATGGTAGTGAACCAGCCGCCGAAGTCCCTGGCACCCCAGAGCATGGGCACGAAGTCAACATTGGAGGGCAGGTCGCTGTACAGCGACATCCCCCAGTTGTAGGCCCAGGAGACTTTACCGCTGGCGGTGAGCGGGGAGACGGTCGAAGCATCGTTGTAGGCAGCGCCACGCTTGGAAGTGTTGGTAGTGCTGCGCTTCTGCACCTCGACAGATCGAGGAACGGTGACCGGGACAGCCAGGGCCGAAGTGGCAAGCAGGCCGGTGGCGAACAGGTGGGAGAAAGAGACCATTTTGACGGGTTTTGAAGAGATGCTGTGTTGTTCACAGAGAAGGAATGGAACGTTTCAAAAATGAGAGAAAACCTGTTCCCAAAAAGAAACCAAAGTGTTGGAAAGGAAGGAATCTAGACCGTGCACGGCACAGGCAGCTAGAAGATAAATGATTGAAAAGTGATCTCAAAGATCAGAAAGGAATGAACCGTGAACTGGCACAAGCAGGCTGGGGAAAGAAGAGGGGCAGGAACGAAAGGCAGGGAACGGGGGAGGTTAAATGTTAAATCCCCGGCTCATTGTGCGTCAAACCTACCACCAACGCCTCCTGGCTGGACCGTCTCTCTTCGCGTCTTGCTTCTTTGGCACGCGCACCGAGAGGCGGCCAAGTGGAGCATCACGGGATTCTTTCAACGCTGCCATTGGGTGAAGCAAAAGCCATGCTAGGTGGCACCTCACTTTTACTCATGGTTACCGCGCAGAGCAGCGTCATCCACGGAACGAATATCCAGCACCCCATCACGACGGGGAACCAGGGGGAGGGGACGCATGGATCTGGACGGCGTTCTGACAGGCCCAGCCTGGCGGCTGCTGGAGTGATTGGCCCGGCCCGGGCTGGCCATGCATTTGGGCCTACGGGGAGAAGAGAATAATGTCTATTTTCAGTTAGCGCAACCCATGTCAATGTCCACTACGGTGGGGCGGCAGACAGAAATCCTTTGTGTCTAGCAAAGAGATGTATATCGTGGTATACTCCACAGCCTAGCGTTCCGCAGGCCCCACAGCAGTTTGGACCGTTGGTGTAACGGTCTTGGGGATCTTTAATCCAGTCCACGCTCGGGGACTATCGTGGCTTTTTGCAATGAAAAAGAACAATGTACCGCTGGAGATCGAGTCTTGAGGCCCGGTGCCTGACGAGAACAAGGGTCGGCAGGCGTTTCGAACGGTGTTGGTGGCCCACCAGCCACCGGCTGTCGAATGAGCCAGCATTTGGGTGGCCCCTGGCAGACTTGTCAGGAACGATACAGCTGTGCGGTGAATGTGTGTTGCAAATGTGGAAGCAAAGAGGAGGTGGTGGAGCCCAGTTGGACGAACCACGGGTGATGCTTTCGTAGGCCGCTGGAAGGTTGCAAAGGACGTATTCGATTGGAGACGGGTGGCGTGGCTACGTGGTTCCGCGGCTCGCAGGTCAGGGCACACCCTATGAGTGGCTGTCGTGTCTTTCTGCCAGGGGTATTGGTCTGAGGTGACCTATCACTGGCCCTCAAGTCATTGGGGGTACTCCTCATTAATTTGAAGCTCGAAGCTCATTGCAGTTCCAGAAAAGGTGAAGGTGTGGTTGTGGTTGCGGTTAGGTTAAGAGTGGAATGTGGGAGGTATAGAAAGCACATGACGAGAACAAATAACCGAAACCAGTAATCAGAATTCTACACCCTATCATTCTATGACAATTTAATGGCGTCGCTCACAATGGCAATTTTTCAGAGAGACCTTTCCCATTATTTCCCTTCCTTTCCCTTCCATCAGGCCCACCGAACGAAAATCGGACACACCGCACAGAACGCGCCACCCCGATGACGGCATCGGCCACTCACAGGCGATCCGGGCCCAGCTCCCCGATCGGCGCCAGTGTTTCAGCGCACCACCCAGACTCCTTCCGCCGGGTCTGGTGCCGCCTGCAGGCAAGGGCCGCCGGTGAACACACTACGAACACGCCCGAGTGGCTTGCCAGCGGGAAGTGATACGTCACGCCTGAAACAACGCATGTCGCTGATCGCCTGGCCATGCACGGCCGACACGCCGGGCGCTACGGAGTTCCTGTACAGAGGTTCTCCGGCAGTCAGTCCCCACCACGAAGCCAGGCCAAGCCTTGCCGGACTGTGCGCCGGTTGAACGCCGACCCGTTGGCTGGCGCCAAGGGTGTTGTCTCTTTTTTCGCCGCCTCCGTTGTTTGCTGAGAGTTGGCCGGCACTGTCGTAGGTACGTACAGCATGAATTCACCCACGGCTCCGTATGGCTGGCAATGCTGCCCGGCGCATCAGCCATTTTGCCTCACAGTCGTAGTCGCGGGTTTGGATCGTGATTGGGCTGGGGGTAGAGCCCCAGCAAATTCCTGTAGGTTTTCCGTGTATATTCTTGTGGCTGGGCTTTGCTTGGGGCGGTGACTTGGCGATGGAGGCGTCGGCTTTTTGCCAATGCCAAGAGCAATGCCCTCCAAACGCTACAAATGTCGAAACCGTGGCGCTAGATAGGTTGCCAAGAAAATTGTTTCTTTCTTCAGGGCTTTCTTTTGAGTGATGAGGTAAGATTTTTATCATTTTAGCCCCCGGGGGCGACAATTCTACTGCAAAGTTGTAGGGTGCGTACGTATATTGGTAGGAGCCGACTTCTTCGTAAGTATGTTCTTTTCCCCAAATTAGAAGAAAACTGGTCAATTATCGTGTAGTTAGTTATTCGTCAGCCATACCCCAATCCTCTAGCTCGCCCATCGACCCCCGACCGAAACGCATTTGTTCCAGCCCTTCCAAAATTGAGCTGCCACAACTAAAAATATACCCAAAATAAATAGCGACATAAATTTTGACTGACAGAACTTGCCCATATTCGTTATTGTTATTCTTAGACAACATCATACAATAGCGCGTTCACAAAGTCCAAAAATTGGTCTTAGCTGGCTCTAGGGTTGGCACCTCTCCACTTTAGCCTAGGCCCATTACGAACACTCGAGAGCTGCGCAGGCTAGCTTAGGCCCACGTCACCTCGCAGCAGCAGCACATTCTAGCCCCATAGAGTGAAGTCGTATTAGAGGCCGTGCTACTCGATAGGGCGTTCAATGATTCGGTTCCGGGAACTGCATTACTTATCTCGGAGCTGGCTATGACGCCACGTGTTGGGGTGAGTGTGAACGGCCCCTTTATTGAATCGTGGACGGAATGGGCGGGGAACGAATGGGCGGGGAACTCGGGGGTTGTACTACTGGGTAGTGGTTAAATGAGATAGAAGAGATTGGGGCCTGAGGGAAGGATGGACAAGCTAATTTGAATCATGAGGTACCTCGATTGTGGTGGGCCTGTCTCGAAAGGATTGGAGCTGGAGAGTTGGGTGTGGTACAGCATTGCATAGACTAGACAGGATGTGCATTACTTCCCTAGTCTCTGAACCTGCCAATAGCGAGCATCCCTGAATCTCCGGTTGGCTATCGCGGACATCAACAACGGAAAACTGACTCAGGTCCCCGAAGAAGTGACCGGATGAAGTATGCACGGATTCGCTATAAAATGGCTCAGGCAGGGAGGCAGGCACTATATCATAAGCTGTTGAAAATAACCTAATATCACTGCTGTTCGTGATCTTAGAATGAGGGGAATCTTCTCTTCAACCCCAAGCTTATTTATTCGCTTACTTCATGGTGGAAACCAATTTTTTCACTGGTCTTCTAAAGAGAAGTCACTCTTTCTGAGGTGCTGCTCTAGAACCTCAGCAATCATTCTACACTGATTTATCAGTTCTTCTTAAAGTTCTATTACAATACTGCATAGCCGGATCAATCCGTATTATCTTTAGCTAGTGTATCCTGTATCTACAGTATACGTCAAAGACAGAAGCTACCCTTGCAGCTGTGATATTGCTAAGAGGCCCACGTGTCTCTCCAGGTCCTCGAGACAAATATGGATAAACACTGCTATGGTGGTATCAAATAAACCCCCATGCAATCGTCGTTCAGCACCTTCTCACCACTAATTACGTCAGAGTGGACCCGAATGCCAGTTTTGGATGGAGGTCAGAGTAAAGGACGACCGGCTGCAGTCACAGTCTCGATTTCTACCCAGCATTGTGTATCATATTACCGTGTTTTGGATGCATAACCGAAGGCCATAGAGTAGATCCTTTTCAAATACTTCCTGCACCAAGTGTTCCTTGCTAAGCTTCTTATCTTTCTTGGCCCAAGTTTCGACACAAGTCTTGGCATCACAGTTCCTTTCCCATCGATGCTGGACGTCCACGAGATAGAACTCCAAACAGTCCTTGTCATCATCGATCTCCCCAATTAGGAGGATATAACAACTGTAACATGCAAAATGGAATAAGCAGACCAACCTACGAGTCAGCAATTCCCCACGATCTATCCCAGTCAGGAAGGCGGTGACCCCAAACCCGATGATGTAGCTCTGCGTAGCTCCAACTTCCGCTCCATTAATCTTCCGGTTTCCATCGCTCAACACCAGACTCACTGCCAACCCACAATGCTTTCCCGCAGTGCAACTCGCCTTCTGCGCGCCGGCCCAGCCGTCCGCCCCTCCCTCCGCACGTCCAGCACAGTCCGCCAAGCCGCGGCTCCTCTCCGCCGCAGCTACCCAGCGCATCCGCGGGCATTCTCTTCCTCCGCGACCTTCTCCAAGGGCCTCCAGCCTGACTCGGAAGACCCCCGTCCACCGAATCCGCAGGCTACTCCCATCGCTGGGGCCGCCCCGCATGTCACCGAGCCGACGGCTCTGACACCGGAGGAGTACCGCGACTACTCGGAGCACTACTTTAACGTTCTTCTCCGGGAGCTGGAGAAGGCGCAAGAGGAGGGGTCGGATGTGGAGGCAGAGTACAGCGTAAGAGATACCATCCATTGCATATTCTTTCTGCACACAGTTCCGCCCTCTATATCAATCCCACCTCGCACATTCACGCTCTGCGGCCAGCTAGATTAACCTTACTAACAACTTCCCAGGCCGGCGTCCTCAACATCTCCGTCCCGGCGCTCGGCACCTACGTGCTGAACAAGCAACCCCCCAATAAGCAAATCTGGCTCAGTTCGCCGATCTCCGGACCCAAGCGGTTTGACTGGATCGTCGAGGGCGACCGCATGCACGAGAAGCAGGACTCGCGGCCGTTCGTGCACGGGCAATGGATTTATCTTCGGGATGGGTCGAACCTGACAGAGCTTCTGAACTCGGAACTGACCCTACGGTTGCCGAAGGACATCTATGGGGAGGTCATGGATGCGTGAGATGTTCTCTCCGTACGGCAGAATTATATGGGGTTATGAGAAGATGTATGACAGAACAGTCGTTTTTGCATTTTTCATATTCTTTGTCTCTACAACTAGGACATCGGATCACAGAGCACTAGTCTCCCCATCGGGGTTGATGAGAGAGATTTTGTATTTTACTTTTATGGATGCTCAATTCCACAGGTTATAGGTCTATTCCTTGAAATGATGGTACCGAATGCTGGTAGTCAGGCCCGGCACCCAGATCACAGGATGGATAAGCTACCCCGGCTATTCATGTATCAAGCACAGAAATATTCAGAAGCGCCACCAGCCCTAACAGAAAAGCAGGACAGCCTCACTGGACTTTCCATTGACAGACATCTTCCTTTCTTCGAATCCACCATCTATGTCATTCGGTAATATTGTTCGGGCTCACGTCCCAGACTTCCCTGCCCAGGGATATTATCCATAGCGGTTGCCTGGGGGCTGTCAATTTTTCCACTTTGGCCACTGTCACACCATCAGGGGCTGGGCACTTCGAACTCTACCTGGCGAGATGGACAAGTACGACGGCGTGGTCGTAGTCCGAAAACTTTCGATAGCTTCCCAGATTCAAACTCTGCATAGGCTAGATCCTGTTGCCACTGACAGGGTCTTCAGTCAGAGCCCCTCCACCAGCGGGGACTATACTGAATGTCTTGTACTTCAATGCATTCCTTCAGATGACTGATGGTTTACTTTGGATTCTTGCCATTGGATTCTCCATACAAGGTGCAATACGAAGTTCCAAGTCGATTGGCCCCATCGGCTCTTTTGGGGTGAAAATGCTCTCGAGTACAAAAACAATCCTCCTGTAAAGAAAGCAACCCTCCTGCCAATCCTCCCATTAAAGTTGCCTGCGTATACCCGCCTCGCAAATTCCAAATCAACCCGAACCGGCCAATCACTGCATGTCAGGCACAGCAACAGCTAGCACGCTGAGCAACCACAATTACAGACTACTTTCCACAATGCTGGCTAGGGGCTCAGGATTGTGGATCCTCGGAGGAAAGGGGCGAATCGTCTAACTCCGCCGGTTTACACCTCGAAGACGACGGCGAGTATATGCCTAGAGATATGCCGATGCAAAAGCAACAAATAGAGTTTTTGTAACGGACTCCTTTCTGGAGATCTTCATCATTCAACTCAGTGGAATAGTCATGTTTTCACAATCACCCAACGCTCTCCTTGTCCTTGGGCTTCTCTCTCATTCTCCATTCGCCCAGTGCAAACAAAACACCATCATCCGCGATGTCGCAATTATAGGCGGTGGTGCCTCGGGGACTTTCTCCGCAGTGAGACTTCTCGACCAAGGCAAATCTGTCGTTCTTATCGAGAAAGAAAGTATCTTGGGCGGCCATACCAATACATATCTGGATCCGCTCACCAAACAGACTGTGGACTACGGCGTTGAGGTCTTCCACAATCAACAGGTGGTCAAGGACTTTTTCGCCCATCTGAATGTATCCTGGATAATAACGAAGCCAAGCTTCGGTGCATCTGCGCCGAAGTACTTGGATGGAAACACTGCCGAGCAGGTCAACTATACTAGTCCCGACCCGACTGCGGCGCTAATCGAATATGCGACACAATTGTCCAAATACAGGCAACTCGAGCTCGGATTCTTTCTGCCAGATCCCATTCCGGATGACTTGTTGTTACCCTTTGGGGAGTTCCTTTCCAAGTATCCCGACATTGGCAATGCGACCTTCACGATATTCAGATTCGGGCAGGGCCTGGGCGATTTTCTTGAACAGCCGACATTATACGTGTTCAAAAATTTCGGTCTGGACGTTGTACAAGATATCGCCAGTGGCTTTTTGGTGACAACAAATCAAAATAACTACGAGATATACGACCAAGCCACGCGAATACTCGGACCCGACGCCTTGTTGAGCAGCTGCGTGGTGTCCACGCACCACAGAGACAACAGTGGAGTCCAGCTGGATGTCGAAACACCGACTGGTCGACGAATAGTGAGAGCCAAAAAGCTATTAGTTGCTATTCCGCAGAAACTCGAAAATATGAGCCCTTTTGCTCTTGACGACCGCGAGTCCGGCCTCTTTGGCGAGTTCATGAACACGGGATACTACACGAGTTTGCTGAACAACACAGGGTTACCAGCAAACTTCAGTTCGTGGTCTGTGGGCGCTAATACTTCATACCACCTTCCCAAACTGCCCGGTGTATACACGGTTACCTCAACGGCTATCGAGGGCATCTTCGATTTCAAATACGGCAGCCCGCATGCTCTGCCGGACGACTACGTTCGCGGCGAGATAGCTTCATACGTCAAGAAAATGCAGGCCAACGGGATCGCGGAAAAGGTACCTGGAGAGCCAGAATTCGTGCGGTTTAGCAGCCATACTCCATTCGAGTTGACGGTGTCCCAGGAGCAAATCGCAAATGGGTTTTATGAAGAATTATATGCTTTGCAGGGCTACCGCAACACGTGGTATACAGGGGCCGCATTTCATACGCAGGATTCATCGATGCTTTGGAACTTCACAGATTCGACCGTACTACCTGCGTTGCTGAAGTGAATTTGCTGTGGCTTTTCTCGTCGACTACTGCATGATGTCGGGAATATACTTGTGGATGAATGATGCGACGTGTGTCTCTTTAGGCATCTAGGCTGCGTTAAAACATCCATACAGTCTCCAGTCAGAGCATGACAATAAACCAAGCTGAAGTCTGGTCTCCCCCAGACTTCGATGTTTGGAATGGCGGAGAAGCTGGTTCTTTCCAATCCCTGACATTGCTCCAAGCCTAGCATTCCCGATATGCCAATGCAGTTTGTATTTTTCCATGGGATAAGGAGCTTCAAGATAGTCGCCAAGTTATGATTCTCAGAGATAGCCGCTGTAACCAGCGCAAGAGAATACATCTCTGCACTACTCCGTCGGATCAGCGGAAGACATAGACAGAAGGATTTTGTAGTCGTTGAATCGTTGGTCATGTTCGAGCAGTGAATGCTGTGGTGCGAGGCTTGGAGGTCACGTTTATTGTCGGGTCGCTGCTGCTAGCTGAAAGCCATGAAGGCGAAATTTGAAGTCAGGCTAGGCGCGGAGTATTGACGGTCGTCGACATCGGTGGATCAAATTATTTTGGGTCTAGGCCCAGCGGCGGAGCATCTCTTTATTTGTTTTTGAAATGCGAAGTCCGGCAGAATGGCAATCAGAGTGGCAAAGAGAATCTTCACACTAGCCAATCTCCATCTTCAAGCCTGGACAGCAACAGTGCCCGCATTCTGCGCGTTATCCGCCTTGGGAAGATCAGCCTGTAAACAGCCATCCATTAGCACCATACACAAAACGCATACTGAATCCAAGGTCGCAGGGTGAATGCGGAAGACGAATGGTAACATAAGACAGCTGTCTCTTCAAGCCCAAGAAACAACAGCTTTGCCACCTCCTACATCCCGCATATACCCAACAGAGCCCCGCGGCGCAACATACCAGGTCAAAGATAACCTTAATCATCAAACTGCAGCTCGGACACACCGCAATCTCCTCTCCATCGCGCAGGTCGTCGATCGCAATTTCGAAGCGGTCGCCGCATGGGCAGGGGAAGGTGTAGATCTGCAGGGCCGGGTCGAAGGTCATGTCTTCAATCTCGATCTCGTCGTAAATGGAAAGGGCGTCGTCGGCCATGATGAGATGGGGTGTCGAAGCGGATGAGGACACTAGTATATTTGAGGAACTTGGGGGATACGGTGTCGTGTTTGAGGGAGAGCGTAAGGTAGAGGAAGATCGACTAGATTATGAAGTTCAGGAACAAGAACAGCCTAACTGGGACTTTCTAGTGGCGGACAAAAGTTTATCGCTGTCAGGTCATGTGACTGGGGGCCTTGACGGCACGTGAGGTTATCTTATCAACTTATCGTTCTGCCGGGCTCCACTCATTAACGTATGCTTTTAACGACAGCCGAAGCTTCACGTCTTCGTCATTTCTTTTCGGTATTATAGGTGGAAGCGGTTGGCTAAGTAAGTGGCACACCACTGATAGTTCTTCTATGGACATGCTGTCTCATTTTTCTGGCACTACGAGTCCCCTAGTTCCCGACTAGGAGATCGTGGGGTCAGTAAACGAAGTATGTCCTAGGAGCTGTCTATTCTAGATTCATCATCACTGTGGAGCTACGACGTATAAGGTAGTATACCCCACGTTCTATAGCGGGTTTCACCTAATATACCTATCTTGCTGATCACTTACAGTGTTTAAAAACACGCAGTTATGGCATGACAGGGTTGCCAGTACGCCGAAGGGACACAGCCAAAGCCTGGCCACAATATCAGTATTAGCCGCCAAGATAGCTAAATTCCGTAAGTCAGGTCTACTCCCCCAGCCTCGCAATTTCCATTCGCACAGCCTCGACGTCCCGCACCAACCTCCCATACTGGCGGGCAATCTCAGCCAGCGTCCCTCCATCCTTATCGCTCACTCGGTCTGTCCCTACCACCGCCGTTCCAGAGACTTCTGCATCACCATACTGTTCCAACTCCTCAATCGCCAACGCCTTCTGCTCGTCAAGCCGGACCCGTGTATCCCGCAGATGCTCCCGGTACCGGCTGAGCGCCGCAAGCGTCTCAGGCGTATACAGCGTCGCCGCGATCTCGAGCTTGGCAACTCTGAGAAACATGTCAAGTCAGCAAACACAGTACACAATTTCCAAACCCCACCAGCTAGCTGGTCGGTACCAATGATCCGAAGGGGCGGAGATACGCACTCAACTTTTCCCTCAATCCCCTGCGCCACTGTCGCCAAATGCTCCGCCCGCGCCCGAGTCGCCCTCGCAAGCACCCCGTGCTTCGCCCGCTCCAAGATAACAACCATCCGCTCAATAATGGTCGCCCGTACGCTCATCACCTCCGCCGCCACAGCGGCCATTTCTCGGCGCGCGGCGGGTAGCGACGACAGCTGGGTGGCGCGTAGTGCGTCGACCCGAGCACGCAGCTGTGACGCAAGTGGCGGTACGGGCGCCATCGAGGTGCGGACGCGGCGGTCTCGGGCGCGCGCGCGGGACTGGTGGTCTGCGCGGGGTTGAGCGGCGTGATGTTTGGGTGCAGTGTCTGTGTTTGCGTCGGAGGTTGCGGAGAGGGCGCGGAGGGCGCTTAGAGTATTGGAGAGGTGGCTGGAGAAGTGGACGATAAAGGTGGGTATGTTTGTGTAGAATGTTGAGATTGAGGGGGCTAGGAGGGAGAGTGTGTCGTCTTGGATTTTGGTTTGGGATTGCGAAGGGGCGTCTTGTGGTGTGTTTGGGTCGATTAAGGTGCATGGAGTCTCGAGGTATATCGAGATGAGTGTAATGTTATCACGGCACTAGGTTGGTCAGATATAGAACTTGCGTCGGGGGCGTAGTATGTTTGTTTGTGAGCTGTCGTGGTAATCACCTCGTCGGAGAGCACGCTGTCTGATGCAAAGGCTAAATGCCTTAGCGTACGCTCCTTGATCCTTCGCTTCACACTTCGGAGCTGGCATTGTTTCAGGTCCTAGCGATAGAAAGCAATTAGACGCTGCATTGCTGTTGCGGTTGTGTTTCTGAGGGTGCTATCGACCACGTCGCGACGTACCTCCACAGCGGCCTTGCGTGCCGGCTCCGCGGCGTCGGAGCGGGTTGAGCCATCCGTGTTCAGAAGAGTTGTTGTAAGGTTCTCATATAGTCGTCTGAACTGGGGATTGTGCTCGAGAATGGAGGGGTCGCAGGGGGGTATCATGGCGAGAAGCGGGAGGTTAGAGGAAAGTAAGTAGGCAGGTTCACCGCCAATAGGGCAGGAAGCGGGATCGGCAGCAGCCGCGAGCGGCGAACTCAAATGGAAGGACTAAGCTTCCGCGAACGACTGGGCATACAACACAGCAGACAAGAAGATGTAAACTACAAATTACGGGTGGCAGCAGCAAAAGAAATACCTAAGTACTAGACGTACATTTTGGCATTTCCGCGTTTCTTTCGTAATCATACAGGTGAAGCCTGATCAGCTTCGTTTCGATCTTGATCCCCCATTTTTCCACCCTCCATCACATCGAGAAGCAGAATCTCTGCTATCTCTCGCAGAAGCATTGCCTTAGCAAGGAGAGCAAAGATCAAATGTACACCCGGGCAGAAGGGGGAAGGCATAAACGTGTTAGTCAAGCAAATCAAATCCCATAGCCAGCACGGAACCCATCTTGTCAAGCCCGGCGGTGTTCAAGGGGTAATCTGTTCGCGTGCCGAGGTCCAGGCGCTTCTTCGAAGCAGAAAATAATAGTAATTTATGTACAAGGGTTGTCTTAACCCGGACAAATGACCAGTGGCATTTGCGTAGAAGGACGCAAATCGCAGACCTGAGAAATTTGGAAACCAGGCTTGCAAGAGGTTAGACGAGGGTGTCCAAGTGTCAAGAATCAATCCATGGGAAGACAGGAGAAACGCTCGGAACGCAAATTTAAAGCAAAACGACGATTTCACTCGTGAAAATGGCAGCAGTAGCACAGATTGATCAGGAGATAATTTACTCTTCCTCGCTCTCCTCCGAATCATCATCCGACTCATCCTCGCTGGACTCGTTGGCCTCGACAGAAGGCATCGGGGCAGGGGAGCCACTGCCGCCCTGGAAGCGGGACAGGTTGCTCTCGAGCATGTTGATCTGAGCCTCTTGCTCGTATTTGCTCATCGGCTTGTTCTTCTTCGGCTTGGGGGCAGCAGCGGGAGCGTTACCGACGGGGAGGATATCTTCGTCGTCCAAGATGTGAGGCACATTCTTCTTCACGAACTTGAGCAGCATAAGCAGCACGTCGTTGGGCAGCTCATCAATGTCCAGCTCAATCTCCGCTTCTTGAGTACCCTGGAAAAAACATTTGAGGTTAGCCCAGAAGACACATTGTGATAGGCCATGCAACAACAAAAGTTAAAACTTACCTTCAGAGCAGGAACATTCTGCTGGATGATTCCGAGGGCCTCCTGCATCTTCTTGTCCGGAAGGCTACTGATGCCATTGGAGATGATTTGCTTCTCATGGTAGGTGATATTGCGAGTCTTCTCGATCTTGGAAAAGCTCTTGCTCTTCTTATCCTTCTTGCTGCTACTCTTCTTGATTTCCTTCTTGGTCCCTGACTTGCCAGACTTGGAACCCTTCTTCGCGGGAGGGGTCTTCTTCTTCTTCTGGGTGATCATTTCAACCTGACGAGACATCTCGGCAATCTGCTTCTGCAGCAAGCTGAGCTTCTCGTTGTCCTCGTCACTTTCCTCGGCATCCTCATCGCTGTCTTCTTCGGAAGAGTCGGAATTCTGCTCGGGATGCGGCTCGTGCTTGGCCAGGTACTCCTGCTTCCCCTCCCATTTCTCGTCGAAAATCGCTTCCAGACTCTTTCCAGAGGTGTAGGTCGGATCACCAGGGAGGTTGAAACGGTAGCAGTTTTTGAACATCAGGCGGATATCGGCCTCGAACTCCTTGGAGTTTTCGTACTGGCCAGTCGTGAGCTTGGTCTTGATGGTCGACAGATCCATGGGCTTCTTGATCACACTGTGGTAGGTGGGAATGTTGAGAGCAACAGGGTCCACGGGATAGTAGAACGGGATAGCATGGTATTGGTGTTTCGGCTTGTGCAGCTCCTCGAGAACTTCTTGGCAGAAACGCAGCTCCCACTGGTACTTCTTCTTCTTGGGCTTGGTGGAGTAAGGGAGATCACGCTTAGGAGGGTGGATGGAACGCTTGGGGCGACCATCAGGGTTGGAGGAATCCCGGCGAATAACGGGGAGACCCTCTGGACCCAATGCGAATGTAGTACTCTGGGGGGAGGCTGCCTTAGGAGCCGCCGGAGCCGGAGCCGGAGCCGGAGCCGGAGCCGGAGCAGTGGGAGGCACAATAACGGATTGACCACCGGTCGAGGTGCGAGGCTCGCGGCGAGCAGCGGAAGTCTTCTCCGTCGTCTTCTTCGGCTTCTTCTTCTCCTCCACCTCGTCGGCCTTAGGAAGCAAGCTCATCTGTTTCTCAAAGGTAGCCAGCAGTTTCTTGCCCTCCTGGGAGACCACGTGGTCAGGGCCGTTGAAGGTGTTCGCGTTATTAACCATCAGAGCAAAATCAGCGTGGAGGGCCTGCGGAGACGAGTATTCGTTGGCCTTAAGCTTCTTTTCGATGGTACTCAAATCCATCGGCTGGGTAATGACAGTCCGGTAGTTCGGGATGTTCAATTGAATTGGGTCCACTGGTAGCTTGTAGAATCGTGCGTCATGCATGCGCTTCAGACTATTGAGGCACTTCCCGATGTACTTGTGCTGCATCTTCGTAATACCAGATTGACCGCCCGAAGGAACGGGTCCAGTAGTCTCGGCGGCAGGGGTAGGCAGCTCAGGAAGCTTGACATCCGTGGGTCCACCATCCCCGCCTCCGACTTTGGTCCGCTTGGCCGCGGGCTCCTCTGCCGGGTCAATCTCGCGCTCACGCGACAACTTTGAGGGCGACACGGGGGCGCTGGGCGCATCGTTCATTTCATGATCGGTCTGACGAGGAGGCAAGCTGGGAGTCGCAGATTCGGCGGTAGGGTGGTGGGGAAGTTCAGTCTTCACCGGAGCGGATGCCTCCCCTGGTCCATCAAGAGCCATCTTATCCTCGGTGGAACTGTCCAGAGGTCCAGAAGGAACGCGTCCAGCGGATGTGATTGCGGGTGCTTGGGGAGTGTCGGCAATACTGTTCTCCGTGGAAGCATTTGCCGTTGCGGGGGTGGCGGACTCGGTGGTCTGAAGTTGAGTGGAAGTGGCTGTGTCTTCTGGAATCTTCGTCTCCAGCGGCGCAGGCGGTTCAGACGCAGAGGGGGTCTCGGAGGGAGCTGATGCAGCTGGCGCAAGAGCCTCGAGGGGGGACTTGGGAGGGGATGCCGCAGAACCAGTGCCATTGGCAATCGCAGGGGATTTGGAGGCGTGGCCATTCATGGTGGTTGTGTGGTTCTCGGTCACGCTGGCGAGGGCCTCAGTTGTGATGTCCGAAACTGCGCCTTGGACGCTATGAAATGAGAGTTAGCAGGATGCCTGCGTGCGAGAAGAAAAAGAAACGCGTCAACCGAGCAGGTCTTACCTGTTTCGCGCAACATCAGGCGCGGAGGCACCCATCGGGGGGGGAGGCAACTGAGGCTTCTCCTCCTTCATCACCGAATGAGCCTCTGGAGGCGGGGTCGCCATGGAGGGTGCGCTGAGTTCTAGACAAGGACCAGAATACAGCTTCTAGAGGTGTGTGTAACAGGAGAGGGTAGGTGAGGTGAGAGCGGAGAGATCGCGCGACTGGTTCGGGAGAGAAGAATTCAACTGGATACACACTCCGCGCTAGCACGGGATAACTTGAGAGAGGGAAAATGGCGCGGAGGATAGGACAGGCACACGCGACGAAATGGGGAGGGCGCGCAGTGGACACAGGGACAGCGAAGCTCGGGGAGCTCGGGAGATATGAAGAGTGGAGAATGCGATCGGAGGCGAAAGAATTTATACCGCCAAGAAGGCGGTGTGTAGTCACGTGAGTGGTGGGTTGGGAGGAGTTGGTGCAAGGACAGCGGGTGGGAGGCGAGGTAGAAGTCACGGGACTGGAGGGAGATAATGGGAAGGGCCCGAGGTGAGAAAAGGGGTGCCTGAGGTGTGTGGAAATGGAGAGCAGGACAAAGAGGCAAATGAACCCTGAGATGGCAGAAACCCCGGTTAAAGTAAAGAGAGGAGCTGCAGGGAGGGCGCGACGCGTCGCGTTGTTTAGGAAGGGTTAGGGTAGTAAGGGTAACCAATAACCAAGGATACGGGAGAAGGGGGCGGTCAGGGCAAGAAAGGACGGAAGCAGAAAAATCCTCGGAGGCGGGAGCCATTTGGCTTAAGTACAGCCCGCACAGCCCACACACCCGCGACTGCTGTGACTGCCCAGCTTCCCACGGCGCACTCCACCGCCCGTGCTGCGCCGGATTTGACTGGTCCCGCCCCGTCCACTGTTAGTTTCCCCCGTCTGATTGGCCCGCTGTCCATTCGTACCGTACCGTATTGTCGATAAAACTAAAATTTTTCTTCTTCCTCTATTAAACTTGGGGATGTCTTCGAGTCCACCCTTCTTCATTTAGCCTCTCTGCTTCTTTTTGTGACGAATTAATCCATCTCTTTCCCGAGGTGGAGACTTAGCTATGATCTGCGAGGGGTATTAAATGAGATCATCATTGGAGGCCGGGCTCGGTGCCATCGGCTCCTGTGTCTATGCTCCCCCTGTCCCCTCCAAAACCCTAGGGTTATACCCGATTGCGGCTTAGCGTAGTCATCCGAGTGCGCGACGTCACCCCACGTGATGAGCTTCTCTTTGCGACCGGCGAGCTATAACGGTGCCCGTTGCGGCGCAATGTCCATTGCACTAGTTCGGTGTCGCGGCTGTCAGCGAGCCACAGAACATACCAGGAAGAAGGATTTGACTATGGAGAAAGCGCCAAGCGGGTTGGGGAATATGTGGTCTGCAGTGTGCAGCGGAGCGGGCCAATCAGTTGGGGGGGCGCTGGGCCCTTACAGATTAGGCAGCACGCCTTGTCACATGGGCTGGTCGGTCTGGACCTGGCATGCGATTTATACTTACAGAGTACGGAGTACATAGTATTACATAGTATTTATGTACTTACAGAATACCGTCATCCTCCATTCATAGAGGTCTAGGCTGGGGTATACAGCATTAACCCACGGCACTTGTTCAATTTTGAAATTATAGTAGAAGACATCGTGAGTTCGAACTCAACTATCATGAGACATGGCATACTCGAAGTGCCAAAAGCTTAGGTAGTCCCAACATTCCAATCAACCCCTAAACAAAGACCATGCTGTAGAATGCAATTTCTGCCTGTTCATACTCTTAGGTCCATTCTTGGTAGCACATTGGATGGATGAAGATCTTCTAGACGGTAAATTAAGCCCAATGGACACATGTGCTTGGCGTTGCCGACAGTATAGACAAATCATGGGCCTCCGCGGTGAAGAAATCTTCCAAGTTAGTAGATTGTGATGTTTAGCGGGGATTCGATATCGTTTATTCTCAACCAAAATGTACGCTAGTCGTCAAGTGTATACCAAATGCAGCCCGGAGCCAAAGATATATATCGGGAACTCGGTGGAATGAGTTATGGCTATTCACAACATAACACATGCGGTATGCTGGATACAAATAGGAGCATCAAAGTGTTTCTAATAACAGAACTAGAAAATCCTTTGTTTCTCAGAATGCCCTGAAATGATTGCAATATGAACATCCATCTCTCCCCAGTACCAGTTCAGGTCAAAGCACGCTGATTAGATAAGGCCAATAAACCACACTATCCCATATTAGGACTAGCGCCAATAATGAGAGTCTACAGAACATTTTTTTCCTTTCCGCAACTGCAAGATCACCAGAGTCCCAGATTACCCCCAGCCAACGCTCTCCCGGCGTTCCAGCAAATTTATTGTGGGAATCTTTTTGATTTCCTGGGGACTTGGTGCTTTTCGACTCTACTCACGAATTAACCGCGAGAGGAGAAATTAGAATTCGCGAAGGGAAAGGAAAGGAAAGGGAAAAAAAAGCTTCCGCTTCAAGGGAAAAAAATGGGCAAGAAGACATCTCGCCCGTCAGCCAAAGTCGGCACGGCCGCATCGCCGGCCGGAGGCCTCGCCTCATCCAGCAACAAATCGTCCATCCTGCGAGCCGCTTTCTCGCCGTCGGAGTACCAATTGGCCCTGTTCGCGTCGGTCATCCAGGGCCTAGATGCGCAGCATCTCCGAATCCACGACGTCAACACCGGCCGGCTACAATGCGAGCATGCGCTGGGACCGAAGGAGACAGTTACCTCGCTGGACTGGGGATACTATGGAGGCCAGGGCAAGAGCCGCGACCAGTCGAAGAAGAAGCGCAAGCGCGGGTCTGATGTTAACGGCGCGGTGGACGGGTTGGACCAGGGCGATGTCGTGGTTGCGATTGGTACCAGCACCTCGGAAATCCGGATGTTCTCGCCGTCGGAGGATAAGGTTGTCGGCACCCTCAGTGGTGCGCATGATAAGGGCATTAAGGACTTCAAATTTACCGCGGAGAGACCCGGCCAGGAGGGCTGGAGTATCGCTGGTGACAACAAGCTTGTTCAGTGGGATTTGCGCACCGGACAGAGCATAAGGTATAGCGGCCACCTCCAGCGTCTTCAACTTTGATAATGATCGCTTTTCTAACGGTATCTTGAACAGGACGATTCATCTGCCCGCCTCCTCGACCTTCACTGCCATTTCTCGCCCCGTCCCCTCCAGCACGCCTGTCATTTGTGCATCTCAAACACCCTTTTTAATAGACGTGGACAACTCCGAAGAGCCGCCCGTCAAGTTCCCCGCGATGCGCAATCTGATCCACTCGGTCCTCTCTTCTTCCGGCACATTCCTCGCCTCTGATGGTGAGCGATTCATCAACGTTTTCGATGTTTCCAGCCAGAAGCTCGTGCGAAATCTCGTGGCCGCCCAGGATGTGTCTTCTGTGTCGCTCCTTGACAACGCGACCCTCGAGAAGCAAGTCCTTGCAGCTGTCACCGATGATGGCACGATCGAGTTCTTCACGAAACCATTCGCCCAGGTCCAGACCCCCGCCGCCGGCAATGCCAAGGCCAACCGGAAGCAAATGACCCAGAAAGCGGATGCTTCTCTGAAGGTTCTGCGCAGCGGTGACTCAGATGTTTGTGTGCCCGTGGTATCGATTTCATTTGTTGGACCTGAGATTGTGGTCGCGTATGCCGAGGGCGGCGTGATTCCCGTTTTCCAGCGTGTCAAACTGCTCGATGAGACCACGGAGGAGATCTTGTTCACGGGGGTCAAGGCAGTCGTAAAAACCAAGTCGAGCTCGGCTGTCGCATCTGCGACCACAAATGGTGCCAAAAATGTCGGCGAGGGCCGGGTTGACGAGACACATGTTGTCGTGGAGGCTGGTAACATTGTCGATAATGATGTCGAGATGAATGATGATGCTGGCTCCGTGTCTGGTAGCGATGTGGACTCCGATGTTGAGGATTCTGCCAAGCCCACTACCGAGAAGAAGACTAAGTCTACTAAGCAGACTACTCCTGCTGACGAGGATGTCGAGATGGAGAACGCCGAGTCCGAGGACGAAGACGAGGAAGAGGAGGAGGGCGCTGAGCCATCCTTCGGCGAGATCATGCGCGCCAACGCCGGCCAAGAAGTCGATGTCGAGGCCGAGCTTGACGACGACAACCTCATGGGTGCACTTGTTCCCGGCAAGCCCACGGCGGCCATACAACAAATCCCCACTGGCGTGTCCCTTGCCACCGTGCTCTCCCAGTCCCTGAAGACCAACGACAAGGACATGCTTGAGTCCTGTTTCCACACCGCCGACACATCCATCATCCGCACTACCATCCAGCGCCTCGAGTCCTCGCTGGCTGCTACCCTGCTCCAGAAGCTCGCTGAGCGTCTCTCCTCTCGCCCCGGTCGGTACGGCCACCTCCTCGTCTGGGTGCAGTGGACTTGCGTCGCCCACGGCGGCGCGTTAGCCGGCCACCCGGAGCTGCTGAATCGCATGGCCACTCTGTACAAGGTGATGGACCAGCGCTCGTCGAGCTTGCCGTCGCTGCTCATGCTCAAGGGCAAACTGGACATGCTGGACGCGCAGCTGGGTCTGCGGCAGTCGATCCATGGCGGCGACGAGATGGACAGCGAGGACGAGGACAATGTCATCTACGTCGAGGGTCAGGATGAGGAAGAAGACGACGAGGCCAAGCCGCGAACAAAGTCGATCCGCGACTCGGCGTTCGAGGACGAGGACGAGTCCATGATGAACGGCATTGTGGACGAGTCTGACGACGACGAGGATGAGGATGAGGAGGACGATGAGGATGACTATGAGGGCGTGCTCGACATCGAAGCCGAGGAGTCAGCCGGCTCGTCCGATGCGGAGGAGTCTCTTGAGGAGAACGAGGATGATGAGGACGAGGATAGCGAAGGGTCGCTAGTGGACTTCGTCGCTGACACCGAGGACGACGAGTCGGACGATGCGATGGTCGAAGCTCCGCCGCCGTCGAAGAAGGCCAAGACAGTCGCGGGTAAGAAGAAGGGTGGAAAGAAATGAGCTGGATCGCTTTCCTTCGAACTGAATCGAGTTGATACACAAAGAGCCTGGAAGGGCGTGTGCTTTGTATGAATTGGGAAGGGATGTGCCTTTGGGCTTTTTTCTAAAAAGAATTATATACTCGGATGCATCAATGCCTGCATTTTTCTTTGTGATCTATTACTTTTTTTTCTTCTCATTTCCTTTTTGACCTTCGTGGATCTTTCGTGTCCATAGCGTCGGCTATCTAACAATAGCTTATTTCTTTTCTGCTTCTATGTTCCTTCGACAGGCGCGAAAGGTCTTGTCGAAAGCTGTAGTGAAACATGTAGAAGACGAGTCAAGCTAAAGGTTTCACAACAAAAGAAACTACCAATGACGAACTCCTCATAACGATCCATCCCTACTTCTACAGCTCACCAGCACTTTCAGTAAGCATCTCACTCCCCCGACAAGCACCACTATGTAACACCACATGCCCTGGCACACCCGCATCGCCCAATGGAAGCTGCAAAGAAACCGTCTGCTCCTGCGAGGGGTACTTCGTGACATGGCCCACCGTACTCACGTCCGCAGTATCCAGCGCCAGAATAGTTCCATGCTTGCCACCAAGAATCCAGGCTTCAGCCGTGGAATTGGGTATGGTGATGTGCGCCAGGCCTGAGAGGAAGACGACCCATCTAGAAAACAAAGGATTAGCCCAGAATGAAGCGGGGTCGGACTTGACAGAGCAGGCGGGGTAAGCAGTGGGAATCTAGTTATTGACTTGCTTTGCGAACCGAACGAATGAAAGAACAAATCTGAAGACGATTGCAAGAACTGGACTAGACTAGGAAACTAGGAATGAATCGTGGATGACATACTGCTGTGCAGGCGCATTATGTCTGCCCCCGTCAAAGCCGGCTGGGATAACCGAGTACGTCGCGTTCGCCGCATGAGCACCCCCGATAGGCCCCAGGTTCAACGCTTCAGTGCCAGACGTGCCGGCCTGGTTGGACGTCTGGAAACCCGGCTCGAGAGCCCAGCATTCGAGAGTGGAGCGGTTGTCTTTGGCGCCGAGGACTGTGACGTTGAGCGTGTTTGCGGCGGCGAGAGTGAGGGGAAGAGTGAGGGGGATGAGGGGTGTTAGACGCATTATGGAAGAGAGGATAAAAGGGTGTTTGGGTATGATGAGTTTGTTCAATCGATTGAAGCCAAAAAGAATACCTTAATAATCATGAACGCCGTATGAAACAGAAAGAAAGATCGAGGGGATCATCGGTGCCAAGGGCTGAGAAGCGGGTGGGGAGGGATCAACATTCTATATACGCTAAACGATAGTTTGCAGCTTGCGTCCCCATCCGAATGCATAATAATACACCTGACCACCAATATAACACGTCGTGACGTGGGACGAGACTGCAAAACCGAGGGCCGAAGACTTCCTACAGAGTAAGAATGATAACCACTACAAGCGGAACAACGCGAACAGACTTAGGGGCAGACGACAGTGTGCTTTGTCTAGCGAATGACTTCCCCGCCGGACTTCTCGATTCCCTCCATGCCCTCCAGAATATCGCTGCCACCGAGCAGCCCGCACGCCGCAGACCCAATAGTCGTGCGTCGGCCTGCCCAGACTTCATGGAACTTGACGGTCTGGTCGCTCGATGCGACGATGATGCATCCTTCTTCCATAGTGCGCGAGCACCACATGCCGCCCTCTTTCTCTTTGGGCCGAACAGCACGGCGGCTTCTCTTGCGCCGGCGGGGTGCATCGTTTCTGTGCTCTGGCGACTGTGAGCGCGTGGTCGAAGGAGTAGGCATTCGGGAGGGAGTCGGAGTGAGTATGTCGGAACTATCTGGCATGGTCCTCGGCGGTCGGGGAGCTCGTCCCGGATAACTCACAGCCCACAGCGCGCGTCCACTGTCGTAACCGGGCTCAGGATCAGGTCCGTCCCAGCTGGTTCCATACGGCCCCCAGGGGATGACGGTGACCTGGGAACAGCTGGGCCAGGCAAAGACGGCGATTCGGAACGGGTGGTCGGGCTGGGCGTACCCAAAGGTTGCGGCAATTTCGCGCCGGGTCTGGCTCCAGATCAGACTAGTCACTTGCGCAAACACATTGATGGTCGCGAGGCAGACACCCGTTCGGGTGTGGAAGAAGTGAATTGCGCGGTCGTTAGTCCCTCCTCCTGTCGCGAGCAGCGATGGTTGCCACGGGGCAAATGCGATCGCTTTGACAGCGGCGGCATGCGGTAAGCGGTGCTTCTGGCGGTTCGAAGGGATGATAACAGTTTTACCACTGCCCGAGATGAGAGTCCCCGTGTGGCTGAGAAGGGGGGCTGCGATAGGAGGCCTGATGGGTGGCGGTTGGACCCATGATGGGAGAAGATGGCTAACGAGATGGTGCCTGCTGAGATATTGCCGTGGTGTAGTACTCAGATTGAGGCGCGGTAGAGCGCGGACGCTCATACTACCCGACGAAGCATCGGTTGACAAAAGAGAGACGGGCCTGGGGCTGAACGACACAGGGATGATTTCACGTAGGTCAAACAGCAGACAGGCATTATCGTTACCACCAGTTGCAAGGAACCGCTCATCGGGAGACCATGCCAGCCCGCAGATTTGCTGCGAGTGCGCGGAGATTTTGGCAAGCAATGTCATAGAGCCTGTCCAACTACACTTGCTGTGCATCTCCGGCCACTCGACCGAGTAGTACCAGAGGTTGCCCACGTCATCTCCAACAGCAAGGTCTTCTGCATCGACTATCAAATTTGTATATCTCTCCGAGGGCCGGCGCGAAGTCTTGGGTTTGAATGACACACAAGAGATGCTGTTGGCATGGCTGAGCTCAAAGCGTACCTTAGCCTCGAAGAAACCCCAGAGAGTTAATTGACCGGTCTGACGGCCGACGGCGAGTATGCTCCGTCCTCCGTCCTCCGACGAAAACGAAAGGGACGTCACGTAGTTTGATGGATGAATCTCTCCAAAGGGCGGATGATCTACGGGGAAGCCTTCGGACCACAGATAGACATATTCGGCAAGACCCACAGCGAGAACGCCTGCTGTGTACGAGTATGCCAGAGTCGAGCAATAAAAGTCGTCCCGTAGAAAGGGTGCGTCCAAAATTCGAAATGGCTTGGGCGGAACCACCTCTCGTCTGGCAAGCATTGTTGGCCCTAGAATTAACACGGATGGTCAGCAAATGCCGTCGAGAAGACTGCAATGCCGTCTGTCCTCTCACCCTATAAAGTAAGTTCCGTAGATATCATATAGATGTTTGCCTCTGCCCAGAAATAGATTATGGATAGCCATCTGGCCATGGAAGACAACGTGGATGGAAGGCTCTAATGAGTAAGGAGTAATTGGTATAGCTCACAGTGTCCTCTTTCAACCCTTTTCCAAGCACAGTCCTTCCACACAAACGGCGAGTACCTCTCATAGTCTATAGATGATGGACTCGGGGTCTTCTCCTCGCACGCTGTACTGGTACCAAGGAGTCTAGCTGTCGGGTCAATGTCCAGTGCAAGTGCAAGCCTCAACTCATGCTTGCTCTGGTTGTCAATACGGGAGTTTTGAGGTAGAAATCTTGCCACAAAGGAAGGAGAAGTCGAGCCTCGGCCGGAAACACTCCGCGTGCTGTTTGAAACCGCCGAAGACTCTCCGAGAACTGCAGAAGTTCCACCAACGCCCCAGACAGCTCCAGCACTGACCTGTCTTAAGGAGTTATTGCGGGCAGGACCACCGGAGGCAGTTGCGTCAGTGACAAGATGTGGTCTCTGGCGAGGTCTTTGGCGAAGCCGAATTGCTGTAGGCCTCTGTCCGGGGAAGGTTGGAGGCTGGCGAGGAGCAGGAAGAAACGGATCATCTCCAGGAAAACGCCGCCGTAGAATTCTCTCCCGAGAAGACAGCTGATGTGGGTGCTTGTTGACACGATATGGAGTTGATGGATGATCCCCAAACACCCGCTTTGGGATGAATCTGTCTGGCGAGATCGGACTGTGAAATGCCCCTCGATTTAAATTTCCTTCCGAATAACCTCTCAGTCTGCTACGGCCACGCTGGGCGGCGCCAAGGGAAGGAGAGGCTGCCGTGTTGTTTTCTTTCGAATGTGTGATAGTGTTTACAGGATTGGCTGTGAGTTTGAGGAGCAGTGATGTCTGAGAGCTGGCAGGTGAGTCGAGAAATGGTAAGTGAATAGTTGCAAATTCAGTCAGTTGGACAGAGCTCCCATTCTGGGAGGACTCAGATCGGGCCAACGAGGTTAGTGTGTAGTGGTTGCTGGCTGAAGCAATATCCTCGAAAGAGTGACATCGCGAGTCCACCATAGTTCAGGATGAATGCGATAAGTTTGCGGGTGAGTCAGTCAAGTAACAATTAGTAAGAAAAGGAGTGTACAGAAGCCCGCTGGGTCAAGGCAGCATAATCGTCGAGTAAAGCTTCAGGGTGTGTTAGTGGATTTGAAGTACATCCGTGGAGAAGCTGCCGTGGGCGATGATTACGTGATGCCGATGGTGGGCTGCCAAGCGGTGGCTGCTTCCTCCAACGCATCCCCCAGTTGTTAGCGAACATTCAATCACAATGGCAAGCGTGAGTTGAGACCTCTCCAATTTGGTGGAAGCATGCATTAACGATGACCCAGCATGGCGTTCGGCGCTTCAAACCGGTGGAGAAAACACCGGAAGAGCGACAGCAAGAGCTGCAGAAGATTTATGAATACAGATCCTTAGAACGCCTGGTGTCAGAGGAGGTAGGGAAGATGTTCCTTTCCAGAGTGAATATGCAAATGAAGATGATAGTAAACTTGATTTAGATGGCCGAACAAGAATATACGGCTGAGACGCTGAAGAACATTTCCGACTTGCTTAGCCGCAACCCAGAGTACTACACCGTCTGGAACTACCGACGACAAGCCCTTCGACACCAATTTTCTGATGCTGAAGGCTCTTCTGAGGAAGTCTCAACCAACCAGATCGCCGAGCTGATCAAGGATGACTTGGTCTTTCTGATACCTCTCTTGCGCAGCTTCCCTAAATGCTACTGGATCTGGAATTATCGTGTATGGCTATTGAACGAAGCCCGCCATCTGCTCCCATTGGCCGTGTCTCGCCAGTTCTGGCAAGAGGAGTTGAAACTGGTGGGCAAGATGTTGACGCTGGATAGTCGCAACTTCCATGGCTGGGGATACCGACGCCTGGTGGTGGAGACCTTGAAGCAACTGGGAACTCCCGCCGAGGCCGCCAGCATGACCCAGAAGGAATTTGAGTACGCGAAAAACATGATCGGTGCCAACCTATCCAACTTTTCCGCGTGGCACTACCGCACGAAGCTTATACTGGAGCTGCTTGAGGAGCAGTCCGCCAGTGACGACGAGCGGAGGGGGATGTTGGACGACGGTCAGTTTGCCGCTTCGCAGGATTTGCACTGTTGCTCTCATGGGCTGACTGACTTCCTTTTTTTACGGCAGAACTGGCGCTCATCCACCGAGCCTTGATTGACCCCTATGACCAGTCGCTGTGGTTTTATCACCAGAATCTAATGTGCGTCTTTGATCCGGCCGCCGCCGGCCGGACAATGGCTCCGAGCCTGAGCGCGTCAGAGCGACTTCAGTACCTCCGGAACGAGATCGAAGCCATCCAGGAGATGTTGGACGGGGCGGAGGACTGCAAGTACATCTATCAGGCGCTCATTGAGTGCACCCTACTGGTCTCGAAGGTAGCTGGCCAGTTGTCCACGGAGGATCGGAACCAGATTCTGAGCTGGCTCTCAGAGTTACAGCAATTGGATCCGCTGCGGAAACAACGGTGGCTGGATTTTGAGAGAACCCTACCTAATGTATAAGTTGCTAGTTGATCATATAATTCCCATTTTGGCCCAGTTGGCTGGTATCTCCGAATTTTGCTGTACACTTTCTGTGGCGCATCCTCGGCCCCTTTTTCGTTGGGGCCAAGCTCTTCCCGCACCTTTCCATTCATGCAGTAGATCGTAGTATAGAGAGTACAATGACCAATACCACAATTGCATGGTGCTTTTCCGTCTAGCTTGTAGCCGAACGTGCCCAGATTCAAGCCGTGTCTTATACAAGAATCCTGCATTCTGCATGCTGTAAATTCCAAAGTTCCGATCGACAGGTCGCCCCTCAGGAGTGCCCCACTGGCCGGCTAATCCAATCACGGGCGGAAGTGCCTGGTCCTCGATTCGATCACCAAACTGACATCCCCAAATTCCTTCCACGCTGGCTCATTCCATTCCTCCCCATCCCCTTTCCTCTCGTCCATGACCTCTTGGGATTTGCGAGCTCCTCTCCTATGGAGTGAGTGTTACACTCTCTGATTGCGTGAGATCCTCGTGAGACCGAGATGTCGAACCGAACCAGCAGTGACTACGTAGGGGTGAGTGCTGTCGTGTGTTTGCGTGTTTCATCTTCTGCCCACCACAATGCTAACCCCCTGCTCTTTTTAGGAGTCCTTCGATGATGCCCCCGAAGTCCCCGACCATTTGAATGTCTCCATACCCAAATCCACCTCGACCCGGTCATTGACCGACAGCCCGCCCGTGGGCACAGGAGCTTCCCCCGACACCACCGATAAGCCGTCGTTCCCTTCTGAATCGCAGGACGAGCAGGAGGACGAGGCTACCGATGGAGATGAATCGAAGGGAAAGAAGAAATATAAAAAGAAGGGCAAGCAGAAGGGGAAGCAGAATGCGGATGAGGCCGAGGGCCGGGTCGATGCCGTTGACACGCCTGTAGAGGACATAAAGCTTGAGGACGCAGTCGAGACGAGAGAGGACGACAAGCAGGATCAGCGGGCAACACCGGTGGAAAGTGAAGAGACAGGCGAAGATGAGGAGACCCTAGGGCGAAACATGGCGCAGAAATCCCCCTTGCTCACCTCGCATCGTCTCTCTACTGCATCTTCGCTGGACGAGGTGAACCTGATGAACAGCAAGGAGGATGAGCCACTGGGCCATCGGGATGGAACCACTGAGGTCAAGTCAGAGTCGCCTCCGGTGCCTCCTAAAGACGATGTGGCATCTCCACCGAGCTCTGGCCTGAAAGGCTTGTCTGGAAACCTGCCCTCCGTGCCATGGGGCCCTCCCCCAGTCAACAAGGCCCCGGTTCCTGCAGCACCGCCACCGCCAACCCGCAGACCCAGCGGTCCCTTCGCATGGTTCTCCCGCAGCTCGACCGGCACTAAGGACATCAAGTCCCCGCCTCAAACTGGCCGAAGGAACACCTCCACATCCGTATCGACCATTGCCAGCAACTTGGATCTGGTGGAAGGAGACGCCTCGAGCGTGCACTCCAAACGGCTAAGACGCAATAGCTTGAAGGACCAATTTAAGATTCTACGAATGAGGGAGGAGTCCGCCCTCCCTGAGGACGACGAAGGCAGTGTACGGTCAGGTCATGCGAGCATCGGTCACCCTGGTGCTAGTCCTCCAATCATCCCCGAAGAAAGCGAAGATGGGATCTTGGCCGCTCCGGCGGCCCCCGCGTCTCGAGCAACCTCCCCTGGTGGTGCCAGCCCATCCACGATCAACCCCGGGCTCGCTCCCGGCACCGTGTCTGGATACTCCCGGTCTGCAAGTGACGCATCTGTGCCCGTGGACTGGGATCTTTGGCAACAGCTAGTAAACAACGGCCCACAAGCGCTGGCCAGCTCGGAGGAATTGAATTCCGCCATCAAGCGAGGCATTCCACAGACTATTCGTGGGGTGATCTGGCAGATTCTGGCAGACTGTCGGATTGGAGAATTGGAGGATACATACCGTGAACTTGTTGTCCGTGGCACCGACAAGGACCAGCGGACACCGAGCGTCCAGATCAACGGGATGGCCGAAAAAGAGTCTCTCCCGTCATCGCGCTCATCAATTCGCTCCAATACCTCGGGCTCCGGGACCCAGTCGACTAGCGTTGCTCCCAGCCCCTCTCAGGAGACGGACCCGGAGAAGCCGGCCAGAGAGCAGGCTGCTAGTGAGAGTGCCCGCCTGAAGAAAGCTAAGGATGACACTTCTGCCTTGCAGAAGCTGGAGAAGACAATCCGGCGAGACTTGGGTGCGCGGACGAGCTATTCGAAATACTTTATCTCACAAGGCAGCCAGGAAAGCCTGTTTGGGTTGTGCAAGGCCTACGCTTTGTACGATGAGGCCGTGGGATATGCGCAAGGCATGAACTTTATTGTGATGCCTCTGTTGTTCAACGTTAGTGTATCTCACGATTAGGTGATTCTATGGTTTGCATGGGCTGATTCATTATACAGATGGACGAGGTCGATGCCTTCGAGCTCCTCGTGAAGCTGATGAACAAATATCGACTCCGGGAAATGTTTATTCAGGACATGCCGGGCCTCCACCGCAGCCTCTACCAGTTCGAGCGCCTGCTAGAAGATTTGGAGCCCGCTCTCTACTGCCACCTCCGGCGACGGGGGTTCCTCCACAGTTATACGCTACTCAGTGGTTCTTGACGCTGTTTGCGTACCGCTTCCCGCTCCAGCTGGTCCTCCGAATTTACGATATGATTTTCGAAGAAGGCCTGGAAAGCACGATTCTCAAGTTCGCCATTGCCATCATGCGCCGGAACGCTGGGGCGCTTTTGGAAATGAAGGACATGAGTTCGTTGACAAGCTTCCTGAAGGAGCGCCTGTTCGATGCATATATCGACAAGCAGCCCTCTGCCTCGTCGATTCTGGAGTCTGGCTTCTTCGGGAGCTCGGGCGCTGCCGACAAGGAAATCTACCGTGCAGACATCCTGGTCCAGGACGCTTGTGCGGTGCCCCTTACCCAGGACATGATTCTTTCCTACACGACCGAGTGGGAAGAAAAGGTGCGCACCGAGAAAGAGCGTGAGGCGGAGCTGGAGAACCTGCGTCACACTGCGAGCACACAGGCTTCTCGATTACGACTGCTCGAGGAGCGCTCCGAGGCGTCCGACAAGGAACATGTGCAGTTGGCGTCGGAACTGGTCCATGTCAAGGTGGAGAACGAGGAACTACGTGACCTGAACGATGCGCTCAAGTTTCAGGTTGACGAGCTGAAGATAGTGGTTGATAAGCAGCCTGGTGAAGTGGAGCAAAAGCTCCGGACTGAGATGGACCGCATCATGAAGCGGAACATCGAGGTGCAGAATGAGAACCGTGCGATGGAGGACTCGATGGCTGAGATGGAAAAGGAGCTGGTGGCTACGAAGATGAAGTGGGCCGAGGTATGTGTTGATCCGCCTTTGCTTCTTTCAGCCCTCTTGGTGCTTGACAACTGACACATCCTCAGTTGTCCGAAAACCACGAGACCCTCCGACAGAAATGGAGCGACCTCCGCCGAGCGCTCGACTAACCTTTTGACACCCCTCTCATCCGGTCGGACCTCGTTTGGACCGGCCTTCCCTTGTATATTTCATATGCACCACATGGCGCGCCGGATCTGCGATCCGCCCCTCCATGCTGCGCAAGACCCACGCTTATGGGCCGGATATTTGTTCTCCTCTGTTCTTGCCGCCTACGATTTTGCGCGCTGTCCCGTGGCCCTGCCATGATTCCTGTGGCCGACTCCTGTATCCACACTCTGTTACCTGTTACGAATAAAACTTATACGGTGTTTGCTCCCGTCGGGTTGTTTCTCAGCTAACCCCAGCATGCCACTTCCCATGGCATTGGTGCTCTTGTCCTTGTGCGCGCTCCTCATTGCTATTTCTTTTTCTTTTTCATTCGTCGTTCGCGTTTCTACTCTGTATCGCCTCTTCCCATGCAGGTCGCTGGACCGAACCCGCGGCAGGAGAGGGCATGCTCGATGTATGCAGTGTATGTCCCCACGAATGTGATGACTTCTAGAGTTTGTGAATTCGCTATGCCAGGCCCCACGTACGACATGTCGGTCCCGCCCAGCCTAGCTCTATCCGTCCATCGTAGCACCCAGCCCGAACCACCTTCAACCATCCTCTCCCCCTGTCCATGTTCACAGAATGTTCTCGTAGTACGTGGTGAGGACATCCTCCTTGATCGGTCCGGCAACAGCCTTCAGCGCCTTGTGCGCCTCGCACTCGGTGTCGTAGTACTTCATATCCTCGAGCGAGGCGAAGGTCGTCTTGACAGAGACATTGAAACCCTGGTTGCGCGGGTCGTCGAAGGAGGCGCCCACCGCAGCGGCGACAATGTACGGCTTGCCGTCCTGGACCAACAGCGCGTCAGTGAATCGACGCGATGGCACGGGACAATCGCACAGAACTCACCTTGGTGGCGGTCTTCGCCAGCACCTTGTACTGCGCCAGCAAGCGCTGCCGATCCTCCTCCTTGGGGATCTTGAAGAGGGTAATGCGCTCGATGGGTGCCATGGTGTGATGGAGGAGTCTGGACGGGGCCACGCGCAAGAGAAGAGGAATGGGGTGCTTCCAACCGCGGGCCATCGGGGACCGGCCTTTTATTTCCGTACCTTGCGCTTGCGGGGTTGATGCGGATCCGCGAGGCCCGGGCTGGCTGCGGGCCCGGATAATCAATCAGGCCATCGTCCGACGTTGATGCTCCAATGGGCTTTCTGGAGGATTAGTGCGGGTTTTGCTTACTTTGCTTACTTTGCGTGCTTTGTTTAGTTGGTGGGTTGACTTCTGTCAAGTGTTCGGTCTGTCGGAGTGTTGCTCGTGGAATGTTTGCGAGACGTGAGTGCGGAATCGGATTGGCAGCGCGCGAGCCAATTCCGCGCGTGGGGCCGCGCGGATAAGCGGAATGTGGCTGCGTTAGGGCACGGAGCACTTGATTTGTAACCAGATGCAATGGATGATCGAGGTCTGCGCTGCCATGCATATGCTCTGCTTATTTTGACGACCATCTTTCCCCAGTGATAGATACCGCGTGTCTCATCCAGGACCTCTTACGGTACAGAGTACCTTGTGGCATCAAGAGCTATATCGCGGAAAGCTTAAGTCTCCCGAACATAGACACGGTCCTACTGCATAATTGCGAACACATACCTTGAAATATTCTCCCCGGAGAGATTCATTCGCAAAGCGCTCGTCGGAGGCGCACGCAAAACTCCGCGACCCCAATGCCCTTTGCACAAAACTATCAACTCGGACAGGCAGCTTACGATGCCACCGCAATTGACTACGGAGTGATTGCAGCCCCCACGAGAGGCCGATATCCTCGCCGGGAAACCCCCGGCTCCTGGCCGAAGGATCTGCAGAATGCCGCGCATCCCCATGCTCTTCCAGTTCCTCCCAGCATGCGGAGTATACTGAGATACCCCACCAGGTGGCCGCAAAAATTCGGAGCGGACCCTAAAAAGAGCTTAACTTGATCGCCATGCCAGGCACTAAAACTCTCGGCTCCCTGCCGTTTGCCCTGCCGTTTGCCCTGCCGTTTGCCCTGCCGTTGCCCTGTGAGTCGATTGGAGATGACGATCGCCGTCCTCTTTGCCCCGTTTAGGCCGTGAATCCTGGCGCGTTGCCGTATTCTGGTCGTATACCGAACCATCGTATTGCGAGCGTATGCAGATGCCGAGGGGCCCCTTTCTACAACATACATACTCGAGGATGTTCGGCCCACGTGAATATACGACTGGAAATGTTGACTATTTGAAGACTGGGCGCGCCCCGGCAGTGATTCCCAAGGCCAACCGGGCGTCTCACATATTCCATGTTATCGTTTTGCTTTTCCCTGCTGGCAGCCACGCTTGTGCCTGTGGCGGCGGCAGTTGCTGCAGGTCCCGCCGCGTGCTCCAATATCACGACTCAGCTCGGCTCCTCCAAAGTCGTGGCCAGCCCGCTCAATCTGAAATATATCGATAGCATCGAGTATTGGAACACCCTCCAGGATGCCTACCAGCCCTCGTGCGTGGTCTATCCCGCGTCGGCCCAGGATGTGTCCGTGGCGCTGCAGGCCATCCGCGCTGCAGACAGCCGCTTTGCCATCAAGGCCGGCGGACACAACCCCAACACCTTCTATTCCTCCGTCGACGCCGGCGTGCTGCTCGACCTGAGCAGCATGACAGCCAAGTCCTACGACGCGGACACCACCCTGGCCACGTACGAGCCCGGCGGTGTTTTCGGCGACGTGTATGAATACTTTGTGCAATATAACCGGACCGTCGTGGGCGCGCGCCTGGCGGGCGTGGGCACCGGGCTGGCGCTGGGCGGGGGCATGAGCTATCTGTCGCCCCAGTACGGCATGGCCTGTGACTCCTTCCGCGAGCTGGAGATCGTCCTCCCCGACGGCCAGATCGTGACCGCGTCCAAAGACTCCAACCCGGATCTCTTCTTCGCCTCGCGGGGCGGCGGCGGGAACGCATACGGCGTGGTGACCAAGTATACCGTGCAAAGCCGGCCAGCCGGCGAATTCTATGCCGGCAACATCATCTACACCTTCCCGCAGAAGGACTCGGTCATCGAGGCCATCGGCAACTTCATCCAATACAACACCGACCCCAAGGCCGCCATCATCGGCACATACGAGAAGCTGCCGACCCCAGACCTGAACCTCAACCTGGACGAGGCCATCATCATGTTCCTCGTCTACGACGGACCCGATCCCGGCACCGCCTTTGACAACTTCACCAGCATCCCCTATCTCCTCAACACCTGCAGCATCAAGACCTACCCCGAGGTCGTCGACATGCCCATCCCCATGGCCACCGAGCTCTCGCGCGGCGCCAACATGTTCCGCGTCGGCGTGCACCGCCCCGGAAACAACTCCTATGAGACCGCCCTCAACAAGTGGCGCGCCTGGGCCGAGGACAACAAAGGCAAATACCTCCTGCTCTCGCTGGACTTCCAGCCCGTCCCCAAAAGTCTGACGGACGCCAGCAAGGCGCAGGGCGGGAACGCCATGCAGATGCCGGACGGGCCGTGGTTCTGGCTGAACTATCTGATTACCACGCCGGTGGGCATGAGCGAGCCGGACTACAACGCCGTGCAGCAGAGTTATCGCGATATGGTGGCGGACACGGGGAATGCGGAGGGCTTGCCGTTGTTTATTAATGATGCGAACTATGACCAGAATCCGCTGCAGACATTTTCGACATTTGCAAAGTTGCAGGAGATCAAGAAAAAGTATGATCCGGATAACTTTTTTGCGGATAAGACGGGGGGTTGGTCGTTTGCTTAGGGTTTATGGGTTTATGGTTTATGGTTTATGGTAGTTGATCCGTTCCCGTTTTCCCCGATCCCCGATCTATTCTATATTCTAGGCACATGCACATTTGGCATGTTCATGTGCATCTTGGGAAGTATATATTAAAAATATATCAAAATAAAATCACCCATCGCAAATCACAAGTTCCCCCTCAGCGCCTGCTCCCTCTCAAAGGCCTCAAAAAGACTCTTGAAATTCCCGGCCCCGAACCCATCGAACCCATGCCGCTGGATCACCTCCACAAACACCGTCGGCCGGTCCCCGACATGCTTCGCAAAGATCTGCAGCAGGTACCCGCGCTCGTCGAAGTCGACCAGAATGTTCAGTTTCTCCAGGACGGCCACGTCGGCGTCCAGTGTCCAGGACACGTGGGATAGACGCTGGCGCAGGTCTGTATAGTACGCGCTTGGTACTTGGAGGAATTGGACACCGCGGGCTTGGAGGTGAGTTACAGCGGAGACGATATCATGCGAGCGGAAGGCGATGTGCTGGACGCCAGCACCGTGGTAGTAGTCGACGTATCTGTATGTGGTCAGCTTCCTCGACCTTCCTCGACGTCCAAGTTGGCGGCCGCGACGAGAAAGAAGGGGAAGGGGGAGGAGGGAAATGCAAGGCGGCGTACTCCTCAATTTGAGACTTCTTTTTGCCGTTTGCGGGCTCGTTCATGGGCATTTTGATGGTCTCGTTGGGTGACGCGACCACGATGGACCGCATGGCGGAGTACTCGCTGCACATGGCCTTGTCATCGACAGTCCAGTAGCGGTGGAAATCCAGACATTCTTCATAGCTATTCGCAGCTCGTTAGTCCTTGCAATTCTTCCACATCAACAAAGCAAGAGCACATCCACCCACGTACAACTGCACGACCTGATCCACGCCGCCCCAGGACTGATTCCCAACGCAATGGTCAATCTCCAGAAACTCAACCGGCGGCAGGATCTGGTTGATCGGATCGTCGTCGCCGTCAACAACCCGATACCCAGGCAGAAACGGCGCATCCCTTGCGTAATGCTCCCGATTCACCAGTGAATGCACGGTGTCCCCATATGTCCCGACAGTGGCAGTCATGATATACCCATCCCCACCACAATCCGCCTGCACGATCTTCGGCCCGTCCACAGCAGCAGCCCCATTCTTGATAGCCCGCCGCCACACAGCGTCCACGTCTCCCGTAATCCGGAACGCAACGTCCTTCACCCCGTCACCGTGCACCGTCAGATGCTCATGGACTGCCGCCAACGCCGCGCGCTCTTCGCATGTCGCCCTCTGCAAGGCCTTGTTCTCGGCGTCCGCGCGCGCGGGCCCGCAGACCGGCCCTGTGAGGATGAAGACTGCCTCGCCGTTGGCGATTACATAGCTGGCGAGGCAATGAGAACCCGTTTCCGGGCCGCGGTAGGCAAGCGGCTTGAAGCCCATACGGGTGATGTAGTAGGAGGCGGCTTGTTTGGCGTTGCCGACGTACCAGTGAATATGGTCGAAACTGATATATTCGGGGCCCAGGCTTGTTGGAAAGATGGTTTCATCTGGGGCACTGAGGATGGTCATGGCGGGTTTGTGCGGGCGGAGCTAGGAGGTCTCCGAGGGGGTAAGTAAATAAGTGGCGAGGAATTAGTCCCAACCACAAAAATAGTCACGAGTCGAGTCAATTGAGCTGGCAGACAGCGTGGGTAGGAGAGAGAGAGAGCTGGATGGGAGGAGGGACAGGAGCTTAGGTTTATACGTTCAAGGAGAGAGGGGTCTTGCATAAGGTTTCACATTCCTGCCCGCCGCATCACTCCCAGCGGTCTCTCTCTAGTCTTGCGATTAACACATGAGGCAATGCTGAAGTCATTGCGCGCGATCTGTTCATTTCATTTCCCAGAGCGGTCTTCGGTGCTGTGGGTTTGCCCCGGTGGGTGTCAGGTTGCGGCCCTGCCGTGTTTATTCCATTGTTGTCGCCGGTCTTTCGACTGAGACGGCATGCCGTAGCTCTCGCTCATCTGGACTTGGTCGAGGGCACAGCACGCGGGGCAGCAACGTAGCAGTATGTCGAAGCTCTGCGTCAGAGGCCAAGGCAGCGGTCAACGGATCTGTTCCCCGTGCTCAATGAGGGCGAATTGAGGGAGTATAGACCATAGGCCTTTAAGACAGTTCCACGTAAAGACCTCGCCCGCAAGAAAAAGCAAGTCTTGTAAGCCCTTCCCAATCAATAATCTTGTTTCCAGTCCCTTCGCGACTCGCTCAAACATTATTGACCGGCTCCGGCCGATTCTTGAAAAACACCTTATACCGCACAATCTCCACGATCTCCAACTCCTCCGTCCCGACAGCGCCAGCCCTCTTCTGCAGCACCGCAATCGGGCGCGGCAGTTTCTTCACTTCCCCCGTCATACGTTGGTATCGCCCAACGTAGAGATACGCGCGCTTCATCCACTTGGTGTCGTCCGGGTTGTGGACCGAGTAGTCCGGGAACATGAGCTTGCCAATGGGGGTTTCGTAGGATGCGGACTCAGCCGAGGCAGGATCTTCGGCGTGGCTGTTCTGCTCGCTTTCAAAGGCTGGCACGTTGATTGTGCCTTGTAGTTCGAGGAGGGCGAGCCCCGAGGGTGTTTGGAGGAGCTGTGGGAAAGGGTTGCGGACGGGGTAAGCGGGGGGCGCCTTCTGTGCTGTGGGGGGCGGGCGCTGAGGAGCGCGGGTGTAGTTGAATTGAGGGCATGGCGAGGGGGCTGAGACACTGATATTCTGGAGGGGAGAAACGAAAGTGGACGGAAGACGAGAGATGGAACATGGAAGATCAAAAGATCAAAAGATCAAGGAACGCGACACGAGTCGCGTCCCGTCGATCGACCCCACACTGATTGTGGGGGGAGGCCCGAAATGGACGCAGGTACGAACTACATCGTCACAACGTGGATACCTCACATAGGTCAATTCTAGCACGAGAGTAATACATCCCTTCGTAATGATACATGGTCTATAAAAATCACCTATGAAGAGAATTTGTGGAATCCATTATGCAATTTTGTAGGCAAGATTCTCGAGGACACAGAGTCGTTAGTCCTTCGTGCCCCAGATGGCTAGCCCCCTCTGCCTCGTGTGACGCTTGTCTTAGGAGAGGACCTATGGTGGGCTCGGGACAGACAGTCACCGTATATCCCTTGTGTCACAGGAAGAGTTGTCCCGGGGTGCGGGGGGTCGGGACCCATCTCAAGGAGGTTGCACGAGGAGCGTGGGTCACCGAATCGTCGCTTCCCAGACTTAGTCTTTGAGGCGGAAACGGCCTCGACAGAGGCAGAGCTATTTCTGGACTTCTCACTGGTGCTTGCCCAAGAGACCGACCAAAAGTTGGCTAGTCCCGTGTCCAGGCCGAAAATCGGGTCTGCAAAGTCAGCCACCAGCCTAGTGAGTGACCATTAACGAAGCCACTCACTCCTGAACCTTTGGCTCTGACATAGAGTGGCCAGTTGAAGGATGAATCAATCGTGCATGGGTATGGTCTCGGTCAGAATCGTTCATAAATTCAAGACGTGCTAGAGCCTATGCCCTTGTAGCAGGCATCCTCGAGATTTTGTAGGCCCTGGATGGTCTCGGCGGCCAGGTCGTTAGCTGTGCCAGCTGGCCCTTGCAACTTGCCGTAGCGGAGGTCACTCATGTCGCCAACAGTTGTATGGAGCTCTTGCAAGAGGCTCGCAGCTTCTTCATCCACATCTGCAATTTCACGCTCCATGTTGGCAGAGGCAGTCTCCATCGCCGCCAGGAGACTAGCCACCGAGTGGTAATCATCCGGATTGGTCGACGACGTCTGGCCAAAGAGATGGAGATCAATATCCATCGACCGCTGTTCTTCGGCATCAACCGCCTCGACGCCTGCCGCGAGACTCGCCTTGCGGAGCTCAGCTTGTTGCTGTTTGCCTTGCCTGATCTCCTGGTCGATGTTTTCATTTACTCGGTCCATGTCATGTTCACGGACCTGCTGCAGTTCACGGTACAGCGTGCGGATGTGCGGGTGATTTTGCAAACGCTTTGGGAACAGCTCTGTGAATTTCCGCAAAGAGATGACCGTCGGCAACGGTGCCGGCGAGAGCAGAAAGTTGCTCAGGATGGATTCTTCTGAGGGTGCCATGGTTGTCGGTGGTGGATGCACCCAACAACAATTAAGATTGAAGTGTAACAATAATGATTGGAAACGTAGTCGAGGGCCGTCTGGGTTGACCGAATATGTCCCGAATGAGCTGCGGCCGCGTCGCGTGTCCCGTCGTGGCGCGCCGGAATCACGTGGCCGTCGTTAAGAGCGTGGGCATGGTCGGGCAATTGATGCCATCCGCGGTCATTTAGCAGAGACAATCGTACAACTAGCAAGAAGTCCTGCAGTTGTTGACGGAGCCGTTACCGGGGCCAATTGATCCCCGTGCTTCCACGCTGCAACTTGTCGACTTTGCAACCTTTCCAAGGGGGCCCGCTTCCGCCTTTTTCGATCAACCCTCCCGCATCTTCCACACCCGCAGCCCTACACGCGTCACATTCTCGCTTTGGGGACTTTGCCTTATTTGGCCTCCTATTTAGCCCGAGAAGATCAGCCTGGGCTAGATCTTTCTATCAGGGAGTGGCACCGACTATATCCCAAGACCCTGCCTGGCCAGGCAACATTGCCGGCAGTATCAAGTCACCTGTCAGTTCGAACTTCGCCACAGCGCTGCCTGCCTGTCTATCTGCCGTCTGCCTGTCTGGAAGGCCCATCATTCACGCTTTTTGCTTTTATTCATTCGTCTTTGTGCCAATTGAAGAGGACTTGCTGGTTCCGTGACGCTCCCAGCTGCGTGAATTGCTGCCTTGCAGCGCGAGCTCTTGTCTCTTCTCCCATCGCTCTACTTTGCTGCCTCATTCACTCCTCTTTCTCGCCACATTCTTCTTCTTCTTCTTTTTGACTGCTTTGTGAGCAGATATGCCTCCTGTATCTATGTACAGCAAGGACGAGAAGGTCCTCTGCTTTCATCATGACATCCTCTACGATGCGAAGATCCTAGAGGTGCGCCACAAGGACCCCTCTGATAAGAAGAGTGTCCTTGAATTCCTCGTCCATTATAAAGGCTGGAAGAATACGTACGTGGCTCTTTCTTCTGCGTTTGGATTTTTACCATCTACCCATCTACGCCCCCAAGCCCTTCGCTATGGACCGTGTCTTCGTTCGTATGACCCGCTCTCAGGGTCGCCGCCGTCTGTCGGTGTCTCCAACATGATAATTCCCTGCCCTGCATGTCCTGTCCTCCTGTCTTCATGTCGAGAGTCCCCTGATCACTGTTTCTTAAATGGGCCGGAGTCTGCCGGCAAAAGGTTTCAGGGAACGTATGCTGACTTGACTCTCACAGCTGGGACGACTGGGTTCTCGAGGATCGGCTTCGTAAGGCCACCGAGGAGAATCGAGAGCTGGCCGCCAATCTACGGCGTGAGGTCGAGGCCGCCGCCCGCCTGAAAAACGCCAAACCTGCCGCCAAAAAGCGTGCCATGTCTGATCGTAGCTCCGTGCGTGACAGCGAGGAGCGCGGCAATTCAGTACCTGGCCGTGGCAGCAAGCGGGCCCGTGGTGAGACTGATATCGAGAAGGTATTTATCTCCTCTCCTCTTGCCTTTTACCTCCAACACCGTCTCATTACGTCCCAAAACGTTCACCTCACCTCCTCCTCTCCCCCAATGCAAGACACCTCTACCTCATATCTTCTTTGTTCCATCCCTTCGCTTCTAGCTCATCATCAACACACATACAATCACCATGCCTCGCGAGAAAACCCCCCTCGCGCCCCCCTCCACCCCCACATGCGGCTTTCTATGCCCAAAATTCAGGATCACCGCTCGGCCCGGTCCTTCGACCAGCCTTGGCATTTTTCACGAGCATTGTGCTAACATGATCCACTACGAACTCGAACAGGAGGAGACCTTTCACGCGCGCCCTTCAATCCGCATCGTCATGCCGGACAACCTGAAGGCCCTGATCGTCGACGACTGGGAGCGCATCACCAAGAACGGCGCCGTCGTCGCCCTCCCCGCGCCCAAGCCCGTCCGCCAGATCCTGCAGGAGTGGCGCGACGAGGAGGCGCCCAAGCGCGTGGAGAGTCGCATCGATGTAGACGTCCTCGACGAGGTCATTGCCGGTTTGCTCGAGTACTTCGACACCATGCTCGACAAGATCCTGCTCTACCGCTACGAGCGCCCTCAGTACCGCATCTTCCGCAAGAAGTTCGCCAACCCCCCCGGCAAGGGTCCTGTCGATATCTACGGCGGAGAACACCTCATCCGTCTCTTCAGTACGTGTTCATTCTCCCATTGTTTTTGAGGCCTTCTTTCCTTCTAGAATGGGATCAATATTAACCTGATTCGCGACAGGCCTCCTGCCCGAGCTCCTTGCTCAGACCAATATGGACCTGCAGGCTACCCAGCGCCTGCGCGAGGAACTCTCCAAGTTCTCACTGTGGCTGTCCAAGAACTCCGAGAAGTACTTCCGCACCGAATATATCTCCGGAGAGGAATCCTCCCTCGAAAAGTCCATCAAGGCAGCGCGCTGAGCATATCGATTCTCAATCTCAATCTGATTCGCACACATTTTCAAACTGGGGAAGGCTACGTTACAGCTTGGAATTATCTGTTTTTTCTTTTGGGTGGACAGACAGGTGTTTGTCTCCCTATGCATTGTCATCACCACGCGGTCACAGGCTTTTTATTTTTGGCCTTATTTCTATCTGGGTCCTCGATGCTTCAGCCACGGGTTTTTATCTTTGTCTCAGCTTAGCCTCCTGGAGGGGGCCATGGGGGTTTTATTTCTTGCGTTTATTCTTGTTTTGCTGGTACTCGGTGATATCACTTAGCTATGCTCCTACTAGAGGAGCCGAATGGGAATACGAAACAAAAAGGTATTCATAAACTCTCCAGTCCAAAAAAGGTTCTCTCGGTTCGGTTCTCAGCCCATCTATTTATTCACAAGTATATCTTGGTGCCAAATGCCCCTGCATTCTCTACTGGATATCTCGAATAGAACAGGCCCGCCATCCAACGCAGACCGGACAAAAGGAAGCAGGACAGGTTAACCCGTATCCCACCCACACCCATGCCTCAGGGCTTACACCATTTCACATCAATCCACCTCCCCTCACGCAACCAACTGGCGCGCATCATCAACTGCACAGCGCGCCGCCCTCTTCAACTCACTCCTCCACTCCGTCTCCCTCCACCGCGACCACGTCGTCAGCCCCTCCGGCGGCTGGATACTCAGCGTATCATAGCCCTGCTTAATAATGCGGTGCACCTCACGTGGGCTAAGATTCTTCTTCTTAATGGCCGGCAGCACCACAGGTGTAGGCTCCCCGTCAACCTTCGGGCTCGCAGCTGCAGCCGCCGTCGCAGGATCCTTCCCATCTGACTGAAAGAGGAGCGTATAGAAATGCGTCGACACAGACAGGAGTGTGTCAATGGCCGCGGCGTGAATACTGTTATCCTTATTCGGCGCGTCGAATACAGCCGCGCTCGACGATCCCGAGCGCGTGAACGCGTACACGTCGCGGAACTTGGATATGACCGGGCCCACCTCGACGAGCTTGTAGAAGAGGTCGTCGTAGGAGGCTGGGTCGGGGAGGAAGGTGTCGCCGCCGGAGACACAGAAGGCCATCAGGTCGGCGAGGGAGCTGGTTAGGGTGTTGATGTTGGGATTTGAGGAGAGGTCGGCGGCGTAGGTAGTTAGGAAACGCATGAGGGAGAGAAGTGTGCGCCAGAGCTCGGACCAGTGGTATGCAAGGCGGATTTTGTTCATGGAAAGGTATGTTAAGAGGCGGAGGATTATTGCTATGGTGTGGCTGGTGTGGTAAAGAATTAGCTTGTGGATGTTGGTATCTAGGTTTGCGACGGGGTTAGGTACCTGTAGATGTTGACGTCCAGCCGCCGGCGGAGGTTGTGCGTGATAGTATCGATCAGGGCGTCAAAGACGACGGTTGCGAGAACGCGGTCCCCGCCGACAAGTGGGAGAAACGGCTGGCGCTGCCGGCACAGCCGGACTCTGCGCTTGCCCTCCTCGCTGCAGATGTGCTTGCAGAGGGTCGGGTCCTCGACAAGGATGCGTAGCGTGAAGAGGCTAAGCTCGGCGTAGTGCGCCACGCGCGGGGACCGGTATGCGTGTTGCAGGAGGTAGGAGGACAGGGAGAGGAAGCTGGAGAAGGGAGACTCTTCATTATGCTCGGGGATCATGTGCACCATGTGGTAGCCGAAGAGCTTGTTCGAGTTTGTGAAGTCGTAGGTGGCCATTAGAATGGCTGCTTCTTGAGCGGGGCTAGAAGGAAGTTAGTATTGGGTCTGTAGTCTATCGTGATAGAAGGCATCTTACAGAGCAGCGAACATCGCCTTCGCTTCCTCCGCCGTGGGTGGGTTCGCCTTGTCCCTCGCACCGGGCGCGAGAGCCCGCAGCCCGAAGAAAATTAAGGTGTTCGTCAAGGTCCAGCCTTCAGGAATATCATCCTGGACGGCGATATAGCCGTTGCGCAGACCTCCACAGGCCATTCCGACGCCCTTGACGATCTTTTGGATGCTCGCCTCGTTAACGAAGTCGTCGAGTCGGAGCTGGTACGGGTTTTGGAATTCGAATTTGTTATAGTTTGCTAGTAGACCCAACAACAAGAAGGGATCGAAGACTGCTAGTGGGGTCTCAGAATCATTGACGTACTGTTTTGCTTGTAAGAAATTGGATACATATTGTTTTCGGGGAGTAAATTACCTTCATCAACGAGGGGAAGAGGTCCCGGTGGGTGAAATAGGAGACCAGACTGGTTTTGTAGGCCCCGCTGGTCATGGCAACGGCTACTCTAATTGCCTTGCGGCGTAATTCAACTGTTTGAGAATGGTTCAGCTTTCTTGATACATTGAACATGGATAGAGCTCATGGGTCACTCACGACTCGTGCCGTTGCGCACAATGCCATCCAAGACGGCCACAAACTCGGAAATGACGCGGTCTACCTCGTCAAGACCGGCGAGGACGGTAATCACATCTGAGCTGGGGTTTGTGTATTTTTTGCTCAAGATGCTGGTCAAGAATATCGTCAAAGTCTGGAACAGGGTGTTAGTCCATGAATATTTTCACGGTAGCACATGGGGACTCACATCTAATGCATAAGAGTCGGCCGGAGCAACCCCAGAAGAAGCCTCCCGGATGGCGCGAGCAAACAAGCGCTTAGTTTGTGTCTAAACAAATAACCATCAATACCTAGCTGCTGCCAAATCACATTCATGGCAATGGACAGACCTGCAGACTCAATGTCTCGTCGGGACTCAACCCGTCCAGCAGGGAATGCAAGTGGCCTCGATCCGGGGGCAGGAGAAAGAACTCCCTCCAGAAGCCTTCCGAGGGCTCCACATCGACATCGTCAGGGGCCTAAATCCGAATATAAGAAGGTGTTGGCGGGCATATGCGGGTAGAGGGGCATACTTTGAAGAGGGTCTCGTAGAGGTGCACGATCTTTGGCTGAAAGGTTTCGGGCCTGCTCTGCTGGGTGAGGGGCGACGCCTCCATGGTTCCAAGCGCTCGATCTGCAAAAGATCCCCGAGGCTTTTAACATGCGATATGCATTAGGCGTCGGGAGGTTGTTTCTTTGGCCTGCGCTTCAACGAGTCCGACACTTGGCACCAGCCACTTTGTCAGCGGGTCCAGCCACATGTCCTCAACTACCAGACGGCGGTTCAATTCTATACAACGAGAAGGGATTGGCGAAAGGGTTTACGAGAAATAAGACTCTCAGCATGTTCGTTTCAATAATTTCTATTTTGAAGGTGCATAATGGTATTAGTGTCTATCATTTGTCTCTGTTCTAGTGGAATCGTTCATGCGGCGAAGCACCCTCCGGAAATCGGGCCAAAGCAGGCGGTTACTCGGGCGCCTGATGCTGAGTCAGCCTCTTACCTGACTCAGCTGCCGATAAACGCAGCCTCGAGGCAGTTGGACACCATCACATCGAGGATGCAAGGTGCTAAAGAAAATTGAGACCTAGGGTGGAAATTACTCGAGATATCAATAAGTTATGGCCGTACTTGACAGATTATTTCTCATGACCTCGTACTATGTTCAGCACACTATACGCCGCTGCAGTGGCGCCACCAGCGTGTGTAGAAACACCTCGCTTCTGATTGGCAGGGTGGGCATCATGCAACCGGGTTAGCTAATCCACCCGAGGGTCACCGGAGAACTTGTGACAAACACAGACATTCTCCTCTCTTTCCACCCTCCTCCACCATCCCCCATCCCTCCTTCGTCCTCGCGGACTGTTTCTATTCTATGCGCATATAGCTCTCTCTCCGCACTCCCCCGTCACCCCGCTATTTCGCAACTATGAGTTACTGCACCACCATGCAGCGCTCGGTGACATCATACGCCACACTTCTCCGATGGGTGAAGCCCTCGGCCGCCCAGCGTTGCTCCCACTCGCTGCGCTGCTTCTCTTCCTATGGGAACGCTCATATGTCTTCCAAGCGTGATATGCAAACGGCGACCGCATACCGCCCGCACACACTCCCTTCGTCTTTCCCGATGCCGCGCAGCAGCGGTGGACCCGACACCTCGATCTCAGCCGATTTCCCCCTCCCCTCGGAAACATCCAAGACACCCTCGCAATCAGAGTCCTCAACCATCTCCCTGCGAGAAGGCGAGGCACAGAAGCCCAAGCCGGCCTCGACAACTTCGACCGCCACCCCCAAGACTTCCGCGAAGCCGCGTCGGCCATTGCGGGCAAGGAAGGCAGCGATGAAATTGACGCCGCTGGCTACGGAGCAGCTTCGCAAGCTGATGGCGCAGCCCGAGCCGAAGTTTATTCGGGTCGGAGTGAAGAATCGTGGCTGCTCGGGTCTGGCCTACCACCTCGAGTACGTGGAGAAGCCGGGCAAGTTCGATGAGATTGTGGAGCAGGACGGTGTGAAGGTTTTGATCGACAGTAAGGCTCTGTTCAGCATCATCGGCAGTGAAATGGACTGGCACGAGGATCCGCTGAGTAGGCGATTTGTTTTCCGCAACCCCAATATCAGTGAGTTTTCCCCTCATTACAAATCAAACCCACACAGTCCATTTCCATTCGGTTTACTGACTTCTGACAACAGAGGAAGAATGCGGTTGCGGTGAATCTTTTATGGTCTAAGCGCTCATTTCGATATGTCTCCTTAATTCGGGTTCTCGGCGTCATCGCTCATGGTGCATCGGACGGCGTTTTTCATTCCATACAATCGGTTTCATTTTTGGGGACTCGTGGCCGCTCATTCGGTCGAGTACATACGCTTGATATCCAGTCGATACACTTTCTCTTCTTTTCCACCTGTTGTTTCCGACATGATTTCATCTTTCCTCCTCGGGAAAGCTCACGGCACAGACTCGGGTTCTGATTGATAGAGCCCTCAGGCCATAGAGGCCTAGCTAGGCTGTCCCCTGTTTCCTTCATTATGAACTTTCGTTAGCCAACTTTTGAAGCTACATGATGTTATATACTTGTATAGATTAGTCCAATGGAGCTGATGGTTAAAATGACTCGGTAATTGCAGTCATTTCAGTGCGGGACACCAGCAATTAGCCCTACGTCCCGACTCCTTCTTTCAGCTTGAGTAGGTTACTCCTCCGAGCCTACTCCAAGGCTTTTTTGAGTTTCTTATGTCTACGCCACTATTCGTCTTTCCGTAGAAACTCAGGAGGCCGCGTAGTGATTCCTCCCTGGCATCGATGTATAGTAAGGATGTAATTCTAAAAAGACTAATAGGTGTACCCCCACTTTACTCCCTATTTCTGGGTACCCGAACAAGCATGTATCTCCTTCTTGGTCAACTATTCGTATAATCATAGAGTTTCCGTGAGACTTTTAAAGTCCTGTGACTGACAAGATGGCCGAGTGGTCTATGGCGTGTGACTCAAGGTATCAACCTTTTCCTAGTAATACTGGGGAGTATTCTCATCTTCTTAAGAGGGCAGGGGTTCGAATCCCCTTCTTGTCATTTTTTGGCATTATCTTGCCCTTTCGGATCCCATATTGCTATTATTTTGGTCTCCTGCTAAAGCCAAACAAAGAAAAGAGGCTCGAGTCATCTCAATTGCCGATCATATTGGTTGTTCTTGTTTGTTTTATCACCAGGCCTAACAGGTAGTCCCCACAAAACCCCGGACCTCTATAACCAAGCAGGGGCCTGTCGATCAGGTACAGAGACAATATCGAGAAGGGTTCAAATTAATTCATAAAACATCGTAGCCTGGCGCACACAGGAACCGAACCTTGAACTTTCTAGAATTGAATTCGTTGGACCGGGAGCGGGAGACCCATTCTGACCGAGCTCGGACGGATGTCTGACATCATCCACTTGTACTCCGTACCTCTCTCCCCAACTCTCCCGTCATCAACAATCACTACGATCTCTATCAACTATATGGCTCGAATCTGGAACTCCCGCAAGCCAGTGATATCCGGGTGACGTCCAAGTACAACATGGCATCACCAACCTTTCTCTCTCCACACGGCAACGGCGACACGATCGAGGACGCCCTCCTCATCACCGTCCGCTTCTCCGCCTCCATCCCCGATCTCCCCCTCGACGTCTCAGGCCCTGACACTACAACAGGTGCAGGCCTCAAACAACTAATTCGCGCTGAACTTCCATCCTCACTGTCCTCCCATCGACTTCGTCTCATCTATGCCGGTCGCGGGTTAGAAGACACAGTCGCGCTAGCTACATCCCTCAAGCTCCCGCCCTCCCCATCCCGCACTCCTCGCCCCGCAGACGACGAAGATGGAGAGGAGCTCTCCGCCGCAGAAAATGGCTCTGCAAAGCCCAAATCCAAGGGCAAGCAGCCCATCCGCGACTCGCGCCCGCGCCTCTACATTCACTGCTCCATCGGCGATATCGCGTTGTCCGAGTCCGACCTAGCCGCCGAGGCTTCCATGGCCTCGACCGTGCCCCTGCAGGAACAGAGAGATGACGAGAAGACCGGCTTGCACCCCACCTCGCTTTTCGCACCCTCTCGTGACGGCACGGCTCAATTACAACAGCAGCGGCAACCAGTGGCCTCTACGACCCCGGCCCCGCGCGGCTTCGACCGCCTCCTCTCCGCTGGCTTCACCCCGGCAGAAGTCACAGCCCTCCGGTCCCAGTTCCTCGCCGTGCAATCTGTCTCTCGAACGCCGGACACGATGCCCACGGGTGAGGAGCTGCGTGATCTGGAGGACCGGTGGATGGACGAGGGGTCGACAGTCGCACAGGCGCAAGCGGGTGGCGAAGGCGGTGCGCTCGGCGACGACGACGGTAGTGGTTTGGGCTCGGGATCGCGCACTGCGATGGATGATATGCTCTGGGGCGCCGTGATAGGCTTCTTTTGGCCTATTGGGTGTGCGATGTGGTTGAGAAGAGAGGAAGGGATTTGGAGCTGGAGGAAAGGTGTGGCGGTTTTTGTGGGGGTGGTGCTTAATGCTGTTTTTGGGTTTATAAATATGATGGTTGAGTGATGGTTGGATGCATTGTATATATACACACTGAGGTCTCGTTGGGGCCTTGCTCGCTTGGCGTTGTTTTCATTCATGACATGAGATACCCCGTTTTGAAATATATAGGTTGAGGTCTGTTTCTGCTTGCAATGCAAAGGAGAGAAAATGGTGACCGAGGTATCGCTGTGCAATATTTTTGCTTGCAAGGTGGAAGTTCTTACTGGTTTTAGGATCGAGATAATATTCAAAGGGTCAAATACCTCGGAGGGACGCTGTCCTAGGAGATACTTGTTACTAGTCCGCAATTCAAGTCCTTTACGCCTATAGATAAGTGTGTATTCAAATCCACTTAAACAGAAAAAGGTTGTTCTGCATCAAGGCACAAACCATTAATTGCTGTGAGAAAAGCTGCGGCACTTATGCGCCCCGTTGGGCGAGGGGCGAGGGGCGAGCACTGCCACCAACGGAGAAATATTGAAAAGGTTGAATGTTCAATTATCACCACGAGAAGCTACAGGCCAGAGATACAGGCCCGGCTCTAGTTCACACTCGTGGGAATGCTAGCTAGACATACAGCGTCTCAAAAATATACCACGAAAGACTCCCAATATTAGAAACGCCATGTCAAGAAAAAAGACCCCAGCAACGCTAATGGAACTTGCTGTAAATCACGGCAACTATCAGAAGAACAAGGACCGTAATGATAGCGATCGTGATTATCCGATTCGTAGCCATCCTGCCACATTAACGTTAGTCGAAATATCCAAACATAGTTTCTAGCCATGAGGCCAAGAAGAGGGGTTCAAAGGGCGCAGTACCTACGGGCCATGCCCCTCAGAGTCTTGATACTCGTATCAACATATCCTTCACTCTGCTGCAGATTATCTCGCGTGTGCTGAATCGTCTGGCGCTGCCCGTACAGATCGGCCAGCACGTTCCGTCCCACATCTTCCGTCTCTAGCGCCGTCCTCTGCGCCCCCTGTAGCCGGGCCGAGCTGCGCTCCAAGCGCTCAGTGCCAGACAACAACTGCTGGCGCTGCTCGAGGTGTTCGTCTTGCGGTTCGTCGGTGTACCGGTCACCGAAGAGTGCTTTGCGGTCGTCGGAGAGGGACTTCAGCTTGCGCTTGGTCTCGTCGACATCCGTCGAGTAGTTCCGGAAGCGCATGTTCACTTTAGAGCGGGAGGCGGAGGGAATGTTTTGCTTTTCCATGCGCATTTGGTCAAGCTATAAGGACGTGCCGTATTAGCAAGCTAGTGTTCGAATTGAGGGGCGGAGAGGGTTGCCAGTAGGGTACGGGCTGTCTGTTATTGCGGGGAAGCATACCAACTCTGTTGCCTCGTCGAGAACCAGTTCTGCTTGCCGGATTGCGGACTTGCGCTGCTCGCCGCTTGCTTCGGCGATCTGGTCGAGCTTCTGGTTCAGGTCCGCTTGGACGAGCTTCAGCTCGTTCTCGTAGCTGGCGAACATCTCCGAGCCCGCGTCTGTGTCTAGAGGGTTCGACATTCCGACGTATGTGTTATTCAGGGGTTTCTGAGGAGAAGAGGGAGAGAGAGGTATTGGTTGCGTCGGTCTGGCGGGCGTGATGTTGGTCTTGACGGCAGGCTCCACCGTTATCTAGGAAGTAACGGGTGCGGTGGCCTAGATAGCGGTCAAAGGATCGTGCCAAGAGTGATGTCTTGAAGAGATAAAGATTGTATGAGCAAGATGTGAGTCTCCCACAGCGCTATTTGCAGCAACCGGATCTGATAATAAACAAGAGAGCGATGAGGTGGGCGGAGGCTGGGGACTCAGATGACGGTGTCCTTCACGTGATCCGGACCGAGGCCGGGGTTACATTTGCATGATGAAAATGATGTCCAACAGCTCTTCGGTCGACTTTAGGGCAAACAGACGGGAGAAGGGAAATCGGAAGACTACTGGGGCTTTCCAGGGTCGAGGTTCTGTCAATCTCCCCATATGCACCCTGCAAGTGCCCGGATGATCAGCAGACGACACCCGGTGCCTGGCTGGCCATCATGAAACTGGCGGGATATCCAAGTTGGGTAACATCAGGTAACATTAGCATAAAAAATCAGGCCTACACAAACACAATTCGCCTTTTCAATAATAAACAATAGATACCCCCAATGGTATACATAATCATGGAAACTCCTTCTTTTCCCGTTCTCCCCCCTCTCCCAACATCCTCTACAGGAGGAACTGGCTGCTATCCTGGTTGAGAATCAAGGCACTTCGTTTGGCATCCAGGAACAGGTCTTCGCATTCAGCAACATCGGCCACCTCGATACCGCCGGGGGCGCCGTTGATGCGAGCAAGGATGCTCGCCGGAGTCAGCAACTGCAAGGCGTACCGCAGGCTGACCTTGCTACCGTGCTCAGCGACCTTATCCAGAGCGGGCTCGGTGATGTTGAGACCCTCTGTCTTTGCACGGAGTCGGATGATAGTCTTAATCTCATCGGGCGAGTAAGGGGTGGTGGGGACGATAAGAAGACGAGCCAGCAAGTCGGGCGGGATGCCGTGGGCGGCGGAGATATCGTCAGTTCCGCGAATGACGGTGTTGCCGCGGTTGGAGGCAAGGATGACGATCGGAGAGATGGTGGATTCGAGCGCGCGGTTCAGATATGTGAAGCACTCAATGTCCAGCATGTGGACCTCGTCGATGAAGAGCACACCAGGAACAAGCTCCGCGACGCCCTGGTCGATGTACCGGTTGACCACCTTGTTGATCTCTTGGCGCAGCTTCTCCGTAATCTCAGTCTTCTTGGGCTTCATCAGCTGGCCCATCATGCTCATCACATCCTGTCCACCCTGTGGCCGGGCGTTGGCCATGTCGAGGTCGTGTAGTGTCACGTCTTGGACGATCTCCTTCTTCTTGTGCACCTCACCCTTAGGAACGGGTACGTACTCCTCCGCCTCCAGGTCAAACTCGGTCGCGTAGGCATCGGACCGTCCGACACGCTTGCAAGCGCCAGTGTTGGCTTCAATGTAGATGACATCTCCGACTGTCACACGCTCCTTCTGGATGGCTTCATAGATGCTAGGGTCGAGGCGAAGCTTCTTGGTACCCTTGGCCGACTTCAGTCCAATAATCAGATGGCTGATCGTACGTCCGTAGCCACCCAGGGGGTTCTCGGTCTCCTCGGGGGTCAGTTCTGTCACCTCACCCTCGTACACCTCCTTTGTTTCCCGAACTCGAAGGCCTAGTTTTGAGTCAATCTTGGTGTTCAAATAATACGTTTGTCTCTCTCTCCATTTTGTCATATCACGTACCAATGGCCCGTCTGAAGTTTTCCATCAATGCCTCTGTCTTCTTGACCTCTGCGGAGTAGATCTCGCTGCCGACGATCGGGCAGAAAGGCACCTTAGTTCCCAGTTCTTGTGACACTGCAAGAGCGAGCGCGGTCTTTCCGGTGCCTGGACCACCAGCCAGCAGAACAGCCCGACCGGCCATCTTCTTCGCCTTGATCAAATCGACAACAACACCGCATGCCTGTTGATGAATTGGGTCTGTTAGCTACGGCGTCGCCAGAGCATTGTTTCCCCCATCGGCGCAAGGAGCCATCACTCACCTCTCGGGCGGCAGCTTGCCCGACAAAGCCATCGCCGGACACCTCTGATGTGCCGTCGGAACGCAGACCAAGGCCCTTGATGTGCGTGTGCGCGGCAGTCCTGTTCTCGCGCGAGTTGCCTTTAACTTCGCTGATCTGGACCATGGTTGGGGGATGTGGCTTCGTAGAGCCACCGATTTGCGAGGAGATGGAGTCAATGAGTTGACGAGACGAGAGAAACAATCAAGTAGAAGCTCGAAAGAGGTTAAGTGGATAGAGTAAGAAAGGTAATGCGGTGGCCCTCTCAGCTATGCTTCTGGCCGAAATTCGCGAGCAAGGGATCTGCGCCAGTCACGGAGCCGCGCCAAAGGCGGTCAGCACCCCCAAATTCTTCCCGCTGCATCCCCAACTGCACCGGCCGCACCTTTTTCTTCTGCGATGCTCAAATTGCCCGTGTTAACCCCAATGGCAGGCCTCCAGTCTAGATCGGCCGTGGCCTTTCCTTTCTCCCTATCTGCGGCTTTCCGCAGCCTGTCTGTGTCGACCCCGAAGCGTGCCTTCTCCACGACATTCGCGCCGCAATCCGGCAAGAAACTCCCGGAAGACGTCCCATCCTATCCCTACGGACCTCGACAATGGTACAAGCAAGCCGATACTGGTCTCTACGGAGGCTCAATGATTCGTTTCGGAAACAAGATCTCCAAGGGCCGGAATGAGGGAAAAACGCGACGAAGCTGGAAGCCCAACGTCCGCCGGAAGAAGATGTGGAGCGATGCGCTCCAAGAACACCTCTTTATCAAGGTTACGCGCCGGGCGCTGCGCACGATTATGAGCGAGGGTGGTCTCGACAAGTACCTCCTATCCGACCGGCCGGCTCGTCTCAAGGAGCTCGGCGTGTTCGGATGGCATCTGCGATACCAGGTCATGCAGAGCCCAACAATTCAGGAGCAATTCCGACAACAACGAGAGAAGATGGGTCTTCCAGACCCCTTGTCATTCGAGGAGTGGATTAAGACCAAGGAGGAGGAGATTGAGGCCAAGGTTGAAGAGAGACTCAATATCAAGGCCATCACGAAGCCCCGTCCAAAGGGCCAGGGTGATGCCCAGAACGATGCCCGGAAAATTGCGGCGGCGGAAGCAGCAGAGTGATCGCTTTCCGTCAAATTATAAATTCCTACCTGAGGATGATATACTCCAGCTGGGGCCTTGCAGTCGGCCTAGGCACACGGAGACCGGCGCTTCTTTCATTGTACCATTATCGCGACGAAACGGTTGACGCTACTTGAGCGCCCCGTCTTTTTGTCTTTTCAATCATCCCTGTGCCGCGCCACTTGGGACATTTCTTCGGGCAGTATGGCAGATGTTTTCGCATGGATACGATCTTGCTGGGCGAGCATATGAGGCTTTTCTGTGTATTTATACTCCAATATCATCAACGTCTTTACTACTGTTCAACTCCGAACTCGTCCCGAACCCCTCTAGGTGGAAAACTATGTATAGAATCATATTCCTAGCTTTTTTACTGACTGCATTGCCTATGTTTTTGTTTCTGGGGACTACGATGGCCTGGGCGATAGTGTAGTTTCAGGATACTGGCCTGTAATTTCAGCCAATTGAAAACCTAATTGAAGTGGCATGAGGTCTTGAATAGCCACTGAGCATTGCTTGACTCAATGAGCTTCATTTGGTTTGATTTTTTGGGCTTGTACGTCGTTCTGGGTGGTCCCTAGAAGGGTATCCCTAGCTACAGAGTAGACAGAGACAGACATCACTACATAAATGTTCGGCAAAGGGTTCCGGGACTACAGTATAGGTCAATGGAACATCAATACCTGGACAAATGCCCCTATTTTATTCGCCCTTAGCCACTGCTTATCGCACACTATCAGTGCTAACTCGAAACGGGTAATATTGGTGAAGATGGAAGGTCGCTGGAATGCGCGCGCAGACAGGGCCCGCCGCCCGCCGGATTCGGACCGTGTCCAGAACCCGCTCAATCGCGACATTGGACCTCTCAACTTTCTAACTCTCAACGCACATCAGCAGGCTCTGTCTCTCTGCAACAGCTCTCTGCGATTTCCATGCTATGATCTGATCCATATCGAGCCACTGCGTCCTTGTCCAGCACTACGGCGCTGGGGATCGTCCCTTACCATGCAGTTCGCATTGCCTCCGCGGAGGAGCCCTCATACTCTCCCGGGCCCCCATTCCTCTCGACTACCGCTGTACCGAAGGAAGCAGCTGAAGACCATCGGCTTATTTGCATTTGCAATACTCTCGCTCCTCTACCTGCTCTCCCACATTTATTCCTCAAGCTCGATTTCCATTGTGGCGCCGGCTGGCACGGCAAGTGTGGTGATCGTGACATTGCTGGATCGTCAAAGCTTCAGCGAAACTTATATCAATAAGATAATCACAAACCGTGAAGACTACGCAAAGCGCCATGGTAAGAATGGTTCCTGACTTGCTTTCTCAACCTCCGCAATACTGGACTGCTGCTAATCCATTGCTCCGTTCAGGGTACACGAATTTCTTTGCAAGCGTCTCCGACTACGAGGGAGCTATAGGCGACGCCCCGCGGAGCTGGGCCCTCGTTCCGGCTGTACGACATGCGATGGCAACCCACCCTCACTCCGCATACTTCTTCCACCTAAGTCCTCACGCCCTCATTATGAATCCTACGAAGTCCCTTAAATCCCACCTGCTGGACTGGAACCGCCTCGAATCGCTGATGCTGAAGGATACCCCCATCGTGCCGCCGGACAGCATTATCAAGACATTCACGCACCTGAAGGAGAACGATGTCGATCTCATCACTACACAGGATAACGAGGATGTGAGCCCTTCGAGCTTTATCCTCAAGAATGGAGAGTTTGCGCGCTTCTTCTTGGACCTCTGGTTCGATCCGCTGTACCGCAGCTATAACTTCGTGAAGGCTGAGATACATGGACTGGTGAGATATCTTTCTTATGAACGAGTAGACTCGCAACTGATCTTATGTACTCTTTGCTCAGGATCACATCATGCAATGGCACCCAACGGTGCTGGCGCGGACTGCCTTGGTCCCGCAGCGCATTCTAAATGCGTACAGTAAGGACTCATCGGGCGCCTCGCCAGATGGTTCTTACAAGGACGGCGACTTCGTCATCCGTTTCCCTGGATGCGATGACGGGAAGAGCCGTGACTGCGACGAAATGGATCCTTATTACACGCTGTGGTCGAAGAAGGCCAAGGGTGCCTGATTGTCCAGTTTTTGGATATTCGGGCATACCGGTCTCTTCCATAACAGCATCACAGGGTTTGTTATGGGCCTTCTGTACTACCTATCAATTGTTTATGGTCCGGTCTAGCTGGGGTTTTTGGCGTCATAGATTGCTTCTACATACAGCGAGGTGTCGCTTTTGCTATTATCATTGGAGTGCATAAGGAGATAAAGGAAGAACGGTCATTATTTTTTGTTTCTATATCCAATAATAGAATGCATGCTGCATAATTTTGCGATTCTCGAGTGCCTGGTAAAGCAAGCACTTCGTCTAACAGAATCACTGTCCGAGAAAAACAGTATGTCGAAAGCATCCAGCTATGACGCTGAGAAAGAAGATTGGCCCGGAAGCATTTATCATTTCTCGCCATGAAATCTCCTACTGTGAAATGGAAAGCAAAGACCACTGGTGTAGTGCGGCCTTCTGTTTGTGAGGCTCGGAAGATCGAAGGCTTAAAAGAGACCGGCAATAAGAACGGTGCGCTTCTTCTTGTACTTGTCGCCAAAGTCCTTACGGTAGCGGATCTCCTTCTTCCACGCCCAACTCCACATCTGGAGGCCGCCCACAAGAGTGAAGAACAGGACGCTCCAGCTCAGCTGGCTAACCAGATAGATACCAAGCCAAGCAAGGATCTCAAACATATAGTTGGGGCAAGTGACCCAGTTGAAGCCGAAGCCAGAAGGGATGCCACGCTCAGTGGTACCCGGGCGACGGAGGTCCCGCAGCACCAAGTGCGCATTGAAGTTGGCCAGCTCGCTGAACACGAACAGCGCAATACCGGCGTACACGAGGATGGGGTTGGGGTTCGCAGAGGCAGCCGCCGCGTCGGGGCGGAACACCCAGTACGCGATGTTGAACCCGGCAAGCGCCCAGTAGTGCGCACTGTTCTTGAAGATGTTGCGGGCGGGCATGGTGGCGTTGCTGAAGCGGTGCACGAAGATGGTTTCATACTCGCGCTTGAGGAAGTGCAGAGTCAGGAGGAGGCAGACCAGGAGTTGCAGATCGGACGGCTCGGGGAGAGGCTTGTCGAAGTTGAAGTAGATCAGGTTGCGGAGGGGGAAGAGGAAGAGGGCTGGGATCAGGAGTGGGCCAAGGTACTCGATGATGAAGACGGTGCGCCATGCGATCTGGGGGCCTGTTCATTGCGAGAGGAGAGATGTTAGTGGTGTTTCTTGGAGCTGCGGGCTCGGGGGATAATTTTTTCTAGTCTCTGCATGCTTCGCCGTGATATATTGGCTGTACGGGTACGTACCCAGATCCTTGACATGGATGATACTCGATTCCTTCAGGCCAGTATCCTTGATCGTGGTGCTCTTCGCATTGGGAACTACGCTGCGGTCGCTTCCTTTGGTGATGCGCAGACGGTGGACGGAGGCCCCGGAAGCTTCAGCGATGGCACTGTACAGCTCCTCGCCGGATGAGGTGAGAGTGACTGTAACATCCTTAGGGAGTTTGCGGATGGGCTTGCCTAGGAAATTGTCAGTATTTAATCTCTCGAGTTCTTGCCCGCGTGTCTGAGCTTGGAACGTAAATAGGAGCTGTATATGCATACCCCGAGGCTCGACGATGAGAGTGATCTGGGACACCATTGTGAATGGTGATGACTGAATGTCAGATCCAGAAGATGATGTGTTGAGGTCTAGGCCGGAGGGGGCCACCTGGAGAGCTGATTGGTATCGTGGAGTCGAGATATTGTATCTGTTGGGCCTACCTCAACCTCAACCTCGGCGAGAGGCCTCGGTTGACCACACGTGATGTTGACACCTAAGGCAACAGATGATCTAGTTAGTTATCTAGTTTGTTAATCTCAGCCATTGTCGCCGAGGAGCTTGAGAGAATCTGAATTTGGTTGATTGATCCTAGATACCGGACCCTGATGGGCCTGATGAATGCGTTCATGGATTGTCTATTCTGTGGCTCTACAAGAGATGTATTTTTTGTGTACCGAGTATGCCTGGACATAATGGACATAAGGCTAGCTTACCGTCTGCAGTCAGAATGGTGGCACACATTCCTCTCGGCGCCATAACGGGCTGACGAGTCAGCCCTCCCAATTGGTGTCTTGCTATTCGTGGGTTGGATATCAAGATCCCCCGGGACAAACTTCCTATAGTGCGGCTGCACTGCCGGAGCTGAACAGCCCCGCTCCCAAGGCGTCCACCAAGCACGACCACCTCACCATCGGCGGCTTGGGGGACAGTAGTAGACTGCTCCACCCAATGGTCACTTGGCGACGGACTCGCGATCAACTGCTGTACGTTGCCTGGCATAATCGCCGACCCACCCACCACCAGTCTCAGCTAGGACATGCTGCAACGGCCTGTCCGGCCCAACTGCGTCGCCAATCAGCACCCGCAATACACAATGCCGGCGATGCCTCTGGCCAGACTCTCAATCATGGCGCTAGTCATCCTACCCCAGCCAGATCCGGTAGTCTCCCAAAAATCAGCCTGCATTAGCATAACCGAATGGCAGCTGATTTGCATCATGTCAGTTAATCATACATTCGGAAGAGTCGAGACGCTAATCAGGCTCCACCCCGCCTGGGTTAGATGTGGGCCGAACTGCCATTGCGGCGCCCCAATCCGCCCCAATCCACCCCAATCCACCAAGTCGCACGCGGCGCAAACCCAGGGGATCGCAGCCGACGAGCCTGGCGTCAGAGCTCTCGTATTACTAGCCGGGCCACGAGGCCTTGTACACTGGGCGATTGGGACGGATGTCCCGGCACGCAACACCTTGCAAGATTAACAAGATGTTCCGCTTATGGGTGTGTCCAAGATGCCCCAGACGCCCCTTCACATGGAGTCCGACGCACGAATGAGAAATGCCCCATTGCTCACACAGCTAGGTGGGGCGTCGTCTGCCGTTGCCTATGCAGCTCTGCTGCGCCCGAACGAACCCGCACCTGGCGTCCTTAGGGTTGTGGCGCTGAGATGACCGACCGGCCCCCATCCAGTCAAGCCCGGCCGAACTATGGAGCCACTAGGCATTGACCACTTACCAGCTGGGGGTCCTTCGCTCGTTCAATCGTCAGCCGTACGGAGTACGGAGTACTACACCTCGTTTATTCGCCCCGCAGATGTCCTCAGCCTGGGCTTAGAATGAGTTATAATGTACTGTGTCCCCCCAATATCCTCCGACGTGAGCGCGTCACCTCATTGCTGCCTTGTCATTCCATCATCGTTGTTTTCGCTGACTGGCTCATTGCCCCCTTGGTTGGCCTCGTGAACAACTACCTTAACTCGCCGACACCGGAGCGTAATTTTCGTGAACTGCTTCATATTTGAATTGGTATGCGAAATCCATATCTTGGACTGCCGGGGATGGCGACAAGTTGACTGGCTCTCCCCCCGCACCGCATGGCGACGATCGGGGGCCTCGGCTGTCTATCGTTTCCCACTCTGAACCTCTCCAATACTGATTCTATACTGACCTTGGGATACGCAGTTTTGAGTAACCCGCGCGAACTCGTGAAAGATTGTTTTTGTATAACTACCACACCCCCGTGTCATCATGGTCGAACAAAACAACCCCGCCAATGGCGGCGAGAACCCAATTGCGCAGATCGAACAAGTCGTAAAGGCATCTCTGAGACCCTTGCCCACCGAGACCGGCGATGGTACTTACGTCAAGGGTTCCACGACCACCGGACTGGCCAAGGATCTGAGCCATGTCGAGCTCAAAGACGTGAAGACGCTGGCGGAAGTAGCTAAAAATGCGATCACCGGTGACCCGGTAAATGACCGGGAGTATATTATGGAGCGAGTGGTTCAGGTTCGGTCCCAATTGCATCTTCTCATAATCGCGCCTTCTCACGTTTCACCAGCTTGCGGCAGGCCTACCGGCGACGTCCAAAAATGGCAAGGATCTCACGAATACCTTTCTGAGCACCCTCTGGAATGATTTGGAGCATCCGCCAATCTCGTGAGTCAAGTTCATTCTTCATTCTTCATTCTCGAAATCTTGCCGTTTGTATAGACTAACACTGGCCGGATGTCAAGGTATCTGGGACGGGATGCCTCTTACCGAAAGGCAGATGGATCTGGCAATGTATGTGCTATCTATACTGAAATGAATACTAAACTTACTGACACCCCGCAAGAACCCTTTCTGGCCCAACATTGGTGCTTCTGGTACAGCCTATGCACGATCTGTCCGCCCACAGACAATGCAGCCTGCAGCCCTTCCTGAGCCGGAGACGCTTTTTGACAGCCTTCTAGCTCGGAAGGAGTTCAAAGAACACCCGAACAAGATCTCTAGTGTGCTCTTCTATCTTGCATCTATAATTATTCATGGTATGTGGCGTATATTGTCAACGCAAAGCTTCATTGAACGCGACTAACCACGGATAGATCTTTTCCAAACGGACCCCAGAGATCAAACAGTATCCATGACATCGTCGTACCTGGACCTGGGTCCACTTTATGGAAACAATCAGGAGGAGCAAAATGCAGTCAGAACCTTCAAGGAGGGAATGCTCAAGCCAGATTGCTTTTCCGCCAAGCGAGCCTTGGGATTCCCTCCTGGTGTTGGGGTCATGCTTATTATGTTCAATCGTTTCCATAACTACATCGCCGAGCAACTTGCACAGATCAACGAGGGTGGCCGGTTCACAAAGCCAGATGAGTCGAACACCAAAGCCTACGCTACCTGGGATAACGACCTTTTCCAGACTGCGCGCCTGGTTACCTGCGGTCTTTATGTCAACATCATTTTGAAAGACTATGTTCGAACCATTCTGAATCTGAACAGGACGGACAGTACATGGAGCTTGGATCCTCGATCGGAGATGAAAAATGGTCTCCTCAAGGACGCCGCCAAGCAGGCGACGGGAAACCAAGTTTCGGCCGAGTTCAATCTTGTCTACCGGTGGCACTCGTGCATTTCTACTCGTGACCAAAAGTGGTCCGAGGATTTGTACAGAGAAGTGTTTGTGGGCCAGGACCCGAACAACATCACCCTCCAACAGTTCACCCGGGGACTCGGAAAGTGGGAGGCGACACTCCCCGAAGACCCCTTTGAGCGTCCTTTTGCCAAGTTGCAGCGCCAGGCTGACGGCCGCTATGATGACGATGACTTGGTTAAGATCTTTGAAGAAAGCGTGGAGGATGTTGCTGGAGCGTACGGTGCTTCGAATGTACCGACTGTCTTCCGCACTATTGAAGTTCTGGGCATCAAACAGGCCCGGTCTTGGAACATGGCCACGTTGAATGAGTTCCGATCATTCTTCAATTTGCAGCCCTATCAGACATTTGAAGAGATCAACTCGGATCCATATATTGCCGACCAGCTCAGGCATCTCTACGACCATCCAGATCAGGTGGAACTCTATCCCGGCCTGATTGTCGAGGACGACAAAAAGCCTGTGGTACCGGGCAGCGGCTTGTGTACGAACTACACCATCTCTCGAGCGATCCTCTCGGACGCGACTACGCTCGTTCGTGGTGATCGCTTCTATACCGTTGATTACACTCCCAAGCACCTTACGAACTGGGCATATAACGAAGTCAACTATGATACTTCCGTGGACAATGGCTCAGTTTTCTATAAGCTAGCCCTCAGAGCTTTCCCCAACCACTTCCGCGGAGACTCGGTCTATGCACACTTCCCGTTCGTTGTGCCCCACGAGAACAAGAAGATCCTGACGAGCCTCGGATATGGTCTTACATATAGCTATGATCGACCAACTTACACCGCGCCGCCCCGACTGATCAACTCCCACGCCGCCTGTATGTCGATTCTTGCGGACAAGGAGGCTTTCAGTGTGGTCTGGGGCAAAAAGCTTGAGTTTATCTTGAGTCGTGATGGCCAATCCTACGGCCGCGACTTTATGCTGTCCGGCGATCGTCCGCCGAACGTCCAGTCTCGCAAGATGATTGGCAATGCCCTGTACCGGGATAAGTGGAGGGAAGAGGTTCGGTCATTCTACCAGGAAATCACCTTGCAACTCCTGCAGAGAAACTCATACAAGATTGCCGGTATGAACCAGGTCGACATTGTCCGTGATGTGTCCAACCTCGCCCAGATCCATTTCTGTGCCCACATCTTCTCGCTCTCACTAAAGACGGAGTCAAACCCCCGCGGCGTGTTTACTGAGCAGGAGCTGTACCAGATAATGGCTCTGGTGTTCACTTGCATCTTCTACGACGTCGACGTCACTAAATCCTTCCAGCTCGAGCAGGCCTCCCGAAAGGTAGCGCAGCAGCTTGGTGAATTGGTTATGGCGAACGTCGAGCTCATCGAAAAGGCTGGTTTCATTGCGAACATTGTCAATCGTCTTCATCGCCACGATGCCCTGTCCGACTACGGCGTCCACATGATCCAGCGTCTGCTGGACAGCGGGTTGCCGCCGAAGGAGATTGTGTGGACGCATATTCTTCCGTCAGCCAGTTCGATGGTTGCCAACCAGGCCCAACTGTTCATTCAGTGCTTGGACTTTTACTTGGAGCCGGAGAATGCGCATCACCTTGCTGAGATCCAGCGTCTGTCAAAGGAGGATACCCCCGAGTCGGATGAGCTGCTTTTGCGATAGTAAGTCATTCTTCATCTTGCACTTCTTGTTCGCTTCCTCAACAAATGCTCTACACTTGATACTTACTTTTGACAGCTTTATGGAAGGTGGCCGGATTCGATCGTCAGTTGCGCTGCCCCGAGAGGTTGCAAAGCCGACTGTCATCGACGACAATGGCGAGAAGGTCACCCTCAAGACTGGCCAGCAGATTTACGTCAACCTGGTAAGTACTCCCTGCCCCTGGCCCAAACAGTTCCACATCTCACATATCTTCTAGGTTTCCGCGAGCCACGACCCCAAGGCTTGGCCGGACCCCGAACAGGTCCGCCTGGACCGTGATCTGAGTCAGTATTCTCACTTTGGCTTTGGTCCGCATCAATGTCTCGGGCTTGGCGTGTGCCAGGTGGCACTGCCCACTATGCTGCGCGTAGTTGGGCAACTGAAGAATCTCCGCCGGGCTCCTGGCCCACAGGGCCAATTGAAGAAACTCTCAGCCCTTGGGGGCCTAACTATGTATATGGATGCGGAACATAGTATGGTCTCGCCGTATCCTTCGACTATGAAGGTTCAGTGGGATGGGGAACTGCCCAAGGCGGATAATTAAGGTTTTATTTTCTTATGTAAATAGTGGCAGGAATGAATGCTTTGTTTTTCCATACTACGGAGTAGATCTGTTTCAAAGACTGGCTGTAGAAATCTTTTGTAGATTGACCTTGGCGTATCTTGGGATCTGGATTCTCGGCTCCAGACTTGTGTAAAATGACTTGAAGAGAAACGCCTTGTGTGGGTTATGCTGGGGAAGGAGGATTTCACTCTAGACGAATGATTGATGAGCCTCAAGTGAGATCATTAGTTTGTAGCGATCTAGGCCCGCTTGTATAGTCCAGAAACAAACAGGTTGGTGCAAGTGATGCCTTGGCGCCTGACCGCCTCGCGGGGAACCGCCAGGACCGCTCCGCCCAGCTTTCTCTGCCGGCAGGACAGCTCAGGCGCAGGTTCTCGCTCAGGTTCACCATTCTCTGCTCTTCCCCAAGCCTCTTTTCCCTCTTCCCTGTTATCTCCTCCCCCTTCACCAGCATCCTCCTTCATCTCCCACCCGCAACCTCTCCTCGATTGTCAACACTTCCGGGTCAACGTCCTGCACCGTTTTCCCTGACAGTTTGACTACTCTCTAACCGCCGAGATCTCACCATCCTTCATCGGACCTGGAGTTGTCGGATACCTCAGCTCTCTCGCCCCGTGGAGTGAATGGTTGATACCTGTTGATATTCTCTCGCCTCAGAAATATCCCGTGAAAAGGACAATATCCCGCGATTTCCTTTATTTGTCCTGTTGAACTTGATTTTCGTGAGGGAGGAGAGGAGACCTAAAACGTCATAAGGCATCCTCGCGCTTTCTCCGCGAACCCGGTCGTCACGACCTTTCCACCCCACTCTCTAGGAGACCGCTCTCCTGGAATCTTTACACCTCCTCATGGTTGGCTGTCTGCACGATCGTCAACATGGGGAGAATTAAGAAGGTGGCCAGCCAAAAGCATGAGGCTACAATTGTAAGTCCCCGTTGGTCTCCATATCGGTGACTCCATACCGTATTGACTAAAAATTTTTCCTTCTTGTTATAGTCGCCCTTCTTGGGAGAATTCATTGGCCGTGCGACCAGCCTTCCCGTTCCAGAGCTTCCTTCGATTTTGAGCACATTCCCTAAGCTATGGCCCTTCCCTCGCGGCGACCTCTACCACTGGATCAATGTCTTGGACCGCTTCGATGAAATCCTGGCCTCAGTCATCGACAAATATTTCCTAAACATTGGCCCGCAAACACAACCATTTGGTCGAAGTGTGCTAGAGGAGTCGTATGCGGCCGATTCGACCCATATACCAGCCGAGGGTATTGATGCCAAGCTGAATAGTTTGGGATATGGGCCCGATGGAGACCGACAGTTGGTGGAGGCAATCCTAGAGTTTTCGCGCCTACTTCTGGAAAAGTGCGGCAATCGCAGTTTGTACAACAGCAGCGAGCGCCTGGGTGATCTCCTGAACACTACATCGCTGTCCCTCCTGCAAGCTACTCTGCGTTTGTCACTCTGCTTGGCTCAAAGATATCACTCTCGCCAGCGAGGAACCCACCAGCAGACTATGCTGGCAACCCATTATAATATCGACTTGGAGAAGCTTTACAAGATCGCTGCGCCTTTCCCGCGCCCGTTAATTGTCAGCAAAACTCCACTTGTTGCGCCCCACGCTGTCTCGGTCAAGGGAAAGGAAAGTGCTGTACAGACCAAGCTCAATGCAAATGAACTGGTCTCACTCGTGCGCGACAATGAGGATTGGGAAGAATGGGGGACCATTCGCCTTCTCTATTATCCTTCTGGCTCCTCAGAGCAGACACGAACCAACTCCGAGGTTGGACAAACCGATGTCATTTCCCACGCTCCGTCCACGCCGACTCCTCTCCGGCGCAGTGCTACTCATCCTACACCTCGGTTGAGCCGTGGATCAAACGTGGAAGAGTCTCCCGCAGGTGCTCTTAACACCACCGGAATACCAGACGAGCCATCTCGCAGTGGTAAATTCCTGGACCTTCCATACTCGAAAGTCTCTTCAGACAAAATAGAGGATCTCCTTGCAACCAACCTGCCACATCTGCCTCTCGAGTCGAAGTATGAGTTGCTTCACAAAGCTCGTGTTGCCCAGGCTCTGACTGGGTCACGTGCCTCTCGTGAACAGATTCTGGCGATCCGGATATTGGCCGTGACGAACCTCGCCTACGTCAGTACCGAATCCGTATTCCAGCAGAAGGTCCTTCAATATGACATGGAACAATCAAAGCGTCTTCAGCTGACGTACCAATTGGCCGAACTCGTTCACCTGGGCGCTAGTGGCGACCTCGAAGTATCGAGAACGGTGCAGGCCTTAGCCATCCAAGCCCTCGATGCGCTTGCCAAACACAAAGCTCGCGCAAATGACGTCTGTGCAGCCCTGAGTGTCAATGTCAATCATGGGGTCCTGATGTTCCTGACTCGTAAGGTCGTTAATGAGTTGAGTGCTGAGGATGATAGCACGGATGATCCTTACCATGACGAATGGCGTGATGCGCTTCTTGCTCTTTTGCGCACACTTCCGAGCTCCAGCTCTCGCACTCCGGAGACTCTCGTCGCCGCAGGTCTTATCCCCATGTTCGTAGATATCCTCAATCTTCGGACGGAGAAAGCTCGTCGGGTTTACTCGCGCATAATGGAGTTCCTTGATACCTTTGTTCATGCTGTCCGTGATGCATTGGGTACTCTGACTGCGGCGAAGGGCTTTGATGCTATCTCTGATCTGATCGACCATGAGACCAAGACTGCCTTCGAGAGGGTCTCCCGTGGAGACGGATTCCCCGCCAAGTACAAGAATCCGTCCATTGATTACCAGATTCCCTATTTCCAGCAGCAGACGTTGCGGTGGATGTTCCGCTTTGTTAACCACATCATGCAACACAATGGTGGTGGCTTTGACCGTGTTCTGCGAAACCTTATTGATTCCCCTCAGTTGCTTACCTCCTTACGGTTGGTGTTCGAGAACGCGCGGATCTTCGGTTCCCACGTTTGGAGCAATGCTGTGAATATTCTCAGCAGCTTCATTCATAATGAGCCTACAAGCTATGCTGTCATCGCTGAAGCCGGCCTCAGTCGGAGTCTACTTGCCGCCGTGATGGGTCGTGAGCTCCAAGCCAAGGAGAAGCCGCCTGCGGTGGAACCCGAAGTCGCCGCTCCTCAAGAAGGCGATTCCTCTGCTCAACCGCCCACTGTTGCACCTGCTTCTCCCGTTGAGGAAAAGAAGAAGGACAAGGAATACATTCTTGCTAGGCCAAAGGATACTCCTCTTGCTCCAGGTATCATCGCCGCTGCGGATGCTCTTGCGTGCATTCCCTCGGCATTTGGCGCTATTTGCTTGAACTCTTCGGGATTGGACCTCTTCCAGTCCTCTGACGCGCTTGAAAGCTTCTTTGAAATTTTCGAGAACCCCGAACATGTCAAGTGCTTGAAGGATGATCCTAACCTGGTGCGATCCCTGGGTACAACATTCGATGAGCTTGTTCGCCACCACCCAGCCCTGAAGGCCTCTATCATGACTGCCGTTCTTGTCATGGCTGCCCGTGTCAATCTCCTCGGCAGGGTCAAGGCCTGGGAGCTGGGAATGGGCACCAAACTGTGGCAGGAGGATTCAGACGGTCAGCTTGTTCTCTCCGGAGATATCTTTTCCCTGTTCCGTGAGATTGGTGCTCCTGTCGATGTGTCGGTCGAAGATCCGACCGCCATCGGCGCTCCTCAGCTGAATGCTCATTCTCTTCCAAATGGTGGAAAGCTTGTCGTAGGCGATATCAACCAGCTCCTCCCGTCGCCGCAGGCCAGCTTCGAGCCGATGGATAAGGATGAACATGGCCTCACTGTCACAGACTATCTGTTCCCTGCCATCCGCTTCCTGGGCGCCTTCTTCGAGAACCAGCCAAATTGCTCCTCTTTCATTCTTGCTGGTGGTGCAGAGTTCGTCTTGGACTATGCTACACTTCAGAGTCTGTCGTTCGATTTTCATAACACAGATGCCAACCAAGAGCTTACGGTCCTGGTGCATATGCTTGCTGAGACGAAGCCGCACCTGATTATACCGTCTCTCCTGCACCGTGCCCAGTCAGCAGTTAACAATCTCGAGTCCTTCTGGACTGCCCCCAAAGAGTCCGGCTTCTTCACGCCACTGACCAAGCCGACTGACTCAAAGGAGCCCGCACCAGAGCCGACCCCGGCTGTCAACCATGGCACTTTCTTCGTGAAACACATGAATGCTGTTCTTGTTCTCACAGATTTACTTCGCGAGATCTATGCCATGCCTCTGTATCAGACGCGGTCTGCTCAACAGAGCTATCCTTTCAGCCAGGTCGTACTTGCAGACAAGTACTCCACCCTTGTTTCTTCACTTGGCAACCTTCATGCTGCTTGCGTCTGGGAAGAAATCATGCTGGAGAAGAACATCCCGGAGAAATGGGTGCAAGCCACGAAGAACCCTTCGGACAAGCCCGGGTCTCAACCTGGAGCTGGCGCTCCTCAGGCCAATCCATCAGAGGTCCCTGCTACTGCTGGAACTCAGCCTGAAGGTTCGGGCGCGGCCGAGGGCAGCAAGCCCGCCGTCACAGAAGAAGTTGAAAGCGAGGAGAGCAAGGCGGCGACAGAGCGGAGTGCTGCTTTCAAGAACGTTCAAACTCTTCGTTATCTTCTGAGCTCGCTCCCCTCCTCAATCACGGGCTTCTTCCACAACCTGGGACTTGGCCTTATCACCCGAAAGCGGATGGAGAACAACAATACTGCGAGGCAAAATTCTAACATGGTGGCTGATGCTATTGCCGAAGCTGTGCTTCGAGAACTGCAATTCAGGCCCGCCAATTCGTGTGACAGCTCGAGGCACCGCTTCGCCTATCTCATCGTCATCCTTTCTTCATTCTCGCATCTGCTCTACGAAGTGACTGCCGAGCGTCCCCAATCTAACTACCTTACTCTTGTTCTCGTCGCCTTCAAGCGAAATAATGGGTTGAAGGTCTTGAAGGACATCTGCGAGATCTTCATGCGCGAAGTCAAGGCTCTCGAGCCAGCCCAGAACGATCCTGACAAGACTGATAAAGAGTTGGCTGATCGGCTTACTTCCGCTTACGGTGGAATAAAGATTATACTTGCGCTGTTCTCCGAGCTCGCTGCTGGAAAGAGTATCGTTGAGTCCAACCAGACACAGGCCCTGACTAGCCACCATGATCGCGATCGTGATCGCCATGATTACTTCCAGCCCGGCCAATTCTTGGTTGATCTTCGCATGGAAATTCTTCCCATGGCCCAGGATATGTGGAACTCGGAGTTCGCGACCCAGTCTTCAAGCCAAATTATTAAGTGTTTGGTTGACATCCTTCGATCCTCGCTGGATGGAGAGTATGAGACTGGTGCCGCGCACAGGTCGGATATCGCCCCTGCCGTGGTCGAAGCCACGAAGAAGCCCTTCATGATCAACAAGGACAAGCTGGCGATTCTGACCGGAAAAGGGTTCGAAGACTCCGAGCTTAATCACGAGGCTTTGTACCGCTGCAACAACAATGCCAATTATGCGGAGGAATACTGCAATGCGCGCAAGTTCCTCCGGTCCCCGCCTAGAATGCCTCCTGGCCCTGGTGATGTTCAGACTGGCCCATCTGAGGCCGCTTCTGGTGGTGATGGCCCTGAAGACAATGGCCTCGGGGATGTTACCCCTCTTAGTCATGGTCTTTTGGACCAAGGTGGTCTTGCCATGATTTTGGCTCAGGCTGGACGTCCTGTACGTGATTCATTGAACGATGACGATGACACTGGAAGTATGGCACCTGCCATGCGCGATGGCCTGGCTCGAGCCATTTCCAACGTCCTGAACGAGGAAGAGGGTATCCGTGGTGACCGCGAAGATCCTCTCTTCGAAACGGATAGTCAGCATCCGGCTCGCCGGGCAGCCCAGGCATTCTCTGAGTCTGCCGATCGACAACCTCCGAGAGTCAGCCAAACCCAGAGAGAGGGTCAGAGAGAAGAGGTGGTTGAGCGACGCCAGCTGACTACCGTCGAAGATCTGGATGCCCAAAGAGAAAAGGTCCGGGCAAACCTTATTGAGCGATCCCTAGATGTCCTGAATGAGCACCATGACGTTTCTTTCGAGCTGGCCGACTTGATCTCATCTGCTATCAAGAAGCATCCTGAACCGGAGAGCTTCCGAAGGGACGTTGGCGAGACTCTTGTCCAGTCACTCGTCTCGCTGCAGATGGAGAACTTCCAGACAGCAGGCAAGAAGGTTGCTGCCTATGCACACATTCTTGCTTTGGTTCTCCAGGATCGGGAAATGTACAACGCCACTCTCGAGGAGCTGAAGGATTGCTTCTCAACATTCCTTGGCTTTATCAAACTCCCCACTCCCGAGAAGTCTGCAGATGAGACTTTTCCGTGGATCGGTCATGTCTTGCTCATTCTAGAGAAGCTGCTATCTGATGATTGTCAACCACCGCAGATCACCTGGTCTCCGCCAAGCCTTGACGATCCGAACGGTGGCAATGTCGGCCCTGCACACCTTGAAGAACCTCTTGTCTCTCTCGAGGAGAAGACGCAATTATTCGAGGCTCTGGTGGAAATACTGCCTCGTATTGGCAAAGATGATGTTCTCGCGCTATCCGTCTGCCGAGTTTTAGTCATTCTCACCCGTCACCGTAGCATTGCCTCCCGCTTTGCGCCAAAGCGAAATTTGCAGCGCCTCTTTGTTATGGTTAAGCAATTAGCTAGCGCCACAAACGACAAGCTTCAGAGTGCCTTCATGTTGATCTTGCGACATATTGTCGAAGATGAAGCTACGATCCGACAGATCATGAGTGCAGAGATTGTTGGCAACTTTGAGAGTAAGCCCTCTCGCCAGATTGACACCACTGGCTATGTGCGACAGATGTATCATCTTGTCCTCAGGAGCCCAGAGATCTTCGTTGAGGTCTCTAACGAGAAGCTGCGTCTGGTGCGGTATGATGGTAGCCATCGCACACAAGCCCTCGCATTGAAAGAAGACCGCAATGTTCGTCAACGCCAGGAGAAGGATGCCAAAAACAATGAGTCTTCCACTGCCGAGGCATCGTCGACTGCCGAGGAGAAGGTCAAGGAGAAGGAGAAAGACAAAGGCCAAGCTAAGAATACCGACTTGAAGCCTCCCGTTGTGGAGAACCCTGACGGGGTTATTCACTACCTCCTTTCTGAGCTTATGTCCTATAAGGATGTGGATGACAAGGAGCCTGCAACGACAGAATCAACAGAACACCCGGTCCAGGATCAGTCTGAACCTCAAACCGATGTTGAGATGTCCATGGATGAGCCCACCCCTTCGGTGACCAGTAGCGCTGATGCCCAGACTAGTCGCGCACCCAAGAAGGGCGAAAAGCCATTGTTCAAGGCCGAGGACCATCCTATCTACATCTACCGATGTTTCCTCCTTCAGTGCTTGACTGAACTTCTTGGCTCCTACACCCGGACCAAGGTCGAGTTCATCAACTTCTCGCGTAAGGCTGATCCGCTCGCTTCGACTCCTTCTAAACCTCGATCCGGCATTCTCAACTATATGCTGAATGCACTTGTGCCTCTCGGCACTATGGAACACGATGAGACTCTGGCTTTCAAGAAGCGCAGCATCACCTCCACCTGGACTATGCAGGTGCTTGTGGCCCTGTGCACCAAGACATATGAATTGCCTGGTTCCAGACGTCGGACTGAGCAGAAGCCAACTGAAGAGGATGAGCAGGAGGTGGCTTTCGTTCGCCGCTTTGTGTTGGAGCATGCTCTCCGCTCCTTCAAGGACGCCAATGCATCAACCGAACCCTTGGATGTCAAGTATTCCAAGCTCATGTCCTTGGCAGACCTCTTCGATAAGATGCTTAGTGGGTACTCTTACTCCCAGGATGCGGGCTTCCCCAATTCGGCAAGACAAATCGCAAAGGCCATGTTTGAAAAGCACTTCATTCCTGCGCTTACTGCCTCAGTTGCTGAGATTGACTTAAACTTCCCTTCGTCCAAGCGTGTCATCAAGTATATTCTGCGTCCAATCAACAAACTCACTCAAACTGCTGTGATGCTCAGTGACAATGGCGAGATTTCAACATCCAGCTCAGGTGAAAACGAGGATGACGAGATTTCATCCGCCACCTCCGTTTCGGACATGGAAGATGAACGAGAGGAAACTCCTGATCTTTTCCGTCATTCTACGCTTGGTATGCTGGAGCCCCGCCATGAGGAGGAAACTAGCTCCGAAGAGTCCGAAGGCGAAGACGATGAGATGTATGATGACGAATATGACGATGAGATGGACTACGATGAGGATGTTCCTGAGGACGACGGTGAAGTTGTCAGCGATGAAGAAGATGACGTGGACGGTATCGGTCCCATCGAAGGTCTTCCTGGGGATGCAGTCGAAGTCATAATCGACGATGAGGACGACGACGATGATGACGATGAGGATGACGACGATGATGATCTTGACCACTCAGACATGGAAGAGGACGATGACATCTATGCCGGAGAAATCACCGGCGATCGTGACAATGAGAGCCTCGACGATGGTGAAGACGATGAGTGGGAGAGCGAAGAGATCACAGAAGATGAGGAAGAGGCCGAGATGATGAACCAGTTCGAAGATGAGCTGGCTGACATGCGTCAATCCAATCGGCCCGATGCCCAAAACCGCATTAACGACCTGTTCCGCGCTCTCAACCAAGCTACCGGCGTGGATGGTCTTCACGATCATCCTCTTGGAGGTGATATTCATGATGAGATCCTCGATGATCTGAATGAGGAAGGAGGTTCGTCATTACCCCATTCCTCTCCACCACTCTTCATTATTGATCAACGAATTACAGAAGACGACGAGATGGACGAGCTTGAGGAGGAAGCCGATGACTATGATGATTATGACATGGACCAAGGGTCTGAAGGAGACATGGAAGGTGAGCAGCGTTTAATGTGGCTTACCTGGGATGAGTTAAGGCTAACAAAAAGCGTTCTACTAGATGATGATCTCCTTGAGCCCTGGGGTTGGGAGGGCGATGAGCCCCCACCACCTCGGCATCACCATAACCGCATGCGTGGTGGCCCTCCCCCTGCCTGGGCTGCTGTCACTGAAATCATGCCTGGCCGCCATGGTGGCCTCGTTCCGATCCAGCCCTTCCACCGTGTCCACAGAAACCAGGTGCCATCCCGTGGTAATGACGATGGAACTAACCCTCTCCTTGTTCGAAACGACCGCGGTACCGATCCTAATGCTCATCTTCGAGCACCCGGTGCTGAACTCTTTGCTGACTGGGCTCAACTAGACGGCGGTAGTCGTTTTGTTCAACTGGATAGCCCCATGAGCTTCATGAATGCCATTATGGCTGCTATCGGTGGTGGGCAGCAGGCACCCGGGTTGGGAGTTGTCACTCGCCCCGATGGTATCCACGTTCATGTCGACCGACGGGCAATCCTGCCTAACCGTCTCACCGACTTGTTTGGAGGCGGCCGGCCTCAGACTTCACAATCTCGCCGCGATGATCCTCACAATGCGGTCAAGTTTACTCTTTCCACCACGAGACACCGTTGGCAGGAAGAAGCTCGTATCCTCTTCAGCAGTACCTACGCGGAGAAGTGCCAACGTGTTGTCAACTCTTTGTTGAGAGCTATGGTCCCTCCCGCTATTCAAGAGGAGAAGGTGCGCCGCAAGCAACTGGAAGATGAGAAGAAACGTGCCGATGAGGAACGGGCTGAGGAAGAACGCAAGGAGCAGGCTGCTCGCGAGGAAGAAGAGCGGGAGCGCAAGCGCAAGGAAGAAGAGGAGAATGCCCGGCGAGAGGCCGAGAGAGAACAGCTGGAAGCGGAGCGACAAGCTACCGGAGTCGCTGAGCCCATGGAAGATATTCAACAGTCCGATGCCGCGGCTGAAGCGGCCAGCTCTGCTCAACCTGAGGCAGAGCCTGTAGAGCCAGCCCAACGTGTTCACACTACTATCCGGGGTCGCCAGCTTGATATTACTGGGCTAGAGATTGACCCTGAGTACCTGGAGGCTCTGCCCGAGGAGCTTCGAGAGGAGGTAATCATGCAGCAGCTTGCCGAGCAGCGATCTCAAGCTGCCGCTGCCGGTGAGGAGCCTACCGAGATCAATCAGGAGTTCCTGGAAGCCTTACCCGCGGAGATCCGAGACGAATTGCTACAGCAGGAAGCCGCTGATCGGCGGCGACGGGAACGTGAGACTGCACGCCGGCAGGCTGCTGCTGGCGGTGCCGCACCGCGCGCTGAGGACATGGATGCCGCTAGTTTCCTTGCTACCCTAGATCCCTCTTTGCGCCAAGCCGTTCTCGCCGATCAGCCCGAGGACGTGCTTGCAACATTGGGCCCCGAGTATCTTTCCGAGGCCCGAGCTCTAGGTGGCCGCCGCATTGCGCAGTTCGGCGATATCACCGGTGCTGGAATGGAGCATCGCCCTAGAAATGAGCCCGCTGGTGATCTGGAAGCTAAGAAGACTCAAAGACGCCCGGTTGTTCAAATGCTCGATAAGGCCGGTGTCGCAACCCTGCTTCGTCTGATGTTCATGCCTCTTCAGGGCAATGCACGCCACTTGCTGAACGATATTCTCCACAACGTTTGCGAGAACCGTCAAAACAGAGGCGAAGTCATCAGCCTTATTCTTTCTGTCCTGCAGGATGGCAGTGTTGATTCTTCTGCGATTGAGCGCAGTTTCTCGCATCTTTCTCTTCGTGCGAAGGCCCCTGGTGCTCCGAAGACTCCCCAGTCTGCCAAGCGCAATATCTCTCTACAGACGTCTTCGAGCATCAGCAGCGAAGTCACTCCAATCATGGTGGTGCAGCAGTGTCTGGCAACGCTTTCTTTCCTTGCCCAATTCAACCCTCACATTCCTTGGTTCTTCTTGACCGAGCATGATTCGGCTTCTTCTCTCAAGCTGAAGGCCCTCCGCAAGGGCAAGGGTAAGGAGAACCGCGCCAACAAGTTCGCCCTCAATGCTTTACTCACTCTACTGGATCGCAAGTTGATCATGGATAGCCCGAACTGTATGGAGCAGCTGTCCAATCTCTTGAGCAGCATTACCCAGCCGCTTACTGTTCTCCTCCGCCGTGAGAAGGAGAAACACGAGGAGCAAGAGAAGGGCAAGAAGCCTGTGGATGCTCCGACTGAGGAGGCTACTGAACAACCTGCGGAGCCTACTGAATCTGGCGCGGACACCACCATGACCGACGCACCTCTGCCTACTGTTGAGAATGCTGAAGATCAGGGTACCACTGCGGATGGTGAAGTGGCTGGGGACGAAAAGAAGGCTGGCGATGAGCAGTCTACTGATGAGAAGCGCAAGCGCCGATCCATTGAGCCCCCAGTAGTTCCCGACCACAATCTCCGACTGGTTGTTCACATTCTTGCAGCTCGTGAATGCAATGGAAAGACTTTCCGTGACACTCTATCCACCATCAACAACCTTTCGATCATTCCTGGAGCTCGGGATGTCATCGGTGAGGAGCTTGTTGGTCAAGCGCAGACCCTCAGCGATACCATCTTGGCCGATCTTGGAGAGCTTCTTCCTCATATCCACCAGGCTAAGACCGGTACTGACATGCAAGGTCTGGCTCTGGCTAAGTTCTCCCCAGCTAGCTCCGACCAGGCCAAACTGCTCCGTATCCTTACGGCTCTCGATTATCTCTTCGATCCTTCTCGGGTTGACAAGTCTAAGGCCCCGGAGCCCGAATCCGCACACAAGGAGGATGTACTCAAGAGACTGTATGAGAGTGCTACTTTCGGCCCCCTGTGGACCAAGCTGAGCGACTGCATGACGGTCATTCGCCAGAAGGAGAACATGCTGAACGTGGCCACCATTCTCCTGCCGCTGATCGAAGCATTGATGGTCGTCTGCAAGAACACTACCCTCAAGGATCAGCCGCTGTCTCGTGGCAGCCGTGAGCTGTCTGTCAACAGCGTTTCGGCAGATGCTGGCCTGAGCATGGAAAACCTCTTCTTCAAGTTCACTGAGGAACACCGCAAGATCCTCAATGAGCTTGTCCGTCAGAACCCAAGACTGATGAGTGGTACTTTCTCTCTGCTCGTGAAGAACCCTAAGGTCCTCGAGTTTGACAACAAGCGCAACTACTTCACTCGTCGTGTGCACTCTCGCGGCGCCGAGCCTCGCCACACTCACGCTCCTCTTCAACTCTCTGTCCGCCGTGACCAAGTCTTCCTTGACTCCTTCAAATCTCTGTACTTCAAGAGTGCGGATGAACTGAAGTACGGCAAGTTGAACGTGCGATTCCATGGCGAAGAAGGTGTGGATGCCGGCGGTGTGACCCGCGAATGGTTCCAGGTCCTCGCTCGCGGCATGTTCAACCCTAACTACGCACTCTTCATCCCCGTCGCTGCCGATCGGACTACATTCCACCCCAACCGTCTCAGTGGTGTCAATTCCGAGCATCTAATGTTCTTCAAGTTCATTGGACGGATTATCGGCAAGGCCTTGTACGAGGGCCGCGTTCTGGATTGCCACTTCTCTCGTGCTGTTTACAAGTGTATTCTTGGACGCACGGTTTCTATCAAGGACATGGAAACACTTGATTTGGACTACTACAAGTCTTTGCTTTGGATGCTCGAGAATGACATTACCGACATTATCACCGAGAACTTCGCCATCGAGACCGATGACTTTGGCGAGAAACAGGTGATCGACCTGATCCCTGATGGTCGCAATATCCCAGTCACCCAGGAGAACAAGGAGCAGTACATCCAGCGTGTTGTTGAATATCGTCTGGTGGAGTCTGTGCGGGAGCAGCTTGACAACTTCCTGAAGGGCTTCCATGAGATCATTCCTCCAGATTTGATCTCCATCTTCAACGAGCAAGAACTCGAGCTTCTGATCTCGGGTCTGCCCGAGATTGACGTCGACGAGTGGAAGAACAACACTGAGTACCACAACTACTCTGCATCCTCGTCGCAGATCCAATGGTTCTGGCGTGCTGTCCGCTCCTTTGACAAGGAAGAGCGTGCCAAGCTACTGCAGTTCGTCACCGGCACTTCCAAGGTCCCTCTCAACGGCTTCAAGGAGCTAGAGGGTATGAATGGTGTTAGCAAGTTCAACATCCACCGCGACTATGGCAACAAAGATCGCCTTCCCAGCTCGCACACATGCTTCAACCGTAAGTTTATTTTGTCCCCAATTTTCTTGGTGTCAACACTAATTTTGTCTACAGAGCTTGATCTCCCTGAATATGAAAGCTATGAACATCTCCGCCAGCGCCTGTATACAGCGATGACGGCTGGCAGCGATTACTTCGGTTTCGCATAGACGAGGCTACCTCTACATGCTTATTTCGTGCGCGAGCATTTGATGGCGTTTTCTCCGGGAATATTGGTGAAGGAAGCGAAGGAGAAGGGACGAACAAAAAATTCATGAAACATGTGGCTCTATGCCTCCGGTTGAAGTGCAGGTCAGCTGGTTGCGTGGGTTTTTTTTCTATTTGTACTTAGATTGCTCTATGCTTTTATGGGAATATCCATATTGATTTCTATTTCTTCTCACATGGGTTCTTGGCACTTAAATGTATTGTAAGGTGTCGTACAGTGGCACCTCAAAGAGTCGAACCACCCAGCAAGGCTTCAACTTGGTGGTTTTAGCTATTGCTATCAGACCTCCGCCAAACTTCCGTCTAGAAATGATCTCGAAAAACGGATTCAACCTTCAGAGGTGCCACTGTAGGGCTGGCCTCAATGTTTGGTTTGGCAGAAGTCCAAATCGTCGTCAGCACTAAAGGCGGTAAGCAGTCACGGGACACAGAAAAAAAATGCGGGGCCCAAAGTGGCAGCTGCTGATCGATTTTTTAAAAAGCTCCAGCTCGACAACCGTTTAATCCTGCGAGAATCTCTCTCGTAACGAGCGCGCTCACCATGTCGTCCAACTCTATCAAACTGCTGACTGGCAACAGTCACCCCGAGCTATCCCAGCTCGTGGCTGACCGGTATGTCCTACCTCTTGACGCCCTTGTCCAATATGCGGTTCCCGGCCGCTTTTCTGTCGCTGGAGAGTTCGATCGTTCGTTCTGGAGACTAATCGAGTTCGATATAGCCTCGGCATTGAGATGACCAAGATTATGGTTCTCCAATACTCCAACCAGGAGACCAGCGTCACAATCGGTGAGAGTGTGCGAGACGAAGATGGTACGCAGACTCTGACTCCCCTCACTCGGATCCCGTCGTGAAAAGCAACAAGTCAAGACCTGATCCATAGGGCTGTTGCTGATGATTCTTTCTGCACTCTGCAGTCTTTATTCTGCAATCAACACGTCCTAATGACATCAACGACGGTTTGATGGAGCTTCTGATCATGATCAATGCCTGCAAGACCGCCTCGGCCCGTCGCATCACTGCCGTCATCCCCAACTTCCCCTATGCCCGCCAGGACAAGAAGGATAAGAGCCGTGCGCCTATCACTGCCAAGCTTATGGCCAACATGCTCCAGACTGCTGGCTGCAACCACGTTATCACCATGGATCTGCACGCTAGCCAGATCCAGGGCTTCTTCAATGTCCCCGTGGACAACCTTTATGCTGAGCCCAGTATGCTCAAGTGGATCCGAGAGAACCTTGACGTGAGCAACTGTGTCATTGTCAGCCCGGATGCCGGTGGTGCCAAGCGGTAAGCATATATCTGCAATCGATACCTCGCTGTACTCTGACAATTTTTTTCCGCCAGCGCAACTGCCATCGCCGATCGTCTCGATCTGCAATTCGCTCTGATTCACAAGGAGCGTGCACGCCCCAACGAGGTCTCCCGCATGGTCCTCGTCGGCAACGTCAAGGACAAGATCGCCATCATTGTCGATGACATGGCCGACACCTGCGGCACGCTCGTCAAGGCCGCCGACACTGTCATGCAGCATGGCGCCAAGGAAGTCAACGCCATCGTGGTTCACGGTATCCTCTCCGGCAAGGCCATCGAGAACCTGAACAGCAGCCGCTTGAACCGCCTAGTGGTCACCAACACCGTCCCCCACGCCGAGAAGAAGGAGCAGTGCGATAAGATTGAGACTATTGATATCTCCCCCACGCTGGCTGAGGCTTGTCGGCGTACGCATAATGGCGAGTCGGTGAGCTTCCTCTTCTCGCACGCCGTCGCGTAAAAACCCCTACCATTTACCCTACAATTTGACCCCAATACCCCACCCCTTGGCAAAATCGACTGAGGGGTGTCTTTTCATGCGTGTACGTGTATTTCTGGTTCAATGATGCGAACCTGCGAACGGAGCGAAGGGTGTGCGCCCAAGAAAACAAAATACGATTCTTATGACCAATAATTTCTCTTTTTATTCTACATTGCCGAACGAGAATGCTTTGCTGGGATTTGGTTTCTTCTCATTCCGCTGCTTTTTCTTTTCTTTGAACATCAAGTTCGTCCGTTGTGGCTACGGCTGGCCAACATGATCGTTGCTGTGTCTTGTGCTGCTGCAGGGCTCAACTGCATTCTGCATCTCTGAATTAGTTACTATTTTTATTGAACCACCGTGCTCTTGCTGCCGGTGCTGTCTTCTTGTTCATTTAGATTATCAGAAGCCTCGATGGCCATTGAGTACCTCCCTTTCCTTTCCTTCACTTTCGCCTAGTGTAAGTGCTGTTAGATGTCTTGCTGCTTTGCTGCCGGGTTAATCGTTGCATAGAAAACAGAACCTTTGAAGCTGTCCTTTTCTATTCATGTTGTTTCGTTGCGCCAGGGAGCTTGCAAGGTAACTTCATCTTGTCTTGTGTCGGGGATAGGGACCTGCGTGCCCACCCATGTCTCGGGACCAGGCAGTCTCGGGCACTAGACAGGAACAGAAGCTGTTTCATGGACTCGATCGATATTTAAAATGGGGTTTAAACAAATAAGACCTTGATTTAACCGAGACTGTCGTTCATGCCGAGACATGTCTGGCGTCAAAATGTTTTGTTGACATAAACTGGGATCACCGAGTCTACAGAAACCTAACTGTATATATTCGCTGGAGCGGGTGGTTTTTGGGTGTTGCTAGCATAATCGCTGTTTTCGGCGCTTGAAAGCCCTACAAAGTCCAATCCCCTCTCATGCTCCTCAACATTCCTTGCCATTTAAATATGACTTGGCTGGATAAAAACAAAAGCTGCATTGATAAACCTCCCTCCCCCCCCCTTCCAAGCCTACCGTACCTGGTTTCTCACCAGGCCGCAGCCATTGCAGTGGCGATGTATTGTAGATACCAGCCGCTGTCTAGTACCTAGGTCACTCACTATGTGCCAGCTTCCATCCAAAGGCCCATTAGGTAAACATAACGCCATGATGACCACCCAATATATATCTATTACTGGCGTCTCAGTCTGGCAAAGGGGACCCACCCGATTGGAAGAAGGCGAAATTGACTTTTTGCTCTTCACGGATAAGATTTGCGGATCGAGACTACCGTATCATTTCTGGAGGAAGCTTCATTTGTATTGTTTGTATTTTTTGGTGCACGGAGATGGGTTCCTAGATATACTGTAGATGAACGCGGCGACTTCGCAAATACACGCGCGGGGCACAAAAGACCTAGGCCACGTGATTATCACCACACTCAGCTTCATAGCATCATTCAAGGCATGCTATGAAATTTCTTGCTTTGTTATATGTCGTTGTAATGACTACTGATTATATATATATAGTAGATTGTGTCGGTCCAGTCGGTATAGAACTGGGAGACTCAAACCTTTTGCTTCCTTCTGCGGGCTAGGAGGCATCCGGGTCGCGGTTGTCGGAATATCTGGGCGCATCTTTTATGATTTATTTTTGGTCTTGGCAAGTCTTTCGGTTGCAGGTTATAGTGGTGAATAATAGACTGCTTGGCTGGTACATTGGCTTTTTTGTGGAGACGTGTAATGGCGAGGGATGAGATCCCATGGATGTCAGAGAGATAGGGCTAATTATAACCTCACAACCCCGGAGGGGGTGCACCCCCACACTTAAATTTTAGGTCTGCATTCGAACAAGCCTAGAATAATGTTAGTGAATTATGCGGTCTATGTTTTAAATGCATAGGTCCTCGACCCAAGGACCTCTTAAGTAACCCGGGAAAGGGGCCGTGGCGGATGTACACCCCGTAGGACTCCGTAGGCACGTCCTACATATGGTAGTCAAAAGGAAACGTTGGCCCTTGACACGTTTTTACACTACGGCAGACATAAGCAGCTAAGAAACAATGAAATTTGCATGCACTCCATTGAAAAAGGGTTGTCAAAAGGTAAGGTTCAACACAGATGCATCGCCCAGGCGCCCGAATCACCAGCGCACCCGGGAAGGGTGGTCCACCATCCCCCCTGGTCATTTTTTTGGCCTTGCCCCTTTTTCGTTTTTATCAGACATATTTCGCCGTCTGCTGGGAATGATACCTCCTTCCCGGTTGAGGAAGGAGAGATCCCGAAAACCATTGCCCAGAAAACGTGAAGCTCTTCCTCCTAACCATTAAACCCCGTCCCGCAGAAATGAATCATAACACCGCGGGTGAGATTTACTTCCGCATGGAAGATGCGCGACGCTTGCGGAGCTCATCACGCTTGGCCTTCTCCTCGTGGACACGGTTGGCCAGGAGCTTGGCGTAGTCGTTGCTGTGAACCCATGTTAGTTTGGAAAACCAGAATATCTTGCACATTTCGTTGTGGGGAACTTACGCAGCCTCACGGGCAGCCTCAGCACGGCGGCGCTTGATGGCGACCTGGTGGCGCTTGCGCTGCAGGCGCTGGGGAGTAACAAGACGCTGGATCTTGGGGGCCTTGGTGTACTCGGGCTTGCCCTCCTTGGTGACGGTACGGCGGACAACGAACTTGCGGACATCATCGTCCTTGGACAGGGCGAAGAAGCGGCGGATCTTGGTGGCACGCTTGGGGCCGAGGCGCTTGGGGACGACGGTGTCGGTCAGGCCGGGGAGGTCGCTCTCACCCTGCTTGACGATGGACAGAGCCAGAACGGACAGGTCCAGACCGGTGATAGCTGGAGAGTGTCAATGCGGTTGACTCGCTTGGTTGGTTCGAATGGCAAAGGGTACACATACCACCACGGATGGACTTGCGCTTGCGCTCACCAGTGCGGCGGGGGCGGTAGCAGCTGTGGCCGTCGGCGAGGAGCAGACGGGTACGGGTGGGGAGGAGGACTAGACAACCGATGAGTATAATGCGTTGTGAAATTTTTTTTGGTCGTCATTTTCCTGGCTTGTGTGGCCAGGGAAAGAGAGTCGGATTCAGAACGTACCACCCTGCTTCATGGGGAAACCTGTATATTCAAATCCAGTCAGCCATCATGTTCCATTTGCACTTGTCTATCGATCGAATCATTCATTTCGAAGGGGGAAGTCGTACCCTGCTTGTCGTTACCACCGGTAATCTTGAAGAGGTAACCCTTGAACTCATCGCCGAGCGAGTCACCGGTAACCTAATCGAAAGAAAAACCCAATCAGCCCATTCGTTCTTCGCAATTGTATATTTCGTGTATGTGTGTGTGTGTGTGTGTGTGTGGGAGGCGTCGAGAGAATTTTCGGAGTGGATGTGTGCATGCTGGAGATCGGGGACGGGGATGCTGACTTCGGCGCCCATGCGCTTCTCCATGAAGGGACGCAGCTTGCGCTCATCGTCGATCTCGATAATCTTTTGCGACCCATTGGCCGGGTAGGAGATGTTGAGCTTCATCTTGACGGAGGTTGCGCGGTCAAGACGGTAGCGCGGGAGTTGGCGACGGGTGAGGTTGAAGGGTTCGGCTTTGTGGATTTTTCGGATTGCTGAGGGTTGGTGTAGCGAGTGTGTGTGGCTGACTCAGCCTACACTAGCCGAGTTGGGAGCAGCCCTGAGTCAGCATCGCTAACCCCATCATGTGACTGGGGAGAGACCAGAAACGGTCACATGACATTGTCAGTCCGGTGAATGGGCTTCCTGAGAATCTAGTTCATTGGTCACTAACTTACTGTACTAGTTACTCTCGTTACGAATTTAGCTAACTGATTCAATCACTCTGCATGAGGTCCAAGACTGCCGATTAACGCACCCGACCTGTTCACCCAACAGCAGAACACATCTACTCACCTGTGATGCTGTGTTCCCTTTGTCATCTGGCAACATTCTCGCACTGCGTATGTCCTCTTCTCACGCGGTGTCAAAAAAAGCCACGATTTGCATAGACAGCCCCAGATTGATGTCATTAGCGGGATAAGGTGATCAAATGTGGCCCCATCATAGCATTTCACCCAATAAGATCAGCGCGGGCGAGGTTCTTAGACCTTCATGGGAAGAAGTCAGGGATTGCAAGATCTCTAGAATTATGGAAGATATCTTCCTATTTACTGCCAGAGCTTAGAAGAAGAAGAGGAAGAAGTAGTAAATCCTCAGCTACTATGTGACTGACGATGGATATCGGCGGTCGCTCAATTTCAAAAGCAGGGGCGCTAAGCCGGGAAGGAGTGGCATTAATCTCTCTCTTCAATCCTCAGTCGAACAATTACTCTCGAAGATTAGAAGAGACCACGGGCTTGTGTTTCAACCGGGCTATACACTTGCACTCCAACCACTATAGACCTCACACGGACACAGAGGGGAAGCGGCAATTGGCGGGGCACGGACGGACTCGCAACCCTCTCACCTAGAGAACATCAACAGAATCTCTCAGACTCTCTCGCTCTCTCGCCCCATTTTCTAGAACAATGACTCTCGGGTGTCCCCCGATGTTATTTCCGACCAAGGCCACCATAGTGCAGCAGGAGACATCTTGGCACCGCGCATCCCGGTCACTCGTATACCGTACAGCTTGCCGCTTCAGGGGGCGCAGGCGCCCCGATCGCGCCGCACCCCACCGGCCATGAGCTACGGCAGCACAGCAGCGCCCCCTGGCGTGGTGGCGCCCGCCTCGTCATGCTCGGCCACGACATTCCAGCTCCCAATGGAACCATTGGGAGACGGCAGGCACAACAGTCTGAACGCTGTAGTCGGGCAGCTGTGAAAGCAGACGGAGTACGGAGTGCCTTTGGGGGGGATGCGAAAAACCTCGTGCCCTTCTCCCGTGTTGGGAGTAGCGGATCGCTTTCGTATGCGGCGGAGATGGAAAGCGAAAACTTGGGATAAGCAATGCCCCCCTCACCACCACTGCACGAGGCTGCTGCAGTGCAGGGGCCACCACATAGACCATAGACCGGGTAGTTCGGAGTATCGGAGTACTATGGAGGATAAGCTGTTTCCTTAAGTCGAGGCCGGGTGCACGCGATGTCTTTCCATGTTGAGCGGGCCCCCCCCCCGGCCGGCCACGCGGCCAAGAGGCTTAGGGCCAGAAGAGTAAAATGAGAGCGCTAGACTCCTCGTCACCTCCATCCGAGTATTATCCTATTCTTATATTTTTCCTATAATCGTCGCAAACCCGGTGGTTATCCGGGCCCTGAACAGGATGTGCCACTAACTCGCGTCCGAATAAAAGTATTGCAACCATTCCGGTCGACACTCCGGACCAAATCCCCCCATCTGCCCTTCTACAGAAAGTGGTTCGCCCACTTTTCCCGACCTCCCCCCAATTCTTCCTGGCCCGCCTCGTTGGGCCCCGCTAGATTTTCCGGCTCTCCCGGTGGAGATTTCGTCGTTCTCCCCAGACTCGCTGATCTCTCCTTTTCTTCTGCATATTTCCCCAGTACCGTGAGGCTATCGTCAGTCCTGCCGTGAGATCCTGGCTGAGAAGAAATAGCCTTTTACGGAGCGACCCTCTCAGCACGGCGCCAAGTGGAGTGGCGGTCATAGAGTGCTACTGTACCTCCAGCTACCAGAGACGACGTCAACGCCAACGCCCACTCGACCCTTCTCGACACCCCCGATCGCAGCACAACTGAATGCGCTGAGCCCGGCGATTCACGATCGGGTTCTCTCCCTTGTTTTTTCTTCCTCCCCACCCCCTGTGAGATCTATACGCCGGGACTCGAGCGCCTACTCCCCGGCGCTCCCGCTATACCATGATGCGCCTATCCAACCGATTCTACGCCCTATGCGCCGTGGCCGCGTGCACTATCCTCTACTCCGCGTGGTTTCTCACCTCCCGCAACTTTGGCGACATTGTTCCACTGACATCCGAGAAATTTCGCACGGCGACCTCGTTTGACCAGCGATTAGTGGTCTTCGGAGATTCGTGGAGCGATAACGATACGGGGGATGAACGGGGGCACGTATGGACGGATCAGCTTTGTGAGATGGTAAGACGTGCCGATCCCCTCGGGAGAAACCTGTCTAGGAGGAACCCTCTCCCCCTTTAAAGGACAAAGTACTGACACATTCCATCGCCGCAATCTAGTTCTCATGCCACCAAGAAAACCTCGCTCAAACTGCAAAGTCCGCGCTCAGGGGCAAATACGCCGGCTCGGTGGTAGATAACGCCGAGCTCGACCTGTTCGGCCGCCTGTCTCAGACCAAGCTGGCTGATTTTAAAGGCCAGCTTCAGCAGTGGCTGGATGCGGAGTCGGCCTCGCTGGCGGGCCTGACCGAGGAGCAGATCCGCTCGCGCCAAGAGCGCACCATCTTCGTCGTCTCCTTCGGTGTCTGGGACATCTGGAGCCTCGTGACCAAGGATTACAATACGGCGACCGGCTCGGTCGAGCGGCGCATCTCCACGCTGGTCAAGCAGCTGAATTACTTATCCGAGCGCTGGGGCTCCGGCTCTGACAGGCTCAAGGTCATCCTGACACAGACCGTCGACGTGACCTTCCTGCCAGGCTTCACGGCCACTGGCGGTGACGAGTACAAGGACGCAGTGCGCATCCTGGAGACTTGGAATAAGGGACTGAGGCAGGCGGCGAAGGAATGGGACCGCGGTACCATCTACTTATTCGACACGAATGCCTTTGTGATGGATCGCATCCGCGATTGGCAATTGTATGCGGCGGGCATTGAGGAGGAAAATGGACTGGGCAAGAACCGGGATCCTGGGTGGGAGGATGTCGAAAACGCCTGCGTCGAAAGCGAGAGTGGCTTCCAGGTCATGATGTCAAAAGACAAGTCCAAGGTGAAGGAAACGTGTGAGCACCCTGACAAGTATCTATTCTGGTATGTCCCCGGTCCTTTTTTTTTTTTTTTTTTTTTTTGTCGTAGCGATCGACATGCTCGAATACCCATTTTTGCTGATTGCGACACACCAGGAACGATATGCATCTGGGACCCAGCGCCCACCGTCTCATGGCGACAGAGATCTACCATGGGATTGACGGCGTACTCCTGAACCCTGGCGCAGGCTCCGGGTCCACCTCCAAGTCGGAAGAGACAGTGGCCAAGAGCATCCCAGCACCCAAGCGCCACAGCCGACGGAGCTCTGCAGCTTAGACATTGTCATGAATCAAAGATCAAACCCAGCCCATACTGTTCCATGTTCCACGGCCCGTCTCACATCGAGCTCTGTAGAATGGGCGCCGGTATCCGCGACCAAACGGACCCTCACCTAGACCCAGCAGCAACATCGTCACCGGTGGCAGGGCAGGGGCAGAGCCAGACAGACACCGCCAGGATAGATAGGCCGAACGGGGCTCTTTCTCATGTCTCCTGTCTCATGTCTCATGTTTCAATGGACGTCTCGGATCCCGATGCGGCGTGGATGGAGAGGTTCCAGCCGGTTGGGACGGCGGACACGGTAGTACGAGCTGGTCAAATCCACCAGGGGCGGGCGACAGCGCAACCTCAAGTGACGAAAGGAAACGGCGCTGGCCAGCCACACTTGCCCTGTACCGCAGTACCGGAGCACTTCGGTAGTGGTGCTCTCTGGGTGGTATTGTTCCATCGCGATCGTTGCAACGGCGGGTGGAGCCTTCGATCGGCGGGAGATGAGATCATCTTCGATCGTTTCTGCCAGAGTGGAGCCCCCTGCGCACGGGCAGTGGGAGTGGTCGACGCTGTCAGCTTTTGCTTTGGCGCGTTCCGCCTGAATCAGCCGGGCCATGAGTTTGCTGCACTGCGGCTACCCGGTCAATGCGTGGTCGTGGTTGTCGTGGTGGTCGTGGGTTTCCTTTGGGGGTGCGGGGATTGCTTTTTCTTTACTGCTTGTGATTCAGGGCCCGTGTCTGATTGGCGGTCGCGCTGCCCCTTTGCCGGATCTGCTGATCTGCCTGAGCTGTCGGGTCTGTCGGGTTTGTCGGGTCGACCTGGTTTGGCGTGGATGGACGAGGTTCTTTGTTCGCCATATTTGCTGGGGAACCGACGACAGACCTGGCGGAGTCGCCCCGACCAATCAGGCCGCCCGACCCTGCGAGTCGCCGCATGCGGAGATGGCAGACAAAGAAAACAATGATTCTCCTGAGTTTTTGCGGGCCATCCATTGGATTCTGCTGGATCGTGTTTGCTTCGATGATGCGCTGGATCGCCAGAGTTACGTCTGACTTCGTTGCAAAAGTCCCTGGTTCCTGGCTCTCTTTTTTTCTTCGCCTGTCACTGCTACTACTACATCCACAGCTAATGTACAGTACATAGATACCAAAGCAGTCCCTTGTTCATATTAATTCCATAATTGCCCTTTTGATTTCCCTTTTGCCCCCGATGAGCCAAAGTAGCACAGGCAAACTATACCCAACTATACCTCACTATCCTCGCGGGGAGCCTGGGCTCGGTCAAAGAACGCGCTACAAGGCCAGCTCCAACCCACCAGCACGCCAATACTGCACCCACGCCGTTGTTAACAAAGGAAATCTCGCAAAAATAGGATCGGGGCTGCTTTGTGCCGGATTTTGGTTCTTTTGTCCCGTCTAGGGCCTGTCACCCCGGCCCCTCTACCGCTGCCTATCATCCTGGCACCTGAGCCTCCTCCTATCAGCGCGCCCGCCCATCCCATAGATCCTTTGTCTCTGCGCTCCCACCCTTCCATTCATTCGCGCCCATTCCCCATTCTTATTTGCTTTTCCACATCATCGACTCTATCGTGCTCATCCGCTTCTGTTCTTATTGACCCTCTTCTTTCATTCCCCCCCTCCCCCCCCCCCCCCCCCCCCCCTCCCCCGGAGCTGACCGGTGACCGCGCCTTTTCCTTCGCGTTGTATACTGTCCCGCATCACCCGCCTCCTCTCCTCGCCTCCAATTACCCATCGAGCGGTCTTTCTTTCTTCGCGACCCCTCCATTCCCTTGTGGTCTAATACCCCTCTTTTTTTAATTTCCTGCCTTTCATTCTTTGACCTCGCCTTCGACCTTCTTGTTCCCTTTCATTTTTTCATCGCGTCCATTTTTCGCCTCTCCCGCTGTCCGCGGCCGCATAGATAAATGTCTTACGACCGAGTGCTCCCCAACCCGGCGTCTCTGCGCTATGAGTCTGCTCCGGTATCCACGCTGCCCAGACCCAGCAATCTCCTCGACCACAAGATCATGAACGACCGCCTGCCCAAAGCCTGCATGGCCCTGCCGCATCGCCCAACTTCCGGGCCCATCCCAGGCGCCGATGTGGGCAGGTATCCCGACATTCGGTCGAGCGGCGTATCCCAGACGCACCAGCATCGAGCCTCGTATGGTCGGGTCAATGGGGCGCTAAAGCACGACCCGAGTGCGTCGCCCGTGCAGCAACACGTCAAGTCCGGTCCGATGATCTCGACCAAGGGCCTGGAGAGTGACCGGAGCACCTCGTCCTCCGGCAGCTCCAGCCCGGCCAAGTCAGCTCAGAATGAGAATGTGCAGTTCTGTCTGTGCCAACCAGACCCGAAGATCCCCCGCCCTCGTAATGGTGAGTTGATGCTGTCCAAACCGTCGCCCTATGAGCATGGCAAGTTCTTTCAATTTTTATAGGCTGGTGTGATCTGGTGCTTGCAGTTGATATTGCGACCAGCGCAGTGGCTCTGTATCTATGTGGGGACGAGTTGTGGGCAGGAGTATCTGGCTAACCTGTTTCCTGTCAGCTTTTATTCTATACCGTCAACACTACCAATCCATTGTCGTGGCTCATAACCCCGGCATGGCGAACCCGGAGATCTCCAAGGTGATTGGAGAGCAGTGGAGGCAGCTGTCGGAGCAGGAGAAGAGTAAATGGAAGGCCCTGGCCGAGGTTGGTCTTGCCCGGAATGCCCCGATGTATGCTGTACGCGCCTTGTTTCCTCATGCTCACCATATACTCCAGGAAGAAAAAATCCGCCATGCCCAGCAGTATCCCGCATACCGCTATCAACCGAGGCGAGTGGGCCGCGATGGCTCCTCTCGCAGCTCCGGCTCGGGCATCAGTCACAACCCCACTGGCGGATCAACCTGCAACCGGTGTGGTGGGCGCATCATGAATGCACCCTCGTCCCCAATGACTCCGTTCACACCAGTGGCCGGCCAGAGCCATCGGGGGAGTCTATCAGGCAACATATCGTCACACTTGCATACAGCCACTACAAGTGTGATGACAGCAAGCAGCTCGCAGTGCCGCGAGAAGCCAGAGAGGGGTCCACCCAAACCCATTCGCATCGACCAGATCGAGCGGCCCCGACACCGAATAATGGGGGAGGAAGACATGTCCCCCGATATCAAGCGCCGTCGGCTCTCCCACAACACTCTCAAGCCACCCACCCACGCACATCGAGACCGCAGCCCCGAGTCACCATACCCACTGACTCCGTACAGCGCATCTGCCAACAGCAATCAGCCCCGCGGCATGCCACCAATGCTGCATCCGCATCGCCCATACGGCAGCGCTCCAAGCCAAGCCCAACCAGTCCCAGACCCAAGCCTGAAGCTCCCGCCTCTGCAAACCGCCATACCCTCAACATCGCTGCCGCCCTTCTCATCCACCGATTCCAGCGTTGAAGCAGCCGTTATGACCATTCCATTCCTCAACAAAATCAAGCTCCTTGCCAAAATCTCCCCGACGCTCGTCCCGTCCTTCCGCGAGATCCAATCCCGCGGCCCCGTCATCGCCGTTGACGGCCAGGACCCGGAGCTCGTCCAGACAGCAGTCGAGTATCTCGAACGCCTGCTGCAGAAGGAGGACAAGTTCAGTGTGCGCGTCTTTGAAGGCCCCGAGGTGCACGCGCCGCGGCCCTCGGACGTGGGGCCCATGGGCGACGCCACAGTCGACTACCTGAACACGATCTCAGCATGGCACCGCATCTCCGACGAGATCATCAGCTTTGTAAAGTCCGGCTCGTCAAGGACAAGCCTCGGCGGAGAAACACCCACCAAAACTAACCCAGACGCCATGGACACCGACACCAGTACCGACGGCTCGGCCTCGCCAAAAACAATTATCCCCAAAACTGCAGCTTTGCAAATTCACTCGCCCGAGTCGAGTGTCGGCTCCGACGCCTCCATCGCTACCCCCAGCACAACCGTCTCCACGCTCGCACACAGCCTGCCCTCCACGCCCATCGCCCTCGTCCCACGCTACCAGCTCACCACTGCCGACGCGTTCGCGTGCAGCGTGCCCATCAACGACTCGTACGCGCCCCTGGATCACTGGCAGTGGATGGCGAGTTTGTGGCGCGCATGCGTGGGGCCTGATATCACGGTCTATGTGCGGGAGTGCGCGCGAGGAGGTTGAGAGGGTTGGGGCGGTGGAGGTGCGGTTGGCGGATGCGAGCACGGTGGTGCTTAGGAAGGCTGGTGGGGGTGCGGTGGAGGAGAAGGCGTTGAAGAGGATGGGGTTTGAAATTGAGGACTTTTTGACGCAGTAGGGTGTGGCGCGTATGAAGAGTATGGGGAAGTGCATGGTGAAGAGGTGCGATTGGATTGCATGGTGGATGTTTGACGTTTGCAATTTATTTCCTGTTAAATATAGATGGTCTCTAATTCGTGCCAATGGAATGGAGCTGTGCAGGACGGATGTTTGTGCCTTGCCTGGGTTGGGTTTGATATTGGATCTTATTGAATGTTGAGTGTTGAATGTTGAATGTTAAATGTTGAATGTTGAAGATTGAAGATTGGATGGTACTTCTGTTGTAAAGCGGCCCTGCGAACTCATAATGCTTTCAGCACCACGCTAATAGTTCTTTCAGGACGTACTTCAAGATGGGTAGAACGACATGCAGAAAGATATCTCCAAAGAGATGAAGCTGAGCCGTCAACCACTCGAGATGTCCATGTCACTGGCACTGGCTCTAATTAGCAACCGTGTTGATAGGGCTCGGCCACCTCGAAATGCCTCGAAATCCCGGCGTCAAAGTCCTAGTAAGAAATCGGAATCGTGGACACCTTGACTACCCGAAGGGAGAAGATAGAGGGGAACGGCATCGTTGGAATGAGATGCTAAATTCTTTCTGGGCATTAGTCTTTACTACTACTTTTCTATTCTCTTCCTTTTCCGTGATATAGATTTTCCTCTTCTTTCGATCTATTGTTCTTTTCTACTTAAAAGGACTATTATTCGACGCTATGTCTATTCCTGATTTATTCACGAATAGAAAGAAGGCAAGCTCATAGTCCCCATTATTATCGGCGAGGCCGTCGACAAATAGAGAAAGGCATTCTTTAGGGGCGACATGCCGGTTCGACCAATGACAACATTGATAAAATCAAGAGATGGTGGATTAGGTATTACCTAATTTAATTGTTGAGATTGAAAGGAGACTGATCAAACGCCTAGGCACTGTAATCATTTGGGAGAAGTCCAGCTTCGGTCTCGCGAGTCAAGGAGGTCTGATCTGTGTGGAGTGGATGGCTGTCAACCACGGGAAACTCTGCGGCCCGACCCCTGTCACCCCACGCTGCGTCTTGTGGTGTCTGTTGCAGAATAAAGGTACTGACAATGGACAATACGAGAAGGCAGAAATATATCGTCCTAAGCTGCCTGATGAGAGCATTTACTTGACGTGCTTGCCAAGGCACGAGGTACTGTAAGAGTCGAGTCGAGTCTGCCTCGGCGGCTGTGGCAGTGGCTGTGCATAACGTGTCGCAGGCTCGGCCGGATCTGCCAAACCCGCTTTGTCCTCTCGACTCAGCGCGAGACCCCTCCAGCAGCACACATTGCCGGAGATGTAGGATGCCTACATGTTTGGCAAATTCAAGTTACTGAACCTCCCTTGACACTTCTCCCGACGACCACTGACAGTTAGCGAGGCCGCCTATACGTTGCCTCTTGAAGGCGCTGTGTTTCCTCGATCTAGCGATGCCGGACAGACATCACAAGGCTGGGCACCTGGGTCAAGAAGCATGTGTCGCAGAGATCTTATCCTTCGATGACAGAAAGAGAAGTCGAGGCGATGCCGATACCGACGATGATAGCCCGATGCCCAGTACATCGAAGAGACGGAGGCCGGACGACGACTTCGAAAGTGACGATAAAAGAGACCAAAAAGGCTGCACCCCAGGCACGTTCTCACATGACGACTACACAGTTGGCTGGATCTGCGCGCTTCCTATAGAGATGGCCGCGGCAAGCGCTATGTTGGACACTGTTCACGAGGCGCTTCCAAATAGTCAAAATGATACCAACACGTATATCTTGGGGAATATTGCCATGCACAACATTATCATTGCATGTCTGCCATCGGGCCACTATGGCACAAACAACGCGGCGACCGTGGCGAGCAACATGAGCCGGAGCTTCCCTTCTATACACGTACGCCTGATAGTCGGTATTGGTGGGGGGATCCCTGGAAAAGCCGACATCCGACTCGGCGATGTTGTGGTCAGCGATAAAGGAGTGGTGCAATTCGACTTAGGAAAGACAGTTGGGGAGGGTCATTTTCAGGCGGACAGGTACTATGAACAGACCCCCAAATGCGCTCCTGACAGCCGTCGCCAAACTACGAGCGGATCATGTATCAAAACCCAGCCAAATGCCGTCTATCCTTTCCAAGATGCTTGAACAATACCCTCAGATGACTAAATACACCCACCGCGGTTCACTGCAAGATCGTTTATTTGATGGTACATATGACCACATCCAGTCGATGGACAGCTGCGAGCATTGCGACACATCCAGATTGGTGAACAGGCCCGCCAGACATAACACTGATCCGGAGATTCATTACGGAGCCATCGCCTCTGGAAACCAGGTCATGAGGAATGGGAAAATCAGGGACCAGCTGGCACAAGAACTCGATGTCCTGTGCTTCGAGATGGAAGCAGCAGGAGTAATGGACAGCTTCTCATGTCTGGCCATCCGTGGAATTTGCGACTATTCGGACTCTCACAAAAACAAGCAATGGCAGGAGTATGCAGCAGCAACGGCTGCGGCATATGCCAAAGAGCTTCTCTCCGTCACACCAGCCAGCGGGGTCAAGAAGATGGCAAAGTTACTTTCAGCTGACACTGGTTGGTGCTGTCTAGCTCTGCTTCTAGGTTATACCTCGCTCACGTCTATATCCAGATCGCCAAAAGCATCTCTTGAAGTCTCTGAGGTTTGAGCAAATTGATGCTCGCCGCTCAGGCATTAAGCCTAACCATGTGGAGACATGCCAGTGGCTGCTGACACATTCCGATTATTTGGACTGGCTTGATCCAAAAAAAGCCGTCGAACACCACGGCTTTCTATGGATAAAAGGAAAGCCCGGTGCTGGGAAGTCGACGATCATGAATTTTGCCTATACACAGGCGACCAAAGACAAGGCGGGCACAGTCATCTCGTTCTTCTTCAACGCACGAGGCGACGTTTTGGAGCGGTCGACTACTGGGATGTATCGTTCTCTACTCTTTCAGCTCCTGACTGCGCTACCAAGGCTCATCGAGGTGTTCAACGGGCCGGAACACAAGGATAAACTCGACGACTTGCACGAGAGTATTGTGAATCAGAGCAGGCATCCTGAGTGGCAAGTAGGGGTACTCCAGGGCTTGCTGCGGAGTGCAATAGCGAGGATCGATCAACAACCTTTGACGATCTTTGTTGACGCTCTTGATGAGTGCGACGTAGATCAAGTGGAGGAGATGGTGGAGTACTTTGAGGGTTCCGGACAGTGCGCTGTCTCGAGCGGAACACGACTTAATATATGTTTCTCTAGTCGCCACTATCCACATATCGACGTCCAGTACGGCCGAAAATTGACCCTAGAACTTCAAGAGGGACACGAAACGGACATCGCCACTTACATCCAAAGCAAGCTCAGAGTTGGGAAAAGTAGAACTGCCGAGGAAATTAAAACCAAGATGCGGGACAAAGCGGGCGGCATCTTCATGTGGGTTGTTCTAGTTGCCGAAATTCTCAACACAGAATATAGAGGCGGCCGGATCTTCGACGTGAGGAAGCGGCTTGATGCGATACCAACCAAGTTGAGCGACCTCTTCAGGGAAATACTGTGGAGGGATCAGAAGAACCTGCAAGATTTGCAGCTTTGCATCCAATGGATTCTTTTTGCGAAACATCCGTTGAAGCTGGAAGAGTACTACTTCGCAGCCGTATCTGGATTGAGTCCGGATGAGTTGCGCGAATGGGACCCGGAGGACGTCACCAGAGACGACATGGGCAGATTCGTTTTAAGTTCGTCGAAGGGACTTGCAGAAACAACCAAGTCTAAGAGTCCGACAGTTCAGTTCATCCACGAGTCGGTGCGAGAATTCTTTCTGAAAGATGGCATACGGGAGTTGTGGCCCGACCTCACAGCAGACTTCCAAAGTTTGAGCCATGGTCAACTACAGCAATGTTGTCATGCCTATCTCAAGCTCGACATCTCGGCCTATGTTCCCTTCGGAACGCCACTCCCAAAGGCAACCTCTGACCCGGCAAAAGATCTGCGAAGCTCGGTGTCAGACAAGTTTCCATTCCTTAAATACGCAAGTCGCCATGTCCTCTATCATGCCGATGCTGCTGCGAATGCATTTCCGCAGGACGAGTTCCTGGAAGACTTCGACCTCGAAGCTTGGATTAATCTCGATAATCTCTTTCAGATATATAATAGCCGTCGTCACACGCCGACTGCAAGTCTTCTGTACATTCTTGCGGAGAACAACCTAGCAAAGCTCATTAGGACAGCACTCCATCGCGACTCGAGGATCAATATTCAAGGAGAACGGCATCGATATCCTCTTTTCGCTGCCTTGGCTAATGGACACCGAGATGCCGTTAAAGCACTGTTACAACAGGAGGCAAACTGTCCACAAAACGACATCTCTGCGCAGCTGGGATATGGGGGGGATTTTAGGGCTCGCAAGGGTCAGACGCCGCTGTCGTGGGCCGCCGAGAACGGGCACGAAGCCGTCGTCAAGCAGCTACTTGCTAGAGACGACGTCGACATCAACGCGAAGGATAACAAGTATAACCGGACGCCGCTATCGCGGGCCGCCGAGAACGGGCACGAAGCTGTCGTCAAGCAGTTGCTCGCTAGAGACGGGGTCAACATCGACACGAAGGATAACAAGTATAACCGGACGCCGCTGTCGTGGGCCGCCGCGAACGGGCGCGAGGCCGTGGTCAAACTACTACTCAACACGGGCAAGGCCAATGTCGATGCAAAGGATAAGAACGACGAGACGCCGCTGCTATGGGCCGCCAAGAAAGGGCACGAGGCCGTTATCAAGCAGTTGCTGGCTAGAGACGGGGTCGATATCGACGCGAAGGATAACTGGTATAACCGGACGCCGCTGTCGTGGGTCGCCGAGAACGGGCACGAGGCCATTGTCAAGCAGTTGCTCGCTAGAGATGCCGATATCGACGTGGAGGATAACGACGGCCGGACACCACTATCGTGGGCCGCCAAGAACGGGCACGTGGCCGTTGTCAAGCAGTTTCTCGCTAGAGACGGGGTCGACATCAACGCGAAGGATCACTGGTATAACCGGACGCCGCTGTCGTGGGCCGCCGAGAACGGGCACGAGGCCATTGTCAAGCAGTTGCTCGCTAGAGATGCCGATATCGACGTGGAGGATAACGACGGCCGGACACCACTATCGTGGGCCGCCAAGAACGGGCACGAGGCCGTTGCCAAGCTACTACTCGACACGGGCAAGGCCGATGTCGACGCGAAGGATAACGATGGCCGGACGCCGCTACTATGGGCCGCTAGGAGCAATCAATATCTTGCCGAGAAAAGCCTAGGTCCAAACCCAAATATCCTTCAGTCTGGAGAAGCTAGGAGGAGTCATGATCTTCGGGATTACCAGATGCAGCTTATGCTTCTAGCGCAGCAAAATGAAAGGAGGCTAATAGCCAGGCGGGAAGAGTACGAGGCCATGGTCAAGCTCGCGAGCGGGCGCGAGGCTACGGGCAAGTTACTGCTCGACACAGGCAAGGCCGATATCAACGCGAAGGATAACGACGGCCAGACGCCGCTACTCTATGCCGCCGCGAGCGGGCACGAGGCTATGGTCAAACTGTTGCTCGCTAGAGATGGGGCCGACGTCAACGCGAAAGACAGCTCCGGACGGACACCGCTAATATGGGCCGCCGCGAACGGGCGCGAGGCCGTGGCCAAGCTACTGCTCGACACGGGCAAGGCCGATATCGATGCGAAAGATAACGACGACCAAACCCCGCTGATATGGGCCGCCGCGATTGGGCGCGAGGCCGTGGCCAAGCTATTACTCGACACAGGCAAGGCCGATGTTAACGCGAAGGATAACGACGATCAAACGCCGCTGCTATGGGCCGCCGCGAATGGGCGCGAGGCCGTGGCCAAGCTATTACTCGACACAGGCAAGGCCGATGTTAACGCGACGGATAACAACGGCCGGACGCCGCTGATATGGGCCGCCACAAACGACCAAACGCTACGGCTGTGGGCTGTTAAAAACGGGCAAGAGGCCGTGGCTGAGCTACTGCTTGATACGGGCAAGGCCGATGTCGACGCGAAGGATAACAACGGCCGGACGCCGCTGATATGGGCGGCCGCTAACGGGCGCGAGGCCATGGCCAAGCTACTGCTCGAGACGGGGAAGGCCGATGTTAACGCGAAGGATACCAACGGCCGGACGCCGCTGATATGGGCGGCCGCTAACGGGCGCGAGGCCGTGGCCAAGCTACTGCTCGAGATGGGGGAGGCCGATGTTAACGCGAAGGATAACAACGGCCGGACGCCGCTGATATGGACCGCCGCAAACAACCAAACGCTACCGCTGTGGGCTGTTAAGAACGGGCACGAGTCCGTTGCTAAGCTACTGCTTGATACGGGCAAGGCCGATGTCGACGCGAAGGATAACAACGGCCGGACGCCGCTGATATGGGCCGCCGCGAACGGGCGCGAGGCCATCGTCAGGCTACTTCAATCGACGAAATAGTGTACACCTTCTCTTCCTTATTTCAAAGTACTTTATATATTTTCCCCTGTAATAGCGTTACATGGGAGAGGCCCGGAGATGACATGAATATGTAGCTATTTAAACTGTTCTGGAGTTTTAGGCGTTTCTATATCCGGTTATTTCTAATCAGTTAGCTTAGTGTTGGGAGTTACAATAGTAGCATAAGACGTGTCATTTCTCTTGTGTCTTTGTTCTAATGTCTATCTGGCCAGTGACAAATTCTCGGGGTTTCCCATCTTCTCGTGCATGTGCCCCACGCTATCCAAGTTCTTCCATGTCTAGCTTCTGACATTGGGACCTTTGCTCCTTGTATACATGCCAAGGGGGTGGCCAGCTCCTACCAGGACCCAAACTTGATGTCAAAAGTGAATATGTGAACATCTGTTAACTACTGATATACATACCACTATCGAATTAAGATGCCTCAATGCCCGTAGAGTGTCAGAGAAAGGGCAGCTTTGGGGAATATCTCTGCCCTCTGTATGACAGACGGCAAAGACGAATTTGGAGAGGTTGGCATTCAGACCAACAGTGTGGATGTGCAGCGCGCCGTAGTTCTCAAATAATGAGGGTTCAAACAAAGGAGTCAAAAGATCAAAAAGATGTGCATCATCCGTGAATCGAACACGGGCCTCGTCGATGGCAACGACGAATTCTACCACTAGACCAATGATGCTGGACCTTGATGGCGATTTGATCACTCCTTCGCTATTTATTTTCTGGTCGAACACGAATCAAGGCCGAGCCAGCCTAGAAAGAGGAAAAGAAAATATCAGAGCATGCAACCGGGTAGGGGAAGGAGGCCCTTTATATACCTGAAATAAATAGTGACGGAGTCTGCCCTGGTAGGTAATTAGACACAGGTGCGGTCGCAATATTCCAAGCTACATTGCATGAGCGACGTCAAGCCGTGACAGAGTGAGACTGTGAGACTAGGCTAGAGGTCCGCCTGGCCGGGCCGGCCCGACTCGACCCTGTCTTATCCGAGCGCTTTGCTACTGCAAGGTAGAGGAAGAAGTAGTAGTTATCCAATAAAATTTACTATCGCTCGTCAAGGCTTATGATTGATCTAATGTGGTTCCTTTCTCCTTCTTAGAACCATGACACAATATAGAGTAACAGCACCAACAATGATTTGTCACAGAGGACAGGAGAGCTACACCTGGGTCCAATAGGCAGTAGAAGGAGGGTATGTGCAGTGACATGTTCGGAAAGTATGTATAGCCATAAATATGTACCGTAGCCATTCTGTCTTAACATAGGAATCAATGAATATATTTTCACAATATTAGTAGACTGGGAATATTCCTTTCCACCCTTTAAGGCGGAGCCCAAGATATCTTAAATGTATAGATCCATCATCTATCATCACCAATTCCCCTAAATTCCCAAAGATCCAATTAATATATCCAAATGTACGGGTCAGTTTCATGATGACGATTCCTCATCTGCACCACAGATATGTACAATCTTATCCTGTTTGTTCACGGGCATAGTAGCACCTAATGTGCCACAACCTTTTTCCTCAACCTCACCGCATCCGTGAGTATTCAAGCTAATTTTCAACACTACATCGCCAGCGGCAAGACAAAATGCATTATCTTCCGACAATGGACATAAAATCTCTCCCTCGAGCTTCCGCGCATCAACAACAAGATATGTATCACTCAAGTATCTGATACTGTCGGCGGTGAATCTGTTGATACTATACTCTAGTGGTACTTTGCTAGAGTTTGATTCATCTTCGAGGCCAAGGTGTACTTCAAGAGTTTCTGTGGCAATGAGACGAAAAGGTCTGTTGTGTTTCACAAAACCACTGACCAGTCCACCCTCAGGCGGGTAAAGTGTAGTACATGAATTCTCCGAAGTAGTCCTAGTGCTTGAACGTCGGTTGGTTGCCAATGAAGGGCCAAGCTTTGGCGAACCGCCCGACAGAGTAATAGACGAATCCAATGAAGAAAATTCTCCTTCTGGGATCTCCGAGACGAGCTCCACCGTTGTTTCCGAGGCCGATAAGGTAAGAAGAGTGCTTTCATTGGGTGGCGGACGGACAGGCAGTTTCCCTTGAGCTAAGCCTAGCAAAATATTCTGTTGAAGATTTTCAATGAGTATTTTATTGAGATTTTGCTGGAGGACTCTGAATTGTGGAAGACTGGGGAGTCTCCAGCCGGGGTAAAGCCGACTGTGGGCTCTTGGCGTATGCATTCGTCCATATAGTTGAATGAAAGTGTTGCAGAGAAAGCACGCGTCCTTGCTTGAACTAACCACTCGTGGAAACAGCTTCGAGGCTTGCATTTCACAAAATGCGATGATTTGAATTTCAGCGTGGATTTTGGGTGCTGAAAGAGCCGTTTGGGCTCTTTCATACCTGGCTCGGGCAGCTTTTTCATCAAGTCTCAAATTGCGACATAACTGAGACACACTATATTGTTGTCCCTTGATGAAACCAAGCCTGGAGAAACATGACTTTAGGTCAGAAAACTCGCTGGGGTTTATTTGACTCTCGAATGCCTTCTGGGGCAGGCTTGCCAATTGAATTTCCATATTTCGGACCAATGGAAATTTCTTTGCCGTACGATATAGTTGCCTGGCAGATTCCCAGTATCTTGAGACCTTTCTGATGATGTTCAATAGACTTGCCCTTAATGACGGATTCATGTGATTGTTCGAAATCGAGTCAAACAAATCGTACAAGTGTGGCGCTGTCTGTTGCAAGTGATGTATTCCTTCCACAAGATCACCCAGCTTATCCAGAGTTTGGTTCTTCACCCATCGATCAACTAGTTGTATGACCTTGTTTGCCTCTGAGATAAATGATGACGAGGTACCTGATAGACCTTTGCTATGAAGCTTCTGAGAATTAATCCGTCGAACATTAAATATCGCCTCCTTCAGTAGATTTTGAATGGGCGTCTTAGTTGCCTCCCGCTCGAGTCGCAACCGATGTAGTATTCGCGGTGAGCACATCGAGATAATTGACGCGAAAATGTCCCTTTGGATCTCATACTTGTCTGTAAATGAATTTTCAATGATGTTGATCTTGAAATGCAAAATAGTGATAACTAACCAAAATGTGAATCATGAAGGATGTGGAATATTTTGTCAAAACTTCTTTTCAGGTCTTGCAGAATTTCATTTCCATCGCCATATGTGCTTTTGTTGACGGCTAGAATGACATTTAAACTTGTTCCAGATGAGTTCTGTTCAACGCAAATTGCAGGTATGTGATCCCGCCCATCCTTGGCTTTTGCCAGGAATGCAAGAACTTCGGTTAGCCTACGCTCTTTAGAGAAAGGCAAGACATAATTTTCTTGGTCGATTGAGAACTGATTAGTTGTATTTCGAATGACTGAAGCAGGAACTTTGTAAAAGAAGGAGCTGAGAGCGATAGTCTCAGCACACGCTGTGGCGGGGGCTTGGGTTGTCTTCCACATACGAACGAAGAATGGTTAAAAGTGCCTAGGCCCGGGCGGAGCACTCTAGAAGGGAAGGGGAATCTTTGGCTTTATAAGCTGGCGAGAAGCACTGCAGATTTTAATGTACATGGTGGTAACTTGTCACTTAGGTATTTCCACGCATGATACGACAAGGTTATCTGTTAACGTGTAGGGAAAGACTACGGCTCGTCCAGTCTCTACAAAGAGCTGCAGGGTGTTGCTGGCGGTTATGCGAGATGCAGGCTGCCGATTGGCTTCCATAGATTACCTGTCGGAAATGGCGTCAAAAGCCCGCGGCCGATTGTATTGGCCAAAGATAGGGATTATGGGAGTAGCATCGGCCACACATGATGCGTCACATTAAATGACCCATATAGTAACCAGACATATCTAGATATTGTATTAAATGTAAAAGAATGTAAATTGAATAATACAGGATTATTTCTATTCCCAGGCTTATTCTATATATAGCCTACCTAGTATGTCTTAGAATCAGGGTCAAAAAAGGAGAATGGAAGAGTAAAGGCGGTGACCAATTCCCGGAAGTACTGTAATGATGATATGATTAGCGATATTTAGACAAGTTTTAAACTGAGGTATTATTGCTTTGTGTTTCTAGTGGTTTGCTACCGGGCTATGCTTTTCGTACGGATACCATAACGTGATTCATGGACCGGACATTCATGGGCCGAAAAGCGAGTCCCGCCGCTGACCTAGACCTTCGCCACCATCAGAAGGCGGCAGTGGAGAGGATGTCTTGATGTTTGACTCCTTGGATTCAGATGTACGTTCGTCCCCAAGAATCTCCACACTCGATGCAAAGCCAATGCGTTGCTTCTTGGGCACAGGACTTCCGGCTGCGCCCGAGCTTGCATCTGGTTCGACGAAAAGCGCACGCTTCGTCTTGGACTGACTCTGGACAGCATCATCATTGTGCATCAGCACCTCAACATTGGAAGCAAATCCAACGCGCAGCTTCTTGTCCAAGGGCGTAGGACTTTCCAACATAAGCGCACCTTCATCCGCATCAGACTCTCCCACCCCAGGCACACGCTTGCCCTTGCCCTTGCCCTTGCCCTTCGCTGAACGACTCACACCATCATTCTCATCATCCGGAACAGGCAGCCGATGCCGATCAAAGAATCCCGTCGGCCTCGCCAAATACGCTGCCGCAGTGCTTTCCTCCGGGCCCATCTCCAAGAAAGGCTCATTCTGGATGATTGCGCTCATCGTACCGTCATCGAGTAAACTCTTCTCCGCATGCTGCATCTCTGCTTCAGACATCTCCTTCCGCCGCCTCAGCATCCGGTCCTCCAGCGTATCCCGCAGCACAAGTGTTTCCACAAACACCGGCCTCGTCTGCCCGATCCGATGTGCGCGCTTAATTGCCTGGCTCTCCACGTTCGGTTGCCAGATCGGATTCACGATGAACACCCGCGACGCCTGGGCTATGTGCAGACCGTGCGAGGCCTGCCGTAGGTCCATCAGAAGCACACGGACATCTTCCGCTTCGCGAAAGAGCTTGAGGTATTCGGTGCGAAGCTCAGGCTTTAAGGTGCTGGCGTAGATGCGGAATTCGATGCCTAGTATCTCTAGTCCTTCGGCGATCCAGAAGGCCGAGTTGTTATTGTCATAGAAGATGATGATTTTTTCGGTGGCTTGCAGCTCGAGCACTTTGTCAAGGAGGTAGGATAGTTTTGCAGAGGCAGTGGCGAGGAACTGGGTCTGCTGGAGCGGGGATGTTGCGGGGAGCGTGTGGAAGAGGTTGCGCGTGAAGGTCTTCTTGGGTGATTTGTTGGTCTGTGGCTTGGGACTATGATTTAGCCGGCCCGGAGCGGCGCTGGTGCTACTGGAAGATTCGAGGGCCCCTTTAGGCGGGCTCCGTTGGTCGCGTCGTTCGAGTTCAGTTCGAGCTTTGATGCCTGCGCCAGCTAGTCCTTGCGTTGGATTGAAGGACTTGAGATGCTGGGTGACATGCTGCTGAGCACGGCGAGCTTGTGTGATGCCGATAAGCATGGGTTCCTTTTCTGGACTGTTTTGATCAAGTGCCCAGTGCGCGCGGTGGTCGTGGGGGAAGCCCTTGATGAAGATGCCAAGTTCATGGAGATGCTTGAATTGACGCCAGCTGCTGGAGGCCATTGCTACACGCGCAATGTCCATTCCGCGCGTCAATCGATCGATGTCTTCTATCGTCATCTTCTCCCGGTTTTTGTCCATGTATTTCAGGCTATGATCAATGGAATCCTGTGGATTGAGGTCGGAGCCTGCCCACCAGAACCCTGCTTGGCGTAAGTTGTTGATCGTTTGATTGAGATGCTTTCGGTTGCTGGGGTCGAAGATGTAATCCGGACCCTGACGCTCGGACGTGATCGAGTTGACAGCAAGGCCGAACAGGAACAAGTTGATGGATAGACGATCGTGGAAGGTTGGCTCGAGATAGACAACTTTGTTGTAGAGCTTTGGAATGTAAATTTCCTTGCTGACAATGTCTAATCGGTGTCGCACCACCAGACCTTGGAGGGTTGCTCGCATCGCCGGAGTCTTGCGACGCTTGCCATTTTTCCCGATCGGCTTGATGTATTTGGTCCAATCTGCAGGGTCCTCGGCCCGAGAATTAGACCAGGGCTGCAGATCTAAAAACTCGATCACAATGCGGCGGAGTCTATCCAGATCCTTTAATTCGTTATCCACTGCATTACCTGTCTTCTGCCGGCCTCGCAACGCAGCGGCAGTGATTTCTTCGGGGGACTCGGTGTCGCTGGTATTTGCTTCTTGCGAAGCAAGGCTGACTTCCACGCCGTATAGCCCAGTGGACGGTGTTCCCGAAATGACCCATCGGCGTTCAAAATGCAGCTGACTGAGCAGATGTATCATATTTGTTTTTGATCCATGACCCGCAACATTGTGTCCTTCATCCACAATAACTCGCAGCCAGTGAAGCTGCATAAGAGGCGAATCAACCTGCACGAGCCTCCCGCGCCGATTATGAACAGGCTCACCAGCTTCACGCTCAAACCGCGTCTTGGAATAGAGGACAATGTCATAATGCAGCAGCTCGTCGGCTGAGGGGGTCTTGTCCGATCCTTGGCGCAGAACCAAGACCTCTAATCCATCAGTATGGGTCTTGATCTCGCGCTGCCAGTGGTCCATCAGGTTGTTTGGTACAATGACAAGTGTTCCCGAGCAAAGACGAATTTTCTTACCCGGAGGTCGCGCGTATGACTGGCTGTGCCGACCTCGGTATCTGGTCTGATGCGGAGGAATCTCGTAGAAACCACGATTTGCCTCGCATGCCTTCATGCACCGATCGTAGAATCTCCCCTCTTGTTGTCGTTCAGAAAAGAAGATTCTCCACGGCTCAGAATGGCGTCCCGCGGCCGCAGCCGCCATATCCATGAGCGAGCCAGTTGTTCCCCTTATGGGGACCAGATCTGGCCTTTCTGGTGTGGACATGTACTTGATCGGGATTTTTGGGAAGTGCCCGCGAGTGGCCCAGATGACCGCTAGACAAATAAGGGTCTTACCGCAGCCCATAGTCTCAGCAAGAATACCTATTTCTCACGTGTCAGTAGCTGCTTCTAAAATGATTGACTCCGTGTTGAACGACGAGCTTACCTCCACAAGCCTCAGAGTACAGCACTTTATCGAGAGTTATGTAAGCGTCTTCCTTGTCGTAGTAATACTCACACCCCATCGGGGTCTGACACGCTTGCAAACGTGGATCTAGCATCTGTGCTGGCTGTGCTTCACGCTGGACCATAATGGCAGCTGAACGGCGCTGGTATGGAAAGAGTTGAGTCTTGAGGCCCAGGTCGGAAAAGTCCTCTTCTGACAACAAATACTCCATAGCTCGTCGGGACCAATCGTCCTTCATAGTCTCCACCTGGGGAGATGGGTTCTTCAGAGTATTGAAAATGTACCACAGTGACTCGTCCTCTGCACCGTTCAATGTGTCCGCATTTTGGCCATTGGGTTGATGTTGGCCTTCCCATGATCCGGGGGACGCGTCAATCTGCGCCATCACGACCTTCAGAGCAGTTCGGAGTTTTGTGATTGATCGCTGAGTATTCCCCCGGTTGGTCATTCTATGGTCGACATAAACTTGAACATTACTGCTCTCATTCAAAACATGTGTCCGGATCCAGCGATGTGCCTCTAGCAGAGCAATCTCTGGCCCTGGGTATACTGTCTGGGGATCTGCACTCCTCCATAGCACTCCGATTGGAATGTGTGATTCGAGATCATTGGGGTCTCCATCGTCTTGGTTTGCACGTGTTTGAGATTGACCGTTGATTGATGAATTCGAAGAAATACAGTTTGAGCTGGTCTCTGAAGGACTGGTAGCTGACGTACAAGAGGTGCTTTCCAAAAATTGAACAGAATGTACACCATCTGGGTGGAGAGATGCTGGAAGTGGAGTGGGTAAAGTCCGTAGTGGACCCGGCGCAGCAGTAGGGGCCGCTGCAGACGAGGGGACACCACCGCCATCATGTCCGCGGGACTCATCCATCATTCGCAGGCTATGCAGCCGAGAGGGGAGTGTCCAGGGACTCTCGCGAATGCATACTGATGAAATGTGGATGGAGAGACCCAAGTCCAGGTAAAGTCTGACGGAGCTGATATCGGGGGCGGTGGCAGATCGTTCACCGCCCGGATGGCTGAGTCTGGGGACCCACTTAGATCGGTAGTTCCCGGTTTCCAATTAGACGGTTCCTTCCGCCACTTTTCTGCAACGCATCTGCACATCTTCTGATTAGTCTAGAACACCTTAAAAAGTCACCTTTTCACTTAACACTGCTCAGGAAAATTGGCTATCTTGAGATGCCTGTATAGCATATAGAGGCCCACCCCCTTGCTCCTGCGATCTGGAGACGCGTTTTGCGCGCGTTTTCGTAGTTTGGGGTGTGGTGGGCGAAGATGTGTAAGTACAGGAGACAGTTTTGATTGGCTGCGCAGGAGGCACGGTAGCTTCCTTTGAACTAAGCCTAGTTAGCAAGTGCGACCGAGATGTCCGGTCCGTCTTATCTGTTCTGCACTCCCAGACTTTCATGACTTATTACTTTGTTTGAGTGTGGCAAAGAATGACGACTCTCCTTGGCAATGTCTACGTAGACTCCACGAGTCCCCACAGTTCGTGCGGCTCGGCCCACGGACACCGAAGTCCATCGCGGGCATGCAATTGTTGCTCTGTTGCTATTCCGTCGGTCCCGAATCGGCAAGCTAGCGCATGCTCAAGGTTCGGGGAGATGAGGTCGGCTCCTACTGGCTGCATACTAAGAACGAGGTTACAGGTCCATGTAGTCTCGCTAAGAAACTCCCCAAAACCCTAAAGCATCGGCGGATAGGATAAACGATTGACCCGACTCCCGTATTTGTATGTTTATATAGCCATCTACGTCGCATCTCGAACTATACTCGTGTGTCTCTTTCATTAGATTAAATTTGCGGCAGTATTGATTTTGGCGCGTCACTGTCTTTTTGGAGGCGGGCGGATAAGATCGAGAGAGAGAGTTATCGTATTCATTTAAGTTGCTATCCACTTATCTTGCTAGGCAGAAGGGGGAGGGTGCGGAAGCTTCAGCAGCAAACGAGATTGGACCTGTTCCATTTACACCGTCAACTTCCCCACTCCCAACTTTCCCCACCCCTCTCCGCTTCCCCTTCAGTCCTGCCCTCCTTTGTGTACTTATCCGACTTCCAGGACCTCCACCTATTTCTCACCCTCAGACCTTCCTTCTCCTCCGCAATTGTTTTCAACTTCATTTTTTGTCACTTGCCTCAGCAATCATCGTCTGCAGTTTTCCAAAATGTACGAATGTGCAACCTGCTCAGAGACCTTCTATCTCAGTTGGGATTGCGATGAGCATATGGACGACTACGATCACTGGGCTGAATGCGAGACTTGTGATCGACTCTTTCGAAGCCAGGCCGCTTGTAACCAGCACATGAATATGCTTGGGCATATGCGACCGAAGATTCCGTGCGAGAGTTGCGACCGCGCTTTTCAGACTCAGGCTGCTGCTAATCAGCACATGGATGCCCTGGACCACTGGAAGACATACTGCAAAGCGTGCGATCGCCACTTCCAAAATGAGAATAACATGCGCATGGTAAGTCCAACAATTTAGGCTGAGCCAACGAAACGTCAGGTTTTGATGCGAGCGAACAGCACCTTCGCTCGAAAATACACCGGGGAACAGACGTCCCCTGTCCCTTCTGCAAGGCCGGCTTCGTCACTGCAAGCGGAATGGCCCACCACCTGGAGACCGGTTCTTGCCCCAAGGCTCCCAAGCTGAACCGAGAGACAATTCTGAAGATGGCTCGGCACTCTGACCAGCATGGCCTGATTACAAACAAGCAGATTGGATGGCACGACGAGGGCCGAGTGGAGTACGAGGCCACCAGTGCTGCCTGGAATGGTCACCACTGGGAGTGCTACCTCTGCCACAAGCAACTCAAGACAGTGACATCACTCAACCAGCACCTCAACTCACCTGTACACCAGCAGAAGGTGTATCATTGCCCAAACCGAAAGAATTGCGGCAAGGAGTTTGTCTCCTTGGCCGCTTTGTTCAATCACCTCGAAAGTGAATCTTGCAAGATCATGCGCTTCGAACGAGTCCAGCAAGTGCAGCGGCAACTGACCGATGCCTTTTTGAACCGCAGGCTCCTGCGTAGTTTCTAAAATTACCCCTTGGACGACTTGTATCATTGACAGGATATCTTTCACGACCTGGCCCGCATTTTTGATTTACGATTTTCTTTTACTTTAGCGCAATATCACTTAACATTTTCTCCTGATTATTAGACAACGACCATGCAAGTCCATATATAATTTTCCTACCTACCAAATGGATGTTCACGTCTTTACCATTGGAATAGCCTGTACCAGCCATAGGAGCATCTTTCATATCGTTGACTACCTTACCAATCTCCACAGGCACAGTCACCATGTTGAGGAAGACAGGCTCTAACAGATGCGCGCCCGGTCTCATTGGTGGAAACCAGGATCTTTTGGCCTTCATCCCTCCTAATTTAAGTTCTTAAATTAGGTTTATATCAGAGATACCTTACGTTTATTTATTTATTTACAAATTGTTTCTAAGAATCCCTTATTGAGGGACCATCTATCAGCTCAACAAGACGCTGGGCATTCTGGATTGAGCCTCAAGGATCGCGGTGTGGGAGGGTGTGTCACGGTTAAGACTAATCTCGAGGGAATAAAATTATCGAGCACTGGGGTAGTTTTTTGGCATTAACAGACATGGACAGAAGTGACACCTCTTTCCGGGGACCCAGGACTTGACAGATACAATTTCAACATTTGACATTGCGATACTTCATACCCCGTCATCCCACCATAGATCTCCAGCCGGCCGATGTATGTTTACATCAAAGCGCCGATCTCCGCCCCGATAAGATAAGCTATCGCGGTAAGACCACCGATAAGCACAACCCCTCCATCATCATCACGTCCCTCCAGCATTCCCTCCCTTGCAGCATCAGCAGATACAATGACCGAGCCAGCACCCACAGGGCCCGAAACGGCCCTGATAGTCGGCATTTCCGGGCCCTCTTCCAGCGGGAAGACCACCCTCGCCCGCCTTCTACAGCGCATCTTCAACGGGGTGCGCCTGGCCCCGAGCTCAGGGGACACCACAGCCACAGACAGCTCGACGCTGACGACATTCATCATCCACGAAGATGACTTCTACTATCCAGATGACCAGTACAGTTCTCCCCCTCTCCACCCGACACACCAATTCCCATCATTCACATCACCCTGCTAACCGCACCCCAGAATCCCCTACACAACAACCCCCTCCGGCAAAACAGTGCAGGACTGGGACACCGCCGCCGCAATAGACACGGCCTTCCTCGCCCAGGCACTCTCCTACGTCCGCGCACACGGCCACCTCCCACCCCGCCTAGAAAGCAAAGAAGACCAAAACGAAGCCGGAGCCTCCGGCGTCCCAGACACGGTGGTGGACAGTCTACGCTCCGAAGTGCAGCGCCGACTCGCCGCCAGCACCGGCGCGGACAGACGCACGATCGCGTTTATGGAGGGCTTTCTGCTGTATAGCGCGCCTGGGACCTCGACATCTGATTCTGGGACTGGGACTGGGACTGGGTCTGGGGAGGGGTCTGCATCTACGCAATCCCCTGACCCGCACTACCCGAGCAGCCCACTAGCCCTGCGCCCCGTCCACGCGCAGATCCAGCTTCCGCTCTTCCTACCCGCGCCCTACAGTACGGTGAAAGCGCGCCGCGAGGGACGCAATGGGTACGTCACTATTGGGCCGGCGCCGGAGCCGCCCTCTGATGTGGTGCCTGGCACTGGCGACGAGGGAAAGGAGGCTAGGGAGGTAGACCTGGAGCAGGAAGATGATCGACCGCCGCAGAATTTCTGGACGGACCCGCCGGGCTATGTGGATGATATTGTGTGGCCGCGGTATGTGCGGGATCATGCGTGGTTGCTTGTAGGTGGGGAGGCGGATGGTGTGAGCGGTGATGATATCGTTGCGAGGGTTGGGGAGGGAGTTGATGTGAGGACTGATGTTGGTGTTAAAGTTGCACCGGGACGGGGTGCGGTGGGCATGGAGGTTGTCCTGCGGTGGGCGGTAGAGGAGGTATTGGGGGCTTATTTGGCCTGGTAGGTTTACCTAGACGAGACAAGATATATAAGGATGGATAGAGTTGGGGTTGTTAAGAATTAGAGAGCCGAAAACTAAGGGATGCTGAGGTCGCATAGGCTTATGGCCTTTCTAGAATAAGCTTCATTGCATACGGTTGTCGCGACGCTCGCAACCACAGAGAAAGCTAGGGGGTAATGGTACACTCCAGATTCTCTGAAGAAAAGCAACTTTTCACTCCATGACCAGTTGGTTCACATTCTCCAGCATTTCATGCCCCACCTCCACCTCCCGGCAGAGGACCCTTCCACCCCAGGAAATAATCGACCCGGTCCCGCAAAGACAACGGCGCTGGAGGCAGTAAGATCCGCTTCTGTGGCTGCAGGTCAATCTCCAGCACAGAGATAGGAGCCAAGACGGGCTTCTCCTCAGGTACCGCAGCGCCAGTCAGTTCCGCAACCTGGGAGGGCGTTTCCTGGGGAGGCGTTTCCGTGGAACGAAGTTCAAGTACCTCCCAGGACCTCCACTGAGTACTAACCACGGAGCCCACAGAAAGACGATCCATCTTCAAACAGTCGTGCAGAACAGCATCGGAGCACCCAGTCCAATACCAAACAGACAGGCAAAATGAAAGCAGGAGCACGAAAAAGCCGCAAATCCTCGCGAACCAAGAGCAGAACCCGCTCTTCCGACGCAATTCCTTCAGAATAACAGGCCTGGACTTGACTTCACCACGCACAATTTCCTTTATGTCCTTGTCGGCATCAAGGTACTTGTCTTGCAACTCATCCTCGAGACCGTATCCCTCCAGCATAGCCGTGATGCGCGGCACCCAGCTACTAGCCTTCGGGCGGGACAGTCTCACCTCCCAAGCAACGGCAAACATGCTCAGATTCACCGGCGCGCAGATAACCTGCAGCTGCGCAATGCCAATCTCCGAGTCTGGCCCCGAGTGCAGCTGGATGGTCTGGAAGCTAGTTCTCGGAGTCTGCAGATGGCAGGTGTACTCGCCGTCGGGCCCGCCGTGCACGTAGATGTAGAAGCCGCACCGCTCGGCCCAGAAGCCGCGCTGGATGAGATCTAGCGAGCAGACGGCGGTGTATGTGACTGTGCACGACTGTGGGTCTTCCTTGTCTTCTGTCACGTCGGCGCGGATGGTCTGGTTTACTTTGAAGTCCCGCAGGAAGCCGTAGAAGCGCGCGTCGCAGGGTCGAAGGGGGATGACGAGCTTTGATGGAATGCTAAATTGAGCCATCAGGCAGCTGTCAACGAGCCTGTACCGCTTGAAGTGCATGGTGCGAAACTCCATTCCTTGGCCATCCGGTGTTCGGAGGTATACGTAGCCATGGTCATTTGCGGACAGGCTAGGCAGGCCTGTGACGACGAGCTCGAACCAGCCGCGCGGTCTGCCAGGCTGTAGATGCAAGAGGAAAGTAACGGTGGCCAGGTACGAGGCTGGTTCAACGTTGGCTGAGCAACGGACTTGGAACACCCTATCGACGAGGACGAGACGAGGTCTGTTGATGGTACGCGGTGGAGTGGGAGGGTGTACGAAGAGAATACCCTGGGTCGAGATTCCCCCGAATGATGTGTCCACTGAATCCGACAGCAAGGCTGTGTCACACGGGCTACCGGCGGATGCCACTGTGGAAAGCTTCTCCACGTCTTCTCCGTCTGGCAGGGACTTGCCTTCCTCACCGACATCCGTATCCAGGCCGGTCTTCGTCGGAGAACTCATTAAGGGCGTCAATATTTCTCGGGGGGATCTCTCTCCGACATCCTTGTGTTCCACTTGACTCTGCTTGTTCAAATTTTCCTTATTGATTGGTGACCGGCTGTTTTCAAATCTGTCCAAGTCCACACCCAACAAGAGTGCTGAATCTCTCAGCAACGGGACCCTAGCAGGGTCTGTATGTGTCTGGATGGCCACATTCACTGGCCTAGGTATCAGACTTCGCGACCGTGAATGCTTGGAGGCCGTCGACGATACCGGTGACTGTCGCTCCTTGTTAAGTATCCGGTTCTTGTTCTTGACCTTCCCACCGCCGTACGATCTCTCCGAATCAGTCACCGAGTCTGGCAAGGAGGCTGCCTTCGCATTCCGCTTGCGTGGGTTCTGTGGTGACTGATCCGCATCGACAGTCCCCTCCCAGGCTGGACTATCCTGGTATAGACTGGCATACAAGGCATCCAGCAGCGAATTCCCTCTCGGGGATCCATCGGGGGTATGACCAGCCCGGACTACACTGCCTGAATCCGAGGGTGTGTGAGCATCCGCCTGCAAGCCCGGAGGCCCAGGTGTCAGACTGGCATGGCTGGTCTCCTGCTCAGGCGTTACAGGTGCCTTGGCCTCATCGCTCGGTATCGGAGAGTCATATGGGTCTGCGTGGAACTCCCGTAGTCGTCTGATATCATCTGGCCTGGCGGACTTGAGACTCAGTGCAAAATCGACGACATGGGCGACGGATGGATGTGAGATGTCGAGTACGGTTAGTTGGGTATTTGGTGTGCACCAGACCTGGTCACGATGTCAACATTAGAAGAATGGCATGGGCAGGAGACGCGCTGCCATCTTACCTCGATCGACATGCGGACCTCGACCGTGTCGCTGGGATCCCCCGACCAATCGCACCAGAGGTCGAGATTGCTGAAGGGGTTCTCAGATGAATCCATCTGTCGACGGGTCAGACTCGTGGAAATAATGGGGAGGAAGAAAAGTAGAAAGAGGATGGACAAAGGTGGAACGAGGGGTGGGAAGCAGCGAGAAGGCAGAAGGGCAAGAGGAGGAAAGAAGGAACAGATGGGGCCTGCAGACGAGTGATCAGAAGGGACCAGAGGACACAACCCCAGCATCAAGACGCGCCGATGAGGAAGAGGAGCTGAAAAGAACTTTTAGGAAAGCATAAGCCATTGAATTGCGGTCATCACCAAATTAGAAGCACAGCGGTGGACTGCTAAGGGGGTGCGCCAGTATGTACACAGAAGGAAACAAGAACCATAAGAATGAGAATCTCACTTTTAAGAAAGAATAAAGCCTCCACCCCTCCAGTTCTACCCAGCCATCAGCGCCAGTAATAAGAAAAGAAAACAAGAAACCCGAAGCCACCCAATGTGAGAAACGTCAAAAGCGTGATATCTAACAGAACCCCCGTCTATCCAGACAGACAGGAAAAAAAAGACCAAATGAGGACAAGAGTCTCTCACAAAAAGAATTTAGCATAAAACAGCCAGGAGGGATCATCAAGGTCGACAACCCGGCCAAAGCATGAACGAGTGAAAGAAGGGCAATTTTGGGGTTCGATCCCAGTCTCAGTCCCAGTCCAGTCCCAGTCCCATGTATATGGCTTCTGGGGTATGAGTTATAAGAGGTATCGTACCGACCGTGTTCCTATCACTGAGGAGTTCCGTTCGCAGAGCCATAGCGATTACCTTCGGGGGCCATCTGGGAAGGTAAAATTGGGGTAGCCGTCGGGGAAGGCTGGTCAAAGTAGCCGCGCGCGGTGGTCCCGTTGGTGGCCTGGGGATAATTGCGCTGCAGCGGAGGAAGAATGGTCGAACTGGGCGTCTGGTATCCGGACCGAGGGTATCCCTGAGCCATCATCGCTCCAGTCGAATCTGGGGTCTGCGTCGGGTCCAATAGAAAGAAATCCTTAGCCAGAGACCTCTCTCACTAGAACTCACTCTTGGGGTGCCGTACGGGAGTGCCCGGCTGGTTCATCGCCATCAGCTGCCCCACGGCAGCTTGCTGGCTAGGCCGAGCCTGACCAGAGGGATCCGACATTTGAGACATGGGTGCTGCTGAGGGAGGAAGACCGTATGTCATCTAGGAAACCGACAGAGCCGTTAGTTGGACAGATGTTCCTCGTGAGGCGTGAACACAAACTCTCTTCTAAAGGAAACGCTGCACGAACCCCATAGTCTGGCACCACCTGGCCCGTGGAATACTGCTGCATAGCTGGATTCTGGTATGCGCTTGGCTGGCCGTACATAGTCGTCGATTGGCCGTATGGATCCATCGGGCGAGCAGCCATCCTGCTATCGGTGTCATAAATGTTTTGCCGACCATAGTCAATCGAGGTACGGTGGCGTTTGACGGGAGCCCCGTAATACTGATAGTCTCGACTCGCTGCCGCCGCCGGATAGCCTGTATAGCCTGTCGCAGCAGGCGGGATCTGAACCGGCTGTCGATCCGGCGATCGAGGAGGAATAGCCTGCGGAAACTCGTCTGGGCGAGGTGCAGAGCGTTTCCTGTGCGGGGTACTTGTCAGCGAACAGAAAATCCCTCCCTTCCCACGGCAAAAGGACCGTCCACGCCGCAAGTTGAACTGCCCAACTCACATCATAGTTCGAGGCTCCTTGCGAATGCGCAGCTTCACGCCCTGATCCGCGAACGATCGCGAGAGAAAAGTGGACTCCATCATGCCCGGGAAGTTCTTCGGAGGCGACACCTTAAATCGGTCCGAAATGATGGTTTTCAAGTAGGTGACAACATCCCTGGGTTCACCAGTCAGCCATTTGCTCCAATGCTGCCCGCAGACCGGAGGGTTGGGGGGCACGCGACTCACTTGCGCATCTCAAACAGAGTAAATTTGAGACGAAACTCGCCCTCGATCTTCACAGACAGGTCGCCGAACACGAAGAATCCTCCGTCTAGCCACAGTCAGCTTTTTGAGTCGCCCCCGCGTTGGGCGACAGGCCGAACTCCGCTTCGACTGGAGACCACTTACCGCTGTTGTCCACATCCTTCAGCCGGTGAAGGGACGAAACCAGGGTTCCTGCTAGCGCTGTAGATGGCGCCACGGGCACTGGACGGTCTTCTGAGGCATCGTACAGGCTGCAGCACATAAAATAGTAGGGGCTTTGCAGGTAGTGTCTTGGTAGGCAGTTAGCTTCGCAACCCGCGCGCACTACCCTTGGTAGGGTAGCCTTCGGCGATTCAATTTGATTCACTTACTGCGCAAGATAAGAGCCCTCCTCGCGCACCCGAAGCTGGACGATCGGGGGCGGATCGATGGGTTTGCGCTCTGCCGGCCCAGTCAATCACTGCGGGTCACCTTTCTCGCCAGCTTCCTCCGCAGCTCCGGACCGCCCTCCATCTCAAGAACAGAGGATTAGGACCGGAGCTACCCGTGAGGCTTGCCGGTGAGGAGGGAAAGGGAGGAGAATTGGAGACGTACCCTTTTCCTTGCCCCCGGCCACGCGCGCCCGGTCGGGCTGCTGGCGAATGGTCAGGTCAAAGTCAGAACTGGTGTTGGACAACATGGTCAGTTGGAATCCCTGGACGACCGAGTAAGAGTTGCGACCCAGTCATACAAGATGGTAGCAGAAGATGGGAGAACGGAGGGAAGATAGAAGAGAGCCAGACAGAGAGAGGGTGGTGGGGAGAGAGAGAGAGAGGGAGAGAGGCATAGAGGGAGGAATAGAGTGTCCAGGAGAATTAAGGATTTTTTTTTGGCTTTTACTTTGCTTACCTTTGGGCTTCGCGCGAGAGAGAGGCGTCGGTGAACGTCGATGCACTCATCAAGACGGAGAGGTGGAACCAGGACCCAAAGTGCGGGTTTTTTTGTTATAAGAGAGGATCAATGATCAAGAATCAAGGGTCAGGCAAGAGGCTAGCGGGCACCCAGCGGAAGAGGATCCGAGGAAACGAGCTAAGGTAGTGTGGCAGTTGGTTCGGGAGTAGAAGCGGCAAGCGGGTTGTCCACGGGTGCGAAGACAGTGAGAAGAGGTTAGAAGGGAAAGATGGGAGAGAAGGGAAAGAATGGGTCGGGGAAAAAGAGCGCGCAGCACGAGTCACAATGTCGTGGATGGTGCGCCGGCAGTTGAGGAGTGGTGGATAGAATTGGTGGTGGAGGGGGGGGTGTTAGTTTAGCTGTAGTGGGGGGGGGATGAGGTGGGAAAGAATGGAAAGGCGAATCCAGACTGTAGGAGGGTGCCGGAGCAGTTGAGTAGGCTCAGAAGGCTCCGACAGGCTGTTAACCGTGGATGATGGGCGGTGGGAGGGAAAAGGTGGATGAGCGGCAGTGGAAATATGGTTGGCAGGCGGAAGTGGAAGGGAAGGAAAGCAAAGCAGAGCAGTGGCAGGTGCGAAGGTGCAGTGGAAATGCGTGCCGCAAACGGCGACGCTGCGAACGGAAGGAACGACCGGTAGCAGTGTAGACGTCGTAGGTCACTTCACTCCTCTATAGATACCCGACACAACTCGGTCGCTTTAAGTGTCTGGGCACTAGGCACAGCGACCGCAGGTAATGATGCAGCAGGTGCAGATGCAGGTCCCGGCTAGGCGTCGCGATCCCCAACGTCGATGAACGCAATTTTCAATTGGGCCTCGATTTTCCCCCGCGAGCAAATCAGCGTCCCACACGACTAAGCCCCAAGGCCACACAGCGAGACAACCAGAAAAATGGGCCTGAAAAATTAGGGACCGAACATCCAATAGGAAACCCGAGAGATCCTTAAGGCCGGCCCTGCCTGAGGAAGGGATGACTGCTGGGTGTGGTGGAATGGTGGAACAGTAGTTGGGGCACACAGTAGCCACCAGATGGCTGTGCAGGACACCGTATAGAAATCCTGGCTGCGACCAGAGAAGGATAAAAAAATAAAAAATAAAATCAATTTCGGAGGCCTTTTGTCCGTTTTCGCAGCAGGGTGCACAGTATAGCTGAAGGGTGGAGCCCAGACAGACTTCTCGACCGTTGGAAAACCAGAGGGTCGCCCGCCGTCGAAGGCCGTAGACGGTTAAAACGGGAAGAAAAGTGGAGGGGAAAGGGAAAAAAAATAAAAAAAAGGGAGAGGGTTCAGCTGCGGTCGACCGGGTCGACCACGGTTGGCGGGCACGGTGGCACTGGCACTGGCACTGGCGACGATCAGGATGATGCGCACATTCGATCGGCCGAGGGGCCTAGCGCGGTGCTATCCGGGGCTGTACTCGGTACTCTGTATTGGCTTTGGAGCGTGAGGGGGAAAAAAGCCCCTCTGGTTTCCCGTGCAATAGTGCACGACTTATCAAGCCTAATCCGCCTGGTCCGTGTTGCTCGTAAGCCCTTGGCTGTCGCCACTGGGGAGCCACTGGGAGCCGGCGAAAACGGCGCGCCCTCCCCGGCTATGCACGTAATGGTGAGGACCCCGAGGTGAGCAAATGAGCTCCTGCCTCACGCCAAAAAGTGGACTCGGTCCCTGGTCCGGCGTCTAAGCATTCCAGTCAAAGTGGATTCCCGGATATGCGAGATCCAAGCCGCATGGCCTGCTGCTGGGCCAGGATCCGGGGCGCCCGAAGCTAGAAATGAGCTGGGCTAGCGGGCTATCGGACTAGCGTGCAATGGGGGGATGGTGAAGCGTTCAACTGTTGAGCTTGAGGCGCGACGAACAAGGACCCGTGAGTTTTCGCAGCTCGCTAATTGCAGGGCGTTGGCTCGCACTGGGCGGAGATTCCAAACAAAGACGGCGCGGTGTAGCCTCCCCCCAACACAAAGCCCAACTTGGAGCGGGAGTCGCGGAGGTCCTGGCGCCCGGAAATGCTCTGCCAGCCTGATTAGCAAGGTTTAATTTGAAACCCCGAGAACCCAAAGAAAGCCACAGTGATGTGAACTGCTGCGCTGATAGCTCCAGCTTTCCCCCCCTCTTATGTCATCCGCATTCCCAAGTTGGGAAAGCGAGGAGCTGTGGCCATCGACTGCCCGAAAGGGGGAAGGGAGCGGAGGATGCTCGCTGGTCAGCGGCCCACCCAGCCGGCTCTCTGACCACTTGACCTCCTCTCGCAAACGCAGACCTTCAAAAGCTCACCGCGGAGGTTCTCATACCTGTTGTTGCTCGAGTCTGTCGAGACAGTCTTCGCCCTTGCTCTGTTGCTTTCCCGTTCGTTCGGCGTGACACGAATCTGGCCCGCTCCCGTCTTGTCCTGTCTTCTCCCAAACGGCAGCCAACAACAAATCCCTGGGTTGCAACGAGAATACCTGGCACCGACGAGGTGGTCGATTCGATTGTCGTGTGGGTTGAACGCGTGGTACGCTTCCTGTCGTCAAAGACTAGCGCAGTCGCAATAACCACCTAGCCACCACCAGGCAACCGATTCGCCCCGCGGACAAGACAGCTAGGCGCAGTTGCAAGTCGGGGCGCGCAAACCGAGCACGAGCACGTTGGGCCGGCAGGCAACGGTCAGGGGGGAGCACACCGAGTCATGACGCGGTCGATGGTGAAAAAGAAAAGGCGAGTTCAAGCCAGTTGTCAAGAAATTAAAAAAACCCCAAAAAGGGACCCTCCAGGGAACAAAAAGGCAAATAGGAACCAAAAGAGGGCACGAACCCTCTGCGTTGCCCTACGAGTCGATGCGTCACATTGCCTGTGTGTCATGCAGCCTCGCAAAAAGAGAGGGATATTGCGCCCTCCTGTATGGGGACCGCACCAGCTCGGCAGAGGTCTGCACTAGTTAGGTCCGGTCCTCCCGGGACAGGACGGTGGGAGATCCGCTTCGATCGAGGTAGGGCCGTGCATGAGAGCAAGGTAAGCTAGTCGGCATCATGCACCGTGGGCTGGCTGGTCCGGGGACTTGAGCGATCGGGCATCATGCATTGGGCTGGAGACGAATCAACACGCGATGGATGGAGGGGGAGGGTGCGGTGGATCAGATCAGCGCGGCGTTTGCAGATCGGTGCGTTCTTCACTTTTCGGGCGATGGCTTCGCATCCAGGACTACGCCACAGCTGCCATCTGCTGGTCCCCGCCGCGGCTGGGGGAGGGAGGAGTATGGCGATCGAGGGCAGGCTGTATGGTACTTTTGAGTCGGCACTTTTCCCAATATGCCCCTGACTGCATCAGTGCATGACGGATGCACTTGAAGCTGGACAGTTCCTTGCGGGGCGAGGCGACAGAGAGACCAGTGGTAGGATGATCGATCTGATCCGGTTATCGGGAAGCGTCAAGAGGTGAAAGGGCCAGGGCTTGGGTGGGGGAATTGGCCTTGTTGGAGAGGAGGGGTGAAAAGCATGGCGCGCACTGGTGTGGCTGCAGCTGCAGCTGGATATGACAAGCGGCCCACTCGCCGCGGGCGATGCATCACCGCAGAAGACCCGATAGTACTGCGGCGATCATGCAAGGGTGGCCTTGGGGGGGCTGCCAACTGGCGGCACTCGAGGACCCCAGAGCGCATGCACAGCTAAACATGGGCCTCGGGGTCTCTAGTCTTGCATTGATCAGCGCGGTGACCATCGATCACGGTTGGTGCCCGCGGGGCCAATGGCCGTCGCCGCATGGCAGGTTCGTGGGCTTCGTTGGCCCCGCTGGGAGGGTCCGCCGGTGCCCTTCGGAGTGATAGCAGCGGGGGCACCCTGCGGTAGAAAAAGAAAAGAGAGGAAAAAAAAACCCAGCCCCTGGAGGATCGCCCCCGAACGAGGTGATTCAGTAGACAAAAATGCCTGGTTCCGTCTCAGCCTAAACGGTGGTTCGATGCCCACCTATGCATCTGCCCGCATCGGTTCCTGGCCGCGAGGCCTGGTTGGCGTACAGCAGCAGCAGGGAATGGCAATGCCGGACATCGCCCGAGATCCAGGATTTGTGCCTCGGGAGGGTACAGGGAGCTGGGCTGCAGAAACCAGCCCGCCGGAGGACTGGCAAGGAGAGGAAAAGGCAGAGAGGCTTGGAGGAGCCAAGCGGATAAACAGCCCCAAGCAGACCAGGCCGTCCGCACTAGCCTAACTCCACAGAGATGTAGGAGACTTGGGAAAAGAAAATTAAAGAAGAGAGAAAGGGAAGGAGAGGGAAAGGAACAGGGAAAATACAGCCCTCTGATAGAATTTTCCTTGCTGGCAGTTCCCAGACGAGCAGACTAACAGCGCATCTGCCTCCACCGACAGACTCAAATCAAAGGCCTAAACCCGCCTCACAAAACCCGCGTGGTGGACGTGGGGACGAACGACGAAGTGGCTCCCGGAAATTTTATTGCGGGACCGTTGACCAGCCCCGAGGTCGCGCTCACAGTCCATCATCAGAATACTGCATACTGCATCTCTCCTCGATCGATGTAATCGCGGGACGAGCCATAGTCCCCTCCTCATAGTTCATAGTTCATAGTTCATAGTTCATCGTTCATAGTGCCCATAGCCCATCCGTGAGCCTCTAAGCTCGTCTGACAGCGGCCCCGTCCCCAGGACCACGGCACCCTGGAACGCTATGCGGTTATGCTTAAAGTGAAGCCGGGCCTAAGCCGCCCGTTCCATGGATGCGTCCCTTCCTCCCCCCCCCCCTGACAGCTGGCCGAACACGCTCTGACCGCCGATCCTGCCGATCGGGGTTGGCTGGCTGGGTGATTTTGTTGTGATTTTTCTTCCTTCGTAGTCAATTTCCGATTCATTGTGTACGTACAGGGCAAGGCGATGCGCCCTTCCCATGGTGTCGGCGCATGCTGGTTTTCCTCGAACCTCCCCGGTGGTGGCGGACTGCCAGAGGGAACCCCCCTTTATTTCTGTATTCTCCGAGCTTCAGGCAGGCTCTTCGTGCGCGTTCCCCATCTGCTAAAAGTGGGAGATCTGCTATAGTGGGAGGACTCGGTCATGCCATGTACCGACTTCCGACCGCATAGAACGTATCACATCGGACTCCGAGATCTGCCGGTGGGAGACGGAGGGTTCGCGCTACTAGTAGTGTTCCTGTAGGTCTGCATGTCCGTGCTTTCTCCGACCCTCCAATGCCCGGTCGCGGAAATTGGGGATTCGGCTCCGACTGTTCTGCAGCCGACCACCCCGGGCATGGAGTCTCGATCCCAGGCCTGTCGATTGTGGCGGGCCTATGATCGATGGTTCTCTGCACGTCGTCGATCCCCCATCACTATCACTCTCGGCATTTCACCGGGCGTAGATCGTTACTCGTTCCGCGTTACGGTTGGACGGTTGGGTGATACATCGATTGAGGGACACGGGTTAACCGATGACCGTGGGCCAGACATGCCGCAGATTCTGGGCTGATTGATGGCCAGGTAGATAGATAGATAGACTACACGCGACTCTCATACATGGCACAACCGTGCACGTTTCCTTTGGGCAGGCTGGAGGCGCAGCAAGATCAAAACATCGAATCAAAGGGAGATGGATTAGAGAAGAAAGATACTCCAAGCACGGCCAAAACGCCTAGCTCCAGATCCGCGCTCCTAGCTAGACACACACACACACACACAAAAAAAGAATAGAGTCACCGAGCCACGATGGAGAAAATGCAGTTGGAACTCAATCGACGCGTCGTGCGACATCATCGGTCAGTTCGGCGAGGCGGACGTGGCTCGCCCGTCAAGTAAGAGGAGAAGGAAGAACCTCTCTGAACAAAAGTAGAAAATCAAGTGAATTCACGATAACGCCCGGTCCATATGCGTTGCGACGTTGCGGGGGTATACTGCACCGGCTCTGCCTGTAATGCCAGATCTTGAATGTGCATCCCCGTGACGGTGCTCAGGTCTCCATTACCACATCACCATCCACCTCGTACTCGGCGTCAATGTCCTCTTCTCCCTCCGCATCCATGTCGGAATCCATGCCGTTGGTGTCGACGGGGGCCGCTTTGCTGTTACGTCGCTTCGCCGATTCGGGGTCGGCGGGGATCACCACTTGGATCTTCTCCACCAAGGCCTTGCGGTTCACAGACTGTGGGGTCTTGGAATGCTGATCTGACTGCTTGCCCTTGGATTTGTGGGACGCTGCGGTGGTTGGGGACGTGGACGCTGATGTCCGTTTCTTCTCAGGTGTTTGTGGAGCTTCGGGCTCAGGATCGGGCTCGGCCTCGGACTCGGACTCAGACACGACAGCAGATTCCTCATCATGATCGACACCGTTGGTTTCCACAACCGCTTCTTGCTCATCATCACCGTTGACTTCCTCCGCTTGGACATCTTCGGTTTCCATGAATTCGCCACCGGTCGCGGACGCTTCTTCGTCCAGCACAAGACCAAGGTCTTCGGGACTGGGGTCAAGCACGGCCGCCTCATCAGCAAGCTCTTCATCAATCCCATTAGCCTGGGCGGGAGTGGCGTCTGTCGCCGGTGAATCCATCATCAAGGCACTGCGGCCACGACGGATACTGGGCGTGTGGGCGTTGGGAGTGAACAGGGGTAGCCCGGAGGCTCGCCGCGGTGTGTTGCGACCACTCGTACGAGTTGCCGTGGGCGTCAGTGATGGTCGAGAGTGGCTTGCTTTGCTGCCATGTGGACGACCAACCTTGCGCTTGGGGGGTGCCGGGACATGTACGGGAGGCCATAGTTCAAAGCGAGAGGGAGGGATACCGGCAGCTGGGTTGGGAATGGGATCGAATTCCCCGGACTCGGACTCGTGGATGCCATTGGTTTGTGGGAAAGCAGAGGTTGAGGGTGGACCGGCGGGTTCCCCCAGAGCATCGGAATCTGTACCATCCACCGTAGGGTCTTCGTCTGCATCCTCTCTCGATTCCAATTCCTCGTCGTCCTCGTCGGGATCTTCGCGAGGTGCAACGGCATGTAGAGGTGCTCGGTCGAAATGTGACTGGTTGTTACGACCCATGATGTATGGAGTCCACGTAAGCGCGTCCGGATTGAGTTGGACATAGCCCTTGCTCTCCCACTTAGCGATGACCTCTTCAAAATAGTCCTTGTCGAGGCGGAGTGCGTAGGTCTTGGTAATGGGGTCTCGCACCAGGGCACGCAGTCCTTCCAGCCCAGACACAAGATCATCCGCCGTCATGCCCGTTCGATCGGACAGATCTGCGATGCTGACAGGGGCTTTTAAATCACGAAGTTGGTACGATAGTATCAGTCTCCAATAGTTGCGGTATGATACCAGACCCATGTCAGAGAGAGGTTTCTCGGGCGAGCCGCTCTTGCCCTCAATGCGGGTGAGAAGGTAGGAGAAATCGATGAGGAGGTTGCCATAGCCTTTGCGCTGGTGGATAGGAAGGGTGAGAATGCAGGAGACGTTATTGGCTGAGCTCGGTCGTTTCTCTTTGCTGAAGTAGCCAACAAAATGGCATCCCAGATCGTCGTACTCGGCCATGACATAGAACAAGAATGGCTCCACGTCGTAGTACAGAGTCTTAGACCCCAGGAACAATTTGGCAAGAAGACACAGATTCTGGCAGTAGACCGGGTTCTTCCGACCGTCCACCTCGAATATCGAAATCGACCCATCCCGATAAATCTCATCACCTGGTGGATGCTTCGCAGGGCACTTCAGCTTATGTCGCCAAGCGACATAGTCCGAGTTCATGTATTTTAGACAGAACTCGCAGATGTAAAGCACCCGATTGCGGCTGTACTCCTCCGGATAAGGCGCGGCGTACCAAGTCTCGATTTCGTAGCCACCGAAGTTGATGTATTTGATCTTGGAAGGGGGTCCTGATACTTTCTGCGAGGCCGCGGGAGTTGCTTCGCCGTTGAGCTCTGCCTCTCGGATTTTCCGCTGCCACTCTTCTTCGGCCCGTTGGCGAGCTTGTTCAAACCTATCGCGATCCCCTTGTAAAGGTAGAGTCCTGGAAGTGTCGGCCTCCACTTCAGACAAGATGCCACCATATGGCTTGGTCTTCGATTCATCGGCTTCCCGATCATGGAGAGGATGGTAATGGTGGGCGTAGGGTGCGGGAGGAATGGGGGCAAAATGAGCTTGGGTTTCTTGAGAGGCAGTCGGTGGTTTGGGGGCTTTCTTCTTGCGCAGTGGCCGGCTCTGAGTGCTGAGTATTTCCGTCACCTTGCCTTCATCCAAACGGAAACTAACAACCAGTTTACCGAGTTGTTTTGCGACCACGCGACAATGTTCTCGGTCAACCGCTCGAGTCCGCCGAGAACGCATGGGCCGGGCGAGAGAGACTGCCTCATTGGGAGGCTCATCACCAGCACCGTCGAAGGGGGCATCGGGGGCATCAGAATGGTCCATTGGTCGCCGTCGCTTCCGGAGCACGGGTACATGCTCATCTGCCTCGACCGACGAGGCTTTTCTTTTACGCAAGGACCGCGAGCTGTTCAGGAGTTCATCGCTGATGTTGGTGTCGAAAATGGAGTGGAATCCATCCTCTTGGCTTCCCACATGTGCAGGCAAAAGCTCTTTTGGTAAATGAGGAGCTCCGCTTTTGGTTTGCGCTGGGGTTTCCGCAGTTTCAGGTTCCAGCCTGTTGCGAACACACGTGGGACATCTCCAAGGATCTACACAATTAACCGTTAGTAGGTGGGTCCGCAATAAAAGTGCAAATCCAGCACGAAGCTACCGCCAACGAACCTTCAGATTCATCAAATGCTTCTTGTTCACGGGCGCATTGCCGGTGAGCTGTCGGAACGCCGGGTCAGCGATTATTCCAGAAAAAAAGGGGGAGGGGGGGAAGTAGAGGCTTAAGCTTTTAGCTACGGCCCCGCAAAAGCATGACATACAATGATCACCACAAACAGCGCAGGTCAACCATTCCTCAAAGTCCTCACTTGGATCGTGCTCCTCATCTTGGGTGCAAAAGCTGTCGCCCTTTGTCAGCAATTAATTCCCAAAAAGAATCAACCTGCGCCGACGCGCTGAATTGCGATCCACGTACATGCAAGTTGCCCGGCTGCGATTATCGACATCCACATCTTCACGACCGTTGCTTTCGGCCTCCCAATCCTCCTCCTCCGCTTCTGATTCGGATTCGCTCGATTCATAGGCTTCTCGGTCGTTGTCCTCTTCAAACGCCGGGTCGACATCGCCGTTGGCCGTCCCCGACTCGGCATCCTCATTCTCGGAAGAAGCGTCGTCGGGGTGCTTCACAGCTCCGACAGGTTCAGTGTCATCGTTATCACCACCATTTGGTCCACGGCTGGTCGCCATGCTCAAGGGTCCACCATTCGGTCCAGTATTACCGTTCTCCTCGGCCACCTCGCCGGAGTATGCTCTATGAACCGCATCCTGTAGCTGTTGATCCATCTCGTACAGGTCGGTTTCCTCTTCCCCTTCCGCATCCAAGTCACTGTCCGCCTGGTCGAGCGGGGGGTCCAGTTTGTCCGGGTCATCGTTCACTGGCGGCACCGTCGCCGCCATGGTGAGTGTCGCGACAGTCGCCAGGCCTTCTGAGGCCGGACCACCGGGATGGTATGCGCCGGGGTATTTAAAAGTCTTTGATTGTTGCAAGGCCGAGCCAGTTCAAGCTACAGAGCCACCCCGCTCGCGTCGGTGGTGGCCCGGGGGGCATCTGGAGCCCGTGCAAGTCCGGCAAAGACAAAGGTGAGTGGGACCGGCGCTCGCAACATGAAATCAGCACCTTTCTTTGAAAGCAGGTTCCTCGGGTGCAAGTAGCTGTGGACAAGCAGGCAGTGGTCAGTTGGCTGTGACAGGTCGCAAACACGTGTCGCCGGGAGAAGGGGACTCACACCCAGGGAGAAACCAATGCGATACAATGAGTAGGCAGATCCAAGACGCGTCGACAAGCAATCCAAGCGCCGAGGGTGGACTCTCTGGCAATCAAACCGCGAGCCGATGGCCCCTTGGGCCTGGCGGAGTGTCGTTGCAGGCGGCTGAGTCAGGCGCACTAAACCGCTTCGGGCCGCAGACCTCGCCTTGGGAACGGCCGCTCAAGTCACTGGCTCCCCTCCACCTTCTCGCCTTCTCCGCGATTGATCCCTGCTGCGCAGTGACAAGCTTGGGTCTTTGCAGTTACCGACCTCTATCTTCTTTCTCCAATCCTTCTACCTGGCTTTCTGCCACCGCTCAACATGGGTGTTCCTTTCGAGGCCCTCCTCCCTTACGGGATTATCATGGGCGTGCGTCTCATTCGCCAATCCCTTCCGAGCAATTACTGACCGGCCAACACAGATGTTCGGCGTCACTGGCGCTGGTCTGTACGTTGTCAAGCGCTTTGCCAACGAGGGCAAGAAGGCCCGCTGGAACCGAGACCTCTGGGATAGGGTAAGTCGTTCCTTCCATCCGTCGGCTGCGGTCGGAAATTCGTCGCAACAGAATGTGTCGGCTAACTTTCACGTAGCAAAGTAAGTTGCGACCGAGCCAATTCGACGCGACGATCCTCTACGAGACCAACTGGGCGGATTCTAACCATACATCGTCAACTTACAGTGATGCAGCGCGACCTGCGCATTACCGGTACTATGCGTGGACAGTCCAGCAACCACCAGGCTCCCCCAGGATTCGATGTCAGCAACCCATGGAAGGTATGGACAAAGAAGACCCTCGAAAACCCCGTGATGATCGCCGAAGGCTCATACAGTATACAGATCGAGAAGCGGATTTTCTAGATCAAAAATTGCAACGTCTCATTGTCGATTATGCCTGCGCCTCCACTTGTTCGTTGATAACTATACATACCTTCCGCAATTTCTCTTCAGAAACGTCGCTGTATCATACCATTGAACCGTCTCCTTCTCCCTTCCGGTAGCCTCCAAAAAAGGGCATCTACTTGAGCTGAGAAGTCAAGCCTTGAATACCGTGGATTTCACTATCCCGGAGGTGCATGTCGAAGTATTTTGCTAGGGCTTGGACCCGGTCTTCCTCAGATTGAAGGACCTGCAAAATCTCCGTCTGTCCATGTATTCGGCGTTTGACCTCTTTGCCCGCCATGATGCACTGCCCAATAATCTCCTTGCCAGTAGGACTCAGAATCATCCGCATGCACACAAAGGTCTGCTTAAACCAGCTGGTGGCCTTCTGGCTAACCGAGAAGTTCATCATCCCAAAGTCCTGGGGCAAGAACTCTACCTCGGAGAAGCAGATGTTCGGCAGCCAGCTGCTTTCCGGATTATATCTTGTCTGATAGATCCAGACCTTTTGGGATTTGTCGGTAAACTCGGCAATACTTTCCCTGATTAAGCGCATCTCAGAGCGTCCAATCCATGTAGCCGTAGCCCCCTCGTGAAGATGCAAGGGTGCAGTAGCACAGTTGTTCCCAAATCCCACATCCACCTGGCAGTTGTTAGTGCTAGCGAGGTTGGTAAAGTGATGGCGAGCACTGACCATATATTTCGCCCCATCAATGGTCACGATCAGGACCATATGTTCACTGGAAAAGACGGTTCAAGTCAGCTTGTTAGGGCGACCGCCATTGCTGGACAGGTATACTGACAATGCTGAATACAATCCGTTGTCCACCCTTGTGGCGGCAGCCTGGCTCACTCTGGCTCCAGTGGCGTATACAACATATCCCAGGGACCGCAGAACGATTAAGAATATTCCCGTGTTTTCCATACAATACCCATCGAGGCGCCGCTCCACCATCTTCTCAAACAAGCTTTCCGGGTGCAGAGAAATAGTGTGGTGTTGTGAATAATGAAGTCCCGAGTTGCCCCACGGAATAGCAGCGAGATGGCGTCGCTGGAGCTCTGACAGCGTACCGAACGCATCGGTCTCAATTCTGTGACGGACATCTTGGACCAGGCTATCTCCAGTCTTTGCTGCGGGCACATAGGCAAGTCGTGTGAGGTATATCTCGAGCTGGGTGTCTGTATATGTCGGTTGCTCGGGTCCCATTGTGGCGGGCTGGCTATTACCCCCACTGTACGACGCGGGGCTTGGATTCCAGTGGTGGGTGTGCTTGGTATGTTGCACGGTATTTCGAGGGATCGGGCTAGAGCCTGTAGCTTCATGCGTTTCGGGGTGTCTGGCACGGATCCGAGTCGCAGGCCCCGTTCTCGCAATTGATCGATTTTACTATCCACGCGACAACCATTGATGACCAATGCGTACTCGCCACCCCACACTTCCCCAGTTTGTCGGCTGCGGGATGCGAGCGCCGCGGCCGGGTAAATTCAAGTCGCCAGTTTCGTGTTTCTGCCGAGAGTGACAATGATGGCTCGATACAAGCATATTGAAATTGAAATTATCCGTTCCTGATGCAGCATTGCGTATGCAGAATGATTGGCTGAAAGAGAACTTTGGCTACAGCTATGTGAAACATCCGCAGTCAATGCCAATGCATGCCAGTCAATACCGGCGATATATACAACCTACAGGGCATCACTCATTCAGGGGGAAAGAATTCAAGTGAAAGCGAGTTAGCGAACATCATATGAACGCACGAGTTTCGTGATACTAGTGCCATCATCCAGCGTCTCCACTGCCTCCTCCAAGGTATACCCTCCCAACTGAGGAAGAAGCACGGTCCATACATACCAGTATAGCAGGCCGAAAAGGATCCTATGTTCCCGAATTAGTCTTGTTGCTGGCGTTCGGGCAGTGACACCTACACGGAAATCCCAACGATGGCGTAAGTCGCGTAGAAGAAGTCGACATCTCCTTGCAAGTTCGGGGGAGGGATAAAAGGTGCCACAAGCAGGGCAAGGCATACCGCAATGCGCAACCAGATAGCCGGTAGCCACGCTTGGAATGGTCGTCGGCGATGTGGCTCCTTATATCGAAGTATCAAGAGACCAAGCGTAATGGCAAGGGCGAAGACCTGACCAGGATATCCTTCTACGTCTAGAATGAAATTGTAGACGTCTCCTTGCGGTGGGATGGAGATCACCAGCACGGATGGCACGTAATGAACTAAGAGTCCCCCCAGGGGCGTTCCGAAGGGGCGCGAGGATGAAAGGAGTTTCTGCCATGGAAGGAATCCCTGGCGAGCGATTTCTTGATTGATGCGGGCCTATGTTTTCCTCGTCAGAGCTGAAGACAATCCGAGAAGCGACGATACAGACCAGAGCAAATGTCACCACCATGACATTACCAGCCGCCGAGATGGCAATTGCGAGCGGAAGGAGTGATCTCCCAATTTGGTCCCCAAATAGGCGCTCGAACAGTAATGCAGCCACGAGCTCCCCGCTATTCTTGATGTCGTCCAACGGGACCACCAGCAGATATGAAGTGTTGGCGAGCAGGTACAGACCACCCGCCGTCAGCAATGCTGATGGACAGACTGTTTTCACGGTCTGGACTGGATTATGTACTTCGTTGAGCACATTGTTGATATTGCTCAGCCCCGCATAGGAGTACATCACCTTGAAAATCGCGGTGGACAGCAGACTCCAGCTCCAGTTCGAGCCTTCCCATAGTACGTCCCAGGAGATGGGACCGATAGCGCTTGCGCCCGGGGAAATCTGATGGGAGGTTCCCACAAATTGGAGAAGCAGAATCCATATCCCCGTGAGCGACATGGCGCCGATCAAGAAGATCTTCACCCAGCCCAGGGCATTCTGGATCGCTATTCCCGTCTTCAAGAAGCCGCCATGGATGATGGTGATTAGCGTCAGAAGACCGACCGCAAGAGCCTTGTGCTGGAAATCGGTCGGCTCGATGCGCAACGCGAACAGGGTATATTTGGCAAAAATAATACAGTTGCTCGCGGTGAATCCCAGCAGCACTGCCTGCACGGCGATCAGAGTAGACGCCAGGAATCGCGGTCGGGGATAGGCATGCTCCAGGTACACCTACCACGGATCTTAGCGCCCCTCGGCAAGCCGGTCAGGATCGGTCATTTACCTTGTCCCCGCCCGACCGGGGCAACATGCAGCCATATTCCATCGACACGGCCAGTCCACAGGCTGCCAAAATGGTGCCGAATAACCATACGAGTATTGTCAGACCGATACTTCCGGTGGACTTCACGATCGATCCTGGTGTAGCGAAAATGCCACTGCCGATCACGCGCGACACAACCAGGATGTATGCGCTGGCCCAGCTGAGGCTTTTCCCTGGCGACCCGGGAAGACGATCGGGGAGTTTCACGGGCATTTCCACATATGAAGTGCCGATTGATACAGCTGGCGGGGCATTTGGATGGTGCTCCGACTCTAACAAGGGTTGTCTTTCCCCGCGCTCACTGCGCTGCATGGTCTGGATTTGTCTGCGTGGCCTGCGACTGTTACATTGACATCTGCCCCAGAAGAAATTCCGGCGGGAGTAAAGCTCTCGAGTAGATGCAGCAGCAAGGAAGAGGTGATCTGATATTTGGCATTTGTAACGCCCCAGTGATGGATCACGTTGCTTGGAAATCACCAGCGATTTTCCTGGCACGTCATTCCGGCTGGATGTTGTGTCTTCCGTGACCGCTGCGGGGATTGCGAAGAACGCATTCGCATGACGATAGGAGATCCTGCAGCGCAAAAGTCTGACAAGAATAAAAACGACAATATAATTGGGCATTGACCTTCACGGAGTATTCAGTCCATCGGCGGTCCTAATTCTGTGATGACGTGTTGTGGCCGTGCCTTGCAAGGAGCGAATCTGAAGGTGTAGACATGTCGGTACACATCTCGGTGGTTTTCAAGCGCGGTCTGGCTCTGGTTAGATATGATCAAAATACTGCAAGGGTTGAAGTAGGAGCCTCAAGCATACCTCGGATGAGTGTGGAGAATGTTTTGTATGGAAGTGAGGACTAAGCTTCCAGGATTCTTGCGCTATCCTGCTTTAATGATAAAGGGTGACTATAATTGAAATTAATGTTATAGATCTATTAAGCTAGAGACAATGGATGTGACACCTCGAGCGGGAGACATCCCATAGACGCTCGTGCAATAGTGTCTATTGAGGGGGAAGCAGTTAATGTGGATGATTTAGATTTTACATTGAGGCTTATCTCTTCGGAAGGAGCCTCAAATCGGGGGCTGAAAGTTTTAAGATACTAAGTTCTTCTCTACGGCGACTCGTATAGGTTCGCATCCGATTCGTCAAGCCTGACATGGCAACATCGAGATTTGGACTAGAAAATCATGGTATCCATGATAAGAGAAAATTTATGAAATTGCTTGAACTAACTAAGCTTTCGTCTTGTCTTAGAAGGTAGTACTAGGAGAGGATACTGTGGATCGGGTGGCCCACTGGTCCGTGTAGTGCCACCGGGGGCCGATACGGATGGAGTATGTGCACCTGTGCGGTTTTCCCCGCTTTGCTCTTGTGCCTTTCTAGGAGATTAGCATTATATACAGATTATAATGAGCGGGCATAGATGATGAACGCATGAATGCTGGGGATAGAGGACGGCCGAGGACTGGGGCGGGTGCGGGCAATACGTACTTCACTAATGTAACTCGGTGGATAGTACAACATCTTGTGTGTGGTACACCACTCTATATTAGTAGGGGAAGGAGGAGGTATCAACGGGCACAAATAATCCGTACACCGTACTCCGTACAGTACCCTGGGAGAGTGCGCCATTTTCGTATGAGCCAGCCTTATACTGTAGGGAGCAGGACCAAGGGTATTCATCGGATGTGCAACAGCCCCACAGTGGCTTCCCCTAACTATCAGGCTAACCGCCCCGCGCGCGATGATTGGGAATAGGGTAGCGCAGGGTCGGCTAGCGGATGTAGTAGTGACGCTACTGTAGAATAATAATAACGATAACTTATAGTGTACATCCTATCACTAGGGTACCAGTATACTGTACAAATCAAGGCCTTTGGTAGGCCGGCGACCCCCCCGCCCAGGGAATACTCATGGAAGCGAGAACGACACCACTAGATAACACGTGCCCAATGTAATTGGCCAATTAAACTTATAAGTTAGAAGATTTACCCTTTTGTTTTTTTGGTTTTTCTTGTTGCGCTTTGAGCTACCTTCTCGCAAAATATAATTTTTGCTATCGTAGTCGAAGTGTCCCCAACCGATTTGCAGTCTCGATCTAAGTCAAGCGCGTGAACCCAAGCGGACCCCAAATTGCCAGTGAGTGGACTAGATAGTGCTGAAGTTCGCTTTCTTACAATAATGATTCCATCATTCCGTCCCTTCCAAGGTTTACTAACTCGGTGCGCCCAAGGTCGACACGCCGCATACAAAATATCATGGTGGAGCCACTCTCGGTCGACGACAGCGGCAAATTTCCGGATAAGACCAAACAGTCAAGCATGAGATCCTCTATCTTCAATGCATACCTATTTTTGACCTCCCTATGCGCAATAATCGCGCTGGTCATTGCTGCGGTCTCGCTCCACAAAGCAAATGAGGGCGCCGCTTTCACGTCCTCGCTATTCATGACCGACATGGAGCGCACTTTCAACAGCACGGTATATGCCATCGCCAATCGTGGGCCAAACGCACCAGCATGCGACAATTTCAGCGCCGAAGTGGTGACTGGCCAGACATCTATCCCAGGCCAGTGTGTCACCGTTGCCGATAGCTACTCAATGTGGGTGACCAGGTTGGCTCAGAATTGTGTGCCATATGCCTATGCACAGGAGAACTGCACTGGTACCTCCCGAATGATGGGCGACCTAAGCCTTCCAGACTGCATCATTAACGCCGCCGCTGGAGAACTGGCTGGCAAATCCGGGGAAACTTTCAGAAGTTTCCAAATCTTATGTACTTGAGATTAGATGTTCTGTCTAGGTCGCGGGACCGGTCACATATGGTTGCAGACCTTCCCAGGTGGACTGAAATGTCACGATTCGTATTGTCAACCAAATACGCAAGTCGTGGTACCTACACATTTATGACTTGCTACATCAATGATGTAGGTCACCTCCGTGACTAAGTTATATGGGATCGCATGCACTCGGAGTTGCAACATCTAAGCATCAGTTGTCATGTTATCTTAGGGGTATTTCAACAGCCCCAAGATCCTTTATTCCTTCATCTTCTTTCCTCTTTCTTCACGAATCACAGTTAATGTCAAACTCATTATATCCTTCTCCTATTTGGTTCCGTTGCTCTGATTGGCCAAGTAATCTATGACATCATAGCTACAGAATATCTGACAATCTATCACCCTATTTAGAATCCTTTCAATCCCTTGGGTGTTCATAGGGATGGGATAACTGGCTAGTTCGAGAGCGCCTAAAGCTAGAGGTATGTGGCAATCTCCACTCGTCTCTCACTTGTCGAGGGGTATATTCAGAATATGATTTGCTGGCTCCAGGTCTGTTATCGAATGGGTTGATAAGCTCCGCTTCGAGACGTTGTTTCCCAATCTAGATAGTACACGTGCAGAAGATATAAAAGCTGCTCGTCTCACTTTGAATAATATTCTGCTCTCACGCCTTCTCTCCTCACACCTTCTCTCCTCACAACTTTTCGCTCTTCACACCTCTCTTCATACCTCTCCTCACATCTCTCAGCTCACAACTCACCTCGAGCCGCCTTAAGTCAATCACAAACATGGCGAACATATCAAGTTTGACCGCACGCGAGGCTCTAAAAGAGCCCTTGCCCGACCTACCAGGCAAGGGCTCTTTTAGAGCCTCGCGTGCGGTCATGCTTGTTGTGTTCGCCATGTGTGTGATTGGCGCCAAGAGAACGACGAGTTCCGCACTACACCCAATAGATTCCGTGCGTACCCTGCAGCCATGCCTAACTTCGAGGCTGAGATTATCAACAGTTTCAACAGTCAGACCTGGAGCCAGCAAATGATGTCCTGAACGTGGAAGACGGCGGGAGAGGGCGCTACGCTGCATCATCATCGACGCGATCCACAGAGAGCTCTGCAGCATGATGACTCTCATCTGGATTCATTTCGGTCTCAATGCGACGAATGATCCGGGCCGGGTTACCGGCCACAAAGTGAAATGGAGGAACATCCTGCCACGGTTAGTTCATGTCTCCGAATGAGGCCACATCCACACTAACCTTGGTGACCACCGATCCTGCCCCCACGGTACTGCCCTTGCCAATACGCACACCCGCAAGAACCAGCACGCTGCCGCCGATCCAGACGTCGTCCTCGATGTGAATCTCCTTTCCAGCCTCTGGACCTTTCACCCCCCGCCGCACCGCCGGATCCATTGGATGCGTGGCCCCGTACAAGCAGACGTTGGGCCCAAACAGGACATTCGCCCCAATCGTAATGAGACAGGTATCCAGGACGAGAAGATTGAAGTTGAGGAAAGTCCCCGGGCCGACCGTGAAGTTGATGCCATGGTCAACTGAAATGGGCCCGTCGACAAATGGGTCCGTTGTCTCGAAGAGATCCGCATCTTGCTTCGGATCTGGGTGGACGGGGGGTATTGGTCGTGTGTCTCCAACAATGCTGAAGGTTCCTCATGTCAGCACCGCTTGTTACGATTTTCCAACCTATTCACTCGCCGAAGCTACCGTGATCGGTCCGCATGGCTTGGAAAGCTTACTTTCGCCACAGCTCTACTTTGCGACGCCGGGTAGCCGCGCCCGCCGCATTGAACTCTTCGCATGCCTGCTTGCACCGCGTCCGATTGGCTTGTAGATCCGCATCCCAAGCCCAGTAAAGCTCGCCCCGGAGCATCTTTTGCCACTCCTTCGAATGCGCCATGGTGGGGAATGAAATGTAGGGGGGTTTTGCTGCGTGGAGTGATGACTCGGACAAAAAACAGATCATGGACGGAGACAGCTGATCGCTTTATATTCGCCGGCTGATGCTCCATGGGGTTGATTCCCGCGGACGAAACCGCGCCCAGTCGGTTGCTGTCTGGTTTACCCAAAGCGGCAGTTCGGCCAGCAGTGGGCAGTGCCGACCCACTAAAAGTGCCGTCATTGGTGGGGCACAGTCTGTACTCCTTCACTCATTGGGAAAGCAGCCCTAGACTCATGCGAAGCGATATAAGAAATGAATTTCAGGGTGGGCCAAGGTGTTCAGAGTTCTGATATAACGAAAGCACCCCATGTCCATGTTCCCCAGCGTTGGTTGCGAAAACGGGCCAGCCTTTGGGAAACTTGTATGAGCCTCGCTTTCTCCTTTGACCTCTCCAAATGAACATATTTCCAATGCAGTATGAAATTTAGAATCCTTGCAGCCCGCACTGCAAAGGGGTACAATTGTGTTGGTGTGAAAGCTCGTGGTATCACCGCCATCTCCAATCCAGACGGGCATGACCACCAATTATAACGATTGTATAAGGTCGTCGCGGACGATTCGTGCATCGTTATTGCCAAGAATTCTGGTGTCTTCGTTCTACAACTGGAACCCGACGGCTAATGCTAGGGTTGGGTTCGGCCCTGGCCTGATCCCGACCCTAGGCGATACTCAATAAAGAATCCAGCAGGGATGCCTGTGCTCTATCGAGTCGGTTGGCTATAAGATACAGGTAAATCCCCGATTACGTTTGAAAAGGCGACGAGCCCCCCTGATGCATTGTTGTTTCCTCAGAACTTCTCACTTTGATAAGGGCTGGAATGTCGCACCGTGATGACCGGCTGTGGCTCTTCCAGGGGGTATCTCGTCGCTGCGGTTTCCGAGAAACATATTCGTTTATTTTTACGATTAGTAGATACAATTCAATCGAGAAACGATATCCATCCACAGTAATTGTGGACTGGTGGGACTCCAACACTATGCGGTGCTATCCTGATGTATACAAGCGAGAATGACACTCGGAAAACGGAAGCAAAAGTGATGAGTGATGGCCTTTGTTGCGCAAGATCGGCGCAGGTACCCCAGGAGTAGAAATGGCAGATCAGCTCCAGTGTAGAAAGCACCATGCGATGGAGATATCCCGAACAAGCGTTCCAGCGGAGAAAGGACAGAGTCTCTGCGTTTGCACTCTCCAAATCTTGCCAACTTCAACTTCCCACAACCCACCTCTTCTCTCTGCAGCCTGAAGCCCAAACCACACCCAAAGACACGCCGATCAGCTTCACAGGCGAAAAGATTAATCTGGAAAGGACATCTCGGTGATCGAAAACAGAACGGCACGGGAGTGAACTTCCCTGGTCAACGAAAAACATGTCACAAGAATCCAAGGCTGAAGAGGATGTCGACCTCGGCGAGTTCGTACCCACTCTTGAAGGCGTATCCACCTTCGCGCCTTGGCTTCAGTATCTCACACGCTCCCTGGAGCCAATGCAAATGCGCATCCTCAAAGGCGAGGAGCCCGCGCCTGCACTCCCTGACAAGATAACCCACACCGTGGACTCTGCGCGCGCAGCACTCAGCCACGAGCTTCGAGTGCCACCGGAATTCATACTCGAGAAGGAGGTCACGGAATCTCTAGGCTGGAACGCCCAGAGCAACGCTCAGCTCGACGAGCTTTTTCAAAGCAAGATTCCCCACTGGAACAATGCTCTGCTCTGCCTTCGGGCTACACTCGGTGAAGAAGCGAGGAAGCTCATCCAGGACATCGACAATGCCCCCGAGGCATTCAAGAAAATCAGAATCTTCTACCGCAAGCATAGACACGAGACTCTAGCTGAACGGTGGTCTGCATGGGTGAACTTTCGCTACGTGGGCGGCTCCCGACCAGATTTCGTGCGCCGCTTCACCGAAAAACTACAAGAGGTCGAAGAGATCGGTGACATTCTGGATCAGAAACTTGTCCTGGCTCAATTTCTCCATGCAATCGCTCCTGACGACGGAGTTTCCCAGTTCCTCTCACGAGTATCGCCCCATCTCGACGATCCGGAGCTGATGATACTCACGTGCGAGGAATTCACACACCAGCACACGCCAAAGTACGGTTCCGTACCTGGAGCCGATGCAGAGATGGGCAGCCGAGTGACAATCAAACGCGAGAGCAACGGACATGGACTCATCTATTGTCCCCACCACAGACACGCCGTGAGACATTCGCCTTCAGCATGCCGTCTGGGTCGGAAGATAAGGGCTTACCAAGCTTCACAATCCCGGGCCTCAACGATGCGAGGCAGAGGCCCCGATCCGCGCATAAGCACCAAGCGGCGTCGTCAGGACTCGTGGGAGCCTGCGTGCGGCGTTCCCACCGACCGCTTCGGCCGATCCCTTGAGACTACTTTCCCCACATATGCGGGATGACCCACTAGCTCCGAGTCTATCACTACGCCGGGACAGCATACAGCATCCATGAAGGCGTGATCGCGTTCCAAGGCTACGCTGATGAAGTTAATGGCAAAACGGAATCAGCTAGTATTCATGATTGGGGCTTTTGTCTCTCTGATACATCACCGAGACGATGTATACCCAGCACGGGGTACTGAAGTCGGGGTGGTGTTCATGGTGGAGCAGCGATATGTCAAAACTACAAAAACATGCCAATGAGGCCTAGAAGGCGGGCGAGGAAGTGTGAAAATTAAGAGACTGAAAAAAATACTAACAGCATGTTGCGCGTTCCATGTCCCATCGTGAGTTCCGTTCGTTATGTACATACAGTTCCAAAGTTCCCAGGCATATTCATAATTTAGCATATTGTCGACGCTCAAATCAAACCAGTCCCATACACCCTTGCACAGTAAAACACGAGACCTACTAATCAAGTCATGTTTTTCAAATTGAAACAAAAAACAAATCGAGAAAGCAAAGTCTAAGCGGCATCAAGAGTACTGGGTCTCGTCACCCTCGCTGTCACTCAGACTATCACGACGACGGCGACCGTGGCCTTCACGACGGTAGCCCTTGGCCAAGCCCGGGATGGGGTGGTGGTAGCTCTTCGTACCGTTTGAGTCCTCGGTACCAACGTTAGAGTACTGGTATTCCGAACGGGCCCCGGCAGAGGAGAGATCCAGAGGCTTCGTGTATCCCGCGGGCACAGAGGAGCGATCCTTCTTGCGCGGGCTGCTGGTGCGAGATGAAGGGGCAGATGGGGGCGCAGCGCTGCGGCGGCGCTCACGATCGCGTGGGCGGTTCTGGCGGCGGGAGGATGGGTCACGTAGGTGGTGCTCTTCGGTAGTTTGACTCAGGACGTCTTCGCTGCCGGCAGTGAAGGAGAACCCGGAAGGGTTGCGGTTGCGAGAGCGACGCGGCTGCTCGTAGGCGTAGTCGCGGGTGTCGCTCATGTCGCTGCGGTTGTAGTGTGTCGGTGGTGCGGACGAATCGTAGTCACTGCCATGGTAGGTGCCGTCGGCTTCCCGATTCATGCCGCCAATCCGGGCGGGCTTCTCTTCGCGATAAGCTCGCACATCATCGTCGCCCTCGCCTTCCCATTTTTCTCCCTTGTGTTGACGGAGGATCTTCTCCCGGAAGTTGCGCTTCTTCTTCGGCTTCTCGTCGCTGATCGTTGTTGCGGTCTCAGTGTAGGTACCAGTCTCGTCGGTGTAGGTGTAGCCGTCGTCGCTGTAGCCCTTTCCAACAACGCTACCGCCGCCCAACTTAGTACTTTTCGTGGCGTTACTAAGGGTCCGCCCATCAGGTCCTTTGCGTCGTAACACGGTCGACTTGTACTCGTCCCAATCACCCTTGCGCCAGACAAAACCGCCATTCTTGGCCCAGAAGAAGAACCAGATGGCACCGAGCACGAAGACAGCACCGATGATCGCGAACAAGGCCAGCAGACCCTGCATTTTGATGTTCTTGGGGTCAATCGTGCCTTGGCCATAGGCCACTTTGGTGGTAGCCGCAGAAGAAGAGTCGGTTCGAGGTGCAAGCTGGTTGAAGATGATAGAGGGAGAAGCGTCGACCGAATTGTCTAGAGTTGCATCTCGAGCTTCGACCGACATGAGAGGAATATCGGGGAATTCCCCCATCTGCTGTACCGGAGCCATGATGATGAATTATCCGAGCGGCCAAGAGCACGCGGCTCAAGACAAGACTCTGAAGGAATTTTTAGATCAACCTGACACATTCCTGGAGGAAAATGGAGACTCACCTCGACTCAAACGATCGGCAGGTCAGAATGGACCGCTTCCGATATCCGGAATGTGAACTATGCGATGCGAAGAGGGAAACGCAATGAAGATATCTACCTGGTGGGTAGTTAGTAGACTTGGAAGATGGCGGCAATGGGAGAATACAAAGCCAGAAATGACCCAAGGATGGATCGATCGGGTGTATCTAGAATTGAGGAGGTTGGAGGAGGCTGGGGTCGTGTTTACTTTGCGGGTTGGTGGGCCAACCCGCGGGTGGCACGACCCACATTTAATGCCTCAGGCATAAAGATCATCCGCCATGGTCATGTGACCGACCCTTCCGTTCGAAAGAAAGTTAGTCGGCTGGCGGGACTGGGCTCTGGCTTTGACCCTGGCGATTCGTTCTAGAGACAAAGCCCAGCATTAAGAGACCGCGACAACATATACATAGACAAATTTTTGGATTTATATCCTCCTCAAATTAAGGAGCATTTAAATAAAGATGACCTGATATTGGGACATGGCATGACAAGAGAAAAGCAAACACAGGATCACAGCAAAAAAAAAAAGGCTACCTAAGTACCAAATAGGCATCGGGTATGGGTATCTCTCTCTCCTCCAACTCAGCGCAGGCGCACAAACAAGCAAGAAAGAGAAAGACACAGACCCACTATGATCGACATAGACGGAGACAAGATGAAGAAGATGAAGTAGGTAGGGAGGAGAAGAAACGGAAAATCATATGGGAAAATGAAAAAGAGACATGAAAGGTATGAAGTACGAGGTAATAGAGGAGAAGGATATACATCAACATCAACATCAACGCTGGCATAATGGCTTGCATCCATCGTCAAGGCAACGCAACACAAAGCATCAATCACAGAAATCGAACTTGTCATCGCAGGTCATCAGAATCGTACAATCATATCACCGTAGCGGGGGCGGCGCGTGTCGGTCCCACACGGCGCGGCCAAGTCCATCGGTCCCGTGAGCCAGGAGGGAGACTCAAGACATAGGAACAGCCACCAGGCTATCCAACTCCAGGACCATCCAGATCCCCATCGAGAAATAAATCAAGATCAAATCCAAGGACGGTCCAGGCATAGGTCAGCCAGGGCAGTCCAGTCAAGTCGTCAACTCCGTCCAGACAAGACAGGGCCGAAAGGATTTCTGGCGCCGCGCACCCAACACCCCATCCCCACGAAAGAGATAGCAATTCCAAACGCAAACAAAATAAAACCAGAGAATCCTCCCAGTCCGATCGGGACAGGTCGGCGAGCCTCTCGCTCTCACTGTTTCGCTTTCGCTTTTGCCGTGAGGGGGAGGATGCCTCAACCCGAACGCTTTGCTCGAACACGACTTTTTTTTTCCCAGACCAGCCCGCAAAATAACATGAAGAAAGAAAAGAAGAAAAATCATAAGTGCCTATCCCAATCATCCAAATCCAAATCCAAATCCAAAAACCAAAAACCAAATCCTACTTTTGACAGATAACATCGCCGCGTCTCGCTATGCAGCAGGGCAGATACGTGAGAACAGCGTATGGTCCAGGAGAACAGAAAAACACACAAAACACGGGAAACGTGGAAGATACTTGCCGCACTGCCCACCCGATTACATCGCATACCGACGGGGTCCACCATAGCTCGATTGACTCGAGCGGCGACTCGCACGTTCAGAGCGACGATCATCACGCGGGCGGCGCGGCGCTTCTTCCAGCTCTCGGCGGCTAGCACGACCTGTGTTATCGGAGTAGGAGGAGCCGCCCGTGAGATACTGCTTGGGCCGTCGTTCACCAGCAATAGACAACTGCACACGACCGGTATCGCCGGCACGGATGCTGATGTTCTTGCCGGCGACGGACTCCTCCGTGAATCCGATAGTTAATCCATTCACCGTGAGGTTCATGTTCTTACTCTCGCCACTGCCGCTGCCTCGGCTGCTGTTCGAGCGGCTCTTTGCGCTGCCGTTGTCGCTGCCCGCGACGGTGGCGCTCTTGGTAAGGAGGGCCTCGGCCGAGGCGGGCAGGGTGCTCATCCGGCCAGACTGTTGGGCCTGATAGTGTTCGACCTCGCGTTCACGGTCTTCCAGGCCGCCCGTGTCGGTGCTGCCGCCATCGTCGTAATAGTACTGCTGAGTACGTCGGCGGCGGGAGTTCTCCACGGCGATCTGGGCGCCGCGGGCGCTGTCGTGATAGGAGTTTGATCGTTTGCTGTCACGGAGGCTGTGGCTGCGCTCGGGCATCCGTGCCTCGCGGGACACGCGTCGGCCGTAATCTGGCAACGCTGCGGCCATATCGCTCATATCCATGGCGGTGCGAGATTGACGCCGCTGGCGTGGTACGGCTTGGGTGGTCTGGGCCTTGCGTGGTTCAGGTCGTTTGATCTGGTGGACCTGCGCCTTGTGTTTCTGGGGCGCTGGTGGAGGTGGAGGGGGCATCCGGTAATAGTCTTCGTCTCGAGGCGGCTTGGGAGCACGACCGCGAGTTGCCTCGTGATGAACCTCGCGGTGGTATTCACGGGGGGCTTCACGTTCCCGGCGGTATTCACGAGGGACTTCACGGGGGACTTCTTGAGAGGGCCAATGGTCCAGTGACTCGGCTTCATCCACCCAGTCCGGGAACACAGTTTGCTCCATAGGCGGTGGCCCGTAAATGGAAGACGAACGACGTGCCCGGGTTTGGGGTTGTTGAGACGGTTCCCGAGTTCGAGATCGAGATCGCTCTCGCGGGTAGTCCGAGGGAGGCCCATACTCAGAACCGCCGTGAAACGACCCTCCGTACGGAGAGCTAGCGTACTGCTGGGGGGCATAAGCCACCGCGGCGGACGGAGGGCCATGCTCGTAGTAGTGCTGCGAGTGATACATGGGAGGCGGTGGGGGAGCCATTACCATCCCCCCGTGGAAGCTTACGGGACGGTCCTGGTGATACATACTCGAGCGGTACGAGCCCGCGCGGCTGGGCCGGCTAGATGGACGGTGGTATTCCTCAATAGCATAAGGATAACGAGATGTCTGTGGCGACGACGGGGGTAGTCGGGCATCGGCGGCCGCGTGAAGTGGTAGGGTGGATAGTCCATCGGGGGACGTTCGACGGGGGTGGACGGCTGGTGGTAGTAGGCGGACCCCTCGTAATAGGCTTCAGGAGGATAGTGTCGAATGTGGGCAGAGTCCCGACGACGAGACTTGGACGGCGACCGTTGCACGTGAGCATGATGGTGGGCGGAGCCCGGATAGGCACCCATCGGCATCTTCTCGGCGTGCTCTGGTCGGACGCGTTCCTTGTCTTTGCGTTCTTTGCGGCCGGAGCTTTTCCTGGCTAGCCCGGTCCGCTGCTTGGGCATGTCCAGCTTAAGAGGGACCGGGGGACTCTTCCCGCCTGACGGCCCAGATTGGGTGCTGTTGACTGTGGCGGCGGTGCGACTAGAATACCCTGAGTCACTGGCGCCGTCGATCAGCGGCTCCGCTGGGAATCTTAGATCCAACCTGGAGGAGAGTTTGACAGCCGTGTTGGCAGTAGTATTGGCTGACTGCCGGCTGTCGGGTACGATGTCATGCGCATCCTCGTCGAAGTCCTCGACAAAGGCCGCCTGAGGAGGGGCCTTGCCCGCAGGCATGGCTTGCTGCACGTTCGGAAGGCGTGGGAACTGGGCGGCACGAATTCCTAAGGGGGGAGAAAGACAGGTTGGTCCCGTGCTGTAACAGACGTTGCGGGTTTGGCTTACCCAACCGGGCAGCAAAAGGACGGGGACTTGGGACGACTTACAGCAAAGCCACTTTCGATCCGACAGGTCGCTTTTGCACCGGGATGACTCAGTGCTGGGTGCGATTGGGCAGGTATTTTGGTCGGGTGTTCCTGGCAAGATCCACCTGTATTCCAGCCCTAGGTGGTTTGTTACCCTGTTCTCCGCGTCTTACCTCGCGCGGGCGGGTATCCCTCTCTGCGTCGGCCTCCCACACACTTCTCGCCGTCTCAGCCTCGCAGGGCTCGGTGAGTATCTCTCTCTCTCTCTCTCTCTCTCTCTCTCTCTCTCTCTCTCTGCCTCTCTCTCTTTTTCGTGCCCTTTCTCTCTTGACTCTGTCGCCCAACCCTCAGACTGTCGCAAACACGGAAGGCGGACCTGCCGATCGCACGGGCGATGGCAGGCGACAGGGTGGAATCCGGATCTGTCAGCGGGCGGAGCGTGCGAGGTGGTATATTCCAGATCGCAATGTCTCCATCTGAAAAGGGTGGGAGATTGGGCGGGCAGGCGAACGCGAGGACGGTCGGGCGATGCAGGGAGCGTCGTTGGGCGAGAGGCAGTGGGTCCGCAAGAAAAGACGAGTGTGGTTGGGGACGTCTGCAGCTGCAGATGGCCCAGTTGTAGTATTTGGGCTTCAGAATCTGTTGTTGTGCCTGACTGGTACCCGGTGGAGTGGGGTGGTTGAAGTGGGAGAGGGAGGAGGTTTGGTGGTTTGGGTAGATTTGGGTAGTTTGGGGGTGGAGCAGATGGGCAGCGACGATAAAATCGAGCGGAGGGGGTGATCAAAGGTGATAAGCGATCAACCCACGCAACACAGGCTGGGGGGAGGTAAGTAAAGGAAGAAGAATCCACCAGCGCGAGAATCGAAAAAGCCGAAGAGTCATGAAAAAAAAAAGCAAAAGCGATAGAAAAAAGAGAGAATGTTTCACGAAGAGGCTCGCGGGTCCATCGGTACCCAACAGAAGAAAAAAATAGAAAAGAAGTGGGGGGCGGGCGTCATCATAAAAGCGATACAGTATGGAGTGTATGGAGGATTCCATACCATGAAGTATTGCAGTATACTCCCTCACGGTCGTGCGACGCTTTAAGCTCGGGGCCCCGCTGGAGGGGGATCCCTGGTTCGGCGCTGCTCGGATCCTTGGGTCACAGGGACTGTGGAGGACTATGAAATTGTCGATTGTTTACTGTTTCCTGTTTACTGGAAGTCTATTGAGGGAGGAAGTATATCCTCCATCGAACGCCAAAGTTTGTTTGACTCGGGTCGGGTGCACGATGTATAGGATACATGGATGGTTCCCTGGCATGGCAGATCATTTCCTCTGGACCATCACCCCCAGTAAGTTCCAGTCGGTACGGAGCTGTATGCTGCGCCTGTCAATTCCCCCCTCTAGTCCGTTCCGAGTCTTCCCTTCTGCTTGTTGCTTCTCCGATCCGCCTAACGCCCAATCCTGGCCGTTGCGGCCCAATGATCACCTCCACCACAAAGAAGGAACTTCCCTGCACGGGAAATGAGGGCCGCGGTGGGAAAGCAGAACGACCAACAGCGGGTTTCGACCATGGCCGGCAAATTCTCGGCGCGCTGGATCCCTCCACAGGCTGGCAAAGAAAGCGGTTCCGAGGGAGGAATTTGGCTTTGCCCGAACAATGTCAAGGTACCTGGTACCGCGGAAAAAAAAAAGTCGGTGGGGACTGACATGCGCCTGTACATGTATTATTTCATGAGTGCCACGGTTTTCGCAGGAGGATTCTTTTTCGCTCGCCACTGATGTCGCGGGTGGAGACTGCGTCCGAACCGCGCTAGAGAGCCCGTCCTGTACTGCACTGGTCGACGGCCTGGCAGCCCTCGTGGCGGCTCATCTATGGCGCTGGCCACTTTCTCCGCAGGCGCGTGAGTCATTGCGGTCACTCTCCTACGGGAGATTCGCGGCCATCCCCAGGCTCCGTGCAGTCTCCGGTCAAGCACTGCCTCCAAAACCGCCTCGAAGCCGGTCTCGCCATTTTCTTGGGGGAGCCCCGTTTCTGTTCGGGTCAGACCTGGCCCGATCGGTATGACATGCAGCACGGACGGCCTATCATTTCCCCAACGGTCGCGCTCTTCACCTCCTTGCGTCGTGGGCCTTGGAAGGCCTCATGGCCTCGTAGGAGTGGCAGGACCCCGCACGTGCGGATGAATACAATCGCAACCTTGATAAGAACGCAATTGGGTGGAGGGGCGAAGGGGGAAGTCTTGTGAGGGTCAATGCTCGTCTGGCAACCCGGGGCCGGTAAGGGAGAGGGTGAGAAGCAAATTCCACCCAGGCGACAAGATGCAACGATAGCCAAAAGGCAAAAAGTCAGATGGAGATGGAATGAGATTGGACGCCATGGTGTTGGATTGGACGGCGGCGCGGGCTGGATGGGGAGAAGCGAGGCGAACGGGGGATCGATGCGGCTCTGGTTTCCCCTCCCACTCTCACTGATCACTGATCACTGATCACTGCCAAGTTACTAAATACTAAATCCTAGTGCCTAGTGACTAGCTACGAGGCTCTCCTGCCAACCCCGGAGATAGCGAGGACACGACCCAACACTACGACGGGCACCACCGCAAGGGGGCATCCACCCTGGCACCGGTTGCGATCGCAAGACGATCTGATCTGATCTCGAGATCGGGCCGGGGTGCAATCCGCCGTTTCTTGGTCCCCAGACTTCCATGCTTCAGGCACTGGATTAACCTTCCTATCGCTATACCTCCCAGGCATCCCCCAATCCCGTACTGCTGCAATACCGCAGTACTTCACGATTCACTACTTACAGTGGCAGCCGCATGGCTCAGCGAATAAGCTTCGTACGCATGTCATGGCATGGCCGCGTCCACTCTGGCCGATTACAAACGTTGCGCCCCATGCCCATGCCCATGCCCATGCCCATGCCCATGCCCTGACCCAGCTGGTCTTCACCTAATTGTTCCGGAATTCCCCAGACGCAGCCTTCGGAGTGTCTGCCCCCTCCGGAAGATAGCGTCTTCCAAGGACCATACAAACTCTCCTCTCCTCCCCTCTCAAACCACCCCTTGCTTCCTCCCTCTGCAGGGTGGCATCAGCTCCTCCTGGACAGGAACCCTCACCGCTCTTTTTGCCACTGCGCAATCTGGTTCTGCGATGAGGAGAGGGGGGGGGGTGCCGGAGGTCTGGGACCGTCGGGCCCTCTGGCTGGTGGGTTGATCTCGGAGTCCGAGCTTAAACCAAATGCCTGTCATGCGAATGGCCTGCATCGGGAGCAAGATTGCGTCGTCCCTGGCAATCGCCCGTGGCGACAGTTGGGGGGTTGTATACTTCGTTGTGGAGTTGGGGGGCAGTTTTCACAGTACATTCTCGGACGAACACAGATGGCGTTTCTTGGTCGCGTGAGAGAATCTGCTAGCGGCCGATCGAGTGGCTCTTTGTGTCGTACAGACATATTACAACCGTCGTGGCAGCACGCGAAGGGTTACGCCGGACGGTGATTAGTGGGTGGTGTCCTACAGCAGGCTGGACGTGGCAGTGGTCGGGATTGAGGGAAGTGTCCGCGTGGATGGATTACATACAGCCGAGCGCAAATGATGCTGCTCAATTCTATTCAAATCAGAATCGAAATCGATCTGGTGCATTATATGATTATATGATAGCCACGTCGGTCTTTATGCTCTATGACTCCGTCCACACCAATTACCCCGTCAGCGCACCTTCCTCTCTCCTCTCTCTTATCTCGATCCCCAGAAGCCTGTTCATCAGGTCCGGCGCAGGTGAAGGGCAGCCCACCCGAGCAGCCGATAGACCGCAATGATGCCCACCAAAATGCCCAACCATTTTCCCGTCCTGCCCGTCGCATACCCATACGTCTCCAGCACCGCCGTCCCGCGGATCTGGCACTGATCCGCCAAGTCCGTGATATACATACACTGGCAGCCCTCCCCACACGAGTAGTTCCGCTGGGAGAACTCGTTCACCATCATCCCCTGGAAGACATATGCCTAGGCAGAGCAGACGGAGTTAGCACTAGCACCAATAATGAACATAATCCACAAACCCATGCCGGCCGCTTACCTGATAATCAATGTAGTGGAAGACATATTTCCAGAACGGATTTAGGATCGTCGGCGTCACCAAGAATCCGCTTACGCTCATCCACAATCCATTCGCGAAGGCCACGAGCGCGAGCGCAATGACGAAGTTCGGGAAAATCGCTGTCACGAATACAACCAGGCTCTCTGCCGCGACGAGGTCGAGGAATGTCCACATGACCCAGGTCATGAAGGCGGAGCCGTCAGGGCGGAAATTGGAGAGCCAGTATGAGACAATCGAGAAGAGCAAGGACATGAGGACTGAGGCCCGTGTTAGCGAGACTCCGTTCGGCCCGGATGAGGTCGGGTGCACACGAGAAACGTACAGAGAAATGGGAGACCAATGAGGAAGTTGGAGATGAGGAAGGGGGCTGCACCGTAGAGCCCATTTGCACGCTCTTTGGCAAAAGTGGCCCGGTCTTCGAGGAAGGCGGGCACATAGGCTACAGCCATGAAGGACATAAAGGCGGATCCGAAGAACTGGGTGGCTGCTAGTTAGCTTTGTCTATACCATGTCCGGTCCAAGGGTCGTGCTCACGATGGCATTCACGAAAGCCTGGATGTACTCCTGGGAAGGATGGAGGCGGATCCACACGGTTCCCGTCATGACGGCAAGACCTGGTTCGAGTTAGCCCATAACGACGTTGGAAGGGCGTCGTGATACGCACCGAGATACATCACGATCCTGATCCCGTAGGCAACCACGTCCCGATAGCTCTTGATGAACGAGCGATGCAGCAAGGCAGCCGTAATTCGGACTGGGCCTGGCCGAGCCATATCCTCAGCAGACAGACTTGCCACCTTTTTCTCCATCTCTGCGGAGGCTCGCCCCATTACCTGCTGTGTCACGCCCTTTGCCTCTGCAGACTCTGCCCAGGCCTGCTGAATCGCTTGGACCCGCTCGTGTGCCAACCCGTTCGCACCGCCAAAGTCCGCGCTGACGATATCAAGCAGAAACTCGGCCGGATTGGTTTGCCCGGGAATCGGGTGGCCGATCTGGCCGAAGTAACTCACGACATTGACAACCGGACCGAAATAACACGACCGGCCGCCGGAAAGGAGGAGGAGCTTGTCGAACAACTGGAAGGTGGTGGTTGACGGCTGGTGGATACTCGCGATGATGATGATCTACCATGCATCGTGTTAGCGACTTGACTGAGATGTTTCAGGCGTGCAAAATAGAACTCATAGAACTCACGTTGTTAGCCCGTGCTAGCTCTTTCGCGTACGACATCACCTCGTAACTGGCGGTCGAATCCAGGCCGCTGGTCGGCTCGTCCAGGAACAGAATCTTGGGGCAGGTAATGAGCTGGCTGGCCACGCTGACTCGTCGCTTTTGACCACCGCTGATACCCTTGCGGAGGGGGGTCCCAACCAGGGTGCTGGCTTGCTTCTGGATCCCAAACGCTTCCAACAAAGTTCGGATTCGATCCATGCGCTGGCGCTTGGTAACAGAACTATGACACGAGGATTAGCACAGCACCTGCCGATCTGAGCAACAGAGTGAAGACAGTCCTACCTGGGCAGTGATAGATCTGCAGCAAATTGCAGCGTCTCTTGCACCGTCAGAGACCCAATTAGGGCATCTTCCTGCTCGACATAGGATGTCATGCGGCCAAACGGTCCAGCATCCACTTTGACGCCATTGACATAGCTGTCACCCAGCACTTTGGCGCCAGATGCAGCCGGCCGGCGAGCCAACACATTCAGCAGGGTTGTCTTTCCACAGCCTGAGGGGCCCATCAACGCCACGAGCTCCCCTGTCAAGCGCGAGATCTATATCAGCATCATTCCCATCATCCCCATGGAGCAACCAAATCGAACATTGTCAATCCAGAAACATACCTTGCTGGACATCCCCGCCAATATCATTGATCAGATCCCGGGCCTTCTTCGTCTCGCGATCCTTCACAGTCACCGTAAGCCCGTCCCACGAAAAGCTCTTCACGGAATGATTCATCAGAAACCGACTGTCCCCATTCCGCTCGACGTCCAGGTCTGAGGTCGACGCATCATTCGCACCCCCGTCCGTCACAGTAAGCGGCACAGCAAGACCCATGTTCGCGGCCAGTCTCAGTCGCAATATGTGCAATGTTTCGCACGACGCAATACACGTTTATTGATTTTCCAGCACGTTCTAGTCCCGGTGCTCGGGTCTACGTTCTAGTTAAATACATTTCGATCGCGCCCGGCTTCTGCGGGGAGTCCTAGGGCTGTCGGGAACCACTGCTGCATGGGCTGCATCTGCTGGCACGGGGAACATTTTATTTTGTGCGGGCTTAGGGCTGTCTGGGGCGCTTGCACGTTCAGCTAGGAAAAGCTGATTGTGGTGGTCCCCGAAGGAGCGCCAGCGTTGCGCTAGTACGGAGGCCGTCAGTTAGTTAACTACTGCACGCGGTGCCTGCCGGGCTTAGGTAAGATGGCTGGTCCCCGACGGGGAATTGATCCCCGCACAACAGAATTTTTACTCACCGCACAACATTTTCTTATGTAATAGTATTTTACATAATCATATCACCTGACCTATACAATTCACCTGATCTATCTAACTAATCAATCACCTGATCTATCCAATATCACTAAATTCAATGGTCTGTCAACCCACTGGGCATGATCTATATGTATGACCAATTTCCCCACAATTTGAACACTTTCCTGGCGCCCTTCGCTTAGTAATCTGATATTGCGGAGTATTATTGATCTGATTGGACGATCTCTGTGTTGTTTAATTGGAAGATCTCTGCGTTGTTGCCATGGTAATCAGAGGGTCTAGTAAGGGTAAATAAGCTAGATCAGATGAATCTAATCTAATCCGCCAGAACGGATGAATCTCAGCCAATAAGATTGGTTGTTTGATTGGTTTGTTTGCTTGTATGATTTGTATGGTAAAAAGTGTATAGGACAGCTAGAGAAGAGAGAGAGAGAGAGATAGAGATAGTATAAATAATAGTGGTTGCTATAGCGATATTAGATAGATCAGGTGAATTGTATAGGTCAGGTGATATGATTATGTAAAATACTATTACATAAGAAAATGTTGTGCGGTGAGTAAAAATTCTGTTGTGCGGGGATCAATTCCCTCCCCGACGGGGACACCGTGAGATAAGCATGAGCTACAGCATAAGGGCCAGATTACGTGGTTGTTTGAGTTCTAGATGTGGTCCCTCTCGCACGAGAAATTAACCTTCACGGCGTCTGTTTCATCTGGAAAATGGGTTGGCGTTCTTCGAGGACGCCGAAACGCTCCAGCGTGCCCGAGTTTGATTAGTCTGTGGAGCCCGATCAGCACATTCCGCAGGAGATATTTTCCTGGCCCGTAGGAGAGCTCAGCCTGATTACCTTATCTACGGTCGCGGCAGGCATTCTAGCTCAACGGGTTCCAGCTGACCGGTATTCAGGAAAAGTTGAACAGTAGTCAGAAGAATTATGACTACTCCTGAGTACCGCTCAGGTGTAGGAGCTGAGCAGTAACTCGGGATTTTCTAGGTCCTATAAGGGAAAGTGATTCACTATAATAAAAGGCATAGAGTATAAAGAATATTCGCAAAAGCCTCAAAGAAGGGGTAAATCAAGGTTTTCTACGCTAAAAAAAGATTATATGTAGTAATATAGAATCCTGAGTATCGCTCAGGTGTGGGAGCTGAGCGGTACTCAGGATTAGTCATAATCCTTCCGAGTACTGTTTTACTTTTCCTGAGTAACGCTCAACTGGAACCCGGGCTCAAACAGTGGATCTTCCGATCGGGCTTTTGGTCGCAGATTACGGCAAATTGAGGTGGCTCGCGCTACGGGAACGACGATCAACCCCAGGGGGTCTTGGCCCCGTAGATCTAACGCACCAAGGGTACTGTAATATCAGAATCATATTTTATGTGCCCCACTCTTAGCGCCAATGCATCTAACGTTAACCAGGGAATAAGAGATATCGTCGAGCCATGGGGAATTTTCAACAATAGAGGGAAAAGCAATGGAGCAAGTTTACATCCTGGCGGTTCACTTGTTAGCGTGTCACCACGAAGAATGGAAGAAGGGATGGCTAACCGCTCCACGGGGTTCAAGCCCAGAACCCGCATACCGTTGTGCAGGACCTGGCGCGCAGCAGCGTACAGAGCCATCCGGGACTTCTTGAGCTCGGGCTCGCTGCCGATGACCTTTAGGACATCATAGCTGGAGCTCAGCATATGAGTCATGCGGAACAGGTAGCTCAGCACGGTAACGGGCTCCAAGGTCTTGGCGGTGTTGATCAGAACGTCCGGCCACGAGGCAAGCAGACGGATCAAATCGACGGCATGACGCTCGGTGAGGAGGGAGAAGTCGGCGGTGCTCAGCTCGTCCACGTTGAGCCCCGACTTGCGGGTCATGGAGCAGAGACGAGCGTGGGCGTATTGTAGGTAGGGGCCAGTATCACCCTCAAACGAAGTCATGGCATCCAGGTTGAAGTCGTAGCCGTTGACACTGACGAAAAGTTAGCTTTGGGGTTGATGAGGAGAAGGAAGCTAGGATAGACAATGAACTGACCGCTTGCCCGTCATATCCTGGACCATGACAGAGGTGATACCGAGAGTGTCGGCGGTCTCCTCGGGGTTCGCAACCTGCGAGTACTTGACCTCGTTCTTCTTCATGACCTCGTGCATCTTGTCGCCGACATCGCGCAGGATATCATCCAAGAACTTGACGGTACCCTTACGGGTGCTCATGCCATGAACCATACCGAAATTGATGTGCTGGCAGCGGTTGGCCAAGTCCTTGCGACCCATCAGCTCTGTCACCTTGAAGAGCTGGGCAAGGTGGAGATCTTGCTGTGCGGCCACAACATAGATCATTCTATCGAAGTGGTACTGCTCGTCACGCTCAAGGATGGCACCGATATCGCGAGTCAGGTAAAGAGGGGTGCCATCTTTGCGGACAATGATAGCTTTACCCAGCTTCTTGGCACCGTGCTTGGTGAAGTCGGCGATGATAGCACCGTCGGACTCCTCAGTGACACCGGCCGTCTCCATGGCCTTGTATGCGTTAGACATGCTCTCGGACTTGACCTGGGATTCGCCAGAGTAGACGTCAAAGTCAATGTTCAGGCGGGCATAAGTCTGCTTGTACTTGGCGATACTGAGATCACGGAATCGGCTCCAAAGAGCCAGGGCATCCGGGTTGCCATCCTCCATGCTCTTGAAATACCGACGGGCCTTTTCATCCTCGCTGACATCCACCAGCTTGGCCAGCTCGGCCTCGAGAGCGGCGACATCCTCGCCCTTCTCCTTCTTGCCCTTGATCTGTTCCTTCAATTCCTTGATGGGGCCCTCCTGCTCGCCAACAAGGCGGTTGACCTTGACATATACATCAAAGAGGTGGTTGATAGGGTCTTTTTGCAGAGCCTCCTCGTTTCCGAAATACTTGAAGCCGTTGGCCAGCAGACCGTACTGCTTACCCCAGTCACCGAGATAGTTCATCTTAATCACGTCCCACCCCATGACAGTGTAGAGATTGGCGAGGAAGCCACCAATAATGGTTGACCGCAGGTGTCCGGCGTGGAAGGGCTTTGCGATGTTGGGCGAAGAGAACTCGATAATGATCTTCTTTTGCCCCTTGGAAGGATCGGAGGGATCCTTAAGACCCATGTTGCCATTGGTACCATATGCGGCCTTCTCAGTCAGGACACGGCCCAGAACGGTGTTGGCCAAAGGCAGAGGCTTGCAGAAGAACTGCACATGAGGGCCGAAGGCAGTAGGAGGGTGGACGAGGTCGGACTCGGGGAACTTGGAGGCCAGCTCCGCCGCGAGCTCGTCGGGCTTCTTCTTGATACGGAGGGCGGCAGCCTAATGCATAGCCCAAAAGAGCAATGTAAGCTGTACTGCTCCGGCTCGTGTTCGGAATCAATGAACCACATTCGATTGTAAAACATACCGGCAAGGACAGGTCACCCTTGTCCAGGGTGTTGGTCCATGCAAGACGGGAATAGATCAAATCAGGCTCAACATCGGTCGCCTTGCCCAATTCCTCCGCAATGTGCTGGCGGTAGATGTCCATCGGGTTCAGCGTTGGGAAACAGCCGGGGAACTTGGAGGTCGTGGTGGTGGATTGAAGGGTCAAGCCCTGGACAGAGGCGGGCAGGGAATCGGCGGACGCCATGGTTGCGGTGCGAAATAACGAGCGCGATGGTATGAGAGGAATGCGAGTACTCAGTGGCCGAGAGAAAAAGACGCCTGTGAATCGAAGGGCCCCGCTTAGCAGATTCCGACCCATAAGGAGGGGAAATTTCTCGGGGTCACTTTTTCTGCTGTGACTCAGGCGGAAGGTAGGTGGGCGGTACGTCACGTGTGAGGTATAGATCGGACAGACTCAAGGAGGGGCTTTCTTTGTAGAGGCCCCACTCGGGGCTTTCCCTGCTCCTGCAATCCGTGTAAGGCAGTTGGATTAAAGTGCTCATCCTGCAGAAGACGGTTACTTTTTGGAAAGCTGTATCTTGGTTGGTGGAGCCGCCTCCTCCGTGCCTGTTATATATAGCTTTAGGCCATCCAGCGGAGTCATTGGTAGATATCAATAGAAACACTCGCGGTGTCCATATATACTTCAGAAAATGGTCAGTATTAAGGTGGGATAGGATATCAGGAACCAACCCAGACTTATTCTACTAGAACCAATCTCGATCCCCGGACTCCGAAGATTGTTGCACCTGCCTCCTGGAAGCAACTGCGGGAAAGCCCGGCCTCTGACGTCATTAGTCATGTTGTCGCATGTCCGCAAAAGCAAGCTTGATGCACGCTGATTGCCAAAATAATACGTGACGCTTCCACCGTTTCCAAAACATGTTCCCTATTCTCGACCCTACCGTTCTCGTCGAATCATGGGAAATCGTCGTCGCCAGTCAGCACTCACCAAGTCGATCCAGGCTGGGCTGCTCCGCGACCCAGACCGCTTCAAGAAGACAGCCTGGGGCTACCTGATTGCATTCTTCACCTTCCATCGAATCAAACTTGTTCGGTTTAACGAAAATCTCTTTGCTAAGCTTCGCCGAGAAATATGGAAGTTCAACGAGGATGAATACCAGGCGAGCTTCCGTACAACGAGTGGCCAGCCACCACTGGAAACCATGGGGGATCTGGGGTATTCGGGCTCGGTAAGAGCATTGGGTGGAACATTTGCTAGGAACTGCCGCTAACAGCTTTTGCTCCAGACATTCTTCGGAACCTTGGACGGGCACTTCGTTATCAAAAGTCTTCCACGCCGATTTGAGCACACATTTTTCCAATCCGATCTACTTGAGCCATATTATGATTATATGCACGATCACCCAGATTCTATCCTTGTATGGATAACTGACTACCTCATTTCCCCCTATGTGACTCTCGGTACAATCTTCGGCTGCACCCCAGCCCATCATATCGTCATGGAGAACATTCTCTGTGGGCAAGCCGATGACCCACGTGGCCAGAGCTGGGAAACTTACGACCTCAAGCCAATCGACTATTTCTATCCGGAGCGTGACTTGCTCCCGGCACCCCTCGTGAGTGAGGCTACCTTGAGCAAGCTAGCAGACACATTCAACGACAAGCTCCATCTTTGGAGAAAGGACTACGAGGCGTTCATAATGGCCATGAAGGAGGATACCAAGTTCCTGGCAGACGCCAATGCGGTTGACTATTCACTCTTCCTTGTGCGGATCCCGGCTGCCTCCAATCCTACAGCGCTGGGAAGACAAAGTCCCTGGCGGGCGGGATTGCCTTCTGCGGACGGCAAATGGAAATATCGTGCTGTGGTACTCGACTTCTTCTGGGCTCGACATAAGCTACATGCACAGGCCCTGACTGGGGTGGTACAAACGTTTAATGTCGTGGGCCGGAAAGGTCATATGTCTATTACCACTACGGCCAGTGACTATCGCCAGAAATTCTTGGCAATGGTTGAAGAAATGATTCAAGTGCATTGATACGGCGAAAAATGGGAATGTAAATACACGCGCATGACTGCTTGTCGTCTTCAGAGCTGCCCAATACGTTGCGGAACAACTCATCTCGAACGTTTATTATCTCCTCTCCATCTTCTCACAATCAAGTATTCCAAGTACGATGTTATCATTTTGCAGCCGTTTCGCCCACAGGCGGAACATGAGATGAGATACTCGCCATCCTCACCAACAAGGAGCCCGGTTCTTTGGGGCGATACTCTGATGAAAAGGATATTTATGTTGGCAACATGAAACAATGGGTTTTCGTATCTTGCGGATGAGCCCATGAACTGGACATTATCGGAAGACTTTGTTTGAGCAGGCGACCGGGCCGCCGATCTGGTTGCGAAGATAACGGTGGACTAGCAAGTGATGATGACGATGATGATGAAGATGATGATGACGATTCGGCTGCCTACTAATTTACCAAATAGCTCGACAGCTTGTCTGATGTCTTTAATAACCGACATCAGTCTGTCTGTTCTTGCCTGGAGATATTTGCCATATCAGCGCCCCCATCCGAGCACGAAGGCTGGGGCTACACATACACAAAAGCCGGCAATGGGTGCGATAGATTATATGGCTACTACGCTGAACCTAACCAAGGAAATGACCGGCCGTACCCTCCAGTCGTTCATGACCAGCCCAAAATAGGAGACATCTTTTGACTGCACTCTACCAGAACAGCAAAGGGTCCAGCTGAACCATTCATACTTGTGCAAACATCCAACCATTGGTGGAGATCTCATGGATACTGGAATGAAGTAGGGCCCGGGGGTTTTCATCTGAAAATGGCAGGGAGGCATGCGCCTATCGAATTTTATCAAATCAAAGCTTTCCTGGAGACTCGCACATCTCATATCTCAATATCAATCACTTTTGCACCACCGCGTTCTCGTCTCATGTCAACATCGAAATGTCCCCAGTTCCCATCGCTCAGGAGACCCACTCGTAGCTTAGAACGGGGACTTGAAACACAGGAGCGGTGCAAGTAGCATTGAAATCCGCGTCATGTATGCAGGTGACTGGGAAGTCTACGCTACCGGAGTAAGTAATAGAGCTCCCATTGTCGCATGTGAGAGCGTGTCCATCGCCAAGGGTATAGTCCATATGGCCAATTGAGCTATCGACATCCGAGGTGCCATAGAAAGCAACAATTCGGCCCTCGCCCCTATCGGCATACCCACAGTTGCTCTCACCATGACCGATGTCATGGATGCGATAGCCGATATATTGGTCGTGGCAAGTCAAGCCATCGGCAAATTTGATATCAAGAGTTTGAGGCGGGCCATAACCCCATGGTTGGTAATTGGGCATCCCAGTCCAGCAGACATTCACCATTGACCCGTTGCAAGTTGCGGGATCAGGTGCACACCAGCCGGTGCCACAGAGGCAGCCTTGGGCACTGATATCAACTTGGTTGTGGATACAGTCTAAACTGTGGGAGCCATTGTACCAATTGAAGGTGTTGACGGTCCAGGTCGGGATCGGACATCCCGCTGGCGGTGTGATGGAGCGACGTCGCACAGCGCCGGAGGTAGCTGGAGAAGACAAGGCCACAAGACCTGTCAAAAGACTGACGATGGCGACCATTTTTGAGAAGGACTTGGAATAAGCAGATAGAGAGGGACTTGAATATCGTAGCTCAAAGGGCGTTATCAATTGTTCTTTTTATATTTACCTGGAAATAATAAGCAGAGGCAGAATAGGAAAAAATAGAACCAGTTGTGAGTGGGGACTGGACAGATCCGATTCGTGTTTTATGTGATGTCCATGCAGATAGACACGCTAAGGATTAGGAGCGGGAGTAACCCCGCGAATATAACCAATGGATCCTAAGACGGGGAATAAGACCCCGAGACATACAGCAAACATGCTCGCTTAGAGACTCGCAATTGGATTAGACCCACTGCAGGGTATCTGCGACTTGGAGGTTCTGTGAGAATGCAACATCAGCCAGCTTCAGACCGGAGCGTGATTTGGGATCGAGGGTCTAAAACTGGATACGCCCCACTCTGCAATGGCCAGCTAAATGACCGTTGGTCGTCTACAGGTCAATTGAAATCGAGAAGAGGCATCTAGACTTTGGGCCGCAGAGCCTTGTCAATATTTCATATGCTGAGCTTACTTTGTTTCAAATGCAAGCTCATCCTCGAGGGCCTTTGCGCACACTGCAGCAGCGCGCTAATGCGGGTCAGACATGGTTACAGCTAAGCCTCCCAAGACAAACACATAAGTAGAGAATGCCATTCTCATCATTGTATAAATCAATTCATTGTGTTGAGTCATGCCTACCGGACAAGATCCGTTGCCATGAAAACTTAAGCTCGTAAACCTAAATCTCGACTGACAGCCGCGGTCCAGGGAAGCCGGGAATATCGAGTTCGACAAGCGGGCGTAAATTATTTGAACCATCGTCTCTAAAACAAACAGCTACATCAAACGAAATAAAAAGGGTTTATTGGGAGCAATGTATCCATTGGATCTTAGTTTATGGCAGTGCTTATATTGCGTCCGCAGTTTGAGGCTGATGGTGTCGCGCGTCTCCACAGGCACAAATTGAACTTCACTGGGCAGAGCCTCCTGGACTGGTGCTGGCTAGGTCTGGAACTTAGGGGTTTGAAACCTGAACTCAAATGGTACTTGAACGATATCATGACCATGGAGCATTGTTATGATCAACGCAATCAATCTAAGGAGGACGGCATACCATTTTCTCTATATCTCCCATGGGTATCAAGTAAAGTTGGTGTATCGCCGAATTTCTTGAGTGAGGGTCAGTGGAAAGGTATCTTTCTATGCACCGGAGCATTTATTGACGCCATGCGTTCGTGAAATCTATCCCCGCCTCTGTACAAACATGATGTTGTGCCCAGTAGATCCCTTCCAGATCTTTCATCAAAGTAAGGACATCCTGATCAGGAGGCCCTGGAACCATCTTGCTGGTTTTGAGTGCCTGAACACCTACATCATGCGCCTTTTGCCAATTTCTCTGCAGGGCATGCGTCTTCACTAGCTGAATCATCAACCGTACAGCGTCCAGTCCAGTATAATTACTGTCAGCTTCGAGCACCGGTGCCAAGAGCTTTTCAGAGGCGCGTAGCCGGCCGCGACGTAGGTAAAGAGACGATAAATTCAGCACCCAATTAGGTGCACCAAAATCCGGGCTTCTCCAGTCACTGTCTTGACTTTTGGTAGCCAGCGAATAGATGGCTGCCTGGGGACGGTCTAGCTCAAACAATATGCTAGACAGGAATATCCTCGCCTCCGTGAGATCTGCCGGGTCAGCATTCTTGGACCCCTCGTGGTATTCGACCACTGCGACCAGCAGCTTCTCGGCTTCTTGTAGCTTTCCCAGCCTATCATAAATAACCGCAAGCAGCATCTGAGAGGAAGCTATCATTGACTCTTCCCCATGAGGGGATTCCTCGTATGCTGTCAATAACGACTGAGCCAGTGGCTCGGCTTTCTCATATCGTTCTTGTAGCATGTAGGTTCGAGTAAGAGACCAAGTTGTATCAAACGTGAGGTGGTGGTTTGGCCCGTTTAATTTCTTCCCTAACTCCAAAGCCGAAAAAAGGTTCTTCTCAGCCTCTTCAAGGTGGCCTTGGATCCTGTACACGTAGCCTAGAGTGTACATAATATTCACAGTAAGATGATGCATGCGGCCATGCGATAATAAACTCTCGTCGAGTGAATCCTCGAGGAGAGATTGAGCTTCTTTGACCTTGCCACGGAGCATATAGGTATGTGCCAGATTTCTCTTGTTGGCCAAGATTGACCCACTCTGGTCTGACCGATCCCCAAAGGCTGCTGCCCCGTTGATGACTGTCCCTGGATTTATCGATTGATGTAATTGTGGATTTTGTTGAAAGATTCTCGAAAGATCAGCGTGGAGCTTTTCGGCCAAGTCATACATGTTCAGTTCATGATAAGTCACTGCGAGGTTGTTCATGACACAAAGCGTGATGGGATTGGTCTCTCCGAGGACTCTCGTACAGTCTGCCAAGAGTACTTCCCCAAGTTCTTTGGCCTCATCGAGATGCCCTTGTTTCCTTCGGGCTGTGACAATGCCGTCGATAAAACTAGCCTGGTAACCATTCCACAGCCCCGGGTCTTCGCCACACTGATGATCCCCAAGACAAGCTTGTTGCAGATATGTTAGGCCTGAAACTAAGATCGTTTCGGCATTTTCCCATCGTCCCAGGTGAAGATAGATATGCCCAAATAGGCGTCGGTATGCGAATGTTCCCAATGGATCAGGGCCGGTGAGACGGCAAATGTCGTCAATGCTGGGAAAATGATCAACCAGGTACAGAAACTCGGAGCCCAGATACTGGGTATGACGATAAGCTTTTTCAATCATCTTTATATTCCAGATCTTCCAAGGAAGTCCAATCTCATATTTGAGAGCTCGCCATTTCACCAGATTGTGCATTGCCACGCCAGGGCGGGCACCTTCAGTCTTTCCCACCAGATGAAAGCGCGTCAAAGGCTCAAGGGCTTGTTCGTAGTAAAAGGGGTCCCACTCATTGTTTTTCACCGTGAAAAGGCTCTTTAGTTCGGCAGGTAGTAGTCTCTCTTGCCAGATTGTTGTAGGCTCGCTGTGTAGCTGAAGACTGGCGAGCCGAAAAATATCGTGTTGCACAATCAGCCCTCTAAAATGCGCAAGAAATGCCAGCAAGAAAGAAGGCTTGATCGCATAGTTGAGGGAGTCAATCTTCGACAGAGTAGTACTCCAGACGGTCCAGACTGTTTTGTCAGTAAATGAAAGCCCGACGAAGTCATCGTTCTGCAGCAGTTCATCTTCGTGCCGATCGAGGTTTTTAATGTATTGCTTTAACGATTGATGATTTGGAGAGTCATCATACTTGATGTATGCGCCTGCCAAGTCCGTTGCGAGAGCTAGAAGACCTAGACGTTGTACCAAGGTATCACACTCTTGCCGAACGACGTCGGATAGATCGTCTGACAACCATTCAAGGTGGTTCAACAGCAGGAGCCTGGCCTCGTGTAATTCCATGACACCAACATGAACATCTTCGCAGAGCCCATCAACAAGACCCCGAGACTTAGAGTCCTGGCTCGTGATGATAATACTGCCTCTAATCCCTCTGGGTAAAAGCTTCTTGAGGCCCCATCGGACATCATCTGCATTGTCGACGACAACTAGCCACTTCTGGTCGGGCTCTGACTGATCTTCAAACCAAGCATTGACCAATTGAATTACTCCCTGCTTTGTAGATTCCGACCAGTGGGAGTTTGTTTGCAGTGATAATCCAATTTGGACAGCAAATTCCGTATAACTTGAGAGTGTGGATTCATTATCTTTTCCATCAATCCACATGACAGCATTAAACTCATGTTTGTGTTGGTCAATGTATCTCAGAGCAAGTTGCGACTTGCCAGTCCCACCAAGACCATGGACTGCAATGGCGTAAGGGACGCTGCTTTTTTCGTGCCTTATGCGAAGCTTGCGTTCTATTTCAGCAGATATTGTCTCCCTTTCTGTGTAAGTGTGAACAGTGCTTAGAGGAACCGAAAAATATCGAGCTTGCTTCACCTCCAACGGTAGCAAAATGAGCTCGTTCAGCTTGTCTTTGATGATGTGGTAGTTTGAGTCCCTCTTATTGAACCTGACTATCTTGAAATGATCAAGCGGCAGTGGAATGTTTTCCACACTTCTATCAGAGCCAGTAGTGAAGGTTGCGGACTGTACTTCAACAACCTATTCATTATATGTTAGCGAGAGAGAATGCTTGATATGATGCAGCCACTAACAAACTCAACAAATAACTTGACAGGACCAATTTTGGTGGACGATTTCCGCTCCTCGTAAAAATTGACAACTCGCATCTGCCGAGTGACCCTCAGAAAGTCGGTGTGTAGACCCAAGAGGTGTGGGCTATCATATGCCAGGTCCTTCAGGATCTTGGAATTTGAACCTATGGGTGTGAGTGCCGATGCAATTGGCGCAAAAAGATTGGCAGACTTTGAGCCACGGTGAGGTGTGCCCAGAAAGACCAAAGCTTTGGTATTCTGCGCAATATGCAGAAAGCGCTCATTTTTAGCAGCTTCCACTATGGCCTAATTTTAACGAATCTGGGTGTCAGAACTGGATCAATAACTGGAAGTCGAAGGAAAAGCCAAGCCCTTGGATAATTAAACGGACTCATTCGGTCTTTAGTACTCACTTGTTTAATTATGAGGCCCCCATAACTGTGACCAACCAAGATCAGCTTTCGGTTCCATTCCTGCACAAATATCGTTATTCAGTCTGTCATTCATGGATCGGGAGATATCCGCATACTTGTTCGTTTCTCCGGATTTGGCTTTTTATGCGGCTCAACATGGCCAAGGCCAGCGTCTCCAGGTCAGACTGAGGCGCATCTCTCCAAAAGTAGGTGTCGTGGTTGTAATAAAAGACTCGAATATTGTCACGATGTGTTGGCAAGATATCATCAGGGAGAAAATCCCTGATCCAGCGGACTGAAGACTCATTTCCGCTCTGTTTGTCATCCTCCACCGGCAGAGACCAGGTTGTATCTGGGTTGGACCCAAGTCCGTGTACAAAGACAATACTTTAACAGGAGACGGACACTCAGCGAATCATGTTGTACTATGAAGGAGTTACCTTACTCACTCAATCCCATTCTCTCTACCATCTGACCCAAACCCGTCCACTTGAACAATGCCAAATGGTTGCCTTGGAGCGTGGTCGCTCCGAAGTCGAGTAATCACTGGCGAAAGAGGAGACATAAGCCACTGAAATAAGCAGATGGCGGAAATAAGGGTCCAGAAGAAGCTTTTCATCCAGAACCCCATCGTGAGAACACTAAGAGTAAGATACAGCCAGCGCAGACATAAGACATGCACTGTCAGATCTTGAGTAAGATAATTAAAATTTATTTGACGTCGACTCTCACGGGAGGTTCAAAAAGACTGAACGAGAGAGGGAATGTTTGTTGTTGATCATGTGGCGAGGCGGAGCTGACCAGGGGCCTAGCTAGTGCCAATTTTTGGCCCCTCGTGCTAGCTTTATCTGGAATCCGGCCCGATGCAGGAACGGATATCAGCTCAGATAGAGTAGGTAGAAATTAGGCAGAGCCATGAGTTGAGGTCGTGCGCGGCGTATAGCCGCCCATGGTCAGCGCCGCGGCCAGCGTGGGCAATGTTGTTGACCCTCAGCCAACTACAAAGCCTAGCACTCAGCCTTCGGAAGAGCTCAGGCCGCCTACCCCAGAATATATATTATAGGCAGGTCAATTAAGTGATATTGCATTCGATGTGTGCCAGATGCTAACCATTATCCTGCGCCCTCTCGGCAGCTTGCTAGCTACCCATTAGGCTTCACGCAATGTTGGCACCGCAGCCCCTTGGGAAAACTGCCGCATTTCCTGCTCCTTTCCCTCCGGAGCACGCGCTAAATACTGAGAAGTTGAGGAAACTTAGCCCTCAATTAATGCCCAGCACATCTCCTTGTTTAACTACTGTGGCCACCGACCCTGATGCGATCTCATATGTCCCAGGCCACCCTTGGGTTGAATTGTCTGGGGATAGTGTTGCACGTTTCCTCCAGAGCGAGCTTGCTACTCCCATCCTGGATGAGCTTTACAGTTTCCTGTGGATATTTTCGCGGCCCTCCTTTGACAACATAGATCCTTTGCATCGACAGAAGATGAAGAATAGAAAGATCATACCCATCCAGAACCCGAATCTCCATTTGGTATGGAAGAATGATGGCATTTACGTGAAACCTATGCCGGTCTGGATGCTCAATGACGATTTCTGGATCACCTTTCTTTCCTCGCCCCACAAAGCGCCGTTACTTCCCGATCGAGACTCCAAAGCTCATCCGGCTACTGACCGCTCTACTGCTCTTGGCTTTGTGCGATCCTACGCATTCCTTGTGCAAGACGAGCTTGATTTCAAGCTGGCACAGGCGGACTATCTCATTCCTCCCGACATACAATGGATCGAATGGGCTATCTTTATGAGCTACTTTCGAAATCTGGAAGACTCACAAGTCTCAGCCCGATACCACTTTGGCCAGTTACGGATTTCCCGGCTGAACTGGGCTGTGCGCCTCCTCCGTCCTAAATCTGCGCGCACGTGGTGGTTTTACGAAGTCCCATACTGGGCTATAAGCGTTTATCTACAGGCAGCACTGTCGCCATTTCTCTTTATATTCGGAAGCGTGTCAGTCGTCTTGTCTTCGATGCAGGTAATGGCGGCGTTCGAGGACTCTTCTCTAGATGGTTCTCAGCTCACCGCGATGAAATATTCCTTCTGGATGTTCTCAATGGTCACGGTCGTAGGCTCGGCCATTGTCTGGGCTCTTGCCATCTGTATACCTTTATTTGTTCTATTACACCAGTTCGGGTGGGGTGTCTTGAACCGGATCAAGATGTAGGGACTGTAACTGTATTCGGCGTGTCACGGTCTCAAGCATACGGCTCGCTATCACGAAGTATTTTATATTGTAATGATAGACCCAGACGCTTGGCTCAAATGGTGGGGAAATCGGGAACACGAATCATTTTGTACTTCCAGGGGAGAACTGGGTTAGTTCCAATAGGATATTCGAAGTGATTCACCTGTCAGTCGGACATTTTGATTAGACTGAAATCAATATAATCTGTCGATAGCTAAGTTCCCTTCTGCGCTATATGACGGAAACCTCGTGCCGGCAGAGTATCTTTTCTAGTGTCAAGAAGGCTATGCTGAAGCTCAGCCCTGCGGCTAAGAACTCCCAACCACGAATCACATATTATAAATCCATAGGTGTGAGATATCTACAATCAGATCAAAGAGCCATCATACCAGTCAAATCATACTAGTAAGTCAAATCATCCTGGTAAGTGCCCATATCGTTCCACTTCAGATTTCCATTTCTACATGCCCCCATAATGCCATGAAGATAGTGAAGCTATTTGCAAGAAGTTCCTAGCTCTTCTAGATTGGTTTGACCACCGCCCAGAATAAAAGCCACAGCGCTCAGGGAGCTCGTCAAGGTCATACGACCTCCAATTCACGCCGAAGAAGCACCAATTTCCGTTCCTGACTGACCGCCAAATGCGCCTGCTTTGCCATCTTAATCGACCGGGCGGAGGCTCCCAAACGGTACAACTGTTAGACTAGAAGAGATCAATCATGACATTTTCCTACTAGATAGCTAGATAGCCTTTCATTTTACCGGAGATGCCGCTCGATTCGACGCCCAGCTCGTTCTCGCTCCTCTCGCTGGAATGGCAGTCGCACAGGAACAGAACCCCTAGAATCCAGCCCGACGAGAGCTTCCGTGGATATGATTGCACCAATGGGGGCAAAATCTGAACATGATGGCCGGACACAAAGGAGGTAATTGCCGAGCCGCTTGGGCTCCGAAGGTCTCCGCGAGCTTGTCATTTAGGCTTCTCTTGACCGACTCTGGAGACTCTCTGCGAAAGTCTTGCCTTCTAGTAACGAATGTGTTGGTTTCAGATTCACATTTCTTTGCAAAATCGAAGAAGGCATTCAGTCTTACTTCGTCGGATATATCGACAAGCTGAATATAGGCATCACCGAGAATTCCAAACAAGCCCGTTTTCGCCGCAATTTCGAACGTAGTATGCACTACGATAATATGCATCACAATACATCCATGTTGTAATTTCTGGAGGGCCTTAATCCTCTCTTCTATATCTTCATCGAGCATGTTATCAAGATAATCAAACATAAAAGAGTCTCCGTAAGCATTAACCGCACTCCAAGCGAGAAAATCGAGGGCACTTCCATTACCCCAATACCCGGCGCTGTAGCATGGAGTCCAGTTCAAGTGTATGATGTCTCGAGAGGGGTCGATCCATGATTTTTTAAGCTGGAGATCGGATTCCCACTGAGCCTCCAGAGGAGGGGAGCCCTTATCACGATAATAGCCAGTCTTAAGATAGCCAGTCTCAAAAGCGACACGGCGTGATTCGCGGCATACATGGCTGATCACTGGTGGGCGTCGGTTGATATCGGTTGTTTGCATCAGCTTGCACGGTGGCGGATTGAGACACAAGTAGGCGCCCTCGTCCCACGGATAGTCTATTTCAACAACGCGATTTGGGAGGCATTCACGCCAGATGGCATATCTCAATTCCGTGGGCAGCTGAGAGAAGAAATAAAATTTTGGGTTGTTTTCCATTTAGTCGAGATAAGCGTAGTATATTGGAAGGCAAGCATGAGAAACTCAGGGGTTCTGAGGGTCGCGGCACCCTTTAACGTAATCCAAGGCCGAGTGACGCACACGGTCGAGCGGCGCACCCCGAAGACACATAGTAAATACGATAAAGTACAACTTCATATCTCCACCACTATACATAGCCTCTGTTCATTTATTAATCTTAGTAGCAGTGTCTATGCCTACCATAGACTACTTATCATGAGTAGGTATAAAATATTTTGTTGTTGTTGAGATATGATAGAATTTATCGCATTTACTATGTGTCTTCGGGGTGCGCCGCTCGACCGTGTGCGCCACTCGGCCGTGGATTACTTAGCGCCGAATGTCGCCCCACTAACACGAAGGAAATTGTTAGACACCACAGCTTTTGTTAGAGACACAACAGATTATGTAGCGCGGGATAATACAGTGGTGTAATATAAGTATTTGTGGAAGTCGAGCATCAACAATTGGACGAGAAGAGGATGAATAACAGTGCTGGTTGGGTGCAGAATAGATGGGGAGTCAGGCCCTCCCATCTGCACTCTCCAAGTCTGGGCCAGGCTGAGGCCAGTAGTGGGATAAGTCAAAAACTGGAAGGTTAAACGGGAAGGCCAATTCTGCAAACATGAGCGCCCATGTCAAATACCACGCCAACATCGCCACAATAAACAAGAGTCCCCCGAAACCTGGAGAAGGAGCATTAGCTTGTAGACAGAACGGTAGAGTGTAGAGAACAAATGTGCTTACATGTTTAAGGTGCAATGCAGAGGGGAAGTCTCCCAAGCTGGCCTTCCAGTAAGATGCGGAGAGGGTAAAGAGACCTGCTGTAGCATCGGCGAAGAGAACTGCCAACACAGCATTCGTTCTGAGGGACATGATGAAGAACGTGAAAACGGCAAAGCCCAATACAGAAATGTATAGCGCTATACCTGCATTATAATCAGGCGTCAGTGCGCCCTCGACGGCACTACCAGCCGGGGAATATGACGCTGCGACTTTGGCAGTAGGCAATTGAAGAATGCCAAGAGAGGACCAAAATACAGCGAAAAAACCGCAGAGCATCATGTTAAAAAAATTGCCGAGTATCCATTCAAAAATTGTTGAGAGGAAAAGGAGCATGGGTCCAGTAAAGAAGAATATTCCTCTTGGATAGTATTAGCACTAGAGCCTGGGATCGATTTCCTCGAAGACTTACACAACACTTGCCATGGACGAAGCTCCGCCCCAGCCCATCAACACGGTTGAAAATGTTCCAACGGAGAGGGTAAACCTTGCATGTCTCAGTGGAAAGGCTACTGATAATAACCAGAAGAAACGCTTACCCCATGAGTCCCAAGGTAAGAGAGTTTGCCAGCTTTGCCCTACATTTGCCATTGAAGGGTTGTGGTTGTGAACCCTAGAGTAATACTGTCAGCATCTTGCCGATGAAGGTTTCACAGAGTAAGACATACGGTGCATTCCATCTTTTTGAAGTGAATGGCTAGCTAGTAGAATGATCAAGGGTGAGCTTTCGCATGGGCTCCTCTTATTCAACTAGGCACGGCTGAAGCATAGGTATATATAGATATGAATTACGCCAACACGCATGACTCGGCCGCTCGGAGCTCTTTCATGGATCTCGGAGCTCGGGGCTCGGGGCTCTACCCCAATGAGTTATCCCAGACGGATTCTCGGCGCTCGGGGCTTAAGCCGGCGCAACTGGGAGTGGGTACCTATCCCATAATTGGAATTAAATATACTGTCTTTCGACTGCAACAATTGCCACGGCTCAAGATATAAAAGTTGGCCCTCCCAAGCTACGAATCACACCTCAACAGTCAACACCATCAACACATTAAAAACCCAAGTCTTGGGAGAAACGACACTCAAACATCAAAACCAGCCTATCATAGCTTCGAATACCCATGCTTTCTTTGCTCTCCAGCACCCACTCGCCAAACTCCAGTAGCAGATTCCCTGGTGAAAGCTCAACCGAGACAACTATGAAGTCGGAGAACATTGGACAATCTGCATCTGCGCAGCGCCCCTGTCCCCGCGCCGCAGGATCGTTGTTGCTATGACCGGAGCAACTGGAGCCATTCTAGGAATTAGAGCCCTGATTGCCTTGCGCAAGTTGAATGTCGAGACGCACCTGGTGATGAGCAAATGGGCCGAGGCGACCATCAAGTACGAGACGGACTATCATCCGTCGAATGTCAAAGCACTCGCCGACCATGTCCACTCGATCAACGACATGGCAGCTCCGATATCAAGCGGCTCCTTCAAAGCAGATGGAATGATCGTCGTTCCATGCAGCATGAAGACCCTTGCAGCAATCCACAGCGGGTTCTGCGACGATCTAATCGCTCGCACCGCCGACGTCATGCTTAAAGAGCGACGTCGCTTGGTCTTGGTCGCGAGGGAAACCCCGCTGAGCGATATCCACCTGCGCAACATGTTAGAAGTGTCCCGCGCGGGCGCCATCATCTTCCCTCCTGTTCCGGCTTACTATATCCAGGCAGCGTCCGTGGATGAATTGATCGACCAGAGCGTAGGGCGCATGCTAGACCTTTTCGATTTTGACACTGGGGACTTTGCGAGGTGGGAGGGCTGGCAGCATGCAGAGCGTTGAGGTCTCGTGCAGGAGCAATCGGGTTAATCTCCGAGTGCTGATAGGCATATAGGGGCAATATCTTCCGATAGCCCCTTCGCCGCAGTAGTCTCCGTCGCAGAACTACACAATCTTTGGTTATATGTTATATCCCCTGAGCGGTCGCCCTATAGCTCCCCTGGCTTCCTCCAGAAAGGGAGGGATATTCGCCGCACTCCCGGCGATTCGTCCAGCGCCACATTTACTACCGTTCATTCCGGAACCGCACATGAAAGTTCCTGTAATTCAGGCGTTGAGTATTGTCCCGCTACGGAACTGGTCGATGATTCACTCCGCCCTTACGTCCATGTTGCTACTCAGCATATGGGAGAAGACACGGAACGATTCAGAATCTCGAGACCTCCAGGAGAGCGTACTCAACGCTCTCTTGGAAGCCAGCCAACGTGATGCCGATTTAGATGCAAATATCGAGCACCACTGCCACAGGACCCATTGGCTGTCCACTAGGCATGTCCGGGCGCTAATGAATTTGCTGGAGACTATTCGCAACACCTCGTTGTCAACAACGGGAACCTCTCCCAACCCGGCGTCTCACACGCCGGAACAAGTCCATCCGATTGGAGCCCAAATACCGTAAAACACCTTATCCACAGATTTTTGTCCGATCCCGGAGCAAATATCTGCCACACTCGGTGAAAGGTGAGAAGTTCTCCCACGGCTTAGGAAATCCTGGTAAAGAAGTTGCTGATACTGCAAATAGCGCCCCGGATGAGGCTTACCAGTTTCCTTGGGCGTCCACTGATCTGTCACCCATTGCATGCGTCGACGAAATTATGAATGGTGAGCACCGACGATGAGATATACCGACATCTATGCTAACGTCTAACAAAGCGCTATTCTATGATACATCTATGTATAAAGAATTTTTACAATAAAACATATAGTCTCTGTTCGGTTATTCACGAACGCAGCCCTCGAATCTATATGTGCTAAGTCAGACCACGCCTAAGCTTAAAGTCCCCAGGTGCGTGTTCGATAATGCATTTACTGTTGGTTTCTCGGGATGAAAATAACTATTACAGTGAGATGGATCTGTTCTCTATTGGCCAAACAGTGCCACAACTTTATTATCATTAATATTCAGAAAGTAATTATTTTTTGGCGAGTTCTGGAAACTACTTGAGACCTAGAGAATTAATTCTAGTAACTCTCCACTTAACGTCGCTCTCATCTCTATGATTTCTGAGCGCCAGGCAGAGGAATTTATGCACCTCATGACCACGCTTGAAAGAGGAGAGGCTTAGTGATTCCAATTTGAATATAAAACTCCGCAGGATGTTTTCTATAGTGGAAAATCGATTATATAATCCTATCGTGAGCTCGCTGTTGAGTCGGACATCATTAAGAGATCCAAGGAGTAGTTAAACACTATGTATAGCCCGGATTTAGCGGCTTAAACGGTACGTTCGTTAGTCTTGAACGTTTGAATATTTTCTAACTGTAATACGATTAGTAATAGAAATATGAATATATTTATTATGTACTCACTCTCGCTCGACAGAATACGTTACCTTACGTAGTAGATTAGGTTAATTTCCCAACGGTATCGGTGTAGGGAGCAACTGTTTACATTTATATCTCCCGTTAAGAATAGGCAGCAATAGTATCATGCTCTGGTCAGACCTAAGCTCCTAGGAACCTAGAAGATTTTATCTGAACGGACTGTTTTATTGGCTCAACAACCTCGTATATAAGGTCACGCCAGTAGAATGTAGAGTGTGTGTTCGGTAGTGACTGAACTATTTTACTGTACATCCTTCAATGCAAACAGTGCAACCTAAACAAGGAACTCAAGACAACCAAATCAAAATGTCACCAGATCCCCCACTACAATATGTATCTTTACATCAAGCCCCATAGATTTCCCCATCCGCGCGGCTGTTGCGGTTGAACCCTTACCGCAGCCCTCTGCCCAATCTCATCCAGGTACCGGAACTTCAGCTTAACCTGCTCAAAATCCGACAGATCCTCAAGATGTAGCTTCAGGCTTCCCCAGCGCAGGAACTTGATTCCGAACCAGAGGACAATGAAGCAGAGTGGCTTTCGAGTGTAATCAGTATTTTATCATAATGTTTTACGATGGGTTGAGGAACATACGGCAAGATAAGCAGAGAGAAATCCAGGGACCAAGAAACCCTGCCACAGTGCAGCGCCATTAGCGATGACGAGGACGACCAGGCAGCCGCAGAGCGCGAGGTACATGGTGAAGGGCTGGCCGTGGGAGCGCCAGGGGTAGACATCTTCTGCGCCCGGGGAAAAGCGTCGGAGTCGGGCAAAGTAGGGGGAGCTGTTGATCCTGTCACGGTGATAGTAGACACTAATTTTTAAGGTCAACATGGCATATGGGTCTACAGAGTTGTGGAGATTTTACCAGTTATAGAACCGGACGAATGCCCAGCATTCACAAGTCCAGACTATAATGCAGCTCACAGAGCCCATTTGGGAAAGGATCTCGAGTAACTATTTAACGTGTCAAAAAAAACTCTCAAATGGAAGGAGGAAACCCACGCTTGCGATAGTTGTATGCGGCGAGTTATTTGGTGAAAGGTACAAAAACGGCACCCACAGAAAACAACACGAGATAAGCATTGCCCTGACTGGCACCTGGTAACTATTCGTCTTTCCAAAGAACGCCAGGCACTGCAAGTACCACTCGCTGCCGTGGATTTTGCGGGCGAGGACAAAAAGCGCTCGGGAGGCGACGTATAGATTCGTGTTGGCCGAAAAAATTACCGTTATGAGTATAATCGCCGCGACCATATCATCGAGTCCGTGGATCTGCGAAAGCGATGCGCTAATGACGAACCCGGAGTTGCTGTTTATCACGTTGGCATCGGTAGGGTTGACCGGGGATCCGAGGAACGATGCGCGGGGGAGACTAGGATTGCGCCAGTAGACGTTGAAGCTAAGCAGGATTCCAGCAAGGAAGTAGATGATCCAGATGATGAAGCTTGTCCAGGTTGCGATAAATCGGACCGAGATGGCAGGCCATAAACTTTTGTCTCCCTGTGAACGTTTGCTGTCCGGGCGGGCTTCAAGGGCAGTGGCGGCTGTGATATCTACACCGACATATGCAAATGCTGCGGTCGAGAATGAAATACTGCACGAATCAATATCCATACGATTGCATACGTTGGGAGCTGTTCGTACAACAAGACAGATGCCCAAGAATCACCCGTCGCTGGGTCACGGGGGAAGATGGTGTCGTATTTGAAATCTGCGCCAGATTGAGTAACCTTCGTCATCGTCGGGGGAAGTAGTAGTGACGTACATTTTGTACCGATATGGCCTTCGGCCCCGGCTATTGAAGTCAGTTCAGATCAAGCAGAGTCTCTTGGGACAAGTCTCACCCCCAATGTTAATCGCAATCATACAAGCAATCACCACGCATATGCCAATGATCTTCAGAAAGCCTCCGATCACCTCTGACAGCCCATAAATCTAGCAATCCTTAGCGATACATCTCCAGTGTATGGTAATTATCGTCGCACCTGGACTCCGAAACTGTTGAAGAAGATGATAAATAACGGAACGAGGAAAAACATCACCGTCCCCTGAATGGCTTTCCCCGGATCCCAATAGTCGAGCACACCCGCCCCAGCCACAATTAGCGCCGCAAAGCTCATCGCATAAGTGAACCTAGTGTAGCAAGAAATCAGTTTGCCGGGTTACCTTCCCACGCATAGACAACCAAGTTGATGGTACCAATAAGCAATTCCGACCGCGATGCCCAGATCCTCGTCGACAAATGTTCCGACGTATTCCACCAGCGCACCAGATATCGGCCACAGGGTCAGCATCTCGGCAATGCACTGCATCACCAGCCAAGCGAGTAACCCCATGACCGTGGTAGATATGAGGACGGCGCCAGGGCCTCCGAATCGTAAGATCGATCCGCTTCGCACATACAGTCCGGCTCCGAGGACACCGCTGATGGTGATCATCTAGGAGCAAAGCAAGCTCAATTAGCGACATTGAGTGGGACGGGAAGAGAGACTGTGATAGTAGTGCTCACAAAAACATGAATTCCGCGCAGTTTCTGACTATGCGGGGCGTAACAGTGTATACAGTTAGCCACGGTGCGACTCGGGCCGACCCACTGGTCCCTTACTTAACCACGCGATCTCTCGGGTCCTGCGTGACATGCGCATAATCGATCGTGTCATTTGTGGGCACTGGCGACACATGGCCCACTGGTGCTCGAGGGGACACGGACTGGGGCGAGACGGATCGCATAGACGACAACTGCGGTGTGAGTGGAATCGCAGGCTGCTGCAGCTCAACCGTCCCGCCTCGCGTTGTTGCTGTGCGTGTTGAATGCAAGTCATCTCGAGTCGCATTCAAGTTCGTATGAATGGGAAGCCGATCAAGCGCTCGAAAAATCTCGTCTGCATCGACACTGCTGCTGTTGTTCGATGCCATCCTGTCGGGGGCTTCGTGAAGATCGACGAAACATACGACATTTTCGATCAACAGGGCTCAGATGGAGGGAATCTGGGTCAAAAGAAGAGACCCTGCATAGCACGGACAACGCCTCCGCCAAGATCATCCTGTGCTGAGCAAAATGGGATCGGCAGCAAACTAGCTGAAGGGGGTACAACTTCCCATCCCCGCGCAGTTCCAATCGTCCCCGTCTCCCTGAATCAGTCAATCAAGCCGGAAACTGATAGCCAGCGAGCGATCGATTGGCCCGCTTTAATGAGCTTGCTGCGGCACTGGGGTCCGGGCGCCTGCAGCCATGTTCCCCCTATCAGCACAAGGAATGGTTGGATCGGGAGTTTCCTTTACTGGTGGGATCGCGGAGGAATACCCGTGACTGGTATACCTCATGCACGCGGCAAACTTGCGGGATGCAGAGCCTCCATTATCTCACAGAGCGTATCCGAAAAGGAAGAGATCCCCGCTCTGCCAACCTTTTGAATCCCTGGATGTTTTTCCCACCAAATCTTTCGACTATTTACTCGATTCTTATAAAATCGCAACACTTTCACTGAATACGGTTGGCCTGAAGATCAATGTCCAGCTTCAGACGCGCCTTCAGCTCTTTCTCAGCGTCGTCCTCGCCTCCATCCGATGCGATCCCTATGCGCCGACAGGACGCTCCCGGGAAGTACCTGACAAGCGCGAGGCTGCAGGTGTTTCTGGAAAAGAGGTTTCCCAACCATCCTAGATTAAATTTCCATATTCACGTAAGCCCGCGGCCCAATAGTGTCTGGCTTCTTGTTCTATCGCTGATGTGGGGGTGCGGCGCTACAGATACATGAAGATGTGTTCTCATTCGACGCCCCAGAGGAAGTGACTGAGGTAAGCTCTTCCCATGTGCCCATGTGTGGACCAAAAGGATGAAACATAGGCTAATAACGTATTGAAAGGCCGAACTTGAGTAAGTGTTGACAACCCCCCAAAAGATTATGCCTCGGGCAGTGCAACAATGCGGCTGAGAAACAACGTGCTAACTTTTTCCTTCCCCCCTGGCCTGCAGGCAAATTTCGGACTAGATCACAATGAACACGAGGAAATGGGATGGGAAGGGGCTCGAGCATCATGCATGGGGCTAGTCCCTCCTTGACCAATTATCTGACACAAATGAGAAAAAAAAATTCAGTTACCTAATGCTCCTGACTGCAACGCCACTACCGCTAAGCCCGTCGGGCAAAGGCGAGCCTTGGCCGTGTGATGCGCGTAAATCCTCCCAAGGCTGATTCACATCAACATCTATGTCGTATAAATCGTGGCGGTTGGAAGAATCGTGCCGTTGTAATTAAGTGTCAAACTTTTCCTGTCTGACCACCATCACAACCATCATGGAGCTCGAGAACATGCCAGGAACGGGAGCGACATATGCGCCCACGATCGAGACTCTCAGAAACGCCTCGGTCAGCCACGTCGCATGGTCAGATCTGGGGGATTTGTACTCTCTTGTCCCATACCCAAAGGACTACTGGACGCGAGCAGAGACCCGACAATGTTTTACCACGGAAGAGCCCAATGTCCAGGTAACATGGACGGATGTGAACTCGGGGAATGACGGTAACTATCCATTGCGTCCGATCGATTGCCATGTGTTGATGTCTGGATAGTGACAGTACGCAGCCTCGGGTCATTGGCGGAATTGCGCGACTGGAACACCGATTCTAACAGGACAGGAAGTGACCTGCGAGTCATGTATGTGACTGGAATAAAAGAAGATATTGCGTATGTTGTGTCGTCTAACGTTGCGCCAGTTCTGTCAGTCAAAAAAACTCCTGGAGGCCACTAAACGTGACTCGCCAGATCTTCCAGGAGATCATCGATATTACCGGAGCCTCGTCAGAAGTCCTCGAATATCCTCTCGCCTTCTGCCGGAAGAGAGTTGGAGTGGAAGAGGCCTTCAGCAGTGCGCCTATGTTTAAATCCAATGACCATTCTATCGGTAGGCCGGTCGCATTCAAGATCCAATCATGCTTAACTGACAAAATCATAGAAATCGCTTACTTGATGAAATACGCCTTTTGCAAATCCCTTGAGGACAACTTGGACCCTTGGGTCATTCGCCAGACCGCAGTCTATCAAAAGTACGACACAGAAACTAACCAGTCCACCTGGATCTTCCTCAATCCTACCCCAGACTGTGTCTTTCAAAAACGCCTGGCGACACTCCTGCAGATCCCGCGCCAGGTGCTGGCTTTCAAACGCCAGCCGCTTCTTATTCACAACGTTCTTTCTGGGACATTCTTCCCTCTGTGGCGAGATTACCTCGCCTACTACGAGCGCAAGGTTCTCACTATTGTACGTTGCATCCTGCAGAAAACAGAAATGCATTCTAGATTAACATTCGCAGGCCAACACAAACATGGCCCAGCGCATAGAAGAGGAGCTGCGAGTAAACCATGAAACACTAGGCACCGTCCGTCATGCAGAGGCTCGCTGTTTATCGCTACAACCCATATTTAGGTCCCTCCGAAAAACCTTCCAGGCCTTGCACGATGTCAATGAGGCCCTAGCGGAGCGCAACATCACGCAGCAGTCAGATGCCCATGCGATGAAGCAGCTACTCAACAACTATGTAAATCTGGTGGATGCGTACACGCAACAAGCGTGGTTTCTGAAGAGTCGGACCGCATGCTTGGCAGTCTCCATCACGGACACCCTCTCTTTCAAGGACTCCAACACAGCGAAACGCCAGACCCAATATATGCTCGATTTGACGCTTTCTACCGTCGACGACTCCACAACCGTGCGCGTCATCACCATCGTCACGCTGATCTATCTTCCTTCCACATTCATTGCAGTAAGTGGCCAGGGTCTGTAGAGATATGAGATGTTTGCTAAGAACCGCGAAATAGACCCTCTTGGGAATGAGTTCCTTTTTTGAGATGGACCCCAATGATCACAACTTGGTTGTGTCCCCAAAGTTCTGGGTATACGTTGTGTTGTCCGTACCACTGACAGCGGCCACGTTATTATACTGGTGGGTTCTCAAGAACACCAAGCAGCGCATGAAGTCAAAGAGCAAGGAGGATACCATGGAAAGGGGCTCGATGTATGATTAGACATTATGCCCATTGTCTTGCTTTTGTATATGGGACGGATCATTTTCGTAATACTTTCTTGGCTGGCACATTAACAGTCTCGAAGAGGCCTTCCGCCGTAGCCAAGAATACCTCCGATCCCCCCCCCTCCTTCTCTCGCATGACAATACTAATTTGGTCCTTACGTTTTGGAGGACTAATGTGTGCCATCTCGGTCGGATCAGAGGTACTATGAATGGCCGAGACGGCCAATGAAAAAATCTGTTTGCGATCGCGCTTGAGAAAGATCAGCGTTTGGTTATCATTGCTGTGATGTATATGGACCATTTGCTTTTTCAGCTCTTTGATCTTCCATGTCTTTTGGGACAAATTGGCGTTGATGAGATACTGCTCTTGTGACAATATAACCAAACGGAGAGTTCCGCTGAGCACAAAAACTGTGCACGCTGTAAAGTGTGCAGCAGTTGTGGCAGAAGAGCCCTAATACACCGTAAGCAAATATTATCATCAGAATATATGCACCACACTCACCCTATGTGGAATCAACATGTCTTGGTACAGGGTGTCGCCCTGGGTTTCCCATGCTTGGACACGGAAGCTGACCGTTTCTTCTTGGGTCACCATGACCAGAAATTGTCCCTCGCTGGTGAAGCCAAAGAACCGAATGTCTGCAGCCGAGCCAATGGCAGGCCCCAGCCTGTTTATAGCGGATCTCGTGGTCATGGATCCCAATGAAGGGGCAGAGATTGCCGAGTTTGACCTGCTAGATATAGGAGAGGGGTGCCCTCTGTTTCTATCCGTTAGCACGCACTTTTCGGGCCCTTTCAGCCTCAACTACTTACCCATCACGTGTGGTATGTATCAAGTCTTCCGTTTTGCAAAGATATCGCAAGCATTCCATCTCGGTCCCACCCGGTTCCTGGGTAATAATGAAGGCAACCAACGCACCATCCTTCGATAGGGCAGCCATCTTTATAGAGCCCAATTCGGGGAGGGATGTGGGCTCTGGGTTCTGATTGATGGAGTCTCCCGTGATGGGATAAATACAGCACTGCAGCGGTACTGTTAGTGATGGAAAATTGGATCGCAGAGGAGTCAGCCCACCTTAAAACAGATTCCATCCAACCCGTTACAAATATAGTTCTCGCTGACCGATACACAGTTTACAAATCCCGGAATTTGAACGTCCACAGGCCTCGGCATATGCGACAATTCCCAGACCCGATTTTTTGTGGAAGTGAAAGATACCAGAATTTTACCATCTGGCGAGAATCTGCTTCCACGAGCGGAGCTCCCAACCTCCAGAGGCGGTGGCGTGGGCCCCGAGATTGCATTTGCCCCAAACGGCCATTTACGCCGCCTGAGCGGTGTATTATCGGAATGCCGCCTTCCGTTAGGTGTTGAATGATGCTCTAAGCGGCTGTAGTCAGTCCAGATTTTTTTCATTCGGGCTTCGATTCCCCCCGCCCCCATTCGATTTTCCCTTTGAGGCAGTAAAACTTTCTTAAGCAGAAAGTCAAGCGATTCGCATATCACCTTCGAATGGGGATCCTTTGGGGCTAACTCTTTCAAATGATCAAACCATTGAGTTACGGCTGGCGAAACTTGGGGCTTCTTAGGATTGGTGTAGAAGAGGTCACCATTGGGCTGCTGATATCGTCGGCGCGAAAATTCGAGGATACCATTGCGACCCTTCATCATGAAGGTGAGAACCAGACTGAATATGCAGCCAAATGACCACACATCACTCAAAGCGCTGACCTTCTCACCAGGTACTGCGCACTCCGGGGCTAAGTATGTCCCCTGCACCCCTATTGTCATGGTTGAGTCGCCATCTTTCGGCGAGTTTGCCTTGACTCTGACTCGGGAAAGACCGAAGTCGGAGATTTTCCACATTTCATCTGCCGTGTCCGCATTATAGACGAGGATATTCCGCGGTTTCAAATCCAGATGATAGCATGACACGTTAGAGAAACCATGATGAAGGAATGCCAAGGCTCCTGCCAAGGCAACTCCACGGTGATAGAGAGCCTTCTTCTCATCTAGGGCTTCGGGGACTGGTGGGTCGTGTAGACGGTCAAAATAGTGGCTCAAATCGCAGACCGCCAACGGGAAGAACAGGCTGTAGGTGGCTTCGTGTTGAAGAATGGCGAGCAGAGTCACCAGATGGTCGTGCCTTTCGGGTTGGTGCATAATATTCCTCAACACTTCCAACTCCTTATCAAATGCTTGCTGAATTTGAAAGTCCTTCCGCGCAAGTAGTACTGGATTTCGATTTTCACTGTCTCCGCTCGCCGAACGCATATGGTGCATTTCAATTTCGACTTCCCACACCTGCCCAAAGGCTCCAGAACCGATCTTCCTCTGTCCCAGGTACGGGAGGGGGCACAGGCTCTGCTCATTATCTAAGTATTTCACCTCCTTTTCTTTTTGCAGCACGATCGCACAGAACCTCAGCTGCCTGGTGTAGAAGGCACCTCCGCTGTCCGGAAATAGGCCTTCAGCCCTAGCTTGAGAAATGGGCAATTCGGCATCGGTCAAGACTGGGGTCGTTCTCTCGCAGTTATCTCCATGTAGAATCAGACTCAGAAACTGGTCCAGGACCGACGTGTCATTCCGCGCTCTGTCCATAAGCACAACTGCTAGGACGTTCGAGAGACTTTCCAGGATCCGATGAGCAACGCGCTTTAAAAGCTTCCCGTCTGCTAGAAGGGCCTTGCTCACATATTGTAAAAGCTGTTGTAAATCTGGCTTGTGGTTTCGGAAGACTTCATTCGCGGTGCCATGCGGGAAAAAGCGCTGTTTTCGATGGTTTTCTGAGAGTCGATCGCCCAGAAGGGTCTTAAATCGCTCGCAGAGCAGGTTTATGTCTTCTCTCGGCATGGGGACGGTGGGAGGAATGGAGAGAATCGCGAGACGAATATATAGCGACTATGAAGAGGAGAGGGACTGTTCATTCTTAGCAGGTGTTTGGGTTGATTACCGAAGAAGCTCAACTCGGACCTGGCAAAGGAAGCGAACGGAGACGATTCAGCGATGTGCTAACGAAGCGGGGCCGCAATAACCAAGCACGATTATTTGGTTGGAACTGGCCGACTCACAGGCTGTTAATGAATCGCCGGAAATAAAGTGTCAGGCGGTAATGGTGAGCGCAGATAAGAGTCCCCGCACTGGAAAAGGAGAAATGTCCGGGCAGGCGCTTGGGCAGGTGCCAAAGCGGGTGATATCTAGCGACCAATTAGGGCACGAGGAAAGATTGAGGCTGTACAGAAATCCTCTGCCAGGGGTCGGCTGACTTAACGTTGATAGGTGATAGCTAATAGACCAGGATTTGAAGACACTTTCAATCGCGTTTGCTTGCAAAAGGCATCGTGGGCTCGTGGCCATGATGAGGCATGGTTGAATATGGACATGACGGACAGAGGATTGGGGGGCCGTGGTTGGGGGGAAGTCAATCTGTAGGGGCCGCTGACCCAAACGCTGGAAGTCTTAAGAGCGCTTTCAGGGCTCATCGAGGAGTTCAAAAGTGATAGAACCTTAAGAATTAACCATAGAATAGTGGAGCACTTGACTTTGCGTTCAATGTCCTGAGCTTTGCTATCCTCCATCTACTGCCAATGGCGTCCATGGCTTTTTGTTCCCTGAGAATGAACACTGTTGTTATTCAGTGTCGTGACAAGGATTAAACATATCTGAACATATCCCAATTCTAATCCTCGGGATATGTTTAACATGCAATTATATACACAGGATCATGTCTGGCTGGCTGGTGGGGCTTTCCTGTCTGGGCCGCCGCTGTTATGACGCGGTCAGGCCCAGGCTCACTGAGTAAATGTCAGCACGGGTTTATGCTCTGTGATCGGGGTCGTTTCAGTCATGTGATTGCTCAATCCAGCTTACTCACCCAGCACTCCATGTCCAGTCAGCAAGCAGCCCATGGTAGACTATACCCAAAAAGGACATGTCCCACAGGGCCATCTATTCTACGGTGATAACTAGCGCGATAACGCTCGAAGTGATGCGGAAGATTACGTTGGTTGGCAAATTGTCCGTGCGGCCTCATTTGTCTCCCGTCCATCACGCAACCTTCATTACCGACGTACCGCGGCTCCAACAAGATCATCTGGGCCTAGTTAATTGAAACAGGTATTGTATGAGACCACTGGCTCGTTACCTGGTAAAAGGGATGGACGGATGACTCACCATTTTATAGCTTCCACGATCCTGCGCACTTCCTGGTTAGGCGCTTTCCCTTATTCTCCTTTCAGAGGGAAGACGACCTCCTCATTCTTTTATTTCTTCTGCGGCATTTACAATGCCTTCGCCGTATCGGAGATCGTGCCGAGACTGCGTAAAAGCGAAGCGCCGCTGTGACCTGAATTCCCCATGCTATCGCTGCCGAGTTCGGTCCTTGCAGTGTATATATGAGAACCCGCAAAGCACGAGACCTGTAGCGGAAGCTCAAGTCTCAGACGGTGAAGACCCAATATCGACAGTCTCCCCGCAGAGTATGACCAGTATCAACGCTGCCGAGATGCCGGAAGTGAATATGGCCGTTGGACCCTTGGACCTATATAATAATGCTACCGCGGGTCTGACCTTGACTGGGTCAGAAATTCCTTTCTTCCCAAGCTACGACCTGGACTGGCCAGATATCATGGAAAATATCGACAGCTTTGCGGTCCCGGATCAGGTTGGGGCAGATAATACAGCACCGACTCGAAGTGTCCTGGCAGGTGAAATATATCAAGAACGAATTATTTCGGCCGTGAAGCAATTCAAATCCTGGCCAGGTATGTACGCAAATCGAGGACATATTCCGTTCATACACGCCCGGTTATATACAGACCACCTACCATCCGTCATGCAAGAAGCTCTGGGAATTTGCTCCCTTAATGCTCAGAGAAATAGTCACAACGAGCACTTGGTCAATCGGTGCATCAGTCAAGCGGCGCGACGACTATTGAAAAAGCACTGCGAGTTAGATGATATGTCCATCACTGAGCAACTAGCTTCGGTACAGGCATTATGCCTCTATCAGATCGTTCAACTGTTCGATGGGGATATTGCGCTGCGATCGCAAGCCGAAGCGGCGGGGCCTTTCCTGGATCGATGGCTTCGCCAGCTCAAGTGCTATGCCAAGCCTGTCAGCGATGCATTGAGAAATGCGACTCCCGTGGGATCCGCACACGATGCATGGCGGGCATGGGTATTCGATGAATGTGTACGACGAACCCTGATCGTCGGGTTTTCCATTGAAGGGCTCTACTCGTTTCTCAAGAACGGTTGGGATGCCTCTCACCATGATTTTGCGGAACTTGGTTTCTACGCACAGCGGGCGCTCTGGACTGCGCCATCCGAATATTTCTGGCTGGCAGCTCTGCAGGACCACTTGTTGCTTCCAGTGTGGTTTCGGACATGGGAGGCTGATACTGCTCAAGCGCAACCTTCAGACATGGAAGAACTCGGAATGATCATGATGGGGTTCATAAAGGGAGTAGATTATTGCCGTCACTGGGCAGGAAAAGAGGCTCTTGATCAATTTGGTCTCGCTTTACCCGAACTCGGCTCGTACCCCTGACCATAGCAATCTAGGCTTCACAACATAAGGCCAGGAAATCTCAATGGTCCAACATAACCTCTGTCAGTTCAATCAACTGCTTTCCCCCGTCACTAGACGCAATCACAGAAATGGTCAAGCTCGTCTGCTTGCGTTGTGTGCCTGTTTTCTTGTCCTCCAATATAAAAGTCTGAATGTGCGCAACAGAACCAATGCCGTTATCTGTTGCATCAGATGAGGCCAGCAGCTCGCGGCTACTTTGCACACTGATGTTGTATGTGCGCCGTGTCTCGGCTATCACCTGATCATAAGCCTCCTTGGGCACATTCTGACCATTGATACTGTATGAGATATGATATTAGACTGACTAACAATCCACAAGAGATTATAGATGGAAGGAATTACCTAATTTTCAGCTGAGGGCTCAGTCCTTCTTCCATCGCCTTTTTGCTTAGACCATCATCTGGCTGGTAAAACAACTTGTTGAAGAGGTCTTCAAGCCAGTTTCCAAGAGGAGTAGGATGATAGTCCATTTGGTCTCCCATAGTGCGTGGCGTGTTGTGGTATTTCAAATTGAAAAGCTCCCTGGCAACTTGTAAATAATAGCCAAACAGTGTGGTGGACAATGAAAATGAAGGTAAACACAGATGCCTGCTGACTGGTATTTAAATACATCTCTCCCATCAGTCCCACAAAGCTTCCACTAGCCTTCCACTCAAAAGAGGTGGAAGCATCTCATAAAAGTCTTCCGCAGCGCTTCCGCACCTCTTCCGCACCGCCCCCGCAAATGATCCACGGCAGCGGAAGCCTGATTTGCCACTGGGGGAGTCGATCCAGGCCTTGTCCCGACCATACAAACGGGTTGGGTATAACAGTATGCATTGAGATTGAAGGACTAACTAACGAGTTACATTTATTTTCGAAATCGGCTTGACCAATATTCGGTACACACATGATACTGTAACTCTTTCTGGATTCACCGCCAAGGCCTCGGCGTGGATTAATCATTGAGCGGGCCGTGTTAAATTGAAGGGCACAGTAAAATACGCTTTGTATATTACAGTACACTTCATTGAATGGGCTGCTTGAGCTGAAAGCTACAAGTCAAAGCTGTCCAAGTCAAAGCCATTCGAGATTAAACCCCCTTAGTATGATACTACTAGATATTCTGTTTAAGTGTATAATTTGTCCTAATAATAATTAAATCAAAATTACTTCGAACCATTATGGTTCTAACGAGCTTCCCTGGATCATAGGCACAGCGAATAAATTATACATAAATTTCGCCACCTCTGCTGTCTGGACACTATTGGGGCCTGCAGATATCTTAATGAGACATATATGTCTGTTGTGCCATATTCCCTGGTCCTCGATAGCTTTTCAACCATCAAAGTTTCCAAGTGATTAGCGGGAGTGCTGATATCTTGTTGGCAATCTCTATTCAATATATCATTAATCATGCTGGTAACCATTTATAGTCCCAAGGAAAGCCCAAATAACTAGGGCCGATCCTGATATTGAGCGAAGAGACCACTTCCATTTATCTATAGTGTCTTCTCAATCGAACAAGCCTTGAGATTCGGCCTCATCTTGAGTCTCTTCTCGGCGCTCGCCTGGGAGAATGACCGCGCGATCAAGCTTGTAAGGCAATCCACGGTGACGCCCTCGGATCATCACGACGCAGATGACAAGCTTGCTGAAAATTGTAAACTGTCCACATAGAGACGTGTTGACCGTAGGATATCCAAGGCTGAGTCCAACATTGGCGCTGAATCAATGTTAGATGTGAACGTGCCGGAACGTACAATCAAGGATAGACAACTCACTAGGCTGAAACAACTTCAAATAACACAGAGAATACAGAAAAAGCCTGGAATTGTTATACGAGGCCTCTGCAAGACTGGAAGGTGGCCACTTACCGGAATCGAAGTATCTGCGATCTTGCCTGCCTCAGCGCAGCAGATGCAGAAACAGCCAAGGAACATATACCAGAGGTCGAAGCTCAGTTGGTTTTGAATATGCTTGACGAGATAAGACCGGCCATCAACAGCTTCGTCTACGTCAATGGTCTCACTATAGATACCCAAAGACCTTTCCTCATAAACGTTGGAAGCTCTGATGCTTATAGCAATCGGGTAGACTGCGATGTACATCATGACTAGCAAGCTGAATTGCACAGCTGGGCTCACGTTGGCCAAGTTAAAGGTCGCAGCACCAGTATGACGAGATGATGCTGCTTGGAAGATTGCAGCAAGTACCCGAGGACCAGGTGCGAGGTTGTTGACGGCTGGGTTGTTCAAGTCCAAGGTAACAATGAGAATGACATCGATCGAATTCATGATCAACAAGATTCCAAACAGGGCCCAGGTTGGCCGACTTGGGAATAGCAGCGTATAACATCGTCGCGGATGATCAAGCAGGAAATTTAATGACTCTTTGAGCGAGGACCCTTCCGGAGAAAGCTTGAACATGAGCCAGATGATGAGACGAAGAAGGCAAGGATAAAATGTGTTCCCGGCGAAGGAGAGAAAACTCATGAGGAGCAAAGGGAATGTTGCATCTTGAAAGGAAATCATCGAGTCCGGTGTCAGAGTAAAGCCAAGGTTACTGATCATTGTCTGAGAGGAGTAAAAGCCCCTGCCGTAAAGAACAACTTAGGATGAACTCGATTTCGAATGACAGGCCCAGAACTTACCACCAGACATTGCCTTGTCCACACTCGGCAAGGTACTCCCGGTATTTCGGATCCGCATGTAGAATCCATCCTACCAGACAGATTGCACCGAAGATATGGAGACCGAAGAAATATCCTGTCACAATCTTCAAGAGGACTTTCAAGCTTCGATACTCGATACCACCGAGTCTCTCTCGATCTTCAGCAGTCAGGTTGTGGAATTGGGAGTTCCGGCCTATTGTAGCAAAAGAAGATATATTAGGCAAGTCAAGGGGCTTCATGCCACTCTGCGTTGTCATCTGGCTCCCTCGTGTGTGACTAGGGCCGTTTCCTAGAACGAATACAGAGGATACAACGTGCTCAATAGTGCGAGAGCGTGAAGCTATGCTTCTGGTAGACTTCTGACGCTGAAGAGCTCTCTCAAGCCCAGCTTTCATTGTCTAGTTAGTGACTAGCTCAACCTTGCAGGACTATGCTATATTATTAGGACTTACCATCATCTTCATCGTCCGATCTTTCCTCAATCTCAGAAAAGGGTGTCCCTGCAACGTATTGGTGAGGATCAGACAGAAGGGAAAATTGTCGGTTTGATTTTTCGGGTACCTACCTCTATCACGTCTCCATGGAGGTGGAATATACAGAGCTCTGTCCTTATTAGCAGACGGCCGTTCATCGTCAGCAAATTGAATAGCTGGTTTTGTCGAGCTGAGGTTGGAGTCGACTGTGGTATCTGCAGTGGCACCCTTGACGTCTTGGGAGGCGCTAATGCAAGTCAGTATCCACAGGATTACGGGCCATTATTTGGGGTTTAGGCTGGAATGACCCACATCAAATGGCTGTCCACGGGGCTAGTACGCGTCTTCTCCTCATCTGAGGCGCCTTCCAGGTGATTCTCTCTCAGGTCTCCATCCGCGGTGTCGCTTGAAATGGGATCATGCTTGAGTTGCGCCTCGGCATCTCGCCCGTCGGATGGCTCAGGCCTCAACCGATTCAGCGCTATATCGTATAATCACTGGCTTAGACCTTTGAGTGTTACGGTGAGAATGGGTGGTTGCCACCCACCAGTTGCTTTGAGATGCTTTTCAAACCATCGAACCCGAAAAATAACAACGATTATGTTGATGAAGCCGAAATTTCCCAAGATTGGAATGATGTATATGTAAACCTGTTGATAGGTCTTCAAAGCCTTGACGTCGACACTTGACACCCAGGCATGAGCAGTTCTGATTAGTCGACTTGATGGAAACTCGAGACGACGGTAACTGCTTACGTATTGAGACCCGACTCAGTCGAGGCGCTAGCACCGAAGAAGTAAGCATCGATAGCTCTGAGGTTACCATAGGGGTAGACTATCACCAAGCTTAGAATGCCCAGGGTGATAATCCACGCGTCTGTCAGCTAGAATTAGCGAGCGCAGAAAGTATCCAGGGCACAGAGACCAATCAGCGTACAATGCAGCGTAAGAAAGTTTATAGGTGGCTTCCACATGGCACGATATAACGCAAGATGATACCCAGGGTGAAGAACTTGACGGGGCCTACAAAATTGGACATCATTATCATATATTGCAATAGGCTCTCGTGATTTTGATAATTGCCGCATACAATATCGTGCAGCGCCACATGCGGGATATATCTAGCCAATCATGTTTGGCGCCTGCTGCGCTCTCGTCGTGGCTTGGCCGTTCCCTTCCGTCTCAGACACTCCACAGTAGAGTTTTCAAGGCGGCTCAGCCTGTTCTCACGGTCGGCTCAGGCCATAACGTGATGATAAGACCGAGAAGCAAAAAGCATCCCTCAGCCCTTTTTTTTTCAATTACCTAGTTAGGTTTAGTGTAATAAAAACTTCTGTTCGCAAGGTGTTCCTAATTATCGCAATAACTCAATCGCACACTGATAAATGCTTCAGGTTATCTTGAGATAGAGATAATATGTCTAGCATACCTAACATTCTACAACTGTTCACGTACCCGGCTGAGCCACTATTTTAGCTGTGGAATAGCTGTCGATCCAACAGTGGATTCCAGCCTCGTTTTTGCCAATCAGCCCAATCAGCGTAGAGTCCTTCCTACTGAGCCAATGGATTGCCACATTTTCTCTATCTCTCCAACCTTGTTGGCAATCATGCCCTTCACCCGCCGCCTCTTCGCTATCAAGTTGTTACGGACATTTCTTTCGCGAAGTTGTTCCGAACTGAAATTGGGCCTCTGCCGACGGCGTTCAACCGAACAACAAACTCTGTATCCGAGCGACACCATGTAACTCGATTGAGCGGAAGTTCAGGATACGTGAGCGCGAATTCAGCCCACAGAAAGGTCTAAAATGGTAAGATCGAACCCCGAGTTGACCATGTCGTTAGAATTATGCATGCACTCCAGTGTAGGCGGCCACAAAGTTAAACCTCGCTCCTCAAAAAGGGTTTTTCCCCTTGCGCGTCTGATCAAACGGGTTCTCATAGTCTTTCAGTGTGCGCATTATCTGATTCGAAAAGATATAGTCCTTGGCCGAAAAATCCTCGATGTCGTTCATGTATCGCGCAGTCCTTTCTAAACTGCGTCAGACGATGGTGCTGCCGCTATTTAAGAAAGCGGCCAGTTAGAAGTGAGAACATACCAATTAAATACATTTAGAATATTGCGAGATCAATCTAAATTCAAATCTATTGATCTGCGGCTTACTCTCGCGCTTCCCTTGTCGTTAGGTCTCTACCTCAGCGAGGAGATACATATCACTGGACCCTGTAGGTCAATGCGCAGGGGGGAGGGTAGGAAAGTTAGATCATAGATAGGTCGATGAGGTCGTAAGGTTGACTAGGAACGGCTAATCTACCGTGCGATTATTCTCTTTGCCTCAAAACCTGGTAGGCGATATTGTCCTTGCCTAGATGCGCCGCAAGCATCAGCGGTGTTCGCTCTTGGTCGTCCAGAATCTCGCGACTCGCACCCGCCTGCAGAAGAAGACTGATTATACTGGCGCGTGGCACATCTTCCACATTGGCTAAGACCGCGTGGTGGAGGGCCGTTTGCCTGCCCTTGTCCTGTGCATCCACCTTGGCTCCCATCGATACAAGCAGCTTGACGATGCTCTCGTGGCCCTCCATCACGGCATAGTGCAAAGGCGTCCACCCATTGTTATCCACTGGATCTGTTATTGCCTGTCTTCCCAGAAGAAACCGCACAGCCTCTAGAAGGCCCCGTCCGGAAGCTCGATGGAGCACCGTCATGCCGTTTTCATTGGCAGCATCTATGTTGGCTCCGCTCTCACAGAGCAGCCATGCCATCGAGAGGTCGTGGTGCTCTATCGCCCAATCGAGGACGTTGAGTCCATGCTTATCCCGAGGGGTCAGGCTCGCATTCTTGGTAACCAAGAGCCATTTAATTGATCTATCCCCACGCTCAATTGCATGGTGAAGGGCGGTCTTCCCCTTCCCGTCCTGATGGTCAAGTTCCGCCCCTTTCTCCAGCAACATCCAGACAATGTACCGATTCTGTCCTTTCACTGCCTCTAACAGTGGATTTGATCCGTTTTCGAACTCTGCGTTCACGTTCACCGGGTTAGACCTTCTGCTGAGCAAGCGCTGAATCATTCGCATGTCTTTCCATTCGACTGCGTGCCTGAGTGGCGTCCATCCGTCAACAACGGAGGGATGGTTCAGATCAGCCCCCTTCCTCAACAATAAATCCACGATGTCGTTTGGGCCGTAAAACATGGCTTGCCTCAGTGGAGACCAGCCCTCGCAGACCTCTGCATTGACATCCACCAGGCTGTTGATCAATATCTTTGTAATGGAAAGAGGTCCATACCGTATTGCCCACGACAACGGAGTGAACCCTTTACCGCCGCGAATGTCAAGCCAGGCCTTGCCGGTCACCAGCTTGTCCACGATGTTATCGCTGTTCCCCATAGACCATATGACGGCGACGTGGAGTGGGGTATCGCCGTTCTCATCTTGAAGATTAGGATCTACCGTCTTCTGTTGCAACAGCAACTCCACAAGAGCGGGTCTGTTGTACTGGACAGCCCAGTGTAGGGCTGTCTGCTTGTTGGAACACGAAGCGTTGATATCGACTCCGTCGTCAATGAGACGTTTGGCCAATCCTTGAAGGTTGAAGTATGTGGCGGCGTGCAGCCCCGTCATCCCATCGAACGCTGAGCCATCCGTGCCCGCCATGGCTTGGAATGCCTGCTTTACCTTGACCCTATCTCTGAGAAATTCCAGCGCCAATTCACCTGTCTGGGAGTCGTTTTGTTGCCCTCCGAGGCAAAGATGAGTCGCCCAGTGGCTGGCGGCATATTTGAACAACGGGCGCGTTGTGTATTCGCCAGGCTGATCAAACAGCAGGTATTTCAGGCATGTCTTCGCCATGTCCAAGTCAGCTTGTCGTGGTATGATGCCTTGTTCCAACAGATATTTTCCGGCGGAATCGTGCACCAGACAGAGTATCTGCGTTTCTATATCCATAACGACCAAGCCAGCACAAACTGACGTCCAATCGACCTCCGTGAGTATGTAGTCTTTGTTAAGACGCCCTTTGCTGTATTGAACAGCAAAGCTTTCTTGGATCAAGTCGGGGGTCAATGGCCCTTTCGCGTGCATGATCCAAGTCAGAACGTGCTTGGCGAGACCGCGTTCAAACTTGTTCTCTTTCTCCTTCCTCGCAATTTGCCGGATGGAAGCTGCAAATGCGCCAGATTCGTTGCCGGGCAGTTCTTTCAGCGCAGATTTGATACCACCAACCGTTCCTTGCTCACTCAGGGCGTCCATATGCAGCTTAGTTAGAAGAAACCTACACTAGGTCAAAAGAATTCTTCCTTGTCTGATGGAATCAAAGGGATTGAACTGACATGCCCTTGGATGCCGCTATGATTTCGCGGACAATGACCCGTTCGAATATAAGATCAAGACCCTCCATCCTCCGTCGCATCAAGTCATTCTGAATCCGCCATTTAACGTAATTCGTGATGTCGTTTTTATTTGGGACAACGTGCAATCTTTGGGGCCTTGAGAGCTCAAGGCCAACGAGCGTTCTTGAAGTGACCAGAGCCCTAACGTTGGATGGCAATTGTTTGACGAATTTATGCATCTCGTTCCTGGCTTGTTCGCTCTGGCAATTATCGAAGGCATCAATAACAAGGTATACCGTACGAAAGTTCGCAACCTCGGCCTTAAATAGGTGGAGGTAGTCGGATGACTCGGGGAAGATCTTTGTACGGCACCAGTAGTCGTACTTATCCTTCAGCTCGCCTTTGATGGCCTCGGTCTGTTGTTGCAGAAGCTGTTTCAACAAATTGATGAGAATGTCCGAGACTGTTGGCTGGTGGTCTTCACTGTCTTGAAAGTAGAGGTAGATGCAGCTGTCCCGACCATTCCCTCGAATATCTTTTTCGATCGAGTCCAGGATAAATGCGCTAAATGCCACAATGTCAGTGCTTGAGTACGGCTCCGTTCAGCTGTTAGAATGCTTACGCCAGCATTGTTTTGCCAGATCCAACTATCGAATGACCAAAATTAGCTGTGGATCAGGGATGGATAAGACCTACAGCGGCGCGTACAGATTCCATGCATCCACAGATATCGGGATGGATTCGTAGGGGTTTTCCATGCTTGAAATTCTTGGCGTGTAAGAACCCATTCCCCGGTCCCTGGTGCAAGTTGGCCAAGAAGCATCCGGTGGTATTCGAGAAAGTCCAATGGAGACTGGAGAAGGAGCCAGTCAATTATGAGAGCACCTTTAGGCATGCGTTGGTTATTTCATTTCTCACTGCCTTTACTGGTAGACAGACGATATGACTTGCTGAGTCCCCCCTCTCTCCCCCTGAACAGTTGAGCTACCTCCGATGGAGAACGCAGGGTGACTGAAGGCTGCAGTTAGCACACTTGATCACTTTGGGTCATGTAAGGGGTACCGAAGACTGCAACTCACTGTTGTAAAAGTTCTGCGCATGAATGTTGTGGTTGTGATTTCCATCTCCTTGGTGCAGTGCTTGATTACCAGATCCAGTGTTCTCTGCATGGGCACTCCGGCGTTCTACTGAGCTCCATTGTGTCACTATAAAGAAGTGGCATGGAACTGTTAGAACAGGAGAACTTCAATTCGATTGTTGAAGCTGATAAAGCACAACTTTAACTAACATGAATGTTGGAAGACAGTAGATTTGACCTTGCTACCCTCTGCTGTCAGTCTACCACTTAAAACAACTACCGGAGCTTGTTGCAGGAGTGCACATAGTACCCGAAGCCATGGCTGAAAGCTCAACGCTTGAGGCTGCCGGTCTTGGATAGATCACTTGGCTGCATACTTACTTGCCGTAGTGGTTGGTCTGACTGAACGTTTCCCCTTTGTTGACAGTTCCACCTGTCACATGGAAGGCATCGCCATCTCCAGCCGCCCAGTTCTGAACGTTGTTATCGCCGATCTGCTGAGGGCCTGTGCTTCCGAACATCGATTCCATCTCGCTATCTGCAATGGACGGAACTACCTGAGACAGCCGGTCCAGAGCCCTTTGCAAATTATCGACCTGATCTGCAAGCTGGAACACTTTGTTCTGAGAGAGCTTCTGGATGTTCGACAGGATGTCTTTCATCAAGTCTTCCACTCGGCCGCGTTTGCCGATTGTGAGCACCACTCGCGTGTATATATTCTTGATCGAGTGGCCCTGAGCCTGCTTGAGAGCCTCGAATATCGTTAGGAGTTCCCGAGCCTTCTTCTCGCATTGTTGCAGCATCTTCTCGACAGAGGTTTTCGCCGTGGTATCAAGCTGGGAGACTCCCCCTTTGGCACGCGTGAGTGAGTCATGCACAAGGGGCAGTTGTTCGTTGACTTCGTCGAATGCTTTGGGAAGTCCATCGAATGTCTTGATTGTGTCATAAATCTGCTTGATCAAGAGGATGATCTCGATGGAGCCGTTGATGAGGGAGATAATTTCCAGTCCAGTGGACATTGTAACTGTGATAAAAGAAGCCGGCGAGTGCTCGAAAAATAGAACCGTGAGACAACCGGGGTATCAGAGATCGGCACTGGTGGTGTCGGAACGTATTCGGGGAACTGAAGATCTACCACCGTTCTTTTAGTTAGCCAGATTGCTTAGACAATCCTGGGTGAGCGGGTTGCACACACGATTCGAGATCAGAGGTTGATCAGTGCGCAAGATATTGTTGCGGGAGACGACTTGAGCAGAACGGGCAGGAAAGTGCATCAACTGAGTTTAATACCAACGCTGCCGCGGGGTGCGCAAAAAAACGCGCCCGCTCAATCCAGACTCACTGTAGGGTGAAGGAGACACAGATTACTAGTAGAGGCTATGACCCTAGGCTATCAGCACGACTCGAAAGGCACGGCAAAAAAACGGTAATGGGTGAGGTGAATAACATGGTTTATTATGCAGGTTGATAAATCAGCATCTCTGGCCAATCCTATCTTGCGAAAAGGAGCGAGGGCCCGCAACCTGTCATAGTTCCCGAGGGCTCTGAGTTGGTGGCGTTTCTGGCTTGCATATCAAGTACGAATTATATGCGTGGAGGTATGTGAGCCAACCACTAGCCAGTCGGACTGACGTGAAGATCCAGAGTTGGAAATCGTCTCGTTCAGCTGGAGGATTGCTGTCAGCAAAAGTGGAAAATTAATTACAGCCTCCTTTCGTTACCGTTGTTTCTCCTCCCTTTATTTCCTATGTTTTTGTGGGAAATGATGCCCCTGCGCACCAACTCGGACCAGTTGACTCCGAGTACAATCGTGCTGCAACGTTAGCATGATTTTTTATTACAGACGCGCAACAAGCAATAGAAATCGTAACTATTGGGGTTAGTACAGATTTCAGAACATCACTGTCCCTGCCCGTAGGCGATGAGTTGAGTTACTAGTGAGGAGGTGCCTCGGTAACTTCAACCCGGGTTGATGACATCGTGGGGCTGATACCGTCCATCCATCCAAGCCCCGGGCGCACCTGCATACACACATTCCGTAGTGTTCTGAAGCCGCCCATTACGAGTCAGCTGGCCAGGCGGGTGATAGACCTGCAGAAATCGCGCGTGGAGGGAGTTTTGGCCGTGCGGCTACCCTCTCCCCTCTCCCCTCTCTTCCAAAGCCTTGGCCTGCATGGCTGCTCCCCTCCGTCAAGGTTTCTCCAAAACTCTTCTCCATTCCACGAACCAAGCCACTCACCGCAGCAGCCTCGGGTTTACAGGCTCAGGTTCCCGGGTTGAACGCAGATCTCGCTACTTCTTTCATCGACTCCTTGCCTACAGTATATAGTGGGTTATCCCCTGAGGCGAGTACCATATCTGGTAATGTTACTCAGTCTGTTCTCAACCACACACTTCTTAATTCGCTGGGCAGCGAGACCGGACACTGGCTCCAACATTAATTGTAATTGACAGCCAATGGAATCACATTCCAAGGGCAACAGTGCCAACACTCGGTCGATTATCTCCTTTTGCTAGCGACGCCTTTGTTAAGAGGCATCAAGAACAATCACCTGATCAACTACCGGGGCTCTGCGGCGACAGCTTGTTCCTTCTAATATGGCGTCTTTATATGAGGTCAATCCGTATGGCGTCCGCTACCCACCGGCTCCGCCCTCTTGGTTTCCTCATCTACCCGAAACGGACCATCCACCAGCAGGCTATCCTGGTGAAAGGTATTATGGAGGCTTACAGCACGGGTTGGTTCCCCAGAGCGCGAGATTCAACCCGATGACGCATAGGCATGAAATGGCGCCGACATCCGCATCCTCTATCCCGTATACGGGACCTCCGCCTCCGCCTCCACCTCGAAGCTTGCGACCGGCAATACATCGGAGCAGGTCAAGTGCGCGTCGGCAAAGTTTCAGAAGGCCACTCATACCCACCACTGATTCCGATGACACCAGCGACGACCTGCACGACGACGACAGCACTCCTTCGTTGGGGGCATCATCCCGTAGCAGTACGGTCCAGCGGACCCGGCGGGATCACGGCTCAGCGCGGATTCACAGAACCCCCGAGATCGAAAGACTCGGAGGGCATCAGAGAGCCGCAACCGGGGCTTGGCACCACGAGCACCCCTACCCAGCAAAGAAACGGTCGGAATGAATGAAAGGTTGGCCAAATGTGAAGTAGTGGTAAAGGAGGCCGATATCAGACAAAGGGAGTTTGAAGTAAGGGTGCAAGAAAGCGAAAGTTATTTGAGAAAGAAAATTGAGGATATGATGCTTGCCCAGGACGAGGTCAGCAAGGGGATCCAAATGGTCAGGCAAGAGTCGCAACAGGGCCTAAGAGCAATGATAGAAGCAGAGCATAACTTGGGAGAAGAAAATAGGAAGATGATGGAGGAACGAGCCATGATAGAAGAAGATATGAGGATTAGGTTTGCTGCAGAAGAAACAGCAAGGCGGGAGGCAAGAGAGGCCGAGGCAAGAAGTCAAATGGAGATGATGAAGCGCGCCTGGGAACAGCTGCTGCATGACATGGAAATGGATATGAACAGGGTCAAGGCGCAACAACTCGCTAGGAACGTTCTGCGGGACGAGATCAGAGCTGATCTGCAAGCCGAAGCCACCATGACCCCGAACATGGCCGAGGGGGTGCCGACGCAAACTGCAGAAGCGAAGAAGGAGGCCTCTGTGAGCCCCATTCCCAGCTACTCGCCCGAATTTCCTTATTCTCAATCTCCGGATCGGTTCCAGTCTCCTTCCATCCCAGAGAGGAGGCACCCGCTCGAGCCTCGCAGGCGACGGGCACAGGAACCACCACCCGAGGCCCCCGACCCACCGACTGAGGAAGGAGATGACGAAGTAGAGCCCAACGTGGACAAGGGGACCGGCGCTGAAAACAGCCTTGACTCCGGTGTGGAGTTGGCTAGTTCATATTACTCCAGCTTCCGCTCCGAGAGCAGGTCGAGTTGGCGCGGGGAGAGGGCCTGGAGGGCGGAAAGAGAAGCACGAAGGAGTCTCCGGATCTTCAGAGAGGAACTTGTTGATCCGATTTGCGATACGCTCTTGAGCCTCCTGGAAGCCTACACGGGAGATAGACCAATGGAGCCTTCTGTCTACCCACAGCCTCCGCATTCGCCGGGAGCGCACGACTTTGAATCGGTTTCGTCGGGTTCGGATCCAAAGTCATCCTTGTCAGGCTTGCGGCCGGGCGATGACGAGACTGTCACACCCCGAGGCAATCGGCAGTCCAGTCGGCGACAGGCACGCGAGGCCCTTAGACGACCTCGCTCTCGGAAAAGTAATCGTGCAAACGAGAACCGGCTGCGGACGAGGGAATCATCGCGAGCCTATTCGTTGGAAGAATCCGCTTCTCTGACGGAGAACGGCCCTCCAGCGTTGGTCGAACAAGAACCCAGGGGCATAGAAGAAGTTGCCCATGAAAACGAAACCCCCGACCCAGCCGACCTACCAGTACCAAGCAACATCAAGACAGTTCCCAGGGCGGAAGGAACAACATGGCTTCAACTCATGTCATCAACACTACCTGATGCTGTAGATGGAGAAGAAGCATTACCCCCTGCATGTCCATCTCCTGAAGTTGCGTTCGGATTGAGTGACGAAGAGAACTCAGGCCCCACATTCAAGACCTCCCCAATGAGCCCTCAGAAGACAGCAGTTATGGAGCCGGATACATCTGGCGGGAATCACATAGAGATATCCTCGGCTAACCGACCCAGACAATCACTGGGCCTCATCGCGAGTGGGGGGCCCGAGTGCTCTTGCCGCAACAGTACCAGCTCGAAATCGCCAAACCCGAGGACGCAATGGTGTCGATGCGAACAGACGGACTCTTTTTTACCCCGAATCGGTTTACAAGTACAAATTCATAGATATCTACCGCGTGAGATATCCGTTTTGTCTCGATGGCATCAGGTATTGTGCTTATTATTCACGGCAGCGATATTGGTCTCCATGCTTCGACTATTCTGTAGTCTCCCTTACTCGGCTTTTTCAGAGGAACATGGCGAAAAAAGAGTGGAATAAGTAGGCCAGAAATAAAGGGGTTCACAATTGATCACAGGTCAGCTTTAGACCGCCCGTAGGAATGATCTTGCTTCGACCAAGCACAACGCTAGGTTTTCGGACTAGAAAGCATTTGGCATTATGACTGGAAGTCCACTGAAGCCGTGACTACCAAAATTTCATAACGGGACCGCTCTCGGAATCCCGCGGGGAGCCGATACCGCTACGTGCTGAACCACAGCTAGATTTTCTGGCGAAATCATTAGCGAACTCCTCTGGCTCTCAATCGGTCCTCCTTAGCCCTACTGAGGTTGGCCAATCTCGGTCCGCCAAGCTCGCTTAATGTGCTCAGCGGCGAGATTGATCTAATCAATCTTTTTTCCCTCGTGATAGTGGCCCGAGCCACCATCTTATCAATCTACGGCACAAGGTATAAGTTGCGAAGTGGAGACTGCTGAGTCTGGGCAAGTGAAATCTGGCAGCCACTTAGTATTTTCAAAGCCACCACCTGTCTTGCCCTGGTTTGCTGGGTTGAGAGTCCTCCCTCCGGCTATACAACCTAAGCTTCCTCATTGGCAATTCTCCAACTCCGTCTCCATCTCATTAATCGCTGGACAATCAATTGGCTTCTATTGTTCACTCCGTGGGTCTCGATCTTATCTTAGCCTGCTTGTCGCTTTCCTGTGGCTTTCTAGCAAGTTTCTCGTGTCGCCAAGACCGCCGAGACTCGCTAACAGCCGGATTCTTGCACAAACGCTAACGTTCCTAGACTTACAAGCCCAATTGATCGGGTATCCTCGGGTGGAGAGCACACCATTCTATCCAGTGTAACAACGTGGGGGTTAAAATTTTTCGTTAAGGCAGTGGATATTTAATGACAGATTCCCTCGGGGTCTGCCAGTGTGACAGACCCGTAGACTGCCCCTTCGTATGCTCGGTCTGCTCAGCTTTTGGCATCTCGCTCCCATTTTGTGAGCTTGTATGGAGCGTCAATTGGAAACTGTTTCAGGTTAATTTATGTAACTGTCATTGTTCCAATCATCAGCCCATCCCGATGGGCTATCCTAGACTTGCCAAGAGGTGCGTGGATGCAGGTAAAGTTCCACTACACTACGCCCAGACAAGTATCCATCTGACGGCAAATTCGGTGTTTTAGTGGTCGCTTCTAAAAAAGCAACGTAAGAAAGACCACACGGCGGGAGGTGATCAATGGCCGTATGCCGGCGTTTAAAAGTAAGCTGTATCCCCGAATAGTTTGATCTCTGAACCGATTCTTAAGTCTTGTCACTGTTGGGAATATTTCCGCTCCCCCCAATCAACATGACCACAGACAAAACCACCGCTGTCGCTGGGGTCAAGGAGGATCCTGTTCCTCTGGACCCAACCCCTCCTGAAGTGATCACTGAGGACCAGGACCAACAGGATGGTGTTCGAGTCGCGGAAGCAGTCACTGCCTCTTGGTCGAGGAAGTCACTGATTATAACATATGCCTCGTGAGTAATTCTCATCGCCTTTGGTTTTCTGACCTTCCGCTGAGTAGTCTGCAGTATGTGGATGCTATACTTTGTCAATGGGCTGAACAGCAGCCTAACCGCCAATCTATCGGCGTATATTACAAGTGATTTCTCGGAACACTCGCTGCTCACGGTGATCAGTGTGGTGACCAGCGTCATGGGTGCAGCATGTGTGATGCCAATTGCCAAAGTGCTCAATCTGTGGGATCGGACTCTAGGAATCTGCATCATGGTCTTGATTGCCATCATGGGTCTGATCATGATGGCAGCATGTAACAACATCGCAACTTATTGTGCTGCACAGGTGAGTCTCTCCCCCCAATTCTTGCACCGTGGAGGTGGAAAGTATCATTCGAAATTCTCATTCTTGCAAGGCATTCTACACGGTCGGCTTCACTGGTACGATCTTTTCTATTGACGTGATTACCTCGGACACGTCCTCCCTCCGCAACCGTGGCATCGCATATGCCTTCACCTCCTCGCCCTATATCATCACTGCCTTTGCCGGATCACCCTTGTCCAACCAGTTCCATCAAACTAACTGGCGATGGGCATATGGAACCATCTGCATCATTCTTCCGGTCGTGGCGCTTCCGTTAGTTATCACCTGGGAATTAGCCAAGCGAAAGGCGGATAGGGAGGGCCGACTACAATATAAACCTCGGAGCACTCGGACATGGTGGCAGAGTGTCTGGTTCTATATCATTGAGTTTGATGGTGAGTAACTTGTCTTGTCGCCTACCTTGCCCTTGGCAACACTGTCTAATATGGTCCACCGACCGCTGCAGTCATTGGTATATTATTCATGATCGGCGGCTTGATTCTATTCCTTACTTCATTCAACATTGCCGGAAACACCGAGGGGGAGTGGAAATCAGCTAAGATCATCGCGATGATGGTAGTCGGCTTCGTCGTTCTAGTTGCCTTCGTTGCATACGAGCGATGGGGAGCACCGAAGCCTTTCATTCCATTCACTTTACTGGTAGATCGCACTGTCATCGGTGCTTGTCTGCTGGATATTACCTACCAGATCTCATACTACTGCTGGGCAAGCTACTTCACTTCATTCCTCCAGGTGGTCTTCAGCACGAGTCTTACCCAAGCTGGTTACATTGCGGCCATTTTCGATCTGATGGACCCCATTTGGCTGCTCGGATGTGGTTACCTGATCCGAGTCACCGGCCGCTTCAAGTGGCTGCTGATGTTTGCCGTCCCGCTCTACCTGCTGGCGAGTGGATTGATGATCTATTTCCGCTCTCCTGGTCATAATGTCGGGTACATGTGCATGTGCCAGATTTTCTTGGCCGTCGGCGGTGGCACAATGATCTTGATCGAACAAGTTGCTGTTCTGGCAGCCGCCAAGCATGAAGATTACGCGGCCATGTTGGCTCTGCTCAGTGTCTTTGGCAACGTGGGCGGCGCGGTGGGCAGTAGTGTCTCTGGCGCTATCTGGACGAACACACTTCCCAAGAAACTGCAGGAACTACTGCCAGCGGACACAAAGGACCAGTGGGCGGAAATTTGTGAGTCGCTGGATGTTCAGCTCAGCTATCCCGTGGGTTCGCCTACTCGCATCGCCATACAAAACGCATATGCCGTCAGCCAGCGCAACATGATGATTGCGGGAACTGCTGTCATGGCGCTGTCAATTGGCTGGGTTTTGATGATGAGGAACATCAAGGTCAAGGACAACAAGAATGTTTCGCAGGTTCTGTTCTAGAGCAAAGAAATGCTAGGCGTCTGTGAGACACTCTGAAGTACACTTAGTATACAATCCATATCTAATGCGACGAACTCAAGCAAAGCTTTGGCTCAAGTTTTACTATAGATTTGCGAGGCTTGGGGGGGCTGATGGATGTTTCCCCCTTCTGCCACCAAATAATGGTATTAATTGTGCGAGAAGAGAGACGTAAAGACGCCTAGAGCAAGACATAACAATAACTAAAAATCTTGTGTGCACACACTCCCCCTGCAGAGAGCTTAATCCTTACTCTCTTTGAAATAGGATGCCCGTGATGTCTTCCACCGCTCAATGAGACATCCTGAGTGTTATGATCGCGGCTTGGACAGGCATGAAGTTTGTTTTATACCAAGAGAGGCAGTTTTTAGTCTATTTTTCAGTATCTAGTCCAGTGATTTACAGTGATTTATCTACAAATAATGAGGTCGAGTTGTCGCATTGAGGTCACCAGAAACCACCTCTAAGAACTTGGAAGCCTAGAAAGAACTTCGACCTTTCTTTCACCTATGTCGAATCAAAGAAAGATAACAAAGACTCTCAGGTAGCCTACATCTCTCTCAGTCAAGAAGGGAGCCGAGCTAGGCTATAGCCTCAGAACAGAGCTAGATCTTTGGTCAATCGGAATGCGTCAACTGGAGGAGAGCAGCAAGCGCAAGGCACCCATCAAGGTTGTCAACAGTGCCTCGCTCATTGTAGCACTCAATGATAGCTTAGACAACATATAAAGCTCTTTGATCCGATCCACTCTTATTTGCTCTTTCGAAAATTTGCAGGCAATAGCTATGATGGAAACTGCTCGAGGAAAGGTATAAATATGGCCAACTATCCTACATTCTCCCTCGAAATACCACGACCACGACCACAACCAACAACCAACAAATCTCCTGATCGTGAACTGTGACCCCTATTCTTTACTATTTGAACTATCAGTGCCGTCTGCTAGACAGTCCTCGCACCGCTCCAGCAGTAGTCATGGCTAAACCCCTAAATGAAGAGCGGGTTGAGGAGTATGAATTGTTGGATGAGTATTACCAGGTAGGCCTATTGGAGGACGACAACGAATGCGAAGAGGACAACCCAATTCTAGATGGCGTCGAATCCCAAGCTTTTGGGAAATTGCAATTCTTCAACGGCCAGAAGTGGGTTTGGAAGGAAGATACATATATTTGGTCTGAACGCAGTATGTGATTCGGCTCGCTAATCGCTCAACGCCAAGCGCCCAGCGTCTCTTTCCGGTCTTCAGCGCAAAGACGCCTGGTTTTTTACTACTCGCAAGCTACGTTCGATTTGGATTGGCTTACACTAGGTACTGTCTCTAACTCGTTGGAGGCCACAGCATCTCTCAGACTTATTAATGCTGTAATACACCTCGTATCCCAATGGTTTCATCTACTTTTGTCAGAATACCTAGCTAGGCCAGCCAATTCTGTAGATAGTCTTATTGCTTCAAAGATGACTGGTTTGCAAACAGAGGGCTCAGCAGATCGGTTAACCGATGATGTTATGGAATAGGGGAGAATAAATCGTATGGCCCTCAAGTCCAGCAGGAATAAACCAATATTGTGTTTTACAAGGAAAATCCACAGAAATCCACCATGCTAGGAACGTCAGACGGCAAGTGGATTCAAGATATATAAGCTAGGAAACCGGAATTAAAAGCACAGTCGCTTAGTCGCTCATCGCTCATTCAGGAAATCCCTTGACGCCCGATGGCTAGCCAGGGTCTATAGACAAGTCTAGCTCCATTCCCCCATTTACACACTGATTCATCTACCACAGAACGGCCCGTATCACACCCTGGGACGGGACGATAGAGCTCCAAACACGCTGCAATAGAAACTTTTTGACACATTGACTCCTCGGCACACGCTTAGAAGCAGAAGACCTGGTCCTCGAGCTTGCTGACGGGGCGGGCCTTGGTGTAGCCGAGGGACTCGGTGGCCTTCTTCATGGCACTGACCATGGGAGGGGGGCCGCAGAGGAGGATCTTGACGTCGCTGGCGGGGGCAGGGAGGCGCTCCTACCATGGGAGGTGGCAGTCAGCACAAATACACCAGGGGGGGAAAAGCGGAAAGAAAACGTACCTTGATCATATCGGGGGTCACGAAACCAACACCACCGGTCCAGGCCTCGGGCGGGTTGTTCAGGACGTAGTAGACATTGAAGCCCTCGTCCTCCTTGGCCAGCTGCTCCAGCTTCTCCTTGAGTAGGATATCATCGGGGTTGACGTTGGCGAAGATCAGGTCGACCTTGGTAGTGTCGTTACCACCGTTGCGGGGACGGTTGCGAATAATAGCCTCGATAACCTGCAGCATGGGTGTGATACCGGTACCACCAGCAATCATGCCAATGTGGCGGCACATGTTGGGAGTGTAAACCATGGCGCCCTTGGGACCGCGCACTTTCATGGTCTGGCCGATTTTCAGTTCTGTCAGGTACTTGGAAATGTTTCCCTGGGGGTAGGCCTTGACCAGCAGGTCGAAGTAGCCGGCCTCATTGTCGGACGAGATGGGGGTGTAGGAGCGCACGACCTCCTTGGGCTGGCCGGCGATGGTGGCAGCGAGAGAGATGTGCTGGCCGATGGGCAAGCCCAGGATGTCGGTGGGACGGGGCAGGGCGAAGCGATAGATGGCAACGTTGTGAGAGATCTCATTCTTCTCCTTGAGGACAAAGTCCTGGAACTCAGTGGGGATCAGGACCTTGCGCGGGCGCGGCTCTGCGTTGGGAGTAACACGGGGTTAGCTTTAGACTTTTGGTACTGCGGAGCTCAGTCGGGGACCCGTTCAGCTCCCGCTCAGCTCCGGTGGGCTATGGGGGCACACATACTGCTGCTGCCGGCGAAGTACGCGATGCTGGTGAGAACACCGGCAACCGCGACTGCGTAGGCGACGAACTCGGGCTTGAGAGCGTAGACACCTGCGACCAGCACGGCCGAGGGGATGAGGGCCAGGCCGACGTTGAGAGCACTGAGGGGAAGCGCGGAGTTAGCCATTGTTTGGAAATTTGGAACTCGCAGGGAAAGCAGAAGTCATAATTCCCGAAGACTCACCTCATGATGAAAGGGGCAGTGTGCAACAAAGGGACAGAGAGGGAGGTGAAGGAAGAAGAAAAAGCGAGGGGAGACCGACGCCCTGGTTCCGCCGAGCGGAATTTCGCACCTTTTCGGGCGGAGAAGGACTCCCGCTGATCTTCCACTTTTGTTGATTGTCTGGAAGTATACGTTGGGGTTCGGGACGACTGTGCCTGGAACGCCTTTGCTCGGTCTATGCAATCCTCAGATTATCCCCTCGCCAAAAAACCAGCCATGCCGGAAACCGCACCCTTCAACTTGACGCCGCTCGACCGCCAGTTGCTGGCGATGACTGACGAGCAGTTTGTGGCGCATGACTGGGATGACCTGCGCGACATCATCGGTGAGTCTTTTGAGACATCTTTGCCCTCATCCCACTCTCCTCCTCTTGCCCATTCACTCCCCCTTCTCCATGGCCTCCGCATTTCCAATTGCCCCGCCCTCAGTCCCCTGACTAAACGAACCCGCCGTCAGCGCGGAACGATCTCGGCGCACTCAAGCGCAGGCCCTCCGACTTGCGCCGATACCTAGCGTGGTCCGCCGAGATCAAAGCCCAGTATGGCTCCATCATGAATTATATCTGTCAGCAGCGGCTGCACTGGGCCCCCGGGCACCAGTCCACGGCAAATGGCACCGCCAACGGAAGCACATCAGCACCGCAAAGTGCTGTACCCGCGGGTATCCAAAGTGGGCCTATCCCCTTCACAAACCCGCGCCCATTTGCCGACCCCTCGGACTACAAGATCCTCCGCAATGACTGGCCCTACGGCCTCGACCCCGGGATCTCCCATCTAGTCGTGTGGCTGCGCACTCCTATCCCCGTGAAGTCGGACGAGGGCCACTTGACCGAGGAATCGCGGGCGCTGATCGAGGGGTTCGTGCAGAAGACGTTCGTCCGGCGACTGGCCGAGGATGCTGGGCAGAGGTTCCCGGAGCCCCACGCTCAGGTGTTGTGGTTTAAGAATTGGGTTGGCCTACAGAGTGTGCGGGCTTTGGAACATGTGCATGTCCTCGTCAGGGATGTCCCCGAGGATATTCTGGTCGAGTGGTCGGGCGAGAAGGCGCAGTTGTAGACTCGGACAGCTGTGTTTATAGATCATCACAACTAGACTTAAAGAAAGCATAGCGAATTTTGGTTAATCATTTGCCATTTTGAGATCGGCGACGGACCTGCATGTGAGATCTACGCCGATGTTGTCCCCACGGGGGGATGTGTACGAGATGGTAGGTGGCAGTAATAGAGAGAGATTTAAAGGGGTTCAAGATTGACCGTCAATCCATCATATGAAAAAGAAGATAAAGATGAAGTAAAACAACCCGGTATCACAAACGCCATATCACCGCGGGCAGCGATGGAAAAAAAGAAGAAGCAGAAGAAGAAGACGAAGAATATACATAGTTCTCCCCGAGCACCGTCCCGCCCAATCACGCCTTCTGTCCCTCCACAAACTTCAATGCCTCCTCACGCGACACCACGTCAATTGTGCTGGCCTTCTGGTTGAAGCTCACACCGTAGCACTTCTCCGCGACGTGTAGCATCTCCGGCCGGAAAGTGGTGCAAATGAACTGCCCATTGGTCGAGTCCGAGATGGACTTCAACATCTGCGCCACGGCGGTACGGTACTGTGCGTCCAGGTTGGCATCGATCTCATCGAATAGGTAGAAGGGGGCTGGGTCACAGGCCTGGATGGCGAAGACCAGGGCAAGGGCGCACAGACCTAATGATCGTTAGAAAGGAAATTTGCAAGACAGGGAAATGGGGAAAGCTTACTCTTCTGTCCACCACTCAGCTGCTGGATACGCTGCTGGTCATCGTGCTTGCTATTGAAGCTGACACTGATGCCGACACCCACGTAGTTCTCCACGCTCTGTTGAGCTTCCTCATCTTCCGAGTCGACTTCGTCCTCGGGGCGCGCGGTGCGATCAGTCTTGCGTTGGATGATCAGGCGGCCGCGGCCAGCGGGGACCAGCTTCTCGAAGACATTGGCAAACTCACGAGACACCTGCTTGAATGTTCGCTCGATTGCCTCATCCTTACGCTGGTCCAGGACCGAAATCAGGTCGTCAATGGACTTCTGAGAAGCATCCAGCTCCTCGCGGCGGGTGGTCAGGGTCTCACGCTGCTTGGTGAAGCTGTTGTACTGCTCGAAAGCCTTCTTGTTGACATGCGAGTACTTTTTTAAGGCTTCGTTGGTCTTGTGCAGCTTCTTCACCACCGCGTTGGAGTCGGTGTTCTTGTACTTGGTGAAGGCCTCGTCAGGAAGCACACCAAGGTCACGGATGTTGGCAGCACACTCAGAAGCCTGCTTGGTGAGGGCGGCCTTCTTCTGCATACTCTTCTCCATGCGCCGCTGGTACTTCTCGATAGACCGTGCCAGGTCTTCCATCTGCCGTCGAGTATCCGCATTGCGCTGCTGTAGATCGCTGACTCGAGCATTCGCCTCTTCGATCGAGGAGTCTACCTGCTTGATACGTCCATTGAGCTTCTCCAAGGCCTGGCTGAGACGTTTCTGTTCACGCTGGGTCTCCTTTAGGTTGCCCTGGACTTCCTCCTCGGCCATGTCGAGATCTCGGTTCTGAAGTTGATCGAGGCGAGGGTTGAGGTTCTCCCGGAGCTCGACTTCCAGAACGGACTTGCGGCCCTCCAGCTCACTCCTGGTGCCCGACAGTTCCTGATACTGTCTCCGGAGCTCTTGCACGGTTCCGTTCAATGTTTCTAAGCGAGCCTCCTCCTCATTGGTCAGAGCCTTCTGGAATGGCGAGGACATTTCACCCTGGAAGGCGTTGACTTGATCATTAAGAGCCGCCAGGTTGGATTGGACATTATGGAGAGCACGGCGCTTCGCATCGAGGGTGTCGGTCTTGTTCTGCAAGAGATCACGCTTGCTTCGGAGTTCTTGGCGCAAAGGGCCACTACTATTCTGCACCTGGTGCCGTTGTTGCTCAAGCTTCTGCAGTTCTCCGACGGCCCTGGTGATCAGCTGGTCCAGCTTCTCCAGCTCCTTGCGGATCTCAGTTCCACGGTTTCGCTTGGTCTCATATTCATCCCTCCACTTGCCGACATTCTTCACGGCATCCAGTCGCGACTGGCGAGAATCATGGTAACCACCAGTGAGAGCACCGCGCTTGTCAGAACGGTCGCCCTCGGGAGTGATAGCATTGACACCGTGGCTACGGGCGTACTGCGAAGCCACCTGCAGGTTGGGACAGATGATAGTCCTTGCAAACACATGCTGGAAGGCTCTCTCGTAGGCTGGGTCAAACTGGAGCTTATCGAGCATGGGTATCGTATCGCTGGCACGAGGCATGTTGGAGGGCTTCGACCGGAGGCGGTTCAACGGCATAAATGTTACTCGACCGGCCTTTTCTTTTTGCAAGATCTCTAAGACCTTGGTCGCCGTCTCATCGTTATCAACGACGTAGTGGAATAGGCTCTGTCCAGCGGTAACTTCCACAGCGGTCCGGTACCTATCGCTGACATCGAAAAGCTCGGCCAAGGTACCATAAACACCCTCGAGGTTATGTTGGCGCTTAATGCGTCGCACGGCCGCAATACCACGGCTGGTGTTGTTGTCCATCATCTGAGAAAGGCTGCGCTCCGCTCGGTCCATTTCTTGGGATGCACTAGAAAGGACGGAATCAAGTTTGGCCTCTTCTCTCCAAAGCTCCCTATATAAACAATTAGCACTTGTTGTGGTGAATCCATGCCAACACGATACTCACTTTCTCTGGTCCATCAGTCGGTCTCGCTCGTCCTTGGCGTTCTGGACCTGCTGGTCCACAGACTGCATAGTATCACCACGGCCATCAATCTGCTTGCGCAGACGCTCAGTTTCAGGCTCGAGCAGGGCAATCTCATTTTCAAGCTCCCTGATGTCTTCTTGAGTCTGCGTGACAACACCTTGCACACTAGAAACAGATCTATGTGTCTCCCGAATTTCCATTTGCAGCCACTTGTCACGCTCCGACTTGTTCTTGAATCGAGAATTGCGGCCTTGTTTGGCATACAAACGTTGACGTGATGTTTCTGCCTCGGTCAATTGAGCCTTGACGGTATCTTCCTGGTCTTTAAAGGCATTGAAGCGGGGCAGAAGGTCATGGAGCTCCGCTTCGCGTTCTTGGATGGCAGTCTGCACAGCATTGAGATCACTGTCATGGCGTGATTTGAGCACCTGCGCAGCGGCCTGATTATCGGAAAGAGCCTTGGCCTGAAGTTCGATTTGTGCCAGAGACTTTGATGCTTCCCGTCGCTCATCTTCAAGCTGAGCCTTGTCAACCTTCAAAAACTCAATTTGCTGGCGGCACTCGGCAATCTCGGCGTCTATCTGAGACATCGCCTTCTCGCCCTCAACAAACTGGTCCCTGTTGTTATCTGCATCCTCAACCCCGTTCTGCCGCTGTTCCTCGAGGTTATCCAGCACATTTGCAATCTCATGCTGTTCGCGGGAATAAATGGTATACTCGAGGCATCGGCGCTCCTTGTCTTTCTCTTGGTAGTTTCGCAGCTCATCTTTCTCCTCCTCAAGCTCGGCCAAGCGCTCATTGATGTAGTCTAGCAATTCATCAATCTTCGCGCGCTTGCTGTTGGTCTCCTGCATGATTTTGAGAGACTCCGCGCGGCGTGCTTCGTAAACCTGGGTACCGGCGACCTCCTTCAAGAGAACCAGACGCTCCGAATCCTTCATGTTTGTCAACGCAGTTACTCGACCCTGAGGAACAATGTAGTAAGGATTCGATCGCGAAAAACCGGCCGACTCGAGAAGGTTCATGACGTCGTTTTTGGTCGCATTCTTGCGATCCAGCGTGTATTCGTCCTTTTTGATACCAATGGTCCGGCGAAGGACCAGCTCCGGCTTCCCGGTGGGGAAGCGGTCGTCTGAGTTGTCGAAGATGATCTCGACATAGGCCGACATCACAGCCGAGCCCGAACCTTCCTGCGCGAGGTCAATCAAAGTGAAAAAACCCAGAATATTGGAAAGTGACATACATGCAGTAGAGCTTGACGCTCTTCTCTACCAAGATGCGTGTAGGCATCGCTTAAGACGAATCGAATCGCGGCAAAGAAGTTGCTCTTGCCCGAACCATTGCGGCCGACGATGACATTGTGTTTCGGCGAAAAGGGCTCAATGACTGTTTGGTCCTTGTAGCTGTCATCGCAAGGAAATTTGTCAGGATCCAGTCACAATTCGGGGTGGACGGTGCTGTTCCACATACCTCTTGAAGCCCTGAATGATAATCTGCTTGACATACATATTGGACACGCGTGACGCGATGATCACAGGGAACAGCGCATTCCGCGGCCAGCGCAAGATATGTAAGATAAAGGTATTGTATACTCCCAGGCTGTCGGAGTACTGCGATCCTCCTGGTGAGTAAAACAGCTGTAGACGGAGAACACTTGGTCGCGATTGGCAAGGAGGCTACGCGAGGAGCGAAATCAGCGCGTCTCGTTGGGCGCGGGGTTCTGCCGGGCGGTGAGGCGGGCATCCACAGAAAAAAAAGTAATTGCGGGCATCACTTTTTCTTTTTTACATCGACACTTGATCTCAAAGATGAGCGCTTCTCAAACGCCTGCTGGGGCAACTTGCCCAGCTGATGGCCTTCAGCCGTCCCATACCTATGTGCCAAACCAGGGATATGTGAACCCTGAGGGTGCAATTCCAGCCGTGGCGGGGCAGGAACCCACCGACCAGGAAGAGGGCGAAGAGGAGGATGAATACTACGACGATATTTTCCAAGAGGAGCAATTGGACCAGGAGGATTTCCAGTCATCCGATCCCGCAGATCTTACAAAGGCCTACAACCGCCAGCGAAAATTGAACGATCTCGCCGCCGATCCCAATAACCCCAGGTGGTCCTACCCCAAGACCAACACTCAGAAGCCGACAGTCAACACGTATGCCTCCGTCGATGACCAGGTCAAGTCTCTTACGCGACATGCCGCGAAGATCAAGCTGGATGACCAACAATCTGGTTTGTCTGGCGGTGGTGGACGTGGTGCAGATCGGGCGGACCGCGCTACTTCAGAACAGGTGCTGGACCCCCGTACTCGCATGATCCTGTTGCAGATGATTAATCGAGGACTCGTGTCGGAAATTCACGGTTGTTTGTCGACTGGTAAGGAGGCAAACGTCTACCATGCCATGTCGTTCCCAGATGAAGACCATGAGGCTGCCCCGCAGCACCGTGCGATCAAAGTTTATAAGACCAGTATTCTGGTCTTCAAGGATCGTGACAAGTACGTGACTGGTGAATTCCGATTCCGTCAAGGATACAACAAGAGCAACAACCGGGCAATGGTAAAGCTTTGGGCTGAGAAGGAAATGCGCAACCTGCGGAGAATATATGCCGCCGGCATTCCTTGTCCTGAGCCCATCTACCTCCGTCTACACGTGCTTGTCATGGGCTTCATCGGCAGCTCGAAGGGATTGGCCGCTCCCCGACTGAAGGATGTTGAGTTTGATATTCCCGAGCCCGAGACCCGCTGGCGCGCTCTGTACATGGAGTTGCTAGGCTGCATGCGCGTGATGTATCAGACCTGTCGCCTCGTGCACGCTGATCTGAGCGAGTACAACATTCTTTATCACAAGCAACGCCTGTACATCATTGATGTCAGTCAGAGTGTTGAGCATGACCACCCTCGAAGCTTGGAGTTCCTTCGTATGGATATCAAGAACGTGAGCGACTACTTCCGTCGTAAGGGCGTTGATACCCTACCTGAGCGTACGGTTTTCCAGTTCCTTCTATCTCCAGAGGGTCCGAAAGACATGACGCAAGGCAATGAGGAGATGTTTGAAGCAATTGAGAAGCTTTTCGCTGCTCGTGTAGAGGGCGGTGACCAGGAGGCTGAGGAGCTCGATACCGCTGTTTTCCGACAGCAGTATATCCCTCAGACCCTCGAGCAAGTGTATGATATGGAACGTGATGCCGAAAAGATTCGGGATGGCTCGGGTGCCGACCTGGTCTACGGAGATCTACTGGCAACTGGCAAAGCCAAGCCTGCCAATGCCGATGCTGATGAAGAGTCCGATACCAGTGGCGGTGTGTCTGTATCAGGCTCTGAATCGGGTGACGACGAGGAGGGTGCTGAGCATGATCCCTTCGCGAAGAAGGCTCCCCGTGGCAAACGCTTCGAGGACAAGGACGAGAAGCGCGAGCACAAGGCCAAGGTCAAGGAAGAGAAGCGCGAGCAACGCGCCAACAAGATGCCAAAGCACCTCAAGAAGCGTCTAGTCTCATCTTCCCGAAAGAAGAAGTAGACTAGGGCTGGTCCTCGGGGCTTTCAATTTCTTTTGCATGCATGATCATGGGCTCTTACGATCTCTTCCCTTCACCTCTTCACCGATGAATGTTTCTTCCATGATTTGATGATAAATGCATATATTGGGCGGGAGCATTTGGACATAGATACCTGGGTATAAAATAGGATTCCACTGCAACACAAAATCTACTTTGCATACATGATGTTTCTGAAAAATAAGGAAGTAGATTGCCATAAGACAAATATCAATTGCATTAACCCATCAGAGCTCTCTTTGTAAGTCATGCCTATCCATGCTCACAACCCACTGGTGCCAATGATGTCTAGAGACAGTGCTTACATCCTCCACAAAAGTGCAGGAGTATGCATCGGTCAAGAGACGAGTCCTGGTCAACTTCAGAGGGAGATTTTGAACGGGAGGTCGGACCAATTGGGCTTTCATCACTCGGGTCATCAATGTAAGTACAGAAGGCAACGTCGGACACCAAGCAATCGTGAAAGACATGGAATATAGGCAAATTGGTTTGTAACCAGGAACAAAATAAGGTTGTTGTGACATGGTCCAATGCAGCATCAACTTGAGACAGGACACCTCGCCTTCTAGCAAAGAAGCGAACAAACTATACGGTAGAAATATCAGCAAAGAATTGAATATATAGATACGATTTAGTAGATTTCGGTATCTGGGGCGTTAAGCAAAGGCCCGTGTTCGCGCTTTGAGTCGCGTATATGCCTGGTCAATGACATCCTTTGGCAGGCTTGGAATCGCTTCACCCTCTGCGGTATCATCGATAGCATTGGGCTTCGTGCTTGCGGCTGCTTGGGCTTCAATCGGCAGTTCGGGGCCTTGTGATTCCTGAAGAACACCTTCTAGCTGACCACCCGCAAGACGCAGAAACTGGACTTGCATGGGAGCTCGGCCAATGCCTGGCCAGATATCTGACGGGAGGAAATCACCCTGTTCAACGCGAAATGCTTCACGTGCAGTAACGTCTTCATCATACAGATGGTTTAGTTTGTTCCTTGTATCTCGAAGGACCTTTTCCACACGAGAGCGAATCTGGCTCCGGCGATTGACCTCAAGAATCAGGCTGTCGTAAGCATTCAGGAACCCATCGTAGAGAGAATGTAGGTCAGATAGTTCAATTAGACCGGTATTTATACGGTCATTTTCTTCGTTCCAGACCCCGGTGAAGTTGTGTGCCTGAGAGATGTACTGCGGTAGGCGGGTCGACGCCAGGGTTGACAGGTGCCGATGGACCTCGAGCGTGGCATTCGAGATCGCTAAGAGCACATCTCGCTGTGCGTTCACTTGCTCATGGATCGATTCCATTTCGTTAATGCGATCTTGAATTTCCATCACAACGTCCTCTGCTTCGAGGGCATCTTTCAGGAGCACATTCACCATCTCCAGGTACTCTGAATTACTTAGCGGGTCTAGAGGAGCATTCAAATTTGCATGGATTTCCTCGCCAATGTGTGGCATCGCATCATTACTCGTCTGGACTTCCGCTGGCATATCTCCGGTAATAGATCGAGCGGCCGCACCCCCACCTTCCGTGTGCTTCACGGCAGTAACACAAAGATCAAAGTGGCGAACGAGGGATTCAAGAAGACCAGCCATTTCCTGTGCATGACCCTCCAATGACTGGAGCATTTTGGGCATCGTCGATAAGGCGAGCAGATCTGAGTCTGATGTCGAGGATGAAGATGAAGCTGTAGAGGCTCGTGAAGAGGCTAGCTTAGTAGCCGATCGATAATGGCGAAGTGCTTGTTTGATCGAATGAAGCTCGTCATCAAACTCGCGGTTAGATGTATCAAGTTCTGCCAGTGCAGCATTTGTCCTGTCAATGGAGCTTTTCATGGCTGCATGTAGCTCTTCGACGCCTCGCTCGTCGACGAAGTCGTGTAGAGACTTGGGTTCTTCATCCCTGGGCCGAAATGAAGCATGGACGATGGTATTTCGCAAGAGATCCAATGTACCTCGGAGACGAGCATCTGCGACATCAAGGCTTCTCAAAGCATCTGAGAAGCCCTCTCGGCCACGAAACGAGATATGCTCCACCTCCGACCGAACATCGTAAAGCAGTCGCAGTTGATTATCAAGTCCACGACGTAGGAAGCCTGTCCTCGATGACATAATCACGCTTTCTTCGAGGGCCGAACGTGCCGCAGTGACGATTTCGTTGGCGCGCCAGACATGGTTGATCGAGGAGAGGGAGCGTTTGGCTGCGACGAGCTGCGAGATGAGTGTATCCAGTTGAGGCATAGCCTTACTTTCCGAGAACTCTGGGCCGCCACGTTGATTTGCGGGGTCTAATGAAGATTGAGGGGACGCCATGGTGGGGAAATGGCAGCTCTTGGAGGAAACGAGCTAGTGGTAGAAGAGAAAGGGGGCGTAAGACGACGAGGTTAGGGTTGCTGCTAGGTAGGGCACGTTGCACTACAAGGTAAACAGAGACGAGTCTAATGGTGAATCGGTCGCGACCCTGAAAGCTGATAGATGAGAATTTAGTAATCATTCAGAACCTGAAGGCAAGGTGGGCAAGAATGTAAAGCACGGCAGATCGACATAGACACTGGGGAACAAGCTTCCTGAAGCTCCAAACGAAGCCCAGGTGTTTATGTTTTCTTCCATGGACACATAATTAACCCTGGTGGCATAAAGACAAAACAATAACTGACCTTCGGCACGGGATCGGATCGCTAGTGTATATGCAAGGAGAACCAAGCTCTATTGAGCTGCTAGCTGTCGAGCGCCAATACTTTGCTTCCGCGCTTGACTCACCAGCATCACCGGGGATAATGTGAGCTATAGAGGCCAAGAACGCCTCGAAGGTCGATCGAATAAGCAATCTTAAGCTGTAGTTCGACCGTGGAGACCAGCTCACACCTCTCTAGGGACGGAAAAGGGAGCAGGGACAGGTGATTGCAGCCCAGGTGAGGTGATGCGCCGGGGAGACAGCGCTATCACGTGGAAGGAGGACGAAATCGGCCAGGCTAGGCATCGGCAGATGAATCGCTCACCGCCATCCACGTGGATCCCGGATCGGGCTTCAGTCCTCGCGGTGTCGTACGGTTGAATATTCGTGCGCTTGATACCTTAGTCACACATTATTCATGCAACTCAATGGATTAAATAAGTTCATGCTTCATACTCCACTGTGTGGCGCTTATATTCTTTGTTAAGAGAGCGACACTACATTTACCATCTTAGGCTCAGGACTACCGCCCTTGACATGGTGTGAAATCACGAAGTATCTTCAGTATGCATTTATCCAGGTAGAGTACTACCGCAGACAATAACCGTGATAATTTTCGAACGGTTGACCTATGTGGCTGATTCAGAAGATTATAATGATCTTTGGGTTTGTAACGAGGATCCGTGTCGATGACGTTGTTGGACTGTGCCTTCATGTACCTGGATTTATATATTGACCTCAAAGACTACCTACTGACGCCAGGATTGCGAGACTTGGCAAAAATGACGAATACATGGAATATTACGTATGAGCCGTCATACCAGGTTAAATGGGTTGTAAAAGCTCAGACTTCAGTGTTTTTACTTGCAAGGCAGGTATCAAACTTCGGGTACACTAGATTCAGAGTACCACCATTTCGGTGGGTGTAGCATACATGACTCGGTTGGTCTCCTACAGAGTAAGGATCTAGTCATCAGACACTACGATGTGTACAATATGCGTCCTAAGCACAACCACTGTTAGTTCAGGTCCAAGCTGATAACAATAGCTTAGTGTATTCTCAAGCCCCTAAGATTGGTCCTGTTGCCTATGCTACTAACATCTTTCACGGTCTTCTTCAGCTTGTTTTCGACTTCCAGAATACCTACCATATTGTATTTCGAACGCTCAAAAAATACAGTCTAGATCTATTGATCTAAAAAGATCAGGAGCTGCATAGTGTACCCCCAATCGATCAGCCGTCATAACTCAAAAAAACTCCATGGCTAGCTAGTTGGTTGCACTTTGAGATAAGCTAAGCACCCAATGGTTCACCCTAAAGCGAGCCGACATGGATTGACTAAACCCGTTTTGAACGGCTTTAACCCAGCTAGACTCATATGGGCTTCTCATGGACTATATGGGTTTAGCAAGTATCCATCACACCCCATGTTCCCATACTTCGTTCTTCACACGCCTCTCTCGCATATCAGCCCAAGCTTCTCAAAGGCCTTTTCAAACATCTGTTCGAAGTCATTTCCTATATTAAGATATTGAATATCGGCTCACGATGGCACCTCCTCACTATAATCTATCCATCCCTTCCCCCGCTCATTTAGGGGAGATCTACCACGGCGAGGCCTACCAAACTGAATCTGGTACGCTCCACCATGGCTACCTAGACGTTGAGAAGCACAAGGACAATAAACTGAAGTAACATTTCCAGGAACCAACACAACCACTACACCGGTGCCTGGTATGAATCTTTTCAACAACACCAAGTCGCTGGTGAAGAAATCCCGGGTCTGTAAATGCTGGAACGCAGCGCGGGCCAAGCCCAACCAGTGGTGGTCAACCCGCACCAAGGAAACGAAGAAAACCTGGCGATATATCCTCGCCCTGTTTGCTGTCGGCGGTTTCATCATGTTCATCACTACCTGTGTCTCCGTAGGATACTCCTATGGACGACATGCCAGAACTGAAAAGGCACTAGACGGAGAAATGCATGACAGAATAAGCGGCGCCAAGGAATGGCAGGAAATGCAGGACGAGTACGAGGAAAAGAATAAGATGAAGGTGCGAGAGAAGAAGACACGGATGTTGGCCGTCAACTACCCTATTGTCTTCACTGAGACTGCGCCAATTCTGACGACGACCTCGATGGCCACCGTCGCGATGTCGTTCACCGCATAAACCAGAGCTGTCGAAGTGGACTAAATATGAGACTCAACCTGTCTTTCCATTTCCCTCTCTATTTGTCTTTCTACGGGCGATTTTACTGATGGTCTGAGTTATATCTCACTTTGAAGTGTGGATGTGGTGGAAAATGAGTCGACTAGGAACGGCTATCAATTATCGATGTCGTCTCTTCCTCATGTCTCTATTTCTTAGATATTGAAAATACACAAACATTTTCGATCAACCCAAGGACCGCTGTCATCTTTCTTTCACAACCTCGACAACCCACGACACCCTCCCTCCTTACCACAACCAACCACCCCAGTCAACATGGCATACACACTCAAGAGACTCGCGACGGCCCGACAGCTCTTTCCAAATCATAGCCGAGAAGGGCTTGAATTTGAGGGTTGCTACCACCTGAGGAGCCGGACCAAGAATACAAAAACAGTGGGGTCCTCTTGGATCGACAACGATCCCGATGATGATTACAGCCCTGATCAAACGCCACGTTCAAAGCGCCGAATGCAGTCTGACCGAGGAGATCGATCACGCCCTCGACCAACCAAACGGGCCAGGAGTCATTCGCCCCGGCCGGCAAGTCAACCGGAGTCAAATACTGAAGACAATGTGACGCATGCATGGGCCCCGGCCACTCCTGAAGACAGAAGCCTGTCAAAGTGGGAAATTTTCTGGCAGCCTCAGACCGAGAGGGATCCCAAGCAAGCCTACTTTCTACGAGCACGCAAGGAGACCATGGATTCTCCCCGCAAGGTGGGGATTGACCAAATCAAGGAACCGAATCCGCAAGAGAAGGGCCATTCGCTTATTTCAAACGGATGTGAGGCTTGCCAAGAGCTGCATCTGGAATGCTCGCTGATCGCGGATCCGCTTGACTACCCCTGCGACAACTGCAGGGCCGACAGGTGTGACTGCGTTCCTGACCCAGCACCCACGTGGAAACGGCAATGTGAGGAGTGCAAAAGGCGACGTCGCCCACGATGCTCGTTTCTTTCAGGTGACTACGACCACAATCAGCCATGTCAGGAATGTCAACAACATGGTTTTCAATGTATCGCGGGTCCGGCCAAGTATTTGCCATTTGGTGGACGCTCTCAGGCCATGGACACTGAGATGCCTAATGATCAGGACTCCATAATTGCGAAGGAAGAATGTAAGGTCTCGCAACCGAATGCAAGCAACAAGTTCGAGGGTTCTGAGCTGGAGGGAATCACCCCGGCTCCACTGGCGGAGGCCAGTTCTTCCACCATGCAAGGCATCCAATCCGCACAAGCGCAAGAAAAGCACGATCTCGACACATTTCCTGAATTAGCTGTACCTCCATCGACTGTTTTGACCTTTGGCTTTCTATCTGGGAACCCTTATGGTACATCGTATCGAATCTGGACAGACTTTCCGCACCCTCTGAACCTCATCGACAAGGCCCCAGATGATGGGTCCTTGTGTTGCCACTGGTGCAATAACTTTGCATACGGGATTGTAGGACTCGGAAACCGAAATACAGAGGTCCTGGACTTTGGTGGTGGTCGCCTGATCGAGGTCGTGGATGGGCACCAGGGAGAAGGAAAAGAGCCCAGTCGCATGTGTGGACACTGTGTCTCCGAAAGACTGCAGATCATGCAATGTCCTCATGATGACATTGCTCCTATTCCAAACCTCGTGAACCCCCAGGGCCAATTCAATGTCACTGCAGCATTTGAGAGCTTGGCCTGGGCTTGTGCGGCTCTGCAGGAGCCGACATCTCCGTGCTATGGCCAGCCACTCCCACAAGCTGATCACCCATGGTGCAGTCTTTGCAGGGAGCCTGCATTTTGGTCCTGCGAGACTGACCAGGCAACCCAAGTGGGCTGCCATAAAGTCGGCCAGTCTGTGAATCCGGCTGGCATTGGATGCGGTATAGTCCTTTGCGACTACTGTGCTCACTATGTGAAGCTATTCCATGGAGACCTTGACCAGGCTGTCGAATGGGGCAAAGGAGACCCCGAGAATGGCACTGAGTTCCGAGCCGATGTGAACTACATCCTGAAGGGCTCAGAGGGGAACTACCTGCGGCAACAGATCTATCGACCAACTTAGTTCGATGCAAGGCTTGTTCTCTGGATCAATGGGTCCAGGTCTTGTTCGTCCTTTCATTATGACTTTGATCGTTGACTTCACCTAGTTTGCCTGGTCCCGTGGAGTTTCGATCTGTCGGATTTGCTTTAGTTTCCCATGTACTTTCTATTAACATGGCGCGGAGGAACAATACCGAAAGTGCTTTTTACCCACGGAGCATACGCTAAATTGGTGATGCTTGAACTGAACGAGCAATCACAGGCAGCTGTCTATTGGCTAGAAAGTTGACTACCTAATTTTAAAGAACCGAACCGTGAATATCTATCTTAAGTATCGATGTTGTCAATAGTAGGTAAGCTGCCTCCCGGCGACTGAGCCTGCTCCACGGCTACCCGCCCTCTACAAAGAGGCCGGTCGGCCGCAGTGCTGGCTGCTGCTGAGGTATATGTTCCCTTTCTTTCCAACTCGGCCCGTTTCTTTATCCTTTTAAGTCCTCACGCTATCCATTCATTTATACTTGAGACCAGCTCCTCCCTTTCTCACAGCTGGCTGTGATTTCGAGGTTTCTCTGGTCAACGGCGTGTCATCGATAGGGTTTGTTCCCGGAGCGGAAAAAAAAAACTGATCGGCTCCGATTTTCTGCCAGCACAATTTAATTTGCTGCCAACATTCCTTGCCCCGACTTCTTCTCTTCCAAGAAGGCTGCGGGGAAATACTCGCCAAACCTTTCATCCTTTCCTTTGCCCCGTGAATCCCCCGAGCTGCCACGCGACGTGTGCAGCTCACCGTCACGACGTCTCCCACAAAGCGTCGCAAAGTGTCCCCCGAGCCAGCTCGCAGCAGCCCAGGAGAGACACGACGTCACGGCCGCTCCGAACCGCCGCAGGTGCCTCCGTTGCCACCGCGAAGCTCCTCATCCGCTTCCAACTCGCGGCGCAAGAGCTCCTCCCCATCGCCTCCTCGCTACGTACCCGCTCACCTCCAGTCCCTCGTCCCAGGGACCCGATCACAGCCCGGTGTCCGCTCGCCCACCCCCGCGACCGCGACCGCCGGACTGACCCTCTCCAGCGAACACTCCGAGATGCCCACCGATCGTCAAGACGGCACCCCGCCGATGAATGGCGGCCGTTCGCCCTCCCCGGGCGTGAAGCGCCCTGCCTCTGAGATTGCAGACTCCGACGCCGAGGGAGGTGTGAGCACAGCGGTCAACCATGGTCAGGCGACCGACTCGATCGACGATCAAATTGGCCAGGTTTTTGCTCTCTCGAACCAGCCTTTGAAGGACGGACAAAAGGGCTATGTAATCTCGCTGAGATGGGTGAAGACATTGTATGCTCGCAGCACAACTTACGTCGACAAAGCCGACAAAGAATCGATGGAGACCGAGTTGGGCCCCGTGGACAACAGTGACATCGTGCTTGACACCGATCCTGTGAACAGCAACTTCAAGTATGAGAACGGTGATCCTTATGTGCCGTTGCGCCCGAATGTGCAGCTCGGCGAGGATTACGAGATCGTCCCTCAAAAGGCTTGGGATTTGATCATGGATCGGTATGGCCTTGCCAGCCAGTCGCCTGTCATTGTTCGCTTTGCACACAACGCGAACTCCTATGGCAATGAAAACATTATGTACGAACTTAACCCGCCAATCTTCACGATCTTCAAGCTGTCAAACCCCGCGGCGGGGACCACGCCTCAGTTGCTGAAGGAGAAGACCCTCCCACCTGCGAAGATCCTTGCTGGCCGCCAGAGCGGCTTACAGCCCTGGTTGAAGAAAGCCAAGGAGCTCACGGGCATTGAAATGTCCACCAAGGTTCGTGTGTGGAAGATCGTTGGTCAGCTCCCCAGTCTCAACCCGTCGACGTCGACAACTCCCGCCGTTTCTCGCGCCGCTTCGCCTGCACCTCCCTCCGCTCTTATCTCCGCCTCGAGCAGGAATTTGCTCGTGGATCTCAACACATTCATTTCTTTGAACGAGGGGACTCAGCGAGAGCTACTTGAAGGCTTCAAGGACCAGACTAATAATGAAAACTATAACGGTCGAATGTCGCTGACCACGGCGGGCTTGACGGGATCTGATGTTTTCGTGCTCGAGGAGCAGACGGGTGGAGCCAAAGGTGGAGAATGGGTGTCTGAGGTTTCGACCCAGACGCTCAAGCGCCTCGGCATCCCCATCAGCAAACCCAAGAATGAGATCACAGCTATTTCCACCAAAGGCCAGTCGAATAGTGGGCGCTCAACTCCAGACCAGGAGCAGCCCCTGTTCGGCAAGAAGCCCCACGGTCATCGAATGGGTCTCACCGGTCTTTCGAACCTTGGTAACACTTGCTACCAGAATGCGGCCACCCAGTGTGTTCGGGCCGTTGAAGAATTGACCTACTACTTCCTCGGTATGCCTTGCGACTGATTACCCTAAATTCTACACTGGTTAATGTGATACTAATTGCATTCCGTAGCCAACAAGCACAAGAAAGACCTGAACCCTTCCAACCCTCTTGGGTATAAGGGCCAACTCGCCAAGGCATACGCTGGCCTGATTGGGGGGATCTATCGCGACCCACCACCATCATCTTTCAATCCTCACAAGTTTCGGAACCAGATTGGTCGGAACAACCCAACCATGGCCGGCTGGGATCAGCAGGACAGTCAGGAGTTTTTGATGTTCCTCCTTGATGGTCTTTCAGAAGACCTGAACCGTATTCTGAAGAAGCCGTACATCGAGAAGCCAGACTCGACCGATGAGATGGTCCATGACCGCAAGGCTTTGGAGGACTTCGCTGTGCAATCCTGGGACATCTACAAGGCGCGTAACGATTCTGTTATTACAGATCTGTTTGCAGGCATGTACAAGTCAACCCTGGTCTGCCCGACTTGTGACAAAGTCAGCATTATCTTCGACCCATTCAGTAGCTTGACCTTGCCCATTCCGCAGCAAAAGTTTTCTTATAAGGAGATCATTTACCAAGGGCTAGACCAGCCCCCGCAGAAATTTATTGTTGAAGTCGACAAGTCGGACACCGTTGGGGCTTGGAAGGAGTCGGTGGCTACAAAGTTGAAGATCAGCCCGGATCAGCTTATTGGGGGTGAAATCGCCTACGGGACTTTTTGGGAAGTCTATGAGCACGACAAGGTTCCTTTCGCCGACCTGAACCTCAAGGATAAGGACGAAGTGACCTTTATGCAGCTGGATGCCCCAGCCAACGATCGCATCCTTGTGCCCATTTTCCATAGGTACGAAATGGCGACTAAGAACTACAAAGGTGTTACCAAGCGTGATACTTTCGCCCAGCCTTTCATTCTCTCCTTCACTAAGGAAGAAGCCAAAGACTTGGCTACCATCTATCGCAAGATCTTGCGCCATGTTGCTACCATGACTACGCGCGATATTCTGAACGAGACCGAAGCGAAGGATGACAGCGAGTCTGAAGCAGACCAGACGGAGCAAGTTCCCGAGGACTCTGATACCGTGGTGATGAATGAGGAAGATGCCCAGTCGGCAGACTCCAGGATCAAGACCGGCTCAGTTGAAGGCGATGACAGTATCGTTGATATCTCCATGCACGACGTTTCGCACACCCCTAGTGCATCTTCGTCCAAAGAGATGGACACCAGTGATGATACTCCTGCGCACCCCCTGGCTGGTGCTTTCCCACCTGGTCTTCTCAACCTGTTCGATGTTAAAGTCATGCGGGGCTTTGACAGAATTCCCCGAGGTCGCCAGGTTTCTGGGTTCAGCCAGTACGACGACATTCTGACCCGGCTCCCGTCTCCAAAGAAGGTAATCTTCAATCGGTCAAAAACTACATATTACAGCTTGCTAACCCGGAGTAGACGGTCAAGAAATCCTCAAGCGGGTCTGGTGACGAAAGCAGCGGGGACTCCAGCGCCTCAGATGAATCTGACGGCGAAACCAACGGCGTGACCCCGCAGGAACCGCTTCTTAAGCAATCGGACGCAATCATTCTGGACTGGAATGACGATGCGAAGGACGCTTTGTTTGGAAAGATCGGCAGCAAGGACACCCTGCGTGGTTCTGCCACTTACAACAACATCCCTTTCATCCACGATCAAGGTCTTATCGACCGCCGCGCCCAGCGCTCCGCGTTGGCTGCCCAGGGTGTCACTCTTGGCCAGTGTCTCGATGAGTTCAGCCGCGAGGAAACACTGTCTCAGGACGACGCCTGGTACTGCCCACGCTGCAAAGAGCATCGTCAGGCTCGCAAGAAGTTTGAGCTGTGGTCGACCCCCGACATCCTAGTCATCCACCTGAAGCGTTTTACGACGCAGTCTCGATACTCACGCGCGAAGCTCAGCACCAGGGTAGAGTTCCCGGTGGAAAATCTCGACCTGTCCGGTTGGGTCTCGGGTCCCGCAGCGGACACATCTCTGGTTTACGATCTGATCGGCGTGGACAACCACTCCGGAAGCATGTCCGGCGGTCACTATACCGCATACGCCAAGAATTTCATCACGGACGACTGGTGCAGCTTCAACGGTATGTTTTGTACTCCCTTTCTTCATCTTTTCGTCCGATTCACTAACCCTTCACTTAAGATTCGTCGGCCTCTACATTCAGAGATTTGAGCCGGATGCAATCTCCTCAGGCCTATCTGCTCTTCTATCGCCGCCGATCCGACCAGCCTCTGGGCGGCCCTGCTCTGCAGAACATCGTGAACAAATTCAAGAGCGGCGAGCCCGACACGGCCGAGAACTCGCGTTCGGTCTCGCCGTCGGGGGAAGGCAAGCGCCTCGGCGGATCATTCCGGAATGGGTCGTCGAGCGTCTCAGCCGCAGCCGTAGCAGCTCACCGAGCGGGCGGTGGTGGTTCGGGGGCCGCATCTCCGGAGACGAAGTCGAGTGATGACGAGAATGAGGACTCTCACAACCCGCTCGACGATATGTTCCAGGTACCCTCGTGGTCATTTGACCGCGCCTCCGACTCTCGTGGCTTCGGCGCGATGACAACCATCCGTCCTGCTTCCCCCGATGGAGACGCCGATCTTTTCGGGGATAATGACAGCAACGTGGCCGTGGATGAGAACTCCGATGCTGAAGATCGTCTCAACCATCTCGAGCACTCGCGTCCTGTCTCGGAGCACGAGGACTCCTTTGAGGATATCCCGCCGCTGCTGGAGGATGGGTCGGATGAGGAGCTGCCAGTTGTGGAGCTGCGTGTAGATGGGGACGAGAAAATGCACTCCGACATTTGAAGAGAGAGAATGTTTCTGCCTCTGTTGATGATGTGGCATCTTCCGCATTTTCACACTCTTCGTTCTGTTGTGGAGGATACATGCATAACCCTTGTTTTCTTTTGAATGTTCATGGTGCACGGCGTTCTGCATGGTAATACAAAAAACGGTGGCCTCTGTTTCTAATGATCACCGCTACGGGCATGATCATGAAATCTCATTCCGTCGGGGGTGGGTCGCTCGATGATGAGATGATTTCTTTTTCTATTCTCCTCTTCTATGTGGCCATTGAGGATTCCCGCTAGACATGTGTGATAGTATGACCTGTATGTTTACATGGCTTTGCACGGCTGCATTCCTTTTGATTTTTTTCACATACTCACTCGCTATGGCAGAGTATCTGCATTGCATATGGAGGGAATCGGGATTACATAGAGTGGCTAGACCTTCACAGCCTGGAGATGCAATGTGATCTTCCTTCTTAGCCTCGTTGTCCCCGTAGTTTTGTGCTGCGTTCACTAGATTGAACGTCTGCGGTTGACTGCCAGAAGGAAGGAGCGACTCGTTCAAGTCCGCGCCATGTGACACCCCGCTCCTTCCTAAATAGGCAGTATCGCAGGCCTCATCTCGGAATATGGGCGCCTCAGGCCCCGATTCCTTCTAATCCACCCCCTTCTCTCAGACTCTCACCAAGATGGCTCCGCGTGTTAAGTACAGTCACCGTACCTGGCCCTCCACTCCCCACTGTTCGACGCGGAACAATGGTGTCAATGAGCTACCTGCTGAAAGCATCGCAGACATGCAGGTTTCTCAGCACAGAGAGCATGGTCCGACCGAATCCATGGCTCCCACTGATCTGAATACGCTCGGAATCAGTCCTTTGATCGGCCCTGACGCTCCAAATGCTCCTACCCTGCCGTCCACTAATGTCACCAGCAGTGAGCTTGCGCACGTCTGCAGCGAGAGCGACCTCAGCACCTCGAACTATACCAGGAACCCCAACATGCATCGAAGTGCCCTTACAGCTCTCTTCGCTTGCCAACAGGGTCCTTCCGCAGCGACTCAGGCTGCAGCTTCCTTTGACCAGACTGCGCGTGCGCGTACCCCCGACCGTTTTGCCCGCGAGGATGCGGATGCAAACAACCCAGGTTCGCCCCACTCTCACTCCGTTACAGATGGTAATGATCCCACTCTTCACCCTCGGCCGCCGCCACATCTTGCAGAAAACTACCCTCACCACAGCCACGAGGATGTGGAGAGCCTTCACCGCGAGAACCTGCCCGACCTCACATTCGCAGAGACCGGTGTGGGGCCCGCCAACGCTCTGCTGTCCCACCCGGCCATGTCGTTCAATAATATCCTCAGCGAGTATGGATATGGCTACGGCTACGATGTGCTAAGACCAGACGGGGATACTTTCTTCGTCATGAAAACCCCTCCCGACCGGAACGCGCCTACCATTTGGGACACAGGATCGCTCTCGGACTCCCCGCCGCAGGCCACCCACGCTCAGCTCTCTCTGTCCGACCGCATAGTGCATGAGGAGCCGGTGATGCACCGCGAGCAGGAGGCCATTCCTGATGGGATGGATGAGTGGGTCGGGGAAGTGGTGGATGAGACGCAGTTGGCCGAGTGATCGATCTCCAGTTAGGGCTACCCGGCATTTCGTTGGCGGGTGGAGCCAATAGCGGATGGGCTCGCAACCGGCGGAGAAAGTGTATTTCAACGACGTTCATGATTATTGCACTACTAGGAAATTTTATGGAGATAGCCCCAAATAAACAATAGCTTTTCTATTTCTCCCTCGCCCTTAACATCTTAGTCCATGCTGCCTGTGTAGTTGTACACATCGCTTTGCTAGCTTAAAGTACTTCCGGTCGACGACGTTATTTCCCTGGAACCGATTATGCCAAAATTGGCAAAATATTGAAGGGCTCGACCATTCAAACTAAGTCTTTTTAGGTGAAACACCGTTGAAAAATCAAGAGCGCATGCTACTCTGATGATAATGAGTTAGTATTCAAATATCAACTTGAGGCTTTTGTACAGACCTTTCCCCCACTAATATTGTTACTCAAACACTTCAAGAAAGTGTTAAACTATCCGAAGCCGTCCTCGCTGTCGTGTACTAGCAGCCATATGAACTTGTGGACGGTCCGACACCCTACTGTGATGGCTGCAACTAATCTGTTAGATCGTAATATCATGGAGTGAACAATTCAGCCCATATTCCGAGCCAGGAGTTAAATTAGGGTATAATGTCTCTCTCTCTCTCACTTAGAGTAAAGGCACTTCAAATCGTACTTGACAAGCCCATGACCACGCCACCGCTCCTGGTTGAATATGGCCTCTTGCTGGCTTATTGTTGCCCGAGGCTACGAAACTGGCACATCGAAAAGATAATCGAAGGCTTCATTCCTTCAACGGAGGCCCAAACTCTGCCGATACTATTTCACTGTAATTAGAGGAGGGATTGGGGATGTAACCCGAAAACTTGGCCCTGTTAGTTTAGGCCTGTATGCGGTACAGGAATCATGGCGAAGAATCATATAACACGGACGGGACTATCAAGCATTGCTGTCAATGTGTGTGAGTAGTTGACGTTTACCCTAACCTGTTAGATCTCCGATTTTTGAATCTAAATGTTTGATAGGCAAGAACATTATTTGGTGTGCATCCCTTTACTTTCGAAGTTGAGGCGTAAATTATCCCCAGTTCCTTTGAATCATTCTTATATCACTTCAAGATTAATATAAAAATAGCCTAGACTGCCCATACGACGGTCTTTTTTTATCTCGACTCCATTCCACGGTGAACTGCCGAAAGTACCAGGTGCCAACCTAAAGCTCTACACCGGCATTTATTATTATGGGGCCATAACCATAGCCGTGAAGATCAAACCCTTATCCGAGATGGAGGTTAAGGAAGATCACTGCAGTATTTACCAGAGAGTAGGCATCCACCTCCTCAATTCCCAATACAGTGTGCTATCCAAGCCTAACCTAACCGGGATAGAATGCGAATATCTGTATGTACCATCACTGAGATAGGTTTTCCATCCATGTATTGGAAAACACGTCAGAATACCTCTTCCAGCGCAGGTTTAATGGTCATTCTTTCTGTCGAATATGCGGTGTGCATGTATATATGAAACTGCTTGGACCACCTAAGACCGTTGTGGATAGCTTGCTAGCGGGAATACAGAGAGTTGTGCAGGATATGCCTACAATTGTACCGGTTGGGCTCTCTGTTCTTGTTCGTGTCGAGTGGTCTGGTTGTCATGTCAGGAGGTCAGATGAAGGGACAGCAGGATAGGTGTGCTGATAGCCACTGTCAAATATCTCTCACGGGATACATTCCAGGCACATCAATTAATTGAGCTAGCGCTATGGATGGAGATGCGCTTTATTCATAAATAGTAGTCTGAATGGATTGAACGTGGCATATAGGTAGTGTACAAAAACTTGAGGGCTCTGTCCTCTAGGGAAGAAAGAACAATGATGTAGTATCTTAATAATACATTCTGGAATATCTAGGGAATTAAAGTATCTAATTCTGAGAAACAGACAAATGAAATACAAACTTGACAAAGAAGTATGCAGGTGCTTAAACCTACTTATAACAGATGAAAGAAAGCTGTCGAAATGTAGATTGGCAGTGTACACTTCAACAAGTCTAGCACGGAGTGTAGAGTACGAAATCTGAAACCAGTACCTGAGTCTCTGAGGTTGAGACCAGCGTGCAGGAGAAAGTATCACTTGCCGTATTTGCAGTGAAGGAGTGTATGGATGTCTGCCAAGCATAAGTGTAAGACTGGAGATTAATTTCCAGGTTGCCCGTCCCCTGAGTGAGGGAACATGTCAGGTATGAGCCGGCTGACTGGAGAATCGGGACCCACCAAAATGTGAGAGTGTAGGATTTTCCAGGAGTCAGGGTCACACTTTGATGCAACGTGATATAACCGGAGCCAAAGGTCTCCAGGTCAAGTCCATACGTGTTTACATCATGTCCACCAGTGGGTGTATAGCCGCCGCTGCCCCCGGTTGACCACGGATAAAGTTGATAACTCAAGCCGTTTACAGTATTTGCGAAGTTTGGGTTCGTCAAGACATTGACGCTGGGGCCACAGGTGGGGGCGGCAGTGACAGTGACGGTCTGCGTTGTGGTTGTGGAAACGGTTGATGTGACAATTACATCGGTCGTTTGGGTGATTTGAGCTGTGACTGTGGCATCCACGGTGGTTTGAATGGTCGTCTGAAGAGTAGTGGGTACGGTAACAGTCACCGTGATGGAAGAGGTAGAAAGAACAAACTGCAATGCAGTGACATCTGTGGTTGTGGTCTCAGTTACAATGCTCGTCTCAGAAGCTGTAGCCAATGCAGTGACATCGGTAGTAACAGTGGTAGTCGGAGAGAGAGTAATGTCGGTTGTGACAACAGTTGTCGGATAGAGAGTCATGTCGGCCGTTGATGTAAGCAGCACATCGTCAGTGACATTGTCAGTGACAGACACCGTGGCATAGTCTGTCTGCTCGAGGGTAGTCCAAGAGGTCAGGTCCGTGGTAGCATCAGCAGTGATGGTAGCAGTCACGGTGGTAGACTGTACTTCCGTAACGGTCATTGTCTCAGTCGCAGTCGCAGTAGAAGTGACGTCCGTAGTGACATATACAGTGGGATAGACAGTATCTGTAGTGGTGATGCTGATAGTAGTCGAGTTTGTCTGATGCTGAGTGACATAGCTCGTGGGGTGAATGGTTGACAGGCGAGTAATAACATTGACCACATGAACCGTCGGAGTCGCATGGACGGTGGCGTGAGATGTGCTGGTATGCGTGACAGTGGAAGGGGCCAGCGTTTTGGTCACCACCTTCGAAGCAATATCCTCATTGATATGCAGACAGAAGCAAGCCGCCTCCAATTGGCTCTCGCTGAAGCCCCTCAATAAGACCAAGAAGAAAGGAACGTGAGGGGTGATTCCAGCATCAGGGTCTAGCTCTTCGCATTCTTCCTCCTCTTCCAGACTCACTGCCCTAGCAGCGACTGTAACTGTTGCCGTCGCGGTTGCAACATTTGTGACTGCAGTGTTGATTGTCTCCGTAGCTTCAGCAGTCTGCGTAACGAAGACAGAGTTCGTATCGGTGGCATAACTGGTTTCAATGGTGGTGACGGTGTCTGTCTGTGTTCCTCTTTGATCGACCTCAGCCGTAAAGGGGATGGAGATGGTATTTGTGTCCGTCTCAGTGACAGTGTCGGTAAATGAAAGAGTAGTGGTCTCGGTGTAATAGTTGGTCTCCGTCTGGGTGATCCAATTGTAATGGTTATCGGTTTCCGAGTCGGTGACAAACAAGGTTACATATTGTGTGACAATGTCCGTGGAATAATCAGTCACGGAATTTGTGACTGTGGCCGTGGTGGTCGAGGAAGTAACAGCGGTGATAGTTGCATCAGTCCATTCGGTATCCGTGCGAGTAGAGGTCTCAGTGAGGGTGTCTGTATATGTCTGGGTCACAGTCATGTCGAATGGCTCGGTAATAGTTGTAGTTTCGACATCAGTGGTGATAGTTGTCCGAGGGTCCGTAATGTGGCTAGTCGCCGTTTCGGTCACAGCGATAGAGCTCAGGTCGGTGATAGTTTGGGTGACTGGAACGGTAATGCTGTGGGTGACGTATCTTGTCGAAGTCTCCGTTGTCGGGTGCGCATTGATGGTGGTTGTCAAAGTCTCCGTGGACTGGGCAATAATGGCATTGGGCGTAACTGTCGTCGTCACAGTGACAGTCGAGGATAGATTATCCAATAACTCCCGGCAGTAGGGGACTCCTCCCGGGTATAGCCTCAGGATGTCGGTGAGCACATCATTCGTTCTGCAGACATCATTATGCTGGTCAACTTCTTGATGCGGAAGACCCGCAACGGCCGCTGCGAGGGCAAGGGCACTAAAGATTCGTGCCATTGGGGAAGTTTATTTCATGCAATTGAAAAACTATTCTTCCAGCTTCTGTTTGAATCTTGAAAGGGTGGTCTACTCCATTATAAAGGACTTGATTCATTCTTCTAGGTACAGGTGGGAGGATCCACATGGTGCAATCTCTCTCTCGCTTTAATATTCTCACCGGCCGAGCACAGTGGTGAAAAAGCGTTAGCTTGCAGCCATCTACCAGCCTGTGAATATGAAGTCAGGGCATTAGATCCGACAGGCTAGGCAATATCGGGTAGATAGCATCGGTAATTAGCACCAAGATCTATGGATGGATTGGCACCATGCCTAAAACCGGTTGACAGAGTCAACCGCGTTCAAGCCTCGCCAAGAACAGACCTATATACGAGAGACTAGTGATAGAAAAACTCAAAAAAGACTTAACCGTGTGCAGATGTTCCACTAAACCTAGAACTAGGAAGCCGGGGTGGCCGAAGAACGAAATCCGTGTATAAGAGTTACAGAGGGGGATTTGTAAATTAGGAACGAAATCATTTACGAGGCTCCTTTTATCCACTTTCCAATTTTCTCCAGGATTTCTTAGCCCCCCTTTTTAGGGTTCTGCAAATTTTCGCCAAATAGCTGCAAGGAATTGCCGAATTTCGTTATCGGATTGACACATATTTAAATTTAGGAATTTAGTGTCGTATCGTTCGAGAGAAAAAGTGCACCCACATAAGTACAAAACCTAGTGCCACTCCAAAGTCGGACCGTTGGCTCTAGTCTTGCCGATCGGCTATATAGGATTTGGCTACTACGCACCGTTGGGCCACCGAGAGCCAACCAACCAAAGTCACGTGTTAAGGGCCACGGTCGGCCGTGCCCCTTTTACTACACCTATACAATACAGTAGATTATACGGAACGGACACGGACTAACTTACAAGTTAATAGGATATTTCTCTTTCGTCACTATATAATAGATACAATCCGTACCCTCTATTCTAGCGTTGTCTCGCCCCATCGCGTTTTTTGAGCGGGCCGGGATTAGGGGGTGAAAAAGGAGTAAAGAACACCTCAAGAAACTAAAGCTAATTAGGCTATCAAAAAGAATTCACAAATAAATAGCATTATAGGGCCAGGTGCCCCTTTTAGGTATAGACTAAGCGTGGACTGAGTGCTTAATAGATGCCTATAATCAATCTCTAAGAAATCAGTGAGTGCTCAGTGAACGTAATTGACGCTAAGCAGCTCAGTGAGTCTGAGCCCGGACTAAAATTTACTTAGTGAGCCTAACTCTGAGCACCCCTACTAAAACGGCGGCATCTAGAATAGGAAAGCCCCACCTGACAGAGGAAATATGGAACGTCTAGTGACCTATGTATCTCAACGCCCCCAGTTGTATGTATGGACAGCAATAAAATATGTACAAATTCGAAAAGAAATCCCCTCAAAATGCCTCCTGTAGATGAAAGTAGATGGGCCACAAGAGGAAACATTATACACCCGAATAAATCAGACGCCACAAATGCAAAAGTCAATGTCTTGTAGTCCAGTCCAACCAGAGTGCTAGTCTTGGGCTTGAAGCATGAGAGTCGATCACGGGTCCGAATTGATGTAATGAGAGCAAGGTGGTGAGAAAGAAACACAGGCGGAATTATATCGCCGATGAGCTGATATCATTCGCGGTTGATGGACATTCCAGAAGGTCGGCAGAATAATTGTCGAAAAAAGGATGATGCAATCGAGACCTCTGTCTATGTGCTTGCGTCAAATACCGGGGGTGAGATCGAGATCGCTCAAGCCTGCGCGATGGGCCATCCGTTGACGTACTTCAAAGGATTGAACCCAAGGAAGGCATCCTGGGAAAACCATTGTTAGCTAATGTCTTCAAGATGAGGACGTGCCCGAAGGGGGAATGAAGGAGGATCGGCGGGCGGCTATCTTGCGTGGTCCACAAGCGTGCCGTGGTAGATGAGGACTTACTGCAAATGCCACACCCACAGATTTGTTCTCTGTATTGAAATTCATTAGCAAGCGTTGCTCATGATGCAGGGAGGGTATATTTAGATCAGTTAGGCTCACGGTAGTGGTAGTAGAGAACGTCGGTCTCGCCAACCCGAATCACGCCCTGCCCACCAGGCGCATAGGTCTCGCCGTTCGAGCCATAGATCACGGTACCGCCGCCATCCACAAGATTCTTTCCGGCCTTATCGATATACGGACCACGAGCATCGTGGGATCGTCCAACGCGAATGCTGTACTCCTGACCAGCAGCGGGCAGTTTGCCTCGGTCCAAGTCGCAGCATCGTCCATGGCTGAACCACAGATAGTAGAATCCGTTGTGGTATGAGGTAAAGGCGCCTTCAATGGCATGAGCTCCGGTTGGGTCACCGCAGATCGAGTTGGCATTGTGGTTCGGACCGTTCATGGCATGGGGCTCGTAGGCCAGGTGTCGAGCATCCGGATGGGTCATGCTGACGGGAGAAATGAGGTCTTTTCCAAGAGGCACTTGATAGACACCGGTCCAATAGCTTCCAAATGTCAAGTAGGCCGTTCCATCTGGTAAGACCAGTGTAGCAGGGTCAATGGCGTTGGATACCGTGTAAGGCGACACATCAGACCCGTTGCCAGTTCCTGTCTGGACGACCACGCCATGGTCATGCCAATGGCCAGCGCCCGGCGAGTTAGAGGTTGCCACACCCACCGCACTGTCCCGGCACCCGGCCTTACTCACACTGTAGTAGCAGTAATATGTACCGTCGACAGCAACGACAGTTGGAGCCCACGGAACAGCCCGATCACCCTTCGGGATCACGCTATTGGCATCTAGCACGCTTCCGACATGTCTCCAGGGACCGGCCATGCTGGGGGCAGTGTGAATGAAGATGTGTTCGCCAACATGGTACAGGTAGTAGCTATCGCCAACCCGGAGGATACTCGGATCATGGGTGTGCTGTCCGGTTTGGCGTGGGGGAGGAAAGTGGACGACAGCGTCCTCATTCTCGAAGCTCGCCCCTTCGCGCATGGTCAAGCGCCGGCTGAAAGCAACGGAGAAGAGGCAAAGCAGTCCCAGTAGAATAAGCATCTTCATCCAGCGTTGAGGAATTGATGGATGCCAAAGAGACCGCAAAGACCACCCCTGGAGAACCTCATCGACGGTGCCAGAGGGCGGCATCACCGACTGTGATAAGTGGCCACTCCTGACGATCATCATGGCGGTACTAAATCAAGGCATGCATTGTTCTCAGTAACAGCGCACGGCGTTCCACCCGTCAGTGGGGTGAATTCTACGGAGTAACGATGCGGAACAGGGCCTGTCCGAGGGGTTCGCCGTGAGGGATGCAACGCGGTCCACTGGTTATCGCCCAGTGTGGAATCCAATGAGGGGCATGCCTGCAAGGCACGGAATGCAGAACAGATCACTTTGAAGCTCAATTGCACAGGGGGGAGTGGTGTTGTGGTGTTGAGTTGTCGGCGTATTGGAGTCTGCCGGGATGGGGCCGAATCTGCCCGGTCCCGTGTCACGATGATTCGCCGGAGGTTGCTTGTCTTCCTGCTGTTCGACACATCCCGATCTTGATCAGTTTCTCGATTTTGCAACAATAGGCGTGACCGCCCACTCTCGGATTGATCCCTGGTCTCGCGGCCCACATGAACAGTTGACACGAAGCAAGGGCGAGTCCGAAAGCCCTTTACTGAGGGCCCGCCGATCGCGGTCCCTGTCGATCCCACCGCGCCCTGGAGGCCTCACGAGCCAACGAGATCTTCCAGTTCCTCACAGAACCATTGTTGCTCGTCTCCGGCGTCTCTGGAATGTTCCTCCCTTCCCCATTTCCATCGCATGGTTCCTTCTGCCTCGGCCAGGCACCCGGCTACTACTGCAGACAAGGCCTTGGTTGTCTTTGGTACCGTGAAGGGAGGTGTGAGGTGCGAGTACCCTTTGCCCTCCCATGCTGTCCAAGACAACGGCTCAAAATCGGCTGGACAGGTGGTTGCGATATGGTAATTAAGGTTGCAGGGAACCACGCCAGGTGAGACATGAACCGGCTCCCGCCGTGGTCGGTGGTTGTCTGGGCCGAGCCAAGACGTTACCGAAAAACTTCGCACCAGGGGGTGGCCTTGGCCCAAGCCACGAAGACTATTTCTCCCAACACTACGAGGGAAATTGACCCTGAGGGAATGCTCGCATGCCATGTATCGAAGGTTTGAATGTTCAGCTATATCGTCCTGCCAGAAAGAACAAAGGAATAGAGACGAGAATGGAAATGCCCCCATAAGACCAAACACCACCCAACACCGAAGACTCCTGGAACCGAACGGCGCAGAATACCCCAGAAACTGCCCCAGAGCCGGCAGTCTACCGCGCAACGATCTTGTCCACCTCGTCTTTGGCTTCGGTCCAGGTCTCAAGATTCTTCCGCGCCCAATCCAAGTGGCAGCGCGCGTATGCGACCTAGAAGGCACCCGAGCCATGGTTAGTTTTGTGGTCTCCGTGGGGACATGGAGAATAGTAGCCGCCATGCATACCATGTAGCGCCGGAGATCAGCTTCCTTGTCCTTCTGGAACCGTTGCAGATCGTGCAGTACGCCTGCACTCGCGTCCTTGACATCCTTCTCCGATACCTCAAGTGCTTGCTCCAGCTGCATAAATTCATTAACATGAAAACTCTTCACAGCCGGCTCCACCAGTCGCGGTCCGTCATTCACCTACCTGGATAAGACTTTCTTTGGTTTTACCGATCTGGTCGCGGCGAGTGCGTTCGGGATCGACATCGGCAAAGCCGTGAATAGCGTGGCTAATGCGACCGAAGATCTTGTTCGTCACAAAGTTCCCACTCGACGTCTTGCGGTGTGCCGGAGAGGACGATGGCGAGAGCTCGGGTCTCTTGTATGCGGGGCTTGTAGACGGTGGGGATGAGTTGCCGATCGACTCGCCGTGCGTGGATGGGAACTCGGAGTCGGGCGAGGCCTCTGTCATGCTGCCACCTTCGCTGCTGACGGCGGAGGAAGTAGAGAGAGATCGCTGTGACCTGGGGCCACCTGACTGAGAGGTCGTGCGGTTGAGATATTGCTCAATACGTTTGGCTTCGAGCTCACTGCGCTCAAGTGAGTCCAGTAGAGTCTTCTTCTTAGCCAGCTCATCTCGGGTCATGTCTTCTTGCACACGCTTCAGGACCCGATACCGTAGTACATTACGAACTACACTCGCGAACTGAGCACTCTCCCGCATCGGCTCCGCAAAGCTGGCACTCAATGCATTGGAAAGCTCTTCGGTCTCAATGTAGGACGTATCGGCTGCCTGGCCAATGCGCTCGATTGCAGCAGCCACGGTTGGGGATTGCTCAGATAGGGAGAATCCATTGTAGCGCGCTCCCAGTTCCATCAGATCGGCAGATAGAGAGGAGAGGTGCGACAGTGTCCGTCGGTTTACCCTCTCGATATTGCCCTGCAACAGCAATTCCAACTCCCGGGTAGATGCCTCGAAGTTCACAAAGTACGGATCGAGCTCCTGTTCGCTCAGCTTGCGCGACTCTGGTGGGAAACGACCAAAAACCTCGGGGCCCGCCACAGGCGGCCCAGGGCCGTCAGTCGTGTCACCGGGGGATGTGGGTGAGCCTCCAGTTGCGGAGGCCGCGCCGCCGCCATGCTTTAGTTTTGCAGACGAAGAGGGAACAGGGAGCCAGCTATGAGCTTGTGTGGGGTTCGCGGGGTCGAGAGGAGGGGCCTTGAGATTATTCTTGGGGACGGAGGAAGCCGGATGAGAGTGCAAAACCTCGCTCTAGAAATCAATTAGCCATTCCGCTCTTATCGCAAAGCAGCTAGCTGCCCAACTTACCCAGCTGACGTTCGGATCCAGGAAGCGCCACCACACTCCATCCTCCCGAACCTCTTTCATGCGGCGACATCGATTCAAGAACACGGCCAGCATGCGCTTTCGCAATTCAATGATCGCCGTATCTTCCTTGGCCTTGGTGGGCTTCGCGGCGTAGTCGGCCATGCTATGCTTCTCGGGAATGGGTGGAATAATGAGAGTGGGATGAAGATTAACCAGGGTCTGGCGCAGCGACGCAAACTCCGAATATCGACGACGAACCTCCAGGTCCTATGTTCCGCATGTGTCAGTCTCGCTCTCGCCAGGACTTGTTCCGCATAGCAACAACCAGCTTACCGCAGTCCGGATGGTGTAGACAATAAAGCTACCACCCCCCTCGTGATTTTTCCCAGCATCCGTGATTAGAATCGGCATTTCCGGGTTCTCATAGAGGATCTGCTCGATGCGACTATCGTAGGTACTCTTCCGCGGGTACTGCTGGCTTGCGGCGCCATAATCGTCCTCCTCCGGATCGCTCAGATCCTCTGGGTGTGAGATATAGTCTGGTGGATCGAGGTTGGAGTCACGGCTGGACGGCGGTGTTGAATCATGCTCGTACACAGCTGCGGAGGGTCAGCGACATTGTAACGATATGGGGAGGGGGGAGCTTACGAGGGGTGAGGGCAGAGGAGTGGAGCGAGTCCGATATGTGGGGCTCATGGTGGTCGAATGCCCCATATGGATTGTTATCCTCGTCATTCCACATGTTGCTGAGGATCACGGAAGGGTCAGGCGAGACGATGGAGCCCTTCGGAGGTGAAGGTTGGAAAGCTGTGCCTGGGGATCTGCGGGGGACTCAACGTCACCGACTGCGGCGAGCGGGAAGGACCACTGGCGAAGTGGGCGGCGGGAGGCGCAGAGGCCGATCTCCATCTGTTTCCGTAGAACTAGAATTCATTCAAGTGATAGGTGGTGGATCCAGAGGCTCTGTGATGGCTCAGGTTCTTGTATCTGTATATCTATTGTGTGTTCTTCTTTCATGCTTATTTTCACTTAGCTTGATTCATAACGTGGTAGGTATAAAATAGACTTGCAAGATAATTCCATCCAGATCGACATAAAATATATCAGTGGGGTGGACCTTACTCGATAGATCACTCCATTCTTTTGTTTGCAGGCGTAGGTCTAGGTATAGGATCTAGATTGCAATTTGAAAATGAAGCCCATAAAGCCGTTACGTATGAATTTTTTTTAAACTATTGGACGAATAGGTAGAGGTATATTTGTTTGTTATCAAGCCATCGATAATAGAGACAAGATCTGGCTGCCCACCCTCGCCTGGCTGACCGTCACTCGATCTTGCAGAAGTATGAAGCCACCACGGCTTATGCCTAATGTTCGAAGATGCCTGCTTCACCATTTGACGGTAGGGCCGTCAGCCCAATCCCCTGCAGGAGATGTACGACCGGCAGGATTGTGGCCGTTCCACCCACTAGGTTCTTCTCCACCCTCCCCGGTGTTGTGCACGTTGTTGCTTTTCCCCGGCGAAGGAGATCGAGCCTTCCTATTGGAATGGTGCTGTGACTCTTCGTCACCCCGATCCTTTTGAGGGGGGTGCTCAGATTGTTTAGAATCGTTGTGCGATGCGCCCCTTTCGCGTGCACTTCCTCGGCCACCATCATGGGTGTGGTTTTCCCCGGTCTTGCTGTGGTTGCTCCAGTTAGCTTGGCCGCTTTGAATGTGCCAGCTGTTCTTGTTGCTGCCCCTGTTGTCCCTGTTGTGCCCGCTTTTCTTGCTCTTTTTGCTCCCACTGGCTTCATTCCTATCAGTCCAAGCATCCGCCTTGTGGGTGTGGTCGTTCTGTTGGTCTCCTCCACTATGGTGGGAGGTTTGGCCTGGATCTTCATGCTCACTCCAGCCAGTAGTCTTCGCTGGCTTGTTGTTGTTTCCATTCGGCTGATTGTTGCCTGGCTGTCCCTGACTCCCTTGGTTTCTTTTCCTTTGTTTCTGTTTCTGTGTCTGCCTCAGCTTCTGCTTCTGTGTATTCTCCTGATGCCGACTCTGCTGATTCTGGTGGGTTATGCGTGAATTTCGCCCTTGGGACTCAGCATCGGCTGGGGAAGCATGCCAATTCCTGACCAGAGCAGCCCGATAAGGGCTTGCCGCACCTTCCACGCGGCGTAGCACGACATAATCCGGTTCCTTCAGTATTGTGCCGAATTTCGGCTTCAGCCGTACCCAGCCGATGCGTGAGTACTTGGGGACAAGTCCGCCAGGACCTTGCCCCCTCTCCACGTCCCAAGTGGAGGTTCGACGGTCACGATTGAGCCGGGCCCGTGCCTGGCTCATCCGAATTCCCGTGTTGACATGTCTCCGGTACCAGCAAATGACCAGCCATCCAAATATGATAATCGTAAGCAGGATCCCGACCAGGAGCGCTATCAGCATGTTCCCCTGCATGGCAGGATGGGTCTGTCGTGAACGATTTCCCTGCCGGAGCGGTGGCTCTGTGGTAATCTCGAACCATGTAGCTCACCAAGTCCCCGGCACTTTCGATGTACGGACTCGACAGGGTTTGCAGTGGACCTTGAGGGTGCGGTTGAAAGCACAGCAAGGCGAAGTGAAGGCTTCAGACGGGAGAACACAGACGTGTTGGATCGCGGTTCAGAAGCGTTGACCGTGGGTCAATATGTCACACGTAGCAGAGTGGATTCAAGAAGTGCATGCTGACAAGGAGGAATCCATTAAATATGTTTGATGAAGGGGATGAGGATGTTGTCGGGTAGTGAGAACTGGGCAAGAGGGAAGCCATGCAACGGCACGAGCAAAAGGGCACAAAGTAAGACCAGTCCAGACGTCAGGTAAACACGCTTCATTACTGGCAGATGGGATTTTCTATGCTAGTCTCTCTGTTTGAAATCCTTCTTTAAACTTGATTTCTCATTGCAACGCCCGAATCCAGCCCGGCCTCCATTCTCGACAGCCAGTTGTCGTGAAGAGAGGCTTTTTTGCCAGCTTCCAAAAGAGCCTGGAGTTGCTTCCGCAATGTGTCCTGCTTAGCATCTAGCGCCTCTGGCAAAGCGAAATATTGTGACCCAAGTGATGAGGCAATACTGATGACGCGGACTCCTAGGACGAACGACTCGGGTTTTGAGGTCCAACCGAGCAGTCCGTCCTTGCCAGCATCCTGGCTGGCTAGCGCTAGGAGGTGCTGTAAACCTTCAGACACCCAGCTCGAGATCTGGCGAACCAAGGTCTCAGGGTAGGCATTTTTCCTCAAATGCAGAAGCACTTCAGACCAAATATCGACTTCACGTACGTCGTCAACGAAGAGGTTTTGCTTTTCCTCGACAAACAATACAATGCTCTCTTGACAGTGTTCTGCCACCAGTTCCGAGACCGGAACGAGACTGGTCTGATTGTCAGATCCGCTAATTCGGGGCTCCTGTCCTGTGAGATACTGAATGACACGACGTGCAAAGTGCATAGAGTCCGAGTAATGGTCGGCAATGAAACGAGCAAGTAGACCACTGGCATTCAAGGGTCCGAGCGCGACAGCGGTGTTGGGCGAGACCGACGAGTATGAGAGAACCCACGATGCAGTGGATGCAGCGATATCGCGCAGTTCTTCGTCGTCATCATTCAACATGTCATAAAGAACCAGATAAATATCCAGCAAAGCAGCATCCGTCCGAGGGGAGCTATCTGCAGGACGAAGGGCCGTGGAAAAGCTGTGAACAGAGACAACAGCGGCATAACGGGTGGTGAATTCCTGGGATGATTGGTTAGTGACGTGCCTCCGAGAATTGCATACCATGACTCACTGTTTCCTCGGTAAGAGCAGAGCGCAGCTTAATCACCCAACGATGAAGACCCTTTAATGGCGAAATGGACGTCCCTTGGTTCGAACCAGCCCGAACGGCGAGAAGACATCCTTGCAGCCGGAGTTCGGCATCTGTGGCATGTCGATTCCATTGCTTAAAATTCGACTCTGGCTTGAACCCTTTCTCCAACTCATCACACGGAAGATCGAACTCGGAGATGGCTTCGGATGAAGAGGCCAGCATCTCCTCGAGAATAGTGGCCAGATTAGAGGCAGCTATTGTCTTAGCATCAGCTGGATAGTCAGCCCGGACGATGGACGTATACAAGTCCACCAACGGCTTCCTGTACTTTGTCTCATCCATAAGATGTTCTGGTAGCTGCTCCACAATCCAGCGACCAACATCAGCGTCAAATTGTGAAACGCCATGGTAGAACGCAGGAATGTCGGGCCATGTTTGTGAAACGAGCAGTTTCAAAATCGTGCACCACGCGAGAGTCCTCCGAAGAAGGGAAGATGCGCGCGTGCTGCTAGCAAGATTCCATCCTGCCTGTGACGCATCGAACACATCTCCCAAGACTCCGTGAAGGCCATGCCGGTCATAAATATCATCAATGAAAGACGTAATTCGGTCTGTGGGCTGATTAGCTTGCGCCACGATAAATCACTTCAATTGTGACATACCTTCAACTTGGGCTGCGATGCTCCGCTCCAAGGTATCATTCAATATCTCGACAAGGCAAGTTGCAACGGAAGGAGATTTGGCAACGGAGAACAGCGTGGCCAATACGTGTCGAAGAGTGGCCAGCAAACCATCCAGGTGCGCTATGACAGTTAGTGGAACTTCTGTCCCATCCTAGAGAGATCAGACAAGCTTACCGGCCCAGAACACGTCAGTCGTGGATGCAAACCGACGAAGAGAGTAGCGAACACAAAGAGCTATTCCATGAACATAGTTCTCGGATACATCCCCCTGGACAAGATTGACCAGGTATTCAACGTCTTTGGGAATATGGCTCCGAATCAGCAATGATGAATACACACGGGCGGCGTGCTCCCGGATGCCCCAGACAGGGCTCTTGAAGTGCTCGAGAACAAGCCCACACAGCTTCTTGTCATAGTCATCTCCGATGGCAGGAATCTTCTCTCCAATCAATTCCAAAGCGGGGAAGATCCGTTCAGTGACAATATCGGTGCCCTCCTGAGCAGTTGTTCCCTCACTTGGTGCGAGGAGGCGAGACAGTAGCTCAAGGAGACCAGGGTACTTTAGGAACGAGATTTTCGATCCTGGTTCAGATCCCGAGACACCACCGAAACCGGCTACAGCTCCGGGAACCATCCGACACATCCTGGTCAATAGAGCACGGAAAAGCATCAGACCCGAGTTGCGAAGCGCCCAACTAAGAGAGTGTTAGTGGTGATCATAAAGGCTGATACTGGGGACCCTACATAGGTGATCCAAGTCGTTCCGCGGACAGCGTAAGGGCGGGCATGATGAAAGGCTCCGTAAATAGACCCAACTTTGTGTTGGTAAAAATGTCCTTTAGACAGTTCATGGCGTGGACTTGGGGAAGCTCTAGATACTGCTGGTCTTTATTGTACTCAACAGGCAGGCGCGAAATTTCATGAAGATCATCCATAGCCTCCTTGAAGAAAGGCGTTCCATGAAGGGAGCAGAAGATACCGGTAACCAGTGCTGGCAAACCGGCAGATCGTCTGGTAAGCTTTGAAGCGGACTCAAAGATAGTTGCTCTAGCCTCTTGATACCAGCTCTTCGGGAGTTCTTGGATGGATACATCCATTGAACTACTGCACCGTTGACAGCATGTGGCGAATGTTGTAGAGACAGTCGAAAAGGCACCACGGTGACGTAGCTCGGCAAGTTGAGTGAAACTGGCGCGTCCAACTTTCTCAAAGTCCTCACGCTGGAGTCCGTCTTTTCCCACGGGCCCATAGGCTGTGTTGACCATGGTAGCATGTAACAACAAGCTATCGAAGGTTGTTAGCAACTGTATTATTTCTAGGCATCATACGTTCAATAGATACCTAGACTCCCTAAGAGCTCTCCAGGAGTAGGAGAGAATGTCTTTTGGGCCCACTGTGAGGTCTTCAATGGGGTCATCAGTATGGCCCTCGGGCGAATCGATACACAGCACGGGCTTCACCTCCTCCCAAACCCTCTCGCAGATGGAGCTGATACGGTCATGGATAGACCGCCAGACAGCAACGTCCGATCCATTGGATACCAAAGCATGGAAATTGGGCATCGACACAATATATCTGGAGTTCGTCGTGAGTGGAATGTCTTTCCTGCCTTCGATGTGGAGATAAACTTACCTCAGTCCAGACATATAGCCATGGAGAGGAGCCTCACGTAAAGTAGAGTTAAACAGGCCCTTTGATGATGACAATCGCTCTTCCAGTTTACTCAAGATGGTGCTCACAACTGATGGCTTTGTCGACCACCAATCTGAGCCAGCCTCGGGCGAGTTACTTGATAGGGCTGCACAGAACAAGATATGGTAAAGACGAGCAACTGTGTCAGCATGGTCGGCTCGACTTGTGTTGCTAGCAATGTTTTCAGCCAAGGCCAGGGCGTCCGTCAAACGCATTCCTGTGGCTGGGGGTTGATCTGATGTGGCTTCCATGCTGCCCATCAGAAGACTTGAAGGGAAGAGGTTGATAATTAACAAAGATGTTTGCCTCACTTCCTCAAATGGATCAAGGAGTAGGTCCACTAATAGCCGAAGCAGACGCGGTTCAAAGATGTTCATGTGGAACTTCCACCGTGTTTCAGTCTCGGACTTTGGAGGAGGGACGCTTGTCCGGGGGTCAAGATTAGACTCCAACAACAGCTTCAAAGCCTTCAAAGCACTAATGTGTCGTGGATATGATGCAGTCACACAAAGATCGTGTGCAAGGAAATTAATGTACTTCCTAAGGAAGGCCACTGTCTCATCATCGCTTTTGACTAACCCAGAGGGCCCATTCTTCAATGTCTGTGCTGTTGCTTCCGAGGATTCCTGCACCGCCAGAATGCCACTCTTAAGACGAACAATGAGTTTGCGTGTGAGACTCATAATTTCACCTCGGCTGTAGGAATCAGAGTCGGCATGCATTGACGGAAGACCTCGTAAAATTGAATTGGTGGCAGCTGATGTGAAAGGCTTGATAGTCGAGAATGCAGTCACTAACAGCGACAGTGCCGCTACGCGAATGTTGGGCTCACGATGCAGTAGGAACTTGCCGAGTACTTCGCTCTTCAACACCAGTTTCTGCGGGGAACCCTCTTTGGATTCACTGGGCTTCGAGCCATCATCTATGGAGATTAGATATCGCATCTTAGGTAGAGTTGGAAATTTCATCTTACAATCTTCGTGAACAAGATTGGTCTTTTTGCCAATGCGCAAAGCAGCAAAAAGAAGCATATACTCTGCTTCATCGGCATCGGTCATGTCTCCGGCAAGGAGGCTCTTCAGGGGGAGGGTTTCCACGAAAGATGTAAAGCCAGAAGGGTCGGCTGAAAAGAGTGGCTGGAGAACGTGGCTCGAAATGGCTTCGACGGTATCCGGGTTATGAAGCATCATGTGCCGGACAGGGGCCACCCAAATTGTTGAAACTGGCAATTCGGGAGTTTCAGGCTTCAATTTTTGCAAGAGAGCGCCTAGCAGGCTGCCGCATGTTCCAGTCATATCGCGGGTGTTGGTCTGGTTAAGAAGACCAAGCACAAAGACCTTTGTCGCCAGTTCCTTAGATGGCTCGCGAGCTATGGTGCTAACCAAGGCTTCAGAGTTGTCTAGAGACAGAGCTCTACGATCCTTTTCAAAGACAGGCACCCACCTCTCGCGGTTTTCTGCGAGCCATTCTTGCAACAATGAAATGAACTCGGGGCCCGAGATAGCACCTTTGCGGATTGCAAGCTCAAGGCATACCAGAGAAGCCTTCAGTCGAGATCGGGGTTCACCGAGCACAATACTGGGCATTATTGCACGTTGAAATGCTCTTTGAATGTCATTTTTCTTTGGGCCATGGATATGCTTGGCCAAGATGGCTACCAGTGAGCCCAAAAGCTGCTTGAGTGGTTTCGGCTTCGCATCTTCAAATCGGCTCAGAAATACCTCGAAAACCGTCAGCCAGTTGTCAGGTAAAAGAACCAATTGCTTTGTATATTCGATTTTGGAACTGGCAGCAGCATCAAGAAAAGCCGAGACTGCATTGCAAGCGGCTGCTGTATGTTGATTAGACAGAGATGGAGTTGAAACTGTCTGAATCAACGACTGCCAAATCCTGTTTACTTTTCTATTCAACAACCGTGAGCCTAGAATTCCCTCTCCGAATATTGAGAGGAATGCAACTCACTGGCTGTCATCACAATCCAAGGCTAGCTTGACAAGCGGACCTTTGGCGAAATCTTGCAATGTCTTTTCTGGCAGAAACTGTATATTTTGAGCGATGTCGTCCATATTGACTACAGTAGCGCGGTAAGCGCCACGGGATGAATCAGCGTCCATCGCCAGTGCAATTCAGCATGACCTGATATTTTGCAATTGATCGTACTCAATTTCAAACGAAATATCGAGTTTGTCCGAAGCTCCCCGCGCTGCCTCAGGCTTCATCATGGCCAAATTTTGGATGTGGGAGTACCGATGGGGACTAGCTTCGGAGAAGCAATTCTCCGTATCCCTTCAGTCACGGGACCGAAGTTTTTGCTGGCGCCGACAGAGACGGTGGAGCTGCCATCAAGGCACATCTTCTTCTCTTCTTTCGTGTACTTTAGTAATCTTATCTCTCTTCTCCCTCTTCCTCCATCATGCCCATCTGGGACAACCTTAGTGGCCGCAAGGAGAGCCAGGCGCCCTCTCCTTTCGACTCCTCCAACGCGCAAGATGCCACTTCCTTCCTTTCCGAGGTCGCCATTCCCGATCCCACCAGGCTCCATCCCCTGGCCGGCCTGAACCAGGACACGCTCGACTACCTGACCCTTGAAGACTCCGCCCTTGATTCCCTCCCCGGCTCTCGCTCAGTCTTGCCTTCCCGCGGTTGGTCCGATGACCTCTGCTATGGTGCCGGCACCACATACTTGGCTGCGTTGACGCTCGGAGGCGTATGGGGACTCGCGGAAGGTCTGAACAAGACGCCAGCTACCGCTCCGCCGAAGATCCGACTTAACGGCGTGCTGAACTCGATTACCCGTCGTGGTCCGTTCCTGGGGAACTCCGCGGGTGTGGTTGCGATGGTTTACAACGGATTTAACTCGGCGATCGGATATGCGCGAGGCAAGCACGATTCTGCCAACAGTGTTGCGGCTGGTGCTCTGAGTGGCATGCTTTTTAAGAGCACGCGCGGTATCAAACCCATGATGATTTCTGGAGGCATCGTGGCTTCGATTGCTGGTGCTTGGGCCGTACGTACCCGGAGATGACGCCTTGCTTTCTTCAACTTCGCTAACATGGACCTATAGGTGACGCGAAAGGCCTTCTTCTAAAATAATACTGGATGAACCACTTTTGTCCCCTTATCATCCTCCCCAGTGACGCGAACTCCAATACCCTTCCTGCCCTACCATCCACGACCCAGGCGGTAGAAGATCACCGCCAACTTCTTTCCACTCGCGATGTATTACAACAGCTTTTATACTTTTTTTCCCTTGCAGATCTCCTCACTCCGGCGCTCGAAGCATCCATGATTCGCATTTCTGCGTGGGTTGGGAACGGGGTGTGTTTCTGGGTTTGTACTTTTTATTGCTTTTGTCTGTGTACATAGAAAAGTCTCTTGCATTTCTGGGGCTTCTTCGACTTCGACGCTTGTTTTCAGTGTCTTGTCTTGTATCCTTAATCCTGCGAGGGGCTTCCAATAGAGAATGGTTACGCATCCAACTCGATCGAATGCTGTCCGGTAACAAGCATCCACCACTTGCATTGAATATTCGTTGAAAAAGAGGGCTTGGGAAAGGACCTTAGGTCCAATACCGCAACATGAAGAGAAGAAAACAACAGGAAATCCAAGCACCACCTGAGCCAACTGCCCGCTGGATGGCCCTCGCCGCTTATCACCGAATCCCGAGCCCCGAAATATCCCGAGCCACGTCTTGATATAGATGCGCATCCACCCTCCTCGGCTTTCCTAGCGAGCGATTTCTGCGGCAATTCTAAATGAAAAGGCCGGCCGCAGACCCGACCAGCAAAAGGCCGACTATGCCAATGGCAGACTTGGACAGAGGACGAGGCACTGCAACGCCAGCGGCAGCAGCATTCGCAGTGGAACTTGCAGTATCACTGCTCGAGGTAGCTGAGGCCGTTGAATCGACGCCAGTAGTTGTCGCACTGAGAGTGACAATACCAGTGGCAGTAGCAGTGGCAGTAGCAGTCGCTGTGGCATTGGCATTGGTATTGCACCAAACCTGACCAGGCTCAGACGCCTTGATCAGACACTCAGCTAGATCACCAACAGACTGACCTTGCGCCAGGCAGTAATAGTCGCAATCATCATATTCCAGCACGGAGGCTGATGAACAGCAGCTACTCATGATTGCCGAGTAATTCCCCTTTATTGGCATCGCGCAGGCGGCGTCATGTGTCGGGATGTCGTACAGCTTGGCGTGGCAGCTGGAGGTCGCCAAGGCAGAGGTGGCAGTCGAGGTGGTAGTCACAGACATCACGTCCTGTTGATGGCGGTTACACGAAAAGAAGTGTGAGAGAGAATGGAACGAAGTATAGGGTCTTCTTCAGAGCGAGTGAAGCTGATAAAGGTTGCTTGAGTTATCTGACAGCGGATAGGATTCATAGGCCATCTTATACTCCGAAGGACCTTTGGTGGCAAAAGAAATTTCACTCCTGTAGCACTTGTCAGCTTTCGCTTGCAATCGATCTCTACCCAGCCTCAATGGGGTGATGGCCACCAACCTCACAATAGGGCTAGGGCCACCGTGCTTGTCGTCCGCGGATGAGGGTCCCACCCATGCACCACGAATCTTGAACCACTTAGGGCTGTTGAAGGCAGTGTTGCTGACGAGATATCTCAAGCTCAGGGCATATAGGTCAATAGCCGAGGTGGGTCGTACTTGTCCTATGCCATTTAACTCGGGTTTTCTATCTTGCTATTTTCATCTCGTTAAAAACAGCATGAGAAGGGTCTTAGCTGACCCACTTCGTCTTGACTGTAAGGGACTCCTGACGCGTCCGGTACAGGTACCCAGATGGATCATGTTCCTATCCTATATCCGATTGGGTCCAGGCCCTGCGTTACAGATCGCAGGTTGGTTACCCAGACCCATAAGGGCAGGAAACTTGGCAGTGTGGTTCCAGCGTGGGTAAATCTACAGCACCCCATTCGATCCCCAAGTTCGTAAAGTATACCTTCATTTTCTGCAGTCAATATTGTTTCGTAGAACTTCTGTCTTGTCCAGGCTCTACGGAAAGTCCGTGTTAGTAGTTCTAGGGCTTTCCTGCCAAAGGTTCTCTATTACAAGCATTTCTTCAATCAAGTTCTACTCCATTCGTTGGGGAAAAAAGGAGGTTCTGGCTGTGGTTCTTTTGGAAGGACCGAGTCAGCTAAGCTATTGACTTGGCGTAGAATCTAAGAATAGTTATATCTAGATAGGGTAAGGGCACCCTTTTGGATGCCTTGGCGGGCTATCCCGACTAACCTTTACCCGGTTGGCCGAGTATTATGGAGCCGAAATTAAGCATTCAAGTGGCTGCCCGGCAGCTTGTGGAGATCGTCCTGTCCTCGTCGCGCGATCAAGATCGGGCTTGTCGTTTCCTTTGTTGGCTTTCAGTAGGGGGGTCCGACTCTGTGGATTGTATCAGTAACAACCACTAACAGAAATATAAATTCGCGCAATCGGTCTTGCAATGGATATCACCCTATCACTAGTAGCTGTGCGTCTCGACCCTTCAACTTGATCGTGCACATTGACTTTGATAGAGGTCGGTGAACCCGCCCCGGAGTAATATTTATCAGCGATCATTGCCGGACCGATTTGGGGCATGATAAAAATAGCACTAGCCTGATAGATCTGTTATGGACTGTGGTGATAATACGGAAGCAGGATTTAGATGACTACACGTTGGAATCATATTCTGGTACATGGCAACACTACAAGGTGCCAGTTCCGTTCGGGCCGAGTGATGGACCGGCCAGGCACAATGAGACTGCGCATGTTCACGCAGAGGCGGCTCAATCTCCCCAATTGGGAAAGGTCATCCGTAGTGACTTTTGCGATTTTCGTTCTTCTCAGCCATTGGTAGGGTTGGCCAACGTCTAAGGAAGTCAACCGCAGCGTCAAGCTTCGGGTAGATGAGGGACCGGCGGTTTCTGATGTGGGGGCTCGTGTACTGCAGATCAGCTGGCTGTGAGTGGAGTTCAGATCTCGTCCATTAACTGCCTTGGCATCGGAGTATCATACCCAACTCCCCTCAATGACTGCTGGGCTGGGCTTCGATGGGCATACAACAATGCTGCTCGGCTCTCAATCGACCTTACGCGGATTGCTATCATGGGCGAAAGCGCAGGATGCGGCCCTCTCCGCGCGCATTGCCAAGCAGTTTTGATATATCCGATGCTGGACGACCGGACAATCACCAACCATGCGAGAGAACGGGCAACCTGCCCTGGAAGGATGAGCAGCACCAGCGACCTTCGACGGAGCTCTTCGATATCAATCTCAACTCAGTGGTGTTTGGCCAAAAGCTGGGGATCCCTCACATGAAGAAGCACGGTGACGGCCCAATTGTCGTCCTGGGATCTGCCACGTCCTGCATCTCTATCTCTTCGCAGCCGCTCTACGCAGCCAGCAAGCATGCTGTCCTCGGGTTGGCCCGCTGCACAGCACATATTGGTGAAGCCGCTGAATCGTGCATTTACATCTCGTCGGTTGCCCCATGGTTGACGTTGACTTCTATGGTGGAGGGGTATCCAGGAGACGACTCGCCCGGATACCCTTCAAAGCTCGCCGGAAGATGCGGCGTGGGTGATTAGTGTGGTTGTCACTGCTGAGCGTCCCAATGGCAAGGGTTATTGGAGAGGGGCGTATGAGGAGTTGGCGGAAGGTTGATTTCGCCGGAGAATCGGTTCGAGTTTCCTATATGGTGTTGAATATTGTCACGGAATATCCATATCTCATTTCGAAAAGGACATGTATGTATAGGGACCAGAAGTTCGTATGTAGCGTGAGGAATCAAGACCGCGTTTCGGGCTTCCTAGGTTGAATTGACTCATCAACAAGCCCTGGACCATTAACCATCCCACTCGGGAACAGCCGTGTATAGAGTAACTATCCGAGTGGTTTGGAACCTGGACAGATGATCATCGTTTCATGATCAGCATGAATAGCATGTCCGCTTGAAAGCTCATCTGCCTAAATGCCTCACAGACAAACTGGCTTTCGCGGACATGGACCAAAACAACCCAGCCATCTTGTTTCTGCGAAAGCCAGTGATGGCCCCCATGTTGCTCGACGCGATCCATTTACCTGCGTCCGGAGACCCTTTTAATTGGCTTAACCAACTCGGTAAATCCCGCACCTAGGAACCGGTTCGTAGCTAAGCTCTGGCTGGTGCATATGATCCATTCTTGATGTCATTCCTCGGTTGGGTGGACATCTCTTCTTCATACTCTCCCCACCTGGTGACCGTTCAAAAGATCAAATCACTGGCGTAAAATGCAGCGGGGCCACGAACGAGGCTGCAGCCCCGAATTCCTTGGCGCACACATCGTCGTCAGCCCTCGGTGTGGGATATCGCAAGTGGCGCACAGGACGCCCTTGGCCCCTGCGTCTATAGGGCGGCAGTAGCACCCCCTCCGCAAAAACAGAACCGCGACCAGCCGACCAGCTCACAATCTTACCTGGCTTGCCTCGGGGGAGGGGGTGGCTGACTGCCTTTGGCCCCCGAAAAAAATGTGAGCTCGTGTTGCCAGCGAGGCGAAGATTCGATGGGTAGGGAACCGGGGTTGCCTGTTGAGGAGTGCATGAATAGGTACCAAGGAAATATAGTTTGTTTGGATAGGGGCGGAGTATTGCGGAGTACGCAGGGTTGCAGGGCCGGCGAGTCTGTTTGCCCAGCAATTAAGCACGCACTTGAATAATGAGAAGATCAATCGCAGGGAAATGATAGAGTCATTTAAATGATTGAATCATCGAATCCAGCAGTCTAAGAATAGTCTGAATCACCCGAAGCGCAGGAAAGATAGGCTTCTCCTAATCAGGCGCTTCCGAACGCGGGGGAAGACCGTCAGCTGACTGGCCGTTCCCGTTTTTGCTAGTCGATCGTCATTGTTCTGCCTTTTGCCTTGGCCGGCTTTTTCCTTTCTCCTTTTCGTCAATCAATTTTGACCTGTTTCCTCTGTTTTTGTTTGGCGGTTGTTCGCATTCACGCCTCAATTGTCACCCTGCCCGCTCTCCCCTCTTGCATGCCGGCCGCGAGACGTTACGCCGTTTGACCCTCGACGGGGCTCCTCCCCACGCTAAGGCCGTTTAGGTCTGGAGGCTGAGACACGGACCTTATCTACGGTCTACAGTCTGTACCGAGTAATCGCCTTCCCTTCCCGTAGAACCCTTGAGACCCTCCCCTTCACGGTTCCGTCGATGGTGACCCCCGAGTCCGGACCGACCGCGAGGTCAGGCCTTGCGATCATCTGCCCGCGGACTCCTCCGTCTTCTCACGATGCCGCATCCAGCCCTTCCAGCAGCCGCAATGCGGGCGCTCCTGCGCTTTACGCTCCTTCCGCACCAGTAGACGTGCCTTGCGTATCGAATCCTTCCACGCCGGGCCTCCCGTCGCTGCAAATTCGCACCGACTTACCCGACATCCGTCCCACCAGCTCGCATCACGACTCAGATCCCTTGGCCTCGATCAGTCTCTCCGGCAGCCTCCCGCGACGGACCCCGAGTCTTCGCGCCCTCGTCGCTCCCCCGATTTCGAGTGCCGGCTCCTTGTCTCCGGCCTCGTTTATGTCGTCGCCGCAGCTCAACGCCATGGGCGACATCACCCCTTTGCCCTCGCCGATCGGCGGGGCATTGCCGTGGCGGCGCGGAGACGTGCCTTCCTTGTCTCGCACCTCGTCCAACGCGTCGCGCAGCGGATCGAGTTTGCGACTGAGTGACTCATCGCAGATGCTTGGTCCGCCAGCGTCCCGCTCTCATGGCAAATCATATAATGGTTTGGACAACCAGGGAGAAGAATCACCGTCGAATCGCATCCGTCGCGACTCGCCCACCAAGCATGCTCGAAATCGCAGTCTGAGTGACTATGTACCACCGGGCCGCATGTCTATCCCGCGCCCGGTTGCGGTCTCGGGTGCTGGTCCAAGCATTGCACCGTCTTCGAGTACCGACTCCAAATCGACTGGTTTGCAGCGCGAACAATACCTCGCCGTTCACCGTGGCATTGCCTTGCCCAACGTTCGCCCTCCAAGCCCTCCGCGTAGTAGCGGAAGCGCCTATGGATATAGCGACGCGGAGCCTGTCATTCATCATCCGGCACCACTCTCCACCCGGGAGGAAATATACTCTGTGAAGTCGGTTCGCACTCAGCAGGCCCGCATCTATCGTAAGATCCGGGTTCTAGGGCAAGGGACGTTCAGCCAGGTCAGCCTGGCTGCGCGAGTGGAACAAGTGCCGGAAGCTCCTCTCTCGCCGGATACCGATCGCGCCGGTGAAGCCGCACCGATCGGGACAACCCAAAAGCTGGTTGCGGTGAAGATCATCGAGCATGGGCCTGCCGGTGGCGCCGATGAAGAGCGGCTCGAGGTGTCCTTGAAGCGCGAAGTAGACATTCTGAAATCAGTGAACCATCCTTCGCTGGTCCAGCTAAAAGCCTTCGGTAGCGATGAAAAGCGCGCTCTGCTTGTGCTGGACTATTGTCCTGGCGGTGATCTGTTTGAATTTGCAACCTCGGGTCACCAGCCCATGTCCCCGGGTCTAATTCGTCGAATTTTTGCTGAGTTGCTCGATGCGGTCCGCTACCTGCATTCCAACTATATTGTTCACCGGGACATCAAACTAGAAAGCAAGTCAACCTTGGGATTTTTGTTGTCATAACCTTGCTAACTTCTCTTCCAGACGTCTTGCTCACCATGCCAATCCACGCTGTGGAATCTGTCGAAGACTGGAGCACATATGACCGCGCTGTCGTGACTCTCAGTGATCTGGGGCTCTCTCGACGTATTCCAGAGCCACCCGAGAGCCCGCTGTTACAGACTCGCTGTGGAAGCGAGGACTATGCCGCTCCTGAGATCTTGATGGGCCAGCCCTATGATGGCCGTGCGACTGACGCTTGGGCTCTGGGTGTGCTGTTGTATGCTATCATGGAGAATCGTCTGCCATTCGACGTTCTCCCCGGTACTCGTGGCGACCCGGCGAAACTTCGCGCGCGCACTCCCCATCGGATTGCCCGCTGTGAGTGGAGCTGGTATCGATATGCTAATGAGGATGAGGAGTGGGACCCCGAAAAGGCACAGGGACTAGATGGCGCTCAGGATTGTGTGGAAGGGCTGCTGAAGCGCAACACGAAGCGTAAGACGCTGGATCAGATTGCCGCCATCCCGTGGGTGCGAGATGCGATCAACGTCCCTGCTGGGCTCAAACGAGGTGACAAAGAGGTGCCGTAGAGCGGGTCTCCCTCATGTCTTTGATATCTGCTTTCTTTTGCCCTTTCTTATCTTGCCCGTCTACTCCTTCTTTCTCTCTCACCTCTATGGTCTCCGGTGCCTTGCTTCCCTGCATTTCTTCCCCTTGCCCCCTTCTTCACTTTGCATATATTTTTCCTTCATTCTACTTTACTTCCTCTATTCTGTTTTTATGAGACATATTGACTTGACCGCGGAGGTCAATCGGGATTTCGGATTTCTTACGTTGTTACTGTTATGCCTGTGGCTAGATCAGCTGTTATACCCATACTACTACATGTATACCCCACCATCTACCGTCGGCCTTGGGAAGATAAATGAAAATATGAAAAATTAAGACGTCCTGGAATTCACCTTTTGCCTTAGAAAGCACTAAATAAATTTACTTGACACTCAGTTGTCTCCCTCATGACTTGGGCCCTCAGGCTGGACTGTCCATTGTGAGAGCAGCCAAGGCTGGAGTAGTAGTTCGGTGATCTTTCCTGGTATACACTTCAATTCACGCAACCATTGGATCATCCCTGGCCAATTCAGTAGTACATCCATCCCACCGAACTCATGCTGTTTCTCGACCTTTCCAGGGTTAGTGAATCATAAATCCTAGCGAGCTAATGCGGGTAGGCGATGACAATTCCGGGCCCGAGATTGGATAGCCCACCGGGGGTGGAGCCGGGGAGCGGTGCTCCAACTCCGACATCCTGGAGCTTCCGCCTTTTCTTATTTCTTGCAACCCCCGGACCCCCCGCCATCTTCTCGAGTCTCTTGAATATTATTGTGACGCGTGGTTCCCTGGGTTTTTCCTATTCCAACCCCCCTCCATCACAATGCTGCCTCAAACTCGGGCGCGGGTGCCTGCCGCTCTGCGGAGCTTGACCCGGTCGGCTGCGACTATGTACGTCCTTGGGCTCCCCGTTCAATTGCTGGATCGTTCCCCTCTCGCTGACTTTTGCTCTCTCCCCCATAGTCGGACTCTCTCGACCACCATCCCCCGCTTCCAGGAAGATGACAAGGCCCTCAACAAGTACTCCCGCACTATCACCCAGCCCAAGTCTCAGGGCGCCTCCCAGGCCATGCTGTACGCCACCGGTCTCACGGAGGAGGATATGAACAAGGCCCAAGTCGGCATTTCCTCCGTCTGGTTCAGTGGCAACCCTTGCAACATGCACTTGCTCGACCTGAATAACAAGGTACGCCAGGGTGTGCAGGATCAGGGCATGCTTGGGCTCCAATTCAACACCGTCGGTGTCAGTGACGCCATCAGTATGGGCACCTCGGGTATGCGCTACTCCCTGCAGAGCCGTGACCTGATTGCCGACTCCGTGGAGACTGTGATGGGTGGCCAGTGGTACGACGCCAACATCAGCATTCCCGGCTGTGACAAGAACATGCCCGGTGTCCTGATGGCCATGGGCCGTCTCAACCGCCCCAGTCTGATGGTCTACGGTGGTACCATTAAGCCCGGCTGCGCCGTGACCCAGAACAATGCCGATATTGACATTGTTTCCGCCTTCCAAGCCTACGGCCAATTCATCACCAAGGAGATCACCGAGCCCCAGCGCTTCGATGTCATCCGTCACGCCTGCCCCGGCGAGGGTGCATGCGGTGGTATGTACACTGCCAATACCATGGCGACCGCCATCGAGACCATGGGTATGACTCTGCCTGGCTCTTCCTCCAACCCGGCCAACTCCCAGGCCAAGTACCTGGAGTGTCTGGCTGCTGGTGGCGCGATCAAGAAGCTGCTCACCGAGGACATCCGTCCCCGTGATATCCTGACCCGCCAAGCCTTCGAGAACGCCATGGTCCTCGTTAACATCACTGGGGGTTCTACCAACGCTGTGCTGCACCTGATCGCCATCGCCGACTCAGTGGGCATCAAGCTTGACATCGAGGACTTCCAGACCGTCTCCGACCGTACCCCGTTCCTGGCCGACCTGAAGCCCTCGGGCAAGTACGTCATGGCCGACATGCACGCCATTGGTGGTACTCCCGCCCTGCTGAAGCTCCTCCTCAAAGAGGGTCTCATTGACGGCTCCGGCATGACCGTCACTGGTGAGACTCTCGCCAAGAACCTCGAGAAGGTCCCCGACTTCCCGGATGACCAGAAGATCATCCGCCCCTTGTCCAACCCCATCAAGCCCACTGGCCACATCCAGATCCTGCGGGGCTCTCTCGCCCCCGGTGGTAGCGTCGGTAAGATCACCGGTAAGGAGGGTACCTCCTTCACTGGCAAGGCCCGTGTGTTCGACCACGAGGACGACTTCATCGCTGCGCTGGAACGCAACGAAATCTCAAAGGAGGAGAAGACTGTGGTTGTTATCCGCTACACCGGCCCCAAGGGTGGCCCCGGTATGCCTGGTACGTGATGCATTGTCCTGACCTTTCTCTGATCTGTCTCTCCTGTCCTAACTATCCGTGTTAGAAATGCTCAAGCCCTCCTCCGCCCTGATGGGCGCTGGTCTCGGCTCTTCCTGTGCCCTGATCACCGATGGCCGCTTCAGCGGTGGTTCCCACGGTTTCCTGATCGGGCACATCGTCCCCGAGGCCGCTGTCGGTGGCCCCATCGGTCTGGTCAATGACGGTGACGTGATCACCATCGACGCCGACAAGCGCGCCCTTGACCTTGAGGTCCCGGAGTCAGAGCTTGCTGAGCGCCGCAAGGACTGGGAGGCCCGCAAGGCGGCTGGTCTGCTGCCCGAGACTGGTCTGACTATGCGCGGTACCCTGGGCAAGTATGCCCGGAACGTCACGGATGCCAGCCAGGGCTGCATCACCGATGCTGTAGAGTAATCCATGTGGAGTTGTCTTTCGTCTGCCCGGGTGTCTCTCTGCCCGAGCATTAAAAGCGATGTATTTGTCTGGGCCTGTGCTATATAATATCATATCATATCAATACGACCTTATTTTGGGTTTGCAGTTGCCGGTCTCGAGCGTAAATTGCCGATCTCCTCGTGCAGCTGATTTGTGCAGATCTTACCCAGTGGAGGCCTGAGCGCGCTCACAACCCGCCTATCACCGGCCACAACAGGCCTTGACACCCGCTCGCTCAGCTGAGATGTGCGCCGATCTTCCGTTGAACTGAACAGAGAGCGCAGTCACGCTGTAGTTCCTGCAGGGCCCTGCATCTGCAGAATCTTGATGGAGTCCATCCCTGAATGCCTCGGTTACAAATGTCGTCTACCTGACCTTCACCAACAGCCACGAAATTTCCAACCGGAGCTCGATAGACTCACACATCACTCTATTCACCTCGTTTATACAGTTGTATGGCCTTGACATGCACCCGACGATGGCTTCCACTCAATTCGAGCCTCCGGAACAGCGGCGCATTCGCCGACGGACAGGGCAGACATGTGGCCCTGCAGACAACCGTCATTCCAACGAGTCGCTGTACACAATTCCCACGGGGGCGTCTTCATCCTCCATGCTTCGAACCTCTTACTTACCACCACCTCTCCCATATCGCTCTTCTGATCCAGTTGGCTCACCTCCCGCTCCTTCTCATCCTCCCCAACATATGCCTCCTTCTCCTCCTCCCTTCCCTTCTCATGCCTTCCATAATCCTCACTCTTCACACCATCTTCCTTTATATCACCACTCTCAGCCTCCGACAGCCTCTCGGTCTTCCTTGCATCCTTCACGCCTTATGACTACTCTCCTGGTTTCTCTCCCAGTGCGGAATAGGACTGGGTCTGACTTGACAACCTGCACATCTTCCCTTGCGCTGGGCCGGTCGATGTCGGAATTGGTTTCCCACGGCGCCAGCAAAGCTAATGCAACAATCCTGGAACTAGAAGGCTTGGTTTTGCGTTGCATTAATGGCGACCATAATGTGCGTGATAACACCTCGCTGCTCTTGGACGGGGTTATCACGTCAATGGATAATGACTTGTTTTGCGGGAGAGAAAACGAACTCCGTAAGTTGGACTGCTGTGAACCGTTTGAGATGTGCAGTCACTTACTTTGGAGTGACAGTCGCGGCTTGCACTCGTCCATTCCGGCTACATAGGCAACAGCGCCGTCGACAGTCCTCTCGACCAGGGCAGAAAAAGACCTCACGGTCAACTGACTACTTCTCCAAGGTGTACTTGTACGCCAATTCACGAATGCCACCGAGCCTACCCCAGTTGAGGCTGTCAGTCTTCCGCATTCTATCATGACATGTTCCCTTGCTGATTCGTTTAATATCCAGCGACCCTCCAATTTGCATTTTACTCAAACTGGCAGCTCACTACTCTAAGCGGGCCTATCGTCAACCTCGCGGGCAAGAACGACGCTCGTACGTGGACGCTGACTGGCTACAAGGCACCAAAGCAATGGTGATCAAGTCACTGCCAGTGGATGAGGCGAAAACAATCGTGTTCGCTATTCGTGGAACACAGTCCTTCATGGACTGGACTGTCAACGTCCAAACTGCACCGGTTCCTCCCACTGGCTTTCTCAATGATCCTTCCAACAAATGCCACTCGGGATTCCTTAGGGTAGCCCGCAAAATGGTTGCGCCTGTTGCAGCCGCGCTACGAGCATTACTCGAGGAGGACCCCAGCCGCAGTGACTACAATTTGCTGATGACCGGCCATTCAGCTGGCGGCGCAGTGGCCAGCTTGCTCTACCTCCACCTACTCTCAGAGTCCGCGGGAGTACACTCCGAGCTCATCCATCTCCGTGGCTGCTTCAGGGAAGTCCACTGCGTCACATTTGGCGCGCCGCCCATTTCTCTCTGGCCGTTGGCAACTCCCCGACCCGCTCAGGCATTATCGAGGTCCTTTTTCATCGCCGTAGTTAATGAGGGCGACCCGGTCCCCCGCGCGGATAAAGCCTATTTCTTCTCCTTGCTGGATCTCTATGCCTCCCCCGCGCCAGCACCCATATGGACCACGCTTGCCTCGGGAAGCAAGCCCATCTCGAGTGTCCACTGGAAGGTCCCGCGGACCACTCTGTCCATCGCAGGTCGCATTGCTCTGCTCCGTGCTCGCGGTCGGTTTCACGGGCGTTCGGCTACAATGCACAATCCCAGTGTCCACGCTCCTCCGGTACTACCACCGCGCGAGGATCTAGAATTGTGCGGGACAACGGATGCCGAACTATCTGGTGTCGTATTTGGTGACCCTCTGATGCATACAATGGATCTATATGCTCGCCGCATAGATACTTTAGTTTGCGAGGCGGCTCGGGGTTCCTCACAGTGAACCCCCCGTTCCCAGGTAGCTATGTACATACATCATCCCGTCGTCTGACTATTGGTATCGGACAAGACCGAATGCCCACCTTCTTCACATCAGCAGATTACAAGTGCGATAATAGTAACATCCCCAGCTTCAAACAAACTTACACTTTGCCCTCTTTTGCCATTCTGGCCTTTCCTTGCTTCTCCGCGTCTTCTTCATCCCTCGCCGCCTGCTCTCGCCCCCTAAATAGCCGCACCATCTCTTTCTGCAGGGATATCGCACAGTCAGGACAAATCCCAGCTTTCTCCTCACGCCGCTCTTCGGATATCCGGTATTTGCGCCATGCGACTGGTTCCGTGCGTGGCTTGCAGTATTCACGGTATTTCGTGGGCAGACCTGCTTCTTCGCAGCGCTCTTTTCGGCCTACGTACGTGTGAGTGCAGGAGGTGTAGGTAACGTAGAGTTGTTGACACATCCTGTGTGGATTGCTGAGCGTACTTCAGGCTCGCGTCTGGAGCTGGATTTGTCTGGCTCTTTCAGTATTGGTCTTGGGGATGTAATCTGGACTCCGGCTATGGTCAGTGGGCAACCGGTCATTTATAGGCATCCTGTTCGGTTTCCGGTTCGCTAACAAAGGACACAACAAAGCCATTCTTGTTTGCCTTCTGTGCCGTTCCAACTTGCCTAGGTCTATTGTTGGTGAATTCCACCTGTTCCCTCGGGCCTTTGTTATATGCACCTCTATACAAAGGGTTTTTTCCGCCGGGTGGGGCTTTCCTGTCTGGGCCACCGCCGCTTTAATAAGGGCCATCAGGCTTTGGCTCACTGAGTAAATGTTAGCACAGGTTCATACTTAGTGATCTAGTTAGTGTAGTCGTATAATTAATTAGTAACAAATTATAGGTACTTCGTGATCGCTTAGTGGTAGTAATAGCTTAGTAATTACACGGCTACTACTTACTAGTACTTATTGTCAAGTTAGCGAGTCATACTACTTTTCTTCTAGCCTATCTGTACCTCCGTAGACTATGCAATGTGAAACTACCCCAAATACCCACCTTCGCTGGTCTGATCAGCTGACTCAGGAGCTCACTTCATTGGTTCAATTTAAGGATCATATGATGTCCATGCTAAGGTTTTGATGTTGACGTCATGACCTTATTAACCTGCAGAAGTTGAATTCATATCTATTTCAACTTTGCCCTTCCTTCAAACCTGTTTGGAAGTTCGCATACATACGACAAGAAGAATTCTGATTTCTCCTCAAAGACAGCCACCCTTACCGCGATTAATAACATAATCAAAGAGTACAATTCTCCGAAATCATCATGATGGCTACTCCACGGATTGAGCACTATACAACAGACGTTCACGCCCACTGGGAAGGCAATCATGCTAAAGATTGGGCTGAGATCGATCTACTCGGATATGAGACTGCCACTGATAGGATGTTCCGGGAGTTGTGTGAAAATCCCGACGCTGCTCTTGTCCAAGTTGGCCATAGATCAAAACTGATCAATGATCACGGCCATGACTATCAGTTTAATGGAAAATTCACAAGTGACCAGACTCACCCAGAGCACAGTCACCATGAATATAACCACTTTGGGAAGTTGATGAAATGGGAAGGGGATCGTTGGTATAAATATGACTTTGAAGTGGAAGTGACTGATCACATCAGGTCTCAATGACCGAGGCAATATGGTTCAGGTCACTAAGGCTATACTGAAACAGAAGCTGTTTTGTGGACAGTATGCTCTGGCCACAGCATTGTATCTACTATGCCCCAATCTCAGGGAATTCCTAAGGTCACTCAAATCAAGAATCTTCCAACAAACAATATGCACGCAGATTACAGCAATGAATTTTATTTATCTTTCTGTCTTTTATAAGACCAAACTCCTCGGTACAGTTTTGTTCATCAGGCTGAGCTAATTTTGTGCCATCAGATTCCTGTAGTGAGTTTTGAGAGTGGATATATGCATTTTTCAGAATTATAGCGACATTGGATGATTTTGCTGGTAAATTTAGCTGCGCATTTTTAGGCTTGATTTCGCATATGTCAAATGAGTATCATTGTTGGCAAAAAATCTACACCTTCATCTTGCGACGAACGATTATTCAGGACAAAAAGCGGAGATATTGGTATGTTGGGATTTAGAGATACGCCTGTTATATCGCCATTCACTCTAGGAATTAGTAGCTTACTAATAAAGGTGAAGTAACTAACGTAATTCCCGGCCGACCGAGTAACCCGGCCGACCGAGCAACCCCACCCCCTATAGAAATTTTGAACCAAAATATATTAACTAAAACGCATCAATTTAGCTATATCTGACGATTTTTACATTGATTGGTCTTATGGCCAATTCCCCTACACCCACTATACCTTGGTGGTGCCCTGGTTGCTGGCTGGGCTAGTTGAATAGCCTCATCGGCCTGCTCATGCGAAACGACCCGATTAGCTTTAACTAGCTGATTTAGCTGCGTAACTAGCTGTTGACCCTCTTCGACCGATAGGCCTCTTTCGTGAGCTATCTGCCGATTTGATCGTGTGCGTTTTTGGCGTATTTTCTCATTCCCTATGCGTAGATCAGCGTTTTCTTACGTATATATCGTAAGGTTATGAAGCGATATATAGTGGCCTTTAATGATTTGATCTAGAACGGTTTTTGATAGGCTCGGAGGGCTATTTAACCGTTGTTTTAATAGATCTTTAAGTAACGAAGCTGATTTTTTAAGTTAAACGACGGTTCTAGGTATTTTTAGGCTAAAATAGCTATCGCTAGTAGCTAGCTAGCTATTCGGTAGTAACGGTATTTTAAGTAAGATATTAAGCTTCGAAAGCACCCGTTCTGGGTTAATTAGAATAAGACTAGTAGCTACAAAGGCGTTTTAAATAATATTTAGTTAAAAGGCCTCCGTATACGCCCGAGGGTAATTAGCGAGGAAATTAAATTTATCGATATAGTTATATAATACGTAAGCTAGATCGCTTACGAAGCGGCCGTATACGTATTTTAATATAGTAAAACAGCTAACATTAAGCGGTTATAAGAGATACGAACTATACGGAGGCATATAAAGTAGTATTATATTATTTTTAGCGTAGATTCGGTCGAATTAAGGTATAAGATAGCTACTATAGCTATTAAGAATTAATAGCCGATATTTCCTTTTCGTACGTATCGTCGTCGCTAGGATAAAAAGCTTTTATAGCCAATAAAGGCTAATTTCATCGGTTATCTAGCCGTTTAGCGATACCTCGATACGCTAGTCTTTTAGAAGATAAAGCTATTCGTCGAACTAAGAAGCGATAAAGTTTTTATTTTTAAATATTACGTAGGGCGGCAGCGAATAGCCGTTAGCGTTTACTACTTCGACCGTAGTAATCTATTTACGATTACCTAGTTATAAAAGCGATCGCCGACCGTAATATTTAGCTCTTATAACTACTTTTTATATAGCTATAAGACCTATAGCGAAGCCTATCTTATTAAAGTTATAGATATCCCCCGGTTAGATACCTTTCTTATTAATAATACGTCGGACGGTCGTAAACTAGGCTCGTAGTAAGTTTAGGTCTTCGTTTTAGGCGTATTAGTAATCGTAGCGTCGTAAAAAGGCTAAACAAAGCTCGTCTCGTCGGTTAACGAAGCTTAATAGCTAATTCTTGCCTACTGTAGCCGGAGGGTTCTTACTACGCGTAGCTAATAGAATATTAGCTATTTCTCGTATAGTAGACAGCCTAGGCACTACTCTATACGTATCTATAGAGATAACCTACTTAGCAAGCGAATCCTCTTCTAATTAGGTCAATTTATAGCTAGATAGGCATTTATCAACGCGTAGGGGTCGGCCGTCGACGCGGTGTTATAGTGTTGAACGCGGTATTCTATATAGCTTCGCTGCTGCGTTGACAGACTTGATGCGGCCATTTTTGATATCATTAATAGCCAATAAGAACTTGCCCTCTTGGTCAACCAATTTTGACGCGTTTTTGACGCGTTGTGGTGGCATAGTAGGTGGTTGAATTAGGTAGGTGGGTAAAGAAGCATGATTTTGGATGGGGTTGCTCGGTCGGCCGGGAATTACGTTAGACACTGCTCCTTACTAATTTAGAAGTAGCCTTCCGTTCCTCTTTAACAGAGTCACAGTGGATCTAGTCAATAAAAAGAAACCGACAATCTTATAATTGTGCTTAGGTTTGCGGGTTCCGCATCGAGACTCTTTTTTGGTTTCCCTTCTACCAACGCTTTGCACTAGAAGCTAATAGTCAAGTAGGATAGCCCTCAAGAAGTAATTAGTGACTTTGAAAGACTTAACTTCTTCCTCGTTATACCGATAACGATCTAGTCAACGGGCTCTTAAAAGAGCATCTTGCGCGGTTTTTCGATCTAGCGACTGCTAGATAAGCTATTCAATTCATAGCGATTGAAAAATAAGTCTCCTTACGAGTATAGCTATGTTATACTGTATCATAGGCTCTGCCACCTAGCGAGTTAGCTTCCTCGTAGGGTCTTTCTTCTATAGCATTTATTAGATTCTGGTTCCTCGCATAAGCAAAGAGGCTATAATCGACGGGGGGTGAAGCATAATGACACTAGTCACCTTGGACCAGCTTGGGCTCTCTTCCGATGCATACGCAGCCATTGTCTCTAATGTGGATGTTGTTGTGCCTGCACCCTGCTGCAAACAGGTCTTTCTGGGACTCGTATGACAATTTGCAGCCCATTAACGTGAGTCTTCAAAACTTTGGCGCGACTTGCTCTGCTAGCAGGAAGTTCTCTTCACTTCATGTCCTCTGGTTGCGTTACCATGTACGGGGATGAGGTTCTTCCGCCCAAAGATGGCAGCGACGAGTATGTTGGTACGAAATGGGCAGGAGAGAGTTTTCTCAAAAGGATTTCGACGGAAAAGAAACTGCCCCTGTATGTTCATCGACCCGTGGGAGTTTCTAGAGAGAGCAACGGTGGTGTAGATCGATCGAGGTGTAGTACTCCAAGACCTTACCAAAATTATGGGTCGAATCGGCTTACGCCCATCCTTTGAAGGCGTCGCAGGCTCTGTCGACGTCTTACCCCTGAATGAAGTTGTATCCCTTGTCAACAAGACGGCCTTGATAAGCACAGAACGCCAAGACCAACCAAAGGGTAACATGCCACTGGAGGTTGTTCACCACTCAGCAAGACTCAGAGTATTTATGAAAGAACTCTCCCGCCACAGAGGCAAACGACGATCTACGCTAACTCCTAAATTTGCCGATTTTGATGGTTTAGAAAGGTTAAAGTGGCAGGATTTCCGTATTTCATAGCGGCGCAGGAGTTGAGGATGACGTCTGGAGGCGAAGAACTGGTGTCACAGCGTTAAAGGCGTAAAAGGGGTAGAAGGTTGGACTTGGCGTTTTTGGTACTGAACCTTGTTGTTATTTTCATTCATTTTCTGTTATTTCCTGTCACGCTTTATTATTTTCTATTACCTCCTGTTAATCTTTAGTATTTTTTGTTATATTCTATTATGCTCTATTAAATAGAAAAAAAAAAAAAAAAAAAAAAAAAAGATGTTACCCTAAAACTAGTGGTTCCTTTATTAAAACTTATTGCAAATTTCAAACAAGTGATTCTTTTAACTGTATAGAAAAGCCCATTATAATTCCAAATAAACAATTATTTCAACTCTATAAAACCCCATATCTTGACAAACTTTCAGCACCTTTCTTCGCTCATCTAAAGATCAACAGCAAACTTGGTTCGGAGATATCCTCCGTAGTGGTAGAAAAGCCACGGGACAGGTGTAAAGGCCAGAGTGATGAAGCCAAGCACGCTGTTTCCCCATCCCAAACCGAGCTTGTTGTATAGGGGCGCGGCAGTCAGGTCGAGAAAGGCGCCAAAAGGCGAACGAACGAGCAAGTTGGCTGCCATTGCCGACGCTGCAGCCGCAGCTCCGAATGAATCAACAAGGTAAATCTGGCCAGGGATGACGACAAAGAGGGAGCCAAGACCAATAATGGCTGTTCCAATAATGGGCACAAGCCAGTGTGTGTAGTAGTAGGCGCTCCAGCCGTACATGAAGCAGCCTAACGGGGTAATGGGCCCAAACCACTTCATGAGAATGAGACGCTGTTCAGGTGCCGCAACGGCACCACCCTGCTTATGACCGAGAAGCTTGTCGCTAAGCACGAAGAAGAGGACGAGTCCGCTAAACATGCCAATGCCCAGACCAAGGTATGCAAGACCGGAAATGCCTTCGTCGAAGCCGTAGACGCCGTGGAAGACGGCCGGGAACGTAGTAAAGAGGAGGAAGATGATACCAAACATGAGACCCGTATAGAGGGAGATAAACAGAACAATGGGCGAGAAGATGAGCAGCTTAAGGGGGCGAACGATGGCGCGCAGCAGCATCTGCTTGGTAGTAAGGTTGGAAACGCGGGCGGCCACAAGATCCGGGTTGCCTGTTTCCTTTCGCAGCTGTTCCACCTTTCTGCTCAAAAGGATCGTAGCATTTGTCTCGCTCATGATAGCAAACGTAGCAGCAGTAATTATACCAGACTTTTCCCGGATTGGCTGAAATTCTTTGTCACGAATTATAAAGGGTACATACCAAGATAAGAATAATTCTAAACGTCCAGCGCCAGCCGAGGTACTGAGACACGAAGCCTCCAATAAGGGGTCCAAGGATCTATTTCAAGTATAAGCAAGCGAAAAATAAACGCTAATTAAGACAACCTACCGGTCCGAGGATAGGACCCATAGTGAAAAGAGCCATAGCCTTGCCTCGCTTCTCCTGCACAGTAACGTCGGCAACGGTACCGCCACCAATACTCATCGGACCAGAGGCGGCGCTGCCAGCGATGAATCGGAAAACGAGAAACATTGCCGTATCGGTGCTAAAGGCGCATCCAAAGGTAAAGGCGAGGTAGACGACGTTGCAAAAGTTGTAGACGACCAGGCGGCCGTAGAGTTCGGACAGAGGGGCGAGGATTAGAGGGCCAATAGCGAAGCCAAGCACGTAGAGACTGACGGTCATAGTTTCGAGGGTGTTATCGGTGACGCCAAATTCGTCTGCTAGTTCCTTTGCCCCCGGCGCAAACATTGTCGCGGCGAGGTTTCTGTGTGTCTGTCAGTTTACGTTTTCCATCAAGGGCTATCATTATTTTCGAGAGTACATACGCTGTCAAGGTGAAAATACTGACAATAGCCACGTGAATGTTTTTGCGAGACGCGGGCCAGTTGAGCGGGTTAGCAGGGTCATCGGGGCCATCCCAATCGACTACGTTGGGGTCTTTGAGCTCGATACGCTTGCTGAGGTCGGTATAGTCAACGCCAGCTTCGATCTTGGAGTCGGTTTTGTTGGATACTGCCATAGCCAACATGTCGTTGATGTTGCGCGGCTATGTGCTTATTTCGTTGTTTGAATAGGGAACAAAGAAGCGTTTGGCTATAGTGTCACGCAGGTAGAAAACATTTAAGTAGGGCGATGCACTATGGTATGTTATTTTACTTTTACATCCCCTTTACTCTTGACTCAGTTGGATGCGGCTGTTACATCGTTCTCCGACCCCGTATCTCCTTTTCGGATCCGCCAAACAATCTGCCCCCAGCCCAAAACAACAAATATTGGCCGATATTTCCATTGTTACCTATCAGCAGGGGCCAGGATGCCCAAATTATAAAAGAAGATTAGCGTAACCTTGCGCCGTGGTGGCTGCTACCAGCCCGCGCACAGAAGCGCTATAGTGCGGGTCATCGGAGCGGAACAGCGGAGCGGAGAACCGGAGCGGCGTATCGGGGGGCACGATCGGGAAACCCGGCCAAAACGCCTCTGTGCCTTACACTGCGATACGATTAGTCTGGATTATTGGATTTTATCTTTTTATTCCATGCCCTGGCATTGATCCAGCCTTGTTTTGAGTATCGGCCTACTTTCATTTTTGGAGATATTTTCCTTCTGTTTTCTTTACGCTACCCCGGTTCTACATATATTGTGAAACATCCAACACTTTATTCCTCGCACGCTATAGGCTACTTGAGTTCGTCCTTCTTCACGCTTACCTCACTTCGCTATACTCTCCTCTTGGCCCGACGCCATATTATATTACCACACACAACAAGTAGACCCAATAGGCACAGCCTGATGTGGCCTTAGTGGCCATTTCTTTTCGCACGCAGCCAAAACGTAGCATCTTATGCAAGCTACAAGCGCCCTCCTCGCAACTCGCTTTAACCGACACGCTCGTTTGGCGACAAATGACAAAGCATCGCATCCCGACCTGACCTAATCCGCAACCTCCATTCCAGCCGATCGCAGATAGCCAGACTTTGATACGTAGCTTCTACTGAAACGAGGCAGGACCTCGCGCCTTAATGTCGACAGACACGTTTGAGCCCGGCGACGACGGCGACTCGCCGCTCCCGGTATGGGGGCCAGGCAAAACCGCCATTGGGAGAGCGCGGCTGCCATCCAGTCGCCGAAGGGACAGAGTCCAGCTATCCTGCGATCTCTGCCGCAGGAGAAAGTGAGTCCTCCCGTATGACCCGAGCAACGTGCTTCGTTCGCACCCGGCTTTGCCCACCCCGCCCATCCACGCCTAGTTTCGCTTCTCCTCACGCTGACAGGTCTTGCCCGCTAGGCTGCGCTGTGACCGGCAGCAACCGTGTGCAACTTGCACGCAGAGAGGACTCGGCTTGTCCTGCGCGTACAGGCCCAGCCCCCAAGCGCTGGGAGACGGCACCGTGCAGCCTGTTCGCCCCGTGGCTACTGTGCAGGACCGCATCAAGCAGCTCGAGGACCTGGTGGTCGACCTTATGCAAAAGATGTCAGCGGCGAATGTGCCACCGCTAGCTTCGTCGTCTAACCCGTCTCCCAGCGCCAACACGCCACTGGCCACGCCGGCGGCAGACGGTGCCCACCAAGTCAACTCGCCAGACTTGGATCACGGCAGCATGCGGCTGACAAAATCCGGGGCAAGCTATGTCCACGGAACGCATTGGGCGGCCGTGTTGGATGGCATCGCGGAGCTCAAAGATCACTTTGACAGGGACGACGAGGCGCGTCCGCGTCCGCATCCCCTCGGCACTGCGCAGCCACCGCAGGTAAACCTCAGCGGGCCGCAACTTATACACGGCTTTACAAAGGTCGCTACCAGAGACGAGATATTGGCGTCGATACCGCCTCGCCATATTGTGGACAGGCTGGTCTCGCGGTATTTCAATTCGTTTGAAATGTCGCCAGGTAAGCAAAAGTAACCCGCCATGTAGATCAGAAGGCTTAGACTGCGAACTTCATACAGCTGTATTGCATAGTGTTCAATTCTTGCGGGAAGTATGTTGCCATGCTGATCTTGTATTATTGCTTAGAAGCAGCAGATTCTAACTGATAAATTTTAGTACCGCGAATTCTGGACAGATACCTCGGAAACACCAATCATTTGGATAGGTCTCTTGTTCAGCATCATGTGCCTCGCAACCTTGTTTGAGCAGTTTCAGCAAGGTCCACAGGATCAGGTTCCTGGAACGCCTTCCAAAAACGAACTCCAAGACATGGTGAGCAATTTCAGGCTCCGCATCGTGCAATGTCTTATCCTCGGAGACTACACCAAAGGGGGCGTGTATGTGTTAGAGACCCTCTTGCTATACATGGCCGTCGAACTATTTCTTCGAAGAGACGCCGAGATTGGCATCTGGATCCTTCTCGGCATCATTGTCCAGCTGTCCATGCACATGGGCTACCACCGGGACCCGAAGAACTTTCGCGGCATCTCTCCCTTTGACGGCGAGATGCGCAAGCGAGTCTGGGCCACACTGTTGGAGGTGCAACTGGGCATCTCGATGCAAATGGGCCTTCCGCGGCTGATTGCGCAGTGGCAGACCAACACCACGGAGCCCTCCAACTTGCAGGACACCGACTTCAACAAGGACACAGTCAGCATGCCTGCGTCGCGGCCAGAAACAGATCTTACGCCCATGGTCTTTCGCATCGTCAAAGCTAGGATGATGACAGCCATTGGCTACATTTGGGACTTTGCCGCCGACACGAGAGCATGCAGTCGTGAGGAAACGGAACGCATGGAAAAGAACCTCCAAGACGCGCGCGCCTCGATTCCCGAGTGTCTCCAGTGGCGGTCCATGGCAGACTGCATCATGGACTCGCCGCACGTCATCATGCAAAAGATTTGCCTCGAAATCATGTTTTACCGCGCCAAGCTCGTCCTCCACCGCAAATACCTGCACCTCTCGCAGTCCAACGCCGACTACCACCAATCCCAGATGGCATGCCTCAACGCAGCGCTAAAGCTGCTCGCGTACCAGCAAATGCTCGAGGAAGAGACGCAGCCGTTCTGCCAATTGCACCACGAGCGGTGGAAGGTGTCTTCGCTTGTCAATCACGATTTTCTGCTAGCGACCAGCGTTCTCTGTCTCTATCTGAAGCAGTCGGCGGGCGATACCAATGCGCAAGCAGAGTCCCCGACTGCGCACGACATTCGCACGGCTCTGAACCAGGCATATGGCATTTGGCTGCAGTCAAGCGATACCTCGCGAGAGGCGTGGAAGGCAGCGAAAGCTCTGAGCATTGTCTTGTCGCAGCCAGGACCTGGCAATGTGCGCCACGATGAGCAGCCGCTCTCCTCTTTAGATGTACGGGGCGATTATTTTGAACGTAGGTTTTCACTCTCCTCTACTATGTCAATCTTTGGCTATGAAGCGTCTTTAGCATCTGTACTAACACTGGCCTACACAGAATTTGGTCTTCAGTTCCCTCCGCTAGACGGCTCTGTTCTGATGGACTGGCCCTTTGCGAACAACGACGCTATATACACTGCTGGCATCCAGGCTACGCCGCAAAATCTCGGCTGGTCAATGACGGGTAGTAAGTAAGCCATCTTACTCTCCGGCAACCTTAACTAACAATGAACAGTTGGTGGGGATGCTATGTACTTGGAGCAGTAGAAGCACACTTATGCAGAATGGTGCCTTGTAAAGGCCATATTTTACCAAGCGAAAAATTCAGATTTATTCTATTCATTTCCAGATTTATGCCTATTTTAATTTTTACTCGATTCTAATATTTCTTCCATTTATTTTCAGTCTAGCGTGCCCCCTCTAGCATTTGCTGCGCCGTTGTGCCAACCCAAGCTCATCCTGTCTCGAAAGAGCATCTGAAACGAATGCGCTCTTGCCGACAAAAGACCATGATTGCCAGCATTTTGGCCATTTCTTTGTAAAAGAATATACTGGGTCATTTTGGATTCAAATATGCAGGAGGCCGGCTCGGGCTGTCTTGGTCCCTGTACATTGCCGCCGGCCGCTTCCCCTCTCAAAGATTCGGGAAGCCCTATCAAAGATTCAATAGGTTGAAATGCATCCAAAAGCAGCTGAACAGCTAGCAGGTTCTTGCCGTACCGCTCGTATGCTGACGAGAGGTCTCCTAGACGAAGCCGCTCGCTTTTGCTCACCGCGGCCGTAGCGTTGCGGCCAAGCGGCGTTTCGTCCTCTCGGCCGGGAAAACTTTCAAACTGCGTCAATACTAGCGTCAAGAGATTTTCTAGCTGCAAGTAGCAGCTCAAAAGCAGCAGAATGGTGGGTGTATCCGTGGACGAACCGTCTTCTCGCGTCACGCTCCTTTGATCAGAGGGCGACGGCATAGGGTATTGACGGTGGCTGTGCGACTCATATATGTCTCGAGGCCAAATCTCTGCTGAATCTTTGCGTGCTGGTCGCTGGAAATAATAAAGCAACCTTTCAAACGCGTTGGCCAGGGACAAGACTGACCCCACGGGATATTCCGATAAGTCAACCTGACTCTCTTGTGATGCCCAGCGGCCCTTTGCTAGCGTATCCAACGTGCTCTGAATGTCGGCAATGAGCTTTAATATTTGCTGCACCATGAGCGCTGGCGTACTCGAATCGCACGATTCCGACGCGGTGGAAGGCGGGTTGTGCACTGCAGAAGAAGCTGTCGTGGAGGAAGCAAGACGTGCCACGGCGCCATCATGGCCCTTTTCTGGCCTATTGGCCGAGGGCTGCGGAGACTGCAACAAATCTATATAGTGACGAGAACCCATCTCCATCCATTCGGGTACTAAGCTTTCTGCATTGCTCTCTGTGAACAACGTAGAGCTCTGCGGGAACATGTCCGGGTTAGACGTTGTGTCCGTCAAGGAGCCGTCTTGGTATCCCCATAGCCAGAACGGTGAGTCTGCACTAGGTGGTGAAGATGACTGTAATGTTCGTCGCGCTTGCTCGGGGATAGCTTTGCAAAAGTCGCTTGCTGAATACGCAATCTGCCTTGGCCCGCTGGCATCTTGTGCACTGCCGCGGCTCATCGTCCGATCCCTGTGCAGCGAGAGAGCATCTGAGCTTTTGAGAACGGCAGCGATCGCAGGCTGTGCGGATAGAAGAGGTGACTATGTCTGGATATCATGGTGCTTGATGGCACTTGATGGGCACTTGATGGTGTTCTAGACATCCAATATCTTTATCAGGCTGCAGCCGTGGCGCCCTGTGCCGTTTTGCTGAGTCTTGTCCAGGACGTCCAATATCATTGTTAGGGCTTCTGCTATGTATATTTCTCTTCAGATACAGTATCACCCTGCTCGGAAAATAATATGTAACCGGGCCAGACTTCTGGTACTGACAGGCGGTGGTCCGATCCCACAGAATTTTCCGCCTCGTTGCAACTCCGACAGAAGCGTCGTTGACTAGTTACCTAGAGGACCCGGGATATTGTCGGTGCAGATACCAAATGGGTTAAACTTTGGGGAAGGATCTAGGTGAATAATTTGCAAAGCTAGCCCAAATGCCTGGCCATTGGGACATAACCACGGGAAGGATATCCCCGGTATCCCTTGTAAGCCTCAATCTAGATCTATGCAGGCGGGGGGAAACGTGTCCGCAGTAAAGTGGTCGTTGCCCTAGGCGTAGCGCTACCCGGCCGTCCATTGCCTTCACTCATCGAATCGGAGGGCTTGGTGCAGTGTTGGAAACACATCATTCCTTAGATACCCTGCCCGCTATGTCAAGCAGCATTGGTGCTTTTGGAATCCTTGTCACCTAGTGTATCATCTAGCACAGATAACTGAGTAAATAACGTGGTTAAGGCTGAGCAAAAGCGGCGAGAGGGTGAGCACTAGAACGGAAGGAGGGCGCCAAGAATTGCCAGACATTATCCGGTATATATGCAGGCAAGAGAGATATTTACATTCCCGATTGGATGCAATGTTAGAGGCAATGTTTGAAGTCTGACGTGGATCAAACTGTTCACCCTAAACCTCTCACATTCATTGGCACCAACGTGTCTCCGGTCATTCGGTATTTAGGTAGCCATCCAATTCACCAGTCTATGTGATATGGATATGCCACCCTAAAAACTCAAGCTATCACCAAGTCCGCCTCGTCTTGGTCCACTTCCGAACAAACTCCTGCTTGTCTTGAACACCAAGCCCAACACGCTTCACTCGGCCCAGACGAGCTAGCGCCTCGCCCACCTGGTCCAGCAGCGCCTTCTCGCCAGCCGTTACCTCCCCATCTGCAACATCCTCGTCCAGGGTGTCGAGATAGTTCGTGTGGAAGGTCGACTTGCGAGTCGACCGAGCGGGCGGCATGTCGATCGCACTGCGCCCACTCAGAACACACTCGGCGATGCGCACCCGGATGCAATGCGTGGGGCGACTCAGGAGCGTCCACAGGAAGCTAATGTAGCTGCCCGGGAGCGGGGTCACCACGTCCATCGGTGTGTACTTCAGGCTGACGGGGAAGATCTTGGTCGTGGAGGGGACGCGCAGCAGCGAGTGACTCAGGGGCAAGATCCCCCGGCTGTTGGTCGTCGTGCACTCCGGGAAGATGACAATAGCCCGGCTGGGGTATTTCTCCAGCAGAGTGGCCACATCCACCAGCTTTGTATTCGGGTCGGGGCCAGTCGAAGGTTGCGCGAAGGCGCGCAGGATGGCCTGGAGGAGAGAGATATGCTCGACCTGCCGCGTATTGGGGTAGGATGCCGTGAAGACTGGGTCGAAGATGGCGGCCAAGTAGACGGCGTCAATCGGGGAGGTGAACGAGGACGCGATGACCGAGCCGGGCTGTGGCAGACGGGCTTCTTGTTGTTTGGAAAGCGACCTAGAAGACGAATTGTCAGCATCCACCAGCCGCTGTCAGATTTGGAGCACGAGACGGACCCTTTCTTCACTCCATCCACTTGCAGGTCAATCCACCAGATGCTGGGGACGCCTAGGATGCACCATAGGGCGGTTTTCTTCCCCAAAGAGCCGATGGGGAGCCATTGTAGGATCAAGAAATATGTCAAAGTGACGAATAGGAACAATGGTAAGCGAAAGCAAAAGAGGAACACCCGGAGGGGTCCTTGTAGGCCGAGCGGCTCGCCTGGAATAGGGAGGAAGGGCGCGATGCCCGAGCCTGGGGACAATGGTTAGCCGGATAGAAGCATGGCCGCAGCATACCAGTTGACTTGCCTCGATCCCGGAACTGAGAAAACTTCTCCATTGCAGCATTCACACTGGCAGGAGGGGAGACGGCGGTTGCTTCGAATTTCTGGGGCCTTTGCATGTGAGACGCACGTGACTAGATAGCTCGCTGAGCTGGTGGGTGCGCAAAGGAGAACTATAAGAACTGTGATCTATTCTAGATAGATTTTCTTTCTGTCTGCATGATCAAGAGGGAAAAAGGGGGGCGGAGAGGTTGAACAGAATAATGCCAATGAATGTATGTGAATATAGAGAATAACTTAAACACCGAAACGCCCTATCAATGACCTGGGGTTTCCCTTTACTATACCCGATCTATATGCGATTTAATGAATGTGCGCTTACGCATCCATCCCCTCCTCAAACTCCCCCACCACAAACTCTGGGTCGTGTGGTGTGGGTGGCAGCTGGAACCACCAGATCGCGGCGGCCACCATGCAAAACAACGAACTGGTCATCATCCAGGCCAGTCCAATCCAAAATCCCCCGAGTCGCAGTCCAAGCTGGAAGACCGTCGTAATTGACAGACTGGCCACAACGTTGCCGAAGGACTGGATAATTTCAATGACGGTATACAGGCGTGCAGTTTCGTCGCGCTCGACTAGGGTGGTGATGATCGAGCGGGTAAGGAATACGAAGCCCGATCCTGATGTTTGAAGAATCATACTCGGGATGAGCGTGGCCAGGGATGGAGATAGGCCGATACCCAGAGTGCCTAGAGTAAGGCACAAGACACTCGCGCGTGCTAGCCAGAGATCTTTCTCGGTAGGCGTGCGTCGAGGGTTTAAAACATGCTTCTTCAGCCAGGGGAGGCCCCACAGAAACACGGGTATAGACACCGTAGGCCGAGACGCCACAAGCAAGTTGGCCTGTGCCAGCGTCCAATGATACCGCGTTGAAATATACTGCGTCAAAAACCAAGATGAGCCCCGGCTAAGACGATATACCAAGAAGGCCGTCAGAAGGAGAAGCACCGGCTTCCGGTTGAGGATGAAGAGATAGGGTTTCACGTAGAACCGGTAATTGGCACGGCATTTGGCCCAGAAGGATGGGCGTTGCGGGGTCGGGTAGCTCCAGGATAAATGAGCTTCGTGTTCATGGTCCACGTCCAGATCGCTCTGGCCATGATACAGCCCAGCTTCCTCGGGCTTGCGGGAGGGGTACTTTGGGTCGGACTCCTCCGATAACTCAGAGAGCTCCACATTGGATGGCTCGGCACCATGGGACGGAATTGCATGCTTTGTCTCGGGCAGTACTAAAATAAACATCAGGCCGCCGAGAACAATGGTATATCCAATCAATAGCGGGGCCCAGGGGTCCATCGTCATGAGCCATGAAGCAAGAGCGCTGGTGACAAAGTCGGCCCCCATGGACACAATGGCAAACTGGAAGAATAGCCCAGCTCTGTCAAGTACAGTCAGCTCTGCGCACACATGTCAATCATGGAGAGAGCAAACAATACCTTTCCGACTCGCTGGTGACGTCAGCCATCATCGTCCAAATGATGGCAAATGACACGACGGGTCCACCACCTATCAACCATGCCAGCGAGGACAGCCAAATGGCCCTCAATGGAAATATATCCGAGAACCACAGGACTGCGACAGTGATAATCGAGTTCAAGAAGAAGCCGGGGATACCGAGGACGAGGGTCGATTTGCGGCCGCGGCGGTCTGCCAGCAGACCGTAGGGAATGGCCATCAACGCGCCTGTAGTGGAAGCCCGCAGTCAGCACAGTTGTCCATCCCATGTGGTGTCGCCGTCATTCCAGCTAGCCCGAGGATCCATACTTAATAACCCATCGAAGAACATATGGTACCCCTTAACCGCCGCTAATTCCGCTTGAATTTCGGCGAGCTTGCACATCTCCTCCGGCACCTGCCCGTTGGCGCCAATCTTGGTCGGATCCGTCTCGGTATAGTACTGGCCACAGGCAATGGACTCCATCACGCGCACCATGGGGCCCTCGAGAAAGGCGAAGCCAATCTCGACAGACAGCACCATGGCGAAGAGAATGAGCTTCAGCCGGAAGCTGATCTGGCTGGCAGACACATTGCTCTCTGCTGGCAGCGAGTTGGGCTTCGCAGGACCATTGTGGTCGTGGGCGCTGTCGAGGGGCGCGGATACGGAGGAGGCGAGGAAGGGGGCATCCTCGCGGTCTTCGCGGTCTTCGCGATCGAAGTCAGGGTCCACGGGCATGGCGGCCGGGCATGCCGTGATATATAGAGGGAGCGAAGAGGAAGTATCAATCAAGAGCGAGAAAGAGTGATCGTGGCATTGTGAGGGAAAGAGGGTCTGGAAGCGAATGGGGCCAGTGAGATGAGGCCTGCTGCAATCGTCTGGCCAGTCCACGTCCGCAGTCCGCAGTATGTAATCAATTATGGAGTAGTAAGCCCGCTTCACAGTTGAGGGCCAGTTTCTCCGTACTCGACGGAGGAACCCGCACGCCAATCGTCGCAAGCGGTTCCGCCACGCCTTCTTGGCGCCAGATGCCGCCCCACTTCGTCAGGGGTGAATCCGTTCGTTAGTCGTCCGGAATTGGATTATTGGACTGGCATGGGTGGATGTGGCTACTATTTAACGGTAGAGTATGACTAGGATTATTCTGGACGACAAATAAGTATTGCTAGTCTATCGTCTTGTTTCCATGAGTTAGCAACCGGTTGAAACCGAGTACGGAGTAATACAGGCGGCTAAGCTCATACTGTAGCCAAGCTGACGTCGTCAGCTTAGTCGATCCCAATGTGAGGACGTCGTACATGTGCTTACACCACTTCTAAATACTGTATGACTCCGTTCATAAGGGGCGATTAGTGAAGAATTAGAAAAATAGGAGTAGTGTTGGAAATATGGTACATCGTTTCAACTTTAAAAGGTAAGACCCTAGGGTATCAGCTTGTGGTTGCTCACTACGGACTACTTGTGGCCACACGCTAAACCGATTTATGCACATCCTACCCTGTTCATAGAAGCCTATCCAATCACAAGGAGCAAACCCCAGAGCGACAACCAACTTCAACGCTATTCCAAGTGAACTATATGTGTCTATGAAATGTACAGTGCCCACATGCTAATCACGAATACCCTGCCTCCTCAAAGAGGCTGCCGCGCGCTTGCACCACGGCCGAAAGCTCCAGCAGGAACTCGTACAAAATCACCACGTTGGTCAGGACGTGGCCTAGGGTGACCACCGGTGGCTGTTCAGTGTCCGCTCCCTCGGTCTCGGTAGTCGTGTCTTCCGACTCTCCAGTGGGCAGTTGCGGAGGTCCCGTGGAGATAGGCGTGGCGAGGCGCTGGCGGAGGGCTTCCATTGCTGCGGTGCGGGAGTCGGATGATCCCCGTGATTCAAGGGGACGTACGGAGGACTCGCCCCGCCTCGAACTAGGTGCCACAAGACGGGGGCTGATGGGCTGCGGAGACCGGCCCCGGGAGGCTGGGGCGAAGGGTTCGGGCGACCCTGGGTAGGACGGGCGTGAACGGCCCACGGACTCTGGGAGGTGAGGCTCGGATGGGTCTCGCGAGCAATCCGGAGTTGGTGGACGATCTCGCTGATGGAGTAGCTCCCGTCTGGCCGCGACTAGCACATCAAAATCCGGTAGGTCCCGCTGCCACTGACGGGCCTGGTTCACGAGCCGTTCCAGTGCCGCAGTCAATGTAGGGGCCGCTGTTGCAGGCCAGGTAGGTGTTTGATAAGCACGACTGATATCAGCAGCCTCCTCAAGAGAGCCTTCCGCAGGCGAGTCGTACTGAGTTGGGTCGACTAGGACCCAGCCATCCAGCGAGAACAGATGGGAGGAGGCCAGACTCATAAGCACCCCAGTCAGGGCAAGATTGACAATCACACTGTTGGTGAAGAAATTTTTGACACATCCCAGCAGTGCCTGAATGATAGGATCATCCTGCTGAAGCTGCAGCGGAAGGGGGATTTCTTCCTCGGTCTCATCCATAGAAATAGGGAGGCACAGACGAGATTCAAGTACCCAGGTCGCATCTGCAACATAGTTGTCATATGATTCGTTTAGAGTCGGCTCGACAATAAGCGAGGTGCCTAGTCCAAGGAGATGTTCAAGCTCTGCATTGAACGCACCGACAGACCGCTGCCTCGCAGGTTCGGTGGGGACGGTATGAATTAAGGCCCGCGCGAAAGGGTGATGCTGCTGTAGAACAACATTCAACAGACGCAGTGTGGCCAGCACAGTTTGCCGGTTTGAAGAATGAAGTCCAAGTAGCGCTAGGTCACGCAAGTTGAAGAGAGAAGGGGAAGGCTGGGCTGCTTCCGATGCCAACGCGGCCAGCACATTTAGAGATCTCCGACGACTAGCTGACATGTCCATCTGTTCCTCGGGCGGCGGAGAGGAGGCCAGCAAGAAATGCAAGATTCGGTGGACAAGCTCGCCTTGGTCAATCGAGCCCAGGATTCGGCAGAGGTAGGTCAACACAGCCGCAGTAGAGCCACCGGCCACATCCGACGATTCCAGCAAAGAAGGGTATCTGAGACAGTCAGCATAACCGAAATCACAGCGCAAATAGAGGGCCTATCTACAAGAGTTGCTCGAGAAAAAGGACCTGGAAATGGTCCAGGAGGGTGTCATTCACTTCGGCGGACTTGCAATGATCAATGGTGTCCTGCCAAAATAACAAATATGACATGAAAGCATCCATGGCTTCGCTTAATGCGGGCTGAAGAGCCGTCTCTTCGTTTGCATGATCAGAAAGTGCAATGATACGTGGCACATTCTCGTCGGTGGGCGTAAATGTCAAGCTATATTTCATTAGTCGTTCGCTCCGATCATTTTCAAGACCCAGACATACCCGCCCAATTGACTATACAATGCACCAAGGCCAGTAGCCATCAGCGTCGCCAAGTCGCTTTCAATCAACCATTTCTCCAGATTCTTCGAGCGCGATGCGGTCTCGATGAGGTACAGCAGTCCCGTGCGAGCAAAGTCGCCCGCGCGCCCCTCGTTATGAACGTATTCAACGAGTAGATAGAATAGCGGAAACTCGTCCTTGCGCGTCGCGCCTGCGAACTCTGTGCCGTTTGGGGCTGCTGATTCGCCGTCCTGACCGATGAGGGTAGCTCGGGGCACAAACCATGCTGGTAGGATGGCAGGCTGCAGGCGGATGTTATTGGCGATGCCAAACAGCAGCTCCACCAATCGACCTTCGATCTCATCAGAAGCTTTATCGGCACGTCGGACCAGATCGACCAGCGCGCGAGCAAAGAGCCGGTTGTCCACCACCCCATCTACCTCTGCATCGATGAGCGTATTGAAGAACAACGTGGCGGATCGCAACACGTTCTCATCATAGTATGACAAAGCGAGCTTGGTGACCGTCACAAAGATTTGCGAAGATGCTGCGTAGACAACACAGGGGTGCGGTGCTGGGCCGCGAGATTCGTCGTTGAGTATGGAGTTGAGGCGTTCGATGTAGGTGCGCGCATGGGTGGTCGACTGCTCGGCAGCGGGGGTATTAGTGGAGCGCCAGATTTGCTAGATTTGTGTCGAGTTAGTCAGGGCCGCAATCACCCCGGCGGGTCTCGTACCTGGAGGGCATTGCAGGAGCGTTTGAAGGCCGTGAGTCGTTCAGTGGGCGATGTGGCCCGAGAGGTCTTGGACAACGCGCGCGAACCGCCGATGAGACGAGACCACTGGATACAATTAGCATGCATATCGGGATCGGAGCGCTAGAGGCAACCCACAAAGTCCATTCTGTGACAGCATGGTCTCGCGACCTGGAGGGGGAGGAGAAGTTGACGGGGTTGTAGGTCGAGTGGAGCCGGTGGGAACTCGTGTATCGCGTTGATCGTCAGCATCCACCCGCCGACAAGCTGCGCGTCAATATCCAATCAAAAGGCAATCAAAAGGCGGAGTCAAGCAGGCACTGCTAGATACTGTGCAGGAATAGGCCTGGTTCTGGCATGTATAATAGAATTGAGGGAAAATGAACATCGGTGGAAGATTGACCTTGTTGAAGACAAGTCTTGTCACGATTCAAATGACCCCTAGGCTTCCAAGAAGCACTATTTGGGCCCAGGTCCTCCAGGAGGACTTATTCAAGGAATAGAGGTACTTGTCTTTGGAGGATCATTCTGTAACTAGGACTTTGCCGATAGATCTCTTACTTAAGAATAGGAGTTGGTGCAGAACAGAAGCTAATACGCAATATCAAGCGACGGAACCGATCTCTATCAAAAACAATCAATTAGACCTGGACCGTAGCCTAGATTGTCCGCTCACTGGTAGTCTATCGGGGTTATAATGGGTTTTCAGTCGTCAAATGCTGCAACGTAGTTCTCATACACAGGACTCAATCATTCCATGCGCATCACCCCTAACAATAAGCCTTCCAACCTCGTTTTGAAGAATAATGTCCACCATGATCTTTACCCTCCTGTTCAATATCTTGGTGGAATCTGATCGAGTTGACCCATTTGAGACTGGGCACGGTTTCGAAGGGACAAACATAAAGCTCATTCAAACCTGCCATAATCGGCGTCTCTACGCATATTAAGGTGCCTAGCTAGACCGGGCTTGTGTACCGGACGGCCAAGAATCTATCAACCGACTGGAAGAAAGGACAAGGTACTCAAAGGATAAAGTACCAAGTATTAAGCATATACTACCGGCTATGTCCCGTACCTCCCAGGTATCGCACTGCTCTCGCGTTCTACGGCTGTCCTGCACTAGAGACAGCAGTGATGCCACGAGGTTTTTTGATGACAGGTCCATGGCGGCCCCAGGTTGTTTATTTGACTGGTGTGCATGCCCGCCTGGGCTTGCACCAAATTATTAACAGAAGGACGTGCTCCTTCGATGAGAAAAAGACGTAATGAACAATCCCAATCCACCCACAACGCCCCAAGAAAAACAGCAGATATAAAATTTCCGATCATCAATGCGCCAGGTGCCGGGTCCCCTCTAGCACGTCGTCAATCGTGTCCAATACCGCGCTCTTTAGTCGCTCTCCTCCTTGGGTCGCCGCGCACCGCGCTTGCGACGGCCTTCGTTGTGATCGCTGCCGTCATCTTCCGTTTTCCGGGGGCAGGGGCATCTGGTACCTTGGCGATGATGTCAGCCAGAAAGTCGAGCACTTCGTCCTTGGCGACCGCGTGTTTGAGGTGAGTGGCTGTGACGCGCTTGGAGTTGCGGTCCTTGGCTTCCTGGGCGGCTTTGGTGACGAGGGAGATCATGAAGAGCTCCAGAGCTTTAGCTATAGAAAGAAGTTAGGTATTTCGGTGACGGTCAGAGCGACCAATGATCACGCGAAGGGAAGGGCTTGGGACTTACAGACAGCAATGGGCGTGACTTGCGCGACCTTGCCGACATCCTCATCGGCCTGCATGATGCGCTTGATGCGCGCGACGGGGAACTTGGTCTTCACCTCGACTCCAGCGCCGGGGCGCGTCTGTGGAAGCTCGTCTGGCATTGAAGGTGCGACGGCGGGCATAGTCGTGGGGGCCTCGGGGACAGGCGCGTCCTCCGGCTGCAAACGCGATGAGCGACGGGTCATCTCGTCGAAGCCGAGTTGGAAAGGAGGCACGTACTGTTGGGAAACGCGACTCGAACTAGGGCGCTGGCCAGATGAGAAGAAGGGCGATGCGTCGTAGGAGGCGCGGTGAGCGAGTGGACTCGGCGGCGCGTACGGTTGAGTGGGGTTGGGGTTGGGGTTGGAGGGCGGGAGAGAGGAAAAGTCGGGGGATCGTGGACGATAGTTCTCTTCGGTCATGCTGTGGCGTGGTCGCTCTCAATAAAAATGGGGTTGATTCAAAGCATCAGGGCAGATGCGCGTAGATTCAAGCGGAAGTAGTGGAAATCATGGAATTGGAGGGTTTTGGCGTTCGGATGGCCCAAGCTCCTGCAAGTAAAAAAGAACAGCACGGCGGACTCGGGCGGTCGCGCCCTTTTTAAATTCCGCTCGGGTGGGCCTTTGCCTCTCTTTCTTTTTTTTTGCCTTTTACCTCTTTACTTTTTACTTTTCTCCCCCCAAACTTCATCTTTATACTCTTCACTCTCCCCTTTTCACCCTATGGCACCCAGGATGCAGTCTTTGTATGTATCGGCAGGTAACTAAATTGTGAATTTTTCTATTGACATCTTGCATGCTTTGTCTTTCCTGTGTTTCTATTTGCTATGCGCTTTGTTTCTGTAATACCACCCCGCCAATGACGATAACAGGCTGTCCGGAGGGCGGACAGAAGACACCACCTGATGGTATCGCTGCTCCCTGGTGATGGACTCCAAAAAATTACTTGATCTAATCTGACGGCGGGGTTATAACTGTATTCTCTTCACCTCTTGAACAAAATTACTAGCAGTCCCAATCAATCCAATCATTCCCATCCTGCACGCGAACTTTGGCCTAGACCATCCTGTCGTAGATCGGCGGAACGTTTCTCCGACCAAATTCATGAACCCAGCGATGCTGCTCATCTCCAACTTCTCTGCCCTCAGAAACTTCCCCTGCTATTGTCCCGGTCGAGCACTGAAGTCTCCTGATCCAGCCATGGCTGCGGCGGATCCGCCGGCTGGCCTCGTGGACATCGCCAGGTAAGCTCGCATGCACTCCTTCGGGCCAAGCAAGAAGATTCGCTAATCCGTCGCAATGCAGCGCGCTGTCCCAGGATGAGATCCCATTCAAGCTGCGGTGTGCCATCTGCAACAAGCTGGCGTTCAATGCCTTCCGCCTGCCTTGCTGTGACCAGTCAATTTGTGAGACCTGTGAGTAACACACCCTGTTCAATGTTTTTCGCTATGTGTGATCACTAACCTGGATGTCTTTTCCCTCTCTAGGCCAAGCATCCCTCCCCGATACCTGCCCCGTATGTGCACACACTCCGGTCTCTCCAGATCTTTGCAAGGCCAACAAAGCTCTGCGCACCACCCTCAAGGCCTTTTTGCGGACGGAGGAGAAGAAGCGCGAGAAGGGCCGACAGTCGGCTGCACCCCCAACCCCGGTGATTACCACCCCCGCGGAAAATGGGACAACTTCCACAGAGACCACCGCCGATCAGAAGCAGGCCGAAGCGACTCCGGCTGAGGCTCCAGTGGGTTCTCTTCCGGCTGAGACCGAGACTGATGAGGCTACAAATGAAGCTCCGCCCGTGGATGCGGCATCAGGCAGCATAGCGGACAACCGTGTGCCTGAATTGGCCGAGATTAAGGCTGAGGTAAGACTCTCTATCATTCCTTCAAGGTACGGTTCAGGCTCTAATCTTGCGCAGTCCGAAACCAATGGTGATCAGGCTCCCGGCACGACCACTGCTCCGAGCACCGGCGCAGACGCCCAGCTTATAACTGGCGAGGTATTGGCGGACGATGAATCTGCTCTGCATGACCCGTCTCACCAACCTGGCTCCAACATGATAAACATGGGCCCTGGAGGCTTCCCTGGCACTGGCTGGAATGGGAACAACAACTTCAATGCGATGAACCCGTTTATGGGGAATTCCATGTTTAATTTCCCCAACGCAATGGGTATGTGAATATGCTTCCAAACTGCGCTCTTGTGCCAGACCGCTAAATCTGCTATTCCTAGGCATGCCCATGACGATGGATCCAATGGCCGCAAATCAGGGGATGTTCGGAGATTACGGAATGAACATGACTGGTATGGGCATGAACATGGGGATGAACTTCAACGGGCAGGGCATGTATGGATCCTTAGGATGGGATGGCTCCCAACAGAACTTGTGGCAAGGCGGCCAAGATAAATTCAATCCAAATGCGTTCGCAAATGGCATGGGCCCTCCCTATGGAGGAGCATTTGGCGGGTCTAAGATGTCTTACCCTTCTAACTCGGACTTCCAGTCTGGTTACTACGGGCCTGGATATGGCCGTGGAGGTGGGTTCCGGGGTCGTGGCCGTGGCTATTTCCACGGCGGCCCCGGGCGTGCTGGATTTGGAGGCCCTGGGCTGGCTCATCTCTCTCACGGTAATGCAGGACTTCCCACCCCACTGGCCTCCAGTACTGCAGCAGCCAGACCCGATGGGACGTCTGCCGAGGATCCCTCTCAGATGAACGAAAATTCCGGTGCTGACCCCGTATCGGATCCAAACACACACGACACCGATGGTAATCCCGAGGCGCCCATCGAACCCACTGCTACAGATAATCCCAGCCAGCAGTTACAAGGAATCCCCACCATTGACAGCCTGGATCAAGCCGCTGTATCAACTGGACCCAGCAGCTACCAAGGGCACATGGGCTCGGGATACGGACGAGGCGGCTACATGCGAGGCCCTGTTCCTGGAGGTCGCGGTGGTGGATACTGGAATGGAATGCCTGGTGCGTATCGCCCCCAGCCTGAGGTCAGAAATCCTGGTGTGGAGGGTGCGCCCGCTGCACCCCGTGCAATGCGACAAGGTCTGCCAAACACGAGTATCTTTCGGCAACGCGGTTTCCATATTCAAGGACGGGCATCGGCCAGCAGTAATACACCGGCGCTGTCTCAGAGGTAAGTCTCATGAAACCTCTCTACCAAGAGTAGTGCTGTACTGATTGATATGCAGAGGGAACTCCGAAGCGCCCCAGGACGCCCCGCGAACTCGATCTCCATCTAAAGCTCCATCCAAAGCTCCATCACAGGCTCCTCGAGCAGGGTCGCGATCTCGTTCACCCTCCCAGAGCCGGGCATCTCGTGCTCACTCACCCCCTGGTGATGACCGAGAAAGCTGCCGAGAGCCCGATTCGAAGCAGAATGACACCACTGGGGAAACCCAGGCTGACCGCCGCTCGCGCTCCCCCTCTCGGATGTCCTCCCGTCGATCGTCACGACGCAGGGATCGCGACGGTGAGCGGGACCGAAAAAGTAGCCACCGTTCGCATCGGTCTCGCCGTCACCGTAGCCGAAGCGATAGTCGTGATCGCAGTCCCGCCAGAAACGGCGACGGCCGTTTCCCTGATCGCCATACGCTAATTGCCGAGGAAAATGGACCCAATGGCCACAGCAAGGCACCTTTAGACGCGGGCGAGCGCGCTGATCTCGCCAGTCGCATCAGCAGTAGTCACCGATCTGGCAGGGACCGACCCAGTCGACGTGAAGACGATCGAGAACGAGATCGAACCCGAGACAGTCGACGTCGGGACCGAGACCGGGAGCGTGATAAACGCGATCGCGATCGCGACCGGGACTCGGACCGTCGAGATAGAGAGCACGACCGAGATCGGGAGCGCGATCATGGCCGTGACCGAGAAAAAGAGCGCAAGCGCCGTCGCGACCGCTCCGAGTCCGCCAACGCCATCAACCGCTCCTCTCAACCTCAAACGCGGCGTGTGAAACACAGTTGCGACGACCGGGATCGCGACCTCCCCCGAGCTCCGCCCGCCAAGTCGGAACCCGAAAAGGATCCATATACGCAGGAACGCGAGGCTCGCAACCGTGAACGCCTCCTCCGCGAACAACAAAACCGTGGCAGCGCAAAATCAGGCAACACCAAGTCCGGCCATCGCCGCGACAGCCGGCAGGATCGCGCGGTGGGCGGCCGCCGCATCAACTACAAATACGAGGACGAGCTCTAGATCCAGATCTACCAGGTTGGATCAGATCAAGATGTCTCGTGAGATAGAACACAACAGGCATGTCACGGCTTATTTGATGAAGAGAAAAGTTTCAATGGAAAGTGTCATGACTCGGGAAGGGCGTCTGGCTTTCATTATTCATTCCCCTTTGCTTCCTTTTCTTCATTCTCCCCCCTTTCCCCCTGGTGGATCTGGGTATGGGGCATCTCATTCTGGCTGCCCTGTAGATATCAAACGGTTAAGGGGCAGAGTGCCTCGGTAGATCATTGAAAATTCAGAAATTTCTTCCTCCATTCATTGTCCTGCGCTTCCATCTACCTCAAAAATCGGGCGTCTTCGCGAAGCTAAGCTCTTGAACGCGTGGAGTATACTACCTACCTTGCAGGCAAGCTCTACAGCCAGATAGCAGTTGCAGTCGTCGTGGTTCCAGAGCACAGAGTTGGTACGTTACCTAGTCTCATGTATGACTACAAGTGACTAGTACCGGGATTCTTATCGATATCATCGCGCAAGAAATCCACATTTTCCCCTTGATGCGATTCATTTTGTATATGCCGACGTGTCTCTGTGACTTAAATTGACTAACCTAAACCCAAAATCAAATCTAAGAGAAAGCATGCAAAGCTAAATGGCTTAAACCAGAAACATAGTAAAGCTAGCGCACTTCATTCAAAAACAGTCTTTGCATTCACATTATGCCATAGGGAAACCAAAGATAAAATTGGGGAAAGAGCAAGACTCAGGCATGGAAATCATCAAGTTTGAGATCATTTGAATTGATCGGCGCTCCTCTATCAGTGTTGGACAACCATTGACACAAAATTAGGATCAAGTCGTTGGGGTATTGGGACCTCCTCCATTTGAATAGTAGTAGCATAGACGATTCACCATGTCATACGAGACCGCCCACGCTCCATAAGACCCGTATCTCTTTTGGGCGCAAGATTCGAAATCTGGCTCATGTGTGGGGGCTCTAGGACCTTCTCCCACACCAAAATTTGTTGGTTTTCCCGCTATATTGCCTCGTCGAATCGTTGATCACCATTTCTGGTCCCGTTGGGTATCTCCGGTGCTAGCCTATAGGGATAGCGCTAGATGCGACATTCAGTATCAGTCACTGTACGATATTGTTAGACACGGATTAACCCTAGCTAGAAAGAAAGCACATGCTGTGCCGAAAGAGGGAGGCTTATATGGAAAAACGGGCGAAACACAAAAGTGGGGTGTACCTAAGTAGGTACCCCCGACCCCCTAACTAAATATTGGACGAGCTTAGAATATCCCCTACATCCATAAATATTAGAGAATAATGTGATAAGGTCGTAGCGTTCCATTAGGTATGTTTCAGTTGGGTTGGAAATAGAGATGAAACCTTCGTAGTGGTCACTTGTCTTCTCAGTACTGGTAGAGATATATCTCGGGCTGGACTGCCTGCAGGTCCGGTTTGGCCTTCGACCATCGATATGGAGGTACCTAGCCCTGCTGGAAACAGTGGAAATTCATAGTTAGGTAGCACATATCTTCAACGGAGCAGTAGCTCTTGCTAATAGAATCATTAGAACGCTTAGTTCGTTTGCTTGGAGCTCCCATCCGATCTTGCATGGCAGCAACAGTGGCCTCTATGAAAGATTAATCTTACCTTTGTACTTCATAACATTCGCAGCACAAAAGGCCTGGTCCTAGTGACATGATAAGTCCAGGATTTGATGGTTTGGCTTCGTCTCTTGCATGTCTTCCAGGTTCTGAATACCTTTGGAGCTCTAATTACAAGATATCTGTTGATCGAACTTTCAACGCCTTCCCGAAGGCATCATTTCCAGACGTCTGTCTGGGAATGTGTCGAGGTTCGAACTTTTGATGTGCCGATACCCATCGGGAAAGCAACTTCTTTTTGTCCGTAACCCTGGAAGTACATAATTACCTAGAGGGCTTTGCATCCTTTTATTTTTATTATTGTTTTTTTCTTCAGAAAAGAAGCTGGGTTAATCTGTTTTGACGACCAACGTATTGACAAATCCGCTAAAAAAAAGACCACGTATCCACAGGCCGTAGCGCATCCTCGTGTCCGACCAAACACCGGGGATGTACATGTATATGCATGTTCGCCCAAGCCCACGACGTCCCCGAAGCGTTAAACGCCAAAATAGACGGTACAACACCATTTGCACTATCTTCAACCACCGTCGACTACCTTAATTCAGTTTGCTCTTCAGCTTTTCCATGTCGGACGTCAGCTTCTGCATCTGCGAGGCCTGGTCTGCGATAATCTTGGTCTGCTGGGCGATCAGGTTCTTGATCTCTTCAATCTCCTTGTGGACGGCGCTGGTAGGCACGCTGGGCTCGCTGGCAGGCGAGGGAATGGTTGGGGTCTGATGGTAAATTAGTACTTTGGTCTCATAAGACAAAGAGTCAAGAAGGAAGGTACTTACAGCAACGCGAGATTGCGGCTTGGGCTCGGGCTCAGGCTCCTTTGGCCACAGAGGGCTGCTGACTCTCGGAGATGAAGACTCAGCAACAGCCGAGCGAGCGGCGCGCTCGGAGGGCTTGGGAACCTCTTCAAAGCTGGAGTCGTCATCCACAGGCTCCTCCACCTCCTCATCGGCGAACTTCGTCACCATGGCGGCCATCGAGGCACCCTGCTCCTTCATAGATGGAGCGGGCCGGGCCACAGAAACGGGCTCAGGAGCAGGCTCGGGGGCAGCCTTTGGGGCAACAGGCTCGGGTGTCTTTTTAGCCACTGGCTCAGCCTCAGCCGGCTTGGGGGCAGGATCATCCATGGTGGTAGTGGGCTTGTCCTGCACACCAGAAATCTCCTTGAGGCCCTCGCCATCGAAGAGGCTGGCCATGGATATCTTAGGGGGAATCGCCTCCTTCCCTGAGAGCCATTCGGAGGGGCCCATGGCGGGGGTAACTCCGATGGTGGGCGGGTAGATATCGTCCTGGAAGTTCTCTGATCGACGAGGGACGATGAATGAAACAGGCTCAACGTAGCCATCGCTGACGGTCTTGAACGCGCGGGCAACTTCGTTCTCGTGCATGTTGACACCGCGCTTAGGCATGAACGCAACGCCTCGCTGAGGGTCGGCGGACTTGTACTCGGACAGGTACTCGAACTTATCGTTTTCCAGTTCGAAGTAACGGATGTTTCCATCACTGGAAAAAAAGTTAGAATCTAGAGCATGTGAAGTGCATACTAGTGTTCACTCACCCGCGTCCAGCCAGGTACAGGCAGTTAGTACCATCATCCCAGAAGGGCATGCAGACACCAGAAATGGAATCCAGGGTCTTGAATCCGTTGATCGGTTCCCGGACCGCGCGGATATCCCACAGGGCGAGCTGCCGGTCACTCATCTTGGAGAAACCGGTGGTCGCGATCCGGTCGCGCTCTCCCAGCCAGACGGTGCGGCTGTTCTTGGCTCCCGAGTGTCCGTTGGTCTCCTGCGCGGGCCGTTCCTGACGGACATCCCAAAGACGCAGCTTCTTGTCACGGGAGGTAGTGACCAGCAGGGAGCCATTGGCGCTCCACGACTGTGACTGAACAATGTCGCCAACATTCAGCGTCAGCTTCGCCGCACCCGCTTCAATATCCCAGATCTTCACAGTATAATCGCCCGAGGCCGTTGCCAGCACGTTTTCCGCCGCGGGGTTGAAAAGCACGTGGCCGATCTTCCTGCAGCGGGTAAAATTGGGGATTAGCACTTCCCCCTCATGTCGCATAACTGGTGGATGATTCATACTTGGGATGGCCGCTCAGCTTTCCAACAGGAGCGATGTCCTGAATGTCGTCCGCTTCGGCATCGGGACGAACGGTGAAATTCTCCGGAACCCGCCAGAGGAAGACCTGGAGGTGGTCAGCAGCAATTCCCTAACTTTCACTTGAGGTCCACAATATACCTTTCCGTCGTCGGAACCAGAAGCAATCAGATCATCGTCGAAAGGATTCCTGTGGGGAGAGTCAGTCATCATGCGCAACAATCCTCCAACTGCATGTCGCCTTACCAGTCGGTGTCGAGTACCACTGCGGTGTGGCCCCGGAACAGAGGGATGCGCTCAGGGAGTTTGCCTCGCTCATCAAGAGGAATAACAGCAAAAGCTCCACCACCACCGGCTTCCCAATTGACCGCAAGGTGCTTCGGGTTAACCTATTTCGTGAAGGGTCAGATCGGGGACTGTTGCGGCGAAGGGTCAGGGGCGGTGGCGCGGAGAGGGACGCACTTTGACCAAGTTGGTATCCCAGGCATTTCGCGAGATTCGAAGGTTATCGTAGCATTGCTCCTACAGCCGGCGTTAATGCGACTATCATGGATGAAAGGGACCCTTGGGTCAGCAGTACCTTTCTCGTCGAACGCCCGAAGACGTGGCCTTCCAGATTCCAACGGTTAGCGGGGAGCTATCATGATGCAGATCACAGCACACTCACGATACTTGGAGGAACGCACAAAACGCCCGGACATGATCGGTGCCGAGGGCCTAGAGAAGAAGGAATAGAGTATGAGCTTGGGAGTGAAGGTGAAAGAGAAAGACCCAGCGCGAACGACCAGGGAATGCGGAAACTGGGGCCTTTCGTGTTTCGAGCGGGCCGAGTGGAGTCCACGCTGCTGCGCCTGTGATGCTTCAATGGCTGCCACCCACCACAAAGGGTAGTCGTCACTTTGACAACATGGAAATTATTGGACGGAGGGGCTGCAATTGAGTCAATTGGGAAGTGCCTCATCCACGATCTCGGGCAGCGCATCGCAATTCTTTCATCCCAACGCCCTCACGTGCGGTATTCATGGCGGTAATACCAAAACCAGCGTGACCCGCGCAACCGCCACTAGTCCCAATCTAGAATCACCGAAGGGCTGACTCAGCGTTTGTTTATCCGCCGTCCCTCCAGAAACCGGAGCTCCCACTCTACGCTGGCATGCTCATCTTCGACGCCTTCACCTTAGACCGCCCGCCCGTTACTTGACACAAAAGACCGTGGCTGGACGAGAGATATCCCTTCTCGCCCGGATACTATACGCGCCGGTGACCTGGCGAGCCACTAACAACATCATGGAGGACGAGAACATGGTAAACAACCCCCTCCCGCGGAGGCTGTCGCAACTCTGTTTACTGACTTGCGCTGGAGAACCAGCCCCGAGCGTCGACTCGATCGCGCATCCCGCAGGCAGGCCTCCGAGAACTGAATCCCGCGACAACCAATTCTCGATCAGGCATGTCTGGTATCCTGCCCCCGGGAAGCATCGCAAACAAAGCCACCAGTGTTTCCCGTACGGCCTGATCTACACTTCCAGAGGTTGTAGATGCGCGATCCACTGACATTGCTATACAGCGACTCGACCGAAGACAGCCAATGCGCCCGAAGCAAAGAGATCGGCGCCCGTTACCCGCTCGGTAGTCGGTGCACCCAAGGCACACACCCGCGGCAACTCATATGCCTCTACGATGTCGCGAACCGGCTCGACAGCCTCTCGATCCACCAATGGTACCTTCTCCAACACCATGGGGTATGGTTCACGTCCAGCGTCTGCTATGTCCCGCCCCCAGACATCCTTCGGTACGCGCAAGCTCCACGGAGCCTCAATGCAACGCCCGGCAACATCGTTAGATCACCACGCCGAAGATAATGCAGCAAGTGTGCTTGGAAAACGCAAGGGTATGCAGTCAATTTCCCTTTCTCCCACTCGCAGACCTTTCTGTTCCCCTGGGCCTTCGCATTCGCACCTGCATACCTCCCGTCATGAAGCTCCCCGTTCAGCGTCAGCCTGTCGCACGGAAGCAGCTCCCATGGCCCTCGAAATCCCCGAGATGACCATGGATGAACCTTTCCCAAGGGTTTCCCCTAGCGCTACCCCAAGGAATTCCCGTGCCGCTGGTCCCAAGGAATTTTCACCAGTGAGACCTGGCCAGCGGTTCAACGTTCCTTCTCTTACCCCGTCTGAGCCTTGTCCAATACAACCCCTATCTCTTCAAAAAACGCCCAAAAACCCCCCAATCCCTTTCTATCTCTCAAAAAACTCATCAGTGACATGTTTTAATTATCCTTTAGATGCCGAATGGGACCAAGAATTAAAAGAAAAGAACATGGAGGAGATTATGGCCCGCGTTTTTTCGCGTGTCAACCAGTCTGGTCAGGAGAGCCAAGGCCTTAAGGAGGCTGTCGAAGTATACAAAGCCAGAAGTGAGTGTACTGAATATTCCTGACGATTGTATTGTTCTAACTATAAGCTTTAGTCAATGAGCTCGAGATATCTCGTGACGGTCTATCCGAAATTAACATGACGCTGCGTGTCGAAATGGAATCATTGAAAAATCAATTGAGTGCCGCAGAGAACACATTGAAAGAGGCCATGCGCGATCAAGAAATTGCGATGGATGATCTAGACCGACGTCAACGAATAGAAATGGAATCCATTCGACAGGCTGGCAAGAAAGAGGTAGAAGCACTGAGCACTCGCCACCAAGATGAAATTCGGAATCTGAAACGAAAATTCGAGAGCGAGATCGCAGATGAAAAAGCTGCGCGAGTTCGGGAGCTTGGGCAGCTCACCTCACAATCCGCGCTTGACATCCAAAAGTCCGAAATTGAATTGGACAACAAGACCCGTGAAATCAATGCGGCGCAGAGCCAAATACAGGCCATGAAAGCCGAATTGGACCGCGAGCGAAAGTCTACATATGACCTTCGACACAACTTGGATACAGTCAGCAGCAATAGTGTTACCCTTGAGTCGACCATCCGAGCTTTGAAGGCCCGCATTGAATTCCTTGAGGGTGGACGAGAAGAGCAATCCCAAGCTTTTGAGCACTGCAACCAACAGATGATGGACGCGCTAGCTGAGACAGAGGCAACCAAGGAGAAACTGCGCAAGGAAGAGACACTTCGTCGAAAACTTCACAACCAGGTGCAGGAGCTCAAGGGTAACATCCGCGTCTTCTGCCGTGTTCGGCCATCTCTTAACAGCGAGCCGCCTTCTGCTATTGCTCCGATGCAATACCCCGATGAAGAGGGAGAGGCAAAGGAGATCAACATCCTGGGGCCCGAGGAAAAGAGCAGTCTTGGCAGTGTATCCCGCAAGAATAACACTTTCGCCTTCGATCGGGTCTTTGGTCCCTCAACTCAGAACAGCGAGGTCTTTGATGAGATCAGTCAGCTAGTGCAGAGTGCATTGGATGGCTATAACGTGTGCATCTTCTGCTATGGCCAGACGGGTAGTGGCAAGACCCATACTATGTCCTCACAGGACGGCATGATCCCTCTTGCTGTGCACCAAATCTACGAGACCGCTCTGAGCCTAGAGGAGAAGGGCTGGCGATATAGCATGGCGGGCAATTTCGTCGAGGTCTACAATGAGAACTTGAACGATCTTCTGGGCAATCCAGATGAACTCGATAAAAAGAAGCACGAAATTCGGCACGATATGCAACGCGGCAAGACAACTATCACCGATATCACTACTGTCCAGTTGGATTCACCCGAGATGGTCGAGTCTATACTCAAAAATGCGGCTGCCAACCGCTCTGTTGCTGCTACCAAAGCCAACGAGCGCTCGTCGCGGTCCCACTCCGTCTTCATTCTCAAATTAATCGGCGAGAATCATATCACCGGAGAGCGCAGCGAGGGCACTCTTAACCTGGTCGACTTGGCCGGAAGCGAGCGCCTTAGCCACAGTGGTGCAACCGGAGAGCGCCTCAAGGAGACTCAAAACATCAACCGCAGCCTCAGCTCGCTTGGCGATGTGATTGCCGCCCTTGGCCAGGGCAAAGACGGTGGGCATATCCCGTACCGGAACAGCAAGGTTTGTTTCATCCGATCTAAAAAGCCTCTCATATATCCTATCTTCCGGTGCTAACCGATCCACAGCTGACCTACCTCCTCCAATTCTCACTGGGCGGCAACTCGAAGACGCTCATGTTTGTCATGGTCAGCCCGCTGCAGGCTCACCTTTCTGAGACCCTAACCAGCTTGAAGTTCGCCACGAAGGTGCACAACACTCACATCGGTACTGCGAAGCGCCAAGCGCGTGTCCGCGACTCTTGAATATGATGATACCTCGTTTTTCGCGTTTTGCACATACATGTTTGGGGGTTTTCTTCTACTTCTTGGAGGCGGAGGTCCTTAACGATCCCGTCCTCTGCCTCGGCGTTTGGGTTGGCTCATGATACTTCTTTCTACATTCTTCCTTTCCTTTCACCTTGGAGCTTACAGAGCCTATGGAGATTATATTGTCAACCCTACTTCTGTGTCATTTACTTTTTCTGTATGGACCTGATGATCTGATTAATCAATGCATTGTAGCAGGATGTCAATCTTCATATCAGTTCACTAGGCACATGGGTACTAGTTCTTTGGTTGGCTTGAGTACTATGGAGCATCCATCTTCTCGTCTCAGTGCTGGCGACCCTCGATGAATCGCCGGATATCCCTCAGTGTGTGTTCTTTCTTCTCAATCCACGGGAAATGTCCGCACTGCCTGTAGGTAATCAGCTCTGCGCCGGGAATTTCCATCGTGCGCACAGCAATCTTCAGCCCAATTATCATGTCGTCTTGCCCGAAGATCACCAACGTTTTGGCCCGCACATATTTGAGGCCGTCTGACATCTGCGTCGGATGCTCAACGCTCCGGTCACACTGGCCCTGGTAGCGATACGCCCACAGGGACATTTTCTGATCTCCGATGGCGCGCAGGAGTTCATCCGTGTAGTTTGCGGGGTCGTAGAAATACAGAGGCCAGACGGCGTTGACGGAGTCGGTGAGTTCCTCGTCTGTGTCGGCGCGTCGGTTTAAGAGGTTGTCCCAGGCACCGCGATACGCAGGGTCGTCCTTGGTGGCTATCAATTTATCTGTCTTGCGGTCTTGCATGCCGATGATCTGGTGGTTGATGAGTATCAGTTTCTGGACTCGGTCCGGGTACATCTCTGCATAGCCGAGGGCGATGGCGCCACCGTTGGAATGGCCCAGCAGGACGGGGAACTGTTCGATCTCCAGGTGCTTTCGAAGATCCTCCAGGTCAGACCCCATGTTGGGCATACTGCTCATCTGGCCGGTCCAGAGTGGCTGAGAGGACCCACCGGTGCCACGAGGGTGGGGAAAGACGACGGTGTAGACAGAGAGGCCATTTTGATTTCTCTCGGATGAGGGCGCCCATAGATCTGACAGTCCCTGCTGGAGATACTCGGATCCCAAGCCCCAGCCGGGACACTGGGCCACGATCAGGTTGCGCCGAGTATCGTCCATGCTGGCTCCGACGGGGCGATGGACAATGTACTCGAGCACTAGGCCCGTCGATGGAGACATAAACCGATGAATTCCCGGATCCCAGCGAGTGCTCGACATTGAGCTCGACTGCATGAGGCGGTTCTATAGTCGGGGGTCAAATAGTCCGCGGTGTAACGTGACGGGGTGGCAACGACTATCGATTGTCGACGTTGGAGGAGGAGGAGGAGAGTCGTGAACGGAAGGAAGCAGCCGGCGGTGTTTGCGTGTTTGTTGCGATGTGCCCGGCATGTGGAATACACGAGTTTATTTATGCGCATTATCTACCTGCATACAAGAGATCCACTGGCTTCCCGTGAGCCTTCATGCCTGTTTGTTGTTGTCTCAGTAGAGCCTCACACTTCACTACAGAGGACCCAGATATCGATCGGCTCTCTGCTTCACCTTCAGCGCCCTCTGGTAGATATCAGTCACACCCAGCGTCCCATCTTCAGTGATGAAAGCATCGACAAGATCAGCCTTCACCCACTCAAAGTAGACGTTTTTGACTTCCACGTGGCTGCTGGAAGTCTCTGGATGGCCACCTCGAAGTCCTTCTTGTAGGACATTCACACCTTTGATACCACAATCAACCCAAGCACTCATCACCTCCATCGGGTCGTTCTCCTCGGGCTGATGATCATCTTCAGCTCCGGGCTCTGCGACCTTTTCCAACTCACCAAAGACAAGCACTTGCACACTCGAGCTCATATGCTTGACACAGAGAACAGCTGGCAAAGACCCCGTTTTATTACTGACGGACCCTGAGCTGGCGATTCGGTCTGCTCCAAGCAGAACAAAGTCCACGTCCTTGGCCGCAAGAGCCACCGAGGCATCAGTGTATACACTGAGCGTCAAATGCCTGCCCGATGATGGTGAGAACTTGGATTCGAACCCCGAGAGTAGAGATGATGCCATGCTGGCTCCTTCGAAGAGAGGCCTCGATTCAAGAACCCGCAAGTCCAAATGTGATATTGATATAGGTAGGGACGCAAATGCATCTAAGATGCTGTCTCGAATCGTCGAGCTGGCAGATAATGTGAGTAGCGTGAGTGTATTTTTTCCTTGTTCCCGAAAGACTGGGAGGTACTCCTCCTGCAAATAAGCATTGAAAGCGTCTTTGATATGCGAGGCCGTCTCGCGGCGACGCTCCAAGTGGTGATCGACCACTGTAAGTATGCGATCCCATTGAGGCTTCTCGGATTTCTGGCTCGTGATCTTGTCGATATCGGCCAGGACCGCAAGCAAGGCATTCAAGGTGGCTGATCCCATGCTTTCGCGGCCATTTTTCCATAGATGCCACGCGGCGATACGAGTGGTCTCCCACCATTTCGGATCGTCTTCTAAATGCGCGAGCACATCCCGGAACGCTTTGAGGGCGATCGAGGTCAACTCGTGAGACCCGCTCGAGTGGTCCGTCTTTAATTGCTCGAGTCCTGACCGCAATGCTCTGCTCGCATCGTCGTTCATCCCCATCTCGAACCAGACCCGGCGTAAACTCTCGGCTAGACGGGGCACACCGCCGAAGTGTCCGTCATCCACGACTTGGTTTGGATCGTACCAGGACCATCCCTCATGCTCCCAGTCAATCTTGATGGCTGCTTCCCCGCTGCCTCCCTCGTCGGGTCCTTTGAGACGGAATGCGAATGGATAGATGGTCCACTGACGCCCCACCGATGAGTCACTGAAAGTGTAGGGTTTTCCGTGGCGCCAAAGCGCCATGTCTTTGGATGTTAACCCTGTTTCTTCCTTGAGCTCGCGCCAGGCTGCCGTGATGGGCAATTCATGCTGCTCTATACCTCCCGAAATGGGTGCAAGATGATTGCTTTGGTTGGTCAGCTTGATCGCTGATATTTGGCCCTCATCGAATGGGAGATCGGGCCAAAAAGCATGAAGACTAGAGAACGCACCGGTATGTCCTGACTTTGTCACTTCTTCTAAAAAGGGCGACGCGAGGACATCCGTTCGCAACAGAGAAGATAAAAGAGGAGACCACGGATCTCCGCTGCAGCCCAGCAGGGCACTCTGAGTGTTGGTCTGACATAGTCACAACCCTATTATGGGGGGACCCAAGCTGGGAGATGAGTGGGATTTGAGCGATGAAAAATTCCGGAAAGAGAATTCGAGAGGTGTTGGGACGCGTCGTGTCATAATCGCATCACCGCGGGGTAGTGGCTCGAATATTATCATGTGACTGGTAAATAGCACGATCCTTGCTCTAATCGGAAATCGAAGGATTAGCATACGTAAATGCAGCTCTCAACTAGTTGAATCTGGGCAATTTCGAGGTGGCGCCGTAGGCACAAGGTATCTTTCCCATTCAGTTTGGCGGAGAGCCATATCTGACCAGCCAATATAGGCTTTACCCTGCACGCCTGCTCTGCTGCCGCTAGTTCCAAGCAGGACTCACCTGTTCTTTACTTGTTCTTGTACCTGCTTTATCAGTCTCGAGGTTTATTCTGTCTTCAAAACCAGAACTACGTAATATCAATGACGTCATCAACACCGGAAGTATAGAACAAGATATAAACCTCTCATCCAACCATCAAACCTGGTGGGAAAGAGCATGCAGCTACAGCTGAAGCCAGAAAGTCAATATGCCGGTTTATTCAGGATCATGCGTCTGCCGCAGAATTGAATATGAGCTTAGACTGGACTCCCCAGATGATGCGCGTACATCTCTGTGCCACTGCCGCAACTGCAAAGTTCGTACCGTCTGAAAAGTAAAGCTAGCGCTATGTGCTAATTTTCCTCGGAAAATAGAAAGCTTTCGGTACCAACTATGGACTCACAGCAAAAGTCCCGAAGGATGCATTCTGTCTCCTCAAGGGGGAGCCGAAGGAACATGCAGCCGACAACGGATCTGGGGCCGTGGTTCATCGCGAATTCTGTGATCACTGTGGCAGTTTTATTTTAGAGTATGGGGTATGTGATCTGATCCTGCATGAGCTCAAGGAGATACTAGCTGACTGGCCGTGTAGGAAGCCGCCAAGGAACATTCTCGTTATATCTGCGTGGGGTCTCTCGATGACCCGGAGGCATTACCCCCCAAGGGCGAATTCTTCTGCAAGGAGCGGGCAAGTTGGATGCCAGAGGTTCCCAGTGAGTTCCATACATCCTGAAATGCACATTAAATCCTAAAAGGTACTCCTAAAAGGTACCGCTAACCAAATTGCAGACGTGTTCCACAAACGAGAAATCAAACAATAAACTCGATCCAGCTGGACAGCCGCGCTTCACCCCCGTCTATCCTTCCGCGACCGTCAATCTATATCCCTCCAAGACCACTTCTATCCCGCCCTTTCAGCATTAACCCTCACACTCTTCAGCACCAAATCCGGCCCAATCAACTTCTCCCGGATCGATACCCCATTTAAATAATCATTACTGTCAACGCGCCGATACCCATCCTCCAACGTCTTCTCAATACCCGCCATAACATGCCTCTTCGCCGTCCGCTCCCGCGCCTCTTGCAGATCCGTATCTACAAAGACCCGGTAGTCCACCAAGCTTGCGAGATCGCGCCACCCCGGCTCGTTGAGGAGAAGATAATTCCCCTCGACGATGATGATGTTCGTCACGGATGTGATCGCAATCCCGTCTTCGACGGGGTCTTTGACCTCGTGGTCGAATGCCGGCGCTTTGATGACGTCTGATGAAGACAGAGACTCAGACGAAGGCGTCGCCAGCGGTGTCTGGTCGGCCCAGATTCGCAGGCGGTGCATGAAATCGACAAAACGGGTTACATCGAATGTCCATGGTGCACCGCGCCGCATGTGTGCTTCTTTTGGATTCGGGAATGCATCTAATTCGGACCGGGAGAGGTGGAATCCATCCATTGACAGCAGGGCCGCGTGGATCTGGGGGTCTTTGTTGAGATGTTGGACGACGGCCTGGGCTGTGGTGGTCTTGCCGGAGCCTGGCACACCTGCGATGGTGACGAGATAGCGTGGTTTTCGGTGGACGCTCGCTTGATGGCGAATAGTATCTGCTAGCCTGTTGTATTCGGACTCCATCTGGGTCTGGGTTAGAAAGAATGCATAGTAAAAAAGTCTCCAATTGCGATAATGATTCACCTCGGGTCAAAGGAAGGGGGTAGAAACGGCTGCGATATGGGTATGAATGTATAGATAGATCTAGATCTCGGAAGTCGAGACGGATGTACGCTCAACACAATCCACCAAACATCCGGACGACAGCCAGGACCATTAAGACAAGTAGTTTGAATAGACACCACGAGAAGTGACCTCTTCCTCCTTCTCGTTTGAGTGCATGCCCGTCACTATGTCCAGAATGGCGAAGCGGCCCCGGCTCACAGTGCTCCGACTTCCAGCCTGCGGAGGCGGACATCGATCGGCCATGATCCGAGTCCGCTGCCCAAGTTCGCTAAATAGGACGATGATCAAGCAGAGACCCTCCACAGTTAAGAACTGGCGGTGTTAGGGTGAGGAGGGGGTGCGAGAAGAAATACTCTTGTCAACTGCCGTTGTTGGCTCGGTGCCGCCAAAAGAGACACGCTTGGGTTTGCCGTTCACTCAATGGAATGAAGGAAATCTCACTCGGGAGGAAAGGACGGTTCCCTAATTTACGATGAAAAGGACCGCAGAACAGCGGAGATTTCGAACACCGGGCTCTAATCATGCACTCTTTACACCTCGTATACTCCCGGACAGCAGGTCCTGAACGCAAAACCCCGATGACTTGATCTCAGAACGCCAGCATTTGTGACGACTACGAGTGTTTTATTGTTCACCTAAGAATAGATGTCTTATTAAATATGAACAGACCGGCCGCCCTCTTTTTACTTAAACTGTCACTGTTGCTGGCGCGTCAGGAAGGTGTGCGCGCTGCTCCGAGACCGTCGCCACATCGCCGGTGGCTGGTTCCACGCGTCTCGCCTTGCGCTTGGGCATCTGCTTGGGACTGACATAGAAGCACAGGATCTGCTGTTGGTAGCAGTGTTCACACTGCGGTCTGGAATGGTCGCAGGCCACATTCCATTCGCGACAGGCCATGCAGTCAAGCGAGGCGCTGGCGTAGGACTGGATGTGTAGCGGCGGGCGCGACGCTGATTGCTGGGATCTGGTTCCAGCGAAAAGGCTGGGTGGTTCGCCTGAATGGCCCCACCCATCCGGCCACAGCCACTGAGCGATGCGACTGCAGATTCCCCGCGAGACCGCCGGCGGCTGGGCCAACTCTAGGCTGGCCGTGACGTGTTTGGGTGTGGGCATGGGTTTGGCGAGGATTGTGCCCCGGATGGGAGCTGGCGACTGGCGACTAAGCCAGCCATCCTGGGCTCCTGTGGAGGTTCTGATGAGCCTTGCTGGTTAGTATTTGAGTTGAGTGAGGCTGAAGCTGCGGTGGCATGGGCAGCGTACCCTGGAGTCGGGCTGGTCATGGTTCAGACAGGATGTAGAGGTGGTGATGCCGCGGTGCTGGCGGTGTTGGGACCATGGGGGATCGATATGGGACGAAGATGGGAGGAAAGAAGAGCTGAGCAAGAAGAAAGAAACGGACCGGCCAGAGGAGTATTAACTCGACAGACCCCAAACCCAAACATTAACTCGGCAATCTTTCTCTTGGGGTTATTCGACGGCCATTCCAAAAGTCCCGAAAGGTCCACACGCCAGCAAATCAAATCCACTTGGCTCTCAGACCCTCCGCGAAGGAAACTGGGCACCGTCCAATCCCTAAATCGCGCGCCACGCTGAGCTGCCAGTTCACAACAGGCTGTCTGTCTATCGCCAGCTAGAACCAGATCTCCGTAGTCCGGCTATTCTGGATGTACTTGTTGGCCCTGACCTCCTGGGCTGGGCTGACATGCAGCGATCATCCGACTCCACCAGATGATCTCGTCTCAGGGACCCTCACACGCGCACAGTCTGGGTATCGCACCGGAGCTCGATTCCTCGGGGAAACTGGGGCTGCAGGCGAATTGGCAAGTGAACCATCCACGAGTAGCCACGTCATGGTCACTTCAGCGTTGCCGCCGAGAGTTTGTCGTATCAAGTGGCAGTAGTGAAGAGTAGAAAGTAAATAGGCGAGGGTGGAGGTGTGAGAAATCGACCCATCCACCACCGCTTTATGCGATGGACAGTCAGCTGACAGGGCGTGTGTACTACTTTTGACTCTTGGACCTGCGATGAGCCGCCTCACGGACGCTATCAGCGCCGACCACCGAGAGCTGCAGGCCTACTACGATCGCCTCGTCAACAGCGATGATCCTGATGAGCAAACCCGCTTCCAGAACCAGTTGACCTGGGGACTCGCTCGGCATGTCGTGGGCGAGGAGCTCGTGCTCTTCCCAGCCCTCGACCGATACTTGGGCGAAGGTGAAGCCACTTCGGATCGGCGCCAACATCAGACCGTAAGTCGAATTCCTTCTTCTCTCTCTCTCGGTATTCCGTGGTATCGCATGGGCCCTGTCCAAGACTGCTAGGCCCACCGCTGCGGGCTGAAATGACGTCCATATTAGATTAAAGAAAAGCTCCAGATCTTTCAAAACCTCGAGGCCTCCGATCCTCGATTCGTCCCCACCATGACGATTCTCATGGACGATCTCGCGTCCCACGCCCAAACCGAAGAAACCAAAGATCTCGTCAAGCTGGAAGGCGCCATCACGGCCGAGGAGAGCCGGCGCCTCGCCAGGTCCTTTGGTCGCACCAAGTGGTTCGCACCAAGTCGCGCCCACCCGAACCTCCCGAATCCGCCTTACCAGACGGTTGTTGGACTGATGGCCGCGCCGGTGGATTACTTGCAGGATTTGTTTCGCAAATGGCCTGATCCCGAGGATCTCCCGCGCTCAGAATAGATAGAATAGATACGGTATATACTACGGAAGTAGGGAAAATCATGTTGAGGACCAAGAGGACAAATGCGAGATCGATGGTCGCGACTTTCAGAAGTACTAGGGTCCACGCCATGCCGAGGAATCTTGAAAGAGAAAACGCATGGCAGGAGAGGACAAAAACACTGCGAATGCAATTGCAATGGTGGGGTGTACCCGCTACATATGACCCTAGCGAGCCAAGCTTTGCCGAGGAAGGGCCCCGGCCTTGGTAGGACGACAGGTCTTCTGGATAGTCAAGAAGATCTTTAGCATTAGTCTACTGGCCCCAAAGAAACTGGTCCACTCACAAGGGCCGTCTGCTCAGACTAATGCCCTCGCCGATAGAATCCTTGCTGTGAGATCGTCGCGGCTATCCTAGAGATCCCGCTATAGATTATCCCAAGCTGGGCTGAGCGCTTCGCAGGCCTGTGCCCAGTTCCGTATTTGCCGAATCTGTCAGAAGTACAGAAATCTCTTGGAGTGTTGGACTCAAAAATTAGTCTGATAGCGAAATTGGAATAGTGTTCGGGATGCTCACGCTTCACAACGGCCCATCGCATTTGCCCTGTTCTCTGTAGACGCATCAGGACTGACCTTCTCCTCAAGGCTCAGGTATAAACAATGTCTTGTGACCAGTGTCAGTATTGAGATTTATCTAAAGTTGTGTCTCGAAATGGCTCGGGTGATTTCCCGAATGACGACTGCGCCGCCTATTATTTACATCTACCAAGTGCTGTGCAAATGCATGAGAGGGTTTCCAATATTCTTCGGGGTGGCGCTCCGATCCCTGGGGCGGAGGGTACATCATTCTACCGTAAGGCTGAGGCGAAGGATGTCCCACGGAGCATCGTACACCCATGGCAACGGACGTTCCAGACTATTCGGTGCCTAAGCACACGCCAGTAAGTGGGTGATCCACGGTACCCACCTCGACGAAAGCCCTATTATGTGATTCAAAATCTACTTTCGTAGCAGTTGAATTCTGGCAAAACATTGGGCTCTACCGGCCCTGTGGAGGTGGTGTTGGACCACAGCTGTCGCCTTGGCCACCGCTACGGGGAGCATTGAAAACTTCCATGATCCTGAGTGGTCAATAAGACTTATTACCGGGGGTGGTTAACGGTACGTTACAAGAGGGAAATCAATTGATGTCAGGCTTGCCTTCAGTAGATATTGAAGAGATACGGGACATTAAGTATAAATACTTTGATGCCGGCATGGCATCCCGCGCGATCGTCCTCCGGCAAGTCATCACCGCATCACAACGGGACCGATCATCACACATACCGTCCTTTGGTTCTTCGGAACATTCTAACAGAAAACTTTTTGAGTCTAACCCATTTTGGAACAGTTTTTTCTGGCGTTTGATATCTCGAGTTTGCACGACTCGGTCCAGGACCCCGCGGAATTCGCATCTGCATCCGCGACGGAGCCGCCATTGGCGTCATGAGTACTCCTTTAGTGAAGGTAATCGAGGTTATCTACGAGCGCGAGAGCGAATCGCCCGTTCCTCGACATGCCATAGATCTTACCTATATGAGGGAGGGGGATAGTATTGTGCCCGACCAGGTTCCCGTGCTGGGCGATGACCTGGATATAGAGGATCCCATGGTTCCTCACTATGCGGATACCGGGGGTCAGCTTGGTAGGTCGACCGTGCTGGACCTTCTTTGAGTCAGCTCTAATTCTTGCATAGCCCAGGATGAGCAAGCGGCGATGGATCCGTCCAATATACTCAATGGCGCCGATCGTTTACGCCACCGAAGGCCATTCTCAGCGGACGAGTATGACGAAGTGCGGGAGAATGGTTTACCACCCGATATTCGGGACAGTATTTCGGGGGTGTCGGCCTTACGGTTGACAGACGATACATGAAGCAAATACATCAAGGGAGTATAGGGGGTGCTCTGACCTATGGAAGGTTTTGTAAATAGACGTTCATTTTTCTTCCCCATATTAGAGTGAGTCCTAGGATGGTTGAAGCATTATTTTACGGTCATGGGGTTTGGTCGCAGGTTACATCGTGAATGGGGTCTCGACCCATCCGTAAGTTGTGCCGGAGTCTAGTCTCAATCCTCACAAGGGTCTGCGTAGCGGGAAATAATGTCGATCATTTCCACTTTCAGTTACCTCACCAGGTCTAACTGTCTTCATAGTCCGCGCGAGTCGGCTTTGAGGAAAGAACTAGCTATCGTTTTTGAGAAGTTTTATAACAACCCTATCGGCAAAAGCTATCTCTCTTTCTCTGTCCAATACAAAAGATTAAAGCCAACAGCTTTGAATGTAAGTGAGCCACCCTTATTCTCTCAACGCCAGCTATCGCTTTACATGGAGGGCGCACGGAGGCTAAAAAAGGTGCTAGAATGGTAGTGCACCACCTGATACACGTGACCTTACTATAATGCGACCTTGTGGGCTCTGTTGGCTTTCGATCTCATCTTCCGTTTCCCTTCTTTTCATTGCCTCCAACTTCAACTGCTTTGTTTGCACTATGCGTGACTTTCGAGACCCGGTAGAAATCAAAAAGTGCCTTTACCCCTATCGTTCAGGCGTTATTCAGCTTAACGTGACACGCTCCAGTGACCTTTGGCGCAAAAGCAGTTCAGCGCACTGGAGCCCCATAATAGAACTACCCACTGGAGAAAGCGAGCCTACTCAGGATCCAACCCCTACACTATTTGACGGTACAATCAATTGTGCTTTGCATCCCACACTTTTTCCAAATAACAGACTGTCCTGGGCTGCGAATCGATTGAGATTGAAGTGAGTTCTCTGCGACAGGTGCTACTACATCGTGTTATCTAGTCTAATCGGAAGGTAGACATATAAGTGGTGTAGACTTTGTATCCTCTCAAAGTCAATTTTGCACTCATTCATCCAGAATATTCTGCGATCTTCCGCATCTATACCCAACAGCTGACCAGAACCTCGTCTCCCTCAAAATCGGAGAAACCGCCTGGGGTGCTTTCGATGCTATTATTTCCCTCATACAGACCAATTTCCTTCACTGCAAGAACATTATTCTGGTTCTACGGACCAAAAACAGAAGATCCACCCGCGAGCCACAGCCTCCTCGTGATCTTGTGATGGCTCGGCTTGAGAAAGTCCTTCAACGAGTAGACGAGCTCTTTCGCGCCCTTGCTTCCCATGGCTGTGATTTCACACTTTTTCCATCTCCGACAGCATTCGACTTTTATTTAGATCAAGCAAAGGAGTCTGGCGGGGTCTTTGAAGAGGAGAACTTGGATCTAAGCCGGGGAGCTGGATCGTGCGTATGGCGGAGCGTCATGATGAATCCAATGAAGGAGGAAATATCGAGTGGTCCAAATGAGAAAAGTCAATCAGGCTACTGGGTTCGAGCAAACTTTTTTGATTGGATGGAGAGGCCAAACATGCAGTTCGTATAATACAGGAACAATAGGATTGGCGTAAAAACAGTGCGAAGTATTCGACTACATTGAACCAGAAGCACAGTACCATATACAATAGCAATTTTGACATCTTTCTCGCAATCGAATAGCCACCCATCACCGCAAAACGAGCTCCCCCCTGGAGACTCAAGAGACAAAACTTCACAATTGCTCCCTCGTAACATCGATCATGTCCATATCCGCAATGCATCTAATCCTAGTTGTCCATGATTTCCCTTGAGATATTCTTTGAACAGATTCTAGTAACTATAGGAATATCCGTCACCCAATGCCTCATTTGAACTAGGATCCTGTGCCAAGGAATACCTATTATTATTATTACTGTTATTATTAATGAAATAGTTTGAAGATTTCGAAAACATCGTGCGAACGAGGGATATTTACTATACTAAGCCAAACCAGGTAATTCAAATAAAAATAGACTTAGGGATGCTTTTGCTTATCGGGCTTATCATCACGTTATGGGCTGAGCCGACCGTGAAAACAGGCTGAGCTGACCGTCCTAGACTAGGGCTAGACTATACTATCATCCCCCATCGATCACAAATGACCGGTCGTTCTGGCCACTCCTTCCTAGTCTGGACCCAGTCTGGTCGTGCTGGGCAGCTTTGGTCCTGGGTACTCTCTCCATCACACAGTCCATGCCCACGACATGATTCGAGCCCCTCGACGGGATCGACCGCAATCTCTGGACCGACGGCACGGTCGCGCTACACAACAATACCGAAAGAATGGGGAATGTGAGATGAGATCATGCCTCCCACCACCACAGCAACCCAGTTTCCCTAGGAATTAGTTCTGGTGCCTCTGCGAAAAAGTGGCCGCCATGTCGGACCCTACTTCCCTTTCACGTCGAAGGCTGCGCTAGCGAGGGTGCTCCTGTTTCATCGGTGGTTTGGAGTCCTTTCGTGCCGAACGAGAGGTGTTTCAAGTCGGCCATAGGCACCACTTAGCCGCCGCGCCAGTGGCCAGTCACCGCGCGTCCTGCCAATACCTTCTTTGTCGCTGGGCTCCACCTCCGTGAAAAATGGATGATCGCGCACGTCGGCGGATTCACTGTCCTGGGCTAGACCCCCGCGCTATGCCGGTTGGATAGCTCACGGCCAGTCTAGACAAGGAAGGCTGCCACCGCTCTCAATGTCACCATCCAGGGGGTGGTGGGATCCAGCACGTTCTGACCGGTGAATGGTGGAAGCGAGGCGAGTGCCTGGACAAGCGTCTGCAAGTGGAGTGCTGCCTCCAGGAGGAGACGGAGCAGTATGGAGGAGTCCAAACAGTCGACGACTCTAAATACCATCCAGCATGCTGTCTCGCGCCTTTCTCCTCCGCCACGCGCACATCGCACATTCCTTTCTTCATTCTTTTCGTTGACAGTCTGGAATTGTCTGCCTCTCTTTTTTTCTCTTTCAATTACATCTTTCGCTTTTCTTCTTATCATTCATCCCTTTCGCTTTTTTTCTCCCTTTTTCCCGTACCTACTGTTGCGCCACTCGATAGTGTGTGTATCGAACAAGCACCTAGCCTGGTCATTTGTTTACATTTTTTTTGACTCTACGTTTATTCCACCACTTCGACGGGGAACATGGTTTCCTCGTCCCTGTCCCTTAGCGCTGGCTCGCTTTTCCTTGCTCTGTTGGCCTCGTCAGCGGCGGCGGCTTCCGAGAGCTACCAGCTGGTGGAAAACTGGCATGGGGAGAGTTTCCTGGATTACTTCAACTTCCACACCGGTACCGATCCCACCAATGGCTTCGTTACATATCTCGACAAAAGCAGTGCCGAGAGCGCAGGCCTGGTAAAGGTCAACGACGGCGGCAGTGTTTACATCGGTGTTGACCACACGACCACACTCTCCCCCAGTGGCAAGGGCCGTGACTCCGTGCGCATCGGCAGCAAGAAGTATTACGACCAATCCCTTGTCATTGCTGACATTGCCCACATGCCGGGAAGTATCTGTGGTAGCTGGCCTGCCTTTTGGTCGGTGGGTCAGAACTGGCCGTCGGACGGTGAAATTGATATCATCGAGGGCGTCAACTTGCAGGACCACAACGAGATCGTGATGCATACTGCTGGCACATGCAGCATTACGGACACAGGTATGACCGGTGCTGTCAATGCCACTGGTTGTGGTGAAGATCTGGGCACCGTGGGTTGTGTTATCGAGGGCGACCAGGGTAGCTACGGCACTTTGTTCAACAAGCAAGGTGGTGGTGTTTATGCTATGCAGTGGACTGAACAGTTCCTCAAGATTTGGTTTTTCCCTCGCTCTTCCATTCCAGCTTCCATTACCAAGGGTGTGCCCGATGTTTCCCAGTTCGGTACTCCCATGGCTCTTGTTGAGGAAGGTTGCGATGTCGCGAACAGCTTTAAGGCTCAATCATTCATATTCGACGTTACCTTCTGCGGTGACTGGGCCGGTGGTGTCTTCGGCCAGTCTGGGTGCCCAATGTCCAGCTCGGATTCCTCACAGAGCTGCATCAACTACGTCGCCAAGAATCCTACTGTATTCGAGCAGACCTACTGGGAGATTAACTCCGTCAAGATTTACCAGACCGGCGTGGAGAGTAGGACGGTTGCCTCTACTTCGCACTCCGCCACTCACACCCCTGCTACTCAAGCTGTGACCGTGGCCTCTGCTACCCAGGCTACCCAGGCTACCCAGGCTTCCGCTGTTGTGGCGGAGACTCCCGCCAGCCAAGGCTGGAACACTGTCTCTGCTGCTTCTGCCGCGACCGAAGCCAGCAACACGGCTGGTTCCGTGGGCGAACTTGGCGATGGTGGCTCCTCCGCTACTGCTCAGACCACGAAGAGCTCTACTACCCGATACGTCACGAAGTTTGTTACTTCAACTACCACTCTTTGCCCTGTCGCCGAAGCCTCCGCGTCTTCTGCGGCAGTTGCTGAGAGTCAGTCTTCCGTCCCAAGCTTGAACGCTGCGAACATCCCTGCTACTGCGCAAACCGTCTACCCCGAACCATCGGCCACGACGAAGTCCATCAAAGACATCCAAACTCTGCCTGTCGCCCAAGTCCCGGCCGTTTCGAGCCCAGCTGCCGTTCCTACCTCGGAGATTGTGAACAGCCAGGCATCCAGCCAACCCGCGGGTGCAGAAGCTGCTTCCAGCAGTGTGCTTCAGAGTGCTTCTGTGTGCGACCGTCCTCTGCCGACAATCATTCCCGCCCCAGGCATTAACCTGGGCTCGGGCATGCCCACCCCGAATGCCTCGCAAACAAAGCCCGTTTCCCCCATCGCCACCGGTTCGTCCGCCGCCTCAGGCAGCGTTTTCCAGGGCAGTACCAGCACTGCTGCTAGCCCTGTCTTCACCGGCGCCGCCGACAAGGCATCTGTGAAGTTCCCAGCAATCATTGCTGCATTTGCGCTCGCGATGCTGGCTTGAAATATTCTGTTCGCGTTCAATTAGCCAGATCGACTTTCGTGGGGTCAACGTGGAGGATATTTCCTGTTTGCTTTGTTGCCATGTACCATAGGCCTTTTTATACGTCCATAGATGCCGTGCAGCTTTTGGATTTTTATTAGAATATCAACTGGTAGTTACCAACCTCATTTCACAGCCCGTCTTGCATACTAATTGGATGTAAAGTGCATCAACAAGGTGAAACGTCTTTCATCGGCAGCAGCCAATTGCTGTCACGGCGCCTAGAGTTCGTATCTTTGAAGTGTAAACAATCTGAACTCAGATGCCCAAATATCTTCCATAGCTCAAGAAGTAAACCATCGAGTCAACCAGTCCCGCACATAGGAACCCAGAATCCCATCCTCGATAATCCTCAATCGACCATTGCGAAGTGTCTCACTATCTCTCTCCGCCCGATTCGTCCGAAACGTCTTCGAACTGAGTAACGATTTCCCACCATACATCTTCTCATAATGCTCGATCAACTTCACGGCCGGATTGACATCTTCTTCACCTCGTGCCTCACTCTCCCCCAGCATCGCCATCCACTTCTCAAAGGGGACTATCTCGAACTGAAACCCGCTCCGGCTCAACGACTCCAGCAGTGCCGACCACGAAAACTCTCGCGAGTTGCACACGTTGTAGATCGAGTCATCCACCAACGCCGTTTCGCCGCTCGTCTCACTATCCGTGTGACTGAAGGTCATTTCCCCTGCCCGCTGGCTGGCGTCATGAACTCTACTAGATGCTGAGCACGCTCTACCGATCTCGACTATTGCCGCTGCGAGCTTGTCCACAGGTAGCCAGGAACACATGTGGTCCAATTCAGGCAGCGCTTTCAGCACTATCGCCGACCGGACCATCAGCGGCAGGGCATCGCTGTCGTTCCACAGGCCCTTTTTGGAGTGACCTGAGACCTGTCCGATGCGCAGAGAATAACACCGCGCACCGGCGCGGCGTGCAACGCTGATGATATGTTCGCCAATGAGTTTGGATTGCCCATATCCCATGTATGCATTGCATATGGACATGGGCTCTTCGGGGATCGAGGGCAGCGGCGAGGCTAGCGCGGTGGAGATAGAGGAGCAGAAAAGCATCACTGCTGGCTCGGGTCGGTGGACGGAGAGAGAAAATTGGAGCAAGTGGTGGAGACCCTGGATGTGCGGAGAGAATTGAGTGAGGGGAAGGTTAAAGTTGACAGACCAGGCGGCGTGGATGATTTGAGTCACGCTCTTTTGCATGGATTGAATAACTTCGGGGTCGAGGCCGAAGTTGGGCTCGTCGAGGGTGCTATTCAAAGCGACAATCTTGGCCTTCTGTGTGGGGGTGATATACAATTCTCGATCACCCAAGCCGTGCAGAACAGCCTCCAATGGTGACGGTCGGCGGGTCAGACAGAAGACGGTTGAGATAGACTTGTCGTGAAGCAATTCATAGAGAGTGTGAGCGCCAATGGACCCCGTGGCCCCTGTCAGAATCTTTTGTGGTGTTAGCGTGCGTGACGAACTAGCCAGATAATTGTACTCACCACGCCCTTGGTGTTCGGAAAGATCGCTGGTCCTGGTGTATGCTTCTGAAACGAAGAGTACTTCTCAATCAAGCCCGCCATGACTGTGGCTTCACTTTGCACAGCTGCTGCATTCTGTCCGCCCTGGAGGGCACAGATATGCTCGGCGAGCCTGGCAATGCTGCCGGTCTCATACACCACATTTCGGCCCAAGCCGTCTTGATCAAACCTCAGCCTCTGCACGATCAAGCGTCGAAGATGGAGGGCCTTGAGACTGTCAATGCCTGCAGCGAGGAAACTAGTAGTCACACTGGGAAGCGATAGCCCCAGCTGGTCGCGGCAGAGTTGCATTAGGAAGGACTGTGTATCGGCGAAATCAAGCTGAAGATGGCCCGCCAATTTTTCTGATCTGGAGTAAAGATTGTCGATCAACTTGGCATAGTGTAGATAGACTTGAGATCGAATTATAGATCCCTTGTCTGTCCGTGGGAACGTGGCTGTATAGGGCAGGATCGCAACCATGTCGCGCGTAATTTGTGCGAACCGTTCAGCTCGAGAGTTGGCGATCTGAATCGTCGGCCAGATTTCACGAAGATACTCTTCTTCCGAGATTGCTGCAGCCTCAACTGCTTGTGTTTGAAATATCAATATTCCAGGGGCTGGCTTACCTGACCCAACAACCACCGCGTCGTGAATCAAAGGATCCTGCTTGACGATCCCCTCGATTGGAAGTGGAACGACTTTCTCCCCATTCACAAGGGTGATCCGGTCATCCAGTCGGGAGACGTATTTCCATCGATCAGGAAGGGTAGGATGTGGCGTGAAGACGTCCTGAGAATGAAACGAACCGGGTGGCTCAGTCGAGTTAGACGTTGTCAGAGCGGCATGCCCAGCCAAGTAGACACATTCATACATTACATCTCCAAGTGGTTTCATCCAGATATGTGGTCGAATACTATCGAAGAATCGCAGGTAGTTCCAGTAAGGGTCACCTGTTGGCCGGGAGACTGATTCGGCTACCAGCCCTGCCTCCGTTCTACGGTCCCATTAGATCGGTGCTTGTTTTCGGAGACATAGTAATCACGCAACTTACAAGCCAAAAGACCCCCCAAACGGAACCCCTTCGCTGACGAGACGGTCACCGAGCTCGTCCGGACAGGGAGCGCCTCCGTATGTCACCAGCTTGCATTGCCGAAGGGCAGCAATGCCTCTGGGGCTATCCACCAACAACTGAAGCATGTAAGGTACAGCCGCCACCGATTGAGGCCGGGCGGCCTCCAGAACGGAAACCACACATGGCGCCGTGAATGGGAGAGCTGCATTCCACATGAAAGCGGTCTTTTGCATCCACATTGCCTGCAATGCGGTCGAAAGCCCATGGAGATGATACCACGGCAGCGGATTGAAGGAGGTCAATCCGGGGCCGCGCAGGGGATGCGTCATTAGTGCCCGATGTGTAAGGTAGAGCGGCTTCGGCGTCCCGGTTGAACCAGATGAATGAAGGATAAGCGCAATTTGGTTGCTCTGGGCGCTTAAATTGCGCCTTCGGTGCAGGATGAGGAGGGCGTTCTCTGGGTTACCCTGTGATATGCCTGGTATAGGGTGACACCTGACTGGCTTTCGCTGTAGGATTCCCCCCAAAGTGGACCGGATGCTCCCATTTTGGCCGTAGATTATTGTGTCACAATTGACTTCGTCAAGCAGTGAAACACATGCTTCACTCGATAGTCGTGGTGATAACATCATGACCGTATAGCCCAGTCGACTCAAAGCAAAGAAGACAATAACCATGTTGAGATCAGAAAGAGTAAGCAGAGCCACAGTGCCCCCATTCTTCTTGGGCCACAGTGTGTCAGAGTATGATCCCGATTGTATGAATTGTGAGTGGACTCACTGGTTGAAACCCATTATTCATCAGCACTGCCGCAGACTGGTCGATCATTTCATCCAAGTCTCGGCCAGTATAATAGTTATATAAAGCAGCATCCTTGTCAGAACTTGGATATGCGAGAATCGGATGCTGAACGAGATCCGCCGCACGGAGACGGATTAAGTCATCTAAGACATGAAGCAGTCCAAACGTCTGAATAAGAGGATCCGCAGTGCTGGACGAGGCACTTGGCCCTGCCTGGTCGCCTTTTTGAATCCCCATGATGTGGGATTGTACAGACTAGCTTATGAGATGAGAATAAAGACTAATTCACCTGCAAGAGGGTGAAGGGGTACAGGAGTATTTATGGCTTCCACCATACTGAATCTTCACGCTCAATTGGGTCCTGCCGTGTTGTGATTGCCGTCTGCTTTCGGGGTGCGCAGGAGAGTGCTGGGGTCCCGTTTCGGAAGAAAGAAGGGTTGCAGGGTTGCGATGCCCAGCACAAACGACTCTGGATAGCCCACTTTTGCCAATTGCCGGCTAGTTTAGTCAGACCGCTCGTATGATTCGTACGAGTGATAGGGAATGGTGTATCCTTGACGAGGAATACAAACAGGCCACAAGCAAGCTTGTCATGCGCTGCGGACACAAGCCGAGCCACCTTGAAAATCAACATTGCACACCGTCACAAGAGATCTCACCACGACATATAGGATTTCTTGGTCCGGTAGTATCATGAGATACTTCACAGAGACTGGGATCTAACGGCCATGGTTACACTGCAAACGTGTCGGAACTGACGCCTCGTTTGCAATTGAAATCCCCCTGTGGTGACTCAGCGCCAACCCTCATTTACACCCTGGGCCCAATAGTAAGTTTTTCACAGGAGGTTCGATCTGTCGGAGGGATTTTCTTCCCTTTACCTGAGAAGACCAAGATAATAGATATTCTGGCCTGATGACGCGGCAACGTGAGCCTGGACAGCAGTTGACGGGATGGTTCCTGCAAGTTACGAGTACATCAAGTCTTGCACAAAAATGGCCAAGTCAAGGGTTGCTGGTTTGGCTTGATTCGAAACACCGTGGCAATCTTCCACCCGCTGTTTGTTACATACTAAGACAGGTGCAGGAACCAGGTTCAAACGCTGCTACCTTTCGACCGGACTTAGCACGGTCTCTGGCCATCGCTGATCAGCCGAGGAACGCGAGGTCGAATTTTGTTGACTCTGGTATCGTGGTTGATCCATATTCTGACAAAGTCAGTAGGGAACAGAATTACCTGTATGGAAACTACCCCATGCTCAGACCTGCATTGTGCCGTGTCCGCGGGAAGGGATCGGATGAGTTGGAATGCACCGAGCGGCTGGTCCATGAGGCTACTTTGCGATCAACGGTCGCTGGAAATGGGCCGCGGCCCTGCGAAGTCCCATAGTGGAGCCGACTCGTCGCGGATCGCGCTGTCCGTTTGCCGGGAGGAATGCTAACCGTCCGATCGGGTCCAGACATGTCGATCATTCCAGCCGTGCTTCGTTGTTTCTGATGGTGAGCGGGTCAATGGTGCCGGCCTGGATTGCATTCTTGGACTGCGGAACGCAACAGAATTGACCCGGTACGCCCTAGGAAAGGAGCGGCGGTATAACGCAACAGAAATACGATCTAAGACTCGTTGTCTTGGGTCCTTCTAGAAAGGAAAAATGATTTACTGGGTGTATCTAGACATTCTTCGAATCTATGGCATTAATGTTCACAGGACACGGATCCGGTGCGGTATGTGGCGAAGCCTGGCTATCAACCCAGCGGGGGTTGGTCCACAGCCGCTGCTGCACAACAGGGAAGGATGGGAGATGTACGTATGTCCAGCTGTCAAGAGAGGCGATTGAGAAACACATTACATTCGGCCTGGGTCCAACAATCCCTTCTTTATTCAGTTAGAGACGACATAGATAACAGTTCATACCACACCGGATCTATACTAGGAAGCATGTCAAATGGCAATCTAAACATGTTACCAAGGCCGAAAGTCAGAGACAAAAGATAGGAAACGTGAAAGGGGATCTGCTATCATCAATGGCAAGATTTACAGATGGCAGCTTTCTCAACCTTCATGTCTAACTGCTGCAAGATCCGCTGCCAGGATCGAGCGGCCCGCTCGGCATGCTCACCCGGCACCGAGGGCTTGTCTTCACCGGTGGTTCGGGAGAACACTTCCATACTGACCCATCCGGTGTAGCCCAGCCCGTTGAGACAGGCATCGGCAACCTCTCGAATGGGGAGATACCCACCCCGTTCTTCTTCACACGGGAATAGACGGGCATTCCGGGACCATGCCAGCAGCTTATGCATACCTTCTGCGTGGAGGAACGGCGTCTGTGGGTCGACCCGCTCTCCATCCGCCAGCTGCACCATCATGACTCGGTCCAGCTCAACTTCTTGGACGAGCCGGTCCATTGATGCCTGCAGCTGTGCATCTGCGTCGGCCGGGAGACGTCCCGTCGCGCTGGTCGGGTCGGCCCACACCCGCGCTGCGATGTTGAATGTGTCCAGGCAGATGCCCAGATTTGGCCGGTTGGCCCGTCGAACGATGTCCCAGCAATCTTCCCATGTATTGACGTATGTACCCCAAGCCAATGCCTCATAGGCGATGCGGATGGGAAAGGCGACATCCGCCGCTTGGGCGAGATCGGCCACGAGCCGGTCTCGATCCCCGGTGATCTCAGATGGGTCGAGGAAGGAAGAAGGGATGAGAATGAAAAGGTCGTCGCCGAGAATCTTCGAGAGCTGCACCCAGTGTTTCAGCTCATCGATTCGCTGGGCATGTTGATCGGGGTCGATCAGACCCTCATAGTGGCGGAAGGGCTGGAGGGCTAATATTCGCAGGCCCCGCTCCGCGCATAGATCGCGGATGGCGTGCGCAGCGTCGATCTCATAGTCGCGATCGGTGCGGGCCGGCGCTTCGTCACAGGTATGACACCGTTGTGTCTTGGCGAAATGTGCAAGGTCGTCATGGAAGAGCTCTAGACCCTTCTGGCCGCTCCGTACAGCGGCCTCGATTTTCGCCGTAAGGGAGTGCAGATGGGCTGCCCCCAAGCTGACCGTGGCGATGGCGGGCATCCATCGGGAGACGGCCTCGGATGGCGGGGTTGGTAGAGAGTGCATTGACATTTGCCGGCGCTAAAGGGGATGGGCAGCGGGCGATTGGCGCGAAGGAATTGGGGCCCAGGAATCGACGGGCTTTCGATGGAACTCAATCAGGTTCTTTATACACCGTGGATGTGGTTGTTCCCCCCCGCCTCTGCGTCTTCCCACAGATGTATGAAGCAAACATCGCCTGAAACATCGCCTGAAAGCGCCTGATTTCGCTCCAGCTGCTTGCGTGTCGATCGGGAAGGCTCAGGGGTGAGCCAAACGCGTCAAAATAAGTGGGCCGATGCCGTCGCAAATGGGCGGGAATCCAATCGTGCGCCAAGTCCGTATCGCCCACGGGTTCGGTTCCACTCGCTTGATGCAGCACGCAAGGCCGCCGGGGTGCGGCGTATACTGAACTATATCCTCTGCACGGAGTATGCAGTACAGCCTGCGGTCATCCGAGCTTCATCCGAGCTATTGGATGATGCCGAGGCTGAGGCACTCATCTAAGCGGGGTGCTGTTTTCGGGCATTCTGACCAGGTCAGCTCAGACCCCCGGGCATCCTCGGGCTAGGAATGGAACCGAAACGTTTGCCATCTTTTTCCTCTCTGCTGGGACCACCTTCCGAATGGACACGGCACGAATGGCCGCATTCAAATGCGACTGTCAGCTCGAGAAGTCGAGGAAGTGTACGGGCATGGTATAAATGTACATGCACAACCAGCTCACGGGATTCGGTCCCTCTCGCTTGTGTTACATGGCATAAATCGTGTTTCATCTAGTGCAGTGCATATTTTCTCGTCTTACTTTGTCCCCCGCCGCAGAACATGACAGTGATCACACCTCTTTTTGCTATGGTCAATCGTCTAGGGCAGTTGGTGCTGCAGGACTGCTCAAATCCGTCACCGCAGATCCACTTCGAACTGCTTCGATTGATCGACCAACTTAAAGTGGCTGTGGAAACGCCGACAGAAACGGTGCAGCGTCTTATCTACCAGGTAAAGAGAAGCTCGCTTCTCTCGAGGATTCTTGGACTGACCATGCACAGCCTCCGCAAAATGCTGCCCTGCGCTCCGTAATTGATTTGGGTATTTTTCCGTTGCTGATGGAAAAGCAGCATCAAGATGGAGGGGTCTCGGCTACTCAGCTCGCCGAGAACACCGGCGCCGAGCGGGAACTGATTGGTATGGCCCTACCCTGTTTCCCGTCGAATGAGTACCACCGTGTGTGGACAATCGGGCCTGGTGGAGCTGGTGGACCGAGCTAAGGTAGTCTGCCAGTGCGCATGATGCGCGTCATGGCGTCCCTGGGGTTGTGTAGCACGCCGGCTTCGGAGGTGTATCGCGCCCAACGACAACACAGGAGCATTGACCCAGCCAATTAGCCGAGATGGCGTGCCATGCACGTATACTCCATCCTTTGTGTTGGTTTTCACTGTCCTGATTCTTCGTGAATGCTGACTCGACAAAGCTATGACCTCACTGTGCCCACTCTGAGCAAACTGATCTGCGTGCGCATGGTTATACGAACCCGCAGGAGTATGCTCGCTCGCCCATGCAGTGGGCAGTGGGCCAGAGCCAATTTGATTGGCCGGCTAGTCGCAAGAATCAGCAGACCTTGTTCAACTCGTACATGGCCAGCCGGTGGCAGGGCCAACCCATGTGGTTCGATGTGTATCCCGTGGAGAGGCTACTGGGCTATGCAGTCCCCTATGAGGACACTGTCTTCTTGGTTGGCATTGGTGGCAAACAAGGCCATGACTTGACTCGCTTCCGTCAGGCACATGCCAATCTGTCGGGTAAATTAGTGCTGCAAGACCTGCCCAAAGTGGTGTATGGCGTGTCGGGTCGCGAGGCAGGCATCGATGTGATGGGAAACAGCTTTCTGGATCCCCAGCCCCTTCATGCGCTCGGGCGTATTACTTTCGAGCGGTTTTCCACGACTGGCCGAACCACATCTGCCAGCAGATTTTGCGCAACACAGTGTCAGCCATGGCTCCGGATTATTCGCGGATCCTCATCGTAGACTTTGTCTTGCCCGACACGGACGAGTCCTTGCTGCCGGCTTCTTTAGATATTCAGATGATGAGCATCGGTGCTGGGGTCGAACGATCGGAGAGCCAGTGGAGGGATCTACTGCAAAGCGTGGGCCTGGAGATCACTGGGATTTGGAACCACAGCCCAAGCTCAGAGTCAGTGATCGAGGCAGTCCCGATGATGGCGGGACAAGCTGAGGTTGAGTCGGCGGGAAGGGTGAGGTGATGGGGAGGGAAGAGGAACTTGATATCAGTCATCGTCAATTTGCTTGGAACACGGTCTTTCGTAGAAATAACATTTTATCCCCTTCGACGCGCGTGCTTGCAGGAAGAATACAGGACACGCAGACACACAGGCTCCAACTTGACAAGGGTTATGAGGGTCTATTCACCAAATCACAACACCCTACATTTCGCTCTCTTCTTCTTTCCATCTTGCCAGCATCAGGAACTTGGCCCCCACCGCAGCAACGTCGTCCACGGCACGAATCCCGCGGAACCGCAACCCTCGCTGGTCCAGCTGCTTCTTCAAAGCTTGTTGATATTCTTCATTTTTCATCAGCCCACCGGCTAACACCAACTCGGTCTCCTCGGGGGGAGCATAACCTCTGCACTTGGAGTCAGTCAAACGACCCAGTGTCTTGGTAATCAGATGCGCCGTTTGTTCCTCCACAACCACCTTAGCCGTGCTGTTGTGCGCTGCCAACTTCAACACGGTCTCAGCCACGCCAGCGATGCGAGTCTTAGTGGTCTGTGGGTGATGCCCCGACAAAATACCGCTCAGAAGGTCGATGCGGCCGCTGTCCGAGGCTGTACACCCAAGCTGGCTGATCACCGCATGCTCGAACTCACCAGGACCGTCTGAGCGAAGGTCGAGCATCTGCTCTTCCAGAACGAGCAGCGTGTGCTTGATGGCTTCCACTCCGATGGAGTATCCGCTACCTTCGTCGCCCAGCATGTGGCCCCACCCGCCCGAGCGGGCTACACGAATATAACCCCGATCTTCCGTCCAAGCATAGCGCATGGCCACGCTCCCAGTACCCGCAATCAGAACAATCACAGACGACTGGTTTTTGTCTACAGACACCGATGCCGGCAGGAGGTCCACGTCACTAGTCAGCTGAAAGTCGGCTGCAGTATGGTCGAGGCCAAAGACCGCTGCCAGCTGCGGAGCCAGTTCTTTGTGCAAACCAGCACGATCCAAGCCAGCAACTCCAACCCAGACAGACCGGAAGCAAGTCTTCAGGTATTGCTTCCATCCTGTTTCGCCTGGTTCAGTGCCACTTGGCAGGTGCTCTTTCAGTGCATTCTTGGTGGACTCAATCAAAGTATCCACTACTCCCTGCACATTCCCAATGCCATCAGTCCTAGCAGGGTGGTCAGTCCATGCCCAAACTTCCAGAGGAAAACAACACGTACAGATTGCATGGGCCAGCGTAGCCATGACGCACAACTCCAGTGTGATCAGTTACAGCTGCGGCGCATTTCGTGCCGCCACCATCGATGCACAGCATAAACCGCCTGGCAATCGCAGCTGGTGGACAGAGAGGTTGTGCAGGCGCAGATGCTCCTTCAAATGCGCTGGCCAGCACTCCTCCGGCCGAGTCCAAGTGCTGCTGGCAGTCCTTCGCCGATTTCCCTGTTTCAGCAACCAGTATGGCAAGCTTAACACTGCCATTGGATTGCGCAAGAAGAGCATCTAGCTCCGAGTCGGACAGGGAGCTGCACTTCGTGCTGAGGCGGCGCAGCATGTTCCGTGATCGCTGCTCCAGTTTGAGATTTGATGCCACCATATCAACCATCTGAAGGAAGGTTAGTTTCCTCTTCAAACTGGATACTACCGGGATGTCATACCATATTGCCGTAGGTCTTCCCGACTCGAATCATGGTCCCTGTGCTCAGCATGTTCAGAACCAACTTCGTCGCGGTGCCCGACTTGAGTCTTGTGCTGCCAGTCACAACCTCTGGCCCTGGGACAGGAGCAATCAGGTAGTCCACATTGCCCGAGCGGCCGATTGCTGAGGGTGATACACAAACAATGCCTATCGTGACGCAGCCTTGTCGTTTGGCGAAAGCAAGACATCCGAGGACATAGGGCGTTCGGCCTGAACTAGCAATACCGATCACACTATCGAGCTCAGGGTTCAGCTCCAAGCGCTGTAGGTCGTCTTCACCGGCTTGCTCGTTATCCTCGGCGCCCTCTTGCGCTTGACGGATGGCGGCATCACCGCCAGCAATTAAGCCAATGAACTGGGAGCGCGGAGCAGCAAAAGTCGGCGGAATCTCTGAGGCATCCAAGATTCCCAGTCTACAAGCTCCGGTCGTTGGTCATCACAGTGGTCGGTCTCTCGTCGGGGGCTTCACTGACCTCCCGCTGGTTCCCGCCCCAACATACACCACTCGCCCACCTCGACGCACACGCGGTGCCAGGGCGTCAATCGCCGCAGCAATCACGGGCAGGCAGGGTTTGACGCTTTCCGCCACTCTGTGATCATCGTCATTGATGACACTGCACATCTCCAGCGTCGACATGCGGTCAATGTACGTTGTCCGGGGATTGACCCCCTCCGTCTGCAATTTGGCCAAGCTACTCAAATCCATCGTGTCGGGTGGTTGTTTTTAACCCGATGGATCTGCATATGAAATCAACTCACAACTGCGCACCACAAAAGGAAGGCCCAAGACTTGCGTGAAATCGCTATCGGGATGACAGGATCTATCAGTACAGCGCTGGTCGAAGAGATCCCGACGCTAGCCAGGGGCTAAGTGCAGCGGTGCCGACACCCGTTGGCCGACTTGGCCTTCATGGTTCCTGGGCCGCCGGGGTGGGGGCTCGGACCACTGCCGATGCAGAAACGTATCAACATCAACCTATGGCCGATACGTAAACGAAGTCTCTATCGGCTCTCGCTCAGCGACATGCGGGGGGCGTTACCTGCCAGAGTCGCAGCGAGGACCCAGCGTGGGATCAGGCGGCCCCCTGGAAGTCAACCGCGGTTAATCTCCCGACACGCGACTCGTGGTGGAGTGCACCCCCCTCCAGGGACGCAGGGACGTGCCCAATGTGGATCGATTCCGCGGGCCTCCCCCGCTCTGCGACGACGATGCTATCACCGCCTACCGGCACTTGCGAGAGCTGCGAGTCATTGATAAGAAACGGGGGTTGTCCTGATTGGCCTGCTCCACCCGGGATACCAGGATGCGATGCTGGAATGCAGGGATTGGCGAGCTGGTCGAGGTAGCATCGCAGCCACAACACAAACAAATACTCGTATCTCATGAGGGGCCCCCGGCGACACTTCTTCGTCACTGTTGGATCTGCCGCTTAAAAGAGTTCGCAACCCTTTGCAGGTGCTCATCAGCGTCGGTCTCGGTCATATCTTCTCGGCACAATGGATGACAACGACACAAGTGCAGGAGATGCTGCTGGCCCGATCATGCATGCTGGTGAGGATGACAAGCGTTCGACCTTTCACCAGATCTACACGCACTGCTGGTTCCAGATCATTCTGATCAGCTTTATCTGTTTCTGCTGCCCTGGAGTAGGTCCTTGAGGTTTCTGGGTCATAACTTGGCGCCTACTGACTCACGGATTCACGTAGATGTACAATGCCCTGGCCGGTCTAGGAGGCTCCGGCCAAGTTAACCAGACGGTGGCTGCTAATGCGACAGTCGCGCTCCTTGCCGCGACTGCCGGCACGGCGCTTTTTGTGGTGGGACCGATATTTGATCGTGTCGGACCCCGAGTGTGCCTCCTGCTGGGCGGATGGACCTATCCTTTATACTCTGGCAGTCTCTTGTGCTTCAATTGTGTGTCGATCAATCCCTGGCTCGCTCCATGACCCATGAACTAATCCGATCTCGTCCCACCAGCCACCAAGAACGGCGCCTTTGTTATCGCGGCCGGCGCAATTCTCGGTGTGGGCGCATCATTCTTGTGGGTTGCCCAGGGAGCTATCATGACCACGTACGTGAAGGAATCGCAAAAGGGGCGAGCCATTGCGGTGTTTTGGATCATCTTCAACCTGGGTGGTGGTGTGGGATCTCTAGCGAGCTTTGGACTCAACTACCACTCGAAGAGTGGCACGGTCTCGAACGGAACCTATATTGCGCTGCTGATTATCATGGCTATTGGATGGCTTCTCGGCGTGTTCATCTGCCCACCATCAAGCGTTCGCGTGTCCCAGCTGCAGGCCACACCGCAATCTGAGAAGAACTGGCGGAAGACGGCTCGCCAGGCAGTGCGCACGGTTACCGATTGGCGCGTGGTGTGCATGTTGCCTCTGTTTTTCTCGGCCAACGTCTTCTACTCGTACCAGCAGAACGTGGTCAACGGCATGACCTTCAATATCCGCACGCGCTCACTCAATGGGGCTCTTTACTGGATCGCGCAAATGCTGGGCGGACTGATTATCGGCCTCATCCTTGATATGCCGGGCTTCACACGGCCTATGCGCGCTCGCATCGGGTGGGTCTTCCTTTTCGTGACGGGGATGGCTATCTGGGGTGGTGGATATGCGTTCCAGAAGTGGTCGGATCGTCGGGTGGCGGCGGGCTTCAAGCAGGACATCGATTATACCGACAGCAGTATCTCGGTTGGTCCGACCTTGCTCTACATCTTCTACGGCGCATACGATGCCTTCTGGCAATCCTTCTGCTATTGGCTCATGGGTGCCCGCTCCAACTCCCCTGCCGAGACGGCGATTACCGTGGGCGCATATAAGACCTTCCAGGCGACTGGCGGTGCAATGGCCTGGCGCATTAATGCCCTGAAGAAGCCCGCGATGACACAGTTTGCCATGGACTGGGGTCTCTGCATGGGCTCGCTCGTCATTGCCCTGCCAACTGTCTTGGCAGTCACTCTAACGAGTGACCCCAACTCAGAGGCTCTCAAAAGCAGAGATGTGCCCGACTCGAAGGAAGACCCTCGGGTTGAAATCAAAGAGTGATGTCTCTCGCAGTGACGAGGCTGGGCTGTCTCTGGTAGATGCGTGTTAGAATTGCATACGGGGACCCTCAACAATAAATCAAGGTTGAATATTTCCTCCACCTGTATTCGCACGAGGAATGCTCTGGTTTGTTCATGGACCATTAAGAATAAGAAAGTATATATATACGGGTAATCGTAAACAAGGCGTGCGGTCTATCTTACGCCTCTTCCTTACCGAGTACAGTTCTTTAGGATAGCAGTCTCCATCCACAGTTTGGTGTATTGTCTGTGCAACCACTCCATAACCGGGCCCATAGGAGCTCCCTCGGCCTTGCCCAGACCTTGATAGAAGCAGCTCTTTAGGGTGAACTCGGCCACGCCCTGCTCTGGTTTAACCACCGCGCCGATTTCAAACAGACCGTCGGAGGGGCGGACATCGCGCACGCGAGGGGAGGCGCCGCAGCGGACCACAATTTTCTCGTCGGTCTTCTCGACGACTTCAAAGTGATCGGTGATCAATGTGCCGACCTCATAGCTACTAGAGAGGAGGTCCTTGCGCTCCCAGAGGTGGCTGGCGGTTTCGGGGCCTTGGTACTTGTTGGCGAAATAAGCGCGCTGCGGGATGTATCCTACACGTCCAGTTCACGGTCTATTTGTCAGAGGAGGAGTTTGCATGCCGGCGAGCAGAATGGGTGGAGGAGGAGCTTACCCATGCCACCCCAAATACCGGCGCAGAAGGCCTCGACCAGCTTGCCCTTCTTCTCCAACAATGACGGGTTGATCTTGTCCAGGGGAACGCGGCGGACGCAAAGGTCATGCAGAGTCGGGTTGCTCTCGGGATTGAACTTTCTGAAGAACGGCGAGGAGAAAATGGGATCATTGGCGTCCATGGGCTCAAAGACGTCATTGCGCGTGGCGCCGAAGAAAACGCCGACCGAGGCGACGGTGCCGGCGGCGGTCACCTTGAAAATGCGACTGATGAGGCCCATTGCGGAATGTTTGTGAGGGATTGGGAGAGGAGGTGAGGAAAGGAGGGCCTGCCGAGGGTTAAAGACGAGGAGCAGAGTGAGAAGCGGAGGAAGCTGCGGAGAACCGCCCGAAGTTGCGGCCGGACCCCGTCACGAGGGCTCGGCCGACAGTTGACGATATGCGCCGTGGCACGCATTGAGATAGAAATCGGGGTCATGCCTCCCGTTTGAACAGTTGCTTTAGCATCTACACGTGTTTAGCGTCTGCGTGTGTTTTAATGGCTATGGAGGAGCAATTGACACGGGTGTGTGTTCGACCGAGTGATGGGAGGTATACCTAGGTACCTGATGCCAAGATATGTATCCATCACGACGATGAGCTTGGGACCATCTCTTCTCCCCGTACCGCACTAACTGCCTCCGATCAAGGACCGGACACATGCCCTACAAGGCTGCATTATTAACGCACTGTAATGTCGTATCCTTTGGCCAGCGGGATACCTAGCAGTCTCTAGAATGCCGACCGACTCGGGAATCCCGACTACCGCCGGTCGTGGTCCGCGAAGGAAGACGGGCTCTTCCTATACGAGGATATCTCCACATTAGCGAGAATACCTACGTATAGACAGCAGACCGACATAACCTACTGCCAACCAGGCGTCTAGCGCACCGAGTTCTCAGAGTGCTACTTTTTCACGTGCATATTTACACGCTAGGAACACGGACTATACCGTAACCACCTAATATTTCAAGAACTACTATATACTCTCCATATAGAAGGTCTACGATATGGCAAGCCACACGTATATTGCATTCGGAAATAGCATACTATGTGACATGTCCTCATCAAGCTTGCAGACCAAACCTGACGAGCGCCTACGCAGCTCGTCGTTCTCGGCCACTGATCAAATAGACCGCCGCCCGAACATCAATGAGGGGATCCTCAGATGGCTCGATGCCATTCACCCGAGGCACCGGATCAAATATAATTCTCTTTTGTTCAGACAAGTTGTCTTCCACGACAGACACCAGCGAAATAACACCCAGCTTGACCACGCGACGGTGATCAGGCCAGTGAACCGTGCAGTCATCCGTCACGTCACCTTCGTCGGCGACTTGGGCCTCAAGATCAAACTCAATAGACCCGTGAGCTAGCAACCCGGGTACTGCATCGAACAAATAGGCAGGGCTTTTGGTTTTCGCCTCGTCGTCGTCCAGATAGGACTCCCCAGCTCGGGGTGCGATCCTATATCTGATGAAAGTCTCCTTCCCCTCTTCGCTGACCAGTTTGAATGCGTTCACCCCGAAATATTTGTCGGTCGCGAAGCTGGCAGGGAATGGCTTTGGCGCTTGAACAAATGCTAGAGCTGCCGGGTGGGTGGTAAGGAATTCGGCAATTGTGCCATTCGCAACCGAACGGAAAAAGGCGAGTGCCTCGGGTCCATCTTTTGCAGGGAAGAAGGGGGTTGAATGTGTAATAATATCGGTGTGTACGCGGCGCGGGGATTCTTCTAGTAAGAATCGCACCGCGAGCCCTCTTGGATTGCCGTTGGGGTCGGTGTCAGGCAATTCAGGAAGCCCACCTGAGCTTGAGAAGCGGGCGATTATAGGTGTTGACTCTCGATGAAAGTGCGGTGCCGCCGAAAGAGATGCAGCTTCGTTGGTGGGGGTAAAGGACCCCTTCAGGAGAATGCCCTTGGCATGTGCTTTTTTGACGGTTACCAGGAATCAAGAGTATGCATTGGAAACAGAAGCAGGATCTCACCAGGCCGGTATCCGGGATGGGGACCAAAAATGCCTTGCAAAGTACTGAGTAGCTGACGACCCGTGTCAACGGTTGCTTGCTCGGACGGTAGAGGCATGGCAATGAATAGTGTTCAAGGAGACCTATACTATTGTTTCTCAATTAAAGGAAGCGAATGAGGTGGCTGATAATGGAGTAAGAGAGGTCGAGGAGCTGGGGAAACGACCGCACTATTTAATGATTCATGACTGTCAGCCGAAGGTGACCACCCCGCGCCATGTGTGATGAGGTGGCTATTGAAGCTCAGGGAAGAGGGGCACCATCTTCCCATGTAAGCAGCGACCTCGAAAACGTTACGGTGCAGGGAGTGATGATTATTACCTGACCATGCTGATTGGGTACCAGCCCGGGAGGCGTTAAATGGATGTCATAGCGCTTACATTCTCCGAAATCTGACCAACCAGACAATGCTATGTTAACTATGTCGGGACGGGAACTGGAATAATTTGTTCTTTAGCCGACCAGAAGATCGGGCCGCAGCGCTGACGGCGTCGACGCTAGCTTGGGGCGAGGATTGAACACGACCTACCTTTTGCAACCATGGAGACTGCACAAGCGGTCTAGCCCGAAGAACTTCCTGAGTCGCCAAGATCAACACATGAACACGTCAACATTGAAGGCCCCCATTGGGGCGCCTGCGTTAGTGGGCGAATGATGCACGATTACTACAATGAGAAGGCTCCGAAAAACGATGTATTCTTCAAATCATTTCCATAAAAGCCGTGTAATTTCACACTTTAAACCAGATCCTCCAAAAGGCAAGCCGAGTAAGCGAACGTATGGCAAAAGAATGGATAGGTCTAGGACCATGCACAGAAATCAACACGTGGCACGTTGGTCAACAACGCGCACGACAGATGTCTGCCCTGTTTCTTGGCGAGAGAGTCTCTCTCGTCTCTAAGCGTCTAGGCAATGGGGAAGCCGAGGATAGAGAAGCCGGTTGGGGAGGTCACAGGCTTGGTGGAGGACTCCGGAAGGCCGGAAGGGGTAGAAGGCAGAGGGAGGCGAGAGCTGGAGGGGACAGGGGTAGCACTAGGAATACCGCTGAGAGTACCAGTGGGGGTACGTAGAGGCGTAGACGTGAAGCCACGCTTCTGGACACCGCTCGAGGCAAGGGCCGCAACAACAGACTCAGCCTCAGACACCAGAGAGGGCAGATCAGTGGGAATGGACAGAGAGCCATCGCGCTTCTGGGCACCAGACGAGGCAAGGGCTCCGAGCGCAGACTGGATATCCGAGATCAGAGAGGGTAGGTCGGTCGGGAGTGCAGCGGAGTCAGCGCGCTTCTGAACACCACTGGAAGCGAGGCTGGCAGCAATGGCCTCAGCATCCGGAACCAGAGAGGGGAGATCGGTCGGGATCGACAGAGACTCGCCCCGCTTCTGAGCACCGCTCGAAGCGAGGGCAGCAGACACTGACTCGACATCAGAGATCAGTGAAGGCAGATCGGTTGGGAGAGCGAGAGATGCGTCACGCTTCTGCGCACCGGCCGAAGCAAGAGCACCAAGGGCCGACTGCGCATCTGAAATGAGAGATGGCAGGTCGGTAGGAATGGAGGGAAGACCACTCCGCTTGGGCAGGAATGAAGCCGGCTGGGAGCCAACCACAGGAGTGGTGGATGGCGCAGGCAGACCGGTGCTCGACGGGGCCCGCGCGGGAGTCGGAAGGCCCGAAGACGAGGAATAGACAGTGGTGCCATTGGAAAAGAAGGGAGCAGCCATGGCAGAGCCCGAGAGGGCAAGAGCGAGAGTAGCGATGGAGAGCTTCATTGTGGAAGATAAGAATCGAAAAAGAAGGATGGATATAAAAGGTTGGAAGGAGTGATAATTGGGAACAAGGAAGTATCCGAGCAAGCGATAGTCGTAGATCTGCTTGATGATGAGCAGGAAATTCAGACGGCTTCGAAGGGGTTTTTATATCTGATTCATTTAGACTGTTTCGTTAGAATAGCATGATCGGCAACGACCACCGGCGACTAGGACGGAAGCCCATCCGCTGTGCATGATGACCCGAGTCGAAGCATGCGCATTGCCGCCGTTTCGCGCACTGGATGAAGGGGAGAGTTCCTCCCCGGGTTTCGGCCCTGAATTTGGGTAGATACATCTTAGAAGGATCGGCGTGCGTCGACATCAGAGGACTAGGACTCCAACGGTCGAGGAATCCAATATCATGAACGGGCCGAGCAGCAGCCAATGGATGGCCAAGCGCAGATCAAATGCCCGGCCTAGAAGGGTTCGCCTGGACGTCCAAGTGTGGTTCACAGGGTACGGTTGTTATGAAACACTGGATGACCTGCGCGAATTGCTTGTCGATCTCCACAGCTGCGATTCAAGCGCCGCGTTTCAGAGAGCAGGCCCCACAGCATGGAGACCATCGGCCAAGGGACCGGCCAGGGCACAACTTGGGCCAGTCACGAGGGGAGGCGGTGGAGAAAGCATTCAGTACGAGGTCACCTTGATAAGAGGGGGATTGGACGCGATTGGAGAGGATGGCGAGGCCCCCATTGAGCCAGAGATGAGGGGGTACAGGGTTCAGGGACCAGCCGGCGCTGGACGAACCAGCAACCCTGCTGCCGATCGACGATCCTCTGCCGATCCCCGTTGAGGCCGCCGTTTCGGGCGATTCATCCGAGCTCTCACACCCGTGGAGGATATCAGGTTCGCCCCTCAGCGTTGGTCGCTCGATTTTTCCGACGCTGAACCGCGGTCATGCTCGACTGAACCCCACCTTGTCCGGATGAACTTATCTCATAATTGGATTCCCACGGAGAGTTCAATGGATGCGATGCTCCTCGGTATCGGGTTTAAGTCGAGATGCCGATGCATCAACAGCCGGCACAACATAAATGGTGCACATGGGATTGCGCGACATCAGACGCCCATCACACGAGGCATGGAACCCTCCATGGGGCCATGGAAGCAGAGATGGGAATACCCCTCCGCCGATCAAACGGGGGGCGTGCCTCTGCGGATATCGCCTCCAGCTCGCCCGGACGAATTCTTGTTTGGCAGGGCGCCCGATGCCTGGTCTGCTAGGATAGAAACTCTGCCCCAGCTGTCGGCATTGAGGTGGAGGCATGCAGGATTTGGCCCGCGGTGAGGCATTTCAGTGGCCGGGCAGCTCGCCGAGCGGATTCGCTCAAGATGGAACTCAGAGCTATCGAGTTGTTGTCCCAAATCTGTGCATGATTCCATCGCAGCAAGTAACTGATGGATACTAGCTGTGGCAGGAATCGGGCGTGGACGGCCGGTATGCATCAATCTATCAGAACTCTCGTTGGGTCATGCCGGCCTTGCAGCCAGCCGGCCAGCTCCCCATCCGCATGGAACCGGGTTTGCATTTCCGGCGGGCAGCACAGCCGAAGGACGCTCGGTCCGTCGAGCGTCGGTCAACTCGGCCAACCCGGATGGCGGCTAGGCATCTTGGATGCATTTACGTCGGAGCCTTGGGGCACGGGTAGATGTATTGCCGAGCAAGAGGTCGTACTCGCCAGGCAAAAAGGGTTCCGACCGGACGGCCTACGGGCAACCAAGACCGGGAAGGGGCAAGAGAATGATAGGAGGATCAAGAGTGATGGGAGGCGGCATCAAAGTCCTCCGGGGTATGCTTCAATTACATGTATCATTGGGAATGATGATGGATTAATTACGTGTCCATGATGTGCAGAAGCACCACTGCTCGTAGACTCGGCATCCCATCAACATGAGATGTTCATAGCTCCGGTCGGCCCCGTGGGCAGGAAAGGAGGTCTGCCTAGCGGAGCGGTCCACACGAGAAATACCGTTTGCACACCACTCAGTTCCGCTTCTGAACCTTCTCCCACTGGGGCTCGAGGTTACGGCCAATGGCGCGGTTAGCCTCCTTCTCCAGCTCACGCGGAGTCAAGCCAGTGCGCTTGGAGATCTTGGATGCGGAATCTTCGCGCGACAGTTGCACTAGTGATGAATGTTAGGAAGATATCCTCAGGGAACATGGGCTGAGGTGCCACATACCATGAAGGTAGACAGCAGCCTTCTTGCCGGAGAACATAGCGTGCGGGACATTAGTGCTGCCGTCGCTATTGGCATCGCCGACGGCATAGACACCCGTCAGGTTGGTGCGCATGCCGCTCGTATCGACCGTGATCTTCTCACGGCTGACGTTCAGGTGCATCTGGTACGGCAGCGAGGAGCGCTGCACGGACGCAAAGTTGGTGATGAAGGCATTGCGCTCGATGGGCTCCCCGGTGGTGAAGTGCACCAGGAACTTGTCAAACTGCAGATCGGCCGTCTTGTTCTGGTGTGTCTCGCCATCCTGAATGCGCTCAATGGAGGCGATAGTGCGGTTCTCGATCTTGACATTCCAGGCCTTGAGCTGCTCCTCCCAGTCCTCGTGCGAAGCCGTGGCCTGGGCTTCACCCGCCCGGGTCTGGGTCCCGTTGACAAAGGCAATGATGTCGGAGAATTGGGTGTTCACCTCCAGCACGCTGCCCAACACATCGGACAGGTTTCCGATGATACCGAAGGGCTGGTCACGGTGCTCGTACCCATCACACCAGGGGCACCAGAAGATGCCCTTGCCCCAGCCTTCCTCCATGCCGGGGGTGTTGGGAAGCACATCCCGCATACCGGTGCCGAGAACGACCTTGCGCGCAGTGTAGTTCTTGCCCGACGCATCCACCACGGAGAATACCGAGACTTCGGCATTGCCAATTGGGGTGATGGACTTGACGGTCGCGTTTTTGATGTGAGCCGTGGGGTACTTGAGAATCTGCTCGCGAGCCAGGGCACGGAACTCAGCGGGCGGGGTGCCTACGGGAAGTTAGTCACTGAGGGATACCACATCCATATGAATCGTGGAGATTACCGTCATTGCCAATGACGTCGTGCATGTTACGAGTAGGGGCATTGCGGTACTCCTGGTTGTCGAACAGTAATGCGGTTCGCCGGACACGAGAGACGCCACTCAGGGCACTGAGACCCGAGGGGCCACCGCCGACGACAATCACATCGTAATCGGTCTTGGGAATCGACTCGGCTACCGCGAGAGCCCACAGAGACAAGAAGACGGACAGCAGAGTCACGATTCTCAGACCCATTGTTACGACTGAGACAGGGAATATGAAGATATGACCGGGTGCACGAGAAGGAAGCACGCCGATTGACGTGCTGCCCGGTCAGCTACCTGCGCTTTATAGACCTCCCTGGCAGAGTTCACTGGTTGCTCGCCAGGCATCTAGCTGGCGATGACATCGGGTAGAGCCATGCGCACCCATTCCACTCGGCCCGCCGATCCAGATTCCGACAGGATCAGTGTGGAGGAGCCAGCAGGATTCAGCACCTTTCACGGTGCCCCAAGCTGGGCAGGGTGCAGCGATCATCGGATCGGCATCCCTTGCAGAACCATCCAAGATTTCGCATGGGCAGCGGTCTGGGGCAACTCGGATGGCTCGGATTGGTAGAGTGGATGCAATGGCTCGAGATGCTTGGCCAACGGGTGACACGGCAGGTCGGAGGTCAAGAGCTGCATGGTGATCCAACGCCCAGACGGGGGCATTCGGAATCGGGGATTGGAGCAGTCTTGTAGCTTCGAGGACTGGTACAGTTCCCATCTCCCGAACTGAAGCTGTCCCCTTGGCCAAACAAACATTGGCTGGGCGACGGGAGGGCGCCATGGGAAGGTTTGCAAAATCCAGATCGCCCGGACAGCAGATCGGAGGGATTGGCCCCGCTGCAGCTGGCCGTGATTGACTTTGTCGTTGCGAACTAGTCCGGGCCATCAAGTCCACTGTGGAGTGCGTCAGTTCAGCTCGATCGATAGTCGGTGGACTATTCAGCCCGCGGTGGGTCGTCGACGGGGCCTTTCAGCTAGCGCGATCCCTCGGGGAGGGGTAGCCCGCGCCTGCAGAATGAGATCATGAGGGGGTCTGGAGAGGTGGAAGTCGAGAACAGGAGGGAGAAAGATGGTAAATTCGATTGGAAGATGGTAGGCTCCCACCCACTACCTCACGAACGTACACTATAGGGATTTGGCCCACGGAGAAGTGCCCGCCTCCGTGATTTCCTAGGCCAGGTCTTGGCTTCCTCCTGTTCTAGTGCTCATCCCTCGCCGCCTTTTGGTCGCTGAGTTGAATTGAACATGCCTTTGAGCTATCTGAGCTGGTCAATGATCATTCTATAACCACATTCATCTACTCACTGAGCCTGACCGAGAACCCTGATTTGATGTGTTGATGATCTGATCACGGAGCCGGATCAGAGCGCAGAGCATGCACGCCCGGTGTATTCCGTAAGCTGCCTCAAGCAAAAGTGACACGCTGGCCTGATTCCGGTGCAATATTCTCTTCGCAGCTAATATCTCCTAGTCCATCAATTAAGAGCGAGGGTCATCAGTCTGCCATTAAATTTGGCAATGTTTCCCCGTGCAAGCGGCATCTACGTCGTGAATATTGCTTAATTGGGCAATTCGCTTTCTTTCCCTGGGCGTTATTTCTTCCCCCTCCCGCGATCCCTTGGTCTGATTTGAGTAACAAAGAAGGGTAGAAGGGGGCCGGAAGGGCGAGATGGTGTCTTTCATGTCGAGAGCATGGAGGCGGAGGTTACTGGACAGCGTATTGGGGTATTAAACCCGAAGAAGGCACATCAAACCCGCTCGGGCAATTCACAAGTCCGCCGTTTACATGATACAAACTGTAAGTCGACAGTCACAATTAGACTAATCCGGTTCCTTCTCGATACCATTTACAGTCACCTCATTAAGAACATCATCGCATAAGAAGCATCCTCAAAAGCCTGTGCCCTGGCCCTCATACGGTCCCTGGCTTATGACTCCCCCCAACACTGCCAGCAGGAACACAACATCTATGGAAGGAAGGAGCGGGAAGTTGAAATGTCCAGCTGACTTCGAAGATCACAAAGCTTCACCTCCGGGCGTTGCTGGATCAAGTGGAAGACTGCTTGAAATTCGTCCATGAATTGCTCCCAACAATACACGCCCTGCATCGTAGTCTCGCTGAGGCGAAGAGAGATGGTTGCAGACCCAGGGGACAAGTAGCACTGTAGCAGAGCATTCAAAGCGCAAATTGGGCCATAATACTGCATGTCCTTCTCACGAAACATCTCCGGATATGCCGTAGTCAAATCAGGTTGCACAGCCAGCAGGGTGCCATACTGGCATGCCGCTGCACATTCGGGACTCAGCTGTTCGATATCGCGGTCATCAATTCCTTCGTTCGATATCAAGGAGAGGACATTATCTTGATCCCTTTCCAGATTGTACCTGAGCGTCTCTTTGGGGTCCAGCTGGATTCGGTCAGGGAGCATCGCAGTAGTCGGGACGGCCGAATCTATGATATCCATGATAGGCGCCGATCGCCGTGCGAAGACGGCTCCGAACACAACATCGTCTGTACCGAGGTACCAGGAGGTCACGATAGCGAAGGCCAGTCGGATTTTGTTGGTGGCAGTGAAATCGTCGTTGATGATGTTGAGGGTTCCGGTAAGTTCGCGGCTTTCGACAGGCTCGAGCGATGGATCCAGCACTGGCGGGAAGACTCTGCCGTCGAACTCGGCAAATTTTTCAATCCAGAACTGACGTTGAGGAGCACTGATATTTGTCGACCACCGAACAAATGGGGCAAAGTGCCTCAGAGTCAACTTCTGACCTTGGTATGCGCTGGAGATGTCTCGAAAGAGAAGGGGTAAAGATTGGCCATCGTAGATCGCGTGATGTATGAGCATGACGAGCCGATTTGTTTGAACACAGACTCGTACAAGGCGCTTTCCAAGTCCCCAGACATCTACAGAAGGCTCGTATTGAGGCATAGTTGATCTGTGAAGAGTGTCTAACGGGATTGTCTCTCGAATAACCGCTTGTATATAACGGTCCTTCGTCAGCTCGACGATGCGCGTACGAAGAATAGGGTTGGCGGCGACCGTCATTTCCCATGCGAGGGCGAGCTGGGCTGGATCAACAGCGGACGGCAATTGAAATTCGAGTCGTAGTGTATAATTGTACCCCAATTGGATTGGAACAAGAGACGCATCAAGCTGGAGCGAAGTACAAGGATAAGCATCCTCGATCGAGTCCTGAGATACTTGGCACTGGTCCGCGATGGTACGGAGAAGTGTGTCGCCCTTTAGCTGATGGTCGTACAGAAGCGCAAATGGATTGATCTCTTGCATCATCTCCGAAACGTCTGTTTTGATATTCTGGCACAGCGTGGCAATTGTTTTATGGCGGAATATCTCCGGCACCGTCAGGAAGAATTGCTCTTGACGTGCAAGAGACACCAGGTGCATAGCCCCAAGAGAGTCACCCCCAAGGAGATCCAATCGTCATGTCTTGAAACTTCGTGCAAGTCTAGGTTGAGCACATTGGCCCAAAGTCTCTGCATCTGCACTTCTGTCGCAGTAAGTGGCATAGCCTTCTCCTTGTTTTCAAGGCCAAAGTAAGCCTTTATCTGGGCACGCGGAAGAAGGGTGAATTGCTCTCGCAAGCCCTTGCGATCCACTTTTCCTGTCACCGTCGAAGGGATACGACTGATCGAGATATAAGTCTCCGGGATCATATAACCCGGCAACCTCCCGCGTAGCAGCGACCTGGTTGTGTTGATTCGATCCTGAAACCCCGCCTCCGGCGCCAGGAAGAGTTCAGTGGAAGAGTGGGGGACGTTTTCTGTGACAATGAAGGCAACGAGAGATGATGATGGTCTACCGGCCGTGACAGCTTCCACAATGACCTCTCGGTTGCTTCCCAGAACTGCCCGTGTGTGATGCTCGACTTCTTGGAGCTCGATGCGCTGACCGTTGATTTTAACCTGCGTATCCTTGCGGCCGATGAAATGAAAGGAGCCATCAGGGAGACAGCGGACCAGATCTCCGGTTTTATACAGTTTCTCTTCCACTTCATTGGAGACCGAAAGCCAAGGGGGGTTTGAAATGTATGACTTTGCTGTTTGTTCAGGATCATGAATGTATCCTTCACTTAAACTGGGGCCCTTGATTACAAGCTCCCCGACTGAGCCGGTTGGGACGAGGACAGTATGGTCATTCTCATCCACCACCCAGCAGGCGACGGCATAAGGGAAACCAATATTGGCAGCAGACACTACCTTCCCATAGTCGGATTGAACAGTGATGCATCCCGCGCACTCTGCTGGACCATACACGCCTATGATTTGGACGTGTGGTGACCACATATCCAGATCCGTCTGAGTCACAGGCTCTCCTCCCAAGATGAGATGTCTCAGAGTTGGTAGCTGGGTGGGATTGAGTACACGAGCTACAGAAGGAGTGAAGAAGGCCCAATTGACCTGCAGTTTCTGGATTGTCTCCATGAGGTTGTTTTCGCGGTCAGACTCGGACGGAATACAAAGACAGCCTCCAACGAGAAGAGGCCAGAAATGCTCCAAGAAGCTGACGTCGAATGCAAATGATGCGAAGTGCAAGACCCGAGAACGTCGATTCAGATGCAAAGGCTTATGATTGTGGAGAATTCCAGCGACCAATGCTTGGTGAGATACAACGATACCCTTGGGTTTACCGGTGGATCCTGATGTGAAGGCGACATAGGCTGCTTGATCAGGAACCGTATCGCCCAGTTCCTGATCCGTAGGGGAGGTTGATAGTAAACTCTCGTTCACGGCAAGGACCAGAGAATGCTCACTCAGCTTCGTCGCCAGCTCGAGTTGAGATTCACTGGCCAGCACCATCTTGGAATTGATATGACGGCACATGTGTTGCAGTCGAGCCAGTGGGTATTTTGGCTCAAGGAAGCAAAAGACACCACCGGCTTTGGAAACTGCGAGCATGGCCACTGCTGTCCATAGCGACCGATCAAAGCACAGCGGCACAAAAACTCCTGCCTGGACCCCTTTCTGCGCCAAGAGTCTGGCTAAGGCCGAGGATTTCTCGTCCAGCTCTCCATATGTAAGCTCTCCATCCCAGGCGCAAACCGCTGGAGCATCATGTTGCTCCAGGACACGCTGGTGGAAAGCATCCTGTATGGTGATGGGGATCGTCTTGGAAATCGAGGTTTCTTCACATGAGCTTGCTCTAGGACCCAGGGATCGGTCGTTCGTCATCGTGTTCGCTGATCCGGCTCAGGATAATGATATGGTAGTTGTATTGGAGTGATAGGTGACATTAACAAATGTGGATGCTGATTAGATAGGTGTTAATGAGAAGATCTTGTCAGCACCGAGTGGTAAATATGTTTATTCAATGGGCTAGACAGCGCCTCCGGATCATTGATAGTCCACAAGGTATTATTTAGCGATCGAGTTGCGTAATTTTGGGTCCTAATTATCCTCTCTATTGTAGGAGATGATTGGAGAACGCTCCCTATCTTTCGCTGGTGCAAGCCATAAAATGATAGCTGATGACATCCTCGATACCTTGACTACTGGAATCACTCGGCGATTGATGATAGGCGTCTGAAGATTCACTAGATCTGTCAACTTTTGATTGAACAGTAATATTCAGGCAATACCTCGTATTTACCTAGGTACAGTACATAGTATTGTAAAATAACAGGTGGATAGCCGCGGTTGACACAATCCCATGCAATTCCTTCCCAACAGATTTGCTTTGTGATTTTCCCTGGACGTCTTCAAACTGCGCAAATTTTGGGCTTATTATGGCGGTGTGACAAATTGAACTATTGACTCCACTATAACGTGCTGCCTCGATCCAACTCCTCCGATGATCGTGTTCCAGGAACCGGGCCAAAGACCCGGTACAAACTTGTAACCCGTGCTATCCCATTTTTGTTGTTTAAGATTTAAGTACTCCTTATACGGGGAAGGCAATCGTGCCAAGGCGGCCCACTGATGGAAACAGTGGGGCACTTCGGCACGTGTATCTGACGGGATTTATGACGGGTAAAATCGTCCACTTTCACGAACCCCGCCCCCCACGCATCGCCCCCACCGTGACGTAAGTGGACCTGAAAGCCAAGGGATGATGAGATTGTTGCAGACAGTTCATCATTCAAATCAGGCCTAGACTGATAGCCTGTGCCTTTCACCATATTAAGTAAGATCTACACCTAGCCTCGGCTCTTTCTGCCATTCTCCTTCCAACTCACACAGTATCTGCTGTAGTATCTAGGTCTGAACTGAGATACTGCGTTAATATGGACTACTGTAATTTGAACCATGCATTGCGCAGCTTAAAAGTAAACAAACTCCTACTTTAGCCCGTCTCTCAACACCTTGATCGGTAAATTGATTACCAGTGCATTACCACTCCCTGGCAGTCATCATTCAATTCAACGCCATGTCTGAAGAAAGCTTCTATTCATATCTTGGTTTTTTCTCATGCGCTTGCAGCTCTATCAAATGATGCAGTTATATATTTATCCAATACCGTAGAAAGCAAGCTGATCCCAAAAGATTTCTCCCAAAAATATTCCGACATAAGCAGTCAGCTCAAGCTTTGATCGAAATTTCCTCGCTAGATTCGGTAGCCATCGTCGTCTTCCCTGCCAGCAGCTCCCTCACATGCGGATTCAGCCAGTATTGACTGAGGACAGTTGCACTCATATCCTGACTGCCTGCGATGACTCCGAGACAGTTCTGAGACCCACACTTGCAGTTGAACGGTTGGACCATATCCCATTCTGTGCTTGGATAAAAGAATGTTAACTCATCACCCACTGCTAGTGGCCGGTCCCGTGCGACCCGGACCTCAAATGTTGACATGTCAAATTCGAGGGAAGGAGAGCAGGAGTGATTGCAGTAGACGAGGTCCGAGCACAACTCTATATTCAGGCCCGGTCCGGTCTGGACAGACGTGTAGGTCTTTTGGGGCGCAGGAATAGCCGTGGTGATCTTGCTGAACAGTGCACCCGCAGGCAATGCCACTAATGAGCGGGCACATGCTGCGTAAGGTGCACCTTTGACCACCTGGAGTGACTCCGGGTGACTAGGCTGGTTCCAGGTCGGGATAAATTCAGACATGGCGACGTGTTCTACCGCACCGTTAGCGTGATTTATCTTATGGGATGAAGGAGTTCTTTGACGCACTTTGCGGAAGGTGTATGTGGGATAAAAATTTGAGATATTCTGATGTAGAGACTCGGTGCAATGTCAGAATTCAAACGGATTGAGGATATGAGGGTGGAAGGATCTATCCTGTATTTATCTCCCAGGAAGGTACCTTAGTAAATTGTTTCCAGGCCCAAAAGAAAACAAACCGTATTGTGAGGTGTCCCATAGCGGGCCGAGACAATGAGATCTTCTAAACAGCGATTTTATTGGCATTGCTCGAAAATCGGTCTAAGACCAGCTTTTCACGAGGATGTGCGATCATCGGCTGTGTCTTGCATACGCTCCGTAGATAATTCTGGGCTATTTTCAGTTAAGACCGTTCATTCGTCCTTGCTGGATCCTGCCCCATTTAACCCCTTCAGCTCGTTCAGCTGAAGATGCGGTATTTTCCAGTGTCCTTACTACCCAGGTGGGTTTCAAGGTCGGGTCCAAAATCCGCTAAGAAAATAAAAAATGGTAATAGATTTTGATATACTGTAGGTATCTGGTTTTCTATGCGTAATATGGAATTTTCAGCCGTAATTCGGTGAATTTACAGGGTCCTTGGCCACGGGGCTTTTGCGGGTCCGCGGGTAATGTGGGTGGGTACCCGAAAATCAATACGACGAGGTCTGATCCCGACTCTGTACTTATGTACTAATGCCGGCCCATCACGCAGCACCACTATACAACGCCACAACGAAACAGAAAAGGGATATGGAAACAAGTTTTAGGTTTCGACCGTGTGGAGTGGCCTGCGACGCGCATAAACTTACAGAATCTATGACCAACCGCAGAGTGAATCGTCGGCTGGACCGATGGACGGGTTAATCTCGCGTCGCAATATCGCCCTGGATCAAGAAATACCGCACGCTTACTGAGAGAAGGTCGCACGACAAGGTCCATTACTTGCTGCAATTTCATCATTGATGGAAGGAATCTATTTGGGTTGACCAATCTGCGAAGCGGGGGGATTTGATGGCTAGTCAAATTTCGTGAGGAATGTGAGATCTTGCTATATAACGGAATATACCTAACCATAAGGGGGCGAAATATATACCGAGTTATGACTTAGGTAGTTAGTGGTAACCATGAAATTATATAATCATGAAATACTTACCCATCTTATTCTGTGTTCTGTCAATTCGTCTGATACATATCTCTTCCCAAACCCTTGTTCCCCTTTCGGACGCCCATCCACCACTGATCATCGTCCATATCCGGGAATAGGGAAATAAAATGCCACACGAGACAGAGGAAAAGCCTTTGGAAGCTTGCTTTCCAAAAGAAACCATTTGCCAAAGTAAAGCAAACGGACCGCCAACAAACAGCACGGTTCTTGAAGCCATGAGGGGGAAGTTATCACAGCCATCGCAAAGGCACCGGTCTGAACCATTCTGCGTAATGGACCTTGGCTATATCCATAATGAATATCAGCGGTGGACGAGCCTCCTACCCGACGTAAAACCATTCTACGGTTGGTCTTCCCAACGAAGTCTCTCATTCATTATTCTCAGTTCCTCTGGTTGTCTGGGCTGACAATGTGCCTCAGCTGTCAAGTGCAACCCGGACGGTCAGATTATCAAGCTCCTGACGGCATTGAATAGCGGTTTTGATTGCGCATCACGAAATGAGATGGAACTGGTGCTGTCAAACGGAGCAGCGCCAGAAAGAATTATCTTCGCAAACCCATGCAAGAAAATATCCGATCTGGAATATGCGCAACGCTCTGGAGTGAGGAGAATGACATTCGATAACGAGGCAGAACTCCACAAGATTCGGCAGTGGCTCCCAGATGCTCAATTAATCCTGAGATGCTTAGCCTCCGATCCATCTGCCACGTATTCGTTGGGGTCCAAATTCGGGGCGTCTTCAGCCACTTCGGTCAAGCTTCTGCAATGTGCGAAGTCGCTAGGTCTCTCTGTCATGGGAGTGAGCTTCCATATTGGCTCTAATGCAAAGGACCCGACTGCATTTGACAAAGCCATCCAAAATGCCCGCGACGTGTTCGACGCTGGCCGGCGTATCGGCCATGACATGCACCTGCTAGACATTGGTGGCGGTTTCTCAGCTCATAGCTTCGATGCTATGGCTAAGTCTATCCGGCTCTCTATTGGCAGATACTTCTGCGGCATCAATGTTGAGCTCGTAGCGGAGCCCGGCCGTTATTTTGCGGCGGGCGCGCTGACATTGGCTTGCGGAATCATTGGGCGGCGGGATGCCACCGAGAATGATGAGGACAAAGAAAGTCGACATATGATCTATATAAACGATGGTGTATACGGTACTTTCCTCTGCAACATCTTTGAGCCCGGGCCGCAACCAAAGATTCTTCGCGCATCAGGCGAGTTTTATCCCCTGGACAGCGAGGATGAGGATGAAACATATACCATATGGGGCCCAACATGTGATGGAACAGACTGCATCGCCGAATCTGTGGCCCTTCCAAAGTCACTCGCAATCGATGATTGGCTTTATTTTCCCAACATGGGTGGTGAGTCTTTTCCTTTGATGTCCAGTCCATATGTTTTTGTAGTTGTCCCTGGGCTAAAGCATCGTGCACCAGCATATTCAACGTGTCTTTCAACTAGTTTCAATGGCTTTCATTGCGACCGAGAAACAATATACGTGTCCAGTGACCTCGCAGCGGACGTCTGTCTACGACCAGAATGCTGCCGTGGACCGTCCCACAATCTGTCTGTTCTCTCGGCTGTACCGACAAGTGCATAGGGGTTTAGGTCGTTTCATATTAGCCTAGCGAGATAGTAAAGACTTGTTGTGTATTGGAGCTTACATACGAATTACTAGAATTGAGACCATGAAGATAGAGACATTGTGTTCTGTTACCCATGGAACCTCGGGACTATTCATGTCTTCCGGGTTGTATTCGGCAATGTCCTTACCGAGAATAAAATTTGAATTCACACTACTAATTGTGTTAAATCGGATTTCATGACCTCGGACGCGGGAATTGCGGGATCCGGCGTGCTAAGGTGCTTTGGCACAAGTGGTGGATGGTGTTGTAACGAGCCATAGTAGAGGAGTTTTCATTGCTGTAAGGATGTGGTAAGGATATTCCAAGCAGAAGCAGTTAGTCTGCCCCAGGTGATTAAATTGCATTTAAAATCCCATTCCTGAAAACATTTAATACATGAATAACTTTAAGTGGCAAGTGGGGTATGAACTCTTCAGCTGCCCCACACCATAGCTGAGGGATGACGGCGACGATCAGAGGGTGACGATCAACTGAGACACACAGGAACGTACAGTAGAATAGACAGGTAGAATGGTAAATCACGGTAACACTGATCTTTCCTCTTTCTGCCTAATTTCAGCTGTTCTCATCATAACTTTTTCAATGAAAACTGCTGTCCATTTGCAATAGAACCAAAAGCTCCACTATTTTACCAAATCAGTACACGTCACTCTGCATGAGCCAGGTACTGGTATGCTCGCCCATGATAAGAAGACCTCGGCTATTTAATCTGGGCTCTGGTTATTCCCTTTTCTTTACCGATCCCCCCAAATCTTGCTATCTGTTCTCCATCTATTCAGTTTCTCACAATCGTCGATCAAGATCAACATAGCTCAAGCCCTAGTTTTACGCAAGATGGAAGAACTCAGAAGGCATTCGGTTATGCTGGACCGCAAGCTCTGGGAGAATGACCCGATCTACTTCTTCCAAGTACTTCCACCCCATATCAGCAAGTATGCTCAACGCGCAGATGATGCCTCGATCCAAGCCCAAATTGATGTGTTTGGCAAAGACAACGTCGGCGCGATGCCGGGAGCCTTGGGACCTAGGGGCAACTTTGCTGCAGTTACCTTCGCAGAGAGTTTCCCAGACAGAGTCGCCATGCTGGCTTATCTCAATGAAGTCTTGAGCTTTTATGAGTGTATGAGAATTCTTCCTTTTTAACCCAGGCTGTATAGAGCTTTGCTAAATGAATGTACTCTATCAAGGCTTCGAAAAGCAGATGACGGAAATGGTGAGGATACTGCCTCTCCTGTTCTAACTCTCCATCGATTATTGTTTGTTCCTAACGCTCTGTCTCTAGTTGGGCGCTACACTTCATGCAAACCCCGTCCCCAAAGATCCCAAATATGACAACCCAGTTTGGCAAGAAAACTACAAGAAGACGATGGCCAAATGGCCCAAGTTCCTTGAAGAATTGGATCCCAAGCTCGGACCGAAGTGTGTGAAGGCCCTCGTTGCGTTGATCGAGGGAATCGATATGGAGCCCAAAATGGCCCAATACAAAACGATGAAGGAATATGCCCTGGATCGTTCGAACTACATTGCCTGGCCGTCAGTTACCTTAGTTCCAATTTCCCTGATCTTCTTTTACTAACTGGTTCAACTCAGAGTGGCATGTGACAACGCCGAGTTCGGTTCACAGTTGGATCTGACACGGGAGCAGATGGACTCTGTTCGGGACATCTTCTTGCCCCTTTGGATTCATTCATGCTACGTCTACGACTACTATCACTATGATAAGGAGGCAGAGATACACTCTACCTACGGCAAAGGTCGCAGCATGATCAACGCAGTTCCCCTTCTTCACAGGCTGAAGGGCTTATCAGTTGAAGAAGCCAAAGCGTGGCTCAAGCAAAGGTGCCTTGAGTTGGAAAAGGAATATCTTCATCGCAAAGAGGATTATTTCTCAGAGAATCCCCCTGAAACCGTCCCAGTTGACTTGCGCCGCTGGTTCTTGTCTCAAGAGGATCTCGCAACCGGGTTCGCAATCTGGTGCGCGACAACGTATCACAACCATCCTCCTTTTGGAGAGGGATATGCTGCTCCATATGAGAAGCGTCGCAGTGAAGGCGCTCTCTGGTTCGAGAATGTGACCGAATCCGACAAGCTCATGACTGGCGGATTTGAAGTTCGGTACGCAAACTGAACGAAGGAATCTACCACTCCAATTTGAGCAGTCAGGAACTCCCATATAGCCACTGATAATGATCTCCCTTTCCTGTGCTTTACCCGCTTCTGTAGGGAGTAACTGAATTTAGCGCACAGTCATGTCACAATGACTGTGGTATAAGCTCATTGATGACCAGACCAATTCATATTCAGTTTCCCTGATAATTTACTAGCCTTAACCAAGTGATTCAAATCCGGGCAATATTGAGTGCTTTTGATTAGGCTGCGACTTAACTTACGAGTCGAGTTTATTCAAGATTTCCTTATTTCCACAGCCCGGTTCCCGAAGCAGGTGTAGATCGTCCACCGTTCACGCTGTGTAACATATATAAGATCTTAGCAGAAAAGTAAATTTGGACCGTAGTAGCTAGAGTAGAATAATTGTCCTTCTGAAAATTGGCGTTTCTTTCTCGCGCTGCGTCCCGACGTCCGGTTTTGGTTCGATTTCTCGCAGCAAGATTGTTGTCGCCATGGTGCTTGGATGGCTCCGGTTGAACAGACATGTTCGTTAGATTCTAATTAAACAAGAATCAGTAAGATCGGGAGGAGTTGTCGGACTGCGAGCGAAGTGGACATATAGAGATGCAATTTACTATATGATAACATGGTATACTCTGATATCTGGAGTGTAGTCTTGTTAGGCAAAATATACGGAGGTGCAATTTCAAAGGACAATTTGGTAAAATTCTATACTGATTGCGCCTCAAATTGAAGAAAGGAAACCTGATGAATCAATTTGCTGCATATACAGAAGACAGAAAAATCACTTAAAACGTGGAAATGCTTGAGAGCCACCCCTTCACCCCCTTCAAACATGCCTAGGCTATTGACCAGCTGAGCCATTTTACTTATGCAACAGCTTTGCTGGCATCCATTGGTCCCATGCTTTCACGAAAATGGTAAGAGCATTCTGGAAAACATAGCCAAAAGCCTGTCCCTTCTCCCCATCTATGCTATCGCGGTTCAGGTCGCATGGGCTAGCCCAGAGTTTGAAGTCGAGCACACCAATACTTGTTGCCTTCTCGTAAAACTGACGGAACTTCATATCGGCCTCACTCTGCCCAGCCTGCTGGTAGACCTCTTCCATTCGAAATCGCGGATCGCACAGATGCCAGGTGACATATCCTTGAACGAAGGCACGAACAGTAGCCTCGACTTTGGGGTCTTTGCCCTTGAACACGTTCACTAATTGTTCGCAAGAAAGGATCGTATCGTGGGTCAACTGTTCAAAAGCAACCTCCCATCCAACTCCATTGCAGTTCATTATGTTGCTAACCAAATTGATTTGGTCTCTTGGGCTGTCGTATTCTTTGTAGAACGAGATCAAATCGTTGCAGAGTGTAAGCTGCGGTTCGATTTGCGCAACCGCGGTAGTAATCTCTTTGAAGACGAGTTCCTCATCAAAATCCGAGCTGGGGAAGAGCGTAGCGCTCGAGATGCCGCCTAGCCCATTCAGACGACGAAGGAAATGAGGGAAGTAGCTTGACCCAGGGAAACCGCCGAAGTTATTTTGCTCAATCCAGCAGCCCTGAAAGAAGTCCAATGTGCTTCTAAAGATCGTGATTGAACAGAAACCGCCGTAATAGCGGAGGAAATTTGTCAGATGCGCATTCATGCGCTGCCAGAATAGGTGCTTCTGAGGCCTTCCCTTGATCAAGTCTTCGCAGAAAGTTTTCATTTGTGCAGAAGGTATCTCGCTAGAGTCATCCAGCATGATGATATACACGAAGTATACAGACACTCCAACCATGACATCAAGAGGACATTTTGCCCAGCAGTATACAGTGACGAGCGTGCTAGTTCGCATGACGGCCTGCAGCCTTTTGGAACTGACATTCAGCGCAGCTTGTTCCACTGGTTGGTCGAAATGTTTTGCCGTTTGAGAATAAACGTATCGTAGGCTTTCCAGACGCTGCTCATGGCTGAAATTCTCGTCATGGTAATCGATTGTGTCCAGAAACTTGGCTAAAGCCGCGATGTACTTTTCGATGGGGAATTGATTGCCTGTCATTGTGCTGGAGATCTGAAAAGATATTGAGAGAAACAGAAAAAGTTGTTCGAGTCCAAGTTGCGGATTGCTATTTAGCCAAAAGATATGGCATAGATGGGTGGGTTCCGAGGCTGGGGATTATACCCTCTGGCAATTCCGTATCCACGCGGGATTATTTTACAGACTGCATGGGAACTGATTTACCGGTATGGTTCGCTGATCTTGGAAATTCGCAAAATTACAATCATTTGGAACCTCAGCTAGATACGGACACTAACAGCATTAGCGTTGTCACCCAGTACCTTGGCATGCGAGAGGACCCACTATTCTATCAAAGCGTCGATGCGGGAGAAAAGTACCTTACATAGCTCAAATACCAAATGAACTGCCGTAAGATTGTAATAGCGTTTCACAAAAACCTGCTCGCGAATACATAGATATCGCGGCCACCCGAACCGCTCCGCTGGGCCTGCTGCCGATCAACCTACGCACTCGGGCTGACGGATGCGTTAATAATAATAATAATAATGATAATGATAACACACTTTCATATGATTCGCAGATGATAATCAGGGCATAGGTACCGATCTTCCCTGCTTTCCAGCTGTGCGGGTCTTCTGGCGATGCGTCAATCGCATCCACAGCTGGACGTAACATCCTTGGTGGTGGAGAGATAGCTTTTGCCGAAAACGAGCCCTCGTATACCTACAGTAGTCTTGGTAGTATATGTGAAGCTAGTGGCTTATAAATATTTTGAAAACTTTGAGCTTTAATCATCATCTTCCTGGTGGTAGACAACAACCAGCGACCTTGGCAAATCAGCTCTTTGTGCTATTTGTCCTGTCTCTAAGCGTGCTGTATCAATCTGAAGATAGCGGTGCAATGCTCAGCATAATTTCAGAAAGTAGGCAGAATGGGCTGGCAACCCTTGGAATTGTTGTTGCTACTTTGGCGACCTATGTTCTTCTAAGAGCTTGGTACAATCTTTACCTGCATCCTCTGCGGAATTTTCCCGGACCAAAGCTGGCAGCCATCGGTCCTTTCTACGAGTTCTACTTCGATGTAGTGAAGGATGGAATGTTCTTATGGGAGATGGAGAGGATGCACGAAGAGTACGGTACGTGGTAAGGCAAACCCTCTGCACATGGTCAGCTAACAATGATGTTTTCCTTCGACAAGGCCCTATTGTTCGAGTAAATGCCAATGAGCTCCACATTCGTGATCCGCACTACTATAGCACGGTCTACGCTGGAAACCACCGAAGCACAGACAAATACCATGATGCAGTTGCCGCATTTTCGGTTCCGCAAGCCAGCCTCGCCACCATTCACCACAAAGTCCACCGGTTACGTCGTTCGATCCTGAGCCCTTACTTCTCAAAGGCTGCGGTTATTCGGCTGGAGTCAGCTATCCACGAGAGGATTGAGCGTTTATGTTCGCGGTTAGAGGAGACCATGCATCGTGGACAGATTGCTGACTTAGACGCTGCATTTGCCGCACTAACCGCGGACATTGTGACGGCGTATTTCTACGGAAAAAACTCCGACTATCTCGGGAGTGAAGCCTTCAAGTTTCCAGTGAGGGAAGCCATTCTAGGGCTTATTCAGTTCTATCATTTTACTAGGTTCTTTCCGTGGGTCGCAGATACCGTCAAGAAGTTGCCTATTCCGATCATGCGATTGATTCACCCAGGGGCCTCGTATCTTGTCGCATCTCAGGAAGAGATTAAAGACAGTATTCGTGCCTCTTTAGAGAAAGGGAAACAAGAACCATCCAAATCCGTGATCGTGCAAGCACTAGAAGACCCAACCATCCCGCTCCAGGAGAGGACACTTGACCGTCTTGGAGACGAAGGTACGACGATTATTTTTGCAGGCACAGAAACAACGGCAAGAGCTCTCAGTGTTGGCATGTTCCATATTTTGAACAACAAGTCTATCCTAAAGAAGCTGCGCGAGGAGTTAGACTCTTTGCCAAGTGTGTCGAACGGCGTATACTCCCATTCTCAACTTGAATCTCTTCCTTATCTAGTGAGTTTTATACCCTCTTTCTTGTTCCATTCTTTCGTTTCCTTCTCTTTCCGGGGAAAGAGGAACAGAAAGAGGACAAGTTGAGCGACAGCAAAATAACGAGTGCTGGCAGAGCGGAGCGGTTCAAGAGAGTCTTCGGCTCTCCCATGGCCCAGCAATACGGCTCCCCAGAGTTTCGAATGATAAGGCCTTGACGTACGGTGATTATATAATCCCGCCGGGTGTAAGTCTTATGCATTTTGTGATATTCTACTACATTATTCTTAACTGGTGCACACACAGACCCCCGTCAGTCTATGTACTGTCCTGGTCCACCTGGACCCGTCGATATTTCCAGATCCCCATCTCTTTGACCCTGAGCGCTGGGTCAGGGCGTCTAAGGAGGGTGTCAACCTTGATAAGTTTATCGTTGCGTTTACGAAGGGCACTAGACAGTGTCTTGGAATCAAGTAAGATCCAATCCATAATATCCCCTCTGTCAATTCGGGGTTTAAGTTAAGGTCAAGTACTAATGAACATTGCTGTTCTAGTTTGGCATACGCGGAAATATACCTGACCATTGCCAGGCTCGTTCGCACCTTTAATATGGAGATATGTGACACTACGCCAGACGATCTAGCAGTGCATCATATTCGACTGACTGGAGCGCCCAAGCATGGGACAGGGGAAGTGAAGGTGAAAGTTACTGAAAAGTTCTAAATTCTCGCGGGGGTCGGATTGTGTACGGTATGGAGGCACACATGGGCAGGCGATTGGGTTAAGAGTACAGTGGGTACAGTTGCAATTTGTTATGCTGTGAAGAGATGCAACATAGCGTTCGTGTCTCAAATCATCTCAGATATGAATAATCTGAATAAGTTATGCTTTCATGATCCCTTCATCCGCAGCCGATGCTGGTCCACCCCTCAGCGGGACTCTGTAACTGCATGCGCAAAGATAGTATCCTCCTAATACCATATTGTTCAGTCAAAATGTTGGCATGACGTTGGCCACGTTTCTATTAGTGATAGGCAGCTTACATTACAACATCACACCCTTCCCAAGTGGTAAAAGTTATTCGGCGGGCTTGAATGCTCTCCGAACTGCATCCCGAGCTGTGTCGATCTGCTCAAAGGGGAAAGTGCAGGAATTACAAAATGCTCCCCTCCACATCCCCCCGCTCCTTGTCTGGTAATCTTGCTAGTATTGTATGTAATTCATCGCTACACTAGCGGGGTCTAAGATAAACTTTACTTCCGCCGGATCCGGGTGGGGCAAGAAGAGACGCTAAGGTATAGTTCGAACTCAATTCAGTAGCTACCCGATGAACCAAGATCCGCCATCTGTTTCAGCTACGCCACTTGATAAAGGCGGCATCATCATACGGAGTAGTTCTCTTGATAGCCCGCCTGGCCCACTATACTTACAGCGTTAGTGGTGACCGTAATGTATCTCTTGGGCCGCGTCGATCGTCCCCTGTGGAGTTGGTTTCGATCATTGGACCCTCTCGAGTTCTTGCCAGCTAGCCACATACGAGGATGTATGCACTAATGATGCAACCGATGAAATATGGGGCAGCTGGGGGAGTAGCTATCATGCGCAATCTAGCCCTCCTCAATGGAAAGAATGACAGAAACTTGACGTATGCAGTACAACCCTTGATTCAGTGCTTATCCACTTGGACCTATCCACCCGAAATGCGCCATTCAGTGCGTGTTTTTGGTTGATTACCTACATAGGTAGCAAGATTCTCCCGTATTTACGTGGCGGTCCAAACGTATCTACACTCAGAACTCCAGCCCCCTAATTTTCTGCCAGGATTTGCTGCCACGCTAAAGCCTCCAATTCCCTTCCCTATCTAGATTCTAGTACACCAGCTTCATCTCTAATGATAGCGCCCGCTGAATTGTACGAAGTAGTGTTATGATAGACGCGTAGCGCCTGTTGTAGTGCGCCTCTAGTTTGTAGAAGTAGAGGGTGTAGGCGGTGTAGGTGGGGCGGGCACGAAGCGGGTGTACTGGGGTACATTACGCATCCGTTTTCCGCCGATGGGGTGATCGGGTGGGACCCTCAACCCCAACCACTTTTGGCTTATCGCTGTATCTATAAACACCAGTATTGTACCCAGTATTGTAATATAAAATTGCTTGAATGACGACGAAGCGAGAGAGAGGGATGAATAATAATAAATGTCGAGCAGCTCATTTTACGCTCGCTTTGGAAGTTTCTCGTCACTCAGTAACCATACCGACATCCTACCAACCCTACTATGGATTCTTTTCGTACCCTCCATAACCTGGAGCTCAAATCCATCGCGACCGCATTTGTGGCAGGACTCGTGCTTTATTGGGTCTGTGCTGCTTTTTTCCTCGCAGTCCTGCATCCTCTAGCCAAGTTCCCCGGTCCAAAATTAGCAGCTGTCTCTGACTGGTGGCTGGTTTACCATGAGTGGCTTTTGGGGAAGTCTCTGACGGATATTTTGGGCGAATTACATCAGCTTCATGGTACGGTCATCTTTGTGTAGCTTAAGATGCTGCTTTTGTCCCCCAGCCCAATGAATATTAAAACTAAGACACAACAGGACCTGTTGTCAGATATGGACCACATCGCGTATGTTGTACAATTCTTGTTATGGTATCCGGCACTGGGGACTAATCTGCCTGTAAAGTTGCATTTTTCAACACCAAAGGCTCACTCCGATATCTACAACTTAAAATCCAGATGGGATAAAGACCCTGATGTGTACAAAGCTATAGTGGATGGATCCTCCACGTTCGGGCTCACAAACTACCATTTGGCCAAAGAACGACGGGATCTTATATGGCCGTTCTACTCGCGACAGAGTGTGCAACAGATGCAGAAGGCCATCAATAGACAGGTATGGTATACAAGAACATCTACAACAAGAACTGAATAAGTGACCTTTCGTGGTTCAGACAGGTATCTTAATAAACCAACTTGATAAACAGACCAAGGAAGGGAAGCTGTCGAACATGTCGCTGGCGTTCCGCTGCTTAGCCCAAGACATAATGGCAGACATATGCTTGGGAAGCTCCCTAGGAACTCTTGAAGCCAGAGAATTTGAGTCGCCACTAATCCTCGCCTTGGACCAGGGCCTTGATAGTTACGTCCTTATGAAAAGCTTCCCAACCCTGAGAAACCTGCTCTATTCCATCTCGGCAATAATCACACTTCCAGGCGAGGCTGAATTTACTGCTGCCGGAACCACGGTGGCAGACCATGTTACTCGGGGCATTCAATGCCCTGATACTATTCCGCCTCACACTATGCTAAGCTTCCTGGTACCATCACCGTCAGACAATACAAAGGAGAAGCTGCAGCCTAAGCTGAGTCAAGACATTATGATTGAGGAACTTCAGACGTTTGTTATTGGCGCCGGTGAGACAGTGGCCAGCGCCATGGTTCAGGCTCTGAGCGGAATTCTGCAGCAACCCGACCTGTATAAAAATGTGTACGAGGAGATTGTTCAAGTTTGGCCAGAACCGGATGCACCGGCTCCTCCAATTGAGGCCTTGGAGAAACTACCGCTTCTGACTGCCGTGATCAAAGAGGCTCTCCGACTGACACATGGTGTTGTGGCACCTTTGCCCCGTATTGTCCCCGCCGGTGGTGCTGAGATTGACTCTCACCATATCCCCGCCGGGACAAGTGTTGGAACCTCACATGTCTTTATTCACATGTCGCCGGAGTATTATGATGCACCCAATGAGTTTCAGCCGGAGCGGTGGCTGGGAGATTCTTCTGACAAGTATCTGGTTGCCTTTTCCAAAGGCCCCCGTGGTTGTATGGGGATCAACCTGGCCTGGTGTCAACTCTATCTTGTCTTGGCCACCATGATCAAGACTATACGGATGGATTATCCCGCGAGTCTCAACGACTCCAAGATCAAGTGGAAAGATTGTTATCAGCCGTTGTATTATGGAAGACCACTCCGGATACAATGCAATCGCATGGAGAGCCAGTGTTAAATACATATCCTGTTGCATTGCTTTGATCGACGGCTCCGTAGCAGAATCGTGTATGTTATAACTGCAATCATAAATCCCTTTCTTTTTTATATACTTCAATAATATTTGAGATTATATCTGCCTGCTCTTCTGGCAACCTTTTAAGCAATTGATAGCTACGAGGCACAAGCAATTTGTTTTGCGGTGCATTAACCCACACAGATAGCATTGAGCATTCAGTCCATGCTAGGCCACTTGACCGTGTAGCATGACATATCCGTTCCTCCCTCGCAAACGAATTAATCAGAATCTTAACAAGGTACGGATGTAACTCAAATTCCAAAATAAAAGAGCGATCTCCAAACTGAAGACAAATCAATGTCTTTAGGTTTTGGGTCCTAATGTATCAGAGTGTTTACAGATACAAACGGAGTAGAAAAGCCCTCCAAAAGCAGCCTAGCGTTTTCGAACATAAAATATATATATGATTTCTTGCTTTCTAACAGCCTCGCGGCTACTTGTGTGAGTATGTACTCATTTTGAAGCATAGTTCTGATGCCAGGTATAGTCCCTATTCTCTACCAGCATCTGTCTCACTGCATCTCGCGGTGTTATCGGATCTCTACCCAAAATCTCCCGCATTAAACCATCCGTTGCTCGAAGCTCTCCGCAGGCAGCAGACTTCCATAGCGAAGCTAGAACCTCAAAAAACACCCTAGACCTTCCCTGCTTATCATGGAGCACACTTTGGTGCACAAAATCGTCCGGTGACACAAATCGGAGCTTTATGCGACGGCCCGTAGTTTCATTAATCAGGCTTACTAGTTCCTTTGCCGTGATCGTTTCCCCAGCTGTAAGGAGGATCGTCATGTTCTTGAACCCGCCCTCAAGCATGAGACGGGCTGTACACTCAGCAAGCTCTGTACGGCTCGTGAACGCAATCTCTCCATCTTCCGGCAGAGTGATATCGGTCGTCTCTGGGTACCAGTTGAGAAAGAGCGGGAAGCCTTCAACGTAAATTCCTTCACGAATGCAAGTAAAGGTAAGTCCGGATCTATATAGTTAAGTAGTTGATCAAACCTGCTGATGGTGGAGGGGGATTGGGTGCCTTACTCCTGAAGGATCTTCTCAGTGGCCAAATGGGCGCGTTGGACTGAAACCTCAGAATCGTTCGTGAGCCCACCAAATGGAAGGGAGGTGTACCAAACCTGTACAGTCGATTAGTCAAAGCCATATAAGGACATCCAAGTGGTAGTAGGACAACGTGCATGCTTAACACCGGCTTTCTTGGCAGCGTCCACAACATTTCGGTGCTGTCTCTTAACCTTTTCGTCGTCGATCACGTTTGCATTAGTGCTCACGAAAAGCAAATTCTCGACGTCATTTAGGCCTCTGTCAAGGGTGGCAGGATCTTCATAATCTAAATGACGAAAATTGACTCCCCGGCTCTCAAACAGGGATCTGTTGTCGGCGCTGGAAGAGGAAGCAGCAAATTCAGAAAAGGGGATTTTAGCGATAAAATAATCCAAGATTTGACCACCGAGACCACCTGTTGCTCCTGTTATTAGGTATTTCATTGTCATTGACATGAAACTGGTAAGGATGATAGAAGATAGTAGGAGCGCAGTTCTGTTATGTACAGTATTAATGGGATAAGTGATAACTTATGTATTTGGCAATGCCTCGATATGGGTGCCTTTTCTGGCGCTGCCCCCCACCGTAGCAATAAATACTGCTTAGTTATCTCGTAACGATACCTTGCTAGTTAGTAAATTCGCTAACTAGCTAATTAACTATGACTACTTTGATGCTGAGTAATGCGATACGGTGCTTACGATTATTTTTAATTATTTTTATTATTGTTCTCATCACTCATCTGTCGGCCTCCAATGACCCACTGGCAGCAGCTCCGATGGAGCGGCCCAGGTCAAATATGCGGGAATATCCTATGAGTTAACTCGTATCTCATTTCCACTGTTCGACGATCATAGCGTAGATCGCATTGCTAGCATCTATTTCTTTTTCAGCGCAGCGGTGTAACTGAAAGTAGCGGTGTAGCTGGCCAAGAGGCAGTGGAGCTGAAAGCACGGAGTAGAGGAAGCTGAAAGTGAAGTTGACAAACAGTGGGGCTATAGCACTGAAAGATAGTGGAGCTTAAAGATCGGTGGCGGTACAGTAATCCGATATAGGACTGGCCCAGCCACGGGCGCCCGAGCCGTCGAATCGACGCTAAACACGGCTGAGATTTCGATTGCCGAGGTGACAGAAACCGCATAAAATACAGTAGCTGTGGGGCGCGCTACTTTTTATCGTCTTAGATACCAAGTATTTGGGGGGTGGTATGAATGGTCTTCAACCAGGGGGCGGGCCGTGTCCTAGTTCGTAACCACTCGTACATGTCTGGGCACTGAAGGTTATTCTGTATTAATGTCTATCACATATTTTCGGAAATCGAAGTTTCTAGCAGTCAGAAGCGAGGACAATCACCGCGGGCCTGAAGAACGAACCATCAGCCCATGCATGTGCGGATAATAAAACGAAGTTCCCCAACGCAAGGGAGTGGTAATCTGCCATCCATCCCGACAACAGCACCAATCGGAACCCCAACGCGGTTCGCACCTACATCTCCGAAGATGACATCCAAAGAGTTGCCGGTCATCAACGGCTACCATGCTCCAAACAAAGATCAGATCATTTCGCCGCTATCCTCTATGCACGATGTTTGGAGAACGATACTGGTGCGATTCAAACTGAACACCTATGCGATCAAGAAGCGATTCGACCAGTACACGGCATTATGCAAAGAGTTGGGCTTGCAACGGGATGAATGGTGCGACTCGGTCTTTTTGAACGACCATGAAAAGCTTCTCAAACTCACGGCCACGTTTGAAATGGCGCTGATGCCATCAGAACGCGGGTTGGAAATCTGGCAGATCGAAGAACGGTACCGGACTCTAGCACAGCTTCAATCTACCTTGGGGTCCTTTTTCGAGCGTGCTTGCCCTGCGTACGACGAATCCAAAATGCCTTGGTTCTTCGATTCATCCTACTACCAGTCCCGCGGTGTGAATTACGACCGCTTCGCGTCGCCGGATGTGCGGGACCGCGAACAACAACTGCTGGAGACCCTGCAGCTGGGCTCGAACCAAAACCCCAAGCTTCTCCTGACGTCAAGTGGCATGGCGGCGTTTACCGTCATTCAGCACTACATTGTCCAGCAACTCGGGCATGGCGATGTCGTGGCGATCTCCCCTTACATTTACTTTGAATCATTTCACATCATCCGCTCCCAGAAATCCTTGTCCGTGGTGAACTCCAAAGGCTATGATCCAGAAAGCCTGATTGAGACGGCCGAGAGACACAATGCCCGAGCGGTTTTCCTCGACCCAATGTGCAACACCGTGGGACTGGACACCATGGACATACGCCGATTTGCCCGCCTGGTGGCCCACCGAGAAGGCTGGGCCGAGCGTCTGGTGGTGATTGATGGAACGTTGGTGTCGGGGGGCATGCAGCTATATGACTGGTTTACCGGCCCTCACTGTCCCAAGGTCCTCTACTACGAAAGCGCCCACAAATACGTCCAGTTGGGCCTGGACCTCATCATGTGCGGATACGTCGTGATGCCGGAAGTTCTGGTGCCCGCGATACAGTTGATTCGGCAGACGACCGGAACCGTCCTGTACTCCCGAAACGCGTCTCTCCTGCCACCGATTGACAAGACCGTTTATAATTTCCGAATGTCTCGGTTGACCGCGAATGCCGAGAAGCTGCACCGGTTGCTGGACGCCGGGAGCGGAAGCATGGCCGAGGTGACTTTTCCTCATCACTGGCGCGAGTACGGATGGAGACACGGCGGCAACGTCGTCACGGTCCGCTTCTACGGAGAAGGCGCCAATAAAAAGCCCAACTTGGAGCGCTGCTGTGACGAGATTCTTCGCGCGGCGGAGGAAGAAGGAGTAGCGATGATCAAGGGGGCTAGCCTGGGCTTCTCCACCACCCGGATTTTCGAGGCGGACGCATTTTTCGAAAACACAGATCCTTTCCTCCGCATCTCCGTCGGGGTGCAGCCGGAGCACATGGAGGGCGTCGCTAGAGCCCTCCTCAGTGGAATGAAGCGGTACTGTGTGTCGGCTACGCCCGTTAACCTCGACGTGGGCCGGCAGCTTTACGATCCCAGCTTCTATAACGCCATGATGAGCATGCTGGAGGTGCGGGCAAAGTACACCAAGGATCGGGTGGTTTTTATGAAGGGGGAATGGTTGGTTCCTATTCTGAGAGCACTCGGGGCCAAGGAGGAGGATTTTGATGCTCTCCAGCAAGTCAGCCATCACCTGGGCAAGGACCCCACGGTAGACTACCGAACCATCCGGAACGGTCTGTTCTGTTTCGACTTTGAGTCCAAGGCACTCCGACGACTTGAAAAACAACGCTTCACCCTCACCGTGGAAGAGAACTACAAGCGTCACGACTCTGGATTAGCCCGTGATTTCCCCGAAGTCAGGGGAGACCTTCAATACAACACTGTCTTGCAAGCCCTGATGGTGGTCAAGGCATTTATTATGAACAAAGTCGACATCAAACCTCGTGCCCACCTGGACTACTCGAGCCAGCAATTCCTGTGCAACGTGTTCAACATCCGAACCTTCACCGAGAAGACTATCCTCGGTGAGCCGACCCTGGAAGGTGTGCACGCAGATGGGGCGGATCATACGATGACCACCTTCTTGGGAAGCACCAACATGAGGGCCGACAGTGGAATCACCTTCATTCACGACTTGAAGGAGATCACCGGCACCCCGGCCTGTGACGCGCATCCAAGTCTCATCCTGCACCAGTTCCAACATCGTCACTTTCTGGACTCTCTCCTCTTTGCCGATAATGAGTCCAAGCACAGTCTCACGTCTGTCTTTCAGGAGGATGTGTCGAAGCGTGCAACGCGAGATATGCTGCTCTTTCTTACCCGCAAGCCTAAGATAGCGGGCCATCCGTCGGGAAGCCTCGATGCTATGGAAACCCATAAGACCCTTCCGATGAACGTCCCCTTGTGGTTATAATTTCTGGATCCTGTACCAAGGAGGTAATCCTCCCGTGTGATTGAGCGATTGATGGAAACGATATTCAATTCCACGTGGAAGTAGTTACTCAGGAGAATGATGGGTCGGTCAAACAGATTACGATGAATGAATGATCCGGTAGCGTCTAAATTATCACAGACACAAGAGTAGGTTCGCTGACCTTGACCACCCAGACCCTTTCTGACGGGTGATGTCGTTCTTTTTGGATCAAGCGGGGAGGAGTCGTTCTGTCAGCGCATGAAGCCGTAACTTAACGCTAACAAGTGATAGATCACACAGGCGACTACAATCCCTACGTTTGAGCAAGTTAAGTAACAATGTAATTCTGAATTCTCATGAACTCGAGCACAATGTCCGCCGAGTATCGGTCGTACGGGCCATGGGGAAGCTCACAACAAACCCCGCCCCCAATCTCAATCCTTCCATCAATCAACCTTTTTATCCTGATTTTGGTCCCGCGTTCACATCCTAGGTACTCTTCGTGAGTAGATCTTACACTATACATGTCTGACTTGCTTTGACATATTTGCATGACCCTACATCCCGGGAGGGCGAAAGCATCACTTGAAGAATATCGCCTACCCGTTTTACCGGCACCAACATCACAGTTGAAGGGCACCGTGTTGAACAGATCACGGTTAGAGAATGACAAATCCCAATACCGTCTCTCGAACTGTTGGTCTTCCGGCGTGGCCTACGTGATAATAGAAAACCTATCTACCCGGGGACGAATACCTACTTCGTGTGCACATGTAGATATATATTTGATATCCGTATATACATGGACTCCGAATATATCCCCCGAACCAGGTATTACCTTCCCATCCAGCCGCCGTCCACCGTGTGAACCTCACCACTCACGTACGCGCTTGCTCGGCTGGCCAGATACACTACCGACCCTTTAAAGTCCTCCGGAGTCCCCCAGCGCCCCGCTGGAATTCGTTCCAGGATACTCGCCGCCCTCTCCTGGTCCTGGATCAACGCTGTGTTCATGTCTGTCGCCACGTACCCAGGCGCAATGGCGTTGACATTGATTCCCCGGGAAGCCCACTCGTTGGACAGGGCCTTGGTGAGCTGAGCGACTCCGCCCTTGGCAGCGGCATAGGCGGGCACGGTGAGGCCGCCTTGGAAGGAGACGAGAGAGGCGATATTGATGATGCTCCCGCGCTGGCCGGACGCGTTGGGGGTTCGCGTGAGCATGTATGCGCCGACATCGCGACAGAGGGTGAAAACGGTAGTGAGGTTGACTTGAAGGACCTATGCAAGCAGTCTATCAGCGAGGGGTCACACCAGGGACGGCCAGCGGCAGTGGCGAGAAGAAGCCAACCTCATCCCAATCGTCGTCGGGGAAGACGTGACTCGGGTGTCGCCGCTGAATCCCCGCACAGTTCAGCAGGATGTCAAGGTCATGCCCATCTTGGATCACCGTTGACACAAGTCGTGATACGGACTCCTGCGAGGCCAGGTCGGCAGTATAGATGCTGGCCCTGCGGCCCAATTTTTCGATCTGCTCTTTCGTGGCGGGGTTATTTGTGTCCCGCTGCGCGACTAGTCAGCTACCTGATGAGTGTCTTTGGACGAAGGTTCATACTTGGACTAGCACAATATCCGCCCCAGCTTCAGCCAACGCAATAGCCATGGCGTGGCCGATGCCACGACTGCCACCTGTGACCAAAGCGGTTCTACCTTTCAACGAGAAGAGATCCATGATGAACAACCCTATCAGTCCGCTTTGGGATTTAGGCCACCCCCTCGGGGAAGAAGCCGCCGTATATGAGGACTGCTGCTGGTGCCCCCACGCCCTCCCCGCGTCGAGTGGGGATGATCTTCCGGGGGAAGAAATTAGCACGGAGCCGGCTATTGGCATGCTCTCAGGCTACCTGGCATAGAGTGGCATGCTCATAGTCAGTCGTAAATTAGGAGCTATGTGTGGGAGGATCGCAGATTCTAAATTCCGTTGCAGCATGCACCATAGTTGGCAGTGGAAGTAGTTGGAATGCAAAAAAAAACTCATATCATTAACCGTCATTAACTAACATAATCTAACCAGGGTCGAGAGGGGCTTCATCTACCATTCCCGAATGGAGCCATCTGGCCCATAAAACTCCTTGGGCTGCCAGGGCTCCGTATCTTGGCTAATCTTGCGCACCAAGTCCTCATCAATCTCGATGCCTAGACCCGGCTTGGTGGGAGCGGCGACATAGCCCTCTTTGATATCAAACACAGTCTGGTCGATCAGGTAGCTGTTCAGATCAATCTGCCCCGCCTCCAAGTTGTAGTGCATGCCTAAAGACATCTCCTGGATGACAAAGTTGGGTGTCGACACGGCGATTTGCATCGACGCCGCGAGGGCAATGGGACCCAAGGGGCAGTGCGGTGCGATCGCCACATCGTAGGCCTCGGCCAGCGTCGCAATGCGCTTGGTCTCGGAGATGCCGCCCGCGTGGGCGATGTCCGGCTGCAGCACATCGACGGAACCGTCCTCCAAGAATCGCTTCACATCCCACCGAGTGTAGAGGCGCTCTCCGAACGCAATGGGGATTGTGGTGTGGTTGGACAGCTGCTTGATCGCCTCGGGGTGTTCGCAGAGGAGGGGCTCTTCAATGAAGAGCGGCTGGTGTGGCTCCAAGGCCTTGGCCAGCTGCTTGGCCATGGGTCGGTGTAGGCGGCCGTGGAAATCCAGACCAGCATCCAGACCCAATGCCTTCACTCGCTTGAGGCGCTCGACGCAAGACTGGAGAGAGGCGGGGGAGTCGAGCCAGTTGAGGTCCTCGGTCGCGTTCATCTTGACACATTTGAGACCTTGTTCAATCCGCGCCTTGCTATTGGGGGGGGGGGGGTGTGTTAGAGGTGTGTTGGTGCGATGGACGAGAAGCCCGGTTGGGAGGAAGACCTACGCCATGGCCTCGACGTCACTCGGCCGGTCGCCGCCAATCCAGCAGTACACCTGCACCTTGTTGCGCACCTTGCCGCCCAGCAGCTGGAACACCGGCACACCCAGGCGGCGGCCCTTCAGATCCCACAGCGCGATATCAATGCCCGAGAGGGCGGACATGAACACCGGGCCACCACGGTAGAATCCCAATCGCCACACATATTGCCAGATATGCTCGATGTCGCTGTTGGTGGTCAGTAGTGGTCGGTTGCGGGGAAGGGGAACAGCGGGGGTCGTCCTCACTCGGCTTCGAAGCCAACAATGCGCGCGATGATCTCGTCCAGTGCGCCTTCGACGGCCAGGGTGTGGCCCTCCAGCGTCCCCTCACCCCAGCCATATTGACCGTCTTCATCGGTGACCTTGACGAACAACCAGCGGGGCTTCACACGGAAGTACTCGATGGACTTGATCTTGGCCATGGTGCGGGTCGGGATGAGAAGATTGTGCGATGAACGTGATTCACAAAGCCGAGGGGGCCACCGCCCCCTCATATATCAAGTCGCGCATCGCGTCAAGCATGCACCCTTCAGCCGGACTCCCCATGCGCTGTCCCCCTACCCGTGGCATCCCACGGGGAAATGATCCGAAGAGGCGCTCGGGAGAAGTCCGGGGGCGGAGACGACGCGATCGCGCCACGGTCTTCCCCCCACGCAACAGCAGGACCGGCCACGATTGGTGGAGAAACTTGGGGGCTCTGGCCAGGACGATCGTGGGAGGGAAACTATACAGAGTACAGAGTAGAGAGCACGAAGCGAAACTCAGGATCCACCGCCGAGAAGGCGAGCGCGAGCGACCCTCGGGAAGAATGCACGGTCGTCCTCGGTGGCCACTCATCCTACACCGTCGAGGATACGTACTACTTTACGGGACACACATACACTATGGCATCGCCCTTGCAACACGCAAATATGCGGGAGCTTATTCCCTTTATTCAGTATGATTCTGGGAAATTCCGGTTCTCCTTGTCCGTCAAAATCACTAAATGCGCGGTCCAGCTCTAGCTGTCGCTCATAGTCCGCATCTCCTCTAGGAACCACCCCTTGAGCCCGGTCACGGCGATGGTTCTCCCATGCGAGGGTGACCCTGAGCATCGTGGTCAAGTCACGATCATCGACCCAATGCCTAACGAATAGCCGGGAGCCTGCGCCGACTGGTGAAAGAAAGGGCCGGCGATGTTGCCGAGACAGACACCCAGGAAGATCATTGCGTTGGTGATCTTCTTCGTGTGTCCCGCAATATTGCCGGTCAGGATGGAGAGAATAATCACGAAAGAGGCATTATACGAGCTGGCCAGAGAGGAGCAGATGAGCCCAGAAGACACTGGAGAGCCACGAATATTCCGTGTCCGAGAGGTTGAGATCGTCTTCAATGCCGAAGATAGCAGCATAGGAGAGGATGGGTTTGTCGATCTTAACATACAGCCATGAGTCGCTTCTTCTTTTCCCCTTCGTTGCCCGGCTGCCACTCCCATAGTAGAGTGCATAGCACACCGCCAGAAAGGACAGGATCATCAGGTCGATTTTTTGAAGGAGTGTCACCTCCTCGCCTTGTTTAAAGCCCTGGTGCATTGCCTCCAAGCTCACAGACAGGGCCAGTGCAGCATCGCCATTGTGAACCTTGGCCGTGTCAGTCGTGATGCCCTAACGCTGGATATGCATTGACATACGCTTCCGGCCGGCATTCGGTTCCTGACTGGCACGTTCCGCCGTCATCTTATAGGTTTTCTTCGTTTGTGTACACTGAATCGAGTTCGCCGGACACCCCCTCTAGGGAGGATAGGCCGGTCGATGTCGGATGAGATATTCTCAACTCGCGAGAGGCCCACCCTGAGGCTGGGCGAGTCTCCCCCCTTTTCACCCCGGGTTCCCCACCAACAACATCGTGCAGCTGGGGGGTCCGAAGGGGACGATCGGGATTTGGAAAACCCAGCGGGACTGGGGAATTCAGTCTCTGCGTCCGATTTCCGTCACCCCCACGCTCGACTCGCGATGAGTCTGCCCCCAGGTGGGGGTCGTCTTGGTAGCGCCCAGGCGCAACTGCTCATTCAGGAGTGCCCTCTTAACGTCGGGCTCCCGCTGCAGTAAGCGGCACACATCTGTGACCACCAGTCATCAGACAGCATCATGGTTTTTACATGGGCGGAACTTCAGCAGCATAACACCCGGCAGTCGTGCTGGGTGGCCATTCACGGTGCTGTCTACGATGTGACCGGTGCGTCCGACGCCCATAGACCTTGCGCGGCAACTAGCTGACAGATTAGCCAGACTTCCTCGATTCACACCCTGGGGGCTCCAGAGTCATTCTGCGTTGGGCCGGGAAAGATGCCACCGAGGACTTTGACTCGGTGCATTCCCTGGACGTCCTGACGGAGGCACTGCCGGAAACCGCTCTGCAAGGACATGTTGATCCAGCCGAGCTAACTCTAGTGAAGAAGCCTGAAAATCTCGCTGGGACACCATCAGAGTCCGAACGCAAGGATCCACCGCCGCTGGGCACTATGCTCAATCTGAACGACTTCGAAGAAGTGGCCAAGCAGCATCTCCCGGCCAACGCCTGGGCCTATTATTCTTCAGGGGCCGACGACGAGATCAGCAAGCGAAACAACCGCCGGGCTTATCAAAAGGTGGCTCTGCGGCCTCGAATTCTGAAGAAAGTTCTTAGTGTGGACACGGCAACTTCAATTCTGGGCCATTCCGTATCCCTTCCGGTCTACATGTCTCCCGTGGGCATCGCAAAGCTAGCTCATCCTGAGGGCGAGTGTGCGTTTGCCCGAGCAGCGGGCAAGGAAGGCCTCGCACAGGTCCTTGCAAATGGCTCGAGCATGTCCATTGAGCAGGTGAGGCAGGCGCGTACCTCCGAGGATCAACCCCTCTTCTTCCAATTGTATGTCAATAAAGACATCAACAAATCCAAGGACATGGTGAAGCGTGCTGTCGAGGCTGGAGCGCGTGGCATTTGGATCACCGTGGATTCCCCCGTGGTAGGGAAGAGAGAAATGGACGAGCGACTCAATCTTGCTGTCACTGTAGGTCTCATGATCATCATCATACTTAGCAAGGCAGGCGATACTAATCAATGGTAGGCACACGATAGTGATGCCCACGGCCAAGGGGTAGCAAAGATCATGGCGAGCTCGATCTCTCCCTTCATTGACTGGGATATTTTATCCTGGATTCGGGAACTCACGGATCTTCCAGTGGTGGTAAAGGGCATTCAGTGTGTTGAGGATGCTGTTCTCGCCTATGAGCATGGCGTGCAGGGTATTGTTTTGTCTAATCATGGCGGTCGCTCTCAAGACACGTGAGTTATGAGTTAATCCGGGGCGCAAATCGAGCATAGCTGACCCTCCCTGTCTTTTAGCGCCCAATCACCCCTTTTGACTCTCTTGGAGATTCGCAAGTTTGCGCCCTTTCTGCTTGATGCCAAGATGCAAATCTTCATCGACGGTGGTATTCGCCGGGGAACCGATGTGCTCAAGGCGATTGCTCTGGGCGCAACGGCGGTGGGACTCGGTCGACCGTTTCTGTTTAGTATGTCGGCGGGATACGGCGAGGCGGGAGTTCGTCGAATGTTGGAGATTCTGCGGCAGGAAGTGGAGATGAACATGGTGCTTCTGGGGGTCACCAATTTGAAGCAACTGAGGCCAGAGATGGTCAATACAAGCCGGCTCGAGAGGGACATGGTAGGCAGTGTCAAGCTTTGAGGCATGTAAAGCGCGGCGTAGCACCTACCCTACGAGAAAATATATTTGGGGCGTGTGTCCCCTCATTTTCATATCGACACCGCAAGAAGACTGAACGTAGAGTTCAGGGCGATATACCTTCTCTTCTTATGATTCATTTGCCCAGATCCTCTCTACCTTCATCACCATCCTTTGGTTCGTACCCATCACCCATCGACTGGGACTGGAAACATGGCAGGTAGTGATCGTTGGGGCGCTTGACGCCGGCAACCCCCACATCGGAGCATTGCCGAAGCCAAAACCCCCACGGCGGGCGTGCGGGGAGGGCACAGTCAGCGCGGAGAGAGGCGGAGAGAAAATGTCGGTCTCAAAGCTTAAAATACAGCACAAGCATCATTGCCAACCCCTCCAACCTAGCACCATGTCTGACCGAATCGAAGTTCTGGTCTACGGGCTGGGGGCGTACGTATGACAACTCCGATTCCAGTGGCGGTCGCTGATGGAACATAGCATTGGCTCCTTCTATGCCTTCATCTTGAGTCGTTCCGAGCGTGTGCGGCTGACGGTTGTCGCACGATCGAACTATGCAGCAGTGCGAGCAAATGTAGGCTCAGGACCCCAGTACGCGACGCAGAGAGATACTGACGCTGTAATCTAGGGTATCACCATCCACAGCGAGAATCATGGCCAGCATACATTCTACCCGCACAAAGGTAAGCGGACGAAACCCACTAACCCGGCTAGGCTGCTGACTGCTCGGCGATAGTTGTCAAATCTCCCGCCGAAGCATCGGTGATGGATTATGTCGTATGCGCGCACAAGGCCATTGACCAGGACGAGGTGGCGGCACAATTGAAACCTGTGGTGGACCCGAGTCGCACCACAGTCGTCGTCATTCAAAATGGAGTTGGAAACGAAGAGGCATTCCGGAAGCAGTTTCCCCAATCCTCAATTTTGACTTGCGTGGTAAGCTTGCCAGCCGCTATGATTGGTGATTTCACCACGAGGCTGATTGAAACAGACCTGGGTGGGAGCGATCCAGACCAGCCCAGGCTTTGTAAAGCACACCAAATCCGAAGATATGCAGATTGGCCTCTTCCCCAATCCACGGGTGGATAGCCTGGCAGAGAAGCAACGACTCGATGTCTTCGCCGACTTGCTACGACGTGGTCAGACCCGCTTCCAGGTTTACGAGGACATGCAGCAGCAGCGGTGGGAAAAGGTCGTCTGGAACGTGGCGTGGAACTCGCTAACCACACTTACAATGGTGGATACTCAAACTTGGCTGCATTCCTCCACTGATGCGGAGCCATTCACTCGCCAGCTGATGCGTGAGGTGATTAATATTGGTCGCGCCTGTGGTGTACCGCTTGCGGACGAGTTGATTGAGCAGCTGATGGACAAGATTAACGCAATGCCTGGAATTGGAAGCAGCATGCAGACCGATTGCAAGTGTGGTCGCCCAATGGAGCTTGATGTAATTCTAGGCTTCCCCGTGCGGAAGTCCCGGGAGTTGGGCATCCCAGCACCCTATCTAGAGGCAATCTATGTCATTCTGCGCGCAGTGGATGGCCGGCTGCGAGCTGCACTATAGCCAGCGGGCCGGCACAAATCCAGCTGGATGAACCTAGTGCTGGCTACAAACCTGTCACAAAATAATATCCTTATGATTGAATCAATGTAGCCTTGGCCAGTGCGATAGCTTGTGTCTACCGCGCAGCCGTGTGTGTCTTGTACAGAGTGAGTACCCTCTACACCGTGCGTCCCACACGATGAGTATAGACAAGAACGCAACGCCTCGAGCAACAGCAGCTTCTGGTACGGGGCATAAATTTCAGGCGCCATGGGTATTCCATTTCCCGCGTAGGATCCGAGAGAGTTCTATCCCGTACTCTCCCGTGATGCACCCTCCCCCGCCCCCTTAATACAACAGATAGAAAGCTTGGTCGAAATATTCGGTGGCTGCTAGATCGGCCTCTGCGACATTTGGGTTTCTGGTTGCTTCTTTCGGTGCCTGGTACAGGGTTAAAACATTCGAACAAAGCAGGCTATTCATCATCTCTACGATAGGCGTGGTATTGGTGATGATGATGGTAATGGCAGCCGTGCTCGCGATTGACACCTACGCATCCGGGATTGTTGGAGCTGAGATGATTTTGCATATAGACGAGTGGAACTGAACGAGGTGACATGAATGTGATAGGCCTGGCTCGGTGGGGCGATGCAGAGGTGAAGAGTCGCCTGAGGAGTCGCTTGGATAGAGGTAGATATTGGGGTATGCCCAATTTGTTTTATACGACGTAAAATATCGACTAGCTCAGGGATGTATAGGTGCAAAGACGCTCGAAATGCCACAGACGTTATATGTCAACACCATATCCATTCCCAATTCCCAATGTCCTCAACATCAGCCCGGCGCATTTCCCGAAAGCGCCAAGGCGTAACAAGGCAAGGCCAGAGCCAGCTGGTCTGTGCGTGAATCTATACATTTGAGCGCCATCCAACAAGAGAGGGGAAAAAAAGCAAAGAACAAAGACACATCACGCCGTCTGGATACGCCTATGTCCCCAAAGTTATACAAGTTATGGTATCCACATTGACATCAAAAAAAAGGCGTCAGGTCCATAACACACGAGTGATTAGTTCCTCGTCCGAGGCTGCAGTCCTGACAGTTCCTGCAGTTGTATCGACGTGCTTTTGTTGGCCTCTCCTTCAGCGTCGTTCTGGGGAGGGCCAGGTTGCGGGTTTTCAGTAGGAGACTTGACGTCAGGAGGCTCTTCATCCACGGCAAACCGCCAGCGGCCGTCTGGGCCCATGAAGTGCCGGAAGCCGTAGCGTTTGTCCAAGGATGAGAGATGATCCCGACGCTGGGTGCTAGTCCATTTGTGGGTATCGTTGAAATCGCCAAGCATGCGGCTGTGTGCGATCCAGGGAATGATTGCGCCAAGGGAGCGGGGCATCCGCGGGCCTCGGAATCGGCCTCGGCGGGTGCCAAAAACCACCAACACAACGAGCGTGTCAAACACGATGATGATCAAGGCCATGGTCAGTGATGGCACGGATGGCACCATGCCCCAAGTGCTCTGGATGACAGTAGCATTGGTCGCTGAAAGTGGGTGCTCTAGAGGTTCCAGGTAGATTTCGTTCCATATGGAAAAGTAGGTGGCATAGACCCACTTGTACACTACCTGGGTTAGGTCTGTTAGGCGCTCAACATCCAGAGAATCGAAATCTGGATCATATTGCTGGTATAAACGTGCCACGAGAAAACCGGCCCAGTCGTAGGAAGAGATGTTGTAGGTTCCGTTCCGAGTTGTGGTATTGCCCACATAACTCTCAGGGATGGCGGCAAATACTTTGTTAAACTGGCCCAAGCTGACTGTCGCATTGTCGTAGATTTCGCCTGCGGTGATCGAGGTGTTCGCAATGGGGTTCTGGTCGTCGATCTGGCCCTTTTGGTCGAACAAAAGAGAGTAATTCTGCATCCGAACATGAGGCTCACAATGCACGGCGACCGTGTTGTTTTCGGTGATCGCAGTGTTTGCCTTGTAGTGCCAGCGGCCAACGACAAGAACGCTCGAAGTTTGACAGACCTCCGACTGGTTACTATCACTGGGGGACAGAAAGTGAATCGACAGCGCAATCCCTTCATCTTTACTCTTCAAGTCCGGCATGGCCGCGATGCACTCGTGTGAGGCGTTGTCGAACATAGTATAGCGCCAGTATTCATGACCAGATGTTGCATTCTGAACCAGGCCCACGGCAGGGGAGAGGGATTTGCACTGGAGATGGGCCCCAACACCGAGTGTGGTGGCGCCATACAGCACCTCCGGGTTACGGTTGTGAATATGGAGCGGGATAAACGACTGGTTAGGACTCGTCCAGGACAGCATAGGGACCCCGCTAGTAATGCTCGTCTGAATCAAATCATATTCAGTGAACTCTGCCGCAAAGTCGGTCCGCAAGAACACGGATTGGCTGTAGTTCATGGTTAAGTCCTGCGTCGGCATAGAGGAAGAGTTGAGTTCTTGCGTAAACAAGCCACCCGCCACGACCGTCAGAACCATATTGACCACACAAGCCAGGGAAACCAGGCCAAGCAGGACATGCCGATCGCGGATCGATTTGAAGAAGATGACGAACGGACTCTGGGAAGAGTAATTGAGCGATAGGGATGCTTTCGCTGGGGCCTTCCCTCTCTGGAGATGAACCCAAGGCTCCAGAACACTGAGGTTCCGGTGGATTGAGGTGCATAGAGAGCTCACACAGGACGCCACGACGGAAGGCAGAAAGGACAGAGTCACCTGGAGCGAGCTGGAGTCGGACTGGCTCAGATGTCGCAATCGGCCATCTCGAGCGAGCGAGGACGTCACCAGCGCCATGAGAATGATCACCGCTGCTAACGCCAAAAATTCGATAATGAAGAAGGGGATGACTAGGAAGTGGGGCATTGGGTCGACGTGGACGCGTAAGCTCTCCCCGAGCTGCACCGGCGAGCCTGTGAAATAGTGGTCAGCCATCTGCCCCGTGGATCGAATCGAGGTACCAGGTTCAACGACCTACCGTCCTCTGCGAGAATTTCCAACTTGTCTCCCGATGGGTCTGACCGCCAATGGCAACGAGCTGTTTTGAAGATTCGACGCATCTGGCGGGTTGAGAATTGGTGGAATTCAGCATTGGGCTCGGCCAAGACATTAGACGGATGGAAGACATCGGCTGCGATGCTGCACATGGCACCGATGGAACCAGGGTCGCTTTGCAGGAAAGTTTCCCGAGAGCGGTATAGATACAGCAGGTAGAGAGCCGTTAGGGTGGCCAGTGCCAAAATGAGCTCTGACCATAGCGCGGCAAAGTTGACGATGGCAATGGCCACTTGGTTGGTGACGCGACTGGCGGGGATTATGGTGGAAACGTCGGGGTCAAAAAGACGACCAAGAGTCAGAATGAACGTTTGTTTCACATCACGGGTGATTTTTGCTTCGAATTCGGCTTTGGTCATAATGGTGGAGGTGTCGAGGACAAGAAGTGGTTGAAGGTCACCGAGTTCTTGGCTAATCACCGGCAATTCGGTCACCGTGCGGCCACCAGTGGTGGTATTTTCGCGAATGAAGAGCATATCGCTAGTATAGGGGGCCCATTGGGAGAGTAGGGCTTGGAAGTGGTCGATGTTCAGCTCCGTGCTAGTCAGTATCTGGGTGGTGGCGGGTTTGATGGTGAGGGCTTCGATGGAGCTATTGGAGTGCATCGAGACACCGGCTTGGGCCTTGTAATATGCAATGTCGCAGGCAAAGGCAATACCGGAAGCAGCATAGTCGGGATCATTTGAGGCATCGGAACTGGTGGCGTTGACGCCAATGATCATCCCATATAGATCGTAGGGGTCACATCCGGTGGCCGTGAAGGCCTGGGTGCGGTTTGTATCCTCGGATTCGGCGGCCGAGGTGATCACGGGCTCCCAGTAGCGAACCTGGAGGTAATCGGTGCCCGGAAAGAAGACGCTGTCGTAGGAGAAGTCGAGCTTGCATGTGGTGGCACTTCCATACACATCGTCTAGATCGATGCCGGTGGCGTTCCACGCCACAGTCCCCAAGCCATGCTCCGGGGTTGTGACGGTGACGGAGAGTTTGTTGTCCAGCGGCACATCTTCACATGAGACCTGGGCCCAGTAGACTTCCTGATCCAGCTGCCACAGCGTCTCTTCCTCCTGGGCGTCCGCAGGAATCTCCACGGGGGCGACGGCATATTCATTGGACCGCGACCGGCGGAGTTGCTCGGCGGAGGAGGAGAGAAGCGAATCAGCCGTGTTGTTGGCCTGCGTCAACATCCATGTCGCTTGTGTCTCCAGATCCACCAGATCCGGCCAACTTTTCATTGACACCTGATTAATCACATTGACTGCTCGAAGCTCGAACACTGTACTCTGCAGCGCCGGGAGAATCATCCGGATTGACAGCGTGACCACCGAGACCCAGAGAACCACCCAGTGGCGGCGACGTGCAGCATTGATTGGCGTGAGGATAGTTTGACCGAAGTTGTAGTTGATGAACAGGACGGTCGCGGGGGCGCCTTGGGGCCGCGACAGTTGAAAATATGGCTCCAACCGGAGAACATCGAAGTCGGTAACCGTCCAGACCATGACAAGCAACAGGGCAATGATGATGGGGACATAATTGTAACTGAAGGACTGCGGGGCCGAGACGTCGTCGGTATCGTAGAAGAAAACCAGTCCCCCTTCGCGATTGCTGTATTGTCGCAAACCCTCCAGGGACAGTAGCATGGTGAGCATGAGACATACGAGGGAGATAAGGTACCGCGGCCGCAGGGCTAGCGGACGCCAGCCCCGACGTTGGCAGGCAGCGACGGGCACCCGGAAGGGTGCGGTAAACGCTGGATGAGGATGTCATGGTCAGTAGGCCATCCACTGAGGATCGAGAAGAGGGAGAAGGCAAGCGACAACGATGTGGGTTCCCAGCAAAATGGCAGTTCTACCCGCCGAGGAGGAAGAGGAGGAGGAGGAGGCGGCGGAAGGGATGATCGGAGACTCACCAGCCCAGTGAACCCAGGGCCCCCGCGCCTCAGGTCCAGCGACGGACATGCTGGATGGACAAGGCGCGGCAGGCGAGGAGGTGAGCGCGGGGGGAACGAGTCGCATTGCCGGAACTCGATTATGAGGGATGGCAGGCCATAATCACGGGCGGGAGTGGTGGTGGCAGTCCTCCGTCTCAGTGATGATGATGGCGATGGTGAAGGTGATGTCGATGGCGATGGAGACGGGAGGACCGGGGCGGTGACAACGAAGGGGGGCGGGCTAAGCCAAGAAATCGCAAAGTGCCGCGCCGGGCTATGACATGACGTGCCGGAGAGGATGCAGGTGAGATTGGCTATAGCCTGAGGGGGAATTTGCAAGTCCTCTGGGGACGGGCACGAACTGGGCTGGACTCGGGGAACAGGGTTGGATTTGCAGGACGCGCGGTCGCGTGGGACCGATCCGCCCCGTTCGGTAGCTCGGCTGGTCTCCCTTTCGGTGAAAACCGTGATACGCGGGAAAAAGGGCAGACCCAGGGGCGGGCAGTGCCTGAACCATAGAACCGCGGCCGTTTCCCGAAGACCAACCGAATCCCCGTTTCTCAACGGGGGAAGCAAGCAGCAAGCAGCAAGCCACAAGGACAAAGCCGGATTTTAGCTTGGAGCTACGAAGTGGCGGAAGTCTTGGCGTCGACTCAATTGGCAACTCTTGGCTCGGACCCAAGCCAGTCGGACGCAGCTCCACTCGAGCAGGCGACAGACGAGATCGGGTATGCCCAGTGCCAACGGGACGCGTAGTAAGCTTAGTTGAGGTGTCTAGACAACTATACGACGAGTTATTACAAGTTACCAGGCGTGGTCTAGGATCCAGGATCCTACATAATTGGTTGTTTGTTATAATTAGCAACGGACCAATCATAAAAATCAGCATCCATGTACTTCCTGAAGGGTAGAGTTATTCTAACTGAACCAATTAGCAGGCCACTCACAAGAACCACGTCATCAATCGAACACAATTATCACTATAGATCGCCTGCAAGATAATGGTTCTCCACACTTAGACTTAAGGTACAGCCAAGATACTGGAAATGTGCTTACTTGAATGGGTACATAGCTGCCGCGCTTCGTCCTGCCCATCGCGATCAGCTCGCATGCTACCAAAAACCCCCATTAGCCCGAGTTGAGGGACTTAATTACACTTGTTGATGGGGATGGAGACAATTTTCCCTCCCACCGTGTTCATTGGAATCCTCGCCGTGAAGCGGCAATATGCCTCTGCATCGGGACTCATTTTTGACAAATGCGAAGATATTGTGGAGAGATTCCATTTGGTGAACACCTATCGGAGTCCCTCCTTAACACCCGACGTGGTAAGTTCTGGTGGTAGCTCAACATATATAGTGAAAATGAGAGAGAGAAAAATCATAAAATGTCAGCAACCTCAAAAATGCGATTGCCAGCCCATGTGGTGCGAATTTTCCCATTCCTGACACCCCCGAGGGGAAATGGAAGCCCCTCAAACGCGGTGCGCGGGGCCGGCATGGGGAGGCACGCATTATGCCTCATTTTGGCCCTCCACTAGCACTTCTGACTACCTATACCATCGTTACTTAATCAGGAAGAGACAGAGAAGCATGAGATTTGGAAGCGCTTGTCAGAAAGTCCTCCACGAGACCACTCAAGCGCCAGAAAGACGAGATACGTGGCGTCTAGATAGTCGCCGATGCGCACACGAGATAGCCTGAAAGCCATAGCAGAATACTGAAAAACAATCATTTAGAGACCCTTCACGTGTGGCCCAGCCCAAATTTCAACCGAATACTTCCCCCGACACAGACTGTTGAAGACCCGAGCACAGCCGAGGTACAGGCGAGCTCGACTGCAAGTCGCTCGACCCCTCATGAAGATGAATCACGACTTCAAATAACCACCACATAACCGGTGCCAATCTACCAGGAAAGACGCACATTAAGATACCAACATTATCAGGAAATCAAGCCTCAAAATCCTCATCATGCAAGCGGTAGTTTTCAAGGGTCCACTGCAGGTCGCCCTCGAACGGCGACCCCGGCCACAAGTTCGAGACCCAACCGATGCGATTCTGAAGGTGCGATATACCGCACTATGTGGCAGGTAAGGGACCAGATGGGCAGAAGACCGAGGATGTTATGTATACTCATCTTGAACTAGTGAACTGCACGTCTTTCGGGGCCATCAGCCCTCGGGAACAGGGTTTATCATGGGCCACGAGTTCACAGGTGAGGTGGTCGAGGTCGGGTGCCAGGTACAATCCTTCAAACCGGGTGATCGGGTTGTTTCCCCCTTTACTGTCAGCTGTGGCGAGTGCTTCTATTGTGCCAGCGGCTTTTCCTCCCGATGTGCGCAGGGCCTACTCTATGGAAGCGCCGCGCTGGATGGTGGACAGGCGGAGTACGTTCGTGTTCCTCTGGCGGAATCGAGCCTGTTCCACGCGCCCGCTGAGATCGACGAAAAGAAGCTGGTGTTGATGGCCGATATTTTCCCCACCGGCTATTTTGCTGCGAGCAATGCATTTCGCGGACTGGAGTCCCCTGCAATCCAGGGTAGCACCGTGCTACTATTTGGATGTGGACCCGTGGGGATATGTGCCCTGGTCAGCGCCCTGGAGTATCGCCCGAAGCATTTGATTGCCATTGATAGTGTGCCATCGCGCCTGCACCTTGCGCAGAGTCTTGGGGCCGAGACCTGGAACTTTCAAGAGAACGAAGCTTGTCTACGCGAACGAGTCAAGGAAATCACAGATGGCCGTGGAGCGGATATTGTTATCGAGGTTGTGGGCCACAGTAGCGCGCTGCGGATGGGCTTCGAGATGCTTCGTCCATGGGGTGTGCTATCCAGCGTCGGTGTGCATAACGGCGAGATTCCCTGGACCGGAAACGAGGCCTATGGAAAGAATTTGCGCCTGCAGATGGGACGATGCCCCGTTCGCAGTAAGAGATACCCTGTGGTTGCTGTGGTAATCTGAGCTGACACAGCCAGGTATTTTTGGGAAAGCTATAGAGCTGTTGGCCAAGAAGCAGGACGTCTTGAAGTATGGTTGCTTTTAGGTGGAGGTTGTATATCTTCTGTTCAGACTAACATTGACCAGTTTCATGTCGGAGGACATTCGTCCGCTGTCCCAGGCCGTGCAGGCGTGAGTATCTCTTGAGCACTTGCATACGAATTTAATACCAAATCTGTACTCAAACTTACCAGATCCACAGTTATGATGATTTCAACCGGATGAATTGCCAGAAAGTGATCTTCGAGGCCGACAAGTAGGCGGAGCCCTACTGCGACTTCTCAGTATGGTCCCTTACACTCCGTCTAGTAGATCTGGTTAATTGGCGAAAGGTTGGATGGGTGTTAGCCTAGGCTGATAGGCCCTGCTACATATATAAATTAACACTTGAAATCCCACCATGGGGAATAGTGGATAGTCGTCAGGTAACTTAGGACATGAGAGTACCCGATGCACAGTGAAGTGATAGACACATTTTCTTCAACCTCCCAATCATTGACTGAGTGGGTCGTCACATCAAGTGAACTACTATTAATTCTGTAGACACGTACTTCTTAGTGGGCTTTATGTGTAGGGGCTGCCCGTTCTTGATTCCGAGAAGAGCACCCGTTCCTTGCCGGAAGATACAAGCCTGTCAAACTACTTACTTTAATCACGGGTGACTCTGGGAATCGTGGCCGCAATGTCCTCCGTACTCTCCCTGTTCATCTTCAACGTCGAGCTCCAGCATCTGGTCGGCTCACCGGTGGCAACCGTCCGTGGTCTCAATGCCCACTTTCCATGTTACTTGCTCGCTGAGGGGGCCAAATCCTAGGTTGCATGTTCGGGCAGCAGATATATACTGATTAGCATCTAGTGGTATTTCATTAGGTCCAGTTATGGGGCTAGCGTTCGAATTTGCGTCGGCCGGGTTGGGGTAACATTCCGAATCTAAACTACACCGTATGAGCGTGATGTGGTCAAAGACCGAATGGGTTTTCACCCCCTTGGAGGCCTTGGCAACTTCTCCAAAAAGTTTGGATCGTAATTGAAGTTCCCATTCCGAAGAACATGAAATATGTATAATTGTTGAGATGGGAACTGTTCGTGAACAGTTATTATGAGAATCCACAAGCTCCAGCAAGTTCAAGATGGCAGATAATAACACAGAGTGATTTTAGGGTGAGAACGAAAACACATCTTTGTACCCGTGGCTAGAACCTATGAAAGGTTACCAAGTTATTGGTCGGCAAATGGTGCGAAATATGCCAAATTCTTGCACCAGAATGCTTCCCTAGATAGGCGGGTATGGTGTATAATATGTTGCTTTGTAGTAGCTGTTTGGTTTTCTCTCATGTTCAGCACATATATTTGGCTTAGGCCCAAGTGGCTTTGCCTTTACCTGATTTTCACTATGCTTGGTTCTACTTTGGCGGACCGAGTTCTCTTCAGATGGCCAGTAAATAGTTAAAACACTATATATGGCCATGGAATAACAATGTTCACTTCTCGGCCGCTTCTCGGCATTTAACGCATTTCCTATGGTGTAAAGAGAATCACCTTCCAACTTGGGTTCACTACCCACTTGGGCTCACTGCTCGCTTAGGAACCATGTTATATCTGTCCCTTCGAGCGTGAAGATTACATAGCTCCACATATCCCTGCTCGCCCTACCGTGGGGCAAAAAAGGTTTTCTGTCCTTAGGGTAGGAATTAAGGCCGACTTGCACCTGCCATTCTCATGGTCCAAGGCTAAATTAAGAAGAGCGCTTCTGGCCCCTGTTTGATGCAAAATGTCTGTTCAATAAGCTATTTTATGGGTGTAGCTTTGCGGCCAGAAACATCCCGTGCATACGCATTACAGGGCGCTGACCTTTAGAGTCACGACTCCGTATTTAGCCACTCTATAAAATTCTACCATCTCTGCTATGAGCGCAACATTATTGAACTTTGTCTGAAAACGAAAAGGTCTGCTATTTGACTTAGATCATTCCCATACCTGATATAGTCAGCATGGTGTGAGAGGAGCCGGCGGCAATAGCTTTTGTCCCCAATCTAGTCGCCCGTTTCCTTCCCTTCCTGCGCAACCTGGTCATGGTTGAAGTACAAACCGCGGGAGAAAATGATTAGCTGCGACGGGTATAAATTTAGCAGCAAACACGCTACCAGTTGAGGCATCAACGGTGAGACCGACTGCAAAGGGGGACAACATGGAATTATTTGCGCAAGGAATATCATTCGCGCTCAGCTTGCTTGCCCACTAAGGAGTATTAATTGTGGACAGGCTAGCAAGTGCTGTGCCTCCAGAACACTCCATAAATGTATAATTAGCAGGAACCGATCTAATTTCAGCTAACTACTCCGTACAGTTGTGGTTATTTGATATCTTATGTCAGCGCTGTGGGTCGCTGCCGCGCGGCATGTGCGTGTGCTATCGAACTAAACTCGAGTCCACCAACTAAAAAAGGGCTAGCTTGGGGGGCGGATTGCAAAAATAAATCGAGCCGAACTGTTTGCGTGGCGAAGTTGTACGTTATTGCGAAATTCAACGGATGAATGCTGTAGAAAATGGAACCGAACCACTGGGCCTTCCTACCTTGGCGTTGAACAGGACGTCAATGAAGTCGTGGCCACCAACATCATGCTGTCTTGCTTGGTATACTTAATCTTCTGGGCTTCGCATCCACCAAACAAATGGTCAGTTTTTCCTTTTCAGCAATCATTTCATTCGGGTGCGTATAGAATGCAGAGACCTGCTTTACTGCTACTGGCGGCGCATTTGGCATTGGTGGCTTGCCAGCCCTATAGCACCCCAACGGTATCTTTACTCCAAACAGAAACAAGTACCCTCGCACCTGAATCATTACCGACTGGGCTTTATGGTACTTTGAACCTCCTCGTCCCACGCGTCGAGGTTGAACGTGCGCTGATGTTCGCCCGTGATACATCTGCAACGTCCGAATCAACTGCATCAACCACAACAGAGAGTACTATTTCGGGAACTACGACTACAAGTACCTCGGATACAATCGCCACATCTGCAACAAACTCTGAGTCTACAAGCACATCATCCTCTACTACTACAACCTCCGCCACGTCAACATCCGCACAGTCCACAATCACCTCAACCTCAACAGCCACAAGCAGCTCTACCACGACAACAAGCAGCTCTACCACGACAACAAGCAGCTCCTCTACAATTATAAGTACGGTATCTGCAACCAGTACTACAAGTGCTGAAATTGCTAGGTGGAATCACAGAGGAAACATCGCTGCCATCATCTTCTCCTGTTGTCTTATTTCATTATTTGCCGGAGTCAGCATAGTGCACTGCGCACGGGATCGAGCCAAGTCAAAACGAATCGCCACAAGAGAACTTATGAGAACCACATCATTATCTTCAGAGCCTTGTGTTCCGTCGAGGGTAGACTCTACGGCTGAACTCATAGCAGATCGCTCTTCAATCATGTTCAAAGACAATCCTCTCGCAGAGCATCGTCCACAGACGGCATATAGCGCAGTAGGATCAGCGAATCATAATTGGAGAGCTGCTTCTTCTATGGCAACACATACAGCAGCGGATGAAGCAAGTTCCACCCTGGTCAACGGGGCTTCAGATGCACATAGTCAGCATAGGCCCTTGGTTTGAACACTTAATCATGATATGATATGATATTTGTGATGGCAGACACGAATCACATGGGTTAGATACACATCTAAACTCATCTTCTCGGATAGTGGTGCTTGTGCAGGTTCCCCAGAATGCCCCTAGACAGTGCTTTCTGGCCAACCTTTCATGGATCATCATAAGTGGAATATCATACATTGAGAATCCAAGCCATGTAAAGTAAAGGAAAAACAGTTGCTTCTACCACATAAGTAGTAAAGATTCGCGGCTCTGGTCTTGTCAATTCCGTCGATGACTTCTCTAAGTTGAGATTTAATCTTGGTCGAGTACATCATTAGAGGCAACCACTTTGACAGGTCCCTTAATATGCCATTTTAGGCATCGCTGGAGGTCTGCCCAGTCCGGTGCATTTAGGTAAGCTTATCAACTAGAGCCTGACTCATACCACGTGCCTTGACTTGATTATATCTCTCGAAGATAGATGATCATGATTTAGTTCAATGCCTCGCTTGTTCGAAAATTAAATAAGATCTTAATAGACATTTTATTATTGTCAGAACAAGTTTCTTTCTACTGCTCGCGCAGAGCCTTAAGGAAAAGCCTAAAAAAGTCTAAAGGATCGTTAGGAACCTACCCACTCGGGAGCGTGTTGATGAACCCATAAGCAAGGCCTGCAACTGTCTTCGTGTGTTCTAGGCAACCCCCCATGAATAACCATCCTTTCTTTGCTCACAAGGAAAGGTTAGCGAGATATAAGTTACAAACCGGTGGTCAAAGTTTTTCTGAGTGTGCTTCCAGTAGCAGCTCTCATGGTTGAGCATGTCATGGACATGAAATTCCCGCGGCAAGACAGACCATATTGACCTTTTCTCGCAAAAACTATGGAGGTCAGATATAACATAGGTCGTTTATCAATAAGAACAGTACTCACCATAGTCTTGTCTCTTTTGCACTAGGCGACTGGTGCAATCAAGATCACCGATCATATCCAGCTTGAAGCCCCCAGGTAATTTGAATCCAAGGAGATATTTTGTCTCCTAATTTGAACCATTACTCTGACCGAGTCGGTTTTGAGCTCGGTTGATTTCCTGTAACTGGATGCTTTGTTCATTCCACCTTCGTCCACATGGGTCTGGGATTATTTGATTGCCATTCCAAGTTGATCTTTTAGTTTCTAGGGCTCACCGATGTGGTTTCCTGAACATGACTATCTGAATCTGGTGAGGACACCGTGGTCGAACGATTTGAATGTTGAGTCTCGCCTAGGCAACAGCGGCTCATATCTTTTGATTGGAAGGTCCCTGACGGCTTACATTTGTAGACGATTGCTTGCCCCGACAGGCGCCCAAACAGAGATCGAAATAACAACAACTAGATGAAGAGTCCCGAAGAAACCAAGATCTACCTGAAGTCTGCCGAGTCTAAATACACAAAGCTCATAAGACCGAAGGAAGCATGATAATTCATACAACACGAGTCAAGTAGCAAATATCCATCACGCTTATGTAGCGAGGCACTTAGCAACGATATTCTGGAACTTTTCATCCAAGGCTGCAAAATTCGAGCCCAAGCCTTTGATATCATCCTTCCTCATACCCCTTCGAGCCTTGCCCATTGACACGAACGAATCCGGGCTACGCATACCACTGAAGACAAGTGTCTCTAGAATGAGCAGAGGAGACATATTGGGATTCTCAACGATAGCATAGACAGTGCTGGCACCTAGTCCAACATCTCCCGTCATCGAGATCAACCGTGATAGCCCGACAAACACATCGGATATAGCATCTAGCTCCCCCAAAAATGGTACAAGCAAGAGGACTCCCGTCAGAATTTCGTTGATCATCTCCTTCTTCTTCGCTTCCTCGTACGAATATGCCACGTCCACCACGTTCTGCATGCTCGCAACGGACTGGTTCAGCATAAAGACTGCCGCTGAGAGCGACTGCACGAGGTCGTCCGTAGTGCCGGGCCATGCCCCAAGTGCGAGTTGAATTCGTGCCGTGTAAAGGCGGCCCTTGATATTCTGGACGTTAGGCATGGCCTGCGTCATGATTTTCTTGGGATTGGCGATCCTGATGGCGCTGTGCGGGGCCTTCACAGGCAATCCTTTGTACGTGTACGTGCTGTGCAGAGCAAGGCAGCCCGTCTCATCCATACCTGGCGTGCAATCCAGGTCATTTAGGCTGGAACAAATCTCTATCCAAGATGTGTCAATGCCATAGTCGGAGGTAACGCTATCATTGAATCGGGTTGAGTTGATCAGCTCGTAGTAGACCGTGTAGTTACCCGACATGATACCGATATCGCCAGGACAGGAGCTTGTAGACTTGTTATGACTACTTTGATAGTAGGCACATTGAAAGAACTGGCTACCAGGGCCATAGGGCTCATCAGAGCTCATTAAGCCCTGCCACTGGATAGGGATCATCTCTTCGACATACTTGACGTAGTCGTTAAACTTGTCGTCGTAGCTGTTGGTGATGTCGGTGTAGTTTACCAACGTCTCCTGCAGCACCGTCTGCAGCCCGTTTATCGTATAATAGTCCACGCATACCGGTGCTAGCGTGTCAAGAGCTGCAGCCAGCTCATCCAGGGTGGAGAATTTCTTGGTAAAATCGCACGGCGAGGATTTTGCACAGTCAGGATCAGATCCATCGTCGCTCGAGCAGCCGAGGTCCACGTTTGTGTTGTCTGCATGTAGAACTTGGGCAATATCCCCGCTGGCACGCCAACTTGCAGAGTCCAGTATCGCCGCCGACGGTTGACACAGCGTCGATAGTCGTGTTGGCAGCCGGTGGTACGTTGAGAGGCCCCGTGGCAGTGCATGTGCAATTATGAATGGAACAGTATCCCCAGTTGCAGCCGTAGCTGCAAAGGCCAGCAAAGGACCCTGATCCCGAGCCAGCGGTGCATGTATCTGGGGTGAACGGTGAGGTTGTGGGCACAACGAGAGGGACCTTGTCAAGACTAAATAGGGCCAGATCCTAGGCAAAATAACCACTAGACCAAAAATGCACTATAGGCAACATTCTTAGTCTATACCGTCATTTATTGCTCCGACAGACCTCAACGGTGCCGCAGACGCCCTCGATATAGTTACCGTAGTTGCCGTTGTCAGCACAGCTCATTTCCGCGATGGCTTGCCAAGTCCACGATCCACATCGTTCGACGTGGCGTGCACCAACGCGACTCTGCATCTGCAATCAACGGCGTATTTAATCACAAGCATCTCGCGAAAGATTTTCCAAACTCGTACGCATTTTAGGCTACCTTTTCCAAGATGCCTCATATCACAAACGCTGGCCGTGGTCCCCTGCAGGTCCCTGGATTTGGGGGCATCCCCCTGAACTTTGAGCTATCACCGGAGACCCGCTTTGCGCACGGGCTGCTGGAGTATCGCCATTCGCCTCGCTTAACCAAGCGCGAGATTGCTATGCTACGACTGATGCAACATATCACCGAGACGCCAGGGTGGCATCGCGCAATCCTGGACCCGGATGAGAATCAACTCGCGCGGTGGCATCGGGACGCAGTTGAAGGTCCCGAGGGCTTTCTTATCACTGCGCTCGCATGGGGCTGGTGCATCTCCGAATTACGCGATAAAGCGAGGACCTGGCAGGCTACAGGCCGTCTTCTGGTTTTTGACAGCTCCTCGGCTGTTTGTCAATCGAACGAGTTAGGCGTGTCTCTTGAAGACATCCAAAAGCAAGTGACTCAACTGGGGCCGCAGATAAACAATTACTCGCCGCTGGTGGATCCTTTTCTATATCCCCTTGCCTATGCTCGGTCACCGGTATTATCGAGTGGCGGAGAAGTCCCCCTGCATGATTTATGGTGCTCAACTGGGGAAGTCGACAAAGGGCTCCCCTTACATCCATTCAATCAACTACAATTTCCATTCGACCACTTAAGACGACGGATTCCTCTGGATCGCCAGCCTGGATACGGTGGTCCCGAGAGCTGCTATTCAAATCACTTCCAGTGGCTACCCTTTGAGGTGACCTTTTCGTCTAACGACCCACTGGATGTTAGTATTACTTCCTATGTCAACAATCTCCATCCACAGAATCATCGGAATCTCTATGCGCATCTCGAAGACCTAGTCGCCCGCTCAGTATCTTCCTGGAATGAGGTCCTATTCTATGGCAACTCACGTGGCCGCCACCCCCCACGCATTCTCACATATGGTTGCCATATCCACAACTACATGGAAGAACGAAAGATTTTTCGCGACATTGTGCCTCTACTTAATTGGAGGGGTATCTGTGACACCCACGAAGATTGGCAAAAACTATGTGACAATGCCCGCGAGTACATCTCTGGCCCTGAGCCCCCAAAATGGCAGCAAGCAGAACCTCGGTCAGGACGCTCGCCCAACCTACTGGACGAGCTCACACCTGAGCAATGGGAAAATCCAAGACTCGTGAGTCAGCTTACAAGGTCTAAGCGAGCTCGGAGAGCCTGGTTCAACCATCCCGAGCCAGGTGTTTCATTCTCCTACGAACAATGGAAGGAAGGCAAATTTACTGGGCGTGCAATAATCCCACAGAGGGTGGGTAAGTTCCCAGACCCACTACATCATCAATATACCCCCGTACGTCTACAGGATACTTTTCGAGAACAAGGTCTACAGGTAGTTGTTGAAATCTTCAACATTGAACTCACCCCAGAGAGTCCGACCTATTCCGGTGAAGCGCATTTCCATATCGAAGGACTACGCAACGACCGTATTGCAGCTACGAGTTTATTTGTTGTGGAAACAAAGAACATCACTGAGCCTCGTATCTCATTCCAGCATGAGGATAAAGTGCATGCGTCTGAGCTGGAATGCAAAGTTCCAAACACGTTAGCGAATGTTCTAGATATAGACAGTTTCAAGCTGTTCGAAGAGCAAGCACCCGAGGCGCTGCATACATTCGGTTCTGTCCCGCTAACGAAAGGTCATCTGCTAAGCTGGCCTAACACTTTTCGGTCGAAGCAAGAGTCGTTTCGTTTGGCGGATCCGAGCCAGCCGGGGAATCTGACTGGTATCAAGCTTCGTCTTGTCGACCCACACTATCGAATCTGCTCCACGCGAAATGTGCCGCCGCAGCAGCACGACTGGTGGGCAACTTCAGCACAACAAGCGGCGCATCTGGACAGACGCCTCCCAGCGGAATTGGTGCAGCTGGTGATGAATCAGACAGAACAGTGGCCAGTATCAAGGGCGAAGGCGGAGCGTCTGTGTCAAGAGCTTCACCTTGATCATGAGCGTGTACGTATGGTCATTGATGAGTGCGTAGGCCACCATATTGTGGGTTGCATTCCCTTTGATGATCCCCAGGATGTGAGGGTTGCTTCCGGACTCGGATATGAGTCTCCTTAATTTCTCTTATCAGTCGGCAAATTGGCGGATATAGTTAGGCCATGAAAGGACCGTGCTCTTAGTTCACCTTAGTTTCTCCTAGTTCGTCTTGGCTTTTCTATGTCTGTTAGGCTCGGAGTCGTCCTGATTTGTCTTAGTCTGGTATATGGGGTTTGAGACATCTGTCTTAGACTTTACAGTGCTCAAGAGGGCTTATCAAGGTCTGAGACCCATTTCCCTGGCGTGATCATCCAAACTTCCCATTTTCCTTTGTCTTCCATACCTCACTGCCTTAGAATCACATGTTCTGTCAATTGGTAATTTGTGCCCTGCTGGCCCTCCAAGCAGAAGCAAAATCAACGCCGTATACTTCCTCTGCTTGTATGGAAAATGTCCACGTGGATACGATCTCTTTTTTTAACCATGCTCCGTTGACTTTCACCTTCGAGGTTCCTAGCGCATCACCCTGTGCAACAAAGTGCGCCGGACTGGCGTCTTGTCACGCGTGGCTCTATTCCACCTCTGGTTGGGAGTGTCAGCTTTACCGGAACCAGCCACTATCCCAGGCGCCAAATCCATTGTTTGTATTTGGGACTTGCGGAAGCCAGTCTCTGTCATCTTCTATGACATCTCCTAATTCTTTGGTGAGGTTTTTGTCTGATATTGCTGTCATGCAGTGCTCGTCTTAATTTTTCTACGCTAACATACACAGGTTTATCAGCAGCCGACCCCACGTCCTCTGGTGAAGCGCAACCATTTACGTCATAGTCACGGCCGTGATCATCATCACGTTTAGGAGGAAGGAGAGCTGTTTGACCAGCAGAATATTATGTCATCGTTGGGTGGTCGAAAACTTATGGAACACCACTGTACATATACTGTATACTTCTACTTGCATTTCCCATGCTAACGCAAAACAACTGACTCAAGATGTCACCTGATCCCCTACTATGGTAGGTTAGGGCCCTAGTGCACTATAAGAAGAAAAAACATCTGCTAATTTAAAACCGGTTAATACGATTCGTATAAACTAACAACTTTTGGATATCCGTTTAATTTATAATGGGTTAACGGATACGCCTCTCTACAATAATCGGGAGATGATAGAAGAGAGGCTAAATAAGCTCGCTCCAGGGTACTTAGAAGCAGAAAGAGAAGGGGACGGACTAGTAAAAGACTTTAATCTATTTAGCTCGGGCTTTAAAACGTGACACCTATGATTGTATATACAAAGAGTTCATCTAGTGATTATATCGGTGTCGTCGTAAATTACGAAGACAATAGATTGTCTGTGCAAGGCGTTTCTACCGCTTCCTATACGCTTTCCTGCTACTTAATTTTGTCGATATGGGAGTCAATTTTACCTAAGACCTTATTTCTCTCGGCGATCGTAACTTTAGTAAGAAGATTTTAGTTATCATTAGGTATCAAAACGTTATAGCTGGCTTTAAGCATTTACCGTCAATCTACCAATGATTGGCACTACGTAAATTCAGCCCCCTTTTTGTGAGCGACGTATTATTAACAAAGGTAATCTTATACTCCTATGTTATAAGACGCAGGAACTCCTTGCTTTTAGCTTCGACGTAGTGTTAGGTGTCAGTGGAATCGTAATTGCTCGACCCTACAAATCCTACTATGCAAGGAGCGTTATTTTTGCCTCCCGCTTCACCTATTTGGAGATACAGATCCCTGCTCAAATTCAGACCCCAATAACAAACAGGCCTATTCTGGAGTTATAGCTAGGATTTTTGGATACTCCATTGCCCACGAAGGTACTATACGGGGCTACGCCACCTGTATCCTCCCAATAGGACATCAAGTTCATCTTCGTATATTATCGGGGGTTCTTAGTTCCCGTTATTATTATTTGGTTCCATTTCTCGCCTAAGACTAAATAGTCATAAAGTGGGGAGTTCTTTTGTTATCTATTATTTGTAGCCGAAGAGCAGCGGGATCCTACCCAGTGGAGGGAAAAAATAATAATACAATATCGTAGATGTTACCGAGCTTGCTATTGATCTGACTCTGGTAGTATTAATGCGCTTCTGAAACACATGTAGCTTCCCGAGGAAGCAGAGAACCATGTTTCAGCTCAATTCCAGTTGAAAATTCCAAGGCGGGTATAACTTACTGTTCCAGATCCTCCATCCTGGCAAGTGTTGACTGAGAGCTACTTTAGCACATTTGGTTTGCTTTTGACTCAATCACGTACAAGGGAATTGATCGGAGGAAATATTTTCAGTATAGCCCGGCTACTGCTTTACAACTTACAACTAATTGCAGCCGCGGCGTATACAGCCTATAGCCAGAGGAGCCTATTTGTCTTTAGAGCAATGGGCACATGACAAAGCGCGCCTTAGCGAAAGTTGAATTCTGACCGCCATCGAGATATATGAGAAGTATCCAGTTTGATCCAAAGTTGGGACCTGTGCTATGCGACTAGAGATAGTTCTTGATATTATTCCAGATGGTTGCAGCTTTAGTATTCTCGTTTTTGTTTGGAATCCTGATATCCTCGAAGAAGGCACAGTTTTAGAACAAGGCAAGGGGCACGTAGCACGTAGCGGAATCTCTCTGGGCAGAGCTCGAGGTCAAGTCACAACCGTGAGTACTGTTCAAATATCTTCTGTATCACCGACTTCTACTGCTGTGACGTGACAGTTTGGGGCCAGGGTCTCATAACCCATCGACGCTTCGCTTTGTTTTGCTGTCACTGTCTTATTAGTAGGTGATAGAAGTGTTGTCTACCACAACCACCTTGTCTTTGACCTTATTCGCGCCTCAACGTTAAAAGAAAGTGAGGGTTATCTTCAGGCGGGAGGATTCCATTGGCGGTGCCAAATATTTTCCCAGCCTATCACACGGTCAAGAAGCCAATCTTGACTTCTTACTTGAGATACGGAATAACCTGATGTGTCTTGGGTTTTTTTCAACAAAGAGGGGCTTGGAATGATCCGTTCTCCCTATTTGTGATATAATCATAAACCAGCCATCTTTGATAGTTTCACTATGTTCAAAGGTGCATTTTTTGCAGGTAAGTTAAGTTAAAATTATACTGTACATAACTGACTAGGTTTAGTTCAGCCTCTACAGACGCAACAAAGTCTGCGAAAGAGACTACAATTTAATGACGTAATTTTTCATCGCAACTCACGCAAAAAATGTGCTTCAAATTGTTTTTAGAGCCCCACCAGACTGTCAATGCATGACAACATTATTGCATGCGGATATGGCGATCTGCCTACGGATGCTAGGGTGAACCGTATGAATGTCGTATCTATGACATATGAGGTCGTCAAATTCCATGGTCTCATCCCATCCTAAGCGTCAGAAATTAGGGTTATATGCTGCAGCGGGGCCAGGGCGGCAGAGGCCAGGACTGTAGTAATCATGTACAGTTTGGCAGGGATAGAGCTTTGAGCTTTGGATAGCTGTGTTTGTATTTAAGATTGGATGAATAAAATTCTCAAGTATTCGGCAGTGGAGATGGAAGCTTATCCGCTCCATCCATCCACAGAGGACGAATTACCAAATATTGGAGCCGGCTGAGGGACTACAATCATCGGAAAGTTACGAGAGACAGTTTTTATTTCAAGTTCTTATGCCATTTTATTTCAATTTTATCGGATCCCACAATCATTGAATCAAGGTAGACAGTGATGGCATTGCGATGACGTCAATATCTGCCAATCACGAGCAAGGTAATTTTACGTGTCGCCAAGAGTGAGCAGTTAAAGGTCTGGCACCCCCTACACTTACCTTTTTTTTGATTCAATTCCATGACCTTTAGTACTCGTCACGACGCAGAGTACAGCAACCATGAAGTCTTTTTTGGCTGGAGCTACTAAAACCCCACTACCGCGGGTGTCATCGCGGAGATGCTATTCCCGAGGCCCTGTCGCTGAACAGGCTGCTGGTCCAAAAAATGGTAAGGCACCTAGGCATCATCATGCCCGCCGGTTCATATTAGTAACTAACACTTGTTTCGCGTATTAGGCTTACAATGTCAATTGTTTTGGGCATACCGGTGTCAATCTATCTATGGCAGAAATCCAGACAACCGGAACAGAATGGTGATATTTCGGGGCGGTACCGTGGAGCCAATCAGGAATACAAACAGTCAGCAGAGGGAAATGAACCCTCTGCTGGGTCTGAAAAGGTTAGCCACTCGCCTCCACGGCTATGAGTAATTCTCAAGAGCCCAATCCTACATGGCCTTTCTTTCCACAATTTGACTAACTAATTTGAAGCATCCTTCTGCCCGAGGAGGGATAGGTGGACCTGGCAGTATGTCGTTCAAACAGGAAGGTCTATCTAACACAGATACTTCGAACCCATATGTGAACGAGCCAGGAAAGTCAAAGAAGGGAGAAGGCGAGACTGATAGCGCGAAGGTTAAGGGGACAGTTCAGCCTACTCGACCGCAGGTTTGAGAATATGCAAACAATTGATATAATAAGGGTCCAAATATACTTAGTGGAAAACACAGATATCATAAATAGTCATTCCAAGGATACCAGTTGGTGTCGAAGTTCAGTCGGATACCCTCTTGGGCAAGCGATTATTGTGGAACAGCCAGTAAGGAAGGCCGTTATCCATAGCATGGACCAAGCAAGCCTGCGCTTGCGTAGGTTATGGAGCAATCTGGCATGGGCTCAGGTTTATAATTATCGTAATAAGCTGAAAATATATAGCCTAGTAGGTATTCATGACAAATAAGATTAAGTGGAATCAATATCAGATTAACAAGATTGATTGATTGAGGAGGAGAATAAGGGGGAGCTGTTGAGAGCAACCCTATAGCTTGTACAGTACATATACAGCCGATACTTGGCTGTTATAAAGCGACAGTTCATGGTTATCCTGAATTACATACAATTGCGGAGCATGTGGTCTCCTGTGTGACCTATCATTTGCTACTGGTAAGTTATCGCCCCATTTTTTGATATCTTCATTAGGATGCTTAGCGGGTTTCATGATTTCCAGGTTCACAAGGAGAATTCTCTAGAGAAACGGCTAGTATGAACGGTCGGCGGACCAGTTTAACTCGTCACCTGAAAGGACAGATTCTGGTTGGATCTTCGGTGCTCTAGGTGTGAGTGAGTTAGTTTGTGTCATCTAATAGGTGGGCTGAGCGGCCACTGGCAACTCTGACATATCGCCGCAACCGGTATGAAACAGAGTAATGGAACTGTCTGGCTCTCTCTCTCATAGGTGGGCTTTGCGGATCCTAAAGTCAAATTCTGGCATTGTCGGGCCCGTTGCTTGATCCACATCAATTTCGCTGGAGCACAGACCCAGACCCCGGAAGCAGGTTGATCTACATCAGTGTGGTGCACAATATTAACGTGAAGTGCAAAACAATTTTCCGCCAATCGTTTGGAGTATACCCCTCATTACCCCACGGCTCTAAAGTGCTTTTTGAGGGGTCAAGCTTCAGTGCCATTATCTCCAGCAATCATCGAATACGTAAGGCTCCCTAATACCAGTCAGAATATTTGGAAAGTCTGTTATTAATACCTGTTCTATGTCTGGCATATAGGATACGGGGATACCGGAATTCAGATCCCACCAGTAGCCAGTATTTTCTGCGGGCGAGGTCATTGATTTCCAACCTGGGGTGGAGGTAATATATGTATTTCGAAGATATAAGGAGGAGCATGTGGACAGCACAAATCTTTCTAATCACGAGCTATGTGGTTACTTTACCCCTTTATCCATCATGTGGCCTTTGGCACAATTGGAAGCGCCACAGCCACCTCTCTTAAGGCCCCCGTTCCGTCAAGATCAGATATTCAGGAGCCGGTGCCTTTATCCCGATCAATTGCTGGTCTTTCGATAGAATTCTGCTACATAACAGATTACCTCGGTGATGTCATGAAGCCCAATAATCTCTCTCGGCAGCTTCTCCAGACCGTTGAAGATATCCTAGGAGCTCCTCCCATAATTCGGATTGGCGGGCACACCCAAGATACAGCGCGATACGATTCATCAAATTCAGCTACCCTATCCAATGTGTTCGAGCCAGGAAACCTTGAAGCCGTGAACGTTACTTTCAACTCCGACCTTTTCCACGTGCTGAACGAGAATGTTGCCACTCATCAACAGTACATTTTCGGTCTCAATTTTGGGCAGGGCAATATGGAACTGCCGAAGGCAGAGTTAAAAGCAGCAGAGTCTCTATTGCAACCCTTCAGGTTGTACGCTTACGAGCTGGGGAATGAACCCGACTTTTATTCCGCCACACAGCGACCGAGACCGTGGAATGTGAATACTTTTGCGCAGCAGCAACTCGTTTGGATATCGAGTTTGAAGACAGAAATTGAGCATAACAGCCATCAATTTCAGCTGGGAGCCCTTGCCCAGGAACCAATCTACCAGGGCAATTTCTCACTAGCCGAGTTGACCAAGATGGGTCTCCCAAAGCTTCTGGGGAATATAAAAACCTACAGTGATCACACGTATCCATTTTCAGTGTGCACAAGTACGTCTATTGCAAGGCTATGAGCGCCCTGGCTAACCGAATATGCAGGTGATAGTGCGGCCTTGGTATCGCTGCCCAACTTGATGAACCATACCAAAACCATTCAGTATCTCTCGCAATGGCAAAACGAGGTGGCCAATGCACAACTTGCAAGGGCCCACTTCTTCATGGGCGAAACTGGTTCAGTCTCATGCCATGGAAAAGATGGTATCTCCAATACTTTAGGAGCTGCTATTTGGGAAATAGACTATATGCTCCACGGTAAGGCTGACCAGAAGCGTCTATTACAGGTAAAATTGCTCATAGTGTTAATTAGGAGCGACTCTTGGTTTTCAAGGTGTCTTCTTCCACATGGGAACACCATTCTACTACTCGATGTGGCAACCTGTCGTATACAATAATAAGCCTGCGACAGTTTATCCTACCTATGCCAGTTTGTTGTTCATGGCGGATCTCGTCGCAAATATTGCAGATCCTGCTATTCTTGAGCTTTTGGTGTCTGAGGGCGACAGCTTGGCAGCTTACGCCATTTATGATCACGGACAAGTCTCTAAGCTCGTGGTACTCAATTATGGTTATTACAACGATACCAGGACAGCACGACCTTCTCAACAGGTGGAAGTCACGCCACTTCTGGGGCATGATCTTAAAGTAACCAGGCTTAGTGGAGCACTGAGCACCACGACTGATTTTGAAAATGTAACGTGGGCGGGACAGAAATATACTAGAGGCTACGCAGAAGGAGAAAGAGTCACAGAATATTGCAATGGTGGAGTGGTAGAGCTCGCCGCCAGTGAAGCTGTGATTATTCAAAGGAAATAGGCAAATTGTGTGCCTGAAAGTCATAGTCCATCGAGATAATCCACTTACGAAGCAATGCCTCATCGTCAATTTTTGGCCATTAGCGTGAGATTCAGCGGATAGTAAACACAAGGATAGTGGAAAACGGGTCCCAGAGTGGCTAGTCCTAGTCGCTTTCACGAGAAGAACAGGAGGATGCGAATACGTATGCCAGTATTTGACCTAAAAGCTTGACACCAAAGACAATATCTATCCAAGGAGCGGAAAAGATCTCGTTGCCTTATCTGGTGGCACAGTGACTTACAGTGAGTCCCCTGGTTATGGTCCTCACCTGGCTAAATCTGACCTTCAGCTGAGGCTTCGACCACATGGCATGCAAAGAACTCTCTTGACTCCCATTCCATCAACTTACTGACCATTTCCATATTTTACATCCAAATCAGGCGGGCGAAAATTAAGACAATTTCCATATAAGGCACGCTTCCCGATCACCGATTAGCCACGTAGTTGTAAAGAACGAGGTTATCGATGCCCCTGCGAAAGGTGGCGGCCATAACTTACTTTCGCCCTCGACAGGCTCGAGCGCCAAGAGTACGGCTGACTAGCCTCCTTGATATCGGCGCCGTCTGGATCGATGCACGGCTCCGGCTTGAAAGTGTGGGGGTCATGGAAGTTAGCCTCGCCGTGGGTGACTATCCACGCACTTGTTTGTCCGCGCATTTTTGTGAACTTCGGCCTGCAGAATGCACAGACGATCAGCATTTTGTGGGCTGTCGGGAGAAATTCTACCTCCACCGGCGGGGACCCAGATCCGTCGATAGAAACTTTGGGAGACACTAGAGGAAAGCCTTCGGAGCCTGGAGGATAGATACGAATTCCCTCGCTGAATTTTCAGGTAAGGGAGGTTTTTCGCAGTGATGTGGGTAATCTCTCTGTAGCTGTGGAATTACCCGCGGATTTCTGCTTTCAAATTCTGGTACACGGCGTCATTTCGCAGGAGTTAAAAGATTTTTGCGGCAAGGAAGTTAGTCACTACCTCCCCGCCGGCAGGTCTAACTCCAGGACTCAGAAAATCAGAAGAAAGAGAAAGGATATGATTTTTCCAGACCAGGGTAGATGTGTGGGCAGTGAGCTCTTCCCGCTCCATCTCATTGGACTCAACTTTGTCAATGAGGTTGGCCATGAAATCCTTGCGGGCCAAGGATGAACCAATGCGCCTAGCCAGGTAATGACCACACTCGCTCCTTCAGAACTTGTTAGAAAGCCTCAGCGAGCCACTTTGTCTCTTGTGTATGCAGTATGCTCCTCGCGCATTCCATCCAGAAACGGGGAGAGCAGCTTGGCTATCAAAGCAACCACCGAGAAAGGTCCGAAATTCTCTGCCACAGTGACAAAATACAAATTGTCTTCAACCGATGACGACCACAGGTGTGCTTTTTCTAAGACTCAACATAACATATTAGAGGCACAACGGGGGCTGTCCCAGGGGTCAATGCCGACACCATACCATCTTCAATGGAGTGGAAGGATTCGCCAAACAGCTATTATAAGAAACTAGATAATTAGACTACATGACTAGCTCCATCGAGGAGCAGTGGAAAGGCAGTGGGACTTACCAAGTTCTCCGAGGTTATCGAACGACACCATCTCGTACCACTTGCTCATTTTCAACCCCCCAGCATTTAGCTCAGGCTCACCCATCCGGGATATAAAGCAATCAACGCATTGGCTAACAGTAGCCTCTTGATCTGCCAAAGACCAGAGAGAATGGGCAGTGGAGAGAGACTCTTTTATTCGTGCATGCTTCTCCGGGTCCCGTTCACTTCTAATGCACAGGGACTCAAAACTCGCGCCTTGGATCTAGTAGGACTTACTCTGAATCAAGGGAGTTTGCCTGGTGGCATGGTGGACGTATATTCATATCCAAGATGCGATGCTGAAAAAAGCAACGCCTTCGGTGAGATACAGAAAACGGGGCCTTATCGTGTATGCTAGAGTTCTGGGCTTAGAAAACAACTGTGAACAGGCCACAGCCACGCACCATTTCGGTGGTACTGATCGTTAATTGCTCGGAGAAAATTATCGCCCATGGAATGGTAGATCCTCCATGCCTGTTTGGATCTAGTGTAAGCAGAACATAGACATCGATGAATGGAGCAAACATACCGGTGATGCGCGAGCTATGAAGGGACCGGGAAAACCTGCTAGGGAATGAAAATATATGTTCTACAAGCTCCGCGTGGTAACATAGGGCAATGTCTGGAGGTCTGTGCCACTAGCGTGGTCCTCATTTTGAAATAGAAAGTAGAAGCTGAGAAATACTAGGATAAACACCATTTTGAATGTTTAGCAAGCTCGATGATCCATAGCCCCAGCTCGCCAAAATTTTGTTTTGGATGACCTTGTCCAAAGGCAGCATTAAAATAGGTTGCCAACGCTAGCTGTCATGAAATGCTTTCATGAGATATAGCTGCCCACCTATCATAAATATTCGCAGAAACTTGCGGCAGTTTGGCAGCGTTCGCGCACCCCGAACTCGCATAGGTCGGAAGCCAACCGTAACACCGCTAATGATCGACGCGCTCTGCGACCACCTATCGGGAAACCGGGGCCTGTACCTCGATAAAGACGTCGTAACTGGGTCATGGCATAAGAGCTTGCGATCGCAATAAAAAGGCATATTGTCAGAAATTCGTCGACACCACATGCAGAAGGGGAACCATTTAGATTTCGTTGTACCTTGGCTATATGAATCTGGTAGTGCATTACTCAAGCATACGCCTTAGTCTGGGCTTCAATCCAATCCCACAACTCCTTTCCCCTGCCTTCCTCTAGTGCTTCGTGGATATCCTTCCTCGGGTTGCGGGCCTGGACTCTCCCCCACGGGATGATGAGCCCGCCCTGCTGCTTCTCTGTGATCTCCGGGCTGAGGCCTGCATATAGCTCGGTATAGCCGCCTAGCTTTGGTGGATGTAGCAGCCTGTTTATGAAGAACATTATGAGTTTGGTCTGGGTGTTGTAGATCTGTGTCTTTAGGTTGCCCGGATTCTGAACCACGCTGATGATGCCGTCTTTGCCATAGCGCTTCCCAGCCTCGTCAGCAACCATCCAGTTTGCCGCCTTGGACATCGCATAGTTGACGTAAGCGTTGTTGGTCCCGCCCTCCTCGATGTCCTTGAGGTTGCAGCCACCCTTCGGGGACAGCTGCTCCATAGCACAGGAGCTGGTCCAAATAATGCGGACGCTATTCTTTGGAGAGGCTACCGCCGCCACCTGCAATTTCGGGAGGAGGAGCTGAGTGAAGAGAAAAGGACCGATGACATTGACTCCCATATGGGCCTCGATTCCCTGCTTGGTCTTAGAACCGACCTTCACAGCCCCAACCCCTGCGTTATTCCATATGATATCGAGGCGCGACTCCTGCTCGGAGAATGTTTTGGCAGCACTTCGGACCACATTGAGGTCGTCGAGGTCGAGATAGAGGAATAGAAGGCGCGTAGAGCCAGATGGGTCCGCAGACACGATGTCCTTGATGGCTTGTTCAGCACGTTCCTTAGAGCGGCTGGCCATGTAGATGACGGCACCGGTAGGGTAGAGCATCTTGATGAGCTCGTACCCAACACCCTGGTTCCCGCCGGTGACGATGAACACGCGCCCCTCTTGGCTGGGGACATCTTTCTCGGTAAAGGTCGGTGGCGGTGGCCAGTACTGGGTCAGCATGGAAGAGAACGCCATTGATATCTGTCTCTGGCTTATATACGTGCAGTGTTTTCCACCTTCACGCCTAATGTTGTATTACGCTTGTAGCGCACCTAGTCGATGCTTAGACTCCTTTTATAACTACGCAAGATTCTATCCCGTAATGATGCCCCCGTAGTGAAGGTTTTATTACGTTCAGCTGAGGAAGTAAATTGCCTTTTCCCTCCAATAGGCTGCTTACTATGGGCTGATTGGGGCAAACATTCCTGAAACGCCTTAGCTTGCTTACTTTTTCACTCTTGTCTCTGGAGGCCTAATCCCTCGGGTGTTCCTGCGGGGGGCCTAGGGTAGAAAGCGGAGTAATGGTCCTAAACACAAAAAAGTAAGACGCGCAGGTCCGTGCGGCTATCGATAATCTCGGAGTCTACCTATAATATATAGCACAATACATCAGACCTAGGCTCTAGATATATATAGTTTAATCCATTTTGCCCTTGGGCCAAGCTTGCCGTTGATTGATTTTCGAAAGCCCGCGTAGAACACGTCATTTTAGTAGATTTTAGTAGGTTTAGCGTGCCAGATAGAGCAGGCGGTATAGCAAAAGGTGGTCTGTAGGGGGGTTGGAGACTTTTGCGGTGCCACTGTAACTAGAAACAGACTGGTGCGTTTCGAATTAGGGTTTGGGCATTAATCCATGGGAGTATGGTGGTATATCTGATTTCGAATATTGCTGTAAACGAAGGCTGTGTGTGATGAGAAGATGTACAATAAGGGAGTGAGAGAAATCTTGCCAGATTGCTAGGATGCGTGAAAGATTCTATCCTATGGGGGTAACTGTAATCAGGCTGATTACAGTTTGGGGTTAAATTTTTAGTATAGGCTTAGGGTTTCCCCACAGGGCAGATTACAGTTAGTTTCAGGGTGCCATTACAGTTAGCTATCCCATAGGGGTAACTGTAATCAGGCTGATTACAGTTTAGGGTTAAATTTTTAGTATAGGCTTAGGGTTTCCCTATAGGGTAGATTACAGTTAGTTTTAGGGTGCTATTATAGTTAGCTTACTATAGTTTTTTTCTATTTAAATTTTTACTAGTTTTAATAGAATAGTTAATTATTAGTTTTCCTAAGTTACAAGGCTATCTAATATTATAGTAAGATAGTTATAGGGATTAAAAAATTTAGGAATTATTTTAATAGGGTACGGTCAGCTACGCTATCACTAGTATTATAAAACCTATCCTATAGGGGTTAGTAGAATAGGGTCGATCCGATTTATTTTATATAGCCCTACTTTTCCGATTTTAGTTTATTCCGATTTAGATTTTATACTCTATTCTATTTAACCTTCCTAGTAAGTGTTACGGGGTCTACTTGCAGGGTAGAGGGCCTGTCGATTAGGTAAGGAGGAACTAGTATAGTCAGATTAAAATAAAGACTGATTCTTAAGGAATCAGAGGAATATAGAAAAGATATAGGACTTTTATACTAGAGTAGTCACTCTAGTATAGAGTAGCGGTAGTATCTCGCTATATTATCGATATATAGTAAGCCGAGGTATACTACCTTCCCGAAGGGGGGTAACTCGGGGCTACTCGGGTAGAAGGTAGGGGTCTTACTAGGGGAGTCGGTATATTAGATACTAGGCTACGTAATCTCGCTCGAGTAGGGGTACTTATTTTATAATAATTATATCTTCTCTAGTAACGTATATCCCTAGGCGTACTAAAGATTACGTTATCTAAGATTACCTATATTACTATATATTAAGACTATAGATATTAATAAGGATTATATAGATTAGAGTTAGCGATACTTAACTAAGATTATATATATTAATATATATTAAAGATTAGGTCTAGTAACCGAGATTATATATCTAGGATTATAGGTATTAATAAAGACTATCTAGATTAAAGATTATAATATCTAACTAAGATTATATATATTAATTATATATTAAAGATTAGGTCTAGTAGCCGAGATTATATACCTAGGATTATAGGTATTAATAAAGATTATCTATATTAAAAGCTACGATACCTAACTAAGATTATAGGTATTAATATATACTAAAAATTAGGTCTAGTAACTAAGATTATATATCTAGGATTATAGATATTAATAAAGACTACCTAAATCGAAGGCTACGATACCTAACTAAGATTATATATATTAATAAAAAAGAGTCTTAGTCTTTAAATTAGTATAATTCCCTAAGCTTCCTAGGCTTTCTTTTTTCTTTATTATCTCCCTATCTCCTATCTTATAGTAATTATATTATCCTTTTTTTCTATTACTCCTTTATTTCTATTTATTACGTCCCTATCTACTTTTTACTAAGTAATATCCTCTTACTATATCTCCTAAGATTAAGGCTAAGAGCTATACTATTTTTAATATACTAATTAGGGCTAAAATACTATAGTATATATATTATCTATATACTATAATTAGCTAATATAATCTAACTAGCAATTAGCCGATAGAGATTAACTATATCTTAGATACTATAGTCTCTATCCTATATTACTAATACTACGCTAGGAACTTAATATATATTCCTATAGATTTTACTATATTCTTTTTAGATAATAGTTACTAATAAAATAGGCCTCTACTAGTATTTTAGGCGATACTAGCGATCTAGGCTTTCTATTAGATTAGGCTAAGCGCTTTTAGACTAATAATAAGGTTAATAATAGTAAAGAGGACTTCCCCTAGACTACTAGTATTTAGTAAGAGGTAGCTAATACTATAATAGATCTATATTAATCTTTTAATAGTATAAAGACTATTTACTAGGCTTATTACTCCTAGACTAGTACTAAATCCGAGAATAAAGTAAGTCTAGCTACTATATAGGTTTCTATAGTATTTAGCTAATAGTTTAGTAGAAAAATACTATAGCCTATAAGACTTTTATTATAGCCTACTATACTAAACTCGCTAATATCCTTCCTCTTTTATTAGGTACCTCCGAGGCCTTTTAGTATAACTTCTATTCTAAGAAGCTACTTAGGTTCCTATCTAGTAATAAAGGCTATATAACCTAGTCTTAGGGGAAACTAGCCTTCTTTAGCTATATTTAGTCGGCGATTTATAAGTATTTCGAGGATAAAAAAAAAAGAAGAAAGAGGCTTAGCTATTTATTAATACTATAAATACTAAGTTCCTAGTAATTTTACCTTATATTTAAATAGGCTAGTCTAGGTAGATTTCTTTTTAGGGGTCTTTAGAGGTTTTTAGTATAAATGCCTATAGTTTCGATAGAGAGTAGATAGCTTATAGTTTAATAATACTAATAGAATATATATTTATCTCTTAACTTTTTACTTTCTAAATTATTTAATAAGATCTTATATATTTCCTATATTATTTTAGGGTACCTATTAGTTATATTTAGATAGCTAGTCTTTTTATTTAACTAGGAAGTAGATTTCTCTTTTAATAATATACTTATTATAGATTTCTTCTATTTTATATTTATTATTACTCTCGAGTTCTAGTATCGGTATTATTTTATTAATATTTCTTTTATATTTCTTCTATAGTTCTAGATAGGAAATATAGAAGATATTATAGATATAATTATATTAGTAAGATAGGCTTAGATAGTAAGTCTATTTTCCTATAATCTTAATAATTCTAAAAAGGCCGATAAAGTATAGAGTAAGCTTTCGGTTTATTTTTAACCTAAGGTTCTTTATAAAGAGTCTAACTAAGTCCTTCTTTTTAAGCTATAGAGGTTTATACTTACGATTATAGTTTTTTACTATAGATTCTATTACTTTTCGCCAATATTTATATAGTTCTTAGCGGATTTTTTCTAGTTTCTCGATTCTTACTAATATAGCTAGGACCTCTCTCTATATAGTATCGGCCTCGATATAGCTATAAAAGTTAGGCGAGTAGCCTAGTAGGGCTTAGAAAAGTAAGTAACTAGTAGTTATATTTATTATATTATTATAGGCGAATTCGGCTAATTTTAGTAGCTTTAGCTATATAATTTATTTTTTATCGATAAAGTAGCGAAGGTAATATTTAAAGATTTAGTTAATCCGCTCTATTTAGCTATTAGTTTATAGATAGAATACTATTAATAATCTTAAGTAGATATAGGAGATATAGTAGAGTTATAACTAGAACCTACTAGTAAATAGTAAGCTATAATCTAATATAATATCTTCTAGCGGTCTAAAATAAAGTTTAATTTCTATATAGAATAACTTAGCTAGTTCTCTAGTAATAATCGCTATAGAGATAGGTAAGAATATTAACTATTTCGTAAATTAATTAATAATAACTAATATTATATTAATAACTTTATCTTAAAAGGTTATAGGTAGTAGACCTATAATAAAGTCTATAGATAGTTTAATAAATAGTCTTTTAGATATTAGTAATAGTTCTAGTTAATTATATAGCTTATATCTCTTTATTACTATATTTTAGTAGATTTAGTAATACTCTATATATTTAGCGATATCTCTATTAAGATTTATCTAGTAATACTTTCTTTTAATTAGCTCGGAAGTTCTTATTTATCTAAAATATCTAGTAAGAGGGTTATTATAATAAATATTTAATAATTTTTATTATAGATTATCTCTAACTAAGATATATAAATAGTTTTTATATTAGATAAGGCTATCTAGGCTAATACTCTAGTTTTTAAACCTTAGTATTGCCTATTCTATAGTAGCTTTTTAACACTAAGTCTCTAGGTCTTCCTCCTAGAGGTACCTAATAAGTATTTTAAGGTTATTACTAGCTTTAGCTAGGTATAGTTATTTATCTATATATATAGCCTAAACTTTAGTAAGAGAGACTAGCCTTATATAGCCTAGTTCTTCCTAATTAGTAATATCTTCCGATTCTTTATTAGTTTCCTATAGGAACTATAGTAGGATACTCCTATCTCTAGAAGTCTTTACCTCTTTTTTTATAAAAATTATAGCTTTTCTTCTAGAAGCCTCTCTTTTCTTAAGGGTTATAGCTATATGGCCTTTCTTTTTAAAAAAGGTTTTAGCTAATAT